AATACTGCTTCCAAAAGAAATAATGTCAACAAACCAAAAATAATGGTACCTGAAAAAGCATTGGATACTGATAATGTTCCTATTGGTCTAATAATTTCTTCAGAGAATAATGATTTATATTCATTAAATAATAATATGTTGCTATCACCTAAATTACACAATCCATTAAGTAAGGCATATTACGTAACACATATATATCACTAACTTAATATTGTAGTTAATAATAATAGTATTAGCATTAAATCACCATCAACTTCAACGCCTAGTAATATCAAGTTGAAAAAGGAGAATGATATTTTGTCAAAGCCGACTATTTTAAGCCCTTCAATTACACCTTCTCCATCTATCACTGCTTCTAAGACTTATACAGGTGGTATATTACAACCTAACAATAGTCTAGACAATAGTAATAATAATAATACGATTAACTTATCAGCAAAATCCTCTTCATCAAATGACTTATATGCAGCCTTACGCAATCTGTCAATTGGAAATAATAATACCACGACAGTTAAGAATAAGGACTTGATATCCTTTGAAGGTAATAATAAGCTAGTAACTGTAATAATCATACTAACTTTGGCTAATGCAATAGGAACATTTAATAAGTCAAAAAATACTGTTGCATTGCTTCGTGATTTGGACCCTTTATTCAATAAGCAATCTAATGATAGTTAATAAATATATACCTGATTTTTTTTTATTATTATTATGTAAAACAAAAAGAGTATTATGTATGTATTTTTATTTATTTAATCCAGCGTTTTACCATTCGAAGTCACCATTAGCACGATGGAATAAATAATCTCTTCCATTGACTAGCATAATACCGTCCTTTAATATACACTTCCATTTGTTTTTTGTTCTTGTAACTTTGTCATATAAACAAAGAATAATATGTTCAATTTCTTCCCCTCCATCTCCATCCTCATCCTCATCATCGGAATCATCTAAATCAGAATTAATATCTTCATCATCTTTTGTATTATTATTTGCTTCATCTCGCTTTTCTTTTTCATCAGCATTGTCTCCATCCAATTGTGATATATAACGTTGAGCTGCTTTTCTTTTCATAGAATTTTCTTTGACTTGTTTCATCAATACTTTTATATTATCTGGTAACGAATCTAAATCAATAGTTTTTCCAGACTTGGTAGACGCTGTAAATGATATATTATTATCTTCGTGACTGGATTCCATTATAATATTTTCAATATATTCATCAATTTCCTATGTACGTAATAGTAAAAATATTTAACTCAGTTTATTTACTTTTTTTTCTTCTTAATACTTACTTTGGTTGTTTGTAACAAGTTTTCAACGTCATTTGCACCATCATTTTGTGGAAGATGATTGTTATCAATATTATTATTAGGCCTTTGAATTCCAGGTAAATATAAATCTGGGTAATTATTTTGATTCTGTTGTGGTCTTTGGGGTTGCATCATTGGATACTGATTAACAATTTCAGACATCATACCTCTATTACTAGATGTTTGTGTCAAACCATATTGCTGTTGTGGTGGTAGTGGCGGCAATTGCTGTTGTTGTCGTTGCTGTTCTATTTGGGAGGACCTTTCATTACTTTGAGCATTAGCAGTATTAGCAGCATTAGCGGCATTAGCAGCAGCATTAGCAGCAGCAGCAGAAACTGCCAAATTAGGTAAACTTGCTGCTGAAGGTGGAGCACCTCCATTATTTGCTGGGTTATATTCTGTATACTGTAATGGAGCTTGTTGATGGTCATTACTTTGAGAAACATCAACTCCTCCTTCATCTTCATAGTATCCATCTTCTTTAAAACCGAAATTAGCAACACGAGATCTAGCTACTTTTGATTCCCAAGACTATAAAACAAGTGTTTTAGCTTATATTCTTTTGCAATTGCTTGTTATGCATGTTACCCTTTGTAATTCCTGTAAAATAGAATCATCAATACCCATATCTTCGAAATCACCACGAACTTGATTGATAACATCGTCAATCACATAACGATATACATTTGACTATATAGAGAATAACCAATTTAATATAACAATGAGAAAAACAAGCAAACAAAAAAAAAAAAGAGCATTACCACAATGGCGTTGGACATTATATTTGTGATTCGTTTATAATAATATACTTTATTTACTTTGTGTATGTGTATATTCTTTTTTTTATAAATCAATAATTTCAAAATAACTGATTTGATTATGCCTTTAAATTCAAACAAGTTAACATTAATACGAAATAAAATAAACAGAAAAAGATTGGATTAAACCAATTATACCTTTTATATATGTTTTTTCTTTCTCTTAAAGAGAAAATGTTGAACAAAAAAGACGAAAAATGAAAATTTTAAAAAAAAAATCTGAATATTTATAGTGACGACATAATCCGAGCCGGATAAAATGTGAATCATGTTTCCTTTTATAAAATAACTTTTATTTTCTCCTTTCCTGATGTAACCTTTTTCAGATAATATTTTGTTTTCTTTATTTTCATTAGATTCTGAAATCGAATAATCATTTAAAAAAAATAAAAATTTCATTGTTGTAATCAAATTTATCGCTCTTTAATAATAGTTGTTATAGCAAATCGAAATTAACTAAACAAGGCTCTTAAAAAAAAATGGCAAAAAGAAAATTGCTGTCGTAAATATTTCTGATCATGTATTTGTCGTATGTTTTCTTTGGTTTTGATTCTGCCTTTTCAAAAGAATATTCAACTCACTCATGTGCTCTCCATCAATTAATTAAAGGAGACATTAAATCCAGATATGGAGGATTTAATTGATTGCCAACTGAAAATAAAGCAGTTGTACATAGAATGATTAACACAGACGATTAATGAATACAATACTTCAGATTTAATATAATTTGTAACAAAGTATCTTGATAGAAAAAACAAAAATTGTTATAGTATCTATGATAATGATTAAATAATAGTTAAGAATAGAGATATAACAGAAACAAAAAATGGGTCTTTTATGGTGAACAGACAATAGAAAACACATTATTTTTTTTTTTTTACTACACAGCAGCAGCCATAATGTTACTGTTCACAAATAAATGAGATAGTTTTGTTACCACAAAGAATAGTAATCTTCCTATATTTTACAAGCTCTCATAAGTGGAATGCTTCTTTTATCTTCACATGTTCATTTACTATTTTATAAGCCTTCCTATTTATTTAGCTTTATTGTTTAAATTTACCACTTTACATCATCGAAAACAATATCCTTAATTAATTTCGTCGAGTAAATAAATAAAAAACCAAACCGTCTGTGTTTATTATTTCTAATCATATCTAACTTTAAGATCAGATAAATCAACTTGGTTACCAGCAGTAAGTCCACGAGGACTAGCACGTTCAAAAGCTCTATTATATACATTTAGTTAAAAGTACAATTTCTTTTGTATTCTTGTTAAACTTACTCAGGATATCTCAGACGATAAATAGGTGGACGCTGAGAATCTTGAACGAACAACCTAATATACATCAAATATTAAATATGTATAAATCTGTGATATTATTCTTATTATTATTACATACTTATACTGAGCAGCAGCTTCGGCAGCGGCTATTTGGGCTTGATTAATTGCATCTTTTTCTTCAGCAGTAGACATATGGTACTCAATCCATCTTGTAAAGGGATGTTTTTCCTATAATAAAATAATAAATATAAAATACTTCATTTTCGTTGTATTATATATATATATATATATACATCGCCTGAATGAGTAATGTGTTGATCAACTCTATACCAAACAATACCAGCAATAACAGCAATTAGGCCATTTCTCCAAGCATTATTACCAAAAGCTTAATAACAAAAATAAAATAAGGATCAATTATAAATTGTTAGAATAAATAAAATCTCATTACACTCTTTAGGGAAATTCTCAGTAGTAGCTTGTTTTGATTCAGAAGCATAGTTACGAATTGTTTGACGAATTGGTGTATTCTTTAATAGTTGTGCTTTTTGGAGTATGCGAGATGCCATTTTTAATGTAACTATATGATTCAAAAATAAATTATATCTTCGAACTTATACAAAAGTGTGGAGTAACAAATCCATCCCCAGACTTGTAATTTTGTTGACGTCATCGATAAGCAGAGAGTGTTTGTAGTTTTTTTCTTTTTTTTTTTTTTTTTTTTTGGAAGAAATTAAAACACTTTTTTTTTTTAAACGAAAAAAAAAAAAATAACTAAAAGAATTATGTCAGCTCATTCTGGAGACGAACTTGAAGTTGATATTAAAGAACAAGATCGCTTTCTTCCTATAGCAAAGTAAATTCAGTAGAGTACATTGTTATATGATGTGTCTTATATTTTTCTTATAGTGTTGCACGTATAATGAAGAAGGCACTTCCTGAGAACGCAAAAATCGCAAAAGAAGCAAAGGAATGTGTACAAGAATGTGTGTCTGAATTTATTTCGTTTATTACAAGTGAAGGTAAGTAATATCATTTATCAAACTATGCCTTATTCATTTATATTTTATAGCAAGCGATCGTTGTCAACAAGAAAAGAGAAAGACAATTAATGGCGAAGATATTTTATGGGCAATGCAATCACTTGGTTTTGAAAATTATACAGAAGCATTAAAAATTTACCTTGCTAAATATCGTGAAGTAAGTTCAAAGGAATTATGTATTACAATTAAAGATTTCTCAACAAAATCTATATGATAGACTACAAAGATTGAAAGAACAAGTTCAAGTAATAAAGATAAAGAAGAAGGATTAGAACAACAACATCCAATTCAAGTTCAACAAACACAGATATATGCTACTAATGAGCAACAAACACAACAACCTCAGCAACAATTACCTACTTATTATAATGGAAATATACAATAAATAAATGACTTTATTCCACAGTTTTTTAATATCATAACTATTTCTCCTCGTATTATTATATAATTGTATATTACATACATTTGTATCACGAATAAGGAAATATATTAAATTTACCAGTAATTAAGTTTTCTTTAACAAATCTTTTAATAAAGTATTAGTGAATGACGATTCATGCTTGTCACTTGTATTCCAAGTATTTAACTATTACACGATATAAGAAATAGATACATTAGATTATATACGTACATAAATAGCTTCATTGCTTTTTTTTTCTTCTTCTTCTTTCTTTTTATATATAAACTACTGATAAGACAATAAAAATGATAAATAAATAATTTAGTTGATTACTGATACTATTTTTTCAACTTTTTTTGAATAAGGATGTATAATCATTTATTATCTTTTTTTTTTCTCAACTGTCACCTATACAGCAGAAAGTAAAAATACGCCTAAAAACAAGAATATACAATATTTCATTAATGCTACATTTGTAAAGAAATACATGCAAAAACGATTATAGATACTGAAAGATGATGACTGTCTTGTTTCACAAGATATGATAGTAAATTTAATTACGATTTTTATAAACGTAACAGATTAGTGAATGGAGGCATCAATGTGAAGTTCAAGGAACATACTCTGCATCCAATTAAAGATGATATAACGAAATAGATAATACAATTTTATTATGATGCTAGAAAATAATCCCATAAATGTATTTTGGTGTCAGTTTTGAGGTCGTATGTAAAGTTGGGATTTTAAGTATCCAAGTAATTCGAAATTCCAAGACTGGCTGTTTGAATGATGACGATGGTGTCCAGAGCAGTTGCCTTCAAGAATAAAGAATAGTAGAAGAATTTTGACTGGTTTTATCCGTTGACATAAATAGCTAAAAGCGATAGATCTCACAGCAGTTCTACTCCGTTTAGTAAAGAAAAAACAGAAAGAAATAATGAAGCAGCTCTGTTTTAAGCAGAATAGTATGCTTGATGTTCAGGGTAATTCGAGGCTACAATCAGTGCTTATTAAATTTATATTCCTACATTTAATATTCATGCAAATCAGATTTTTTTTTGTATAGATATGGCGGATTTTCGAAAATTTGTTATATGCTTCACTTTTTTATTGTGTTTCTGGAAATGGAGTCTTCTTGAGAAAAGCAACGAATGAACAACATCAACAACAACAAAAAAAGATGCGTTCAGAGGAATTTTCCAATGTAATAAATGAAACTGTAAACTATGATGAATAAAAGTTTAAAAAGTGAAAGGTAAGATTTCTAAATGGAATAACTGTAATGGAGAGAAGCGACTAATCGACATAGATAGACTGAATTAATCGTATTGAGAGAGAGAGAGAGTGAGTGTGTGTGTGTGAGTGTGTGTGTGTGTGTGTGTGTGTGTGTGAGGATATGATTACAGTAATTTTGGTTGAACAACCAGTACGCTTGTGTTTCGAAGTTCTTCTTGTAATAAAATTTGGGCTCCTAATATACCAAAGACAAATTCATAATCTCGTCTATTATCTGATTGTTGAGAAATGTTCAGGGATGAGGAAGATAATGAATGATTGTTAATACACATTGGCACTTGCTTTCTTTTTTCTTGATGACGATCCACAATAATTAAATCATGTGGATTTGGACATTGTCTAGTAATCGCACTACCTATAGATTCGATCTGATCCAAGACGTAATATTGTGATACACAGTTCTTTTCCTCGGAAGTCATCCATGTATCAGATTCTTCATTACTTAAAATAATCAATTTAGCTTTCTTTTTATTCTGTTTTAAAAGTTGTATTGCAAACGAATATGTTGTCGTTAGAGTATCTCTGGGGAATAGTACAATAGCAATGATCTGCATTTCTTCAGGACACTGTCCAAACGATCCTCGATCAATCCATATACCTAAATCACAAAATTTAATGGTCGAAAATGCCTCTTGTATCCATTCATACGGGGGACTTTGAGTGTCCCACAATATAGGTACCAAGATAATATCTGCATGTACATCTAGACTATAATTTGCCAAGGTTTTTATTTCTTCCCCTAAATTAGAAAAATCCAAATGAGTATGCAAGGCACATCCAAGTATCATGTTGGAAAAGGCGCGAAGAATATTTAGGATAATATCATCTTCTCTCAGTTCCTTTCGCTTAAAAGTCATAACGGTTGATGTGCGTTGAGTAAGTTTGAGGAGTCGTAAAGAATAAATTTGAATGGGACAAAGGAGTCTGATAAGTGCCATTATAGAAGGTATAGATTCAATATAATTAATGAATAAAACAAGACGGTGGGAGGACTGATAATTCAAGCTATTGACATTAATTCCTTTTTCATCAATAATAGTATCAACAGTATTACTAGATATAGAAGTAGTGTCTTGTTGTCTTTGCTGTTGTTGTTGTTGTTGCCGCTTTTGATACCATTCAGGGTAAAGATAAATGACAGCTGGAGTGGTCATAAAAGTTGTAATTAATGCCATCATTACCATAATAACAAAAACTAAAAGAACGTTATTAATAGAAAAAAAAAAAGGACAAAACTACTCAATATGTAATCTTACTTTGATCACTTAAGATACCAGCATCATGTCCAATATTAAGTACAATAAGCTCTACTAAACTGTGCACAACGTAAACGATCATATACGTTTATTAGTTTTAAGGCATTAGCTTACCCTTTACAATTCATTAAGAAACCTACAGCGAATGATTCACGATAGGTCATACCACATACTTTGGCAGCTACAGCACAACCTATGATTTTACCAAAACAAGCTAAAAAGATAATAAGAATCACATATCCCCAAACTGCACCTGAATCTAATAATCCAATTTGAGTTTTCAAACCAGACAAAGTAAAATACTAGAAGGATAAATAAGTAAATTATATAGATGGGAACATAACACAATTATTACTTACTAAAGGTAAGAATATGATGTTTACTATGTCTTCTATTTTCTCTGTAATTTTTATTGACAAATTATTCTCATGAGGTACAATTACACCTGCTAAAAATCCACCAAAAATAGCATGAATACCTGTATATATATGTTCAAATAGAAATGAATTAGTATAATATAGATAGATAGATATAGATATACCTAAAATATTTGTTACAAAAGCAGATATCATAACAATTATCAAGGTAGCAGCCATTAAAAGAGGTGAGGGACCATGTTCAAAAGATTGTGTATAATGACATAACTTTCGATATAATGGTCTTACAATAAACAAGACAAAAAATGTAAATCCCACAGCTGTCAAAAATACATAAAGGGCTTTAATTCCACCCGATGAATTCATTAATGCAACCACTAACGCCAATAAAACCCAAGCTGTACAATCATTGATCAATCCACTTGCCATCGTAATTGCCCCGACATTGGTACGTAGTAATTTCAATTCTGCTAAAATACGTGCTAATACAGGAAAGGCCTAGTCATGCAGATTGTGAATTTCTGAGTAGGATAATAATTATGAAGATATGTATTAAATAATGACTTACAGTAATCGACATAGTGACACCTAAAAATAATAGAAAGCTACTAAATGAAACATAGGGTCGATTTTGTAGTTTATAGAGACCTACACTGACAGCAGCACCTAGACCGAATGGTAAGACCATACCTGCTATCGCCACTGATAAACTTTTATAAAAGCCTCTACGAATGACTGCCAAATCAACTTCAAGACCAATTTGAAACAAGAAAAATATGAGACCCAAAGTTGCAATCAAATTAATAAACGGTAAGGATTCTGATGGAAAAATTGTTTCTTGAAAGCCAGGAATTCTTCCCATTACGGTAGGGCCTAGAATAATACCTGCAATAACTAGAGCATATACGTATACATATATATATATATTTAATTTATGCAAGTCTTACATTTATTTCATTTATATATGTATATTATTATATATATAAATAAATACCTTCAGATATAACTCTAGGTTGTTTTAGATAGCCTAAAGGTATAGCGATCAATCTACAAAAGATAAGAATAATTGTAGCCTATTAAATTGTTACTATCTATAATGGCATAGAAAAAAAAATTACATACTTGTATAATAAATAATACAACTGGATCTGACGAATTGAATTCAACTGGATTTAAGCCTGAAAATACACCTGCTTGTGGTGCTGTAGTTGTTGTGTTATTAGAAGCCATTTTATTAAATATAGCATAAAAAAATGAAGAAAAAATCAGTAATTAAATATGTCAAATTATTTAAAAATTTATTTTATAACCTGAACCAATAGACGACAAATTTGTTTAGTTCTCTCTCTCTCTTTTTTTTAATCAAGACAGCTCCACAATAATGTCGTAATCTACTTTATTACATAAGCGATAGCTAATATACTCTGTTAGAAAAAAAAAGCTATATTAAAGATAATTTATTGTATTAATCGAAGTCTAGAATTTTTCTTTACGTCTAGGAAATCATTACTCCGATTTTTGCAATATAAGGTTAACATTGCACAAATGAAAACAATGTTATGTTTGATTCAATTTACTATTTTATTCAAAGGTCTTTAAAAGTTAAATCATTTCGTTAAGTATAAATGTATGTACATAATGTGATTTCGTTTCTAATAAGATAATGAATTATTGGCTTTAAATCAAGAAGTAGATATAATGAATAGTAGCAATCTGCTTTCATACTTTTTTTTTTCTTTAAAAACACACACACACATATATATATTAGGGAACTACCGAAACATTGCTAAACATAAAAAGTATTCAATAAGTATACATGATAATAAGTTTACTCTACTTTATTAAAGCAAGTATATTTTGTGCCGAAAAATATTTGATGTTTACATTTGTTAAAAATACTCATAGACGCAAATCTCTCCCTTTTTTTTTTTTTTTTTTTTTTTTTTTTTTTGACGAAAAGCATAGTTTTAATGAAATGTAGGATAAAATAGTTGCTTAAATTGACGTAGGGGTTTTTTTTTATTATAGTATTCAATTATTTCTTAGAGCGGTAATTAAGCTTAGTTTTTCAAGCAATAATAATTTTTAATATCATTTTCAAGCTTTAGAAGACATAATAAATAGGGTTTCTATAGTCTGGCCATTAGGGGAAAAAATTTCTACTCGTTTCTTTCTTTATAATGATTAAGTTAACCTTAGCATAATAATATTTAATATGAATTCCTTTAAATCATAATTATAACTTAAAATAAAAGAATATGTACTATATTCACTGCTTAAAAAAAAGAAGAATACAGTCTCTTTATCACATTAGTATTGTAAGCAGAAAAAACTAATGGTTCTGTATATGTATTCTTAGAATTATTTATTATCTTATGACTAGAACTATTATAGTAAAAAAAAAAAAAATTAATAGTTTAAAATGATTGTTATAATATATAAATAAATGTTATGATTAATTCAAATAATATAACAGTATTCTTTTACAAAAACACCTCTTTTTTTTTAATAATCTTTGTATATGTGCATTATTTGTTAATAGCATACTCAGGTTTTTATATAATATTATATTTTGGACACTTGAATTAAAACTTTCAAATGTTTCCATTTTAATAAAACAGTTCTATACATTATACAGCTTAATGTATTTACTATATTATTTTCTATTTGATAACTTCAACAATATAATCGAATTAATGATATTCATCAAACTCATGCATTAGAAAAAAAAATTACATAGTGTAAAATGATCTAGAATATTGATAATCTTACTGTTTCGACTAAGTTTTATGCGATAAATTATATACACATATTTATATAAAATAGACAACAGTAGGTGAAAGAAAGGGGGTGTGATTGAATAAACAAACAACCCTAAACAGTATATATTAAATAAGAGCAAATGCTGCTAACATAAAAAAAAAAAAAAAAAAAGAATTATCTCAAAATATATTAACTGTAATAAATAACAATAAAAAAAAAATCTAGAATACTTTTTTTTATTATTATTCGTCCAAAAAAGTATTAGTAATAGTCAAGATACGACGAGTTTGTGGAGTAGGGGGTTATTTTTTTTTTAAAAAAAAAAAAAAAAAAAAGAAAGGAACAATATAACAAAATCAATAATCTCTGAATGATATAAAAAATAAAGCTAATAAAATAATACACATGTATAGATAGATAAATATATAAGAGTAATCATTTTCTAACATCACTTAAAGTCTAGGTTTCTCTGGATCTATTCATAATTTCTCACCATTTTCAGCTTCAAGTTCACTTAAGTAACGTTCAGCATCAAGAGCAGCCATACAGCCGGAACCTGCGGAAGTAATGGCTTGACGATAACGTTTATCTTGAACATCACCAGCAGCAAAGAGACCAGGAACACTGGTGAGAGAAGAACCAGGAACGGTCTTAATATATCCATCTTCATCCAAATCAACTTGACCCTTAACAAGACTGTTGGCAGGGTCATGTCCAATAGCATAGAATAAGCCAGATGCATCAATCTTACCAGTTTCTCCTGTCTTATTATTAATTGTAGCAACAGCTGTCAAAAGTGAACCATCACCAATAGCTTCAGTAGGTGATGTATTAAAATGTACCTCAATCTTAGGATGGTTTAATAAACGTGCAGCCATGACTTTGGATGCTCTAAGCTGATCACGACGAACAAGAACGTGAACCTTTGAGCCATCTAAAAGGAAAAAAAAAAGATCTATTAGGAATTTTCCTTTTCTTTCTTCTTCTTTTTCTTCTTTCTCTTTCCCCTTCCCCTTCCCCTTCCCCTTAACTATTATATACATTACATTTTGTAAGGTAAATAGCTTCTTCAGCAGCAGAATCACCACCACCAATTACAACCAAAGGCTTATCTCTAAAGATGGGAACAGCACCATCACAGACAGCACAAGCAGAGATACCACTTTGCCAATATTTATCTTCACCAGGTAAATGCATACGTCTAGCAGAGGCACCAGTGGCAATGACAACGGCATCAGCAGTATCAGTAGGTTCTTCTTCAGCTTCATAACCTTCACGCCAAATCTTGAAAGGACGAGAAGAACAATCGAGTTTAGTAATCGTTTCTGTTTCAATGGTTGTACCACAGTTTTCAGATTGTTCACGCATCAAATCCATCAATCCACCACCCATAATACCCTTAGGGAAACCGGGAAAGTTTTCAATATCAGTGGTAGTCGTAAGTTGACCCCCTGGAGCAAAGCCATTTGCCATCATACCTTCAAACATAATAGGATTTAATTTTGCACGCGCAAGATAAATAGCAGCAGTATGACCTAACAAAAAAAAAAAAAAAAAAAAAAAAAAAAAAAAAAAAAAAAAGAGAGAGAGAGAGAGAGGAAAGTTAGTTTTCTTTTCTTTAATCAAATCGTACGCTATTCTATTTTACCTGCAGGTCCAGAACCAATAATTGCAACAGGACGATGTTGAGGTGCCATTTTATAAAACGAAGTACTAAAGTTTCTACGAGAAAAAGAAAGAAATCGCGAGGAAAAAGACATTTTTTTTTTTTTTTTTGTTATTGTCTTAAAAAAATAATTTTTTTTTTCTTTTTTTTTTTTGCTTTTATTATAAATACTAATTTAAACTTTTTTGGTTGGATAGGACTTTAATTGGTGTTTTAAAATAGCAAAAATAAAAACAAAAAACCTTAATATTTCCTTAGTAATCGGCATATACAGGAGTATCATTGGATAAAGACTGAGATGATCTATCCAATTATAAGAACATCGAATATTCCCGATTAATTAATAAATTGAACTGCAATATTTGTGTATTTTTTTTTTATTCATTAAATAGTAATAAAAAGGAGAGGAAAAAAAAAAAAGAAAAGTAAAGAGGATAGGATAGGATAGGATAGAAGGGGGAATATTTGTTAATTACATGATAATACAATCTTCTTGTGATCCATTCTTCTTTTTTGTCTTTGGTTCAACCTGTTTACCTTGTAGACGTTGAATAGCTCGTTTATCACCATGCTCAGCTGCTTTTTTATACCATTCCATAGCTTCTGTTGGGTTCTTTGTGACACCAATACCCACTTCTGTGAAATAACCAACAGCATATTCAGCCTTGGGCAATTCTTTTTCAGCAGCACGACGTGCCCAAATGTAGGCATCTTCATCAGATTGAGGCAGGACATTGGGTGATCCGACAAGATACCATGCTGTCAAAGCAAAGCAAGCTTCACGATGACCCTGTTGTGCAGCAATTGTATAGAAATGTATAGAAAGAGCTGGGTCTGGTTGGCATTCTAATTTGCCATATTCATAACATTCACCGAGTCGAAATGCAGAAGGAGCGTAACCAAAATCATCAGCTGCCTGTGTATAGAGGGAAATAGCATAAGCGAGATCGACAAAGACGACATTAGGAATGCCCTTTTCATGAAGAAGGGCTAGTTCATGTATAGCATGAGGGTATTCATTTGTAGCGGCTTCTGCAGATCGCTTTAACCATTTCACACCATCTCTTGGATTTTTTGAAATTCCTAACTCACCGTTGACCTCTGCTACACCTAGTCTATACATGGCACCAGGATGACTTAATGTAGCTGCTTTTCTAAAAAAAAAAAAGGAACAATAATTAGTATTTTTGCATAAAAAAAAACTATTAGTATATTTATTATATCCTTACTTGTAAAATTGAACTGCTTTAGCATAATCTTTTCTACAGCCTAGACCGTCCTCATAGCATTTTGCAGCCCTAAAAAAAAAGACTATACATCAACTGATTTTCTTAAGAAAAAAAAAAAACTTTACTTTTTTTTTATTAAATTTTTACCTATAAGCAGCATCAGCATGGTGATGCTTTGTAGCTTGAACAAATAGTGGGAAAGCTTTATCAAATTCATTTTTCCCTTTTTTCCTATTTAATAGACCAGACGCATAGAGGTTCCCTAGATAATACTGTGATTCAGCATGCCCACGAGCTGCCAACTGTTTTAATAGCTTTTCTGCTTCATTTAAATATTCCCAGCGGGTCTCATCATGGTCTTGTATTGGCTTTGCTGCCTCAACCATAAAGATAGCAAAATCACATTGAATGTCAGGACTGTTTGTCTTTTTCGCATTTTCCCGATACATGTTGATGGTCTGATTGTATGAGAGAAGAGAAGCTTTAGTACCTGGTTTCAGATGAGAATGATCAAGGAGCTGATCAGTGTTGGAAAGATTCATGACGGAGCTCGTGCGTGTGCCTGGAGGTGTGTCGCTATTGGAGGGCATCGGACTTGAGGATGATAAGGAAGGGGCGGAATTATTTGTTGTATTAGAATAATGATATGGCCTGTTTATTAGATTGTTGTTGTAATGTGTAGGAATCGGTGTTCCAACAATTACACCTTCTACATGCTTTGGTGGGGGTGGCGGATTATTATTATTAGTTTGAATATATTGTTGTTGTGCCATACTTATAGAATTTTTTTTATATTCGTTAAATAAATAAAGAGAGAGAGAGAGAGAAAAGAGAAAAACAAAATAATAGTAATAGGAGAGGAAAGAGAGAAAACAGTGAGGGGGAGGTGGGGGGCGCTTAGAGTATATTATAGGGGGGAAAGAAAGAATAATTGAACCAAAAAAAAAGGGTGCAACCATACTATGTGTTTGCACCAAAAATAGAAGACGGGCTTCAAAAAAAGGTTAATTAATCAGAAAATCTATCATAGTATAAACGGTTTTATTTAGGTTGCTATAGCAAGGAATTACTATGGTAACCAGGTACATTAGTATTTTTTTTTGTCTTTCAAAATTTATAGATACACTTCTCTAAATCACAGTTTTGATGATATCATCAATATGTATACATAGTTGATTTAAAACCAATTTTGTGTCAGATAAATCTCTATTATTACAAAATCTCTACTAATATATTATAAATTGATCAACAAATAAAAATATCTAGTCTAAATGACTTACTATAAGATAATTATAATAACAAAATATATACTATTTATAACGTTGAAAAAAGAGCTAAACGTTTTATTTATTTTATTTTTTTTAGCTATGATCTAATTTAATTAGCTAAAAAGAGGAAGTCCATCATAAAAAGGGGTGATGGTACGTACCGGATAAAATATATCAGTTTCTATAAGACCTCTTTCTGATTCTGATTTAAAAAAAAAAATCTATTTATCCATTACTTTCTTCCATTATCCGTATTTTCACTCGCATCAAAACAGTAATAAGTCATTATAATATTTTTATTTTTTTTTTTTTTTTTTTTTTTTTTTTTGATTATTGTCGTTAGTTTGTTATTTTTTTTTATTTTTTTAAAAAAAAATTAAAAAGTTTAATTACATGGTTATATTAAACTATTACAAATAACATGTAATGTAAACTATTTATATTCATAATTTTAGAGCTGATTTATAAAAAAAATAAATAAATATATAAGATTAACATGATTGATTCTCGATCTAAAATGCACGGAACTTAAAATAGAATAACCCATGTATGAATGTATTGTGTATATTATAAAGAAAAAAAAATACGTATATATAACAAGCAATTATATTATGAATACATATTATTACTCTTTCTAAGAAATTAAGTATACCCGTAAATACTTTAAACAATCGGATAAGAAGACAGAGCATATTTAATACAGAAATTTATCTAAAACTGATCTTTAACAATATTTATAATAAAATAGTTTTATAAAAAAAATAAAGACGCGTATAAAGCATTGTATTGATAAATTTATTTTATTTCTTTTGCTTTGTTACTTGAATGTGATCTTTATTATGTTTAATTTTTATATTGATTTTTTTTTTTGGGGGGGAGGAGGAGGAAAAGGAGGAAAGGGAAATGAGAGGGAGAAAATAAAGCGGGTCACGAAACATTTATATGTAAAATTACTCGCTTGATCCGCTATATTTAATTTCTTTTTGTTTGAAATGTCTCAGCCATAATTTTCTATATAAAAAAAGAAATCCGAAGTTATCCGAATTTTCTTTTTCTCTTTCTCTTTCTCTCTCTCTCTCTTTTTTTTTTCTTGTCTTGTTTGTATAAACATTATATCTTTATATAAAAGTTTCTTTTTTTTTGTTTTATTCTCACTCTGTCTTTATTACATATCTGTAAATCCATATAAATATAATGAGTGTTTCATTAGAATATCAACATTTTCAGGAACAACAACGTCTTCCAACAATAAAACGTATATTAGAAACTATTGATCCACATTCTAATTCGGTTGCTCGATCTAATATGATCAGTCAACCACCTTCTCCCCCTGATCTATTACATGATTCTGAAGAGGATGATGAAGATTCTCTTTCAACACCTTCATTATTTTCATTATCACCCAAACAAGGGTTCTTATCAAAACAAAAGCAACAACAACAGCAACAACAACAACAGCAACATCAACATCAACATCAGCATCAGCATGGTCGTCGTAAATCTGTACCTCATAAATCACCTTCAGTTATCCAAGATGCCCTCCAAGCCTCACTTATAGATAAAAGTGTCGTGTTCCAGTTAGATATGCATCCTGATTATGATCTATCATATGACGTGCTACCATCTTGTCCCGATTGCGGTGATTTTAAATGTACCTCAAAGGTCATTTGTGGTCAGTCGCTTTTATCTGCTCTTCGTAAACGTGTCACGGATGCTCGTAATAATGAACAACAGCTTTCTACTCTATCATCAGTAGCGGCAACAACAACAGCAGCAGCAGCGGCAGCGGCAGCAATAGCAACAACGACAACAGCAACAGCAACAGCGACAACAACAACAGCAACAACAACAACAACAACAACAACATCATCATCATCAACAGCAGCCTCTTCATCAGTTCGTTTAAATCGTCGTAAACGTGCACGTACTGCAAGTATTATTGAACTACCTCGATCCAATTTACGGAATGAAAATATGGAATCCGTAGTCGAAGAAGAGTCAGAAAATCAATTGAATCCTTCCTGGGAACAAATTACATCATTTGAATCTGATGAAGTAGCAAAACGAGTCACTAAAAAGCCCACTGTTCGTCGTCAATCCTCATCTTCGGGCCGACCTTCTCGTGTCAAAGGACCCTGTCAAGCATGTCAAGAGGCTTCTGATGGTTGTATGCGTAAAGCTTTCAATTGGCCATTCCCTGCTAGTCAAATATTTAATGATAAAGGGAAACCCTTTGTCTATCTTTGTAACAAATGTGGTCTACGATATAATAAAAGTGGTGGATGTGTCTGTCGTCATTGTCGTTGGGTATTCTGTAAAGAAGAAAAAAGAAAGGCTTTACAACATATTGAAGCTATGCGTCGACGTCGTCCCGATGGTCATGTAGATCCTAATGAAGATATTGAAAACTTTGTTTGTAGTCCCAAATATTGGACCTGTGGTAAACCCTGGAAAGTTGGTTGGGTATTAAACGATCATATCATTGATGAAGAAGAACTTGATTCCAATCTATCTTCCCCTCATGCATTATAAATAAATATATTCCCATTTCTCACTCTCCTCTTTCTCTCTCCCCCCCCCTCACTCCCATTCCACACACACACACACACATATATACTCTCTTTTTTTTTTTCTTCAATGTAAATATGTATTATGAACATTTGTATATTCCTTTTTTTTTGTTATTTTTTTCTTTTCAATAAACAAATTTTAGCAGCAGGTAGTTTCATATCAAGGCAAATATTAATCCCTTCCTTCCCATTTCCGCAATGTATTTTTTTTTCCGAGATTTGTTGTATGTTTTAATGACAGCTTCAAGAAACATAAAATTTTCTTTATTTATTTTCTTCTTTTTTTTTATGTGTTGATTCATATTATATCTTGGTATTATTAAAATATGAATAGAAGACATTTGTTTTTTTTTTAAACTTTATTATATTTATCTATAGCATGCGTCATTCTTGTGTGTGTGTGTGTGTGTGTGTATGTTTATTCTTCTTTAGATGGTAATCTATGTGTATTTTACAATTTTTGATTTACAGCAATGAACCCCGCACTGTAATTTTCTTTTATTAATGTAATATATATGTATATAAATCAAGCTAAAATTATTCATAACAGGGCTTTAAGCACATGCGAAAAAAATATATTTCATTGCTGTTGCCTGAATTAAAAAAAAAAGAGGGGAGAGAGAGAGAGAGAGGGAAAAGATGGGGGAAAGAGGAAGAGAAAAATTAAAGCCACTTCTCTCTTAAAAAATACATATTTATCTTAAATCTATTACAGTTATCTTCTTTTTTTTTTTAACTCTACTATTTTTCATGCAATTCATTAGAAAAATGTATAAAATTGATCTAAAAAAAAGAAAGATTATTTGATGATAATTACTATATTTGTCATTTAGGTCTCATTTCAAAGATAAACCAAATATAAACAGAAAGTCCCGCGAATGATAAATTGTTTATCCTATAATATTCCGCGTATAATAGATCGGGAAGGCAAAATAGAGACCGATAGTAGCAGCAAATAATGCGCATTTTTATGAATTTGCATGCATAAAAAAGTAGAATGCTTTTTTTGGTTTTATAATAAACAATCATATTACTACTACTATTACTATTACAGTCTAGAATAAATCGTCGGTCAATACTGTTTGGGACAATCTGGTTTTCAAAAATAAAAATAAAAATAAAAAGACGATTTTATATCTTTATTTTACAATAAACATTATACTCGAATATTTCCTTATTATTAGTGAATTACTCTCAATAAGATCGAAAATGTCGGGCCTAATTCTGGTTTTTTCTGGTTTTTTTTTCTGGTTTTTTTTTTTTTTTTTTGACAGTGTTAAAGTATTATAGCAACCTATTCTACATATTTTAACCATTCTAAAGGTAAGCTTATCTTTCTGATCTAAAGACTTTATGAAAGAAGAGTGTGGCGGCATAAAAATTGAAAGTTGTTGATTGATCTCCAATTGTATTTTATATCCGAGTTGAAAGAAAACAAACATACATTTATTATTTGTATTATACTGTATTTCTTAATATAAAAAAAAATAGAATATGTTATTTGGTAATCTTATGTTTCAATAAAGTGGTAAAATAATAATGATGATAGGCTAGCATCAAAAAGCTTATCCATCATAAATGCAGAATATTCTGAACAAAAAAAAAAAAGTATAAATTTATTATGTTTCGTCTTTCTTTGAGTTGTGCATCACCTGATAATATTCTATTACGATCACTAGCACTATGGATGAACTTATAGTTAGTAAATGTTACTACGGGATAGCATACATGCAGTAGTAATCACTTTAGGTACTAAACTTCTGTACAATCTTCTGCTTGGTAGTATTAAATATATGTTATTATTATTATTATGGTAAAAAAAAAAGGATGGCTTATTGATATTTTTTTTTATTTCTAAACTTAACATGATCGAAATCAAATTATTTTTTTTTTCAATACTATTCTATTGTAGTAGGACAATAAACTTTAAGTCATTGACTCCTCATAAGCCCCATTATTCTGTTGCTGGATTAAATAATAAAGTTAATTTTGTTGTGCTTGAATGAACATATGAGGTGGTTTTTTCTTTCTTTCTTTCTTTCTTTCCCCCCCCCCCCGCCCTCCTCCTCCTCCTCTTCTTCCTCTTCCTTCTTTTTCTTATTTTCAATTTCAGACTGCACCTATCCACAGCAGTTTATTTGAATTCAATTATATGCTTCATTATCCCAATTTGGCAACAACACTTTTCCATTAAAAAGAACCACGAATTCTTATTATCCCTATTTATTTTTGATTTATTTGAATAATCTGATAATCCTCCTAATTACTGCATGTTATCATTTTTCTATAAATATCACAAAACGTGGTATTCTATGCTAATTTTATCAAACTCTGGGGGGTTTACTATTATTTGAAAGTTTACATTATTAATAAATATATAAATAAATAATGGGTCAATTCTCCCTACTACTACTTCACTTTCTCTGAACCATTCAATGGAGCAAATGAATATTTACCTTAAGCAGTAAGGATCCAACTAAAAGGGATAAACAGATATGATCAACATGAATATAAATCTATCTTTATAAACTGTAATCGGGATAAACAATATAGAATTGATCTTCTAGTGAGTAGTTGTAGATCAATAAATCCTATAGTAAGATATATCTTCTATACTTGTGTATTAAAAGGAGAGGAAGTGTGAAATATCAGTCAAATATTAAACTCATTTTTAATTGCAACATGGATTCTTATCCATTTTTAGCTCTCATAGTTTAGACAAATGATCAACTGTGAAAAAATGTTGTTTACTGTTTGCTAGAAGGTAGTACACCTCCTTTTTTTTTTTCTTCTCTCCTCAAAAGAGATGATTTAAGCTATAAACTAGTCTGGATCAAAAAAAGTAAATTTTAACTCTATTAGTATTGTCTATTCCCCAATCGATAAATGTTTGACATTTTTAAGCGTAACACATGATTGTATCGAATAACAAAGAAGAGAGCTTATATATCTCAAGTCCATTCTCTTCACTCTACGACAAAGAAGGTGATGATGACCCATTTCTTTCCTCAGTGTCGTAGAGCATAAACTATTCACAATTAACCAAAAAAAAAAAAAAAAAAAAAAAACGGTGTGAAACTTCTTTTGGATCTTCAAGAATTGGGGGGGGGAGGTTACATTACCTTGATGAGATATTTTTTAAAACTCACTTAGACTTGTAATCTATTTATTATTTCTAGTAGTAGATAACAAAACGGCATTATATCATAATTTAATTATTCTTAGTTTATTCTGACAAAATATGTAACATGAAGAATAATTTAGAAAGTTCTAATCTACTCTTTATTAAGAATCATTATTTCATAAAATCGATTTTTTTTTTGAGTTTTTATCATCATTGTTATTACTAATTATTCTTTGAAGAAATAGTGGTTGGGCAGATATATATAAAAATAAAATTTAAAATTTTTGGTCGAACCAGAAACTGGGTTAAACATATTTATCAATTCTATTATAAGAAGTAGTGTATGACAAATTGTCCCTGAGTCAAACAAACAAAAAAAAAAAAAAAAAAGAAAAAAGATAAATAAACTTTAATACTATACAAACAAAATTAAGCAAAACAAAAATAAAATAAAATAAAATAAAATAGATATAGATGTTATTTATAATTTTAACCCTTCCTTCTCTCTTTTAAGGTGATGATAAAAAGGTAGAAATATGCATACAGTTGAAATTATCATTGTTATTTGTAGCTTCTTTGTTCTTGTCTTGATCTTCTTTAGTGTCATTTTTATTAATAACAGTGTCTTGATCGGCAGAAATAAAATCTTCCTTGTTAACCAAACGTTGAACTCTTCGGCCTTTTCTTATCGATATTTTAATACCTTGTTGAGCAAAACATTGTGAAAGTAATGTAGAGTCTACCAATATGTATATATATAAATAATATGTATAAACAATTTCCTTGCTTTTTTTTTTCTTTTCTTTCTTTTGTTTTTACCTGTCATTCCCGGGAAATTCTTTGCAGAATAAACAGTAAATGGTTCTGAAAAGACATAATCGGATACTTGTGTGCTCATTGTTAATGGATCTCTATACAAATAGTATGAACTAAAAAAAAAAAAAAAAAAAAAAAAAATTGGGGGGAGGGGGAGGGGCTTCGTTTTTCTTTTCTTTTTTATTATTATTGTTATTATTATAATTATTTCTTACCCAGCAGATAGATTAATAAACATAAACTTTAAACAAAATCGACCTTCTATACGGACAGAAAGGTCCTGAAAGATGAAAAAGATACCAGGTTCCTTATTTAAATCAAATAATGGATACGCATTTGATGTAATTGCTCCTAAAAGAGATCGAGTAGGGATTGGATCTTGAAAGGAAACTAACATTCCTGTTGTAGATGACATTCTTTTTTCTGCTGTTGACGATGATTCTGCTTAATTTTTACGTAATAATATATATCAGAAAACAGAAATACAATGTAATCATTTTTATGTTTATACCATAATTGGATGCTGCTAATAATGAAGGATTATATACATGTATACGTTGTTCTTTACCGTCTTCTGAATAAAGATCACATTGAACAATAAATAATGATAATTTACTACTATAATCATCATCACTAAAAAAAAAACCCCCAAAATTAAAGAATTATGTATGTTGCAGATTTTCTTTCTTTCTTTCGTACCTAGTCACATTCTGTAAACTTCCATCAGGATTTTCGATAAACAATTGCAAAATAGGTGGTGGATCAATTGGCCTTCTATCTTTTTCACCAAATCCACAACATCTAGCTCGGACTGGATTCTGTACCATAACTATTTTTATTTTTTTTATTTTTTTTTTTAAGAAAAAAAAACAAACAAATGAACAAACAGAATGATAATGAGAAAAGGAAGGTAAAAAAAAAAGGGAGAAAGGGAGAAAGAGAGAGAGAGGGAAGGGTAATTTCTTCCGCTATAATTTTGTATACATACTTAGTTTATATTTCTTGTTCTTTTGACTTGGACGTCCTAATCCAAGAGGCGGTGGAATCATAGACGACATTATTATTCATATAAATACAATGAAATAGGTATATATTTAGTTATAATTCGATTTTTTTTTTTTTTTTTTTTTTTTTTTTTTTTTTTTTTTTTTTTTTTTTTTTTTTTTAATTAAAAAAAATTAAAAATAAATACATGTATGACTTAATACGGAATTATGTAAATGAAAAAAAAAAATTCTATTCTAGAAGGATTAAAGAAATTTAAAGGGAAAAAAAAAAAGAAAACAAGAAAATAAGTATAATTGTTTATCTTTAAAAAAAAGGTACTAAAAAAACATGGTCACTTCTTTTTTTTTTAAAAGTCAATTACACATTTTATTTGTATTTTATATTTGATGGGATGGGAGACAGTTAAAGTTTAAAGTTTGTTTTCTAAACTTTTAGTTTGCTTCAATTTTTGAAGACTAGCAAGAACATCATCCAAGGGAATGGTTTGTCCTTTAGTCTTGGATCCAACATCATCTCTATTACGAACATTAACTGAACGTGTATTTTGCTCAACTTCACCAACAACAAAGATAAAGTTATATTGAGCAAGCTCAGCATTTCTAATCTTCTTGTTGAGGGTATTATCACTCAAGTCAGCGTCAGCATGCATACCAAGTGTGACTAACTTGTCTGTAATTTCCTTGGCATAATCGAAGAAGGCTGCAGCAACGGGAATAACTTGAACTTGACGAGGTGATAACCAGAAGGGGAACTTACCAGCAAAATGTTCAATAATAATACCCATCATACGTTCAACTGAACCAAGAATGGCACGGTGAATAATGACAGGACGGGCCATAGCATTGTTATTTTCAGATCCATCCGTACGGTATTCCAACTTGAAACGTTCAGGTAATTGGAAATCAAGTTGAATAGTAGCACATTGATGCTTACGACGAAGTGCATCAGAAATGACAATGTCAATCTTAGGTCCATAAAAGGCACCATCTCCAGGATCAACTTCCCAGGTAGTTCCCTTTTCAGCTGCGAAACGATTCAAGGAAGCTTCCAACATCTATTAAATAGATACACATGTGGGTAAATCAAAAAAGAGGGAAGATATTATATGTCAATCTACTTTACCTTTTCGGCGTTATCCCAAACACTAAGTTCACCAATATAATTTTCAGGTCGAGTAGAAAGTTTCAAGTGGAAATCAAAACCAAAGATACCATAGATGTGATTTAAGAAATCGAAACAACCAGCCATTTCTTGTTCAATCTAAAACAATGAAAATAAAAATAGTCTGAATACAAACACAAGTTTTTTTTTTTTTTTTATTTTTTTTTTTACCTGATCAACACGACAGAAAATATGTGCATCGTCTTGTTGGAAACGACGAACACGAGTCAAACCAGAAAGAGCACCGGAGAATTCGTTACGATGAAGGACACCAAAATCAGCAAAACGAATAGGAAGATCACGGTAACTTCTTTCTTTATGAGCAAACATTAAACAATGACCAGGACAGTTCATAGGCTTTAATGCAAATTCTTCCTTATCAACTTCAAAACAGAACATATTCTCCTTATACTTGGCTGCATGTCCTGATTGATTCCAAAGCTTCAAATTAAACATGTTGGGAGTAACGACTTCAGTGAAACCTCTTACTTGATATTCTTCCTAATAATGAAAAAGAAAAAAGAGTTTTTAATATTCATCTTTTTATTTTTATAATAAGCTATTTTATTACCTTCATTAAATTAACCAAGGAGTTATAGATACGAGCACCATGAGGAAGCATAAAGGCAGAACCAGGTGATAATTCATGGAAAAAGAAAAGTTCTTGTTCCTTACCAATCTTACGATGATCACGCTTAGCAGCTTCTTCAATAAACTTCTTATATTCGGTCATAAGCTTCTTGTCAGGGAAGGAAATACCATAAATACGTTGAAGAGAGTCATTCTTGGCATCACCCAAGAAGTAAGAAGCGGAATTCTATAACAACAAGTTGAACAAACCCATTTTTTTTTTTTTTTTTTTTTTTTTTTTTACTTTATGATCTTACTTTAGTAACAGCAAAGGCCTTAACACGACCAGTGTGGGGAACATGAGGACCTCTACACAAATCAATTAAGGGACCACATCTGTAAACAGTAGTAGAAGTACCATCAGGAATCTTATCGTTGATAATATGAACCTTATAAGCATTATGCTTGAACATCTCTAAAAGATCTTCCTTGGACATCACAAGACGTTCAAACTTTTGCTTATCTTTAGCAACTTGAGTAACCAACTTTTCAAGATTAGGATAGTCTTGTTGAGAAACGACACTAAGAATAAAGTAAAATAAGTTTCCATTATCAACTCTTAATACAAGATACTCTAATTTACCGATCCTTAACACCCATTTCATAATAGAAACCACCTTCCTTTAATGGAGGACCAATACAAAGGTGACAGCCATAATGACGTTCACAAGCTTCACCCAACATGTGAGCAGAAGAGTGCCAGAAAACCATCTTACCTTCATCATTATCAAAATCAAGTAATTGTAAATCACAAGAACTTTCGAGAGGACGAGTCAAATCCCAAAGTTCACCATTAACCTTGGCAATCACAACGCGGTCAGCAAGAGACTTGGAAATTTCAATAGCAATTGACATAGGTGTTGTTTCCCAAGAAGTACCTTCTTTCTTTGAACCATCAGGCAAAGTAATCGTGATAGGTTCACGGGGCTTCTCTATATATTAAAAAAAAAGCATTTTGGTTCTTAGTTGATATTTATGCTTCTATCTTTTTTTTTCTTTTTTGTTAATATTTACTGGCAATTTCAGCATCGGCGGCAGCCTTTAATCTGTCAAACATTTCCATACGATGTTGAAGATACTCAGGAGCGGGTGTCATCTAGAACATGTTAAGAAAATAAATTAAAAAAAATAAATAAAAAGGTCAAATTAAATAAAAACTCAAGTTTACCTCAAGAGGATAAGCACTAGCAGCACTTTCTTTAGCTTTAGGTGCTTTTGCCTTCTTCTCAACCTTAGGTTTAGTCTCGGGAGCTGACATTTTGACAAAAAAAAAGTATTGTTACAAAAGAAGAAAGTAGACTTTTGCTTTAAAAAAAAAAAAAAAAAAAAAAAAAGGAGGAGTTTATTTAAAATTTTTGGTATAAGCCACCACTGCAGCTCATTTTGTGGATTTTCTCACTAAATAAAAACTAAAGGAGTATAAAAAAAATCAAATACATCTAATTTGTTGTAAGTGTACTAGACCTGGTTATTACTAGGTGTACTAAAATTCATGCTGATAAACTTAAAAGCTGCTCGGAAGACTTATATCTGTCATATCTTTGGTAGTTCTTCTCGTTCATCAACGACCCTAAGGCTTTATATCTTGAAACGTCCAATCATGCATAAACGTATTCATGTCCTTCAAAGCCAGGTTTTTGCTTCAATCATATAGCTTACCAGACATCCCTTACCAACACTTTCAACAGCGAAATAGTTGCTCTCCTTAGTTTGTATTGACCTCAATTCCCAATTTGGAAACAATACCTCCACCCGCTCCAGTCCTAGATCAAGTTATTCGTGAATATTTGTCAAGAGAATCTGAATCATCTGCCCTCAAAAAAAAAAAAAAAAAAAAGGCTGATCTTACAGTGTTGTCCCTCTGTTCCTCTTGAACCTGCTTGATAGATGCTTTATGTCTTTTGTCGAATAGAATCGTTGTATCTGGTGATGTCTTGGTTGGTTTCCCAGCAACTATTCCACTTTTTGCATTCGACACTTCACTCATATTCTCACTAAAACTCACATCAATATGCGTTGCTGCCTTCAATGGCTTTCTACCATACCTGATCCTATTTCATTTTTATTAAACAGGCTACTGACCCACCCTACTAAGTATCGTGGCGATTATTACAGTCAATGGAATATACGTTGGCCAACTATCCAACTTTTGTTATATAAAGTTGAATACCTTCAACATGATAAACAATTGCCACCACCATTAATAGCCTTAGATCAGCAGATCCTGAATTGAATGTATGAGCCTTCAGTAGTCAATGACTGATAGTCTCATAAATTCTCATCCTACTATTTAGATCTCCTCACCCCCCTCCCTTTTTTTTTCTCCCTTTAAGCTCATTAAGGATCTTTTAATTCTTTCACTTATTAAAAGAATTTTCTCCTGGCAATTTTGATATATGTATTTTATCAGTGTGCTTATTGGGTTTAAATATTCCTATATAATCCGAAACCAATAGAAGAAAAAAAAACTAGTATTATATGCTTGTGATAGAAAGATATAAAAAGAAAAGAGAGCATTTAATTACTATTACTATATATTATATGACAATTAAGAAAAATAACATATGGTCCATAGAATATTTAACACATTTTCAGTCTTTGTTTCGTCAATACTAGTATTTTTAAGAACAGTAAAGTAGATATCTATACGTATAAGAAATGTCAAGAAAGATGCTATTTTAGATCTCAATGAAATCGCCCAAAATTGATTTTAGTCAAGCTTACTAATTGAAATGTAAAATACAAGCCAATTGAGGTTTAAGTTTAGAGATTTTCTGATTGAGAGTTAAAACCATTTGGCACGGTGAGCACTGTAGGTAAAGTATACCTACGTATAATAAGGCCATTTCCATTTATATATATATATATATTTTTATACATAAATATGTGCTTCTGAAACCTAACTTCATTGATTTATACGAAATAACCCATTGTTCTCTAATGTCAAAAGCTAGCATATTGTCTTTTTATGTATATAATTTGTTGTCTAATAATTGTATATAGGGTATATATATATTTTTTTCTTCTGTTTGATTGTCTATCAATTCCTTATAAATAAATAGAACAAGAGTCAACAATACTTTTTTTTTTTTTAAAAAAAAAAGAAAAGAAAATAGATGAATCCTTTTAAATTACATTACTTGATATGTTAATCTTATTCTCGTTCTTTCTTTATACCTTTTGCTTGACTCAAACTAGTTCAGAAAGATTATATTTGTGGGCGTCTTCTTTTATCTTTTCTAGAACAAGCAAAACAGAATGTGAAGGTTTCCTTGAGGCTGTGAGTTGTGGAAACACTATTTGGAAACCATTTGAAGCCTTCTCGACCCAGAATATAAAGGATGATTTAGACATAGAAACTGCCTCCTTTAGTACACCGATTCAAGCCTATTATCCTATCTTTCTGCCAGCTTTGAGTGAAAAAATGTCTTCATCTCAAGAATTACTAACAGTCAGCAATAAACTAAATTCTAATCAACAACAATATAAAAATACTTCTAAAACAGAACCACTTCAATCAAAGAAACAAACACTCTCAATAACAAAGCGCATTGCTAAATTGTTTATATTTCAAAAATATGTCAACAAGAAGAGATATGCATCATCAATGACTAAAGGTGATGATCATCGTTTATCCTCTGACATTTTATTCCCTGGAGATCAAAGGACATCTTTAGAAACTTCGGTAGCTAAGGAACAAAATAAAGTGTTGGTCACGCATCCCATATCTTGTGCCACTCAAGAAAGCTTAGCTACTACTTTAAAAAAGAAGCCGAAGCCAAAAAAGAAATCAGAGTCCTTCGTATTTAGAGGAGGAGGAGAAAAGCTTTCGAAATTCAAAAAGTTTTTTAAATACAAAAAGCTTTCGTGTCTTGACAATTCCTTCTTCAAATCTCTTTCAAGTAATAATAAAGAAAAAAAGAGGCGGCAAGTATCGTTAAAGAGAGAAATACAGAGAGTAAACAGAGAGACAAGCGAGCATATGGCAATGCAAAAGATTATAGGTCAAATCAATGAAAGAGAAAAGCTTATGTCAGAGATGTGGAAAGAGCAACAATTAAAAGATAAAATAATGGAAAAAGAAAAAAAAAGATCTCATAATTTGTTAGATAAATTTTATCATGAAGGAGAAAGTGTATAGAAACAAAAAAAAAATCTTCCTCTATTATAATTTATTGCCGTTTAATAATAAACTATTTTTTAACTTTGTAAAGTTGAAAATGCCATACCAAACTCATAAGGCATTGATATATCTTGTTCAATACAGATAGCTTTGATTGAGGCATAATGATGAATCTACAAGAAAATAGAGTTACTATTCATGTATATTATCTTTTATGATCCATAATACTTTTTTTTTCTTTTACCGCATGAATGCAACAATACAATAATTCTCTTCCAAACGATGAATTAAACGTATATTTTTGTTTATCATTTGAGTCAATAACGGCTAACAAAGTCAATTCTTTTTCTAAAGGAACGAGGAAACTTTGTTCTTTAATTTTTTTTTGTAACTCTTTAAGGTTATTTATGGCAATACGTCGTTCTGTTTCTGACGGATTCTATATAGGAGTAATTACAATGAACAACTTGAGGTCTAATAAATATAAATATGTAACTTACATTAGGTTTTCGCAAATCATAGTTTACTATCGATAGATCTTCAGGTTGCTTATACAATAACTTGAAATGATCGTAAACATGTCTATAGTGTTAAGACTCACATTAATAATGATCACTATACTAGCATTCTATCTAAAATGCAATACCTAATATGTTTACCAATAGTTCCGCCAGCCATTACCTTTGAAATAAAAGTATATTGCTTATCATTCAATCTATTTATTAAATCAATTGATTGTTGTATAACGTCAACAGCCATATGAACTATTTGTTCATTTTGTTGTTGTTGTTGTTGCTGCTGCTGCTGATGTCCTTCTTCTAGAGTGGATGAATTAGAATTGAGCATAGTGGACATGATAATTATGTATATATATAAAAAAAAAAAAAGTAAAAGAAAGAGAAAAAAAGGAAGGGAAATCGATATTAGAAATATAGCTGAATTTATCATCACATAATAATGATTCTGAAATAATTCATCTGATATTTATTTAGTATAGCTTTCATGTCTTTTTTTTTTTCTTGCATAAATATTATACATAATGGTCATCATCATATTACGTAATAATAGAATATTACATAATACAAAAGGGTTATAATAATAGTAGTATGTTGTCTTGATTGTCCATGTTCTTCAATTAAATAGTCATCATTTTATTTTTGTATGTGCTTAACATTAGCCAATCAAATTTAACGACGTAGAATTTTAGCAGGACTCCTGTTTTGGCTATTTCTTTTCTACTAATTTCTTTCTATTTTATTTTATTTTATTTTATCATTTTTTTTTTTTTTTTTTTTTTTAACAAAGAAATAGAACAATGAAGTTTAGTTTAGGAAGACATTTACCTAAACTAACCATAACAGTGGTGTTTTTAACTTCGATAGCTTTTGCTATGAAGTTTGAAGACTTCAAGACATGTTCTCAATCTGGATTCTGTAGACGAAACCGAGCCTATGCAGATGAGGCTACTTTAGAAACATCCCCTTATACCTTAATCAAAGATTCCGTTAAATTATTAAACAATAAAATCTCTGCAGATATCAAAAATACAGAAACAGATATTATTCTGACTTTAGATTTGACTGTCCTTCAAGATAATACAGCACGCGTTCGTATCAATGAAAAACTACCCATTAAACCTCGTTATGATGAACATGCTCTCTATACACTTGTAAAGGAGCCTCAAGCTGGAAAGGTGATGCTATTTGATAAGGCTGATGATGGTGTTGTATCAATTCAAATGGATGCAACACGTAAAATTATTATCTTTCCTCACCCTGTTCGTATTCAATTCCTTGTAAACGACGAGCCTGTCATTACTTTTAACGACCGTGGTTTCTTTAATTTCGAGCATTTGCGTACAAAAGAGTCCTATAAGCCAAAGATGATTGAAAAGAAGAACGATGATGGTACTGTAGAAATGGTGGAGGCTGAAACAGAAAAGGATTTATGGGAAGAGACATTTAAGACTTGGACAGATCCTAAACCTAATGGTCCTGAATCAATTGGTTTAGATATCACTTTTCACAATTTTCCTCATGTTTATGGTATTCCTGAACATGCTACAAGTCTTTCTTTGAAGGAAACTCGTGGTAATCATGATGGTGCTTACACAGATCCTTATCGACTTTATAATACAGATGTTTTTGAGTACGCTTTAGATAGTCCTACTTCACTTTACGGAGCTGTGCCTCTTATGGTTGCTCATCGTAAAGGTTTATCAACTGGTATTTTTTGGATGAACCCCTCTGAGACATGGATTGACATTGTAAAAACTAATACTGAAGGTTTAAAGGTATTTTTTTTTTCATTGTTAAACATAAAATGATAGCCTTTTTTAAATCTTTTTTTTTTTTTTTTTTTTTTTTTTTTTTTTTTCAGGGCGCTGTTCAAAAGGTATTTAGTTCAAACAAAAACCAAGCAACTTCAACTCAGACTCATTGGATCTCAGAAGCTGGTGTACTTGATGTCTTTGTCTTCTTCGGTCCCTCTACTAAAGATGTACTTCACCAATACAGCACATTAACAGGTAAACCAGCTATGCCTCAAATGTTTGCCGTTGGTTATCATCAATGCCGTTGGAATTACATCAATCAAAGAGATGTTTTAGAGGTTGATAGACAATTTGATGAGAATGACATGCCTTATGATGTGATTTGGCTCGATATTGAATATACTGATGATAAAAAATATTTTACTTGGGACTTGCCTAAATTTCCCAACTCAATTGAAATGGAAGAAGTCCTTGATAACAAGGGCCGTAAGTTGGTAACCATTATTGATCCTCACATCAAACGAGCTCCCAACTATTATGTTTGTGACGAAGCTAAAGACAAGGGCTTATTTGTTAAAAGACCTGATGGATCTGATTATGAAGCCTGGTGTTGGCCAGGACAATCGTCATGGGTTGATTTTGTTCACAAAGAATCTTACGACTGGTGGAAAAAGCAATTTCGCTTTGATAAATTTAAAGGAACTCGTGGTAACGTTCATATTTGGAACGATATGAACGAACCTTCTGTTTTCAATGGACCTGAGATCACTATACAAAAAGAAATGATTCATGATGGTCGCTGGGAAAATCGTGTCCTTCATAATTTGTATGCCTTTTTATCTCATTCTGCTACTGCTGATGGTGTACGTGAGCGTATTACTGATACTGAATCGCAAAAGCGTCCATTTGTTTTATCACGCGGTTTTTATGCTGGTGTTCAACGTGTGGGTCCTATCTGGACAGGTGATAATATAGCTAACTGGGAGTCTCTTCGCTATACAAACCCTATGATTTTAGGTAATAGTATGGGTGGTGTTCCCTTTACAGGTGCAGATGTTCCTGGTTTCTTCAATAACCCTACACCTGAACTTTTGACACGTTGGTATCAAGCAGGTGCTTATCAACCTTTCTTCCGTGGTCATGCTCATATTGATACTAAACGACGTGAACCTTATTTGTCAGCTGAGCCATACAAATCCATCACACGCGATGCTCTCCGTGAACGTTATGCACTCTTATCCTACTGGTATACCCTATTTTATGACGCCTACAAAAATAGTACACCTATGATGCGTCCCATGTTTATGGAATTCCCTGATGATGAAACTGTATTTGATATGGATGACCAATTTATGGTAGGTGAATCCATTCTTGTTAAGCCGGTAACTACTGAAGGTACTGACAAGGTTGAGATTTATTTCCCTGGAAATGAACCCTGGTATAATACCAAGACCTTCATCACAGTTGCTGCTACTAATGGATGGCAGACTGTAGATGCGCCTTTGGACACCATTCCTGCTTATTACCAAGGCGGTCACATCATACCTCGTCGTGAACGTATTCGTCGCAGTTCTCCAGCTATGCGTTTAGATCCCTTTACCTTAATTGTAGCTAAGAGCCAAAAAGGGGATGCAGTGGGTACACTCTATATGGATGATGAAGAGACTTATGCTTTTGAAAAGGGAGCTTATACGCATACTCAATTTGTATTTGATGGTCAAACATTACAATGTAGTAGTTTACATGAGGATCCTACCTCTTCTAAAGCGAAAGAATTTGCTCAGTCAATTAGTAAAGTACGTGTTGAGCGTATTCGTATCTTGGGACAAAAGCAAAAGCCTTCAAGTATCACAATCAAGAATTCACATGGTACTACTCCAGGTGAATTTGAATATGATGAAGAAAACAAGGTTGTTGTCATTAAGGATCCTAAGGTATCTGTTACTCAATGTGACTGGTCTATTATTATCAACTAAACAAACATAATAATAAAAATAAGAAGAAAGAAAGTGTTTTGTTTTTGTTTTTTTTTTTATTGTTAGCTTGAATATCATTACCTATTTTTTTTTTTTTTTTGATCTCATGCTTTGATTTATTAATTTCTTTCAAACAGTATGAAAATCCTAATTTAAAACGCCGTTATGATCGTGACTCTTAATTGGATTAAATTTTTTAAAGAAATGTGGCTTAGCAGTTGGACCCTAAACACCATTCTGCTCTGTAAAAAAAATTTTGCTCCTTCTCTTTTTTTCTTACTGAATTTCAAGCATGTCTACTTTCGAAAAGGTATTAATCGTCAAATGACATTATACTGTTCATTACAATTTATGAACAAAGAATATATATACACATACATACATACATACATATTTATATATGGCAAGTTTATTGAATGATATTTTATCTCTTACAAAAAAAAAAAAAAATAGACTCTCGTTATTGATGGTAAAGGTCACTTGTTGGGTCGCTTGGCTAGCATTGTCGCTAAGCAAGCCCTCAATGGTCAAAAGATTGTCGTCGTTAGATGTGAAGCCTTGAATGTTTCCGGTGAATTCTTCCGTAACAAGTGTACGTATTTTTTTTTTCTTTTAAAAAAATTGACAGAAGCGTAATATATACACGTAAACATAATTACATTTGCCAATGCACACAAATGCACAATTATATACATGTAATTCGGTAATGATGTCAATTTCAAAGTTACTAAAAAAATAGAGGAGAGTAAAAAAAAAAAGGAGACACAACAAGCAAAAACAATTCAACCTGATATATAATGAAGAAAAAAAGGCAACACAATGAAAGGAATCATGAGTGATAGTCGATTTTATATTTCTACTTTTATTGGTTAAAATAAGCAACAGAAAAAAAATATGTGTATAAATGTGTGCATGTGTATTTGTGTTGTATATATTACGTGATAAAGATATTGAAAAAAATGGATATGATAAACTAATTTTTTCTTTTGAAATATTATAGTGAAGTACCACGCTTACCTTAACAAGCGTTGTGTCGTCAACCCCCGTCGTGGTGCTTTCCACTTCCGTGCTCCTTCTCGCATCTTGTACAAGGCCATCCGTGGTATGATCCCCCACAAGACTGCTCGTGGTGCTGCTGCCTTGGACCGTATCAAGCTTTTCGAAGGTGTTCCTGCTCCCTATGACCGCATGAAGCGTATGGTTATTCCTGATGCTCTTCGTGTCCTCCGTCTTAAGCCCGGACGTAAGTACACCACCATTGGCCGTATTTCTCACGAAGTTGGCTGGAAATACCAAGATGTTGTTGCCAAGCTTGAAGAGAAGCGTAAGGCTAAGTCTGCTGCTTACTACCAACGCAAGACTGCCCTTGCTGCTATCCAAAAGAAGGCTGTTGAATCTAAGGCTGATGCCCTCAAGGATGTTAACTCTGCCATTGCTGCTCTCGGTCACTAAATATCATTAAAAAAAAAAAGAAAGAAAAGACTTTCATTATGTTATAAACAAATAAATTTTTTTTTTTTGATATTGTAAAAGGAAATAATTATTTATGTAAAAATGATAAACAATAACTAAAGATTTCATAAACCCATTGAAATAATGTTTGGTGTTCAGATGTTGATTGCTTTCTGGGTATATCGGTTACTTTGTAGCCATGTTTTTGAACATCTTTTATATTTGGTAGAGATTTCAAAATGTCCCGAATTAGCTTATCATCTAATTCAGGACTCATTCTCCAAATAAGTATCGATTCCGGTTGCTCACATACTGTGTCAATATCAATTGCTACAGTATCATTAATATCATCTTGATAGATGTTTTGCATACATAAAACACCACGTAAAAGTCGAATATAGGCATCCATGGCATCTTCATTATTCTGAGTTAGGAGGAATTCGTTCATTGACCATTCTGCAATTGACTGAGGATGCTCAAGTTGGTATTTTAATAATCCTGTAAGCCCACGCAAGAATGGTACAGAACCTAAATCAGAACCATAATCTTCAACAAATTGCTTCACAAGGGCTAATCGATGTTTACTATTAAGCGTAAGCAATGTCAAGGGCTGTTGTAAAAGTTTATTCAAGTGTTCTTTAAGGGCCTTTTGACGATTGCTATGCCATTTGGTTCGAATTTTACTTTTTTCATTGAATAATAATGTTAATTCTTCAGAAGATAAAGTGAACTGTAGCTCATCAGGTTTTGATTGTTGAATTGCACAACCTAATTGTTGGAGTTTTTGTTGATAGTCTTCACGTAGTGTGGTCCAAGAATACAAAATAAGACCTGTGTCATCGTGCTGAGGTATTTTGCAGCCCTCGAAAAATAAAACAAAGTCGTTAGCATCAGGATCGTTGTTGAAGGCCTTTGTGCAAATGTCATTCCAAAATTGAATAGATGAAGATGATAAGGAAGACATTTTTCTCTGTATAAATTCTTAAAAAAAAAAAAAAGAAAAGAAAAAAAAAAAGGAGTATGACATTGCACAAAAGTAAAAAATCATGTGAAAATTAGTTACTAAACAAAACAAAGTTGATAATATTTGTTCTATTTATGATCGATTCATATATGCAAAATACCATTTATTTTCAATACTTCAAACATTATTTTAAACAAGTTTATAAAGTAATTTCTTTCATAACTGCTACATGTAATTTGTCCATAAAAAAGTATCCCTTTTGAGCGAAAATTACACACGCATAACCACTCGAACTATATAGGAATAGATCTCTGCAATTATTTTGAAGAAACGATTTTTCATGAGAGTTGAATATAGTATTTGGAACTAATTTATTGTTTTCTTCTTGGTGAAATATGTGTATATCTCCCATTTCCCATTTGTAAATAAGAAAATAAAAAGAATTCCCAATATTTTCTTGGTTTACTATATTTTAAAAATTATAGTGAGAATACACTTATTACGAATCAAGTACTTTGTTAGTTCGAAGATATTGCAATATATGCTTCACTTCAACCAATATTTGCATAGTCAACTTTTTGTATTTTATATCTCACTCTCAATAAGATTTTGGAACCACTTTGACTTGTCTAAAAGCCCTAAATCGAGTCATAACGTACATTTAGTCCTATGAGTCTTTTGTCTCTCTTTTCTTCTTCTTCTTTTTTGAAGGAAAAGGGTTTTGATAAATAACAATATTTCGGTTTAAATATACATCTCATTTATGATACATTTGCTGCTATCTATCTCAGATATATATGATAGAGAATATAAATTTCATTTACTCATTTATTCATTTTTGAAATTCTTATGTCAACAAAGAGTCAAAGAATCAGAAAGCTTAATATAGAAGCGATATCCTTTCATACATATTATAATATTCTTGAACAATCTGAATATTTTTGAAAGATTTCTTAGTGATAATGATAGAGTTAATTACTGTAGTTACAAAAAAAAAAAAAAAAAAAAAAAAAAAAATGGCGTACATAATTGAAAAAGATTAGCGTAATTTTTTTTTAACTCTCTTTCTTTACAACATTTAAGAAGATGAACATTATTTTTGAAGACGGTTTAGGAAATCAACATGACATGGAAGGAAATGAAGTGATAGAGTTTCAAATGGAGGTTGATAATGAGATGTATCCAGTCGAAAGCGTAACTGATTACGACCGTTATACAGGGTTGAAGCCTCCCGAGAAAAAAAAAATAAAAACGAAAACTGAAACATCATCAAACGACAAAAAGCAAACGAATAAGGGAACAAAAGTATATAAACACTATAAGGATACGGAGAAAGAGAAGCTTTTTTATCTTGTCGAGGAAAAAGGGATGAGCATTTGTGCTGCTGTGATGTTTCTTAATATCAATGTTTGCACAGCACAGGGCTGGGCGACCAAGAACAACAAAGCTCCTCAAGAGCACATTCAAAGAGCTACGGGCAGCGGAAGACCAGTGGGTAGACCACCAATCTTAACTGACGAGCATAAGAACTTCATGATTGAATGGGCAGACGAAAACACCGACTCCATTACATTAGACGATATATTTAATGTATTGACTGATAGGTTTGGCAAACTCAATATCAGTAAAAGCGGCTTTAACAAATTTGTAAAGGAGAAATGTAGAATTACATTCAAGCAGGCACGTTTACAATCAGTAGAGAGAAACAGTCCTGAAAAAAATTGAAGAGTGTCCTCAGTAGGTAAAAAAAAAGGGTGGAAATAGATATAGACTTTACCAGCAATTGTGTGTTTATTGATGAAGCTGCTTTTCATATCAATCTTAGAAGAAACTTCTCTTGGTCCAAAGAAGGTAATCATGCGATTGTGAAAGTACCCAAAACGAGAGCAAAGACCACTATCATTTTAGGTGTAAATTCCTCCTTCTGGTACCGTGAATATCTGTGTAAGAAGACCACGAGCGTTGCCTCCATCAAAAAAAGAGAAAAGCAGTAGGAGAATTCACTTCAAAAGTGAGCAGTAACAATGGTGCAGTTACTGGGCATTACTTTAATTTTATCAATAGTGTTTTGGATGTAATGGACCGTCATGAGGAATTTAAAGGTCATTATCTGATAATGGACAATGCTCCTATTCATAAACACCAAGGCATTCAAAACCTTATTGAGAGCCGAGGCTATAAGTGCGTATATCTGCCCCCTTATTCGCCTGAGCTTAACCCCATCGAGCAATTTTGATCGGTTTGTAAAAGCAAACTTAAAAGAGAGCAGCTTTTGGAAGAAACATTGACTTTAAAAATTGCAGACGCTTGCAATAGAATATTGTATAGTGATCTTTGAGAATTTTGTAATTATTCTGCTTCCAAGTTTGAAGATTGTCTTAATCGTAAACCTATCTAATAAATTTGTGCATTTTACGTATGCTTGACTAGTGCTATTTTTTTTTTTTTTTTTTTTTTTTTTTTTTTTTTTTTTTTACAGATGTGCTAAGCTTTTTTTTTGAAAAAATGCGCGAATAATTTTTCCGTTTGGTGTACACAAGATTGTTCTGAGACATGTATAAAATTTTATGCAAATACTAAAGAGCTGTGATTGGCTTAAAGTTGGGACTGTTGTAGCCCCTTTTTTGCATCATGTTTTTGATTTTTTTTTATCTCATTCTTGAACGTCATGAATGATGACAAGCTTACATATGGCCAGGCATGTTGCCTTACTCTTGGTCTGCCACCTAGTAATGAAAACCGGAAGAAAGCTAAAGCTTACTTTGAAACAAGTCTATTAGACGTTTGCTATATTAGTTCCTTAGGTGCGAGGCATCCAATTGCGATTGGTAAAGACGTCATGGACCGCGATCCTTTCACCTTTCAATCATTTATCGACACCCGTCCTTCAAGCCCTACACATATGCTTGGAGATTCATAAAATTATCCAGCCGACGACCAAATTGACTACGTTACTGAAATGCCAGCTTGTGATCTTTTACCTGTATCCAAAGCTAGCGTTTTGCATGTTCTCAAGCAAAACATGTCTACCATTGAACCAGAAAACAAGGAACGATATGAAAAACTGTTTGTATGTAGGGATGTATTGAAAGAGATCTTGAAAAAATACTTTGAAGAAGCCCGTATCTCGCTTCCTCAAGTGGATCAATGGCTTGGAAGTGATGAATCGTTTGGCAGAAGTATTCAATTATCATTAGAAGGTATTAAAAAGCGTGGTCGCTGGCTCTGGGTACTAAAAAAAGAATATCGTATCTCGATGAATGTGCATTCTTCTTATAAACTCCACGTTCAAGGACCAGCAATCGTGGCAATTGGATATGTGCGAAAATCTTATAGTAACGAATCTCACACTACTCAGGTACAACTTTTACAACAAATGATAAATAAATTGCGCTCTCGATGTTTGGCTTGGAAGGTGTTCGTGTCACCTCGTTGTAATGCGTCAGTGAACTTGGAAAAACGCGACGTGGGTAGTTCTATTGACAACATGTATAAAGAATTGGACCACTGTGCTGGAACAATGCAAGACTTGATTCATCTCCTACGCACAAACACAGAGCCTATCCGTTTAATTATTATTGATTACGCCGGCCTTTCTACTGATTTCGCTGATATTCAAGCATTATTTGAAAAGTACAAGCAACTTGTTGAAATTATGGTTGATTTAGATTTCGGATTTGATTTAATATCACGACAAGACATCTTGAATGATAATGGCGTATCTTCAAAGTTCAATTACCATGTTGGTTCTAAAAAACGAAGTCATAGCATAATTTGATTTGATCTGTGATCCACTTTTTAGAGTATAATATTTTTTTTTTCTCTTCCATTAAATATCGAACTTCTATTTATCGATTATTCCCAAGGAATAAAATACATCTTTTTTAAATTATACTATTGAACAGAATAATTTTAAAATTTATATGCATCTTTATAAAAAGCTTTTGGCTACTTCTTGATCAACGACGATTTTTAAAGCAGTATTCAGAAAATCAAGAAATGTCCTAAAATTAAACAATTTTTTTTTTATTTTTCTTTCTATTCTCATATTTTAATTGGTCACTGTCTGAAATTCTAATTTATTTAAAAGATTTGGTGGTAACTATAGCGAACAAAGCATATAAATTATACGAATACATATTTGTATATATATTATTTGTTGGTATAAAGGGAAGCTGGATATCATGCGTACATTTTAAAATACTTATTCATTTTACATTTTTATTCTGATTTTTACGCTAATTAAATATGAATATTCATTCATTTAGTAGATACGTAGGAAAATAATAGTTAAATAAAAATAAATCAAATTTTATTTTGAGTTCTTTATATAGTCTTTTAACTGTTTTTTTATTATTTCCTTTTATGTGTATTTTTTTTTATAAAAGTGGCTTATTCTTTACATCAATTTATACAGTAGTAATTAGTGGCTTATACACAAATTTCAAATTAACTATTTGTTTATTTTTAACAAGTCACAAACAACTTCCGAGGTTTCTGTTGAAAAAAAAATAATTGACAAATTATTCTTTCATTTTTTTTTTCTTGTTTTTACAACACTATTTACATACGTTTTAAACACTTCTTCTTGTTGTTGTCAGAGAAGAAGATATAGATACTTATATACATAACTAATTGAAAATAAGGAATATCATGACTAAATATATTGTTGTATCAGGTGGTGTTATTTCTGGTATTGGTAAAGGTGTTATCGCTTCCAGTACTGGTACTCTTTTGAAGAGTTTAGGTCTTCGTGTGACAGCTATTAAGATCGACCCTTATCTTAACATTGATGCTGGTTTAATGAGCCCTTTAGATCATGGTAATTAAACAAAAAAAAAGAAGTAAGGATAGTGTTGATCATATATATTGATTGATATACCTTTTCATTAGGTGAGGTTTTTGTATTGAATGACGGTGGTGAAGTAGATTTGGATTTGGGTAACTATGAGCGTTTCTTAGACGTCGAATTAAGCCGTATCAACAACATTACAACTGGTAAAATTTACAGCGAAGTTATTGAAAAGGAACGCAAGGGTGATTATCTCGGTAAAACCGTTCAAGTCGTCCCCCACATTACAGATGCTATTCAAAGCTGGGTTGAGCGTGTTGCCAGTTTACCTATTGATGGCTCTGGTGAGAAACCCGATGTTTGTATCATTGAATTAGGTGGTACTGTGGGTGATATCGAATCTGCTCCTTTTGTCGAAGCCATGCGTCAATTCCAATTCCGTGTGGGTCATGAAAACTTTTGCTTAATTCATGTCTCTCTTGTGCCTGTTGTGGGTTCTGTTGGTGAACAAAAGACGAAGCCTACACAAATGAGTGTTCGTGATCTTCGTGGTGCTGGTTTAACCCCCGATTTAATCGCTTGTCGTTCCTCTAAAATTTTGGATCCTAGTGTGGCTAGTAAGATCTCTATGTTCTGTCATGTTGCTCCTGAGCAAGTCTTAGCCGTACATGATGTTTCTTCTGTTTATCATGTTCCTATCTTGATGCGTGAAAATGGTGTTATCGATTTCTTCCGTCGTCGTCTTAACTTGGATGCTCTTAAGATTAGTGATGAAAGACGTTTAGCCGGTGAAGAATTATGGAACAAATGGACTACCTTGGCTGGTAGCTATGAACATTTGCATGAAACTGTCACTATTGCTCTTGTTGGTAAATACACTAATCTTCATGATTCTTATATCTCTGTTTACAAGGCTCTTGAACATGCTGCTTTGGCCTGTCAACGTAAGTTGGAAATTAAATGGATTGAAGCTACTGATTTAGAATCTGCTGCTCTCAAGACTGACCCTATCAAATTCCATGAATCATGGCAAAACTTATGCTCTGCTGACGGTATTCTTGTTCCCGGCGGTTTTGGTGGTCGTGGTATTGAAGGTATGATCATGGCTGCTAAATGGGCTCGTGAAAACAAGATTCCTTACTTGGGTATTTGTCTCGGTATGCAAATCTCTGTCATTGAATTTGCTCGTAATGTCTGTGGTATGACTGATGCTGACTCTGCTGAAATGAATCCTGATACACCTACTCCTGTTGTTGTTTATATGCCTGAAATTTCCAAGACTCATATGGGTGGTACCATGCGTCTTGGTTTACGTGCTACTGTCTTCCAAGAAGGTACCGAGAACTCTCGTGTTCGTAAATTGTATGGTAACAAGACTTCAATTGACGAACGTCATCGTCATCGTTATGAAGTAAATCCCGAGTTAGTAGATCAAATCGAAGCTAAGGGTCTTAAGTTTGTTGGTAAAGATGAAACTGGTCAACGTATGGAAATTGTTGAATTGGATGATCATCCTTACTTTGTTGGTTGTCAATATCATCCTGAATATTTAACTCGTCCTTTGAACCCATCTCCTCTCTTCAAGGGTCTCATTTTGGCTGCTGTTGGTGAACTTGATGCTTCTTTGTAAATAAATATAACATTTTAGAGTTTTTTATTATTATAACCCCTCCTCCTTCTCCTCCCCCTTCTCCTCCTTCTCCTCTCCCTTTACACACATAATATGTATATGCGTTGCACATAAAAACCAGAAAAAAAAAAGAAAAGAAAAAAGAAAAGAAAAGAAAAGGAAAAAAAACTTATTTTAATATTATTTTAGACTTTCTTTTTTGTATATTTTTTTTAAAAAAAAATAAAGTATACACACTTATTAACTATTTATATTAATATATTTACACACTATTATTCCATAACAATATCGCAGTTAACTGATGGGGTAACAAACGTTAATGCTTGTTCTATATTCTTCTGTTGAATTTCCGTTAAATTTTGTTTTAAAGCTAAAAGCCCTGCTTTTCGAATGACAGCTTTAAGATCAGCACCAGTGTAACCTTCTGTCTGATCAGCTATGAGATCCAATTGAATGTCACTGTTCAACCTAGTTTTCTGTTTTAATACTTTTAAGATTGCTAGTCGCTCTTCACGATCTGGCGGGCCCACATAGACTAGACGATCTAATCGCCCCGGTCTTAATATGGATCGATCAATCATTTCTGGATGATTGGTTGCACCTAATAAAATCACTTGCTGATCCACTAACTTATCAAGATGATCCATCTCGATTAAAAATTGTGAAATAAGCTAGAATAATAATACTAAAGTATAAATACATAGTTTAAATACGAATATATGAATACTTTACCTTTCTTCCAACATCTCCAGTACTTTCTCTTGATGAAAAAATTGCTTCAAGTTCATCTAAAAAGATAACACAAGGACTACATCGTATAGCAGTCTTAAAAATAGTTGAGACAGCTTTTTCAGATTCTCCTACTTCGCCTTTGATGAGGTCAGGAATATGGACAGGTAAGAAGTTAGCAGAAGATTCAGTAGCTACTGCTTTTGCCAGAAGAGTCTTTCCTGTTCCTGGTGGACCATACAATAATATCCCTTTAGAGGGTGAAATCCCTAGACGTTGATAAGCATCTGCATGTTGGTATATCCAAATTGCTGATTCCTCTAATGCAGCTTTAGCTTCTTTTAAGCCACCAATATCATTCCATCGCACTGGATCAGGCTTTTCTGCCATATTAATTCCTCCACTACTGGTGAGTTTAACATGTTTTAATGTCCTTTCAAAATTATCCTGTCCAACTTAACATAGTAAATTAAGTACTATTATTATTTTTTTTTTTTGGCATATATTATATTTACATGAGTATACCTTTTTGTTGTTTATTTTTTATGGCATCCTCTTCTGCTAACCGACACCAATGTGCAAGATCAGCAGCAACAAATGCATGGGCTTGATTTGATAATTGTCGAATAAGTTTATCATCGCCTATCATACTAAAATGTGATTGCTTAATAATATGTTGCATAATTTTATATCTTTCTTCAGGTATAGGAATATCTAATTGAATTTCATCTTTAAATAAATGAAAAGCATGCGTACTTATTCGTTCAGGATGACGTGTTGTTGCAATAAATCCTACTTGATGATGAATAGTTTGTAGCCAAGTCTGAAGCATCTTGATTAATACTCCATTGTCAATCTCTCCGTGTCCAGGGAAAAAACTATCAATATCTTCCATCAGAATAAGACTATTAGGAGCCTTTGCCTTCCATAAAATGCGTTTTAGTCCATGATTGAGTTGCCCTCGATAATTAGCAGCAAGATCGCCTAACATAGCAGTATAGACTGTGACATTATATTTTTTGGCTAATTGGTGAACAATATAGGATTTGCCTAAATTTCAATATTTGTTATTAGTTTAAGAAAAGTATATTTCTTACAATTGATTAAAAAAAAAAACAAAAACGATGATTCTTTTTATAACTTTTTGATATACCTATTCCTGAATCGCCTTTAAGTAAGATGGAAAGAGGAGACTCGTTTTCAATAAATGCTAACTGAAAAGCTTGATCTAATCTGCAAACATTCCAAATTTATTAATTTTAGACTATTTTAACCTTTTCCCAGGGAACTTTACCGTATTACCTTGCACCTTCTTCTCCATAAAAAAGCGCTGCAAAATTCATAATTACCAAACAATCAATCAATCAAAAAAAAAAAAAGAATAGATCTTTATTATAAAATTTCCAAGTAAAAGGCAATTGATATCGGGGTTTTATTTTATTACAGTAATTTATTATGGACAAGCAACAGGTTCATGAAGGAGATCAACTGTATCATCGTCAGCTACACTTGTTGAATACATGTAATCATTCATGACATCATCCAACTCATACTGAACACGCTCCTTTCTTCTTAATCGCCCTTTAGATTTGTGTTTATCTTTTTGTTTACTAATAAATTTAGGTGCCGTGATTCCCTTTAATAAAGGATTATAGGCATATGTTCCTGCCGAAGTAGTATCTTCAGGATTAGAAGGCCTTTTATTCTTAATATCAACTGGGTTTTCTTCATTGTCTTCGTCTTCTGATGATGATGATGGTTGAGTTGCATCCTCAACTTTCACTTGCTTTGTTTGTATATCAATAGTCATCACTTTATGTCTATTAGCATTTCCACGTTGTTCTAATCTTTTCAAATTAGCCTGTTGCTTTTTCAATGCTAACGCCCTCTCTTGTGGCGTCAACCATGGATTTGATTGGTCTGTTGGTAACTCAAAATCTGTAGCTTGATCAATCACCGTACTGCGTTGAGCACTTGTTCTTTGAAATTCTAATAATTTATCTTTATGTTGCTCTGCCTTCAATCGATTTTGCATCATTATGTCATCTTCATCACTACTTTGATAGGGCGATAACATACTTCCTCCAAGTTTTGAGGCATAGGCAGCCATACCACTCTTTTGCGGTGTCGATAATACTCGTTTTGGTTGATTTTTGGCCCTTTTTTCTTCTGCACGCTTCCTCTTTGCTTGTGCAATCAGAGCAATTTGCTGTTCCTTTGAAAGGACAGGCGAGCCACAGAATGTACAAGGCCCTACACCCTCCGCCGTACAAATAATTTTCCCACAGCTGAGACAATTGGGCGCCACAATTAATAAGGGATGCTTCGTAGCTTGACAGTTACATGTTTTTCGTTTTTTGCCTATTTCAGATGATTTAATATCAAGTTCCTTGAGAGCGGCTTCTAACGTCATTTCCTTATTCTTTTTGTTAGACTCCTTCTTTTTACTCGTTTCCTTTTTCTGTTCCGAAGGGAATGCAGTAGCTCTTAATTCCTTTGTTGCTGAGGATTGTTGGGATCGATTTTTAGATCGTTTAGATTTACGTAGTCTAGCATAAAGATATCAATATCAATATCAATATATATACAAAGTGTTGCTTCTTATTCTTAACTTACCCAGCAAAATATTCATCTTCCTTTTTTTGATGTACGTTAATATTTGCTGGCCAAACTGTTTCATATGATTGTGAGGGCAAAGAAGGGAATGCATTCTCTACTGTTGTATCCAAAATAGGTGCTGATGACTCTTCTACGATACTAACAGGAGGCATCTTGTTTGTAACTGGCGTTAATGGTTGCTTTTTTGTTTCTTTTTGAAATCGACGTGCTGTGAATTCTTGAATAAAATTTAAAGCATCATCACTTGTGCCTACCATATCCTAATATATATTTATATCTATAAGTTGACACAAAACTCGTAAAGTGTATATTTGTATATAAATGTATATGTTTTACCATTAATTGGTCTGCAAAAGCATCAGGTGAATTTGATGACATTAAATAAGGTATAATTTGTGTTTGTAAAGTCTCTGGGTCGAATCCCAAAAATACACTAAGTTTATCAATAGCCCAACTTTCGAGTGATGACATTTTGAAAATGATGTGTCAGTTAATGATTAAGCAAAATGCTTATTTCTTTTCTTGACTCAAGAAGAAATAGCTGCGGTGAACGTGACTTTTAAAAATGCAAAATCTTTATTGGCTGTTATGCATTTACTTATATACTTTATAAAAATGACTCTTAGATAAAGTATGCCAGTATATTAATATTTCAATAACAATGTACAATTATTACATGATTATAGTATATATTATTTTTATTTATAACACTCCTTTTCCTTTTCTTTTCTTTTCTCTTCTTTTTTTTTTTAAAAAAAAAAACTCCATCCCTTATTTCTTTTCATTCTCTTTCTTATTTTTATCCATGTCTTCTAAAGCCTTTTGAATACGCTCATCATTCTTATCAACACCAGGTAAAGAACCCAATACAGCTGACATCATCTCTTCATCATCATTATTATTATCATCTTGCATAGACATCTCTAGTGCTCTTTGAAGTGCTTCATCTTCATTTAAATCTTCCATTTGCTCATCTTCATCTTGGACCATATTATTATCATTCATCGACATAGCTAAAGCAGCTTGAAGTTCAGCATCTTCATCATTATCCACCGTTGAATCTATTGCCACAGAAGATGATTCCTGTGTATTCTCTTTATTGCTGCTGCCTCCATTCTTTGCCTTTTCAGCTTCTTGACGTGCCTTCTCTTCTTCAAGAGAAATACGTAATGCCTAGCAAAAAAAAATTAACTTACAACGATTATCACAGTTACTTTTATTTATTACCAAAGCAAGTTCAGGATCAAGACTAGGATCAATTCCAAATTCAAAATCATTTGCACCACCAGCACCACTAACACCAGGAATACCATCTTCTCCAGATACAATAGGTGTAGAAATCAGCATATCACTTAAGAGATGAGGCCCAGGTGGAATAGTAATAAGATGACTATTATCGCTATTATTCACATTATTAATGAATGCTTCCAATCGAGATGTATTCTCGGCTTCTTCACCAAAGTTAATTACATCAACAGCAACATTATTCTTTTTTAACTTTTTGGCTAACTTGACGAGTGCTTTTTCATCGGCGTCGATAGGACTGGCGACAAACACAATGATGCGTTGACGTTGATTTCTATTTTGTCTATGTTTCAAAGCAAGCTATAAACATAATAAATAATTGTGTATGTGTAGTATAGGGTACGAGAAAACTTACTTGGGCGATTTGCACACTAGTCAAAAAATTAGGCTTTCCACCTGCCTTTACAGAATGTAAAGCAGAAAGAATTTTACCGACATCGCTGGTAAGAGTGACAAGAACTTCAGGCCCTTTACCAGCAGCTGTCATTAATCCAACTGTATTTTCTGGATTAGACTGTGTCTTGGAAGAAAAAATGAGATTGACGGCTTCATTCTGTGCTACTAATCGAGTAGGTGAATAGTCGCCGTTACGCATCCACTCGGAATTGTCAACGCTTTATTTTTTTTTTAAAAAAAAAAAAGAAAAAAGAAAATATAAAGGAAAAAAAAAAATAAAAGTTAGCTTTTGGATACAATGCCAGATTTTGTTTTGTTTACTAACACAATCATAGACGCTTCCATAACCATTTTATTTATATATGCGTGTATAAGTTTTTATAATAAGTAAAAAGAGGAAAAAAAAAAAGGAATAGAAAATTAAAATTTATCTAGTGAGTGGAAATGTTCAATAATAATTCCATTAATAAAAACGCGTATGAACCTAAAAAAAATACGTCATCTAGAATGTGACTTACATTTTATGCTAGTGAAAGACTTGACGCTTTCGCCCTTCTCCTGCCAAATAATCTTGCTTAAAGAGCAAAACTAACTTTCTTATTTCAGCAAGATCTTTATAAACATGTATTTACTTGAAAAGAATTCGAAACATATTACAAATATACTGTTTCTTCCTTTTTTTTTTGACAATATTTTAAGCGAGCTATAAAACCCCCCAAGAAAATGCTAATATGAATTATTCCTTTCACGTTTAAATTTCATATCTTTTTCTCCCAAATAATTTATAAAATAAGCTCAAGCTAGCTGGATAAAAAGAGATTGTATTCTAATTACAGTTAAAGAAGCAAACAGTTAGTGTTAAAAGCAGGCTTCTATTATTATTTTTTTTAAAAAATGAATTTTATATAAATTTATACGAAAATGGCTTTATTAAAAAAAAATAAATAAAAAAAATAAAAAACAAAATATAAACAAGATCTATTATCTTCTGATCCCTGTTTATAGATCTACATTATACATAAATTATGAAATGAGAAAAAATAACACCGTCTTCAGTTAAGAGGATTACTAATGGTGATAACATACTAGCTGTATATTTCAAGTACCGAATTTGTATTTGTGGAAGTTTTTCAAGGGAGGGGGGTGGGTGGGTGAGTGAGTGCATACTATTAAATAAAAAAGCTCTCTTTCTTTACTCTTTCGTCAATGTCACTTATTAGATTAGCCACAAAAACAGTAGGTCGACGTTTTTATAACACTTCAACGCCTAAAAGTGGAGCAAGTCGATTCTATTATCAATATGGGACTCCCTTAGTGAAATGTATTGTGTTAGCGACAGGTACAACAATGGCATACCAATTACTTTGGGAACATTTAGAATATAAAGAATACCGTGATGAAACTGAAGCTTATACTGCTAAACTAGAAGAAAGATTAAAAGCTTTAGAGGAACAACAAAAGCAAAAATAATGATTAATCTCAAATTAAGAAAGAAAAAAAAACCTCCTCAAATATGTATATAAATATATAAAAAATAACAAAATAAACCCGAGATTCCACAATATGAAGATTTATAAAAAGATGAGGGAATGAATTATATTTTTATTATAAAATTTTTATTTTATAATAATTTAGTTCTTTTGAGCACGAGGACCCTTAGCTTCCTTCTTGGCACGAACCTTCTTGGGTTGTTGAGAAGAAAGGATAGCAGAAGCACGAGCAACAGCGGCCTACACAAATATTTAAGATATATAAATATGTATGTTTACATAATTCACGCTTTTAAATACTTACAGCACGAAGATCGGGTCTGTAGTGGCTGCGAGCAATCAAGTTAGCAACGGACTTGGAGGTTTGACGACGAGTCTTGGCAATAACAACAGAGTTGGTAGACTTGGCAGGGAAGTTTTGCTTGTTAGCCTTGCGAGTAGTAACACGAACACCACGAGCAGTAGGGAGAATGGCAACATTCTAATGAATCATCAATAAAATTTTAAAAGTTTTAATTAATGCCAATCGTCTCTCTAATCCTCAAGAGTAATTTTTTTTTATTTTACCTTGTAGTTGGCAAGACCAGAGTACTTGAAGGAGTTGATGTTCTTCAAGTTAGAGGGTTCAGAAGAGAATTGAACACCTTGACGCTTAACAAGGAAGGAGTTGTTGTTCTTGATAATAGCCCAGACCAATTCGGAACTCATTGTTGTCTAATGAACATTACATAATTTAGTTTTGTTGGCAATCTCTGTAGTTTATAGTTACTTACGATATACTAGGGAAAAGAGAAGGAAGTATCAAAAAAAAATTTGTACGTAAATGGATATAAGCTTAGTTCCAGGCTGATTGAGAAAAAAAAAATTTGCTGTAATAGAATTTTATTGGCTAATTTAAAAAGTGGCTTATACTCAATACAGTTTTTTCATTTTTCATGAAGAATGATGTTGTTGTTTTTTTTTTTCTTCTGGACAAAGTAAAATTTAAATTCAGATGATATGCCTACCTTTTTTTGGACGAAATAAAAAGGAATAGAGCTTACCTGTAATAATTAATCTGAAGCCTTCTAGAAGACAACTGTATTTGTTATAACGATTATGAGTTCTATGTTTAATTTTTACTGTAGGCTTTTAGCCTACTGTTGCCTTTCCAGACGAACGTAGAGATTTTCATTATAGATTTTTTTTGTGGTAATATGTCTTGCTGACAGAGTGTATTACATTTTGTACAGACAGGTATACACTTTAACCTTTGGCATTTGCTCTCGGTTAAAAATGTATGTGACACATTAATTACAAACCTTTTATGTGTTAAGTTCATCGATTGATTCTGCCAGAAAGATCCCTAGTAACTTCTCCCTTGTTTAAGCATCATCACAATATTTTCAGTAGCATCACGGCATAATTCTTTTGATTTGACAGTATCCTTTTGAAACATACCATTACTAAAAAACAACCAGAGGAACTTTTGATTTGTCTTGGTTTATAAACTTACTTGGCTTCCACTTGCCTTTCCTATAAAGTGCTCATAGAATTAGAAATGAATACATCAGTCTATAGTTTTCAACTTATTTTCGATGCCACTGCTGCCTATATTTGCTTTTTTTTTTTTTTTTTTTTTTTTTTTTTTTTTTTTTTTTTTTTTTTTTGCTTTTAAACCTCTTCTTTTTTCCATTTTTTTCCCTTTATTTCTTTTATCATTTTTCTTCTTCTTGCTTCTTTAGTTTCTATTATATTTCGATGTACCATGCAATAACATGTTCACCATGATTTCAAGGACTCGTTGTCTTCTTTGATATAAGTTAAATTTATCGATGGAAGTGTGATATTTATAAAAAGAAAACAATACGTCGAGATTAGACAACTTGTAATTGGCATACTGAAAATACGTATTACTTTTTGTCGTTTTTTTTTTCTTTAAGAAAAAAAAAAACGAAAATTAAAGCCATCAAGGAACGTCGAAGATGTAATGTTTGAAGCTTTAAAAGAGGTCAACTACGAGCAATAGGTAGTTTGGCTTTTAAAATTAATATATATATACATTGTGGTATAGTGTATACCCCTAACCCTTCCCACTCAATGATTCTAGACATTAGGGATCCGATATAGAAAGAGTATTTTTCTAACAGCAAAGGATTTTGATGAGATTGGAGAGCAAGTATATAATTCCTTTAGTAAAGATTTTTCCCCTAGAGCTACAAAGATTTCTTCAGAAACTAAGCAAGATGGTAGAATAGACTTAATTTCATTGAATCATATGCAATATCGTATATGTACTTTATTTTTATTAAACTAACTTTAGACATATTTTTAATAAGATTGACTACGTAAAAACAGATTCAATTAACGATAAAGACATGTATTTGTTTAAAGAGAGTATATCAAACTACACCATGTTATTCGTTGATGATTACAAGCTAGTATCCTTTCAAACAGAGGAGAAGAAGAAAAAGATCTCTTAGATAAAGTATATAAATTCATAAAAACAAGTCAAAGGTTGAACTGTACAACAACTGGATTATAAGATGTATTGCTCGCAGTAAAATTAGCTCATTTAGCTAACTTAACTCTTTGACGTGGGAGCACTGAAAGTAATGCTTTTCTTAAAAATAGAAATCTGTAAATCAGTATAGATAATAAGCAAGCTTACTTTTAAATTTTTAACACATGAACTAGACGTAGTGAAAATAGGTCTTATTGATCATGAATCCAAGGGGACAAAAGAACTAAACAGATGGTGGTATGAAAGTACCTATAATGCTAGAAAAGAAAAAAAAACACTCGTAGTCAATTGATAAATCAGTATAATATAGTTCCTATTACTATTAGAATAGCTGGAATTAATAATAGTAATAACAATAATAATAAAAACTGTTAATAAATCTTGATTATATCAAACTTTCCTTTCAATAAGTATAAGCATTTATGCTTTATCAACGAGTTCTCAAAAGAGAGCTTTATTTCATTGTCTTTGAGCTTTGCTTGTTATTCAATGTCTAAGCCAGCTAAGATGTAAGGTAGTTTTCTAAGCTACTGGTGAATTTTTTAAATATTTAAATTGCGGACTCCTAAAATAAAATGGCCATTTTTTTTTTTGCCCCACCCCCTTTCATATAGCCCTGCCAAAATTAGCTTTCTTTCTAACGATAAAATTATAATGGCCAACGCACGTCAGTTCATTACCCAATTTAGCCGACAAAGAGGTCTCAGTTCAACAAAGCTACCTGTGATTCAACCACTTGTATCAGTCCAGCGTTCATCGTTTTATACTACGCTAGCTGATTCTGAACAACAACCACAATCACAACCACAACCACAACCACAATCGCAACCACAACCACAACAACCACAACAACAAAGAAACAATACCAACTTCGCTGAGACACTCGCAAGAAAGTTCCTTGGACAAGTACGAATGCAGCGTCAAATTGGAGGTGGCGCCAATTCAGATCACAAGGAGCCTTCAAGATTTGTTAGAATTAGATATTTACCTCGTACTGTAACTACAGAAGATATATACAAGTTAGCAAGAGAAGCCTTTCCTAAAGGAGATAAAAATATCCTTGACGGTATTATAGAATAATACACTATTTGTAAGGATATCTTATTTATTTTATATCCTTTATAGTCATATTTGAACGGACAGATGAATTTAATATGACGGGTCGCTGTATTGTATGTATGTCAAGTCCTGAGGATGCACGTCAATTAGTAGAATATGGACATCAACGTACAGTGGGTGGCAATCTAATTGACATGGATTATGTAAGTATGCATAAAAGGAAAGAATATTATATTAAATAAGGAGATAGACTTATTATTATTATCACTGATAAAAAAAAAAGTATGGTTCAAAAAAGACAGAAATAGCTAAAATATTAAACGAATTTCGACGTCCAGAATTAGTGTCCGTACATGATGCTGGTAATTTTTCAGGTCGCTCTGTGATTATATCAGGATTCCCATTAAAAACTAGAACAGATAATGTACTCGGATATTTGAGAAGTAGGAACTTTTTTCCTATAGAAGGTTCACCTGATAACGTGATTCAATTAAAGACGTAGGTTTAAATTTTACTCATTCTTATTTTGTCATTTTACTGATTTTATCTTTAGTAAGAATCAAGCAACAGTCTCTAAATTTTTAGTTAAATTTGAGTCAGAAAGTGAAGCATGGCGTTGTGTTCGCGCTTTTCATAATACCGATTTTTTGTTAGGGTTAGGGTCTACAAAGACAAAGTTTCCATTACAATTATTTGTAGCTTATTAGAGAAAAATAAAATAAAATAAATATTCTTTATTTTGGTCTTGTATTGGGCTGTGATGAATAAATATCATTAAACACAGATGCAATACTTGATTTAAGTTCTTTATAACTGATAATCATCGTTGTTTGATCATCTCTTGATGTCAATAAAATTTTTTCATCTGATCCAACATCCAACTAACAAAAAAAAAAAAAGAAAAACGGTTAGAATAGTATGCTTTGATATTTCACATTTATCTTACCTTATTTAAACAAGAGATGACATGCGTCATGTCCACAATGGGTAATCCAACCTCATTCACTTGATGAAATAAATAATCTCTAAATAGTTTGATCATGTATCGATCTCCACTTTCTGACCATCTTGGATCGTTATCAAATCTAATTTAAATACCCTTTAAGTATTCTAATGCATTCTATATATCTATTAAAAGCCTTACTCTGGTCTTTCATTAATAAATCCAAGCTTTGTTAATAATCGAACCAAACGACTATTCTCTAGTTCATTTCCTAAATTGGCTTCCAACGTATCCGTGTAGCTGTGGAATATAAAGTTAGATCTACAACATCCTATTATTATTATTCAAGTACTTACTGGTGATGATGATTTAATTCAGTTAATAAGCGAGGACCAATGATATTAAATACTTCATCGATTGACTTGACTAAAGAAGGCTTTCCTAGTAAATAATATGCAACACTTTTCAAATCAGGTGAATAAAATCGTGACATGTATTCAAATGATTGAATCAAGCCATTCACATTATTTTCAGATGTGTTTTGTTGTTGAATAGTTGTATTATGACAAGCTAAAGATAATATTAATTTTCCAAAATTTAATAAATCTTCTTGTTGACGAATGGCAATCTTTTGTTCATTTAGAGTATCATATTGAAGGACATCCATTATAGAAGCGTGATTAATGCGTAATCTATTCTTGCTTGTCATGATGATCCTATTTGGTCCAAGTGATCTTGCAGATAATCCATTATGATGTATTGCTTTTAAAGCAGAGGCAATTTGAATAATAAAACTCCATAATGTTGTTTCAGGTACAGGCATTACACTCATTCCAGTTGCTTGGAACCTAGCTAATAAAAGTGCTTGTGCTTGAGGTGAAAAATAAGCTTCATATAAAGTAATTGAACAAGGATAATAATCAAATATAAAAACCAATGCTATATATAAAGATATGTATAAGCAAACTAATGATATATATATATATACATATATACTTTTTTTTTTCTTACATGAATCATTAAATGCTCTTGTTGTAAATGCTTCATGAATGGAAACAATATTAGCATGCTTAACTTTCTTCCATCTTTTAACTACCGTCATTGCTTGTTCATTAACTAATCGAAAGCCTATATTATGAATTTAGTATGTCTATACAACAGCTATTATATATTATTTTATTGTACCTTCAATTCGAATCATTGTATATTGTTTACCATCTGTACGACATGTACATTTATAGAGCCATGATGAGTGACCTAATATGTTACCTGGTTTATCATCTAAAGGATATAAAGAATGATACACATCGACCTCATCAGGCACTTTTACTAAATAAACAAAATTTAGTATTCATTAAATATAATTTGTGATTAGTACATTTACAATCCACGTTTTTATTAGTGTATGTAGCTGTAGCTACTTCATTCCTTTTTACAAGTTTTTCTCTCAAATTATCAGGAATAAAAAATGACTGAACAAGTCTTTGATGATTCAATAAATTACCAACATGGGGTAATGTTGGTGCATTTTGATGATATTGAGGCTATATAAAGAAATATAAGCATGCGTATTACGTAAACTAGAAATAATTTTATCCTACTTGATTAAGAGAAGTTGAATGCATATAAAAATAAGGATCTGTATTAGACGTTATTGATTGTTGCTGTTGCTGTTGTTGTTGTTGTTGGTGGGAATAATGAGGAATAAATGTACCAAACTGTTGACCATATGAAGCATTGACTCTTTGTGCTTGATAGCTATTACATTTGAATTATTGTCATTATTATTTTTAATTTATTTTTTACCATGTATTAGTTTTTTTATTTTATTTTTTTTTTCTCCTTTTCTTACATTGCTTTTGACATTGAGTTATCTAATGCAATAGGTATTAATTATATATACCAAAAAATTGGATATCTTCCACAATATACCTTGTAATGTTGTTAAAGAAGCTGATTTTGGTACAAATATAGAAGCATTCATATTATCTATTGACGTATTGTTTTGAGAAGAACTACAACTATTATTATGAATATACAACTTATTCAAATATACAAAGTAATTACTTTTCTAAAGTCTTTGTACTAGTGCCCATACTCATTTGTTGAGGCAGCACAAAAGATTTTTCCTAAAATATACATGTCAACTACATGTCTATTTTTTTTATATATATTGCCACAAGTATATTTTACTGTTTCATGCTTAAATTCACATCCTTTGTCTTGAAATTTACAAAATCCATGAATAATAACATTTCTACATAGTCTTTTAAAATTGGTATTATTTAATGTTGATTCTGTAGTTGTACTTGATGAAGCTATGTTTTACATGGTAAACAATCCAGTTATATACATGATTATTTAAAATTAAATTACATTTGTTTTCTTCTTTTTCTGTAGTATTGTTAATTGGCGCGACGATAGGAATTGCAGAGGGTGTTTGTGGTGGAGGAACAAAAGGAGGAGTTGATGAGTTGTTCATTTTATAATGAATAAGTAAATGAATTAAAATTAAAAAAAAAAAAATAATTATTACTGAAAATAAAAACTTTTATTATTATTAACAAAAATCATAAAGATATTTATCAATCTCAAATTTAACTGACTTGGCTACTGCACGTACAAATTCAAAATTTACATTACATTTATATTTAGCTCCATCTAATCTATCCATACTTGTTGTTCGTACTAAGAGTCTTAAAGTCACTAAACTTGTAATCTGTAACTGAATGTCAACCGTGTCCTCTAAGGTATCATCATCAATAATGCTGTAAAAGATAGCCAACATACGCTCCACAGGGAAAGCTTTAGGACCTAATAGTTGTTGCCGCATTTTACCTCCCAGTTTATCTGTAGTCTTGCGTGTGCCTCCTCCTCTCTTCTTTTTACGTTCCTCTGATGCCGTCTTTGAAAAATAACGAATATCAAATCGAGGTGGATTATATGAAGCCAAATAAGCTGCAATTAATAGAAAACGGGTATAATAGGGAAGCTCAAGAGAGACTGAGACATCATTTGCCAACTTTTTTTGCTTCTTATTCCATTCTGCACTGGATATCTCTCGTAAATAAAGTTGCTCTGTAGCCTCTGCAAAGTAAGGTTGTGCATATTTGAATAATTTAGCTCTTTCATGCCTTTCGACAAGACCCTCTTGAAGTGGTTTAATATAGATAGGAAATAAAAGAGAGCTGAAATATCGTAACTCATTCAAATCTTTACAGTTATGACAGAAGATGGAATAAATGACTTCTAAAAAGCCCTCGTAGAATTCATTATTTAGTTCAATGATTGAATCAATAGTAGTTGGCTTGAAGTCAAGCTGTAAGATACGCAATGTATCTTCTCGTGTATAATCTGGAAATCGTATTAAATATGGGTCAACACCACCCCCTTTCACTCGAAACTTTTCAAAAACAATGTTGGAAATCAGCACAACACAAATATTACGCTCTGTAAGCTCTGAAAGTCTTAAAAGAACAGGCAAAATAGTTCCTGGCATATCACGAATCCTTTCTGCTTTATCCAATATCTACAAACGAGTGTTAATCATTCACATTGTGTCATCTGTAAATACATTGTTTTTTTTTTCTTTTTCCTTTACCAGGTATTTTGTTCTTGTTATAGCTGAAACATTCTCTTGAACAGCCTTTACAAACTGTTGGACATTATCTATCTTTCTACTCGTTGTATATCCATTTGTAAATGTCGGCTTGTGTTTAATAAGTCGATCAAGTGAATGTTCAAATAAAAGACGTGGCGTAAAACATTCAACACAATTAACATAGGCTCCATTATGTTTAAAGAATTCAGTAATGACTGTTGTTTTACCAGTCGATGGTGGTCCATAAATGAATAAACTTTGTGGTGTATGATTTAAAATTTGAAGCTAAAAGAAAATAGTCTCAATATTTACTGGATTATGACTTATATACTTCTTACGCTTTGAGAAGTTGCATAATCAAGTTGATCAATTTGTTTTTCTCTTCCAGGAAACTTTTTTTTTAATTCATCCATCTTTGATCAAGGAGAAAAATAAAATAAAATAAAATAAAGATCAACTTTTTTTTTTTTTTTTTTCCTAGTGTAGTCTAGTCAATGCATAGGTCCGAAACATAATTATAACTCAACTTTTAACCCGGACCGGAACTTCGACTGATGTTTTAGTAGAAAAAAAAAAAAACACACACACACACACACACAACAAAGAGACAAGCGAGCTGAGGGGTGAATTAAAGAAGCAAAATACAATCCAAAAAGTCTTCTTCCTCTATTCATCATAAAGGTAAAAAAAAAAAAAAAAAAATCGATGACGCTCATCATCATCCATCCATAGACTAAATCACTTTTATTTAGTTTTTACAAAATGCAAATCTTCGTAAAGACTTTGACTGGTAAGACCATCACTTTGGAGGTCGAAAGGTAATGATAAATGTCAAGAATAATAACATAGATAGTGTTAGTTCATTATATTTATTGTATTCAATGATGGCAAACTTTAAATTAGTTCCGACACCATTGATAACGTTAAGCAAAAGATTCAAGATAAGGAAGGTATTCCTCCTGATCAACAACGTCTTATCTTCGCTGGTAAGCAACTTGAAGATGGTCGTTCCTTGAGTGATTACAACATCCAAAAGGAATCTACTCTTCACTTGGTTCTCCGTCTTCGTGGTGGTATTATTGAACCCTCTCTCAAGGCCTTGGCTTCCAAGTACAACTGTGACAAGATGATCTGTCGTAAGTGTTACGCCCGTCTTCCTCCTCGTGCTACTAACTGCCGTAAGAGAAAGTGCGGTCACTCCAACCAACTTCGTCCCAAGAAGAAGCTCAAATAAGCGATTCGAGTCTTTGTTGGGGGTTTATTTTTTCATTTTTGCGCTTGTATAAAAAAAAGTTAAATAAACCATTGACATGTACCTTTTTTTATATATTTGTGTAAAAAGCTATCCAAATCGATTTTATCAATTTGAATTTTCTCACTTTTTTTTTTCTATTATTACACATGACATTCATAAGCAGTCAAAATTTCAGTCTTTCTATAATAACAATCATGACAAACGAAATCATAAGGCAAAAAAAAAACAAAACACAAGAACAAACAAAACAAAAAAAAACAAATATATCCAAAATGCTTTTAATTAAAAAGAATTCAAAATTAAAGTAGTTAAAAAAGTAGCCCTCCCTATTACACTTATATTTTTTTTATATATTTCTTTATATATATTTAACAAACACACAGAATTTACAAATCATCATCTTCCTCAGGAAGAGGTTGAGCAGCAGCTTCTTCCATTTCATTGTTGTATTGTTGCATCAATTGAGCATCAACTTGAACTTCAGGAGGAGCAAGAGCAGGTGCAGCAACGAACTCCAAGTTAGGGTTACCAATCAACTTACGAGCCAACCAAAGGAAAGGCTTTTCAAAGTTGTAGTTAGACTTGGCAGAAATATCGTAGTATTGGAGGTTCTTCTTTCTATGGAAGGTGATAGTCTTGGCCTTGACTTTACGTTCCTGTATATAAAAAGATGAGTATATGCATCTATTTAATTATAACTACGTAACACTTACCTTAATATCAACCTTGTTACCGCAGAGAACAATGGGAATATTTTCACAGACACGAACGAGATCACGGTGCCAGTTGGGAACGTTCTTGTAAGTAATTCTAGATGTAACATCGAACATGATGATAGCACATTGACCACCAATACTATAATAAAATACATGTAAATAACTATTCATTCGCAGATTATGATATACATTTATATAATAACTCACTAATAACCATCACGAAGACCACCGAACTTTTCTTGACCAGCAGTATCCCAGGTGTTAAAAATGATAGCACCAAAGTTAGTGTGGAAAGTAAGAGGGTGAACTTCGACACCAAGAGTAGCTAAAAAATGAAATACAATTATCAGAAATACATATATTTGTATATATTATATATAAAACAAAGAAAGAAAAAAGGGACGCGTCATTCGTTCATCCATGTTCTCTTTCTTGAAGATGTTAAAGAATAAAAAAAAAGATTGAAACTTTACCAACATATCTCTTTTCGAATTCACCGGTCAAGTGACGCTTAACAAAAGTGGTTTTACCAGTACCACCATCACCGACTAATTACGAAAAAAATAAAATAAAATAAATAAATAACGAATGTGTTGTAAGCTGTGATCTTTTTTCTGAAATTATTTACCAAGGACAAGCTTGAATGTAGGAGTTTGTTGTTCAGCCATTCTAAATTAATTATAATTCAAAAAAAAAAAAAGAGAAAGAAATGTGTAATTAATAAAACCGCAAATTTCTAATTTAAATGTATAAAAAATAAAACGCGTCATCTCCCTAATTTTTTTTTTAAAAAAATACAAAAAAAAAACAATATCCATCCACAAATTAAATTCATCCATCCAATTCTAAGGTTATTTACCTTGTATCTTTTTATATAAAAAAAGAAGAGTTCTTTATATTAAAAAAAATACAAATTATGAAAAAGGGAAGGAGAAAAAAAACCAAAACAATACCTTTGAGGGCTATATTCAATCATTGCCTAAATTGGTAGGGTCCGGCTTGCTGCAACAAAAAAGAAAGATAAAAGCGGAGGTTTAAAAGAAGCTTAACAACAATTACATCACTGTTGGGAGTAAGGTACTGAAGCAAGGTATTCTACTTCCAGGACATGATGAAGATATTCTTATGAGACAGAAATAGAATGGTTGCCTTTCTATATAAATACTATATTGAATGGGTGGGGGGTGTTGTTTTGTTTACATGTGTGAAAGGAAGACTTGTTCTAGTTTGGTCAATATTCTGCACACTCTAATCAATACTAACATGTATTCAGATATACTACTATTATTAGTAAGTAGTATAGTATCTGACTTGATGATATTAAGCCTATTGAAGCAAGTATAAACTCTCTTTCTACCAAAATAAAAGAAAAGGAAAGGGGCTAATATTCACTAATACAATATGGGTTTTCTTTGTTTAAATGTGAGATCAGTATACGAGTTTATACAGTTAAGATAAATAGGTGAACAAACATAGTGAGATTATTACAGTTGAAAGTGCTCGAAAAAAAAAAGATACATTTAGTCATATCTGAACTACAAACTTGCAAATTCAATATTGATATAAACAAGAGTAGTATCAAACGATACAAATTCCTTTTCTTCCTAGACTAAAAATTACATTACCATAGATAATTGTAGGATGGGTATTAAACATAAAAAACCGTAAATTACAAACGATCTATTTTGACGAATGAATATGATTTTTATTATTTGCTAGCTTCAACAAAATAAATTTATTTATAACACGATTTGACTAACATCTTCTAACAAATCGTCAAGATTCTCTTTCTTTTCTTTTTTCTTTTCTTTTTCTATTGCCATTCGTTTAGCCAATCCTTCTTTCTTCTTTCTCTCTCTACGTTCCTCTCTTGTCTCCCATTCTTTTATATCTTTTTCACTATTCGCTTTCTCTAATTCTACTTTCATTGCATCCTCGAATATTTTCATACGTCGCAAGTTTTGTTCAAATTTTATATTTGACATTTCAAATAAGAGTATCAAATAGGAAGGCTCAACAAGACAATGGATTGTATTATCTTTGACATAGCCAATTGGCGTGTCAATTTTTAATGTAGAGCGAATAGCAAGCATATGTCGACGTGATGGTGTGATTCCTGAATTTTGGTATCCAACTTGATTGGCTAGACTGACGAGATGCATTGCCTTTTCTTGACTAGAGGCTTCAATATGCAAAATCTATTATTATAATAACGAATCTATTATGGTTCATATTAAACTAAAAAAAAAATAGATATCTATTCATATCTTTAATCCTACCAGAGGCTCAAACTTGAAATAAATTAATTGTCTATCTAAAATAGGATCATCTTGACTGTTGTTGAATACAACTTTTTGATTATTGAATAGTAATTTAATGATCCACTCTTCTTTGTCTGTTGTAGGTAAAGGCACGGGATCATGAGTGACATAAAGCCATATTCCTCCCTTTGTAGTTGTTTCTTCTTTATCACCATGAACCTGAATACCTTCTTGATAGATGGCAACACGACCTGAGCAACTACTTGTGGTATAATAATCGGGATGTTGATTAATGATGTGCATGAGATCTAAAATGGGTGCATCAATGAACCCCTTTGGTGATTTATCTCTTCGTTCAGGATCCACATATTCAACTAGTGAGGATACTACTTGTTCTTTACGAGAGTTGAATTCTGTATTAATTGGCATTGAGTGAATGAAAGACAAATAAAAAAAAAAAAAAAAAAATGTGACAGGTTGTGAGTATTTAGGAAAGATGCACTTACGGACTTTAAATAAACATGGCATTTTTACATTCATGAATGTATTTCTTTTTTTTTTTAAAAATATTGTTTAAACTAGTTATAAAATCAAAAAAAAAAATGGCCATCCTTGAAGTCATTGAAGACAATGAATCACCCTCTAACCCCTTTTTATTTAATAAACCAAAACCCGATTTCAATAAATTAAGCAAAGAGGAAAAGAAAGTTCTTCTAGATCATATTGCATCTCAAGTCATAGCCGATGATCCAAAACTCTTTGAACAGATGGCTACCAATTTTTTAAATCAGACGACACAAGAGGATTTCAATACTGTAGAGATACAACCTCAACCAGGTTATGTATGCAAGACACATATTGTTTCAAGCACCAGTAAATATAAAGTAGGGACTGTAGTATACATTAATATTTGTTATGCTTCCTCGATACCTGCGCCACCCATCGCTTCAGAAAAAGAAATTGAAAAAGCATTGAATGCAGAACCGGATGCAACGTATAAAGTACCTTTAAGTATGGGAGAACCCCAGCAAGGTGAAAAAGGTAAAATAAAACGATGAAAAAAGAAAAAGAGTATGTAAAATAGGACTTACAGTTTTTTTTTTAATACACATATAAGGAGCATTAATTATGAGTGCTTGTATTAATACACAGCCCTTTTTGAGAAGTGAAAAAAACTTAGATTTTCGTCTATACATATTAGAGTTAGCTATGGAATATGTAGAAGAGATCATTTCTGCTAGTTTAAGTCGAGAATTTACTATGCCACAAGTAAAATCAATGGGTGTTATTCCATCACGTATCTTAAGGTTACCAAAACCTTCTTTAATGACAGCGATACGTACAGAAGTGAACAAGACAAATAAAAAAGAAAAATGGACATGTAGACCTACTGAACATAGTGTTGAAAATAATTATCTAAAACTTGTGATTCCAATGCCTAACAAGGTAAATTGATCCTGCTTGTAATTTCCCTTTCCTTTATTCATTCTTTTTTTTTTTTGGGGAGAATATATAGGATTCAAAAGAATGGACGATAGACATTACTCCAACAAAATTAATATTAACTATAACTAATCATACAAAGCATGAAGTTCCTTTTAAAAACATTATCAAAGTGAATGACAAAACAAATCGAGTTGACTTTTACAAGAAGAGCCAAGAGCTTGTTGTTCAACTAAGATTAGAAGAAAGGAAACAATATTTATAACTAATAAATTAGCAGAGTAGCATTATTACTACTGCTCTTTAACATCTCATTTATTCACAAGTCTATGTAGAGACTCAAAGAAGTATAAGTATATATACATTACATTGATTAGTTTCAGCCTTATTGCACATTCAAATCGATCAAAAAAAAAAAAGACCATATAACAGCATGTATCAAATGAATTATGCTTGTTTCTAATATCCTTCCAAACATAGAGTACCAGTAAGCATAAATTATCCTTCATTAGTATATTAAAAAAAAAAACTAGAGATATTATACATGTAGGCTTTTACATAACATTTACCCTATCACACTGAATACTTGCCTATAAAATACTTTAGATTGTGAATATCATTCTTCGCTTATACTTTATGTAATAATAATACAATCATAAACTAGGATAAGAAAACGAAAAAAAAAAAACCAAGATCACTCATTTATCAAATGCACTACTTTTAATCAAACAGAGACAGAGAGAGCAGCTTATAAAAAGCAGTCACCTCTTATTATGCCAGCCTTTTAACTTCTTCTTTTCATTAATGGGTTAATTTAATTAAACTTTCAAGAACACCCACTAATTTAAAGTATAGTTGCTGTGTATAAATTATCATTATTAATAGTTTTTTTTTTTTTTTTTTTTTTTTTTTTTTTTTTTTTTTTTTTTTCCAACTTGTTGTAAGACCATCTTCATTATGTTTTACTTTAAAAAAACTCAGTATATGCCACGGCAGCTGTTGATTGGTTAATTTAGAAATAAATATAAATAAAGGTGTATACTTGTCAATATCAAGGGGGGGAGGGAGCGAATGTAAAAGGGACTTTTAAATCCATTACAGAAACACATTTTTCTCTTCTTCTTCTTTTTTTTTCTCTTTTCCTACTTATATTTCCATAATGATGACAGAAGCTGCAAATACCACTACAGAAGAATCCACTCAACAACAACAACAACAACAACAACAAGAAGAATATCAAGATCGTTTCCTTGAAGGTTCTCAGCGTGTTGTCCCTTACGATCTTTTAGAAGCGCGTGGAAATGCGGATAAGGTCAACGATCCTGATGCACTCATTTATAAACAGGCTAAAGACCTTTTCCGTAAAGGTTATGAGCTTTGTATGACTATTCCTCGCTCCCTTGATGATGATGTACTTGAAAAGTATGAAGATGATATTAAAGAGGCCTCTGAAACAATGGTTGAAGCTTGGTTAATGGATGATAATGCTGCTCCTATGTCTGAACGTATCTTAATTCTCGGTCAACAATATGAAAAGGTCTTGTTAAAAAATATCCCTGAAGAGCAAAAGGAGGGCTTTTTTGTAAGGGATAGTTTATTATTTTCTGCTTGGATTTTATTAGTAGGTAGACAATTTAAGCATTGGTAAGTAAAGGATTTATTAGGTCATATATATCCACATGCTTTAACATTTATACATAGTGTTACTACATTGACACTGGCTATTGATACTTATCCTGACCTTCCTGCACGTGTCTTTTTCCTTCGTGCCTCATGTTATCTTTCTTTAGGAAAACTTAGGTATGTGTTCTATTCATAAGTATTTGTGCATGTGAGTGTGAGTGTGAGTGTGAATATATATATTTGTATATATATATATGTGTGTGTGTATTTTACGTATACATATGTTATGCATGTGTACAATTAAATCGTTCGTTGGCAAAAAAAAAAAAAAAAAAAAAAAATTACTACAAATTTCCTTTGTATGGCATAAATTCTTATACATATTTTGTTATAGACTTGGTATTAAGGATTTGGAAAAGGCATTAGAAAAAGACCCTAAATCTGCTGTTATTCATTTCGTCCTTGGTTCTGTCTATCTTTCTATGGACAATGAACGTGAAAATGCCATTAAACAATACAAACTCTTCTTACAACAGGGTTGTCCCAATACGATTGACTATGTTCATGCCCTTTATGCCCTTTCATTATTACTTCACTCTCATAAAAAACGCAAATCAGAAGCTGCTGATTATTACAAACGAGCCAAGGAATCTGAAAAGAAATTTGAGGAACTTTATGGCACTCATACCGGCCTTAGCGAGACTAAGCGAGATGCCATTTTGGCTTTTGAAGAACGTAACGAAGCTGAACGTCTCATTGCACTTTACACACCTACTAAAAACAAATTACTACAACAAGAAAAGATCCAAAAATTAATTGAATCAGGCATCTTAAATACATCCTATCCACCTGATCCTAAACGCTGTTCACATTGTGCTGCTACCCACTTGAAGGATAAACCTAATGTGCCACTTATGGCCTGTGGCGCATGTCGTCACATTTGGTATTGTTCTCGTGAATGTCAAGTGGCCGATTATAAAGCAATGCATAAATCCCAATGTAAAAAAATGCAAGCTGCAAAGACTCAACAAGAACAAAAATAAATGTATTGGAATTTCTCACTCATCCCCTTAGCAGTTACTTCTTCCCTCCCCTTCCCCTCTTCCACACTTTCGTTCATCTTTTCCATTCTATAGCCGCATATCTTTTACTTACGTCTGTTATTATATAATCAGCAATAAAATATATGTACATGTATATGTATATAAATATATGTGTATACATACATACATACATACATCCTATTTTCTGTATGTGCTATATATATATATATATATCTATAAGTTAGTAAGATGCATTGCCAAGATGACTGCAAAAAAAAATATCATCAGTAATCGAACTTTGCTTTTATGTAAATAATGGAAATAAATAAAAATGTCCAAAAATTATAGATTTCATAATATTTGAACATAATAATCGCGTCTCAACTCCATTAACAAAATAAAGTAAGGAAACAACAATCAACATTGCTATTAGTAAGGATGAAAGCCTACACAACTATTAAAAAGAGCCATGTAATTTTGATAGTCTTGTTTTCAGAGACTATACTTGTTGAGTTACTATTCCCATACATGTTGTACGTGCAGTAGAACAAATAGAAACAAATACATAAGAGATAGATAGATAGATGTATATCTGTATTTTGTCATCACTCATCTAGAATGTAATAAAATTATGTGTATTGGAATGCAAGCTTCATACAAAATCTTTATTGGTAATAAGTTGAATGAAAATGTTGAATACCATTGAGAGTCATACTTCCACGATGAAGGTTGAATACTATACTATCGTCATTAGTTTATTACTCATATTTTACTTTTTTTTTTAAAAAAAAATGGCAGGGTCTAATTCTTCTTCTACAACTCAAAGTAACTAAGCAAGTAAAGAAAGAAATAATAGGAAATTTATTTTAACTTAATAACAAAACTAATTTTTTTTTTTTTTTTTTTTTAAAGGGTATATTTACATTTTATTTACAAAATAATAAAAAAAAAAAGAAACAAAGAAAAAGAACTCAGTTTCTTTGTTTCTATTAAATATAAAAATGTTAGTTTAATTTGTATGTGAAATAGTTGTAAATCAAAAAAAAAAAAAATATTACCTTTGAACAATTTGGGGATGAGTTTTCATCCCCAAATTGTTGTTTCCTCTTTGGAGGTGCCGGCGAGGATTGCCCAGAAGCAGGAGAAGACCCTGGCTTCTTGATTGGATAAGGCGCTTTGAAAATCGGTTTGGCCACCTTATCCAACCTGTCTTTTCCTGCTTCTGGTAAGGTGACGGCCTTGGGCTTCTTTGTTGAGGGGGCCGCCACCTTCTTCTGGAGCTTAGGACGCTTGCAATCCTCGCCAAAGAGCACCTCCAAATAGGACTTTGTGTACATCATGAAAGCAGCACCTGTTCGTTCTTGATATTCGACAAGTGCTGCTTTCAATGCCTTGGTTGCGATGGGGAGTTCCTTGTTGATAAGGTTCCTGGTTTTTTCTTCTTGCAGAAGGTAACCAGGACCGTATTTGTTTTTGAAGTCAAACAAGCGATCAGGGTTACTTGTCGCAGCTAAGAATTTTCTTTGTTCCTGTTGAAGTTTGCTGTATCTTTGGATACGAGTGGATAACAAGGAACTATCCTGAATTTTTGCTTGAAGGTGTTGAACTTCTTTTCTTAGCTGGACAAGTACCTGATCACTTGTTTCATTTGTGAATGCAGGACTAAATGTGTATCTTTGTTCTTCACTATAGCAAAGTTGATCCCAAAGGTTTTCAAGTTCTTTACGTTCTGTTTCAATAAATTCACCAAGACGTTGATCTTTTTCTTGGGTTCTTTTTTTAAGCTCATTTTCCAACTAGATAAAATAGTATTGGTTAATTCATCATCTGGATATGTGTATGTGTCAATTAAATACTTACAATATGAATATTATCAACATTTAAGCTTTTACTCTTCATTAAGAATGTATTCACTTCTTCTTCAGGAACATTCAACATTTGCCAGAGAGGCTTCAATAATTCAATGATTTCTTCTTGATTATACAAAATAGTCTGTCTTTGACGTTTCAATTCAGTTAAACGAGCAGTTAAATAATCTTCAAAGGCATCAGAGGCTATATTATCAATGTCTTGATCAGTTAAAGAGGATTCTTCTGTTGATTGCTTTGATGCTAGTTTATTATAAAATTCAATGATAAATTGATCTCTTTCATTTTGAGCTTGCAAGCCTAATTCTTGTAACAATTGGACTAGTTCACCAGATAAATGAAAGGCAGTTTCTTTTCTTGACATTAATTTTTCTTCACAGCGTGCAATTTCATCTTCCAAGGCAGCAGTAGTAATGTTTGAAACATCAGTAAGTTCTTCATATTCCAATAATTCATTTGTATTAGCAAAGCTAGGCATTATATTTTGGAGCTTTTCCAATTTAGATCGCAATTCTATATCAGATAAGAAAAAAAAATTAATAATTAAAAAAAAAAAAAAATATATTAAAAAAAAAAAATTACCTTTGACTTGCAAAAGTCTTTCGTTGTAACGATGTTCAACGCCTTGTTTTTCATTTTTGAAATTATTCAAATTTTCCAATAAAGACTTGTTTGTATCCAAGTGAGCTTCATCAGTGGCAAATTCACCCATCTTTTGCTTATATAAGAAGATCTGTTTTTGAACATTGTTGATCTCTTGCAATAACTGTTGCTTTTCAGTGGTAGCAGTAGTGATCTCTTGATCAATAAGTTGAAGAGTGCTTTCCATGATTACTTGTTGTTTTTGTTTCTTTTGATTGTCATCAAGACCAATTTCATTATGCAACGTGTCAAGTGCATTGAATTGAGTTTGGAAATGAGAGAACATCTCTTGAAGAGAGTTAAAGACGAATTGAGAAGAGTTTGAGCTCATCGTAAGCAAGATAAAAGTTAAGAGTAAGTAAAATTTAAAGAAGAGAATTTTGAAAGATGTTTGATTTTTTGAAGCTTTATAAAAAATAATTTGTATAAGGAAAATCAATAATGAGAAGAAGGAAAAAAAAAAAAAAAAAAAATAGCTTTTTTCCCCTCTTTTATTCTAATTTTCATGACATTTTTTTTGAAGAACCGACTATCAATTGTTTATATAATACTCCTTAAAACCCTAACAGGTTTAATGATTGCTTATAAATAAACTTGGCGAATCTAAGCAATAAAAAAGAAAATCTAGAATAAACTTTAAAAAAAACAATAACAATAACAACAATAACAATTTAATTTTTATTTCCTAAAGCAATTAAATGCATTTTCTATCTTTCAAATCTTTCTTATCTGTTGTATTCAATCCTTCTAAAGCTTTATGAATGTTTAATGAATGACTTTTTTATTTTTTTATTTTTCGCTTTTGATAGCTTTGATTTCATTAAAAGGTCATTTAGATAAGCATGTACCTTTAAGGCTATTGTTTAAATTGGTTATCTAAGGATAAATCTGTTTCAGAGTTTTAACAGAACAACACCTATTTGCGTGTAACATTAACAGTTGGTCTATTTCAAACATCGTCATTTCAATAAAGTCAAATTAAACAACAAACAAGTATAAACTACAAATTTATCTCATAAAAAAAAAGAAAGATAAAGAAAAAAAAGAGATAAAAAGCAAAGTAAACTTTTATTGACTTCTTTATTATAACATGGCTACCATCAAAGTCAATGAAGTATGTGTTATAAAAGTACATGTTTGTGCTCCCAATATGTTTATCTTTTACTAACTTTATTATTTAAAATCTATCTTTTTTTCTCTTTCTTTCTTTCTTACTTTATTTATTTAAAATGATAGAACGTCGAGTGAATAGCTTACGTTGGTCTCGAACTTTGGGTAGAATTCAAAACAATAATTCACTAATAGATAATAACATAGTACAAAGGTTTACAATACATACATACATATTTATTATGATTAACAAACAAGTAATTAATTTTTTTCTTAAAAAAAAATATATATGTATATATATATTACCCCTATAATACACTTAGTGATACACATCCGTCTGATAATTGGAAACAATCATGGCCTGCACAACAAGGTGAATTAAATGCAGTGCCAAGAACAAGAAATAATTCACTTATTCCAGTAGAACTCATGATGAATAATAGTGGAGAAGGTGGTAGAGAATGTGTTGCGTTAGCAACCATATTTGGTGTACCTGAATACATATGACTCTAAAGTCTTTTGGGAAAGACAACGTGATGAATCAAAAAATAAGCCAGTCCAACAACATCCTATTATTATTTCTGTTAATCATGAATTAGACCCAAATCAAACGTTATCAAAACTTGATATTGAACACAACGAAATTCGATCTAAATTGTTTATTTCGTCCTATATGGGCTCTGTAGATTCTAATGATCCTTTTAAAGACTCCATCCTTTATATATTAATTTAGCAAGACGATATGAAAACTGTATATTTTATTGTATTTTATTTTATTTTTTATTTATTTTTTTTTATTTTATTTTTTTTATTTTATTTTTTTTTATTTTATTTTTTTTTATTTTATTTTTTTTTATTTTATTTTTTTTATTTTATTTTTTCCTCTTTAGTTCAAAGCCTTCTTAGCGAATTGAGGTAAAACGAAGGCAGCCTTGTGAATTTCTGAGTTATAATAACGGAAGAGCTTTTCTTCTTGTTCAGAAGTAAATTTACGAAGAGGTTCTTTAAGATTAGCATTAGGGTCCTTGGAACAAAGGATATGACCAATTTGACCGGAAGGATAAGTAGGAATACAGGTATAAGCATATTCAACTTGAGGATAGAGATTCTTACAGAAATCCTTCACCTTTTTAATGAGAGGCAAGTGGAGCCACATACATTCACCTTGAGTGGAGAAGACACCATTTTCGGTAAGTGCGTTCTTCAAAAGTTGGAAAAATTCAGCACCAAAGAGAGATTCAGCAGGACCATCAGGATCAGAGCTATCAGTAATAATAACATCGTATTGATTGACTTTATCCTTCAAGAACTCGAAACCATCACCAATGTGAACCTTGACCTTGGGGTGTTCAAAACCAATGGCCATGTTAGGCAAGTACTTTTTAGAAACACGAGGAACAGCTTCGTCAATATCAACCAAAGTAGCTTCTTCGACACATTCGTGCTTGACGACTTCACGAAGAACACCACCATCACCACCACCAATAACAAGAACCTAATATAAAATATAAGTTTTTATTCTAAACTATTCAATCTTTCTCTTTTATATTTTTTTTGTTCTTGTATATACCTTCTTAGGACAAGGATGAGAGTTCATGGCAAGGTTAGTGATCATTTCTTGATAACTATATATTATATTAATATAACAAGTTTATTTTATTTATTTATCTTTCAATAATAGGACTTACGAAAATTCATCACGCTCAGTAGCTTGAATAACGTTATCAAGAACCAAAACATTACCATAGTTGGAGGATTGGAAAACGAGAACGTCTTGGTACTTGGACTTTTCAACATGAAGAATTTCTTCGACCTTAAGTGACATGGCTACATTAAAAAAAAATTAGCATTGAAATAATTACCAAAAAAAAACACTTCACAATACCTTGACCGGGCCACATGGTAGACTTTTCCATGAACCAGCCATCTTTGATACAAGGGTGAGAGAGTGGTGCAGCCATCTTTTAGTATTTATTGAACAAGTAAAAAAAGAAAGGTGTGAAAAAAACTGAACAAGAAAAAAGTTTTTTATTTGTTTATCTTGATAGTCTTTGTGACTTGTTTTACTGATACCTGTCAAGTAGATAACCTATTTTTTTTTTTTTTTTTTTTTTTTTTGAATCTATGCATAATTTCTTGATTTTTTGAATTATACCCTGACAGAATACATTGATGACAGTGCTTTCTTAAAAAATATTACAAACTATATTGCATTTTAAATTCTAGATTCAAGTACATGGTTTGTTATGATATTTCAAATAAGTTATATTTGGATCCAAAGTCTTTAACAAATGTGTTCGTATTATATAAAGTTGTTATTTCTTTATGAGTCGGCCTTCGCCATATTCTAGCTAACACCAGGAGTGCTAGTGCTTTGGAATAAATGATTAACGAATGGCTGGGCTTTGACCTTGTCATTATTTAGTTGGTTGCCAGTTTAATAGAAATAAGGCAATCACCCTTAACAAGTTGAAAAATGAAAGGACCGAAATTGTTACACTTCCTTTCCTTTATAGACTTAAAATTATGCTTATATAGATAATAAATATAGTCATTTTAATAAAATGAGTAATAAATTAGAGCGATTTGAAAAGTAATGTTTAAAAGTAGTTGATTATGCTGCTTTCATATACTAGATGTAAGGTAAGATTTGTGCTACAATAAACAGTGAAAAAGAAAAAAAAAAAAAAATTGGGCCCTTTTTTTTTTCATCAAAACTCAGAGGGGGGGGGAGACACGACTATTTATAATATGTATCATATCTTGTTTTCAAAGCATGAAATTTTGTTTGATTAGAAAACTATATATTTTACTTATAACTTAAAAAAAAAAAAAAGCATCTAAAATAATAATTCACATCATCCAACAAAAAAGGGGTAAACAAAGCATTTGAATTTCATTTTTTTTTCGATTCATATAGAAAAAAAAGAAAAAAAAAAAGAAAAGAAATTAATAAATGACTAAATTCAAAGTGTAAACTTCTACTATTATGCTATTCACAGGTCGTTCATTATTACAAAAAATGTCAGTAGCAAGTATATCTAATCAACAGCTTAATTATTCTGTATTGCCTTTAATCTTGATTGATTTTGATCAGACCATAACACAACATGATACCATTGCTTCTTTAGGTCAGTTTGCTCTTTCTTTTGCACATTCTTCAATACCTTGGTCCTTTTTTACCGATGCTTATCTTCAAGACTATCGCAATCATCGCAATTACCTAGAGACACATCAAAGACATTGGCCTAATAATTTCAAAGCCTTCATAGATCAATTGAATAGCTATCGCCATGTTGAACTTGCCTCTCTTCAACGTGTCAGTCAGCATAATGTCTTTAAGGGCCTTTCTCATCATGATTTAGTTATGGCAGGTCGACAATTAAGTACAACCGAGCTACAGCCAGGACTTATCACTACTTTATTAAGTCAAACATATTATCAACCTCAAATTCGCATTATTTCTTTAAATTGGTCTAAAGACTGGATAATGGGATTCTTAAAACATCATTTACCTACCCTTACAAAAGAACAAATATTTAGTAACGATCTTCGATTTAATGAACAAGGAATTTGTACAGGAGAAATTGAAGCATCCATTTTAACAGCTAGTGACAAACAGCACATCATTCAAGGCCTTAAAAAGCAGCTCAAGACGTTCTACATTGGCGATTCGCTAGGTGACATTGAAGCTTTAGGTAAAATAAGTCAAGTAATCAAAGGAGACATGGGTAATTTTATAAAAAAAAACTTTTATCTTTTATAGTTGAAGCAGATATTGGCATCATCATTGGAAAAGACAAAGGATTAATAGATGCACTTGCTCGTTATAATTATCATCCAGAGGAAGATGTATCAAAATCAAGTAAATTATATCGCGTGAATCAATGGAATCAAGTTAAACAAATCCTCGATAGACTTTTTTTTCTTTTTAGAATGAATGAAACCATGTAAAAGAAAAACACATATATACACACACACACACACGCATTATTTATTACCCCTCTCTCTTCCAACCTGATCAACATTTTTCTTATCCTTTCAGCTTTAATTTTAACTATTTTTCTACGTAAATTTGAAATAATTCAATTGACTTTGCATAAATTCTGGATTACTCTTTTTTTTTTATTTATAATAATTCAATTTAAAAATTGAAATATATTATATAAAAAAGAATGTTAATGCGCTTAATGACGACGAGAAGAGGCAATGACAGCGGTGAGTTCTTCAATCTTCTTCTTAGCACGAAGATAAGAACCGAGCTAATTAAAAAAAAAATAAACATGAATAAACTTTTTTTTTCGAGACAAATAACAATAAAAAGTTGTAGCTTTATTACCTTAGCCTTACAGAGCTTCTTGGCACGCTTATCTCTGGAGTTCTTGATCAATTCCATGATACGACGTTCATAGGGAGCGAAACCAGAAACTTCACGAACGATGCTACGAACGAACTTGGTACGCTTGGAAGCAGCCTACATTTATATATAAATAAATAAATATATATATATAAAAAAAATAAAGACGAGTGAGTTTATTTGTTGTGAATAGTTTAACAGATGAACTATATATTCATATATATATAAATAGATGAATATGTGGGCTGAAAATTGTAAATTGACATGACTTTTCTTAAAAAAAGTATACACATTTATCTCTTTTCAATATCCATCAATCCATCTAATATATAATTCATTCATATATAATTACATACACCAATCTTGTTAGAAGGCTTGGGCTTAAGTTCACGACGAGTGACGATGTGACCCTTGTTGATACCGACGGCAATTCCTGAAGCAGCCATTTCGATGATGAATAAAATAAGAAAGGAGGAAGGTATATTTAGTGTTGGATTCTATTTTTTTTTTTTTTTCCCTTGCTACAACACTGTACAGTTTATTCGAATAGGTGTGTACATATAAAGTATATTTTTTGTTTAATTTTAACTCTCCGACGCATCATCTCCGGGCCGGGATGACATAAAATTAGACATATTGAATACGGAGGAAGATCAAAGAATGATAAGTTTGAAGCACCTTCCAATTACACAAGACGTACAAAATATCCTATTTACTTTTCTTTGAGTAAATCTAGTATTAAATTTGAAAAAAAAAGGATACATTATTAAAAAGGAAGAAAAACACTTTATTGGGAGTTACTAGTTCTTTGAAGCAGCTTATTGATTATTCCCTTTCTGATTACCAAAAGAAAGGAGAGTTTTTTTTTTTCTTACTTTTTTGTTTTATTGTTTCCCCCTTTTTGAATCTGACACGGGCAAATAAAAAACAAAAATATTTAATCGTACATGCTTTATTTATATTATAAATACACAATTTTTTTTTTTTTTATTTAGACAAGTAAAGGACTATCAATTACAGCAAAGCCTGCAGCAACACCACCTTCTCGAGTTGTAGTTGCTTTTGTACGTAACAAATGTCCTCCTACCTCATTCAGAATTTCCTTTTCATCGTCCCTAATAGAATACATGATTATTATTTTTCCCTTTAATCTTATATATATAATAAATACTTACGCAAGGAAAGTACCAAAGATACCGAGTTCGCTCACAACATCACCCACAATCGTTTTACCTTCCCGAATCATAACATTTTGTAAAGGAGGACTTTTGATTAAATCCATTAAAATATAACTATTGCGCTCTTCTGGTTTTAATCTTTCAAGTTCTGTCAAGATGTCTTTTCCATATATGTTATGACCACCACCCTCACGTTGAGGTTTCATGACAAAATCATCAGGACGTTCAAGTGCCATCTTGTAGGCTTTTTGACCAGCTTCAGTCGTACTATCTAAACTATAGAGACCAGCAAATGTATCCCGAATTTCAGAGGTCTTTGTTTGAATATAGCGCTCAAGACGATTAGGTTCGGAAAGGACCTGTTGGACCTTTTTGGATCCAACAAGTTGATAGGCCACAGTTGGGCATTTGATGGCTAAGGAACGCTCAATAACTAAACGGGCATCCCATTCTGTTTCACTGGGATAGTCCTCGGGCCCATAACCGGCACGGAAATAACTAACAGCAATTTCATACCCATCACTATAAAAAATAAATTCATATAAATAATAATGATAATAATAATAAAAAAATTATGTTTACTTTACATTGTTAATGCTTTGCTTTTAGGATTTAATTTAGCTCGAGTGGCAATATCTTCAAGTGTCAACCTTGTTAATAAAATACCATGCCTACAAATATGAACATGAATAAAAACAACGTTATCAAATTACAAAAAAAAAAGACTTACTTTTCTAATAAAGTATATTCAATCCAACGTTGATCAAAAGCATTACGTTCACCAGGTTGAACAATCATGGCAATACGTGCACTATAAAATTTAATTTATTAATAAAAACAAAAAAAAAATAATGGAAAAGTGCATACATATATAATATACACTTACTTGGGATTTCCATAATGTTTCCAAGCTAATGCTAATCCATTAGCAATTGCTTCAATTGAATTATTTTCAGGCAACTGATCCATTTTAATATGACCTTCTGCATATCCATCTATTGAGGATAAAAGAAAACTAATCGAAGGAAAAAAAAAAAGTATAAATATACATATTCAGTTGATTTAATAACATGAATGCATTACCGATGAAGTTCGCCTGTTCTTTTACTTAAACTACCAAAACTAGAAGAAATAGTATTAAATTCGACTTGTTGAATTTTTACTTTTGAATCCTTTGATGTATGTAATAAATAATCATTACGATGAATACCAAGGCTAGCTGTCTTTCAAGAAAAAAAAAAAAAAAAAAGGGGATTAACTGTCAATAAATTAAACTTTCGAAAAAAAAAAAAAAACTTACTTGCGCAACCCCTTCTTTTTTGACAGTTAAATAAATTTGATATAAACGATTCATAAATTCATCCAGTTTTGATAAACTATTTTATTTTGTTTTTGTTTTTTAGTATTAGATCTAAATGTATATGCATTTCTTTTTCCTTTTTTTAAGCACTTTACGTTTCCATTGTCTCAGAAATCAAATCATCATCTCGACTCATTTTATGAATAAGGGTATTCCAAGTCTGTTGTAAACTTTTAGCTTTTTCAAATTCTTCAAGTGGAAATGGTGAAGGATAAAGGGCAAAAGGGGCATGCATTACGAAGCTTGTGTTATTAGTAATTTGGTCCTTTGTAGGTCGGATAACAAGACCATGAGATAATGCCCAATCAATAGCTTCAGTTACGATATTGCCTTCAAGCTCCTTTAATGATATATAATTATCTTTCATTCCTTTATTTATGTTTGTATATATTTATTATGTCTATAAAGGATAAGAAACGAAAAAAAAAAAAAAAAAAAAAAAGAGAGACTTGTTTATTCCTTGATTACTAACAATTCTGTTGAGAGGACTTTAAAAAAAGATCCATATTACAAATTTATACTTACGATTAAAAAAAAATTGAAAAATGACCAATGAGCACATAGCATTTATATATGCTGTTTTGCCCTAGTCAGATTGCTATAGAAACCCCCTTCTGGGATAAAAGGGAAAATGTTAAAGTGTATGTATAAGTGATGATAATTAACTACCAGAAAATCGTTGTTGTATTAAAAGAAGATGATGGTCAGAGGGTTCAGGGATTTGGGAGTGAAGCTAGATAGTCCATCTCAAATAGAATTGCACATATAGAAGGCCAGCGTATGAGCCAGGCATCAATTGATTTTTTCACTTTCTTAGTATAAAATGTTGATGGTAATAGATTCAAGAGATAAGAGAGTGGATCTTCAATAGATTTGGGCATCTGAAGGCGGTTATGCATATGCAAACAAGAAAAACTATGTGAGCGTGTGAAGAGTTCATTTGGATGGAAGGGGCAGGCTTGGGGTTTACCAAGAGGTAACCAACCAAGTAGCTATCGCACGCAACGAAACCGTTCTCTTCTTGTCATTGGTATCGTAAGAATAGGGTCGACAATCAGATTATTACGGCAATTGGATAAAAGTTTCGAATATTTTTCTTGTAGTTTTGAGTGGTAGCTGTCAAGTAGGAATCGTCTTTGTTTTCCACTAAAATCCATATGAGACGTAGTGTTAAGATTTTCATTGCAAAATGATATTCATAAAGGAGATTTGGATAGTTGCGGATTAAGATCATTACAGGTAAAAAAGTCTAAACATAAATCTTAATTTTATTTCTTATTCTTCTAAAAATTAATTTTGATTTGTCCAAAAAAATACTAACATTGTCTGAATTAGAAGTAAAAAAAAAAAAAAAAAAAAAAAAAAAAAAAAAAAAAAAAAAAAAAAAAAAAAAAAAAAAAAAAAAAACTGTAGAGTAACGTCCTGAAATCTTGTCAAAACACATGCATAAGACGGATGTTTGGTGGCTCTAGTCGATCATCAGTAAAGGTGATGCTTCATATGGTAAACCAACCATCAATGAAGGTTAGGGTGTCTGTTCTGCAGGCCCATTTCATTTTCCATGCTATTGATTTACCAGGTGATACCTTGCTCGTTAAATTACTTCCTGAGTTTCAGGCATCCGCTTTCAACACTCAATGGTATAAACTCATTCAAACACCATGCTGGAGACTCTGTGCCGCCAATTCCATTCCGTTAGACCAATACTCCTTTTGAAAACATCGTCAAGAATTTCTTGAAGAGAGTTTTCATTAGCTACGTGACGGGGTACGTTCTGTTTTGCTTTCCACTTGCCGCCCCAATCTAATTATTGATCCGATACTCTGGTTACCCATGACACACAGTGAGCGTAGTCGAACTATTCGATGGCATCTTGGTTGGTTATCCGGAGGAATACCTAAAGCCTGCCCATTTTATCCTTATGTACACTTTTAGTCGGTCACATGCCACTGAATGTTTGCGCATGCACACTCGTTTATTCTTGCCACGATCAATTGCAGATCCCCTTTCCTTTCTTTTAAATCATCTCCCTCAGCATAAGCACCGAAATTCTCAGGATGCTTCTGCTTGGTTCTATCGCTGGCCAGTTATATGTAATATTCTACAGGAAATGGATTATTTAATGCACGATAAACTACCCCATCCACTTCTTGATCCAGGCAGAAAATTACTCAACTGGTTGTCTCTTTAAACTTGTTAGCAATATTCCCCTTTCTTTCTCACCTTCTCTTCTTACTTTCCTTTACCTTTTTACCTCTTGTCCCATAAGAGGATTTTTAGATACTTTTTTTCACATAATTTGAACTGACCTGGGCAATCCAATATAATAAAGATATTGTGTGCCCAGAGGTCGCTTTATAAATTTTAATTTATAAAAATAATAAAAAAAAATGTTTAATCGTAATCTAGAAAATTCTGGAGTTACGGATGTCGTAGTTGTAGACTAAAATGTCGCAATTTTAAAAAGTAGCATGTAATTGATGAAGACTTAATGTTGTGCCTGGAAAAGAAATTCACTCTTATTCATCATAAAAATGAAACATTTTTTGCTTGGAAACAAAAAAAAAAGATACACCTTTTGCCAAAATGATGTCGCAAGAAAAAAAATCAAAGCGCCACACTTTTCTATAAAAAAAAACAATGCTGTATGTTTTTTTTTTTTTTTTTTTTTTTTTTTTTTTTTTTTTTGTCATTGGTTGATGAGTAGTTTATTAAATAGGATTACCCTTAAGCACTTTTTTCAAATGCGTTTACTAAGTGCACGGTAAAAACGCCTTGAAATGCTCGCACCTGCCTCAAATCAAACAACTCTGTAGAATATCTATAAAAATGTACTATTATTGCAAGCATTAACAAGAAACTAAAATTTCAAAGCAACGATTTATAGAACATTTTCATTTATTGTTTAAATAATATAGATGCAAAAAGATTGAAACTTCCTTTAGTTCTCAAAATAACTATTTAGTTATAATGATTAACAGGACTAACCACGAGAAGATAGAAGTTTATCTGATCTCCCCAAAAAAAAAAGTTACAACACTAAAAAAGATGTTATCGTCGACACCCACTTTTACGTGATTGGCAAAAACGACTGTAATAGGTCATTTGAGCCGTGCAAAGGAGCGTTCTTGTCTATCGTTTCCAGTGCCGATGTCCCTATTGCAAAGTAACTTCAAGATCACATTACTAGGCTCAGACTACACTATCTGGCTACTCACGGGCGATAACGTTAACGATAATGCACTATGTAATAGACCTCGGCACAGCAAAGAAAAAAAAAGAATTGCTGTTGTATGTATTTACATGTGAAATTATTTGATATATACAGACAGTCAACTGTGTATTTGACCACAATTAGTCAATTTTTTTTATGAACACAACAATCAACTATTCCTGTACATTGTATTAGGCTCATTATCTTTACTGAACATTTCTTAATGCGCTACAGAGAAAGGATCATAACATATTATAGTCCATGTTTGCATTTTGTACTTATGCCATCTAACAGTTGGCGTTACTTGAGACGAATAAACTTCAATCACCTCAAGGTAAATACTCTATTTTGACATGACAGATGAAACGTGTTTTGACTGTTTCAAAAAAAAAATACTATTATACACAACTTGATATATTTGTTTATGACAAGAAATTTTATCTGCCAAAGTGCTCTTAAACGTCTCAAGTCTTTTGATCAGTGAACTAGATAAGTTCTCGTTTGCTTTTGTGAACAAGAGGCACTGGAAGATTTTGTTCCTTATCAACAACAGATATGCTTATGCTTGTTCTGCAACTGAGAAAGTATTTTGCTTTTATTGTACAAAACCCAATACTATGATAAAAACACACACACATACACACACACACACATGAAGCACGTCTTCTTGCACGCTGTCAATTAGCACACCATAATAATTGACAATCGTCAACAGTGTACTTTTAGTTTTGCATTATTTCTACTTCAATTTGTTAATACGAACAAGAAGGTTATCTTCATTGTGCCTGAATGATTTGAATGGAGATTCAAATACATAGTAGAAGAAGATGAAATGAATCATATCACTATAAAGATCAATGGAGACAAGCAGCTTATTAATATTGTTGAAATTGTCGCTCCAGAACCAGTTAGAACACAAGTTGAGCGTGCAAAAAAAAAATGCGACATCATTTTGGCAAAAGGTGTACTTTTGTATTCTTTTAGTATTATAGAAAATGAGCAATAATCTTTTATTATGAGGCTGTAAAGGAAAACATTATTGACGATCCTTTGGAGAATGTCTTGATCAAAATCAACGATCCGAGACTAAGTTGAGGAATAACTAGACATACATAGATAGATAGTAAATGAAATATAAAGAAACTAGGGAGATTCCGTTTCAAATAGTACTAGAAATTGGAGGTATATTCTCACATTCCAATTGAGCTATTCTAGTCGGTCATAAGTTATCAGAGAAGAAAGAAGATATGCCCTCTAGGATAACTTAAATACGAATCACAATGCCCTTTATTCTTCATAGACTATTATTTATAAGCTGCTGCTGTTGTAGTTCAAGATGTCATTAACGATTCCTTTTACTTATATTCTGAGTAAGAGCCTTTTATTTATGATTGTTATTCCTAATCAAAACTACTGCCGAAGGGTTGAAAGATATTAGTGCGTTTAGTCAAAAGATTAAAATAGCAGAACTCTTTATTATGGTTATTCCTTACTGAAAATTTTAATTAGTACAGACCAACTAACTAGCAGTGAATTGGGATTCAATTCTTTATACTAAATTCAAGATATAAAAAAATATTTAATAATGTATGCATATAGTATTTGAATCAAGTAAGAAAGAAACCAAATAGAGCCAATTATACTCAAATTTGTGACTATATATGCCTTATCTTATTTTATCTTTCTACGAATAATCCTTAAATATTATAATCTTAGGCGACCTCAAAGCTTGTACTCTATTCTATATTTCTTTGCATATCAAGAAGTAAAATTCTAAAATGGATATCTCTTACGTCATAGAATAACTCTTTTTTTTTTCTATTATGACTCGATATAAAAGAATCTAACAGATCTATATAAATATATATAAAAGTGCAATGAGTATATTTATATGTCCACTTGAAGAAGTAGATACATGTCAAATCAAATAGTATCTCGACTTCTTTCACTCTTATTTTTTTTAATTATTATTTATTTATTTATTTATTTATATTCATTATTTGCATATTGGATATAAACATAGATTTATGAATTCACGCGTACATTTATAATTTTATGCACATATATACATAAATATATAATAAATATTGCTATTCAGTCTAACATGGATGTAAATATTGATAACTTAAAGAAAAAAAAAGGGAAACAATTATATATAGAAGTTTATAAACAACACTAACTACATACACATGTCTATAAAGATTGGAATTAATAGTATAAAACAGCAATAAATGTAATCGTAATGAAAGTTAAACTATATTCTGTTGTCGTAGATTTTAAAGGGAGAGAAAGAAATAAATAAGGGGAAAAAAGCAGTGGAGATGTCCCTGATTAGAAAAAAAAAAAAAGGAAAGAGGCATATAAAAAGCAAAAGAGAAGAAAAAAGACAAAATATATTATCAAAGCAGTTTTAAAAATGAATATTTTTCTTTACAATTCCTTTCTTTAATCATATACAACGATAATTTATCTTTTAACTAGAAAACAAAAAAAAAAGAAGGTGAATGTGCTATTATTATGTATATAGAGTAATTTATATAGATGACATACATGACATAAATATACATAAAAAGAGAAAAAAAAACTTTATTTAAATGTGTTATATAACATAGAGTAGGTGATATAAAGTAGATTGCATATATTTCTCTTTTCTAGGTTGTATTCTTTATATACATTTATACTTTCCTTGTCTACTAGAAAGTCTATAAGGATTAAAAGGAGTATATAGAGTTTTTTTTCCTTTATACATGTATACAAAAAACGTGATTAAAAATGACGAATATGCAACTAAACAAGCAAAAAAAAAAAAAAAAAAAATAAGGAGTGACCAATTTGAAATAACTTTTTTATTTTATAGGAGCAAAATAAATAAATATGTAATATATGCATGTATAAGCAGATAGAAGTAGATAGAATGAATACAAAACAGATACATGTAATATTTATAAATATATACTATGTATGTCTACAGCTATTTATATTATGAATATAAACAATTATAATTTACTCTACTTTGAAAAAAAAAAGTAATAATAAGAAAACAAGGTTCGTTTAGAATCGATCTCATGCAATAACTGGGCAGGCCTTTAACGCAATATAACTAAATATAGGCAACGGTCCCATCATCGATCGACACCAGTTTATAATTACATAAAAATAAAAAAAAGCCCTTAAAAAAAAACAAAAAAAAAAAAAAAAAAAGGAAAGAAAGAAAGACATACCTTTTCTCTCTCTCTCTCTCTCTCTTCTTTTTCTTCTTTATATAATGAATTCTAATAGTACGAATAGTGCTTCAGCAAGTTACTGTCTTGAGTCTCTACCAAGACGATCTTCTTTTTATCCTTCTTCTCATCATCAAAATGATAACGTTCTTTCACCTCCCCTTACACCTGCTGTTTCTCAACATCAGCCCTTTAATAATAAAAGAGATTCTACAGATTTAGCTGCTACTTATAATTATTCTCGGCCAACTTATCCTTTAGATAATTATCATCATTGGATGAATAATCATTCTACTATGCAACAGCAACTCTATCATCATCGTCAACAGCAACAAATTCAGTATCATCATCATCATCATCATCTTGAACAGTCACTACGTAGTCAACAACAATCTACTTCACATGTGCCTAATTCTCCTATACCTCCACCACTACCATCACAAAGACTTAATAATAATCTATTAACTACTACTACTAATAATAATATGAAAACGATAAATTCTATTACCATAACTGATAATAATAATAATACTAATAATACAACCATCCATAATAGTCGTAAACAACCTACAAAACAGAATAAACACCTGTGTACATTTCCAAAGTGTTTATGGAGTTTTAAACGATTTGAACATCTTAAACGGCACATGCTTGTTCATACGGGTGAAAGACCTCATGTATGTCCACATCCAGGTTGTGGTAAACGCTTTAGTCGATCAGATAATTTCCATGCTCATTTTAGGACTCATGAAAAGAAAGCGATGACAAGACAAGAGAAAAAGGTACAATCCACTACTCTTCCTCCTCCTCCTCCTCCTCCTCTAACAAGCATAAAGAAGGAGAATGAAGAAGAAAGAATGGAAAGGATGAACATAAAGCAAAAACAAACTACTACTAGTACTACTAGTAATAATAATTCTTCTCATTTTATATCTGATAACTTGTACAATCATCCTTATCCTCTTTTGCCTACACCTCATCATAAACAACAATCAAATACTCACTTTGTCAATTATAATCCTAATTTAGTAGTTCAAAATTCTTCTTCATTTGCTTTACCTTCTGTACAAAAGAAAAGCTTGATTGAAATTGAAGAAACAAAGAAGCCTCATGCTTGTACTCATCCTGATTGTGAAAGACGGTTTAGAAGATTAGAACACTTGAGAAGACATATGAGAATTCATACTCATGAGCAACCTTTCAAATGTAATTTCCCTGGTTGTTTCAAGGCCTTTAGTAGATCAGATAACTTGTCTCAACATCGTAAAACACATGAAAGACGTAATCATAATAATTCAAGATTATCAACCAACAAGTTAGTAGAAGAATCATTCTTACACCAACAACAAAACCCTCATGTTGTAACTCATAGTAATGGAAATAATAACGTACATGATTCCTTTACATTGGCTGAATTTATTCGTGATAATCAATATAATAATACCACTATTACTGCTACTACAGCAACAACAGCTAACACTAACAATACAAAACAACAGCACTCTTTATTGGCTTGGCAGCATCCAGGTGATACTTCAACAGAGAGTGTAGGATGTTAATTTATTTTTTATAAAACAGACACAACACAAGGCCTTATCTTCTTCCTTCTCCCCTCTCTCTTTCTCTCTTTTTTTTTTTTTTTTTTTTTTTCTTTTTTTTTTATTTTTATTTTCTTCTTCTTCTTTCATGATGATAGTCCCAAATACAAATAATAAAATAAAATAAATATAATAATAAAGAATCTATATACACGGTTTTTTTTTTATATATTTATATATATATATGTATATCTTGTATAGGAATATATTAAATACACTTTGAGTGTATACAAGTAATGTTAATCCTTAACACTGCCATCCCTAGGTTTATAAGTTATGCCTCTTCGTTCTAATTCATCTTCCACATCTTCAGGTACTCGTCCATAAACAACAATCGCATAAACTCCCTTTTCAAATTTATCTATTTACCAAATAAATAAATAAACTCCAAATCCTTTATCTTTCTCTCAACTTTTTATTTTTACCTATGCGTTGCCATCTTCCTACCCAACTACCTGTAGGCTCCATCAAAGCTATCACTCTATCCATAATGCATAAATACCTTTCTTTTTTTTTCCTTTTCTAGAATAAATAAATGAACTATTTACCCTTCAAATTTTGAACTTGTACATTCACCAACTCGATCCATGCTTCCTCTCATTTGTAAAATCTCTTCACAATTTTCACATCCATTAGCTCGAAATTGAGATGCATTCTATTAAATAGATGAATAAAAATTACTTAAACATTGAAAAAAAAAAATAAAAGAGAGAAATTTATAAACAAAAAAAAACCCCTCAAATAAATACCTTTATTAAAGAACATAGTAAACACGCACGTAGTTGCTTTTTATCAATAGGTAAGATTTGTGACATGATTAGAAAGATTATGAAAATGTTACTATTATTATTTTTCTTTCTTGTTGCTTTGCTTTTGCTGTGTTTAAAGAAAAAAAAAAAAAAAGTGAAAGGAAATTAAGGAAAACGTCACAATTTAGGTGACGCAAATAATAATACTAATAAAAAAGTTGAACTTTATTGGATTACCAATTTGCGCATTTATATTTTTTAAAATTGCCTGGATCAGTTCAAGAATGCATATAGAGAAAGAAAAAAAAAACCTTTATAGACGGAAAGGAAAAGGATAAAAAAGAGGAAGAAAGGGGAGTCTAAAGACAGAGTAGGCAGAACTAAAGCATCATGCTCTATCATGTCAACTTTATAGAGGAATCTTTGGATGGCAACCCAATGTATTTGCCAGTAAGCCTGCGTATAGAGTGACTTGGGCGGTTAAGAGAGAAGCCCGATTGAAAAGACACGAGATGGGGTCATCCTATACTACGCTAGTATTTGCTTGTCCAAATCATGTTTTTATTAATATCACCTACCATATAAATAGCCTCTTGACATTTTTCCATATTGTTTTTTTCTTTGTACAATTCTTTTAGTAGTTTTTTTTTCTTCTTCAATAAACTATACAAAGTTTTCACCAACATGTCTTTTATTATATTCTTTTTCTTCACCTTTGTGTACTTTTTAAAACACTCATAGGTCATTTGATCTTGATTATGTGAAGAGCACTAATTTGTAAACAAGAAAAATATTCAAAATTTTCGTAAACATGCATTTGTAAACATAAAGTGCACTCTAATTATGGATGTTTATCGTCTTGCTATTTAAAATATGCGCTGTTAAGAATATGCTACAGTAAGCATGTTGACCATACCATAGAGTCAAGTATAAAATTTAAAAGGAAGAAAGCAATTGTTAAAACTATAAAAGAAATAATATATATATATATATATATATATATTTATTTGTGGTTCGAATCTCTATAATCAATGATAGAATCTCTTATCCAACTGAGACATTTACTTAATTTTGATGTAGACTTTTTGGCTTTTTCAACTTCATTTAGAACGAGGCTGCGGAGCTGGGAGAGAGAGGCAAGAGTATTTCGAACAACGTCAAAGTCGTTCAAGTCATGAGGAATAAAACAAGATCGAATTTTAATCATTCGGTATATAGTTAGTGCCTTTAAGTCCATTTTTAAAAATATCACAATTAAAACCTACAAGTAAACAAATTTTAGAGCATTGCTTCGTAATAAATGGAGACAAACATATAACGCTTACCATAAACTAGTATACCAAACACCACAGGAGAATCAATACCAATGTTTACCAAACGATTCAATAAGATTTGCAGTTCAATTGATAATTTGAACCGATCATCGTTGGCACTACTGTTGGGACATTTCACCTCAATGACAAGGAAATCCATCTTTTGCTGTTTGATTGTGGTACTGTATTTTGTATCTGGCTTAATGAGGCTGCTTCCTTCCAACTTAGTTAAATTGCTAAGGTTAAAATGAAATAAGGCGATATTAGTTTTTTTTGTTAAAAAATTAGCTTCTACTATACAAACTCACCCAGCTTTACATAAATCACAGTTATAGCCGAAAATCACGTCTATAAAAGGATTGATTGATAGAGTTATATACATGGATTTATTTACAGCATTGAGATCGACCTTTCTAATGTATGCTTGAAGTCTACAATAGAATTTGTTTTAATAACTAAGTTATTTCAAAAAGCATATTTACTTACAAATTATATAAAATTTTGCAGCAAACTCTGAGGCTATCATTGCCCATGTGCTCCAAAACTATCGTCTCGGGCATGCTCATTTTCATTTGTCGCCAATTTCTATAGAAGTTTTCGTTAGTCATCCATTGCTTCATTTTAGTCATAATTTAAAGTTACATAATAAACATTATTGATCAACTCATGCTCCTTATTCGAGATTTGATAAAAGTATTCATTTAAATTAAAATCATTGAGAAGCTCCAAATAAACAGGGGGAAATGATGCGCCGCAGTTATATCCATAATTGTCGTTACCATCAAATAGGAAGGTATGATTTATGGCCATTTCTCCTAATTTACATAAGGTAGAAATTGATGATGCAGACTAAGAGAATGCTTTCGGAAACCAACTAAAATAGCACTAATGCCCAGGTCACCGATATTCCATTATCAAATATAAAATAGGTAAGATGCAGAAATGCGTTGTATTTTCTCACGTACCATAGGTTCTAAGTCATCAAGCTCTTCTTCTGATGTATCTGTATCAGGCTCATATGAAGATTGGAACTGGGAAGAGGTAGCTTCATTTTCAACTTCTGCTCTTAAGCGTTTGTTTGAAGCAATTGCAATGAAACGCTGTGTTTTTAGAGTTTCGATTTCTAAATGTCTTTTGGTTTTTCTCTGAATATATATATATATTAGGTATATGGTGCGTTCTATTTGGTCTCTTCAACTAACTCGTTCGCATTTTAATTCAATATCACCGCTAATGTATTTGCATATTTCCAAAAGGCTTGTTGTGGGTGTACAACTCTATTAAAATTAAAAAAAAAAAGGTACGCAAAAAGATTTAAAAAAGGCACAAATCGGTAATGTGAGCACGGTATTTTACAGTAGGATATAGAATATATTATTTTATTTTAATAAAGGAAATATATAATACACGTATGAATTTAATTATATTTAGAAGGAAATCTTTTACGTAACATAGCAATCATCTGACTAAACCACCAAATATTCAAACAAGTCGTTATAAAATTACCACCACCATAAACTATATAATCTATAATCATATAAGCTTGAATATATGCATGCATACATACAAATGAATATGACTATCATATCACTATAATACTTACATCTTAACGGCACGTTATCTTTAACTGCATAAACATCACCTATATAATTATACATAAATACGGCTTTCCTTGTTACAAGTATATACACTTACACCACATCTTATACGACATAATAGTTCCAAATACAATACGTGCACCAAAGAATGTCAACAGAAGAATGATACCGTTGATTAATTGAATTCTAGAACCAGTCCAACGCAATTTGTCCTAGTTTTTTTTTTTTTTTTTTTTTTTTTTTTTTTTTTTTTTTTTTTTTTTTTTGAATAAATAAATAACGTCTAGTAATATTATTTTCCATACATACCATAAACCAATGAAAATTAAGGAAGATTGTACTTAATTCATACATAAGAAAAATAGCTCCATAGTAGTTTACAAAAGGTCGCTAACATAATAAATAAATTAATAATAATAATAAAAAAAGCTACATAATATTTATATATATATACATATAATAAACCTTACAAATGAAAATAAAAACACAGAAAGTGAAGCAATTCCATGGAATACCATACTTATGCCCTGATATTTATAGAAATAAATAGCTATAATTGTATCCCATAAAAAGTAACTATAAATAACATGGCATTATTATTAAGTAATATGAACCCCATTTTTTGTCTTTTTTTTTTTTCTTTTTTTTTTTTTTTTTTTTTTTTTTTGGCTTTTACCCACAAGAGATTGAATAAATATCAGCTGCCCATCTAACATAACCAAACACTCGATCCTGATATAAAGTGTTATCAGAGAATATAAAGAAAGATCCTAATACAACAGCGATACAATGAACAGTAGATACAACATGGATATGCCAATTAGTTGCATTATACTATTATATATGTATATATAAAGGAACTTGAGTACAAATTTGTTCTATAACGTCGTTTTTTTACATATACTTATTACGCCTTTAAAGAATTGAAATGTCTTTGGGAATAATAGAGGTGAAAATATGCGAGATATTTCATAAATAATAGTAAATGCTAATGCTGATGTTAAAACAGTTTGCCAATGATATTTTAAAGTAGATAAAGATAATTGATCCAATACATTTCCCAATGTTGTTGATATATTCATACTAAAATCAAGTTTTTTTTAAAAAAAAGGGAAGAATAATAATAAAAAAAAAAGAGGGGCTAGAAGAAAGAAAAAAAGGAAAAACCAGTAGCAGAAATTACAATGATGAGCTTTTTATAAGGTAAAATGTTACTTTAACTTCAGATTAATAAAAAAAAAAAAAAAAAAATGCGGGGGCCAATACAGAGAAATGATAATGACAGCGTATAGTAATCAGCAGTATCACGTAATGTAGGATCTGTATTATGATATCTACTTTTCTCATGTAATATTTTTTTTTGATTTTTGCCTTGTTTTATTATGCATGTAATACTTTATAATTCTTATTATTTACAAACAATGTTACTGCTTATCAATATTATAGTTAAGTAACACGAAATTTAACTTAAAGTTAATAACCAATGATCTGTCCTTTGACTCCTGCACTATTTAAAACATTTATAGCTCCTCTCTCTCTCTCTTTTTTTTTTTTATGCAATAGCAGCAACAACTCCTTCTCTTTAGATTTAATAAGATAGGGTAGGGTATATAATAAAATAATATGATTATTTCTTCTTTGTCGCAGTAAATATTTTCCAACAAGCATAGCTATGAAAATCTTCAAATTCATCTAAAGCTTCTAAACATACTCTATCATATTCTTGTTTAGATAATACCTTAATTTCTGAACACCACCATCGTTTCATTGATTTAAATAAAGCCCTCATTTGTTCTTTATATAAATATCCATATTGCTTCTCTACTATGAGTGTACGTATATTATTATTATTATCGTGAATATGTATATACACTTCACTTTAGTTTATATTATATATGTGTATATGCTTACAATCTGTAGCTGGCCATTCACCAATAGGTATATCATATGTCTTGATTTCAATATTAGTAAACCCTGCTTCCTTTAAATAATCTGGTAATGAAAATGTATAATCTGGATTGACATCAATAGCAGATGCTGCTATACGATAATACTCGTTTACCTGAGTCAAAACTGGGCCTGGGTTTTTGAATAATAGGTCTATAAGAAATAGAAATGACGAATAAGATATTATATATTCATATACACATATATATATATATATGTATCATTATATGTACCATACTCAACTAGTTGAATTTGTCCTCCAGGTTTAAGTATTCGAAAGAATTCAGATATTAGTTTTGGCCATACTGTAAAAGGCACCACAGTAGCCACATCTCTTTGATAAATGAAATCAAAATAATCATTAGGAAATGATATAGGATTCAATAATATATCGCTATACTGAAATTGTATTCTCTGTTCAATAGATTTTGATGACTGAGTCCATCCTTCTTTCTCTGAAGGTGGTATGATATCTATACCAATAACTTGGCAATTTGGATAAGCTTGAGCCATCTCTATTGACCATAATCCTATATAAATTTAGAGATGATTAAAGAGAAGAATGATGCCATCTTTAAACTTAACCTACCTACTCCACATGCACTTTCTAGTATTCTTTCCGGATTATTTAATTGAACATGGATATTTCCATTAAAGACTAGCTTCAATACATAATGCTATAGGTGTATATATATAATTATAATTATAAACAGTAGATATATAATATTTATACAACGACTTACTTGTCTTGTTTGTCTATGTATATATGGTTATTAAACCTTTTTTTTAAAAAAAAAAAATAATAATAATTTATATTTGTATAAACAATACCTATCACGTTCATTTTCAGCACCATATTCATAAACCCATAATTCCTCTTCTCTTTTCTTTTGCTGACTATTCTGAATAACAGGTAAAGAATCAATTGTAGACATTTCTCTTTGATTTTTACTGTCATTAAGAGCATGATTGGCATCATCTGATAAAGATATTTCATTTACTGTAGAGCATGTTCTTTGCTTTAAAGAAGCAGCTGCAGAAAGAGATATCAGAGGTGATATATGATCTGCCAAGACAAATTGATATTGAGTAGGACTAATGATGATGGCTTCTTCTATCTTTTTCTTCTTCTTTTTAATGTAGCTATGAGGAGAAACAGGTGTTGGATATTCCCATTCTAGTTGAATCTCTTGATGTATGTGACAATGATTATGATTAGCATAATCCATCAATCTATCTTTACTTGCTTGATTACCCATCAAAAAGAATAAAGAAAAGAAAAATAAAAGAAAAACAAAAACCTTCTCTCTTTACTTAAGAATAGGAATAGAAAAGATACATTATTGTGTGTGTGTGTGTGTGTGTGGAAAAGGAACACAAAATTGTATAAAATATAAAGAGTCATGTGTGATTATATATGAAAAAAGTTACTTTATAACTTGAATAAATATGTATGTGCTTAACAAAAGGCAATTTCAAATAAGGGCAACATTGCAAACAATCATTTACTTTTTTTTTTCTTTCAACTCTTCTTTCTCTTTTAAATATAATCTAGTATAATATGTATAGGTCCTTTTTTGCTATATTAAAGGACAAATAAATATGAATCATACATATTAAGCTTTGTAGATCAATAACGTAAAAATATATTCGTGACATAATAAAGATCAATCTTTTATATCAAAGGATTTTATTATAAATGACAAATCATTTTTTTTAAAAAAAGTGAAAATAGTTCTATTACATGTGATATGACTTAATACATTATATCCAAATTTTTTATTTATATTTTCCTTTAACAAAACCTGAAGTCTTTATACATATATAAAAGTCTTCTGACCTTTACCAGTTTTGTACATTGTTAAATCACTTGACTTAGCTAATAATAAGATAGGGATGAAACTGAGATGATCAAAGGTATATTTACAGTAAAAGCAACGCCAAAAGGCGGTTTTATGGATCTGAAAGGGCGGGGAAGAACTTTTTTTTTTTTTTTGCTTATACTAGCTTACCTATAGGCATTGTTGGTTGGATAGCCTCATTCGTTATCAATTTTTTAAAAGTTGAGCCTTTAAAAAAGAATAATGCAGCACCAATTGAAAACGAAATAAAAATAACCAGAAAAGAAACAAGAGTTATGAAACAATGTTAGTATTCAAATAGATACGTCTTGTTGGTTCAAGATACTGTTCTATTTGGATGTTATAATGATCTGGCTGAGGCTTTAAATAAAAAAAAAAGTTATTGTTTGATCCGAGTATATGCGTCTGGTGTCTTTTACATTTTTATTTTACCATATCAGAGACGACTTACATCCTTTATCAAGGTTATAAAAATAAATATTTAGAAATGATACGATGTCTTATTTAATTGATAGGTCTACATGATTGAATGTTCATAAGTTTTATATTATTTACAAGATGTTATATACAGTATATGATATGATATTTTTAGTTTATATTCAGGTTTATAGCTTATCCTGTATTATGTAATTCATCTTACTTATGCTCATATCCAGAGTTTGTTCTATAACAGGTATAGGAGTGATTCAGGTATAATGTTACTAGCCGACCTGGTTCTTCGCTACACTCACAAGCCGTTGCCACCCTATCGAGCTATCTCTTGGACAGTTGCTAATGTGTGTTTCTTGGACAGATGCTTATCAGATGATGTTTTATACAATTCTGATCAGCAGCGTCTGCTTTTATTCTAATGAGAATAATTTTGTTTTTATTTTGAACAGCATTGCCTGCTTTGACTTTGATCAGCAACTTGCTGTCTGGTCCTGATCAACACGATTTGTCTTCATTCTTGATCAGCGTTGCTGACTTAAAGTGGAATTAAAATTGTCTGCTTATATTCTTATTAGCTATGTAAAAGTATTTTGACACTGAACAACTCAACTTTGATTTGGTCTCAAGGAGGTGACCAATTTTTTTTTGTGTGAAATCGACTCATTGTATACTATTCTTCAACCAAATTGACTCCCCTTCCCTCCCAGCTCTTTCAGATCTATAAAAACCACCCTTTGGTGTTGCTTTTACTATAACAAACAATAAATCTAATCTTCTACTTATATACATATTCTTTGTACAACTAATCAAATTAAGCTAAGCTTCTATAAAGAAACCTAAGACTATGTATTTTTTTTTAAAAAAAAAAAAAAAAAAAAAAAAAAAAAATAGTCTCCTTCTTAATATATAAAAGCTTATTTAAATATATCAATTTTAACAGCAAATCGCTCATTTATTTGCAACATTTATAAATTCCAATTTGCCGTTACACCACACTGCTGCCCCTTCTCTTCACAATTGTATATATTATCACAGTCGCGGGGATAATTCTATTCCCGGCAATATGCATTTCTTTTCTTTTAATTTCATACGAATGATAATAATAAGGACTTGTTTTATACTTGCTTACTGTTAGTTTTATTATAATATTTGTATATGCGGGGAACTTTGAAACTCTGTTCAAATAGGTCTTACAGAAAATTCTACGGTTCGGCCACAATTGTATAATTTTGGCAATTTGCTTCTTGTCATACGCCTCACGTTTTTACTGTTACTGTAGAAGATAAATTTTCACCTTTTATTTTATTCTATTTTTTTTTCTTCTCTCTCTTTTTTCTTTATTTTGATTTGATTTGATTTGTTTTTTTTTTATCTCTCTCTCGCTCTATCTATCTCTTTTATATAAATATAAATACTTTACATATCTTATTTTATAGTATGGCTAATGGGATTTTTAATATTTCTCCAGTTAAATTTCTTTCATCTATTCAAGATCATGTATTTACAGTGACGCCTTCTTTTAGAAATAGATTTTACAATAAGAGCTTGTCAAATAATAATGAAAATGATACTTTAATACAGCAATTCACTTTTAACGAATTAAATAAACAACAAGTTATTCCAGAGGCTTCTTTATTCTCACCTCCTCCTTCAACTACTCTTCCTATTGATATTCCTCGTCGTACCTCTATTAGAGACGAAGATGGTAAAAAAAAAAAGAAAAAATAGGAAATATTGCCTATGTGAGAATATTTAAGCTTATCCAATTATATAACTTATAGGATTAATACCCTCAAATTATAATCATCATGAATTATTTCCTGTAGCATCATCTTATCCTCCTGCCGAAGATTTATCCTTATGGTTTGATGGATTAGTAGTCAATTCCCCTATATCAAGTTCAAATCATTCACCTCATCGGCCTATATTTAATAATGATGATAATCCCTTAGTGGGTAGTCCCCAATCTCCTCTTCCTCCTCATGATTATCCATTCTTATCAAACACTACTACTGTCAATTCACCCGAGTTATCTCAGCTTTTTAGTCCAGTCATCTCTTCTCCTCAATTTATACTCGGTAGTCCTAATAATAATGATACTAGTTGTTATTCGCCTTATTTGCATAGTCCAACATCCCCCTCTCATTTCTTGAATAGCCCAACATCCCCCTCTCATTTCTTGAGTAGCCCAACATCCCCCTCTCATTTCTTGAATAGTCCACCTAATGGGTTTTTTCAACCAGACACTCATACTTATCTTTCACCTTCATTACAGCCCTTAGTCTCTACATCTTCACCTCCATCAAATCTTTATTTATTCCCACCTACTGTATCACGTCCTTGTTCTCCTGTACCTGATGATGTGATCTTGACTACATCTGAATTAAATGATTATATCCTATCTACATCTCCAAATAACAATCAAGACTTTTTATCTCTTGCAGAACAATTTACAGTCATTGATGAAAAGAGCTTATTAACAGAACAAGATGATATTCATAACACAATAAGCAGCATGACAGTAATGAAAACAGATCATCATTGTACCACAATAACGAAGACAGCGGCTTCATCTTCTTCTACTACTACTACTACTACTACTACTACCACTAAAAAAAAGCCTCTTCTTTATCCAATCACAAATAATAAAAAGAAAAGGTCCACATATCATAAAAAGATTCATTCTTGTCCTCATTGTTCACATACAAGTAATAGAGCAAATAACATGAGAGAGCATATTCAAATTCATAATCCAAATCGACCTAAACCATATGCATGTAAGTTATGTAATAGGCCATTTGCTCGAAAACACGATATGAATCGACATTATCTTTCATGTAAGAAATATACAAACAAATTATTAATAAAGCAACATGGATAATAATGGGAATCAATCATTTATAAATTTGTATAAAACTGTATATTTTAACAAACTTATAAATATATAAGGAAGCTATATACATGTATATGTTAGTTTGCTTTCCTGAATAATAGAATACAATTCTGAATTTAATTGAATTTCTTTTTTGTTTAAAGAATTGTATGAATTATGATAAAAGGGAGTTTTTTTTTTATATAATATATTTACCTGAAAAAAAAAATAGTTAGAGATATTCATTGTCACCATTTTCAGCTCTCTATCCTCGAGTTAGCTTAAGAGAGGAGGTCATCTTTCTTCTTTCCGCAACTATGATGATTACAAACATGTGACGTTTTATATTTATAGATATTACTACTAAAATTAGTTGGTTCTCCATTTTCTTTGTCTCTCTTCAAAAAAGTGTCTATTATAAGTTCTGAATAGTAAGTATCCTCCTTACCAAACCCTTATCTATTTTCTCTCTTTATTAACCCGACCATAAAGAGTATCTATTTAAACTAGTGACTTTGTTGCTGTTATGGCTCTTTTCTTATTTTTATTTATTCCTGAGCTGTGTTTCTTCTCTTTACTGTACCTTGTTCTGTTTTTTTTTAATAATAAAATTCATCTTCTTTATCATTTAGATCTTTAACGAAGTATATATTAAAGTCACCAACTTTAAAAAAAAAAAAAAGCTATGTCAAATCATTATTCAAATTTGGATGATGAAACTGTGTTTTTTTGATTTTATATAAAGTTAGCCAATCAGATGTATTATGTACCTTATAAAAAAGAAGTACATCACATGCCAAGTCAAAACCATTCAAATTTACATACTTGTACGACAACAACAACCACTTTCCGGTATATTTATATAGTCACGCGAAATAGGATAAGAGTCGTCATAGATTATTATTTTCCTCTTTTCTTTTCTTTTCTTATTTTTTTTTCCTCTCCTCTTCTTTATAGTAACATACATGGTAATACATATAAATATTGGGGCTTTTTTTTTTTGTTTTAATTAAATCTCTTTGATGATTTTATATTTCATCTTTATTAGGCTGATCAACTTACTGAAGAACAAATTGCTGAATTTCGTGAAGCTTTCACGTAAATTACCCCTTCCCCCTTTTTTTTTTCTTTCGTCATTTATTAATAATTTTTTTTCCCCTTTCTTCTTTTTATTTATAGCCTTTTTGATAAAGATGGGGATGGTTTTATAACTACAAAAGAGCTTGGAACTGTTATGCGTTCTCTGAATTTAAATCCTACTGAAGCTGAACTTCAAGACATGGTAATACTATAGTAAAACTAAAATAATAATAATAATAATAATATATTTTTTTGTAACATAGATTAATGAAGTAGATAGTGATGGTAACGGCACAATTGATTTTGCTGAGTTTTTATCCATGTTAGCAAGGTAATCTATTATGATTATATTTTGTTATGAGAGGAAAGGAAGGGTCTTTTCATTTTTTACATAATGATACTCATACATATTTATATAGAAAAATGAAGGATACTGATTCTCAAGAAGAAATTGAAGAGGCTTTCAAAGTCTTTGATAAAGATGGTAATGGATATATTTCTGCTGCAGAACTACGTCACGTCATGACTTCACTTGGAGAAAAGTTATCTGAAGATGAAGTTGATGAAATGATTCGTGAAGCTGATGTTGATGGAGATGGACAAATTAACTACCAAGAATTTGTTAAAATGATGGTAAATAAATAAATATGAATAGAATAGAGCTATACTGATTTCTTTTCCTTCTTTATTATTATTATGATAGATGTCCAAATAAATAAATAAACTATATATGCAGTTAAGCTGTTGTTGTTATATTATAATTTTGAGTGTAATTTTTTCGACATTGATTATTATGAGTAACAGATCCTATACCATCATATTATGTAATTAGTTCTCTATGTGTAAAAAAAAAAATGAATATTTACGGTCAAGTGGAGTCCATAAAGGATCTTCTTTAAATAATCTCATAGCCTTGATATAATTATTTTCATCTGTTGTGAATCTATGATAAATACCAGCAGGCTAACAAAAAAAGGTATATATAAATAGAATAGAATGGCTATGTATCTATCACTTTTTTACCAAAATAATCATATCGCCCTTTTCCATAAAGATACGGATCCAAATATCTTTTTCGTCACGTACATCAAAATAGCCTGAACCATCTAAAATATAACGAATTTCTTCATCTTCATGAAGATGCCTTTTTTTTGATATGATTCATGTTAAAATCGTGAAACAAACAAACATTCAGTCTGTCAATAAAAGATACTTTACTCTGCAAAGAATGATTTTACTTTTTCTTCGTAAATAGGACCCATCGCATCAGGAGAAACAATAATCTGGAATAAAAAAAAAAAGTGAATAAGAAAAAAAAATAGGTGAAAGATATATATATAAAGGCTCAAGCCATTTATTTATTACAGTATCTCGATTTTTATAATTTCGTTCTTTTGAAATCTCATCAATCTTGTCTAATGCATTAGGTCCTTCAATTCGCCAGTATAAAACACCTATTCTTTCAAGATCTTGAATTGTCTTTTCGATGCCTAAATCATGAGGTGCTCGTTGATCAGCAGGATCTTGATTATCATAAATATAAGCTCTCATTTTTATTTATTTATTTATTTATTTGATAAAGAAAGAAAGTAGTCGTTTGCTGTTGAAAGAGATGATTATAAATAAATAGATAAATAAATAGATAGATAGATAGATACAAAACTCCGAAGAACAATGACGGGAAAGGGGAGGGGTTGTTTTTATTATCTCCACAATTAATAATAATCTATCATTAATATGATTGGATAAAAAATCTTGGTTGATATGAAACCGAAAAAAGGAGATAAATTAAAAATCTCTTTTAATGATATGGGGTAACGCACTACGGATTAATTTATGTATGTATGTATGTATGTATATATGCATACATGCATGCATTCAACACAATAAGGAAGAAGATAGTATAGCCTTCTTTCCTTTCTTTCTTTTCTTTTTCTCTGTCTTGTTTTGATAATAGTAAAAATGATAAAGAAGACAGTAACAAATACATCGTCAATTTCATCAGTCATGAGTGATAAAGAAGAAGAAGAACAAATAAGGGTTGAAACTGAGTCTATTGTCGTTGATGAAAAAATAAGAGATGTTAAACAACTTGTCAAGTAAAGTGTATAAAGCACATCTATTAGGAAAAGATGATAATAGATTTATTAGGAAATTGGACAAGAGATTATTACCGTTACTTTGTATTCTTTATTTACTTAGTTATCTTGAAAGGTCTTTTAGTTATCATCATTCTAAAAAGGATAAATAATAACTTACTAATACCATTACTATTACTATTACTATTACTACTACTACTACTATTACTGCTGCTGCTGCTGCTGCTGCTGCTACTATTACTACTACTACTACTACTACTACTACTACTGCTACTACTACTACTACTACTACTGCTACTACTACTACTACTACTACTACTATTACTATTACTACTACTACTACTACTACTACTACTACTACTACTACTAGATCTAATATTGGAAATGCTAAATTAGGCGGGCTGGAAAAAGACTTGAATATGTCCAGTACAGAATATCAATGGGCATTATCTATTTTTTATTTCTCCTATGTTCTATTTGATTTACCTTCAAATATTATTATGAGAAGATGGCGTGCATCCTTTTGGTTAGCCATTTTAATGTTGTAGTGTATTTTATTTTACTTTATTTATATAACAAATTAGTTTTATATTTATATTTATATCTTTGTGTTTATAGCTGTTGGGGCATAGTAGCTACCGCTATGGCTGCCTGTAAAAGTTTTACTTCTCTTATGATGTGTCGATTTCTATTAGGTTTATTTGAAGCAGGTTTAAATAAATTATAATATTACTTGACAAAATTAAAAGCATATACACACACACACACACACTAAAATAGACTTCCTCTCCCCTTTTGTTGTTATTGTTGTTGTTGATATAGGCTTCTTTCCGGGTGTAGTTTATTTTATGTCATTATGGTATACTCGACAAGAATATGGTCGTCGTATTGGATTCTTTTGGTCATTTGGTAGTTTAGCGGGTGCATTAGGTGGACTGATTGCATTTGCTATATCACAGATTCAAACTTCTGCTTTATCTACCTGGCAATGGTTATTCATCATTGAAGGTGCTCCTACTATCATTTTAAGTTTATTTAGTGCTTGGTATTTACCTAATACACCAGAAACAGTAACGACTCGATTTTTAACTAGCAAAGAACGTGATTTGATTATCAACAGACTTGCTCAAGGTATATATAAATATATGTATATAAATATTTTACTATAATCAATTTACAATCCTTCCATACACACACACACACACTCATACATATATATACATATATGTATATGTATATAATAGATGCTGGTGATTCTTATAGTCATGCTTGGTCATGGAAACAAGCTTTATCTGTCTTTACAGATTGGAAAACTTATTTTTACATGTTCATTTATATTTCAGGGACAATTCCATTGCAAGGCGTTACCTTATTTTTACCTTCTATTGTAGCCAATATGGGTAGTTGGTCAAAACCTGTCGCTCAAGCCTTGACAATTCCTCCTTATTCGTTAGCCTTTATCATGACATTCATAGTTGGATGGAGTTCAGGTAAGAAAATCAGGCCCTTTTTTTTCTTTCTTTCTCTCTCTTTCTCTTTTTCTTATTTATTTATTCTATTTTAGATCGTTATTTTGAAAGAGCATTTCATATGATCGCATTAAATAGCTTGGCCATATTAGGTTTCTTATTATTAATCCTTTTGCCATCTAATGTAGTTGCTTGTTATTTCGCTGCATGTCTCGTAACAACTTCGGTTTATGCAAACGTAGCAGTGAAAGTAGCGTGGTTCAATAATAACTAGTAAATATGAAAAGTCTTATTATTCTTATTTTAACATGATTACTTAACACACTCCTCCCCTCCCCTCCCCGCCACTCCATCCTTCTCTTTCACTTAGTGGTGGCTTAACACGTCGTGCAGTTGCATCAGCTACTATAGTAAGTTTTGGTACTATAGGTGGAGCTATTGGAGGACAAATTTATTATGGTAAACATTTATATAAATATGTATGTATTCATATATTTATGTTTCTTTTTTTTTTCTTTATTTTTTTTTAAAAAAAAAAAAGATCCACCCTCTTATGTGAAAGGCAATACGATTGCTCTCAGTTTTGTAGCTTTACAAACTTGTCTTGTTATCCTTTTACGGCTTTTATTACAACATGATAACAAACGAAAACAAAATATAACTACTCAACAACAGCAACAACTAGAAATTGAACGCTATGGTGGCCCTGATTTAGTAGGGGATAGACATTATAATTTTAAATATATTTTATAATAAAATACATAGTATCATATCTTTATTTTAAAAGTTACCAAGATCTAATTCATCGTATTTAGGTCCTGTTTCCGTACGTGTACATTGTTCTTTACGATTTTGTAAGTGTAATAGGGTAGCATGGAAATGACGTCGAACATAATCAGGAATAGAACCTTCATGCTCAATAAGTGCAGATGATGTAGAAGTAGGTGGATGTTGATCAGGATTATCCATGTTACCCAAATTAGTATGAATTAAATCAATCAAACCATTCAAATACTTCACTGTAACCTATAAATAAAGAGAATAAAACAAGTGAATATATATAAATATAAATATATATATTATTAAATACTTTACTGCTTCATTGCCTTTTTCAAAATAATAAATATATCGATTCAGAATCTCTACAAATAATTCAACATTTGTAACAGGATTCATACAACTATCAGCAATCTTCAGTGCCTTTTGAAGACATTCAAGGGCCCTCTTTCCATCTCTGAATAAAGGCTCACTGTCACCTGTTGCCCACCAAAGATGGGATGATAAATAAACGCCACGACACTGATCTGGCTTTTTGAGTAGCTTGGAACTATGTAACGCTGCCTTTGTAATCAAAGTATCATAATGATCGACAGAAAAGACACGCGTTTGCTGAAGAGCGCCTACAATGCATGTTATTGCTTGGTATTGTGCTTTTGATTCTGAAATGGATTCCTCATAAATCGTAAATGCCTCTACAAAGAACTCATATGCTATCTCTTCAAAACCACATTCATCCGCACTTTGTCCTGCTAGTAAAAATAAGTGCAAACATGTGTTATCAGAACTAGAAGGACATTGATGATAAAGTGTCGAAATGACTTGATGAATAAAACGGAATAAGGCAGATATCTTCTTTTCCCATATTTCATCTTCTTCTCCATTATCCAATTGTTTGTAACGACGGGCAAGTTTGACGGCTGATACAACAAGTGGAGGGAAAGTGTAGCGGATACGATCACCACCATCACCCAATTGCTTTCGAGCCGCTGACAAAAGAAGAAATTGTGTGTCCTCTTGAGGCGATTGGAAGAGATGAATCATACGTGCCAAAAGACTTTGCTTTTCTAAATAATCTTCTTCGTATAAATCTGATTTTTGTTGTCGATAGGCAGTCATAGGAGCATCCTTTTGATCTCTTAATAAAACATCACACAATTCAAGGACACCATGAACGTCCTCGGGTATCTCAATTATTGTCTCATTTTTCAAAATGCTATTAACAACGGCATGACTAATAACCTGTCGTGTATTGAAAGGTTGAAGAGATAAAAGAGGTTGATAGTTAGCAAGAGCCAAGATATAAAGGACAGATCGATATTGTTGAATAGGTGCCAATAAGAGTGCAAGAAGATTTGCCTCAGTGGCTTTGGAATGCAAATCAGGAGAATCAGCATATTCAATAACTTTATCTTTAGTAAAGGCAAGAATCTGATCAACGTAATCGAATTTTTCTGGATAGCAAGACAAAGAAAGATTAACTAAAGAAACTAATAATGCAGTCAAGTCTTGAACAGTAAGATCAGGTCGTGCCTAAAAGGAAAAAGGAAGAAATAAGAAGATAATTTACAAAAATAAAATAAAATAAAAATAAATGATGCTTTACCTTGACAAGTTCAACAATTTCTTCCCAGAAAATAACAAAGAGTTCAACATCTTCAGGGATACCACGTACTTTTTTAATAGCTTCCTTATCAGTAGTTGTTGATTCCTCTTCTTGCTTATTCTCTTCTTCTTTTTCGTCATCTTCTTGTTTATCTTCTTCTTCTTCTTTTAGCTCGTCCTCATTCTCTTCTTCTTTTTCGTCATCTTTTTGATTCTCTTCTTCTTTTTCCTCCTCCTCTTGAGGCTCGATGCCTTGTAATCTTCTTTTACGTTCATTGGCAATACGTTGAACATTTTCTTCACGTGTCTTTTGTGACTCATCTTCAGCCTCGCGTGCTGCAAATGCTGCCAATCGATCAATTAACGAAATAATAATCTGTTTTACATTCACCTTGGGATGTAGCTGTGCAGTTGCTGCCAAGAATGGTTGTAACGTACGCAAATGGAAATCGTCTGGGAATACTTGTATAATGACTTCCATCAAATACTCTTGAGCAATTACATCACGACAACTTACAACTTGATCCAAAATACCTGGCAAAATATCCTAATCATATTTATCCACACACACACACATACATACATAAGATTTTTTTTTAAGAAAAAGGGAATTATTTAGCCAAAAATGTAAATGCTTATATCCTTATCTTTTTCTTTCTCTCCTTGAATACCTTTTTGTAAATGGCAAGATCAACACTATCCAATTGACTCAGACGTACTAAATTAGTTCCTACTAAAATACGCAACTCACGACGTTCAGCTTCTCGCTTTTCACGATCTCTAGAATGTCCTTGATGTTGTAAACGAACCCATAACTTGTTCATTTCAGTAAAGTTAGTTAGAATGAACTGTATGGATTCAAAGAGGTCATTTTCATCTGAGCTATTATCCACTGGCAAATAGTCACGCGTCATGCTACTTAAATAGTATCTCAAGAAAAGACCACGTATAGGATGCTGAACACCACGACTCATTTCCATCATGTCTCGCATAATTTCACGGACGGGGGCATCGGGAATGCTCATGTAAGCTGCACCTACAGTAATCATTAAATAAAGACGAGGTACAATATTTCCTGCATATTGAACAAGCTCATAAAGGTCGGCTAAGTGATGACGGCCCGAGGTATGGGCTTCTGTAAGAAACACAGTGAGATGACGCATAGCGTCGAAAATGGACATATCTTTATATATATAAAAAAAATTAAAACTGTTAGTTATTGAAAAAAATAAAATAAAATAAAAGACCATAATGCTATTTACAGAGCTCATAATAGTTTTTAGGAGTAAGAGCAGAAGTACGTAATTCAGCAAGCATGTTAGAGCAATGTTTTAACCCATCCATTAATTTGTTATTTTCCTATAAACAAACAATTAGATGCCAAAAAAAAACCCCCCTCCCCTCCTTCCAATAAAACCAGTTTCTGTGTATATGCATATTTGCTTACCAGACATTTCTTCATGAGATGGGATTGTACTTTGACAACATTTAAAACTTCATCGAGAAGCTTTGCTTGGTCCTCTAAGGGAGCAGGACTTAATAAAGGGTTACTCATTTGTTTAACTTATAAATAGAAAAAAAAAAAAGGAAGAAAAACAATGTAATGTAATTTGTGGTTTTGTATTTCACTGGCGGAGTACAAATGTAAATACAAAATAATAAATCATTTTACATGAGACTTATTGAAGAAGTAATAAATAATCTCTTTAATGAACATTGTATAATTAAATAAATAAAAATTACTTTAAGGGGGGGAGCTGTTTTTATTTATAATTAAAACTATATTTTATTTATACTTTTTTTTTTTTTTTATAAAAGTAGCTTCTTTTCTATTAATATAATTCTATTCATTTCTTTCTTTTAATTTTCTTCATACAAGTATAAATGTATATACATACTAAAATGTTAACTCTTCATTACTTGAAAAGATGTAATTCGTCTTGTGCTCAAAGATCCCGCTATTATACAACAATTCTTCAACAATTAAAATCTTGGGAAACTAAAGTCAAGCAACAAGCCGTTACATCTCATGATGACATTACTTGGTCTCCATTAAATTTACTCGCCAAGACTCTGAATAGCACTTACATGACATCTGTCGTGCCGCCCTGTTGGCATCACATCTATTTTCCATCTCGTCTCACTGAATCAGAACTAGCAAATGACGGTTATGATACACTATTTCTTCCTCCAAAGCCTTTTGAACAACGACTTTGGGCAGGGGCACGATTCCAATGGAGCCCTACAAACGTTCTGCAAGTAGGAGATAAGGCAATGATGAAGACACATCTAGATCACATGGATATTCAAAGACAAGACTCAGTAGCTGTCTGGATTAACAAAGACATTTCTAATGAGAATGGATGGTCAATGAGTGAACAACGATGTCTCGTCTATTTTCCGTCCACGATGACTCGTCGCCGTCATAAAAAAGGAATTCAAACCAATCGGCAACCCGAATTTAGCAAGATCATCACCCCCACTTCCATTTTATTATTTAGATATTCTGCATTAACGTTTAATTCACATAAAATACATTTTGATCATGAATATGCAACAAATATAGAACATCATCCAGCGTGTTTGGTTCATGGTCCACTCAGTGGCACATTACTTATGGAACTGTTAAGAGAGCAGACAAAGAGGCGTGTAATATCGTTTGAATATCGTTGTTTATCACCTCTCTATGTCAACAAGCCTATGATGTTGGCTGGTAAACAGTCGAATGAAAATGAATATGAGTTATGGATAAATGATGATTCAGGGTATTTGGCTGTGAAAGGAACGGTTAAAGTGATTGAAAAATCATTATAATTTTATTTACAAAACACACAATTGTTGTTATTAAAGTGAAGACATTAAATCTACAATGCTTTCTATAGAATAGAATAGAATAGAAAAAGATATAGATGTAGATGTAGATATATATACATATTTATATTAGATTATATAATTTAGTGTGTGTATATATGCATATCTTATTTACCTAATGACTGTGAACTATCTTGTCGCCTTAATGATCCATTAAAGTCTTGACAATTATTATTTATTATTCTATTTTGTAAACGCGGCGTTAGGTCTTTTAGACCTTTCAGCCTTCTCCACTTATTTGTCTTTCGAATATCATAATCTAATGTTAGATACCAAAATTCATTAAAGAATTCAGTAGGCAATTCCCAGCTTTCAGCCTTGGTTGGGTCTCCACCATGATATACAGCTCCATTTATTAACATGTTGAAACAACGATCATAATCTATTTGATTGCGAAACAGAATCATACGGTCACGCATATGCGGGGCTGGAATAAAATCGATACGTGGGTCATGGTCAGGTATAGCTAATTGTAAAGTAGTAGGGTTGAGATGTGAAAGGCCATGATCATGAATGGAAGTATGTGGTAATGCAGCTTGTGTTGACATATGAAGTCGTATGTATTGAATAGCTTCTTGACTGGAAACAGGGAGTACTTGCTTTATGTTGGATTCAGATGCTAAAATGGTTGTATTATTATTGTCTTGATGGATTACTGAGGGCTTTGTTGTTGCTGCTTCTATATCTGTTTTTGTTTCTGCTTCTGTTGTTGTGGTGGTGGTGGTGTTGGTGTTGGCGTTGGTGTTGGTGGTGGTGGTGGTGTTGGTATTGGTGTTGGTTGATTTTAAATTCGTGTCATTTTTAGTATAAGTATTTATATACGCTTCAATCGCATGTGGGCTCTCCACACCTATTTTATGTAAAGCCTCGGTTCTTAAATAAGGCATATGTTCAGGAATTTGAATATTATGATGCATACAAATAAACTGTAAGGTAAGCACTAATCCCTTCAAATACCAGTTTTCAATATTATAAATTTCGAGGGACTTCTTTACCGATTTGAGCTCACGTGTAAGACTAACACGTTGATCACGTAGCTGGCGTATTGTTAATTCAAGCTCTCGAATGTGACGCTCTTTACGTTCTCGAAAGGCTCGTTGAGCAGCACGGTTTTGAGCTTTTCGGAGAGCAGGCGAAGTAGGGTTAGGTTTCCGTCCTGGCTTTTTACGAATACGGATAGGTTGACCATCAGGTCCAATTATTGGTTGTTGCTGTTGTTGTTGTTGTTGTGGAGGCGAAGAAAGAGGAGGAGGAGAAAGATTAAAATTAGTTGACACTGGTGAAGATGTTTGAGTCATTGTCACATTAGTTGGTAAAGCTGAATTCATATTCGTGTTATCAGTATAGTAAGGTGAATTCATGTACATTGAACTATAAAATGTAGGTTGTTCAGTAGTCGTAATGTTACTTGTAGGTATATAATTAAGCCAAATGTCATCAATAGATGAAGTAAGATTAGTGCTATCATTAAGATTATTATTGTTTTGTTGATTCTGTTGCTCTTCTTCTTCTCGTTGCTTTTGTTGCATATAAGCATCTATGTTTGCTAAATAAGATTCCATTTTTAAAGAGACAATAGACAAAAGACAAGAGGAAAAAAGAAGTAATAAGATTAAAACAATTTTAGCTGGTGGATAGGTTTTACTTTTACTACTTTATTCTATATAAAACACTCTCAATCTGTCACTTTGCTGAAAAAATTGCCCCAATATTTGAATTTAATTGGTCAATATTTCGATCCCAATTGGCTAGATTTTTGAAGTCAGTTTGATCACCTTTTTGAAATCAATTGGTCTACTTTTTGAAAACCAATTGATCGCTTCTCAAAATTGAGTTGGTCAGGGTCAAAGCACTGTTATTTCTACAATCCCAAACTTAGCAATGGTCTTTGAAATGACTTTTTACCATGATGTAATTTTATTAAAATACAGTGGTTTGCATTTAACGTATTGTTGTATAGTCATGCAAGGATGTTGCACGACGTTAGAGAAAATGGACATTTCAAAAATCATCTTGTTTTAATAAAAACCACCTTTTCTAAGCCGGCACTGCGAAAAGTTGGCGTACGACGTATAGTACTTTTATACGTCGTACGCCACAATTTTAGCAGCGGTTTTTTTAATTGTTTATTTCTACTAATTTTTAAAATAAAACTTCCAAATAAAAAATATATTATGTTCAATATAATATCATAGAATAAATATATATATAAAAAAAAGACATTTCTATTGTTAATAATCATTATTTTTTTAATGTTTAAATTTACAGCTATTTTGGCTGTGTTTTTTTTACAGGGAGAGAAAAAGAAAAAGTAATCACACTATTTGCATTGTGAAATTACAGCAGAAAAAAACACTTTTTTTTCCAAAAATGGATCTATAGAAAATCATATGATCATAGGGAAAGTTAAGAAAATTACTAGCTTTCCACATTCATTGTTATTTCTTTTTTATTCTTTTAGATTAATACTTATTTACTTACAATTGTTTTATTTTCTGTAGATATTTATTATATTCAAGGTAGTATAAAGATTTAGAATATTCTTATTAACAAATTTATACTGACCAGTTTTATTTCTTTCTTAGCAAAAGAGTCCTGTTTATGTTGGTAGTAGCTTTTTCTACTTTTTCTACAGAACATTTTTCAATGATATATTAAAAGTAAGATAATAACTATTGTTTATATTAACACATATACTAACTTGTCTATTATCTTTAATCAAACACGTTTTAAACAGGTAAATAAATGTATATAAAAAGGTAAAATAAAACATAACATTTATCTGTTAATTCCAAAAGTATACTTTCTTTGTCTAATATAAGATATACCAATCTTATCTTTTATTCTCTTCTTTTAGGACTTTTTACCTTTTTTTTTTTTTTCAAATAGCTTTTGTCCTTTTTGAAAATCTTTTTTTTTTTTTTTTTTTTTTTTTTTGTTTTCAGTAAGCATTTTATTCTTTTGAATACCAATACTCTTTTTTATTTTTTTATTTACTAACTAATCAATTTTGTTTATTACAGATTGTTTGTTTGCTTCTGTTTAACTGTTATGATTTAGCTTCCTAGACCCCTATCATTATTATCTCGGTCTTTTTCTCTTATTTATTTGTATCTATTTACTGCGTATTTGTATTATTTCTTTTTAAAGATGCAAAGATAAGTATAATCCTATTTTCTATTATTAATTATTGCAAGAAATACTCTTTTTTTTTATTATTATTATTTCGAAAGCAATTTATTTTTTGCAATAATTCATTTGCTATATATACCATTATTATTATTGTTATTATTATTACTATTCTAAATGTAAATAAAGTCACATTTTATGTAAACAAACTATATGTTTATTTATAAACAACGTCCAATAAACAAGGCAATAATAAAAGCCTAATATGTATTAAATGTATTTTATAAGCCAATAAATAATAAAGATCAAACGTAAATAAACGTTATCTATTCTGCAAAATACTAATGATGGTTCATGTTTTTTCAAAGAAATAGCCAATCAAATGTAAAAAGTTATACGTTGTACGTATGGAGTACTATACGTCGTACGCGAGTACTCCATATAGTACAATATATATGCAGTACGCGCGTACGCTATAGTACTCTATAGTACTCTATACGTACGACGGACAAATTTTTTACAGTGGCGGTGATCAAAAGCTAAAAAAAAAATAACCGCTCTACCTAATTTTAATGAAATCGTGCACATTTGTAGCTTTGCCCATATTTACTTTTCTGAAGGGACTTATTCATCGTTTCGTGATCTTCCTCCAACAGTATCTATGACTTCTTTTTTATAGTTTTCATACTACAGACCAAAACTGCTCAATTGGATGAATAAGCTTTGAAGAGTATAATCGATATGGCTCTGTGTATAGTTCTAAGACTACTTCTTTGATCAGTTCAATTTCTCCTCTTGGAAACCAGATAGTATTTAAAAATACAAATTTTTTGAAAAAACTGGTGAATTGTCACCTGTATGGCTATTTCTTTTTGCCCAGTCTTAGTTTTCACAAATATTCTTGTAAGATCAACGATAAGCAAGATATAATGAAAGGGATACTTTGTTACAGTATCTTTTTAAATATGAGTTAAACAAAAATGTGCTTTATTTTTTTTTCGTCATCTTACCATCGTCCTGACAACTTTTGGAGAATCAAAGAGAGAGATCACCAATCTTAAAATGTCATCGCTAACAGAAACCCTTAATCAGCTACTCAACAAAAAAGTTTCATTCACGAGACTTTTAAAGAAGCGAGAAATTTAGGATCGTATCAATGCCGAAAATGTTATGAAAGCAGCTATTAGAAATTTGAAAAAGAAAAAAGATATAAACTGACAACAAGTACAAGATCTTGAAAAAGATTGGCAATACGTAAACGTTCACGCATAAAAATTAAAAGAGATGTAAGAACTAATTCGCATTATAGTTTTTAAACTCTACGGAAGCCAACGTATTCTTTGAGACTCAAGAATATAAACAAAACATAATATTGGAAAGTCTTTCTGAGATGAATTATAAATCTCGTGTAAAACGCGATTTTTTTGATAGAGAGGTAGGCTGTATCAAACTTCAGACTCAAATGTTGAAAATGATTTTCAAAATATAATTGTTATCTAGGAAGAGGTTGAATCATCTGGTACTGGCGAGAAGAAAACGATTAAAAAGGTCCGCATTAATGTAAGTAGAATTTATCCAGTACTTTTTTTTTGTATTAAATGAAAATTTAAGGCCAACGAAAGAGAAGAATCTGCCAAATCTGAAACATCATCGATCATTCAAAAAAGTATTTGGACGATTTGGGCCGATTTCCTGAACATGTTTTTTTAAAAAGAGGTTGATGATGTAGCAATTAACTATTATAGGTGGCTTAAAATTTATGAGTGATAAGAATAATGCTGATTTTTTCTCTAGTCTAGAGTATTTGGGTATCATTCAAGTTGGTGAAAGCATAGGAAACAATCAAAGTCGAGAAACATATCCAAAAGATTTAGTACAAGCTACTAATCAGTTATTAAAAAGAAGTTAGCAAGACGTTTTTTCCAAATTTGGCTCTTATTACAAGGACTTGTCATGGTTGTAAGATTTATAACTTAATTCAATAAGATAAATAGTCATAATAGAATACATAGTGCATTTGTATAATAATTCTCTCTATAAACATATTTAGTATATTTACCCTTGTATAGAAAAATAACTAATTAATAAAAAGTCTTACATCTAAAAATATACTTTCTTCTATTATTGTTCTGCTGAATATTAATTTATAAAAATAACTTTATACAAGTTAAACTGGGGTAAACTAAGAATAATACAAATACGCGTAATAATTGATTCTACTCAGAATACACGTATTAGTTATAAAAATAAATATATACTAAAGACATGAATCTATAATTATAACTCTTAGTAATCCTTCTATAATTATATTATCAAATACAATTTGTTATATTTTTATCTTCTTATTACTCATCATCCTTATTCACAAAATATATAAATACTCTTACATTATTCACCCTTATTTTGTATAACTCATAACTTATAACTAATAACAATACTTGTATTGAATTAACTTTTAATAAAACTTATTGACAAGTCTCAACGTACTTCTTCTGTCTTGTTTTCTTTCTATTTTATTTCTTTTATTTAATCCCTTAAACCTACCTGAACCACAACAGGACTGGTTTGATTCGTTGGTAAGCTGGTAGAAAAAACTATATTACGACTAATGACTAACCTTTGCAATAGTTTGTAGGTATTGATGAATGTCATACCTTATTGCTAAAAAAACTCTTTACGCGTCAAAGTTACAAAAGATCCTACTCTTACGTTCTGCTATGAATTTTTCATCATATTGTAAGTTATATTTCGTACGACTTTTAGTCACGTGCATTAATTTTATTTTTTTCATAAAGTATCAGTCAAGTTTATACATCATCTGAAATCACTGAAAAAGAATCAACTTATAATTTCAGAGTAATTTGGAGATTTCTTGATGTTATTAGAATGGTTACTCCGTATTGCAAGTTTATTCCTGGCGAAACTCGCGTTCAGGCAATAAACTTTGAGCTGAAGCGCCGAGGTCTTTCATTATCCCACTATTATAATGCTGATGGTATTCTTCTTGACAAAGATTTTGATCTGGAACTTGTAATCTTGGAGACAACAGGACCATTTGGCCTAAAAGATATCACACGTGAAACAACTGACCACATAAAGGCTGCATATGGATTATTGGCAATGTCACATAAAATAGCCTATTGTTATGAATATGCTGACGCCAATATTTTCAACAAGCTAAAGGTATACTTTATCCACGCTGCTGATGAAAGAATCCGTTTCCGGTCTTTTGGGCTAGTAAGTGAACAGCTGTACATTTTCAATCGAGTATGAAGTGCAGTGTTACCGATAGATCATACTGGCACGAAGAAAAAATTCATGGACATTACGAATATGATGTGGGAGCTTAAGGTATATGAATATTAAGACTTAGGGTTTTTTATTAACTGCATACTTTTTTTTTAAAGAAAATAGACCAGTATTGACCATTCTCATGAACTATTACACGAGAACAAAAGGTCCCATGAAAAAAACAAACAATTTATCGAGGAACACCTTTATGGTTATGAGAAGATCAGAAAATTAGAAGATTTGTTAGCAGAAAGTGCTGAAGTAAATTTGTTTCCTCGTGTTCCGGAAGCAGAAGATATATATGTTTTTAGCTCTCCCCTATGCCCACAATCTCCAGAATCCTCACAATCCGCACAATCCCCTTATGATGATTAATACGTAGGCAAATAAATCTCTCTCTTCAAATCAAACAATGCAAAAGAGGCAAAGAAGTACTCAAATATATTTGTTTTGATTAGCGACAAGATAAAGAAAGAAAAATGAACAGAAGACAAGTCTGTGAAAACTTTGTATAGTTTTATTAAAAATAATACAAAAATTGTACAACGAAAAATTATATGAAAAATATCGATGGCTATTTATATGTTTTTACAAGATAAGCAAATTTTACTATAATAAAGTGTTTTACATAAAATATTGTTTCCGAATAGTTCTGCGAGCAATAAAATATATCTTTATTCTTTTTTTCTCCCTAAGTTGTCGCCGTTCCTAGAAGCATAACGAATTATTATCAATGAAATGAGCGACGCATCAATATTAATTCTCAGTGAATATGCTCAGCTGCAACAATACCAATTATTCATGAGTTACTATCATTATCATTGTATAAGATTTTATTGTATAACAATATTCAATATTATCAATATATACATGATATGTATTACTCGTGGATAATTATGTAATTGAATACACCAGTCATAATCCTGTTTGAATTATGTATATAATTATTATTAGTGCTCGAGCATTCTTACAATAAGTATTATTAAAACTGAGTGTAGAATGAATATTATGCCGTGAAGTACAATATACTAGTTTTATATGAATAACCTCTTTATTATGTAATAAATGATGGTTTATTTCAATTAACTTAGTTATAAAGACGATTGCAATCATAATAAATGCAAACCACTGTATTTTAATAAAATTCCATCTTCATGGTAAAAAATCATTTCAGAGTCCATTGCTAAGTTTGGGATTGTAGAAATAACAGTGCTTTGACTCTGACCAACTCAATTTTGAGAAGCGATCAATTGGTTTTCAAAAAGTAGACCAATTGATTTCAAAAAGGTGATCAAACTGACTTCAAAAATCTAGCCAATTGGGATCGAAATATTGACCAATTAAATTCAAATATTGGGGCAATTTTTTCAATGGAAATACTGTAAAATAAAAACTGCGCAAATATAGAAATTTCAATATAAATTAGCGCTTTTTATTCATTTCTTAGCATAATATGAAAACTTTTTTTAGTAAATAACAATTTTTAATTAGCACATTTTTATTATTCAAATTCGCGTATTTTTCTTTTTAATTAGCTTTTTTTTTTTAAATTGAGGTTTTTTTTTTAATATTGTTAAAGGAAGTATTAAACATTATTGAGAGTACTGTGATTTTAGTCGTCGTTAATCCTCCTTCCTGCAAATCGTTTTCAATCATTTGCTTTTCTTTTCATTTAAATAAGATAAATAAATATCCATTACCACTAAAAAACGTTTTCATTCAAAAGACCAAACAATATAACGTTAGTGAAAAAAAAAAAAAAAAAAAAAAAAAGCACAAAATAGTGAGAAATATTTATTTTTCTTTTAAATTTGTGATTGATAATGACTGAAGTACAGACAATAATAAGATTTGATTCAACAGTATCTAATGCTAAATAGAAAAAAAAGAAGTGGCTTAATTATTGTAAAGGCAAAGGAGTTGGAAAAAAAAAAGTAATATGCATTTGCTCTCATCAGGTGACATGAATGATTTTATATGTACTTTTTTTTTTTCAGAAAATATAAACAAGTACAAAACAACAAACATTTTTTCTATTAATTGAGCTTGCAGTAACTGTTGATCCTAGACTTGTGATCGAATGTCTCGACTGAAATTAAGTTTTTTTTTTTTTTTTTTTTTTTTTTTTTGTTGAATTTATTAGTAATTGAGTTACAAAGGTTATGTTATAAGTTACCTAATGATACTGTAGCTGGAATGATTACTGAAGTTATACTTGTAGTTGTTGTAACAGTAGAAGTTAACGGTATACTCTCAACAAAACGATACTTTGTAAGCCTAGTAGTATAAGATAACTCATATTTTAGAGAAAAATGATATATGTATATTCTAATATGTATTAATATTATACCATTTATCATCAATACATTTTTGGTAGCAACCAGTATCTTCTTTGCATGAAGTAACACAGCCATACTAAAGAATTAATTGATGATGTCAAACATTCTATGGTAGTAGTCGTATACCACATTGATTCACACAAATATAATCATCTACATCACAGTCATAACTGGCCAACACATCATTGATAATAAGGGTAGAAGTAGTTATTAACAAACAAAAAACAAATGATTTTATTTGAAACATATGAAAAAGATAAAACAAGAAAAAAAAAAGAAGTATATACTTGATAGTTATTTCTTATTATACATATACATATATTCTGTAAGTTAGAGTAATTAATTAAATAAATGCATGCAACATAGGAAAGTTTAAGCTAATCTGGGGTAAAACTAACCTAAAGGGAGTAAAAATATATGTTAGCATGTGAAAAGAATGAAGAAGATAAGTGGAGGAAAAAAACTTCCAAATTATAAAATTGAATATATTTAAAATTGATTCTTAAAGAGAAAGTATCTATTGGTAGTAGATAGAAAGATGGAATCTATTTCCTACAAAATATAAATGGCTTCTTCATGTTCTTTATTTCCTCTTTTTGTTTTTTCCTGTAACTCTACAATTTACTTAGAAGAAGGTGATACAGTCAAGTATATTTGTATATTTATATAAATGTGTGTGTGTGTGTGTGTGAAGACTAACAAATAAATATATTGCGGGAATAATTTTCCCTTTTTTTCTCTCTCTCTCTTAAACTATTATTAAGAATTTCTTGTTCTTTTTTATTTATTTATTTATTTATTCTTATTCTTATTCTTATTCTTATTCGTCTTTGCTTTCTTTATCCTTTATATGACAGAAATTTCATTTGAATATTTTGACCCTGAATATGAACTGGGAAATTTAGACAAAAATGGTAAACCTATTAAACCTCGTAAGAAGCCAGGACGGAAACCAAATCCTCCAACACCTGCTCAAAGGAAAGCCCAGAATCGTGCCGCTCAAAGGGCCTTTAGAGAACGTAAACGACATGAAATGTTAAATGCAGAAATAAATGTAAAACGATGTTTAATTATGCGAGATCAAGCTTTAAAGAAAGCACGACGTTTGAGACGCAAGTTAGATGAAGTAATGTATGAAAACAATTTTCTAAGAGGACAAGTACTCACTTTAAAGGTAGCTTGTATGGCAAATCGAGTGAATGTGCCCAAATTTTGGGACACTGGAAAACGAGATAAAATGGGTTCAGATATAACAACATGTTCAAGACATAAAGGTATACCGCAGTCTATGGAATTCTTTTTAGATCGAAATGGAAAGATAATTACAATGGAAGAAAATGCTTCTGCATGCTCTACAGATAATAGTGATTCTACAACTCAACGAACTCCTTTTGTTTCCCCAGAGAATAACCATTCACAAACAACTTCAGATGATGATGATGATCCTAATAAAATGGATATGATTTTTTCTCTATTGCCACATACCTCTCCTGAAATTCAAACTGATTCTTATACTACAAAACAATCCAACTATAACTATTCTGATTTTGAACAAGTTGTAACCAACATTCTTCAAAATACAAATGCATCGCTGGATCCATCTTTAATGCACTTTATCTTTGAACAACAACCAGATATAATTACAGAAATGATTCAAACAATGAAGGATGTACCACCTGAACTTTGGCTTAGTATGGTTCCACCTGAATTTTCACCATTTATTCCACCTGAAATACATTCTCTTTTAAATAACTTTACTACTACAAAATTGAATTCTTTTTCAAAGGATAAACTCAATAATTTACAAACGGTAAACGATATATCTTCTTTAACATCACCGCCCTTATCTACACACCATCTTCCAGAACAAGAGCTTAATATTTCGGTTGATAATGATTTCTGGTCAGAGGCTAGTACAGTAGACCACGAAAAAATTTATGTAGCCGGACCTATTGCACCATTAGATGCTGTTAAACAAATGCGTACCATGCGAGAACAAAACGATAATCGATATCTTCTTACTCCAAGTAAATAAATATATATGTATAGATATATATATATATATTGAATGGTATTCATCCTTTTTATATATAGCCGAACTTCAACGACGTATTCCTCATGATCCACGTATTGATTTAATCCCAGGTCCTACTATGCGCGATTATATGATTATCTTTCAAGATTTTTACGATACAAATGAACTTTTCAGATTTTTACTGGAGTCTGCTGTCTTTATAGGAGGTGAATTAGGTAACCCGGATTGTTGGTTTGTTCCTCCAAGTTTTATTGCAAAATACTGGTTTCTATGTCCTAATTATAAACCAACAAGACCAGATAATTCAGTAGAATTAGCTGTATTTTTCGCAGAGAGAATGCTGGATAGTTTAAAGAAAAGGAAGGCTATGTATATTATGAGAGATCATTATTCAGATTATTTTATGCCAGTGCAGCAAGATGATGTAGAAGTGGATGATGATGATGATGAGAATGATGATGATAATGGTATGTGTAGTAGTGATATAAATAATGAAGAAAATACAAACGAAGAAGAAAATGAGAATACAAGTGATATAGTGTCATTACTATTAGAAGAAAAAGATGATAATATGCGTATTGGTAAGTTATAGTGAATAAGATAATCAATTCATAAGCTCTTACCTTTTTTTTTTTTGTAGATATACTTGCTATAAATACAATTAATAAGGAAGATATTCCTCGTATAACCTCACCTAATGTATTTACAATATAATTTAATAAATAAAAAAAAATAAAAAAAAAAAGACCAATTTAAATTTAAAAATCTGGCTAATTTTTTCGTTAATTTGACTAATTGAGGGTACACCTTTTGCCAAAACAGTGTCGCTGTTATCGAACAAACTCTGGATATAAGCATTGATAATACTATAAACGATGAATTACATAATACAGGATAAACTATAAGCCTGAATATAGAATAAAAGATATCATAACTTCCTGTATATAACATTTTATAAATAATATTATATAAACCTTATTGACATCCAACCAACTAAATGTGTCAACTAAATAAGATATCGTCTCATTTCTAATTTTTTTATTTTTATAACCTTGATAAAGGATTTAGTTCGTCTTTGATCCAATAAAATAAAAATGTAAAAGGCATCAGAAACCTACACTCTTTCTAGTTGTATCTGGGGAGGATGAAGTTACTGGAGCCAATGGAAGTTCAGGCTTGTCCAAACAGCTGTTCAACCAACAAGTATCGTCGTCGTCATCGTTGATATCGTTAGTGAATATGATATTCAATACTTGTTTGACAATCTTGCAGCAAGTCCAGCATGTAAGAAGCCCACAGTTCTAACAGAAGTTGATCTTTGATCAAAATTTACTCTCTCCAACAGGCAATCTAGCATATTCCTGAGAACACGTGGTAATTTGTAGAAACCTTCGTTTATGAACTTGGTTCCTACAGTATCTTCATCCTTTGCTCCTGCCTCACTTGCTCCAAACTCGTAAGGAACGGAATGGCCAACATCATACATCCTAAATACGAGATCGTAACGGTGACCATATGTCATTCTAGGCGTAGCCTGCAACGAACTTATTGCTCTGTCCTTACTCTTTCTCTTTCTTATGGCAAAGCTATGAGGCTTTCTAATCACAGCTTCCAACCCCTTCACTGTATCGAAACAAGTTTCAATCATACTCCAGCTATGGCTCTGGTACCATGCTTCTTTGTGCTTGCAATCCAGATTACCACTTTCATATTCGCGAAGTAGGGAATAAACCGTATAAATGACCCAATCTTCCTCTGGGTCAAACGCCTTACTGAAAGTATTGTTATTCTTCAATACTTCTGAAGTAGACTTATTGAATTTTGTTCAAAAAGCGCTTGAAGTCTTTGGATGGCTGTGGACGCTTTTGCTCCTTGTATTCAGCAATTTCTTTTAATTCTGCATGTGTAAACACATTGTACAAAAGAAAGTTCTTGTCATCAGGATCCATCATAAGCGATCTAGCAGGATGATCGTAATTGCATTGTAAGCCAGATAAAAACAGCTCATCGTCAACACACTTACCAGTTGACAAATACCATTTCTTAGATGAGTCAAACTTCTCAAAAGTGTTCCTCAAATTTTAGGTTATGCTCTTCAACACCAGTCCTTAATGCACCAATGTTAACTGAATTAGCAGCAATGTTGATATTGGTAGCAGTAGTATGATCTGCACTAGTGCTAGTGATAATAGCTGAATTACTAGTAGCAGATTCTATACTTTCATCTTCCATTGCCTCAATTAGTCTTGTAACATCATTATTTTATGAAGCGCTCATTGAGATATTGCTTGGTTGCTGTCATGGTTGTAAGATGTATAACTTACTTCAATATGATGAAATAGTCATAATAGAACATATAATGCACTTGTATGATAATTCTGTCTACAGACATATTAAGAAGTATATTTATTCTTGAACAACAAAAGTCCTACATCCAAAAAATTTATCTTGTTCTGCTAAATACAAATTTATAAAAATAACTTTGTAAGATAAACTAGAGTAATACAAATATGCGTAATAATTGATTCCACTTAGAGTACACGTATTAGGCTATAAAAAATAAATAAATATGTACATACAAAAGACATGAATGTATGTCTATAATAATTCTTGATGTTATAGTCATTCTCTATCTATCATTGTATTATCAAATACAATTTGTTATATCTTTACTCATCTTCCTTATCCACAAAAATATATAAATACTCTTACATTTTTAACCCTTATTTTGGTATAACTGGAATTGAACTTAACTCTTAATAAACTATATCAACAACTCTCAATGTACTTTTTCTGTCAGTTTTCTTTTATTTCTCTTTTTATATTTTATTACATTCTTACCTGTAAACTACAACAGTTAATGTAAAGAGAGAATGTGTGCTCAAGAAAGATACACTTCCTGCTATTATTGCGAATGCTAGTATCAAGGTACTGCCTTCATCTTTTGAAGGATTTGCTCCTTATTTTGTGAAGCGTTTTCAGGATTGTCTGGATGGCCTTTTAATTTAATTAAATCAATGCGACACCTTTTTTTTTTCTTACAAAATACGGCACTCTTTTTCTTATACATGCGACACTATTTCTTTTTCTTTAGTGCGTCATCTATTTTTTTTTTTTTTTTTTTCAAAAAGTGCGACACGGTTTTGGCAAAAAGTGTATTTTACTTCGGTGTTTTATAAATATAATTTAAAATAAGCATCTAATGCATAATTCTTTAATTTTCTAATTAACTAATTAAAATAATACTTCCGCATATCGACTTTTCTTTTTTTTTTTATTTATTTATCTTTATAACAGTATGCGACCTTTCATATTAGTTTCTTTAGTAGGAGTCATCTCACTATTAATAACGTCTATTTATGTAGTAGCTAGGCATTCCTATAAAAATTATTATTCACAGACAATAGTTTCATCAAACCTAAATCAAGAAGAATTTAATCCTGACAATGTTGATCAAAACATCATTATGGGTTATATGGGAAACAAAATAGAAAAGTAGTAATCAGAAACACTAGTTTTTTTTTTTTTTCTTTCAACACTTTTATGTTAAACCATATATTATTTAGAGCCGAACTTGGTAGAGCAACTTGGAAGTTTCTTCATACAATGATGGCAAGATATCCCGAAAAACCAACATCACAAGAAAGACAAGCATTACACGATTTTATGATGTTATTTTCAAGATTATATCCCTGTGGTGAATGGTAAAATGACAAAGACAAAGAAGATCTTTTTTTTATTTTATTTGCATACTAATGCTTTCTTTTATTAGTGCGACACATTTTAATAAATTACTTTTAAAATATCCACCACAAACTTCATCTCGTTTCGCTGCCTCTCAATGGCTATGTGCGATGCACAACATTGTTAATGAAAAGCTTCATAAACCCATTTATGATTGTAAAGATATCGACTCACAGTATCCATGTGGATGTGACAATTCAACAGCTATAAAATAAAATAAAAATGCTCGAATTTTTTTTTTCTGTTTTTATTATTATTAACAATGTGTTGGGAGGGAGGGGGGGTATTTTTCTTAATGTTGAATTTTTGATTTCATTTCATATGTGTCATTGTTTAAATTTACAATTGTATTTGTTTCTTCTTGTTGTAAAAAGGTTGATGGATGATGTATACTTACAAATGATTCGTTATCACTTGTACTATACCTTGTTGGCTCATTGCTATTGTTTTCTTCATCTTGTGATGGCCGTAATAATGTCTCCGCATCTTCTTCCTCTCTATTTAATCTTATGTTTTTGTTGTCTGACTTGTGCTTAATGAATGTATCAATAACCCAAAATTGCATAATATTCATAATCAAAGGAAATCTATTATTAAAAAGATATATATATATATGGTTAGTTAATTTAATCAATTAATCAAACTGAATCGTAATTCATATACAACTATATATTTACATTAACATGACAAAAACGACTTGAAGTTTATAATTGCCTACTGTCCACTTCAAGACCCAATCACCAAAATCCGCAATCCAGGGACATATATGAAATAAAGCAACTACAATGACCTTCATGATAATTAAACTTATAATGTACACACAGAGTTGTTTAGCCCATTTCTTAAGTTGTTCTGTCAAGGGGGGATCGCCATAGAGTCCACTTTGAAACCCCAATAGTCGTAACTTATTTGTTAGAATGTATTTGAACCCAGTTAAAATCAGCCATAAAATCCCGATGCCCAAAGTGGTATCCACTAATATATTCAGAAAATACCTAAGAGGCAATCATCATCCATCCCCATTGAGTTAATTTAATCATTCACTATGATGAGGCTTCTTCACTTACCATACACATGGATTTGCCTTCACTCCGTCTTCTGGCTTTATACCAAAAAAGACAGCTGCCACTACATTTAAAGAATGGATCATTATTCCGCCTGCCAATTGTTTACTGACATCGAACACCCTATAAATATGTGTATATATATATCAGTATACATGTAGATAAATACAATATTTAACTTGTTTCCAAGCATTATACCAAATTCGGATAGGTCGTTGTGGTTGTTCTCTTTGTCGTTTATAAATCAAAGTAGAAAAGGCTATAGTAGCTAAACATAATTGAATGAAAATACCAAATCCATCCATTAATTGACATCCTGCCTGAGGATCTTCTTGTTCTGGAGGTGCTCTAGATTTTAACATTATATTTTAAATAAATCAAAATGCTTAAAGCCAATGTCTAAAGCAAAGTAGAAAAAGAAAAAAAAAAGGTAAAATAAAGAAAGTTTTTATTATTATTGTTGTTGAATAGAAAACAGTTGTTATAGATATTTTCAAATCCAGGTCATTTTACTGGTTTTTTTTTTTTCTTTTTTTTTTTTTTTTTTTTTTTCATTTGCTGCGAAAATGACATTTGAAGAGGATCCATATGGAGCAATCAATTTTGGTGAATTTCGAAAATACATGCAAAACAAGCAATCTAAATTGAAACAGCAGCAGAAAGAAATGTGAGTATTTATACATTGAATTGATCTTATTTTAACATTTTTTTTTTTTTTTGTTAGAGGAGATCAAGCAAGTCAGGAACATCCACACATATTTTCAGGTACTTCTATTTATATAAACGGTTACACTTACCCTCCAGTAAGCGAGCTACGTACAATGATTCTCCAACATGGTGGTGATTATCAGCATTATTGTAAAGTGTTATTCTATATAAATATAAAAAAAAAAAAAAAAAAAAAAAAAAAAAAAAAAAACTGATTTTGTACGCTGTGTAGTAAAAAAATCGAGTGTTACACATATTATCGCAACTAATTTAACAAATGCAAAATTGATTGAATTCAAATCCTACAAGATTGTCAAACCAGAATGGATTGTCGAGTCTATTAAATCTCAAAAATTGCTACCATGGCAAAGATATCGTCTTAGTTTAACGTCGACTAATACAGCCCAAAGAGAACTTCCATTTGTAACGACAACAGAGGATATAACAGTAAATACGGGAGAAGCTTTAAATCAAGCAATGTTGGCCAACTCAAGGTCTCGTCAGTCAAGTACAGCGAATCCAGATTTTATCAAACACTATTATCAGAATTCACGTCTACACTATCTTTCAACCTGGAAAGATGAATTAAAGAAAATTGTAGATGAGTTAAGAAAAAAGGAACCACGAAAGAAAATAAGAAACAAAGACTATGATCGTGTTGTCATGTAATAAGGCTATCTATAAGAATCTTTTATATATATATATATATAAAAAGGAATAGCATATAGCTCATCATGTTTCCCATAGGCATGTTGATTTTGATTGCTTTTTTGCTTCCGTTGGTATAAAAGATAGGCCTCACTTAAAGAACTGTCCAGTAAAAATATATATATTTACAAAGATAGAAACCACTATTGTATTCATATATGTATTCTATTTAGGTTGCAGTGTCTCATAGTAAGGAAGCGAATGAAAATTCTTTCAGTGACATAGGTATGCCTATATATAACAAATAATAAAATGTTGATATATAGAAATCATATTGAATCGCATACATATAGCATCTTGTAACTATGTTGCTCGCTCCTTTGGTATTCGAAATGGAATGACGTAAATATCATGTTTATAACAAGAATATACAATACTCAATTTTTTTTTTTTTTTTTTTTTTTTTTACATACATGCATATATAGAATTGGTGCGGCTAAAAAGCTCTGTCCTGATCTTAAAGTGATACCGTAAGAAGAAAAGAAAAATAGATATTACACTATTTACAGGGGAGACGGGAATGATGTTATGCTAACATGAATTTGTTAGATATGAATTTGAAAAATACAAAACTATATCAAAGACATTCTATAATGTAAATAAATATAGATAATAGAATACATAAAGTTTAACTTGGATATATAGATTATATTTCAATATGCAGATGAAATGCAAGCAGTCAGTGTAGATGAAGTATTATTAGAGGTGGGATCTCACATCATAAGCCCTGGACAAAAAGAAGCATTAGCTATAAAGATTCGAAAAGAAATAAATGAGGCAATAGGATGCGAAGTAAGTATTGGTGTAGGACCTAACATTTTATTAGCAAGGTAGGTAAAGCAACACATTATAATAGTATGATTCAATGAAGTCATTTGTTTATATATCTATATAGATTGGCTACAAAACGAGCTAAACCGGCCGGGTATTTTATTTGTAAAACTACTCAAGATATGGAAGAATTGTTATCGAATCAGTATGTCACTGATTTACCTGGGGTAAAAAAAAAAAAAAAAAAAAAAAAAAAAAAAAAAAAAAAAAAAAATTGAAATGCATATTGTTGTGAGAAAATAGTAAGATATATAGATCTATATGCATATATCATGTTTTATTAGGTTGGATATTCTATAAGGGAAAAGCTTAAAGACATGGTAGTTACTATGGCATTATATATACATAACAACAAGATACTTACATGTTATTTTTATTTTAGAACGTTACATTCATCAATGATGTGAAAAAGATTCCATTGCATGAATTACAATCTAAATTAGGAAATAAGATAGGACAAACCTTGTATCATTTTTCACGTGGGATCGATGATCGTCCCTTAATTACTAACCAGCAAAGACAGTCAATCAGTGCAGAAGTAAATGTAAGTAAAAAAAAAAAATGGATAGTTTGTTCATAGTAAAGGTAAAAACTAACCTATATAAAGTGGGGTATACGCTTTGAAGATGACGAAAATGAAAAGGTAAGTTCATTAAGATAAGGTTATCATATGTGAATTTTATATAAATAAATATGTATATGTATAGCATTTTATAAAAGAATTGTCAAAGGAAGTATCAGAAAGACTTCAAAAACATCAAGCTAAAGGCAGAACAATTACAATCAAGGTTATACAATGATATAAATAATACATAAAATAGGTTACTCATCGTTATTACTATTATTATTATTTTCCTATTAGGTTTTGAAAAGGAAACAAGAAGCGTCTGAAGCAAAAAAGTATTTAGGACATGGCTCAGTTGACTCTTTTTCAAAATCAAAAACCTTAACTGAATTTATTAGTGATTCAGATATTATTTTTAAACATGCTTACGCCATGTTGAAATCATTTAGGTTTTCTTATGCAGATATTAGAGGCTTTGGAATTCACATTTCTAAATTAGATAATCGACAGGAAGCTGCAAGATTAGGTAATATGTATAAACAATATAGTAACTTGTGTGTAAATTACTCATTTATTTTATCTTTTTTTTTTTAGCTGGTCAAGGTGGGCTTAATTTTGATTCTACAAAAGAGTCTAACAAAAGACAAACACTTACAAACGATCTTCATAAAGAAGATTTGGTAAACGTTTTGAATACAATTATACGCTACAATGTACTAATACATGTATATATATTTATAGGATGTTGAATTTAATATTGACAATGAGTTAACAAGTACTTTACAACAAGAATTGACGTCAAACGATAACTTGAATAAACAAACTACAAGCGATGACATGATGGTACCTCCAGAACTTCCTCCTTGGTCACAAATTGACCCTTCTTCTTTATTAGCTTTACCCGATGATATACGGGAACAAATTCTTCGTGCTTATGGAGATAAACAAGAGGAGTGCATAAATCAAAGGCCAACATCTGTTGTTATAAAGACTGAACTACGACAACATCATAAAAGAAGGAAAATATTACAGAACGAGACAAAATCCAATAATACAACTCTTACTCAACTATTTTTAACAACACATAATAACGACAGTTCATTACCATACGATATGAACATATGGAACGCGTTACCTGATGATATACAAACCGAACTTTTAAAGGAACATACTAGTAAAAGAAAAAGACAGCCCACCATTTCTAATAAAAACAACAGCAATTATTGTCATACTACTACTACTGCTACTGCTACTACTACTACTGGACTCTTATCATCAGTAACAAAGGAGCCTGAATTACAAGGTATTCATGATTTAAAAGAGCTTGAAATGTTGCTAAAGAATTGGGTCTTGCAAACGAATGGATTACCTCCTGAACCTGAAGATGTCTCTACTCTGTGTTGTTACTTGTTGGAACTAGTAGATTACGGAGACCTTGAAAAGACGCGTTTATTGATAGTTTATTTAAGGTATTTACTTGTAAATGCTAAAGAAGAATGGCAAACATATTTAAATGATATAGAAGAAAGCATTAACAAGGCGGTTATATCCATTTATGGTTGTCCTTTAAAATTATAAAAAATAAAATACCCTATTTATGAATAACAAGTTTTGTTTTATTATATAAACAAACAAACAAACAAACAAAAAAGAATGTATATAACTATAATGACGATATACATGTATAATTTAAAAGACATCATTATATGTACTACTATATAAAAAAAAAAAAAAAATGTTGTTAATTAAATGTATCTTATATGTATCTAATATATTCTGCGTACCTTATTTTCCATGACAGTTAATAAAGTAGTGTTATGTCTATCAAATTCTTCATGATGACAAGTCTGTTGCTGCTTTTTACTGTCTTCTTGCTTTTGTAATAAAATTTGTTGTTGCTGTTGATTTATGATAATCATATCTTCTGATGACTGATTTGATGAATATACAAGGTTATTATTCGTTGTCGTGGTAGCAGTATTATTTAACCAATTTACAGAGCGATGATGCTGATGATGATGATGTTGTTGTTGTTGCTGTTGTTGTTGTTGTTCTATCCAATGATTACTGTTACTAGGAATAGGTGAAGCAGGAACATAACTTTCAATACTTGTAGATCCACTTGTCTTATGATCTTCAAACTGTTGTTGTTGTTGTTGATGCTGATGTTGTTCATCAGAGTATAAACCATGTTCATCAAATGAACCATGAGGTGCACTATACGAATTATATTCATGTAAGATATCAATAGGTGATTGACGTTGGTGTAAGCCATGATAGAGATCTTCCATACCGAATTCAAATTGTGTATTATTAGTGTTGTTTGTGGTTGCAGTAGCAGCAGCGGCGGCGGCGGCAGCAGCAGCAGCAGCAGTAGCGGCAGCCACAGCAGCAGCAGTAGTAGTGGTAGTAGTAGTAGTAGTACTAGTAGTAGTACTAGTAGGATTAGTGCTAGTTCGTGGAGGAAGATGGAACCACATTGATTGATTTCTTTGTTGAAATGGTAATCCAAAGGATACACTTTCTTCTCCTCCTTCTCCTCCTCCTTCTCCTCCTCCTCTTCCTTCATCTCCAAAAGGGACAAGTGGCATATGAGATAAAGAATAAGATGGAGTAAGATGGTTAACATTATTTGATTCTAAAGATAGATTGCTTTGTTGTTCTCTTTTCACTGGAGAATTCGATTCAGAGTAAATATAATTGGGTCGAGTTCGTTTGACAGAAGGACGTTTGAGTGAGGCTCTTCTTTTAGTTGAGGAAGAAGCTTTAGGTGTTGAAGAAGTAGTAGAAGAAGAGGAAGAAGAAGAAAACTGACCATGCTCTTCTTCATTTGTAATTGAAGAAGAAGAAGAATTATTTGAAGATTGTTTATTACTAAAATGGCCATTTGATTTAGGTCCACGACGCACTGTTCCAGTCATAGAAGGTACTAAACTCAAATGACGATGAGTAGGTAAAGAAGTAATGATAGGTAAATCCTCTCCTTGTCTTAACGGTGGGAAAGCGTCAATGATACCTTGATCATCTAAGAGAGATCGAACATAATGAGACATGCGTTGTTGAACTTCATTTTCACTTGATTGAGAGTCATAAACGAGGTCAGCTCGCATTAAACCAACCATATCAATATTCTTACTATTACAATCGACGTCATGAGGTATAATATCAATATAAAGGCCTGTTGTTAACGAATACCGGCAAGGTTCACCCTTCTGAAATATTTGTAACAAGTCTTGTGTTGTTTGTTCAGTAAGGTTAATCCAATTACCATGGCCAGCATATAACCGGTAACAGCTTTTATTAGTAAAAGAATTCATGTTTGGCAACTTTTTTTTTTTTATAACTGTATATAAAAGGAATTAAAAGAAAAAGAAAAAATATATATATAAGAAAGAAAAAAAAAAGAAAGAAAGAAAAGGGAAGTTATATTTATTTTAACAAAAAAAAATAATAAAATAAAAATAAAAAAAAGTGGTCAATGAATGCCCTTATAAATGGATAATAAAGGGCCATTCTACTTGTCAATTTCAGTGACATTTTTTTTATTTCCAATTAAGTATTGAGCATGATAAAAAGGGGAAGGATAAAAAAGATTTGTATATAAAAATACATATATCTAACCTATAGGCTGAGAAGAAGAACTTCCCTAGAAATCTTTTTTCATATGTAAATGTTGTATGTGTAACATATTTTATTTGAACAGAAAAAAAAAAAAAAAAAAAAAAAAAAAAAAAAAAAAAAAAAAAAAAAAAAAAAAAAGCTAAAATAGTTTAATTTCTATGTGTATAAAAATGATTACTATATTATATAGTCATTGATAATACAAAAATAATTGTATTCATGTATAAAATACTCTTATCTTTAAACTCTGCCCTCCAGCGAGACATAATAAGAGGGCACTACGACATCAATACATTATTTCATAGTATTAATAAAAAATGATCAAGATAATCTTATTACTATTGTAGATACTGCTCACCGGTATTGATGTCAAAATTCTTTTATAGTCACCATATCAATTAACTCATATTGATCTATGCTATAGCTATTTAATACAAGGAAATACATTTGTAATTATTTAATACTTACTTCATTTTATGCTTAAACAATTGATATAGCAAGTTTTCTTCGATAGATATAAACTATTGCCAAGCAAGGAGATATTATTAAACAAACTAGAGGAAAGAATATATACCATGGAATACTTTACTACTTTTATAGTTTTCTCTTTATTGACAACAAACATGATTATCTATATGTACAAACAAACTACTAAGCGATTAATTATAACTTTCTAATAAGTGTAAGCCATGTATGTAATGTTCTTTTTACGTAAAATCTCTTATATCTATAAAGGAAGAGAGAGAAAGAGAGTAAACAGAAATAATATTACCTGCTGTAGCATAATAGATTTGAGCTGATAAGCACTCAAATCCTTACCATTGAATAAATGACAACCCTTTTTTTTTTTAATGGATAGCTTTATATTAAAATAAGATGTGTTATTGAGTAATGGCTATTATAAAGAGAAAGGATTTTTTAATTAAAGAAAAGAAAATATATATATACACACCTTTAGAAGTTGTCAATTATCTTATTTATCACTTTAAACGATTGTCTTGGAGAAAAAAAAAATAAAAATAAAAAGGATTTTAACACACCAAGCTTTTTTTTTTTTTTTTTTTTTTTTTTGTTGTTAATATTAAAGTATACAACGTCTTTGTTATAAATCAAAAAGTATTGAACCACTTCCTTTCCTGAATTTAAAGCTAAATTTAAGGATATGGTTTCAACAAGGCTTTCGTTTTCATTGAAAGATGGGATAAAACTACATTTGTATATGGCTTGCTTCCATTCAATAATCTCAACTCATTTCTATGACTATTATCATTTAACTGCATATCGTCTTTAAACAATCTCATATTAGTCTTTCTTTTTTTTTTTCTTTTCTTTTCTCAAAAAGTAAGGTCATCTGTATAATCTTCGTGTTATAAATAGACTTTATACATGTCAGTATCTTTATGTTAATAGTAAATTTTAACTACCAATAATAGAATATCCATTTTTAAACGGCCATTCTTTACGTATCCTATTTTATTATAAACAATTAGGGTCAGTTTTATTGTGTCTTCTTTAATTTTGATGATGAAGGTGAAATATAAGGTGTAATTGTAAATTGACGATATACGAAATATACAAAAAGAAGAAGAAACAAACTACAGCTAATAATGACATTGAAGACAGTGAAAATATCTGGTAAATGACTAGGTGATTCAATCAATATATCTGCAATATGCCATATAATAAAGATACAATTTATACCCTAATATGATAATAAACATTAACATATTAATTGCATATGCTTCTTTTTCTTTCTTTTTTTTTTTTAACTTACAATTGTGCATAATTTAGTGAAAAAGTTGGTGTTCATTTTATAGCCTTCTACAAGCCAATTCCACATGGCTGTTGTAATAAAATAAGGTAAAATTAACCCTTCTCTTTTCAAGAGTGGAAACATACTAAACATAGCAACATTTACAAACATAGTAGCCGCGATGGGCTCTTCCAAAGTGACTAATGTTACTGGTAATAAAGGTAGTAGAATTGATTTTTCATGTACCTGAAAAGAAAACAAAAAGAAAGCCAGAGATGAATTAATTAATGCATAGAGAAATCTTCTTCGAGAGGGTGCGGCACATAAATGGATACTAATAGGCACGACTGCTGCCAAGGTAGCTAATAAACTTAAACGAACAGTTGCTTCCACTGATAAAATTTGTCTAAGCTTGATGATGACGTTAATTGCACACCAAACATTGGCTACTTTATCCTCATAAAGTCCACGTGCAACAGGGAAGATGCGGATGAAAATCTGCTTAAGATCATCTAAAGAACCTAACCAAGGAGCAAATAATACGCCAAATGTAATCATCACAGTAGTGCCTAATTTGATGAATAAAATAAACCTGAAATAGATAAATAAATAAATAAAGTAGTCATTATCCATCTTTTCCAAAAATTAGTTACTTACCCTTTCTTTTCAGTAAAGCATTTACCTAACAAGTATGCAAAAATAGCAGGTGCATAATACAATGCCATTTGTTTAAATCCTAATGATAAACAGAAAAAGATCGACCCGAGTACAAAATATCTTGTTAAAAAGCAGTTAATTGCTAATAAAGTAAAACCCAACATAACACTATTAAATCTATAAATGTAAAATAAATAAAATGGGTTAGCATCTATAAAAAAAAAAAAAAAGAAAAAAGAAAAAAAAAGTATACAGTGAAATCTATTTTACTGGAAATGAGCGTGATCGATCATCATTAACGCAGGCTGCAATAATATCAAGACAGCTGCCATATGTTTCTTTAAATAACCACTAGATCCATAGACAATTTGACAAAATCCCAAAACAGCAGGAATATAAATCAAAGCTTCAGAAACAAATACAGTAGATCTCATAAATACTTTACTGGATTCGGTCTCTAAACCTCTTGATGTATCTAATTCAAACCAACTCGAATTTATTTTTGAACCACTAAATCCAAAAAAAAAAAAAAAAAAAAAAAAAAAAAAAATAATAATTAGCCTTAATTCTGTATATACATAAACAATCTACACGTATATAAGCTTACATAATACCACATAGCCAACTATGATAAGCTGTTAAAGGAGGATAGTCCAATCCCCACCATTGTAAATCATATCGATACCATTGAGAAGTAGGTAAATGTATTGTTAATTCCATCCAATGTCGCTGAGCTTCATAATCACCATACAAAGGGGGTATATTATAGCCTAAACAAGTTACACGTAAATTATATAAACACCTACATGTATATACATATACATATATACTTGTTACCTGAATAAGGATATAAAGCGATAATCCAACGAATTAAAAAAACAAACAAGATCGCGACTAAAGGAACTGTCCATAAGGTTTCATTTTGCACGTGGCGCTGAAGTGTCTTCCTAATGGGACTATGAATAAATAAGGATGGAGTAGAATCCTTCGTCATGTAACAAATGAAAGAAAGGGAGACTAATCTTTAAAAAGAAAGAAAGAGAGAAATTAAGTTGATATGTAGATTGTTAATTATATAAATTGACAGCAGGAAAATAAAAATTGAAATTGCGCCTAGATTGTTTTTACTTAGTTCAGAGCATTCTAACATAATGTATCTGATTTACTTCAAAAGAAAAAGTACACTGAAAGAAAAGAAAAGAAAATAGGCATAAAGGCAGTAGTCAATAAATGCCGGAAAAGTTCTATAAATCAATTAGTTAGAAACATTGCCAGTTGATAAGTAGAATTAATCAACTTTTTTCGCTACACATATCTGCTATATTGATTCTATTGTACACATAAATATCTTTAATGAAATACTAATTTCATGAATTTTTTTTTTTCCTTAATATTATATTTACTGCTTTAATTTATATAATGTGTACTACTGATGTATTAATCAATGAGTCTTTATCGTTTGAATACTATTCATAAACTTAAGTGCTTTGTACTGTCTGACAATTCTGTTTTTAAATAGATTCAATTTATAAAAATATACATTTGTAGCTAGGTCTTAAAGTTGACTTTTAGAGAAAATGATCAATAATATCAATACTGCGAGAAATAGATGGGTTATAAATTATGTATGCAACTTTTGTAATCAGCGATAATGATATGAACACCATTATTTTAGGAGAACTAAATGTGATAATTATATATAGCAAAATTAAAGTAAATATTATCCATTAGTAAAAGGGAAAAATGGTAATATCTTTTTTTAATTATTTGAGAAATAAAGATACCACGTTCATATACATCTAATAAATTAACCTTTATATAAAGAAGCTAAATTTATTTTCTTTTTTTTTTTCCTTTTTTTCCTTTTTTTTTTTTTTCAACAAAGAACACACATTATAACAGATAGTTATAAAAAGTAAATATGCTGATTTATCATGCTACGTATAAATCAAAATTTGCACATGTGTACGGCATTTTCTTATAAACAAGTATATTTCAATTATGAACATATAGAAATAGATATACATCTTGTCTTTGTTGTTATTATATTATGTATTATATCTTTTTCTTTTTTTTTCCTATAAGTTAAGATTGCTCTTTTTAAATATTAATATGACGAGGTGTAATAAATTTGTTATTTTTGCTTTTTGCTTTGGTCATCTTGACTTCAACTTGATTTCCATTCCTATCGACAGTTACTAAAAATTTATTTCCTTTCTTGATTCCATAAGTACCAGGAGGATGATGAGGTGTTGATTTAGATTCTCGTAAAATAGGGTCTTGTTCATGATTACGATAGCTATTTTTACTTGTTACACCTATAGTAGCTAAATAGCTACTATCCTGCGTTACTTTTGTTGTTGCTGTTGTTCCTTTTACAAAATTTCCTTCAAGGAGTGCATGGTCGCGTAGAAATTCTGATAGCTCTACCCATCCACCACCAACACGAACCATGACCATACGACTTCTTAAAATACGACAATAGGCCAACTTTGGATTCACATCTCCAAACCAATATTTACCCACTTCTCCTGGGACCATTTTTACTTGAATTTTATAAGGGGAATCATTCAAAATATCACCCACAGCTACATCTAAATCGTTCTTTGGATCAGCAATATAGGCTTCATGGGGCTTGGTGGGTGATCGACGGCGTTGTTGTTGTTGTTGTTGTTGTTGTACTGCTACCTGTCGTGATACCACTTTTCTTGCAGTTGGAGAAACCGTACCGCCTACTGTACGTTTTATCGTTGCGCGTGCCGCGGTTGCAAATGTTAAAGGTGTTTGTCGACCTGCCATATAACGAGGCGTCGACTGCATCATGTTTGGAGTGGGTGATCGTTGCATGGTCACCCGTTTTGCTAAATCAATCGCTCGTCGACCTCTTTCTAGTAAAGACACGTCAAATGCAGTTTGACCAAGAGGATCAATCAGATTCATGAGTTCTGTCTTTTTAGATTCTGTATCTATTTGTAATTTTGCCCATCGTTTATAAAATTGACAGAGACAGTGGGTGACACGAGTATCGTCGAGAAGGGGTCTCGAGACTTCCTTGAGCTCCTCCATAAGATCATTAATTTTTGGTTCATAGTAACGATATCGGGTATCCAGATCAATCAACATCGCTTGTAAGTCTGCTCGACTACTATGAGGTTGAGGTGATGTACGTGAGACGACTTCTGCTAATGCTAGTAATAATACTTCTAGTTCCTCTGTTACCGTTAAAAACTCTTGCATCTTTTCTGCTCCTGAAACTTCATTCTGCTTTGTCTTTAGTAGATCATGTAAACTTTTTACAGCAGCCGTTATCTCTGCACGTTGAGAGATAACTGAATTTTTACTAACAAGCATCTGATCTAGCTCTTCAATAGAGGGTTCAAGACGGTTAGTTACATCACCTTGTACCGTCATAAGTTCACATTTGATAGTTGCTAAATGATGATCTGTAGGTATGGATGCAAGCGGGCAATCTAATATAGTATCCCCTTTGCAAACTGTGATCGTCTGAAGACGATCTTTAAGATCTCCAATACTTGTCAAAATTGACTTGATTTTCCGTGCAATTTCCACGTCTCGTTTAGAGTGATTGATCAATCTACGAACATCCATAAGCTGTTCATCAAGTTTAGACCAAGCTTCCAAGATGTCAGTTTCACGTTTATATACTGATTCCTTGATTGTTTCATTTTGCTGCCCTAAACTGATATCATGATAGTTCATCATAAGGATACGTGATTTCATGGCTTCAAAGGCGTGTATCGTGGGTCGCATTTCATTCATCTTTCGATCTAGGGCCTCTAGCTCATCTCGTAATTCTTGTTCATCATGCATGCAAACGTCTGTAGGTAAGTTGGAAATGGCATTTGAACAATGATTGACCCATGTCTTTATATCCTTGGCTGCTTTAGCATGAATATAAATCTTTCGAACCAAATAGGATTGGTGCTTTTCTTTATCAATCCATATCTGTACATCCTTTACAGCTGTTTCAATATCAGCAAATAAATCAAGATGTTTCAATGATGGGTCAAGTTCTTTAACCAAGTCTTGATAAGCTCGCTCGGATTCCAAATTAGAGGCGACTGTACATTTGTAAAGATGATCAATCGTTTCAGCTGATTCAGATACAAATTTACCATTCTCTAACGTGAACATACGATCCTTTATTTCATTTTTTAAATCATTGGCTAACTGAAGAATACTTTTTGCGTGTCTTTCAATCTCTGCATGCGCTGTTGTCTCAGCGACATCCTTCTTAAGTTTCATCACCAATTCGTCCATCTTTGAGACTCTTTCAACCAAAGAATTATATCGATCCCGCGCACACGAATAGTTGGCTATCTCTAAAGGATCCTCTTTATTATTCGTCTTTAAATCTGTCTCTTCAAGTAAATGATGAATGCTGGCTAATGAAATCTCAATCGTATCTATTTTCTCTTGGGACTGTTCATTATCGGAGGCCATGTCGACTACTAGATGCTCTACATCAGATAGCTCCGTGTCAATCATGCTGAGTCGTCTTTGTCGATCATACCATTGCTGAACCATACCGCAAAAGACATTAAGACTATTCAGGTCTTGTCCTAACTGCATCCATTGAATGTCATCCGTCTCTTCTAATTGATCAAATTCTTCTTGGCGTCTTTGATAATCTGATACCATCCCTTCGCTCTCGGCTCTTAGAATATCTAAACGTTCTTTATCCTGCGATTCTACTTGACCAGTTATAAAGCCACATCGTTGTTTAAGGTCTGGAATTCGATGTCTTGTCTCAACCACAAATTGACGCAACAACCTAAATCGCTTCGTCTTCTCCTTTGAATCCTCTAATTCTTTACGACGATTATTCAGCTCTTGAGATGTCCTTTTTAATGCCAGCTCAAGACAATCAAAGGAATTCTCCAATTTGAGGGACATATCAGTCAGTCTCGTATCGTTCAATCGTCGCATGTCTGTTAAGAGCTCAATGACTTTATTCTTTTTATGTAGCAACCTTTGAATGTGTTGTTCATGGTCGCATTCAAGACGATGTATATCTTCGTGAGGGATCTGCAAAGATAACTGATCAAGTTGATATGATTGTTGATCGGCCCATGTACAGAGTTGATTACCTTCCTCTAGATAGTCATTCATCTGTCGATATTGTTGAGTAAGATGACAGAATAGATCTAATTGAGATGTTAAGTCATCATTCAGGGCAGTTAATCTCTGACGCTGTTCAGATAGGTAGTTATCAATCCTATCATTGGGTTCCGGGCAAGGGATCTGATTCGAGATCAGCTGAAGGATATCATTCTGCAACTCTTTCACACGACTTGTCATCTCCTTCTCTTCACTTAATGTTACTTCTTTATTATTCGTCATTAATTGGTCAGATAACTCTTTGCCTTCCTCAAAGACATTCTTTATTTGATTCACAAACTCTGTCAATTTCAAACGCTGTTCAACAATGGCCCTAGCAAGAGCCATCCGTTTCATGAGATCTTCAAATCGCTGCTCACACTCAACTTGTCTCCTTTCTATACCATCAGGCAAGTCCACACGCGATAGAGTGTCCAGGTCCTGGAAACTAGTTACTGTCTTTGTAAACAGTGTCAAATCAAATTCTGACATGCTATGCTCCAACGTTAATAACGTATGAATAATGATTGCATCATTCGTATCTACGGTCTCTATCTGCTGCTGCTGCTGCCATTGTGCCATTTTAAAGAGATCCTCAAGGTCGCCTTCAGTTTTCTTTAACCATGCAACTGCATCCTCTAAGGCAGTCTCCCATTTAATGCGTTCTTCAAGCAACTCTAATCGTTCCCTTCGTAGTCTTACTAATCGTGTCAATTCATCCAGCGTTGTCAGAGTGGATAAGGTGATTTCGATCGTGGTGGTATCCGCTGGACTAAAGTCACCATGGGTTAATGTCTTGACGTGGGTACGTAATCGAGCCATGTCTTCCTTATGGAACAAGTCAATCGTTGTTTCTAATCTTTGATGCTCCTCTACTAATTGTTTTAATGCAGTTGGCGTCATCTCTAGGGTCTCCACAAAGGGTTCAATCGGTTCAAGCTCCTTAAAGATCTTGACATGCCCTTGGATCCATCCCCTGATACGTTCAGCCTCTTTAAACCACACCTTGACTTCATCCACCCAACCCATAACGCGTTGATGGTCCTGTTGCAGCACCTCTAATTTGATCAAATGAGTAAGGGTCCCTGTTACGTACACGAGACGGTCCATGAAGGTCAGGGATAGCATCATATGTTCATCTAACTCGATAATATCATCGTAGGTTCTAACGGACTGTATCATCTTTTGCGTCACCCAATCAAGCTCTTGTTGTACAAGTCGACACAGCTTTGTAAATTTAACATCTTGAGCAAACTTTTCAAGTAATCGGAAGCGCTTACAGAGATCAACTTGAAATGCTTCGTATTGCGGTGGCCGCCAACTCGTGTCCTCTGACTTTTCAAAATCATCTAGTTCATCTTGAAGGGCATCAAAGTCCTCTTGAATCATAGCTAATTGTTGTTCAAATTCTTTGTAATCTTCCTCATTTACCACTTCTGTAGGTGTCATGAGAACAAGATGATGGTGCAATCGGTTCAATTTTTCGGTAAGGATAGTTTCACGTGATGCACCATAACAATAATATTTTATAGAAGAGGATGCTGTTGTTGTTATCTTTTTATGAGAGAGATAAGTGGATGTAACTGTAGTTGTTGTACTATACGTTTCTTCTTCTTCAAGTGAACTATGATAAAGAGAGGGTGTATCATGAGGAGCAGAAGAAGAAGAAGAGATAGTACTTGCAGAGGAGTTTAATGGGATATTCTTGAAATGATCGATATCCCTTTGTCGTTGTAGGATTTGTTCAGTCGTGGGTGTTTTTAAATAAGAAATAAGCTCTAATAAATATTGGAAGACAACATATTCATCATCATCATCATCCTCATTCTCTTCTTTAGAATGAAGGAAGAGAATTGAAGAAAGATAATGATGATATGGCTGCGGATCAATTATACATTCCAAAATTAAATCTTCTATGTGTTCGCACCGTTGTAAATCGGGTACTAATGAGGGTTGATGATAATGTAAGATATAGAGAAAGAGAGTGCCTGATTTCCACGAATTTATGCTGAAATCATGTACAGAAGAATGATAGTGTGATAATATAAAGTTGGACCATAAAAGTAAATTCGCTTGTATGTGAGTGAATTGATTGGCGGGTATAAATTGATGAGCCTTATTTAGAAGAAATAATAATAGTTCATTTATATCTTATTGAGCATATGTTTAATGTAACATATTTAAAATAGCTTACATAAAATGTAAATGATAACTGTTCATTTTTTAAAATGGTATATATGATATGATAGATGTGATATTGGGATTGAATAAAACTTAGTACTAGTACTGTTGAATCACTATTAAAAGAATCAATGAAAATTTCAGGAACAATGGAATGAATTTGATTGAAAATATCTTGTAAATCCTGTTGTTGTGAATCAAATGTCAAGTGAAATAATGTTTGAAGCAATGATATTATTGTTGGTATGGAAACATCAATGGATGCTATAGTGATAAATTTATTGATCCAATGTAACAAGCATTGTTCTTTTTTATTGTGAAGTTGTAAAGTTGTAACAGATGAAGTGTCCATTTTTTTTTTATTACATGCAAGATATGAAAAATATAATAATAAAGAAAGAGAGATAAGAGAAAAATAAAAAATAAAAAATAAAAATCTGTATTTTAGGAGTTTATAATGGAAGAAAGGGGGGTGTGGAGAGGGCGCAATCAAAAAGATACACACATAAAAAAAAAAATAAAAAATAAAAAAGGGGTAACGACTAAAAATAAAAAATAATAATACCTGATGCACTCAAGGGGTAATAAAATACACTACACATTCTTCATCAAATCTGATATACACAACATGTGAAATATGAAATGATTTTATTGTTTAAATTTATACTCGAGTACGACTTTCTCTGGGAACAAACTATTAAATAGCTGTCAATATGTGTGCAAATAAATATATTATAATCTTACTTTTTGAAGTATAGGATGAGATAAAATAGGACCAATGATAGGAAGTCGTTTCAAGAAACCAAACACGACAGGAAAAAAATCGCTAATAATGTAAAGCCCATCAATTATATGTATACTAATACATATATATATATTTTTACACTCATAAGCTTACCCAAATAAATTCAAAAAACCAAAGATTTCTACAATAAATCCCAAAATTGGGTATTTAGAAATTACCAAGAAAATACCACCCAAAAAACAAACTGTTCCTTTTAATTTTTCTTTTCTTGAAAAAAATATAAATGTACTTTTAGGTCCAATAATAGTCGTGATTCCACATAAAAAAAGGATCTAGTAATAACAATAATAAATGTTTATATTGTTCCTATTCTAATTACACTTGTCTTACATTGCCTATTGCCATTAATCCACCATCAAACAATAGCATAACACCCAACATCATAAAAAATAATCCAAATGCTGTTAATCCAACACCAATCTCTATAAAGTTTCATCTTTTTGTTTTAGATTAAAAAAAGAAAGAAAGAAAGAAAGAAAGAAAGAAAGGAAAAAGATTGAAATAAAGAATGAGCATCTTACTTTGACTATCACTTAACCACATCCCCCTTTTTTCTTGTAATTTGATTGAAAAAAAAAATAGATGGAAAAAAGAAAAATTTACGTCGATATTACCTTATTACTATTTTTTTGATAAATATGAATATAAAAAAAAAAAAAAGAAACTCAGTTCTTTTGTTTTATTTATTTAATTTCTTTTTCTTTTTAATAATAACATAATGGCAGATTCAACAGATGTTACAAAGTTAACAGCTTATTCTTATGTGACACTAGTGATATTTATATGCGTTATAATGTTAGTGATAAGGCCTATTAAATTTAGGATAGGTCCTTATATTAAAATCTATTTGAATATTGCAACTGTTCCCCCTTTGGGTGTTTTAATCTTGCTTATTTGTCGTGCTATAGATTTTGATATTGTTAAAAGAGGTTTTTTAGGTACAATGGGTGTACAACCATGGGCCATTCTTATTCTATTCTACTCTTTAGTAAAATATATTATTTTTTGATACATAGAAAAGAATAAATAAAACAAATACATACATACATACATACACACGATTATTATAAATTCATATTGTATTAATTATTTCAGTTACTGTAGGCCTACATTTGTATTTCTTTAGACATGACAGGCATCTTTCAATTTTGCGCTTTTTGGGTATCAAAGAAAGCAGGAAATCGAGGAATGTTGGCTTTTACTCTCTTTTTTATCCTTACCAGTGTTATGAGCGGTCTTACGAGCAATGATGTTGTCATCTTGACCGGCACCGTCTTTCTTTCCTATTTTACCAAAGTGTCCGATATTCGTCCTACTGCCTTTTTGATGAGCGAATTTACAACAGCTAATATTGCCTCAATGGCTCTATATATTGGTAATCCGACTAATGTCGTTGTCTCTGAGGCTTATGGTATCAGCTTTATTAGTTATTCAGCCTGGATGCTATTACCTACCTTTGTCTGCATTCTTTTAGCTTACGTTGTACTGCGTATCTTGTTCCGAAGCCATTATTATCTACCACGTACCATTAATCCACCTGATGCTGAACCTAGATCTGTATTGATTGATCCCCATGGAGCCATATTCGGACTGATCCTCTTGGCTTGTTGTTTGATTACGCTCGTAGCTACTTCCTTTGTGAGCGTACCTGTCTGGATGGTTACTTTACCGTTTGCTTGCGTTATGTTCATTAGAGACATACGGCATGATCTGGGTATCTCATTTAGTCACATTTTAAACATAAAACGTCGCTTTCCGAGACCATTTTTACATACAGCACAGCATGATCAAGTCTTGGTCTATGATGAAGATAAACATCCATCAGTGGCAGAGGCTAATGATGATAAGGGAGAGGGTACAAATATTCCGTTACCTATTTTAAAAAAAAGGAATAGTATAACACGAATCATGACAAATAACACAACAACAACAGAGTTGAATCATCACGGAACAGCAGCACTTGTCTTATCAAATGATCAAACAACCGACATAGGTACTAGCCCACTTGGACAGAATCATGTTGGAGGCATTTTTTCACATCAGAATCAAGCACGACGAGGAGAGGAGGTCTTGTCAAGTCTACGACTTAGATCAGGTACGCCTATGCTTGAATCTCAGCCACTGCCTCTACCAATCATCAAGAAGACAGCAACCCCCATTGAAGAGAATCCATCAGCCCGAATGACCACCAGCAGTCAGAACCCCACACGTCTCGAACTCTATTTTTGGACGCCTCTCTATCATCTTACAAATTGGTTTGGAACCCATTTTCCTACCCTTAAAGCCGTCTTCTTACGCATGCCCTGGGCTATTCTCCCTTTTAGTCTTGGCATGTTTATCTTGATTGAAACCCTTTCCGAAAAAGGATGGGTGGGAATTTTTGCCACAGCCATGGCTATCTTTGCAAAAAATTATGCGACCGCCGTTCTTGGGACTGTGTTTGTATCTATCCTAGCATGTCAGCTATTGAACAACCTGGTAAGAAACGAGATTTAATAGAACTTAAAAAAAAAATGACTTATTATGATTATTTAGCCAATGACTATCTTATTTACACAAATTATTCAACACCCCAATTTTACACAGCACGTACATGATGATGCGACTATGCAAGGATTTTTGTTGGGGTTAATCGTTGGAAGTAATTTAGGGGCGTGTTTAACACAAGTTGGTAGTCTTGCAGGCATCATGTAAGAAGAAGAAGAAAAAAAAAAAGAAAAAAAAAATGGCTTATATATCATTCACTTTTTTTTTGATATCAACAGGTTTGATCATATTTTAAAGACAAAAGGTATTTATACATTGGGGTATTTTCAATTTTTGAAATGGAATTTAGCCATCTTGCCACTGATTGCTTTAGGGGCATGTGCTGTATTAATAGGTGAAATTTGGTTTATTTATCTTCGATAAATTGGATGCAATTTAAGGAGTTCTATTGTTATATAATATCGATTATCATTGCATAAGCGTATATGTATATAAATATAGAGAGAGAGAAATAATAAATAAAGTTGACAAATAAGAAATAGAAAAGCTATCATGGTCGTGTACACAACATTACACAATAAGACTATCCATTATAAACTAAAAAAAAAAAAAAAAAAAAAAAAAAAAGGATCATTTTGGAGGGAAAGATAAAAAAAAGAAGACGGAAATCTTCTGAATCGATAGTAGAAAGTTTTCATTCCCCGTCCATATATAGAAATTTGATTTTGACGTTGTTAAATTAAAAAAAAAAAATGAGAGCGAGAGAGAAGAGATCATTATTAGTTAGTATTAAATAAGATTATATAATATGTTAGGGAAAAGAAGAAGAAGAAATAGACTAAATTACCGAAAACTAAAAATAATGTACTTGACTATACTATTTAAAGAAAGAGAAGGGGTTTCTTTTTAGAGTGTTTTATTTACTTACAAATATAATGAATACTCTTCTTCTTCCCACTATCAACAACAACGAAGCCCTGTTTATTATCGATTAAACAAAAGCCCTATAATAACAACTGCTTACTCCACATGGCTAAAATCTATTTTTATTATATAATCTGAAAATTGTCTTACAGAACTTGTTGGTTCTAGATTATTAAAAGATATGTGATAGATAATGAACTTTTTTTTTTTTTTGCTTATATTTTTGTATACAGTGTTTTTCCCTACAGACACAAGTACACGCACACATGTAATAGATTCCATTGCCAGCCCTATTATTATGAATTGCTATAATAACAGGCTCGCATTGTATTTTTTTATTTTCTATTTACCCAGAATTTTTCTTTTCTTTTGTATATTGTGAAACATAATTCTGAGTTCTTATATTTAACATATTTTGGGGTCGATAGTTAAAAGTGAGTGGGGGGAGAGGGGAGGGGATTTTTTATTATCATTTGGGGGGGATGAGAGAAAGAAGAATTAAAAGGGAGGAGAATTGCTATGGAGGAGATATATAAATGAGATAGAAAAATAAATCTTATTTTCTTTCCTATTTTTTATTTATTTATTTATTTTATTATATATATATTTATATACACATATATATATTTTAAATAAAAAATAAGAAAAAAGAAAAAAAAAGAAAAAAATAAGAAAAAAATAAAAAAGAAAATAAAAAATAAATGACTTACAATATGAATGAATTACCCCTATCTTTAACATGTTTGGACTGGTTAAATACAGATCAATTATGGACATTATGGAAGTGTAAGTAAATAATAAATGATAAAGAAGAAGAATAACTTATTCACACATTTATTGATAGTCTCAAATAAGTCTGTTAATCAAGCTTTATTAACAAAGAGACAATTTCAAGATAAATTTCGTGTAGAAAATTTTACTTGGAGATTGTGGTATCATTGTCATCAACAAAAACTATCAATTAATAATAACAGCGCCACTGCCGACACGAGTACTACTACCACTACTACTACCAATAATAATAATAATAATACCATTATACAAAGACCAGTTTCAAAATTTTATTTGGATGATGAAGATGAAGAAGAAGAATATGAGGACGATAATAATTGCTCTGTATTTTCATCTGAAGAAGAGGAAGAAGAAGAAGAAGAGCTTTTATTCGAAAAAAAGTTAAACCAATCTTATAGCAATACATCATCTCTTTTAACACAAATGCTAAACCCTAAGCAAGAAGAAATAATAACAGAATATAATACTACTGCTTTAAAGCGATGTCAAGCAAAATATCAATGCTTAAATGAATGGTTTACTACCGAAATAATACAGCAATAATTGTATGCCTATATTAATATTTATTTTATTTATTTAATTTCTTATTATATACCCTATTTTGTTAATAATAAACATCTTTTTTTTTTTTTTGGTTCCTGAAAATGATTATACATATACAAAAACATAAAAGATACACATGTTATAAATTATTTGTTGTACAAGACAAATAGATATATTCTTCTTCTTTTAATAATAAGATGTAAAAGGGACTTTTTTTTTTTATGTACACATATCTAATAAACAACAACAAAGCATACCAGCCATACTAAAAACAAATTATATTAAATTTCTATTTATTATTAACTATAAAATGCTTCTTTTTTTTTTTGGTTCCCTTACCAAGCAGTACAACAGTCAGAATCATCTTGTTTATGAGGCTGTTGCTGAACAACAATTGTCTGTGGTGGTGGTCTAATGTAAACCAGTAAGAAACATAACATATCAAATCAAATGAAGTAGAATTACTTACTGAGGCTGATAATAACCGCCTTGTTGTTGAGGAGGAGGATAGTAACTACCTTGTTGTTGTGAAGGAGGAGGAGGATAATAAGCCTGTTGAGGTGGTGGGCTTGCGTAATATTGCTGATTAGACATGATAATAGTGAAAAGAAAAGAAATTAATTAAAAAAAAATGTGTAATTGATATCAAAAAAAAATAAAAATATCGATTATTGTGCGGGGATATCGTTGCCAGTAATAGTGGTGGTTGTAGATTTGTTTAATAGGAGTTTAAATTATTGCCTAGTAACATTGAGTTTGTAACTACTGATTATTAGATAAATCTTATTATTACATTGTTTCTATCCGGATCAAATCAAGAAGGAAATAATGGCTTGAAGAAAAGAAAAAGAGTAGAAAGAAAAAAAAAGAACTTACTTTGGGTTATAAGTGTGAAAAATCAGACAAAGAGACATGCCAAGAATATAGAAATTAAGCCTATCATTTAGAATATTCTTGACTAGAATCTTTACAACTATAGATGCTATGTAGTTACAAACCTTTTAATAAGCTTATTTAATAATAAGAAATAGTTTTTGATATACAGACTATAAATAAATAGACATAAATATAGTTATACACATATATTACTGTATAGTAAATATAGCTATAATGTATGTTTTATTTAAATTATGATCTGATTTGTATCCAGAAGCTGTAAAAGCCTCAATGTAATAAATTAATTATTTTTTATTAAAAGATTTAACGTTAATAAATACTTACTGTAAATATGCAAGAAAGAGTTCCCTTCTTGATAAAATTATTTAATCAAGTGGTCATTTTGCAAGCTAAAGACAAACTATGAAAGAATTCATGTTTGATGTTTATTTTATTCATTTTTATTTAGACCAGTTGGGAGATAGGCTTTTAAAACGTCGTTGATACCTTATTGTCTAACGTATACCATCTATTTTGCTGTATACAACGAGAATAGTAGAATGATGATGTCAATATTCATTATCTAGAATTTGTTAGCTATAACTGCATTCATAGGTTCACTACATACTTGTTTTAACTCTTCGATTTTAGTTCACAGTTATGTTTCTTATTGGCCTAAAAAAGATTTTTTTTTTTTTATTTTATTTATATTTCTAATTATCTTATTTGGCTTAAACTTTACCCCCCTACAAATCTCAGCTCATTTAACAAAATTAACTAATTTTATTTTTCTTATTATTTGTTACAATAGGGGGAAAGTAGTAATTAGAACAAGATGTCTGACTTACCATCCATTAGGCCAAAGCATTCAAGGTCAACGTCTATAACAACATCGACTTCGAAAACTACTTCTCATCAAAGAAAGTCTTCTTTGCAACTACTGCAACAACAACAGCAACAACAGCAACAGCAACAACAGCAACAGCAACAGCAACAGCAACAGCAACAGCAACGTCATATAAACCCTTCTATTGTTAAATCCACTGCAGCTACAAATCTTTATAACACTCAATGGAATTTATCTCGGTTTATTAATTCTATTATATTAAGAGTTCATTCCTTCTTAAACCCTCCAGGTTCCCTTTTACCTCATGCAAAACATGCCAATGTTGCATTTGGTGGCACTGCTAAACGACCTCGTCTCATCACTTACCTTACTCATTCCCGGCTATTGAGATTTATAATCTTGTTTTACATTATATTTTCTGTCTTTTTATCATTAAATCATACTTGGAAGTATCTTACCTCAACCGATAAGCTATCACAACGACAACAACAGAAAGTTGTCAAAAGTAAAAATAAATATTGGATACCTCAAAGAACATATGATCAAGGTATTTTATTCTATTCTCAAAAGAAAAGAATAATAATAATAATAATAAAAAAAAAAAAAAAAAAAAAAAAAAAAAAAAAAGGTCAAGTATAATTGAAATTAATCCTCTGCATTTTTCGGTATAGATGAATCTTATTCCCTTCTAGATGAAATCACTCATGGATTAAAGATGCATAAACTATTCAGTAAAAGTTATTATGAAGCAGCTAAAAATATCCAACCTTTCTGGAAAAAGGCAACAACAGTACCTGAAAAAGATGGAGTCACTGTTATAACGACTTTTACAACTGAGACATGGAATGAATTGAAGGAGTTGATTCGTCATTGGGATGGTATAACTCAAGATTTATACATTAGTAAACAAATGTTAATATATATATATATATATAGGACCTATTTCAGCTACCCTTCATATTGATCAAAATGATGAATCATCTATTGCACAAATCAATCAAGAATATAAAGATATACCTGAATTGAATCGTAACGTTGATTTACATCTTGTTCCTATGAATAGCAATAAAGTAAATGTCTTATTTCCTCGTAACGCTGAGCGTAACTTGGCCAGATTATTCGCTCGTACAGATTATGTAATGGACTTGCCCGCTGGAGTCATCCCTGCCACTGATCTTCGTCGCACGCTTGATATGAACAGAGATCGTATCGATCATCTTCTAAAGACAGGAGACATGTTAGCTATTCCTACTTTCAAATTTACGAAGGGTAATGACATAACTGTCAGTATACCACATGATAAATCACAACTTATCATTAAATTAAGTCAGGATGAAATGGTACTAGAAGATCGTCATTGGAAAGAAAACGAAGGTCCTACTGACTTGGAACATTGGATGGATGCTGAATCATTATATGCTATAAAAAAATACGAATTTCATTATGAGCCTGTTGTGATAGAATCTAAAACAATTCAGCCATGGTGCTCTGAAAGGTTTTTAGACAGTCGTGCTGCTTGTATCTTTTCAAGTTATTTACAGGGAAATGAAATATGGATTTTACCAAATGATTTTATGGTTTCTTTGCCAAGACAAGCTGAAATATCTGATTTTGATGTAAGTTTTTTTTTTTTTTTTTTTTTTTTTTTTTTTTTTTTTTTTTTTTTTTTTTTTTTTTTGAAAGTTCCTTTCTTTGAAACTTGACTTTTACTCAAATTTATGTATTTAGAATGTGGTTGAAAATCGTATTTATGCTAAATTTTATTGGGAACAATGTGTATATCAAGCAAGACAATTAGATGCTTTAGGGCTTTGGAAGACACCTCGATCTCAACATATTCGAAATCAATGTTCTCGTGTCATCCAAAATTGGGGTAAAGGTTTGATTGGGAAACCAGAATAATAAAATAGATTAGATTAGCTTTGAAAGTATATAATTTATAAGTGTGGGTATCATATCATGAAAATGAATAAAGTAAAGGTCAGGATTGCATTGAATAGTATGTAAATAATCTAAAAAGACATAAATAAGCCCAATTTCATTTGCGTTATCATCAAAAAATACTGCGTCAATCTATACATAGATTAAGATAAATAGCTATTTTTTTATATATATACATGTATATAATTTTTCTTTACCAATGCTGTATGCTCTTCTATATCACTATAAAAGTCGAGTAAAGCTATCATGAAACAAGCAAGAATGGATCCATTACTGTTTAATAAAGTTCTCCATATTTTAGGTAAATCATGATATAAATCAAGACTAAATTGAATCCAGCTCCTCAAGTCAGAAAGTGATTGTGATTGACGTACATCCATACTTGGATAAATAACCCAGTTGATATAAATGAGTTCATTCTCCATCTATTAAAATAGACACAACAGACGTTTACTATCTTCATCGTATGTACTTTATATATATATACCTTGGATGTCCATCGCTCACTCTTTTGTCGATTCCATTCAACTAATTCAAATATACAACGATAAAGAAATGGGAATGAAGTTAATGAAAGACACCATGCCATATCCCGTCGTAATAACATGGTTTCCTTTGATCCTGCATAGATATAATCTGTGATATCGCTATATGCATCATTTCGCCACTCTTTACATGCCAATAACCTTACCAAGTTATTGTAATCAGTAGATTCTCTTTGTTCAAATAATAGACAGAGTATACAACATTGTCCTATTCGTACAATACGCCAATCACGAAATTGAGCCAAGTACATTAAAAATGTGTCAAAAAAGAGATGGATCAAGGTAGGATAAGATGTTAAAACTTGAATAATATCTTCATTCTCCAACATAGTTCTATAAAGATGATCTAAAGGTTCATAGCAATCTGTTTGAAGACGAAGATATCTTTCAATAAGATTCAAGACTTCCATTTCCAGTACTTGTTCATAATTCATATATAATCTGTAAAAAAAAAGAGAAAAAAAAAAGCTCAACCCTATTTTTTTTTCTTTTCCTTTCCTTTCTTTTTTTTTTTTTTTTTTTTTTTTTTTTACTTGATTTTTAAATCATGAGGCCACTGCAGGTAGAGAGTTCGTAAAATGCTATCTGGATTCGTTAGAGAGTCTATAAATAGAATAGATAAAATAGGCTCAGGTTTATTAAAATGAACAGGATCAGTGATATTAAATGGAATATGATCTACAGCATAGTAAACAAGTTTTTCAATGAGTGGCCATGCTTCTTTTTCGTGAACAAGAGCTAAGCTCATATCCGTCAATCGTGTAATTGTATGACTCTAATAATGTATGAATATATATATTAGTCGTTCATTTCCTGCATCACTTTTTTTTTTCTCATTTACACTTAATTTTTTATCAGAGATTCTATGAGTGATTTGTTTGATTAAGTCGTAGGTGTTCAAGTCATCTTGAGCAGTATGAATAAAACGTCGTAAACGAATGATGCACCAAATGATAGATCTAGGATTTAAAAAAAAAAAATACAACGTTTTAACCTTTTTTTTAAGGAATATACATATATGAATTGACTTACCTATATTTTGAATCATCTCTTGAAAGAAATGTTTTATCTTGAAGAGTATCAGGATCTAATTTGCTATATTCAATCAAACAAGCAATGACCAAAGAAGCTAATAAAGGATTATAGCCAATATATGAATGTGTCTAAACAAAAAAGTCAATGTTAACTATACTGAATCTGTTAAAGGTAAATGACTGTACTGAGGCTAAAGTTAATAGGGGACCAGCTTCTGGATACAATTCAGCACATGCATTAGCTGTTTCCGTTTCTTTCAAAATCTAAAATGAATCATTAATTTGTTTATCTTATTTTATCAAAAAAAAAAAAAGAACATTTTTTATTACCCTTAATAAGCGAGTAAAAAAAGCTTTTAGGTAATCTTGATGTTGAATAATGTCTAAGAGTGAATCGTTATTTCGTTTTAGAATGGTTTTACATCGCTCCCAATCAAGAGACATAGTTTGTATATAATAGAAAATAAGGAAATAAACCAAATTATTACTTTTTTTGTTAAATGGTAAAAAAAAAAAAAAAAAAAAAATCATCAGCCACACTGATTTGCATAGCAACATATTGTAACGCAATACCCTTTTTTTTTTGGCAGCTTTAGTGAAACTTATGTATTACGACCGTACATGCAAATGATAAAAAAAAAGAAAAGAAAAGATACGTAAAAGTTTATTATGTTAAATAAATAAATAAATAAGGTGAGAATGGATATATAATAATAATGTATACACATTTTCTTCTTTATAATCAGTATTTTATAAGTTGTTGTTGTTGTTGTTTATTTTATTTTATTTTATTTTACATGTTATATTTCCGCTCTTCATAAGGTGTAGATGGCGCTGAATGTTGATTATAGGGCATAGGTGATGATAATGGTTGTTGTTGACCCATACGTCCACGTTGCCATACATGTTGTTGATCTAAAGAAGCATAACTTAATTTAGGATTAGATTCACTACTATGATAAATATCAGGAGATGATGTTTCAGAGGAAGACGAAGCTGCGTTTGTCATACTAGGTACCATAAAATTAGAAGATAGAGCACTACCACCACCAGGTGTAGGAGGAGGGCCAATAATTCCATGATGAAAGCCATAAGGATATGTAGGGTATGGATAAGGAGAATAATCAGCAGAAGCAGCAGCGGCAGCGGCAGCAGCTGCAGCTTGTGGTGGCATGGCAGCAGGTGGAGTCATAGGTGGTCTTGGAAAATATCTTTCCTCAGGTGAAGATAAATTAGTAGCAGCTGCTACAGCAGCTAAAGCGATACTGTGTTCGTATCTTTCCTGTTGATTATCAGAGTAATGACCAGGACTTCGACCACGTACAACAAGAGGAGCAGATTGACAAGTGGCGACCTTGATAGATTTAAAGGAACCATCTATAGTTACAATATCTGCAAAGAGATCAACTAAACAGACATAATATTGTTGAGCGGCTCTTCTTTTACCATTATTAGCTGTGGCTGTCTTGAATTGAATACGTTCAAATGTGACAATAGATTGTGAAGTTGTACCCCCCATAGCAGTCATACTAAGGTTACCTCCAGGCATAACGGGTTTAGGTAATGGAGTTGTTTGAGGACCCTTATCACGCTTTGGTGTATGTTGAACGAGTTCAATGGATTTATCGCTGTTTGAAATACGGGTCGAGATACACATAGAAAATTGGCGAACTGGATAAAATGAGTTGTCAACTTGAACAAGACACGGATAGTCATGTTCGGGAGTATAATAAGTTGTATTTAGTCCATGAATAGAAAATGCACTACTCACTTGAAAATAGTTGCGACGGTAACATGTCCAATCATTATCAGCTAAAAAGAAACCTCGATCCATTTTAGCTTGAATTCGAACTGTTAGTCTAATAAGGGAATGAGCATATTTTTAATATAATATAATATAAACAAATGTATGTATGTCTATATTTACAATGTAGATCTATCTAGTGCATACAAGTTGTCAATAGGTTTTGTAGAACTAAAAAAAGGACCAAGTTCATTTGAAAATAATTCACTTCTGCCACGTTTACGTCCAAGTAATTGATGAGGATAAGGGTTTGAAGGGAATGAAGTGGATGTAAAACTTGTACTTGTATTTAATTTCTTTTGTTGTGGTGGTGGTGGTGATATAGGTCTTTCTTGTTGATTCATATTCGGACGAGGTGTTCCAGGCTGAGAAATAGCCATCATTCTATATTAACAATATATATAAATTAGTATCAACAAAAAAAAAAAAAAAAAAAAAAAAAAAAAAAAAAATTGTTGTTATTACCCAGGTAGTCGTGGATCTGATTCAGGTTTTCCAGAAGGTAAAAAATGTGTTGTAGGCGGAAGTTGGTGTCTATAAAGAGAATACAAGTTAGTTTGATTCGAATTATCACATATAATAAAACCAGGTTAAAACCAGTCTATTTTCATCATAACCACAAGAAAAGGTGTAATGTTGCACTATGATATGTATTTTCATCTCCTCCTGCTTTTCCCCCCTTCCCCTCTCTCACATATACACACGCCCTCATTGTAAAATATACAAATATGACAGATAATACAAAAAAAAAAAAAAAAAAAAAAAAAAAAAAAAACTTACACAGGTGAATGTAAAGGACCCTGATGAAAATTAGAATTATAATGATGTTCCATCATAGGTGGATAATGTTGTATTTGAGAAGACTGAGATACAGGACTACTTGAATTATGTAAAGTTTGTTGATGATGCCAATTCTTTGTGTTATGAGCTGAATTCATTTTAATTAATACAAGGTATATTTTATATATAAATAAAAGAAGTAAATTTTTTTATCTTGATGCAAAGGAAGAAGAAGAAGAAGAAAGAATAAAAATTTAACTTTTTTTTTTTTAGTTTCTTTTTGGATCTAAGGGGAGGGGGAGGGGGATCTATATAAGCCAAAAAAAAAAAAAAAAAAAAAAAAAAAAAAAAAAAACTTTAAAATAAATCGGGGAACTAAATTATTAAGCGATAATAAAGTTGAGGGGCATTAAACTGTAATAAGAATAGAAAAGCGTTTTAAAAAAAAACAAAAAAAAAAGCAGACAATTATTTTAAAATAGATTCTCAGATTATAAATTAAATGTGTTTATATGTGCTATAATAATACTACTACATTTAATAATGAAGGATCTGCATTTTTTATATAGTGAAACATAAAGATAAAAAAAAATACTGCAACCATGCATGAATTAGAGTCATAATAAATAGTTATATTTCAATGATAAATGATGTACGTGCACTTAAGAATGACAATATGAAAAAAGTAATGAAAATGTGTACATGAAATACTTAAATTAGAAGAGAAAAGAGAAAAAGGCTCTGTCACACTTATATTTTATTATGGGTCTCGGAACTTAATTATTGTTATTATTATTAGACAAGATAGTAACTATTTCTTTTTGAGCTCCTTAACTACTATCATTAATAATACACTACGTTGCTGTCATTATTACTAGTATATGTATTTATTTATACATATACACATTTATAATTTATTTCTAATAGTCACAGATTCTTATATTCCATAAAAGAGTTCTCCGAGCATTTTATGTATTACAATTATGACCTTTTCTGTTCAATATAATTACTAAAAATATTTATTACTTTGAACAACTTGATTCATAGAATACTTACCTTCTTTTTTTTTTCTTTGCAAATAATCTTATAAGAATTATTGCTTTTATTATTGTAAAATGAAAGAGTGAAAACTTGAGAATAAAAAAGACTAATTACCCTCTTTTATAAAGAATATATTTGCGCGGTGATTTCTTATATCTAGGTCCGAGAAAAAAAAATTTCCCCTGAAAATTTAATTTTTTATTATTGATACGCGTGAAAAGGAAATAAATTATAAAAACAGTATCATATATCATGATTTACACACACATAATACTTTTAGCAGTGTAGTAGAGCAACTATAAACTAATTTTTTCTTTTCATGTGAGCTTTATTACTACTCTTATCATTTTTATTGAATAAATATGTAGTAGTATATCTTTTCTTATTTTATTTTCCTACAATTATAGATATTATATATTATTGTTGTTATACATAATCTACATTATTATAGCGAAGTTAATAATATATATTATTGCTATTACTTAAATTCCATGTTTTATTTTATTTTGCTGCTACAATTTTTATAATAAAAAGTAATATTTCCTTTATAATAATTTCAGATTATAGACTTCTTTTCTTTTTTCCGGCCTATCATAGTTATAGTTTGATGAGATTATTGACTTTAGTTATTATTTTAGAAACAAACAGATATTTATACTTTATCATTGTACTTCAAAAAAAAAGATATAATGGTTGTCGTTACACACAAGAATCAATAATATCGTCCTTCTTTTTTCTTCAAAAATAATATGGAGATAAAAAAAAAAAAAAACAAAAAAAAAAGACCAATAATATAAGTGAATACAACATTATCCTTCAAAAGGATAATAAAAAATGTGAAGAGAGTGGGATTTGAACCCACGCCTCCGAAGAGATCACGACCTTAACGTGACGCCTTAGACCAACTCGGCCATCTCTCCACTTGTTTTTTGAACTTTATTATATCAAATATATAGGTTTAAAACTTTAAATAAGTCACGTGACGCAACCAATTGAATTGGTCTATCTGTCTGTTTTTTAAATTTAACGATTTTTTTTATATTTTTCTTGAAATAAAAGAGGCCTTTACCTTGAGTTATAATTTTGACATTAAGTTTGTTCTTGTAAATTATTACAACGAATAGTGTTGGCTATGAATGTCAACTGGTTGAAAAAAAAAAGAATAGAAAAGAAATTGAAGAGCAATTTAAAATTTATTTTATAACAAGATATTCTTCCCTATTGTTATACAAGTCTCGGTTGTAACTGTTATAGAACAAACTCTGGATATAGGCATAAGCAATATTATAAAAGATAAGTTATATAATACAGGATAAACCGTAAACATGAGCATAGAATAAGACATCATCTTATACTGTATATAGCATCTTGTAAGTAATATAAAACTTATTGATATCGATTCATCTAGACGTGTTAACTATAAGACATCGTATTATTTCTAAATATTTATTTTTATAACCTTGATAAAGGATCCAGGTCGTCTTTGATCCAGTAAAATAAAAATGTAAAAGGTATCAAGAACCTATACTCAGATCAAACAGTATAGTTTTTATTTAAAATCTCAATCATGTCATTATATAATTACAACACCAAACAGATAATCCATAGATCAGTCTCTTGAATCAACACAATGTATATTTGGATACTAACACTGTTCTATGATTTATCTTTTTTATAGTTATTTTTCTTTTTCTTTAATTCAGGATTCATTAGCATAAATACAAGTAGTTGTGTAGACACAAAGTAATCTTTAATCTTTAATTCTTTTATTTTATTATCTTTTATTTTTTATTTTGATAATGAATTGTGAAAAAAATGTTTATATTTGAATTAAAAACAATAGGACAATTATCATACTTTACAGTCAATATTAATACACTCATTTATTTTTTAACTTTTATTAAAGCTACATTATGCTGAAATATTTTAATATTCTTCATTTTTAGAAACACTTTACAAAATCTTTTAAGCCAAAAAAAAAAAAGAAGAAGAAGAAGAAGAGAGCCTTTTCTTTATATAGTGTGCTTTAATTGACAGAAAGATAAAGAAAGAGAATGAAACAAAACACAAGACTATGAAAACTCTGTATAGATTATTCAAGAAAAATAATACAAAAAACTGTTCAGGAAAAAATAAGATGGAAAAATGACAAGAGCTATTTATATGTTTTTACAAGGTAGGTAAGTGATATTAATAGAACTATGATTTGGACAAACAAATACTGGCGTAATAAAGGATCATGTAAGAATACTGTCTCTGGATAATTTAGTATGCAATAAAATATATTTTTATTCTTTCTGAGCTGTCGCTGTTACCAGAAATATAATCAGTTATTATCTTTGGAGTAAGCAATGCGTCAATATTAATTCATAGTGAATATTCCAGCTATAGCAATAATACCAATTATTTATGTGCCACTATTATTATTACCATCCTCTGAGATATTATTACATAATATGATGTTCATACTTATTATTAATGCTCGAATATCCTAAAAATGACTATTATTAAAACTGAGTGTAGAATGAATATTATGCTGTAAAGTACAATACACTAATTTTATCTGAATAACCTCTTTATTATTTAATATTTGATAGTTTATTTCTATCAACTTAGTTACATAGACGGCTTCAAACATAACACAATGAAGTTATACTTTTTTTTTTGTCATGTTGTATAATTCATAAAAGTTAAAATCAAAGGATATTTGGCTTCTAACTTGTTATCTTAATTAAATATGATATTTTATACTTTAATAACAAACAATAAAATAACATGAAAAGAAAAAAAAATAGTCATATCTTTCTTATACTATCTCAAGAATAGCATGTCATGAATACATATATTTACTTTATATTTTTTTACTTATTTATATGTATGTGGAATCTCAAATATATACCTTTATTATTTTATTTTAAATCAGGTAATATATTATATACAATTATATATAATTATTCTATCTCTCTAAATTGATGGCCACGAGTTAACTGATTTAAAACCTCCGTTATAGTGATTATGCCTAATAAGCCTGGCTCGAGTCCTGCATCAATGGTGCTATCATTTGTTCCTTGTTCGGCCGAATCGATCGTTTTTTTTTCGGTTTCTTCTGCAGATTGACACGGATGGCATGTGCCACTGAACATTCTTTTAATAAAACAGGAGATACGATTTGATTCATGACTTTTAACGGAAGGAAGAGAGACAGTATGTAGCAACGGTTTTTCATCTTGTTTAATCTCTGAATGATAAATAAAGGCTATTTGTGCCTCACTATTCAACATATATTATTAATAAAATGTCATTATATATATGTATATACTTTTATAATAGTTATATTTTTTACTTGTCTTTGCTTAGTAGTTGAGTCAATAATTCTATTATTGAAGTGTCTGAAGAAGCTTTGATACATGGATTTAATCTCATTTTACCAACAGGGTTCATATACTCGCTACTTTCTAATCCAACCAACGTCTACAAATAAACGTAGTTTTAATTCTCTATTATTCTTTCTTTCTTTCTTTCTTTTTTTTTTTTTTTTTTTTTTTTTTTTTTTTTTCATTTAATCATACTATTATACCTTTAATTCTAGAACACCTAAAATTTCATTTTCATTTTTTGTTTCATCATAAACTAAGATATGGGTAAAATGATCTTCTATGTATTCTAATACGATGGAAGAATTGATATAAGCGCCTATGGGTAATGATAGCATATTTTTTAGGGGCTTTGCCATTTGATAAGCATATGTATCTTGCATGTATAATGCGTTTTGTACAAGGATTGAGGTCTCATGTGTCAGGCTACCACGTTCATGCTTTGATTTATCGTGAAGACTGATCAGGGCTCTCAACTCTAAATATATTTTATAAATAAATATAGGGAGACATTCTATAGATATAGATGGATATATACCTGTTGCATTATAAGAAAATCCTGTATGTTTACCCAACACGTAGTCTAAAAATTTGGCTATAGGCCAAGCAATAATAAACCAAATAGCAATAAGGAAACGTACAGGCATTGCTAAGAAAGCACCTATTGCTAAACCATGCTTTGAAAATACTGCTTGTGGAATAATCTCAGAGAAAAGAACGAGAAGTGCAGTCGATAGAATGATTGATATAAATCCTTTATGAAATGAATCAATTTAATATATATCTCCTTAAAAATTCCCCTTTAATCCCTATTTTCTTCTTTTTTACTCTCTCTCTCTCTCTCTCTCTCTTTTTATTTATTTATTTTATTTTACCTTTACTAAAGATACCATCAAATAAAATAGGAAGTGTTTCATTCAAAACGGTATTTGTTAATAGTAGAGTAGATAAAAGAATATGTCCATTTTTACGAATAGGAATGATTCGAGAGGCATAGTGTTGTTGCTGAGCTGTTCCCGCAATCTCTAAAATAGATAGATTTGTCGTATCCAATGACATCTATTTAGATAGGTAAATAACATATAATAATAATTAAAAAAAAAAAGTGCTTTGAATAATAATACCAAACCCAATGTAAGGCCCGCTACAACACCACTCAAGGTGATTAAACACACAATAGCAATAATTTGTCCCCAAAACTCTAATGATTTAGGATCATTAGCATGCTCTTTTTCTTGTTCTTGTTCATGATGCTGTGCAAGTGTACTAGTTACTATAGTCGACAGTAATAAGGTATAAATTATAAATTTATTGCTATATATAGGTGGTTCCAATATCATATCAATAAAAAAAGAAATAGATGAAAAATACATACATATAAATAATTTTATAAAATATATAAATATATGATGTTATGCACAGCTAAATCATGACATGATCACCTTTCTACAAAAAAAAAAAAAAAAAAAAAGAAAAGAAAAAAAAGGATTTTTTTTTATAAAGGGAGTAAGGGATCAATTATAGTCTGCATTTACACAAATATAATAATATACCTTGTATATACATATCCCGAAAACTTCAAAATGGTCATTTATGTAAACATGCGTTTTTTTTTTTTATTTTTTTTTTATTTTTTATTTTTTATTTTTTATTTTTTTTTTTTTTTTTTTTTTGAAATGTGTAAAGATATACAAATATCTTATTCATTAAGTACTGGCTTATTATTATTTTTATTTTTCTTTATTCACTACATAATTTGCGCCGTATATATAACACAATAATTATAACTCATAAAATGTATATGCGATAACTTGGTAAAATTCCACGGGTCACGCTTAATTAATATAAATCATTCTAAAGCGAACCACAAAAGGGAGACATAAAGAGGGTAAAAAGCTGTCTATTGCAGCAAAGATAAACGAATATCATTAAATGTAATGAAAATGGAGTAATTAACGGCATCATGTGGAAAAAAAAAGGAGATGAGAAGTGTTACTCTTTTTTTTTTTTTTTTTTTTTTTTTTTTTTTTTTTTTTTTTTTTTTTTTAGTTTAAATCTTGGTATATTATTTATTGATCTTTGATAACTGTTGTAATCCAAACAACCATTGATTCAGGTGACATTGGCTTTTCCTCCATCTTTTCTATCCTTCCTCCTTCTTTCAGTTCAATTTCGATTCTAATTAAAAACGATTTATATTGTTCGATAATGTTTGTCTATAGAAGATATTATTTTATTTCAACTTTTTATTCTCACTTGTTAAAAAAAAAAGTTCAACTTACTTGTACTGGCTTTATTAAAATATGCTCCATTTTTTCATCGTTAATATATTCTCTTAGTTTTCTAGTCATATACTTCATGCGTTCTTCAGTTGCTTCCATAAATTGTTGTACCGATTCTTGTACTTCTTCTAATATATATATTATAATAAGATTTTCTTTCTTCAATTAAATTACTTATTTTACTTACTGCCTTTTAGCTGCTGTGTAGATGAGTCAACTAAAGATGTAGGTAAAGCTTCTGGTGGTAAAATGGTAGACAACTTTAAGATATTGAGTTAACTTTCATTGTATAGCCTAAAATTAGGTTATTCATATTTATTACCTTGATAAGGAATGTAGTAAGTGGTTCAACACAACTACTGACGCAGTTATGAATGAATGCTTCACATACTCTTTTGATTTGTAAATCAATTTCTCGTCTTGAATCTACATTGATTTCAACAACACGAGGCATACCACGTTGTGCTAATCCTATTAATGCATTTGGGTTAAATAAAAGTGCCCTTTGCTGTTGAAATGATGAGAATGAATCTATTATAAGGATTAGTTTTATCTACTAATATTACTCAAATATATATTACTTGTGACATGAGAGAAATCAAGAGCTTTTCCTGCATGAACTAAACTAGCTTCAAATGGAGCAAGTTGTTCTTTTAACACTAGTAGGTTCTTTATCAAAAATAATTGACCATCAAGTACAGACTAATAGAATAATACTAAGCAGATAGTTTCTCTATATTTATATGAAAGATTACCTTAAGAGTTGAAAGAGTATCACTTGCTTTTTGAAGTGATGTATTACAAAGAGATACAGCTTCTTGTGCCAAATCTTGAAATACGCTCGTCTAATATATATAAATTGAGTATATCATGTAATCAAAATAGTATGAACTTTAATTTACTTGAATACATCGATATAGTTTTGATAAAACCCATAGTGTCTTTTGTAATGTAGGATACCCTCCTCTTACTATATCCTCATTATTGTCTGTTATAGAAGACCGAATCGATACTGAGTCTTCTTCTGCTGTTACTTCTAATAATGCTGCTGCATTCGTATCCAATACAACTGAAGATTTTTTCTTATCATTACCTTGTAAATGAGTAGCATTATTTTGACTCATTTCAAAATCTTCTGGTTTTGCCTGATAATTTTGAATATCATTATAAATAAACATTTGTGCTCTAAATACGAGTCGAGCTTGAGCATCTTCTAATATATTCTGTATTAAATGACCAAATTTAACTTCATCCTTATCTTCTGTCACTCCAATAGCTATTAATTATAATTCAAGTCAATCTATTTGGTTTATATTATCTTGATAATCACTTTACCAAAATCATTTTCATCCTGCATAACATACATTAAGAATAAGTTACAAAGTTCTGATAAAGTCGATATATCATTTTCATGTATAATTCTTGGACGAAGATAATCATAAAGATAGCTTGTTAATAAATCCAAATATTTACTAAAAAAAAAAAATGTAAGTAATGAGTGAAATACTAATGTTTATATTTACTATAAATCTTTTTCTCCTGTTTTTTGAAAGAAATTATAAAACAAGTTGTATTCATCTGAACAAAGACTCATCATGTAGGCACATCCATTTTTTGCCTAGTCATATTTAGAAATTAGTTCTTTTTTTTTTTTCATCTCATCTCTCTCTCTCTCTCTCTTCTTCTTCTTCTTCTTACAAGCTCTAATATATCTCCATCATTTGGGCCTAATTGTTGAATTTTTTTAGAAATCAAGGGGCTTAAAAGCTGTTGTCTTGTCTGAACATAAGCATATACCATATCTTCATATAAAGCTTGGTATTCTTTATTATTTAAACATCGTTTTTCAACTTCAGCTGTCAATGATTTAATTGTAAAAGCAATTGTCCTGAATTTCACATAATACATTGTAGCTTGTTTATTTCCTAGATTATCTTTTGCATTGGCTTGCTTATATACATCATATCCTAATTTTTTGATGGTCGATACAACATACATTTTAATTAATGAAATTCCACGTGTTAAACATTGACGAAATCGCATCAAATACAGTTCTGAATCACGATAGTCTTGCTACAAAATAAAATAAAAGGTTATTTTTTTTTTTCAAAAAAAAAAAAAAAGAAAGAAAGAAAAAAAAAAAAAGACAAATTACATGCTTCTTCATATATTCTATACATTCGTCTAATTTTCCTAACATGGGTGTAAATTGTTTATCTAAACAGATATCCTCTCCTGGGGAATTAAGCAACTTGGCTATCGGTTCCAACTCATTAAAATACGATAGTCGTTCCCGAAGTTCGTCTGCCAATTCTGTCAAGCGGTCTTGATCTTCCAGCAAGCTCTCACAGGCTGTTTGAACTAACCTTGTTCTCATCTCTACAAATGAATAATGGTGCTCGAGTTCATCAAATAGCCCGTTTGTTTCCTCAAGACTCTTTAAAAGGGCTTCTGTACTTTCCTTGTAGATCCTGACAATAGATAGATGATTACGGTATACATCTTCTTGACCTTTCTGCATTTCATTTTCAATCATTGCAAACCAGTCAAAGAATTCTTGAAGGGTCTCGATAGGTTTTGGTGCATTAATCGTCTGCGCTACTTGTTGACGGAATTCGACAAGACTAGTACTGGATAAGGTGCGTGATAAAAGTTGTGTAGATAAAAGATGTGGATTAGGTGGTGATGCTGTAAAAGGAACAGGTGTCAATGCTCCTGAAGATGTTGCATAGGGTGAACTAGATAATTTATCACTTAAATACTAATAAAACCAATTAACAATGAATAAAATAAATAATAATAATAATAAAAAAAAGTAGTAGTAGTTGTACCCAATTAGAAGGTAATGGTAATTCTGTACAAGCTTCTTGTAAATCATATATACTTTGTTGTTCTTTCTCTGTTAATTTTGTTTTTTCTTCCCATTCCTCTAATAGTGTTCCACGCATCCCTTTTGTCATTATTTTAAAAAGTATTCCCTTTTTTTTTTTTTTTTTTTTTTTTTTTTTTTTTTTTCGGTCAAAAAATAATAGTTTTAAAGAGCAGATAAATTTCTTTTTTTGGAAAATACATGTATATTTCTTGTGAATGCTACTTATTTCAGGGCCATTTACTTTCTACCGTATGATATTATGCAAAAGAATGTAAACCAATAACAAAGATGCATTTAACAGGTGAATATATACATTAGTGTAATAGCTGATATACATTTAAAATAATGAAAGGAAACGCTCAACTATTTCAAAAAAAAAAAGCAAAAAGACGAAAGCTGATATAGATTGTTATTACATGAAACTGCACCTCTTTAGATATAAAATCAGGAAATAAGTTTTAATCATGGATAAATAAAATAAGATTATTCTATTTGTTTTTAGGAATGTGTATTGACAAAAAGGAAAGAAGAAAGAAGAGTGTCTAAAGACAGAATATAGATAATTGTTTGCAAATATATATTCTCTACTAATAAAAATAAAAAGTAGCTTAACATATAATGAAAATATCTTCGATGTCATAAGAATAAGGTATATTTTACTAAGTTAAAGAAAAAAAAAAGCTTCTTTTTAAAAATAAACATAAGAATTAACAGATCATTAGTCGTAATTTAAATCGAATCTGATATAAATAAGACATGTAAAAGCTGATCTCTTGTCCTTTTTTTGTTGTTTATTGCTTATACATATACACACACATATAAATATATATAAACATATATATATATATCCATTCAACTAATAAAATGAAATCTATTTATTGTATTCTTTTGACTCTGTTCCTGAGTCTTGTCTCAGCTTCAGCTATTCAAATGGACCGTCGTGCTGAAGAAGGAGAGGCGCTTATGATGTTTGGCTATAATCCACCTCGTGTCAATCCTGACTATTGTAAAGGTTTTCGTATTGAATATCCTACATACCCTGGTTTAGCTTTTGAAGGAGGTTCTTTACAACAACTTCACTGGTCTGTGGATGAAGATCTTAATCCTACACCTGATATTATTACTCGTATTCGTATCTTAAATGCCACTCAACACAATCAATATATTATTGGTGAAAATATTAGTAAGTAATTATTATTTGCAACAAATATAATATATAAATATATACCAATTCTATCCTTTTCTTTTCTTTTTTTTTATAGCTCTCTATAACTTTGAAAATACTGGTTCAGTCGCTTTCCCTCTTAATATTAAAGATATTACAGGCTTATACCATTACCGTATCATGGTAAACTATCCAGGTACTCCACTCCATTGCGTTTATGAGTCCGTACCTTTTATGATTATTCAAAATCCTTATCAAAAATATCAGACTGCAGGCCCTCCTTATGTTGATGTCAATATGGGTACACTTTATTCCACTATTCCATATACCAGATATAATTTTATTAGATCAACTGATGGGCCCAGTGTAACTTCAGATTCAAAAAAATAATTCTCTACTATTTTTTGTGTGTGGTTTATAAAAATAAAATCCTTTCTTTTTCTTTTTCTTTTTTTTTCTCTCTCTCTTTCTCTCTCTTTCTCTCTCTTAATATGAATTTTAAAGATTTACAATATTCAATTGGGAAATTTAAAGCAGATGTTCATTCACAGATTGCAAAAAAGAATCCTCTACAAAAGCAAGATACAAAAGCTTTATCAACTTGGATTTCTCAAGAACGTTATGATTTGGCTTCCATGAAGACAGTAGCATATGAACGTTCTGAAACAGTGAAAGCCTTAAAAGATTGGATAAAAGAAGAAGCTGCTGAAGAAAAGTCCGAAAATGCACAAGATTTAGAAGTATATACAAATATATACATATTTATATACATATATATAAACACAGATACAGCTTTATATACATACAATACATAAACCAATATTTACCATCTATTTTAGGATATTGTGGGAAATAAGCTATGCTATTTATTAGATAAACAAATCGAAATTGAACAAGAATTTGCAGGTAGGAAAAAAAAATGGAGGGGATAGGAATTGTAGGAAAAAAAAAACAACAACTAAAATACATACATTTTAAGCTAAATACAAGCAATATCGTCATGCTATAAAGTCTATTCGAGAACGAGAAGAGAAACTATCAGGTCAACGAGAAAAGAAACGTACGTTACAGTCTCGTATTGATAATCTCGTTAAGACAAGCCCTAAATCACCTCGTATAATGGAGTTTGAAAAAGAGCTCAATACCTTATTAAAAGAGACGCAGGAGAGTGAAATGGATCTTGCTGACTTTAAACGATTTGCTTTAAAAGAAGCATTTTACTTGAGATTTAATGCTATGCATGAATATGGACACAAAATATCTCTTCTTGCTGGCTTTGGCAAATATTTAACAGACCTGATAGAGACTAAAGCCACCACAACTGAAATACGAATGCCTTATGAGAAAAGCACAGAAGCTCAAAAGATTTTTGAAGATGCTATTAAAGCCCTAAAGGAATGGGAGCCTATGGCTGGAGATGAACGACCTACGTTAGCTAATTATAAATTAACATCCTCTTCTTTAACAAGTATATCTTCTGAACTAGCCATACAGCCACCTCAGTTACCACCTAGGAAGCCCTCATATCAAAAAAATACTACAGCTGATATTTCATCACAAACTACTACTACTACTGGAGACTTGAAAACAGATACAGAAATAGAAATCGATTTTGCTAAAATTGATTTGTATGATGTACCTCCTCCTGCTTATGATGCCTCATCATCATCATCATCACCATCATCACCATCAGCACCACCACAACCATCACGATACTCATACATGGATATGTTATCTCATCAAGGGACACACCCTTCAGATTTAACGTCCTTGACAGATTCTCCTATACCCATGCATCGACCCTTATTACCTCATCATCAAGATTCACTCGGTAGTCATTCTTCTGTGAATTATCAACAACTTTATCATCAAGTGAATCAACATCAACAATACCATCACTATCGTCCTTATGCTGAATTTGTTCAGCATCATCAACATGGACCACCCACACGAGTTGATGCAGGTGGCTTTCGTATCCCAGCTACTTATCATCATGCCAATGCCGAAAATGAAAAAGAACATCTAGCACACTATTACAAACAACAAGAGCAGCAGCAGCAGCAGCAGCATCCTCAAAATTCACAAAATAATCTACACCAACATTCTTTATCTCAACAAGTTCAATCACCCAATAGTTATGAAGAAAAAATACAAGAAAACCAAGATCAATAATGAATACATTTATTTACGTTTAAATAAAAATACACAAATGGGAGAGGAAGGAGGAGGTCTTTATATCTTTATTTTTCTTTATTTCTTTTTTCTCTTTTTATATATATATATGTATATATTTATATTTTTATACAAGGTATAAATGTATTTACAAGATGAGTATATAATAGGATGATTTTTGTTTTGTTCTGTTCTGTTTTGTTTTGTTGCTATATATGTATATGTATGTGCTTAATGAAGGTTCACTACGACATGCATCCATTCATGATGTCTTGTTGCAAAATGTAAATTTATCCATTTATGTACAAATGCACCGTGAATTCGAACCAGCAAACGTTCAGAGCACATTGGACAAGATTTATAAGAGTACTTTTTATTGGCACAAGAAGCGCTACTATTTTTCATCAGTAGAGATGATGGTGCTGCAGTATTAATGATAGCAGACGACATATTGAATAAAAAATATAAGAGAGAAAGAGAAAGAAAGAAAGAAAAAAGAAAGGTAAAAGTTAAAAAAAAAATTGTATATTATATATGCATATATATATACAAATATTCGTTTATTACTGTTAAGGAGTATTATACACTAGTAGTAGGGAATACAAAGTATATCATGGGAGTTGTATAAAGGTACCCACTATTATTTTAATTTAAACTATATAAATATAAACTGGTGATGTGTAAAAAAAAAAAAAAAAAAAAGCATCTGATTAAACACATAGATATACCAAACATACAAACAAATAAACAAATAACCGTGCTCGTTCTTCTTTTTCTTCTTCTTTACTACCTCTATACACTTTCTTATTACTTCTTTAATGACTTGAAAAAAAAATATAGTATATGTTAACATTGTAGCAATGATGTAATATGAACAATCAATCATGTATATTCTCCTTTTATTGTAGAGAATAGCCCGTTTTTTTTTTTTTTTTTTTATCTATATCAACTGATATTGTTGTACAATAATAGAGTCCCGGAATAATAGTTTATAATTATATTTACACAAAGGTGTAGAAGATATACTTAATTTGCTGTTACTATTTGGCGTTTATTACATTATGTAATTAGTAACATTTCATTACCTGATCTATTAATTACGCATTATACAAACTGCTATTTAAATTATAAACATTGCACCACTATAAAAGAGTCTACTACTTAATTTTATTAAATTATCGTTAGCTTAAGAAAAAAAAAAAAAAAAATTAAGCCACATTTTGAGAATCTAAAATTTTATTGACCGCATATCCACAGTGCATTTGCAGAAATCAAATGGCTTTTTACTTTCACGTTTTTTTCCCCTTTTCTATAGGATTCATTTATAGGGATATTACCGTACAAGAATTATATGAACATTATTCGACTTTAATTTGAATACTTTATCTTATTTTTAATCATTTTCGATTAAAAAAAACTTGTGAATAGATTTAACACATAGAAAATTGATTGATACTGTATCTTTATGATAAGATATTTTCTAATGTTCTTACGTGTATAGTTCGGATATTCACTATGAGCTTTTATTTTTATATAACTATTATATTAAACCAAGTATAATATCATGGATAATCACTAAAATATTCTATAATTGCCTATATTTTGATAGTAGGCTTCAACATACAAATTTCAACCTTAAATAACGATATAGATTACGAAATGATACACATTCAATGAATGTCCTTTTACTCTTATTGACTTTATACCCCCCCAATAAACTTACTTGAATAAAATAAAAGCTATAACCATAAACCGTATTTATTGAAGATTATCAACCTACGGGGTTAAAGTTATTTATATACAAAAGAATACGTATTATCTAAAATTGCATACATTTGAAATATAGATGTGACATGGGCTCACTTCTAAGAATAAGTCCCTTTTTTTTTTTTGTATTCATAAATACAGGACAAAGTGACTGTAGTATTTTATTTGTGATTTATAAAGTATGTTATCTTATAGACACAAGACAAGAGCGAACTGAAAGAAGGGAGAAGAACGAAAAAAAGAAAGGATTGTGTACATTAAAGAACACAAAGCATTTTAGTATTGATTGTACTTCATAGAAGGAAAAAGTGTGTTTTTTGTTCTGAGTGAAAAGTGATGGTTACTCAATTACGGTCTATCTTCAACTCATGACAATAATCACGGGAAAAGTAGCTATAAATGATTTTCTTCTGTGTTAAGACATCATATTACAAACTGCAGCAACATGATATTCTGTATTAAGACATGGTATACAAACTCATGTGCCTACTTGATTTCTATTACTCAAAATAGTAGAGAACGTACTTTAGATGTATAAAAAAAGAGAGGTGCGCTGTTGTACATGTATACGTTGGATGAAATGCATAAATAAAACAAGTGAATAACTGTGTGTGTAATCCAAAAGGTCGGTCTTCTTTAGTTTAAACAGATTGAATGATATCATAGATCAAGAGGACTATGAACCGCCAAGTCAGGGGAAGATGTATATAATACAAAAGAATAATTACATTCTCTTAGAATTAGCATCATTGTAATGTACATGATTTTCTTTATTTTACGTTTTTTTTTTTTTTTTTTTTTTTTTTTTTTTTTACTGGTGGATACCTGGAAAAAAAAAAAATAGAATTGTTTCATTTAAATAGTTTATAAATCGTTTAAAAGACATTTTTATAAATATATATTTTAAGCAATTTTTATTTTAATACATTCAACTAGACAAAAATTAACAATCATTACTAAAAAAAAAAAAAAAAAAAAAAGAATAAAAAATCAAGTATTCATGGATACATGTTTATTTATTCTTGTTTCTTGGTTTGCTCTTTTTCATCCGTGATTGCTGGTTTTCTTATGATCCAACTATTCAGATAGGCACCCCAAGTAACTTCTTGTTTAATTTGTTGAGGTGAATTAGACAATAGAGCATTACTATTATCTTTTACATTAACATAAGATTGTAAAGATTCTTCACTTTCTGTACGATCTAATTCTTTCACAGTACTCGTATTAGTCAATGGTTGTTGTTGTTGTTGCTGCTGCTGCTGCTGCTGCTGAAATGTATTTGTTGTAGCTGCAATTAAAGTAGAAAACAGATTATAAGGATTTATAATGTTGTAATATCTTGTTTCAGTAGCTGTAGTCGGTTCACTCACAGTAGTAGTCAACTGTTCTTGTTGTAGACTATTTATTTGATTATTCTAAAACAAAAAAGATGTATTAAAACATGTATTCATGATTACATGCATTGTAAGATTTACGTTATTCAGTATTTTATCAATAATCAATTGCTTTATCCTTTTAAATAATTGCTTTCCATAGAGTATAATTGTTTCTTTTAATTTAGTTTGAATTTCCACTAAAATAGTATCAATGTATTCCTCATGTGCATGTAAAAATGGATCAAGATAGTTTGTATAGATAACAGAGGTTCCCTATAAAAAGGGGAAAAAAATTCAATATACATGTAAAGAAAAGAATAAAATAGGTTTACTTGTGTCTGAGGTAGGATAAGCCATAGAAGAATAATCAGTTTGATCTCTGTATAAAATGGGAGCCTTTTTTTTTTTATACACATATACATGTATATACGTAAATTAAACTTACAAATAGATGAGACTAGTTTTGTATTACCAAAATAAAAAAAGATCTGTAAAATATTCAATAGAAAGAAAGGTAATAGAAACAATCCAGAAAGTTAAAAGAGACCCAAACTCTTCTTGATTATTTATTTTAATTGCTTTATAACATATGTAAGCAGGATAAAGTTGCAAAAGTCCTAATTTGACAAAAAAGTAAATGGCAGAAGTAATCATCGTTCCTTGCTTGGAATAATAATAGATGAGAAAGAAAATGAAATGATTATGCAGCTATTCATTAAAGAATAAAAAAAAAAAAAATAAATAAATAAAAAAAATAAAGATCATTCATTGGTTATTCCAGTAATATCAGCTGAACTAATGCAGTAATACTACTCATTGTGTTTATTTTTAATAATATCAAGTAAAAAAGCTGTCGATAATTGTATCATAATGTTTATGTTTAGAAGCATTACTTTGAGAAGCAGATGAACGTAATAAGGAATCCAATACAATAGCAGGATTTTGATTCACAGTAATCTTTTTATTTTCAATATTTATTAATCTTGAAGGCATCCTATTATCCATATTTAATGGCTGAGTAGTTGATTTTACTTGTTCAAGTACTTTTAAAAGAAACAAAGTGTTGTCATAATTTTGTTGTTGTTGTTGTTGTTTAAGAGTCCTTTGAAATAAACCATGTGTTAAAGAAGAAGACATTTTGATATATGTCAAATAAATAAATAAAGTAAAAAAAAAAAGGTTCTTCTTCCTTATCATTGAATATATACATTTATATATCTATCAGCTATTTTATTTTATTTATTCATTTATTCACATAAAAAAATTTTTTTTTTCATTTAAACCTATCAAAGTAAAAATAAATAAATAAAAAGTTACTTATTATATAATATGACCATGCGTGAGTAATTGTTGAATGACATCTATTGTGCCAAATAAAGTACATAAAATGCCAAAGATGGCTATAATAGAACATATCAAAAATAAACCTAGTCTTCCTTGTCTTGTTTCCCAATTTAATTTCATCCAGAATATAGTAGGTAGAACAAAGGCAAGTATATCGCATAGCATAGTGCTTACGACTGCCATGAAATCAGAGAAATAGGGAATACACATGGCTATAATTGCACATAATAAGATGACACTGATTCGAGTAGCAACTTGTATCAATTTGCTATCTTTGATTTGTTTATCCTTGAACCACAATTCAATTCTAATCGTATAGATATAAAGATAAAACGGGATAGCTAATAATACATGAATTGTAATAACAAACATAGCAATGTTCTGTGAAGAACCTATTGATAAAAAGACAATCCATGTAAATATGTATAGAGTAGACTCTTGATAATAAAGTGTGTGTGTGTATATATATAGTGGAATCTTGATAATAAAGTGTATATATATATAGTAGACTCTTGATAATAAAGTGTATACATACCTAAGGGTAGGCTCTTGTAAATAGGGGATTGAACTACATTTCCAAAGACAAGGTAACATACAAAGGCCATTGTAAAATACAGAATACTAACTACACAGTTAGATACTAAAAGGACCTTTGACCATCTTTCGGGTGTTATCATGGATGCTTCAAGGTGAGGATAGATTGCATGTCCAAAATATGAAAAACTAAATGTACTAAAAGCCAATGGGATATTCTTGGCTATAGCAATGTCATGATGAACTGTATTAATTCTTTCCAGGTAATCAGATGATAAAGCGACAACACATACAATCAGTAATAAACATACTGTAGTCATTGAAGCAAATGTACTATCTCATAAAGCAATACATTATTAAAGCCTATCTTTACTACGAAAAAAAAAAAATACCTTAAAAAGGAAACATCTTTCATATTTCTAACAAGTACAAAAGGAACACCAATCATAATTGAAATTATCCAAACACATACTTTTCGATTTAACCAAATAAATCCATTTTGTAAAAGAAGGATTGAAATGTTTTCACTCGCCATGACCATATAGACAGTAGGAGTTAAAAGTAAAAAAGACTGAGAGAAAATATAACCAATCAATTTGCCTGGTTTACCAAATGCCATGTGACCAATGTCTGCATAATCTCTAAATCGTGTATTATTTCTACTACTACTATTAATCATCATCATCTTGCGCTCTTAATAAAGACTTACTTGTTTGTATAAAGACATTGAATTAAAAGAACTCCAGTAAATTGTGACATACATGCATTTAGTATTAAAAATAAAATACCTATCCAACCTGATTGACTCATTGCGTGTGCAATAGCTAATATTCCCGTACCTGCCACGACACATCTTAAAAACTATTAACATCTTTACCCCACCTCCTCCTTCCCCTTAATAAATACTTGTATGATTTACATAATACTTGATAATGTAGATGTATTTGATACATTTCTTTTTTCATCATCATGTAAGTTAGAATCCTTTTGACTTTCATCTAATGTTGTTCTTTTGTCAACTACTTTAATAAAAGATTCATCTTTTATAATTGACAACTGTGAATTTAATTTATAATCTTCTAATTTAGCTGGAGCAGATGCAAACCGCATTATATAGAATAGAAGGGTAAAATAAAATGAAATAAAAAAGAACTGAATGAAAAGGTACTTCTTTTAAATAATAATAATAATAATAATTTGATCTTACAGTAACAACAAATAGTGTTGGTTTATTATAGAATTTTGTTGTTATTAAATAGTAAAGTTAAGCATATAAAATAAGGTACCTTAAATGCAATATTTATTCATGTAATAGAAATCTTTTCCTCCGCCTTTGCTTTTTTTTCTTTTAGATCATATACTCACTCTTTATTTTTATTTTTTATTTTTTTATTTTTTTTTTATTTTATTTTATTTTCTTATATATATCACAACAATTTATTTCTTTTTGTGAGAACTTTTCTTCTTGTCATCAGAAGATGATTTCTTTTCATCAGAGGAGGATTTCTTTGCTTTCTTTTTATCTTTCTTTTCTGTTGTTTGTTCAGCTTTACGCTTTTCAGTAGAAGTTTCATCAGAAGATGAAGCATCACTGTTATTAGCAACTAAACTAGCTTGATAACTCTTGGTTTCTTTAACAAATCGTACTTTCTCCTTTTCAGCCTGTTTAATATAAGGTTGCTTCTCCTTGTCACTGAGAGCATTCCATTGTTCACCAATTAATTTAGCAATTTCTACTGCTTTAAGGTCAGGGTGTTTCTCTACCATATTGGGACGAACAGCTTGAGAGTAAAGCATATAGCTACTCAAATTACGTTTAGGTGCGTTGGGATCCTTTTCAACCTTTTTCTTTTTTTCTCCACCTTTTTTTTTTTTTTTTTTTTAAAAAAAAATTGATTATTATTATTGTAAGAAAGAACAGAAATAGGATATATTGACACTATACATGTATATAGACATATATTTATTTGTACTTACCATTAGTGGCACTAGTTTGATTGGATGCGTTTTGAATAGTTTCTGTAGCGTTAAGAAGAATTTCTGAAAATTCAGTAAGGTTCTTACTAAGTTCGCTAATAAGTTCAGCTATCTACAAAAGGGTATCAATAAAAGCTTTTATTATTATTAAAAAAGGGAAACAATAACTTACGCGTGCTCTACTATCTGACTTTTGAACAGCCATTTTTTATTTTATTTTATTTTATTAGAAGAGAAAAAAAAAAGGGAAAATAAAAGTTTTTTTTCCCCCGAAAATTTTATAAAAAGAATTTTTTTTTTAATATTGTGTGAGCACAATTTTTTTTTTTTCTTTGAAGTACTTCAGCGCGAAATTACATTTTTTTTTTTTTTTTATTTTTTTATTTTATTTTATTTTTTTTTTTTTTGAAAAAATATTTTCTAAGGCGATTTTTTTTTTTTTTTTTTTATTATAAAAAAATACGATCACGTTTCGCTCTTTTTCAAGTAATGTGGGCGGCGGAGAGAAAAAGGAGGATGATCCCAAAAAAAAAAAAAGATTTACTAAAGGTTTATTATAATTGTCTCTGATGACAGCGGGTTATTTTCTTTTTTTAAAAAGAAGAAAAGAAAAAAAAAATAAGTTCCCGATTATATAACCACGACCTTATGAAACTTTTTAATTTATTAGATGTTTTATTATATCAAACATATGAAGAATTGACATAATAAAAAAAAATCTATGCTGTAACTTTTGTCTTTCAATCTCTCTTCTTCTTTCTTTCTTTTTTTTTTTTTTTGTTTTTCCCTGTACTTTTTTCTTCTTCTTTTATTTCCCTTTCTTCTTTGAATATCATATTAATAGAAATAAATAGACAAATAAAGAAATCAAGAAATAAAGAAAAGCCGAGTTATGAGTGATACAATTGCATTTGCTAATAATCCGTCCCAAAGTATCATTGCATTTCCTGCAGTAAAGACCACAACAAAAAGTCCTACCACTGTTACTACAGATGTTTCTACAACTGATATTAACTCTGGTGCTACTACTGCCACTGTGGCGGCTTCTTCTACAAACAGTCTAGTATCAGCAGTAGAGAATTTAGCTTTATCTTCTTCATCTGTAACACAATCAAGTCAAATGAGCTCTTCCACTATCAATAGCAGCAGCAGCAGCAGCAGCAGTAGTAGTAGTAGTAGTAGTTTTACAGTATCTATATCTAGTTTAAGTTTATCTATTCTTTCTTCAACGAATACAGCATCTCCTTCATTACCTTCGTCTACATTTAGCTCAATACCTTCTCCCTTATCTTCCTCTTTATTCAGCTCATCATCGTCATCATCGTCGTCATCGACATCATCGACATCATCCTCTATCCTCTCCTCCGCCACAGTTACACCCTCTATCATATTAAGTAGCAAGTATAATAAAAGCGGTTTGTCTAAGGGAGCTATTGCAGGCATCATTGTCGGTTGTATTGTGGGTGGTCTCTTTTTGATCGCACTTCTTCTTCTTTTCCTTTTACGTAAAAGAAGGTCTAAATCACAACGTATTTCATATCAAGAAAATCTTGAAAAGTTTACACCATACCAATCAGAACCATATCCTATGTCAATGGCAGCTGCCAGTATTAATCATCCAAGCAATGCTGCAACTGCCGCTGCTGCTGCTGCTGCTGCTGCAACTGCTACTGCGACTGCTACCTCCCCCACCAGCACTACACCCATAACAGCAGCAGCAGCAGCAGTTGCAGCAGTTAATACAACTGGATTAACACCCGCTATCATCGATAATAATACACCACAGACACCTGTCATTGATGAGGAGTTTTGGAACCAACCACCACTTGGTACCTATAGGGTCGTTTCATCGTATACACAAACATTAGATGATGAACTCTATATTCAACCAGGAGATCAGATTCAAGTTTATATGGAATATGATGATGGTTGGTGTCTTGGTATTAATCTAACGCGGGGAGAAGCTCGTGGTGTATTGCCTCAACATTGTTTAGATAAAGATAATAACCTTCTTACCACTAATAATAATACTAATATGTCATCCTAATAGTCATTTATAAATAATTTATCCAATCCCTTTCTCTCTCTTTCGTCTTCCTTTTCGCTTTCCCTTCCTCTCCATCTTCCTCTCCTCCTCTCCTATTTTATTCTATCTCTTCCTTCTCCTCCCCCCCTTTTTTTTTGACAACGAGAATGATTTAAAAGTTATAAATAAATACATAATAATAATTACGTTTGTCCTGATCTGGAAATATCTCATTTTATAAATAGCCTTATTTGGAAACTGAAGGATAAAGTCAGCTGCTATAATATTTATAGTTGTTCAATAAATAGGTTTTTTTTTAACAATGATTTTTTTTTTTTTTTTTTAAACAGAAAAAAAAACCCCTAGAAATTGAGCATCAGATACTAAGTCTATCAAAATTGCCCGGGTTAGATCATCAATAATAATGAAAATTATCAAAAACAAAAAAAAAAAGAGGGTTAAAAAGGAACATAGTATAGTTGTGAGACTATTATTGAGAAAGAGGAAGTTAATTAAGGAATTGCTGACTACCATGTCTGTAATGGTAGTAAAGATATTTTTCTTTTTTTGAGTGTATTTAAAGAAATCTTTTTTTTTTTTTCAGGTTGACAGTTTGTCCAAATTGAATTAGTTCAGTGATAGAGATCTAGTTGTGGAATCTTGTAGAGTAATTGAGATAAATGAATATCTGCAGGTATATTTAAGGAACATAGCGAGAATTAAGCTTGTCATCTTTCATGTATGGTAGATAATTTAGCCATGTGTAGCATGATTTTTTTTTTTAAACAGTTGACGTTTTGGAAAACGCCCAAATATATTTCTAACCTATTTGATTTGAATACCCTCCCCTCCTTTTTTTTTTCAATTTACAGCAATGAGCTGAGGAGGTAGAAATAATTAAACCATATTCAAATTGAGGAGGAATGACAAAAGTGTGTTAAATCCTTTACCAATATCTGATAATGTTACTAGAGATAAGTTCAAAATATATATATAGATTTATTTATATGAACAGACACCATCTGAACTAAATCGTACTCCCGCCCTCCCTTCCAAGATAGGAAAAATAAATCATGTCAAGCGTCATTTAGACAGTTGTTCTTTAAGTCTTAAATAAGGGAATTAAAAAGTAAATGTGTCATACACTTCTGAGACAGATCCTCATATATAATTATGTAAGGGGAAGAAAGCTCCATAGTGCTAATAATAATAAAAAATAAACAATAATACTAGTTTCATTAAATATGATGCAAGTAGGATGGTTCTATTTTAGTCACAAGTTTTTTTTTTCCCCAAGTAATTATATTATGTGAGCATATATAACTCATCATATAGATTAGAAGATTGCCACAAGGGTTGAAGGATGGAATCACCAGTGTATAAAGCCATTCGAGCATTAAAAAGCCATCCTATGTAACTGTAGCTTTTGTACCATTAAATTCAGCGGGTAATTGGTCTAATAGTATAGACATATTTGTACTGTACTGTATCTATAGTAAACGAAGGATATAAACAGTGAAAGAGGAGAGAACATAGTTGACAAGTAAAGGATCGTCATATAACATAGGATAGACTAGGGAATGGAATGTGTTAACTGCAAACTATAGATCTAAAAGCTTGTTTAAATATCAAAAGCTTTTATTTCTCGAGTAGTCAGGGTTTCTTTGTAATAACAATGATATCAATAAGAAACACTGGAATAGTAACCATTTGTTCATATTAGAAAACATTATCTTGATCAAGACATCAATCCTTAGCCTTAGAAATAACCTGCTGAGTACACTTTTAGACAAGTTTCTTATTTTTTTTTTTTTTTTTTTGATCCGGCCAAATACAATGTTATGTGCTCAAAATGGATTTTTAAAAATTTTATTCAATAATAAAGTAACCTCATCCCTATTATGTCAATAACTCTTTTTGTAACTAAAACGCTTTTTGTTTATATACCATTCACATGTTTATAAATAAAAAAAGGCATATGTTCGAATTGATTGGATGGGAATTTTTACTCCTTAAAAAAATAAAAAAAAAGGGTATAAAAAGGGATCCAAAAAAAAAAAAACTGCTGTTTCATTCTTTTATAATTATCAACCGGCTATTACACAGCCGTGAGATGACAGGGCCTCCCAGGGTCTGAAGATCGTCTCTTCAGACCGCATATTCCCCTCTTGGGGAGGTGTAATGGGATGTGCGGCTGTCGTTCAGATACGTCCATTTCAGAAATAATAAATGTAAATGAAAAATAGACATATTTGTATATAATTACGTATTTTATGCATGTATATGTTTTTGAAACCTGTTGAGTTAAAAAAAAAAAAAAAAAAAAAAAAAAAGATAAGCTGAAATCTAATAGAACCCGGTCACGTCAAAGACAGACGTTCACTCAACAGCAACAATAGCGATACATTGTTAATTAAAAAAGATACGTTTTGATCGTGTAAAAAAATAAAAAATAAAAATACACAACATGTATACATTTTATTGTAAATAATTATATTCATTAATTAAATCATCACAGCCTAAGCTTATTTATTATAACATCTTTTCAGATCAAACTATCCTATATATTCTAACTATAAAAAAAAACTAATGTGTATATACTAGTTTAAATATTTATTAAATACACAGTTTCACTTTATGCTTTGGCACTTGAACTTGTTGGGACAGTTGTCTTTCTTTTTTCTTATGCGCACTGATCTCCTGGTAACATCCTTTTATTATTATTATTATTATTATTACTTTGCGTATATCTGACTCACTTTAAATGATTGCTTTTATCAAATACTTTTATTTCACTACAGCTACCTTATGTTGTTTTGGATCACTGTGAACATATCAAGGAATACTCTATTATCGTGGATAATGTTCCAATACCTAATTTAGATCAAACTACAAAACTATTTCAAGTTGTATTAAAAAAAAAGCAATTACTCTGGAGATCAACAGAGAGTGGATCTACCACTTTCATAGATTTTTTTTTTATTTCACAAAATATTCAACGATAACAGGATGTTCTTGAATGCACAAAAAATAATAATAATAATAATAATAATAATAATAATAATAATAATAATAATAATAATAATAATAATAATAATAATAATATACTGGCTAAAAAATTTGAATGTTCCCCAACAAAATCTTGAATTTTAAATGCTAATCAATGTACTTTCATAACAGATTCTCTGGTTTTATTTATTTATTTTTTTCAAGACGCTCGTGGTTATACCAGGGATTATTGGCAGAAGATTATTTCGAAGGCAAAAGTCACTAGAAATAGACAACGTCCCTCGATCTCAAGCATGTTCGATCTATGATGCGTCGAACCCACAAGATTGGTTTGAAACACCTTAAACCAGTATATGAATTCATATTTTATCAACATCTGCAAATAAACATTACATAACAAAAAAAAAAAAAAAAAAAAAAAAGGAAAATAAAGCACGGCTTTTGGAGCGTGTTGCCAATTGACAGTTTTTTTTTCTTTTTTTGTACGAGTTGAAAATTTGTTATAAACGAATAGACATTTTTATAAATCGTTTAAACCTTTTTCTTTCGTATTTTTATTTTTTTTTTTAATCAAAAGTTTTACTGTTGAAAAAAAAAATAGATGATGTTAATCACATGCCTCAAGAAAAAACTGCTCCTTTGGAAGGTATGGAAGTTAATTTAATTGGAGTAGAGCACAGCAAAGTACAAAAGCTTGTTGGTATTGAGTCAGTTTGTGGAAAAGCACCTGTCAAAGACGATAAAAAAAAATGCTGCTTAAGCTCAAAGCAAGCAAGCAAGCAAAAAAAAAAAAAACACACAATAGAAAGAGACTCGCCTCGATATTCTTGATCTTTGTTCTGATGTCGTTAACCGTTAGAAGTTAGCAAGTGTTGGTTTTCAGAAAAGCTGTGCGTTCATTGATGAAGCGGGCTTTCACTCGCAGCTGATGAGGGGCGGCTGCGCTTGTTCGAAAGTTAGCACACTTGCAAAATGTCTGAGTTCATACTCAAAAAAAAAAAAAAAAATAATGAATAGATCAGCCTGGTAGGCTGCATAGCCGCTAGAGGAGTGATCATTTTCTCCAAAATTGAACCTCTTAGAAACGATGATGATACTAAGATTGAGAGTGAGAGAGAAAGAGAGTTTCACCAAGAACAATTCTCAAAGAAAAACATAGTTGTCTAAATCAAATATTATTCGACTCGTACAAAATAAATCTTAAATCATCTAAACTCAAACTCTGATTCGTCTATAAAGAAATGGAAATCGTTTAAAGATCATCCGAAAATCTAAAAAAAAAAAAAAAAAAAAGTAGCGGCATGTAACACATTAACGATTACTACTAACTTTTAATCCAATGGCTGTTGACAAAAAGACATTTATTATGTAATTAAAAATCAAAAAAAGGGGGGGAGAGAGGAAAGAGAGACAATAAAAACAAAATAACAAAACAAATTATATCTAAAAAAAAATATGTACAAGTTGCTACAAGTATATGTGTATATGTGTATATATGTATATATATGTTTTTATATATATATATGTGTGTATATATATGTGTATGTATATATGTAATATTACGCAGGGTGAGGAGATATAGTGGCGGTATTCGTAGCGGTATTATTATTGTTGTTTTTACTGTTACTAGTTGTTGAAATAGCAGTATTTGTAGTAGTAGTTGAGATGATATGATTGGTGTTATTGATCTCTGTTGTATTACTACTACTATTGCTTTTAACAAGACATCGTGCAACAGAATTAGTATGATGATTAGAATTGAATGATGGTATTAATAGTTTTGTTGTAATAATATCTACTTGAATTATATCGCCATACAATTTCATAAAGGTCTGTATATCTTCTAGGGAAACCCACAAATCATATCTTAAAAGACCTAAAAAACTTCTTTCCATACGATTGATTTCTTTTGGGGTATAAATTCGATCTGTCAATAGAGATAGATGCATGCTTGTTAAACCGGTACCTGTCTCTGAGAGGTATTTAGAGCTAGTAAGGATAGCAGCTAATAAAAGTCGATAAGGGGTATCAAATCCGCCCCGAGCATTATTTGGTAATTTTGATTTCAATCTTAATAAATAGATTAAAGAAAAGACTTTAACAGAACAAGGAATATACTTTTTACTTGAAGATGAATTATTATTGCTGTAAAGATGTTGAATAAATTCTTTTAGAGGAGGTAAAGGTCTACCATCATGAATAATAGGTTTAGTTGAACAAGTTAATAAATTATTAGCTGTTAATAGTGTAAATGCTAATAGATTCGATAAAAATAAAAATAAAAAACAATTAGATATAAAAACGAACAAAGAAGAAGAAAAAAAAAGAACAGTCGTTTTTATTTATTACCTAATAAAGAACCTGGATTATTTGAAATAACTTGAATTGTATTCATATTTTTTTATAACAAAAAAAAAAAAAAAAAAAAAAAAAAAAAAAAAAAAAAAGAGTGAATAACACGTAAAAGAAAGTGTTTGTGTGATTTATATACAAATGTTTAAAATTGATAAATTTAGTAAAAATCCTATCAAATTCTAAACCAATTAGAATATTTTTACTTATCGTTTTACCGGAAAAGGGCTTCATATTTATAATAACATTTGAAACCATTTGAATATAATAGTGGTAAAATTAGTAACCACCAGATTTCACACTTCTATTCATCACCCTTCTTTTCACTTCCAAGCACACACGTACTATTGATATCTGCTTGTTCTTTTTCATTAGTAATAAATCTCATCAAAGTAAATCCTTCTATAATTTGTTTATATCACTTGCTGTCATGTGCTTTGAACAAATTCTAGTTGCTTCAAATAATAGTTTTTCCTTTTCCAGTTTAGGAGGTGTATGAATATTTTTGACAATTGTATTGATCATAATTACCTTGAGTATTTTTTTTTTTTTTTTTTTTTTTTTTTTTTTTTTTTTTGAATAGTTGACTTTTTACTATTAATGGAAGTATTTTTTTGTCAATTTATTATATCTTTCTGTTGCAGATCTTGGCATGGCATAGAATAAAAAGATTGGCTCTAATAATAATATAAATATTAATAATAGAGTAATAAAGTGGCTATTTTTTTATGCTTTACAGATAAAAGGATAAGGTTATTTGGTGAAATATGCTGCATGATTAGTATTATAACATTAAAATGATTGTCTTAATATTTATAGTTGCATATTTTTTACCTGTTAAGGATAATAAAAACCCTGTTATTAAAGTCTATTAACTCAACTTAAAATTTAACTTTGCTGTTGCTGGTAATCAACAACATCTGCTGACCTCTTGTTAGCTACATCAGGTGAGGGGAGGAACTTTTTTTTTATATATATATTAGCTGCCCATCACATTATCCCTGTTACAAGAGTTACATATTGTGCTTTGATTTTGTAGTTGTATGGTGACTTGGACCCTAAGATTTGCATTATAGAGAGATGCCTTTTGTCGGTAAATGAATTTTGTATTTCAATAAAGATAGTAGCATTCATTAGCGATATATATTCTTTACTTTACTTTAAAATGTAATCACTTTCTTGGCTGCAAGATTTGAGAGAATAGCCTCTTTTTTAGGAGGAGAAAGTTAGAGAGTAAAAGGGTATCCAATTTTTTTTTATTACTATCTCCAATAATACTAGTAGTAGTTGAATAACGTTTTTATGCAAAGTTTAAAATCAAACTTACTTTCCTGTTATATATTAAACAAATGAGAGAATATAGGTTGGAAAAGGTAAAACAAGATAAATATAACAATTGCCTTCGTTAATAACAATTACTAATATTGATATCTTATAGTATCCTTAACTTGATAAACAATTTTGTATTAAAAGCTATCTTTAACAAGACTTCAAAATAATAATAAAAGATTGTTTGCAACTAACTCTAGACATAAATAAGTAGTCCTTACGAAAAAAAACATTCTTATTATGCAGTAAAGAAAACTAGATTCAGATGTACGGATATAATACGAACAAGAAGAATCATTCTGTACAATTTACTCTACTTGAAGACTACTTGAAGACTTACTTGCTCTATATTCTATATTGCTACATTTAATAAAAAAAAAAAGACGTTATATTACGAAGCTAATAATAATAAAAGCAGACAGCCATAAACATACACATATACACACACATATATATATGTATATATACATTTGTGTTTTCATTTGGTATATTCTCTCTCTTTCTCACTTAAATTTAAACTTGGCCTATTAAAAATTAAATAATATATCAAAATAATAATACGCTATCATTTTCTCTTTCTCTCTCTCTCTCTTTTTTTTTTCTTTCTTTTGCTTTTCTTTTTCATTTTTTTTTAATAAATATATCATGTCAACATCATTGCAAGCTAAATTAGATTTGCCTAGAGCACGTCGTCATACAAGACAAGGATTAAAGCCTATTATAAAAGATAAAAAGCAACAAACATCTACTATTATAAATAAAAAGCAAGATGAATTGACAGCAATAGCAAAACAACCCATATCCTTGGGAAGTAAGTTTGACAGTACTAATTAATCCAGTCATTCATATTTTCTTTGATCAAAGTTCATCAAGAACATTTAACAGATATAGACAAACTATTAAAAGCCTTTGATCTAAATTACATTTATGGACCCTGTGTTGGTTTAACGAGACTAGACAGATGGGGTAAATTATTATTCACTCTATTTTCATGCTATTTTTTTTTATATGAACTTTTTTCCCTTCCTTTTATTTATTTTATTTTATTCTTTAATGACAGAAAGAGCTCAAAGACTTTCCTTAAATCCTCCTAAACTAGTTAAAGAAATCTTATTAAATGATAAATCTCAGAAATATAAACATTCTTTATTCCATCAATTTAGAATGATTTGAAATAAAATAAAATAAAATAAACGTAAAATACCCTTTCCAATGACACATCCATGACAACATTTTAGATTTTACTATAAATGAACTCAGCCTTTTTTTTTTCATAGCTGCATAATAATCACTTCATTCCATTTATATAAAAAAAAAAAGGCGAATCATTACTATTTCTTTTTATTTATTTTTTCCTTTTAATAAATATACATATATAATATGAGTCATCGTGAATCTGCTAATTTTAAAGTTGCTCATGCTGAAGCTGCTTTAGGTGCTGGTCGTCCTTATGAAAAAGCCCAACGAGGACAGCCTGAAATGTATGATAGCATGAAAGAATTAGAAGAACAGCATGCAAAACAATACAGTCATGGTCCTTCTCATGAATCAAGAGGTCAACGTATTGACAAAGAATTAGAACAAGAAGATAAAGAAACAATTAAAAAGATGGATCAAGCTTATAATCAAAGACATAATGAACAACAACAACAACATTAAATATATGAAATAAATAAATTGATGTACATTTTTTTTTTACTTTATTTTTATTTGTGCATTGTGTGTGTGTGTGTGTGAAAATTCTAGATTAGGCAGTAAAGAAAAGAACAAGTAAACAAGTATTATTATTATAAAATAATAAATCTTTTTTCTCTTCGTTATCTTTTTCTTTTTCTTTCCTCTTTTTTTTTTTTCTACATGAATTCAAAAATGTGGATAACAAGAAAATTAGTGACATCAACGAAAAGTAGTCGATTTAATTTATTACGTGGTGGATTCAACACTCATTTTACTACTACTACAAATGGTGGACGTGCAAATGAGATTATTGAGGCTGTTCTTTATGGTTCAAAACGAATTAAAGAAATCGAAAATCAAACGCATTCAAAGATGCTTGCAAGAGGCAAATATGTACATGAGCTTCAGAGTAAAAAAAAAAAAGTTTTTTTTTTTTTTTTTTAATTTTTTTAATTTAATTATTTTGTCATCAAGTTCATAAAGTCAAACCTGACAAGACAGAAGAATACATAAAATTAGTGTAACAGTTTATGCTACATCTTTTTTTTTTTTTTTTTTTCTTTAATTAAAATTTTATTCACACTATTTCTAGTTCAAATCATCTTCCTAAAATAGCCAATGATCCATTAAACGACGTTCATCTTTGTGGAAGTTGGTCAGTTGAAATAGGTGATCAAGACTCATTTGGTAATATAACAAAGCACATATTTTATTTTATTTTATTTTAAAAAAAAATGAATTAATTCCTTATCAAAGTCCACATTTGGGAGTATAAAGGTTATCCGGGCCATAAACAAACATCAGAGAGACTAGAAATGAATAAAGATCATATCGAGTTTATGAAACAACTTCGTCCTTTATTAATTTCTCGACAAAATGGTATCATGTTAGAGTTTAGTTTTTGGCAAACATCACCTCCTAAAATTACAAATGGCATTTTTGAACTTCGAAAATATAATCTCAAGGTTATTTTGTTTGGATAGCATAAAATTTAATTTTTACTTGTTTTATTAAGTATAAATGTATTAAATGGTCTGTTATAGCCTGGAAGATTATTAGAATGGGAAATGCATTGGTAAAGTAATGAGAAGAAGAAGGCGGCTAATAATACTAATACTAATTTGTGTTTTTATAGGAGAAAAGGTCTTGAATGTCGTAGTCAATTTTGCGAGCCTGTAGGTGCTTGGTTCACTCAATTAGGTAAACTGAATACGGTTTATCATATGTGGACTTATCCGTAAGTTATTTTATAATTAAATATATGTATTTATTATATGCATATTCATCTAGTATGTCTTCTTTAGTGATTTACAAAATCGAAAAACGACTCGAGAAGCAGCATGGAATACGGATGGATGGGCTGAGACGGTTTATAATACGGGTAAGGAAATGAAATCATAGTAGTAAATAGGGTAGAATACCGTTTTAATCTTTATTTACATTCATTCTTATTATAACAGTTCGTTTAGTAGACGATATGAGTTCATTCATTATGAAACCATTGCCTTATAGTCCATTAAGATAAGATAAATAAAATTATACTTTTGTAAAACATAAAGTGGCATTTGTACCACCAAAGCCAAAACTATTTGTAATCGCTGCATTCACTTGTTTCTCTTGAGCAACTAAGGGAACATAATTTAAATTGAATTCATCATTTCCTGGTTCATGAAGATTAAGTGTGGGTGGTAACATATTCTATATATATACATATATGAATGAGTAAAATAAATAAACTGTCATAAATATGAATAAATAAATAAATACTCACATTGTGAATAGCAAGGACGGTGAAAATGGCTTCTACTGAGCCAGCTGCACCTAATAAATGCCCTGTTGCGCCCTTAGTAGATGAAACTGTGAGTTGGTCCCAACATCCTTCAAATACTTTCTTGATCGCTCGATTCTCTGCTATATCTCCTAATGGTGTACTTGTGGCATGTGCATTTACATAATCAATATCACTCGGTTGTAGTCCTGCAACTCGAAGTGCTCTTTGCATAGATAACATCGCTCCTTGCCCTTGGTCAGGAGGTGAAGTCATATGATGTGCATCACCTGAAAGACCATATCCTTTCAACTCAGCATAGATCGAAGCTCCTCGCTTCATCGCATGTTCATATTCCTCCAACACCAATACACCTGCACCCTCACCCATGACAAACCCTGAACGATCTTTGTCAAAGGGCCGAGAAGCTTTCTGAGGGTTATCATTGTATTGAGAAGCAAGTGATTTTGCACGTGCAAATCCTGCCATTGCCAAAGGATGAATGGATGCTTCAGTACCTCCAGCTACCATAACATCTGCATCACCATACTGTATAAATCGCATAGCATCACCTATAGCATGAGCACCTGTTGTGCAAGCAGTCGAGACTGCATGATTGGGTCCCTATATATATATATGCATGCATGTATAGTTAAAATCCTTCTTATATACATATGCATTTATGTATACTTCTTACCTGAAATCCATATTTCATTGTGAGATGTCCAGCTGCCATATTAATTAGAATTCTAGGTACAAACATAGGTGATACTTTTCTATAACCCTACATAGTAAAAAAAAAAAAAAAAAAAAAAAAAAAAAAAAAAAAAGTTAAAATTGAAATATGCAACCTATATTGATGTCATCTTACTCCCGCTGTATAAGCATTTGTAGTATCTACAATATCTTCTAAACTGCCCATGCCGGAACCTATGCAAACACCCTTTTACAAATATATATGTATATAATAATTAATATTTCTATTGCAAACTATCTAATTTTTCTTTATATAAATATATTCACAAATTACTGTTCTTTGTTTTTCGAAATCTGATTCAGGCTTCCAATTTGCATCCTTCAGGGCTTGATGTGCTGCTGCGATGGCATAATGAGAAAACTTGGCCATTGTTCGATTGTCCTATTTATATAAGAAAAGAAAACACACACACATGTATACTTTAGTATTTCTTTTGTATATACATATATATATATGTTTTACCCCTTTGTCAATCCATTCTGATGCATCGAACTTTCCTTCTTTAAAAGATCCCTGAGGAACTTCTGCAGCAATGCGAACAGGCAAATGTTCAAAACCTGGACGCTTAGCTAATGAAACAATTCCACATTGCCCTTCTATTAAATTTTTCCATACTTGCTTTGGCCCCACTCCAAGAGGAGTAACGAGACCTAAACCTGTAACGACTACTTTTCGTTGTGCCATTAATATAATATATATGATGTGCGGAGAAGAAGTTGTATATATTTACACGATCAAATTCTATTTTATTTCGGTGTTTTTTTTTTTTTTTTTTTCTTAGATGTCATTATGTATACTAGTTTTTTTTTTCCTCACTATTATTTAAATATAAAACAAAAATATGCTTAGTCATTAAATATATATATATATATTGTCTCTTGGTATTTAGGTTACTGACCTTGTAGAAACAGCAAATTACAGATTTTCATGAATCTAAATAGATAGAATAATATGTTGTAATCAATTACAAATCCAACACTATATATAGTTTTCATATATTCTCTATTTCATTTATAATACTGTCAGGGCGCTTATTGTATATAACTTTAAGATTTTAAATAAAAAATAGAATTAAAAGTACAACTTGGCATAGTTTCTGATTTTCATTAAAACGATAAATACATATACATATATCCTTCTTATTGTATTAGTGTTTAACAAAAAAAAAAAGAAAGATACAAACGGTTTTTTATTTTAAATTATACAATTTATTATACATATACATATACATATACATATACATATACATATACATATACATATACATATACATATACATATACATATACATATACATATACATATACATATACATATAATACATATACATATACATATACATATACATATACATATACATATACATATACATATACATATACATATACATATACATATACATATATATATATACAAATGATAAACAAGTTTGATGCTATAAGTCTTGAAATAATATATGTAATGTATAGTGCGTCTAATTTTTTTTTTTTTTTTTTTTTTTTTTTAGTATATACGTGTATATTACAAAACTTCTTTTAACCAGAGTAAATAAATGATTCGCTTTTTCCTTTTTCTTCTTCTTCTTAAGCAGCATCTTGCTTGGTAGTGTTCTTACGACGAGCTTTCTTGACAGCCCAAGAGTATTGTTTTGGCCATGTAATTTCAACATTCAAAGCCTGTGCGGCAACTAGAACGTAGGCACTATCACGTAAGAATTCACGACCAGCCAAGATATAATCAGCCTTGTTCTTTTGAAGGATCTTTTCAGCGTCTTCACCTTCGACAATGAAGCCAACAGCGGCAGTAGCAATTTGAGCTTCTCTCTTGATTGCTTCTGCAAATTGAACTTGAAACATAGGGGTATTAGGGTACTTGACATCCTTCATGATACCACCACTTGAACAATCAATTACATCCACACCTAGCTTTTTCAATTCCTTTGCTAAACGAATAGATTGGTAAATATCCCAACCATCTGGGTTTTCACCCATAGGTTCAGGGTTAGTATAGTCACTACAGGAGATACGAACCCAAAGAGGCTTGCTCTCAGGCCAGACAGCACGAACAGCCTTTGTGGTTTCTAAAAGGAAACGAATACGATTTTCAAAGCTACCACCATATTCATCAGTACGTTTATTGCTGCTACCAGAGTAGAAGGTACTAAGTAAATAACTAATAATAGGAAAAAAGGAAGAAAGAAAGAAAGAAAGAAATTGTATTAGAAATACATCATGTATATACATACATACATATATTACTTTACCCATGAGCAGCATGGATTTCTAAAACTTCAATACCAGCCTTATCAGCACGAATAGCAGCATCAGCAAAGGCTTGAACAGTTTCCTTAATTTCTTGAACACTCATGGCAATAGGTTTAGGATAATGATCAGCAAAGGCATTATCAGAAGGACCATAAACACGATTGGGCCAACCATTATCAGCTTCAGTTTCAATATAGTCACCTTTGAAGGGGGGGCTCATACTGGCCTTACGACCAGCATGAGCGATTTGAATACCGGGAGTAACACCTTGAGACTTGATGGTATCAACAACACGTTTGAGATTAGGAATATGAGAATCATCCCAGAGACCAATATCTTGAGGAGTGATTCTACCTTCAGGAACAACACCAGCGGCTTCAATAATAATCAAACCAGGGCCCTTAATAGCCAATGAACCATAGTGAGCAATGTGAAAATCATTCATATAACCATTGACAGCACTGTACATACACATGGGAGAAACACCGAGACGATTATGCATAGTTACACCCTTTTGTGTGAAAGGTTGAAAGAGTTTAACCCTTTTCACATCTTCAGGATTGACAGGTACACCTGCAGGCTTTTCAACGTTATAAGCAAAAGAAGGAACAGCAGACATTTCACAAAAATATATTAAGATATATTAAAATATTGCTTTAAATTTTAATGATATGGTATAATATGATATGATATGATATGATATAATAAAAAGGAATAGAGAAACTTAATTTATATCCATATTTATATATAATTTTACTGTCGGCAATCACAATTCTAGAAAATGCAATAATTAAAAAGCAAGGATGATTGATTTATAATAAACGGTCACACTTAATACTTAATTACTATGATCCGAAACTAAAAGAAAAAAAAGCAACATAAATCTATGATAAGGAGTAAAAAACTAATTCATATAAAGAGATACAACACATACTGTAATACTTTATGCCTTAATATTTGTATATTTGCAATTTTATACATGCATATAAATAGGCTGCAAATGTAAAATTTTATTTTATTTTATTTTATTTTATTTTATTTTTAATAGCATGTTTTATGTTATGACGTCTTATAACTAATCAATGTGAAACTTCAATGTTCTTTGAGGCATTCTACTTTTGATAATTCAATTCATTTCCGCTATTTTTTTTTTAATAAGTAGAATTGTTTGTTAGTAGTGAATATCAATAGTTCAAATATTGAAGCTACATATCTACCTTCAACAAGCTTCTTCTTCTTTTCTTTTTTTTTTCTTTATTTCATTAGATAAAATAAATATATAGCAAACTTCTCGACTTAAAAAGTTAGTTAATATACGATAGATAGTATTATTTTAGCTACATGCATTTATATTATTAATATTCGATAATTGCTATAAAATAAAAAATAATAATAGAATTTAGTTTTTGCACATAATCAAAGCTAGTTGCTTTTTCATGTATGTGCTTTATTAATCAAACAAAATGTAATAGTAGATAGAGTAAATATGCTTATATTTAACTGATGAATAGGCTTAATTTATATGTCTTTTAAGTTAATAAATAAAAATACTTCAAATATGCGTTCTATCATAGTTGTGAGTAATATATATATTTTTTTTTTTGAATACATATTTACATTCTTCTCTCTCTTTTAATAGAACAATATTATATTCCATATACTCATAATATTTGCCTTTTTTTTTTTTTTTTTTTTTTTTTAGAAAATATAGTCGTGGCAGAAAATAAAATTTCCAACCAATTAGCCTTCTATTTAATTTTGTTTTATTTTCATATTCTTTTCTCTTTGTACATAAAATATACGATGAGGATATCACTGGTTGTCATGTCTGCTCTTAGTCTGGCAACCACTATGATGTTCAGAGGAGAATATACAACTTTAACTATTTCCATCATCATGTCCATCATTGCAGGTTTATTTACTTTTTCAACATTACCAAAACTAAGAGACACATTTATTAAAGCCCATTTGTCTGGTAAAGATATGCTCAAAGTAAATAAACCCTTATTGTAAGATCATGTTACTTGTAATACGAGGATAACGTATATACTTATAATATGATATAAATTAGACCCGAGACGATGGGTTTACCTGTGGCGATCATTTACATGATTACTTTATTCTTATTTATCCCATTTCCTTTTATTGATTGGTTCGAAGGCAATGCTCGATTAGTTCATGAAGACGATCCTAATTTAGGCACTTTCCCATACCATAAGGTAAGGTAGAAGTCAAAATGTAGGTTTTTGACTATTTAGACTTCTGACTCTCCCTCCCTTTTTTTTCCCGTTTTTTTTTTTTTAGTTAGGAGAAATTCTGTCAGCAATATTAGCTATTCAGTCTATGATTTTGTTAGGTTTTGCAGATGATGTATTGGACGTAAGATGGAGATATAAGGTCTGGTTACCAGCTATAGCAGGGATACCACTTATGATATTTTATTATACCAATAAGGGAGTTACCTACGTTATGTTGCCATTACAATTGAGGCCTTATTTTGGTGAATTAATTGATTTGGGTAAAGTATAGATGTGTGTATCATCTAGTTCTAGTTGAGGCAAAAAAAACAACAACTAAATAAATATATACATTAGGGCTATTTTATTATGTTTATATGGGAATGTTAATCATCTTTTGTACACACAGTATTAATATATTAGCTGGTATTAATGGTATTGAAGCAGGACAGTCTATCGTAATCGGTCTATCTATTGTCATCAATGACCTTCTTTATATTTCTAATAATCCAGATCGTGCTAGTGTAGAAATTCATTTATTTAGTCTTTATTTCATGATTCCATTCGTGGGAGTGACATTAGCTTTACTTTGGCATAACTGGTTCCCTGCTCGACTTTTTGTAGGTGATACATTCTGTTATTTTGCAGGCATGACATTTGCAGTGGTTGGTATTTTAGGGCACTTTACAAAGACATTACTTTTATTCTTTATGCCACAAATCTTTAATTTCCTTTATTCTTGTCCCCAACTCTTTCACTTTGTTGAGTGTCCACGACATCGTATGCCAAGATTAGATCCTGAAACAGGTCTGTTGAAATGTTCAACTGTAAGACCGTATGATAAAGACAAATCGATTGGCTTTTTAGGTCGCATCATATTGAAGCTATTGCATACTTTGGGACTTTTAAAAGTATTTGAGTATGACGAAAAGGAAGGTAGAATCATGGAATGTAACAATTTGACTTTATTGAATTTAGTTCTTGCTCATTTCGGTCCCATGTCAGAAAAAAATACAACAGCTTGTGTGTTGTTTATCCAAATCTTGGCAAGTTTACTTGGTTTCTTTATTAGATATCAGCTTGTACATTTTGTATATTAAATAATAATCATCATCATGACTGTGTTTATTACGTAATAATAATGGTGTAGACCTTTTTTTTTTAATTTTAATTTTCACTTTTTTTTTTTTTTTTCTTTTTAATTTGTTTAATAATCTAATGTCAGAAAATCAACAAAAGTACATCGTATACATCTAATCTATATAGTGATAATAATAAAACTTATTTATATACCAATAGTAATTCACTCTTGACTTCATCGTCAGCCTCAACACCGACACCGCCAAGAACCAAAATAAAACAAGAAGTAATTATTATAATTTATTTTACTGCACATTGATCCTATAAAAAAATAACTATAATATTTATTAGGAATCCAATATTACGCAACAGCAAATAGAATCACTTGGATATTCAGCGTTGGAAAATGAACCTACGCCACGATCTTATCTTGATTCAACAATAGTTCCAACATTATTAGAAGGAATGAAATTATTAGTAACTGAACGGTTAGTAAGACAATTTAAAACAAACTATAAATATAACTCATTTTATTATTAGACCTTCAGATCCACTTGCATTTTTAGGTCGATTCTTACTCAGTAGATCGAATGAAGGACAACGACAATAAGAACAAATACATATTCATATATTATATTTAAATATCCGCATATTAATATTATATTTAGTGCAACTTTTTTTATTTTATTTTATCTTATTTTACTTTTTTTTTTTTTTCCTTCCCTAAGCTCTTTCTATCTCCTTTCCTTTCCTTTCCTTCTAATAAAGTATTATGGGCCTGTTTGATAAAATTAAATCGAATGTAGAAATGTGGAAAATAGAAAGATATACTAAACGTAGAAATGTGAATTCTCCTGACTTTGAACAAAAAGGTATACATTTATAAAGAATGAGATTTCATGATAAACTAAGTTTCTTTTTTAGACAAGGAATTTTATCGTCAAAATTATAAAGATGGAGTTTATCTTCATCAATCACCTGATAACTCGATACGCACAAATAACAATTTTATTAGTTCACTTAGCAGAAAGACAACCTTATTAAAAGCAACAAAAACTGAAAAGATCTTGCGCTCGTCAGAAAACTATAATAGATCTGCTCGATGATTCTTTCTTTCTTTCTTTCTTTTTTTTTTTTAAAAAAAAACAAAACAAAAAAAGAAACCAAAAACAAAAAGAAAAGCCTTACATAAGTTACCCTATTAAATTAACAACAGTGCAGTATAAATGATTTGCCCTGGATCCTTTTTTTTTTTTATAAATATGTGTATAAAAAAAATAAATAATTGAAGATAAGCCGTTATTAATCAACTACATATAATATTCTATTCTCTTGAAGCATATGTCTATTTATTCGTTAATAAGCTCTGTTAAATATACAATCCCTTGTTTTATTATTAACCCTTTAAGAGCTCTATGATGGGCGCCTACTCTAAAAATATATTTTAATTATAGATCAGGAAGAATTATTTCCAGCCAGATTATCCGCTTTCTTTTCTTATGTTTAATAGGTTCGTAGTTATTATTAAAAAAAAAAAGAAAAGAAAAGAAAGAAAAAAAAAAAGAGAGAAGATTATTATTGCCATTAGTTATATAAAAGACGTTTTCAGTTAACCAAAAAAAAAAAAAAAAGGCTTTATACTATGTCGTTTTGAAAGCATTTCAACCTTATTTAATCTGTAATTAAGCTACAAAAATCGATTTATAATCAACTCTTTCTTTTTCTTAAAATAGTATGATATCGTATATATTATCTAATATTGTACTACTGCAAAAAATGATATAATATACATTTTGGTTTGATGTTATTTATTAACCATCTTCTTCTTTTTATTATTGTCGTGTTTAACGTCTGGGGTTAGAATATTATTAATGAGGGTAATAACGATGTTTATAAATATTTAATAAGGAGAATGACTGTTCTTCTTTAATAACTATTATCAATCATTTATATGATGTTACATCATGACTATTGTTGTTGTTTACTCTTGTTGGTTGCACAACTTGTTAATTGTTGATGAACAAAAAAAAATTTTTTCTTTCAGAAGGAAGGCTGCATTTGTTAAATCCCCACTACAATTAAGTGTAAGACATTTGTATTTGCAATTCATCATTTTAGAATTAATTGCTTCATGAGTGCAATTTAATACCCGAAAATAGCATCATTTCGTCCTTGGATTACACGATGTACGTCTAACCTAAATCAATCGCGAAATTTGTCATGCTATGTCGGATTTTTAATTTTTGGAAAAATACTAAATTATCTAAAGGAAATGAAGTCACGTGATCTTATGTGACTGTTCTTACTTCACAAAGCTATTGCTACTTTATTATTATCAGTGAAAATGCTTATGAATCTTAAGGATGTTCTTTTCTTCTTTTTTCTAATTATAAGCTAGATTCACACATTAATTATCGCATTTTTATAACTCTATTATAACGAACTTTGTTGTTCCAACCTATGCATCAGGTGGCATGTCTATTAATTCCTCCATTGCGTTTACACTTTAGATCTTACTTCTCCCTTTGGCTCTTTTTCTCTTGTTGGGGAGGGGGGATGTTGAATTAAACAGTTTATCTCTCGATGATAATAATAACAGTTCTAGATCTAAAGGCATGGATGTTGGCATAATTTCCCATGATTTTTTACATTTAGATTAGTGAATTTGATTCTTCTGTAAATGACAAAATTTCTATTATTAGGTCTAAATTTATAATCATGAGTGCAAACCCAATATTTTAAATAGTGAAATTGGCTGCTTAATAGAAGCAGGCTATAGTGAAGACCCTGTTGTACGATCCGAAAATGTGAACAAATTAAGTTTTTCAAAAAAAAAAAAATCAGCTTTTTATTGTAACCATCCATAGTGTATTGAAACTGATGTTAGAACTTTCTTGAATGTATTTTTTTTTTCACTAGGACTGTCTCTTGATTTGTCTTGCGATTACAGGAAGGAATTCTTTAATGCTTTATCTACAGACTTGACTATTACTAATACATTAGGGTATCATCATAGATTCATTACACCTCTTCATGCTTCCACAAAAAAAAAAAAATGAATGAATAGTTCAGGAAGTTGAATGTGGTTTAACTAAAACTATTCCGTGTTATCAATTATAATTGAGAGGTGGGGGGGAGTTAAACTTGTACATTATTTGACTTGCCTTTGAATAATTGAATTTCGAAAAAACTAAATTCTATTCCTTTTTCACTTATGTTTACACGTACAATAACTGAACTATAAGGATTTTGAAAAGATATTGCATCCTTAGAACCGTAAACCTATGCCTTATGAAGGAATAATGAAGTGTATAGATATTATTTTTTTCTGTCCTACCATGAATGCTCTAACAAAAGAGTAGGTTGAATCAAGAGAAGCAGAATTTGATAATAACAGATATTAGCCTTACTGACTGAATATAAAGCCTGACAACCATATCATGATTTGTACAAAAAAATGGTATCTCTATTAAGATATCAGAATAAAATAAATGTAGAATTATATATATATAAAAAAAAAAGGAAAAGACTAATAAAATCAATGAGATCTAACAATCATAGTTTTAAAAGTCGATTATTTTATTTACTACTATTTGTGAATAATGGGTATTTATACAAAAATAATTGAGATCAAAGAAAAGAGGATTTAAAAAAAGTACCCATTACGACGGGATAATAATAGTTAGTAGTATTCTCAATGAAGTGTACAATATTCTTATTTTTTTCTAAATTCATAGATTACGATGAAATGTGTAAATAAGTCCAATTCTCCTCTTTAATGTCATTTGTCCAAGTAATTTTAATCTGGGACACTTTATTCTGATTACCTTGTTTTTATCGTATTTAGTGGCCTTATTTATGCATTATATCGAAGCAAATTACACCTATTTTAATATAAATTTCTAATGGATATTTATGGATAATAGTGATAATTGCTTGTATGTTGTACAACAGTATTGCTTGGGCTGTTTTACCTTAACATTATAATCAATGTATACATGTATGTTCTTTTTGTTCCTTTTTTTTTATGTCTATAATTAAAATTATATTTGACCATAGTACCATTTTTTTGATGTTAATACAGGTTCATGAGAAGACTTTTTTCTTATTTTCATCCTATTTTTCTAGCTGTTACAGTTATTTTAGTGAAAAAGGGAACTTAAGGATATAAACAACCGAAAGTTGTAATAGTAATAACATGAAGTAATACTAAAAAAAATGTTAGTCATTATCTTATTAATATATTATAGGAATATTAAAATTTGCATATTTTTTTTTTTCGCCCAAGTCGATTAAAATTAAAAAGTTGCCAATTGAGTTTAAAAAAAACGTTATTTAGTAACTATAGCATTGTATTCACGCATTAATTCCAACTGTTTAGGAACATAATATAAATTAAATTTAATAAATGATATTGACTTATTATTAAAAAAAAAAAAAATAGCTATAATTCTTACCTAATATCTGATTCCTATCTCATCGTATCTTAACAAGTATCAGCAAAACAACGAATCATTTTCTTCAAAAAAAAAAATCAGCTAACAAGACTATAAGCTTATTTAAGACAAATGTTATATTTTCACGAGTTACATAAATCTAATTTACAGGAATTGTGAGAATTTATCTTTTATTAGATAAAAGTTTAATATAAACAATTCAAACATGTAAAAAAAAAAAAAAAAAATTATCTAGATAATGTTAAGATTAGGTTAAACGTTACCAAACCTATTCAAGTAGGCAAACATTAATAAGTTTATTTTAATAATCTCTACTAAACGCTTTTATTTTTATATTGTTTGTTTGTAACTGTTCACAATCTAAGAAAGTAAATTTTGTCATTTTTTAGTAGGGTTTCTTATCTAAATTTCACGCCTATATAATTTATTACAAACATGTGTATAGAGCGCAATCTATTATACTCAATAGAGTAATAATTTGTGACATTATTATTTAGTTTGAGTAGTACTTTTTAATTATGGTAATACATATATACATGTATTGAGGTTACGTATCTACGTATAAGTTATTCTTTAGTTATATTGCACTATGGAGCAGCTAGAATAATGTTGTATTTTGATAGTTACTCTATTTTTTTTTTCTGTTATAATATGATAAAAACATGAGTAAAATAGAAATACAATAGAAATACAGTATAATAACTATTTGTATTACTGTTACATTTAATATGCCAGTTCCTATTGTTCAATGATTTTGCATGTGGTCTAAACTCGAGAAAGTTTCTATATTTATACATTGAAATAAATTACTATTATTATCGGCCATTTAAAAAAAATCTGGGGAAGGAATAGTTATACAAATGTCTATTATAATTTCAATTTACAAAATAAATGTCAGTATCCTTTACTGCCAAATTTGAATATACATAAAAGATATGATGATGTATATATACATATAAAAAAAAAGATGTATATGCATAGGGCATATTATAGAATTGTTTACACACATATTTATGCATATTAGATCCAAGGAGAAAGGAGAAACAATGCTAAATAAATTCATTTTAAGAATAGAATAGTTCTTTCTCTAAGTACAGATATAAAATCCTTAAGAAAAAAAAAAGAAGGATCAATTAAGGGTAAGTGTTTCACACTTAATTCTATATATGAACTTTATATATTACCTAACTAGGAATTTTCTTCCTATTCCTGGTCTTAACAAGCCCTCATTTACTTTTATTGAGGTTTCAAATTATTGAATATAAATAAGCAACAATTTTCTTCTGTCCCTGAAGTAAAAAAAAATCAAAAAAAAATACATCCTTTCTTTTTCTTTATATATATATATATATATACACATACAACTCCTTTACGTGTCTGCCTGCGTGTGGTTTTTAAATAATAATCTTTCTTTATATATTGAATTTTAACAACAGCAATAGCAACACAGTCTTTTTATTTTACTCTCACTCCTTTCGTTAAATATGAAGAAGAGCTCATTTACTTACTTCCCCATTGTGATAGCGGGTTTCTGTTTAACTATCTTTGTCTTGTCAACTGAAGCAGCTGTTAACATCAAACATCACAAGTTGGGTAAAACTACCCCCACAACCGTTCCTGGTCGTTACATCGTTTCCTTTGCTAAAAATCATGATGGAAAGAATTTTGCTAAATCCATCAAGAATAAGTTTAAAGATGTAGATTTGAATGTCAGGGAGAGCATTAATCATCATTTGTTTAATGCTATTTCGATTTCTTTGAAGACTGAGAATGATGATATCCATGCAAATGTACTCAAGTCTATTTTGAATGATAATGATGTTGCTACTGTCTATCCTGTAAAAACTTATTCTCGTCCCAAGGTTAAACTTCATTCTATTGATAAAACTTATAAACCCTCTATTTTGCCTCACCATATGACGCAGGTCGATATGGTTCATTCAAAACTCAAGGAAGAAGGCAAAGGTATTCTTGTAGGTGTTATTGACACAGGTATGAATTATTACATGATAATAATACGTATATATAAATATATGTATATCTAAATTATATAACCTCTCTCTTTTTTTTTTCTTTCTTTCTTTCTTAGGTGTCGACTATTTACATCCTGCTTTGGGCGGTGGATTTGGTCATGGATATAAAGTAGTTAAGGGTTACGATTTGGTCGGTAATAACTATACTGGTACGAATATACCTGTTCCTAGTAGTGATCCTCTTGATAATTGTGGTGCTGCATCTGGTGCTTCAGGTATATAAATAAATAGCCTTTATTAGATATGTATGATATTAATATGTATATTTAGGCCATGGTACTCACGTCTCTGGTATCATTGCTGGTTTTGATCGTTCTAATGTACGTAAATATATATATATATATATATATATATAGAAACATTACTCATATTCTAATATATAATAGAATTTTACTGGTGTTGCTCCCAAGGCTAGTTTGGGTATGTGGCGTGTATTTGGTTGTAAAGGCTCTGTCACAAATGATATTGTTATTAAAGCTCTTTTAATGGCTTATGATGCTGGCTGTGATGTTATTAACTTGAGTTTGGGTGAAACCAATGCTTGGTCCAAGACAGCTGATCCAGAAGCTGATGTTATTAATAGTATTGCTGCTAAAGGTGTTAGTGGTAGGTTTTTTTTTTTTTTTTTTTTTTTTTTTTTTTTTTTTTTTTTAATTAATTAATGATAATCAATTACATACATATAATACCCCTCCTCCTCCCCCCCCGAAAAAAAGGAAGAAATAACTAATTGTTTCATTTATTCTAGTCGTTGTCTCTGCTGGTAACTCTGGAGCTGAAGGTATTTACACTGTTGGTCAACCTGGTACTGCTGTCTCTGCTTTCTCTGTTGCCTCTGTTGATAATGATTACTTTATTTCCAAGTATTTTACAGCTACTGGCATAAAACACCGAATTCGTAAAGTTATTTTAAAATACAAGTATATCATAATATGCTAACTCCTTTCCCCTCTTTTTTTTTTCTCCAGTTTATACAAATAGTAATGACGATACTATCCAAGATGGACGCGTTGTTAACGGAGATAAGAAACCTGGTAATAAGGCTGAGGGGTGTACTCCTAAATCAATTAACCCTAAGGTAAAGGGTAAGATTGCTCTTATCCAAAGAGGCACATGTCTTTTCAGTAGAAAGGTAGAGAATCTTGCTGCTGCTGGCGCCACTAGTGTTATTATTTATAATAATGTTGATGGTGAACTGAGTGCTTATGTCCATAATGCCCCTGTCCCGGTAGTGACTATCTCTAAAGTGGACGGTACAGAGCTTAGAAAGGCTATCCAAGCAGGTTCTTCTATCTCTCTCACTTTCAATCATGAGGGCTCTATTGCACCTGTTAGCACAGGTGGTACCATTTCTAGTTTCTCTAGTGTCGGTCCCTCTGCTGAACTTAACTTCAAGCCTAATATTGCTGGTGTAGGTGGTATTATCTTTTCCACTTTACCTCGTTACCTTGGTAGTTGGGGCGTGATGAGTGGTACCTCCATGGCTGCACCTTATATCGCTGGTTCTACTGCTCTTTACCTTGGTGCTAATAATAAGAAAAAGGCTTCAGTCTCCTTCATGAACGAGCAATTCCAGAACTATGCTCTCTCAACCAAGGTCTATAAGAAAAAAACCCTTGATTCTCCTCTTCGTCAAGGTGCTGGTCTCGTTCAAGTCTATGATGCTATCACTCAAGGGACCCACGCTTCACCTGCTCAAATCAGCTTCAACGATACTGCCACAACAAAGTATAGAACTCAAGTAATTACCATCACCAATCATGGTAAAAATACTGCCCACTACAAAGTCATTCATGATCCCTCCACTGCCATCTCCCCCTATAATGTCAAAGAATATGGTTACACCCCTCTTGAACCCGCAGTTAACACCGTTGCTGTTGCCAAGTTAAAGTTCTCTAAAACGAAAATCAAGGTGAAGCCTGGCCGTTCCTTCAAATTGAAGGTGACCGTGACACCCCCTAAAACGAATCCCAAGGACCATATCTTCTATGGTGGTTTCATTCATTTAGAATCTGGTCGTAAATCCAAGAGTAAGGACCTCCATATCCCTTACTTTGGTGTAGTTGGTGTTCAAAAGACCTTGCCCATCTTTGATGAAGGTTATCCCGATCTTCTTGATCAATCTTCCGTTGTCTACCCTAAGAGTAAAACTTACGTCTTTGACCGAAGTGATTCCTCTACCGCCCCCATTATTGCCTTAAGACTCTTGACACCCACTGCCCAAATCAAGGCTGAAATATTTGAAGCCAAGACCAACAAGAAATTAGGCTACTTCATGACAGGTCTTGATTACATAGGCCGTAACTTCTTGACAGGCGATTCAATCATCACTCCATTCATTTGGGATGGTACCTATGTTCCCTCATCTATCTCTAATGCTCCTTTGCCTATCCCCGTTGCTGATGGTACTTATTACTTGAAGCTCTCTGCATTAAAGAATTTGGGCGATCCCAGTAATACAAAGGATTGGGAGACTTGGACTTCTGGACCTGTTGTCGTCAAGAATTAAAAAAAAAAAAAGTGTATTGATATCTGTATTAATAATATAATAATAATAATAAATACTATATAACTTATAAAAGCTTTTTTTTTATTTTTTTTATTTTATCTTTTTATAATAACAAATTATATGTAAATCAAATTTTACTACATTTTCTTATTATCCTTTGACTACTTTATATTTCTACACCTTCTGCCATTGAATCATCAATATGTCTTAGCTTTAAAAATACGTCACATCCATAACCATACATGGATACTAACGTTAATGAACCTCCAAAGTAACGTGCATACATTCTAGCTAAAGGTAAACCAAAACCTAATCCTGCTAATGGCCCACCCACACCACTTTGCATGGCCATTTCAGTAATTCCTCGAAAAATATTAGATGGATCCTCTCCATCCTCCTCCTCCTCCTCTAGTTGCTTTTTAACAGTTGTATATGAATATTCAAAGACACGTTCTAGATCCTCATGTCGAATCCCATTTCCCTGATCCCTTATCCTAATTGACATATCCTGAGCTCCCTGACTCACTGTAATCTGAATAGGTGGCAAATCCGTTAAACGTCCCAATCGCTGATGATTCTCTACTGTGGCACGATATGCATTCTTTAATAGTTCTGTTAGAATATATTCAAGATGCACAGGTATATAGGTGAATTCAAAGTTATGATGACCGTTGATGATCGCTTCAGGGGCTTGACCATAGTTGAACTCACAGAGCTCCGCTACAAAGTCAGCACACTGTTTGATAAGAAGATGGGGTTGTAGTCGGGTATCAATGATGCCAATGAGACTATTGTTATTATTCGTTTGTTGTTTCAGTGCAATAGCTTGTTCAGCAATCAGACGAATGCCAATACGCGCATGTATCATATCATCCAAAAACCGCACCATCTCTTGTGTATTCATATATTGTTTGCATTCTAAAAAGCCTTTTGATAATAATAATAATAATTAGAGAGAGGGATACGGTGTAATGCATGTGTTCTATCGGATATAAATAATACCTCTTGCTAATGTAGGAATATTATCACTGTGACGTTCAACAAAGGCTTTAAGTCTATCTATATAATCATCACCTGCATAATGAGGAGATGCATATCTTACAAGAGAATCGAAAGAATCGTAATAAAGGTTGTAAATTTCTTTAATATAAGGATTTGTTCCAACAATAAAAGGTAAGCTTTGAAAGGCTCTAACACGTCTTGCTAAACGTACGGGTAATTCAGTTTTTGTATATTGAATGCATGCCTCTAAACTTTCATTTGATAGTGGAGGTTGACCATATCGGACGAGTTGTTTCAGTGTTACAGGTTTTATAGGTTTGCTTGCAAACTAAAAAGAAAAAAAGAAAAAAAGAAAAAAAAAATATTAATAAATGAATGAATGAGCGAGTGAGTGAGTGTGTATGCGGGGAGAATGTCATGATGACAACTTACATTAGTTATTTGATCATCATAAAATGCATGAGAATGAGGTCTTTCTATTGCACTTGATGTTATGCAGCGAGCTAATTGTCTTTTATGTATGTTTGAAATAAAACGATTAAAACGAAGCATCATTGCTAAAAAGAAAAACACACACACACACACACAAATTAGAAAAGAAAAGAAAGAAAAAAAAAAAAAGCGGATATTACTACTACTACTGTTTGGCGGGTTTGTGAAAATAGAAAGTATCCTAATTTTCAATTTTGTTGATCCAATTAACAGCAGCCTGTAGTTTTATTTTATTTATTTGTTTTTCTCAGGCTTAGGGAAGCTCATCACATTATGATAAGAGCTACGATTACTTTAACAGTTTAATAATAGCATTCCTTCCTTCCTTCATGACCAACTACTCTTCCCCCTTTATACGAAAGTTCTTGTATTTTGTGTTTTTAGAACATTTCTCCTCACATTTTAAGGAGAAAAATGAAGAAGCTTGTTTATTTTATTTTATTTTTTTTTTTTTTTATATATATAAAATGGCTATGGGGCTGAAAAAAAAAAGCAGGTATTTTATACATGTGTATTTCTTTTTCCTCCTTAACATAAGCTTAACAATTGAAAAAAAAAAAGCTCTTTCATACTTTACTGATATATTAGAGTCTTTAGTCTATTATTTTCCATTATTTAATTCTTACATACTCGCTAGTGGACATTATAGCCATTATATATTTATTTATTATACATTTTTTTTTCCTTTTTATATTATTGAGCTTTCATGTCTTCATGCAATGAAGCATGTCCATTAGCATTTAAATATGAAAAAGAAACAACTAGTAAACTGGTACAAATAACATCAATAATTGCAGTTCTATAAATAAACAGATAAATACAAGTAACGATAAATACAGACAATTCAATAAAATGATACTTTACAAGTAAGGTAAAACATAATTGTCAGGATCATATTTGTATTTCCAAAAAGTGAGTGTCATTGATTTTCCCATTTTCAATGCAATATATGTCTATCATTATATATATATAAAGAAATAGGTTAGCACTATAGATATATAAATATGCGCATGTTGTCTATTTACACAAAGCATAGATACAAAAAGATAAACTATGCCAAACGCTAATGTAAAATCTAAGTGTCCAATATCCAATATCCAAATAATCATCAAAAATAAGATTTGTACGGGTATATTCATTAATAATAAAGTGCCTTCTACTGTCTTGAATTGTTCTTGAATACCACGATGAAGACATGTACTTATTCGAGAAGCATAAATGGAGCCTAAATTACCTGACAGACCTGGATCATAATTTATTATAGTGGTTAATATATAAGCTAATTGATATGATGCATATTTTTATCTATAATTTCATACCACATAAAATAGGAGTTAGCATGGCTAATCCTTTAAACTTTTCAACATATTTTTCTAATACAAGACCAGCTCCGCTTGATATTAACATGGCAATAATGAGAGGTGTCCAGCCAGAAAATAATAAATCTTTTACAAAAGAATTTTTCCAAACGAAAAAAGCAAAAAAGGGAATAGAGCAAAACATAATAATGAGTAACAGTGTACTTAGATATGTATCTATGGAATAGTGTACAACGAAAGATGAGTTTAACAGCGTAGTGTATATGAATATGTATATGTATGCAGTTAATATACCTAAATGAGCTAATAAAAGATTGGCACACCCTGCTAAAATACCGAGTGTAACAACGTCGCCTAATGATGAAGCCATTGGACAAGCAATATTATCTTTATATACATATATAAAACATGAATAAAATACATATACACTCTATTTATCCTTTTTTTTTCTTTTTTTACCTGGATCTATTTTCATCATTCGACTTATTATAATCAACAAGCACATAAATAAGCCTAGAACAAAACTAGACACAGCAGCAGATACCATTGAGCTTGTGATGACCAAAATACATTCACTCACAGTAATAACTGATAAAGGTTGCGTTAAAATACCTAATAAAACACTGAAACTACCCGCTATTGAACCTGATACGAGTGCTTGAACTTGTATTAAAGCCAAGTTACCCCAAACTAATGTATTTCTTGTATATGGATGATCCAAGTCTCCCATGTTAGCCGAAGTTGAAAATCGAGCTGCTAAATTCATTTCTAAATTCCCCTTCAAGTTTAATAGCACGGGTACTAGAATAAATAATTCTGATACTTTTGTAAAGACATCCCAATGCTACATTATTATTATTATTATTATTTTTTAAAAAAAAAAATAAAGATAAAAATAAACACTATGTTTTAACTCTTTTGTATATTTTATTTTATTTCTGAAATATACATACTTGATATACATCCATCATCCAACCTGCTACTATGAGGCCGATCACACAAATTAATAAAGACGGTAACGCCTAAATAAATAAATCAATCAATCAAACCAGACGAGCGAGCGAGCAATCTTTATTAGTAACTCTTATATCAAGAGATATATGTATATATAATTTTAGTTTTTTTTACTTGTGAAGCAAGTTTATTGCCATGAGGTAATAGAACTTCTTCTTTTTGTTGAGGTGCTTTAAAGTGTATAAATGAGGATGCTGATCCTCTTCGAGAATGTAAATGTCTTTTCTGATCTTCGAGATCATCTCCCGGTGTTAATAACTCTATTGTTTCTGTTTGCCCATGGTTGTAATTGGGTGGCATTGTTGTAATAAAAAAAAAAGAAAAGAAAAAAGAATAATAATAATTATTAAAAAAAAAGCACTATTTGAATTATGATAATGGGGGTCGATCTTTTCTTATTAGTGTAATCATACTACAAATGTCCGAAAATAGACTGCGCCAAAAATAACGCATAAAATGAAACTCAGTATCCATTGACTATAATAAGCTTTTCTTTTTTGACAAATTATATTAAATTTCCAGTTATTAGATAACTCGTTTAATTGTTGTACCAGTTCATCTTGATATAAGTCATTCTCTTCAAATTTGTCTTTGAGTCTATTTAACTCGATTTCTAATAAATCCAGTCGATTCTGAAACAATAAAATAGTGTTATTATTCATATCTTGACCTTCTTTTCTTGATCTCTTTTCTTCTTCTTGTTTATTTAATTCATTCATTATTTTATCAGCCATAAATGCAATATAAAGCTGTTGTAATATTAAATTATTTTCAATGTGTTCACGTTTTATGAGCAAATCATGAATCATGATACTATCAGGGATAAGCTGATTACGATAATCTGTTGTATTTACTTTTTTTAAATTGGATAAAATGCCTTGTAATGTATCCCAAATGGCCCCTTCTGTTGTGATTATCTTTGAATGATGACGACAACGATGACTACTATTCTTTTGTTCTATACAGAATTTTTCATATGCTATTATTTGCCAACGCACAAGTCCTGTCTCCGCTCGAGTCCTCATGACTATCCCTTGATGTTGTTGCTGTTGTCTATTAGTCATGTCAACTTGAGTTCGGATTTTTCGACCAGTGGGTAATAATAATTCAATCATCTGAAACTCCGTTTCTAAAAGAGCACGAGTTGAATAATTTAAGCTGGGAATGGAGGGGACTATCCAATTATGCATGAGTTCATTTCGACTCAAGTTATCTGAAGTGAAAAGGGGATCCATGTCTTCACTTAATAAAAGTGATAATGTCTGTGATACCTTCAAGCTAGTCGCTATCTCTCTTGCCTGTTCAAGCGTAACCCAAATATCAGAAAAGGGGAACTCAGGTACAAGAAAATCGACCTGAAAATGACAAAGATCTAGATTAAATAACACGAGTCCATCTATCAGTGTAAGTTCACAAGCCTTAAATATTTGTCCAACAGAGATGAAATGTTGTTTGAATTCATAATGGATTAATCTGTAAATGGGAATTTTGTTTAATTCAACTGTCAATGTAGGGTATATTCGTTGTCCCTGTTGTTCCCAATTATATAAAAGCCTAAACTGTAAGGGACTAGGACAATCATTCATATTACTTTCTTTAAAAAAGAAAAAGAAAAAAAAAAAGAGAAAAAAAAGTAAACAAAAGAAAAAAAGAAAGCAATGACCTTTTTATCAGTATTTTTTTTTCTTCAAGATAAATTACTGCATTAGTTTATCAAAAAAAAAAAAAAAAAAAAAGCCTTATCAGCTTCATTTAAAAAAAAATCATCTTTAGTAATCTCAAGATAGAGTAATACACTTGTTGTTAACATGTCATAGTGTAATAAATCCAGTAATGACTACCGTATTCTTATTATTAAATTACAGTATTATTATTATTTATCTAAATTTATTGGATAACATAGAGTAGTCTATAAGCACTTTGTTTATATTTATCATAAAGTATAGACTATAATTACATTCTACTGTTTAAAATGAGTTAAAGGTAAAACATGTGTAAATCGTGTTCTAAGAAAGGGGGCAAGAAATAAACGACCAGTGAGTGTCATGAAACTTAATTGACCAATAATCCTCGTCACTCTTTTCCATCCTTTCGGTTTCTTCGCATTGTTAAAATACTTGACTTCTAACATACAAACTATTCCATGCAATCCAAAAAAGCAAAAATTCTCTAATGTTAATCTACGACATACACTAATAATAATGAGTTCATGAAATAAGCCGCTGATAATAAAAGCTAACAATCCTCGTCCTTGTCTTGTTGAAAAGAATCCTTCTTGCTTGGATGATTTCTTATCTTCTTTTTTCATTGAAAATACTTGTCTATGCAATAAATTACGAACTGTTTTATTCCATCTACGACTATTCATTTAATTATATAAATAGGCATGACTACCTTATTCTTATCTCTATCATCTCTTCCTTTTACCTCCAAAAGTCTCTCGGGCTACATTTGAATAGAATGCTGTTGTTAATAACACTCATAAAATCATTTACTGTCATCATTCTAGTATATAATACCTTGTTGCTAACAAAGGCGAATCAAACATATCAATCATACGCCATCCAGTCATAGTCTGTGCTAATCCTGTTGTCACATCCACAACACCCAATATCAAATAGGCCTTTAATCCAAACAAAAATGTGCCTATTAAGCTTTCTTTGCTTAACCAGCTATATCTTAACATCTCATCTGCCTTATTAGGTAACAAAGGTTCAATTCCAAAATATAAAGCCCCCAATTTGAATAGGCCTCTTAAAGTCTTCCATACTCCAAGCTTCGTGTTGGTTGATTTATCAGTTAAGGGTGAATCATCTATGATGGTTCCATAAAGTGCTTTCATCCATTCTGTTAATGTAAAATGTTTAGTTGGAAAATATGCGCTATACGAAGCAAGGAACCATGGAATAGCTGCAAAGGCAACGTTGTTTGGCTGAAAAGGAGAAACGACGACAAGTGGTACGAGTCCGTGAAGGACAGTCAGGCCTAATCGAAGCGTTCGTTTTGAAATGACAAGTTTGTCTTGGTAATGTAACAAGACATAATCAATACCTAACATACAACTATAAAGACCTGTCAAATGAAGAGTAGGTATAACAATAGGTTTAGGTAAGGTAATATCCAGTAGCGGTGATAATGTCAGCATAAAAAAAAAAAATAGAATAAAGAATTAAAAAAAAAGTTATCGTAACTGAAAAAAAAAAAAGGACAAACTTCTAGCAACGACGTCATGAAAAAACTATTATATATTGTATGCCTGATCTTGATTGAAATTAAAAATTAGATGGATACACGTATTATTTGACCTCATTTCTTTTCTTTTCTTTTCTTTTTTTTTTTTTTTTTTTTTTTTTTTTCTGTTGGAAAAAAGAATGAGTATCGTTTTATACACAGACTATACTAAACCTCCCTTTGTAGATGTAAAGCTACCACCAGCCATCATTATACCTTCTTATGCTCTTATCTTACTTTATACGTTTGTATTAAGTATCGACTTTTTATTATTAAGTAATGAACATGGATTGGCTATTTCACCAAGACAAGTACGCATTGCTATAACAATCCTTCACATTCTCATTCCAATGATATTTATTTCAGATCATCCACCTTCTAATGTCTTATTTGCTGCCACACCTTGGTTTGTTGCCTCTTACGCTGCTCACATGCCGATCAATAAAATGACGTTTAGCGAATTCATTAAATCTTTATTCAAAATTATTAGTGTTCCTGATACAAACTCAATGAATAATACTCAAATTAGACTGAAGGGACTAGCGAAAGTTTCATTAGGCCTTTTAAAGATGGCAGTAATGCATTTAATGATTGATCCTCTTTTACCTCATCGTGCTGAATTTGCTTTAGAATATACTTGGTTACATCCGTTAAGTTTACTATATACGTTACTCTATGGTATTAAGGCATACTGTTTATTAGGCGCTATAGATATCTTTATGGGACTTGAGCAGACCTTATTTGGATGGAATATGATCCCACTATTTAATTCACCTATTCTTTCTAGTAGTCCAAGAGATTTCTGGAGGTAAAGCTAAAAAAAAAAAAAAAAAAAAAAAAAGTAGACTTGAAGAATAGAAATTATGATTTATGTATTAAGATGTTTCATACAAAGTCGTCGATGGAATAGAGCCATTCGTAATCTATTACATAAACAAGTGTTTATGAATGATAGTTATCTATTAAAGACAACTCCTCCAGATTCATCTATTACTGTCACGAAAGATAAGTCTATTGACTATTTGAAAACACCATTAGTAGTAGTAGTACTACAACAGCGAATCATGTCATTCTTTACAAGGACACGTCAAGGAAGAGGACTACTCGCGTTTATAATCAGTGGAATATTTCATGAACTTATTATTATGAGCACATGTCGAAGAATGACTTTTGAAAATCTTTTATTTTTCATTTTACAAGGTCTTTTTGTATTATTAGAAGTTGAGTATTCATCTTTTTTACCACTTCTCAAAGGAAAAATGCGTATCCTATGTATTTTAGTTCAATTATTACAAATGGCAATTACTGGTAGATTATTTTTAGGACCCTTTCTTAGATATGATTTCTTAAAATCCATTGATTATTAATAATAAACCAATTTAGTTATCATGAATGAAAATGTTTATTACATAGAATGATATAGGTTAGAAGATACACGCCTTTTTTTTTTTTTTTTTTTTTTTTTTTTTTTTTTTTTAATTCAAACGAGCATGGAAAGCATAAACAGTCTTTCCGGTATAAACACCCTCCTTTTGAAGTAAAACAGCATTTCTCCATTCAGGTTTATTGGGAGAATCAGGATTACGAGATGCTTCAAGACAGAAACCAGCACTAGGACCCAATTTTATTTTACCTTGATCCTTTTTAGCTTCCAACACATCAGAAGCAATCCAGCCACCTGTATAGAATTGGAATGCAGGCTCAGTTGTAGAAAAGTCCATTTCAATACCTGTATCAGGGGAATAAACTGTGACTGCATGACGAAGAGGTAAATGAGCAGTATCCGTCTTGTAATCAGTATGGATTACATATGGATGATCATAACCACGAGTCGCTTCAAGCTTTTCAAAGCGTGCACCAATTGACTTGCCAGCATTTTCTCCCTAAACAATGAATTCATATTACTATACATATGTATATATATATATATATATATTTATTTTAACTTACAGAAAAGTTCATCCATGGTACTTCAGACCAGCTGAGTACTTTACCAGTAGGTAAACAATCTTGGTCACATTCAAGAACAGCCTTGACTTCATCTGTCATAGTGACGCGATGATCCAAGATATTAGGATTTAATGATACACCAGACAAGTTAAAATAAGAATGATTCGTCAAGTTAACTACCGTCTCCTTATCAGTTGTTGCATGATATTCCATAATTAACTCATCTTTATCGTTTACAGTATAGGTAACAGATGTTGTAAGTGTACCAGGATAACCTTGATCACCATCAGGTGAGACGAGTTCTAAACGAACAGAGGCAGGCTCTTCTGAAAGAACAGTAGCTGTCCAAATTCTCTTATCAAAGCCTTCAAGACCACCATGAAGTGCATTAGGACCGTTATTGATAGCAAGTTGATATTCTTTTCCATCAGCTGTAAATTTACCCTTACCAATACTATTTTCAAGACATGAGTCCTCATATATATATATGTATATTTTTTTTTCTTTTCTTTTTTAAAACATAAAATGACTTTTTTTTTCCCTTACCGATTACCGTATCTTCCTACAACAGCACCAAAGTAAGGATTATCAGGATGTTTATAGGATTCATGGTCATCAAAACCAAGAACAACATCACGAACAGTGCCAGTCTTATCAGGTGTCAAGATATGAGAAACAATGGCACCATAAGTCAAGACCATAACGGCCAATGTCTTGTTTTTGTTAATTAAAGTATATTGGTCAACACCAGGTGAAATAGTAAGTTTATTAACGGGCATGTTATAAGAAATAATAATAATAAATGGGAAATAAAGTGGAAAAAGGAAAAAAATAAAAAAAAAATAAAAAAAAGAGTTGGAATTTATTTATGAATATAAACTATCGTTCATGCATTTATCGTTTACGTAATTAAATCTCACCAACTCGGAATAAAAAAAAATATCTTGTATCCTTTAATTCTAGTGGCCGTATGACAAAAAAAAAAAGAAAAAAAAATTCCGTATTACATAATCAAATAATTTCATTTCATATACTGTATTTCAGGTTTTTTTTTTCTTTTGTCTGAATTGGCAAAAAGAAAAAAAAAGGGTGTTTCAAATGCATATTAGCTCTTCTTTTAATATATAAAAAGACGCGTCTCGTAAATAATAATAAACTTGCCGTTAATGGAAATGTAAATGAATCGATTCTTTAGGAAAACAATATTATATGGATTATTTGTACAAAATCTTTTTTTTTAATTATTCAGAAAGCGCATGGATATAATTATTTATCCTTAAGCCTGTTTATAGTTTATTTTAAATTATTTTCATGTTATACCCGACTCTTTCAGCTTTTCATATTTGCTAATTATTAAGATTTATATGTAAAAAAAAAAAAAATAAAAGATAAGAAATATGAGTTATTTTGTTGGAATTTATTCAATATGTATAGAAGGATTCTTTTGTAGAATAAATGCGCGTACACAAATATACAAATATTGATATGTGTATTATTAGAGCAGCCATCAATCACAGTGTTTTTTTTTTTTTTTTTTTTTTTTTTTTTTTTTTTTTTTTTTTTTTTTTTTTTTGCAAAGTTCCTATTATCCAAGATGTTTCTGAAGGAAAAGTACTAATTTGAATTCGTGTAACTCAGTTTGAAGGGTTAAAATATTTTATGAACATGTTTCTTTTTTTTCATATTCTTTCTGTTTAAATAATAATAAAAAGACTATTATTAAAAAGAAAAAGAAACGATAGACGACATTGTTGGTGATAAGTTATCTTGGTTTTTTTTTTTCTTTATTAACATTTAGTAAATAATATAAAAATTTGTAGTTAATAAATGAATGTAATTATTATATAATGAATTCAATATCTTTAAAATGCTTGCTTTTGCTAAATCAAACCCAGTGACCGCTTATCGAATAGTTAATAGCAATGATACAAACCAAAGAATATCTTTAGCTTAATTCAGACTACTGTTGAATGTTTTACTACAATATGAATAAATACAAAAAAAAAAAAAAGAAAAAAAAAAGCCGTTAAATGTAATTAACAATCAAGCACGTATTCTTCTTGTTAATTTTCCAGGGGGGAGGGTTTTTTTTTTTCTCTTTAAATAACACATGGTTTTTCTTGCTATTTTCCTTAGTTGTTCTGACTTTTCCCATTTCAGTCAAACTAATCTGCATATATTTTACTTTAGTACCGACGAGTTTGCTACTGTTTCAAACCGTATATAATATAATATAATATATTTAATAATATGTGTGTATATATATTTAATCTATAAACAAGAGAAAAGTCAAAATTAATTTAAACTGTCACAGCTCTAGCAGCTAGCAAGCAAGCAAACAAGCAAGCAAACAAACAAATAATTATTTTTATCCTTGATTTTTCTCTCACTTTGAACGCAATATAATGATAAATATGAAGAATAAACTGATTCATAAGAAAAGTATTGTAAACTTGCTGTAGGCCAACTTTTTTTTTCTCAACTGTATGTTCCATGCTGTGGAAATTGATCTTATTCCCTTTTAGAGGATAGATTTTCACCTTTAACACATTAGAGTCTATAGAATTTATCAGGAAATGATATCTTTATTTTTTTTTAAATAAGTCCCTCTGAGCTCTTTATGTGAAAATAGAAGAATGTAACATATATATGAAAGGGCAATGTTGAATAGAATAGATCAAATCGCTTATTGTTCTTTATTTCATTATAAATTTCTAATTTCTATCAAGATAAAGAGCATACACAAAAAAAGTTGTCTTTTAATATCCAGTCTGGCCTTATAATAATAACATGCACTGTATATAATAAATGATAAAAAAAAAAGAAATACACTATTCATGAGGTTTTTAGCCTAGTGGTTGGAAAATCACATAACTGGTAGTAGTGTAGATATGTTTCGTTTCAATAACTGGAAACTACAATTGTTTTTTATTTATATTGTTCCTAATAAAAAAAAATGTCATAAACAATAGCAGCACACAACCAATGATATTTACCAAGCTGTCCAATGATATCCCTCAAATTAGAATCAATTTCGAGAAAAATGACCACAAAAAAACGTATAACCCCTCATCCATTTCATTTTTTTTTTTTTTTAAAAAAAAAATAAAACTCATCTAATCAATATAATGCCAAAGAAATCAACCAAACGTACACATTTAAGAACAACAGAAGAAACGAGATACAACATTTGTGAAGATTACTTTGCACGATTCATGACAGTAAAGAAGATTTGTCAAAAGTATCGAATGGCAGACACAACCGTACGTGGTATTTTAGAACGTAATCGAGTGGAAGATAGAATTGCTTACAAGTCGCGTGGAGGTGCTCGTAATACGACTCAATTTAAACAGGAGCATACACATTTTATTAGGGATATGATGGATATGGAAGATGAACAAAACATAGTATCTTTGGAAGAAATACAAAAAAAGTTATTAGAACGTTTTCCAAATGATTTTTTTGTAGCATCATCATCATCATCATCAGCGTCATCAGCGTCATCAGCGTCATCATCATCATCAGCGTCAGTAACACCTACCTTATCTGCCTTACAACGTCATATTGATAAAAACTTACAATTAACAATGAAAAGAGTAATGAGTCCACTACCGGCTGATGTCAACATAAGTCATATTCATCAACAAAGACTGGCATATTGTAATCATTTACAAGCAAACCAATTTGATTATTTAACGAATTGTATATTTATTGGTGAAAGTGAGTTTAATGTCTGTATGGTGCCGGCAAGACTAAGATTAAAACGAGGTAAAAAATCAGATGCAATGCTGTCAAAGACAAGAAGAGGCAAGACAATTTCAATTCTTGGCGCCATTAGTTCAAATAGAATAGAATGTTTACAAGCTATCGTTGTCGATAGACCCTCAGATCAAGCCATGTACGAGGATTTTATGACTGAACTAATAAAGAAATTAGATAAAGAATATACATCACAAAATTTTGTCTTTATCATCGATAGTCATGTCTTTCAAAGAAGCCCAAAGATGCATACTCTACTTACTACTACTTCAACAATACATCATCATTATATCCTTTTACCGCTTTATAGTAGATTGTTGAGTCCAATCGAACCATGTTTTCAGTCTTTAAAAAATTTTATTTGTCGATCCCCTAGTGCTCAAAAAGAGGATCTATTCCAATTGATTAAAAATGCTGAAAATAATATTTCAAAGGAAACGTGTACCAGTTGGACACAAGAAAGTCTTGATCATCTTAAAAAATGTTTACAAGGTGAATCTATTATAATTACGTAATCCTACTAATAATAATAATAAAGTATGTATAATATAACTAAAAATGTTAATAAAATTATTATTATGTTACAGTAATATTACTAAATATCATGTTATAATGTAGTCGTAGTAGTAGTAGTACTACTTACTACTCAAGATTTATATATATATAAGTATTATAAGATAACTAGAATGTGTCCTTATTAATATATATCCTGCAAACTCTATATAAAAAAAAAAAGTGTATCTCTACATTTACAAGTGTTAGAAGATCTTCCCCTTTTTTTTTTTTTTCTATATTTTGTCGTATTGGTTTTGATATTTTTGTATACAAAGTCTATTCATTCTATATGATAATTACCATTAAAATAGTAATAATAATTCCATTTTTTTTTATTATTAAGTGAAATAAGTATATTAAAATTAATTTATAAATAGAATAATAAATAGTATATAAATGTAACTAATATATATTATCTGATATAAAATGGCGTAGAGTTAATAATTAGGCTATGTATATCGGAATATATATTTATTATAATCTTGTTAAGCAGTTGCTTGAACAACTGGCGTAGTAGTAACAGCAGCAGCAGTAGCAGGTTCTTCTTCATGTTGTGAGGCTACAGTCTCCTCAGCTGCAGCAGCTGCAGCTACTGTTTCATCTTCCTTCTTCTTTTTATGAGAAAATCCTCGGAACATTTGAGTAATACGACGACCTATAGGTGATCCAGGGCGTTTTACTTCTTCAGACTCTGTGTGATTCGTAACAGCAGTAGTAGGTTCAATAGCTTTAAATAAATAAATATGCAGTTAATATAATTATTGCATATAAACATAATGGTAGAATAATAGAGAAAAAAAGTTGTATAGTATTATGTACATAAAGAAAAAAAAAATCAGTTACACATGTCTACATGTGACATCCTCAGTAAATTGATAAATAGATAAAGAAAAAAAAATGGCTCTCTATCTTACTAAATTTATACTTTATCTTTCTTTCTCTCTCTCTCTTTCTATTATTCTACCATATGTATATACATATATATGTATATAATAAATTTAAATAGAATATACTTACTAGTAGATTGCTCTTCTTTGGAAACAGCAGTAGAAGGCTCAACATGTTCAGTAGTAGGAGCAGTATCTTCTTTATGATGTTCAGTCTCTTTCTTCTTATTAAAGAGTTTACCAAGAGGACCTTTCTTAAATGTATCCATCATGTTATGATCCTTATGAGTAGAAGCCTCATTAGGTTCTTCGGTAGCTGATGTATTAGCGGCAACTGTTTCCTGAATCTTTCCTTTATCAGTAAGTTCTTCTGATTTACTTTCTTCTATAAAAGGTAATGAATATGAGCAAGTTACTACCCCTGCTTTCTTTATATGTATATATAAAATAAAGTTGGATGATTTTTTTTTTTTTTTACCTTTAGACGATGTCAATTCTTCCGACTTTTCAGTTTCTTTACTACTGGCAGCTGGAACTGGGCTCTAAAAATAATAAAGTAAAAAAAAAGTTAGTTGAGTGTAACCAATCAATTTAAAATAGTAAAAACGTGTAACAATATGCTCTTTTATTCCTTTCTCCCCCAAAAAAAAAGAAAGTTTTTGATCCGACATTTTTTTTTTTTTTTTTTTTTTTTTTTTTTTTTTTTTTTTTTACCTTGCTGCGGAAAATATTACCCAGGATAGATTTACGCTTTTCATTTTTAAATTCTTCAAGAGGTTCAGCAGAAGGTTCAACGACAACTTCAGACTCCTTAACAGTAGATTTCCTTTCAGCGACTACTTTCTTGTCAACAAAGTTTTTAGCTTTGCCCAAAAATGCAGAAAGACGCTTGCTTGTTGCATTTGATTTAGAAGGAGTAGGTTCTCCTACAGATTTAATAGCTTCTTCAGTAGCTTCAAAAGGAGGAGGAGGAGGAAGAGGAGGAGTAATGGTGGTAGTGGTGGCAGTAGTAGCTTGCTCTTCATTTGTCTTGGGAGCTTCAACAGTCGTATCTTGCTCTTCAGTTGTCTTGGGAGCTTCAACAGTAGCAGCTTGTTCTTCGTTTGCCTTGGGGGCTTCAACTGTAGTATCTTGTTCTTCGTTTGCCTTGGGGGCTTCAACTGTAGTATCTTGTTCTTCGTTTACCTTGGGGGCTTCGACAGTAGTAGCATGCTCTTCATTTGTTTTAGGAGCTTCAGCAGCAGTAGTTTCAGTATTAACTTGTTCTTGAACAGTAGGTTCTGCTGCAATGGATGTAGAATTTTCAGATGTAGACATTATGTATAAAGAATAAATGTATGTATTTTCTTTTGAAAAAAAAAATAAAGGAGAAAAGAAAGAAAAGAAGTGAGAAAAAAAAGGGGGGAAATTTATTTATTCCTTTTATGTTAGTGTCATCTTGATATATTTATAAAAATGGGAAATTAATGTTTGTTATACAGTAACACATTTTAGTCGTTCATATAAACAACAAGTTTAATTATTAAAAAAAAAATGTGTTCTAAAACTTATTTCACTGTTGGTTGAACAAAAAATATTGGTACGCTTTTTTAAATATGCAGATCCCTTTTATGCGATAGATTAGTATTTGAAGATAAACCGTCTGTCTTTACCTTTATCCTTACCCTAATTTCTTTCAAATAAAGTTTAGAAGAATCATTGCATAAAATCTATACTGTATGCAGCAGCAAAAACATGACTTATTTCTTCAGGACAATGTGACTCGGAGTATGAAATTAATTTATACTACAATTAAATATCTTATTTATTAAGAAAAATTAAAAAAAAATAAGATGGTAAGTGAGTAGATATATTGGATTACTCAGCCCAGTTCAAGATATATAAAAAAAAAAGTTTTTTTTAAGAAGACCCCTATTCAGAGATAAGAGGTAAAAAAAAAAAAAAAAAAAAAAGCTAAAACAAAGAAAAGAACAAGGAAGAGAGATGAGAAATAGAAAGAAATATTATACTATCAAGTTCAGTTGGTCAATTAATCAATTAGTTTCTCTTTTGCCAGGGTTGAAAGGAGGAAGAGGTATCTTAACATGTGGCAAATAATTCAATTAATGAAGGCTGATACAAATAATTGGTCAACAGTAAAACCAAGCAGACACATCTTGGGATTAATGTATACTACATTATTTTTTTTTTTGGGTGAAACTGAGATTAGTTTAAAAAAAAATAAATAAATAAATTAGATCGAAAAAATAACAACAATCAAAAATAGATTTAAATAAAATAAAATTAAACATGTTTACCGGTCAAAAAAAATTGTTCTAGATGGCAATTATTATTGTTTCTAACGAGAGAATGCATAGAGGTGATCTTGACTGGTTAGTATTTCATTAAATATTTGATGAGTAATTTTTGCGGCATTATAATCACGTTGATACAGTATCCCACAGCAGCTTTGACAAACTAAGAAGCTAGTTATTGCATGTGAAAAATTTTTTTCTAAGCATACCGAATGAAAGGCCTTTTACAGATATAAAAGCACATTTGCTAAATCAATGTTAACAGAGTAGCAATAATTGATTCTTTTAGAAATTCTATATTCGTCTATAATAGCTACAATCAGATCACTATGTCTTTGTCTATTAAATAACTATTTTCTACAAGATATTAGTGAATCTTGTTAGGAAGCCTTTGAAGGTTGATGATATCTTCATTCAACATTCCATTCCCAAATGCTATAACTGGAATTTTCATATTATCTTGATATTTTTTATTTTATTTTATTTTACTGATCTATTCTCTTTCATGACATCTAGATCCTGTAAGAATGTAGTATTCTTTAAATCGATTGATTTTCTAATCTGATATGGCGTCTCACCATTGCCATACACAGCCGTGAATACATTTTTTCTTTCTAGAGTCGGGCCCGCATAAAGATAGGAGCTGCTCTACTTTAGAATATCACATTTATATAGGCTTAAAGAGAGAGAAAGAGAGAGAGAGAGAATGCAGACTAAAGATATGAAAACTATACTTGTGAATACCCTCCCAACCAGCTATAATTGTTCATGTTTTGATATATTTTCAATATATTACTTACATGCATATTCAGAAAATATTGATATCTAATACGCATCATTCAGCAGCTAAATATCGTTTACATTTATAATATCAAGGTACTCAAATAGTCAGACAAATGATAGTAGGTTAAAAGCGTATATGAGTACAAGATAAAGGTGTACAAAATATAACAAAGAGTGGTATATTAGTCTGATGTCTATTATAAGAAGAGTAACTAAATTCAAAGAAATTTAAGAATTATAAAGAAAAGTTACAAATCGTATCTTTCTGATAATGGAGATGTTTGGAAAAGATTCAGTCAAATTTAGAGGTCTCCGAACTGGGAGTTCTTTGGAAATTAATTGAAATGCAGACAAAAGTGTGATGATTCATTACTAGTATTTTGTGGATACATTTTGCACTTTAAAAGATAATGCTTTAGTCTCATAACTTACAGCTAATCTCCCATCCCCCACACTTTTTTTTTTTTTTTTAATTTAGACGTGCCATTTATGCAACAGCATGCTTCTCACTTTAGCTATCACAGTTATACCTAGTCAAGGTTGTGGAATAATAATATAGCAACGTGATATAAATGCTTCTTTTAGAATTTCACAGCAAGTAATCAGTGGACGCCACTACTATCCTCCTAAATCACAATCTCGAATATGGCTCATTTTCATAATGAAAAATTTAGGTTTTTTTTTTACAGGTCTAATTTTATTTTATCTAAATTTGCTTCTGCTCCTTATATCATTTACTGCTCTAAAACGGTTTTTTTTTTTTTTTTTTTTTTTTTTTTTTGATTTGTTTTCTCTTTCTAATTAATCTTAGTTTCACCTGGAAATACAGTAATGACACTGATTAACTATCACCAAGTGACAGCATATGATCACATGATATTTTCTCAAACGATAATTGACTACACATGTGATGTTTTATTTGTGTAACTTTTCTGATGTTTATGCAAAAATAAATTATTATTATTACTATTACTATTACTATTATTATTATTATTTTTTTACTTTTATTATTTGATTTTAAGCACGGGCAAGACGAGCATTACGGGCCAATTGACGAGCATTAAGCTTAACAACCTTCTTGTCAGCGGCACGAGAAACAGCTTCTTCCTTTTCAGTAAGAATAATTTCAATGTGGCAAGGAGAAGACATGAAAGGGTTGATTCTACCGTGAGCACGATAAGTACGACGACGGTGCTTAGGAGCTTGGTTAACAACAATGCTAGAAATGTAAAGTTCTTCAACATTCAAACCCTTAGCCTATAATATTCCCAACTTAATAAATTAGCTTTTCTCCTCCTTTTCCTTTTATACAAATATATATCGCTTTTTACCTCGGCATTACTTTCAGCATTCTTCAATAAGTCAGTAACAAACTTGACAGACTTAACAGGCCAGCGACCTTGGGTAGTACCGAATTCCTTAACTTGAGCAGTACGACCAACACCACCGTTGAATCTACGGAAGGGGATGGCTTGCTTGTGTTCAGTAACATTGTTAAGGTAAGCATAAGCCTTGCTTAACTTCAAACCCTTGATAGCAGCAGCAACTTCATGAGTATTCTTGAAATGAACACGAAGATAAGAGCCTCTAGACTTGGCAGCTAAATTAAATGTAAGTAAACGACATTATCATGTTCTAATTTATTACTTACCCTTAGCAGGGTTAGCTGGGGTAGCAGCGTATCTGACCATATTTATCTAATAGTGTCTAATTAAAACAAAATAAACGTAAGTATCTATAAACTGAATTCATCCAATACCCCGCCCAAACGTGTCTATGCATCTTTTCATTTCCCCCTTCCTCTCCTTTTCATTCTCCCATTATTATCTAAATGTCTTTTTTTTTTTCAACCATCTTAATCTTCCTTTCATTTGATCATTAATTAGATTGATGCTTTAATGATCTGATTTAACAATGTGTCGAATTTTAAATCAATCCTTTTTATATATATATATATATACAATAAAATTGACATTCTGTTGTTATCTGGAGAATTAATTGATCATCCATATCCATATAATAATAGATAACCCTCCCCTACATCCATCCACTCTCTTTCTCTCAATCCATTTAAATAGTATGAATATCTTACGTTTTAATACGCACAGCAAAGAGAAGGATTCCATCCAAATTCGGTCACTTTTTTTGCCTTACTTCTTCTTCCACGCATACACACCCCACAACAGGACTGGCTGAGAGGAATGGTGATATCCAATTTTCTTACTTTTTTTTCCTAATTTCAACAATTCATCATACCGGATTTTTGTCGAAATATCACGTGGTATTATTTATAATGTCCGGAACACGTTTGTTAATAAAAATTAAATATAAACATGAATAATAATAATAATAATAAAAAGCTTGTAGATAGTGAACATGAATATATGATCTCATGTTCGAATTGTCTTTCACACATAACATAGTTATTTTGGCAATTTTCTCTCGCTTTTGTATTTTTTTTTCTCTTCTTCTTTATTTCTTAATTTTATCTATAGAATAAACCTTAATAATAGTATTATTATTATTTTTTTTATGGCAGCAAATCGGTTAGAATACAGAAATCCTAAAAGACAAAGAGCAGTATGTGTATATACAATATCACAGGAGTCTCGTTATCTGATTATTGAAAATGTTCCCAGTTTAGGTGTTACTCAACAATTACTTGATTATTGCCAACAATTTGGAGCTATTGAAGAACATCGGTTACTAGATGAACATTCCTCAAGTACAGAATATACAGATGTTTATTTGATCCAATATACTAATATAAAATCAGCAAGAATAGCCAAGCATAAAATGGATGATAGGCCCTTTTATACCAACTTATTAAGAGTTAATTATGCACCTGAATATGAGACTTTAGAAGATATACGGAAAAAGTTTAAAGATAGATACCAAACAATTTTCAATAGAAATAATAAAAAGAGACGACATCATCATAATAATAATAGCAATATAGTGTTTGATACAACTACTGTTTCAAAGACTAGGGCTACTGATAATAACCATCCACCTTCTTCTACTGCAACAATAGATCCGAAAAGAAGAAGACGAATTTAAGAAAAGTTCGAGAACAAAAAGCCACCACTTTAAAAGAGCTCATTTGTTTTTAATAAACTCAGTAAAATTTTTTTTATAATTTGTTCATCATCATCCTTTTTTTTTTTTTTTTTTCACTTTCTCTCAAATAGGCCCTGGCCTAAATAATTTTTTTTTTTTTTTTTTTTTTATTCTGTTTCTGTTTTATGGTTTCGACAATTACAGCAACTAACAATTCTCGATGGTCATCAAACAACAACAACAACAGCAGCAGCAGCAGCAGATGGACAGTAACAAAGAAAAGGCAACAACAACAACAACAACAACAACGAAATTTTGAAAAACGGGATCCCTTTGCGGGAATGAAATCCTGTGTTAATTATGAACTGGAAATCGAACGATTAAAACAATTAGTACCAGCTATTGATAATAGAAAACGCAAATCCACGTATTCAAATTTACCCGATAATACCGACTCTGACTCAACTACTTCCTCTTCCTCTTCTTCCTCCTCCTGTTCTTCTTCTTCTTCCAATAATGCCGTAACTGAGGAAGAGAAACTTCGATTTCTGGCATTTGTCCGCAGCTGGACAGGTGACTGGCAGCAAAAACCAACAGAAAACGATTTGATAAACCTAAATAATGATTATTCTTTATGGGCTGACCCTTTACCATGGACTATCAGTTTGGATCATTCTGCATCACACACTATGATGTCATCAAACACATATAATAATTACCTTAGTTATTGGCAGCCTCAACAACCCGTTCATGTAAATAGACATGGTCAATTACCTATTGGAATGGGTAGAAAGAGGTCATAAAATTTTTATTATTATTATTTTTTTTTTCTTTTTACATTTTATTTATATATTCCCTTTACTTTATTTTACTTTATTTTTTCTTTCCTTTTGTAATACATACACACATAATATAATACAATACATACACGCACAGACAGACATACAGACATACAATACATACAGACATACTTACTTACTTACTTACTTACATATACACACACATATATATACACATTATGATATACAACAAATATTACCTATAAATAAAAAAATAATTTATTACTGCATTAAAGAAACGCATAATCAATTAATTATTCGTCACAAAATAAAAAAAAAATAAAAAAATATTTACTTTTTTTTTTTTTTTTTTTTTTTTTTCTATGACTCAACTGTTTGCATTTGGATCAAATGGAGGTGGCCAATTAGGTATTGGTCACATGGAAGATACAAATAGACCTACAGCTTGCATAGGTTTACCAACTGATGATCCAATTGTAAAGATCTCTGGTGGTGGTAATCATTCCGCCATTATTACTAAGCAAGGACATCTCTACATGACCGGCTCATCACGACATGGTGAAGAAAGCCATGATGATAACGAAGAATTCGTCAACACATATAAAAGACAATTACCTGATATAAAATGCAGGGACGTAGCTTGTGGATGGGCATTTACGATTGTATTGACCGAGACAGGCAAATTATATGGTATTGGCACAAGTCGTTGGAACGAACTAGGATCCTTATCATCGACAGATAAATGGACAGAGATAAGGCATGCAGTTTTCGACAACCAGCAGATTGTGTCTATAGCATGTGGATGGCGTCATTGTATTGCACTTGATGCAGAAGGTACAGTTTATGGATGGGGTTGGGGACGACATGGACAGTTAGGACCTGGAGCAAGAGATAAAAAGGACATCCGAGCCATTCAGAGAATCACCATGCCACAGCCTATCGTTCAAGCTGCATGTGGACATTTGCATACATTATTGAGAGGGAAAGATGGTAGAGTGTATAGTTTTGGATCTAATAAGTATGGTCAGTTAGGTACTGACGATACAGCTGAGGATATCTCTACTCTTAGTGTAAAGGCGAGTTGGATTGATGCAGGATGGCATCATAGTGCTATTTTGGATGAAAGTGGTAATTTGACCTTATTTGGAAGAAATGACCATGGTCAATTGACTACCTGTACACAACCTATTCGTGGTATTCGCCAGTTTGTATGTGGATCAGAACATACAGTAGCCATTCGTGATAATAATAATGAAGTCATCGCTTGGGGTTGGAATGAACATGGAAATTGTACTTCTGATATGGATTTTGTGAGTGAACCTATTAGTTTAGGAGGTTTTAATGGAAGAGTCAATATATTAGGCGCTGGCTGTGCTACAACCTGGCTAGGCGTAATAATATAACAAAAATAAGAAAAAAAAAATAAAAAAAAATTATCGTGTTGTAATATCTATTTTACAAAAAAGAATAAAATGTGGGCATATCAGTAAATTACTACCTAGTAGTATACTCTAATTTTATTCATATAAATGGTCAAAGCTCAAGAATATGTACTCTCTCTCTCACATGCACTTTGATAACTGGTTAACCTTGTCTCATATATCCTAATAAATACATGTTCTCTAATGATCGTCCAATTTGTTTGAAAGACATATATTATTGGGTGTAATTTTTTTTTTCAATAATTATTATGACACATTGTGAACCTTAATCATAATCACTACCACCACCAGCATTGTTTATAGATTCGGCTACAATCAATCTCCGTATAAATAATGCACTATCTCCCCCACATACTCAAAAAGTTATTTTATTTTTTTCTCTCTCTTCTGTAGCATTGGCCGGGACGAATTTAGTAAGTTAAAACAGCCATACTCAATATATTCAAGGAAGTTTACTATAATATTACAAGCTTATAACATACCAATGTCAACTATTAATAAACCTAAAATATTAACAGGTAAAGTGATGTATACATAATCCTATTTATTTTATTTATTTATTTATTTATTTATTTTTAGTTGGAACTGGTGCTGTTGGTGCGATTTACTCTTGGAGACTTTCAAAATCTTGTCATCTCACCACCGTCTGTCGTTCTAATTATGAAACTGTCAAAAAAGAAGGTTTTGAGATTGATTCTGCCAAGTTTGGAAAAGAAATATTTCGACCCGATAATGGTAATAATAATAAACATCTCCTTTTAATATTATTAGTATTAACTGTGTGTGTGTGTGTTTTGTAAAAAAAAGTTGTTCAAACTGTGTCTGAAGCGATTACTCCTGAAATTCCATATTATGATTACATTCTTGTTACATTAAAGGCATTACCGGAATGTTATGATGTAGCAGATATTATTGCACCTGCTGTTACCTCAGAAAAAACAACGATTGTTCTCATACAAAACGGTCTCGGCGTGGAGGAGCCTATTGTTCGTCAATTCCCTAATAATCCTTTGATTTCTATTGTAGCCTACATAGGCACCTCACAGACAAGACCTGGGAAAATTCTCATGGTTGGTAACGAATCTTTAATTATAGGTCCTTATTTGCAAGCTAAAACGAATTCTGATGTGGAACGTGCTGATTTTATCGAGATTTTAAAAGAGGGAGACGTTGATGTTCAGCTAGTGGATGATGTTGAACGTGTACGTTGGCAAAAATTATTCTGGTAATTTTTATACAGTAACATTTTTTCTCTTTTTTATAATATGGGTACTAAATTAAAATTGAAATTGAAAAAAAAAAGGAATGCGGCTTTCTCGCCTGTATGTGCTTTAACAGGTATGAATACAACTCAGCTTTTAGCCAACAAGGAGGCCATGCGTGTTGTCAAACTAGTCATGAAGGAAGTCATTGAATCAGCAAATGCATACGGATATGGATTTAATCCCGAAGAACAAATACATAATATGATTACTAGAACTGAAACAACTGCAAAGAATTATAAGCCATCCATGTAAGTCAAAAAAGGAACAAGAAAAAGAAAAGATGTTTGTATTATTTATTTATTTAATTTTTTTTTATTATAGGCAATTAGACAAGGAACGTTCGAGTCCTATGGAGATTGAGGTTATTCTTGGTGTACCACTCAAAAGAGCAAAGGCAAAAGGCTTACAGGTTCCAAATTTGGAACTTATGCATTCTCTTTGCAGTGCAACGAATGCACTTATTATGTGTAATTCAGTATAGCTGGATTTATAGCATTTATATGATAGATACAACATGAACAATAGATATATTTATATACATGTTATATTATTAAATTATTCTATGATGCTGCTATTTGTCGTATTTGCAATTACTTTATGGCTACTACATAAATATCCTTTAACTTCAGTATTGTCTTGTAAACATGGGCTCTGCTTAACTCTAGATTGTTTTTTTCTTCTTGTCAATATTCAATTTTGAGGGGCGGGGGATTTTTTTTTCTTTTAGTTTCTAGCTAGAATTGGGGAAAGGAAAAGAGGAATATAGACATCCATGATCGACACAAGTAGCAGAGAGTTTATTAATGATGACACAATGTCGTTTGCGTTCATTCTTTCAATAGTAGTTGTAAATAGGATATCCTTATTCATTGAGCATCTTGTGTACTTACCCTAAAGTCCTCTAACAACATTATCCTACAAACTAAAGTAAATTCAGAAAACTAGTATCCTTCTTTTTTTGTGGGCCACTTGATTATCTAATGCAGGGACTAACAGCAGATAAGGACGTAAGTGATCCATAATTCCTTTTAACAATATTTGTGCTATTATAACCCTTATTCATCATGTGAGACTATTAAATCCTTAAGATCAGATAATCATTCATTGAAAGAGGCAGAGAGAAAGGGCCTCTCCCTTCTACCTCCTTAAATAATGTTATATCAGGAAGAATGGATATTCTTGATTCAAATAAATGTATTCATGATTACCTTGTTTCTAATATAGATAAATGGTGTTTATGAGTATATAAATAGTACTTGGATATCCTCAAAAAGGAAGGAAAATTCTTCATCTTAATTTCTAGTTTCTGTTTCAATATCATGTAGTGCTTTTCATTAAAGCTCAAAGGGAATACCATAATTTCATATATAAAAGGAGGCCAACTTGAATTATATCATTTATAAGAATTTTTTTTTTTTTTTTTTTAAAATGGAAGCAGCGTTAGATAGGACTACTTGATATTGAGAATAATCGAAAATAGAATATCAAATGCCATTACAATAAACAAAGAAAAGATACTAATAATACTCCTATTATTATACAAATGTGAAAGGATGTAATTATATAACAAGAATCTCAAGTATTTCAACCAATTGTGCGTATTCATTGGGCCAATTTCTTTTCTTTTTTTTTCTTTTTTATTCATTGTTAAATAAAAAATATGAAAAGAAAGGGACATAAATTGTTTATTGAACGGAAACTGCTAATTTATTTTCCCAAAAGCAAAATTTAACGATACTAAAAAATAAATAATATTTGTGAGTGCCAGAGATAAATAAAATATTTCAAATTTATTCCTATATTTACCTTGTGGAAACCAATGTCATTGGCGTATTCACGGAAACATTGACGACAGATGTTCAAGTTGTACTTGCGGATCAAACCAGCACGGTGGGCACAAACACGACTATTATTTATAATTTTAGTATTGCTCAATTAAAAAAATTTTTTTTTTCCTTTCATCATTCCATAAGCCAAATTAAAAAAAAATAAAATAAGAAATCCCGGCAAAAGCATTTCCAAGCACACAATATAGTTTATAGTATTGTCTTTCCTTTTTTTTTTTTGTTCTAAAAAACAAACAAACAAACAAGAAAAGTGTGCACATGAACATGTATTTGAATTGACTATATTGAAGGGGGGTTTTTTTTCGGTGGCTTATGAAATGACATTTTCTCTCCAATTATAAAAAAAAAAAAATACACAATTCAACCCAAATTTAATAGTTTACTTACCATTGGCGAGAACCTTTACCGTAGGACTTGGGGTGAGAGTTCCAAACGTTGCTATGAGTCATACTGTATTATACTGTTTGCAGAATAGCAGAAAAAGAGAAGGATTTTATAACTTGTGGACTCAAATCCCTATAATAAATTTTTTTTTTCTTTACTTTAGTTTTGAATTTCCGCTGATCAAGACCTGAATATACTATACTTGATTGGCTAAATAAGACTGTAGTACTCGAAAGTTGTTGACTATGTGCTGCAATCCTCCTCCTCCTTGTTAACGAGTCATTTTATTATTATTATCATTGGCTATCATATTAATGGAAATAGTCTACAATTATTGTTACAGAGAATAAATATATACATGTATGTTAATGCAATGAGGTCCTACTAATAAGAAACATTGGTCTACGTAAAGTAATTTTTTCACAAAGCCTTCTATTCCTAATATTAATTGAAAACAAAATATGTTTTCATCATATATGAATATCTTATTTGTGTAGTAGAATGATTACATAATAGTGATATTACTCGTAAAGAAGGTCTTTTTTTTTTTATGAAATCCAATCAAAGAACATACAAACATACATTTGTTCATCTATCTGGATATACCTCTTTATTTTATTATTAAGGGTCTTCATAGATTGATACTTAATATAGGTTATATACAATTATAACTAGGAAAGTGTCTAAGAATGTAAACTGAATCTTACATCAAAGATATTTGAATAAAGCTTGCCTTGATAATTATTATTTCTGTATATATATCAATATGATTGTGCAACTAATAACGATGCGTAGTTTTACTACTAGTTAAAAGAAAGTAAATAAACACTTATTGATGTCCACGTATCAATACTAGATCACTCTGAATATTATTAATATCACGCTCTATTGTCATTGTTAAAGCTAGTATAATATCAAAAATGACAATAAAGTCAATACAATATAATTTTCTTTCATCTATAAGATAGAAAGTATATTATGAATCTATCACACTAAACCGTATTATGTCACGCTTGCTAGGGGAATAAGTCATTAAAGCTATGAACAAAAAAAAAAAAAAAAAAAAAAAAAAAAAAAAAAAAAAAAAAAAAAAAATAGACTTTTTGATATTTAGTGAGTTAGTAAGATTTTATTTAATTTGCCAAAGTGCCATTTACAGCAATTGACGGTTTGTGTCTAGTTTGTCTATCCAAATGGTAAGAAAACAGTTCAAAAACAGTGTCGTACAATTCAAGATAAAATACCCAAGGTTTTTCATGACTCAAATGAGTGATTTGATTTTGTTTTATTACGTGTCTATTTTAAATAACAATAATTAACAAAGGGCAATTAAAGTCAATCTTGGAAAGGGTGATTAAAAAATAATGTTTTGCGATATCGAAATTGAAGAAAATGGCGACCATGTAGTTCTTTCTTTTAGGAAAAGTTAACTAGGCGATAGATCTAGCAGTATTTTTTTTTTCAGTTCAAAAGATAACACCAGGTTTTTGCAAATGCATCTCTGATAGCTACTACGCTACTTTTATAATCTTAAGACATGAGAAACCCATCTCGTAGTCAACTATAATTTCACTAAGGACGTAGCCGATGGTCTACTACCCTTGATAGCCGATGGTCTAATCAAGCGATTCCTACGTAGCTATCAGGTGATCAGTTTTAAGAAACAAAGCCAAAATTGCTCAGTATAAAGTTAAGTTAAGTTAATAATGTATAGGCAAACATAATTAAAAACAAACGAACCTTTCATGAATCCCAAACACTGCTCATCAGTATTTACGCTACTTTTATAATCTTAAGACAGGAGAAACTCATCTCACAGTCAACTATAATTTCGCTAAGGACGTAGCCGATGGTCTACTACCCTTGATAGCCGATGGTCTAATCAAGCGATTCCTACAATACTGCTGAGTCATTCATTAGAGAAAAAAAAAATAAATAAAAAAAGATGATATCTAAGAACTCTTTGTCCATTTGGTGTCGTCATCGATCGGGGTTTTTTTTTGAATGTCGGTGTATTGATTTTGTGGAGAGTGCGTTTTTAAACTATTATCTTCCAGATGGATTATTCAGAAGAAGAAGAAATCGTCGTTTTGTACTTGAAATATGCTAAAAAACCGACCTTTAATCAGTTCTGTAAAAAAAAGAAAGATGAAATAATTAGTCAATCAGCGAAGATGCTGGCTTCTAACGCTATAACTCTGATGCGACACTGGATTAATATATACAATCGCGTAACATCTAGTAAAAGATCAACAGTAAAACTTATAAAAGCCCCCAAAACTGTCAGTATGATTTTTAAAGAAATATTTCAGATTTACTCAGTACTTAAGAACGCAGATCACCAATACACTGTCAGCTCAATTATTACTTTGGGAAACTATGCTCACAGTGCTCAGTCAAATCTAAGCAATTTCGTACGCCAGGGCAACAACAATGAACCTGATGGTGAAGAAGGAGAGGGAGAAGAAGAGGGAGAAGAAGAGGATGAAAAAGAGGAAGAGGAAGAGGGAAAAGAAGAGGAAGAGGGAAAAGAAGAGGAAGAGGGAAAAGAAGAGGAAGAGGGAAAAGAAGAGGAAGAGGGAAAAGAAGAGGAAGAAGAAGAAGAAGAAGAGGAAGAAGAAGAAAAAGATGACAGAGATGATGACGATGACAGTGAAAAAGGAGAACAAAGCATTATTAGTTTGGATCCTGATAAAGCATTTAATTTTTACACAAGTATTTTGACAACACGTGTACAACAAAGATTGCTGAAAAACAACATCTTTTCACGTATAAATATCCCACTTTCTAATTATCCAACTCTGCCATTCATCCTATTGGATAAAGCTGCAAACTTAGTTTGTCAAAAAAATTTGGATGTAAACGAAAGTGAACTGTTAAAGCTATGTCTTTCTCAGACAGTTAACTTATTAGATCCTGATCACGTAGCTTTATATACCCAATTTATCCCAGCATCAATCTTCAATGAAATTCTACAAGCGTGTAATCAAATGAAGTCTCTTCAGCCCTCTTTGAATCTGTCTGTTATCGATGAAATCTTTGATGAGTTATTACAATTTCAGTTTGATAAGGACGATTGGAGTTTATTGAGCTATTTGGACGAAAAAAAATTCAAGGAAAAAAACAAAAAATCAGAAAATTATAAGTTGCTACGGGTAGTTGAAGAAGTTGTGCATAACTTTAAAAGCTGGGAAATAGAGGATGACAAACACAATAATTACGCTGAAATGACGTATCAACGCAAATTTGCAAACATCTTAGACATACTCCTGGAAGATGAAGATGTTACCGTGTATGATGGTGAAAAAGTTTCAAAGGATACTCAACGTATACAAATATTAAATGAAAACGAGGATAATGGACGGAAGGTTGACTTAATAACAAAAACGAAGTACGATGATATAGTTATTGAGTTGTGCTCTATAGAATTTAAAGTACAAGGTGCAAACGATAATATCTCTAAGAAGCAACAGTCGAAAAATATCAGAACAAACATCAGCATATTAAACAATATCAACAACATCAACAAGCAATCGAGCAGTATTTTATATATGGATTGGAAAGGAAGAGAGGGTTACTTGGTACAGGCCTTCCAATTTAAAGACATTATGGTATCTTATTTTGTTGAGGATCTTTATATACCTAAAGACCTTATGGAGCTCAATGACTTTAGAAATACTCTCCAATATCTTTGCTTTTGACGAGATAGTGTAGTCAAGTTAAGCAACCAAACCAGGTTGGCAGCATATAAAGAAAAAAGAAAATATATCGTGTCAGATATTAGTGCGCCCTTTAGATCAATCTATAGCCCGCCAAGATCACCAGCCCAAAGGTCACCCATAACCCCATTTTTTACACCAACAAATAAAAGGACAAGAGAAGTAATGGAGCAAGAAGATGCTTAATTTGTGTAAACATTTTAATAAAAAATATATTGTTCAATACCCATATATTGCATAAAAAGAATTTCGTCTATTTTATGTTTTTTTTTTTAGCTATTACCTTTCTTTTTCTGCAAAAATACATACGACACTGTTTTTTAAGTGTTTTCTTGCCATTTGGATAGACAAACTAGACACAAACCGTCAATTGCTGCAAATGGCACTTTGGCAAATTAAATAAAATCTTACTAATTCACTAAATATCAAAAAGTATACTTTTTTATTATTATTTTATAACATTTGTATTAATGATAAGAACATTTTACTGATTATTCATAAGTATTACTGGACTTCAAGATTTTTTTTTTTTTTTTTTTTTTTTTTTTTTTTTTTTTTTTTTTTTTTACCTCCTAACTCTTGTATTTTTAAAGGCGAAACACTGTAAATTGATTTTATTATTATGTATTATGTATTGTGTCACTTGAAGTGACTGTTGTACCTTTTTAAATATAATTTCAATCTTTAATAACCTCCTATACTCTTCAACTTCTATTTAGATTTGTTAACAGGGATATCGTCGTTGTTAACCATGAAGTCTCTTCATTTCATTCTACAACTATTATTCGCGTTATGTTGCTTCAACAGCATCATTTTTGCTTTCCCTCATCAATTTGAAAACGCCAAGGTTTTACGTGTCATTGACATTAATAATGCCATTGCTCGTGAAGAAGTTGGTATTCGAGCTAGAAATGTTGATAATAAGGTAGCTCAAGATTATTATTTCTATTTACCTTCTTTTGTTGCTCAAAAGTCTGCAACCATCTCGGCATTTTTAAAAAAAGAAAAAACACCTTTGAAACTTGATTTTTATAAATTGGATGAACAAAGGTAAATCTTATTACAAATAATAATATTACAGCTTGGTTTAACCTTTCTTTTATTATTATTATTATAGTGATTTGAATGTTTACAAAATTCATTTAGATAAGCCTGTTCAACCTCAACAAGATGTACTCATTGGTATCAAGATTGCATATACACACCTCATTAAACCTATGCCTGCCAAGTTACCTCAAGTAGCACGTCAACATACATCGTTTGCTTTCAATACTTATCTTATTTCTCCTTATACTACTAAGGAAACTAAAACAACTCTCCAGTAAGTCGATACATGTTATAGTTAATATGTATCTTTTATTGATGTTTTATACAAATACACATCTATTAGAACTCCTTCGAAGAATATAATCAGTCATACAGGTGGTCAAGGCAAAACAACAGTCAATAATAACAAGATTGTATATGGTCCATATACAAATATAAGTCCAATGTCGTTTGATTTAGCAACTTGTCATTTTGAAAACACAAAGCCCTTATTAACAGTAACCTCACTTAAACGTGATATTGAAGTATCACATTGGAGTCAAAATCTAGCTGTTGAAGAGCATTATGCTTTACGTAATGATGGTGCACAGTAAGTTATGACAGCATTCGTAAGAATGACAAGATTTAACCTTTTTCTTTTCTTTTCTACAGACTTGAACAAAGCTTTAGTCGTATTCAATATCAAATGTCAAGTCATATTCATGACCAAACCAATGTCTTGAAAGGACTTTCATTTGATTTACCTGTGAGTGCTCGTGATGTTTACTTTCGTGATGAAGTTGGTAATGTCTCTACTTCGCACTTTAGAGTACAAAATGACAAGGCTCTTTTGGAAATTCAACCTCGTTATCCACTTTTTGGTGGTTGGAATTACACATGGTATCATGGATATAATGCAGATCTTGCATCCTATGTGCATTCTGATAAAGGCAAATATATGTTGAAAGTTAATTTTGTTGAGAATGTTAAAAATATGGTGATTGATAAAGCTACTGTTCGTGTTATTTTACCCGAAGGATCAAGGTAAAATTCTATTTTAATGTAATATATTATTATTATTCATATTAATCTGTTATTCCATAGTCATATCAAAGTCACAACTCCCTTTGATGTTGATTCAGAATCAACTACTTTTTATTTTACTTATTTTGATTCTACAGGACGAACAATGGTGGTATTGGAAAAGAATAATGTTATTAAGGACCACGAGTTACCTATACTGGTAAATAAATAAATAAATAAAAAAAAAGCGGGAGTGTGTGTGTGTGTGTGTGTGTGTGTATACTTATTCCTGTTTACTTACCTTATTGTTTGTTAGATTGAATATGAATATACTACTTCTCGTCTTTTACAAAAACCTTTAGTTACTTCTTTTGCTATTTTCTTATTATTTGTTATTAGTATCATAATTGGTAAAATGTCATTTACTATCGGTAAAGAAGAGGTAAGTTATTTTAGATGTTTATGTTTGCTGTATATTCATTCCATAATATTACCATAGAAATCCGCACTTAAGAAAGAATAGATTACATAATGTTGTGTAACACATGTATATCAACAAAAATATAATAAAAAAGAAAAAGAACCCTTAAAATTTTCTATTTGACATTACATTCTATTGTAAAAAAAGAAAGCACTATGATTAATATGTGTATAAGTAACAAGGCAAAAAAATATATACACATATGTATTTATATATTGATATCAATACATTAAATATTATTTGTGCAAATAGAATAATTATGTAATGCACATGCTGCTAGACGATATAAAAAAACTAACTATTAGTTTAAAAGGTGACTGTTTCTTAAACAAGCAATTTTTTTTTGAATTTTTTTTTTTTTTTTTTTAGTTTTTCCCTACTCTTTCAATATTTTCTTTCTAATTTTACTATAACAAATATGACAGAAGTAGCTCAAATCGATGTCACCAAGTTGACTCCTTTGTCACATGAAGTTATTTCCAAACAAGCTACAATCAATATTGGTAAATTAAAAGCTTATTGGTTATAATGTATATATATTTTTGCTTATAAAAAAATTTTTTTTTCCAGGTACTATTGGTCATGTAGCTCACGGTAAATCTACCGTTGTTAAAGCTATTTCTGGTGTCCAAGTAAATTATTCTATCAATTTAACATGATGAGCATTAAAAACTTATAATTATCCTTTTTTTTTTCCTTTTTCTTAGACTGTTCGTTTCAAAAATGAAATGGAAAGAAATATTACAATCAAGTTAGGTTATGCCAATGCTAAGATTTTCAAATGTAGAAATCCCGAGTGTCCTAGACCTGGTTGTTATAAATCATATGGTTCCGCTAAAGAAGATAACCCTCCTTGTGAACGTCCTGGCTGCGGTGGAACTATGGAGCTTGTTCGTCACATTAGTTTTGTTGGTAAGTTGGAAAAAATTATTTTTTTTTAACTACGGCTTCTCTTAACATGATGACATTGAATAGATTGTCCTGGTCACGATATTCTTGTAAAAAAAAAAAGCAAAATGAATTTAATATAATGTTCACATTCTAATATTTATTTATTTTTTCTTTTATTTAGATGACTACCATGTTGTCCGGTGCAGCTGTCATGGACGCAGCACTTTTATTGATTGCAGGCAACGAATCATGTCCTCAACCTCAAACCTCCGAACATCTTGCAGCTATTGAAATCATGAAACTCCAACACGTCATTATTCTTCAAAACAAGGTCGATCTTGTTAAAAAGGAAGCAGCTCAAGAACAACACCAAGATATTCTTAGTTTTGTTAAGGGCACCGTGGCTGATGGAGCACCTATTGTCCCCATCTCTGCTCAACTTAAATACAACATTGATGCAGTCAATGAATACATCACCAAAAAGATTCCTATTCCTGTTCGTGATTTTACAGCTGTTCCTCGACTTATTGTGATTCGTTCATTTGATATTAACAAGCCAGGTGCTGATGTAGACAATCTTCAAGGTGGTGTTGCTGGTGGTTCAATTCTTAAAGGTGTATTGAAGATTGGCGATGATATCGAAGTACGTCCTGGTGTAATTATTAAGGATGCAGAAGGCCGTATTAGAGCACGCCCTATCTTGTCCAAGATTTTGACATTGGCAGCTGAAACCAACAAATTAGAATTTGCTGTTCCTGGTGGTCTTATTGGTGTAGGTACTCAAATGGATCCTACCTTGTGTCGTGGTGATCGTTTAGTAGGTCAAGTGTTGGGTTATCCAGGTAGTTTACCTTCTATTTATACAGAATTAGAAATTTCCTACTTTTTGTTACGTCGTTTGTTGGGTGTTAAGACAGATGACAAAAAGCAAGCTAAGGTGGCCAAGTTGGCTAAAGGTGAATTGCTATTAGTCAATATTGGTTCCGTTTCAACAGGTGGTCGTGTTGTAGGTGTAAAAGCTGATCTTGCAAAGATTGTCTTGACTGGTCCTACTTGTACTGAAGTTGGTGATAAGGTGGCTATTTCTAGAAAGATTGAAAGACACTGGCGGTAAGTTTTAGATAAATATATATATATATAAGGGGGAGGGGAAAATAGATAGAAAATGTATTAATTCATAATATACAATCATAGTCTTATTGGTTGGGGTAAGATCAAACGTGGTACTGTTTTAGAAGCAGAAGCAAATTAATTATAATAATAATAATAATAATAACAATAATAAAAAAAATAAATAAATATAATTTTATTGTGCATTTTTTGATTATTATTAGAACCAGCTTGTTTTTGCATGGTATTGAGGAGGATTGCTAGATGACGATGGATTATAATAGTTAGATACAGGACGACTATTTAGATTATAATGTCTTGTTCCAGAACCATTATTATTTCTAGTCATCATGTTACCACGTCCACGTCCTCGATGACTAGTAGTATGACTATAAGTTTCTCGTACAATACTTTCAAGCCAATCAGGTATCTCTTGATTTGCTTCTTTCAAAAGCGCAAAGAGACCACGTACGATATTTTTATTGTTTCTATTGAAGAATGCAGTTGCAATACCGACATTTCCTGCTCGACCTGTACGTCCAATACGATGTACATAATCATCAATATCAGTTGGCAGATCAAAGGAGATGACATGTGTGACGTTAGGAATATCAAGACCACGCGCAGCAACGGCTGTAGCCACCATAATAGGTGCTCTACCTGTTCGAAAGGCATCAAGGGCATTTTCTCGCTCTCGTTGAGTACGATCACCATGAATACAGGTAGCCGGGAATTGATTGTTGATTAAGAAATCAGTTAATGCATCAGCCATACGTTTCGTCTCAACAAAAATCAATGTCAGACCCTCAGATGGATGACATGTAAGAACATCTAGTAAGACAGACCTTTTATCACTATCTTCTACATATTCAATCTTTTGTGTAATATTTTCCGAGGTGGCCCCTACACGACCTACAGAAAGGAAAACATATTCTTTCAAGAAATCACGAGCTAATAATTGTATATTTTTAGGAAAGGTAGCAGAGAACATGAGTGTCTGTCGTGCTTGAACACCAGGCATATCTTCACCTTGAACAATACGACGAATTTGAGGTTCAAATCCCATATCTAACATACGATCTGCTTCGTCCAAAATCAAATAACGGATTTTGGAAAGAGAGATATAAGTACGTTCAAGAAGGTCAACAAGACGACCAGGTGTGGCTACTAAAAGATTACAGCCAACACGTTCCATGTGTCGAAGTTGCTGACCAACATCAGATCCACCATATATCACACAAGGACGTACCCAGGATCGATAAGCGAATTTTTTAGCTTCATCATAGATTTGAGAAGATAATTCTCGAGTGGGAGCCAAGATTAAGACCTCTGGGAAAGCTTTTGTTTGACGATGAGTATTCAATGTATTCACGTTATGATCAGAAATAGTTGGACCTTGATCGAATAAATTTGATAAAACAGGGAAAAGAAAACCAGCCGTCTTACCAGAGCCTGTGAATAAAGAGAATTATTAAATAGGCTCCTATACTCTATATTAAATATATGTGTATATGGTTACCTGTTTGAGCACATGCCATAAGATCACGATGATTCATGACAATAGGAATAGAATATTTTTGAACTGGTGTAGGTGATGTATATCCTGCCAATTCAATATTACTTAAAAGATGTTCATTAACTGGTGGTGAAGTAAACTACTCGATCAATATTAATATTATATATGTATATATATATATATGTGTGTATGTATGTGTGTTGGTATGTGTATTTATATATACCTGTTCAATAGGGGAAGGAATGTATTCACCAGCTACTTCAACAGGAATATCATCATATTTATCGAAGTTGATGCCTGCAGACTCTTTTGTGTCTTCAAGGCTACCAAATAATTCTTTTTCAATGTACATATTACGGCGTGCAAGATGATGTACACCATCTTTCCAATAACCATAGTTTCCCATATTGGCATTTTTATAATTTGAATTATATTGCCTATTGCCACTACCACGACGATATCCGCCATAAGAGCCACGTTCATCAAATTGTTGACGTGTGTTGTAGGAATTACTTTTCCATCCTCCCCCTCTATTGTATCCTCCTGCATTATAATCTGAATAACCATCTCCCCATCTAAAAATTATAAGAATACGTATTTATATACTGTATAAATAACTCTAATAATCATGTACCTTGGTCTAACTAAAGGCTTATCCCAGCCATTAGACGGTTCCTGATTATACATCTTTCCACGATGATGAGGTGGAATGTAAGCAGATTGACTCAATTGAGATTCATTTATGCTTATTCCAGCTATAATAATAGTTTTAGTAATTGTTAACAGTAATATAATATTTGAATTAAAACTAAAGAAATTTACCAATTTGCTGATTTAAACTATACTGATCTTCATTACCATCAGTCATAATATACGTATAAATATTTATTTATATATAAAATGTGTGTGTGTGTGAGAGAGAGAGAGATCAAAGTTGTTCAATATAAAATTTAACACCGCCACCGCAGCCAAATATATAAAAATACATACTTTTTTTTTTATTAAGCCCCACTTTTTTTTTTTTAATTGAGTATTGCGAAAAAAGGGGGCGTACATTAATAAACCGCAGTATGAATACCAGACAGAATATAAACTGTAAGCTCTTTTTGGATAGATTTCTATTTGCTGTATAATGATAATACTCTTTTTTTTCCGTTGAAACAATGATTATTATTACAAAAGTGGGGTAATAAAATTGTCACATTTTTATTACGTAATAAACCAAAATCAATAAAGTGCTAAAAATGAAATGTTTTATTATTATAAAAATTGGCCAAAATATATACCTAAAATATTCTGTATTGTAGGAGAAGAAGGGGAGCATTATAAATAAATAGCTAATTTCATCACAGGGAACTTGAAGGGATTCTAGTATTATTATTATTTTTACCATCAATTCATTATGGTTGAAATAGTAATTCTATATGATTTACTTTATTGATAAATCCTTCATGTTCTTAGTACATGACGAGCATAACTTATATCTTTTTATACACCATTTATTTAAATTTAACACTTCTTTATTCGCTAGATTATGATACATTTTATCATAGAACTCATTTTATTCGATATATTAGTGCCTATATTTGTTATTATCATCTTAGATTAAAGAACTATATAAACAAATGAGTGTATAGAAATACAGCGCCATAAGAAATGAAATCAAATATATACATTAGCAGAGTAATGTGTAACAGAATTATCATCAGTATCATTTAGACAGTTTCTTACTTGGAATACTCATATCTATCAGAGTGCTAAACAAAAGGATGAAACTTGGTAAGTTAAAAGAAAAAAAAAGGATCTGTTTACGTACCATAAGTTATAGCCAACCTTTTCCTTGTGAACAAATCAGTAGTCAGAGTATATTAGCTTTAACTTAAAAAAAAAAAAAAAAAAAAAAAAAAAAAGCTTAGGAATTGAATTTAGCCAATCAAATTAGTCAAATTATTTAAGCTTTGACATTAGAAAAGGTCAGATTGCTATTGTCTAAAACACATATTTTCAGGTGAAACATGGTATGTAGAAACAGATACTTTAAACACATGTCTAATTGTTCACAGCGTATTTAAAATTTATTCTGCATAAAGTCTTTAAACTTTAAAATCCTCGTGAAATCTTATTACAAGAAGAATGATGTCTTGGGGAAAGTTTATTTTTCAAAGAGTTATAATAAAAATAATACCTTCACAATGATGAAGCTTTTAATTATTTGCAGTAGTATTCATATAATTCTAACTGTTTGGGAACTTGATATAAACTAAATTTAACAAATAATATTAACTTATTATAGAAAAAAAATAATAGCTATAGCCTTTAATTAATGCCTTATTTTTATCTCATTATATCTCAAGAAGTAGCAGCATAACAAAAATGATGAATCATTTTCTTCAAAAGTAAAAGAATTTGGCTAACCCTATATAAGACAAATATTATATCTTTCGAGGATTCATATATTTAATATAAAGGAAGCTTTCTGGTTTCTATTTTAATAATTGTGAGAGTACAAATTGTTGAGGTACATAGAAGTATTTCTATCGAAAATGTGTCAATATTAGGTTAAGTATTACCAAATCTATTCAAGTAAGTAGCTTTTAGTAAATTCATTTTGATAGCCTTTTTATTTAACTGCTTCATATCTTATTTGTTTATCCTTTGTACCTGTTTATACATAAAGATAAATAGAATATATCGTTTTTTTTAAATAAAGTTTTAAAACTAATACATATGTGTGTATAAAGAACAGTTTATTAAACTTAAAAGTGGTAATAGTTAGTGACATCACTATTTAGAATAATAATCTTAATTTTGGTTTTAAAAAAAAACATAACATTAAAATTATGTGCTCTTATATGAGTTTATAGTCTTTGTTGTAGCAAGAAGCAAAGTGGTATTTGTATGCTTTAATAGTAGCTCTATGATCTTTCTTTTATGATACCATAAAAAAAAGTAAAATAGGAACACATAATATTAGACATCTATTACTGCTATACTTAGTATGCTATATTATTTTGTCAAGTGATCTTATTTGTGGCATTATAAGCTCAAAAGTACCATTGGTCTTCTTACTTTTATGCTGATTACACCATAAGGAGAAATAACACCTAAAATTGTTGTAGTTTTAGTTTTTTTGTTGTTGCCTAAACAACTCTAAGTCGCGTTTATTTCTTTGACCCAACTATTGTCCTTTTAAGATTTATTTAAAATACAGACTTATCAACAAACATACAATTGGTATTAAAATTGAGGTTATTCTCCTTTTAAATTTGCGCCAAGCTATACTTTTTTTTATTATGCTTTCAGCAAAGTCTCTCTTTAGAATAAAAGTGTGATTTTTTTTTTTTGAGTAATACTTTTACGGACTGAGGTATTCAAGGTCTTTTAATCCTTAAACTCGTTAACAAGACTTTCCATGGTTTGATCTAAGGTTGTGGAAGGAAAATCTTTAGACTCTTATCCTAAAAAACTGCTGATATTTGACACCTATAGTCATTTGGTCTGCTGGCTTTTGTTTTATTTTCATCAGGCTATATATCTTCAGTTTCTCTCCAGTCTTTATCGAACCAGTTATAAGCAGTAGCGCAGTGTGTAATATTTAGCTCCTTTCCGGTTTTAGCTTGTTTTAACCCTTTCTCTTAAATAAAATAAAAGAAATACTCTTTAATATCATCATTATACTTATTATAAGTGTCTTTTTGGCTTGTTATTTTTTACCGGAAAGTATTCTACGTTCTAGTATCTTTCTTGGCGACTTTTTTACTCTCGTTCAGGAGGCTCAAGTAGTTCTTTTCAATATTTATCAAATATGATAATGCCCTCAAGAGAAAATTGTTCTGCATCAACTTCCATATTAACTACATTGTTGCAAAACTTATCAACAATATTGCCTTTTTTGTCTTCATAATAAATTTATGATCTAAATTTTAATTTGTTGTTTCAATTATACAAAAGAAGATCTCTAATATTTTGTCATCTCTTTATTGTTAATATTTATTCCTTATTCGTGCTGAACTTCAAATAAATTGTGTGTTTATCGTTTCCATGGTGTTGGGAAAAAGTGTAGTATACAACGAAACAATTCACACATTTCGTGCTTTATTACTCTTTTTATGGATGTTAAATAGTAAATGCCAATCTCTTATACCAAATACCAATATACATAAAAGACGTGAAAATGTATATGTACAGGTCATATCTTAATTTTGCTCATATAATACATATTTACGCGTATCAGGTTTAAGCAGGAAGGGGGGGGAAATACATTTATAATAAAAAAATCAAAGTAGATTATGTTCTACTTTTGTGAATTTAATCCCTAAAAAAAAATAAAAAAAAAGGTGAAGAATCAATCAAGGCCAGCATATGTTTCACATTTAATTTTATAGGAATTATATATTTTTACTTAACCAAGATATTTTTACTATATTTGGCTTGAACAAGCTTTTATTTGTTTTTACCAACCAAAGTTTCAATTATCAAATACAGACAAGTAATTAGTTTCTGCCCTGAGATGGAAAAAAATCATCTCTTTTTTTTTTTTCTTTTTTAGTTATATATATGCAAATATATAAATATTTATAGGCCTCTTCTGTAACTCTTTCGTGGTTTTATTTATTATTATTTTTTATTTATATCAAAGTTAGACAACAACAATAGCAATACTGCCCTTTTAGTCTACCTTCTCTCTTCTTTCTTCAAATATGAAAAAGAATTTATTTACTTATTTCCCCATTCTGGTAGCGGGTATCTGTTTAACTATCTTTGCCTTGACAGCTGAGGCAGCTATTAAAATCAAACATCCCAAGTATGTCGAAAGTGCTCTCAATACCATTCCGGGACGTTATATCGTTTTGCTTCATGATGGAAAAAGTGGACTTGAATTTGTTAAATCCATCAAGGCTACTTTTAGAGACGTAGAGTTAAAGGTCAGGGAGGTCATTGACCATCAGCTCTTCAATGGCATTTCAATTGAGTTAAATGCTAAGGATGATAATAGCCATATGAATGCTCTTAAGTTTATTTTGGATCATGATGATACTGCTACTGTCTATTCTATGAAATCTTTTGATCGTCCTAAAGTTACACTTCATTCTATGGATGATTCTTATGAACCCTCCGTCTTGCCTCACCATATGACACAAGTCGATATGGTTCATTCAACTCTCAAGGAAAAGGGCAAAGGTATTCTTATAGGTGTTATTGATACAGGTATGAATCATTGCACGATAAGAATACGTATATTTATATATATATATATGTATATCTAAATTATATAACTTCCCTTTTTTTTTCTCTCTCTCTCTTCTTAGGTGTTGACTATTTACATCCTGCTTTGGGTGGTGGATTTGGTCCTGGATATAAAGTGGTTAAGGGTTATGATTTGGTCGGTAATAACTATACTGGTAAGAATATACCTGTTCCTAGTAGTGATCCTCTTGATAATTGTGGTGCTGCATCTGGTGCTTCAGGTATATAAATAAATAGCCTTTATTAGATATGTATGATATTAATATATATATATATATATAGGCCACGGTACTCACGTCTCCGGTATCATTGCTGGTTATGATAGTGATAAAGTATATATATAAATATATATATATAGAAACAATACTCATATTTTAATATATAATAGAATTTTACTGGTGTTGCCCCTGAGGCTAGTTTGGGTATGTGGCGTATATTTGGTTGTAAAGGTTCTGTCGAAAATGATATTATCATTAAAGCTCTTTTGATGGCTTATGATGCTGACTGTGATATTATTAATATGAGTTTGGGTGAAACCAATGCTTGGTCCCAGACAGCTAGTGCAGAAGGTTATGTTGTTGAACAGATTACTGCTAAAGGTGTCAGTGGTAAGTTTTTTTTTTCTCTTGTTGCTAATTAATAATAAACATATATATACGTGCATCCAAAATAACTAATATTATATTCACTTTAGTCGTTGTCTCTGCTGGTAACTCTGGAGCAGAAGGTATTTTCACTGTTGGTCAACCTAGTACTACCCTCTCTGCTTTCTCTATTGCCTCTGTTGATAATGATTACCGTATACTCAGATACTTTGTAGCTACTGGAATTAGACATCGAATTTGTAAAGTTATTTTAAAATACGAGTATAACGTAATATACTAACTTCTTCCTCCTCCTCCCTCCCTCTTTTTTTTTTCTCCAGTTTATACAAAAAGTAATGACAATACTATAAAAAATGGACTTGTTGTTAACGGAGATAAGAATCCTGGTAATAAGGCTGAGGGTTGTACTCCTGGTTCAATTAATCCTAATGTAAAGGGCAAGATTGCTCTTATCAGAAGAGGCACCTGTCCTTTCACTACAAAGGTAGATAATCTTACTGCCGCTGGCGCCGTTGCTGTTATCATTTACAATAATGTTTATGATGAACTTGAAGACACTGTCCCTAATGCCACTGTCCCCGTTATTACTATCTCTGGTTCTGACGGTAAAGAGCTTGCAATTGCCATTAAAGCAGGTTCTACTGTCCAGCTCATTTTCAATCCCAGCGGCTCTATTGTGCCTATTGAAACGGGTGGTACCATCTCAAGTTTCTCTAGCACAGGTTCCTCTGCTGAACTCAATTTCAAGCCTAATATTGCTGGTGTGGGTGGATTTATTTTTTCTACTTTGCCTCGTTACCTTGGTAGTTGGGGTGTAATGAGTGGTACCTCCATGGCTGCTCCCTATATTTCTGGTTCTATCGCTCTTTACCTTGGTGTTAATGGCAAAAGTAATCCAGTTACCTTTATTAACGAGCAATTCCAGAACTACGCGCTCTCCACCAGGGTCTTTAATACGATTTATATCGATTCTCCTATTCGTCAAGGCGCTGGTCTCGTTCAAGTCTATGACACCATCACTCAAACGACTCATGTTACACCTGCTCAAATCAGCTTCAATGATACTGCCACAACAAACTATAAAACTCAGATGATTACCATCACCAATTACGGTAATAGTACGATCGACTACGACGTCTTCAACAATTTCTCTACTGCCATCTCCCCTTACGATACTTCGGTAGATGAATACACTCCTCTTGAACCCGCAGACAATTTTGTTGCTGCTGCCGATTTAAAGTTTTCTGCAAAAAAAATCAAATTAAAACCTGGAAAGTCATTCCATCTTAAGGTCACCGTTACACCTCCTACGACAGACCCTAAGGAGCATATCTTCTATGGCGGTTTCATCAGTTTGATATCTAAGCAACCATCAAATAGTAAAGACCTTAATATTCCTTACTTTGGTGTAGTTGGTATTCAAAAGACCTTACCTATCTTTGACGAAGGATTCCCCGTCATTTTTGATCGAAATAATACAGCCTACTCTCAAAATGAAACCTTCATCTTTGACCGAAACAATAATTTAACTGCTCCTATTGCTGTCTTGAGACTTGTGACACCCACTGCTCATATTAAAGCCGAACTATACGAAGCTGATTCTAAGAAGCTCCTAGGTGAATTCATAACTGGCCTTAATTTTATCGGTCGTAACTTTTTGACAAATAACTACGGTGATGAAACCTTCTACCCATTCCCTTGGGATGGTACCTATGTACCTTCATCTATCCCCGAGGCACCCTTACCTATTCCTGTTACAAGTGGTACTTATTTGTTTAAATTTTCTGCATTAAAGAATATGGGCGATCCCAATAATGCAAACGATTGGGAGACTTGGACTTCTGGACCTGTTGTCGTCAAGAATTAAAAAAGTGTATATTAATATCTGTACTAATATAATAAATAATAAATACAAATAGAACTTAATTTATCCTTACAATTTTTTTTTATTATCATCAATTATAACAAAAGATATTGCATATATCAAATTATTACATTTTATTATTATTGTTCTACTACTTTATATTTCTACATTTTTTTATCGTGTCATTAACTATTCCTAGAAAGAACATTATTTGAATCCTTTATTTATGTTTTTGATATTTTCAAATACTAATTGTTTACTTCTTAGCAATAAACAATGATATAACAACTAATTTCTTAAATGTAGGCTAAACAATTCAATTAGTTGAAGGCAATTCTTTGAATAAAAAAATATATATATTTATATCTATTTTGCTTTTAGTTTGACTACAGTAACATCGTATAATTGATATGTAACTGCACATTAGTTATAATTGTCTAGTATTATATGTATTCATATTAATTCAAATGGTAATTGATATTATTTTATGTTGCTCGTGGATATCATAACGTTTTGTCTATTCTTTTTTTTATCTAGTTTACAGCTATGAGAACAAATCTATTTGCATACAAAGTGTAGTTAACAAGAAGTGCAAAAAAAATATATTGAAAGTTGTTGAATTAAGACATGTATCAATTTGAAAAATTATGTAATGAACGGGGTGTCCATATACAGATAAAATCATGTATAGAATTAACGGGGTAAAATAAGATGTTACCCTTTTTATTATTATTATTATTATAATAATATTAATAATAATAAAACTATGTCAGTAACTTCACCTATCTACTTTTCATCGATTTCAAGTACAGTAAGCAGTGAGACATCAGGATTATATGAATATCTTACAGAATTAGTCTCAAAGCGTGTAAGCACAATCAAATACATCAGGAAAGCACATGAAGGTAATACACACTGGTTTAATACCATTCTTCTTACAAAAGATAGTCTGTCAAACATGTATCCTAACTCGAAAATGACTAGACGGTAATAAATAAAGCTAATTAATATGGCTTTAATAATCGCTAATCAATGATTATAATAGGTCAAATCAGTTTTATGCATTAGGATTATCGTTAGGAGCTACATTAGACATTTCAAATCCAATAGACTACGTTAAGGCATTGAATCAGATCATGACAGAATTCGAAAAACACACAAATGATGATTCAAAACAGAAAATGGTATTTATTTATTTATTTATCAATATGTATTTATAACTAATACTTGAGTAAAAAAAAAATAAATTAAGAAAAATATATTTAGAAAGGTCAAGACAAAAGAGAACCATGGGTTTCCAGTAGAGGCTGATGATTATGAGTATTTAAGTATTCCTCATATTGTATGTTTAGTGTTACATCAATCATCTCTTTCTTATATCCTCTCTCTTTTTTTTTTGTAGCCTTTCGAGTTGGATTATTTGGAGACATTTTATACATTAATCGACGTTATGGCAGAAGCATATTATAAATTGCTTATAGGCACGGAAGGACCTAATTGTACACAAACTTACTTTGAGCTGGTACTCAAATGTGATACTAAGTTCAAGAAAATAACTGCTATGGTAACAAAAGAACTTGATGTATTAGCAAGAGAATCCATCAAAAACGAGCTCAATATAATTAATCCATTGTTTACAAAGCCTATCGAGTTTGAAGACTAGTGGAGTTTTAAAGTCAAGCGTTAATAACATTTTCTTCAAATTTTCGCTTTTTCTTTTCTTTATTTATTTAATTGTTTTTTCCTTTTTTTCCTTTTTTTGTGTTTATTTATTTATTTATTTCCTTCTTTTTATATTTATATTTATAAACAAAAAAAAAAAAACAAAAAAAAAAAAAACAAAATATTCAAGAAATGGATTATGTCGGAAAACTTGGTAATCTCATTAGTTCATTAAACAATTTTTATAATGAGATAAACCCTGCTACATTGTCTGGTGCCATTGACATTATTGTTGTTGAACAAGAAGATGGTGAACTTGCTAGTTCTCCATTTCATGTAAGATTTGGTAAACTCTCTGTACTTTTACCACAAGAAAAGAAGGTAAATTATTCCCCTTTTGTTAAACGGACTTGAAGGCAGAATTAATTTTAGAGAGAAAAGGGAGAGGCGGGAAAGAAATCATGTCCCGAGAATAGCTCTCCCTCTCTCTCTTTGTGTGTGTGTGTGTGTGTGCTTACCTTTTTTTTTGTCAATGCAAATTGTCGGAGTTATTTACTTTTTTCTGAAAAAAAAAAAAAATAGGTTGAAATTACTGTTAATGGTGAAAAAGTACCTTATTTAATGAAAGTAGGAGAAGCAGGAGAAGCATTTTTTGTATTCGAAACAGAGCATGAAGTTCCCGAGGAATTTCAAACTTCCCCAATTTTACAAGCTTTAGCTGAAAATAAAGCTGGGGTTGAGGTAAGGGTGTATTTTATTTTATTTTTTATTTTACTTTTTTTTACAGTTATATTGACCACATACTACTACTTTTAAAGGAGCCTCCATTTCTTGATATTAGTGAAAAAAAGGATGAAAAAGGTAAGCGATTGATTTAATTAAATAAATGATATAATGAATGTGATTTGTCTTAGGCTCACAAACAGTTACTGAACATGATAAAAAGGATACATTTGATGATGATGATGAAGAAGATGACAAAGAAAGCAAGAATAGACAGAGTAAAAGAAATAGCGTACCAGCAGAATTGCAATCACCAAAGATGATTATTGAAGAACAGATGGATAAAGTAGTTACAAAGATAGACCCATATCATCATCAATTAACAAAAAATAATCTATATACAATGGAAGATGGCTCGGCTATGCTTGAGCGTGTTGCACCAGATGCAATTACGACGACGACACTTGCCAAAGAGAGATTCATTGTAAGACCTGTAAATGGCGATATTCATGCTCTATGGATGGACGTGACACATACTCTTATTGAAGATATAGATGGGACCAATAATGTAACGTCGTCATCATCATCTACATCAGCAACTAATGGAGATACAGAAAATGATAAGGAATCTATACTTTTAGATATTGCAGGCTATAAAACTGAACAGCAAAAGGAGGATGAAAATAAAGTAAAAGAAAATGACGATCATAATACAAAATCAGAAGAACAAAATTCTTCCTCTTCTATAAATAATAATGATGATGATGAGAAGAAATCATGGGGATGGGGACAGTCACATGCTAACCAAGAAGAGACAGTTCAATTAGAAGTAGGCCGAACTTATCGCATTGAAATGAGTCTTTGTGGTTTTTCAGCTTTTGGTTATGATGAAAAAGGAAATTCAGAACTATTTAATAAACAACAAATTAGTTATGATGCATTTGTACATAACCCAAGTATCTTAAATGACCCACGACTCGTCTTTCGTTATAACCAGCATTATTTTGCAGCTGCACGAAATAACCCTCTTTTCACTTCGCTATTAGTCTTTAAAAAGCCCTTGGAGGATAAGGATACAAATAATACTAATAAAGTAACAGATAGTAGAGATACTTATTCATATGGTCCTGGCTGGCGTCAATGGTTAAGTCGATCTTCTTTAGCTGATTCTGGACCTGCAGTAGGAAAATTAAAACTTGATGAAGAAATACCGTTAGTAACTTCTTCTACCATCATACCTGAGACAGAAGAAACCAAATCAGATAAAGAAGAATACAGTGAACAGACGACTTTTACAACAACAACTAAAACAACTTCTGTAGGCTGGTCTCCAGATCATAATGATGATGATGAGGATACACCCTTCTTTAAGAAACGTAAAAACTATGCTAAAACACTTCGTCTAACTTCAGATCAACTTAAAAATTTAAATTTGAAAAAAGGTGTGAACACCATTACTTTTTCTGTCACTTCAGCCTACCAAGGGACAGCTACATGCGCTGCTAAAGTATTTTATTGGGATTATGATATTCATGTTGTCATTTCAGATATTGATGGTACGATTACCAAGTCAGATACAATGGGACATTTAATGACGATGATTGGTAAGGATTGGACGCATCCTGGTGTAGCACAACTTTATACAGATATAGCCAACAATGGTTATCATTTTATATACCTCACAAGTCGTGCTATCGGTCAAGCAGATTATACAAGAGACTATTTAAGAAAAGTGTTGCAAAATAATTACCAACTTCCTGATGGTCCTGTGATTATGTCTCCTGATCGACTTTTTACTTCCTTTCATCGTGAAGTCATCATGAGAAAACCAGAGGTATTTAAGATGGCTTGTTTACGTGATATTCAACGATTGTTTGGTGGACGTGATCCTTTCTATGCAGGATTTGGTAATCGAATTACAGATGCTATCTCCTATAGAAGTGTCAAGGTTCCTTCCTCTCGTATTTTCACAATTGATTCTCAAGGTGATGTTAAACTAGAATTGCTTACCGGCTTTAAATCATCCTATATTCATCTAAATGATATGGTCGATCAAATTTTCCCTCCTATTAATAAAACGGTTCAAGAAGAGTTTAGTGATTATAATTTCTGGAAGGCTCCGATGCCTGAAATTGATATACCAGAATTAGAAGAAGAAGGTCCTTTACCTACCTCACCTAAGCCTAAGCCTATCAAACCTGATCCTACAAGTCTTCCAAAGGAATCAGTTGTAGCTTATGAACCTGAACCTAAACGTGGCTTACTTCGTAGTTTCACCTCAAGATCATCTAATTCAACAGCAACGACGACGACAACAACAACAACAGCAATAGCAACAGCAACAGCAACTTCTTTACAGAAAAAGAAAAAGTCACCATCTACTGTACCAGAACAGCCTCCAAAGAAGTTATCAACATCCTCAAGTGCACCTGATTTAATAATTGAACTTGAAAAGTCTAATAAAGCAGTCGTAACTGAAACAGAGGAAGATGTTAATCTAGCTTCTCCAAGATCATTACCTGATGATTATAAACCTTCTGATACACAACAGCCTATCGCTTCTCGATCATCTTCCGGTATTATGAGTAAAGTCATGGGAGGTGTCTTTTCAAGGAAATCATCCAAATTGCCGACTGAAGTAGTCAATACGACAAAGGAGCAAAATGTAGCAGAAGGAGAAAACAAGGAAAAATCAGTTAATATAGAAGAAGTAAAAGAAAATGAAGAAGAAGAAGAAGAAGACGACGATATGTTTAATTCTGAACTTGATGAATTAGATTTAGATAAAATTCCCTTCATATAATTTATTTATATACTGTGTAATATATTACATTTTAAACCACTATTTTTTTATTGTTATTTTAATGCTATATTCATAAGCAAAATCTAAATGCTTGCATTGTAATATTTGAATATCTTTGTGAACTATACAGATGCATAGGCATTAGTGATGTGAATACATATTACATTGATTCTTTACCTGTATCCATAAATGTTATATCAGGTTCTGCTTCAATCCAAATTGATTTTAGAAATGACAATAAAGAACTTGTTAACAAAACTGCCTCTTCTAAAGGTAAGCTGTCAATATAATCAAAATCAAGTTCAAATGGGTTCTTTGGATTTATTGTCATTGATAGTATTTCAGCCACTATTTCCCATAAAGACACATCTATGACACACATATTTACAATTAACTATCATAAGAGCCTTTTTTTTTTTTTTTTTTTCTTCATATACTTTTGATTTTCCAATCTATTGTTGTTGATAATTGTAAAGGATTATCTTCTTCTTTTTCATTTCGTAAAAGTTGATCTTGATGAGATCTCAACTAGAAAGAATTTATTACACCAACACATGATAAAAAAAAAACGACCTTTGTTTAATTACCCAAACATAAGGACATCGATATTTAGCATAACCAGCAATAAGAAATACAATTTTATCCTTTTCTTTCTGAAGATCCATGTCTAATAAGCTTATTGACTCTGGTGAATTCCATTCATTTCTAATATATACATATATATATATATATATATATATATACACGAAAATGTTATGTATGTCATATATATGTATATATTTCACTGTAGATTATTTACTTGGAATAAATTGTTTCAATCATGGTAGCTGGCATCAATGCTGAGTTTCTCGGTGGTGTTTGGGTTGTAAAAACGCATAAAATTAATTCTTCTCTTCCTCGAAGAATTGTTTCAAAATGTCGAAATCCCTTTCAAGATTAGAGATTAACAAAAAAAAAAGGAACACATGTCTACTTTATGATTATTACCCGTAAAGTACCTAGTAATAAGCTTTCTTGAAGAAAAGCAGCTAATCGTGTGGAATCCTTTAACAATTCTTTCTACAAAGTTATAAGAAATTAAACTTTCTAGTATATACATATATATTTGTCCCCGAATATATACATTTAACATTACATTTGGATCAGGTCCTAACATTGTTGATGAAATGAAGAGGAAAAGAAAAATAAAGTAAGCTATGGACACACACACACACACACACTTTTTTTTTTTCTTTTTTGAAAGACCTAACTTTATCCATTTATGGAATGATATAAATATATATTTATTAAAGCCCTATATATTTTACAGCAGCCATGATATATTCGTATTATTCTGCTTTTTCTTTTCTTTTTCCTTTTTCTTCTTTTATCTTTATTCATTTTTTTTTTTTTTAAAAAAAAAATAATTTCTTTTACAATGGAAGATGCTGACTGTCTCCGTTATCATTTTGGAGAAATCAAACAAAAGACCAAGCATATCGATCTACAAGTAGAAGAGAGCCCTGAAATATCACAAAACTTTTTCATTAATCGACTTTTCTCTTATAAAAGACGACAACAATCAAGTGGCTATTGGAAATATGTTGTTGGTGTCTACAAGAACTTGTTTTTAATGTTCTATTTTAATTGGACGTCTATAATTACTGCACCAATAAGCACTATAGCCTTTCTTACCTTTTACCCTTTTATTAGTTTTGTCTTGTTTGTCTTTGAAATTGGATTAAAAGTCTTTATGGATTTCTTGGGTGGATCTGTACTTATAAAGCATATAAGCGAAATCTATGGTCAAGGATTGAGTATACCTAATTGGGGTAATAAAGATAAAATAATAATAATAATAATAATAATTTGATACATTCTATTCTGAATAATCTATTTGATAAATAGGCGCACCACAATTATTATTTTCTACTGAATCACAAGAACTGATAAAATTAACTTCTCTTACACTCGGGACACCATACACAGCTAATAATGATGATAATGAAGATCGTCATCGTACATTTGATATATCAATAGCTCAATCTTTAACTGTTTTATCTGCTTTGATCTATGAGCGACAAGATGAATTTATCACCAAAGCCTTTCAACTTGGGAATGACAATGAACATACTCCAGCCATTGAACAAGAGATGAACCGTCTTATCTGGGAATCTGAAAATCGGATTCGAACTATAGCTCGTACTTATGGTCTTCACTTTGCAGGTGTAACAGAATTAAAATCATTAGCTGGACCCTTCTGTGGACTTTATTGGCCTATCAATTATGAACAGCCCTTTATTATTGTCGTCTTTAAGGGTACAACACCTACAAACTATAGTGAGTTTTTAGTAGATGCTACACTTCAACGTGTAGACGCTCGTACCTTTCTCTTTGGATCAGCCCATGAGGGCTTTTATGATAGTTTATTCTCTACAAGTGCTGATAATGATAGTACGAATCATGATCCTTATTATTCAATTCAAAAGGCAATCAATCATATCGCCTCTGAATTGTCTCATCGAGGCCCCGTACAGATATGGGTGACTGGACATTCATTAGGAGCTGCCTTGGCCTCTCTCTTGTTTGCAAGATTATTAAAATCTCCTGAGGACCTGGGTGAGCACTGTCAGTTACGAGATGCTTACGTTATGGGATGCCCCGCCATCGGTGACAATGACTTTGCCGCTAATTTTGCTTCCTTTACTAATATGCCCTTATCTCGTCCATCTGTCTTTTGGCGTCTGATTAATCAGTCTGATGTCGTCTCTCATATCCCTGTTGGTTATGATAATTCTATGGTAGGTTATTATGCGCCCTCCACTGATTTCTTTAATTACTCCCATATCGGTCACGCTGTCCAAATCACTTGGCCCTGGATGTCGAAACCTATTAAAATTTATCCCTCAAGTTATGAATCCAATCTTAAGGTGAACGTTGTTGATTCTAAAGAAAATTATAACAACAATACGATGGATTCCGTTGTAAGTGGCTTAGAAGTACGGCACATGAATAATACGAAACAACAACAACATAAACAAAAGAAGAAAAACCTTATTGGATTTATCGAAAGCATGTATCCATTTTATATTTATGATCACCTTCCTAATGGTTATTTTGAAGGACTTGAACGTGCACGTGATTATTATATGCAACAGAATCATACTTAGGATAATAATAATGATAATAATAATAATTATAATAATAATAATAAAAAAAAAAAAAACGTGATAATTTAGTATAAGCAAATAAATTAGTTTAAAAAAAAAATAATAATAAAAATAATAAAAATAAAAAAGGATGCATTATAAATTAAACGCTGCCTTGTTAACATGAATCATTAAAGATTCTTTATCATACATGATGTTGGCCAATACCTCTAAATTGACTGTATCTAGTAATCGAATAGTAATCTTTGGAGCATGTTTAACTCCTGTAGCCTATAATAAAGAGACAGAAGAGAAAAGATAAGCTTAGTATAAAGATTTATAACTATTTTTTTTTTTTTTTTTTTTTTTTTTTTTTTTTTTTTTTTTTTTGCATGTAAATTTTACCTTAACTAGGGGAAATAATTGATCACCTAAGAGTTGTTTTTGTTCATGTATCGGTTTTCCCTCTAAAGAATTTAACAATGCTTTAATCTCTGCCTTTTTATCTTGATCAGGCAATGGTGCAACAATGGGTATCGCTTTGGATGTACGAGGAGGTATAACGACATTTTCTATTATAGTTTTTTTATTGGAAGGTGAAGTAGGAGGACTCACGATAGCTGTATACGTTCTAAATTTTACAAATAAGTATAAATACGATATTATATACATATAGACATATATGTATGTACGTATGTATATTACCTTGGCTTTGTCGTATTATAGCTTAAATCTCTTTTAGTAACAACGCTTTCTCGTCCTGCTTGTTTTTCTTCTTCTATTTCTTCATCATCTTCACAAATATTTAAGGCTTCTAAAGCTGCATTGATCTTATCTTTAAGGAAATCAGGATTAAATAAACAAATTGAACGTTCCTTTCGTTTCAGGGACAAGATCATATCAACAATATCAGGTAGTTGTTTACCATATGAACCACAGACTTTGACAGCTTCTGTTATTCGATGACGTTGAAGTTGAACGCTTGATTCTGTCATGTTAGAATTTATAGATTCCATAGATCCTCTTCGTCGTCGCACATGAGTATCCATGATAACGGGATGAGGAGGGGTTTGTTGAATGGTTGCTCCTGAAGCTAAGGATGCTAAAGATGGACGAGGGGCAAATTGAGGTGAAGTCATGGATGGATTATGAGGTGGTGTAATTGAATTATTGCTATTTGGTATGGAAACCTAATATATATATATATATATATAAAGATTGATTAGATACATGTATCAGATATGTATACACACACACACACACACACACACACATATATATATATATATATATATATATTATACAGTTAAATCTGTACCTTTCTTTGTATTGAATTATTTGTAATAGCATTCATTGGCTCTATATGATTTATTCCATAACTATTCATGACTAAATATGTATATATGTATATATAAAATATACTATGAGGAGAGAGACTCTTTTTTTTATTATAATTATTATTATTGCTATTATATATTGTACCTTCATGAGAATGATTTGATTCGATATACGGAACATTATTATAAGAAATAGGTGTAGGTGAAGGAGGAAGAAAAGAATTTGTAGTGGATGAAGTTGATTTTTCTAAACGAGGCTTTTTAGGCTCATGATAAGCTACAATCATAGGCTTTGTGCGAAATTGATATCCATTCATTTCTTCAAGTGCTAAGGCTGCTTCCTCGGGTTTCCCAAAACTGACAAATCCATAGCCCTTGGATAGATTTGTTTGAGGATGTGTCATGACACGAGCTGAAATGATACGACCAAATTTACGAAATAAATTAAAGAGATCTGTATTATCGATAGTTGGGTCAAGATTCTTTACATAAAGATTAGTATAGTCAACATATCCATTGCTGTTTTCTGTTGTTGTTGTGCCATAAGTCGGTGTAGATACAGATTGATTCTACACAAATGTAAGAAAGAAAAACAAAAAGGTCAAATTATACACCATTTATTTTATATCTGTATTACTACTAACCATGTATCGAATAGAAAATGTATTGTTCATCATGGATGCACAAATTTGACTGTAAAACGAAAAAAAAAGAGAGAGAGAAAGAGAAAGAGAAAGAGAGAAAATAAAGGGAAAAAAAATATTTAGTTTTTTTTTTTTTATCACTCCGTTTCCCCTTTTCTATATTGCATATTCTTACATTTTTTTTCCTTCAACTATTTCTTCATTCTATATTAAAAAAAAAACACAGACATGTTAGTAATAACCATAAAAAAAGAAAGACTTTTTTACTCTTTATAAATTACAATTTCATTCATTGCTTTATCAGAGTCTTGCTTTGAAAAATATTGAATCAGAGCATGTTGAGTTCCTTTCTTTTCGTCTGCTGTTAATAAAACTGGTTTACAAATACTTAAGGGCCCAAAAGGACGAAAGATATCATATAAAATATTATGATTGATATGATTTGGTAGATTCTTTGCTTCTAGAATAGGTCCTTCTGCTTGAATAAAATTTTCATCTGGTGATAATTTAAATTTAACTATTTTTTGATTTTGGAATAAATAACCATTAAAGAGAGAATAAACTCTTTCCGCTAAATGCATGTATGTGTGTGTGTGTGCGTATGTTAGTATTATTTTACATGCATCTTTTTTTTTTTTTTTGTCATTTCCCGTACCAATTTCAGAATCCGAGAAGCTTAAATAGCCGCCACCTCGTTCTCTTTTAATTCTATACACAAAAAAATAAATAAAATCACGTTTTTTTTTTTTTTATTATTATTAAGATAAGAGATCGATTTCCTTTTTTAAATCAAGATTATTATTTATTACTTACTGATAAGGAAAATAATCAGAAAGTAAATGATGAATTTCATAATCTTTGATTTCATTTTCCATGTCTTCAAAAAAGAGTTTATTAGAAAAAGTAATTTGTTGTGAATCATAAGAAGATACTATCATGTTTGTACGAGTGGAACACGATTTATTGTTATTATTATTTCTAGGTGGAAGTTTGATAGTAGGCTTTACAGTCGTCGTCGTTGTCGTCATCATTGTTACGCTGCCCTTAATAATAATAATTTTTAAAAGAAAGAAGAAAGAGAGAAAAAAAAGAAGAAGGAAAGAACGAGTTTTATTAAATGATACTATTTGTGGTTTATTTCTCTCTCCTTCTTTTATTTCATATTGCTGCAATAAATTAAACTTTTTTTTATATTTGAGTTTGAAAAATGAATACGCTGCATAACACAAAAAATAAGGCACAACACGTACAACTTTTCTAAAATTGACAACGAGATTGCACAATTTTTTTTTTTTCAGACGATTTTTTTTTATAGAATAATTAATTTAGACATGTTTATTTGTAACAGTATTCAGGATATATATTTTTTTTTACAGTAGAGTGGATCTGGATCAACCAAAATCCCATAAGAGGTTTACTAAATACTTTTTTAGCACTATTACAACCACTCTGCCACAACTTTTTTTTTCTTTTTGCTTCGTTTCAAGACATGAATACAGTAGATATTCTCAATTCATTTATAATATCTATCTAATTAATAAAATGATCTAAACTTCACAGTGTCTTTATTGATAAATAATATGTTTCTAAAAGCTACAAAAAGCAATTTTAGCTTACCCTTTTTAAGAAAAAAAGAAAGAAAAACTTTCGTAGTGTCTAATATTTGTCTACTAGGTAGCAATAGTGAATGTAAAATAGTGACTTTTTCATTTTTTTTGACTGTTTGTGTGATTTTTTCTTTTTTTCGTTTAAATGGGAATCATTTGTTTGCTTAACATGTAGAAATACCCTAGTAGTGAATAAAAGTAAAAGACTTCCCCTCCCCCCCCTCTCTCTCTCTTCCCAGCCAATAATACTCGAGTTATTAATGAGAGCACTATTTCATTTAGATGAAGCATAACAAATGCAGCATTTTGATCATCTGATGATAGGTCGACAGTTTTTATCGCTCCCATTCTTTTTCATTCTTTTTTATGAGGTTATTTAGTTTACTTCAAAGTCTTCCAAATGAATGAAATCATCATAATCGTGATTGTCCTTCCCAAGATCAAGACTACGACAGAGCGAAGAAATGTGTCTGTCTGTCTATCTGTCTATTGATTTAGGAACCACTTTTTAATATCAAATTCTTTTTTTTTTTATAACGTCTGACAGAAGAAAATAATACTCGGAACAAACCCGTTTATTCGGATTAGAATGTTTTCTGTTTTTTTTACTATTAGGTTTGAAATGGATATACAAACAATTTTGTTTTTTTTTTAATTCATATTATATAATTGGCACTAATATTTTAGTAAATGCTAACGGCTGAACATTAAAAGTATCTCTATTTTAAAGAAGTCGTATTGTTCTTATTGGAATCCCCTTTTATTTAATTATTTATTTATTCTCGGGTATTAGAATGTTGTATGTATTTGGTTAAGATGATAGGATTTTTAATGTGTTAGAAATTAGCACAGAGTAAGAATTAGCCATAAATAATATTAAAAAGTAAATTCTGCTGTTTGTAGATTCAGCTACTATCTTCTTTGAGGTCAGGTTAGAATATCGCTACAAATATTATATTGATAGATAACAAGACACATTGATAAAATTAAAAGAAAAAAAAAAGCAAGTTTTAGAGTATATTTGTTCCGAATATTCAAAAATCATATCAGCATCGACAATGCATATATTTCATTATTAAATTTTATGAGGTATTTGGAGTGAGCTTCCTTTGAAAAAAAAAATAATGTTTTTTCTTTCAGTAAATTGTTAGGATTAGCAAAATAATAATAAGAGGGAAATAAAATGTTAAAAAGACTTTGTTTAAAGTCCTTTTTTTTTTCCATTAATATGAATCAATTGTGATAAGCAGCTGCCCCATTATTCAATGGTTATCGTAAAATTAAATTTGAAGTTTAAAAGTATTTGAAGAAGCGTCTTTATTTTTTATTACATAAATATTTTTGTTGGTCATGTTAGTGGTTCTATTTGATCTTAAGCAGTTTAATGAGGATTTAGTTAACATACAGTTTTTTTTTTTTTTTTTTTTTTTTTTTTTTTTTTTTTTTTTTTTTTTTTAAGAAAAAAAAAATACTCGACAGTCAATATTCAAGAGTTTCTAGAATTGAAATATAATTAAACTTATCATGAATGGTGATTAAGTAACTGACAGGTCAAGTCTTTCGTTGTTTTTATTTTGTAAGTTTTGTACGGTATTTATATTTTTACTATCAATGTATTTCGTCCAAGCCAAAGTGCAGCTACTAGTTAAAACACATGTACTTATAAATAGCTACATATGCTTCATAAAGAACATAGTGCCTTTATGTGGGAGAGTAGAGAAACCTCATGTTCATCTACTCCTATTTATAATCTTTTTTTTTAAGCCAACAGCAAGAGTTTATTATTCTTTTCTATTTCAAATATAGAGTTTAAATTCTCTTCGTTTTTTAGTTCAGTTTCTTAGAAGATTGTATGCAACTTAAAAATAAAAAGAAAGCAACTCGCGAGCTTGTTATGTTAATAAATGCTTTCTTACTACATGAAAGAGAAGAGAAGAGGAGCAATATGCAGTGTAAGTGGGGGTGGGAGAGAGAGAAAAAGTAAATTCATTAGATTCTATACAAATGTATACTGTGCAATAGTTTATATTTGAGAAAAGGTATAACCAAACTACCTAACATAATAATCATTTATATAATGACATTGATCAAACATGATTATTATCTCAAGCAAGGGCCTGTAAGTACATGTCCTGTTATACTGCTGACGTATTACTTGATAATGAAGTAATTAATTACAAGGAGTCTTTCAAAGTCTCTTCTCTCCTTAAGAAAAAAAAAATTATTAAAATTGTAATTCCAACAAATGCTTTTCTTGAAAATCATGATACATTTTTTCTTTCTCATAGGAAAATACAATATTAAAAGAAAAAAAAATATTGTTTTCATGTATATAAAATCTTATTCTTATGATTACATTATATAGTATAATTTGTTTATTGTTGTTATTTTTTTTTAAATGAATGATGCAATATTATTGTAAGCCTGATAATAAATAGTATACATATGTTAATGTGTATGTATGTATGTATGTATATGTACGTATATAAGTAAATAAAGGGAGTGAGGATGGGTTTAAATAAATTCAGTCCTTTACTCTTCATAAGTAGAGATCTCTTTTTTTTTATCATTATTAGAAATTTCTTCGTTATTACTCTTGTGACATAAGATATGACCGCTAAATACGGCATTTATTTCTTCCAGTAATCTACCCTTAGTTTCAGAAAAGAAAAGAAAGACACAAACAGCCATAGTAATATAACAGCGACCAAAGAAAAATATAGGTACCTCCCCCCCCAAATAATACTTGCCAACATGACAGGGATGATTTCAGAAATGACAAAGTTCATAAGCCAGTTAGCAGCAGTCGTAATAGAGGCACCTTTAGCACATACAACTGAGAGGATAGATTTCAGCAGGGTAAACCCAACCCATAGGGCCCTATGAGTAAGCAAAACCGGCGACAAAGATATAAACGGTCACAATACAGAGATAAGAGACATGAATATATTGCCTAACATGTCTATCGATTTATTGCCTGTAGTGGGATCCGTCGTCACTTTACCAGTAACACTTATCACTCTACCACAAAGAAGTATAAGAATAGGCCATGACGATAGCTCCATGAAATCATTGTCAGACGACGACCCAAACGATCCATTGTGAAGAACAACAGGTATAGTGGCCAAGACATTAAGGACACCATCGATACCAGAAGCAATAGAAGGCAGAAGAATTTTCAGATATACCACTTTGTTGAAAGATGGTAGGAGCATAGTACATGATAGAATTTTATACCAGTAAATTGTTGGAAAGCTTGGACAAGAATACCAAGTATCAAACGACGACGTTAAAGGTTAGGATTGAAAAGTTCTAGATAACTATTTTTCCTTCTTAAATAAGTATACTTTTGTGAGAATGATTAGCACCAAATTTGGTAATTTCTCCAATATTCGTGGTAGTAATTTCCTGGAAGACAGTAGCAAGTGCTTTTATGATTTCTAATATTAAGTCAAATCAAATTTTACGCGCACACCACAAATTTCTTCATCTATTCTATTCTAAATACATTGTTCTCCTTCCCGCAAAAAAAAATTAAAAAAGGACTCATTTACTCTTTTTACACCACTTTTTCATTGAAAATGGATACTTATACAGTATTATGTAATTAACAATCACATTACTTTTAGCCTTGTCTAGAATTCAATTATATGCTTTAGTTTATTAAAGCATTGTATTTTAACTATTATTATCATATCATCATTTTATTTATATATATTCCTTATATCTTTGGTTTTCTTTTGTCATCATAGAATGGTTTAAAGGACTTTGAATAAAAAATAGGATTCAAAGACTATATAAGAACAAATAAAAATTCCCTCAGCAATAATGAGGTCCTATTCGTATTCCTATTCCTCTTCTTTTTTTTTTTTTTTTTTTTTTTTTGTGTGTGTGTGTGTATGTAGTGAAATGATACATCATTTAATGGAAACAGTTGTATAGTGAATTAAGAAGAAGAAAAGTAATTGACTTACGGGAACTCTTTCTGAATCAACAACAAAAGGGTAAGCATGCTTTTAGTATGAGTTTTAGGCAATTTATTATATGCTTGATGAAACCTCTCTCTCTCTCTTTCTCTTTTCCAGTAGAATTTCTGTACAAGCTACTATGTGATTAGAATCAAAAGAAATGGAGACCAAAGTAACAGCCTTTTATAAGGAGGTGTTTTTACCTGTTTATTTCCAGGTTACATATTTTAAATCTAATACTTGCACTTTAAAAGACCCTTATTCTCATAAAGACAGTTATTTCTTTCACATATGTCTGTGATTTTATTTTATTTTTTATTAGGAAAGAAGAAATAATGATAGCTGATTACAAATCTTTCATAATTAGGATATATAATTTGTCTTGCAATGAAGAATACGTAGCATTCACCGAAATATGTATAGTAGTAATATTAGTGTATCATATCTTTACTCATTTATATAGTTATCTGTTCTTTTTATTATTATTATTATTATTATTACGCTTATTTTATGTATACAGCGGATTCCAATAGTCAATAAGGAAAAAATATTTTAAAAAGACTAAAAAGGAGAAGAAGGATGGAAGAGAGTTTTAAAGCTGCTTGTGACTTGTTAAAAAAAGTAAAATAAAATCAATCCAGCATCCAATTCTTCATTCATATATATTTTGTTTTATACAACACATTTCCAAGATGAAGAAGCCTCAGAATCCTTTTAAACCTAAAGCCAAGTCAAGACGATTTGTTGAATTACAACATGATACAGGATTTACAGATGCTCAGTTTGAAACACCGGAAACGCCGAGTAAAGATTAGAGAATGATGCTTGTAATTCATGTGTTTACTAATTTTTGGAATTTAACAATGTTATATAGTTCCTTGGAAAGCTATTGGATTAGCTTTATTATTATTTGTTGCTGGTGGTATTTTGTTAGCAATTGGTATTTTAATCAAAATTGGAACAATTGCTTCAGAGGTAATTTGAATAATGTTAAATATTAAAAAAAAAAAAAAAAAAACTTAAAACTTAAAACTTAAATTAAATTATAGGTCTGGTTAGCAAGAGGTACACCATTTATTGTACTGGGAAGTATTATGTTTATACCAGGTTAGTTAATATATAATTTGACATGCTTATTTCAACATAACTCATATATTTATATCAGGCGCATATCATTTATATATTGCTTATTATGCATACTATAAGTATCCCGGCTATGACTTTTCTCTTATACCTGATTGGGACTAAATAAGTAAGTTGTATCATGTACAGTACTGATATAATATGTTTGTTTATTTATTTATTTATTTATTTATTTATTTTTACTTTTGCATAAATCTAGAGTTGTAGTGCATGTAGTAAATAAGTTTATTATTATTATTATTATTATCATAAAAGTACTATATGATCGCTAATTTATGAAGTCTAAATGCTACTATGTATATTATGTTTATTTTGTGTCTATAGTAGTGGTTTACAGATAATTACTGCTTTATATAAGCTATAGTATTGTTAATTCTATAGTCATATTATAATATCTTCTTGCATGCTTTACATTATTTTATTTAAGGGTTTTATTTAAGACAGATTACTTTTTTATTTGCTAATGTATTTTTTTTTTCAAAAAATTATCCTATCACAGAAAGAAATCAACTTTAGTTGCTATTAGCTGTAACCAATCTTTAGTTTTGAGCAAGAAAGAAAGAGAGAGAGAGAGAGAGAGAGAGAGGCAAAAGTCAAAAATGAGTAAGAGTAAATGTATATTCCTGTTTTTAAAAAGCTATCTTTTCAGTTCTATAAGTTTGTAATAATTGATTGTAAATGACCTTCTTCATATAAGGCTTGAATAAACGCTCGTATAAATGGTATATATTTATTTTGCTTTCTCTATAAAAATTTAATAATAAGTTTGGATTCCTATATATATATATCTATCTATCTTTTTCCTCGTCAATATAGTATATATTTACTCTATAAATATCTTCTTTCTCTACTTGATTACCTAAGCTTGCATAAAGTCTTAAACAATCATCTTGTACTCGTATCCATGCTTCCATTATATCCTCTACATTATGTTTTTGTTCTTTTAGTAATAAGTTTACATTCTTTTGTATTCTTAAGGGCAATTGATTGAATGAATGACAATAATTCAACATATCTATTGATCGTATGTGTCCACGTCTATTTGTTTCCTATAGATAGATGTATATATATATACATGTATATATAAATATATATATATATATTATTGACAAAAAAATAAGTTTGTATATATATTCCCGTACATTATGATCTATAGCGTATCTATATTCTTCTTCCCACTGAGTAACTTCATTACTTGATTTCCAATTAGGCTGATATTTATCAAGTTTATATTCTATTTGTCTTTTAAGATAATTCTTTTCGATTATTTTTCTTTGATATACACGATTTCTATCCTCAATCACAGCCCATAAAGAAATGGAATCCTCTTTTTGTCTATATAATATTTCTTTTTTAAAAAAAAACATTCTACATATCATTATACTTTATATGATGGAGATACTACATTTTATACTTTTGATAAATCAAGTTATATACACTATCAAGCCAGTTATATTCATTACAAGCAACTAAATCAAATATATTGCAAATTATTACTTATATATGTATATACTGATATGTGTGAATCTTTTTTTTTTTTTTTTTTTTTTTTTTTTATACCTAATTTTGAAGGACTTTTTTTAAAAGTATCTAACTCCCATAAATAGCCATTATATTTTATATAAGAAATTGAATGATACACTATTTGTTTTTGCTGACTATTATATACAAGTTTAGATAGAGTATTTACATACATATATATACATATATTCTTTAAACCTTTTTTTTGGTAAATAGAGGCTGTTGTTTGCATTCCTTAAAGCTTGATTATTAATGAGCGATACCGTTGAATCAAGAGCATGAGTAAGCTTTTTAAATTGTCTTAAATCTTTACTGGTTTTAATTTCATTATCAGAGTTTAACAAGATATGTAATAAAGCATGCATAGCATATGCATTATGTGTAGTCGTCTATTATATAATAGTAAAAGAGGGGTTATCATCTTTTTATTATTATTATTATTATTATTATTATATTTTTGCATACTTGTTGTAAAAAATAAATTGGATAATTGTTTATACTTGAATTATTGCCATCTTCTTTTAGTGTTAATCTTCTACTGTTTTGTTTAGCTAATAAGAAAATACCAAAAATGGGTCTATAAAAAAAAATACACATATTAACTTCAATAAAATATCTCGGGGTAAGTTATAAAGTTTACTCAAAGTTATAAAACTTGTCTTTATGTAATGATAATTGCTCCACCTGAATTCCTTGTGCTCCTATTTTGGAGCATAGCTGTGTAAAAGTACCTTTGAAAAGTTAAAAGGAAAAATATATATATATATATATATAACAAGTAAAATATTATATAAAAGTTTATACACATATATATATTTAAAAACCTGGATCTGGATCAAGTGCATGCCAATAAGATGAATTCTCGGAAATAATACTTTTTGTCATTCAATTCTATGTAATGCTTTAAATATAGAGAAAAATAGACTTAAAGAGTAAGTAAGTGAGAGAAAGAAGAAGAAGAAAAAAAATAAAGGAGAACAAAGAATTATACAAAGTTCATCCAAAAATCAAATAGAATTGAAAATAAGATAATACTTCTTTATAAGTAATGCATATGAAACAAACAAACAAACAAAAAAAAAAAAAGTGAAATACTGATCCTTTTTTCCATATATTAGTAACTAAACAGCAGCAGCATGTTTATATGAGGAGCTCCTTTTTTTTTTCTTTAAAAAAAAAAAATTAAATACAATCATTCGGTTGTAATTTGGTCAAATTGAAAATTACTACACGAGTTATTTACACGACGAACCCCTCTTACTTTACTATAAAAAAAAAACTCTTTAATACCTTTTTTTTTCATTATTCCTTCTCCTTTTGTTTTTTTTTTCTTTTTTGCTCGAGGCAAAGTAAAAACACATGTAGCAGTTGTGATTAATAGTTTCTTTTACAAATGAATCTGGAGAAAAGAAAAAAAAGTTTAAATGAATTTACGTTTATTTACAAGAGCATATTTAAATTTATTAAGCTTTAAAAAATATCTGCATGACATCCCTTTATAAATCGGGGGTCATTTTCTTTCTTTAATTTTACGCTTGATATTGATAGAATGCCAGCAACTATTAAAATAAAAACGTAGATTTATTAAAACAGCTGCTATTATTATAATGATTACCTTTCTTTGTAAAGAAAGAAAGAAAAAGAAAAATTCATAACAATATTGTTAACCGGGAAAGTGAAGGAGACTATTTTAATTATTGAAAAATTAACATATTGGATATAAATACAGTTGCTTTTCTCTCTAATTGCTTGTTTTCCTGCATGCTACCTCAGTTATATCGGCTACATCAAAGATAACAGCAAAAGTAGACTATCATATCGTGCTTGTGTACATTTCATTTACAGGCATCATTAGTATATATTTATTAATAAAAAAAAAAAAAGAAAAGAAGAGAGAGACAGACAGAGAGAAAGTGATAAAACCTCCTAGGTGTCAAGCAGATAAAGGCAAAAAAATAAAAAACCGAAAAAAAAACCGAAAAAAAACAAAGTCTGAAATATGCATCTGTTCTCCATGAATTAAATTATATATTTCATGATAAGCGGCCCTTCTCCTACTGAAAATCCTGGTTCTAAATTGATGCAATGGTTATTTAACAACCGAAGCTGGTACATCGTTCTTCACTTTCTTGTCATTTTATTTCACATCTTCTCCTTCTCTTTCTTTTTTTTTTTTCTTTTATTTTTTTTTAACTTGTATCTTTTATAAAAAGTGCTTAGTTTCTTTTTCCATTCTTATTTGATTGAGCTGATATGAGCAATCCAGTATCATGTAGATAGTACCTGTTTACACAGATCAAAACAATACTATCAAATGAAGATGACTACTATTTATGAAATTGACACATATTAGTAACCTGGATAATTGTTTTTAATTAATTCTTGTAATAAGACGATCAAGAGTTAAGCAGCTGGCTATCGAAGGTTTTTATTTTATTTTATTTTTTTCGGGGGAAGGTAAAGAAGAAAAAAATATATCGTAGATCAAACAACAATAAAAAGATGACTTTTATGATTTATATCGGAAGAATATTTTTTTTATAAGTCAGAATTATATAATGAATTTAAACATGGGATGATAGTTATATTATTCTGCAACAGTCGTCTATCATATCTTCCTCTGTCATTTTATACTTGAAAAAAAGAAAAAAAAAAGGAAATAGTATCTAACATAAAATTGAAACATCTAGAAAATCGATCTTGATCATTACACGTTTACAATGATATTATTTTTTTTTAAATTTATTATAATGCATGTATATTTATTTATTAATCTATTTATCTATATTTATATTATATTTGTATATATTTTTTCCCGGTAAGATATTTTTCCGTTGATCAGCTCGATGTAAACAGAAAGAAAGAAAACTTAAACTAAGAATAGAAGCGTAAATTCCTTTCAAAAAAAAACAGAAAAAGAAAAAATACCTGACTGTTATTGCTAATGCTACTAAAAAGCCTGACCTGGATTCATTATGATATCATTCATCTTTTTCTATGTCATATTTTTAATTTTTTTTTTTTCTTTAGTTCATCCCGGCGGTTTGAGATATATACTAAAATAGGTAGTTCACACTCTTTTTTTTTATTTTTTTTTTATTTTTTTTTTAAAAAAAAAGTCTGTGTTTGAAAGGTAATATTCTGAAGCTATATTTACAAAATTTTGAATCTTTTTCTTTTCTTTTTATTTTTATTTATTTATTTAAATTATTTATTTATTTATAGATAGATATAGATACATATATACATTTATTAAGATTTGATTTATATACACTAAAATGCGACCTGTGTCTGGATCTTTAACATCAAATCAAATGTCTGACGAAATAATAATATCTTCACCTTTAAGATATTCGTCTGCTTCAACTTCTAAACGTCCGGTTAGTTCCGATATATCAAATGACGGACGATCTTTTACCAATTCATCACATATCAATAACCTTAGCGAACGATTACGTGAAGTCGACTTTAACTCACCAGCAAAGATATTTCAAAATAAACATGCTATTCATCAATTTGAAAACGTGACACCTGATATCTCTATTCCCAGTACTCCAAGATATCATGATGGAGGAGGAGCAGCAAGTCAATATACAACATCTCCAGGAGCACAAACTCCTCGCTCTATCTCACCGACTTCAGGTGAGCAACGGCCTAAACCACCTTCTACTGCATCAGAGGTCATGTCGTCGAGCAAGAGTCCCTCAAGACCTCTCTCTCAGTCTGGTACTGCCTCTATCTCACGTACAAGCACACCTTCTCAATTCGTCTTTAAGAAACCAGAATACAATAGTCATTATCATCATACACACTTTCATCATCTTGAGAAAAAGGATACCATCTTTCATGATTTGAAACGATTTTTCAAAAAGGGACATGATAAAAAGAAGACAAAAAAATTATTAGATGATACTTCAAGTGTGCGTAGTAGTGGTGCATCCTCTGTACATAGTAGATATAGTGATTTATCATTTGCAAATGAATTTAATAAAAACTTGGAAGGTCGATATGGCAAATGGGGTAAAGTAATTATATACATTTATATATATATATATATATATATATATATAAAGCCAGAGAAAGAGAGAGAGTGTGTAAGAAAGAGTTAGTGAGAGTGAGAGAGTGAGAGAGTGAGAGAGTGAGAGTGAAAGTATATACATTTATATATATACACATATATATTAATATCACTTCTTATCCCCCTTTTTTTTAGGTGAATTTGTGGGTAAAGGATCAGGTGGATCTGTTAGAATTATTCGTCGTAATATAGATGGGAAAACATTTGCAGTAAAGGAATTTAGAAAGAGGGCACCTGGTGAAAATGAAAAAGAATATGTGAAAAAAGTGACAGCTGAATTTTGTATCGGTTCTACTCTACATCACCCTAATGTGATTGAAGCCCTTGATATTATTCAAGAAGGTCAATCATTTTATGAAATTATGGAATACGCACCTAATGATTTATTTAATATTGTTATGAGTGGTAAGATGGGATCTGAGGAAATTGCTTGTTGTTGGCGTCAACTTTTGAATGGTGTAAGCTATCTTCAATCGATGGGTATTGCACATCGTGATCTCAAGTTAGATAATATGGTGCTAGATGAGCGTGGTATTGTAAAGATTATTGATTTTGGTTGTGCAACTGTCATTAAATATCCATTTGAAGAACATACCCATATGAGTAAAGGTAAGTTTATCTATCTATCTATCTATCTATCTATATGCCTGCATACTTATTATATTATACCTCTTCAAATGTTAGGTATTTGTGGTTCAGACCCTTATATCGCACCTGAACAATATACACAAAAAGAATATGACGCGCGTAAAACAGATTTATGGTCTTGTGCAATCATTTTTATCTGTATGACTATTCGTCGTTTCCCTTGGAGATTACCACGACCTGAAAAGGATCAATCCTATAACAATTTTGTACAACCTGATCATAGTGGTGCGGAAAGATTATTTAAACTCTTGCCTCGTTACTCAAGGTCGATCATTTCTCGGATTTTAGTCCCAGATCCAAAACAACGATGTACACTACAGGATGTATTGAATGATATATGGGTGAAGAATATTGAATTTTGTCAACCTGAGAAGCCTTCCAGTGACCATCCTCATCATTTACTTTTTGAACCTAGTAAAGAAATCATGAAGCGTGGAAATATCATTATCCTGCCTCCTTCATCACGTAACAAAGAAGAAGAAGAAGATAATCAGACAGATAAAAAGAAAAAGGCATCAGAGCATCACCATCATCATCATCATCATAAGAAATAATAGTAATAATAATAGTAATAATAGTATTCTTTTTTTTTTTTTTTTTTTGTATCATATCATATCATATTATATCCCTTATAAAGAGAATGATGATATGCTGAACTATGTGTGTTTTTGTTTAATATAATAATTTAGAATTAATATACTGCTATTTTATAATATTTAATAAACTGTAAAAAAAAAAAAAAAAAAAAAAAAAAAATATTCTGTGTTGTTTACTTGTCAGAATCGTTATACATGTCATACAAAAAGAGATATGCTGTAAAGTATATGCCCCTCTTCATAAGCTTCTTATTCAGCAATAAAATCATAGTCCTTATTGGTTTATCAGCCTTGTTGCACTATCAAGTAATTCGGTTTATCGTTAAGGCGAAAACGGTATGGACTTAACAAGTGTAACATACGTATAACAACCCTGTCCATACATACTATCTATCTATTATTATGTAAATAACTTACATAATAAACAAAATAGTTTTCTTTTGATTTTAAAGGTGTTGGCGCAGTCATCAATATAATTATAGTCAACGATAGCATACAATGTTCATGCAGGTTATACTACTTTTTCCTAATTTTTATTATTATTTTAGCTAGAGATATTATATAGTATTAAAAGAACTGACCAATTATAGTCTCTTTCTTATAAATTTATTCATAGCAATTTTATATCAATCTCGATATAAAAACTCCCCTGTTTTGCATAGAGATATGTGTTATCTCTTTCATGCATGCTTTACTTTTACAAATGGCGGTATATTTTTTATTGTTTCATGATAGATACTTTATAAGATACTAAAACCTATAAGGCTTAATAATTGTATGGAATAAACGTTATTGTTTGTTAAGAGCTGTATTTTAAACTGAGAATGAATTTATCTTGCAACAACGACTGCTTTATGAAAGATTAGATAACAAAGGAGGCAGCAGAATGTTTTATAGATATGAAAATTAACTACAATATAAATGATGATGTATTCATGTTTAAACAATCATTTTTTCTTTTAAAAAAAGAAAAAAAAAGAATACAAACTTTTAATAAAAGCAAATGTATTATTTATAGATTATTATATTAAATAATGTGGGGAAAATAGAAAAAAAAAAACTTTTTTTTTTGATTATATAATAAAATAAGCCCCGCTCTCACCATGCTTCAATATCATAAGTTTAAATGAAACAGGACCATGTTAAAGGAAAAAAAATTTATTTATACTGTCATGATCTATTTTGTAACAGCAACAAGACGATCATCGTCATTTCTTTTGCATCATAGAAGCTGATGATCTTTTTTTTTATGTAAGGGGAAGTAAAGACAATAAAATGGTTAAAGATACGATTGGTGTTAAAAAGAAACTATTAATTTAGTGAAGAAAGACATTTCATTTATTTTATTCGTTTGTAACAAAGAAGGTTATAAGCTTAATAATTCATAGAAAATAATGACGCGCTGTAGTATTCATAAGTTGTAAAGTGCAAATTCTTGTTCTATAATAGCAATTGTTATATTCATATAGAAAATGAATATTTTGGGCTAAACTATGATCCAAACTTACAAATAAAAAGTCAGAAATTATCTTTTTTTCATGGCCCGGACTGCTTTTTTTATAGTTTACCTGGCCCTGTTATTTTAAGGAAGTTCATATTTATCGTGAATTTTGCTTATCTCATCAAATATCATTTGAAAATAATGATGATAAATTAATATAACGTTGTACTTGTATTCTTCTTCTTTAAAAAAAAAAAAAAAAGAGAATATAAATGTGTGTACATACTTATTTATTAAGGAGAAATATGTTCGCCTAAAAAAAGGGTTTGTTTCTTCATCATAACAAACTTTCTCAGATTCATGTGAAATAGATTAACCCCAGCTTCCACATGTTTCATTGGAAAATGGATAATTTTTTTGTTTTGTGTAACATCCCTTCTTAGGCTGAGTGACAGCAAAAAACTAGTTTATTTATTTTCTTCTTTTTTCTCTTTCTTTTCTCTCTTTTTTTTCTTGAAACTTTTTTTATCTCTTCTCTTCTCCCCCCCTCTCTCTTTTTTTTATTTATTCTTTTTTTTTATATATATTTGTTTAGAGAAAAAAAAAAGGCTTGCATTAAACAGAATGTTATCTTCAAGTAATTTTATTAGAGCTGCAAAGGTAAAAAAAAAAGTTATAAATAGTAGAAAGTAGATGTCATGTTGCTTAACTTTTTATTTATCGTTATTATTAGGCAATTGCTCCTACTGTTAGAGCTTATGTTCCTTCTCGTACTTATGCTAAAGCAACCACTAATTGGGCTGCTCAAAAGGTCGCTATGTCCAACCTTGAACCCGATAAATATATCAACTATCAAAGAATTGAAGATAATCTTGAAATTGTTCGTAAAAGGTAAATATTTTGCGGAGTATGAGTGTGGTGAAATAAAATAAAAAAATAAATAAAGAGGATGAAAAAAAAAAAAAAAAGTGGAAGGGGACACCCATACCGCTCTTTGAACTATAATATTTACTTTTTTATCTTTTTTTTTTTTTCAACCCCTAGATTAAATCGTCCATTGACTCTTTCTGAAAAAGTTGTTTATGGTCACTTGGATGATGCTGAAAACCAGGATATTGTTCGTGGTAAATCCTATCTTAAACTTCGCCCTGATCGTGTTGCATGCCAAGATGCTACTGCTCAAATGGCTCTTCTTCAATTCATGTCTGCTGGTCTTCCTACTGTCGCTGTACCATCTACTGTTCATTGTGATCACTTGATTGAGGCTCAAGTAGGTGGTGCTAAGGATTTAGCTCGTGCTATTGAAATTAACAAGGAAGTCTATGACTTCTTGGCTACTGCTACTGCCAAGTATGGTCTTGGTTTCTGGAAGCCTGGCTCTGGTATCATTCATCAAATTATTCTCGAAAATTATGCTTTCCCCGGTGGTCTTATGATCGGTACCGATTCCCATACCCCTAATGCAGGTGGTCTCGGTATGGTAGCTATTGGTGTTGGTGGTGCTGATGCCGTAGATGTGATGGCTGATATTCCTTGGGAACTCAAGTGTCCCAAGACAATTGGTGTTAAACTTCATGGTAAGCTCAATGGTTGGACTTCTCCTAAGGATATCATTCTTAAGGTGGCTGGTATCTTAACTGTCAAGGGTGGTACTGGTTCTATCGTTGAATACTTTGGTGAAGGTGTCAACTCTATCTCTTGTACTGGTATGGCTACTATCTGTAACATGGGCGCTGAAATTGGTGCTACCACCTCTATGTTCCCTTATAATGAACGTATGGGTGATTATCTCCGTGCCACAAACCGTAGCGCAATTGCTGACTATGCTAATCAATTCTCTCACAACCTTAGAGCTGATTCTGATGCTCAATATGATGAAGTCATCGAAATCGATCTTGATAAACTTGAACCTCATATCAACGGCCCTTTCACCCCTGATTTGGCTACTCCTCTTTCCAAGTTCAAGGAAACTGCCATTAAGAATGACTGGCCTCAAGAGCTTAAGGTAGGTTTGATTGGTTCTTGTACCAACTCTTCTTACGAAGATATGGCTCGTTCTGCCTCTCTTGTCAAGCAAGCCTCTGATCATGGTATCAAGGTTAAATCCAAGTTCACTATCACACCTGGTTCAGAACAAATTCGTGCTACCATTGAACGTGATGGTATCATGGATGTTTTAACTGAAGCTGGTGGTGTTGTCTTGGCTAACGCTTGTGGTCCTTGTATTGGTCAATGGGATCGTCGTGATATCAAGAAGGGTGATAAGAACTCTATCATCACTTCTTATAACCGTAACTTTACCGGTCGTAACGATGCTAATCCTCAAACTCACGCCTTCGTCGCTTCTCCCGAATTGGTCACCGCTATGGCCATTGCTGGTGATATGCATTTTAACCCTATGACTGATTCTTTGATTGGTGCTGATGGTAAGCCCTTCAAGCTTGACCCCCCTCATGGTGATGAATTACCTCCCCGTGGTTATGATGCTGGTGAAAACACCTATCAAGCTCCTCCTGAGGAACGTGCTAGCGTGAGTGTCGCTGTTGATCCTAAGTCTAATCGTCTTCAACTCCTTCAGCCATTCGAAAAGTGGAATGGCCAAGATATTGAAAATGTTCCTATCCTCATCAAGGCAAAGGGTAAGTGTACCACTGATCACATCTCTATGGCCGGCCCTTGGTTGAAATACCGTGGTCACTTGGATAACATCTCTAACAATTTCTTGATTGGTGCTACCTCCAGTGAAGATAAGGTGAACAGTGTCAAGAACACTTTCACAGGTGAATATAACACTGTTCCCGAAACTGCTCGTGATTATAAAGCTCGTGGTGTTAAGTGGGTTGTGTTCGGTGATGAAAACTATGGTGAAGGTTCCTCTCGTGAACATGCCGCTCTTGAACCTCGTTTCTTGAACGGTGCTGCTGTTATTACAAAGTCATTCGCCCGTATTCACGAAACCAATCTCAAGAAGCAAGGTATGCTTCCTTTGACTTTTGCTAACCCTGCTGATTATGATAAGGTTGAAGCTGATGATCGTGTCTCCATCCTTGGTCTCAAGGACTTTGCTCCTGGCAAGCCTTTAACCGTTCGTCTTACTAAGCCTAATGGTGATAAGGTTGATATCCAATGTAACCATACCTTTAACGAAGGTCAAATTGCTTGGTTCAAGGCTGTAAGTTTATTTTAATTCATATAGGCATATACAAATTAACTAAATTATTTTCTCTTTTTTTATAGGGTTCTGCTCTTAACTTGATGAAGGAGACTACTGCTAAGAACTAAATAATATTTTTTAATATCTAAGTTATTTTTATACACATACAGAGAGAGAGAGAAGTATTTTTCCTCTCAAGTATCTTCTATTCTCTTATTTTTTTTTTTCCATAAAAAAAAAAAAAATGTAATTAATAAATTCCCCCATTCACTAATGTATAGAAAAATAATGATAATAATACTATCTTCATATCGGCATACTTAATAGACTCTGAGTGTAATGTCTAAAAGTAGATTAGATAAGAGTGTCCATAGTACAGCATATTTTTACAATTTATAAAAAATGTAATGTATTTTTGCCCATTCGCTGTATTATTTCTACTAGCTTACTTTTTATTATTTCCTCTCTCTTTCTCTTTTTTTTTTTTCTTCTTTTTCGGGTCAATTCGATATAGAAGTTTTCGTAATAGCTAAACTGTATGTTATAATCTCCATGGAGATGCCATTTTTTTTTTAAATTCCTTATGAGATGGTTAATTATATGACATGATGTTTCATTAAATCTTCAAAAAAGACTGTATATGAATTTATTACAAAGTTTAATGTATACACATATATATATATTTTGTTTTTTTTTTCCTTTTTACTTGTTTTTATGGTTTAAAAGTTACGATTGTTTGTTCGGGAGAAACCAGCATTAGCATTGGTATTGCTTGTATTGTTATTATTATTATTATTAGGAGCATTGCCAATCAAACGTTCGTTTTGATCAACAAGATTAGCAACCTTTTCTGAATATTGCAAAGCCAAAACTTGAAGTCGAGAAGGTTCAACTTGGTGAAGAACGATACATTGAGAAACTTGATCTAGTGATGCTGCCAATTCTTCATCAAAGATCATCTTGGCAACAAGAGCAGAAACTCTATTGACTGATAATCCAAACATGGTTGACAATTGTTCCAATCCCAATGTAGTGTAATAAGAACAATAAGTGAAAAGATAGGTACGAAGACCTTCTTCTTGAATCTTAAGAACAAGCATTTCTTTAATCTCCTTAACTTCAGTCATCAAATCCCACACCTTGATAGCCAACATAAAGTCTCTAGCTTTTTCCCATTCACCTGAAGCTAAGGCCTTGGCAGCACTCATGATGTGATCACGAGTTGTTTCAGGTGGTCCACAGAATGCTTGACGTTCATTATAGTCAAGTAAACGACGGAAAGGTCGAGAGATGATATTCTTCTTATTATTGTTAGGTCCAGCCTGTGCTTGTGCAGGAATTTCCAAAAGCATGGAGCAAGTTAAGAAAATACATTCGAGGAGCTCCAAGTTGATATGCATATGGAAAGGCAATTGGCGTTGACGTTCAATAGCATCCAATTCAGGGTTAGCAGGTTGGTTGAAACGTTGAGCTTGAACACCTTGAGCCAAAAGTTCCTTAACACGGCCAGAGTTTTGAATCTCAGAAAGAGCAGCGTATGATTCCTTAACCAAACCCTCACGGAAAGCACAAATACCGACTTGAACCATGGTACGGTTATAGAGGATTTGTGTGGCAATATCAGCTTGATGAATAGAATCTTGAACATGAGACATCAACAACAAGTCACGAGCTGTGTAATACTTCTTGTGAAGTGCATAGTGATAGATATGACAGAGCATAGCACGGGTGCGGAAAATAGTGGAATCATCCTTGTAAAGATAGTTACAGAGTTGGTTAACCAATTCAGCAGGCTCTTCAGCAGTGATGACTTTAGATACAATATATGTAGGTAAGAGCTTCTTAGAAGCAGTTTGAAGGGCAGTAATAAGCTTTTCAGGCTTATAATAAACATGATCCAATTTGCGTGCAATGATTCTAGGAAGAGCAAATGCAATATTATTAACTTCACAATAAACTTGAGCACGATCTAACATGGCATAAACAGAGGGTTCATCACCAAGACGATCGATATAGTCAGTAGAGTGAGGATCCATGTTTTGAAGTGACTTGCTGAATTCATCATCCAAACGCTCAACAAAACTAAGAATAGAACCACGAATCTTGACAACTTCTCCTTCTTTAGGAACAACATCTCTATCCTCATTATCAAGATCATCAGCATCTTCTGTAACAACGAAGGATTTGTTGGTTTCAAGAACTTTAAGTAAGTAATTGAATTCCTCGGCAGCAGAATTCCACTTGCTGTTATCCATGTATGCTTCTTTACTAGCAGTTACAATATCAAAACGATAAGAGATAAGTGCTAACAAAACAGAAATCTTTTGGAAAGGAGACTGAGCATTTTCCAACAATGCTTCCAAAATAGTAACTTGTTCATTACGATCAGTGTTCTAAAATTTTAATATTGTCATTAATAGTCATTTCCCCCTTATCAATGTTGATTGTATCCTTACCTTTTTACCACGACTTTCCAAAACTTCTCTTAAACGGCCCAAAAGGTTTTCTGAAGTAACACTAACAATAGACTTGCCACCCTTACCAACGGAAGTAAAGCCTTCATCATCATCAGCAATTGAAGCAGCAACATTAGCTTGAGGAGCAATTTCCTTCTTTTTCATAGGTGAAGAAGGTCTCTCTTCAACTTCCACTTCTTTCATAAACTCTTCAGGATCCTTTTATATATAAATATTTATATTTGAGAAAAAAAATAAGTACTTATATTCCATTGTTTCCTTTCTTTTTTTTTTTTAAAAAAAAACAATTATCCATACCTTTTTATAAGCAGCAATAGGCTCATCATATTGCTTGGAGATCTTTTTGAGTTTTTGCTTCAAGTTATTCATAGCTTTACTATTACTGCCCTTTTTCTTATTAGTTTTATCTTTTTGAAGATTCTCAGCCAAGTGGTCTTCAAGTTCAACGATAGTCTTAATATAAAACTTAGGTAAAGGAATAGCATTGAAACCAGTAGTTGCTCTGGAAATGGTAATTGTAAGTTTATCAAATTCTATTTAAAATTTTTTTTTTCAAGATTCAGGTCAAAACACGACTTATTTTTGATGATTAAACAAAAACATTATATATGTATATATATTTACCAGTTGCAATCAAATTCCAATCGTTATTCTTTTGGCCATTTTCAATTGCCTTGACAGCTGTTTCCATTTCTTCAATACGTTTATCTTTTTGAGATTTAGCTTGGCGTTTTCTATTAGATTCATCATCAGAATCTTCAGAGTCAGTTTCACCCTTCAAGAAACGATTTCTGGGTTGTTGTTGTTGTTGTTCGGCTTCAGAATGATAACTTTCGGCATCGGAATCGAACTCTGAATCAGATTGAGAATACAAGGAATCATTGTCAGAGGAAGTATCAGAATCTGATTCTGAATCTGAATTACGGAAGAAACGAGACATGGTTTATAAAAAAAAAAAGGGAATCTATTAAAAAAAAAGAAAAGGCTTTCTTTCGTGGTTTATAGGGAAAAAGCTAAATGTGTATAAAAGTAAAGCTTTTTTTTTTGTTTTTTTTTTTTAGAAAAAAAGAAGGGGTGTATAATAAAAAGGCTCTGCACGTCAAGCTCTATATTGTTAAAAAAAAAAAAAAAAAAAAAAAAAGCGTAAAAATTTTCAAGTCACGTGTATGTGGCTGTGAAAGATCTTCAAATACCGCCATCTGTTGCTGTGATAAAGCATCTCTTAAAAGCCACGACTACTTTAATCCTTAGCATATACAATTAGCAAACATGCTTTTAAAATGTATATTTTTTTTTATTAAAAATTAGTTGACTGACGTTTTAGCTCAGTTTTATCTATTTATTTATTGTACTGATTACTTTCTTATGCAGGATATAAGAGTGAAATTAAGTTACATGGCAACTCAATTTATAAAATACCCTATAGACTGTCCGGCATTATAGATATATAAAAACTAAAAAAAAACAAACTATACTATGGATAAAATATATAATATACAATGAAGACACGCATAAAGTATGATGAATATACATAATAACAAATGAATTTTACAATGACTTTTGAATGATTTCGCATAATTTATGTTATTCCTGTACAGCAAATTATTTCTATGTGGATATCTATTGTTTGTTTGCACACTATATTTTTATTTTTATTTTTTTGTTTAGCTTCCATGATCAATATAATGCAATTGACATAAAGGCATAAAGCTTTCCAGATGTGATTGAATGCTATGAAAACCTCATGTTTGATGAGAATCTCTTGCTATTGATTTAATAAACGTTCTATAAAGACTATCTGATAATCAGTTTATGTGTCAAGAGTAGTATATAAGCCAAAAAACAAAAGTTTCTGATTATTAAGAGCTTCAAAATATCGACAATTCATTAGATTTAGAAGGAGATATCTCAAGATTTTTTTTTGTATGTAAAATTTGAAGAGTTTAATTGAATCCAAAGGTATCTCGATTATTATTTAGAAATAAACATAAGACGGTATTTTTGAGATATTGGTTGCATATTTTTTAAATTGTTGTCTATATTTATTTGAAATTTTTCAATCAAGTCTTCAAACGGCTTCTGAAGTCCTGCTATTACATAAAAGTTAGTATGCTTTCAGATGTTAAAGTTTAATCGATATGAAGAAAATCCTGGCTCATACTTGATTATAATTGAAGAAAAAAAAATCATGAAAAAAGGCATTTCTAATGGCGTGTATATACTCTATGTGAAGCTTTTACGAATAAATATAACACTATTAAATGACAGGCTATTTAATAAAGCAAATTATAACTTATTATTACAGTATGTACAATAGTAATATGTCTTAATAGAGATTTGCTACGAGTTGAAAGCGCAATATTTGGATTATGTTTGTATTACGATAAAAAATAGGAGTTATTAAATTACTTACTTGCAAAGACAATACTCTTTCAAATGAAACATAATACTAGATGCATGCCAGTTTTGGCAAAACTTGTTTTTTTTTCTAATTATTTTACTAGACAAAAGTTTACTATACAAAGCCACTGTGTAAGGTAAGAAGAAGTAGATCACAAACTTGGATTAGAAAGAAAAAGGGTAATTGATTATTAGCTCATTTATATACGGCTAAGTTTAATATCCAATATAAATATAATTAATATAAATAATAGCTTATATTTTTATATATACAATAATCATATAATTTTTGTTATAACCAAATACTAGTTAGATTTAGTTAAATGTTGTTAGCTCAGCTCCACACATGTGTTCAATCAACAATTAATAATAAGAAACCCCTTTTTCATACTTGCTATGCTATGCTATGCTGTGCTGTGCTGTGCTGTGCTGTGCTGTTCTGTGCTAATAAAATTATCTCTAAGAATAGCTGGCATGTATAACATATTACATGAATTAAACATCCATTAATACCATTCTTTAATTAAATAAATATGATATTCCTTCACATTGATAAATGCTGATAGACACAAATTAATTGCCCATTACGCATATAAATATATATTTTTTTTCTTTCAAGAGAAACACCTCACACGTACGAAGATACAACGTAATGTACTAAATAGTTAATACTGCATCATATTCTAATGCAATACTCTTAAGCTTATAGCTGTTTTCAAAGAAAGTAAGATATTTTATATATTTTTTTCTAATAATATTGTTCCTTATGTTGGCAATTATGACCTTTCTTATTTTATTTTAATTTATATCAAATTACTACACAGCCTACATAATTGTAAAATAATATTCAAATAGGGTCAGTAATTGATTTAAATAATTATATAATACATCACACTATTCAATAAACAAATTCTTGTTAAATAGTATATTTAAACTATTAAAATCTCTATTCATTTTAAAACTGTATTGTTTTGTTGAAAGTTTAGTAATATTCAATAGAGACACACTATACTATGCATATTTTAATGTAGTGAAAAAAAAAATACATATTATATACATACTATTATTATTACTTTACTCTGTATATATCTTTATATGTTATTCATTTTTATTCTAATTACAATGTACTTCATGATAACAGCAGCTATATAGCTACGTAGCTATTATTTTACCATAGTTTAATTAGGTTATTGAACATAAAAATGAAATAAGAACTTGACAATAAGTTTATTGAAAGACTTGTAAAAAAAAAAAGATTTATTTCTTCTGCTATGAAATTGTAGCTACAAAAATAAATAATAGAATAGAAATTAATATAATCTAATACTTATTGGAAGAATAAAAACTGCATATATGAATAAGAATAGAGCTAAAAAATAAAATAAAATCAAATAAAGGTTTTCAATAATAATAGTTACACTAGATTTTCATGTATTAAATAACGTATGTGATAATATATACAAATGTATTTATTTATTTTCTTTAAATTATTTTTGAATACATAATTAAACTAAACATCTTTTAATAATTAGAACGCATATTTCTTTATAGAATACATACTCTTTTACTGAAACTATAGACAAACTATTTGATATAATTTTGAATAAAGAGTGGAAACTATGTGTAATATTTTTTATTTTATACACCTTTTATTTTGCACATTTTTTATTTTACACATTTTTTATTTTATACATTCTTTATGTGTAATATTATCTTATCTTTGAATGCTACGTTAATATCTGATCAATTTTGGCAATATATTTATTTTGGACAAATAGTTATTGATCTGTGAGAAATGTCCTTAAAAAAATAAACAACAGACAATTTTATAAATTAAAAAATACCTTATGTGTATATCTCACTTTCTGATCGTCTCTGTCACATGCAGGTAATTAATATGTGTTTGTATAATATAATTTTATATCATTTAATTATTATAAACTATTGGCTATTACACAATCAGATTTTGTTAATTATACTTTTTCAACTGAATGTTATATAACAAATACTATTTACTTTTTAGAGATCATAGTTTAATTCTGAAAAAAAAAAGCATCATCTTCTTGTGTATTTATTAAAATAAGAATAATGTAAATGTTTAGTATGTTTATATTATCAGTGTGTTTATGCTAGCTGTATATTATTAATGCATATTATTATTTTTTTTTCTTGAAAAAAATCTTAGGGTAGTATACATGATGCTCGTGTAACTCAGTCTTTGCATAATGATTCCTATCTGCTACTAATTGTTTTGGAAAAGGAAATTTATTTATATATTAAAATAAAAAAAAAGGGAGGGAGAAAAAATAGATAAGGAAATAAATAATAACATTAAATGTGTTGGCGTCAAAAAATTACCAAAAGTATTTTTTTTGTAGTGTAACGGATGATAACAAGAAATACACGCGTAGAATATAAGTTCTCCCTCCCTCCTTTCTCTCCTTTTTTTCCTCAGTTTACATTAGCTTTTTAAAAAAAATACAAAATGCCTAATGTAAACTTTATCCAAAAGAGAAGAAGAGAAGACGACGATGAAGTTGATGGTATATATGTATTATCATGGTTTACTATAATGGTTTATTAATATTTTTTATTAAAAAACTTTTTTTTTTATTAAAAAAAAAATACTAGTAGGACGACGCGTACGCGCCAGAAGAATGACTGTTGTCGCGTTTGACGAGAGTAGAGGAAGTAGAAGAAGAAGAGAGGATGATGATAATGGCGATGAGGAGAGAAATCTTTCTCGTCGTCGTTTGAATCCTGAGGAAGGAGAGCGAGAAGAAGAAGAAGAAGAAGAGGAAGATGATGAAGAAGATGATGAAGATGATGAAGAGGAAGAAGAAGGATCAGAGGAAGGATACGAAGCAGATGATGAAGAAGATGAAGAAGTAGTATCCTCCTCTGATCAAGCTGGAATAGTAGAGGATGCAGTAGTACCCTCTGTGGCCTGCTGGCGAGAGGAATCTGATGAAGATCAGATGGTTCCTGAATAATGTTTTCCTTTTGTTTTCTTCTGGTAAGCCAATTTTTATTAATTTTCATTCATCTATAGAACATGGAAATTCCCCTTAATAGAATGAATTTTTTTATTAATTGATCAAAATTCTATCTATTACATAAAGACATACATTATATTTTCAAGGAATACCATACCATCATCCATTTTATAGCTCCTCTACTATTTATTTTTACTGCGGTGTAAAACTTCTGATGGTAAATTCTTTTTTGATTGGCAGTTGGCGGGCATTATTTTTTTTTTCTTTTCTTTTTTTATTATTATTATTTCTGCCTGTCTCTTCTTTTTATTTCTTTTTGGTGTTGTCAGAATGAAACAACGCTTTAATGCTCTAGATGTCCGTGCTACAGTCATTAACCTTCGGGAAAGGTATACATACATTTAAATAATTTCTATCAAGTTCCAAGTGGAAAAAAGATATATTCATCTTTTTTAAAAACTAATATAGATTGATTGGCATTCGTTTACAAAACATTTATGATGTCAATGCTAAAACATTTTTATTCAAATTTGCAAAGGTATTTAAGTGTATAATATCCGACAAAAATAGAATATTATAGTTGACCTAACTTATTTTTTTTGTATTTGTATAAAACCTATTAGCCTGATGACAAGGAGCTTGTTCTGGTCGAATCAGGTATTCGCATTCATACAACTCAATTTAGTAGAGAAAAATCAGTTATGCCTTCTCCTTTTTGCACAAAGGTAAATTAAACCATAGTAATTGCTCAAATAAAGAAATGTAATTAAATACAAACTTATTTTGTACTTTTAGCTTCGTAAATATCTTCGTACTAGACGTGTAACGAATGTTCGCCAATTAGGCATCGATCGTATAGTTGATTTCGAATTTGCAGGAGGCGAAATGGGAATTGGTTACCATCTCATTTGTGAATTTTATTCTTCTGTAAATAATAGTAGAAAAGCATCAATATAATATTGTAATATTTAATATCTATACACATATAGGGTAATATCATTCTAACAGATCATAATTATCGTATACTCGCTTTGTTACGTACAGTTCAACCTTCAGAAACTTTAAAAATGGCTGTGGATGAAATTTATAATGTGAAAACAGTCTTGAATGATTTCGAAAAAGTAACTGCTGATCAGTTAAGAACAGCTCTAAAATCTGCTGGGCCAAAAGATAATTTGAAAAAGTTGCTTAATATCAAGTTTGGTAAGTTATATAGATAATTTAAAAATTGTCAACAATAGTTATTTACTGGCCCTCTATAACTTAGAATACGGTCCTGCTATGATTGAGCATATTATTTTAGAATCAAACTTAGATCCTAATTTAAAAGTGGCTACTGATTTTGATACTTCAGAAGGTATAAAACTCTTGTTTTTACCTTAACCTTCTTAATAAAACAAACTAACAAATAATTATCTACAGATTCTCCTATGTTGCATGCTTTATTGGAAGGATTTAATAAGGGTGATGAATTAATTAAATCTACAAAAGATTCTGTTCCAGAAGGATTTATTATTTTGTTGAATGATAAGGAGAGTCAGAAGATCGAAGATAATGAAGAAAAGGTTGAAATGTAAGTGTAAGATAAGTTGAATAAAAAATCAGAAATAGTGACTAATTCGTTATTATATAGTTATGATGAATTTCATCCGTATTTATATAAACAATTTGAAAATCGTACATATAAAAAGTTTGCAACTTTCGATAAAGCTGTTGATGAATTTTTTTCAGCAATTGAATCCCAAAAACTTGAATTAAAGTCTAGACGACAAGAAGAAGCTGCCTTGAAGAAACTTGAAGCTGTTCGTAAAGAACAAGAAAGTAGAGTACAAAGCCTTTTGAACCAACAAATTACAAATGTGCGTAAGGCTCAGTTAATTGAATTGAATCTTCAGTTAGTAGATGCAGCTATTACCATTATTCGAAATGCTGTTGCTAGTCAGATGGATTGGCAAGACTTGAATGATTTAGTTAAAGAAGAAAAGAGAAGACAAAATCCTATTGCAATGATAATTGATGCCCTTAAATTGGAGACCAGTCAAATAACTTTAGTTTTAAGGTAAAAAAAATAAAAATAAATAAATAAATAAATATAGATGCATGCGTAGTTATTTTATCGTCTAACTCTTCTATCTTTATTTATAGTGATCCTGATATAAATGATGATGAAGAAGATAGTGAAGATGAAAAGGAAGAATTTCAACCCGTTAAAGTAGATGTCGATATTGGCTTAACTGCATTTGCCAATGCTCGAAAGTACTATGAACAAAAGAAATCTACAGCTAATAAACATGAAAAGACAATCGAGGCCTCTTCTAAAGCACTTAAATCAGCAGAACGCAAGATTAGACAGGATTTGAAGGAAACTAAAATCACAGCTACAATTAATAAAATTAGAAAACCATTTTGGTTCGAAAAATTCTTATGGTTTATCTCCACAGATGGTCATTTAGTAATTGCAGGTCGTGATATGCAACAAAATGAAATGCTTGTGAAGCGTTACCTATCAAAAGATGATGTATATGTTCATGCTGATCTTCATGGTGCTGCGTCTGTCATAGTAAAAAACAAGCCTAATGCGAATGGTCAACCTATTCCTCCTAGTACTTTGTATCAGGCTGGAATTATGTCTGTTTGCCAAAGTAAAGCCTGGGATTCTAAAATAGTAACTAGTGCTTACTGGGTTTATCCTGATCAGGTTTCTAAATCTGCTCCCTCAGGTGAATACTTGACAACTGGTAGTTTTATGATTCGTGGCAAGAAGAACTTTTTACCTCCTGTGCAGCTTATTTACGGCTTTGGTTACATTTTCAAATTAGATGAATCCTCTATTGGTAACCATATTAAAGCAAACAATAATGTGGACATAAATGAGAAAGAAGATACTCCAAAAGAAAACGAAGATTTAAAGCCTATTCCTCATGATTCTGATAAACATATTAACTTAATTGATGAGGGAAATGAGCCAAAAGAGGAATCAATAAAGAGTGAAAATAGTGATACATCTGCAACAACATCAGGTATTTTTTTTTCTTGTTTTTCGGCATATGTTAATATACCATTATTAATCTTTTTTTCTACTATTATAGGTACTTCTACTCCAGCTAGCAAAACTTCACAAAGTGAAAATAACTCTGATGAATCTGATGATAGTAGTGACGATGAAAATGCTTTCCCTGATACTCAACTTCAGTCTCTCCCCATTGATACATCTATCGAAACTTTGCCTTCTGAAGGTATTACTGAAACAAAAACTGATTCCAAAAAAGAAGATGTTATTGCAGCATCTCAGCAAACTGATAAATATAACTTGGACGAGTACGGTCATGACTCTGATGAGCAAGATCTTGCTCAGTCGACTTCTACTGGCTCAAACACGCCTACCAAAAAATTTATTACTGCAAGAGAACGTAGATTGATGAAAAAGAAAAACCTAGCTGCACTTAATGATGAAATTAAACTAGCATTAGAACAACAAAATAAGGAAATCAAGAAACAAAAACAAACAACTAAATCTACCGAAAAACCTACATTATCACCTACTTCAACCATAACTCGTGGACGTAAAGGCAAAGCAAAGAAAATTAAGAGTAAATATGCAGATCAAGATGAAGAGGAAAGACAGCTTCGTATGGAGCTTTTAGGTGTAAGTGTCTATATAAATAAATACATGATGTGCTTGTTAGAAGATAATAACATATACTTATTCATAATACTAGTCTAATAAGGGCCCTCAACCTAAAGGTAAAAAAGCCAAACGAGAAGCTAAAGCTAAAGAAGAAAAGGCCGCACGTGAAAGAGAAAGAGCAGCTAGAAAAATGGCTGAAGAACAAACTAAAAAATCTCATGAGACAGATAAAGCAACTGAAATGACACCTGTTATGGCTGAAACAGAATATGCTGATGAAAAAGATAAAGAAGTCATTCGACAGATGCTTAAGGAAGAAAATATTGCTATTCTTGAAGCGGATGAAGTAGCTAATCTATCTATTCTTGATTCTCTTACTGCAAATCCATTACCAGAAGATATCATTCATTTTGCTATTCCTGTCTGTGCTCCCTATACAGCAATTCAAAAATACAAGTATAAGGTCAAATTGACACCTGGTTCATTAAAGCGTGGTAAAGCTATTAAACAAGCACAATCCGTATTCTTCAACTTGAGTGATGCAACAGCACGTGAAAAAGAATTAATTAAGAGCGTTCCAGAGATGGAGGGTATTAATACTATGATGAGTAAAGTAAAAATATCAGCTCCTAATCTTGAAGCAAGCAAACGTAAAAAGGGTGGAAATAGAAGATAAATATCTTATTATTGTATTAAAAAAAAAGGAGACATGTAGAATATTATACATATTTTTATATAACACAAATTCATGAATAAAAGAAATTGTATAAATTGTGGATTAAACACATATTTACATATTATTGTGGACATATAAAAAAGGTATATATGTAGTAAATTTTACAACTACAAAATGCTTTTCATTTTCATTAAAATAATCACGCACTTGAAAAAAGAATAGAAATGATAATAATAATAATAAAAAAGAATAAGTATGTTATTTGCATAATAGATGGTAAGACCGTAGACTAGTATGAAAGAACTCAAAGCTATTCACAACTGCATTGATAATAAAATTACTATAATTCCTTTTCAATTATCAGCGTTTGTCTATAAGGCTACATTTACTGTATGTATTATTTGATAATGATTAAGAATAAAGTACTATATTTTATTATTTGATAGTATCTTCTCTAATCTCCTTCCATCATATAAAGAAGATAAAGTAACCTTCTCTTTTCTTATTCATTTCCTTTTCTTTCTTTTTTTTTTTTCATACGGAAATGATACTAGCGTGATCTATAGCATAACTATTCCATATATATATATTGTTCATTAAATGAATACAGAATAAAGCTCAAAGTAAAATGAAAAGGTATAAAATACTTTTATACACATTTAATAATAAAATATACAATATATAGTGTCCTAAATAGTATGTAATTCTTTAAATAAACATAGATATGAATAAATAATGATTTGTTTTATTATTTAAAGTTTATACAACTTTATATATTATATGTCAAGCTTTCAAAATGCGCAAGGTAGCCAAGCCGGTGTAATTTTTATATATTTTTATATATATGATACGGATCTTCAGCTAGACTATTCTTCAACATGCCGCACTATAAATCAGAGAGAGACGGATAGTCTAAGATGACGGCCTCTAAATAAAATAATATCCACTTACAAAGTTATAATAAATTTGCTGTAGATTGAATGAGATATGTAGTAAAATTGTTATACATGTATAAAATATAGACTTGGTATCATTTATCAGACATGTATAATATCTGATTCTTTTTTCATTTTATTTCCCTCTCTCTCTCTCTTTCTTTCTTTCCTCTCTTTGAATTATTATATCAACATACATGCCTAATAATAATTCTAAAATAAGAGTAAAGAAAGATCAAAAATGGAAATCAATATCTCCAGTATCAAATGTGTCTTTTAAAGAAGAAGAGACGATAACGAAACACGCCACTTGTTCACGACAAGATGTGATAAGGAGACAGAATAAACTTACGACATTTATACCCAGAAGAAAGACGATGATCAAACAATATCATCATCTTTTAACTTTACATGGATTAGATCATGATGCTCTTTATCGTCGTCTCATTTATGAAGATTCCAAATTAGATCAAGAAGTAACTCATCTTCGTTGGATCTATGGCTTTCGTTTTTGTGCCTATTTTATCTTGAAGGGGAATCGTAAAGTGGCTAGAAATCAGATATTAATAGGCAATGATCATCATAATGGACACACACAAAAAGTTATAAACTTAAACCAATTTCCAGGCTTAAGCAGTTATCTTTTATCAAAAGAAATAATCGATAGTCATCTCTTGGAGTCTCCCCTTGACGAAAACGCAATTCAATATTTTAACAATCACAAGATACATCAACGACAAATATCCCCATTTTTATATGCATTCTGTGCCTTTTTATATTCATTTTTGCCCAATGAAAAACAAAAATATAAAATTAACTTAGATCCTAATCGCTTTAAAATCTTTTCTTCAAGAGATTCTCTTACTGATAATGATATGACGATAAAAGTGGAATCAGAAGAAGACAAAATACATACAGAATTTAGACTGTCATCACCCTTTGTTGAATAATCAATTTGTGTGTGTGTGTGTTTTTTTTTTTTTTTTTTTTTTTTTTTTTTTTTTTTTTTTTTTTTTTTTGTTGTGCATTTGCTTTTAACTAGGAAAGAAATAAATACGTGCAGATGATATATTAATAGTGTGTATAATAATTATGTGATAGATTAGATAAACTTTATCTGTATTTTGAAAGCTAATGTACACATATATGATTGTATAAGAATAATATTTTATACATGTATATATACAAAAACAATATTAGATAATATTATTTTTTTCTTTTTTATTATAAATATTATTTAATATAAATGTAATAAAAATGAGTAGTATATCAGATAGAGTATTATTATACACAATAAAAAAAATAAACGATTTTATTTCATTATATTGCGCTTGCTGATATTCTGTATTTAATTAAAAAGATAATATGAACAAATACCATAACCAAACTTATTATAATAACTGACATTTGGTAGACGATACGCAATCTGTAGTACGCGCTAATTTATACACAAGTTGTATATTTGCAATAAATAGAAAAACTCAATAGATCTTTTCATTTGACTGTACATTCACATTAATAACTCAAAAAAAATAAAAAAAAAAAATAAATAAATAAAATATAGTGCTTGTGATGCTCAGAAATATATTAAATCCTGATTAAAGCGCTTCAAATTTAGAAATTTATTCGTATCTTATTCAAGCACTCTTAATATACATTTATTTAAGAAATTACTGAGAGGGAAGAAGGTTTATTAAACTTTATTTAGATGGGTTGTGTTTCTTTCTTAAGCCATGCAGTAGCAAGTTCATCATGAGCTACGAGAGGTCCAAGCTTAGTCAAACACTCTTGATGATAATCATTTACCCATTGACGTTCAGAGGAGGACAAAAGATCAACATCAATCAAGTTAAGACCAATGGGGGCAATAGTAACATGCTCAAATCCCAAATAACCACGACCACCAAAATTATTAGGTGTTTCAACATTCTTGACTAAGATAACATTTTCAATACGAATACCAAACTTACCATCTTCGTAATAACCAGGCTCATCTGTAACAGTCATACCAGCTGCTAAAGGTGTATCATTAAAATGTGGACGAATACCAATACCATGAGGTCCTTCATGAACGTTTAAGAAAGAGCCAACACCATGACCAGTACCGTGCAAAAAGTTCAAACCATCCTTCCAAAGAGGTTGACGAGCAAAAGGATCTAAGAGATAACCGGTTGTCCCCTTAGGGAAGACGGCGACATCAATTGCAATATGGCCTTGGAGAACACGAGTAAAGCATCTCTTTTCATAAGCAGTGGGTGTACCGAAATGGAAGGTACGTGTGACATCAGTTGTACCATCAAGGTATTGTCCACCTGAATCACAAAGATAGATTTGGGATGGGTCAATAATTTTACAGGTCTCCTTCTCAGGTTTGTAATGAATGATGGCGCCATTAGGGCCGGTAGAGGAAATGGTAGCGAAGGACAAACCCACATAATGTTCTTGTGTAGCACGGAATTGTTCAAGTCGATCTGCAGCTTCTACTTCACTTAATTTCTCACCAGCAAGTAATTTATCCTCAAGCCATGCAAGGTATTGAACAAGAGCTGCACCATCTCGAAGATGGCAAGCTCGCATACCGTCTAATTCTTCTTTTGTCTTTATAGCTTTACGATCAGTAATAAATGATCTTTCTTCTACTATATTTGTCTATTATTTTATAATCAGATACAAAGTTAGATAATTGACTCCTTCTTTCTCTTTCTCTCTCTCTCTTTTTATTACATATTTCATTCATTACCTCACCAACAGCAACCTCAACAGCTAAACTAGTTTTGTTATTAACTAATAATTTGTTTTCACCATTTAAATTCAATTCTTTAAGGTAAGTAAAGAATTGGCTATAAGGTTTCAATGTAACTGTAGAACCCAAATGTGATTTCACTTCGTCTGTTACTTTATTTAAATCCACAAACAAAATAGCTTCTTGCTCACTAATGATAGCATAAGAAAAGAATACAGGATTGCATTCAATATCAGAACCTCTAAGATTAAATAACCAAGCAATTTCGTCCAAGGCAGAAACAACAGTACCATAGGCATTTTTACTCTTAATATGAGAACGCAATTCTTCTAACTTCTCTTCAACAGATTTACCTATTACAATATATATAAATACATGTATTAATAATTAATAAATTATGCATTATCTTTTTTCTATAATTACCTGTGTACTGAATAGGCTGTACAAATATTTTATTTTTTGGTGCTTCTGGTCTATCATTCCCCCATACAAGATCAACAAGGTTTTCATGAATAGGAACCAACTGAGAACCCAAGGGTTCGAGTTGAGTTTTAAGTTGATGAGCATCAACTAATATAATGTATAGTTAATACAACTGATATACTTGTAAGCCTCTATCTATATATTATATAAAAAGTTTTACCAGCATTAATAAGAGTAGGATCAAGACCAATACGTGAACCAGCAGGAACGTTCTATGAGTCAACATACAAAATATAATTTACATAAATATGAAAATAATAATAATAAGAATAATCATAATAAAAACCTTGACTAAATACTCTTGCCATGTAGGAACACCAGGAAGTCCTTGTTTCATCAAAGTCCAATTATCATCTAATTGTTGAGAAGCTTGTAAGAAATAACGACCATCAGTGAATAAAGCAGCTTCTGTCTCGGTTACAATCGCAAAGCCTAAAAAAGGAAAACGTGAGAAAAAGTTTCTTCATGGTAGAATCATAAGGTGTGTATTTTACCAGCAGAACCAGTAAAGCCTGAAATCCAATGTCGACGTTTATCACAATCAGCAATGTATTCACTCTAATAGTGTATTATAAAATTATTCGTAAATTGTATTGGATATTGATATAAAATATCACGTACCTGATGAGCGTCCTCCGAGGGCACAAGGCTTATGTAATCTTTTATTAGTCTATATGCAATAATAATAATAGTAGCAATAACTTACAAGACATTAATATCATGTCCCTTCATTTCTGAACGAAGACTAGCAAGGCGTTCAGATGTAGAAACAGGCATATTGAGTTTATGGTGTTTTAATAAATTATATTATGAAAAAGAAAAAAAAAAAAAAATAAAAATAAAATTAAAAGGACAAAAATAGCTTGTAATTTTATTTTAGTGTTTAAAGCTCAGTTGATGATTAGATGAAAATTTAAATACAGAACTATAACTGTTTCGGTTAAATATAAGTAATAATGGCAGTATAGCGCATCGTATTTTATATGACATTAAAGCCATAATCCATATATTTTGTTTTATAAAAGGTTAACTAAGTAATTTATCTTTTATAAAATTTATACATGAATGTTTATAAATATTTGATATTGTAAATAAGAGACTTATCATATATATTGACAAACAAGTTTTTTTTTATTGTTTAAAGTGTTTGCATTGAATAACTTGGTATATTAATTTGTGGCACAGAAGTATCTATCTTTTATATTTTCTATGTAATTCATTCTCTATAATATAAATCAGTTCATATACAAGCTTTAGTTTAACTCCAAGTATGTTTGCTAAAAAAAAATAAATATATTCAAATATATGCGAAAAAAAAAGAAAAGGGAAAAAGAAGATTGCTTAGCTTTTTTATTGTTGTTATTTTTGGAATAACAAATAACAAACGTGTAACGATTCAAGGTAAGCATGTAACTTGTTTAGGTATGTCTTCTTTCTCCTCTTGATATTCTTACCCCTTAAAAATAGATTACATACTTTTTCTCCCTTCTTTTTCTTTCTCCTTTTTTATTTTTCATTTTTCTTTTTGTTTACATTTTGTGTTGTCTTTTCACTTTTCACTTTTTTTTTTTTATTTCTTTTTCCTCCAAGCATAAATATATATAACTCCGATATAATATGCCAAATAGTAATACTAGTTTAAATAATGAAAGCGATATACCTGAGAGAATAGCAGCTGCCAGAAGAGAAGCAGAAGCTTTAAAAGAACGTATCAAACAGCGTAAAGAAGCATTAGCTGATACAACCTGTAAGTTGAATATCTTTATTTTTTTTTTGTAAAATGATTACTCATCAATAGTAAAGTACAAGAAATGGCCAAAGACGTAGAACCATTACCACGAATAGTTATGAAAGCAAGAAGAAACCTTAAAGGACATTTAGCAAAGATTTATTCGATGCACTGGGCTAATGATAAACGACATTTAGTTTCAGCATCACAAGATGGTAAACTGATTGTTTGGGATGCTTATTCAACTAATAAAGTTCATGCTATTCCACTTCGATCCTCTTGGGTTATGACTTGTGCCTATGCACCTTCAGGCAACTTTGTAGCTTGTGGTGGTTTAGACAATATCTGTTCTATTTATAATTTACGTACTAGAGAAGGTTCTGTACGCCCTGCTCGTGAATTATCTGCTCATAATGGGTATCTTAGTTGTTGTCGATTTATTAATGACCGCCAAATATTAACTGCTTCAGGGGATATGACCTGTATGTTGTGGGACATTGATGCAGGTGTCAAAACAGAAGAATTTACAGACCATACAGGAGATGTGATGAGGTATATAAAATAAAGTAAAAAAAGTAAAAAAGTAAAAAAGTAAAAAAAAAAAAAAAAAAAAAAAAAAAAAAAAAAATCATGATTATGTAGTAAATAACTAATATAGTTGTATATAAATAGTCTTTCGTTAAGTCCAAATCCCAGTATTTTTGTCACCGGTGCATGCGATTCAACAGCTAAAGTTTGGGATATTCGTACTAAGCGTTGTGTTCAAACATTTGTAGGTCACGAATCCGATATTAATGCAGTCCAATTTTTCCCCGATGGAAATTCATTTGCAACAGGCTCTGATGATGCAACTTGTCGTCTTTTTGATTTGCGTGCTGATTGTGAGCTTAGTATGTATTCTCATGAATCTATTTTGTGTGGTATTACTTCTCTTGCCTTTTCACCATCAGGACGTCTTTTATTTGGTGGTTATGATGATTATAATTGTAATGTATGGGATACTTTGAAAGGTGAACGTGTAGGTATTTTATCAGCTCATGATAATCGAATTTCTTGTCTTGGTGTTGCAGGAGATGGTATGGCACTTTGTACTGGAAGTTGGGATTCTACACTAAAAGTCTGGGCCTAATAGTGTTCCTGAGCGCTTTTTCAAAATGAATGAATGTACTTTTTTTTTTTTTTTTTATACGTATACGATATATGTATTTATATATATTGTATATGTCAAACCTCCCTATCAGACTCCTTATATAACGGTTTTTTTTTCTTTTATTACTATTATTTATTACTATTATTCTGTTTATTACCATTACTATTATGTATAAATAACAATATCGCATTAAAGTTACAAGTAAATTTATGTAAGTTTATTATAACATTGCCATATAATATACAAATATTCTCCTAAAATGTAGCACTATTATTATTATTATTATTATTATTATTATTATTATTATTATTATTATTATTATTATTATCCAAGTATATAAGTGTGAATTGAAGATATTATACATGATAGCCATCATTCTTAAATATGAGAAGTTGCTAAGCTGTGACGTTGTTGGTTATTAATGGGAGAACCATGAAAAAATCGACCTATAAAACCAGGAGATGCTAAGGTTTTATTGCTATCACTGAAGAAATAAGATGAGAGTGAATGCCTTCTATCGTCTTTATTATGGCTCTTCATTAAATAATCATTATAGGATGATGTTCTTCTTTGATGCCTTTGTAATAAAAACATGCTAGAAACAGAAGAATAAGAAGATGCAGCAGATGACGATGCTGATGAAGAAGAAGAGGATGATAATGGTGATATAGAATCCTTAATAGGTAGCTTATTTCGTATTATTTTTGCTTGTACACGCTGCATTGATAATTTTAAAGGATCTTGGTATTGTTTAAGACTTTTATATTCTCGATTAACTCGGTTAATTTCATTAGTTAGTTGAAGTACATTTTTTGGATGATTTAAAGAATTTTTATCACCAACCAAAGAAGATTGTTTTTGAAATACTAAATTCTGTTGAGTACAACCATTGTTTATAGATGATAATCTATTTATTAACTCTTCATTATTACAAGCATGTATATTAAATATAGTAACTTGAGTTGTAATGGTAGTATTAGAAATAGATTTTGCTAATAAATAAGGTCGCTTTATTGTTGTATCTTCTTCTATCATTATATTTAAAAAAAGAAAGAAGAAAAAAAAAAGGGAGAAAATCAAAAGAAACAAGCTCCTAAATAATTATTTTTTTTTTCATTGCACATGATTCAGAGCTATTCTTCTTTGCTTATTTATTTGTATTTCTTTGAAACTTCTTTTTTATCAAATTCATAGCATCATTGTTTCACTGTAATGTATTTAGTTTCTTAATGTACTTTTGTAGAAAATTATATTCTGCTTAATTAAAATAGATTAATCGTAATTTCTAAATGTATTTTTTTTTTTTTTTTTTTTTAAGAAAAAAAATAATCTTTCGTTTAATAATACTTCAGCTATGTAGATGCTTCTCTTCCAGAGATTTTAGATATAATATAGGATTATTATTCACAAATATAGTACTTTTATAGTATCAGTAATAGACTTGATCTATATTTGACCTTATTAACGCAAAATGGTAATAAATACTATAGAAAAATTATTCTGTTTGTTTTTCTTTTCTATATCGTGATTATCGATAGTTTATTGATTGCATAATCTGAAAAATAGAAAAACATGCTTATTCTAAAAGAGTTTGGAATAAAAAAAAAATTGAAACTTAATATATTAAACATTGATTTTTTTATAGTATAGCAGAAAAGATTAACTATTTAACCTATTTATATTATTTTGTTAACAGAAGGTAAGTATGAAAACTATTCATGTATACATTTTATATAGTGTATTAGCAGCACATAGGACTTTATTCTAATCTATATTAGAATATTACTTACATAATTATATCATGACAATAGCTAAGGGCGGATTCACAAGATTAGTTGTAGTTGTATTACATTTTATGGATTTTGACAGATAAATAAATATTGTATTTTTATTCTTTATACTGCGTTTATTTTGTGATAAAATACGATAAAATTAGATAGTATACATGACAAAAAGTTTTCAGTTGATTTCATTACTTGCCATAAGTTGATGAAAAGGTACTAGCAATTATTTTTTTTTTTAAAAAAAAATTTAGTCTTTCATTTAAAAGAATAACTCATCATTCAATACAGAGAAATGATAAAAATAAAACTTTATTAATTGTATAGTGTGTATTAACAGATGGTGTCTGTCAAGAATCATTAATTACATTTTACTTATAAAACCTTGTGCTAAATAGATTATTTTCCAGAAATAATAATAATAAAGAGGAGGGCTTTATTCAGTTATAAATAATATACACCATTTCTAATGTCAACAAAAAAGTAATGGTGATAGCAGGAATAAATGCGTTTATCTCCTTTGCCTCACCCTCTTAGACATCATCGAGAATTTCTAATCGATGTTTGATAATAAAACAATATTGATTCGACCTTTTAGGACATCAAAGGCTTACAAGAGAAGCATTCCAACACACTCCAACGTTTGGTAGATACATCTATTTGATTGAAGAACTAGTCTATTTTAAAATTTTCATTTTATGCCTTCCAAAAATAAAAGCAAATTATTGAAAAAATGAAGGCCGTCCTTAGACATTGTATTGGCCATACATGTAAATAAAGCAAAAAGAGAAAAAAAAAGTAGTGGTGGTGGTAGCAGTAATTAAACGATTAATATGAACAATAGTTAAATGTATTATGTAACACAACAAAAAAAAAATACTTAAAGTGCTCACATGTAATAATTGACTAGATAAATTAAGCATAACATAATTAATGACTCGGATTAGCTTCATATATTCATTGAAAAATAGTAATTAACACACTAAACTGCTATTCATTAAAAAAAAAAAAAATAAGGAGAATCTCATTAAATCATTATTGACTCAACAAAAGAAAATTCCTAAAATATAATTGGATGAAATCATACAATTATATAAAGTTGCATGAAAGTAGAAGGATTATCATCATATTAACTATATATGGTAATCTTGACATGATGAAAAAATGATATAAAATACATGTTGTTTTTGGTTCTTCTAAAACAGCGTATATAAAGAAAAAAAAAGAAACTTTAGTTCACATTTTTAATTTATTATTATCTTTTTTTATTTTTTTTTTTTTTAATATAATGGCATCCAATCAACCAAATACTACAAGTAACTTTTCAGCTAATAATAACAATATGTCTTTAAATAATCGTCAAGACAATAGAGATCCTAAAGCTGTCAAGCAGAAGGCAGCTGAAGTTAAGTTACACTTATTAGGTGTAATGCAAACTATGCAGAAGGAAGGAAAAATGCCCCATAATACTGAGTTGAATGATCTTTTGGAAAAGCTAAAGACAAATAGAATTATTTCTTCAAGAGAACATTTAATGTCTACAGATGGCAAAAATCTATTACATGATTTCCGTGATTTACTCAATGTTATTCAAAAGGCATTAATCGTTAAGAATAAAGATGAGTTATTCCAATCTCTTGTTTATCACATTCATTGTATGGATACTCCTATTTCAAAAGGTACAGTAGATATACTATTATTATTATTATCATTATTATATATCGCTTATATTCATATATACTTTTGTAGAAAATATTCGTGAATCGATAAAGTCACAGAATAGAGGCGCCTCTGCTCAACAAGAAGGAAAGAAAGGTACTGTATTGTCTATATATTATTATACTGACTATGTGCTATGATATTAACACTCAATTATATTATATAGGCTCAAACGCTTTAATGAAAATCGTTAAACTCATGTTAATTAACAACGAATTTCGTTCAGTCTTGGGTGAACTTCTTGATATTTCTCAAGATATTTTCAATAACATGACTCATAAAATGGGTAATTCTATTCAACAAACAGGCTCTAATAATAATAACAATAATCGTTCTGGTAAAGAAAGAATGGATAACGTACTTGATAGTGCTGTAAATCGTTTGGATGATAATCAAGAATATCATCGTGATCGTAGTGGCAGTCGTTCTTCCTATCATGATCGTGAACCTCAACTTATTAATGCACCTTCTGATGATCATAGACATCAAGGTCTTCTTAATACTGGAGATACTGTTCACCCCAGAGCTATTCCTGGTATTTTATCAGATATAAATACAAATGTAGCCTCAAGTGGTGGTATTCAAAATCCTGAATATTCACATTTGCCTCCTAATACTATGAATCATATCTCTGGTAAATCAGTGAATGCTCCTAGACACTCTACTAATATGGCTTCTGGTACTTATAATAATTATGGACCTCAAGAAGGCTATTCTTCTGGTACAGGTAATATAAATGCTCCTTCTGGTAATAAGCCTTATTATTCTGAACAACAAGACAATTTCCATCATAATGACTTCAATACTCAACAGAGGAACCAAAGTCATCCTTATGCTCAACATGCTCGTGATACTGTTGATGAACATAAGCAGTATGCTCGCGATACTGTCAATGAAAAGCTTCCTCAGGAAAAGCAAGATGAACTCATTCGTCGTCTCAAGAATGCGCTTGCAGAAGTTGAAAGAAATCCTGATTTTCAAAGTGCCATTAGCACCCTTATCCATCTTATTAAGACCTGGAGCAACCGTCTTTCACATGTTTCAGATAACATGAAATCCGAAGCCAAGCAGAATGAGACACCTGAACAAATGGATTACAAGGACAGAGCTCAAAGTGAATTTAAAGCTATTCTTGAAACTTGGACCCAAGGATTTTCTATTGATCCCCTTTTGAATGGTGTTCAAAATGTAATGCATGATATGGAACACGATGACGCACTTCGTAACTACTATGACTCTATTGTTAATTATGTTAAGCGTTTAGTTCGTGATCCTGAATATGCTCGAAGAGATGCATCCACGGAGGATGGTCGTAAGTTAATGGATAAAGGTAATTCTATTATTAAGGATCGATATCGCGATCATCTTGATTACTTGACATCCGAATCACGTCATTATATGCGTTTGATGACTGATGATGAAATTGCTCAAGAGCTCCGTAATTGTGTTAGTAAGATTCACAATGATTTATGGAAAGATAATGACGGTAACCCTGCCTTCAAACCTCATCTATTTAATGATATGCGTATGACGTTATTGCCTGCCTTTATCGATGAAATCAAATATATTCCTATCCCTCGTATTGAATACAGTGACGCCCAATATGATATTGCCATTGAAAATCTCATTTTATCTGGTGATTCTCTCCTGCCTAACGTTTTTGATACTAAACTTGAAAGCTTCAACAGTTTTAGCTTAAAGACAGATGCACCTTCTAAACCTAGCCATCAAAGTATGTTGATTCGTATGAGTGAAATTCAAGCTAAAGTTGAAGATGTCGTCTTTTATTACAAAAAGAAAACTGGTTTCCCTAGAATCTCTGACAGTGGTGTTGCCTCTCTTAATATTGGTGGAAAGGGTATCACGGTCACGACTCGCATCAACAGTATTGTGGATGATCCCACCCGAACATTTAAGGTTACATACTGTAAGTGCAACGTTGATAATTTAAGCATTAAGGTGAATGATAGTCATCATGATATACTTTACAAGGCTATTCGCCCTTTGGTTATTGGTCAGATCCGCAAACAAATTTCTAAAGGTGTTGAAATGAAGGTCATTGACACATTAAATCAAATTGATCAACGATTGACAAGCAGCATAACTCATATGAATCAAAAGTTGCAAGACAAAGCGTATAATGCTTTGCCTGAAGAGGAAAGAGTCAATCTTTCAGCCGCTAATACTTCCTCACAAGCGCAAACTCGACATGGATTCTTTTCTACTGTTGTTAACCTCATTAATCATAACATTAAACAAAGATCAACAAGACATCGTTCTAGTAGTGCAGGTACTAGACGACGATTTAGTTTCTCTCCTCAACGTCGTCGTTCGAGTCGTAATTCTACCCAACAACAACAACAACAACAACAACAACAACAACCTGAAGGAATCTCTCATGAACGTTATCCCAATGATGGTTATCATCAATCTGAAGGTTTAGCTCAAGGTGGCATGCAAGCAGATAATTCACAATATAATTCCAATGAAAATACTAACATAACCCCACAGTTCAAAAACCGTCAACATGAAGGTGTACAACAACCAACTACTAACTTTAACCGACCCGATGAGGGTGTTGCTTATGGCGGTGATACCTTCTATCAGCCATCTGAGGAGGGCTTCAATCGTAACAAAATGCAGCAATTAGAAAATAATCAAAGTAATAATGATACTGGTATTATGCAACAGCCCAATTATGGACAGCGGGAAGGCAGGAGTAGTGGTGGAATGCAACAACCAGATAATTATCATGAAGGCGTATCATCTGGAAGACTTGGTGAACCATATTTAGATGACCAAACTCGTCACCCTACAGAAGGTATATCTCATGTTGGACAAACACAAGGACTTAATCCTCATATGGAACAACCTTATCATCAAACTAAAAATCTGGATCCCTCTGATTATAGACAAGATCATAATATCAATACAGACCAAAGCTACGCTGCTTCTATGGATACAGGCCGTTATCATCATATTGACAGCCCCCCAGTCTTACCTACTAAGAACCAACCACAATATAACGATCGTAATGACTTTAAGATTGCCAATGATTTGTCAAATGCTCAAGATGAATATGAAAGAACACAACGCTCTCATCGTGTTTAAAAGGAAAAAAAAATAGGAGAGTGCCTGTTATAGTTTTCATTTAGCTATTTTCAATATATTTTAATATACTTTATATATTTTAATTTCTATGAATTAACCTTTGCAATGAATATGTATACTATATATCTTATCATTTATTAATAATAAAAAATAGTTTTTTCTTAAAAAAAAAAAGAAAAAAAAAAAAAGAAAAAAAAAAAGACACAGAAAATATTATCAACAGCTTTCTATTGATTAGATTTTAGATAATCCTGTGCTCTTATATAACATTTATTTTTATCATTGGTTATTACCAAACTTTATATTATACTAATTTCAGATTATTTCAGCCACAACTCGTATATTATTAAGAAGAAGTATATGATTATAACAACAGCACTAACCAAAATTATGGATTAGAAAGGTATAAAGATAACCATTTACTTAGATATCTTTTCAAATGTTTTAGAACTAGTTTTATGCGGATATAATTACGAAAGCTTTTTTTTTTTTTTTTTTTTTTTCAATATCATTATTACTCTATATAATAAAGAATTATATGGATTTGTTTCAGTAGATAACCCCCCAACCCGTTAATAAAGATTAATTAGGCTTTATTTTATTTTATTTTATTTTATTTTACTTTTCCTTATGTATATAATACATTTATTGTTGATTGTCGTTCTCATTGTAACGAAGTGTTTTAAGGCTCAACAGCCAAATAATACTTATAGCAATAATACTATTTTTCAAGTCTTAAATGATACAACTACTAGCCCTGCATTTAAATTTATGCAGTTTCTTCAATCTTCTCCTGACTACCAACCCATACTTGAATTGCTGTCCAATACATCGAGCAATTTAACATTATTTATCCCAAGTGATCAAGTCTATTATGAAGTAACGGGGGAACATCCACCTACTTTAACAGATCCCAGCAATAATACTACAAACAGTACTACAAATGGTACAGAAGCATCTACAACAACAACTTCATCATCATCATCATTATTATCAACAACGACAACAATTACTGGTTCTGTTACAACTATGGCTGATCCTTCTTTCTCGATGGGCTTACCTAATATTTTTACAGTATCGCATCAAGCAGAAGCAACTTCCATTTACAGCTTAACTAAGAAGGATTATATTTATAACTCCTACGATAATATTATGAATAATCCAAATCCTGAAAAGAGAATAGTATTGTCGATGAGGGCTGAAGTACTCTCTAAGTTTGGTTCATTAAAGATGCCTCAACCACAACTAGGAATACATAAAGCCATTGATCAAGGAAATTGGGAAGCAGTGACTTCAGATCCCATCTTTGCTAATAGCTTCAACCATACCGATCTAGCTTACTATCATTTAGTCAATGGGTCTACAGTTTTAACAAACACAACAATGGTACTTGATTCATTATTGACCAATACAACAGTAAATAAATGGTACTCATATTCACAGCTTGTCGTTCAGCAAAGAAATAATTTAACAGTCGGTAATGGACTAGGTAATGATGCTAACATTTTAGCAGATAAAACAATCCAGGCATCTAATGGTATAATATACATTATTGATAAAAGTAAGGATGTTATACAAAGTACATTCTATATATGAATTCTCATCATTATATGTATATGTGTGTCTGACATTTATATAGTCTTAATACCACCCGTAAGCCCAATAGATACTTTAAGTATCCTTGAAAATACGACATTTTTTAATTGGATCTTATCTCGATCAAGTTATAATTCATCTTTAAATACAGCTAACAATGTAAACAACTATATATGTATATACATATTAGGAAAACTTACTATACATATATTCCTTTTTTATAGATGACTCTCTTTGTTCCTACTAACAGTGCATTACAAAACTTGAATTTTACTATTTTAACCAACGAGACTATTGATAATTTTATTAAAGCTCATATTATTTCTGGTGTTTATTATACAACTAATATGACAGCACAGCCTATCACTGTCAGTTCTTTAGCTGGAACAAATTTGACCTTAAGCAATTCGGATGTCTCTAGCAATCAAAGTGCAACAGGTAAAAAAAAAAAAAGAGAGAGAGAGAGAGAGAGAGAAAGAAAAGGCAGAAGGATATAATATAACCTATATACATATAATTCTAGTGAATGAAATGCATATTATTCATTCGAATATATTATTAAACAATGGAGTAATGCAGTTAATTGATGGTAGTAAGTATTCATACTATATATTTAATTTCCCATTATAACATCAACTGTTCTTTTTTTTTTCCTCCTTTATTAAACTTATATAGTTTTGACATTTCCTGTGCCTCAACCACCTGGCAGTAATCCTGATGATAATCCTCCTAATATTGGACCTTTCCCACCACCTGTTAACTCATCTTCTTCATGCAAATTATTCAAAGTATCAAAATTAATTACAACTTTCATTATTATATTTTTATTTTTTCTAAAATAAAATAAAGTGAAACAAATTTACACATAAATATTCATTTTAACTTATTGTGATTTCATATATCAAACATCATTAGTAGCAGGTGCATAGTAAGTAGTAGGTGATGATGGGGGGTATGTAGCAGTATTTGCGAATTGAGTAGTTGCTTGATGATAAGTATAAGGAGTTACGTTTGTAGATGGTGTTGTATATGTTGACAAAGCATTATATGGACTTTGATAAGGACTAGCAGCAGCAGCAGCAGCAGCATTTAATGGAGGAGGGGATGCAACATAATTTGAATAAGGTGAAGGATAAGTAGGAGCCGTATTAGTGACAGAATAATGAGGTGATGAATAGGGTGATGAAGTTACATAATGACCTGCTGTAGTATGAGGTGATGTAGGTTGTTGGGCAATCATAGTAGGTGAAAAAGGAGAAACAAAGTTACTATTGTCAGCATGAGATAATACCGTAGGAGCAGGATGTGTAGGTGACATGGAAGCTGTTGGTACATGGTTTTTTGAATCCTCCTCTTCCTCCGCAATAGAGTCAGGATTATTATAATTCACAATTGGCTGTCCATCCTTTTCTGAATATTTCATATCGACAATTGTAAGCGCGTCTTCATCATAAGGATTGCTACTAACAGCTGTTTGATTGTCATCTTCATGCCTTTTTGCCATACGAGCCTCATGCTCAGCATGTCTTAATTTCTTTTCATGCCATAACAATATTGCGCTATGTACAGTTGTAGCAAGCCATGCAAAAAAAGAAAGCCAACAGAATACAGCAGAGGCTTTAGCACAATGACACTATTAAATAATTTTTTTTTAAAAAAAAGGAGGGGGGGGGATTAGTTGCTTATATTTGTTTATGAATATAAAAATACAGTACCTGACTCTTCCAAGAACTTGCATAATGTTCATATTTTTTTTCTAAAGTGGGATTTATTTCACAATTGGATGCTCTTGTTGAGTGCACTGACATACATATCATAGCAATAAACCACATCGTTGTCATGAAGCATGTAAAAATAACATTTGTTCTTGGTCTTAAAAAAAATCTTTTCAGTAACCCAGAGTTTTTTGTTGTAATTTTTGACCAAGGAAAAGCAGCTAATGCAGCTGATAGGAAGAAGCTAATAATGGTAATAGTTAAAGAAAAATTAGGTGCTCCTTGACTCCAACCCTAAAGAAAAAAAAAATTTTTTTAAACAAATAAAGATAAATATTTAAAATAATCAATTTTTTTTTTGTTTCGTTACTTGATAACGTTTTTCTATTGAAATAATAGGAGCAGTTGTAACTAATACAAGGACAGCAGTTAAAATTTGAATTAAATGTAATCCAACTTTATAAACGCCTAGGTTCGGTAAACTTGAAGGTAAATCAAATTCAAGATCTGCAGGGTCGATAAATGAAAAAATATTATACTTCATTCGTTTTAAGAAAAAAAAAAGGAAATTATAGAGAAAAAGCGAAAAATAAAAAAAAATAATATTAAAAAAAAAAGTTTTTCTGTTAAAAAAAATGATTCATTATGAAGAAGATGTTTTGATTTTTATTAAAAAATTTACCATATTTAGATGTTACTGTAAGTTTTGCTTTTACTCTTTTTTGTTATATTTTAAAATCCAGTAAATTATGCCGAAGTGTACGCTTTGTGCGGATTATAAAAAAAAAAGTTCCTCTTTGAATTTTATACTCATGATTTTTTCTCTAAAAAAAAATATAGACTATTTATAAACAGTAATTAGTAAACATGAACAATGATTAATTTTATAATAGAACTTAGTCTAACAGTCTAACTCAAGATATTCAATAAAATCTTTTACAAGTCAACTATATTATCAGGATCAAATTCATTCCTGGTGAAATTTGGCCCAAAGAAATTCTAATCATCAGAATCTTTTATAATGATGATTAATATGTTAATGCGTCTAATATAGACATACTTGTATATATCGAAAAGAAAAATATAATAGTATAATGTTTCATTAGGTTATTATAAACTATTACTGACACTGTTTAGTGTTTTTTTAATGGCATGAAACAAGCTTTTATTAGAACTTCAACTAAAAGATAATATTTATTCATTGACAAGACTACCATCAAAGACTCTCATGTTCCATAAAATAAATATATATATATTTTTATTTACCAAAGACATTATATCAGTTTGACAAGTCAGCTATTATAGTACGATTTGTTAGTGCAAATAAGCAATATATATTTACAGACTAACTAGCCAAGTACAAATCTTAGATTAAATAGTAAATAGATATTATAATTCTTAATGATATATCACCTTTTTTTTTTTTTGCTTGACTCTATATTAAAGTGCGCAATGTATTAAAGCCATTTTAAGTAGCAAGGTACAAGTGACTTATTTGTTTACAAGTTTAAATTAACAACAAACCATTTGGATTACTAAAATAAGAGCTGATAAACCCGAATTTACCATGAATAAGGTGATTATTATTATAATAATTCCATTTGAATAAAGAAGAAACTGCGAATTATACAATCATCAATGTCAATAATACATTTCTTTTCTTGATAAAGGCACTGTATTACAGATAAAGTAATTTATCTTAAAATTATTGCACATGGTTGTACTAAAAAATGACTAGGAGCTCTGTAATAAAGACAATGAGCGATTTTTCCGAATTAAAGAAGTCTTATATAGTAAAATAGGCTCATTTATGTTTTTCTTTGTTTTGTTTACATGACAGAATAATGTCAATTTAGCTTCAAACATAGAGGAGAAAAAAAAGCTAAGTCATCTTACGAAATAGTATACAAATGGAAAGTTTTTTTTTTTTTTTGTTTATACTACTCTGTTAATACAAATTGATAAAAATATAAGATTAAAATACCATCATTGACTAAAATCTAATACTACGAGCATAGTAGATATTTATAGCGATAAATACTAAGAATAGAACAATACACATGTATACAACTAGTATTAGTATGAGAGGAAGTAATCTATCTATCTTTTTTTTTTTTTTTTCTATTATATTCCGCGGAATGGATAATTTCCGCGGATAGTATTTTATTTTATTTTGTTTTATTTTATTCAGGCACCCTTTTCAATTTATTGTCATCTTTTCTTTCTTAAATATAAATACATTTATGACACCTAATAATATACCATCCACTTTTGCCTTTCCAACTCCATCTCCATCTCCACCTCCAGAGTTAGATTCAAGATATCAGCAACATATAAAATCAATTCATGTCACAACACAGCCAAAAAAAATCAATAAATGGCTAAACGTAATACAAAAATTTCTAAAAGAATTAGATGGTCGTGATAAATTAATGAAAACGATACAATACTTTATAAAAATATTACTGCATTATAAAATGGCTCGAGCAAAACATTGGTCGAGTTTAACAAGTCATTTATCTATGACTCGTAAACTGATTAGACTTGGTACAGCAATGGACTCCATACGAGAATTATCTCCACTCAAACATTCACTATTTGAAACGATAGTAAACTTGAATGCTATTATCAATAGTATTTCCGATGATATATTTTGCTTTTACAAATTAGGAATTCTAGGATCTTATCTTGGAAACCAGTCTGAAAAAATATCTGCTTATTGCTGGTTTGCTAGTATCTTGATTGATATTCGAGAAAATGTTCTATCATTGAATCGATTACAGAATAAAAAGATAGTAAAAGATGAAAGTGAATTAAGACAGAAAATATTCATAACTGAGGTTTCAATTATAAAGTTATTAATGGATGCTGTATTTTGCGGTAAATAGAATGAATCTTATGGTTTTTTTTTTTTTTTTTTTTTTTTTTAATAATAATAATAATTTATTGAATCTTTATTTATTATTTATAGCTTGTGATATTTGGAGGCCTATTTATTCGTCTAGTTTACAAGCATGGTCTGGTTTCTTTAGCGGCTTATTAGCTGGCTATAAATTAAGCATCAAATATTCAATATGAACATAAAATAGAAGAATTTAATTCGTATATAACTATATATGTATATATTACATGGACTGTTCTTTAATGTCACTATCTTGTATTCGTCTAACGTAATTTTGTTATTATTTTGGGAATATATTTAAATGCGACTATTATTATTGACATAATATTTAGTCCATCTCGAATTCTAGCTTAGTGTGACTTAAAATATGCCTTCTTCTTTATTGTATAATAACAACATAACGTGTACTCTTTTTAATATTTTACACAGTGCTAAAACAGCAAAGTAAACCCATTGTATCGTATTATTACCTTTTCACATTGAAAATGATTGTTTCAATTTAAGAATAGATAGAAAAGAAATACAATTTTTTTTATCATGTTCCATAGAAAGATATATGTGTACATAAAAAGAAAATAAAGAAGAGGAAAAAAAAAAGAAAAGAAAAAAAAAAAAGAAAGAAAAAGTTTCTATCAAGTAATCTACATAAAAGATAATTTAAGAGTACACATTATCGAGTGATATTTGACGCTTTCCTATATATTTTATTATAGAAAATTATATATTCATGAAAATCTGTTGTTTGTTTAAGGATCATCATTTTATATTTGCATTCGTCTCAATAATTAATATAGAAAGTTTCATTCCTTGTATATAAAATTCAACTTATAGTTGATTCAAAGTCAAAATATATACGCAAAGTCTTCTGTCTAGGTTTTATGTATGGCTTCACAAAGATATTTTATTTTGCCGATTTAAGTATATAATTGTATGAATTCAATGACTGAGCGAATGTTTGAGAAAAGAAAGAAAAAAAAAGATAAGAAAAAACTAGTAATAATATTTTGCATCAACATCTACTCTGGAGTGACTATCAAACAAGGTGTTACTTTTATATGTATTTTTGATATACTAGCAGCAGCAACAACAACAGCAACAATAGTATTATTAGTTATAACTTACTAATTATAGACGATGTATTTATATTTGTTAAGTTGAATTGTTTTTTTTTCTTAAAAAAAATAGTTTTCAAAGACTTTATGAAAGACTAACATAAATTTAATTGAACGTATATAATACTCTTTTATGTATTGACATACATATGTGTTACCTGCCAATTTTAAAGAATAAACAGTCGTTGTAAATACTGTTGGAGAACCTACTGAAGAAGAACTTTTATTCAGGGTTTGTTGCGACTATTGATAATGTATCTTTTGGATATATTTATCTTCTTTTCTTTCTTACAAAATAATAAATCAAGCGTATGCTAAATATCTTTTAATAATTTATTAAATATGATTATATGATTTAACAAATCGTATACTATCGTAGTTGATTACTTTTTTTTTTTTTTATTCTGAATATTCTTAGAACGTGTAGTAGACATTATTCTTTGAAAAAATAGAATTTTATGAACATATTAAATCTATAAAAAAAAAAAAAAATAAGACAGTAGCATCAAGATCTGTATCACAAATTTAATTATAACACCAACAAGCTTCATTTGTGTTTTGTTTATAAAACTAAAGAGATACCTATGTATATTCTTTATTGGTACCATAGTATATATCAAAAACTGAGAGTTATAGTACTCATTGAAAAATAAAAAAGCTTCTTTGGAGATTCAAACTATTGTATATCCCTATTAAAGTAAAAAAGCAATCAAGTATACATATAGAGCTATAAGTATTTTTTTTGTGCCTTATTTATACTTGAAAAAGAGATATTTAATAATCAATTAGGAAGTTACTTAATAATAATAATAATGAAGATAATATTAAACAATATCAATATAACGTACACTTAGGTTGATCAAAAGAATAAAATTAGATTGAACTTCTTTATCAATTAAAACTAAAATTTGTATGCATGTAAATGATTACTTTTTATCATTTTTAAAGAAACAGTTATGTGCAATATGAGCTTGACATTTTTAAATATAAAATTGTAATCCTATTTATAAACAAAAAAAAAAGTATGAAAACTATCATATTTTAAATATAATAAATTATTCAATATCAATTTAGGTTAGTTTCTATGTTAGTTACATTATGTTAGTCTTTTTTTCTTCAATAGTTTTACATATTCTTTTTTTTTTTTTTTTTTTGTGTATTCAATTTTGTACAAACTTGTGTACTTTGTATTATAGAATAAAATCATAAGATCCAAAAAAAAAAAAAAAAAAAAAAAAAAAAAACATAAATTGACTAGAAAGAAACTAATACTTGTAATCTCTTTTTCTTTTCTTTTCTTTTCTTTTCTTTTCTTTTTTTTTGGGGGGCTTTCATATGAATTCGTACTTACAAATATAGATGTATGCAAAGTATATTCAAATGTTCAGCAAATTTGATTTGATCTGCTCATTAGAAATTGAACTATATTACTGAGTACCAAGCTGAGAAAACATTGAATAGGATGTGGAACCAGCATGTAGTATTGTAATTAGTACCACATCAATTTGATCAGTATAACGGCTAAACTCTCTCTTATAAAGATACTATAACTTGACGAATTATAGTTTCTCTTTATCTGATTCAAAAGTAATACGTAACCTTGGTTTTCTGTCACACGAATAAAAAAAATCAGATAATTTTTTTTTATCAAATCAGATCTACCATCTTTAGGGAAACATCTGAATATTCTCTCACTCTTTTTTTTTTTTTATATAACTTTTCCTTAAAGCTATATAAATCTTTTGACTTTTATCTTTCATTTTGTTTAATTATAGTATATAATAAAGACTTAAAAGCTAAATTTAGGTATGAAGTTCAAATTACCCTCCATCTTTCGGACAGCAGTAATTGAGGAAAAAGAAGAAAAAAAAGTAGACAACAACTCTACTATTACTGAAGAAAAGATTAGAAATTATAGCAACGATAAAAATGTACCTGAGGCTGTAGAAACTCAATATGGTGTTCGAAATGCTGAAGCATCTAATCAGGTCTGGACTAAAGAACAATTGATCCTTGTCTACATTCTGTAAGTCACAATAATAATAAAAAAAACACACATAGATCTTTAACTTATTTTTTTTTGTTGTTGTTGTTGTTGATAAGGATATGGATTCTTCAATTTATTCTAGCACTTGCCTCTGGTGTCAATCGATCGCTGACACCCTACGTTACAAGTTCATTTAAAGAACACTCTTTGACGACTACAACCACTGTTATCTCAAGTATAGTATCCGGTGTAATTGTACTACCTTTTGCAAAGCTTCTAAATGTCTGGGGTCGACCTCAGGGCTTTGGAATTATGGTTTGTTCGATTACGATTGGACTTATTATGATGGCAGTATGCGATAGTGTCAAGACATTTTGTGCAGCACAAGTATTTTATGTAGTCGGATATAATTCAATTACATTTTCATTAACAATTTTCATTGCCGATACTACCTCTCTAAGAAATCGAGCCTTTATGATCGCATTTACGTCCTCACCCTGGATTGCCACGATCTGGGCCGCTGGACCGGCTGCAGAGAGCATCTTGAAGACGATTGGTTTCCGATGGGGTTTCGGTATCTGGGCCATCGTCGTCCCCATCGTGTCATTACCGGTATTTGGATTATTTTACTATAATCTTGTAAAGGCTCGTAAAGCAGGACTTATTCCTAAAGTTGAGCAGGATCCTAAAAGAGGATGGAAGGAGTCTATTGTTTATCATGCCAAGGAATTTGATATGGTTGGACTCCTGTTGATCTGTAGTGGACTCACGTTATTCTTATTGTCATTCAATTTGTATAGTCATCAACCTGATGAATGGAGATCACCCTTGATTATCTGCTTCCTTATCTTTGGTAGTCTACTGATTATTTCCTTTGGTGCCTGGGAAAAATGGGGGGCATCGATCACATTTATTCCATGGGAGTTAATGATGGATAGAACCGTTTTCTTTACTTTTACTATGGCAGCTAGTCTCTATCTCTCTTGGTATCTATGGAATGGATTTTTTTACTCTTACTTGATTGTTGTCCATAACCTAAGTGTTGCGCATACGACTTATATTACTAATATCTATACAGTTGGGTCTACAACATGGGCGATTGTAATGGGTATCATTATTCGATACAATGGAAGATTAAAATGGCTCGCCCTTTATTTTGGTGTCCCCGTCACTATATTAGGTGTAGGGCTCATGATCCAGTTCCGACAGCCTGATGTTCATGTTGGATTTATTGTCATGTGTCAAATCTTCATTTCTTTGGGTGGGGGTACATTGGTTATCTGTGAGCAAATGACTGTCATGGCCGTTGCATCACATCAATATGTGTCCGCTGTTCTCTCTATGGAATATATGATTATCAACATTGCAAGTGCTATTGGTTCAACCATTGCAAGCGCCATGTGGATGGGTATTTTCCCTAAAAAGCTTGCCTATTATCTACCGGAAGATAGTCTAGATAATCTAGAATCCATCTATGGTTCTATTGAAGTTCAATCCTCTTATGTCTATGGAAGTCCTGAAAGAAACGCCATCAGTGAATCCTATAGTGATACACAGAGACTTATGTTGATTACATCTACTTGCATGTATATAATTACTTTAATTTCTGTCCTATTCTGGAAGGATATTGATGTTAAAAAATTGAAAAAGATTGAGGATTTAATATTCTAAAAGGAGAAGAAGAAAAAAGAGTTACATTATTATTATTATTATTTACTTTCTATTTAATTTGCCTTTTTTTTAAAAAAAAAAAAAAAAAAAAAAAAAAAAAAAAAAAAAAAAAGTTCTTGTTACATTTACTTACCATTATCTATTTACTATTATAGTCAAATAAACTACCTGATAAAATTAAGTGTCTGATAGAAAAATGCTTGCATGTAATATCCTCTAATAACTTTCATGTATCTAAAAATAATTAATGCATGTATAATAATTGATTGAAAAAGCTTAACAAAAAGGGGAAAAAAAATTAAGTAATAGACATCCCAGACAAGTTTTTATTTTACCAATACCAATTTTATATATTTATGTCCATGAATAGAATAAAGATGTGTGCTGATTTTCTTTTACTTGTTTGGTTCGATTGAAATCGTATTTTTGTTTCATATAATAGCAATTAAACATAATAATAATAATAAAATGTGATACAGAAAGTTTGTAAAGAATAAGAGTTACTACCATTTTATTTGACTTTCTCCTTTTGGTTTTCATTGTTTTTGATAATTGACAAATATATTCTATTTGTTATCATAAAAAATCTCTGTTATTCAAACTCTCTCATATAAACGAGTACAGAATACATATATAATAGTATTTATTTAACGAATGACCCCATTCATGAAAGTGCTTAATAATAAAGTTTTTTTTTGTTCTGGTGTTTCACTTCTCTCCTAATAATAATAATAATAATACACATATAAGGAGTTACTATATATCATAAAAAAAGGGGGGAAGGCTTTCTCTCTCTCTCTCTCTCACTCTCTCTCTTCCCCCCCCCACCGCCCTCTTTTTCTTTTTTTTTTCTTTTTTTTTTCTTTAATTACATAAATCTATACAATAAACAATGATAAATAAAACAAAGAGAGAGAGTGTGAGTGAGTGAGTGAGTGAGAAAGAGATGATCTAGTCACTTGTAGTTTCAATAGTAATAATAATAATAATAATAAAAGTTAAAGTCTTTCTATCGATGATGATGTGATAATGGATCAAGAGTGGATATATAAGCATAAGAAGTATTAGTGGTTGTATTATTAGTATTAGTATGAGTATTAGTATGAGTCGTCGCAGAATGTGTAGAATGTCTTGGTGTATGAGGTGAGTTAGGCGAGTAAAGAGAACTGGTATTATCAAGTTCATCATCTGAAACAAGCATACTAGGACTTGGACTAGGTGGCAATTGATTTCCATAAGGACCTAAAGAAGATAAAGTTGATCTATTATTATTATTATTATTATTATTACTACAATGAAGGTTTTGAGTTTGAACTGTCAAAGGTGAACGAGTGGTAACATTAAAGATGTCATCCAATAGAGGATGATTATTTGTGCTGGTAGGATCATGTGAAGTTATAAAAATTGAAGGCGGTTTCTCTTGTTGTATTGTTAAAGGCTGTTTTGTATTAAAAGAAGAAGAAGAAGATAATTCAAGTTGATTCAATTCATGAAGAAGTTCATTAGGTAATTGACCTATTGTAAATGTAAATAAATAAAAATAGTATTCTTTTTCTTTTTTTACCACCATTTTGTTGAGAAATAAAATGAATCATTGATTTCACAAATTGCATTTGATTATCTTGTTTTTGCTTTGTAACTTCTAATTCTTTAAGTACTTCAGTGAAGTTTTCATATAAATGTCGAATTTGTTGTATCATTTCAGACTGAGAAGCTTGTAACATGGCAATATGATTTTGAAGATCACTCGTTTCACGTCTTGCATTATTATCTACTTCCATTGATTTACGTTTAATATCGTCCAAGAGATCAGGTCGATTTCTTAAAAATTTTGGATGAGAGAATTCCCAAATTTGATTTTCAGCTAACGTTCTATGTCCTCTAGGTGATTTATTTACCTTGTGAAAGCCATACCTAATATTTATAAAGTAGAGGATTAAAAAAAGAAAAGGAAAAAAAATAGGTTCTTCCTATGTTGGTTATTCTACTTACATATTTAATTGTCGAACAAAGCTACTGAAATTATTATGTTTAAAATGTTTAGGTAATACATCTTGTGAAAACTCCATAATATTACAAACAATAAATGATGAGCCTGTATAGGCCCAAGATATTAAATGTTGGTAATGACTATCAACTACCATACTAATTGATCATGTATAAAATTAGATTATCATTAAAAATAAAAATAAAAAAAAAAGGACTTACTTGTATAATTTATGTACAAATGTATTTGTATGAGCGGGCTTTTGAGTTGTATTAGGAGGAGGAGGAGGTAATGATGATGATGATGCTGTAGAAGTCGCATAAAATGCTTGCTGTGAAGTGGGAGGATTCGAAGAAAATGTATTACGTTGATTTACACTTGTAAGCTGATAGTCTGAAGAAATTGATCTACGATGCATTATATGTATTCAAAGGTAAACAAATAAAAGTAAAAATAAAAAAAAAGAAGAATAGAATGAACCTGAACAAAATAAAATAAAAAGATAAAGTTACATTTTACACTTTAAACAGCGCCACAAAATAGAAACTTGAGAAAGAAAAAATACATACAAAAAAAAAATTCATTCATTTACTATAAAGCATAAATAATATCCAATCTGTTAAATAAACTTATCTTATTTGTCTATGAATCAATGGTCTTTTTTTCTTTTAACTGTCAAATTAATGAATAAAAATTCTATTTGAATTCTTATGTAAATATTATAAAAAGTTTATTTCTAAAATTATGCGGAGTAACGATTAGCCAATCAATGAATAAACGTGGTATCAACCAGATAACTTGATCTTTTAACTGTAACATTTTCCTATTTTCTATCGGGAAATAAAATAAAAATAGAGTGTTATTATGTAATAATATAAATGGCTACTAACACTATCCAATCGAAATGATGGATATGCAGTAGAACAGAAATACAATCTTATTTGATTCAAACTGTATTGATGTAATATAATAATAAGTAATAAATACGTAAAAAAAAAAAAAAATAATAATAATAATAATAATAATACGAAAATTTAATTTGTTGGTGACAAAAATGACAGCATCAAAATGTTAAAATTGACAGCCAATCAATAGTTGTTAAAATTAAATTTTAATCAATTTTTGTCAGTTCTATATCCCTCTTTTTTTTTTCATGTGTAGGTTTTTATTGTATAAAGGGAAACAACCTATTTTGCTTGCTCATGTAAATATTTGCATGATGGATATAAAAGGGGAATAAATATATATATAAACTAATTGATTTTTTCCTATTATTAGCTTATTACAAGACCAAAACATTCCATCGTTAATCAAGCTTTTGATTCTAGATTACGGCTTGATACAAGACGTCCCCTCAATGGTAACAGTTCTATTATGTAATGTAATATATTCAGTGTTAACTAAATACATATACATATATATACATATATATATATATGTGTGTGTGTGCGTTAAGGGGATGGTTTCGGGGTGGGTTGGTATGATAGTGAGACACGAGAAAATGATGAAGAATCAGTTACACCTTGCATCTTTACATCCGTAACACCTGCTTGGAATAATACAAATTTAGTTCGACTAGCAGAAAAAATTCGAAGTCCTTTAGTATTTGCACATGTACGTGCAAGTACTTCAGGTGCTGTATCTGAAACAAATTGTCATCCTTGGTCGTAAGTAGTAATCAGCCCTTAATAACAATGCAATGACTTTTTATAACAATAATGAATAGATATGGTCGTCTCATGTGGATGCATAATGGCGGCATTGCAGAATTTGAGAAAATTAAGCGTAAATTACAAAATTCATTACCTGAAGAGCTCTTTTTGTTTGTACAAGGAAATACGGATTCAGAATGGGCTTTCGCATTATTTTTAAGCTTTGTAAGTTATAAACAAGATTGTTAATGATATTTATCTTATTTTATTGTTTATATATATATATTATAGCTTTCTAATCCTAAAGCTTCTTCATTCGAACATCAAGAGTTAAAAGAAGCTATGTTAAAGACAGTTGCACAATTAAATGCTTGGGCAGAAGAATTCAATATTACTGAAGTAAAGTTGCTGTGTCTTATGATAAAATCCATTCACTTATCATTTTTTTTCTTTATTAGCCTTCTTTATTGAATTTTGCAGTGACAGATGGACAAAGTGTAGTTTGTATTCGATATATTAGCTCTAAAACAGAAGAAGCAGCTTCCTTGTACTTTTCCTCAGGTACAAGATTTGAATGTTATCGACCTGGTCATTATAGAATGGTAAAAGCAGATAGAAGAGAAGATATCGTTGTTGTTGCCAGTGGTAAATTAAGATAATAATGATATATATATGTATCTGGTTCTCTTTATTAACTTATATGGATAGAGCCTCTAACATTTGAAAAAGCAGACTGGTTAACAATTCCTACCAACACCATTTTAGTCATCACTCCTAAATTAAATGTATTATTGCAGCCTATTAAAGATAAATTTTATGCATCAGAAAGAGGCTTAGAAGTAAAAATAGGAAATGAAGAAAAAGATACAGTCATTATACCAGATCCTAAAGCACAATCATTAAAAGTTTAAATTAGAAAACAATCGCGACAACAAGAGCATGGCTTTGTGATTTAGAAATTGTATTTCATATATTTCTGTGAGATTCATCCTTTGTTTAAATTAAAAAAAAAAAAAAAAAAAAAAAAAAAAAAAAAAAAAAAAAAAAAAACTAACTGACAAATTATAATGTTATTAATAAAGCACGATTTTGACAAAAAAAAAAAAAGAACATGTTCATGTGCTTACAATCTATAATGAACAAGTCATTTTTCTATATAAACTCATTTTTCTAATATTAAATGTACTTGTAAACATGAGGTTGAAACTGGCTAAATGAATAGAATTTAACACTCTTAGTTGCTTATCTGGATGTTTTATTTCCTATACGCTGGGATTTAATAATTATGCCATTAAGGAATAATGTCTTTTCTTATCTAGTTTAGTTTCATTCATATACAACATGTGTTCTTTGTATAAAATCCAACATGTCTTTTTATCAATAATAGCTATTTGTTCTACTGGTTCTTTTTTATCACTAATTTCTGTAGTCTTTTTTAAAACTGTATTTAGTTTTTCACCAAACTGAAACTCTTTTACATTAAAATCACATGCTGTGATCATACAATTAGATCCCTTCTCTTCTTCTACATAACTGCATGTCCTTGATTCATATATTTCTTCTCCTAAACAAAATAATTTAGTTCTATATACATGTATTCTACAGTATTCTTATTATTTACCATTGCCTTTTTTCTTTAGAATAAGAGGTAAAATGTGTGTTTCAAAAGTGAATTTAGTAGAAGCTATTTGTTTACCTATTAAATTTTGTACATCTAATTTAATCACAGATAAGGAAGGTTCAAGGGATCGACGACGATGAAGACTTTAGATAGGAAGAAGGGTCATTAGCTCGAACTACATGCATATATTATCTTTTACCTTATATTAACTGGATTAATTAATTTTTGAATAACCACAAACAAGACCTCACTTGCATTATTAGGAATATGAAAATATTGAAGACCGACGATTGGCACTATTCATTTATAAATGTGTTTGTTTGTTTGTTGTAGCGATAGTATATAATTGAATCAACTTACATTGACTAGGGAGTTTACCAAGTTGATGTCTATTAAATTCAAGTTTTGGCTCATCTTGAATAGGACCGCCTTGTAATAAAAAGAAATCGATAATACCATTAAACCCTCCACAGACAACGTACACATTAGCGGGTGATTTAGATTGATTATGATGAACAATAACGTGTTGTGTTAAGGCATTTTTAGCATCTGTTCGTAATAGTGCACATGCCAAACAAGATTCGTTTGACAGTATCATATCCATAGTAAAACGAAATACATAGATGGCTGAATCTTTAGTGCCTATAGTAGCAATATAATAATCATCCTTGTTATTGTTCTAATCAAATTATATGTTGAACAAGTGAGAAGAAGGCATTAAAATACACATCATCATATTCATTACTTTTAATGCACCAGAAACGTATATATTTGTAATTTCTCCTTTTATCTTTCTTGTAAATGAAATGCGGTGTAATATTTTTTTACTCGTTAGTTCTAATAAATAAATGAAGGTCTCTAAACCGTCAACTGATTCAGTTGCAAGAAAGAAATAAAGCTTATCATTCATATAAAAATGTTTAGCAAATTGGAATCGAGCCTAATTTATAAAAAAAATGATTCAAATTGTTATTTATTTGCAACAAGCATCATCTTGGTAAAATACGAACATTGAGACTATCTTTTATATCAGATACTAAACTTATCTCATAGATGATTTTTTCTTCTTCCTTTAACACATCTCGAAGTTCAAATGTTATATTATCGATTCTGTAGACATATAAAGGCATCGTATCATTATCATCTTTATAAACAAATCCTACTTGTGTTTCTAGTAAATTAAATTTTGAATAAAAATGATGAATATTCATAATTATAACGAAAATAAAATTAAAAAGGACAAATTATAATTCATTACACCGAAGATATTATTTTTAAAGACTACTTTAGTTTGATCTTTTTTCCTTTTTTTCCTTTTTTTTTTTTATTCACTCTCTATTGTCACAATGATAAAAAAAAAAAAATAATAATAACAAGAGAAAAAAAAACGATTATTACAGATGCTGTTAAACATAATCTAAATGGATAGTTTTCTCTTCTTTTTCTTTTTTTTTTTTTTTTCTTTCTCGTTCTGCTTTTATTCATGTTTAACATCAGTTTCATGCTTCTTTTCGATTTTATCTAAAACACTTGCTGTATCAACAGGCTTTGCGCCACCAAAAGGATCAACCTTGTTACTATTCTCAGATCTAACAGGTGCGGGAGAAGATACAGAATCAGCGGAACGAGGCTTAAGATTAAGACGAGGACGTTCGGAGAGACGATCTAAAGAGGGACAAGAGTGAATTAAATATATATTTATATACATATACTTTATGTCTCTATATCAATCAACTTACCACGATTATTAAAACTATCACGGTTATTGCCACGACCCCAAGTATCGTTGCGACCACCACGACCTCCAAAACCACTACCACGATGAGGAGGTTCGTTAAATTCGATAGGTCCAGAACGACGCCATGTATCAACATCAGTACGGTCAGGTTGACGAGTACGTTCCTTTTCACGGGCTAAATAGAGTCAACATAAGTTTGAATATCAATGTGGGGTTTGTCAGTTATATACTTACGAGGCTCAGCAACATTGATATGAATTTCACGTCCATGGACTTGTTCATTTGTTAATTCTAAAGCACCTTTGAGAGAATCAAGATCATCAAATTCAACATAAGCAAAACCCTTTGATCTACCACCTTCACGATCACGAATAAGCTTAATGTTGGATACTTTCAATTTATTAAACAAATCACTTAAATCATCTTCATTACAATCAAAAGACAAGTTGCCAATATGAGCAGTATAAGGAGGTTGAGTAGGAAGTTCAACAGGTGCGCGAGGTGCACGTTCACGGCGTTCAAAGCCTCCACGACGTTCGAAACCTCCGCGACGTTCTATTTCAATGCTATGAATTCTATTTTCCTTTTTATACATATATTATCTTGTTTATTACCATAACTACGGTCACCTTGGTTACGGTCATGGCTATATCTACGGTCTTCACGGTCACCACCACGAGAGCCGAATCTATCTTCCTTGGCTAGCAAAAAGAGAAAGTAAAATTAAGTGTTTGATATATAAAAACTGAAAGTCAGTTTTTTTTTTTTTTAATTTTACCAGCAGCTATTATGATAAATTTATGAGTACAAGGATATTTTTTTTTTTTTTTTTTAGAAAAAAAAATTTTTTTTAATATACTTTATTATGAATTAATCTAATTCACAAAAAAAAAGAAAAGAAAATACTTACGAGCAGTAGGAAGATCGACAACATCATCAGCCCATGAACCACCTTTGCCTTTTTTTTTTTTTTTTGAAAAAAAGAAAAAAAGAAAAAATAATATAACATTATTAATCAAGTTACTATTAAGACATTTATTTACAATTAATATACTTTACTGTCATCTGCTAAAAAGTCAGACAATGACATCTTTTGAGCTTTCTTTTTTCCTGCTAATAAATCATAAGTTATTGGTGAATCATTTCTCTAACCAGGATGTCAAAGCACTTACACATATTGTATAATATATTAATTATATAGATTTAAAAAAAAAAAAAAAAAAAAAAAAAAAGGCCTAAAAATTGAGCTGATTTTTTTTTTTTGTTCATCTGAAGATTTTTTTTTTTTTATCTTTTTCCTAGTCTTGTGCGCTATTTCAAAATAATGGATGACTATCAAATTGATGCTTGTAAAAAAAAAAAAAAAAAAAAAAAAAAAAAAAAAAAAAAAAAAAAAAAAAAAATCTTAACTTTGTAAGGTGGAAGAGGGATAGTTGTCAAAGACAAGAGGAAATAATAACCACATAGTTTATATATAACAAACATTTAGTTTAATGAAAAAAAAAATCATTTCTACTAGATGTAAGAAGAAACACTATCATTTTTATAGTTAAAGCTCTTTTTTTTTTCTTCTTGTTTCTTTCCTTTTACTACTGCTACTGATAACCGAAAGATTCAGGTCAAAATAAAACAAATAATAAAAAAAAATCAGATAAGAAATTGGTTTAATATTTTCCTAGATGAATGTAAATAACTTCTTTCTCTGTTAACGCATAGCAGGCCTATTTTATTTTATTTTATTTTATTTTTTCATTCATTTGTAGTCAGTTTTATAGCTTGCTCTTCATAGCTATTCTTGAACGCTCTGGTATTGTGCTAATAAGTTAACACATACTTTAATATTATTACTAGGATCTAGTTCATTCACTTTCCTATTTTCTGGATATGATTTCTTATATAAGAATGAATAAATATAAATAAATCAAGCCTTGCTGATATACTTTATGTCTTTGCTAAAAGAAGAATAGTGTTCTTTATAACTTCACATATGCTAATAATAATACTATGTATACATGTATATGTACACATATATTTTTTGCATGATCTTGCATTCTCACTACCATAAACATAGCCTTGCTAATAATGTAATTTATAGATTAAATTGATCAGTGCAAATATCTGGAGTTAGCATATTTCTGGTCTCATAGGGCAGCTATCTTGACATAGACAGAAGTCAAATGTTAAAAGCATTCAGAGATGTTATTATTATTATTTTTTGACTCCATATCATATTTTATTAAAAAAAAATCTGTCTAATTACTGATAAAGATAATTTCTTGTTTTTTGGATAAGCCTCTTTGACCAGAGAATTTATTTGAAAAAAAAAGCATGACGACCTACAGTTAGGGTTGGTTGGTTAGTTGAGATAGAGTGAGATCGAATTGGATTTATATCCCTTCACTCTACCCTACTCAAACAAATGAAAATCCCTTTATTTTAATTCTATTTGTCACTTTATATGAATCAGTACTGGATTCGTGATAATTTGCTTTGCACTCATATAGTTACTCGTCTGTTTTGAAAACAGAAATTGAAAGAAAGCTCTTTAATGATGAGGTAAAATAGAAACTTTGGCCGTTTTTTTTTATTTTTAATCTTCTTTTAAAGGTTTAAAATTTGCAATGTCTGTTTAACTGTTATTATAGGTCATTATGTTTTATTCTACAAGGATACATTTAAAAATGACATTTTATTTTTATGACTTGAATGTACTTTAAAGTCTAAGAAAAAAATTTCTCTTTCTTTTTATATATTTTCGTACTACAACAGCCATTTTAATATTTTACAAACTAGGTTATAAATAATATCCAAGAAATATTCTGAAGAACCTATTTCTTCCCTAAAATCAAAGTTCGTGTTATCTGACTTTAAATTATACTATGTCCTGAATTTCAAGCATTGTTATTCTTCTTTTGCACAACTATGAATAAAGCAAAGCTCTTCTTAAATATAAAAGTGAATTTGTTGGGCAGTATTTTTTTTTAAGAAAAAATAAACTAAACTTCTCTTATAAATAAAGTTAACTCTAGTATTCTTTATTCATTTCTTTTCATTTTTTTTTCGAACAAAATTTTTGATGAAGTTAATTAACACCTACATACATTTTTTTTTCAAGGAACGGAAGAATAAACCAATAAGTGGCATTTATGGATAAAAGCTACCCTTAACCCTATTTTGCTATTTCTAGTAGAATGTCATCCCATTTTTTTTTGTTCGTTATAAATAAGAGATAAATATACTTTGTTACACACGCTTTACTGTTTCAAAAAGGTACCAACTATTTCAAGTCAATTCCGTAAACTATGCTACTACTACTACTACTACTACAAAAAAATGACACCATGATCTCCTGTGAGTAAATAATGAAAGATTTCTAAAGAACAAATCTGGATTTAAAGTCAATTTAATGAAAATTATATCCCCCTCCTTCCTTTTTTTTTTTTTTTATGAAAGAATGTATTTATTCTATTATGTATGTTGCATATTTTATGCTGCTCATATTTTAAATTTGACTTTTTTATAGTTATGTCCAATCCAGTTTCTCGGGAGGAAGTTCGAAACAGTGAATTGAATTAAATAATCCAATTAAAATACAGTATTGTGTACATATATTTATATAAATATAATTTTTTTTATTATTGTGATTATTATTATAAGTATTAAAAAAGGTATATTAGGTTACATATTCGCAAAGCAACAAATCAAAAAAAAAGACACTATTTACAATAAAAATGAAAAAAGTAATTCTTACACAATAAGATGAACTTGTGTCTCTTGTTTGTTAGAATTAACTCTAGTAGTAGCGATATTAGCAGCAGCAGCAGCAGCAGTAGTAGTAGTAGCAGCAGCAGCAACAGCAACAGCAGCAGTAGTAGATGTTGTTGGCGCAGTAGTAGTTGCTTTTATTATAGAATTGCCTTTTCTCTCACTACCATTCGTCTTTAATTGAGCCTTTGTATAGATACATAATTGACGTGCATATTCATATCTTGCCATAGCCATAATTTGATCTCTTGTATATCTTTGACGATAATTTGACATTTTTAACTATTACACACTAGTGTTTATTTTATTTTATTTTATTTTATTTTATTTTTTTTATTTTTTTTTCTTGATTTCCTTTTTTTGACCCTTTTTATATGAGTTCTAATGTCTTACAATTATGTTGGACTCTAAAAAAGGAAACTATGATATCATACATTTTTTTTCTGTATGGCATGTCTGAGTTCTAAACGTTTATATGAAAATAGTCATTTTTCTTTTAATGAGCTGCCAACAACAGCTTAGTAATGACCATTTGTGAAGTAAGTAATAAAGAATAGTATTTAATATTATAGGATAAAACTAATTTGACTTGACATATGATATTTTTCAACTTTTTTAATATATATATCAATAGTCATGTATGTCTGTTTAGGAAAGAAAGCTAATCATATTAAAGATATCAGTAACCGAAACAATATGATGATGATGATGATGATGTGATATGTGTCAATTAGTGTCAGTAATTGTTATATTATAATGAGACATGATAGAATAAGTTTATTGTAGTGAAATAGCTTTTAAATAGAAATAGTATTTAAACCCATTGAAAGGAAAGGATAAAATTTTCTCTTTTTAATATACAATCATGGTAGAAGATAAGGACGGGCCTTTCTTTTTATATATACATAATTTGATGACAGATTACGTAATGAAAGTATTATTCATATATTGAATGAATAGCATACAAAAAATATCATTCTATAATATATATTTTGCGTATAAATATGATATGTCTGCAATATTATTACTTTTATATTACATTGTAATAAATAAGGTTTTTCATTTTTTTTTATGAAGGGGGGGGAGTTTATTTCTTATTGGTAATATTATGTAACAAAAAGTTTTTTTTTTTTTTTTTTTTTTTTTTTTTTTTTTTTTATTCTATGCGCACGACTACTGTTTCAGTCACTGTGTGGGAGAGGTCTTATATATGCAGCGATTTTTTTTTTTTTATACACGCGTTGTTGAACAGAACATAGAAAACAGCGTGACCTTCTATAATATATTTATTTTTTTTCCTTTTTCCCTTTTTTTTTTTCTTTTCTTGTACATAAAGCAAATGGCTACACCACAAATACCATTTATTAGTGCACCTCTTAAAAAAACAGACGATGTTGATTGGATTCATCCTTTGAAAAAATATATTGCTCGTGTCTATCAAGATGATCCCGAAAAATATAAAGAAGAGGTTCATTCTTTTAATAGATTGCGTCAAGACATTCGTGGTGCAGGAAAGGACATGACTGGCCGAGATTTGCTTTACCGTTATTTTGGTCAATTAGAATTATTAGACTTGCGTTTTCCAGTTGATGAAAAGCATGTTAAAATATTATTTTGTTGGTTAGTTATGTGTATATGTGATATACGTTCTACAGTGACTAAATATAAATATAAATATAAATACACACATATATATATACATATATGTGTATATATAATTTTGAACTACTCATTAAAGGTATGACGCATTCAACAATCGTTCAATTTCACAATATTCTCTAGCTTTTGAAAAGGCAAGTATCATTTTTAATGAAGCAGCTACATTATCAGCCATTGCAAGTTCACAAAATAGAGCAGAAGCTGAAGGTCGTAAACGAGCATTTCATTACTTTCAAGCCTCCTCAGGAATGTTTCAATACATTAATGATAATTTTTTACATGCACCTTCAGAGGACCTTAGTAGAGAGACGGTCAATATGTTGTCAGAGCTTATGTTGGCACAAGCACAGGAATGCTTTTTAGAAAGTAGTATTCGTGAAAAGTCCAAGGATGGGTTGATTGCCAAGTTGGCAAGTCATACAGCTTGGGTCTATGGTAATTTAGTAGATGGTCTTGGAGATGCCCTTACACGAGGTGTAGGCTTAGATAAATCCTGGATAACGCTTTGTCAAGTGAAACAAAAATACTATGCGGCTACTGCTCAGGAACATAAGGCGGCCGCATGTGAAGCAGAAGGTAAATATGGTGAATCAGTAGCTCGTTATGCTGCGGCGGAGTCTGCTGCAAGGGAGGCCCTCAAGTTAACAAATACTTTAACATCCGCATTCCTCTCCTCTAATCATGCGAATGGAACTATTCCTACTGATGCTGGCGCCGCTATTCAAGAACTCTGTAAAAATAAAAGTGCTACTTGTACAGAGAAATTAACGATGGCAACAAGAGATAATGATATGATTTATCATGAAAACGTACCTCAAGAATCTATCTTGACTCCTATCGATCGTCTTAAGGCGATTAAACCCATTCCCATTGCTGAACTTTATGGACCTGATGAAATGAAAAAGGTCATTGGAGCCGATATCTTTGCTAAATTGATCCCGCTTAGTGTTCATGAGAGTGCCTCTCTTTATTCAGAAGAAATTGCTAAATTGCTTCGTTCTGAGAGTGAACGATGTGATATTGCCAAGGCTGAATTAAATGCTTCATTAGATTATATGAAATTACCTGGTTCACTTGCAAAATTTAAGTATCAGCATCAGCAACAACAACAACAACAACAGAAATCGCTTTTAAGAGAGAGTGTCAATTCCCTTTTAGATCATTATGCAATACCACCATCTGAAGTGACAACATGGGCTGATCATATTGCTGTAGAAGAACGTCGTAGTCAAGTGACTGACTTGATTCATACTCTAACAACTTTAAAAACCAGGGCTAAACAATTATTGGATGAAGCAAGTTTAAAACTAGACACAGAGATGAGAGACTGTGAACAAAATAGAGTTCAATACGGAGATGATTGGACACAGACACCTTCGAGCTCACTTACAAGTGAATTTAGACATGATATTACCAATCATCGACGCACATTAGAGGGTGCTTCTCAATCTGATAATCAGCTCATTAGTAGATATGAATCTGCTCGATATAACATTGATATCTTGAAACAAGGTAGTCAAGGACGTGATCTTGAAAAGGCTTATACTCAGGCTATTATTTCTATTTTACCTAATGATAAACAAAAGGAAAACAAGGCAAATCTACTTGATATTGATTTAGGAACTGAAAAGGAAGCAGCAAGCCATTTAGAAGAACAAGTGAATCATATTGAAAAAATTATTGAGAAATTACGAAAGATTGAAAGTGATCGAGACGAAACATTTCGTGATTTGAAAGAAAAGGTAAAATAAATAAATCTATTATCCTTCTCTATGTATGTAGCAGAAGAAGAAGAAGAAAAAAAAAGTTAAACATTTTATTTATTTTATGAAGACAATGCAAGATGATATTTCTCAAATTTTGATTTTGAATAAAAAGGCAAATGTAGAACAACACATCTTTGCCTCTGAACTCGAAAAATATCGACCTCATCAACAACGTATTACAGCCACTATACAACATCAACAAACGGTAATCAAGGAGTTGACAGCCGCTTTTAAAAGTTTAATGGAAGGTGAAGAAGCACGCAATTTGCAGTTGCAATATGATAAAGCGGAAAGATTACGTCGTAATTTGACAGCTGATTTTAGTGAAGCTAATTCGATATATAATGAAATCAGGGAAGGCTTAAGTAAGGGAATTCAATTCTATTCAAGCATGCAAGATACAATTGAAACTTTGCAACGCAATATTCAACGTTTTATTACAGAAAGAACAAATGAAAGAAATCGTTTGATTGAAAGTATTCAAAATAATAAAAGTGCACGTGAACAACAACTGCTTCGTGAGACTCTAAATAAATATGCCACTGCTCCACCCCTCCCACCACTTCAGACCCATTCTTCATCTAGCAGTCTATCTCAATTAACACATCAAGCACGCCATCTGTCCATTCATGAACCTAATGCGCCCTACCAAACTCATTATACGCCAACTCCTCCTCCAAAGCCTCAAGCATTTATTCAACAACAGCAGCAGCAGCAACCGTCTACTCCTTATGGTATGTATAGTACAACTCCTATTCACCAACAACCTTCCTATGGTTTCCAACAACAAGTACCTCAAACACAGATGCAGACAATACCTCCTCCTTCACATCCAGTGATGTATAATCATCAACAACCTTATCAGCCACAACCTCCTACTGGTTATTCTCCTCAGCCACAACCTCAATACCAGCAACAACAACAACCTTATTATAGTCATCCATCAAATATACAATCACCTCCATATCCTCCACAACAGCCACATTTTCCTACTCGTCCACCTCAGCAACAGCAAGGGTACCCCCCATGGCAGCAACCTCAATGGCAGCAGCAGCAGCAGCAGCCACAGCTACAGCCACAGCCACAGCCACAAAAACCACCAGGAAATCTATTGGATTAAATAATAATAATAATACTTGTATTCCGTCTCTTGTAAATAATAATAATAATAAAAAAACAAGAAATTATAGCAAGTTAAAATGACATAACCATTATTATTGTTACACAGCCAAAGGTATAAATTATGTAAATGTGTGTGTTTGTGTGTATTTTCCATTCTGTTACATATTTCTTTCTTATTAAAAAAATAAATAAAAAAATAAATAAAAAAATAAATAAAAAAATAAATAAAAAGATGGAAAGAATTAAAAGAAGTAAGATATTAAGCATGTTATTGATAATCGTGTTTTCAATATCATTATTTGCACTGTTATTCAATATGATACCTACTGAATCAAGATCAGTAATGATAACAGATGAAAAGACGTTGTCAGTGATGCCAAGTGAAGATTTACCTGAAGAAGAAGATCTTGTTCCGTTAACGACCGAGCTCAGTACGAATGCTAAGAATTGGAAACCAAAGAAAGAATGGGGACGATTGAGTGAAGAGATTGAGAAAGCGATAGCATACAATGTACGTATTGCAAATAGTAATCATAAAACATCCATTCGACATCAAGATCGCATTCTATTAACAGCAGTAGCCAATCAAGGGATGGCAGAATATACATTGAATTGGATCATGTCACTCAAGAACTGTGGACTCGACGATAAATTCCTTGTTTTCGCCATTGATAAAGAGATAGTAAAGACATTAAAGGAAGCAGGCTATGATAAGCATGTTATCTTGATCCCTACAGAATGGTTTCATAAGCAATTATCAGATAAATTTGAAGCTTGGTTATCTTCAGGTTACACACCCATTACCCATGCCAAGTCATTAGTAGTTGAACGTCTATTGTATACGAATGTGACAGTCTGGTTTTCAGATGTAGATATCGTCTTTACATCACCTTCTGTCTATGATTATCTTGTTATGAAATTGAATTCAAGAAAGGAGACAGAGACATTATTTTCGCAGGAGACAGAACAAAGGATCATTAATTCAGGATTTTATGTCATGCGACCAACGAATACAAACAAGCGTATATTAGAAGAATCCATTTACATTCAAGATACAGAACAGAATAAGAAGCCAGAGGTGACTCAACAAAGAGCTATGAATCGAGTTCTAGATGATATCAATTTAAATTATCAAACAAGTACAATTGCTTTACTCGATTTAATGTTATTCCCACATGGTAGATTTTATTTTGACAGAGAGATGCCTACCAAGTTTGGTTTAAATCCAATGATTGTTCATGCCAATTATCGTAAAGGAGATAACAAAAAGAAGGATTTACAAAAATTTGGTCTTTGGTATATTTAAATATATAAAAAGGAAAAGAGGAAAAAAAAAACCACAAGTTGGTCCAAAATCAATAGGAATAAAGAAATCTGAATAAAAAAATTTTTTGTCTTGTTTTTTTTTTTTTCTAAAGCAAGATAAATCGTGACGACGTTAGCGTATAATTTTTAAAGTGAATTAGTTTCCGGTTAAGAAGTAACTTTTGAGCTGTTTATACGCTCCCTCTCATGATTATTATCGAGAAAAATAAACTCGATATCTATTTTTTTTTTTCAAAAAAAAAAAAAGTATCGAGAATGCTAAAAAGCCGGGTTTACTGAATATGCGCTGAGATATGCAAATTTGAAGATGAATCGACTTTGGCATTGTACAGTATATGTATTTATAAATAAAATGTTAATGGAAAAAAAAAATACTATCACAAGACTTCTCTCTCTTCTAATCATATTCTCGTACAACACATAAGGTTCCCTTTTCGTATTCATTATTTTTTTTTTACAAGTAATCAAAGAAGATCTGGTTACACATAAATATAAATTAGAAACATGATTAGAATTCTAGACAGTTCCTCGTGAAAATAGACATTATGACTATGTATTTAAATTTTGCCCTTATTTATTTCAAAGTCAATTTTTTTTATTTTTTTTTAGTCTGGTCTGGTTCCTTTATGCTTTGAAAGAAGAGTTAAATAATAGTTTGTTTTACAAGACATTACTTAAAAATAAAAAAAGAAAAAAAAGTATAGTCTACCAACTAACGAATTTTATTTATTTTAACAATGAATAAGAATTATTAGTAGTGAAAATAAAAAAATTATCACTTTCATTTTACCCCTCTTTTTTTTTTTCTTTCTCCTTTTCAAATTTATTATTACTCTTTTTATTATTATTATTATTATTTTGTTCTCCTCCTTTCTTCCTTTTCTTTCATCTTCAACATCAAGATGGTAGATTTAACATATAAATTCGAAGCATTTAGCTTCAATGGCATTTGTCAAACAGTGGCTTTATCACTTTGTCCTTTAATTGGACAAGCCAATGGTATTGAGCCAGTCTGCTATTCTCGTAATATTGATTTAGCAGGAAACTTAATTTTTCAACCTGGTAATAACAAATGAATCGAACCTCTTTATTCTTTCTTTCTATCTACTACTTACTAAACGAGTCTATATTAGCTACCTTGGTTATCGATATTGTTGCTATTATCATGACTGCTATTATGATTTATCATATTCGATCCAAATACACTGCAGTTGGTAAATAGTGTTTTAGTTTACTTTATTTTGGTGTGTGTGTCTCATCTTCTTTATTATCTTAGGTAGAAAAGAGATTGTTATGTTTTTTTATTTATACATGATTACAACCTTTCTTGAAATGTTACTTGTGACTGGGATTATACCTACTTCTTCACCTGTTTATCCCGTAAATAGAATAGAATAGAATAAGGCGAGGAGGAGGAGGAGGGGGAGTTTCTACATGTTATTAATAATGAATTCTTTCTCTCTCTCTCTCTTTTTTTTTTCTTTTTTTTTTTTTTTTTTTTTTTTTTTTTTTTTTTTTTTGCTTTTTAGTGGTTTACAGCTGTTCATATCGGATTAATATGTGCAACATTTTGGTGCTTATTATTGAATGGATTCGTTGGATTTCAGTTTGCTGAAGATGGTACACCTTTATCACTTTGGGTAAAGATGAATTTGATAAAAAACAAACAAAAAATCAAACTTTTAACATTTTATTTAGTCGATTCGTATTAGTTCATTTGTTATATTTTTACTAGTTGGATTTATTGCTATTGCTACTTTTAAACAAATTGGTCCCTTCACGTATACTTCGCCTAGTGCACTTTGGGCGTTTTATTTTATTATTAATGGTGTAGCCTTCATTATTTATGTGATATCACAAATTATCTTGGTTGTGAATACATTAGATGATCGATGGCCGTTAGGAGATATCTTATTTGGTACAGCCTTTTTTGTAATTGGACAAGTGATTCTTTACATCTTTTCTGTTATCATTTGTGACCAAATTAAGCATTATATTGATGGTCTATTCTTTGGTTCTATATGTACTTTATTAGCGGTGATGATGGTCTATAAATATTGGGATTCGATTACTAAAGAAGACCTTGAGTTCTCTGTAGGAGCAAAACAGAATGTTTGGGAAGTAAAAGAGTTATTGGCTGAGGATGAATTGGCTCAAAATTATCAACATCAGCAGCAGCAGCAGCAACAACAACAATATGGCGGTGGTCAACAACACTATCCTCAACAACAATACCCATATTAAATTAATCTGATTTTTAAAATAAAAATAGGTTGTATTATTATGTAATAAAAATAATAATAATAATACAACAGCCCCTTTATTTTATTTATTTATTTACAATAATTATGAATCAGCAACAATTAACTAAAATCGAAATATCAAATACATTTAAAACATTATTACAAAAGAAATTTAATAAAGTAAAAGAAAGAAAGAAAGAAAGAAACAAAAAAAAAAAAAAAGGAACTTTTCTAAATTTTCAATTAATTAATTTTTTTTTTTTTTTTTTTTTTTTTTTTTTTTATAAATGTATAGAATTGCTTTGACTGTAATTCAAAAGGACCTACTTGGACTTCACTTGATTTTGGTATATTTATTTGTCAAGAATGTGCTGCTATTCATAGAAGTTTAGGTGTTCATATTAGTTTTGTCAAGTAAATAGGAGGAGTTTTTATATATATATATTCATCTCTTGTCTAATAAACAAACAGGTCAACCATTTTAGATGGCTGGACACGCCAGCAATTAAATACCATGATATTAGGTGGAAATGCAAATGCTCGTGAAGCCCTGGGTGAAACAGTAGTTAATATGAAGGATTTAAAGTCAAAATATACAAGTAAAACTGCTTTATCATATAAGCATAAATTACGGAAAAGAGCTCATCAAGAAGAGTTGTCACAAGAGCAACAACAACAAGATCCTCAGCCACAAAATGATCTCATTCATCTTGAACCATCTCAACCATCGACAACTCCCATTTCTCTTCTTGATGAAGAATTAAATACTTTAGCATCTCCCGTTTTGAAAAAGACAAATGTCTTTGATGATTTAGATGTATTTAAAAACTCGTCTCAGCCCATGACTACTTCATCTCTATTTGAAGAACACGTAGTATCCACGCAGACGAATCCTACACATAGTTCGGTTTTTGATGATCTTTTGTCTACTGTGACTTCAAACAATCATCCAGTGATAGATGACCTCTTGTTTTCTTCTAATTCGACATCCATTGTCAATGCAAACTCGATAACAAAAGAAGATCACCCTTCTTCTTCTAACAACAACAACAACAAAGCCATTGATGATTTCTTTGATCAATTTGAAAAAAAGACAAATCTAAAGGAAACACCAAAGCGACCGATACAGTACAAAGCGCCCACAACGAAAAAATCAGGACATCAGCATAAACTAGGGGTACGTAGAGTAAAAGGGGATGTATTCCAACAACAAACAGAGCTAGCATTAAAAGAAGAAAGATGGAGAGAAGAAGGATTGAGAGAAGAAGAGATTGGAAGAGAAAGTCGAAATTTTATGCTGAGAAAGATGACAGAAAATGGAAAAGATGGAGTGATACCAAAATTACCAAAGCCAACATCATCTCGACTTGTCTATAAACCAGCAGAAGAGAAAGGGAAAGATGATCAAGAGGAGCGATTGGGAATGATGAAACTTCAAAGTGAGGGTAAAAAAAAGCAGGAAGTGGAAGAGGAAGATGAAGAGTATTATGCTCGTAATAAATTTGGTAATGCAAAGTCCATTTCCTCTGATCAATACTTTGGTCGAGAAGAAGAAAAGATGGCAAGTAGTAGTAGTAGTAGTCCAGCTCGATTAGCCCAGTTTCAAGGATCACATAGTATTTCCTCAGATCAATACTTTGGTAGACCCTCATCTCAGCAACGTAATTCTTCTGTATCGAAAAAATTTTTGAAGGTAGCATCAAAGGGGGCAGCTAAGATACAACAAATGTTAGCAGATATGGAGGTAAATTTAATTAGATGTAAATATGTACGAGTGGAGAAATTAATAATTTATTAGTAGTAGTAGTAGTGGTAGTATCATCATCATTGTATTTTATTTTATTTTGGAAAATAAATCATATATGAATATAGCATATAATAAAACATTACTTTCTCATTATTGAATTGCGTTTTCGTCAAGGAGAGGCTCCAAGAGATAACAAATCGATGATTTTTCTTTTGATTAAAGAGATAACTGCTTAAGCCTGGAAATTGGTTTAAGTTTATAACTTTTTGTGTGTGTCCATTATGATGATCATTGCCTATTAATATCTGATTTCTAGCCACTTTACGATTCCCCTTCAAGATAAAATAGGCACAAAAACGAAAGCCATAGGTCCAACGAAGATGAGTTACTTCTTGATCTAATTTGGAATCTTCATAAATGAGACGACGATAAAGAGCATCATGATCTAATCCATGTAAAGTTAAAAGATGATGATATTGTTTGATCATCGTCTTTCTTCTGGGTATAAATGTCGTAAGTTTATTCTGTCTCCTTATCACATCTTGTCGTGAACAAGTGGCGTGTTTCGTTATCGTCTCTTCTTCTTTAAAAGACACATTTGATACTGGAGATATTGATTTCCATTTTTGATCTTTCTTTACTCTTATTTTAGAATTATTATTAGGCATGTATGTTGATATAATAATTCAAAGAGAGGAAAGAAAGAAAGAGAGAGAGAGAGGGAAATAAAATGAAAAAAGAATCAGATATTATACATGTCTGATAAATGATACCAAGTCTATATTTTATACATGTATAACAATTTTACTACACATCTCATTCAATCTACAGCAAATTTATTGTAACTTTGTAAGTGGATATGATCTTATTTGGAGGCCGTCATCTTGGACTATCCTTTTCTGATTTGAAATGCGGCGTTGGGATAGAATGACTGTAATTAAATTCAACCTTTAAAGCATATTGATTAGTCCACCAATCAACTATATTGCTGAGTTATTGTCAATTTTTATGCTAAAAATCAGTCACTACTACTTTGGTGAAAGGTAGAGGACATTTAATACATTACAAACTATTCATTGCCTTTATATGTCTTTTTTAAGGAAAAAAAAAGTGATGATTTTTTTAGGGCTCACTTTACAGTATATAAAAAGTTTGTAATAATAGATATCCAGTGTATGCTCTATCCTGGCCTTAAATGAGTGTTATTGTCGCTATTTATGAAACTATAGAAATTATTGATGCAAGGAAAGTATTTTTTTTTACTTACTACTTGTCTATTCGAAATAAACGATACAAAAATAATTACCTTTTTGTATTATAAAAAAAGTAAAAAAGATGAGGTAATTTCTTTTAAAACAGAAGGCTCTTGTTGTCTCGCCTTTTTTTTATTTTTTTTTCTTAGTGTAGATTTCTATATCGAATAAATAAAAAGAAGAAGAAAAAAACTTTAAAGAAGTTCTAATTTATATAAAATGAAAACTATTCATCCTATTTTTTTTTATTTTATTTTTTGAAAAAAAGAAAAAAAAGAAAAAAGAGTCTTGCTGTTATAAAAGAGGGAATAGGAATGAGTTGTTGTCCTTATTCCACCAAAAAGAGTAAATCTTGTATTTTCTAATTTACATAATTTACTTTTGAAAGCAAATAATTAACACAAATACGCTTATTAAAGGTGCTTTTATCAATAATAATGATATAAAAAGAAAGAGTCTGTATTTTAATCTATAAAAGGATTTTCATATTAAAGCAAAGTTTTAAAACAATTCAATTTTTAGTGTACTTTTTTTTTTTTTTCCCTATTATTATTTGTTTTCGTCTTTTTTTTTCCTATTTATTTATTTATTCATTTATATAAGAATTTAAAAAAGAAAAGAAAAAAAAAAAGCTAATTGTATCAAAATGGGACAAACATTATCAGAACCAATTACAGAAAAAAAGTCTTCTCAGGGAAATGACAAACGTGTCATGTATGGATCTTCGTGTATGCAGGGATGGAGAACAAGTAAATTCTTTATAATTGTAGTTTCAAAATGACTTATTTGTTTAAAATGCACCTTTTTTTTTTTTGTTTTTTTTTGTTTTTGTTTTAATAGATATGGAAGATGCACACACAATTATCACATCATATGCAAATACAGGTGCAAGTTTTTTTGCTGTGTTTGATGGCCATGGAGGTACATAGTGAACTATCATTTAGTGTAACTCACAATCTTAAACATAGATGCATAGGTGATGCGGTAGCCAAATATTGTGGCACAGAGCTTTATAAGAAAATTATGAATAATGCAGCATTTGACAAAGGCCGTTACAGGGATGCAATTCGAAGTGGATATTATGGTATTGATGAAGATTTAAAGAAAGGTAACTATTATCACAGCCATTATATGTATGTATAGACTAAACAATAGAGTAGACAATAGATTTGATAATGATACCTCTGGATGTACAGCATTAGTCACACTGCTCACAAAAAATAATGTATTATATGTTAGTAATGCAGGTGATTCTAGAGCTATCATTAGTACAAGAAATGGTAAAGCCATTCCTCTAACACAAGATCATAAACCAAAACTTCCAAAAGAAGAACAACGAATTCGAAAAGCTGGTGGCTTTGTAGAAAATGGACGTGTAAATGGTAAATCAAGAAGAAAAAAAAAACAAAATAAAATAAAAAAAACAAGGAAAGAGGATGGTTAAGATGTTGATATTGTTATAGGTAGCTTAGCTTTATCTAGAGCCATTGGTGATTTCGTTTTTAAATCAAATACCCAAATTACACCTGATCAACAAGCAGTTACAGCAGAGCCTGATATAATTGAACATTTATTAACTGATCAAGATGAATTTGTTGTGATGGCATGTGATGGCATCTGGGATTGTCTATCTAATCAACAAGTGGTTGATTTTATTCGTTGTAAATTATGTGAACATAAGCTATTAGATACTATCTGTGAAGAATTAATAGATTATTGCCTTGCAGATCAAAGTAATGTAACAGGTATTGGCTGCGATAATATGACAGTCATTATTATAGCTTTCTTAAGAAAACGTAAGCCTCAAGATTGGTATGATTGGATGGCTTCAAAGACACCGCCTAAAATGCCGGCAAGAAAGACTATTTTAACATCAGCAGCAACAGCAGCAGCAGCAGCAGCAACAGTCAAAGAAAATATAAACACAGATAATAACGTGTCTCCTATTGTGTTATCTTCCTCTACAGCACCGTCATCAACAGCGACAACTGCTGCTTCTACAAAATAACGTATATACATACATGTATACATTTGTTTAATTTTGTTTGCTTTATTATATAGAATATTGTATATATAAAGAGTACATTTTATAATTTTAAAGCATTGCGACTTAATATTCGAATATTGTTCACAAAAATTTCTATCATGTGTGTATATTGAGAAGGTTCTTTTTTGTCGTGCTTGCGTTTTTCAGCAGCTAATATCTTTGCATCTGCAAATTCAAGTTCTAATTCATGACGTATTTCAGGATCATTAGTGCCTCCTTTCACTTGAGTTAAATCAAATGCAATACCGCCATGTTGATAAGAGATACGATCTTTATTACGTTCATAGACTGGTTTGGTAGTCGGTTTTGTACGAGGTATTTCAATATTAATTGATATTCTATAATCTAAAGGCTGATTAGGTGCATGAATGTTTAAATCAACAATACGTTTCTTTTCAATAATGCCATTAGGTATAATCTATTATTATAAAAAAGAAAAAGGAGAGAGAGAGTTTGAATATCTTCCTATAAATAGTATTTTTAAATAGAATATATTACCTGTCCAGTGGCTTGATCTGTAGTTACTCTCCATTTTCCTTTTGATCTGGGCATTTCATAAAAACGATCGGTTTCTATAGTATGTTTATATTTAATACGTTCTCCCTATAATGTATAAAAGGGCGTTTGTTTTGTTTTGTTTTTTTTTTTAATTGAAATGGACTATAATGTAAACAAATAACTTTTTTTTTACAATACTTTGTATTCACGCGCTTGTGTTCGAGTCACCATATCATTAAGCATTTTATTAAAATGACGATGTTGTTCTAACGGCATGTTTGATTCAAATCGATAGAATCTCATCTGATCCGATGGAATGACTAGTATAGAATAAAGATGAGATCATTAGATTGCATGTGAATTGAATCAACTTACTTGTTTCTGTGATGGCACCCATGTTTAACCTTTCCTTTGTAGCTTTATCAATGAATCGACCTAATTTAGCCTCGATCTAATAAGACATGAGCTTTGAGTTCAAAATAGATACAATGTCTTCATATACACATACTGCCCGACTACTTACCTCTACATTTTCTTGTTGACAATGAGTAGCAATAAGATCAGCAATATATTTCGTAATATCATCCAAGGGCCTTATATTCAAAATAGAAGGCTCCCTGTATGTAATAACCGGTTGTTGTTGCTGTACCTTTTTAGTAGGAGGTTCATTATTATTGGAAGAAGAAGATTCCAAGTCTTCTACTTTTCTCTTTTTTGACTCCATTTTGATAATAAAAGAATTAAAAAAAAAAAAAAAAAAAAAAAAAAAAAAAAAAAAAAAAAAAAGAAAAAGAAAAAGAAAAAAGAAATAAATATATTATATATTTCAGGAAAAAAAAATTACTTGATTAAATCCAGTTTTAATTTGAAATAAATAAATAAAAAAAAAAAAAAGAAGAGATAAAAGAAGTGTATAAATATATATATATGTATATTATATTATATTATACTATATTATATATATAAGTGTGTGCGTGTGTGTGTGTGTGTGTATGTGTGTATGTGTGTGTGCGTGCGTGTGTGTGTATGTGTGTGTGTGTGTGTATATAAGTGTGTGTGTATAAGTATGAATTTGTTTATACATACACTTGTATATTTTTCCTTTGTTGATGATGATAATGATGATGTTTGTTGTTTGTCCCCTTTTTTTTTTTTTTTTTTATTTATTATTATAATTTTTTTTTTACAAGACAGTACAACCCTTACTCTTCTTTTTCTTTGAAACCATCAATGCAGCTCTTGTTGCATGCTCAAATACTTCACGAACACCTTCACCTGTCTTGGCAGAACATTCAAGATATTTGTAGGCACTAATTCTTTGCGCAACAGAGGCACCCTATATAAAGTGTTACAATATAGTAATAATAATAGTAGTAATCTTTATAAAATTTACCTCATCAGAGCTAACAGGCTTTTGTGAGTTTCTTCTAAGTTCTTCAATTGTTTCAGGATCATTTCTCAAATCTTTCTTACAACCAACTAAAAGAATAGGTAAACCTTGACAGAAATGAAGGACTTCAGAAATCCACTATATTACATCATCTATTTTTTAATAAAGAATTTAAATCATCTTTTTAGTTAGCTAAGTTACCTTTTCTTGAACGTTTTCCAAAGAATCGGGAGAGTCTACAGCAAAACAAATCAAGATAACATGAGAATCAGGGTATGACAAGGGTCGAAGACGATCATAATCTTCTTGACCTATAATAAATTATATAAGACTTAGTTATCACAAATGCAAAAAAAAAAAAAAAAAAAAAAAAAAAATAGTTTATCTTTTTTTATTATAATTATTATTTTACCTGCTGTATCCCATAAAGCCAATTCCACGTGTTTTCCATCAACTTCGACATCAGCTACGTAATTTTCAAAAACGGTGGGAACATAAAACTAATATTTTTGAGGGGAACAAAAATAATAATAATAATGATTATTTATAACATTCTACTACTATACTATTATTATTAAAATTACCTCAGGGAAAGTACCCTTTGAAAAGACAATTAAAAGACAAGTTTTACCACAAGCACCATCACCAACGATGACTAACTTTCTTCTAATTTCAGCCATCTAAATAAATAAATAAATAAATGAAGAGAAAAAAAAAGAGAGAGAGAGAGAAAGAAAGAGATGAGAAATTACATCTTGTTTAATTTTTTTGTTTTTTATTTTCTTTTTACTTTAATATCTTATTGACTTTAATATAGATAAAAGGGAATATGTATGTAAATGATATTAATAAACAAGCAAACAAAAAAAAAAAAAAAAAAAAAAAAAAAAGAAATAAAAAAAGAAATAAAAAAAAAATGCTTTTTGGTCATTCAAAAATTTCTTTTTTAGAGAAAACTTCCGCTTTTCTAACTACGTTTAAATTTGAGTTAATTTATTCAGCTTTTTTTTTTAGCCAATGAGCTTGCATTATAGAAGAGGATATTGTTTTAGCCCTAGTCAGTTTATATTAAAGCAGGTAAAGGGTAATCAAAAAAAAAAAAAAAAAAAAAAAAAAATACACTAGGGCAAGGAGAAAGAAAGAAATAAAAGGGGGGGAGGGAAGAGAGATAGCAAGTATTGGATTAGAGAAAAAAAATAAAACTTTGTAGATATTTGCCACAATTATTGATATAGTAAAGGAATCCTTTTTTTTTTTTCCTGTTGCGATCAAATTGAATAGGAATATTGATAGATAGAAATGATATTACCTTTTAGAAGCAAGTATTTGTTAAACAAGGAATTTTACTCTAGAAACATTCAATGCGTTCAAATAGATAAAATAATCATACTCTTTTTCTTTTTTATTATATCCTTTAAGGATAGCAGTCTAAGAGTTCTTCATACTTTCAAAGCATCATTTGTACTGTAGAAATGAATCGTTACAGAATAGTAGCCAAGTTTAGAGAATATCATTAGATAAATTATGCGTGTAATAAAGGAGACAATGTGGCTATTGTTGTACACAACCTTGAATTAGTATACGCTTATAAAGTTCCTCATCCTATTTTATAGCTGGTAAACATTTCTTATTTTTTTCCTATTGTATCAATTCCATTTTATTACAAGTGTCGGTATATTTATTGGTAAAGTTTTTTTTTTCTTCCTTTTCCTGGTGATTGCGCTTTGAATGAGCAAAAAAGAAAAGAAAAAAAAAAGGAGGGGGATGCAAGTCATAGGTATGTGGTTTACGTCTTAACAGCAAGTTATTTTTTTTTAATAATAGAATGAGGGAAGGGTCATTTCTCATCAAACAATGAATGATATGTATTACTTGCTAGGTTATGCTGTAGAAATGTGTATAGGTGATCAGAAAAGCTTGGCTCTACGTCTACCCATATAATATAATTTCTAATCATGTATTAACGTGACTATAAATAATGCTTGTTAGATTATGAGCTGTATTCACATGTAAGTTATCAAATAGATTCGTTTTAATTTCGTAGCCAAGATATAATAGAGAATAAAGACAATTCATTCAAATATTAGAAGCGGGGCAAGCTTTGCTATACATACATACATATATCAGGTATCTCCATCAATTTCTTAATCAATAGAGTGTCCAACAGCTGCTAAAAGTCAATCTGCTCGTGGTCCCTATAGACAGGTTGAAGAAAAAAAAAGGGAAATACCAAGATCACTCATAATAACTACTACTTTAAAAGAACTTCTCATATCAACACAAAAGACCAGGGAATTGTTCTTCATATAAAGCTTAATACAATAGGATATAAATTGGCTTTAAAAAAATTAAAAGCATAATGTCAATTGATTTCTCTTTTTTTTTTTTTCCTATCTGGAAAGACTCGATACCAGTCTTTAAACGATTCTTTTTTTATATATATATATTATTATTTAAGATTGACCTGAAGAAATACGATGAAGGGTGGTAGCATGCTACTAGACAACAATACAGATTTAGCTGAGTCTTAATTTTTAATGACAAATAGGAATCGAAAAAAAACTGACACTTTTCTTTTTATTTCTCCATTTTTTTTTCTAAAATATCTAGGGTGTCTCGATTACCGCCATGTCAACATTATTCATAAGCACATCAAGGTTCATTAAGAATCCATTAAAGACCCTCATTTCAGTTCAAACAACAAGGCCAGCATTAAATAAAGGTAAGTATACCATGGTTGAATTCATTCACTTTATAACTAAACTATAAAATAAACAAATGCGTAGCTGTCAAGTGTTGTTCAGCAGGCATTGCCCCTTCTATATATCAATGTCATCAACAGAAGGTAAATATATAAATATATATTTATGGATACGCCTTTTATTATGATCAGGAATTGTATTTACAATAGCATTAGAGAACTTTTCATGCCTCTTCTATTATACAAAAACAAAAACAAGACCCTTATAAAGTATTGGGTGTATCTAACAGTGCTTCTCAAAATGAAATTAAAAAAGCTTATTACAAGGTAAAAAACAACAAACAAAAAAATTAATATATATTTATACAAATATTAATATATTTTATTCTAGTTAGCAAAACAATATCATCCAGATACAAATAAAGATAAAGATGCTAGAGAGAAATTTGTTGAAATTCAGGAAGCTTATGAAATTTTATCAGATGAAGAAAAGCGTAAACAATATGATCAATTTGGACATGGATTTGAAGGTGGCATGGGTGGTGGCGGATTTTATGGCGATGATAGTAGTGGATTTACTGGAGGATTTAATCCAAGTGACATTTTCGGTCAATTCTTTGGTGGAGGATTTGGCGGGGGATTTGGTGGAGGATTTGGTGGAGGAAGTGCAACGAATGGTGGTGATATTCAGGTATACCATACATATATGTATATATAATGTACTGTTATGAATTATTCTTTTTTTCTTAAAAAAAAATAAAAATGTAGGTGACTTTAACAATTGATTTCATGGAAGCCATCAAGGGCGCAAAGAAAACTGTGACGGTGAATCGCATAACAACCTGTCGTACTTGTCATGGGTCAGGCTTAAAAGCAGGTAAAAAGAAGAATGAATGTAAAACCTGTCGTGGTACGGGTGTGCAATCGATGCAAATGGGTGGATATCATGTGCAATCGACGTGTACCGCTTGTGGTGGTGCTGGTTCATCAATTCCTTATGATGCTAAATGTCCTAGTTGTAATAGTCTTGGTAAAGTAAAAGAAAAGAAACAAGTCGAAGTAAAGATTCCTGCAGGTGTTGATAATCAATCTGGACTCCGTGTACCTGGTGCTGGCGATGCACCATTAAAAGGAAATGGTCGTTATGGTGATTTACTTGTTTCATTAAATGTAAGTAGTAAATAGAATATAAAATTGAATAGTGTATTTATTTAACTGAGGAAAATTTTAATATTTAGATTTTACCTTCAAAAATATTTCGTAGACAAGGTACTGATATATTTTATGATGCAAAAATTCCATTTTATAAAGCAATGCTGGGTGGTAAAATTAGAATCCCTACCATTGATGGTGATGTGGAGCTTAAAGTACCTGCTGGCTCACAGCCTGATGATAACATTGCTCTTCGTGGAAGAGGTATTCAACGTTTGGAAGGCTCATCCAGAGGAGATCAAATAGTTCAATTAAAGATTGAGTTCCCAAGGTAAACTAAACCTTCCTTTCTCTCCTTTTCTTTTTTCTATTTTTTTTTATCTAACCAACTCTATTCACTTTTAATTAAACATAGATCTTTACGTGGTAAACAAAAGGAAATTATAGAGAAATATGCAGCTTTAGTTGATGATGAATATAAGCCAAAGGATGAAAAATAATACCTTTTTATACATATATATATATATATAAAATTCTTTTTCTTAGAGTATATTTTTATTATTGAGAGTAGTGTTTCAACTTGAAAGTACATTCTTATGTTATTGTGAGAATAAGCTACACATATAAATATAAAGACTATCATTATGTGAAACTTGCTTTCTTTTTTTTTATACAAACGAAGCTTTTAGACGAAAAAAAAAAAAAAAAAAAAAAAAAAAAAAAAAAAGCAAAAGTATGCAAAATACGTCATGGATATGGTTTTATAGGATATATTTTAGGTGTAGATCATAGTAATTCATTATTTTAAATGATTTCTTCTAGAACAACAACCAATGATAATAATGACTGAACAATTGAGTCCGTGTTGTACTATTCCTTTCTTTTTTTTTTTTTTTTTGCCCACTCAAACCTTTTCAGTTATATTGACGAGAGTATTTTGTTTATTTCGCCATTTCAATTAAATATTATTGGCTAGGAAGCGTATCTCTACGCTATACTTTTTTTTTTTTTTTTTTTTTTTTCAAAGTTGAGGGATAAAGAGAGAGAGAGAAAAAAAAACAAGGGATTCATAATAAGAGATAACAGTGACAAGGAATAAAAGACTATAAATACTTCTTTTTTTTTGTATAATATAACATTCTTCTTTTCATACATACAAATTTATTTATTTATTTATTAATTTATTTTTTTACAATAAATGCCTTCTACTTGTTATAATAGAAAGATAGAATCAAGTGCTGACTTGACTCTAGAAACTTTAAACTACTTGAATGACTATTTGAAAACATTAGAGCCAAATGAGATACTTGAATGGGCCATCCATCATTTACCTAATCTTTATCAAACTACTGCCTTTGGCTTGACGGGTCTTGTTATCTTGGATCTTATCCATCAAATAAGTATAAAGATGGATTATGACCAACAGCAACAGCAACACCTTATTCCTCTTATCTTTCTCGATACGCTTTATCATTTTAAAGAAACTCTCAATCTCGCTGATCATTGTCAACGTCTCTATCAGGTACCTCTTCTCATCTATCGTCCTGTTCATAATCACAATACAGTAACTGAATTTGAAGCCGAGTTTGGTCAACAGCTCTGGCTGAAGGATGAAGATAGCTATGATTACCTTGTCAAAGTTGAACCTGCGCATCGTGCCTATGAAGAAAACCATGTCATGTCAATTATCACAGGACGTCGACGTAGTCAAAGGGGGGATCGTGAAGGCATCCCTATCTTGGAAGTCGATAGTACAGGTCTGATCAAGTTAAATCCTTTGGCTTATTGGGATTTTAAACAGGTGTGGTCCTATATTGATGCACATCAGGTACCTTACAATGCCTTGGTCGATCAGGGCTATCGTTCAATTGGTGATTGGCATTCAACACATTCCCCTAGTCATGATGGAGAAGAAGAAGAAGATGAAAATGAAAGATCAGGTCGTTGGGTCGGTCAGCAAAAGACAGAGTGTGGTCTACATAAGGACTACTTTAAGATGCGGTCTGCTTTTATGGCATCCAAAAAGAAAAGAGAAACTCAGCAACGACAACCTCAACAAAATGCTATTACTGCCTGAAGAAACATACATACACACATACATACATACACACACACATATATATATATATATATATATACATGTATAAATATATACATAATCTAGTTTATTTATTCTTTATTTTTAACATCTGTTTAACTACATTTTTTTTTTCATATATTATAAAACAGTAGAAATTTATATATAAACTAAATTTTGGTTACTCATCAATAAGTTTATTATGTCAATAAATTTAATGTTATTAAAATGAAGAAAAACAAAGAAAAAAAAAACTTATCATACATTTATACTATTCACAGTCAAAGCGTTCTTATTTTTTTTTATTATACACTAATGATAATAATAATAAAGGGGGAGGAAGAGAGAGAGAAAGAGAGAGAGAAAAATACTTTTGTACATATAATTGTCTATATATATATATATAAATATTCTATTTTCTAAGAAAGAAGATACCAGCTTTCCCTACATTCTACTGCCTGTAATCGAACTAATCGTTTTTTATCATCCAGGGCAGCAGCAATGACCTTCAAGGTATCTTTGACGTAAGGCAAGACAATATCACGAGGCATCTTCTCAGCGATGCATTTAATACATTGAAGAGCAGATATTCTAACTTTGATGGAAGATCGTTCTGGATAAATAAGGGAAGTAAGAGCAGGCAATAGAGAAATCAAATAGGTTCCCATCTTATCAGTTGCTTTATTTAATGCGAATTGAAATAAATCTAATGTAGATAGCTTCAATTTTGTATCTTCTGGGATGGATAAGGATTCAATCAATAAAGGAATAACCTATATATCATCGTGAACAAAAGATTATAAGTAAACAAAATTCACATAAAAATAAGTATGTATATATGTATATGTATTACCAAAGAAAGCTGATCAATGAATACAGATCTTGGTGTATTTTTAAACAAATAAGCAATTGCTACAAGGTAATTCATCTTTTCATCTAATAAAGTAATATATGAATACATGATATTTTATAAAAAAAAATGTTATATATAACCTTCTATTGCCACAGAATTGTATTTTTCTAACAATCTAGAGAAAGAATAAGTCATGAACTTTTGTTTATATGAAAGCTAAACAAAAACAAAATAGTAATTAGTCCTCTTCTTGTTTTAAATATAAGTGATAGTATTTTTTTATTTTTTATTTTATTTTATTTTATTTTTTTTCTTTTACCGAAATAGTAGCAGCGCATTGCTTATTTAAACACAAGGCATCATCTCCAATCAAAACATCAAAACTAGTTGAAGCATATTTACTCATGACAGGATCAGAAATCCAAGTTATGATTGACTTTGTCATTTCTACACTCAATCTATGATCTCTTAAAATAAGAGCTTTTGCAACCTGTACACATCAATGTTGGTATATAAAAAGGAATGAATGATGTACAAAATTGTATCCTATTTCTTACCCAAACATAGAGTGTTAATGCAGAATGTGGTTGTGTCCTAACAAGACCCTCTAAGCGTTCTTTTAATTCTTCTAGATATTTTTCTAAAATATCATCTAGTATTACATAAAAAAAAAAAAAATGAAAGTTGGTAAAAATATGTATTTATAGATATTTATTAAATCGCTTACCGTCTTTCCTTTTATTGATCATGGAAGCAATCATTCTTGAAAAGGAGATGATTTGAACTTGGGATGAGCTTATCAAAGCTTCTTTAATAATTTGGTCTACAAAAGAAATGTATGGATCGTTATGAAGAGTAGCTTCATTATTGATTAACTGTGGTGGTAAGACGTCTCTGCGACATGCACATACGATGGTAGCAAAGATCTGAGTACAGGCTGCTTGAGATTCTGAATCACAAGCTGAAAATGGACAAAAATCAGCAGGTACTTTTAAGCCAAAATCTTGAAAGCCTTTTTCTTTGAAATAGTTAAAGAATTGAGACATATATTCTTGTTGTTCCCTTTTTTTTTTTTAAAAAAAAAAACCCGTCAGTATATATAATATACACATATACATATTATATAGACTTACTCTGAACTAAGACTACTAAAGATAGTAAGGATAACAAGATTTATGCTTTGTAGAATATCATGATTTAAAATAATCATGTCGTGTTGCTGTTTATCTTCATTATTGATAAAGACGGTAGAGATAACGGCTGTCATTAACTTTGGTACAAGTGTTTCCATACATTTCTTAATTTTGTTCGATTCACTTTCATTCTTTACTTGTTTTTGAATCATTTTTAATAATGTAGAAATAACTTGCAATGCATATTGTTTATCTTCATCTATCATAGAAAGGATATTTAGGGAGAATGATTACACAAGAAGGGTGTTATTTATCAAACTTACTATGACTACAAATATATAAAAACTTTTTGAGCAAATTTTGTTCCATGGATTCATAAATGATGGGAGAAATACATAATTTCTCTAAAGACGCTAGCGTAAGTTGATAAGAGATTGTATCCTTGTTGGAAGAAGAAGAAGAAGATGATGATGATGAGAAATCTGGTAAAAGATGTATCAAGTTGGGCAATGTTATTTGAATAATAAGTGAAGGATCAAATGTAGCTATTTCAGTTAGTAATAATTCAACTGACATTCTTAGTTTTTCTTCCTCTTCTTTTCCGAATAGATGACTTAATGTCTTTACACACTTGACTCTCTACGCAGAATATAAATAAGAATAATCAATGTTCAATTGTATATCGAATGATAATCTCCATCATACCTCCTCATTTGTTAAATATTGCTTTAAAACACATAACAAGCCTAAGCCAAGGATTCCCATTAAGCAAATATCAGAATACTCCTTTGATGCATTGATAGCAGTTGAAAACATTTCTATAATTCGTCCTTTATAAATGAACAGTACTGACTTGTTATCATTTATAGTGACTATGTAAAAAATGGGGGAAAAAAAAGCATCTTTTAGTTTATATAATCCCATCTATGTATACACATACATATCTATTTATGTTGTATCCTTACTTGTGTTATTGTCATTTAAAGTACCATATACAGTTTTTCTTGCTTGAATAATTGCTACTATAGTACATAAAATCAAATAGTGTTCCAACATTTCATTATTTTCTTTATATTGACGTAATAAGAGAGGTAAAACAGCGCTTTCGACTAAATCATAGGCAAAGGCTATAAAATAAAATAAATAACTTTATATCGGTCTCTCTTTCTCTCTCTCTCTCTCTCTCTATATATATATATAAGCTTACAAGTAGCAGAGGCAACTGCCCTTAAGACTAAGCTAGCAGGTTTAACATGATCTTCATCTAATTCTTTCAATAGAGAAATACAATCATCTACAAGTGGTTTTAAAACTTTAATCACAACAGCTTCTTTATCATCGTATGCCAATATAGCTTTTGTTAAAGCTGTAATAGCATTTAAGGAAGGTTCACGAAGTCCTGGATCTGGATCACCATTGATGATTTCCATTTTAATCGTATCATATAATCGTGTACTCATCGCAATTAAATCTTCAGGAGGATACACTGTCGTACATACACTTAATGTCTCTAAAGTATCTTTCTATAAAAATATATATGTTTGTAATGCTTGATATATGTATAGGTTGTTATATTAATTTATTTTTACCTTTGCACTACCTGATGTAGTAGATAGCTTTTGTAATAAAAGTGGTAATGCATATTTTGAGAATAAGGGAGTTGACGCCATACATTTTCTTTTGGTAACCAACAAATCATTGATTGATTAAATATTACATAACACATATACATGCATATTAATTTACCTAAGGTTTAATTTAAGATCCTTAGCAGTGATGCCATATGAATTATCAGGTGGAGGTCGAAAGGTAATTGGAAAATAACAAAATGAAACTTCAAACAAGTTCTAAACATATACAAATATATAAAAAGGACTAAGGTTTATGTGTGTGTGTGTGTGTGTATTTCGATATGATCTTATTATTTTACCTCTACATGCTGACTGATATCCAATAATTTTATCATCTTTTGTACTATGGTATAAATTGTCATCAAATTTCGAGGATCTTTTTCACCTGTCATTGCCTGAATAAATCCTGAAATATAGTCATCTTCTAATCCCTTTTTTAAGTCTATAAGCAAGCAAAAATATGTAATAAATAAGCTTATTTCTCTATCTCATTTTATCCCCTCTATTTTTTTTTTTTTTTTTACCATCAAGATGATAATCTAATAAATTTTGAAATACTTGGAACGCTGTATTTCTTGTAATATGTGGAAATGATTGTACAAAAACATTGTGCTTAAAACTATATAAATGTGTATATGTATAAAAAGAAGTTAAAAATAGCTCTCCTCTCTCTCTCTCTCTCGCTCTCTCTTACTCACACTACATACATACCTTTTAACTATGGCCTTTGTACATTCTAAATTAAATGCATCAAATCTATGTGTCAAAGCGTTCAGACCTATCATTAAATTAGGTACACTTGTTGTATCTAATAGACGACTACAATAAAAGTCGACAATGACAGATACTTTTTTTTAAATAATTAAAATAAAAAAAAAAAAGAATCAGAATTATTATTTGTTAAAACTTATATCGACATAATCTGAATACCACTTGATGCATTTAGTTGACTTTGTTCACAGTGCTTCATTACATAAGATAGTAAAGAGATTACTTTATAGATATATATATATAAATAGTATCAATAAATGATTGATCTTTCTTAGTTTCTTTTTGTATTCACTTTTTACCTTTCGAACGAATATCATCATTTTCGTGGACAAGATATTCACCTAGAATTTGAATTAAATGTAGTATGTTTGATTTGACGTCTTTATTATTAATTACTTTGTTTATTTTTTGAAAAAAAAAAGGTTAATATGATAATATGAAATAAGCTTTTTTGTTTGTTTTACGTTCTATAATTTGCTTGGAAACTTTATTATCAATTTCTTCTTCATTTTTAGTAGTTATCATATATTCTGTTACATATTTTTCCATATTAATGTTTCAAATAAAAAAAAAAAAAAAATGAAATAGAAATAGAAAAAGAAAAAAAAAAAAAAAAAAAAAAAAAAAAAAAAGTAAAGAAAGGAAGTGTAAAACTTTACAAAAATTTGTTGATTTCAGACGGAGTTAAGGGCCATTATTAGTATGATTATGTAAAATGAACACTGGGCTTTATTTTTATTATAAATCAAACATTTGGAAAGTAAAAGTCTATTCCTTTAACGATATTGTTAGAACAAACAAAAAAAAAGAAGAAGGAGAAAATAAAGAGAGTATAACAAGTATCAAGGAATAAACAAGATATTTAAATGTAAATGAGATATTATTTTGTATGTAGGTAATTTCATAACAAATAATGGTGACAAAAAAAAAAAAAAAAAAAAAAAGATTGTTAAATCATTCAAAAGCTTTGAATATGATACTTTCGAGATTAATAATTTCAACATTTTGTTGACTAATTAATATGTGCAGAATAGCCATGAGAGAGTCATTTTAGATAAATGTATGAGTATGAAGTAAAGTGTCATTCAGTGAAAATAGTACAATGATTTGGATACATTTCTCCTGATAGCCAGAGAATATTCACAACTTGTCAGAGTTGAGATATCGACTTTTTTCTTTTCTCACTTCTAACTTGTCATTATCAATTTAAGAGTCAAGTGTTACTAATTGTATGCTTTTATATCAATTACTAATAAAAATGGATATATGAGTAAATAAAGCTTTTGATATCTGTAAAGTAAGTTACTATGGTCAGACAATCATGCCTTTTTTTTTTTAAATACAATAAAAAGATTCCATTCGAGCAAAGTTTAATATTTTGTGTCCAATTGGAATCTTTACTATCCCTGCTTTTTATTATTTTAAATATCAGCCCATTATTTATTCTATTGTTTTTTTTTTTTCTTCATTAACCATCATTACATTAACTTGACAATGACCAATATAACAAGAGTAAATATTAAATTCTAATATAAATGATATAACGTCTAACAAGAAATATAAAGTGTTATTTAAGATCTATTTATCAATGTAATCATATACGTCTTATGTCAACAATAACTATCAAAAGTATGTCAGTTTAAATCTATATCATTCTTTTTATTGATTTATTCTTTTTTGTTTCTTATAGACAAAAAAGTAAACTGGGATGAAAAGTTATCCATACCAGTAGAAGCAGACATGATAGGTACACCAGATCCTATTTCAAATCTTCGACCCGTTAAATATTTTATACCACATAAAGAAACAAAAGAAGTAAAGTCATATTTATATAGTATATACGTGTGTATGTATGTACGTATATAATAATGTGTTTCCTTTTTCTTCAACTAGGAGAAAGAATGGAGAGAATTATGTCAAAAAATAGACAACTTTAATGAAGATTTTTGGCACAAGAATAATATAATGTTTACTGAAGCCAAGGAGGAATATGAAAATCAATGTAAAAAAAAAAAAAAAAAAAAAAAAAAAAAAAAAAAAAAGATACGTGATATACAACTAAATAATATTTAATCTAGTAAAAGAAAGAGGAGAAGAAGTAACGGCAGAAGCAATGTCGATATTTTATAAAGACTTTTTAAATAAGGCTTATGACCGTCATATGGAATACAATCGTACTTGGTGGAAACTAAACATTATTCAATTATACCCCGGATTTAAGGCCGCTATTCGGTTATTGAAAAAATCATCACCACAGCAACAAAAAAATGAACATAATTTTTGGGAAAAAAGCTTTGAATCATAAATAAAAAGTATACATCTTATTTTATTTAATAATTATAAATTGGCACCAGCAGCTCTTTGTAAAAGCTTATTGACTTTACTGGATTCCATATACTCTTTAACAATGGCACTAATTCCCTTGAATTTTTCATGTTTAGCATCCTGAACTAATTGGAAAAGAACTGATTCAGAAGTAGTAATGATTGCACCTGCAGATCTCATACGCTAATTATTATTGTTAATATTTACATAGAATAGAGCCATTTATATACACTTACAGCAATAGCGATTTCAATTTCAGGATAGTTTTGAGAGGATACACCATCTACAATAACATGAACATCATAATTATTTTCAAGTAAATCAAGCGCAGTTTGAAGTACACAAACATGACTCTATTTTTAATATTTCAGTACATAACAAAAAAAAAAAAAAAGTCTCATTTATTTTTATTTTATTTATTTACCTCGATACCTAATAAAAGAACTGATTTTGTATTGTTCTTTTTCAAGACATCAACTACTTCGGGTAAATACATGCTGAATTTTGTCTTTTCAAGACAAACGGCTGCATCTGAAATATTCAACTCACTGACAGTCTTTCCAAATGCTTATAAATATGACACCCACCAAAATAATTAATAACGAGTTATACTATATATCATACGCGTAATAGATTACCTTTAGGATATTGTTCAGTGACGATAACTGGCATATCTAAAAGATTACTTGCTTTAATCTAATCTTCAGTATAAGTTAACCAAATACATACATGTACATGTATTTATATATATATTTTATTTACCATTTTGCCTGCAACTGTAATGACAGAAGGGTATTGCCAAATAATGCCTTTAAAGCGTTCCTGAATATCACAAACAAATAAAGCAGTTGTTTGAGGTGCTAACTTTGCAATCTTTGAAAGAGCCATTATTTTCGAATTGAATTAATAAAACAAAATTAAATAAAATTAAATAAAATAATAAAAAGAAGCTCTTTCACTTGCAATGTGGGAAAAGGATAATTTTGTTTTTATTTATTTATTTTTTTTTTTTTTTATATCACGACATGTTCAGGTTTTTGAACTAAAAATAGACTCGTATTAATGGAAGTGGTGATGGTCTTTTCTTTTTTATTTTCTCTCTCTCTCTCTTTCATTTTATTTTTGCTGTTGTTGTTGTCCACCGCCAACAATCCTTTCTAGACAAGTGCTGGCTATACATAGTTTTTGTTAGTGAAATAAGGATATTCTTGTAGTTTATAACACACTGTTAAATTCTACCAAAATACTATAACCTTTCTTTTGTTGTGCATCTAAAAATTAATAGGCTAGAGGCTTTCCATTGTACAGGGAAAAACCTTTATTTACAGGATGTATATTACTTTTTTTTTTCTTTTTTTTGCTAGAAATGATTAGTTTACATATTTTGCGGAATAGTAGATTTAATTTTGTTGTTGGAAGCCTTTATTAATTGTCTTTCAAGTACGAAATCTCCAAATATATGCTTGGCTGATTTCTATGTGCATTGCTGCTGTTAGTTTTTTCTGCCTCATCTGATTATTTTTCAATTGTACCACAGGTTGTTCCTATTTTAATAGTATCGCTTACTGTGGATAATAAGAGCAGAATCCTATAATCTTTCAATGAAATCCTTAATATAGTAAACCTCAATATATTTTTAACTTTCATCATAGCTTTATATTGCGTTATATCCAATACACTGAATCGTAAACTATGTAAAATATTTAACAATGATGATTTTTATTTAAATAGAAGGTCAATCAGCACGAATGTTCTTTCATAAAACTGTGCTGATTGTGCCTTCTTACTTGGTATAATAGGAAATGGGGCATTTTATTTCTTCGTTCTCTTTTGGAAGTAAAACCCCATAACCACTTCCATTAACTGGCTTTCGGATATCCAAATTAACCATTCTATCCAAGGATAATTGGTTATTTGAATTACCCAGCATTCTTTCCACTTGGTTTTCTTCGTGCTCCTCGCTCATTTTTCTTGATATCTTTACCAAGTTTTCCAAAGCGCCCTAACATATTCAATAGCGTGAGCATACCAACCGTTAATGACTGATAAATGCTATGTTCAAATAATTATTTACCTTCAAACACCAGCAAAAAATTGCCAATTCAACAATGTCTTTAGTTGCGCTTAATTGCTTCGGAACTTTGCACTTGTAAACTTTTTTTAAACAGTACAGCTTTAATGAGCAAAGCTCAAGAACCCATAAATGGATCGTATCATCTAAACTAATCATCAAGAAAAGGTCATTAAATTGTTAGCACAGCACATGTTATTCATTAATGGCAAAATAAAATAAAATAAACTATCTACCTCTGGCATGAATAAATGGAACTTTTAATTGTAATGCTGTATCTTCTGAAGCGGTGGTGCCCCTAAACCGTGCACCTATCACCCTAATGCCTTGTTCACAAGATCCCATGCTATATGATGCCTACATATGCATCGACGATTGCAAATGCCTTTGACCGAACCCGACCCTTTGTCCTTCCTCTTGATATAGCTCTTTTGATGCCTTCAAGCAATACCCAGCAGGCATAAACTTCAAGTTATATTGCTTGATATTTTTCATAGCAAATTGAATAACTGGCCACACAAAAGCGTGATTGAAGCCTGTTCCACAGGATGAAAGCTGCTGATACAAATTTGGTTTTCTGTAGAGCCATAAACTAAATAAAAGGGACAAAGTAATCCGATTAGTTAGCTATTGTTATTAAAAAAAAAAGTTGCTTTTAAACTATACCATAACTTGAAAAATTGTTTTGTAAAAATGAAGTTCTCTTCATTTTCTGTCTTGTCTGCTACTTCCTTACAATCCAAGACGCTCTTCTCAACCACATCCAAGTCATTCTAAAGTGATAAAAATGATTAGTATATTTAAAAAAAAAAAAAAAATAACTGCCTTACAGTTTTTATAGCAACTAAAACACTGCTAGCATATTTTCTGCAGGTCTGTAATGGTGTTGCTAGCATTTCATTGCTGGTATCAACATGGAAAGACCATTCTTCTGGTAAATGAGGGTTACATTTAATAGAATAGCCGCATTCGATAACATGTTGTTTTTCCAAGCTAAGAAAAGAAATTTAGTATGAAATAAAAAATTAAAACAATCATCAGTATAACTTACCAGAATTCATGGCAATTACTTGTTGTACCTTTCGTTTACGAGGCTTTGGGCAGAGCAACTTTTTTTTTTTTTTTTTTTTTTTTTTTTTTGTAAAATCCATGTTGGTGCCCATCCACTACTCTCTCTTTTATAATTTTTTTTTCATCGTTATGAGGTCTTGGATACAACGTAACGACTTTCAAAGAGAGATTACATTCGTCCTTCATAAACTCATTGACTCTAGACTTCTTAATATCAAGCCCTTCGAAAGCTGTTGTCAAACTTTCTACAGCATCAGTTATAACAGCAGAAGGATTTTCATCAAAAAAAAAGAAATTAATCAAATGCTGTTTGTGTGGTTCCTGAAGCTTAGAAACAGGCCAGTTACTGCGGTTAGTCTTTTTTTCCCAATTCATAGTTATTAGACTCGCTTAGGTACTTCTGATACTAGTTATTTGCAGCACGAACGGATAAGCCTTCTTGAAGCCTGTTACGGGTCTTAAAAAAAAATAGACTGAAATTGAATAAATATTGTTGAGACACACAAACAAAAAAAAAAGTACACTTTGTTCACCAGCTGAACGACACAAAAAAAAAGATATGTTTTAGTCTGATTTTATTGAAAGAATAATATTATTTTACCTGAACGACACAAAAAAAAAATATGTTTTAATCTAAAGACTAAAAAAAAAAAGGTCGTTCAGTTTGCCATTTTTTATACTAATTTAGTTAGGGGTAAAAGGAGGTGACTCTTTTTTTTTAAAAAAAACAAGAAATTAAGTTCAAATTTTGTCTTAATTTAATTGGTTGAGTGTTTCAATTTATTTCTTGCAAGTTACAAGATTGGATTATTTAGTTTAGCTTTAATATTGTGTGTAACTTCCTTTCATATAAAGGTAGTAAATAAGCGGGGAGGGAGGATATTCGATAACTATCATCTGGCCTCTCCTATATAACAGATAACAGGAGAATAATAGTATAAATAAAGATCTACATTTGTAGGTTTTGTATCAAAACAAGAAAAAAAAAAGGAGATGTCTTCTATGAGGGTGTAGAATATAATATATTTATGGAGGGGACAAATAACCTCTAAGGCCTCCTTTTTTTTAACAATAATGTGCTATCTCCTTATTCACGAGTTTAAAATTCTGTATATAAAGCAAATCAAATCAAAAAAAACATAAATCTTATTTCTGATTATCTTTTCCAAACCTATTTTGTTTTGATAATAGAATAAGTTAAATTAGAACATGTTATCAATGAATCAACATCATCATTATGAAAAAGAAGAACGAGATTATCTTTCAAGTCTGCAAGCAGTACGTGAAAGATGCTTTAAAGTACAAGAGATAGCTGTCAAAAATAAGCTTCATCATTTTAATATTGACAGCTCAAAACTTCAAGATATAGTACAACTTGTTATTTCATTATTAAAAAGAGATTATTACGATTTTGATTCTCAACAGTTACAGATTCCTTCACATGGCCGTTGGCGTCATTTTGATGCTGGAGGATGTGCTCGTATTCAAGCCCTTTTAATTGATCCCTGGACAAAGATGGGGGTTGATTCTCTTGAACAGACGAGGCGTATTTTGGATTTATTTGTCATTGCAGTTCTCTTGGATCTTGATCCCTCACAGGGATATAGTTATCAAGAATCAACTCATCATCGTATTTATAAGAAAAGAGAAGGAATGGCTATTGCAATTTTGGAAATGTTTATGAATGGTGTTTTCTCTATCAATCCAGAGGAACCACATCGTGTTGATTGTAATAAAGTTATTTCTTTTCTTTTTTTTTTTACTGTATACTTGTTACATATAAAACTAACTCAAATTCCTCTTCTTAACATATAGCGGAAGCGTTGATGCAGTTAACATTAGATGATTTATTATCAGGCCTTAAAACAACATCAGACGAATTAATAGGTATAGAAGATCGATTTGAGTTGTTAAAACATCTTGCCCAAGTCTTGCAAGTTCGAACTGATTATTTTGGAGGTCAAGAAGGCTTTATGCCACGTCCTGGAAATATGATGGGTAAGTTCCTTAAATAAATAAAATACTGCATTTGATATTGAAATATGAAGGCGTCTCTAATTTTACAACTCTAGATTACCTTTTAAATCATCCAACCACAATAAAAACGAAAAAAGGGCCTTTAATCCGTTTAGAAACTCTTTGGCCAATTGTATTTGAAATGGGTGAATTATGGACTGTCCAAAGTGACTATTCTAATGGTAAAACGGGTATTACTTCTTTAGGCGATGTCTGGTCATGTTGCTCTAATGATAATCTTCTAGTTCCTATCCATAAACTATCTCAATGGATGATTTATACTTTGATTGAGCCAATGGAAAAGCTTTTAGGTGCAGTTATTGAAGGAACTGAACAATTAACTCCACTTCCAGATTATGCTAACGGTATATATATATATACATATGTATATGTATACGTATGCACATTTAATATTGTATACTTATTTTTTTTTTTTTTGCAAAGGTGGCCTGCTTATTGATACAGGGTTAATTACATTAAAAAGTCAAGATTATGAACGAGGTATTGAGAATTATCGTCAACATACCAATTTACTTGGCCAGTCCAAGGTAGAAATGATACCGATGTTTGATATATCGGATTCAGCAATAATAGAATGGAGAGCCTTGACTATCGCTTATTTAGACCTTGTTTGTGATCGTGTTCGTGCTGCCTTGAAATTAACGAGAAAAGCATTGTCATTAACTCAATTGATTGAAGGTGGAACAACAAGTGTAAGTTATAATATTATCTATTTTTTTTTTATATTTTTCTTATGCAGAATAAAATATGTAGGCAGGCAGAGAATTAGCCGAACTTTCACGACCAAATACACAGCAGCCTCCTATCCTTATAAAAGTATGTATTCAATAGAAATATAAATATATAGATGTATATAAAACCATGAATCATATATTAACTATTTTCCAAATATAGTGGGATAAAAGAGTTGTTTTCTAATATGGATATGACTTAAAAACACATAAACATTTTCAAAGTAAAATAAAGAAAGTGGTTTACTTATTCTCAAAATTATCGTGGTGTTCCTTTAAATTATTTTATATGCAGACAAACCTTAAAAAAAAACAGATTTAGAGATCAATAATAAATTAAACTTATACGAGCTTTTGATTGGATAATATAATGGTGTAAAGAGTATTCGAGCCAATTAGATCCATTTATATGTATCTGGCACCATAAAAGATCTCTTTTTCTTGTGCTTCCTTCATATCCTTCAACATGTTAATTTACTTGCTAACAACTACCTTTCTAACATAGCTATATTGTTTTACTTTTGGGTTTTTTTATTTTTATTTTTATTTTTATTTTTTTTATTTTCTTTTTTTTTTTTTTTTGTTTTCATACAAAAATCATGTATACAATAGTCAAATAATGTAATTTTAAATGTTAAAAAAAAAAAAAGAAGCAGCATTTAACAAGAAAGAATAATAATAAAAAGATGAAGATGATCAAATGGAGATTAAAAGTCACGTCTTTCAAAGCTTATTACTAGAAGAATAAAGTCAAGAGAGTACCAATGTCCAATGTGCAACGCTCCGATATCATTTATATTATTTAGTCTTCACAATAAATCTCTCCCCCCCCTCTCTCCTTTTTTTTTCCCTATTTTATTTAATTTTCGAAAAAACTTGCATTAATGAAAGTTACTGATAAGATTAGAAAGGCAGAAATTGAAGGACGTCCGTTTTGGTCTTTCGAATATTTTCCTCCTAAAACTCCTCAGGTACCAATTTTTTTCTTTTTTATTTTTCATATAATTGTATTTACTGACTATTATATAATTTTTTGGGTTTAAAGGGTGTTCAAAATCTATATGATCGTATGGAAAGAATGCAACGTTTTGGCCCTGAGTTTATTGATGTAACTTGGGGAGCTGGAGGTACTTCTGCTGAATTAACAACTGAAATAGTTGCAACTGCACAATCTGTTTATGGCTTGGAGACGATGATGCATTTAACTTGTACAAATATGCCAAAGAAACAAATCGATGATGCTTTAGAGGTAATATGCATATATATATATATATATATATATATATATTCACATGTTCATGACAAATACATATATAAATATTTATTCATATACTGATTCTCTCTTTGTGTCCAACTAAATAAGGCTGCTAAAAATTGTGGATGTCAAAATATTCTTGCGTTACGAGGTGATCCTCCCAAAGGACAAGCTAATTGGGAATCATGTGAAGAAGGTTTTGAACATGCTGTTGATTTAGTTCGGTATATTCGTAGCAAATATGATGATTATTTCTGTATTGCTGTAGCTGGTAAAAATAAAACTTCTCTTATATATATATATATATATATATTGACACTGGTATGTGTGTATACTTATATAGGCCATCCGGAAGGACATATTGATAATCCTGATAAAGAACAAGATCTCTTTTACTTGAAAGAAAAAGTTGATGCAGGTGCAGATCTTATTGTAACTCAACTCTTTTTTGATATCGAACTATTTGTTCAATTTTATAAAAGAGCTCGTTCTATTGGAATCACTGCACCTATCTTACCAGGTGTTTTCCCTATTCAAAATTACAGTGGACTAAAACGTGTTATTTCCTTTAATAATAATTTTGTACCACAAAAGATTTGGGATGATTTGGAAAAAATCAAAGAAGATGATTCAGCGGTAAAAGAATATGGTATTAATTTAACTGTCGATTTCATAAAGCGATTTCGAGAAGTAGGCATTCATGGCTTTCATATCTATACTTTTAATTTGGAACGTTCTAGTCGTCTTGTTCTAGAGCGATTAGAGTTAGTAGCTCCTGTAGAACATATTAAACCTTTGCCCTGGAATCCTTCACTTACTAATAAGCGTGCTAAAGAAACGGTTCGTCCTATCTTCTGGAAGAATCGTACCAAGAGTTATATTCAACGTACAGAGACCTGGGATGAGTTCCCTAATGGCCGCTGGGGTGATTCACGTTCTCCTGCCTTTGGTGAACTCGATGGGTGGGGGGTCAATCTTAAATATCCTGCTGCTCAATGTCTAGAAATGTGGGGTTATCCTACCTCTATAGATGATATCTCCCTCACTTTTGCTCGTTACTGTAAAGGTCAGATTGCTGGTATCCCCTGGAGTGCTCAACAATTGGATCCTGAGACGGATATCATTCGACAACGTTTGGCTGCTATCAATTTACTCGGATACTTGACCATTAATTCTCAACCTGCTGTGAATGGTGTCAAGAGTTCACACAAGATCTATGGCTGGGGTCCCAAAGAAGGTTATGTCTATCAAAAGGCTTACTTGGAGTTCTTTGCATCCCCTGAAAGACTGGATGAATTGATTTCCAAAATCCATAACGACCCACAAATAACCTACTTTGCTGTGAATAAACAAGGTGATCTTCGTACAAATACACAAAGTGATATACCTAATGCTGTTACCTGGGGTGTCTTTCCAGGGAAAGAAATAATTCAACCTACCATTGTTGAAGCAATCGCTTTTATGGCCTGGAAAGATGAAGCCTTTGAACTTTGGAAGAGATGGGCTCGTATCTATGAACGTAAAAGTGAGTCTGCTGAACTAATCTTGGATATTACACATAATTGGTATTTAATTAATATTGTTCATAACGATTTCCAAGATGAAAACGGTATTTGGAGATTATTTGACTTGGAGATTGATGGTGAAATTTCTCGTAAACTATTACAACATGCTAACTATATTGCTCGTTAACTGGCATGAAAACCTTTCCTTTTCATACTTATATAAATCCATATATATATATATCTGTAATTTTTGTATTCAACATGCCCATTCTTTTCATATACTGTGTTTTGCTTTTGAAAATAGGGGGGTTTTTTTTTGTTTGTTTGTTTGTTTGGTTAATAGAAATTTTTGAATTCAATAAAATTTTTTAAATGTAGGCGATAGACATGTTTGACCATCAACATACATATCACAAAAAAAAAAAAAGAAAAAAAAAAACTTATAGCAGTTCTAACAAAGCTAGGTTCTAGATTTTAGTTTTGTTAGAACTGCTATAAATGTAGGAATAAATACAGGTTTTTTAGACTGGAATTATGCATAATTTATATTTTTATTATACAAAATCCGTAAATACGCGCAAAAGTAAACTAAAAAAAAACAGTATAATATGTGCAACTATCAACATTTGACAAACACTGCATTGTTGGTTTTTAGTGTAACTGTTGTCTTATGCTATATAAACCCTCTCCTAAAAAATAAAATAAAAAATGTATCTTTTCATTAAAAAAAATTTATTTTTGTGCACATCATAATGCTTTCTTTATTCAAAGACGAAACCTATATCAATGAGCGTTTTAAAAACTGCCTTACAGAAACAAAAGTTCTTGATTGGAAATATGAAAACGCAGTAAGGCAAATACTTGACCTCGGATTTCAGCCATATGACGTAGAAATGGATTTGAAAAAGCTTGGTGCAATGTATAAATTTCTTGTATACGATATCAAACACAGGCACTTGGCAATATATTCAGAGGCTGAGAACCAGAAAATCACCAACATTATTGAACATCTGGGGTTCACTTTGTACAGCTGCATCAATAAAAAAGGCTTTTGAAAGAAAAGATGTGATAAGTAGAGTACCAAAAAGCCCTTGAGAATAATGTTCTTGATGCTAGTGAAGAACAAAAGAAGGAGAAAAAGACTACTGAAAAAAAAAATTTTTTTTGATAAATTACACATATCAGAAAAATTTGCTCACCTTGCTAAATACTATGGTGTTGTGGTTTACAAGAAAGAATATAATAAAATATAAATAAAAATAAAAAGAGAAATAAAAGAAAACAGACAAAAGGAGTACGTTGAGACTTGTCAATAAGTTTTATTAAGGTAAAGATAAAAAATGAATTAATTTAAATTATATTCAATTCAATTATACAAAATAAAGGTTAATAATGTAGGAGTATTTATATCTTTTGTGGATAAGGATGATGAGTAAAAATATAACAACTTATATTTGATGACGTAATCATGGAAAAGAATAACATTTTAATTAGTATAGTATCAAGAATCATTATAGACATATATCCATCTCTTTTGTTTCTATATATTTATTTTTATAACTAATACATGTACTCTGAGTGAAATCAATGATTACGCGTACTTGAATTATTCTTGATTTACTCCAGTTTAACTTGTAAAGTTATTTTTATAAATTTATATTCAGCAGAAGAAGATTTATTTTTAGATGTAGGACTTTTGTTGTCACAAGAGTAAATATACTTAATATGTGTATAGACAGAACTATTATAAAAGTGCACTATGTATTCTATTCTGACTATTTATCTTTTTAAATTAAGTTACAAATCTTGGATTTACAGAAAAATAATATTCCCAGACGATTCTTTAAACATATGCGCAAGATGAAAGAAGAGTTGGGTTTACTGTTGCAGCCTCTAGTTACCCTTGAAGAACGTGAGATGTTAGTTGAGATTTCGAGTTGCCAGAACACAACAGAAATCCAAGAGCTTGTAACTACTTGGTATAGCAAATTTGATTTATCATCAAATTGCAGGTTCATTAGGTTCGCTTTGGTTGCAGGCTTAGAACTCTGGAATTCAAAAGCTTTAACAAAAAAAGGACACGGGGAAGACTGGTTTAGAATGCATGTGTATTCAAATGTTTGGGACAAGGCGTTTTTTGATGATGATGAGTTTGAAACCAAGCGTTCGGAATGTCTCAGCCAAGTAATGAAGCTTTTGAAAGAAAACAATGGAGACACCAAACTACAAAAGCTTGATTTTATACTGCGTGATCTCAATACAAATAATGATGTAATAACGGCAGAAGAAAAGCCAACATTGAAAGGTATGAAAGCTGACGTAAAGAAGGGTGGATTATTGAAGAAGAATACATTGTATCTTTGGTCAAAGCAAGTTAAAAGTCATGTACTCATGAAAGAACTAGAATCGATATCATGCCAATGGCAAGGCACCAAGCTGACTATTTACGGATCTCGTTTATTATCTTCAGATCTAATTTTAACCTATGTAAAAGGCTCCTTCCATGTGCCAGTCTCTGCAAGTCATCTCCCTGAATTCTCTAAATTGTTAATGGCAGTAATTTCATTAAAGCGCATGGCCAAGCTTAACTATGCCAAGTTCACTCTAATTTTGGAGGAAAAATACAAGCAGGAAATTGAAAACCTGATGTTTGATCATGATCCCTTAGATGGAATGAGTTTTGTAAGTGACAGCACGGATAGCAACCGTGTGGAAGAAGGTCAAATTGAGTCTCTCTCCGGAAATTCCGAAGGCACCCCTTCGGAATGCGCCTTTCTCGCATCGTGGACAGCCCTCATCAGCGAATCTAGAGGTAATAACTGTGATTCCCTGACTCCCGGAGCGCAGGAACCAGGGATCGACACCTTGTTTTCTTTAGGTCAGTGCCGTTCACCGCTCACACAAATACAAATACAAACCAAAGAAGGTTAAATTGATGGAGAAAAAAGTGAGTATGATATTGAGGACTTTGTTGAAAATACATTGGCCAAAGTGAAAAACCTGAAGGTGGGTGAGGAGGGCTTGAAACGATTTTCTGATTGGGAGGAATTGCTGTTATTTGATCGTGTGAAGTGCAGAAAAATAAGTAGATAAATTCTATTGCTGTTAATTTTAAAATTAATTATATAATGAAATAGTATTGTTCTTTCACTTCATCATAAAATAGTAGTGTTGTGATATTACTTGTAGAATATCAAATAAAAAATATTATAAAATAAAAATCATATAAAGACAAAAAAAACGTCAACGAGACTGAACAATCAATCACTTTATTTATGAATTTAAATTGATGGGAGTATTTATAAGAATTGTTAAAGAAGTCTGATATAAGATATGAATCAGAAAAAATGTTAGGTACGACTTAATAAGATATGTTATAGATAATGAAATGTTAGAAGTTTTAATATTATTTGATAAAGTGGATCAAGAGAGTTTCAAGAGAATCTAGATAGAGTTCCTTGAATAAATTTATGATCTACATGTTTAATAAAAAAGCATGACATTATAAGTAAGCTCATGACAAGTGTTCTTCCACTTCATTATGTAAAATATCTCTATCCATATTCTTCAAACAGGTCACCAAAATAGAGCAGATTCCACAGTCATGAACAGAAGATATACAATTGTTTACCATCCATTTTATCAGTCTTCTACTCGAATATATTGGGCTATCAAAAAAAAAAAAGAAAAGCAAAATAAGTTTAGTGACATGAAATCACTTCAAAAATGGTTAAAGTTAAGTAGTGAAGCTGTACCCGATTATAAGCACATATTATTTATATTTGTATGACATTATTTCTCTTGTGATATAGTATTCATATTCCCCTTTAGCATTTTTATATAATAGTTTTTAATGTCTTTAATAAAATAAATGGCTTTTCTCTGATTTCTTTAAATCAACTTTAGAAAAAAAGTTAGGCAAAAGATATATGAATTACAAAATTGTATCTAGTAAAGGCTTCTTCAAATACAATCACACTAATAATCACTATAAGCTTACTTTAAATCAGATAATAATCAGATCCGTACTTTTATTATTGTTAGTTAGTTAGTGAAGAAGAAATAGGTTGCAAAATTGAGGGTTGGATTTACTAGGTATAATTTGCTGACTACCGACATATTCCCCTTCTTTCTTTTAGAATATCGTAATTTAGTAGGATACAGGGAGCAGACTCTTACTTCTTTTTTGATATTTATTTTATACTTCAGCCTATAATTAAAGAACTCATTTCCTCCCATTTTTATTATCATTTGCTTATTTCTTATAAAAAATGCCTTTCTTTTATATATTTCAGCCAAGCGTTTACACCGTATATATACATGTACAGAATCGAAACTAAATAACGAAGATGTATTTTATATGTTGATAGTATCCGTTAGAAGAATGACAAGTCCTTAATTTTAATATCTTTACTGTCTTTTTTTTTTTTTAATTAGAATAAGATTTGTATATTCTCTCTAAAGCTCTAAATAAAGTTTAAACTGATCTATTTCAACAAAAGTAAAAAAAAAAAAAAAAAAAAAAAAAAAAGCAACCGGAATTTAAAATGAAATTACGTGTTTAGTTTTATATTTTTATTTTATTTTATTTTTTTGTCTTATTTATTACAAAACAATGGCTACATTGGAGGATAAATCACTTTGGGAGAACCAACAGGATGATGATGTTGGAAAAGATATTCTTCGCTTATCACCAGAAGAAATTAATAATAGAACACGATTATTAGAAAATGACATCAAGGTAACAAATAAAATATATATGTTAATATTCGAGTGATCTAAATCCATCTATTTAACAAGGTTATGAAATCAGAAATTATCAGACTACAACATGAACAAGCTACCATGAAAGAAAGAATTAAAGATAATAAAGAAAAAATTAAATTAAACAAACAACTTCCTTATCTTGTTGGTAATGTTGTTGAGGTAAAACATTGTTCAAGTTATCTTAATTATCTAAATAACGCAAATTTTTCAGTTACTTTTTTAATAACTTTTTTTTCTTCTTTAAAAAAAAAGCTACTTGATGTTGATCCAGAAGAAGAAGAAGAAGAAGGAGCTAATATTGATCTAAATAATCAAAGAAAAGGAAAATGTGCAGTGATCAAGACATCCACAAGACAAGTAATGCATAAAATACTGCATAATTATTCTTGCCTTTTTTTTTTTTTACTGATCCGTTGCTTAATAGACCATCTTTTTACCTTTAATTGGTTTAGTAGATGCAGACTCTTTAAAACCTGGAGATCTTATTGGTGTCAATAAAGATAGTTTCTTGATTTTAGATAAATTACCAGCAGAGTAAAATTCGAATGAAACGATTTTATTATAATACAATATAACATTTACCTTTTTTATATTAGGTATGATTCTCGGGTAAAGGCAATGGAGGTAGACGAAAAACCAACAGAAGATTATAATGACATTGGTGGTCTTGACAAACAAATTGAAGAATTAGTTGAAGCAGTTGTGTTGCCCATGACACATGCAGATAAATTTAAAAACCTAGGTATTAAACCTCCTAAGGGTGTTTTAATGTATGGACCACCTGGTACAGGTAAAACACTTTTAGCTAGAGCATGCGCTGCACAAACCAATTCTGCCTATCTCAAGCTGGCAGGTCCTCAATTAGTTCAAATGTTTATTGGCGATGGTGCTAAATTAGTACGCGATGCTTTCGAATTAGCTAAGGAAAAGGCACCTGCAATTATTTTCATCGATGAACTAGATGCTATTGGTACAAAACGATTTGATTCCGAAAAGTCTGGCGACCGTGAAGTTCAACGTACTATGTTAGAGTTACTAAATCAATTAGATGGTTTTTCATCAGATGATCGTATTAAGGTCATTGCAGCCACCAATCGTATTGATATTTTAGATCCTGCTTTACTACGTTCAGGACGTTTAGATCGTAAGATTGAATTCCCTCTACCTAATGAAGAGGCAAGAGCACGTATTCTTCAAATTCATTCTAGAAAGATGAACGTCAGTAAGGATGTTAATTTTGAAGAATTATCGAGATGTTGTGATGAATTTAATGGTGCACAATGTAAGGCTGTTTGTGTTGAAAGTGGTATGTTGGCTTTAAGAAGAGGTGCTGTGGAGATTACACATGAAGACTTTATGGAGGCTATTCAAGAAGTTCAAGCAAAGAAGAAGATGACATTACAATACTATGCATAAATACTCGCTATAATTAAAAATAATTTTCAATGTTATATATAAATATATGTATATTTTTTTGCTGCTATATATTTATAATGTAAAAGAATTTAGACAAATAACAAAAAAAAAACTGTTTTGGAAAGCTGCTCTGTTATATACACAAACTGTAAAATTATGATTGTTCATATTCAACACTAAGATTTGCCCCATTACGGTTAAACCTATGAGGCCATTATCAGCATCAAAACGAAAAAAAAGTAGAGTGTTTTGAGCTAGTTGCTCTATATAATCATAAGAGCTGAATTTACGTTGCTATCTTTTATTTAAAATATAAGCTTCTTTATATATACATATACACTTTATTATACCGCATTTTATGCATGTAATTCTACCATCAGTTCGATACTATCCAGGGAACAGTGGTTAGATTTTAGAAAGGGAAATAACAACTTTTATTAAGAAAATATATCCATGAAGTATGATTATAATGAAAACAGCCCCTTCCCTTTTTTTTTAAGGTAAGAAAGCAAAATATGCTTCATAATCATACCATTCTGTAAACTCATTAACCAAATAAAAAGGACAATAAATAAAGTATATAAACAGCTACAAATCTCATTTTGACTCTTTTCTAAACATCATTAGACGACTCTTCTTCTACAGGTCGTCAGTGATTAGATTCATTATTATACAAAAGTTTTAAAAATAGATATTTATTTATTGATAATATGTGTGTTTTTTCATTTTTAGTTAATAATAATAATAATAATAAAGGGTAATGATCCAATTAGCCAGTAGCTTCATTATATAATAAAAAAGGCTACTGTTTCCAGAAGCAACCAATCGTGGAGGTTGATCATTATGTGCTTCCTTTCACAGTCTTATTTAACGAGAGACGCGAAAACTACAAATGAAACATACTCTCGATATTGGACAATAGAAATGACTATTATCCTTACAGTGATATTAATGAATGTTTATTTAAAGTGACCATCATCATTAGAACTTCACTAAAGATTGCTGATTTAAAGTGAGCAATATCCTCAAAACTTCACTTTAACAAAAAAAGAAAAAAAAAATTTCCACATAAACAAACGGTCTAATAGGTGCAATGCTTTCCATGGAAGAGCATAATTAAACCTATATGTCTTTGTTACACTTCAGATAGATCAGAGTCATAAAGGACCGAATGGTATTATAGTTATTAGTTATACACTTTATGCATACAATATTATTTGATTTCAGTTTATAAGACATTCTTGTGATGAGAAAAATAATATTATAATAAATACTAACATCACGAGATAATGATAAGCCAAACATAATGTAAAGAGTTATTAATGATAAAGACATATATGAATTATAGACTGTACCTATTAGTTATATATACACATTATTATAATATTATCTAACATACTAATTTATAAATATAATCATATACTATCTATACACTATACAATATACAATATACAATATACAATATACAATATACAATATACAATATACAATATACAATATAATGATATTCATTCAAGTAGTACATTGAGGAATGAATATATAATACAAGAAATCTTCCCTATATCATTCATAAATATAAACAAACGAGATCTCATTATTTGATTTCAAGGAAAATAACCTGCTAGATAGAACACCAATAATTTAATATTTATTAGAGTTAACTGATATTAATTTTTAATCAGGGCAAAGACTAGAGAACTTAAACACAACAACTTTAATTATTCTATGGGAAATATTTTTCTTTCATTCCGTTCCTGTCGCGAAGTAACTCAGTTCTCCACAAGATATAAATAAGGATTCATTTTGCACTCATTTTATAATTCAATTTTTATTTTTTATTAATTTATTCTTTTTCAATCTCTTCATTTTATAATGAAAGTTTTATACAGATTTATTCTGTCTTCTTTTTTTTATCTCTATTTTGAGTGCAAAAGATAAGGAAAGAGAAAACAGGAAAGACAAGTCTGTGAAGACTCGGTATAGTTTATTGAAAGGAAAATAATACAAAAATTGTACAAGAAAATAATATGGAAAAATGACAAGGGCTATTTATATGTTTTTTGCTTGCAAGGTAAGTGATATTAATAGAAATATGATTTGGATAAGTGAATACTGGTATAATAAAGCCTTTATGCACAAATATTGTCTCCGAATAATTCTGGATGCAGTATGCATATTTCTGCCTGAGCTGTTGCTGTTATAAAAAATATATCGGATTATTATTTCAGGGGTGAGCAACGCGTTAATATTAATTTACAGTGAATATTCCAGTTATAGCAATACCAATTATTTATAAGCTACTATTACTATCATCCTCTAAGATATTATTATATAACAATATTCAATATTATAGATGTGTATATAATATGTATGACTTACATAAATAATTATGTAATTGAATATAACAGTCATAACCCTATTGAACTCTTATTATTACATAATACAATGTATATAATTATTTCTTTAATGCTCGAATACTCTAACAACGACTATTATTAAAACTGAATGTAGAATCAATATTATGCTGTGAAGTACAATACACTAGCTTTATTTGAATAACCTCTTTATTATGTAAATAAATGATGGTTTATTTCTATTAACTTAGCTGTAAGGACGACTACAATCATAACAGAAGATAAACAACCTATCCATATTTGTAAGCATATGATCCATAAATCGGCAAAATGAAATGTTTCACCCAGTTTTGGATGTAGGTGTTGCTGCCTCGATTGCAGTAATTCCGGCTGTGTCCTTCATTTGTTTCAACTTCTTTAAGTATACTGTCGAACCTATGAAGTGGTAATATTCTTTTACACTGCAGCGCCTAATTTCATGTTGGTCTGTGTTAAGGCGGATAGCAGCTGTAAAAACCGATTTTCTTCCAGGACCTATAAAACTTGGGTTCTATAGTCGAGTGATTTCATCTATTGAGAAACCACCAACGCCTAAATCATGGTTTGTTATCATGGATTGATCATCATCTCTGTCAAATTATCTCCTGTAAAACATAAAAATCAACAGTAAAACCATCTGATCTGATAATATTTCCAAACAGCACCTTGTTTTTCTCATTAGGCATCAGTTTATCAATACCATAAAATGAAATTACGTTGGTACTTTTTTTTTTTACCTGAATTCTGATAAATTATTTTCACCTTTTATACCGCAGTTTTCCAAAATTGAGTACATCAGTAAATAGCCAGAATTGGTTCACATAGCTCCCCGGAAGTGATCTTCTCACAAAACAAATCAGCGCATTTGCACTAATAGTAACAAACCTCCAGTGAACAGATGGTTTGTGTAAAATAGTGAAAAGTCTAGGGATTGGAAGACGACGAACATCAAAAGGTTTGTGCTGGGAATGTTCATCTTCATAATAATCCAAAATACGTTCTAGGGATTTGTATGCTATCTGAGGGGCTTTAGACAAATTAGCAAGTGACACCCATTGGTTGATCAAGACTCTAAGTGCTTTACATTCATGGTTCATAACATCTTGTAACTTCTCTTCTGTTACGTCTCTGGGTAGAGCAATATCTTTTAGCCATCTTGGCTCGCCTAGACATATGTATTGGTAGCAGTAGTTTTCTGTAATATCTTTAAGAAGTGTGGAATCCATCGACTAGTAAGTAGATGTTATTCATCTATAATTAGCAATTACGTATTTCTGTTACTTGCCATGAAAATATGCTGAAGATGATAATACAAAAAATTTAAAAGGTGCTCTTCAAAATGCTCTATTATACTGCTCTGTTTGCTGGTAGCCAGTTTGTTACAAGCTTCTGCCAAGCACTGTGAGTTACCTGCTGCTAATGCTTTATTGTATACAATAGAGGGATATACAGGCATAAAAGCGTCCCAGACAGCATTCATATTGGGAGATAAATTTGTACTGAGTGTAACTCTTTTTGCATTTACTAACTGACAAACAGTGTACCAATAATTTCGTTGAAATATACAATGTGATATATCATTTTCTTCTATTTGTTGCGACTGAAGAGTAACGTAATAATTTACAAATATCTGTGCACGGAATATTATATCTCTTACATCTCTGCAAGCAGGTATGATGACTGGCTTTAGAGTATTTGCATACTCCTCTCTGATACAGTTGTCTAAAGGCACATCATTTTTACGTCATTTGTTTATTAACTAACCTCACTTTTGAACGAAAAATCCGGTATAATATATATGTACTTCGTAATCTATTTGATATATCATTATTATTGAAATCAGACATACCAATTATTTGTTATTTCATGTATTTATGTCTGAATAAAAAATATATCATCATTGTGCTAAACACATAACGTTTTATATACATATTAGAACCTTAATATGGAATATTAGGGTTATGATTAAATGATAAAATTATTAAAGAAAAAAAAAAGGTGGTCATAGTGAGCACAATAGTTTAAATAACTGCATTACCCAAACCAGTTCGCAAAATTAACAGTAAAAAAAAAAAAAAAAAAAAAAAAAAAAAAAAAAAAAAAAAAAACCTCCTAAGAGTCAAGAAGGAAAATGAAAAAAGTATTGAAGAATAAAGAGTAAAGAAAAATGAAAGGGGGGAAAGTAAAACGAAAGTAAGATAGAGAAAAAAATTCGGAAACAAAACAGAGATACTAGCATTTTTATCATTGCAACCATTTCACCAAACTAGCACTGATATCAGCTGGAGGAGGAGGAAGATCTTCACTATGGAAAATATGACCCGATTCATGTAGGATCCGGCAAATTCCAGACCAACGTACAGGCCAGGAAGAAATAGATGGAACATTTTTTGTTTTTTTCAGAGGTAATAAATTGTTTAAGAAAGAAAGAGGGTCTTTGATGGATCTAGGCAGACATTCGGTAGCATGGGTACAAGAAAGATTAACTGCAGGACGGAAAGGACAGAGACAAGATTTTCCATCAGGGAGTCAACCAAGACGCCAACGAAGTACCTGACTATGCTCCATACATGTCGTTGGGAGCTACAAAATAGGATCAATCATCAAGTTTAGACGACAAGTAGAGATTGTTTGGGCATTTGAACTATTACAGAGAGTGTCATGGCTTTCTTGTAGAAATTGTTGTTTCAGCGATTTAAAAACACGATGATCCAATGGATCCAGCACAGGTTCACATTTTTTGCCAAAGAGGATTGGAGAATAATTTATACCATTGTGAGCGGCTTGCAGATGTTTGTAAAAGAGGCAGTAGTTTTTGTATCAAGGTATCATCAGGTAGTTGTAGTGTTCTAATTATGTATTTGGCTTGTAGTATTATTAATCTATCTTTCATCGAAGGTTGGATAGTTATATGTAACATCACTTTAGTCGAAGATGTTCGAGATCCACCATACAATTTAGGTACACATTCCTTTTGATCCAATTCAAGTTGCTTTATATGAGACTGATTCAAATCACAGATCGCTAATTTATACTCCATTTGTGAACGTATCATTTGTACATAGAAACGCATTGAGAGTAATTTGGTAAATCCTTTAGAGTTGCAGCAATTGCAGAAATTTGGCTCATTGATTGTTTGGATTTATTGACATTATGTTGAATAAGAGCAGCAGTATTAACGTTTCCACCTGGTTTGATAGTGGTACCAAGATATGAGGACGAAGCTTCTTTGGGTAGATTAGTTTCATAAAGTCGATAGACCTGTTCACCTCTTGACAGAGTAACAACAATACATTTCGTTGGATTCCAACGGTAACCTAGACTGTAACTATGTTCTTCACAAGCTTGCAGCAATTGAGTCATTCTTTCTGGTTTGGCAATCAATACAACATCATCAGTCTAGAGAAGAGAGGTAATTGATGGAGCTAATTGGATGACATCTATGAGTTCATTTAGTGTAGGCGATTGTGGACGTAGAAGATTTGGTAAGCCAATGATATAAATTATTGAATATAAAAAGAGAGATAAAATCGATCCTTCGAGTACCCTGGTGGTTGGTTTAAATCTAGTTGATGCAGAGTTGTTAAATAATACTTCACTGTGTACATCATCAAAGAGGTTCTTAAGAATGGCCAACATAGGGCGTGAGACAAAAGGTTATAATTGATTCCAAATAAAACGATGATCAACGGTATCATAGGCTGATTTTATATCTAGAAAGACCAAAGTAGGGATAAAGTGATGATATTGACGCAGTATTTTGTAGATTCCAGTTAAATATAAGACTTGATATAAGGAACTTTGGCATTCTCTAAAACACCCTTGAGCAATATCCAGTTGAGGGCTCGATGCTTGCAGGGCATGATATATACTTTTTTTTAAGAGTTTGCGGAAAATCAATGTCAGGCTAATGGGCCTGAAATTATCAGAATCAGAAGCAGGTCCTTTTTTGTGGATCAGGATGATTTGGACTACTCGCAACGAGAGAGGTGCATATTACCAACACCAATAAAGTTTGAACAGTAAGAGCAGACGCAATGACATTATATCAATCACTGGTGTAAGCATTTCAGTTATAATGTGATCTATCCCTAGAGCCTTTTTTATTCGTAGGTATTTGATAAGGTCTTGGATAACATCTAGATCAAAAGGTAAGTCATCTTGTGTGAAAGGTGTATCTTCCGTCGTTGCATGTGCATCCAGTGTGGCTGATGATTGATTTAAGAAGTAGCTTGAATAAATGGTATGAAGATGGGTAGTCATAGCATCTGCATTAGTTTGTTGTGGGTCAGATAATGAAAAAATAGGTTTTCTAGTTTTACTTTTACTGATGCGACTAAATCTAGCCATTGCTTTGCTGTATTCTCCTTGTGTCATTTTTTTTACAAAATTGGTTCGATGACTCTTGTCTTCGTTGTCGGATCAACCTATGTAAAGTTGCTACAGCTTCCTGGTGCTTTATCCGGTATCTCTTGCCTTTCTTCACTTTTTGTAAAATGATTCTTTCAGATTAAAGGCGGCTGTCAGTTGTGGTGTCCAAAATTCCTTAAGAAAATGATCAGTCGTTGGGTACCGCTTTCCACATGTTTTGTCAAGAGATTCATATATTGTATTACAGAGGGCTGTTGATATTTGGTCAATAGAATTGCATACGCTACTTTGGTCAGATGTATTGGTGAAATCTACGTCCGTCGGTATATCTAGTAAATCCAATTTTTGTAAGAGGATTGAGCGATACTTTTGGGTGACATCCTTTTTTTTCGATTTGTTCAAGTTCCATTGTAAATGTTAAGGTGTTGTTGGGTCATCACTCTGTTGTATCAGGCTGGGAACCCCAAATGCTATAGTCATAAATTTATGGGTAGAGCTGAGCGACCAATCGTCATGAATGGTTAGTTGATTTGATTGGAGAATATTAAGGTTACAGGTAAATGTCTAAATGTAAGCCCCCATTTATCTAAAAAAACTAATTTTTTTCTGTCTGATTTCCATGAGAAGAATGTCTGAAAATTAATTTTGATTCGTTCAAATAAAAAACAAAAAAAAATAACGTTGTCTAATTTTAGGATAAAATCCTTAAGAAAGCGTCCTTCGGTTGAATTTTCTCCGTAACCGATTTCGGTACAATTTTCTCCTAAGATTGAGCTCCGACTTCACATTTTTAATGCTTGATCTATTAAAAATACAATGAAACATATCACGTAAATAAGTAACTCTATATTTCAAACATTAGTTAAGTAAATTGTATAAACTACTCATTTATTAAATAAAAAAGACACCTAATTAATTGTTTTTTTACACAATTTAAAGTTTTTTTTACATAATTTATTATTAAATAAAGATCATTGTGCATAATGCTGTCAAAAAAATGAGGGGCTGAATATTTTTTGGCATAAACTGAGTTTTATATCAAAAATAATTGTAAAACCGGAAAATGCAAATCACGTTTCACCGAGATAAGCAAAGGTTAAGAAAGAAAGATGTGAATAAATTAAGAAGAAGGTACTTAATATGACAAGATTTAATGCGTATACGCGTAACTAATTTTTAGGTAATATGCTGCAATGATAATAATTATAATAATAAAAGGCGAATAGTTTGAATAGTTTACTAAGATTAGATTGGCTTGATTTAAACCTCCAATATTTAACTTCTAACTTTTTTTAAATAATGTTTTAGATTTTTTTTGCTGAAATTATATATAAAGATTCCCCTTTCTGTTTAGAAAATCAAAGATCATTTTTTTTTTATTTTTTGAATTTTTTATATTTTTTATATAAATATTTTTTTATAACATCGAATTAATAATAAGAACAGTTATTTTATGGACGAGAAAACACAAGCAGGAGTAGGTAGTACTACTCATCAACCAAATTATAATTATGCGTCGTCCAATAGCACTATAGCAAGTATCAAAAACTTGAATAAAGACGCAGTGGGTCAAAATGATACATTTGGTGAATCGGAAGCAAATCAAGTTAACATCGAAGGTAAATATATTGCCAAAAAAAAAAAAAAAAAAAAGTTTAATCAATTTTTTTTAAGGTGCCAAAAATGAATATCAGATGTTAAAGAAAGAATTGAGTCGAATAAGTCGAAAAAGTTCTCCCTCTAAGATTGAGGAAGGAAAAGCAGATGCTGATGAATTCAATCTTGATGAATTTTTACATGGCATGTCTAGAAAACATAATGAAAATGGTTCAAAGCCTAAACAACTTGGTGTATCATGGAAAAACTTGCGAGTGGAGGTAATCTATTTCTCCTTTTTCTCTTATATTACTGTGTAGATTTTAAAAATTAACATCTTATTTCATAATAGGGTCTTGGCGCTGATGCATTTACAATTCCTACCGTCTTCAGTATGTTCTCATCAATTCTTCAATTTTGGAAATATTTTCAAAAGAATAGCTCAAGTACAAAAGTCATTCTTCAAAATCTTACAGGGTGTTGTAAGGATGGTGAAATGTTATTAGTTCTTGGTCGTCCTGGTGCAGGTTGTTCATCGTTTCTTAAGGTGATTGCAAACATGAGAGGATCGTATACAAAAGTAGAAGGCGATGTTAGCTATGGTGGCATTGATCATAAAACTTTTGCTGAAAGATATAGAGGCCAAGTGTGTTATAATGAAGAAGAAGATCAACATTACCCTACATTGACAACCAAACAAACTCTTCAATTCGCATTACGAACCAAGACTCCTGGTAAACGTCTTGATAATGAAACAAAGGAAGACTTTATCAATCGTATTTTATATTTGCTTGGAAATATGCTCGGTTTGACAAAACAAATGAATACAATGGTCGGTAATGCCTTTGTTCGTGGTCTTTCAGGTGGTGAACGTAAACGTCTTTCTATTGCTGAACAAATGACAACCCGTAGTGCTATCAACTGCTGGGATTGTTCCACTCGTGGTCTTGATGCTGCATCTGCTCTTGATTATGTTCGCTCTCTTCGTATCATAACGGATATTTTCAATACTACAACCATTGCTACACTATATCAAGCTTCAAATAGCATTTTTAATCTTTTTGACAAAATCCTTCTTCTTGATGGAGGTTATTGTATTTACTATGGTCCCGCTCAACAAGCAAAGAAATACTTTGAAGATTTGGGTTTCTACTGCCCTCCTAGAAAATCAACTCCTGATTTCCTAACTGGTCTCTGTAACCCTAATGAACGTGAATTCAAACCTGGATTTGAAGAATCAGCACCTAAGCATCCTACAGAATTCCAAGAAAGATATTATAATTCTGAAGTCTATAAAATGATGTTGGATGATCTTCATGATTATGAAGAAACTGTTAGAGCTGAAAATAAAGCTGCCACATTTGCTGATGCTGTTCGTGAAGAACACCAAAAGTATGCTAAAAAGAATACACCTTATATTGCCTCATTCTATCAGCAAGTAAAAGCTCTTACCATTCGTCAACATTATTTACTTCTTAAAGATATACCTGCCTTGATTTCTAGATATGGTACTATCTTAATTCAATCTTTAATTACTGCATCATGTTTCTTTAAGTTGCCTCTTACTGGTTCTGGTGCATTTTCTCGTGGTGGTGCTCTTTTCTTTTCTGTCTTGTTTAATTCATTTATTTCACAATCTGAGCTTGTTCGTTTCTTAATGGGACGTCCTATTTTAGAGAAACACAAACAATATGCACTCTATAGACCCTCTGCCTATTATATTGCTCAAGTTATTATGGATATACCATACGCATTGGTTCAAGGTATGTAGTTATATATTTATATGTATATATATAATATTCAGATAATTTAATTATTTTTCCTTTTTTTTTTTTCTTCTTTTTTAAATAGTGTTATTGTTTGAAATTTGCGCTTATTTCATGATGGGTTTAAAACTAGAAGCAGGTGCTTTCTTTACTTTCTTTGTTACACTTTTCTTCTTGAATATGTGTATGAATGGTTTTTTCCGTTTCTTTGGCGCTATTACTTCTAGTTTCTTTTTGGCTACACAAATTACTGGTGTACTTCTTATTGCTATTACAACTTACACAGGTTATACAATTCCTTATAAAAAAATGCATCCCTGGTTGTTTTGGATTTACTACATCAATCCTATCACATATGCCTATAAAGCCCTTATTTCTAATGAAATGCGTGGTCAAGTATATTCTTGTGAAGGTCTTGGCAATTCTATTCCTTTTGGTCCCAGTTATACTAATTGGGATTATAAAGTGTGTGTAATGGAAGGAGGTGTTCCAGGTCAAAACTTTGTCACCGGTGATAACTACCTTAAAGAAGCTCTGAGTTACTATCCTTCCCAACTTTGGGCTCCTGATTTTATTGTTGTGGTTGCGTTTTTCATTTTCTTTACTGTTTTAACAGCTTTAGCAATGGAATATGTTGGACTTGAGAAGGCTACTTCCCTTACTAAACTTTATCTTCCCGGTAAGGCACCTAAGCCTCGTACTCCAGAAGAAGAGAACGAAAGACGTTTGAAACAAAGTAAAGTTACTGAAAACATGGACAAAATTTCTACTGGTACTACTTTCTCCTGGCAACACGTTAACTATACTGTGCCAATTAAAGGTGGTTCTCTTCAGTTATTAAACGACATTGGTGGTTATGTTAAGCCTGGCCATTTGACAGCTTTAATGGGTTCTTCTGGTGCTGGTAAAACAACACTTTTAGATGTGCTTGCTCGTAGAAAGACAATTGGTAAAGTAGAGGGCAATGTTTATCTTAATGGTGAAGCTCTTATGAATGACTTTGAACGTATTACGGGTTATTGTGAACAAATGGATGTTCATCAACCAGCTGTTACTGTTCGTGAGGCCCTTCGTTTCTCTGCTTACTTGCGTCAACCAGCTGATGTCCCCAAGGAAGAAAAGGATGACTATGTTGAACAAATCATTCTACTTCTTGAGATGGATGATATAGCAGATGCTCAAATTGGTAATGTTGGTAGTGGTTTCGGTATCTCTGTAGAAGAACGTAAGCGTCTTACTATTGGTATGGAACTTGTTGGCAAGCCCAAGTTACTTTTCTTGGATGAACCTACCTCTGGTCTTGATGCTCAAAGTTCTTATAACATTATCCGTTTCATTCGTAAACTTGCTGATGCTGGTTGGCCTGTACTCTGTACGATTCATCAACCTTCTGCTATTTTGTTCGATCATTTCGATCATCTTTTACTTTTAGTTCGCGGTGGTCGTACTGCATACTTTGGTGAGATTGGTAAAGATTCTCAGACAATGATCAGCTATTTTGAATCTAACGGTGGACCCAAATGCTCTCCTGATGCTAATCCAGCTGAATATATCTTGGAGGTTGTAGGTGCAGGTACTGCTGGTAAAGCTACTAAGGACTGGGCTGAAGTCTGGAAGGCCTCCGATGAATGCAAGAGACTTGCAGAAGAACTTGATGAGATTGATCGTTCTGCTGATAAAAACCCTACTCGCAAGGCTTTGACCTATGCTACGCCCTTTTCTACACAATTCCGTCTTGTATTTAAACGTATGACACTTGCCTACTGGCGCTCACCTGATTATAATATTGGCCGTTTCTTGAATATTATGTTTACATCTTTGATTTCTGGTTTTACATATTGGAAATTGAATAACTCATCTACTGATTTGCTTTACAAGGTCTTTGCTCTTTTCAGTACATTTATTATGGCCATGACCATGATTATTTTAGCTCAACCAAAATACATGACTGAACGTATTTATTTCCGTCGTGAATATGCTTCACGTTATTATGGCTGGCTTCCATTTGGTTTATCAGCTATTTTGGTTGAGTTTCCTTATATTATTGTCTTTGCTGCTATGTTTATGTTTGGTTTCTATTGGACTTCTGGTATGACTAATACTTCTTCTTCATGTGGTTACTTTTATATTACATTTGTTGTTCTTGTCTGCTGGGCTGTTACACTTGGTTTTGATATTGCTGCCGTTGCTGAACTTCCTACGATGGCTGCAGTTATTAATCCTTTATTTGTCTCCATTCTTATCCTTTTCTGTGGTCTTATGCAAACACCTTCTGCTATGCCTAAATTCTGGAGTTCATGGATGTACTGGCTTGATCCTTTCCATTACTACATTGAAGGATTAGCTGTAAATGAACTTGCTACACTTAAAGTTGAATGTACAGAGGAAGATCTTATTCGATTCACACCTCCACCTGGTCAAACATGTGCGGAATATACAGCTGAGTTTTTTGCTTTGGGCGCAACAGGTTATATTGCTAATCCAGATGCAGTTCAACCAGAACAATGCGGCTATTGTCAATACAAATCTGGTCCTGATTTTTACTACACTGGTATGAAATGGGAAGCTTCACACAAGTGGCGTAACTTTGGTATCCTTATTGCATTTACTATTTTTAATATCTTTGTTTTCCTCTTGTTTGTCTACTTGAAGAGAAAGCCAAGACGTTAAAAAAGATATTTAAACTCCTCTTCCCTCCTCATTACTCAAATCTATTTACTCTTTATTTTATTTTTTTTATTAGATAGCATTATTTTTTCTTTTCATGATAGCATTATTTTCTTAATATATTCTAATTTTACTCCCCCTTTTTTTTGTTTAATGTATATAAATTATCTTTCATACTTTAATCTTAATAAATTCAAATATTTTTTTTTATACATAATATAAATTAACCAAAAAGAAAAAAAAACGTTGTATATGGTTTCAAAGTGATTATTAATAATTGATCCAGATCGAATATTATTCTTCCATTATATCGTAAATAGAAATAATTCGTGGTTTGTGCGTTTTTAAATATATTACCGTGTGTATATTTTTTTTAATCGGCCCTATAAATAAAATAGCACGTCTTTAATTTACTGACTATGTGTTGTGCGTATACGCGTGTGAGTATTTTTATTTCATATATAGCATGATAGCGTTAGTGACAAATAATACCATCAATCTAAGAACTCCTTTCAAACATAGCAATTATCTTTGAAAGTGAATAAAATGTGTATATGCAAAGTCTTTGTATTTCTAAAATAGCACAAAAAATAAAAAACAACCATGTTTAAATGTATTACATGATGCTATCGTTGTCACTGTTGTAATAGCAACTTAACCTTATTATTGTTAAAGAAAGAAAAATAAGAAAGAAAAAAAAGCGTTAACTTTTCTCCGAATATTCCTTTCTTGTCCAAACCAATAAAATAAATTTTCAGACAGTAAAAAAAAATAATAACTTAAAAATGTTCATTCTTGTACTCACGCTCAATTGTAGAGGCAATCATAAATTATGTGCAAAATAAAATTTGTGTAACAAGACTTTTCTTTTCTGGAAATATAAATACGATACATACAATAAAAAACAGTAATTGTTTTATACATTCTTTGCATGCGTAGTTATTTATTTATTTATTTACATGCATATTACATCTAGATACAAAAGGTAGAATAGTTTAGGCTTTTTTTCTTCAAAAAATATGAGGTTTTGGGCTGTGGACTTTTAATATATATCTGTCTTGTGTCAAAAGTTAACACGTTATGAAACAAAAATATTACTGTATATAGTAAATTTTGAGTGCTGGGAATGAAAACATGGATAAAAAATTACAGCACAATGTTCAATTTAAGCATTTCATGATTCTCAAACATCATACTTGAAAAACATATAAATATATAACATATATTTCATTTTATTATAATGTATTTTATCTCTATTTTTCAATCTTTATCTTGATCGACTTCCTTTTAGTTTTTTATTTTTTATTTTGTTTTATTTTATTTTATTTATTTTTTATAGAAGACACAAATAAAGTAAAGGAGAAAATAAATTAAGAACTAAAATAGATCAACTTTTATAAGATAAAAAAAATGGATATGCCATCAGCTGAAGATCGGTTAAGGGCTAATTACCCTAATCGTGATGATGAATTTCAAGAACGTCAAGATAATTTAAATAATATTGATACAACAAATCACTATGATGATTATATGGATGTTGAGAGATTAGATACTGTTAAGACAGAAGGTGGCTATGGAGAAGAAGACGGTAATGCAGTTGATATCGATAATGCTATTGAAAAATATCAATCAGTACGTCGTGAAATGACTTTGCAATCTCGTAGAAAGTCATCTATTGTTCCTTCTGCTACTGTAGCTGCTGTAGATGTTGAAAAGGGAGAACCACAAGAGTTTGATTTAACAGAGTTTCTTACTGAACAACACTCCCAGATTATGGCTGCTGGACTGAAGCCTAAGAATATGGGCGTAATTTGGAAAAATTTGGTTGTTCAAGGTTTAGGTGCAGATGCAAAAGTAATTTCTACAAATTATACTTGGCTTGCAAGTTTCTTTCAATTTTGGAAATGGGGAAAACATTCAGGTCATGATTTTACCATCCTTAAGGATAATAATGGCTTCTGTAAATCTGGTGAAATGCTTTTAGTCTTGGGTCGTCCTGGTTCTGGCTGTACCTCATTACTCCGTGTTCTTTCTAATATGCGTGCCTCCTATACTAAAATTGAAGGTGAAGTGACTTACGGTGGTATTGATGCTGAAGAATTTGGTAAACATTTTAGAGGTGAAGTATGTTATAATGAAGAAGAAGATCTTCATTTTCCTACCTTGACAACTCAACAAACACTTCGATTTGCTCTTAAAAATAAAACTCCTGGTAAGCGTATTCCTGGTGAATCTAAGGAGGAGTTTATTGATAAAATTCTTTACTTGCTTGGTAATATGCTCGGTTTGACAAAACAAATGAATACAATGGTCGGTAATGCCTTTGTTCGTGGTCTTTCAGGTGGTGAACGTAAACGTCTTTCTATTGCTGAACAAATGACAACTCGTAGTTCTATCAACTGCTGGGATTGTTCCACTCGTGGTCTTGATGCTGCATCTGCTCTTGATTATGTTCGCTCTCTTCGTATCATGACAGATATTTTAAATAAGACTACAATCGCCACTCTATATCAGGCCTCTGATAGCATTTTCCATTTGTTTGATAAGGTCATGGTCCTTGATGAAGGTCGATGCATTTATTTCGGTCCTACTGCTACTGCAAAGGAATACTTTACTGATATGGGTTTCTATTGTCCTAGTCGTAAATCTACACCTGATTTTCTGACTGGTCTTTGTAACATGAATGAACGTCAAGTTGTGGAAGGATTTGAAGGCAAGGTTCCTATCAATGCTGTTCAATTTGAAAACGTTTATAAGCAATCCAAGTTATTCAATGAAATGATGAATGAACGTGATGAATATGAGCAACAAATTAACAAAGATAGACCTGCTGATCTCTTTAGAGAAGCCTTTACTGAGGCTCATCAAAAGCATGCTCCCAAGAGTTCTCCTTTTGTTGCTTCTTATTTCCAACAAGTGAAGGCTCTTACTATTCGTCAATTCCAACTTATTTGGGGTGATAAAGGTGCACTTGTTTCCCGTTATGGTGGTGTCATCGTCAAAGGTCTTATCATGGCTTCTGTCTTCTTCCTTATACCTCATGATGGTAGTGGTGCCTTCTCTCTTGGTGGTGCTTTCCTTTTCAGTTTACTTTTCAATGCTTTGATTGCTCAATCAGAATTGGCTGCTTTTATGCAAGGTCGTCGTGTGCTAGATAAGCATAAACATTATGCCTTATATCATCCTTCTGCCTTTTATATTGCTACCGTTATTGCTGATATTCCACTAGCCTTAGTTCAAGTCATTATATTTGAAATTTGTGTCTACTTTTTGATGGGTCTTACATTAAATGCAGGAACAGTAAGTTATCAAAAAAAAAAAAAAAAAAAAAAAAAAAGATTCAAAATATATTTATATTTTATGTTTATTAACTATTTTGTTTTATTTAGTTTTTCACATTCTTCATTGTTCTTGTAGTCACTAATCTTTGTATGAACGGCTTTTTCCGTTTCTGGGGTGCTGTGAGTCCAAATTTCTTTACTGCTTCTCAATTATCTAGTATTCTTTTGATTGCATGTTTGATTTACTGTGGTTATCAAATTCCTTATATTCAAATGCATCCTTGGCTCATGTGGATTTATTGGATTAACCCGTTAGCTTATGGTTACAAGGCTTTAATTTCTGATGAGATGAGAGGTCTTAAATTCTCCTGTGCTGGTATTTTTTCTGTCCCTAGTGGTCCTGCATATGTTGATGTTGATCAACAATATAAGTCTTGTCTCATTACAGGTGCCAAACCTGGTGATAGCTATGTTCTTGGTGATGATTATTTGGCTGATGCCTATGGTTACTATATCTGGCAACGTTGGATTAATTTTGTTGCTGTTATCCTTTTTTTTGTCTTCTTCACTGTCCTTACTGCTCTTGCTATGGAATACATTGATCTTCAAAAGGAAGGTTCTATTACCAAAGTGTACAAAAAAGGATGCGCCCCTAAGGAAGAATCTGATGAGAAGCTTATGCAGCAGACTGCCACTATCAATGACCAAGACATGGAAGCCGTTACTGATGGTACTACTTTCTCATGGCATCATGTTAATTATACAGTCCCTGTAAAAGGCGGTACTCGTCAGCTTTTGAATAATGTAGGTGGTATCGTTAAGCCTGGTAACCTTACTGCTCTTATGGGTTCTTCTGGTGCTGGTAAGACTACTCTTTTGGATGTCTTGGCGAAGAGAAAAACAATTGGTAAGATTGAGGGTAATATCTATTTGAATGGTGAAAAACTTGCTGCAGACTTTGAACGTATTACGGGTTACTGTGAACAAATGGATGTTCACAATCCTAATGCTACCGTTCGTGAAGCCCTTCGTTTCTCTGCTTACTTGCGTCAACCAGCTGATGTCCCCAAGGAAGAAAAGGATGCCTATGTTGAACAAATCATTCAACTTATGGAAATGGAAAAGATCGCTGATGCTCTTGTGGGTGACCTCGAAGCTGGTGTTGGTATCTCTGTAGAAGAACGTAAACGTTTGACGATTGCTACTGAATTGGTTGGTAAGCCCAAACTACTTTTCTTGGATGAACCTACCTCTGGTCTTGATGCTCAAAGTTCTTATAACATTGTCCGTTTCATTCGTAAACTTGCTGATGCTGGTTGGCCTGTACTCTGTACGATTCATCAACCTTCTGCCACCCTGTTTGAACACTTTGATCATCTTTTGCTTTTAATGCGTGGTGGTCATATTGCATACTTTGGTGAAATTGGTAAGGATTCCCGTATTATGATTGATTACTTTGAATCAAATGGTGGACCCAAGTGCTCTCCTGATGCTAATCCAGCTGAATATATCTTGGAATGTGTCGGTGCAGGTACTGCTGGTAAGGCTACTAAGGACTGGGCTGAAGTCTGGGCAAATTCTCCTCAAGCACAAGCACTTGAAGAAGAATTGGAAGAAATCCATCGTTCTGCTAGTCCTACCACTCGTAAGGCTTCACCTTATTCTCTTTCCTTCTGGCAACAATTAAAGTATGTCTACTTGCGTATGAATATCTCCTGGTGGCGTTGTCCTACTTATAATATGGGCCGTCTCTTTAATGTCTGCTTCATTGGTCTTATCTCTGGTTTCTCATTCTGGAAGTTAGGTCATACACCTGCTGATATGCAAAATCGTATGTTCTCTGTCTTCACTACACTTTTGATGAGTAATGCCTTAATTATTCTTGCTCAACCCCGTTTTATGCAAGAAAGATTATGGTTCCGACGTGAATATGCCTCCAAGTACTATGGCTGGGGTCCTTTTGCTTTATCATGTATTCTTGTAGAGATTCCTTACTTGATTGTTCTAGGTACTATCTTTTTGTTCTGTTTCTATTGGACTGCTGGATTACCAACTGAATCGAACCGTATTGGTTTCTTCTATATTCACTTTATCATGTTCTTATTCTATTCTGTTTCACTTGGTTTCACGATTGCTGCCTTCTCTGCTACACCTCCTATGGCTGCTGTCATTAATCCTTTCTTTACATCTTTCTTGATCTTATTCGCTGGTATTATGCAGCCTCCAAGTGCTATGCCTCGTTTCTGGAGCTCATGGATGTATTGGATTGATCCTTATCATTATTTAATTGAAGGATTAGTAGTCAATGCATTGGATGGTATACCAGTTATTTGTGATGCAAGTAATTATATCAAGGTCAGAGCACCCCCAGGACAAACCTGTGGTGAATACTTTAATGCTTACTTTGAAAGTGGTGGCCTTGGTTACTTGGGTAATCCAAACGCTACTGGTATGTGTGATTACTGTCAATATACATTAGGTAATGATTTCTATGAGGGTCGAATTGGTTGGTCTTTTGCTCACAGATGGCGTAACTTTGGTATCTTGACCGCTTACACTGTTTTTAACTGTTTCCTTTTCACAGTCTTTGTCTTCTTATTTAGAAAGCAAAAGCGTTAAAAGAAAAAAAAAACCAATATTTTTTTTTTACACTTTTACTTGTTATATTCCCTACTATATTATTATTATTTTATTTTTTTTTCTAATAGACCTTACAATAATATTTATTTTGCCTTTTTCTTAATTTCTTTCCCTATTAGTATTATTATTAACCCACTTTACATGTAAAAAATAAATTACTTCAATAATTTAAATTAAAAAAACTGCTATATATTTATTGAAACAAATTGTATATATTAGATACTTCTTTTATGTTGTTATAAATAAATTAGTGTCCACCTTCTTCAGCAGCATGGCCAGCTTTAGAAGAAAGATAAGCATGTCTAGATTTAGCTGAAGTATAAATATAATAGCCAATACCAAATGCAACACCAACATAAGGGATTTGAGAAGTAACACGACGAGCTGTGTTGAATACAGCGTTACGAGCAGCGCCTGCAAAAGGCTTTTGTTCAAAAGGTGACAAAACATAAGTTACGATACCCTACACAACAACAATAACAACAAAAGAAAACATATAAATATAAATAATTATCGATCTATCAAGTTTGTTCGCTTTTATAGTATCCCATCTTCTTTTTTTTTCGTTTTTTTTTGTCTACTTATTTACTTTTTGTTTAGGACCACCCATATGTCCCCACCTAAATATATGAAATAAGTCTAATTTAGTTTCTTTTTTTTTCATGTTCTTTCATTTAATTAGACATCTCATTTTACCAGCCCATGTATTTATGTCCTCCAACTCCACCCATTTTAATATTATAATATCTATTACAAAGAAAAAAAAATTGCAGCTAGTTAGTAAGTGGTGTTTGAGAACTCACACTTTGAAATGTTACCTTTGATTAAATAAAAAAAAAAAATATGTATCTGTATAACTTGTTCCTTTTAGGTAAAATTTGCTTTTATCCCTTGTTTTTTTATGGAGTTTAAAATAGCAGTGTATCTGGGGAAGTGAAGCCGATAGTTGTGACGCAATACCCTAGGCTTTTTCTAGTAGTAGATTTGTGTCAGCTGCATAAAAAAATTATTGTATTGCTCTTAATTAATTATTAAAGTACTTTGCCAGATAATTAATTACATAAAAATTTTATGTTAATCATTTAAATTATTTACATTAGAATAATTCCAAATCTAATCATTTAAAAAAAAAGTTTTTTTTTTCTTTATAAGTGATTTTTTTTTAAAAAATATTCTCTTACAAAATAAATAAACATATATCCTATTTACTTTTAGTTGTTAAAAGTTCCTATTCTGTACATCTTTCTTTTTAACTATTAAGTGGCAGCAGCCGCTTGTCAAAAAAAAAAAAAAAATAATAAGAATTATAACAATATAACAGCGTTAGAAGAGAATGTTAAGCGGACTTTAAACATGTATCAAATTTTTTTAATTAGTCTTATTGCGTATTTCTTTTATTATTTCTCAAGTAAAATTACATTATAGAAAAAAAAAAAAATGGAATCCGAAGAAGAAGAAGATCTTGACTGTCCTCTTTGTATGGAGGAGTTTGATATTGCAGATAGAAACTTTAAACCTTGTCCTTGTGGTTATCAAGTAAATATATAAGTAAAGGAAAAAAAGAAGAATAGGAAGATTGATGAAGTCATTTTTCTTTATATATTTACATGTATAATAGATTTGTCGATTTTGCTGGCATCACATTAGAGAAAATTTAAATGGACGTTGCCCTGCTTGGTAAAATGGATATAAAAAAAATAAATAAGTACAGAAGAACTAATCAGCATAACTGATAAAAGTCGTAGAGAATATTCTGATGAAATGGTTGAATTTAAGCCTGTTAGCGCAGATGAGTAAAGCATAAAAAAAAAAAAAAAAAAAAAAGGATAAATTAGAACTAAATATCCTATTATAATATAGATTACAACGTATTCGGAAAGAAAAGAAAGAAAAGGAAAGACAGCAGAAGGATATGGAATCAGCTAATAGACGCCACTTATCCAATATGCGCGTTGTTCAAAAAAATTTGGTTTATATAATCGGTCTTCATCCTCGATTAGCTACAGAAGAGGTAAATTCTTTCAAAATGAAATATATTTATATTATATGGACATTGACATAGTTAAAATGATAACAGATTGTTCGCTCAAATGATTATTTTGGACAATTTGGAAAAATCTCGAAAGTAGTAATTAACAAACGACCTGCACTTCCTGCTTCGCAAATGAATTCACAACCTAGTGCTGCAGTCTACGTTACTTATTATAGAAAAGAAGATGCTGCAAAGGCAATTGCAGCTGTGGATGGAAATGTGATAGCAGATCGAGTGGTTAGGTATAATAAATGTAATTATGCACATTATTGTTTGTTTATTTTTCTAATATAAATATTTATAGAGCTTCTTATGGTACCACAAAATACTGTACATATTATTTACGTAATATGACATGTCCTAATCCCAACTGTCTCTATTTACACGAACAAGGTGAAGATATAGATACAATTTCAAAAGAAGAACTTGCAACTGGGTAAATAAATGCAAACGCATTATTATTTTTGTGTGTATAGTTAAAATAATTAACACTTTTTTAACAGCAAGCATCATATGCGAGACATGTTATCAAATGAAGATGATCGAGTAAAGAATGTGCATGGTAGCAACTCTCCTCAAATAATTTCAAAACAACAACGTCCTCAATTAACAAGTGAAGATTTCCCTGCTGTATCAGCAAGTATTAAACCTATAACCAAGACAAATGATGATTCTGCATTACCTGCTTCTGCTTCATGGGCTAAAGTAGGAGGCACAAGCAGCACACCATCTACACCAATTATGAGTGTTTCAGATGCATTTGGGCCCACATTGTCTGCTGCTGTTGCTGCTACACAACAAAAGACTCAATTTCCTCCTATGCCAAAACGTAAAAGTGAAAAGAAGAAGCGAAAGGAACAACAACAACAACAACAACAACAACAACAACAGCAACAACAGCAACAACAGCAACAACAACAAAAGACTTTATTGGAGTCTTCTTCATCTACAACTGTGAATGAAGAAGATGAAACCATTCATGTATCACAAAAAGAAGAAGCTTCAGCAATACCATCTTCTATTTTTGATCAGGGATTAAGTGGATTTGTTTTGGGTCAGGCTTATAAGGAAGTATGTTCATTACCATCAGAAATAATGGATTCAAACATCAAAGAAGAGGAGAACCAAGTTGCAGAAGAGAATGAGTTGACATTAGGCATATCTGCTTTAAAATTAGATGATCCTAATATAACTACTGCCGAGCCTTCACCTGCACAAAGGAATTTGGAAACTATTCAATCTGCATCTACATCAAAACTAATCCCTTCCACTTTCCCTACTGTCACTGATTTCCTGACTTACTCTACACCTACGCCAAAATACAACGGCTTTTTCAATCCATTCTCTCATATGGCCATAATTGGTCAACAACATCCTAATAATAATGCTGCAATGCTTTTAAATAATAATGCTGATACTTCTGTTCGTCGATATTCAAGATTTGGATTTGCTCAAGCATAAAAAAATAAAAATAAAAATAAAAATATAAGAAATAGTCAAAAGAAATGCGTATACATATAAATATAAATATTCTTTTTATTTGTTATCAATTAAAGTTTTGAATGAAAAGGGTTCAAATTTGACACCATCACCCATGTAAAATTTACCGTCAAACTCAACCCAATGTAAACGTAAGGCATGTAAGAAAGCGGATAACCCTTCCATACATAACAAGATACCGATTGTCAACACAAACCACATACTAAAGCCAATTACAATTCCAATCACTGCAATAGGTCCAGTGAAATTAAACCAGATCTTAAGTGTCATATCCCACAACACACTTGATAATTCTATATTTTCAGTTATATGTAAGTATATTAAAAAAAAATAAAAAAAAGAGAGAGAGAGAGAAAGAGAGAATATAACAACAACACTTTATTATTAGACTTACGAGCATGTGCAAGTGATAAAGCCCACAAACGTAAATAAGAAGCAGTATTGGAGATACAATTTAAGCAAAACTCAATAACATGAATTGTTTGATGAATCATCTCTTCACTAAATTCGAACTACAAAATAGTAAGATTCAACGACTTATATATATATTACATATATTTTGGTCTACTACTCATGTATACCTTTTCTTCACTTTTTTCGACATTATCCTCATTTACTATAGTAGGCGTATTGGAAGTTTCAGCAGGATATTGCATATTTTCCTCTAATGCCTGTTGATCATGATGCCTTTGTTTGAGATAAAAAGGCTTAGCAAACCACATCCAAGGAACACAAATGACGGCTAATAAAATTAGTATCAATTGAACAGGTCCTTGATGAGGATAGAGTTGATCTTCAGGTTTTACTTTACCGGGCGATAAGAACATATAAATTAACATATTCAAAAGATTAGGAGGAGGATTATGAATAAGATGGCCATCAGTATCTAGCTCCCACCAATTTACACTCCATTTGTACATGATGCAAAAGATAAGATATCCAAATATAGATTCCATGAATAAGATTTGAGGTAAAAACTCCAACCAAATAAACATCCTGTTTCCATAGTAGATATGATTATAAACATTTAAACAAATAGCAAATGACATCTATTACAAATATATATATATATATATATATAAGAAGGTAGTTAATATATATGTATGTATATGATAAGTTTTAGCTTTACATGAATAACACCTAAAATGATGGCTTGTTTCATCTTGTAAGAGTTGGAAAAAAGTAAATAATTTTCAGACCCATGCCAAGCCTATGAATAGAAAAAAAAATCAAGTTAACAAATAAGCAATTATATAGGGTCTATATTTTACAGGATCAATCCCAAAGGGATAAATATGACCATTAGGTGTAGCCTCTATTGAATCTGTAGAAGTATAGTGAGAGGGCCAATCAAATCCCGATTTAAATGAATGCAATGAAAGAGAAAACATATCATTATAGATAAAGCCTGTAAAGATTGAAAATAGACCCATCAAGAGTATCATATAACGACCACTAAAGAACATGGTAAATATTTCATCTTTTACATTGGCAAGTCTCTTTTCATTTAGAATCAAATAGAGAGCAAAGCAAAATATGAGAAATCCATGCCCAATATCACCAAACATGATAGCAAATAAGAATGGAAAAGAAATGAGGGTGAAGAGGCCAGGATTGACCTCTCTATAACGTGCAATACCATAAGCATCGATAATAGTTTGGAAACCTTCAGTGAATTTATTTGTACGATGATAGGTAGGAGGTCTTTGGTTATTCTGAGAGAGTTCAGTAAAGACAGAGGGCATATTGGTTCCAGAGTCCTCGATAGCATTCTTTAGAGCCAAATGAACGATAGGGATATCAAGTTTGCTACACCAACCCTCGGCAATTAAGCATTTACGATTCAAATCATAATTAAAAAGATTCATGATGTGGTAAACTCCCTTTTCTTTGAGCACTATTGTATACCATACTGCTAAATGATCTGCAACGTTTAAGAGCTCATTTTTACGAGTTTCTTGTGTTTGGCTTAAAACCTATATATATATATATACATGTATACATATATATTTAGTTAGTTAGTGTGATGATATCTTCTAATACAATACTATGATTTTACAATGTTTAAATCACGAATACGAGTAGTAACTTGATCAAACGCTTCACATCTTTTGTCATGCTCTTCATCTACATTATAAAGCGTTCCACCCATACTCTCTGATATCTTTTTAATTTTATTAATAACTTCTTGACCATGGGCAAAGATGACAAATACATTTTTTCGTATTTTCTTTTCTGTATCCAAAGGGTCAATGATTATATCATTGATTTCAGCAAAGTTCATATATAAATTGCCACGTAGAATTCGCCAAAGGACACGTTCAAATATTTGCATCTTCTCTCTCGGTATCGTGCCTGCCACATAACCTAAATTTTCGATATGACCTGTGGTAGACTGTTGTCCGTCTTCAATATCATCGGCTACTAATAATTGAACCGTTGTTTCTTCAGACTGATGATGACGTTGTTGTTGAACATGTCTTAATCCGGCCTTTTATATTATTTTATTACAGTAAATGAATACTATATACGTCATTCTTCTTCTTTTTTTTTTTCTTATTTTACTTTACCTGTTCGAAAAAGATAGACGACTCTTTTAATACATATCGGAGTTCAGTTAATTGTAGAAAACGATGTAAAAGTGTTTCATAAGAAGAATTCATTTGAATAATATGTCTTTCATGATTATTTAACAATTCTTCTAGATCATCGATTTCTTGCGCTGTATGAGCTGCTGTAACAAATTTATCAGATGAAACAGATATAATAGGTATTCCTAACTTTTCAATTTGAGACTGTAAATATCCTAAGTTAATAATAATAATAAAAGGAGTAAGAGAAGCTTGTTTCAGGTACGTAAAAAAAAAAAGAAAAAAAAAAGAGGCTAACAGAGCATAGTATACACTTACTGCATTGTCTTTCCATTTCATCTAGTCTTCTTATTTCAGGTACAAATATACGCTGAAAAGCATTTACATTTGAATTTAACTAAATTAAAATAAATGTATACATCTTTTTTTTTTTCATATCATTTTTTTTTACGTCTCTGAATTGAACTTTTCCAAGTTCCCCTAACTCAGCTATACAAGCATGCGCTATTTCAGCTGGAATGAATAATTGGACAAGAGACATCTCTTCTGACCGAAAAAGAGTGGTCTTTGTCGAATCTTTCATGTTTTTTTTCTTAATACTAATAATAATAACAAAAGAGGGGAAGAAAGTGTTTAGGGAAAAAAAAAAAGTAAATAAAGAAATTAAGGAGTTTTTATCATGTTTGTAAATGATAAATACTTAATCCCCATACTATAACTGACTTTAAATACATGCATTATAACAGCTTTTAATCATCATTCATGATGAGCTATGATGAATGATTCTTTTATTGAAGATAGAGTCAAGAACGAATAAAGACCTGTTAATATTATTTTAACAAAAAAAAATAAATATTTAAATAAAAGTCCATAGGCACAGCTTATTATTATACAAGTTTAAAGTGCTCGTCAAATGTATCCTATTGACCAAAATTGAGTGACTATCACCATTTCATATTAATAGATATACATGTTACATTGTCAATATAAAACTATTAAGAAAGACAAATTTACAAAGTATTGGGGGTAGTTTAAAGATGAGTTTTACAAATGGCTTCTTGCTAAGATTGCGAAGAAATAAAAAAAAAAGAATAAATTTTAATTATTGCGAATGTTTAGTTAAATAGCATGATTTGTTTATTTAATTTCAATTAAGCATAAGAGAAAGTTATAAATAACATGAAATTTATAAAACGAGTTTTAAATTCTCTACTACTATATTTTAATTTTCAAAAAAAAAAGTACTCCGTATTGTTCTCAAATACTAGTTTATTTCTTATTTTTGTTGCTGTATATAAAGAAGGAAATCCTCTTATCAAATAATAAATATTACTAATACCCAAGATATCTACTATCATAAGTCACTGTTTCCACTCCATCTCTTTTTTTTTTTTCTATGTTGAACTTGTAACACTGACACCACCACCACATATATGGAAATTACCCAAATAGTGTGAAAGTGGCTGTGTTCCTGATTCCGATATTATGGGATCTACGTAATAAATTTTATTAAAAATTTGACACCAATTTTCTATATTAGTAAAAAGTCTAGAATTGTGCCTCTTCATTATTAGATTTCGCGCTTAAACAACAACAGCAAGATGATATATATAATACAATACTCATGTCAATATGTATTCATACTATTTATTATCAAAAATACAGCAGCATTACTAAAGAATTGGTTGGCTTAATTAAACGCGACTATTAACTTTCCAAAGAAACTGTAATCAATACATTTTATAAACTCTAGTCAATGTTTCAAACAAAAGATAAATAGCTAAAAAAATATAGTATAAAAAATAAAGCTGTTTGTTTGTAACTTGAACACTATTCTAGTAAAAAAAAAAAAAAAAAATAGATAAGAAACAAATATTCTTGGAAGATTGATAGATCTTTTTTCTTTTAGTTAATGAGAGATTTTAATAGGAGCCCTTCATGATATGCTTGCATATATTATTATGAGGCTTTAATAGCTCTTCTCTTTCCTATAAATGACTGTATAATAATATGTCTAATACTCATAAATACATCTAATAATTCCTATAAAGAAAAAGTCACAACAGACATATTATCTGATACAGAACCATTTCACACATAATAGCTCATTATTAATTAAAGTATCTGTTGTCTTTTATTTTAAACAAAGTCATGCTATATAAAAGTAAACATTAATTAATAGGAAAATGATTCAGCTACACATTTAGTTACAAATTATTCTGTCTTTTTACAATTGTCAATTTGCGTATTTTTATAAATAAATAAAAAAAAAAATTCATTGTTTATAATTACAAGGTTTCTCTTCTGTTTCTCTCCCCTCCCCCCAAAAAAAAAAGAAAAAGTAAAATACAAGTACATTTATTCACTGAGCAGTAGCGAAGAATTATTCAACAAAGTTTAATTCATGTTCCTATTCACCTAAATAGGGTAAAACTTATATCTGTAATACATTCAAATGTGGTATGTATCAATTGATGAATATCTATTCATATTCTTACATACAAATGTTATTTGAAGTCAAAAAAAAAAAAAAATAGAGTGCGATTGATTAGAATATACATATTTGACATTTATTTACCAATAATATGATGTCAGCATAGTGGTAATGAACCCAATATTACTAAGAAAAAAAAATTAAGAGGGCTCGTGTCAATTTTTATAGTTTAGTTAATTTAATAAATACGCCCAGCAGATAAATATAGAATCAAATTTAAACCCAAACATTTAGACAAAACACATTCATATTTTATTTTATTACTTGAAGCAAGACATATAGAAAATAAAGAATGTATTGAATTACTTTGAGAAAGTAAGAGAATAAAAATTGTTATTAAACAAGACATTATTTGTAAGTAATAAAGACGAGAACTGCTTATAAAACAAATAGATACAACACAATAATATGAGGAGGAGTAGTAATGATAGACACGCGTCGATCTTTTAAAAGATACTTCATCTATTCTAAGGAACTGAGTTTGGTAGATTTGCAAACACACATCCTTATTATTACGTTGATCGAAAGGAAATGAACCATGAAAAAAAAAAAAAAAAAGGACCCCGATCCAAATTCGTTTTTTGCTTTCTAAACACGTTATTGCTGCTTATTCAATGTTTTCAAATTATAGATATAAAGGTTTTGCCTTTCTTTTTTGTTTATTTTTTTTTTCTGTGCCAATTTTTTTTTTTTTGAGAGGTTTCATAAAAAAAAATATATATATATAAATATATACACATATTTACATATTTTTATATATAAACTTCGATCCCTTTCCTTCTTTTTTATTTTTACTCTTTTACTTTCCTTTGAATACGCAGGTCGTTTTTCAGTTTTAAATCTTTCATTATGCAAACTCGTCTTATTCCTGTATTTATCGCACTCATTGCACTTTTAATTACCTTGGTTACAGCAGCACCTGTCGACACTTTAGAGAAGCGAAAAAGTGGCAAGGTATATGAAGGTACTGCTACCTGGTATAAACCTGAAACTGAAGGTGGAACTAAAGGTGCCTGTAATGGAAAAAAAATTAGCTCCAAAGATTATATCGTTGCTCTCAATCATAAGCAATATGGTAACATGGATAAGAACTCTGCTTGGTGCGGCAAAAAAATTTCAATCACTGGTCCTAGAGGTACTACTACAGCCACTATTCAAGACGCTTGTCCTGGATGTGGATATGGTGATCTCGATTTAACTCCAGCTGTCTTTGAGGAAGTCGCTGGTGGTTTAAAGAAGGGCGTTGCTAAAATCTCATGGAAATTGGCTTAAAAGGAAATAATCAGATCAAGCTAACATCTTCTTCCACTAAGAAAATTACAATCCGACAAAGCAAGTAACAAAATTGACTTTGCACTTTTTTTTCTCTTTATATTCATATACATGTATAACTTCATACCATTCTCATTTAAATTATAAATAAAGTTTTTTTTTTTTTTTTTTTTTTTTTTTTACTATAACTATTATCCGCATTATATATATATTTTGGTTAATTTTATATGTAATGTATGTATGCCTTTATCTTTATAAGAATGTAGGTAAAGAGAATGTACATATTTCGTGCTTTAAATTATTATTTTTTTACGTGTGTATATGTTAGTAATTAATTTTAACTGGTTTCAATAACTATTATTAACATGTTTTTACTCCCTTTTTAAGTAATCTGCTTTTATAATAATGATAACAAATAACATACAAATAGTTTATAAAAAGCAGCTGTTCAAACAAAGTTTAGTTGAATAATAGCTTCTTAAAAGAGGGTTCATCACTAAAAACCCCTCCTCCTCCCTCTCCTCTTTAGAGAATTTACCAAGTTAACAATCTTATGCTGAGGGTAATCCCCTCTTTTCATAATAATCATTAAATAAGCAAGTTTCTGTTGTGTTCATATTATATATCAAGTCCTCTTTTGTCTACCCTATATCTTTCAAGCTTGTTGAAGATGACTAGCTTTGATAATAATAATAATAATAACATATATATATAGCTTAGAAATAATGAAAAGAAAGGCTTATAATACATGGATTTCAAGTAAGGAATAATACGATTAATAGCCTATATACTTATTGAAAGAGTTACCTGAAATGTCAAAAAATAAGGAATTAGCAAAGATATGTGTTGATTAGGAGTAGAATAGATCAATTTCATATGCAGGGTCAATTAAAGGATATTGACAAAGTTTAGTATGCATTGATAAAAAAAAAAAAAGGATAACGACATCTTCCTTTATTTATTATATTTTGACAAATAACTAGTGTTACGATGGAATGCATTAATTATTGGTGGTGGAATGATATACAAAAGAAGAGTATCGTCTCCTCTGCTGTACTAGAAGATTTTAATGTGACTTGCTTTAAAGTTGTATTTTTTATGAGTATTCGACATCATCAATACTATTTGTCTATTAAAAGAAAGTCTGCTATCTGTTTTTTCTTAGAAATAGAAAAAAAAATGATTCGTACTTTTGTCAGTTCACATAATAAAAATGAAACTATTTCTTCTACTTGTTTTTTTTTTTTCAACAGGTTTGAAATATTATAATCGTAAATATTCCAAGTTTAAATATCTTTAGCGGTCATTACGATAAGTGAGGTAAAAAGAAGAAAAAGAAAAAAAGGGGGAAAAAAAAACAAAAATATAATTTAGTTTGAATCAATCAAATTGCTACTCAAGCGAATCGAGTTAAAATTGATTATGATGCTAAATAGACCCTAAAATTAAAAGAGGCAGCTTTAAAGTAAAGATTATACTATACACACGTTATTATTAAGAGGTCCACACATTAACTGAGATATATAAACAAAAGACGTGGGTTTATCTTCCGTCAAAGAACTTGAGAAAAAGTATATTGTCAAACAATAAAGTAGCAAAACAGAAAGTGACTACGAGGTCATTATAATGTGAGAAACAGAAAATGACTATAAGCAAGCGCTATAAATCTAATACTCCTGTAAACTTATTATTAAATAGATACATATCCTGGAATATTTTATAAGCTTAATAACCAACTTTTAGAGAATATTCAAAGATGCATCAAGTTTCTCAAGAACACTCTTTAGTATGTATGTAATAAACAAATTTAGAAGAGAAATTATACTTTATATATAAAAAAAAAGTTTATTATACCGGATCAGAGCCTTTCTATTATATAACAAGTCTTTTAGAATACAAGGCAAAAGGTGAAAAGGCAATGTCCTTTTTATCAATGACTTATTTTCTCGAGCGATATCGGCAATAATAAATCTTCTAAAAAGTTACTTTCTCCATCAAATGCTCAATTCTTAGCCTTAACCATACAATAATTTTATTCACAAGGTAATCCCACAAAAAACTAAACCTTGTTAAGACCTTCAATTATCAAGAGAGCTAATTAAAGAAATAGAAGATATTATTTCTATATATTACGATGGATAATATCTCTAGTTTATTACTCTCTCATCCCCTAATCTTTCTATTCTTATACAAAATATACTATTGTGTATACTTTTTTTTTCTTTGCTCTACCCAAAAAAAAAATATCATGTTTTTATGTATGCAGAATAGTTTAATATAAAAATGTCAAAAAAAAAAGCAAAGAGTCTAAAGAGATCCAGTCACAGTTAAAATATCATTAGCTTCAATGATACTAATAAATAAAATTAGAATATTAGTAAAAAACTATCATCTAAAAAGAAAGAAAAAAAAGGGGGGTATAGATACATACTCCATAACAGTAAATTCAAGTATACCATCTTCACCACCAATGCCTGCTCCAGTAGCTTTATTAATCCATTCACCATATTGTGTCCTCTGTCGTCCTTCTGAAACAGCTTCTGTTGACTCTTCATTATCTTCATCTTCTACTTCTTTTTCTTCTGTTGCTGTTTCTTCTTCATTAATCTTCCATGCATATGTAGAAGAAGGTATGCGAGATTTAGGAATAGAAGCATTAAAAGTACCATAAATTAAAAGACCAATGTGATCTTCTGACTGCAAATTGATACGTCCAACTATCAACAAAATATGCATGTAAATATTCAATTTTTTTTTGTGTGTATGTATGTGTGTTTTCTTTTTTATTTATATTACCAAGTTTAGAGCCTCTCTTGGGTTTCCAGATAAGGAATTTTGCTGTAATAAAGAAATGACTAAAAGGTGACTCGTACATAATTTTTCCTTTATCTGTAACAAACTTGATATCAGAATGTGCAAGAACAATACCATCAACTTCTGGAACGTATCTATTCAAGAAGAAAAAAAAAAAAGAGGCAATAAAAGTAGATTAGAAAAACTTTCAAGTTCTTTTTAATTTTAAGAATATTCTACGTACTTCATTAAAAAGGCATTTAATTGCTCAATAACACCTTCCATTGTCTTTCCTGCCCACATGGGCGCTAAATGAAGGTATAATTTAACAACAATTTCCGAAAATGAGCTTGAAACCTGTTGAATGACTGGACTACCGGATGGAGCAGCTGGTGTGGTTTCAACAATTGTTGTACTTGACTTATGCTTCTTTTTACTCTTCTTTTTCTCTGAACTGTCCTTATGCTTACGTTTTTTCTCTTCGGTTGCCATTATTATGTATATTATTTATTTGTAAAAACATTACTTCTTTTTTTTTTCTGAACAAAAAAAAAAAAAAAAAAAAGTCAAAAAATCAAGCGTGTCTGGTGTGACTGCTATTACGAGTGGCTGAGACATTGAGCCCTATTACTACTGCTATAAGTACAAAAGACAATTGTATGATTTATTTATTTTAACAAACTTGGCATACATAAAAATCCAAATAATAATGAATTGCTTATTAAAATAAATGAACCTAATATTTATTTAGTATTTTTTTAATTAGAAATTATTTATGGGAAGCCGTGCTATCGAAATATGCTACATTATTTATTCTTCCCCTCTACTCTTTTATTTCTTTCTAGTCATATCTTACCAAAGAAGAAGAAAAAAAAATAGAATATTTAGCCATTGTATTATCAGATAATCAGTAGTACAAGTCTTTAAACAATGACGAATGTTGGAAAAAAAAAAAGATATAACCAATTATGCGTTTACATTTAAACCCTTTATTATTTTTTTTTCTCTCCATGAATTCACAACACAGGTTATAATTGTGAAGTGTATTTCTTTTTATAGGAATAAAATTACCAATAAAAATTTTGTTTTCCTATAAAGATTTAAGCAAATGCCCTTTTTTTTATGAATAAGAAACATATTAAACTGTCAATTTTCCTGGTTGTACGACTGTAAAAAAAAAAAAAAAAAAAAAAAAAAAAAAAAAAAAAAAAAAAAAAAAAAAAAAAAAAAAAAACTTGTAATCGGTAATTTAATGTCGATAAAATTTCGGGAGAGTAACTCTCTAAGATAAGATAAATTGTTTTATTTTTTCCAAACAAAGAATAAAAGGCAGACAGGAAGAAGAATAACATTAAAATAGTGTAATTGTGTGTTTTTCTATTAAAGAAGGAAATCTATAAAAACTAATAATGTGATGCAGACTAATATTTGTTAGTTTGATTTCAATTTTTTATTTGTAATGTTTTAATAGGGCCTGAACAGGACATGTCAAATTATGATTCTCTTTAATTTATATCCCGCAGCATGTAGATTTTTTTTTTTTTTAATATAAATATTTTAAATTATCTTCTATAACTTGATTCTTTTTTTTTTTCCTTAAAAAAAAATTACAAATTATATATACTTGAAAAAAAAATGGTCGGTACAGCTTTCGAAACCTTTGATGCCAGTAAACTTGAAGTCCAAATCAGTAAACAACTCAAGCCTTTAGTTCCTGAGAATGAATTAGTATTTGGAAAGCACTTCACCGACCATATGATTTCAATTGAATTTGATAGTGAAAATGGTTGGAGTAACCCTGTTATCAAGCCTTATGGAAAGCTTGAATTGGAACCTAGTGCAGTTGTACTCCATTATGGTTTTGAATGTTTTGAAGGTATGAAGGCTTATAAAGATGCTGAAGGTCATGTCAGACTTTTCCGTCCTGAAATGAATATGGATCGTTTAAATAGATCTTCCTCTCGTTTGGGTATGCCCGTAAGTAGTATCTGCTTGATAATAAATATTTATATGTATATCTTATTTGTTTCTTACTTTCCCTCCTTTTCTCCTTTTTTTTTTTTTCAAAAAAAAAATCCTTAGACATTCGAACCCGAGGAATTAATTAAAGTCATTACTGAATTCCTTCGTATTGAAGATCGCTGGATTCCTAATAAGCGTGGTTATTCTCTTTACCTTCGTCCTACTATTATTGGTACACAATCAGCTCTTGGTGTTCGTGCTCCTAATAAAGCACTCTTGTTTGTTATTGCCAGTCCTGTTGGACCTTACTTCTCCACTGGTTTCAAAGCTGTCAGTTTATTGGCCTCTACAGAATATGTTCGTTCTTGGCCTAATGGCACAGGTAACTACAAGGTAGGTGGTAACTATGCTCCTTGTGTTAAGCCTCAATCTATTGCTGCTCAAGAAGGATACCAACAAAACTTGTGGTTGTTTGGTCCTGATTATGAAATTACTGAAGCTGGTACGATGAATTTCTTTATGCTTTGGAAAAACCCTGACACAGGTCGTCGTGAACTTATTACACCTCCACTTAACGGCTTAATTTTACCTGGTGTTACAAGAGACAGTATTATTCAATTAGTCAAGTCTTGGGAAGCTGAGACAGGTATTTATGTTCGTGAAGAGAAGGTAACGATGGCTGATGTGATTCAAGCTGTTCATGAGAATCGTGTTATTGAAATGTTTGGCGCTGGTACTGCATGTATTGTTAGTCCTATCAAGTGTATTGGCTTCCAAGGTAAAGATATCCATATTCCTCTTGATCCATCAGATCCTGATTCTGAGGCTGGTTCCTTAACTAAGAAGATTAATGATGCTATCATGGATATTCAATATGGTGTTGTTGAACATTCTTTCTCTCGTAGAATTATTTAAAAAAAAAATTAAATTAGACAAAATAATTTTTCCCCCTTTTATACACCTATAGATACACCCCTCCCCCCCTTTATCTGTATGCATATATTTGTATGTATACTTGTGAAATTAAACTATTTGTAAAATGTATTATTATCCTCACTACATAAATATTTTTTTTATTTATATTAAATAAATCTTATACATAGAGTTTTGACATGTAGTACGCATATTTGCACTGTTGTGTAACTTTATTTCGTTTTACAAAAAAAAAAAAAAAAATTCTCAACTATATTTTATTGCAACTTATTATGTATCTGTTTTATGTTATTGTAAAGATAATTAAGCAAATTAAATAAAGGAATAGTACTGTACAGAATTCAACTGCATAATATATAAAAAAAGGGAGGGAAGGGTAGAAAAGAGGCTATTTTTTTTGTTTGTTTACATAAGCATCATAGTTGCAATACAGGAGACGAATGCAAGTCCCAAGGCAACTGTAGTTGTTAAATGAGTGGCACTATTTTCATGACTATCAGCTTTTCGAACAGGTGTAGCACTAGCCTGGCTGTTGGTGGTAATTATTGTGCTAGTAGGAGTCATCACAGTAGTTGCGGAGCTAACCTTAGTAATAGAAGTAGAAGAGGCAGGAGCAACATCCTTATAAGCACAAGTAGAATTAGAACATAAACATTGGCCAGCAATTGGGTCCCACCAAACTGTATCGCAGTTGTCAGGAAGAGGATGACGGTATTTAGGATCTGTGCTAGCTATAGAGGGGTTAGGTGTAGGGTTATCTACGGTAGGTGCTGTAGCAGGACAATTAAAGCAAGTAGCCCAATTGGTTGTACCAAAATTACACATATTTAATAGGCTGCCGGAAACAACACCATTTGTGATGGTAATGTTTTCTAAACCGTTACAGATCTCTTTGCCAACGTCGGGAATTCCACATTTCATATAAGGTTGCTCAGCTAATTGACTTGCAGGAACAGGGTTTTGCATCTACAAAAATACAAATTACAAAATAAATATCTATACTGTATACGTGTATATGCTTTTTTTTTAAAAAAAAAAAAAAAAAAAAAAAAAAAAAAAAAAAAAGAATTTTCTTTTTACCCATTGTAAAAGCTGTTCATTAGTGACAAACCAAACATCTTTCATCCCTTGAAGAGATTTAATAAAACTAACAACTGCATTCTTTTTGTCTGTAACATCAGGCATACCAGGATAGTTTGTTAAATGAGCTTTTTTTTAAAAAAAAAAATACGATATGGATTAGTTTTTTTTTTCTTTTTTTTCCTTTTGTAATAAAAATAATCACAACTTACTAGGATGAACATAGATACCGAAAGGTTGACGGTTTCCATTATAATGTCTTTCAAAGTTTGTTTTAGTCCAGTTGGTAACTTCAGAAGGAGTTCCAGCTAAATAAACATCCATCAATTGAGGAATATCGTTGGTATCGACGACTGCATACATAGGAATTTCCCAAACACCTATAATAGTAAAAGTTTAGAAATATTGTATTATTCTTATTTTGTTTTGATTTGTTTAATATATATGTATATATATTTTTTACCTGGAAGTTTAAAATCTGCACCACAGCTTCCAGCCCAACAGTCATTAGCTAAACCATAATCGAGAGTGTAGGGCCTACACATCATAACTTTAAATTAAATTTTGCTTTTTCTTTTTTTTTTTCTTTTTTCTTTTTTTTTTTTTACCAGTAACAGTCATCGATAACTGCAGTAGTAGAGGTGTCATATTTCAAACCTACTTGTGAAATTTCTTTGAAAGTTTCAAGGGTATAATTCACTATTTTTTTTATTAGAAGAAAAATGTTAAATTATATGCTAAAAAAGAAAACTTGCTTTAAAAAAAATTAAACTTACAGAAAGGAGCTCTAAAGCCCTTAATTTTACCATGAGGAATACCACCATAACGGTTCAACATAGAATAAGCAGCAGCAATTTCTCTAATAAAATAATACATGGTTAATTAATCAAGCTTTTTTTTTTCTCTCTCTTTCACTTGAATATATATGCTACATACTGTAAAGGAGGTTGTCCTATTATAGTTATTTATATAAATATATAATAATAATAAGTTTATATGATAAAGAAATTTCATTATAAAATGATTTTTTTTTCTTCTCATTCTTACCAACATGAGTAAAAGTATGACTATAATAATGAAAAAAAAAGCAAAATTAAAAAAAACACACTTCAAGTAAATAATGTTAAAGTAACTTACTCAGCGACTTCATTTCCTTGAGCATACCACTGCTGAACCAAAGAAAAATCAGTATACATCATTGATACATACCATGAACCCTAAAAAAAAAAAAGAGTAATAATCATAATAAATATACAAAAAGAAAAGATATCATTTTTTTTTTAAAAAAAAAATGGCTAATAAGAATATACCTTGGCTGGACATCCATTGGGGTTCCTATCAAATAATAAAATAGGTTAAATAATAAAGAAAAAAAAAAGATAGAAATAATCCATATTTCAAGTAACTTACTTAACATCTAATAATTCATGAGCAGTAGATAACAATTCAGGTTGGATTGAATCATCAAAAGTAATGGTAACAAATTGAGGGACATCTTTGGGAGAGAGTCCAGCAGGAGGAGTAAGAGAAGGACAAAGACAGTCAGGAAGTTTACAGGCATTCGTGTCACAAGGACCAGGAGTTGTGCCTGCATGAACTAATTGACTTGCAACGGAAAGAACAGTTAAAATGGCCGAGGAAATACCAAGCACTTTCATTTTTATTTTATTTTGCGGTAAAGAGGAAAACGGGATGAAAAAATTGAAAGCCTTTTATACTCATCTGAAGTGAATCAAAGTATCACACAAATAATAAAAGACAGTGAAACTTTAGGAAAATAAAAATACCCTTCTAAGGAAATTTTGTTTTTTTTTATTAGAAAAGTAAAAGAAAAAAAAAAAAGTAAAAAGTAAAAATAAAAAACACACACACACACATTAAAAAAAATAAAAGAAAAGAAAAGAAAAAAAAGATAAATTGTGTATAGAACAAAATGCTACCACAGAATATATTTAAAATAATTGTCAAGTATTTTTTTTTTTTTGATTTGTTACTGTTTAGAAAATAGATGTGCATATAAAATAAACTAAAGAAAATTCTTTTTTTTTTTCTATACTTAGCTTTTTTTTTTTTTGAAACCTCCTTCCACTTTAAATTATATTAATAGAAGATTATCAAAATTTATCTTGCTAAATTTGTTAAATGTTATTTCCATATTTTACCAGGTTTTATTAAAAGAGAGACAGTAAACATTATTAAAATTACAAAAATAGCTGTTATTATTTGAAGTATCATTTTTTCCGATCCTAATAAATTGCGCTTATATAAACCTAATTCACGATTTTTGTTTTAAAAAATAACAAAAAATATACCAATAAAATTAGTTTATTATTTATATAAAAGAGGTTCTTTGCTCAAATACAAACAGATAATATTGGATAATATTTTTTTTTTTAGGACGAAAAGTGAATACTCTCTACATTGGTCTGAATCTTTAAGCCTTGATTATTATTAGAATACTATACAAATATATGTATTTAATCTGTTCGATTGAAAGATTAAATAGAATACAATGTTGTATTACTATCTATGGTAAAGTAAGCAAACGGAAATATATACATCTTTGTAAATTCTTTTTACTTCTGATATTAAAAAGATTTGAAAAGAAAGAAAAAAAGAAAAAAGGATCGCCATAAATTACACAACAAAAAAAAAAAAGAAAAAATCACATGCTATACATAAAATTTAGCTATTTATGCACTTTAAAATACTAACTCTATGAGATATACAGTTATTTCAAGACTGGAAGATGGATTCATTTTTTCTTTAAAGTGAGGTTTTGTGATGTTCAATCAGCATATATACATTTAAAAACTATGTTTTTTTTAATGGTCAACAGTAATAAACGCGTAGTTGTAAAAGCTAATATGCCCTAGTCAGTTTAAAAAAAAAAAAAACTTATTTCTTATTTATTAAAGGCTGCCTGCTCTCACTCAATCTTAGATTCTAGGAGGTAATTCTGTTTCGACCATACTGGTTCATTATTTATATAGGTGGAGTCGCGCAGTTTCTAGGTTAATCTTGTTCTTTGTATAACTATTTTCGTACTTTAACTGTCAGAAAGAAGATATATATACATACATATATATATATATTGCCCAATAACTCGAGATTTATAACTTTAAGTAAATTTTTTCAGAATTAAGGTGAATGGCCGGTATGGAAGTGGGCTTTAATAAAGACATCACTATCGTTGTTAAAGCATCTTCCTCAATGCTCTTACAATATTTGTATTAAAATAAACGACACCGCAATAGTAAAGCATAAAGTATAATGCGTCTATTGCTGCTAAACACAACTTTTTATATGTACTTGCTTTAATTTCTTTACAATTTATCTGAACAAGCCTTCTACAAGGAAAAGAAAAGAGGACAGCAAATTGAGCAACTAAAGACGTAAGCTCAGTTCAAGCAAGCATTACAAATTAGGGATTTCAGTAACGTGAATTAGTAAACTGAGCCACTGCATATTCATAATGGCAGCATTTGAAACTCTATTTAATTATATTTGTGTAAATAATTATATTTAATAATCATTTATTGTTGAAAAAAAAAATAATCATTTCATTTAATGTTTGCATCATATGTACATATTCCCTAGAATAAATAAATAAATATACGTATGTTCTATTGAGATATATCAGCGATATTATTAGAAATGGACCATTATTGAGTATATATCTGTTCTAATACTCTTCCTTAGTCATACTTTATTATGATAATAGTATGTACATAAAACATATCGATAGTCATTATTGTTTAAACTATTCATATTTTTGTGTAATTCTATTATATAATAACATGTGTATTTATAGAAAAAAAAAAAGTTCGCAGCATAAGAAGCAAACAGTAGGACAGAATCTTTTATTAAATTTGTATACATTTACATACATTTATATATTTTTTTATATTCTCTCTTTTTTTTTTTTTTTTTTTGTTTTCTATCTTTAAAAAATAAAATAAATAAATATATGCAATCTGAAACTTTGATAACACCGCCAATACAAGAAAGCAACAATAACTTGCCTCATCATGTTCGCTGGGCTCCTTTACGAGGAATTCCTGCCAAAAGACGTTTACAAATGCTGGCCGTTTGTATTTGGATTAGTTTAGTTTTCATTTCTGTAGCATCATTTCTCTTTTTAGCAACTTACAAGCTTCTTTGGCCGATTTTGATTGCCTACATCACTTTTATTTGCATCGATAAAGCACCAGAATCTGGTGGTAGATTAGTTGAAAGAACTCGTCATTGGACCATATGGAACTATTTTGCCGATTATTTTCCAGTGAAACTAATTAAAGTAAAACATAGATAAATAGATGTATAAACCTTTTATCAATATCTCATTTATATATATGTATGTATGTAAAGGAATATGATTTAGATCCTACAAAGAATTATGTCTTTGGTTACCATCCTCATGGTATTATTTCAATGGGTGCATTCGCTAATTTTGCTACAGAAGCAACAGGATTCTCAAAATTATTTCCCGGGATTAAGCCTTCTTTACTTACTTTAACTTCTAACTTTAATATTCCTATTTATCGTGACCTCATCATGTCCTTGGGATTAGCTGCAGTCTCTCGTCGTTCATGTGAATCCATTCTATCATCTAGCCCTGGCCGTTCAATTGTGATTGTGATAGGTGGTGCTGCTGAATCTCTGAGTGCTCGTCCAGGCATAGCTAATTTAGTTCTTCGTAAACGTTTAGGATTTATTCGACTTGCCATTAAACATAAGGCACCTTTAGTACCTGTCTTTTCATTTGGAGAAAATGAATTATATGATCAACTTGAAAATAATAAGGAAAGTAAAGTATTCAAATATCAGAAAATGATGCAATCATTACTTGGTTTTACTTTGCCTTTATTCCATGCTCGAGGCATATTCAATTGTAAGCATAATAATAATAATAATAATAACCTATATCACTCACTCCCCCCCTCCCCTCTACTAAAATTGATGTGTATATAGACGATATAGGAATTATACCTTTTAGACATGAAATTGCTACAGTGGGTAAGTCAAATTATAGTTTATTATGTCGTTTGTTTTTTTTAATTTTTTTTAATATACATTAGTTGGTAAACCCATTCCCGTTCCTGAATTAAAAGAGAATCAAAAAGAACCAACTGAAGAGCAAATACTACAAGTCCAAAAACAATATATAAAAGAGCTTGAATCGATTTATAACAAGTATAAAGATATTTACGCTAAGGATCGTAAACAAGAACTTTGTATCATAGATTAATAAATAAAAGCTTATCTTGTTAAAAAAAAATAACTCTTTTCCCCTCCCAAATCAATAGAATGTCCAAGGAGAAATTCATCCATTCTTGGGACTATTATTTAGTATGATTTCTATCATATTAGTTACTATTTATATCTGTAATTTTGTCTCTGAAGGATAGAAAGTAATTATGCTATATCATATCTTTAATTGTAAAAATGCATATATTACACAAGTATGTTTCAGTATGATCGTTCCTAACAACAATAGAATAAAAATCATAAAGATGTTTCATATTTTTCTGCTGTCTGAGATTCAATTTTACTAGGTTGAAAAAAAAAAAAAAAAAAAGACTTATAATTCGTCTAGAAACAGTATTATTCTATATGATAGCGAATAGTAGTATTTGACAGAATTTATCCAATCAAAAAAATTCAGAAAGTTATTATGTTCAATGTTTTTTTTTCTTTAGTTTTTTTTTTTTTGTTTTTAATCTTTTATATATTTACATTGTTATAATGAGCTTTGATTCACTTTCTAAAGGAGAAAATGTGTTGTTTGTAGCGCCTGCCACAGTTGATCAATCAACTTTTATTAAAGTGAAATCTTCTGCTCAACAACAAGTGGGGATTGAGGGACAAACTGCTTTTGAAGTATTTGATAGAGTTGCTGAAGGTAAAGAAGGAAAAAAAAATAAAAGTGAAATAGAGACCCCCCCAGGTTCCTCTGTCTGATCTAATATTTATTATTATTAGCACCATTAAATAAATCAAGCTTCAATGTAATTTATTCAAATCTCTTTCCCCCTTCTGTCTCCATCCACACATCTAGTATATTTTCTCGTTATTTAAATACTTTAACTGCAGGTGGTCGATTGGTCTTGGAAGAAGTTGTTTTATTGGTTGATTTAGCAAATACAGTATGTCCTATTACACGCAGGTCTTCTGATTTACAATCTTTATTAAAACTAGCCGGTTTTGTAGATGTGACAGTAAAGGATGTAACTCCTGTTAACGATGCAACATTGGCTGCTTATTTCTCTTTATGGGGTACAACTAGAATTGAACAAGGGGTGAGTCGATTAAGTGGTAAATTTGGTATAGCCCATATTGAAGCAAAGAAGCCTACATATGAAATTGGACAAAAGATATCATTAAATTTTGGTAAAAATAAGAATAATAACAAAAGAGCAGTATGGGCAAATGTGTCGACAGATGATCTAGAAGATGAAGATGCATTATTAGATGAAAGCGATAAAGTGAAGCCGAGTAAAGAATCTTTAACGAGTAAGTAAACGGATAAATAAATACAGATTTTTGAATTAAAATGGCTGTAAAATAGGACCTGATGACTGTGAGTTGACAGATGGGAAGAGGAAAGCATGTAAAAATTGTACTTGTGGTAGAGCAGAAGAAGAAGAAGGATCAATGGAACAACAAGATAACGTTGTATCTCTCGATTTAATGGATGATTTTGAAGATGAAGTAGTTGAAGTTGATCCTACACCAAAGAAGACAGGCGGATGTGGTAGTTGCGCTTTAGGCGACGCTTTTAGGTGTTCAACATGTCCTTACTTGGGTATGCCTGCCTTTAATACAGGAGAAAAAATCGCTCTAGGCGGTATGTTTGCTCAGGATGATATTGAATTTTAAGGGAAAAAAATAAATAAATACCACCTCTTGATGATAAAGAAGAAGGGAAATATCTTTTTATTATTACTATCCTATTATTATGTGTAGAATAATAAATGCTTGTTTATATTACTACAAACACTATTATTTATAATAAAAAGCTATCATTGTTGTTTATTACTACTACTGCTACTAACTCTTTGTGTTAAGAAACATGCTTTTACAAGTGAAAACTGAGATATCATCTTGCTTTTTTTTTACCAAGTATAAAGAATAATTACATTGATATAAGAACTCCTTTTATTTCCTTTTAGACACACACACTCTCTCTCTAATATATATATATATATATATATATATATATGTATGTATGTATAAATAAATATATTAATCTCAAGTATTCAAAGTTTTAATTCTTTGTGGGCTTTTTGGCTATTATAGAGATTAGAAATAAGTATCCTGTTAGTATTTATTTAATACAAATACACTTACTTCCGTATTTTGATCGACTTGTTGTTCTAGTAGCTACACCTTGAAGATCCAAAGCACCACGAACAAGATGATATCGAACACCTGGAAGATCAGGTACACGACCACCACGTACTAAAACAACCGAATGTTCTTGTAAATTATGACCTTCACCAGGAATATATGCTGTCACTACTTTTCCATTGGTTAACTTGACTCTTGCTACCTTTCTCACTGCTGAATTAGGCTTCTTGGGTTTAGTTGTATAGACTTTATTACAGACACCTTTACGTTGATAGCATTCTTCAAGTGCAGGTGCCTTACTCTGTTTTGTTTTCGATTTACGACACTTTTTCATCACTTGATTTAACGTTGCCATGTTCGCCTTTTGTATAGGTGTTGTAAATGTAAAATTCGTCAATTGACTAAGAATGGGACTTTGGTGTGTTGTAGAAGTGCGTGTAGTCCATAGATGGGTTTGAGTTAATGGTTTCCATGTTGATTTTAATAAGGATCGAAATGCTTGCATTTTAATTGTATTATAAGACCGGTATTGTAAAGAGAGGGAAGGCAGTTGATAATGATTGCGGAGGAGGGGTCCCTTCAACTTTAGTGTTTGAAATCCCGTCTTGCAAAAAAAATAAAATAAAATAAAGTGTACTTAGACAAAAGAATACCCTATACGCTCCTTTAAATTATTAGTAATAATACTAATAAATAAGAAACGTTTCTTGCTATATTAAAAAATACTGTGAAATATAAACTTATATTGTCTTTTAGGAATTACTATCATCATAACAATAACATAAATTGTATGAGGGTATAAGCATTACTTGTGACGTAATCAACTTTGACCAATAAAAGAAGACAAATAAAAAGTTTTTTCTTAAGATTTTTTTTTTTTTAGTAATTCCAAAAAGACTTTTTCCTTACAATTTATCTACTTTTCTTTCTTCTTTTACTCTCAACATACATATATAATGACAGATAGTTGGGATAGAACTATTTTTGATAAAGAACTCAAGTCAATATTGGACGGAAAACTTCCTGTTTCAGCTTCAAAAATCACTTCACTTCAAACATTAGCAATTTCTCATCCTCAGGTAATTATTTCTTTATTTTTATTTTCTTAGGAAAAACATATAGTAGGAATTATTAACTTTTTTTTTATTTTTTGTTTTATAGCATCATAATTATATTATACAATGCATCACAAGGTTTATAGAAACTTCATCTCCAGAATATCGTTTAGCAGGTTTGTATGTGATTGATGCTATTTCTCGTTCTGTACATAAACAACAAAGGAAAAGAGAAGAAAATAATAATTACGGTCCACATGAACTGGATGTTTTTTTGAAGAGATTTGCTATTGTGTTGAAGAATGATTCTTTGAATGGCTGTTTTGAGCCATGTTCAGAAAAGGATAAGGTGAGACCCTCCCCCTTTTTTTTTATTTTCCCTTCCTTTATATAAATATATACATGTATAAACTACATTTTATCTCTTTTACACCCATTTTTATCCTTTTTATTTTCCCTTTATTCTGGATATGCTTTTTTTTTTCTTTCTCACTTGGTTGGTTTGATGAATGACTGGTGGTACTAGAAACTGGAATTAAATGAAGAAAGTAAAAGGAAAATGAAAAAAAGGAAAAAGAGAGATTGTTTGAGAAAATAGGATAAGCAAATAGCTTTCTTCTTTTATGTCAGATTTAAGAACTGGTAAACAAATAGAATAATACATGTGTGAAATTCATTTTCTTTAATTATCTAGTTCTCTTTTTCTTATATGAGTTATACTGTCATTTGACAAGCATAGCTATAACTTAAGCCTATACTTGAAGGTGTTAGTCTCTGTGTCTATATCGCTCTCTGTTCCTCTTTCTCTTCTTTCTTTTACTTTCTCTTTAATTCTAGATTTCTTTGTGGTTCTCTTCTTCTTCATTTTTGTTTTTGTTTGTCAAGATATCTACAAGCCTTTCTTCCTTATAAACAAGGATGATATAATGTAAGAGGGAAAAAAAAAAGTCAATAGTAGAAGAAAGCATAGAAAATAAAGGGAAATGATGACAACAGTAACAACAAATAAAGAGATATATGTATATCTCATGTTTTTCTTATATTTTTATCATAATTAAAATCGATTTATACAACTCTCCTTCCCCCCCCCTCCTTCTCTCTCTCTCTCTCCTCAAAATATGTTTGAAAATGTTCAGTTTTATCTTATTTTTTTTTTCTTTTCTTTTTTGTATATTGTATGGAAAATAAAATATATAGGATAAAGTCAAAAAGACACTGGATTTCTGGGAGCAGGGAAGCATTTATTCCAAAGATTTGGTTCAACATGTGAAGCATTCTTTTCTGACAAGTAGTAGCAAGAGTGATAGTTTAGATAAAGGTTCTTATTATATACATAATAAAATTCAATTCATTAACATTGCTTTCTTTTTTAAAAAAAAAACAAAAATAAAAATAAAAATAAAAATAGATACAGTATCACCACCTGTAGATGCAGCAAAACTTTTAGCCACTCTCAGTAATATTGGAAATGGAAGTTTAGCAAATCTTAATATTCCTGGTCTAAATTCACCTGTGCCACCACCACCACCACCAGCAACAGCAGTAACAACAGCAGCAGCACTACCACCACCACCACCACCACTACAACAACAACAACAACAAGAAGAAAAGATACTACCACCTGCTCTTGCCAAGTTATTAGATGGGCTTGTTTCTACTCCTTCAACAACTACATCTGACTCACCTACACCCCCTTTATCAGTACCTACAATAACAGATCCACGAGTAGGTATGAATGATCCACGCATGCAAGAACAAGCATCATCTCCATCAAGAAATGTCAAGAATTGGCCCCCTCCACAAGGACCTTCTATTCCTGCAACTCGACCAGGAGAAAGAAGATCAAGATGGGGTAATGTAGAAAAGTCAACAACTAGTTATCAAGATCAATGGCCTCAACATGGTGCAATTCAAGATCCTCGTTTAATGAATATGACTTTTCATCAACCACAACCGCCTTTTACAAATTATTCCTTGACGGGTACAGAACCATTTATTGATTCAAATTTACCACCAGGATGTATTAAAGGTAATAAATGTAGTCATTCAAAGTATATTCATATTGATATTCATTTTCATATTCATATCTATTTTCTCATAGTTCTTACACGCACTTTGTTTGTGGGACCTATTCCTGATCATTATGAAGAAGAAGATGTCTCTCGTTTATTTTCAAAATATGGTCAACTAGCAAGTGTGATTGTAGCTAAAAAGATTAAAGGAAGACACAATGCATTTTTAAAGTTTACAACAAGAGCCTCTACAAAGGCAGCTAAATTTGATTCAGAGGGACTTGTAGTGGAGGGAGTCCCTGTGAAGGTGAATTGGGCGTTTGGATTTGGACCTAAAAAGCATTTTAACTTTGATAGAGGAGAATCGATTATTCCTTTAGCTGAATTAAGTTCCGAAGAAAAGAGTAATCTTGTGACAGCACCTGTAGGTGGATTCCAAGGACAACCTTTAAGGGATAGAACAGTGATTGAAGAACCCGAAGCACAATATCGACCTGAATGGAAATATGATAGTCATGAAGAACAACAACAACAACGTAGTGGATTTAAACGTCAACAACATATGAATCATGATGATGGATTCAATCGAAAAAGAGGAAGATTTAACCAACAACAACAACAGTCACCTTATCCACCCACTCATAATTATCAACAACAATTTAGAAATAATAACAGACAACAAGCAACGGGATTTTATCAACAATCACAAAATCAATTTAGACCACCTGCTTTTTCAAATAACATACCACCTCCTTATTAAGCTGTAAAAAAAAAAGAAAAAAAGAAAAAAAAAAAGCATTATAATAAATATTTATTATATAAAAATAGGGAACTGTACAAATAAAAAGAAAGATAATAAATATATATTATACACAACAAAGTTTACTTATTGCTTTCTTTCTTTTTTTTTCGTGTGTATGTGTGGGGGGATATGAATTACATAAAGAAAAAAAAATGTAATTAATTAAAAGAATATGTATAATATTAATTGTTGTTATTATTATTATAATTATTATTATTGGATATTTTTTTTCTTTAAGAACGTTCACCACGAAGACGACGAGCTAATTGAATATCCTTAGGTTGAATAGTAACACGCTTAGCATGAATGGCAGCCAAGTTAGTATCTTCAAAGAGAGAAACCAAATAGGCTTCAGAGGCTTCTTGAAGAGCACCAATGGCAGAAGATTGGAAACGCAAATCAGTCTTGAAATCTTGAGCAATTTCACGAACAAGACGCTGGAAAGGAAGCTTACGAATCAAGAGTTCAGTAGACTTTTGATAACGACGGATTTCACGAAGAGCGACAGTACCGGGTCTGTATCTGTGAGGCTTCTTAACACCACCAGTAGAGGGGGCAGACTTACGAGCGGCCTTGGTAGCTAATTGCTTACGAGGGGCCTTACCACCAGTTGATTTACGAGCTGTTTGCTTAGTACGAGCCATATTTTATTAAAAAAAATTTATGTATAAGAAAGAAAAAAAGGTTGTCGAAAGAAAAATGATTTTGCTTTTTTAATTATTTATAAACGTTTTTTTCAAAAGTCACACAAGAGAAATCAAATTTCTTTATTAGGAATTCATTTGATATATGTTTTTTTTTTTCTAATATATTTAATTGGAGATAATAATAATAATAAAAAATTATTTTATACAAAAAAAAAAAAAAAATAAATGTATACATTTTTTATTTAAGAAAAAAAAATGTAGCGCGTTGCTGCGAAACTTGAAAAAAAATGAAAAAAAAAATTTCTTCTCCTTTCAAGATAAATAAGACGGTAATAAGACCCTTAAAAAAATATATACATATACACATATAAACAAATCAGTATGTATTTAATCGTCAGCATATTTTTCTTTTTAAATTAGAGTACTTGATTATAGGGAAAAGTAAAAAAAAAAGGGGGGAAGAAAAGTTAGGTGTAAAATAGATGTATATATTTTTTTAAATGTATACTTTTTTTTTTGTTCTTAAGATTTTTTTTTTTTTTTTTTACTTTAGAAAAAAAAAATTAATTCGCATTTTGAAAAAAAAAAAATCTGAAGAAAAAAAAAAAGTATACAAAATATATGAACTTTAGCTATCGTCGGTGATTTAATTAAATGAATATATAAAGCCTGAAATACAATGATTATCATTTTTCTTTTGTTTTTTTTTTATTTTCATTCAATTATAATAATTTAAAAATGACTGGTCGTGGTAAAGGTGGTAAAGGTCTCGGAAAGGGAGGTGCTAAGCGTCACAGAAAGATTCTTCGTGATAACATTCAAGGTATTACTAAACCTGCTATTCGTCGTCTTGCCCGTCGTGGTGGTGTTAAGCGTATCTCTGGTCTCATTTATGAAGAAACCCGTAGTGTCTTGAAGGTCTTCCTTGAAAACGTCATTCGTGATGCTGTTACTTATACTGAACACGCCAAGAGAAAGACTGTTACTTCCTTGGATGTTGTCTATGCTCTCAAGAGACAAGGCCGTACCCTTTATGGTTTCGGTGGATAAATCAATTGCAACTTATACAACTACAATTTGAATATTTATATACAATATATCCCCTTTTTTTTATTATTTCTGTAAATATACAATAATAAACAAATATATAATACACATATAATATTTATAGTTTTATATATAATCTATACATAAAATATAATTGGTTCACGTGTCTACTGTATTTTTATAACCTTTTATCTATAAGATAACGATTAACGTTTTGATTTTTTATTTTATTTTGTTTTTTTTCTTAATTTTATGTCCATATTGGCTGAAATAGAAAATGATGATGATCATAATAATACTACAGCAACAACAACAACAACAACAACAACCTTAAATAACAGTCCATCTTTTATTAGTGAAACAACAAAAAGAGTCTTTCTTTTTCACTCTTCTTCCTTTTTTCACATTACAACTTTATTTCCTCCTACTATCATCATCACTGTAAAAGGTCTTTATTCTCTAATGATAATTACGAATGAAGAAAGAAATCTATTACCATTAAAACGAAAGGAATTACTAACAGTGTCTCCTATTCAATCTTCTTCATTACCTCTATTGAAGAAATCAACCCCTATAGATAATCTCATTACTACCTCAGCATCAGAAAAAACAACAACCGATCACTCCTCATCATCACAAGATGAAAATAAGAAACCGCCTACAAAAAAATACCGTTATAAATTAAAAAAACCCGTTGTTATATTAAAGAACAAAAATAAACATAAAACAACGACTGCAGCTATGGATGAAGAGGAGGAAGTACCGATGACAAAACCGTTATCTATTACAGAAAAAAGAAAAAGACAAGCTAAAAGAGCAACTCAAATAAAACAATGGAAAGTAAGGGAAGAAAGAGAGGCAAGAGAAGTAAGGTTAAAAATACGAAGACAGATGGTTAATGGCACTATTCCAAAGACAATAACAACTGGAACAAAACTATCGCCTACTGCTTCTACTACTACTACTACTACTATAAAGAAGAAGAAGAAGCATGTGAAATTCAACATTGAAAGAAATAAGATTATTCAAATACCATGTTTTATTTCGGAAGATGATTCTGTAAATGTATAAATAAATCATATATTGACTTTTTTTTTATTTATTAATAAAATAAAAAAAGAATATATATAAAATATATTAAGTATGTTTATGTACAAAGAAATAATAATTAAAGAAAAAAGAATGGTAACACAATATTATATTTAAGAGAAAATAGGTAAAAAAAAAGGTATTGTTTACAAGTCTTGAGAAGCACCAGCCTTCTTTGTCTTGGTAGGTAACAAAGAAGCATGAATGTTAGGAAGAACACCACCTTGAGCAATAGTGACATGACCAAGAAGCTTATTTAATTCTTCATCGTTACGGATGGCTAATTGTAAGTGACGAGGGATGATACGAGACTTCTTGTTGTCACGAGCAGCATTACCTGCTAATTCAAGAATTTCGGCAGCGAGATATTCAAGGACGGCTGCAAGATAAACAGGGGCACCAGCACCAACACGTTGGGCGTAGTTACCACGACGAAGAAGACGATGAATACGGCCAACAGGGAATTGAAGACCGGCCTTAGATGAACGAGTTTGAGACTTTGAGCCAGAAGCAGACTTTCCACCAGATTTACCACCAGACATTTTTATTATTTATTTTATGATGTTTTATTTGTTAATCAATTAAAAAAAAAAATGGAAAAAAAGGAGATTTAGGTGGGTTAATTTATATAAAATTCTAAATTAGTTGTTGGCTGCTGCAAAAAACACAGAAAAAAAAAAACTGTGACTGTTTCTAACTTGTAATTTTTTTTTTAATAAAAAAAAACGTATTTCCTTATTTGTTAATCTGCTATAACAAGTGAAAAGACAAAACAGCTTAAAAAATTGAAAAAAATAAAAATCGAGATATGAATAGAGCTTTACAAATTAACGTGATATTACGTGTTAAGTCACGTAGTTGTCTAACAGAAAGTAGTAGAAATTCATTATTTTTGATTTCATATCCAAATAAGGAAATCACTTGTTATATAGTTAATTGTTGTAGTTTTGTTATTTTTTCCTAAACTGCGCGATTTTTTTTTTTCAGTTGTAGAAAAAAAATTTTTTTTTTTTTTTTTACATGTATACTTTTTTTTTTTTTTTTTTTTTAAACTATTGTCTGATAGTTTTTAAAATCCGCAGCTTAATTATTATTAAATCAAAATGAAAATTTCATATAAAAAGAAAGCTGAAAAAACTCCCACTTTTCAATTTTTTTTTTCTCTATATCAATTAACGCATAATATACAATAATTAAAAATGGCTCCTAAGGAAACTGCTACTGGTAAAGCACCTACTAACAAGGTTAAGTCTGCTGATGGCAAAAAGAGAAAGATGGCTCGTCGTGAAACCTACTCTTCTTATATTTATAAGGTCTTGAAGCAAGTTCACCCTGATACTGGTATCTCTAACAAGGCTATGTCTATCTTGAACTCTTTCGTCAATGATATCTTTGAACGTATTGCTTCTGAAGCCTCCAAGTTAGCTGCTTACAACAAGCGCTCTACTATTTCTTCTCGTGAAATCCAAACCGCTGTTCGTCTTATCCTTCCTGGTGAACTTGCTAAGCATGCTGTCTCTGAAGGTACTAAGGCTGTCACCAAGTACACCTCATCCAAATAAACAGCTTTAATAATAACGACAGCTCAATTTAATTTGTTTATCAAAGAAGAAGAGAAATTGATGCATGCATATATTTATATATTTATAAAAACAAACAAACAAACAAACATTTTTTTTTTATTTCGCCCCTTATTTTACACAAATTATTCCTTTTATATTTATATTTTACTTTACTCTCTTTTTATTATGAACAAATTTGTATGTACAGCAAAACAAAACAAAAAGAAAGAAAGAACTTTATTTAATCTTTTTTTTTTAATATATACTTTGATATCCTTTTTTTTATATATATATAATAAACAATAAACATTATTTAATGTGTATATAATTTTAATAAACTACGCTTATTTTGTGGTGACTTCATGCATAATTTTGATAATACGCGTTTCATAAAGGAGAATGTGTAAAAATAATTATTATTACGAATAGAGGCATATCACAGATGATGAACACTAATAAACACTTCATCCTCATTAAAGAGTAAAGATAAATGTCAACTTTAGATCATTATTATAGGAAATAATTCAAAGTCCGATTCGCATATTTACACATGAATGATGAATACAATACAACAACTATTATAAAAAATTTACTGTATTTAAGTTTTTCTTTTTGGAAAGTAGAAGCTCTTGCCTTATTATTCTATAGTCGACTTTATAATGTACTCTCTTGATTAATGAAATATACACTGTTCAAATGTATTTAAACATTTTGAAGATTTATTACCTTCTTCCAATTATGCATATAATATCTATATTCTTTTTTTTTTTTAGTGGTAATAACTATTTTTCATTATTTACCACAAGCATATTGAGACTATTGAAGTATTTTTTTTTTCTTTTTAGTTTAATATGACATTGTTAAGTATTATTAACAATAACAATAATAACAACAAAAATAATCTTGCTACATATTAGAATATGAGTTTACTATATAACATATTACTTTCATTTACATATTATACTATTGTATCATCTAGAGAAAAAATTAAATAAATTAAAGTAGTAATATCCTTCCTTCTTTAGCAGTTGCTATTATTATTACAACACAACCAATTGATCAGTTTTGTTGACATTATAACAGAATAAATAATAAAAATAAAAAAAAACTACAAACACCACTCAACGATTATTTTTTCAAAAAGAGAATGCGTCGTCGGGGAATCGAACCCCGGCCCTTCGCGTGGCAGGCGAAGATTATACCACTTAACCAACGACGCGGAGTTATTAATTAAATGCAGGTACATATTGAAGTTTAACTTTAATTTTTTAAGTCACACCGGAAAAACTTTTAATAACCGGGACCTACCACGATACAGGTTATATGCAAAATTTTGGTAAAATTTTAAAGTTTATATTTTTATCAATTTTTACTATAAAATGTTCAAATAAAAAACATAATATACATTATATATTAAATTATTTTGAATATATGTAAAAAAAGTACATGTTTACTGCAAATATTCATGTTTTTTATTTTGGCTGTGAGCAACATCACTTGTAAATATTATAAATTTTGGGGCTTTAGCCAATCAGATTAACGGAAATGGAAATTTGAAGGGTTAATCTGAATTTGAAAAGTACTTAACAATTTTTTTGTTTATTTTTTTTTAAAGTTGCCAGCTAAAATTGGCGGTTATTTAATTCAGGAAGAAAATATTTACTAAAATGTAAATTATTCTTATTTTACTGACGTCAGTCAAAAAAAAAAAGCGATAAGATTTTAAAGTCTTCTTTTTTTATACAAAACAGCAGAAATTAAAAAAAAACATGTATATAGATTATGAACTGAAATGGAGAATAATTAAAGTATTTAGTTGGACAACAAATAAACAAAATATATGATTATTTTATTTATGCTGATGTGAACATTGATGTTAATTAATTAAAATAACACATGTCAAAAAAATAAATCTAATGTAACTGTTAATTAGGGAAATCTAGTTATTTTTTTCAATTGTTATAATTGTATTTATGTAATGTTATGTCAACATGATTACAACACATGTAAAAAAAAAAAGAGAAAAAGAGAATTAAGATCAAATTCATAAAAAAAAGTCAGTGATTACTCATTTTAAATAAAAAATGACAAAGATTTTTTTTTATTTTATTCAATTTCATTCATCTCATTTTTAAACATTTTAAAAAATCTAACTTCAATTTCAGTCTTTTAATCAGAACAATACGGATTTCTAGAGAAGTAATGAATTCCAGTCCACATTAGCCATATTAATTGTACCAATAGTGAGAATCTATTCTCTAATTACTGCAATGTTGAATCATTTTAACAAAATTAACATTACTATTGATCTCCATCAACTCATCATTAAAAAAAAAGAATACAAAATATACTTTCATAATGGTTTCCAGTTTATTTTTTAAATCTATGATATATATCAACATTTTTCTTTATTTTATTCAATAAAAAAAATAAAGGAACAGGACAAAGTCAAAGGTATTAAAATATATTTATTCATATTCATATTAGTATTTGTATTAATTTTTTTTATTTTTATATTTTTTATTATTGTTCATATTGCAATGCGTTAATTTTATAACACCAGCTAGGAAGTGGTGTAAGCAAACTGATATCAACAGGGACATCGACGATTTCATCAATTCTGGGTGTAATCTTTCCCTTCTTGGGTTGACACTGTCTATCGAGCTCATTATAAAATTGAGTCATCTAAAAAAAAGTATAAGTATATTATTTTTCAAATTACATTTTTTTTTATTAATATTATTGATTAGATTACCTTGTCTGTTCTCCAAGAAGGGATCTTTCTTCTTCTTGATACGACTACACTACCAATCGTCAAGCCATCTTCTTCATCAGACATGTACTCTTTACTTAAAAGAGTATCCCACTCCTTCTCTGACACCATATAGTGGCGTGCAATTCTTCTTTTTACTTCTCCTTGAACTTTTCGTCTACGTTCAAGTTTCTATTATTAATAACAAAAAAAAAGTATGTATGTAAGTTTTACTGGTATCAACTTATTAATTGATATTTACCAAAATCTTTCTTTGTTCTAATTTTTTCTTATGCTTTTTTATAGTCATTTCATCTTCACTTAGAGTATTAGTTTCAATATATTTTCTTTTTAAATATTCAAAATGTTTTCTAATATGGTGGGTAACCATTTGCTTGTCTACTTCCAAATTCTGATTACCCGTTATTTCTTTTTCCGAGTCAATTATCTCTTGTAAAATATCATTATAAATGATATTATTAACTCCTTTCATCAAAGAAGTCTTAAAGTCCCAGCTAAAGCCTTTGGTAGCCACGTAATTTCCATAGTAACTACGAATTTTGCCCTAATTAAAGAGATAATAATTTATGTAAGTATATATTTTCGATCTTTGATATTTATACGTAGAATATTATTAATGTTTTTTTTAACTTACAGAAATACGAGCATTTCTTTCGAAATGTTTCTTGTAAGGAGAAGATGCCTCAGCTTGTGAAGCAGCCAAAGCAGTCTTCAACTCTTCAATTTGACGATTCATATCGTCCATTCTAGCGACAATAGAAGCAATACTGGGATTGCTATTGCCTCTTCTGGTTAGATTAACTTGTGAAGAAGGCAACACTTCAGGAATCATTCTATTGTTGTTATTAGTAGGTGCAGACATTATTCAGATAAAGTAACGATATGATATAAATCGAAATACTGAGTCAGGAAGAGATCAAACATTCAGGCTTAAGTATAGTTTCGGTAAATCAATGTTGGTTTCTTTTTTTGTTTCAATATTCAATTTTTTTATTATGATTTTACTAGTAAAGTATTTAAATTTTTTTTTTCACATTTTATTACGCGTTTTTCTTTTTTGTTTATTTATTTTTTATTTATTTTTTAAGGTAAGTACTATTATTATTAATATTCATCACTAATGTTTTTCTTGTAGTTTATAGATTACTACTTTCTTTAAAAGGTAGCAATATTCAATGCTTTCCTTGGTGTTGTTATATCTTTGAATATGGTAAAGTTAAAGATGTTCTTTTATCTGGTAATCTTTTTATTTATTTACATACATATTTAGAAAACTCAAAGTAGAAGATGTATTCCTTTTTATTATTTCTTTCGTTGCTCTTGGATATTATTCAGCTAATATTTGCTTGTTAAGGTACTACTTTAATCTACTATAACTTTCGTTACAATATATTGTATTGATATCAACAAAATTTTTTTTTCTCAAGTAGAATCAAAGAGTTGACTAGCATCTATCACTAGTTCCTTTTTATATTTGAATGAAAAAGGTATAAACTTTCTTCCTTTACACTTTTTAACTCTTTTATTAATTATTTGTCTGTTATATTCTATAGATTACTGTCTCTGTTCAAGTGCTATTCCTAATCAATTGCTTTGGGAACTATAAAATACTATGATGGCCCCCTGCAATATATCCTTGAAAAAGAATTTTAAACTACAAGTAATCGAGCGTGTCTGAAAACTAAAGAAGAAGAATATCAAGGTAGGTTGTATATACTTATATATGATACTGAATGTATTGTATTCAATACGTATAGTGCATTCAGTATTGTATTCTATTATTTTCTTTTATTATATGTCATATTTTATTATACAATCCAAAATATATATAAATAAATAAAAGCCACATTTTTTTTATAAACAATATTTTTATAATAATGTCCAATGTCCAATGAAAAAGGCAATATAAAGGCCTAGTAAATGTAAACAAATAAGGAAAAATGTATAATTCAAAATGATAAATAAGTAAACGTATCAAACAATGGATTAAAAGGCAATAAAGCTCCTATAATTCTATTAATAAAGCCCAATGGAATGTATATCTGCTATAGAAATGCTTCATGTTTTTGAAAGAAAGCGTCAAATCATGTTGTCGTATGAAATCCCTATTATATGCAAAATAGGTATCGGTTTTGTTCAAAATCTATATTATAACCGAGATTATAATCGGGATTTCCCGCTTTTGTTCATAAATGGAACTCCCGGTTATTATATAGATTTTGTTCAAAACCGATATAATATTAGGGATTTTCCACGAGCAACTTTTTGCAGTGTCACGTGACCGTCGGAAGTAAAAAATCTCTTTTCTTGGGATTTTTTCTTACTATTTTAGAAACCGTAAAAGTTTTTTACTATTTTTGGTAATTCTTTATTTTATTTTATTTTTTTTTTTTAATATATAAGTTCCAAATAAATCATATATTCTTACTAGTATGATCATTATACAAATATACATTTATAAATATATACACACACATACGAAAAAAAAAACGAAAAGTTTACTGAAAAATTTCATATTTTGGCAATTTTAACTGTAAAATATATATTTTTTATGTGTTTTAACGTGCTTTATTCAAATTTAAATATTTTTCTAGCAGTATTTTAAATGAAGATACTTTTTTAAAGGCAAGCAGTCTGTTATGGGATTTTAATACAAGAAAATAAAATAAAAAGATTAAAGTGAAAAAAAAAAGTAAAAATAAAGAAGCATACATTTTTTTTTTTTTGAATAATACGAATATGCCTTATTTCCTTGTATTAGATTTAATGGTATAAAGTATACAAAAAACTATTTATATTTGTTTAACTATCTAACCTCTTATAATTAGCAAAATAATAATGATAATATTGAGCTAAATGTATAATGAGCAGATTCGAAGATTAATTTTAATGTCAACACATTTCAATTATAATTTTAATTGAATTCCAAAAAAAATATATACATCTGTATAAATAAATAGTAATCTACTTTAAAAATAATCAAGTAAGTATTGTGTCGTTGTAATAAATATTAAAAAACGCTTTAAATAATGACCATACAAATTAGCAATTGAACATTGTTAGACTTTATTATCATTATTTGCTTTTTGCTTATTTCCCCTACAACTAGAAGGCTTTGACGCGGTCATGCTCAGCTCAATTCTTTTAATGAACATAGCAACATGAAGGTATGATTTAATGAGTTTGAGTTTGCATCAACAATGCCAATTGCACCAGTAATAATGCACATACATTCGTCTACAAGCATTAATGTCAATAATGTATATAATTCCAACATTGTTATAAATTTAAACCAACATATTATATAAACTAGAAAAAAAAAACAAAATAAAATAAATTCCATCCTAACTAACAACAGCTATAACAGCTTTTTATATTATTTACAACTATTTGTCATTGCACGATGATTAATGAACAATAATGCACTTATAATGTTAATCTTTAATAAAAGTAGTCTACGATTATCAGACAGATAAAGATGACGATATCTACTTTTTTTTTTTTTTTTTTTTTTTTTTTTTCTATATAGTATATTATTGTTGGACTAGGATGACACTGATAGATCGTAGAAGATAACTATGGATTCATTACAATAAACGTGATAGAGCCTTATGTATGGGTGCAATATTTTTAGAAGACGCGCATCATGAACACGGGTTCACATCCAAACTATTGACATTTCCAACAAAAGAAGGCAAGTAGGATTATGTTCAAGTAAATTCATCGCCCTTCAGCAGAAAATGGATTACCAAAACTTCATATTCCCAGCAGAACTTGTAACCTTCTTGACTATTTCGAGCCTTTGTCTTAATCTTGAATCTGTTAATTTGGGAGCCCATACTCCATATTTTAAACCATCAATAACAATTCGTATATTCTTAGATAAACAATTAATTCAAAGGACGTATGATCCTTTTTGCATAAACAGGATTTTATCCAATAATAAAAATAAATTTCAAATGACGCCATTTTCCTTAGTTTTGTATTGCCAACAGATGTATTTATTATTTTATTTTATTTTATTTTTTTCTTTTTTTTTTGTTTTATTATTTTTTTTTTTAAATATGAGATCGAGTCTATTATTAATAAGAACATCATGTGCTCATATAACTCGACGAACAATACTTTATCCAATTTTAAATATAACTCAAAGAGGTAAAAAAATAAATAAATAAAAAAATATGAATATAATTCATTAAAATAAAGTGAAACAAAGTTAGCAAAATACATACTTTTATTTTCTTTTTATTACTGTTCATTTAGGCATTCATCAGCAAAATGATTTAAAAAATACAACCTGTAATTTTGATAATACAGCAACCACTTCCTCTAACCCACCTTTATCTTTCCCTTGTATCGACAAACTTGCTTCACGTACAATTGAGCTCATTGATAATGGCCCTGAACCTAGTTATGATAATATTGTGACGGGTTATGAAAAGTTTAAATATCCTTACCCCTTTTTACTCGATCATGGTGGCATTTTGCCAAATTTTGACATTGCTTATGAGACATGGGGTACATTGAATGAGAAAAAAGATAATGCAATTCTCATTCATACAGGTCTCTCTGCTTCTTCTCATGCAAAATCGCATGCCAAAAATACAAAACCTGGATGGTGGGAGGACTTTATTGGTCCTGGTGCTCACATTGATACTAACAAGTTCTTTGTAATTTGTACTAATGTTATTGGTGGTTGTTATGGATCTACAGGTCCAAGTTCGATTGATCCTGCTGATGGTGAGCATTACTCTACTCGATTCCCTATTATTACTATTTTCGATATGATACGTGCACAATTTAAACTATTGGATTATCTTGGTATTGATAAATTACATGCAAGCGTTGGTAGTAGTATGGGCGGTATGCAGGTAAATATATATTGAAAAAAAGAACAAAAAAAAAAAAAAAAAAAAAATAAGGAACGAACTGATACTAATAAACATAAAAAAAAAAAAAATTAAATAAAAATATAATTATAAAAAGTCGATTGCTGCTGCTAAGTTGTTTCCTAATAGAGTGAAAAGACTTATATCAATTTCAGCCTGTGCTAGATCTCATCCTTATTCAATCGCTCTTCGTCATACACAACGTCAAGTACTAATGGCTGACCCAAATTGGAATAAAGGATTTTATTATAAAGGAATTCCACCTCATGTTGGTATGAAGGTAAAGTAATAAGCTATATGACAAAAAAATTAATTTTAACTCGTTCAATAAAAAAAAAAAAGCTTGCCCGTGAAATTGCTACAATTAGTTATCGATCAGGTCCAGAATGGGAGTTTCGATTTGGACGTAAAAGGGCTAATGAAAATCAGTCACCTGCTCTTTGCCCAGATTTCTTAATAGAAACTTATTTGGACCATCAAGGTGAAAGATTTTGTCTTCAATATGATCCTAATTCTCTCCTCTATATTTCTAAAGCCATGGATATGTTTGATATGTCCTCTTCTGTTATTGATAAACTTCAAAGACAACGAGAACAGAATTTACCTAAAGTAGAAGAAGTTTTAAAAAAGCTGGATCAAATAGGAAATGAAGATAGGTCTCAAGTAATGGCAGAGGCTTGTAGATCTGTGTTTGGTACACAGTCAGCCTTAGAGGGTAGAAATGAAATAGAAGAAACTAAGGAACAGAAGAAGAAGAAGAGATTAACTACACTATCTTCTGATCCAGCTACAAAAGATTTAGTGAAAGGCATGAAAGGGATAAATATGCCTACATTAGTATTAGGCGTACAATCGGATATTTTATTTCCTGTTTGGCAGCAAAAAGAGATTGCAGAATGTCTTCGTGCAGCAGGCAACCATCAAGTTACTTATTATGAACTGGATACTATGTTTGGACACGATACGTTCTTAATTGATCGTGTCAGTGTTGGTGGTGCTATAAAGGGTCATCTTGAATTATTAGATGAAAAATAACGAAGAAAAAGAAAAGGAAAAAAAAGACTTTACATTTATTTATTTTATTTAATAGAAGAAATAAAAAAAAATTATCATTGCTATTTTACTCGTCTCATTTTACTATCATGTTTTCCATATTGTTCCATTTCATATGATTACCAAAACAATGATATATTCTTTTTTTTTTTTTTTTTTTTTTTTTTTTTTTTTTTTTTTTTTAAAAAAAACTATCATGAAATTACATGTATTACTCGAATCTTTGAAAGAAATAGAGAAGGTCATCTGATATTCTTCGAACTTTGTTATAGTAGAAAGTCAAGAAAATCAATTCATGATTTATATATACACAAAAAAAAAAAAAAAAAAAAAAAAAAATCATAGAATCCAGATTTGTTTGTTTATTTGACAAATAAAAAATATACAAATAATCTTATGTTTAGTCTAGTATTGGCTTGTAGAAAAAGGATATTTTATTACTTTTTAACTAATTGATATTATCAAATATGTATATTTAAATAGTGAATGTATAAAAATAAAACTTGGATTAGTTATTTCTATATTTAAATTGAACCAAGTTTATTAGTATTATTATTATTATTGTTACACTGTGGCTGCATAAACCTCACATGTAAAGTAATAATAAAAAATGACATGACTCAGTTGATTGGGTGAATTCGGACACGTTTTTGAAAAAAAGGGGAAAAGGTATATAAAATAGATAATAATACGCTCTCTCTCATTTTTTTTTTTTTAACAAAAAATTAAAATTAAATTATGAATAAAGAAAAACCATTTATTGATCCTATTGTAACTTTATCTATTGAGTTACTTCCCGAATTTGGATTTACAGTACAAGATGAACCTATGTATGGACCTGGATCTGTTTTTCAAGGTAAATACTAAAATAGTCTAATTCTTCTTCTTTTTGGATCCTTAAAGTTATCACTACTTTAGGTATCGTTCATCTTAGAATGAAGGAGTCTCCTTTAGCAGCAGATAAACTTATCCTTACATTTAGAGGTGCAGAATATGCATCTACAATTCATGATGGCCATAAATTTTTAGTTCCTTTAACTAAAAATCCATTCTTTGGTATGCAACAGACTCTTTGGCGTCGTACTCGAGATGATTGTTTATTAACAGAAAGTCATTATCAATTCCCATTTACTATTCAAATGCCAATGATTCAATTTCCACCTTCTATGGAACATATTCTCTATCAATGTAAATTTCATTTATCAGCTAAATTAGTACGTACTACTTTTACATTACCTACTGTCATGACACAACAAACCATTCGTTATAGACCCTTTATTGAAACAAGCTTATTAAAACAACCTATTATAGAAGAAGGTTATGATCATGGCCTCTTTGCATCTGTCAGACTTCATTCGTTGGATTATGTACCTAGTGATAGTGTGCCAGTCACGATTATCACATCACGTCGTCACCTGAAAACAAAAGAAGAAGAACCAGCTACTAGAATAAAATCAATCCTGCTAGAACTATGTGAGACTGTCAGTCTTGTTTCATATCAAGCAGCTTCCATTACACGAGTATGTGCCTCTAAATTATTTAAACCGTCATCGTCATCATCAACAACAGCTGATGCTTATTCACTTGTCAAAACTCAACATGGTAACGGTGCAGAATATAAAATGACTTTGACTTTACCGCCTGATTTAATTCCCTCTATCAATTATTCTAAAATTGTTCATGTTGCTTATACGCTTAGAATTAAGATTAAGAGTAGTAGATATCATCGTTATTATTGTAGTAATAATACGACTACTTCTCTTTTATTAGAACCATTTCATTTATTACAACAACAACCTACTGTCTTGATGGAAATACCTTTAAAGATAGGAACATTAGGTTATGGTATTAGAGCTTCACAAGATTTAAAATTATATTATCATAATGATGACAATACTGCTGCTACTGCTACTGCTACTGCTGCTGCTACTGCTACTGCTTTGACTGAAGAAAGTCCTGAAGGATCCTCAATACCAAGATTCCTAAGATCAATAGAGTATGAAGATGCTTTACCTCTCTATGATTCAACTAAATTACCTTCCTATGTAGCCTCAACTACAGCATAATTTTTTTTTTTTTTTTTTTTTCTGTATCTAATATTTGTATATCAAAATCACATTATACATATTCTTATTTATTTATACATCTTATAGCATTTTATACTTATTTATCACGTATATTAAATTAATTTATCACGTTATTTATATACCAAATAAAACAAACCCCAAACCCAAATACTAACACTCCTTAATAAAAAAAACTTTCAACACTCTCACTACACCTACTCACTCGACTTATCTTCTTTAAAAAAAAAAAAAGAAAAAGAAAAAAATATGCTTGTACTTTTTATATTACTATTTTATTTATTCTTCACCAATCTTGGGAGCCAAATAATATCTTACATAGCCCAAGTTTTCAAGCTTATAATCAACCAAAAGAGGAACATCTGCTGATAAATTCAAAGTGACGCGGGGTGAAAGAGCTGTAGCTTTTGTAAAGTTGACGAGGTATTTAATAGAGAAAGTCATTGAGACACTTTGTTGAAGTTCAATAACAGTAGCATCATCTTCATTATCAACGGCACTATTAGCCTTTAAGGTAACAGAACCTTTACCAATTTCACCATCACTAGAAAACTTGATACCTTCCTTTGTGCATTCAATAGTAACTATACAATAATATAAATTACTCGTCTTGTATATATTTATTTATTTTTTAAAGAAAAAAAACTCCATAACATACCTGATTCACTAAGAGAAGCTAAATCACGACAGATTTCTTGGAATCGTGCAGATGACATTGTAACAACAGCTTCATAAGAAGTTTCAGGAATACCCAAATGTTCACTATCAATGTCCATTAACTTGAGATCATATTCACTAATTTTATCACTCTCTATAACCCAAAAAAAAATTACTTAATTAATCTTTCTCTTTTTAAATTTTTCTTTGTCTATTCATTTTCTCTTACCTTTGCTTTCAAAGACTAAGCTTAAAACATCACCATCATCATCAGCTTTAAGGGTTAAAATATCATCATTACGAGCACATTTCAAGATCTTTCCCAAATTTGCAAGATTAATACCCAAAGGCAAATTACGATCACAACGATAAGGATCAAAACCATCTGATCTTAACATCATAGCGACAAGAGCAACATGTGAGTTATCCATAGCTTGAAGAGCAATGCCGGAATCGTTACATTCAAAGTTACATTCAGACACAAGTTCTCTGACAGCTTCAAGAAGTGATTTAAGAAGTTTGGCTTGTTGGAGACGGGCTTCAAGCATATTTACTAAATAAATACATATTATTATTATTATTATTATTATAACCTTTTATATTTAGCTATACTTACAGTATTATATATATATGTGTGTGTGTGATGTGTGTATGTATGTGTATAAAAGAAAAGAAAAAATGACTCCTATACTGAATTAAAAAAAAAAAAAAAAAAAATTCGCGTTGTTATCGTGTTTTATAAAAAATCTTTTTTTTTTTTTTTTTTGTCACGAAAAAAAAAACAAAAGTTTCCCGAGCCGGAAAACAAGTATTCTTATTAAAAAAAAGTAGGGGGGGGGAAGGCGAGGAAAGAAGAAAAAAAGAATATAAGAAGCTTATAAAAAAAAAATACCTCATTTATATGCTATCGTAATATATATTTTATATACTACGTCAAGCTCAATTATTAGTCTAGTAGCAATACGCAACGCGTTTACTTGTTCATTTTAATTTAAATGTGATAAAAAGGAGATAGCTTCGTACACTACATCAGGTTTAAAATAAAAAAAAATATTAATCATTAATTGTTTTATTGAATCTATTGCTTCTTCTAAGATAATAATAAATAGATAAGATTTGTTAACATTAGAAATGAAGAATAAAAACATAAGGAGCTGAGCTTAATACGACTTTCCTTGTTGTATAAGTTGAATAAAATGTCTGCAAAATTAGATAAAGGCGACTATTTCCTTATAAAGTTTATTTATGCAAAAAAAGAAATAGTATTTTTTTTTTCTTTCTTTCTTTTTTCTTTTTTTCTTTTTCTTTTTTTAATATTAATACTAATATTAATATGCAAACTAGCACTACAAATAAAGACATATTAAATAATCATGGATATTATCATTCTTCAACACCCATCTATACTGATGATCCTTGGTCGACATCGACTCATCTTAATTTCAATCATAATCATACAACAGATGGGTCTGAATTAACCTTAGAAAAAGTATTATGTATGTTTTATAAAGATTGAAATAAAGTCTCATGTACACTTATATATTTCCTATTAAAAAGTGGATATAGATGTACCTGATATCTATTGCAAACTTTATAAAAAAGCGTGTAACCAAGACGATATACAAATGATATTTGACTTGTCTGGGTTATCAGATCTTATTCAACAACAGGTAAGTAGTAGTGTTATACATGCAATTCTTGAAACTGCTGTATACTAATTTATCTATAAAGATAAAGGATATTGTGTTTTCTACTACTACTACTGAAATTACTCAGAATGTATTCAATGTTTGTATTGCCTTAATAGCATGTGCACAAAAGAATATGGGTAGATAAATTTAGATATATGTATATATGTATATATATATATATATATATGTGTGTGTGTGTGTGTGTGTGTATTATCAGTTATTGACATGCATTTACTGTAACAAAAAAGATATCTCTTTAAAAACTATTTATCAATATAGAAATGGTACATTCTAAAAAAAAAAAAGGAATTAAAGTATATAAAAGAAAACTACTAAAATAGATGCAATGTAGATCTTCCTATACCAATTATTAAAGAACAGGACACAGTTGACGATATGACATCAATAACAACTACTGTTCATCCTTTTAATGAAGATCGTATAGAAGAACAAAAAATCATGAATCAGTGGCTGCTCAAGGACATGGATCATATCACTGTATCACGTGTCTCATTTGATAATCAATCAACAAGCTTACTTTCATTTTTTAAACATGTTCGATATGAAGTAGAAAGCGAGAAAATGAGAACCAAGGTCTACAGAAGATACAATGATTTTTGGTGGTTAAGCGAGATTTTATCGTATAGGTATCCGTTTCGCTTAATACCTCATTTACCACCCAAGAAGATAGGAGGAAGTAATAGCAGTGACATATATATTTAAGTGCGCATATATTGTATATTTATCCATATTTTTTCTTTCTTTTTTTTTCTTTTTTTTTTTAAAAAAAAGGGAACCTAGCTTTTGAAGAACAAAGAAGAAAGGGGTTATCAAGATTTATTAATGCCGTTGTTCGACATCCAGTCTTAGGAAAAGACGATGTTGTTTTAGCTTTTTTAAGCTGCCCATCTGTAAATACATACATACATACGCTGATCGTATCCATATAATATTTATAATGAATATATTTTAAAATAATAGGAATTTCAAAATTGGAAAAGTAGAAATTCACCTTCGTTAGATGAAGAATTTGTTAGAAAGACATATGATATTATTTATTTTGAGCGCTTAATACCAATCGATTTAGAAGATCGTATCATTCGAATGAAGAAACGCGTATCAGTTACTTTACAACAATATAATCATATGTATCTTGTTATGAATGATATGATTAAATTGAAAAAGGCATTAGGGGCAGACTATATTCGTTATAGTCTTACTTTAAAGTAAGTAAGTATATCACTGCAACAAAAGAGAGGCTATGAAAAAAAAAAGAAAAAAAAAAAAAGGAATAAAAGACTTATTGACTTTGTTAAGCTCTATAAATGCATTAGAAAAACAATGCTGGATAAATGATTGTCAAGATTGTTTAAAAGTAAAATATAGTTATGATAACGTTGTGAAATCAATGCATCAAGCAGGAATGATGCTTAATAGACAGGTAAGCAGAATAACATTGATATTCTATTACATATAATTTATTTGATTTGAGTTAGGCCATTGCTACAGGTAATAGTATATTAGAAAGTTTAAAACAGCAAAAGGACTTGCTGGAATCATTCAAGGTAAAATAAATAAATAAATATCTATTTTAATATCTAGTTATTTATCTAATTATGTATAAGGATTTACTTGAACGAAGAGAAAAGGATAATCATTTTGTACACAATGAGCAAATATTGGCAAGACAAATAGCAAAGTATAAAAAGGGTCAAGTGATATCTTCTCTTGCACACGATGAGGAACAATTAGAAGAAGAACAAGAAGAAGAAGAACAACTAAATCATCATCACTGTTTTAGTACTTCTTTCGATGAAAGAACGGGTGGTTTATCACTGATACAGCAACGCGAAATTTTCATAAAATTTTGCCTTTTCAACGAATTATCTTACTTTCATAAACAACAGGCTTATGTATCTGCTATGTACAATCAATACATCATAGACGAATTAAAATATGCAAGGCAATGGAATACACATTGGAAACAATTAGAAATGATGACAAAAGATATGCCAAACATACTTGATGACTTTTTATAACAATAAAAAAACTATACATATATTTATATTTTATTCATATATAATATACATTCCAATATCTTTATTTCTCTCTTTTTTCCTTTTCTTTTCATTTTCTTTCTCCTATTGTATTTTTATTTATTCAAATAATTTAATAAAAGCTCTTGGCATGGTTTTCACAAACATCACGAAGCTTAGTTTCAAGTTCCTTGGAAAGAACACCCTTAGAACGGATCTCCTCAAGCATATCAGTGTGCTGAGTTTTGATGTGACTAATGAAATCCTTTTCCCATTCAACAACACGGTTCACAGGGATCTTATCGAGATAACCATTGACACCAGCAAAGATAATAGGAATTTGAACTTGAATGGAAAGAGGGCTATATTGAGGTTGCTTCAATAATTCAGTAAGACGAGCACCACGATTCAACAAGAATTGTGTAGAGGCATCAAGATCAGAACCAAATTGAGCGAAAGCAGCGACTTCACGGTATTGGGCCAAGAAAAGTTTCATGGAACCAGCAACTTGCTTCATGGCTTTAGTTTGGGCAGCAGAACCGACACGAGAGACGGAAAGACCGACGTTAATGGCAGGACGAATACCCTTGAAGAAAAGTTCAGCTTCCAAGAAGATTTGACCATCGGTAATGGAAATGACGTTAGTAGGAATATAAGCAGAGACATCACCACCTTGAGTTTCAATGATGGGAAGAGCAGTCATGGAACCATAACCAAAGCTCTTATTCATCTTGGCAGCACGTTCTAAAAGACGAGAGTGAAGATAGAAGACATCACCAGGATAAGCTTCACGACCAGGAGGACGACGAAGCAAAAGTGACATTTGACGATAAGCAACAGCTTGCTTAGACAAGTCATCATAAATGATCAAAGAGTGACGACCATTATCACGGAACCATTCACCAAAGGCAGCACCAGAGAAAGGAGCAAGATATTGAAGAGGAGCAGCTTCAGAGGCCGTAGCAGCAACAACAGTGGTATACTTCATAGCATCATTTTCTTCAAGAGTTCTAACAAGTTGAGCAACGGTAGAACGCTTTTGACCAACAGCAACGTAAATACAGTACAACTTCTTGGATTCATCAGAACCATTGTTCCAGTTCTTTTGGTTCAAAATAGTATCAAGAGCGACAGCTGTCTTACCAGTTTGACGATCACCAATAATCAATTCACGTTGACCACGACCAATAGGGACCATAGAGTCAACAGACTTGATACCAGTTTGCATAGGTTCGTTAACGGAGTGACGAGGCAAGATACCGGGAGCCTTCACCTGAACACGAGAACGACCGACGGTTTCAAGAGGGCCCTTACCATCAATAGGGTTACCGAGGGCATCCACAACACGACCAAGGATACCAGGACCAACAGGAACATCGACAATGGCACCAGTACGCTTAACAGTATCGCCTTCCTTAATCAAACGATCATTACCGAAAACGACAATACCGACGTTATCAGGTTCCAAGTTAAGAGCCATACCCTAATAATACATACATCACTTAATATAATACTAAAGAAAACAAAAAAAAAAAATAGAGTAAATTACCTTAAGACCAGAAGAGAATTCAACCATTTCTTCAGCTTGACAGTTCTTTAAACCATAAACACGAGCAATACCATCACCAATAGACAAAACACGACCTGTTTCTTGAAGATCAATTTCAGAGTTAGCACCCAAAATACGTTGTTCAAGAATAGAAGAAACTTCGGAGGTAGAAGGCTTAGAAGAAGCATAACCACGAGCAGCAGTAGCAATAGCACCAAGGTTAACGCGGGCCTATATAAAGAACTTTTTGTTTAGTTTTTCATAATTTATATTTGAAAAGGAGTATATCTCTGTTTTTTTTTGTTTTTATATAGAGAAAGAAAATGCTGTTCTTTTTTGCGATTAATGAGTATTGGTAAAATTGAATGGCTACTTTTATTATTTTAACTTTATTTGCTTTATTGTGCATAGAACTAGTTCCTCTTTTGATTTCTTTTTTTGTTTCTAATTTTTATATCGATATTTTCTATCTGAGCCTACAGCTATCAACATCTATTTTAAGATTAAATTGCGATTGAACATCTAGCTATTAATGTACGTAGAAAAAAGTTGCAATATGTTGTATATAAAGTCCATTCATTACTGTCTACTTATTTGCTCTCTTTCTCTCTTCTCTCTCTCTTTTTTTTTATATTTTTTTTTTCAATTCGAATAAGCATTTTCTTTTTTGTACTCTATAATAAAAACAAAACAACACGAGATTCCTTTCTCCTTTTTTTTTTTTTTCCTTTTCAGTAGATTCTTACAGCAGGAGCTACACTACGAAGAGCCAAAGGACGGGCAAGACGAGCAATGTTTCTAAGCATTGTTGTTTAATGTAAAACAAAAAAAAAAAAAACAAAAAACAAAAAGGAAAGTAATATATAATAAGCGGTTTTTAACTTTTTTTTTCCCCAGACTTAATTATATTTTCGAGGGGTTGTTTTATTTCACAAATAAAAATAAAAAAACAAAAGGGGCTGGGGAAGAGTTAATGTCGACGTCATGATTTAGCAGAAAAATAAATATAAATTTCAGCTCCTCAATTATGCTGCAACTAATAAATATTTTAAAACCCATTTAATCGAGTCATTAGTACTAATAGAAGGAAGGGAGCTTCAGGAGGAATCTTACCATGGTAGTGAAGGTAATCAAATTCAAAGAGTATAAAACATAGTGTAGGCCAGCAAATTATCTATACAGGAGTGGGAAAACTGTCTTGTGCGATAAATGGCTTTTTATGTTAACTATCTAGAAAGATGATTCAATAGAAGAGATAAAAAGATTAGTCACAGTGTTAGGCATTTGTAGCCAATGGTTTACATATTTAAACAGACTATAGCATGATAAAACCGCAGCAAATGAGCTTGTCAATTAAATAAAAGATAAAAAATTTTCGGAATACCATCAGACAACCAACCAAGGTGCCAGAGTAGAACACAATTTTTCATTAGAATAAGCCATATTCAAAACACTGATATCATTGTTTCTGATGAAAGAATTCAGAGGGATAATTTTGACCAGTTAGTATCTCATTGTAGATTTGATGGTTTTTTTTTTTTTTTTTTTTTTTTTTTTTTTTTTTTTTTTGCAGCATTGCAACCCCGTTGTCACAGCATCCTAGCATATTGTATACCTTGGTAATGAAAAAAAAATATTCAAATGAAGCGCTTGATCTATTAATATACAGCATTTTCTTTTCAATGAAGCAAAACATGGGTAATATATTTAACATTTGGTGGTAGACTAACAATTATTGCTGTTAGTATATATAAGAAAATAACACCTATTTTTTGCTGCTCTATTCTCTTTCATTATTTTCTTTCATGATGTTTAGATCCTGTGAGAGTACAGTATTGTTTATCTAATACAGCTTCTTACCATTACTATAAGTAACTGCGAATCCATTTTCTTTCCAGAAGTCGAGTTTGCATAGAGGAAATTCATACATTTTTTTTATCTCTCTGTTTATTAATTCAGATTGTAATTTTAAACCAGATCCTTAGATTGTCTTGAATTTGATAGAATGTAAAACTTTGTTAGCAGCAGCAACATCTGTAACAAAATCGTTTGTTCGAATTTGGTTTTGAAAAAGAAATCTTTCATTTTCGGGGTCTGTTCTATTCAATATATTAAAATTATGTAAAAGCTCTTTTAGTAAAGAATTTATACCTCTATCAAAGAGTAGTTTTTCTAAAATCAAAAATAATGTAAAGCATTTTCGACACCCATACAATATATATAATAGAATTGATAATAAGCATATAAGCCAGTTTTAGCTAATTTTAACCAGTATTATTATGCTTTGATTGATATTAATTCATTAGTATATTCCAATAATATCTCAAATACATATTTAGCATACATATAAATGCGTTATGCTATTTCATTACAAAAGACTACTGTTATTTATCAGAAAAAAAAAATAATTACATACATATATGAGTAATAGCAGTAGCAGCAATATTAATAGTAATTTAGTCTAATAATAATAATTGTTCATTGTTCATTCATTCATTCATTCTACTATATAGTATATATATGCTCTAAGATAACATAACATATCATAATATAACGTATCATATCATATCAAACTATAATATAACATAATAGAATGCAATATAATACAACATAATATGGTAAACTCTATTTCTCTATTTTTTACATGTCCTTTGCCATCTTATTCTATCTTGTCTGATTTTATTTTCTCTCTCTCTATCTATCTCCCTTCCTTTTTCCTTCATTTTTTCTTCTTCTTCTTCTTCTTCTTCTTTCCTTCCTTACTTCCTTCTATATTAAATTAAATTTGAGGCGGAGCGCGAAATGTGATTTTTATAAACTCCGTCATTTCCTTTTTAGGAATATTTTTTCGATAGTTTATTATATTTATGTGTTATGAAATGTAGTGCTTCTATCGTATTCATCAAGATATTGCTAAAATTCGTTTTATTTTCAAATTTCTTCTTTATACAGCTGTTTCTATATACTTTATATCCTTTTGTTTTTAGTCGGCAATTATAATTGAACCTGCTGTAATTCAATTTATTTGTACATATAAGGTGTTGTAGTGTTTCACAAAATTGCTTCAAATTTACTCTTTTTCACTCTTGTTATATATGCTTTTTATTAGAAGTTATATATATTAAGCATATAGTTACAGGTCTTCATCTATATGTAGTTTTTTCTCTTTCTAATGAGACAAAACTTATAAAAAATGCTAAATTATAACATATATTATATAAATTCGGAAGTTAACGTGGCAATGTCATGATTTTTGGCTCTTTTAATGCACAACATAAAATAATGAAGATACATTAATAAAATTGTATTTAATGAAAAATTGACAAAATTTACATTATTTTCATAACTTCTTAACCTCATCTACATACATGAGTGTTTATTTCGACAACTATCATGTTATTTTATACGATTTAGCCATTTAGCTGCATAATAATTCTTTTCTTTAATAAAAACATCATTTTTTTTATTTAATATAATTATTGGATTAACAAAAAGGTTTACTTCCTGTTTAATATCGTTTTTTCGCAAATTCGTCACTAATTTGAATAACATTTGTGCATCCTTTCCATTAACACATAGATCATTACATACAATAGAATGAGATCAATTCTTTATGATAAAAGGATGGATATTTTAGCAAAACTTAATGCTATGGAGTCTTATAGAGATGTTTCTAAGGCCATGAGCGTGTCAACTAGGACAAATAGTAGAATTGCCAAAGAAAATCAAATTGAGATTAACGTAAAAGAAGGTATACCAAAGAAGATTAGCCTATTACTTGGAAGATTGATTGCGCAATCATTTTATACTGGTCATTTTTTCACTGCCCAGAACTTAAATGGTCAAGGGTATGATATTCCCGCGCAAACCATTCACAAATTCTTAAAATCCTTCGATTTTGGTTTGAAGATTAAGAAATCTGCATTGCCATTGACGAGTAAGCGTAGACAAAATTGGTTAAAATGCTTTAAAGCTCAGAGGAATTGGGCGGTTGAGGATTGGGAAAAGGTCGTCATTAATGACAAAACAAAAATTAATCGTTTGGGTTCAGATGGGAAGCAATAGACATGCGTAAAAAAAGGGTTAACCGCTAAAAGACCATAACGTCAATTTCCAGTACAAAGGTGGGGGGCGGAAGCTTAATATTATGGAGTTGTTTCGTGCAACATGGTTCTGGTTTTATTGCCAAGATTGAGGGAGGGATGGACTCGCAATTATATTGTTAAATATTAAAAGGTGACTTCATAGAGATACTCAAGGATTATGGATGTGATGGAACGTTATATAATAAAGAAAGAAAACGAGAAAAAAAAAGAAGAGAGAAAGGGAACAAAAGGAAGTATAGTTTAAGACTGTTTTTATTGAAGCAAAAGAAAAATAAAATAAAAAATGATTAAAGGTTAAAGATTATTTTGTGTTTACACAACTGCTTGTATTTATACTAATGAATCCTGAATCAAAGAAATAAAAATAACCGTCAAAGCTGTCAAAGAATATGAGTCATGAAACAGAGTTAGTGTTTGGATTTACATCTTGTTGATTCAAGAGACTGATCTATGAATTATCTATTGGGTGTTATAATGATCTGATTAAGTTTTAAATAAAAAAATTTTATTGTTTGATCTGAGCATAGGTTCCTGATATCTTTTATATTTTCATTTTATTGGATTAAACACAACTTGAATCCTTTATCAAGTTTATAAAAGTAAATATTTAGAAATGATACGATGTCTTATAGTTGATACATCTAGACGATTGGATGTCGATAGGTTTTATATTATTTTACAAGATGTTATATACAGAGTTTTATTTCATATCCAGGCTTATAGTTTATCCTGTCTTATGTAATTCATCTACCATAATATTACTTATGCTTATATCCAGAGCTTGTTCTATAACAATCGACTTTGCAAGAAAGACGTAATCCTTCAATAAAATAATGATTTGAAGCATACATCCAAATATACAAAAAATGGGTTCAAGAAAAATAAAGTAAATATCCTTGAATGACCATCATAATTACCTAATTTAAATCCAATCGAAAGCCTTTGATTTTATTTGAAGTGCGAGCTTGTTGCCTATGATAGGCCACCAAAAAATATGGATAAGTTATGGGAGGGAGTTGCTGATAGGCGGTACAATAAAGTTACAGCAGAACTATGCTTAAATCACATAGAAAGCATGCCAAGTCGTGTTAAAGCAGTAATAAAAGTAATAGGTACTGTCATTAAATACTAAACATTAAAGGTACGTTGTTTATTTCATTTCTCAAAAAAAAAAAAAAAAAAAAAAAAAAAAAAAAAAAAAAAAAAAAAAACTATTTACATAAAATTTATATACATGTAACTTTTAACATGATTTTTGAAATAAAAAAAATCGTATAGTTCATATATGCTATAGGTATCATCAGAAAGAGGAGACTTCTTCCTTTCAGCTAGTATGTATCATATAGCGCTTTGCTTAATAAATAGACGATTAATTATGACATTTTTGCATAAATTACTTAAAATTCCGAAACATTGTTACACTTTTGTGAGTTATTGTAAGTAAGTTCATTTTATATAAACAGTAAAGCACAAGTGACTCGCAGTAATTTATGGCAGCAGAATCGGACGTTAACCCTCTTCTCATCACTCTATCAATATTTCCTGGGACTAATCTAGTGAAAAAGATGCTTCTCTGTGAAGAAGGAATTAAGGAGATAATTATCAATAAAGTAACAGGTATGTTTTTGATTTGTTTTATTATGTTTACATCTTTTTAATCTTGCAATTCCAGATGGGAAGATGAATGGTATTGCATATGATATAGGTCAAAAAGAGTTTAAAGTCGGAAGAGAAAAGGTGATGTTATCTATAGAATACCGGGAAGAAAACGCATGGAAGCTACGCCACCAGTCTTGGTCGAGATACAAAAAAAAAAAATTGATTTAGTCTTCTTGAAACGTTTAACATGATATTGTCTAAAAATCCATGATATAACAAAACACGAAGCTGAAGTAATAGTATTTGTAATTCAAGAATTCTCATCAAAGGCTTTTGTTGAAAAAAAAAAAACTTCAGCAAACTACCAGATAGGTCATATTACACTTATAAAAACTATCTTTGGGCCAAAAACTACCGGTTTTATTATCTTGACACGATCTTGTCTCGTGTTTTGAGTGATACTTCTATATCATCAATCATTGCATTGGCCTACTTTTTATGCAGTCAAAAGAAGAGTCTTTTTTTTTTGGTCTTGAAAGAAGCGATGATCCAGAATTGAGGAGAATTTATCAAATTGCTGCAAGGTCATTCGAGTCTTTCACAACAAAAGAAGAAGAAAACCTCAGTCATACCATGGATGTCATGGAAAACACAAATAGTTAATTTCAGAAGATTTCGAATTGTGTTGACAAATTTTAAAAAAAAAAACAAAAAAATAAAAAAAAAATATCATTCTGGAGAAAATAAAGCGATACGCTGAAGATGGCTTTGAATATACAAGCAAGAAGTTGAAAATAATTCGAGATGAGACTATAACAGTTACACCTGTTGGGAAAGTAATCATTACAGACCTTTATTTTACAATCAAGCTACGAGAAAAACCAGGAAAGTTTTTTTTGGGAGGAGTGTTACGAAAAAGGAAGAAGTCAAGATTTGTTCAACCGCTACGGGTCCGCATTAACATCGAGAGATGCCTTTCAAAAGAACACCTTGTAAGGATGACTCTTCTCTCCCCTCCCCCATGTACTACAAACATTAATAGCATTTAAATAGTCATTCTATATGTGTATAATAATAATAAAAACACTCTACAAATAATCAATCAGCGTAAATTTCATACTATAAAAAAGGTTATCTTGAAAATTAAGGGCAATTTAGATATGACAAAAGTCATGTTTTATCATATTGCGTATGTTTCGTATGTACCGTATGTACCGTATGTTGCGTATATTGCGTATGTTGCCTTAATATTTCTTAAAAATATTATAAAGACAAAAGTGTCAACGAGACCGGACAATAGTTCTAAAGTCAATCACTTTATTTATGATGGGAGTATTTATAAGAATTGTTAAAGAGGTCTAACATAAGATGTGAATCAGAAAAGTGTTAGTTAACGACTGAATAAAATATGTTATAGACAATGAAGTGTTAGAAGTTTTAATATTATTTGATAAGGTGGATCAAAAGAGTTTCAGGGGGAATCTAGATAGAATTCCTTGTATAATTTTCTGATTCACATGTTTAATCAAGAAACATGACATTATAAATCAACTCATGATATTTATAACTAGTATTTATCCTATCTTTCTCTTTTCATTGAATAAACTACTTCAATGATAAAGGTTAGTCTGATATTTGACATCTTGCAACAAGATTTAGCCGTTAAAGCGTTATACAAATTATTTATAATTCTATAGGAGGCAATTAATAATAATAAAAAAAAGGAGAGTGGGAGGGGGAAGATCTATCCGAAGTGTAACAAAGACAAATAGTTTTAATTATGCTCTTCCATGGAAAGCATTGCACCTATTAGACCTTTTGTTTATGTGAAAAAATTTTTTTTTCTTCTCCTATTTTTATTTCACACTCTCGTTTTTGTTTTTTCTTTTTTCTTCTTCTTTTTTGTTAAAGTGAAGTTTTGAAGATATTGGTCACGTTAAATAAACAATCTTTAGTGAAGTTCTGAGGATATTGGTCACTTTAAATCAACAATCTTTAGTGAAGTTTAAAGACATAGGTCACTTTAAATAAAAACAATCTTTAGTGAAGTTCTAATGATGATGGTCACTTTAAATAAACATTCATTAATATCGCTGTGAGGATAATAGTGATTTCTATTGTCCAATATCGAGAGTATGTTTCATTTGTAGTTTTCGCGTCTCTCGTTAAATAAGACTGTGAAAGGAAGCACATAATGATCAACCTCCACGATTGGTTGCTTCTGGAAACAGTAGCCTTTTTTATTATATAATGAAGCTACTGGCTAATTGGATCATTACCTTTCATTATTATTATTATTATTAATTAAAAATGAAAAAACACACATATTATCAATAAATAAATATCTATTTTTAAAACTTTTCTATAATAATGAATCTAATCATTGACGACTTGTAGAAGAAGAGCCGTCTAATGATGTTTAGAAAAGAGTCAAAATGAGCTTTGTAGATGTCTATGTACTTTATTTATTGTCCTTTTTATTTGGTTAATGAGTTTACATAATGGTATGATTATGAAGCATATTTTGCTTTCTTACCTTGAAAAAAAGGGAAGGGGCTGTTTTCATTATAATCATACTTCATGGATATATTTTCTTAATAAAAGTTGTTATTTCCCTTTCTAAAATCTAACCACTGTTCCCTGGATAGTATCGAACTGATGGTAGAATTACATGCATAAAATGCGGTATAATAAAGTGTATATGTATATATAAAGAAGCTTATATTTTAAATAAAAGATAGCAACGTAAATTTAGCTACTATGATTATATAGAACAACTAGCTCAAAACGCTTTACTTTTTTTTTTCGTTTTGATGCTGATATTGGCCTTAATAGGTTTAACCATAATGGGCCAAATATTAGTGTTATATATGAACAATCATAATTTTACAGTTTGCGTATATAACAGAGCTGCTTTCCAAAATAGTTTCTTTTTTTTTTTTTTTTTTTTTTTTTTTTTTTTTTTTGAGGTACCCAAATCATAAGTGCATATTGCATTGAAGAGCTTTGCTTAAAATTAAAACGTCCAAGAAAGATACTGTTATTGATAGAATCAGGCACAGTTGTTGACTCCTTTATTGAGTTACTTCTGCCTTATATAAATCAAGATGATGATAATTCTTATTTTCTAGATTCTATTCGTCATAATAAGGACGTTAGATATGAATGGTATTGTATTTGTTGGTTCTGGTGTTTTGGTCAGTGAAAAAGATCTCTCATTGATGCCAGGTAACGGTCATTCAAAGATATGGTCTATTCAACCTACCTTTCAAGCTATTGCCGCTAAAGCTCTTGATGTCTCTCCATATTATGATTGGACTATCAATAAATCGAGAACTGGGCGTTATATCAAGATGGATCACACCAGTATTGGTAAAAATAAATTCAAAGAAAAGAAGAAAGGGTTTATTTTTTTATAATAACTTAATTGTAAAATATATACATATATATAAAGAATAAGGTGATATCCAATTAATCTGTAAAATTTACCTACATATTATAAAAGACGTTGAGGAAATTACAGCTACTTTTGAAGATTGGAACAGAGATGAATTAGATTCTTTCTGTATTGAAATTATACGAGATATTCTTTGATGGTGAACATCTCGTGGAAAAGATTTTTTTTTAATACAGCTAATCAAAAAGGTACTGGTAAATGGACAGGTATTGACTCGCTTTATCGAGGTATTCCTGTTACCTTGATTGGCAAAGTAGTCTATTTGCATTATCTTTCACCTCTAAAGGAAGAAGGTATCAGAGCTTTTCAAAATCTTGATCGGGGTCTCCTCTTGTAAAAATTGACACTCTAATATGATTAGAGTGAGTGATTTTCTTCTTGTCAGTGTTCTTTAATCTCAAACATGATTACTTTGGTATTCGCACACATAAGCTTTTAAATAATTCTAGAATTTATATTTATACCAACTGGACTAGTAAAGGTGGTAATAATGTATCTGCTACTACCTTTATTGATTAAAAAAAGGCGGGGAAGGCTACATCATCTGTATATATTTATAGTCCCCGTTCCTTAGATTCAGAAACTGTGCAAGAAATATTTATGCTTTTACCCATGAACTACCATACTATTATCAGTACCTTTATCTGTGGAGATTTCAATACTCGGCTGGGAGTTCATACCGGTGATTCACGATTCAATCCTCTACCAACTCATCTTATGGATCCACCGACTTGCTTTTGGTCAACCCACATACTATGCATATCAGGGAAATAGCATTATCGATTATTTCATTAGTAATATGGAACTCCAATCGCCACAAATGACCATCCATGATGATTTATCTCTCAATTCCTGTCCATCCAATTTGACATCCTCGACTTAACCTGTCATACTATTGAGTTCACTGTATCCCAGAGGTTACAATGAAACATCAACACATTGCAACACGAGGAGACCTTTGAGCAATATCGTTCGTCCTTCATCCTCAACTAATCCAACATGGATTTACCCCCGGCTGTTGACACACTCAACTTTGTAAACCTACCTGTGATGGTATACTATAAAATAAATAAAAGAAAATAAAAAGAAAAAGACAAAAGAAGTATAGTTTGAGACTGTTTTTATTCAATATAAAAAGAAGAATAAAGATTAAGATAAAGAATAAGATCCCCTCCTCTCCTTTATGTCTGGATAACTACTTGTATTTATATTAATAAATTCTGAATCAGAGAAATAAAAATAACTACAAAAAGAACATGAGTCGTGAAACAATGTTAGTATTCAAATATATGCGCTGTATTGTTGATTCAAAACACTGATCTATGGATTATCTATTGAGTGCTATAATTTTGTAATGAACTGATTAATGTTTTAAATGAAAGATTTATTGTTTGATCTGAGTGTAGGTTCCTGATATCTTCTACATTTTTTTATTTTATTGGATCAAAGACGACCTGAATCCTTTATCAAGGTTATAAAAATAAATATTTAGAAATGATACGATGTTTTTATTAGTTGATGCATTTAGACGATTGGATGTCGATAGGTTTTAAATTATTTTACAAGATGTTATATGCATTCAGAGTTTTATTTTATATTCAGGCTTATAGTTTATCCTTTATTATGTAATTCATCTATTATAATATTGCTTACGCTTATATCGAGAGCTTGTCCTATAACACATCTTTCCTTTCTTTTAAATCATCTCCCTCAGCATAAGTACCAAAAATTCCCAGGATGTTTCTGCCTGGTTCTATCGTTGGTCAGTTATGTGCACCATTCTACAGGAAATAGATTACCTACTACACGACAAACTACCTTCTCTCCCTCCACTTCTTGACCCAGGCAGGAAATGACTCAACTGGTTGTCCCTTTAAACTTGTTAGCAATATTTCCCCCCTTTCTTTCTTATCTTCTCTTCTTCTTCCTTTCCTTTACCTTTTTACCTTTTGTCTCCATAAGAGGGCTTTTAGATACTTTTTTTTCACATAATTTGGACTGACTTGGGTAATCCAATATAACAAAGATATTATGTACTCATAGGTCGCTTTATAAATTTTAATTTATAAAAATAAACATGTTTAATCGTAATGATAGAGCGGACATTTAAACTGATATAATTATAGGTGAGCTTCAAGAGAGCTTTAAACAATACCTACTTTTTTCCCTTTTCTTTTTTTTTTTAACTTCCTTATTTCTATTAGACTTTTTTATACTTTTAAAATTCAAGAAATAAAATGAATGCTACAAATACACTTGTTGTAGATAATGGTACAGGTGTAAGTTAAAATAATAATAATAATAAAAGAAAATAAAAATAAAAATGGTTTGAATTATTACAAAAAATATAAACGCGCTTTCAATAAAACTTAAACGGCCCATTTCGTTTGTAGTTTGTTAAATGTGGTTATGCGGGTTCCAATTTCCCTGAACATGTATTTCCAAGTGTTGTTGGTCGACCTATTTTACGTGCAGAAGAAAAAGTGGGTAACCTGGAAGTTAAGGATATTATGATTGGTGATGAAGCAGCACAACTTCGAAACATTCTTCAAATGTCTTATCCAATGGAAAACGGCATAATTCGTAATTGGGAAGACATGCGTCATTTATGGAATTATACTTTTGATGAAAAACTCAAAATTAATCCGAGAGATTCAAAGATTCTTTTGACTGAAGCACCCATGAATCCAAAACAGAATCGTGAAAAAATGGCAGAGATTATGTTTGAGGAATATGGCTTTCAAGGTATCTATGTAGCTATTCAAGCTGTCTTGACACTTTTTGCCCAAGGTAAACCAAGCATATTATATATATACATGTATATTTGATAAATATATGCAACTTCATTCTCTATGATAGGTCTTATGTCGGGCGTTGTTGTTGATTCAGGTGATGGTGTCACTCATATTGTAAGTTAATTTTATCTATGGTCTGTTATTGTATATATCAACTTAATATTCATAGGTTCCTGTTTATCAAGGATATGCACCTGCCAATTTAACTCGTCGTCTTGATGTCGCAGGTCGTCATGTTACAAGATATTTAATTAAATTACTACTCCTTCGTGGTTATGCATTCAATCGTACAGCTGATTTTGAAACAGTTCGTCAAATAAAAGAAAAATTCTGTTATGTCAGGTAAAACAATGATAGCTTTAATTTTTGTGTGTGTGTGTGTGTAATAATCTCCCCCTTTTTTTTTTTTTTCTTTTTACAAGCTATGATCTTGAATTAGATCAAAAATTAGGTAATGAAACAACAACCTTAGTTGAAAGTTATGAACTTCCTGATGGTCGTGTTATCAAAGTGGGTTCTGAACGTTTTGAAGCACCTGAATGTTTATTCCAACCCAACTTGATTGATGTAGAAGCTCCTGGCATGGCTGGTAAAAAAAATATATATATATTTTATTGAATATTTCATAATATTTAATCGAATTGTTATTAGAAATGCTCTTTAATACAATCCAATCTGCTGATATCGATATTCGTGCGGATCTTTATAAACATATTGTACTTTCTGGTGGTTCAACTATGTATCCTGGTTTACCTAGTCGTTTAGAAAAGGAAATGAAACAGCTTTACCTTACAAACGTATTAAATGGAGACGCAAGTAGATTAAATGTGAGTGTTTTCTTCTTCTTCTTTTTCTTAGAATAGGGTTTTTAAATAATGATTTACACTATTTTTATAGAAATTCAAAATTCGTATTGAAGATCCTCCCAGACGTAAGCATATGGTCTATCTTGGTGGTGCTGTTCTTGCTGATATTATGAAGGATAAGGATAGTTGGTGGGTTACTAAACAAGAGTGGGAAGAAATGGGTATTCGTTCATTAGAAAAAATGGGCGTATTAGGTTCTACTGCTTAAATAAATAAATAAAAAAAAAAGTTGTATTATTTAAGTTTATTAAGTAAATTAAAATAATGGGTAGTAAGATTAGTTGTAAAAGCATAATATTCATTATTAGAAGATAGTAAAGGGTAATTTTTTTTTTTTTTTTTTTTTTTTTTTTTACAAACAGCTATAGTCATTACAGTATTCATGATCAGAATCACCATCATGATAAAGAGTAACTTGTTTAAAAGGATTTAGTAATAAATTACATAGGTAAACTCTATACGTTACTTCCTACCTGAATTAAATTCTTTAAATGGATTATTTTGAAAGACGAGGTTACTGTTGAGCATAAGATCATCATCTGATTCAAGATCAAAACTACTGTTATTACTATTATGATAATAAAAGTCTTTTTCATGATTAGAAGGTTGAATAGGTGGCTGACAATGTCGAAGTAAAGCAAAATTAATAGACTTGAAAAAGACATGGTTCTTTACATCAGATGCTCCAGCATAGCTTCCTAATCGTTTATTTTCATCCTTGTGTAATAGTTTTCGAATCATATTTTTAGCATTATTGGTGATAGCATATTGATGATAAGGTGCAGGTTGATGACTAAAGTGAAGGTCAGAGTAAAGTATACGAGAAAATGTTTCATTTCTTTCCAAGCCCTTAAAGGGAGTTATCCCAAACTTGAAATAAATGTATATATATATATATTTTTAGGTTAATTCAACTTATAAATAAATGCAACTATTACCAGCATTTCATAGATTAAAATGCCTAGTGTCCACCAATCTACTGCACTTGTATGTCCACAGCCTTTAATCACTTCAGGGGCAATATACTCTAATATAAATATGATTTATGGCGATAATATATATATATATATATACATGTATACAATACATCCTATACAACACTAGTTATATACCTTCTGTACCCACAAAACTATTCGTTCGAAGGTTAATAACACAGCTTTTTGTATCAATAGAAGGTGGCTAAAGAATGATTGTTTAGTATAAAATTCAGCAGGAAATTTATATAATAATTTACTATATGTCTAGATTTGGACTTGACGATACCAGGCTTTTGTGGGGGATGAGATCCTTTACTAAGATCAAAGTCAGTCAACATAATATGTCCACTTTGATGAAGCAGGATATCTAATAACGATTAAAAATAGTCACATAAAAATAATAATGATGACTACTACTATTTAATTTACTTTCTGGTTTCAAATCTCTATAGATATATCCTTGAAGATGTAAATATTCTAAAGCTGCCGTAACTTCAGCTGCGTAAAATTTTGCTTCTTCTTCTCTTAAACATTTCCCTGGTCTTGCTTGAAGTGCTATTAGATAGATGAATATGACATAATTGGTAAAAAATACTTTTATTTATTTATTTTACCTCGAAAGAATTCACCACCTACACAATATTCTATTACAAAATAAAGATAATGATAGCTTTGGAATGAATGATAAAGAGCGACAATAAAAGGGTGATTCGAGATGGTAAGAATTTCCTGTTCTGCTAAAGCTCTTTTGATCTTATTTCTTCTAATCATTTCTCCCTTTGAGATTACTTTAAAAATAACCAAAAAAAAAAAGACATGTTAATAATCATGCTTTTTATAAACAAAATATCTCTCTTAACTTAACTACCTTTCATAGCATATATCTTATTCGTTTCTTTTTGCTTTACCATATAAACCCTACCAACATCCCCTCTGCCTAGCATTTTCATTTTTATAAAACTAGAAGCTTCTACTTCTACTTTCTTGACTTTAATACTATTACTCGAATAAGTACGACGACATGATAATTTGTGTTGATAATTTGTTGTTGATTCTTCAGTCACAATAGAAATTTTATTACCATTCTTGAATACTTTTTCTATTAATTTTGTTGTATCATCAGGAAGGGACTGTTTCATATGAAGGAAACGAGTAGTATCATCATCCATTTTAGTAGTATTAGTGGTATATGATGACTTGGAGAAATAAAACTGGTCTTTTGATATGTTCAGGTTGCTAGTAATAAGTTTTGTAATTGGAGATTTTATTTGATTAGAAGAAGTAGATAATATTTGGAAATTACGAATGTATGATTTTAATTCATGTGGCAATTGATTTGAAATATGGGATAAAGGTGGTTTCGATATTTTTTTCATAGCATCATAAACGATCCTTTCTGATGAATCTTCTATTACCGTTACAACCATTAGAAAAATGGGTATTGTATTAAGGGCTCACTTGTGCCTTTTATTTATTTGTTTATCTTTTGTTTGGATTCAAAAATATTTATGCAAAAACTTTATTGGCTTATTCATTTTAATTCAATTTTGGTGTATATATATACAGTCAAAGAAACTAGGTTGGGACAATGAAAAAAAAATTTTTTTTGGCCATTTCAAAGTTGAATTGGGACATGAATGCGAATATGGGTCACCTATAGGAAAATGGGACATCAATGAGAAATTAGGCCACTAATACGAAAATGAGACACAGGCCCGAAAACGGGACAAAGGAATCAGAAAATACATGATTGAGACTTCTTAGCTGCAGGTATCTCTAAGGCGTCGACCTGCTAGCGTTAGTCGAAGCAACTGCATTCGAGGCAGCGCGTTGTTGTGCAAAGACAAAAGGATAATGCTTAGTATTACATAGGCTTGTCAATGGCAAACATGTTCTTAGCAGCTAAAAAAAAAAAAAATAAAAAATAAAAATGTTACATTTTTCATGCTAACTGATACCTAAGGATCTCAGCATGTTTTGTCACTATTTTCGCATTTTGAATATTCAAGCTATTTTTTATGACACGATTTGCAGGTCATACGAAGGGAAAAAGTATTTTATTAAGAGCTAGAACGAGGTTATTAAAACCATCAGTTAGACAAAAAACTAGGGATACTGTCGAAGCAACATAATGTTACTGCAAATAGATGTAAAGTGCCCCTTCCACCTTTAATATATGGCTCACCTATGCAACTATTTGCTTTGGATTACTCATGGAATCTTTTTCAAATTTCAAAGATACCAGTAGATCCGACTTCAAGCAATGTCAAGGAACAGTCAAAATAGCCAGTATTATTGAAATTTTCACGAGAATTTAGCATTTCTTGACGAAAGCCAGATAATTGTTCAAAGATACCCTTGATTTTTTTTTTTTTTTTTTTCATGTAAATTGAATACACTGAAGCCGTATTTATAAGGAATCTCTTTTGTTTCAGCAAGTAGCAAAAAAAAAAAAAAAAAAAAAAAAAAAAAAAAAAAAAAATACTAAATACTAAATACTAAATACTAAATACTAAATACCAAATACTAAATTTCTGTCTCTTTATTCCATTTTCCTATAGGTGATCCATTTTCGCATTCGTGTCCCAATTCAATTTTGAAATGGCCAATTTTTTTTTTCATTGGTTCAACCAAGTTTCTTTGACTGTAAAAAATGTCAAATATAATATTATTTGATTTCGTTTCATACAAAGCAATCTTGTGTTATGAATGAATAATAATAATAATAATAATAAATAGTATAATAACAAATACTGATGTTATGAGGCAGTGATGAGTCAAACATAGAGTAAAGAGTTACTGATGATGAAGATGAATATATACATTATAGATTAGTTATAATATACTAGTATTATTCTTATTGAATATACTCATTTATAAATGTAGTCATATACTCCATCTATAATAACTCCATTCTAGTTGAATACATTGTTTTATACATACATGCATAACGAGGTTCATTCAAGTAATACATTGAGGAATGAAAATAGTATAAGAAAATGTTTAAAATGTAATAAATATATATCGTAATGTCTTCCCTATACTATCATCCACAAGTATGAACAAACGTCGTTTCATTATTTGGTTTCAAGAAAAGATAAAAAAAAAATTCATGATATTTGACGTATGAATTTGTTTAGTAATTTGAGAATAAGAAATGTGTCTCATTGAGATCCTTCATTAATAATGAGTAGGAGGATTTGATATCATTTATTTATAAATGTCTTCAATCAATCCAATTAAACAGCTATAAAGCAGTCCAAGTAGTATTATGGTCGTCCATTGTGCAACATGTAAGCAGCTACTGTCACTATTATCAATTTCTTACATGAATTTGATTCGATATGACTCAAAATTAAGGCTAAATACAGCAAATCCTATTTTAATTGGTTTAGGCTAGTATTAGAAGAGATTGCCCTACACTCAATCCAATAGAATTGTTGATACTGCTATCAAGCTGGTTGTTGTTGAAGATGGTCAAAAAAAATATACATATTAGACATTCTTTGAAAGACGATGCTTGAACTCATGAAACCATACACTTTTTCTTTACTTTTCTATTTATTTATCTATTTTTTCTATTTGCTAGAATAAAAAGTGTATCTGCCAATAAAAAAATACAAATCTGCCATAATTTCAGTGTTTTATCGGCCAATTCATATTTCTATAACCCGCCAATTAAAACTGTTTGCAATCAAATTATAACAGAAATTAAAATCATTTCTAAAATTATCACTTCTTTCTCTTATAAATATAATTATTAAACCCCTACGCATTACAAAACAAACAATCCGCTAATCGATTAGAAAAAAAAAAATACAGTAATATGCAAAGTCATTTATCCACTACTGTTACTACTACTACTGCCACTGAGGTAAATTTATGATTATGCAATAATGGATTATATATACATGTATATATGTATGCATATAAAAAGCAATTTACTTATAAACTTTTTTTTTTTTTTTTTTTTTTTTTTTTTTTTTTTTTTTTTTTAATAGACATCTCATCCTCGTCGAGTTAGTTTTGACTTGAGTCATAATATCATTCATGTTTTGCCTACTTTTGAACAATGCTGTGATGCAGCAAAGAAGAAGACTCGGGAAGAAAAAGAAAAAAGAGGCTTAAATAAACGTATGTTAAGTGATGATATTATTAATGAAATTCAGCAAGATTGTTATGCAAGATCTCGTCAACATAATGAGGAGGAAGAAGATCAACCTGTTATTAAAAGTTGTTTAAAAAAGGTATCTGCTTTTGATGCACAACCACAACCACCACAACAACAACAGCAAAAGAAGAAAAAGAATCATAACAAGAAAGGTCATAAAAAGAGAAAGAGACAACATCATAAGACTCCTTCTATCAATGACAATGGTATAGTTTTTATCATATGTTAAAATTCAATGTACTAAAAAGAAAAAAAAATCTTTATTTAGTTCCTACAATTTCTGTATATTGAATTTATACCAAAAAAGAAAATAAGCATGCTGAGGTTGCATTGCTGCGCTACATAAGAAGAAGACAACAAACAACGATGGCTGTTGTCTGTCATGCTGTCGCCTTCTTATTTTTGAGGTTATTTATTTATAAAAAGAAGAAACGTAAAAAAAAAAGAGAAAAGAAAAGAAAAAGAATAGCTAGTATTGTAAATAGTTTACTTAATGCCTTCCACCTTTTATCTTTTTCTTTTTTTTAATCAATAAATAATAATAAAACTATACTCTTTATAATAATTATCTTGCATATATAAATTAATAAAGAAGCGGAATTATGTTTACCCTTAATGATAAAGTGGGACTATTAGATGGCATCATTATTCTTCTTCCCCTGTATTTTAAATACACACAATTATACATTTTTTTTTTGTTTCACATGCGTTTACCAATAATTAATAGATCACTTATATCACGATGCTATACAACAATTAATGAATTACCCTACACAAAGGTTCATGTACCTGTCATGTTAAATGAAGTATTAACTCATCTAGAGCCTAAGGATGATGAACTATATTGTGACATGACGTTTGGTGATGGAGGATATACAAAAGCTTTGTTAGGTAATAATAATATAGATATATATATATATATTTATATACAAGACTCATGTAACGAACAGATAAATAAATAATATGAAACAATAAGATAGATGTAACTGTAAAGTAATTGCAGTAGATCAGGATCCTACGGCTTACTCAAAAGCATTAAAATTATCACAGCTAGAACAGTATAAGGATCGATTATTTCCTCTATTAGGAAAGTTTGGATCTATTTATGAAACTATTCAAAAGAAATTTGCTTATTTAAAGTAATACATATACATATACAGTATTAATAATTAACTAATAAACCACCTATTTTGGACTTTAGCACACCTTGTTTGGATGGTATTGTTATGGATATTGGTGTCTCAAGTGGACAATTAGAAACCCCAGATCGAGGATTTTCTTACAAATTAGATGGTCCTCTAGATATGCGCATGTTTTCTAGAGGTTCATCCCTCCTTAAAGAATTCAAAGAAGAAGAAGAAGAGCTATTAAAGAAATCAATCTCTGCTTACGAAATTGTCAATTATTTTTCAAGAGAACAAATGGCAGATATCATTTATGAGTTTGGAGGCGATCGTTTATCACGCAAGATTGCGTCTGCCATCGTTCTTGCTCGACAAAAGAGACCTATTGAATCTACGAGAGAATTGGCAACTATTATTCAAAAGGCATGCCCTCAGCCTAGTTGGCAACGAGGTCACGACGACGTATTACGTAATTCAGCAGCTCGTACATTTCAAGCATTTAGAATCTATATTAACGACGAATTAGGAGAGTTGAAGAGAGGATTAGCAGCAAGTGAACTGCTTTTAAAGCCTAAAGGTCGTTTAGCAGTTGTCACATTTCACTCTTTAGAGGATCGACTCGTAAAAAACTTTATGTATCATTGCACTGGTAAACGATTCATGACGGATGCAGTTCATAATCAATTTAGCTTAAAACGTGCTGCTCATCGAGAATACAAAAAGGCGTTAAAAAAACAGCAGGATGATGAAGAAATAACAATGAAATCATCATTTTCTTCAAAACAAAAAGATCTCTCATTGACTCCGTCATTTGAGATTTGTACAAAACATGTTATTCAACCTACGGATGCAGAGCTAAAACAAAATGCACGTAGTAGATCTGCGAAACTTAGAGTGGCTAAACGTACATTCGCTGAAGCTCTTCAGCCTTTTACTGTATTTTCTAAATAAATGAAATAATATATTGATTAATTGAGAATAGTTGGTAGTCGATGTATAGGAATCAACACGACCCCTTTATTATTATTTTTTCTCAGTCTAAAAAAAAAAAAAGGAAAGAAAAGAAAAGAAAAGACGGAAAACAAAGTGTCTTAACTATTCTCGAGAATCTTGTAAAGTAACTTGGCGAAACAACTTCTATTATTGGAGAGGACCAAAACGTTACTATTATTGTTTTAAAAGGGTTATCTCTTAACATCCTATTTTACCTTTAATTAAACCTTTTCAATTTAATCAAGGTAACTATGGCAGGAGATAACTCTTTTTTTTTTTTATTCTGAACAAATTCTTTCACTGCTAATAGATGTGTGAATAGGACGATTATCAAAATGTAGTCATCTTTTAACCCTAACATCTTTTGTGTTCCAATATGATACGGTAACTGAAGAAATAAAAAAAAAGCAGTCAAAAATTTGCGGACTTATTTCTTTGTGACCTTGTAATAATAATAATTTTTTTTTTTTACAAAGTAGTATAAATTGATCACTACTTCTTCATTATTTAATTTTGTTCTTTAGTTTTCTTTTCTGGTAAGTGTTCTTGAATAAGAAAATTATTATTGTGTAAAATTGCTGCATTGATGAATTGTGATCATGCACCACGCAGAATCTCTTAATTGATGATAAAAAACTCACCAAACCCTGAGCGCGGCTTATTTTACCAATAATTTATAATTTTATTTTTTATATGTATAAAATTAATCTCTTTTTTTTTCTCTCCTTTATAGACTTGCCCTTTAACAGTGAAGAAGAATATATTATTTTTATTGTGTTTTTTATTTTATTTTTTTTTTCGAATAAAGAAAATATTTTAACTTAGTAAATATGGCTGCTTTCCTGTCAAAAAAAAAAATTTTTTTTCTTTTCTTTTGTTTTGTTTCCCGTTTTTTTTTTTTTTTATTTTTTTCCTTAATACGGAGTTTGAAAGAGAAAGCTAGTAATTTAAAATATAAACTTCGTCATTCGAATTTTTTATTTAATTGTTATAAAAGAATGACTCCAACTAAAGAGGATATTTGGTTTTCTGGTCCTGTTCAAGATGCTATTTCTCTAGTAAATGAACGAAATTGTGTATTTCTTGTGTACATTTATGGTAACACTTTTATTGCATTTAAAGGAATTAAACTAAACATGCATAATATTACATGAAAAACACACACACACACACATTTTAGATGACTCTGAAAAGACAAATGCTTTAAACAATACTCTTAAAGATGAAAAAGTACACAACAAAATAGACAAAGAAAGATAGATGCTTATTCTGAACTTTGTTTTATAGGTCATTGAAGAAATTAGAAATAAAACGGTTGCCCTTGCAATGGAAAAAGATTCAGAAAATGTGTCATTATTCAGTCAATTTTGTAAAGTTTTCTTAATTTTCAGTCATAAAGAAAAAAAAAAAAGAAACCAAATATACTTACTTCGTTTTTTATGAATATAGATCCTGTAAAAGCTATACCTATACTTTATTTTATTCAACAAGGAACAATAAAAGATTTTGGGACTGAAACGATAACAAGTGAGGAAATTATAAAAAAGATTGACTTTATTATGAGTAACAATCAAAGGGTATCAGCGCATCCTCCAACTGCTCCTCCAAGAAACCAAGTACAGGAGTCAGAAGATCAAGTACCTGCTATGCCACCTCAAGTTTATACTACATTTCATCCAGATCCAGTTCAAGATAATAATGCTACTATGCTAGCTGAACCCAATAACCCACCTGATACCAAACAATCAAACGAAGATAAAAAAGCAGAGTAAATAAAATATGATATTATAATGTAAAAGTATATACGTATATATATATATATGTATGTATGTATATATACGATATATGCATATATTCAAGTTACCTACAATGATAATAAAATATGTTATCTGATATAGATTGCAAAGACAATTGGAAAAGGTACGAAAAGAGCGTGCTGAAAGAGAACAAAGAGAGGCAAAAGAAAAAGAAATAAAACGTCGACAAGAAGCCAAGATGATGCAAGAAGCGAAACAATTACAACAGGATAAAGAAACTCAAATTTACTTGGCAAAATTAAAGAAAGAACGTCAAGAAGAGGAAGCACATCGAAAGAAAGTACGAGAGCAAATTGCTAGAGATCGTGCAGAGAAAATGGCTAAAAGAAACATAGAAAGGCAACAACATCAGAATTCATTTCCATTTGATAGCAATAACGCAGAAAAAGTCATCAATAATCGTAATCGTCTTTCCTCATCGCACAGTAACTTGAGCATTCGTCAATTAGACGGTTCAAATATCCGTCATCAATTTGAAGGTATACCCATATTACATATATGCTATGCTATGCTATGCTATGCTAATTATAAGAGAATGGCCATTTATTATTTCTTCTAGCTACAGCAACATTGCTAAGCGTTAAGGAGTGGATAGACACTGTAAGTCATATATCTTTTTATGTACATCTTTTTTTTTTTTTGTTAATATTATATCCAGTATCGTACAGATGAACCCAAAAGGCCTTATAAACTCTCTTCTCAATTCCCAACTCGCTTATTTACTGAAGAAGATCATGATACAACCTTAAAAGAATTAAATCTTTGTCCTAGTGCAACCATCATAATGAAACCAATGAAAGCCGCTACTAACTCCTCTTCATTCTTTAGTTCAATCCATAGTCATGGTATATCATCAAACAATCATGACCAGCAAAATATACTTGTTCGTTCTACTTTTTATGTTCTTGATTTTATGTATGGTATTTTAATGGCTCTTTGGAGCATGCTCTTAGCCATTTGGGACACGCTTTCCCCTAAGAACAGATTAACTCGTCAAGAAAATGTGCCTTCCCAACAACAAGCAACGAGAAGTTCGTTTGGTCATTTAAGAGGTGGCCAACGATTAGGTGGTGAATCTTCCGTTATTGGAGAATCATCATCTGCTAATACAAGAAGAGAGTATCTTAATGAATCCTCTCAAAGGTATAACTATGAGTTATTATGATTGAACTTTTCTTTAACTTTTTTTTTATAACATGTGTATAACAGACATCGTAATAACCCTTATGGCACGCGCATCAATACTCTTCAAGAAGGAGAACAAGATAAAGACGATGACAAGAAACGAACAACATATAATGGTAATTCTATTAATCAAGAATAAATATAGCAGTACAAACATTGTCTATATACTTTTATATAAAAGCTTTGTTGTATAATCACTATCGTTTTATCTATCATCATAGTAAATCTCCCCTTTTTTTCTCTCCTCTCTCAAAATAATAAGATTAGATAAAAGAAACTTCTCTATAAAATATATCCATTCTAAGGCTAATCAAATATTCTTATTTTATTTAATATAATACATTAAAATATTTATTTATTTTTTCTTTATATGACATGAATATACACATGAAAAATGATGCAAATATATTGTAAAGGAGATGACTTTTTTTTTCCCCTCCCCTTTTACTTTCTTTTTTCGAGTTTATCTACAGCTTCAAGCAATACCTTTTTAGCATTTGGATCCTCCGAGACCATATTCTGTACAGTATCTTCACGATAATAGGCAAAGAAGCAAACGGCAGCTGTAGGGCCAACGATGAATGACAGAGCCGCCACAATGAGACCTGCTTTTAAACCACCTTGGAAAGTAGCCCATAATACAAATCCAATACTTAAAACGATCAAATCAATCAATACAGTACGTGTTGCTAATATTTGACTTAAATCATTAAATGTCAAATCGGCAGGTAAACTACCAGGTGCCTTCAACAACATCACAATGGCTTCAAGGACACGGATGCCATCCTTAGCTAAAAACCAATATGAGGTAAAATACAAGAACATGTTTGTTACTGCTAAAAACAAATAGGATCGTTCAACAGCGTCTTTGCCTTCAACTATATACATACGATCCTTCAAGACAGGATCGCGAATTCTCTCGACGGGGGATCCCAACTTTTTGAAAACCCATTGACAGACATTGATGATGGGAACGATAAGGATCGGTAAAACAAACCAGATTGAAATAAAATCTTGTTCAAGACGAGATTTAGGCTCAATAAGTGGACTCGTTAAGATAGCACTGGGAATCGTGTAACCAACAATCACAGCCAGAAGAGTACCATAAGCTTGAGGCAATGTGATGGCCCAGTTTTCAGGATGCCCTTTTGACTTTTTACGATAATAAAGACTCAATGGTAACCAAATAAGAGGAAACACAACAAAGATACCAATTAAGTTAGCTAAAAAAGCAAATAGAGGGAAAGCAGATAAAAGAGTTGATTTAAAGCCTCGTCGAGATCCTTCGAACGCCATAATACAATAAACAGCTGTAAATGCTCCCATCATCAATCGCAAGAGAGGTGTACCCATGATATCGTGTAAGGTAGGTTGAATAAAATTAACATAGAAACAGATTAGACGGTCTAACATAGAAAATTGGCCAGTATAAAAAACACGAAGATTACCAGTAGCATTGGTGTTGGCAGGATTCATACACATTTCCAAGATCTTGGGTGCCCAAGGTTCAGCACCTTTGTGAATGTCAAGTGCTGCATATGTCACAAGCGCTGCACTTATTAAAATAGATACTAATACTTTCATATTTTTTTTAATGAAACAAATAAATATATATTTTATATGTATCTGTATATATTTATTTATTAAAAAAAAATCGACTATAAAAGCTTTCATCACCCTATTTGACGATTTATTATGAAAATAACACGTAAACGCAGTCTTGCGCATTTCTTTCCCGTTTCATTGGTTAAACCTGATACTTTTTACCTTTTTTTAGTATTTTTTTTTTTTTTTTTTTTTTTTCGTTCTTTTCTGGGATTTATTGCTATCCTTCAATAACAAGATTTTTTTTGTTTGTTTGTTTGTTAAGACTAGACTTTAAGTATTATTCAAGATTCTTTTTACAGCATTTACTGAAGAATTCTAATGTATTTATTTTCTCGAGAATAAAACTAGGAAAAAAAAAACTATTAAATTAAGCAAACAAGAAAAAGTTTTAAAATGAAATGTAATGACTAATTGACACTGAAAACTTCTTTATCATGAATGAAATTCGTTGATTTATTCCCTAAAAAGATATCAATTTATTAATTTCAATAAATAAGACTGATATGCTTCCATGAGAATTTAGAGTTGCACCTCCTTATATAAATTAAATTTTATCATTGTGTATCCCAGCAACGTGCAAAAGAAACAAAAAAAAAAAAAAAAAAAAAAACGTCACTGTTTTTAAATCAGTTGCTTTTAAACATTTTTCATTTTTTTTTTTTTCAAGTGCATTATATATCCTATATTATTATACGTGAATATATAACATATATATAATATATTTTATATATTTATATATATATATATATAAAGATATCTTCTTTATTCAGTTATAGCTATTATATAAATGTCAATTTTGCCAAGAAGAAGAGATCATGATTCTGAAGATGACAAATCGGAAATTTCTTACAGCAACTCATCTGCATCTGATGTAAACAATTCTTATAGCGATTATTCTGATGATAATTTAAGTGAATATACAGTAGATTATGATTCTGAGTATGACTCTTATTACACAACTGAAGAGGAATCCTCTGATGCTGCTGCTGCTGCTGATGACGGTCATGAAAATAAAAACAACAAGGATGACAATCACGAAGCAAAAGAAGTGACTGATGATGCTTTGAAATCTAAAAATAATCAAAAAACAACAAAGGATAATAATAGCAGTAGCTCTCAAACAACACAACCTAATCATACTATTGAAAAGGAGCAAATAATAGAATATGAGTATGATGAAGACATTCAAGACTTGAAGGAAAAACGTATACAAGAACACCGGGAATATCGTAGAAAATTAGCAGAGGATCCTAGCTTTGTACCTTATTTAGGATTGTTTTGGAGTCATGATGATAGATACCGTGAAGATACCTTGATCCACCATGATAAATGCCCACCAGGTGAAAACTCATCCACCAAGAAACCTTTTTTCAGTAAAAATAAGACACATAAAACCTCATTGCAAAAGGAGCATGATTTAGACCCTTTGATGCACAAAAAATGGGACCATAGCGGTTGGGAGGAATTGCTTCGGTTAGAAGAGGAGGACGAACGAAGAAAACGTGAACGATCTAATAAGGTTGATGACAATAAATCCTATCGTAATAATAAAGGAAATCGTACTAGGCAGTGGTTTCATCATAACAATCATGGTCAGCAACGATGGAAGGAATCAGCCACAGTAAAGAAAGATTCTAAATTTAACCATACACCTTCTTCCTCTTCTCGTATCCAATCTTGTGAATACGCAACCAGTTCTTGGGGGAAATCAATTGATGAAGGGATTGAATTAGCTTGGATGTCATCTGTTTCTTCAGAAAACAAAAACCATGATCCACAGTCTATTTCTGATGCCAATGTGAAAGTGATAGATAATAATAATAATAATAATTCTACTCATACTATAGACAGCACTATTGATTCGGTGACTACACCAAATGACGACTGGGAAGAGCCTGTTTTGGAGAAAAAAGAAGATAGCGGCTGGGGAGAGCCTCCGAATACTGCTAATGAAGCCATAGATGGCTGGGGAGAGCCTCCTAGTACTGTTGATAAAGCCATAGATGGCTGGGGAGTGGCTGAAGCTAGTTCTAATGATTGGAATGAAACTCCACAGGAAACAGATGACCGGGGATCAAAAACACATAGCAATTCAAATCAAGGATGGAATACTTCTGTTGCTATTGAGACGAATTATACTGACAATATCAATGACGATTGGGATTCTTGTAAGCAACAATTTGTCAAGGAAATGAGTGAAGATCATATATCTAATGAGAAAAAGAAATCCCCTTCATGGCCCAATACTAAATCCAGATCATATAAAAATAATAATACTTGGAACAAGAGCAATAGTTCTTATAATAAGAATAGTCATTATAATGAAAACAACAAGAATGGTCCAAAAAGTAAGTCATTATTTAGTCTCATCTAAAAAAAAAAAAAAAAAAAAAAAAAAAAAAAAAAAAAAAAAAATTGTACTAAGTAATTTCAAATAGATCATAAATCTGCTTATAAAAAGTCATCTTCATCCCAATATAATAAAAAAAGTTCTTCACGAGGCTATTACTCAAGTAAAAATAAAGGTAATATATACAATAATAATAATAATAGCAATATGAATAATAATTTTATATAAACAGATTATAATAATAAAAATCAAAATTGGGGCAATTCACCAAAAGCAGATGATAATACATGGAATGAGACAAGCGATCAATATTGGGATGAAAAACATATTGTTGAGTCTGCCACTAGAGATGATGATGGCTGGGGTACTCCTTCTGTAAATACTGAGAGTTGGCCAGAATCATCTGTAAAACCTGTTACCACGCTATATAATGATAAGAATACGACTATCGTAAAGACAGATGAAAATGTGAATGGATGGGGTAATCCTGTCAATACTGATACTATAACAGAATCTCAGGGCTGGGAAAATAAAGCCTCAACTACCTCTGAATCAACTAGCTGGAATCAATTTAATAAAAACGAATGGCATGAAGTCAAGAATGATACAACGACTGATGAATACAAGTCAAATTGGGAAACGCTTAATACTGCTGTGAACCCTGAAAACTCAGAATGGAATGATAAAGATAACCAAGAACAACTTACATCATCTACTTGGAAGCATAACAAAAACATCAAACGGACATCGCATGAAAATGATTGGGATACAACCTCTATTACACCACAAAATGGATCTAATAGTCATTTTTCAACTATAAAAGAACAGGAGTATCCTATTAAAAAGGGACGTGGTTACTTATCCCAAAGAGCAGAAACCTTTTCCAACCCTTCAGCTTCAAATAATAATACTCCTCTTAGTCCCATTTCTGATGATGATAAAGGACAAAGATTAGAACAACAAACAACGGAAGTGCCATACTCTTCTTCTGAAAAGGCCTCACCTTTGATTGCAAATAGCAAAGATTATCAAAAAGAATCCTCTTTATGGATCTCTTCTGATAGAGATGATGATTCGGATGTAGAGATTATTTTAGAAGCTCAAGATGAACCAGACTGGGCTAGAAATAATGAGCAAATCCTTGGTATGACAGGACCAGATAGTATTCCACCTCAATTTGAAAAATCAGAAATAATACGCCATCATGAGGCAACAGCAGCACCTTCCAAGTCCTCTCCAACTACTAAATCTGGGCTTTCTCCTAACGCAAAAGAATATATACATCATTCACCTATATTAAGTACACATATAAACAATAAGAATGTATCCTCTCAGAATAAATCCTATAATGACAATTCTTATAACTCTGAATACCCTAATCGATACAACAAATATCACAATAATGAAAGTAAACGTGCTGATAAAGCTGAAAATTGGAGACAACGAAAAGAAGAGCCTAGAAAACAACAGCAACAACCATTTTATCCTAATTTTTATCCTCCCTATCCATATAATGGTGCAGCCAATGTATATATGCCTATGATTCCCAATAGCAATGGCAATGTATATGCCGTGCCTTACCCTATAGGTTATCGTAATAACGAAACATCTGCTCCTCATGATAAATATTATTTACCTGCAGCAAATGGTATTTCATTACCACCTGGCTATGAAGCAAACGGCATGATATATTATGGAATAGATACATCTACTATGTATCCATCTTCTTCTGCACCTTTTTACTATTACCCCATGCCCGTAATACCTCAGAGCCAATATCATAAGGAAGGAAAAGATAATTATGATAACGATGAAAAATTAAATAACAGCTGTTCTAATAGTGATGAAAAAGAGGAATGTTAATTAATGTAGAAAAAAAAAAGTATTATATAGATACATATATGTATATGTATATAATGTATACACATATAAAATTATAAATTTATTAAATAAACATTATTTTTTCTTAAATCTCCTTGTTGTATCCTTTTCTCTGTCTACTTTTGCAGCTAATTTACCAAATACGATATAAGCTAGTCCAATACTACACAATATAAGCCAGAATAAAGGTGTTCTATTAAATAAACAAAAGTTATTAAACTTGATACCCTCTTTTTATTTTCCTTACATAAGCTGTGGCTTCTTTATTTCTAATATTTCAATATCATAAATCATTGCTATAAAAGAGAGGATATTAGAGACATTCAATAATAAATAATATGATGTATCTTTATAAAAAAAAAACTTTGAGTTTATTTATTTATTTTTACCTGTATTAGGAACAGTCAATCGACGAATTTCACCTACACACATGCCCTGAATTTCTTGCTCTAGGCCTTTAATTAATGCGGTATTCCCTATTACATATCAATTTTTTTTTTTTGTCTTGAGAAGAAAAAGTATTAAATATCCTTTTATTTTATTTACCAGGCTTTAGAACAATTGTTTTATTCTCAATGACTTGGTTAGGTTTATCCAAAAATCTCGAAATGTATTGAAGTTGTACATTAGAATCAAAAGCTACACGCTGTTTACAATCAGTTGATTGCTTGATGATGTCTAACATTTTTTTTTTTTTTAAGAAAAAAGGAAAAAGAACTAATAAATTATTAACTAAAATTCATAATTAATTGAATAAACCTGCCTATATAAATCATAAAGTTAACAGTGTATATAAATAGTTGAAAGGTGTCAAAACTAAAAATAATAGTAATGTCTATTATTACATAATGGGGGACATCTGTATTTTAATTAATTTTGATCATAAATGTATTTTGTGTTATTAATGCAGTATTACACATTATGATAAAAAAGATGAAAGGTAGAATTCTGTAAAATAATAGTATATCTTGAAGTTATTTAATATTAGATATATGATATGATAGGCATAATAAAGTAAATATGATTCATCTATCTGTATTTATCAAGTATGCGTAATAAGAGTCATTTTGTGAAATATATAGTTCTCATATATGTAATATTGATAAATGTCAAAGATCGTTACTATTGCATGAATTATTCACATATATTATAAAAGAACCTATTTCTTTTTTTCTTTTTTCTTTTTACTTGTTTACTTGTTTATATATATCTTTTCTTCAGCTTTCTATCCTTATCATGGTTTACACTAAAGAATATAAAGAGATCATTAGCTTTGAATATCCTTGTTATATTTGTGGCAATATTCTTAGTAGGGCTAGATTAGTCATTGATCATGTTAAACGTGTTCATGGCTATGAACTTCCTGTTCGTCATGTTGGCTATCATCGTCCTGTCGATCCCGAGTATGAATTCCAAAATGATCCAAACGGTAAAGCCGACATTATTCATTATGCTTGTGCTTCTTGTTGGTTTCATTGCCCTGAGGCTGGTTTAGGTGAGCTTGCTGAGCACTATGAAAATGCTCATCATCCGAAAAATATTGAGCCATCCAAGAACAATCATGGGAGTATAACAGGTAACGCTGTTAACACGACTGCTGGAAAAAGAGCAGAAGAGGAAGCTTATGAATCTGCTGAAGAATTTGAAAACACGGATACGACTAATATGGACGAAGATGAAAAAGAGGAAAAGACGGTATCTACAGGGAATAAGCTTCTTAGAAGAAAGCGAATACCCCGTGCTGGTGGCATGGCTTCCGCTTCTTCTCCATCAACAACAAATACAAACGAAGAACTCTCTAAAGATGTCTTGAAAAAATTGAATGAAATTACTGAACTTTTTAAAAACCTTCTCCAGTAGTATAAATTATATTATATTCCACATTTGCTCACTTGAAAATATTACCTTAATAAAATATTAATTTGCCTTTGCCATTTTTTTTAAAAAAAAAAAATAAAATAAATAATGTATATAAAAAATTTGCCTTATATATATATATATATATATTTTTTTTTTTTTTTTTTTTCCTTTTAAATTTTCTGTTATGTCTTCGATAAAGATCGTTGACGATCAAAACCAAACAATTGAGCCTGTGAGCCAAACACTATGTGAAATGTAACTTAATTTTATAAATACATTCGTATTTTTTTTTCGTTTTGTTTTCCTAAAACCTTCTTACTTAGTTGTCATAAACAATTTTCTAATTATGTTTGCCCTCGTTGTAATTTACGTTATTGTTCATTAACATGTTATAAAGATTTTCAACATGCTGACTGTACCGAGTCTTTCTATAAAGATAGTATCACAGCTGAAATTCAAAATCAAAAACTTGACAAACAAAGTAAAATGAAAATGCTCGAAATGTTACAACGTCTCGAAGAAGAGCAAAGAGCTGACATTATAGATGCCGATGATGAAGATAATGATGATGATCTGATGCAACGCTTTAGTAATATTGATCTAGACAATACAGATCCTCAACTGATCTGGGATCTCCTTTCTAATAAAGAAAGGGAAGAATTTCAACACATGCTAAACCATTTTGATCAATCAGACATTCACTTGCCAGCTTATACACCTTGGTGGGAACAAGAGAATGTGAAATGGTCAGAAGAGATAGAGTTACCCGACTTTAGAAAGATGACAAAACCTGAGACACAGTCTAGTTCTCATTGGGTTTGGAATCTACTTCACCTTCTAGGAACATATAGTTATTTAATGCGTCATACAATGGGTGAACTCTCAGAGTGCCCTGAGGAAACAATCTCTGTTTGTGAGATGATATCTGAAAACGTTTTATATTCTACTGCAGCTGCATGTCCATTCAATAACGTAGATGATGTGATAGCCGACTTATTCAACCATATTAGCCAATATGAAGATCATACCCAAACCAATAAAAGGAATCAAATTCAATATCCACGCTATTATAGTTTAAGACTGTTATTATTAGAGGATCTATCATTATTGCTAAATGTGTGTCAAAAAGCTATACATGATTTCTGGAAATCATTAAATGAAATGATAACAAATCACAAAAAGAAAAAAAAACGAAACTTGCTTGCTGTACGGAAATTATATTTTTATGTAGCAGCTGCAGCCTATTTAATAGAAGATCGAGAAAGACTTAAAATGATTCAAGTGATAATAAAGAATGAGATAAACAAGACAAGGATAGAAAAGGAAGGATTTGAAAGAGATTTCCAAGCTGCGGAAGATGCAATGAAACAATATCAACAACAGCAAAAGAAAAAAATTGAAGAATTATAAAATAAAATGTTTATTTATCTAAAGTTTAGACTTGTTTCTTGCAGCATTTATTCTTTCAATTAATTTCATGATTTCAGGAACTAAAATAGATATGTGAATAAAGTTTTTTTTTTTTTTTTTTTTTTTTTTTTTTTTTTTTTTTACTATTATTATATTTATATTTCTACTTTTGTACTTACTAATAACCTCAGGTATTTCATTTGGAACCATATGGGTTCCTTTAACAAAGTCTACAGAAATATGTTCCTTATTTTCGTTATTTACAATATTTGAATCATCAGGTCCTAAGCTGTTATATTAAAGTAATTTAATCTAAAATGATGTTTCTCATAAAATATCTATATTACTTACAAATTAGAATCCAGAGCATAAACAAAATGTGTAGGAATCTTTAAAGAAGGTAAGGACTTGTAAGCAGTATAAGTATCATATTGATACCATCTAAAAACGTGCTAAATAAATAAATAAATAAATAAATAAATTATAGAGCATAATAGTAAAAAGCAATAATTCACATACATATTCTTGTTCTCTTTCACATTTGAGTTTTATTGTGCCTTGATCAGTTTCATACATACCATAATTCTAAAACTATGTTTAGTATACACTCTGACATTCAATATATGTATATCTTTTATATTTTATATCCATACCACATAGTTATCGAGAACTTCAGGATGCAATAGCTTAAAAAAAGGGCTCTTTAAAAATGATTCTCTACATTCCTTTCTAATAACAATTTAACATGTTATTCAAGAATTATATGCATATATATTTAGCATACCGGCTTGACCATTCATCACGTCTTTTTTTGGAGGAAAGTACAGGTAATTGAATTCTTATTTCATAATCCATCATAAACATGCTCATTACTGGTTCAATGACACATAATCCATTAAAAGTATTCGGATAAAAAAATTCACAGAGCAGCCTAAATTATATATAAATCTAGGATCAAATTATGCTCTTGTTTTTTACATGCTTACATACATGCATGTAGCACCAAAACTATGCCCAACACCAATGAATTGGTCATAATTGATGTTTAACTCCATATTATCAATAACTTGCTTTGTATCCATTGCATTATCAAACCACCTATCTATATATTCATATGTACAAAAAGAATAAATTATTTGATCACAAAGTATATATTATTCTATTTCAATTACATGACTCGAGATAAGTGCCTTCATTGATACGAGCTGAATCTCCATGATTACGAGCATCCCAACTAATAAAAGTAATATCTATTTCATCATATTCTCTTAAACTACGAAGGTGATTTAAGAATCTTTTCATAAGAGGATGAAAGGCTTCTTTATGAAATCCATTAGAATGAGAAAACAAGAAGGCTATCTTTTTATGAGCGCCCTGAGAATAGGTGCTTGTAAATTCATGTTTATCAACAACAAGTTTTTGGACATCAGCCCCTTCAGTACTGGGATGAACGGGTATAACAAATGTTGAAGTAGGTTTAAGATACATTTTTTTTTAATAATGAATAAAATAAAATGTGTGAAAACGATGACAAATAAAAATACGATTAAATACACCTTTTCCGGAAATGAAAAATCAAGCAAGAAAAAAAAAATAAACATTCAAACACAGACAGAAAAAAAAACGTACACAGAAATATAAGATTGAATAGTCTCATAATTTATGATCCCTACAACAACAACAACAACAACAACAACAACAAAAGAGCCTTAGGTTTACTCAAGAAGGTGGAAGAGGTAATGTTTATGAGAAACCAGTTGAAATGGAGGTCGAAAGTAAACAATTTCCTCTGGATGACATCACTGACTTTGATAACATACATGAACCTTAAAGCTCCTAAAAAAGAGAAGAGAAGAGAAAGTAAAAGAGATTAAAATCAAGGCTGTTGCGGACAAAAGTACTAATAAGTGAGATTATACAAGACGTAGTAGTTGAAAAAAAAATAGACAATCTCTTCAAGCTAATTTATGAGAAGGGCTATCATATTTGGCCTTATTTGTTCATATATCGAATTAGATTACATCTATTTTTTTTTCTATCATGATAAGTACAGTTATAATCAAGATATTTATTACTATAATATAATGATAATGATAGTAGTATGAAATATAGATATACATACATTATATAAATACTTCTTGGGCTACTATATATAAAGCTTTACCCCTATTTTATTTTGATTTAAAGCAATTCTATTGGTGTTGATTTCCAAATACAAACTATTTTGATATATCGATCTCCTCATTACAATCAAAGGATATGAAGGAGACTCATTTTGTTATTTTTTACTTATAAATTAAGGTTTATACGTCAAATATTACAGAATCTATAAAAGATTCTTAAGCGGCTTGAGCACAGTTAACTACACAAATTAGAATTGAATATTTCTGCTTTAAGAAGAAATAAAAGCTAAGCTTTTACCAAGAAGAGAACGATGGTTATCTTCATTTACTATAATGACAGACACCAACCCTCTTTTGCTATTATAATCTTATCTTTTATTAATGGAAAGACTGGCTATTGTTTTTGAAATTCGAAATAATTATAGACTCTATCGGATCTTCCATATAACAGATTTCTAAGTTTTATAAATTATTAACCATTTGAGTGTACTTTTTGACAATTTCATTATTGTAGGTTGCAAAATGAAGCATATAGCGTGACTGCTCTCTAGTTATGATAGCCATATAACAATTGTAAAAAAAAAAAAAAAAAAAAAAATACGCTTAATTATTATTATTAGAGAAGCAACTTTATTGTAGAACACGATTTTATTAAATTGATTTTTTTTTTTCATTTTTGTTAATATTATAAAAAAAAATGCTTTTCTTAGTTCTCAAATCTCTTTAAAAGAGACTTGATACTAACAGGATTAACCACGAGAAGGTGAAAGCATATCTAATCCCAAAAATAATATTACAACCCATACAAATTGATATGAGCTGTAATTTTTTCTTCTCCCTCTAAATTTCTACTTGAAAGATAAACGTCCAATTTCAACTAGTAGACACTTGGCAAAGTCCAACCTGACCCAAGCCTTGCTAGAAGAAAAAGATAGGATTCCTCACCCCATAACCCAATAAAAAATACAGTTGGATGTAAGTTTCACTGGAAGCCGGGCTAAACATTCTGACCTGTAGCGTGGCGAAGTGGAAGGAATCCAGATACATGAAGTGCACGACCTGACTATTGTTTACCTGAGAATGTCCCTTCTTTGACCCCTAGCATCTACTTTTGACTTAACAGTAAATACAAGCTGGGATTCTTCAACTAAATAAATAGATGAAAAAACCACGGTCAGAAACGTAAGCTGTGCATCCTTATCTATTTTTATTTTATAAACAGCAACTAGATAAAAATAAAAAGAAGGAAAAACCTCCAAAAAGAAAAACAGAAAAACTAAACCTTGAGATAAGCCCTTTCAATGGTGCAGACAAAGAGTACGCTAATCTCCCTAAAAAAGGAACAGGTTTACAATTTCCAACCCCAAGTATCCTTTTTATTTCCCTCCTCCTTTAGAAATAAATCAAACTTGAGCAGTCAAAATTCGATAAGGTCCCATCAATTATCTAAGGTTGCAATAACCCAAGGTGAAGGCGGATATGCATGTAGTAACCAAAAGAGAGTCTAGGCCCTCTCCTTTAGCCATGTTATAAACGGACAGTTCTACAAACTCAAGTAAGCCAAGCTATGTGACTTGAGCACACTTCATAACCCTGACAATGTCTACCCATAGTTTCAAGTAAAAATAAAGAAGAATAGGAAAAATAAAAAAAAGCTAAAGAAAAAAGAAGAAGAAAAAAAGGAAAAAAACGAAAAAATGTACTTTTTTTTTTATAGTAAAATTCAGGAGAAAAAAAAAATAAACGAAAAGAAGGAGAAGTTATTAAAGTTTAATCTTAGCGTGTTTTTTTTTTGTTTTTAATTTACTTTGCGTTAAATCTTCTCTCCTGCCTTTCTCCTTTTCTTTTTTTTTTCTCTTTTCTTTTTAATACTTTAGAGATAAGTTTTGCCTTTTATTTGAATGTAGTAAAGCATTACTATCTTCTTTGAAAGTAAGAAAGAAAGTAAGAAAGTAAAAAAAAAAAAAGAAAAGAAGTTTGTTATGCATATTCATGTGAATATATTGAGCATTCTTGTAAAGTAGTTAGGCCAAAACTAGTCAAATGCAGTTACACGACAGAGCACGATGTTCATACATTCTACAAAAGAATAAGAGTAGATAAACTATCAATAGTATAAAAAATGTCATTTTATACAGCAGTTTTATTTTAACTTTTAGACGCACACACACACAATCTAGATGATTTTTTTTTAATTGAACAAGATATTCTTAATAGCTTATGCATTTTAAATAATTAGGCTGTAAGCTTTCTTATTACTGTATTATGGGAATCGAGCTATTTTTTACGATGATCATGATAACAAGGATCTTTCGATTTTGATCAGTTTGAAAGGAATAATGGTTTTAAAGAGGAGAAAAAGATAGAGTTTCAAAGAGTGCGCAAAAGATAATACGATGAAAAAAAAATAGGCATAAATCTATGAGAAAGTTAATAAGATGACAATTGACTAATGTAAACAGAATATAAAAGCGGTTGTAGGATAGAATAAATAAATTAGTTGAGGCACTCAAGCACAAAATAAGGAACTTAGTGAAAAAAAAAGGGGGGGGAGGTATAAATAACTATTATCTATTTAAAACTTTATCTTCTATAATATAACAATTTTATTATATTTACTTCCATATTTTCAAAGCAATGTTTTACTTTAACAGTTATACTATTAAAGAGATAAAGTCAGTAATTTGTCAAACGGTATATAAATGATAAGGTTAATTATTAATTATTCAAACAAGTTTTTATGACCATCAAAATAAGGTAAAATTCAGAGTTAATTGCTATAGATTAAAAGCACTAGTACACATATCATAAAAGAAGAAAGGATTTCAACTTGTTTTTATATACTTATTGGTGATTTATACATTTACTAAGGATTATGTATATTTCATAAGCAATACTAAATATGACTCAGTTGTAACCAAATGCTTTTCTAGTTTTTACATAAATGACTCATCATTTAAAATCACAATAAAAATAATCAATTTTTAGAGCTGTTGTTCTGTCTTGCCGACCTTGCTAGTTTTATATGTATGCATATAATTTTATATTTATCTTCATTCTGATATCCTAATAAAGATATAACAACCTAGTTACTACTTTTCTTTCTTTCTTTTAATGGAAGATATACCAGTCATTGAACGATTTAAATTCTTTTGGGTTTCAGTTGCTCGGATATGTCTCCTCATGGCTAGTTTTTTTGTTGTTGAAATAATAAATACAATTAATAGATAACTTACTAATGTTGGCAGTTTTCTGAAAAATGACCGTAAAAATGAACCCATTATTCATATCAAGTCTTTTTAGGTCTTTCTCATTTGTTCTATGAACTTTGATTTCTTCCAGCTCAGTATTACTGAAGTAATTAACCCAACATTTATCCTCAGCTTCAAATATTAACGAGTAGAAGGCACTTGTAAAATACAGTTTATTACACATTAATTAGCTATGCAGATAAAAATTACTTACCGTTCATAATTACAAGATAAAGTCATTTGCTTCATCTTCTGTTTTACTAGGGTGCCACTTGAAAGTTTTCACATTTTTTCTTCCAATAGACTGTTATAGATAAAAATATATGTTTACTGGTTTGTAATCAATATTTCTCAATTTGAATAAAAATCCTACGCCACTTTCAATAGAGTAACATGTTATTTACTGTCTCCAAATGTACCATTGACTTCAACTATCTAAAGTTGTTGAGAATACTCTCTCCCCAAATTATTTGTAAAATCTTACACACAAACTTGACATTTATTTTTCCACCGAGTAAACTCCATTACAATCTGGACAGAAATTCCTTAATTAGACCTCCTCACCTCCTTCTCACTAATAGTGTCATAGATTTACTTTTTTTTCTCCTTTTTACCTTCTTTCCTTTTTTCTTTTTTTTATTCTTGATCCTAAAAGGGGGGTTTTGATTATAAAAAAAAAGTATGAATTAAACATTTAATGAACTGTTTATCAAGCTAGTATTTACTGGTTATTCACGAAAAGTACCCATTTTTTCGCTCTAATAGTTTCCTAATGAAAGGTGTAGTATATTACTTACTTGGGTTACATAATAGTTTAGCATAATTTCTAGTCTAACTACATCGAAGCCTAATAACTTTGCTGCTTCAAATATTCTTCCACATCAGACTGTATTAGTTTTACGAATTATAAATGTTTTTAGAATCAATGGTTCTAGTTGATGAAGAGCTTCCAATAATTCAATTTGATCATTTTGTTCTGGCAATACTTCCCTAAGCAAGAGGTATTTTCTCAAACAATAATAATAATAGTAGTAGTAGTAGTATAATGAGCTTAATCTTGTCTCTTTTTATTATTTAATAATTTACTACCATCTTTAAAGTATCTTTATAGTTAATTGAAGAATTGTTGTTCACAAAAGACACTTTAATTAATATTTAGAGCTAAATAGTTTGATTTACATTATTCTTCAACAAGGAAAAAAAAAACGCAATAAGAACAAAGGGTAATAGAGTATATAAATACATATGCAATTCATAAATTATGCTGTGAAGATAATTCAAATAAAAGTATCAGATAAGTATTGATACACTTTTAGCAATCGCAATAAAGATGATACATTAAAAAATACAAGTGGTTAAATAGATATTGATGACAAGTCAAGGACAGCTATTACATTTTATTATTAAAATATGTTTACATGTTAATTATCTAAAAAGAAAGAAGAAAAATAAGTGCTTGACTGAATTATTACAAAAATAACATGAATTAGTGTACAACAACAGTTCCAGACATGTATCTATTAGTTTGATTCACAATTGTAATGTGCTGTTCTCTTGGTTAATATTGACATAGATATTTAAAGTGAAAATACATAGTAGTATTTAATAAGTTATAATAACCTTTAGGGAAGGATTATATATAGTATTTATTAGTGTTTCTGTTTCTGTGTGGTAATTATTTATTACACATTGTAAAGGTAAATCAATAAATTTACTACTAATATCGCACTATTTTTATTACACATATATTTTGAAGAGACTAGAATATATCAACAAAAGTCAACACTAGTCTCTCATGGTCAATTGTTTCATTTGTATCTTTTAAATAATGAGCTTCTCATATAAAATGTAATAAGAGTATCCCTGAAATCAAAGGGCCATTAGAATTTAGCTATGATCAAAAAAAAAAATATGTGGCATACATAAAGGAATCCACAACATCCTTACACTCATAGAACACGAAGAAGTTAAAGAAAGAAAGAAAGAAAAGATAAAAGAGTATACTCCTCTTTGAAAAGTGTTTGTCTGGATGTCATTAGCATCCTTCGTCTTGAAGAGTTTTTAGTTTAGGTTAACCTTTTTTTTTTATTATTTTGAGACTATCAAAGGGCTGACTGAATTAAAGTAATAGAGCTAATTATGTATGTATAGTAACATATTTGACTGTTACTTATATCTTGATCCAAAAAAAAAAAAAAAAAAAAAAAAGAATAGTATTTCTATCCATGTATTGAAAAGAAGTCAAGATGTAACTACTGCTTATTTATGATTGGTAAATTAATAGGCTTATAATAAAAACAAATGATGTTGTACAGTAATAATAAAAACTTGGAAGATGCACGTGGCTTTTCCTAGGTTATATTTAGAGTAAATAGATTATCTTGTATTCATATTTCGAATAAAAAAAATGTGTTTTTTTAAAATGCTGATTACGTAATATTAGGATGAATATCAAATAGCCATCACTAAATTTTTTATTCCTTTTGGTGTAGAATCATCATTTAGATGTTTTGAATTATATTTTAAAGCAGAGACAAGGTTTGATGTGGTAGACTGTTCTTGTCGATGTATAGTTTGGATTGTTTTTAAAGAGTTCTTTACCTAATAAGATAATAAAATTAAAAACTTGTTTTTTTTCCCCCTTAATTATTTTTGTCAAGCAAGCTTACATTAATAGGTGAATTCTTTGAGAAAGCACCAGAAGGATCAATATGATCATAAAGTATAATTGAAATAACCATGACTTTTAAATAGAAATTATCTGTGTGTTGAGTTGTTCTTTTCTTATTTAATCTTTGATAACAAGCAGCCCAAATGCTTGTAAGCCATTCTGTTATACATTTCACAAGATGGTTCTGTTTTACATAATCAGTTGTTATATCAATTACACATTTTAACATTGGAGTTGGATAAGCAATAAAAAGTGAAATATGGTTGGCAAGATCATCTTCATTCATAGCTAATCTTAGATCTGATGTATTACTGGATGGTTCTATAGTTGATTTTCTTCCTTTTTGTAATGTGCGTCTATAAAAGGAGAAATCATTCTGTATTGTAGGATTTCCAATCTAATCATCATATTATTATGTAAGCATATCCTACTCTATCTTCCTCCATCTATCTATCTATTTACCTTAATATTATCGAACTCAAATACGAAATCAAGTATTTCTGCAAATAATTTTGTTAATCCTGGATGTCTATCAAGATCTTTTGTTGTATCACTATCTTTACATAGAACTTGGAGTAATATTGGGATACCTTGGTCTATCATGATAAGGGTTAAAAAAAACAAAATTTTTATGATAGTGTATGCGTACATTTAATATACCTAATTCGGAAGAATAATTGTAAAATTCACGTAACATATTTACAGTAGGTAAAATAGCATTCCACGCTAAATCCTCGTTTTCTATATTAGGTGTAGCTATTGCATTTCGAATATATTCTGAAGCGGGTTTATATTCTTTAAAGGCTGTTAATAAACTGGGAGTGGGTTGCACTAATAAAGTGTAAAGTTCATTATAAATTCCTAACTCCTCCGAAGAAGGACTTGCATCTTTTTTTTTATTATTTTTGATAATATTAAATTAGTTTTATAATATTACGAATAACATCAATATCTACTTACTTTCAATATCAAATTTTATTTCAGGTACTAAATCTGAATAATTACTGCGGGGATTCAAGCTTGCTAATAATTGTCCCATATTGTGAGATCTAAGAGGATGGATGATAGAATGAAGAAGATCGGTATTAAGATTATTGATTAGATGACAAGAAAAGGATGTTGTATCTAATTCGTAAAGTGTAAATGTATATATAAGGTTTAAAAAGAATGAAGGAATGAAGGAATGTATAAATTGAATTGTTTAAATTTAGAGAATAAAAAAAAATAAATAAATAAAAAAAAAAAAAAAATAAAAAAAATAAGAAATAAAAAATAAAAAAATTAGAAATAAAAAATAAAAAAAATTAGAAATAAAAAAAATAAGAAATAAAAATTAAAAAAATAAAACGAAACAAAACAAAACAAAATAAAATAAAATAAAATAAAACCAAAATAAAACAAAACAAAATAAAATAAAACCAAAATAAAATAAAATAAATAAATAAAAAATTAAATACAGAATAATTTTTTCATATTAAAAAAAAAAAAAAAAAAAAAAAAAAAAGAGGGAGTGTATATGCGTGTTTGTGGGGGGAAAAGAGAGAAAGAGGAGGAGGAGGAGGTAGCAGTGGTAGTGGAGGTGGTAACGGTGGAGAAGAGAAGAGGAGTTTTTTTTTTTTTTTTTTTTTTTTTTTTTTTTTTTTTTTTTACATGTATAATATTATTAGCGTATTATTTGTCACCTATTTTACAACTAAATGTATTATTCGTGAAATAATAAATTACCTTTTAATTTATATAAAAGAAATAAAACATATGTTTTTAGACTATTGTCCACTATTTGAATGTTACAATTCAATAAATATAGTGCATATAAAAAAGGAGGAGAAAGAAGGAGGAGTAAAAATTTCTATCTCAGGAAATATTGGCGAAAATTATGCCATAATTTGACATGTTATTGATCCTTTCTATTCTTTTGCGAGTTGTAATTCTCTAAAATATTAAAAATTCCTTGCTTTTTATAAATTGTATTAAATAAGCTTAAAATACAAGTAAATAACACAGGTTGCTTTGGTAATTGTGTATTAAATAAAATTTCATTTCATATATAAAATGTTTAGATTGTAACGGATTAAATCTTTTATAACGGAACATCTTATTTTCCGATAATAATAATAATAAAAAAGGCGTGAAGAGATCTTGTATAAAGTAACAAAACATCTAGTTTTATTTAGTGTTCTTCAAATACATCAATTTTCCAAAATGCATATGGATCAGCAAATCTTTGAACTTTTTCTTCTTTTGCCACTTTACTCAAAGCTTTAAAATCTTCTTCTTTAAGATCAACAGTATGAAAGTTGGAGACAATACGAGAAGCTGTTACGGATTTAGGAATTACACTATAATTACGTTTAAGGCCCCAGGAAATAAGAATTTGAGCAGTAGAAACATTGTATTTTTCGGCAATTTTAGTCTACATGGCAGGTAAAAATAATTGAATATACCTTGTACGATCATTTATGAATACTTATACTTACAACTACTTCATGTTTGAACAAGGGAGAGTTGGTACTACCAAGAGGAGAATAAGCAGTAACTATTTAAACGTGTGTATGATTATTAATTTACATGTTACACTATAATCATCTTGATTGACAAATAATTACCAATAATGTTATGTTCTTCACAGTATTGAACTAATTCATCTTGAGGCAAAAGAGGATGCAATTCAACCTATGCGTTCATTATGTTTATTTAAAACAAAAAAAAAAGTATGCAATAGTGTTATTAATTTTATACCTGATTAACAGCTGGAACAGTGTGCTGAGTCTTTGCTAATTTTTCAAGTTTGGCAATATTAAAGTTACTGACACCGATTGCACGAACCTTATTTTTATCAAGTTTTTCCATGGCCTAGTATTATAAATAATAAGCGATGAGTAATAATAATAATAATAGAATAGATTTATATATAAATAAACCTTACAGCATAGGTTTCGGTAAAATCAATATCATCCAAAAGAACATTGCCATCTTCATCCCTGGACACATATCCATTTCCAGCTTTGAAGGCACAAGGCCAATGCATTAGATATAAATCAATATAATCTAATCCAAGGTTTGAAAGTGAGTTTTCAAGTCCCCTTTCAACATCTTCAGGACGATGGAAAGTGTTCCATAATTTGGTAGTAACAAAAATTTCTGAACGAGCAATGCCAGAGTCTCGAATAGCTTTACCGACTTCTTTTTCATTACCATCTAAATATGTACATTGATATTAAACAAGAATTAATTTCTCCATATATACAGACTTAATATATGTATATATTTACAAACATATGCAGTGTCAATATGGCGATAACTATAATACTTCATATAGATAAGTAATATGAAGAAGAAAAAAAATCATTTACACGCATTTATATGGCATTTTTACTTACCCGGTTTTAAGAGCAGTTAGAACAGCATCATAAACTTCTTCAGGTTTAGATTGCCATGTACCTAAACCAAGAGCAGGAAAAGAAGCACCAGTATTTCTACAATAGATATATCAACATATAAATATAGATTATGTAATACACATATAAAGTTTATATTCACTTACAACTTCAAAATTTTGTTAGACATCTCTTTTATATGTTATTTGTGACAAAAGAAAAAGAAAGCTATACTCTTTACTGTCTTATTTTTTATATCTTTTTTTTTTTTTTCTATTCATCGTCACGATTATTTCATTTTAATGTTAATGGTCGGGATTTTTAAAATCATACTGGTAAAAATCTCTTCTTCTTTTTTATTATTATTATTTCCACATCCGATCTTTACTGGAATTATTTCTTTTTTGGTAAAACATAACTATTAAAGGAAAGACTTTATTTTACAATTATTAAATGTATTCACTTGAGCCATTCTATTATAAACCTTTATATTATATAATGCTTCATGTTAAGATATATTCTGATATAAACATAATTTATACGCACTTCTCCTTTTTTCTTTTAACTTAAAAATAAAAATAAATATACCAGGGATTCTTGTACAAAAATCAGTCTTTTTGTTTTGAGTTTACTTTAAGCAACAACATATGCTGACTGTATGGCAACACAAAAAGTAAGCTTAATCTATTGTCTAAAAGAGCCATTCCCCCCCCTTTTTTTTTCTTCATTTCTCCTTTAAAATTTCTGTTTTCACTTCACTTCTTTTCTTTCTTTTTACTTATTTTTTTTTTTTTTTACTCTTATAATTGTGTTATTTATGATGATAGAGTTTTTAAAAGCAGTTACAAGAAATTATATTGAAAAAGTAAGAGGTTTTTTACAATCAGAGATCGATGTAAATAGTTCGTTTATCTGGAATTCAAGGGATACGTATTCACCTGTTATACCTATCGAAATGAGAAGTCAACCTGATTTATTAAATAATTTACAACCAAATCAACAATATCAATGCAAAGCTTTAAATATTGCTGTCTTAGGAGGACATGCTGATATGGTACGCTTACTATTAAGTGCTGGTGCAGATATCAACAGTAAAGATGGCAAAGGAAGGTAATAGATAATACGACTGATATGTTTCTTTTTTTTTAACAATTAAGTTACATAATAGAACAGCACTTGTATGTGTTATCTATGGCTTAGATCTTGATGCATCCAACATTAATACGTCTAATTTACATTTCATCTCACAAACAAATCAAAATCATTTTGATATTATGAAAAACATTTTGCTGTGCCATCCAAATTTACATTATGCAACATTAGATTCTCCTCAATATGAAATTAAAGGTATCACTCCCTTATGTTTAGCTAGTTATTTGGGGAAAGCGAGTATGATTCAGTTACTATTAGAAGATGGTCGAGTCAATGTTGATGGAACAGATAGTAAAAATGCGACAGCTTTAATGTATGCTGGTATGCTTTTTTTTTTTTTTTTTTTTTTTTTGATTCTTATTTTTCCTTTGTTGATTTCCTTTTTTCCCTCTAGCACGAGATGGTAATGCAACTGTAGTCAAAATACTATTAGACTATCATGCATCTCCTGATATGACTGACAGTCATGGTTGGTCTGCAATTCAATACGCTGAAAGAAATCCAGAAATTGTACAATTATGTGAGCAAGTGTTAAGAACCAAAAGGTCCGAATTTTCTGTATGTGCCTATCTTTTCTTTTCCTTTTTTTTTTTTTTTTTTTTTTTTTTTTTTTTTTTTTTTTTTTTTTTTTTTAATCAATTCATTATAGGTTACATCCAACAATTATTCAGTAAACTATCCAATAAATTATTCAAAATTATCTCAATTTATTAGTTCAATGCCTGAATATCCATCCTCTCTTTCCCATCTTCAATTCGAAACTTTAAAGGGAATTGATCATCTTGATCCAGCTGCTACACCACTTGTACAAATCGTTCAAAGCGCATTCTTAAAAACAATTAAAATTCATGACCATTTATCACTTCAAACATTATTAATGAAGCCACCACCACCACTGCTACGAAGCAATGCGTCAGAGCAATCTGGACCACTCCTTGTCAATTATCATGATCCAAAGACGGGGCTCACAGCGATTCATCACGCCATGAGAACAAAGCCTTTACCTTCACCAGAAACGATCACCATGCTCTTTTTGGCTGGAGCAGATATAAACTCACAAACCTATTATGGACGCACTGCTCTTCATCATCTAGCAAGATTTGGACTTGACAAAGATGGTATATCATGGGGGATACAAAAAAGTAACAAGGCATCAGAAACTATACCTCCTCCTCCTCCTCCTCCTCCTACTACCACTACTACTACTGATATTAAAAATATTCCTGAGCATCTTGCCCTCTGTGCTTCCCTTTTAATTCGTTTTGGTGCACTCGTCAATATTGCTGATCCTATTGGTAACACGCCACTTCACTTTGCTGCCGAGTTTGGAGGAGTGAAGGAGGTGATAGAGGTTCTTATCTTAGAAGGTGGAGCCGATTTAACCTTAAAGAATAAGAAGGGCCTAACGCCTCTTGACGTTTCCAAATCTGATGAAATTAAGAAAAGAATACTTCAGTATGATACAGAACTGAAACATGCTAGTAAAACAAAATCCATGATCTCATCCTTGAATGGTACTATTCGACCCTTTGATTCCGCTAGTGAATATAATCGCCATTCCATCGCGTGCTCCATCATCACAACATCATCTCTCTTTCGAAATCAAGAGACAGATAAAACTAGAATGCATTTTTTGATGACACAAAAGCAATTGTTGTCAGAGGTCGTACAGAGGGACAACAACACACACGCTGAATATTCTGATTTTGAAATCATCTTGAGGGCCTTCTTTGGTTATCAAACCACCTTTACGGATTCAATTGAAAATTCGTTGGCCTATATTACGGATTCCATTCTAGGTTCATGGCGATTGCAACCTGAAGAGCATACGAGATTATTCTTAGAACTAGGAAAGACGATAAGTGAACTACGCTACGAGCTACGTGAGGCCCATGAGATGTTTGATGTCACTGATCAACTTGTCGAAAAGGTCACAGGACATTTCCGTGAGGAGCTCGAACAGATTGAACAGGTTCATCAGACAGATTGGGAAATGTCTGAACTGCAAAACGATAAAATTGAAAAGTTGTTTGATGTCTTTGAGCGTATTGATGGACGATTCTGTCAATTGGAATCGGCTCAAGATGATTTAATAGTTCAGCTTGAAGAATTAAGAAGAGCAGCTGTCAGAAGGCAACAACAACAACAACAGCAATTATTTCAGACAAATGAGGCTACAGATATAGGATGTTGTATTACTCATGTCTTACAATCTTTACTTATCCTTCAAACGGTACCTATTGATCAGGTTCTCTATTTACGAGATGATAGAAACAGGCTTTTTCAAGAAATGAGGGCCGTCATTGATCAACTTAAACAGGAAATTCAAACTCATCTTGATAACGATAAGGGGGATCATAAAGAGAAATTAATTGAAACAATGTCGCTTTTAGAGAATTCTTGGTCAAATGTAAAGGAGCTACTCACTAGAGATGGCCTCCCCTCTAGTAATAAGATAGAAGAAGAACCATTGTCTGATATTGATACTATTTCACATTCTATGAATTATTCTAGCACATTACAACAAAGGGAAAAGACCATGTCAAATATATACAAATATTGTAATAAACAAACTGGATATCAAACACTCAATGAGCTTGAGCTCTCCTTTGATATACTTCAATCAAACTTGTCTGAAATTCAAAAAGATATGGCTCAGATTAATAAACATATAGAGGAAATAATGCAGGGTAAGAAAAAGATGTATGAAGTATGTCTAACATTGGAGAAACAATTGAACGGCAATGGAACCAGGGATATGGAGGAAAAAGCAAAGTCAGAGCTTAATCAAGTTTTAAAGTTTACACAGCAATTGTTTGATAAACAACAGATGCTTGATACAGAACGTACTGGACTTTTGAAAGAGTATTCAAATATTGAACAAGAACTGGTAAAGGTTCGTACTCAATTATATAATGTACGTCCGCCTGCTCTCTTACATGGGCTCCTTGAACGTCTGGATACAGATGAAGCTGCTTACTGTGTTCATGTTGAAAAGGATTGGAAAGAAGATTCAAATCTTGTAACGGAAGTTGTAATGGATGAGCATCATGAAGAGGGTGACAAAAGCTGTTCTTCTTCCCTAGCTTCTTCTTTTTCTTCTTCTTCTTCTTCTTCTCAAGACTACAGGATTCAGCATTCAATGACAGCATTACAAATTGAACAACTTAATACGCAATGTGCTTCTAATTTATCTACCCTCAGTTATATTACACGTCTTGATGCAAGCTTGTATTGTCTTAAAGTTCTTGCCACTCATTCCGTTACCAAGGCTCGACAAAATCTTTTACAAGTTCAAGCTTCTTTGGGACAAGCAAGTACAGACCTTGATGGAATTCGAAGCCAAATGACACAGTTGTATGATGATGCAGCTGAGGTAGCTAGACAGGTATTCGCTCTCAAGATTGAAATGGAAACAATTGTACGTCATCGTAAAGAAGAAGTGATTAAGGTATGGGAAGTGATTGATGAAGTGTCTGTAGGGCTTGATGCAAAATCCATTCAATCAAGACAGCAAGCAGAAAACTTATCACAAGCATCCATAAATGCTGATATATCAATTACACAGCAACGACAACAACAACAACAACAGCAACAGCAACAGCAACAACAGCTAAATATCAGTTTGGAGGAACCAGATCATCATCAATGGATCATTCGAGAATTAGAACAATTACAGCGCGTCCATGCAAATTTGGAAGAATCAGTGGAAGAATTAAAACAAGAGCAAGCCATGATCAGTCAAAATTTACGCCAACTGTCAATTGTCTTTATAGAACCGCAAGTAGATAGACTAGTTGGCCAAAATGATGAATCTCTTTTATCAACTAGCGATCGTTTAGCTGAATTGATGGATCGTATTAGAGATAATGATTTAGGTCTACGACCTTCCTCATTCTGGTCCTCTACCACCATCAATACGATTGCAATTAAAAAGCCATCTCAACAACAAAAGCAAATACTAAGAGTGGCCACAACTGGAGTTGGGTAAAAAAAAAAAAAAAAAAAAAAAAAAAAAAAAAAAAAAAAAGAGAGAGAGAGAGAGATACAGAGAGAGCTATTTATAAGATTAAGAATAGTGTTTTTAATATTATATGTAAATTTTTATATTAGACTACGCATGATAAATAAGAATGCAAGTAATGCAAATAGATTATCTGTAATGTCTGCAGCTACAAGTCGTTTATCAGCATTAACACATAATAGTAAACAGTCTTCAACTTTTATACGTTCACCTTCTAGTATCATTGTAGATAGTCATAACAGTAACCATAAGCAATTATCAGCTGCTGTTAGTATTAAAACAGATAGAAAACGTATGTCAGTCATGTCAGCAATCAGTCTTTCATCTTTATCATCATATCAACAGGAAAGAATGATGACAAGAGCTTCTAGTTTGAGCTATGCTTTATCTAAAATACAAAAAGAGAATACTATTGATGAGGATGAATAAATTATATTATAATTATATTGACTATTTTGTTTACTACGCTTTTTTTTTAAAAAACTACTATTGAAAAAATAATTCTTCTAATAGAGAAGGGTGAATTCTATAGTTGCATTACTTATTTGAAGGGTTGTTTTCTATCTTTAACTAACAAGTATAACCTATTTCATCATAAACATTTATTTTTAATCAACATATATTTTTTTTCGAAAATCTGTGCTGTTTATAAGAAACCCTTCAAATCAAAAAAATAAAGTAAAGACAGTAAAAATATAAAATGAAGTACTCGGCAAGTTGATAAGATAGTATGATGAATACTATACTATTGTCACATAAGTTTAAAAAAGAGATAAAATCCTTTTCTTTTTCTACATATAACAGCAAGAAATGTTTATCAAATAAAGCAATAATTGTAAAGTTTATTATTAATATAGATCATTTAGCATAGTAGAAATGGCTTACAAGTTGCTTTGAATTTTAACAACTTTAACTTGAGTATATTCTTGAATAGCATATTTACCAAGTTCTTTACCAAAACCAGATTGTTTATAACCACCAAAAGGAGTCGAGTGATCAAAGATATCAAAACAATTAACCCAGACAGTACCAGCTTGAAGCTCATTAGAAACAGCAATAGCAGTATTAATATTAGAAGTGTATACACCACCTGCCAATCCATACTTTGAATCATTAGCCATTTCAATAGCTTCTTCAATAGTTTTAAAAGTAGCAATAGCTACTACAGGACCAAAGATTTCTTCTTGCATAATACGCATATTATTTTTACAATGTGTGAAAATCGTGGGTTCAATGTAATAGCCCTTTTCCCCCCAGCGTTTACCTCCAAGAGCCAACGTAGCTCCCTCCTCTTGACCAATTCTAATATAATTCATGATTTTATCAAATTGGTCTTTACTAATTTGAGGACCTTGAAAAGTATTCTCATCAAATGGATCACCAAGAGTGATTTTCTTTGTTTCGGCAATAAACAATTCCATAAATTTATCGAACACATCCTCATGAACAAGTATACGAGAACCTGCATTACAACTTTGACCATGATTGTTAAAGATACCACCATGAGAATGAATAGCTGCATTAGCAAGGTCTGCATCAGCGCAAACGATTTGAGCAGATTTACCACCTAATTCTAATTGAAGTTTCTTCAAGTTGCTATTTGCACTAGATTCCATCACTTTACGACCAGTTACAGTAGAACCCGTAAAAGCCATCTTACTGATACCTTTATGATTAGTAAGGAATGCACCTGTAGTTTGGCCATAACCAGTAATGATATTTATGACGCCCTTATAATATATATGTATTTGTTAATATCATATTTATTCATTTCTTATTATATTTAATATCATCAATAACTTACAGGAGGGAATCCAGCTTCCTTGACCAATTCTGCAAACTTGTATAAAGAAAGTGGTGTAATTTCAGAAGATTTCATTACAACTATATTCAAAAAAAAAGAGTGTCTTTTATGATCACAAAGTATATACATATATAAAGACGAATTTGAAACTTACTTGTATTTCCAGCTGCCAAGGCAGGTGCAAATTTCCAAGTCGCCATCATAATAGGATAATTCCAAGGAATGATACAACCGACAACACCAAGTGGTTCATGGCGAGTATAACACAACTTATCAAAGGTTGTATCAATTGTTTTACCATGAATTTTATCAGCCCAACCAGCAAAATAACGGAAGCAGCCAATTGAATCAGTGATATCTACATCACGAGCTATCGTAAACGCCTTACCATTATCAAGAGCATCTAATGTCGCCAATTCATCTTTATCACGTTCCATCAAGTCAGCAAGCCTATTTATCAGACGTCCACGTTCTGCAGGAGATACTCTTCGCCAAGTTGTCTTGAAACATTCCTGTGCAGCCTGTACAGCTGCATCCACATTAGATTGGTCTGCAGAATGAACAGAGCAAATTACTTCTTCTGTAGCAGGATTGATGGTTTCAATCATAGGCCCATTTCCAGGAATAAACTCATTGTTAATGAAAAGATAAGTATGAACTACAGTAAAAAAAGAAAAAATGAAAGAGAGTTAATATAAATTAAGGCAGAGGGTAGGGGGGCAGGGAGGGAGGGAGGCAAATGTGCTGATGTATACTTATATAATTTAACTTACCTTTAACTTCTTGACCTTTTGAAGTTTTAACTGTTTGAATATCCTTTTGCGTCATCTCTTTATTTTAAAAGTTATATATATGAAAAAGAGAATAAAAGAAAAGAAAAAAAAAAGAAATGCAGAAAATTATGTATTCTTGGTAGCTTATATATAGTGTAACAAACTTGGAAATGATTTTTAAAGTTTCGGAAATCATAACTTGCTTTATTGTAGGATTCTTTTCTAAGGGACAAAAGACTAGAATAATTGTTATGATGCACGCTTTATCATTTATTATTAATAATGCCCTTTACTTCCTTTATGAATATAAATATATACATATAACTTTTGCAGGAAACATTTACGATATGTATATAATGCTAATGCTTAAAGAGTCTGGTGGGAAAAGTATATTATAAATAATAAGTCACGTACTATACTTAAAACATCCATTTAGTTTTCTTTATAATAGATTCTTCATACATTTAAACTATAGGCGTGTTCCATCCGTTTTAGATGAAAAAAAAAAAAGGAAGAATGCTGTTGAGATATATTTGAGAAAGCAAAATATTAACCCAGTGTTTGCTATACAGTAATGAAAAAAAAAAGCATAATTCAAAGTATATTAAATGTATATAGTCTATTGTAATTGTTTATATGAAATACGTAGCATAAATGAATTTATTTGAATTGCTTTTATTCTATTATTCTTATATCCGATATCCTTCAAATACCAGTTTGCTTATTATACATTTATATGAGCTATTTACATAATAATAATAAACAAGATTAATTATTAAACACAAGCTATAAAAGCAATGTTAGACATAAAAGTTTATCCCAAAGAAATTCGCATTTCAGAATATGTATAAAGAATTTTTTTTTTTTTTTTTTTTTTTTTTTTTTTTTTTTTTTTTTACATGTGTATTTATAGTACATATCATACGCAACTATGTCACAGTTTATTTGATCATGTTTTCATCTAAAAATATGTTCTGTTACTTTACGTATTTTTATATATTTCATAGATATAAGTCCTTTGGTTAAATCTTTAAATGTAAAATTCATCAAACTCGTACACAATTTAGTGTATATAAGAATTATCTTTTCCATATGTTCACATGGCTTCTAAATAATAAACGTATTCAAGATATAAAGCGATTACTGATTGTTGATAAAAGTATATATCGTTTTCATCATCTATCTTGTAAGGAACTATATTAAAGCTATCTTCTTACATGCATCTGTTAGCAATAGGATTTCAGTAGTTATGGAATAGTATCCAAAACTAAAAAATATTTTATTAAGGATAATAAATGATGTTTACAATCTGTTAGTATGATGCTATTGCCTTACCAGAATTAAATAATAGTATTATAATAAAGAATATAAGTGAGCAGTTCATTTAGATATCCTGAATAATATAGAGAGATAATATCTTTTCTTTTTTAAATTGAGACAAAGCTTATCCTAAATATCATGCTGTAGTATTTGAAATTTGCCTCGGAGTATCATGTGCAATTTAATGAATTAATGTTCTGTTTAGTGCTTCTCCTCATATTTATAATTTATAATCGAACATTCATTTATAACTGTATAGGTTTGCTTACATTGAATATGAAAATACATAGACTTGAAAATAAGAAATTGTAATGTCTTTATATATTGTTTTAGTCACTCTTTCATCTCGTCCTCCCTTCCTACTTATAGGCTAAATTGCAGTACTATCACTTGTATTAAACTTATTTTGTAAAATGATGACTATTTTGACGGAATACATAGGTATTATCACTCATTCTTACTACAACAAGCTTATGCTTTAAGGATATATATATATATATATATATACAGTTTGCTAATCATCAGGGCGACAAAAAAACATTGATTTCTATGATTATTTGTCTTTAAGAAAAGAAGACGAATCGAACAATATGAGTTAATTTTTTAATCTTTCTATATTCAAAATCTAATTGCTTAGTCTATTAATACTTTTATTACATCCACAGAATAATGATCGATAATAGGCTTCTATTTCTTGCAAACTACTACAAATGAATTATAAAGAAAGGACTATTTATATAAAGAAAGAAAATAAATTACTTAATATTATGTCATGTAGTAGTCTATAAAAGAATCCATGTACTTTTCCATAGATTTCTTGATTTTTTTTTTCAATTTCAGACTATTTTCCCCATTTTTGGGTTACTAAATAAATAAAAAACTTCTATAGCAGTGATATAAAAAGGCTACCTTTAATTCCTTTCTTTCATCCTTTTATTATCTTATAAATTTCTCCAAAAAAAAAAATGGTTAAGTCTTCTTTATCTGATCAAACAATCGAAGCATTCAATATACCTGAGTTTAAAGGAACACTAGAACAGCAGCAAGCTATTAAAGAGCTTTATAAACAATTTACAATAACAACAGAGAGAGCCCGTATTATTGTCAATCAATTTATAAAGGAAATGCGGAAAGGCTTGGATCATGAAGGTGCTACAGGTAATAATGAAAAAAAACTCGGGCAAAAAAAAAAAAAAAAAAAAAAAAAAAAAAAAAAAAAAAAAGAGGACTGTATTTAATTGTATTTTTTTTTTAAAAAAAAAAAAAAAAAAAAAAAAAAAAAAAAAAAATAGTGGCAATGATTCCTAGTTTCGTTACAGGTCGCCCTACAGGAAATGAAAAGGGAAAATACCTTGCCTTAGATTTAGGAGGAACCAACCTTCGAGTTTGTGAATTTGAGTTAAAAGGTGATGGGGAATTTGCTGTTCGTCAACAGAAATATATTATAGCAGAAGAATATAAAACAGATGAAATGCGTCAACTTTGCGACTTTATTGCTGATTGTGTTGATAACTTTATTACTGAGCATGATCCTTCTGGTAGAAATAACGGTAACGAACAACTACAATTAGGTTTTACCTTTTCTTTTCCAGTCAACCAGACAGCTATTAATAGAGGTACTTTAATGCATTGGACAAAAGGATTTAACTGTTCAGGTGCAATCAATAAAGATGTTGTTATTATGCTGCAAGATTCCTTTCTTCGTAAGAATATTCATGTGAATATTGCTGCTGTAAGTTATAGATATTTTAATAAAAAAAAAATGAAGCGGGAAAATGAATCTTTTTTTTTTTTTTTTTTTTTTTTTATGTAGCTTGTAAATGATACAGTAGGGACTTTAATGGCAAATGCTTATCGATATCCTGAAACGACAATGGGTATAATTCTTGGAACAGGGACAAATGCAGGTATTTTTTTTTTATAAACCTTCCAATTTTTTTTTCACTCACGTACAACTTCTATAGCGTATTATGAAAAACTGGAAAATATTAAAAAATGGAATGGAAATGAAGAAGTGTTTGAGGAAATGATTGTTAATATGGAATGGGGTGCCTTTGATCGTGAGCGTTGTGTTTTGCCTTTAACAATCTATGATAATAAACTTGATCGAGAATCAATTAACCCCCATGAACAATTATTTGAAAAAATGATGTCTGGTATGTATCTCGGTGAAATTGCTCGTAATGCAATTCTTCACCTTGTAGACTCTCGCCTTCTTTTTGAGGGTGAATCTGCTTACGACTTAAATAGACAGTGGGGATTTGAGACATCTTACATGTCAATTATTATTGGTGATAATACAGATGATCTTGAAGAGGTACGTCATATCTTGGAAGAAGTTCTTCAGATTCCTTCAACTACTTTGGGTGATCGTCAGATGGTACAATCTATCTGTTTGGCTATAGGTCGTCGTTCAGCTTATTTAGCTACATGTGGTATAGCAGGAGTTTTATCTCATACAGGGAAACTTGAACAAGACTCGTTAATTGCTATTGATGGCTCAGTTTATGAATTCTTTCCCAATTTTGAACACCATATGAAACAAGCGCTTGGAGAAATCTTTGGTAATGATATTACAAAACGCGTTAAATTTAATTTGGCTAGAGATGGTTCTGGATTTGGTGCTGCTATGATTGCTATGATGGCACATAAAGTTGCTTTAGCTAAGAATCCGTAAAGCATAAAACTATATTAAATAAAAGATAAATACATATTTATTCATGTAAAACCTTCTAGTAAGGCTATAAAGATTAGCAGCAGTTTTTTTTTATCCTTTATCTCTCTTCTTTTACATGAAAAATATTTTGCTGTATACATTAATAATAGGTCCTTACTGAAAAAAAAACATGACATTTTATTGTAAAACGTTGTAATCTGAATGTGGGAATATATTCCATTTTATACAGCCTTCCCACAATAAACTATTCTATTATACAAATTTATTACTATTACTATTACTATTACTATTATTACAAAAAAGAAAAGAAAAGGTAATATAGTGTTATACAAATCTTTATTCCATTTTACTTTACTACTATGACTATTCTTGCAAATATTGTCACTTTGTATATAAAATATAATTCATAGTAGTAGGTTTTTTTTTTTTTTTCAAGCTTATAATTATATCATCGTATATGATATGTATATGACGAATGGTATAAAGTATATATTTATATTACAAATCAGTCAGTACAAGTTTTGATGTTAGCATTTAGTTGGCTGGTTTAATAAGATTATTTTATAAATTTAGCCTAAACATTATTAATGTATTTCATGTATGCATGCATGCATAGTTCAATTTGAAATATCATTATCATTTAAACTACTTTGATCTGTACCTTTTCGGATTATGTAATATTCGGAATATTAAAATAAATATGCAGAAAATAAATGAAATAAAGCTAAGCCTCAGTTCTTTTTTTTTTTTGTTTGTTTGAAAAAAAACAAAAAAAAACCTCATCAATACACTTTTTTTTTTGAAGAAAAATAAAATATACATCATGTCTTCTCGTTTAGCAAAACAATCGTTAGATTTATTATTATCGACCACAAAGAAATCAGATACCCAATTTAATGATAAAAAAGCAGTTAAAGTTAAATTACCAAAGACAAATAAAGGGGTTAAAAAAGCTAAATATGAAATTCGCTATGGAAGACATCAAAAGACAAAAGCATTAAAAGAGAAATTAGAGAAAAGAGAAAATCCAGTTGGTAAAAAAAAAAAAGGAGGAGGACTAAAGTCGGCATAACGAAATAAATCTAATTGAGAATTCCTTTTAGATAAATTGAATGAAATAGAGCTATCCATTGATGAGAAATTAAAACGTAATGTGCAGATCATGCAACGAGCTTTGAGATCAAGTCCATTGGAGAAAAAGATTTATAAAAAGGTAATGCATATATAAACATTTATTATTAAAAAATTATGAAGAAACTTACGATTGTTTTACTATAGATTATTAAAGAGAAGAATGCAAGAAAAACTAAAAAATGGTCAAATAAAGTTCATGGATCTGATCAAGATACTGATGAGGATAGCGATTAGAATGTAAATATGTAATATTTGGTTAAAAATAAATAAATAAATTGATTATCCGCGCTTACACAAAATTGATTACATTTGCACTCCTTGTGCAGTTCTTGTTTTAATTCATATTATACATACACACCATTTCCCCCCTTTTTTTCTACTTGTTGTTATATTGAAATTTTTTAATTTCTTTTTATTTTATTTTTTTATTTTATTTTCTTTTATTTTATTTTTTTATTATTATTTATTTAAATATGTCTGGTAAGAATAAGCATCTTGTAATGTAAATAAATATTAATAATTTTAATAAACAGAACAAAATATTAGCCCTTCTGGAGTAAGTCTTTTATTTTATTTTTTTATTTGGACAAAAATAAATTTAAATGTCGTCAATTAAATCATCATTACTAGATTAACATTGTGCGTAAAAAGTTACAAGGTTATGTTGGTTTTGCCAATCTTCCCAACCAAGTTCACCGTAAGTCTGTAAAAAAAGGCTTTCAATTTACTTGTATGGTAGTAGGTAATGTATATGTTGTTTGGTTTTTTTTTTTTGTTTTAGAGAAAAAAAAACAAGGGAGGGAGGGAGAGAAAAAAAAAAGGAGAGTGAATTTAGGGATATTTAGATGGTTTTCCTATTTCAGGGGAAATATGGGAGATTGGTTAGATATAAAGTAGGAGTTAAACTGGCGTATATTCATGTACACTTCTTTGAAATAAAAAAGAAATATGTATTATTATTATTAGAGTGAATAGTCGGAGTTTTAATAATAATAAATTAATATTTAATAGGTGAATCTGGACTTGGTAAATCAACATTAGTCAATACATTGTTCAATACTCAACTTTATCCACCAAAAGAAACAGGTGAACTAAGTCACGAAACAACTCAAACTGTCGAAGTGCAATCCATTACATCTGATATTGAAGAGAATGGGGTTCGATTAAGATTAACAGTTGTTGATACACCTGGTTTTGGTGATTTTGTTAATAATGAAGAAAGGTAAAAATAAAATAGAAACTGAATAAATAAAAAAAAAAAATCACGTTTTTGATTACTCAATTTATACGTCTTTTTTAAAGTTGGAAGCCAATCTTAGATAATATTGAAGCTAGATTTGACGCTTATCTCGAACAAGAAAATAGAGTGAATCGACGTCGTATGGTTGATAATCGTATTCATGCTTGTCTTTATTTTATTGCTCCTACAGGACATGCTTTAAAGCCATTAGATATTGAATTTATGCGTCGTCTTCATACTAGAGTTAATTTGATTCCTATCATTGCTAAAGCAGATACTTTAACAGAAGAAGAAGTAGTTGCATTTAAGGAGCGAATTTTGGCTGATATTGCTTATCATAAAATTCAAATTTATCAAGCTCCTGTTTATGAATATGATGATCAAGAAACAATTGCTGAAAACCGTGAAATTATGTCCAAGATACCTTTTGCAGTTGTTGGTTCTGATAAAGAATTTGAAGTTGAAGGGGGTCGTCGTGTTCGTGGTCGTAAATATCCCTGGGGCGTTATTGAAGTAGATAATGAAGAACATTGTGATTTTGTTAAACTTCGACAAATGTTAATTCGGTAAGAATGTATGAATAGCATGGATATGGATTCAGTTGTTTAACATTTTAAATTAGTACTCATATGGAAGAATTAAAAGAATATACCAATGATGTTCTTTATGAAAATTATCGTACTGAAAAGTTAACAGCAATGGGTATTCAACAGGATCCTTCTGTCTTTAAAGAAGTCAAGTAAAGTATACCAAAATGAGATGCATTAGTTAAGAATCAAATTTTATTTATCCCTCTTTCCCTTTTTTTTATGTATAGTCCTGTTCAAAAGATGGAGGAAGAACGTCTTGCTCATGAGCAAAAATTAGCCAAGATGGAAGCAGAAATGAGATCTGTCTTCCAAGCAAAGGTACAGGAAAAGGAAGCTAAATTAAAACAATCTGAGGAAGAATTATATGCTCGTCATAAAGAAATGAAGGAAGCGCTTGATAAACAACGTGCAGATTTGGAAGAAAAGAAACGTCGCTTAGAATCTGGAAGACCTATGACTCCAGAAAAGACTGCAAAAAAAAGGGTTTTTCGTTTAATAAGTAAAGAACAAATAGGATGTATCGCTTTTCCCTTCTATAATATCACCTTCTCCTTTCTTTATTTATAAAAAAAAAAAGACTTTTATTTCCCTTTATATATATACATATTTATATATAAATCCCCTCCCTTAAATATTTATATTTATATATGTATATACATGCATACATTTATGTATACATACATACATAATATATATTTATAAAATACTATTATCTTTACTACTAATATACATAATATCTCAATTATATATTTTAATGCTGTTCTAAATAAATACGTTTAGAGGGTAATCCTTGACCTGGTATGTCAACAAAAAGCTGTTTATATTCCCATTTATTCTTTTCGTCCTAATAATTATTTACAAGTTAATAGTTGAAAGGGAAATGGGAAACCATGAAATTACCTTGATCATTTCAACCATGACAGTGCCTTGATTCTTGGGCCCTTCTACATAAAATCGCATGAATAAGTGAGGTTGTTGTTGTCTATCTTCAACTATTTGAGAGGCAATACGTCTATTACGTCTTCTACCATTTCTACTAGGTTCACCGTGAGCCTTAATAGGCTCTCCCAATACTGATACTATTCCTTCATGATCACGAATGCGATCGACTGCATTAGAAAAGATACTTGTTGTACTCTGTGAACTAAATAGTTCAGATCCAACGTAATAGACAATGGCTGATGTCAAGGCTACTCCTGTTAAAATTACGCCTACATTAACTGTTGTTTTCGAAGCCCTAACAACTAGTAGAATTGTATTTTGTTACTAAAAAAAAAAATGACGTGTACATATTGTGAACATGATTTTACCTTTCTGTGGTGTAGATAACTCACTCCAGGGCTTTGAGACTACAGCTGCTAGGCCACTATTATTGTTCGATTTCTTGGGTGTATATCGAACAGGGGTAGAAAATTGTCTACTACTGAAATAATGAATATAATTGGCAGTATTTGTTGTCAATTTTAATTTTGAATTGTAAAAGTGTAGGAATGATGGCTGTTGTTTGCAACTATTTATGCTTTTTATTATTAGATATAGTTCTTCCTTATTATTTATTTTATTTTATTTTTTTCGAAAAGATTTACTATAATAATAAATTACCTTAATGAACGAAACATGATGTTATCTTGTAATAAAGCGCACTCATATTAATTCCTCCGCAAAAAAAAAATAAAATAAAATAAGCAAATAAATAAATAAAAAAAAAAAAAAAAAAAAAAAATGAAAGCCAAAAAATCATTGTTCATTTTTTTAAAAGTACGCTTTATTACATAATTTACAACTTATATGGAAGAAGAGGGAAGAAGTGGCGTAGTAATTCGAATGTCTCTTTCCAATCTTGTAAATGTAGCTATTTTTTGCTTGCATGATGGACATTGATGAGTAATGTCTTTTGTCCAAGGGAATAAAAAAGGTAAAAGACAGCCACCACTATGACATCCAGCAAAAAAGAGTCCACCTACTGATAAGCCTGTGCATAATCCACTTTCGTAATCTAAACTTGTATAAACAATTTGATGACAGAAAGGACATTGGACGAGATCTGATGTTGTTTTCAATGCAGTTAATGGCTGAACTATTAAGTGTTGAGTCAATGTATTATTTGCACTTGGAGGTGCTACACTTCCATAATGCATTACAGCAGCAGGAGGAGGAATTCCTTGTTGATGTTGAGGTATAGGCATAGATAGTGGCATAGTACTATTATTATTTATACTACTAGTAGCGACAGAATAGCTCGGTAATGCTTCATCTTGAGAAGGTATTTTAGGAAAAGTAGAAACAAATTGTTGTTGGTTATAAGAAGGGGGCAATTCTAGGTGAGGATTATTATGTAAATTAGCCATAGTTAGCTGTGTAATATATAAGAAAAAGAAAAAAAGAAAAAAAAGGAGCATTCAGGGGGGGAGGGGAGAAGTTTTTCTTGTCAGTAATATGTATTTGTCATATGATTATTATATGATAATAATTTTATTAGAAAATAAAAATAAATATGTGTATGTTATATGTAATATGAAAAAAAAAATGGTATTATAATACTGTATCAGTATCATGGATAGTATGATTGTTATTATGTAACATATTTTTTAAAGCTCTTATTGCGAATACAGTCAATCCAATACAAGTCCAATCTTCATCTAACAGTTCTCTTAAATCGCCTACTGTCATAATATCTTGTTCTCTTAATTTTCGGATCCATTCTTCTGCCTTTAAAGGATTACGATTCGTAGCTTTTGCTGTATCTTTAACAAAGATATCAATACTGGTATCATCGAAATAGTCTATATAGTAGAATAAATAAATAAAAAAGGGTTAGTATATGCATATATACCATGTCATCTTTTTTCTTATATGTAGTTTACCCCTGGATGGCGGCATCGGCTTAGTGTGAATCATATGATAGTTGTTTAAAGACATATTATCTTCTGTTTTAGTCATTGTTGACGCCTCCAATACTTCTTCTTCTCCTGATGAATATACATCTATTAAATCTTGCATAGTGAATTCATTATTTTCCTTTTGTTGATATAGTTTAGTCACTATCGTTGTTCTCTCAACTAATTCTTTTAATGCCTTCTTTTCCTTTTCTTCTGCTATCAATGCTTGCTGTTTAAGATATTCACATCTCTTTTCTGCTTCAATTAATTTATCCACAAGTCTGGTTAATTCTTGCTTTGATTTCTCAAGTTCAGTTCGAATATCATTCTCTCTTCTCCAAACTGATTGTTGCGTGTTATTATTAATCTTTTTATTATACTCATCTTTAATTTCTTTTTCATCTTCTTCCTTTTTAAGGTCTCTTAAGATACGATTAATTTCATTTGTAATCCATTGTTGGTATCTTTCGGGTAATACTTGTTCTTCAATCATTTCTGCTACAACTTCTTCAGCTGTGTCCTCTTGCGTATTAAATTCAAATTTGACAGATAATTTATCGGACCCTTTAAAGACGACTTGTAGGGTAATGATGGTATGTAAAGGATCGTTTTCTAACAAGACTACATCAGGTTCAATAGCCAAGAATGTACTTTCAAGTAACTCTTGAGCTGATAATCTTTCATGTTCATTAATTGATAAACAGCTATTGATAACTTCTAATACTTCTTGATTTTGAATTTTTGAAAGTGAATCCGGTTTAATGTGCTAAAGGAAGACATTAATATTAATTCATACTATTATTCTCTCTCTCTCTCTCTCTCTCTCTCTTTTGAGGAAGACGAGATTTTTTTTTTTTTGTGCACAAATAATCGAATATTCACAATTTACCTGACACACTTTTTTATAAACTTGAGCTGTATTTGTACATTCAGCATAAGGATATTCACCTGTAGTCATTTCAATTAAACACATTCCAAAAGCATACAGATCCACTTTTTCGTTATAACCTTCTTCTTCATACATCTCTGGAGCCATGAATTCGGGAGTACCAATTAAGGTATATTTTTTATCGCCCAACCACATGTTCTCAGCCGTACCTAAATCACCTATCTTAATTTCCCCATGAGCACCATTAATAAAGATATTATCACACTTGATATCACGATGAATAATAGGTGGATTATGACCATGCAGATAAGCTAAACCTTTCAAAATCTGTCGTGACCAACGCTTCACTATCTTGAAACTCGGTAAATTCAATTTTCGTATGTATTCTCTTAAAGTTCCCGACGTCATCAATTCGGTAACAAAAATGAATTCTGTACGGTTTTCATTTAACCAAGCGTCATGGAAGGCAATAATGTTTGGATGGCGAACGGATTTTAAAATTTCGATTTCATGTCTTACATCTTTATTATTATTATTATTTCCAATCTAATAATAAAGAAAGAAAGAAAAGACGATTTGTTTAGCGGACAATGTATGTATCAATAGTACTCCCTCCCCCCCCAACATGTATTATTATTGTTTGTAAGAATAACTTACATGGATAACATTCCATGCAACTTCATATCCTTCCTCAGAATCCATTGCCTTATGAACTACTTTAAATGCGCCTTTACCTAATAATGTATTGAGTCGACAATAACGTTTATTCGGAGACCATTCAAGAACATGCTCTACATGATTCATGTTTGACTTATCAATAAGATCGTGATGATTGGATGTATGATAATTTAAGAAAGTAGTTATTGGTGATAAATCCCCGTTTATAGGGTATTTATGATAGGAAGTATTTGAAGACGAAGACGATGAAGAATATGAATCCACTTTTGACAACTGATAGTTTATATGATCTGCTATAGTAGCAGAAGTAACTACTGTAGTAGTAGAATTCGTTGTTGCTGTAGTGGTGGTGGTATTGTTCGGAGAATTATTATCTATTATTGACAAAAAGAAGCTGAAGAGGGATTCATTTTTCGTATAGAATCCATTGTAGCCAAAGCTGTATGGCTATCAAATATTGATTCTGTATCTGCCATAAATATACGGAGGGGGAGGGGGGAGGAGAGGGGAGGTTTTTTTTTTCCTTTTCTTTATGAATATATAATAAAATATATCTTTTTATTTAAGAATGTAATAAAAGAATATTCGAGTTAAAAAAAAATTATAAATTATGAATTATAAATTATATAAAAAATTTTACAGAACAGGAAAAAAAAAAATGCGGCTAATAAAAAAAAGCCCTATGCTCAATTTTTTTTTCATTTTTATTATTTATCGTATATGGATATCAATTACAGTGAGTATTTTTTTTTTTTTTGTTTACTAGTTTAATAAAAAAAAATGCTGTTTATGATATCATTCTATATATGCTTTATTACTTGTTAGTAAATATATAAAAGAATCTTCTCCAAAAATAATGAAGTCATGCTACTGTTGTTATCTGATACGAATTGAAACAACATATTTTACTCGGACTTTAACACTCTAAGGGGCACCTGTAAACAATAAATGTTTTTAAGTTATTCATCACGTTGTTCGACCCGGAACATAAATACCATCGCCATGACAATGTATAACGTGATCATGTTTTGTATGCTTACTACAAAATTATGTAATATAAAATAAAAAATACTATTTATAAGTATTTTTTTTTTATTGCTGTTGCTACGAGAAGGAAAAAAAAAAAAAAAAAAAAAAAAAAAAAAAAAAAAAAAAAAAAAAAAAAACCAAGACAAATTAACACTATGTTAACTTGTTAAAGACTTGATGAAACTCTACACTACGAGGTCATCCGTTAAAGAAGCTTGGTAGTGCAAATGCATCCTGACAGAAATAAGATAAAATTTATCAAACAAGTTATTATGTAATTTATTATTTTTTTCATAAATATCATTAGTCATGTCTTTATTATATATGTGTATACATTGCCATTTTTTATTTATATACAAGTCTCTTGTGTATTTATACATAACTAATATACTCAAAATATATATATATATGTGTGTATATGTATATCCTCTTTACACTCTATACCGCGGTTCTTTTTTTTTTTTCTTTTTCCTCGTTTATTACATTTTATTAACCATAATTAAGCAAAATATCATCTCGGATAGAATGACCTATCCGAAAAGTAATTAAATGAATATCTTATTAGAGAAAAAAGAATAGGATTTTAAAAATTATTTAAATTGGGAAAGGCAAAAAAAAAAACGAATCAAGTTACTATTATATATTAAATAGTATTCATCCTTTAGTCAAGTATGGATGTAGCTTTTTTCGGACTCCTGAGGACAATTCTCAAACACTGAAGATACATGACAAGCATTTTGCTGCTCATAAAGTTAGTAAAATAGGTCAAATTATATACATATTTTTTTATTAATTTTAATATATTAAATATAATAAATAGACACTTCAAATGAATGAAATAATATGTGTCTCCATTTAAAAAAAAAAGCGAAGTAGTGAATTATTTGATTAAATTTAATTTTAAATTAAATCGTTCTTATTGGCTGGTCTTTACTTTTTAAAAAGATGGGATAGTTAAATTTCATTAGGGTAATTTTACCTCCTCCCTCCCCGCATTCGTAGACAATTTTAGTATAATTATATTTGTATAAATAATATGAATAAAGTTATTTATACTAATAAGTGCTGTCCGAATGATACGCAATAATGCTTTTACTTCTTCTTCCGAATCTATAAAGGAAATAATCTGGAAATACTGCATTGAATAAGAGTTTTCTGGATCATGGAGATCTGCTTGTATAATAACAATGACCTTTTTTTCTGGTGGAACTTTATGGAATAGTTTATTGAACTCATTGATGCTCGCTATTCTTGTATTTGCTATTTATTTCATTGCTTACGTAAATAATTAATAAGTGGGGGGGGAAAGGGTAATGGCATATACAGCTGATGATGCCTATAAATATTCGAATTAACTTTGTTCAACTGTTAGAAGGCATTTTTTTTTTGAAACCTATCACATATTATATATATCTTGATAGTAGCTTTTAGATAAAAAAATAAAAAAGACACTATCAGGGATTACTCTATTCTTACTATAAAAGGAAAGAAAAAGAACTTAAATAAAAGACTACTAAAAAAATGAGATGTTTTTTTTTATTTATTTTACTCCACATTTTTTTTTTATTATTTTATTTTCTGAAAATGTTTTTTAAACGTTTTTTCCATTCTGCAATCCAGCTACAAAAGAATTACTATAGAATTCTCAATTTAGATGAGAAAGCTAATAAAAGGGCTATAAAGTTGAATTACTATAAACTATCAAAAAAATACCATCCTGATCTTAATCCAAATAATAAGAAAGCCCATCAATCATTTTTAGAAATAAACGAAGCCTATGCTGTATTAGGCAATGAAGCAAATAAGAAAAAATATGATTTAGACTTGAATAATGATACGAATGAAAATACATTATCCAAACATTATTATTATCCAGCAACAAAGGGTTCTAGCAGTAGTACACATGCCTGGACGGCTTATAGAAACCGAAGGGCACCTAGGACAACGGGTTCACAGAGTGCACAAGCACAAGCAGAAAAGATGAAATGGAAACAAGCTGGTGGTGGTTTTAATTATACTGAACATTATCATCGGCATTATGAAGCAGAAGAATACAGACGTAGAGAAAGAATGGAAAATGCTGCGAAAAGGCGAAGAGCAGCTGGAGAGGAAAATATACACCCTTATCATCCATCTTCAATGTCCGGTAAAACAAGCGACATAGGACATACTTGGGGTCGTATTTGGCGGCTGGGAGTTGTTCTGACAGGCATCGCCTATGTTACTCAAATTATAACTTAATAACAAATCTTCATCATTGTTGATTTACACATTCTTCTATTCATATTTAGAGATTTACTTCTTTTCTACTCTATTGTATACATGTCTAAAATAATAAATTGTAAATAGCTCCTATTTTTCTTTTTTTTTTTATAAAAAAGAAAGAAAAGCTTTTTTTTATTATTTAGTATTCTAGTTCAAACGAATCTGAACAAAGAAACACTGATGATATGAATATAGAGAAAAGAAAACTTTTTTCTCTCTCGAATAAAAATAAGCTTAAGATCTGGGCTTTTCCTTCTTTTCCTTGTACAAAGCGAGAAGGGAGACACCGGCAACCTTGACGACCTTGAAACGGACACCAGGAATATCACCAATAGCGCGACCCTTACGACCGAAACCAGCGATCAAAACTTCGTCGTTTTCATCAACATAGTTCAAACAACCATCGTTGGGGACGAAAGCAGTGACCTTCTTACCATTCTTAATGAGTTGAACACGAACACACTTACGAATAGCAGAGTTAGGTTGCTTGGCTTCAACACCAATCTTTTCAAGAACAATACCCTTGGCGTGAGAAGAACCACCGAAGGGAGAAGAGCGGAAAGCGGTACCAAGAGCTCTCTTCTTGTATTGCTTATCAGCCCAACGTTGATCACGACGATGAATACGGAGCTTACGAGCTGCGTTCAAACCTCTAGGTTGTCCCTTACCTAAACATATATTGTGAATGATTAGTAAAAAATAAAATAAAATAAAATAACGAATTTCAAGTCATTGAATATATAATCCCTTTCTCACACACACACACACACACATAAACACACACTCGCTCGCTCTTCCTTTTTAATATTAATGTCTGTATCGTCTAATAAAGTATATGCATACTTTCTTTCCGCCATTTTTTTTTTCTCATGTGTTCAATTTAATCATTTTTTATAATAGTTGATGCATGCATTTCTAATTCTCGAATTATTATTTTTTTTTTTTTGTTGTACATCCAATAAAGTATGAAGCATCCATCCATTTAAATAGTAATAACGATACATCCATTATTCAAAATAAAATAATAAAATAATTTTTGATAGATGCTTACCCATGATGAAATTTGATTAAAAAGGAAGGTCTTTACAAATTGCTAACTTCATATTTACTTTTGGGCCAGTAAATCCCTTTTCTCGCTCCTCCACAACACACGCACACACACATACATGTATACACACACACACACACGCGTGCGCACACACACACACTTGCACACCCCTCGGACGTTTTTTTTTTTTTTTTTTTTTTTTTTTTTTTTACTCTTTTCCTGAATTCTTATTTGCTCATTTTTGAATTTACGCCGATCTCTTTTTTTTTTTTTTTTTTTTACTGGGAATAGTAATAAAGACGAATAAGAAAGATGTATTAAATTAATTGAAATTTGGCAAACATTTAAAATATTTTATATTGTCTATACATATAGAAGAGGGGAGAGCACATTGATATCAGTGAGATTATAGATCGATATATTTGAAATTAGTGTCTTACTATGCATCTCCGCGTAATCCCTTTCTAACAGGAAGAACAGAATCCTATTTTTTTTTTTTTTTTTTTTTAAGAAAAGGTAAAGTGTCAGTTATAATTTTAGATACATATATATATGTATACACAAATACATATAAAGGATGATATTATTTACCACAATGACAGCATCTACACCGTATGATTTCTGCGCAACTGCATTCTCTACCTCATTATTCAATATACCATATGTAAATAGCAATAAACCTGTTTCTTGAATAACTCGAACCATACGTGGATTTGTCAAGATGGGTTCGCTTGCAGCAACAATACCCAATAAATCGGCCTGTTTAGCAAATCTAACTGCCTCTCTTAGAGAGTTGCATCTTATGTCTGCGACGGACAAGGTACCTGCATCTGTCAAGAAGAAGACAGGATAATTAGGCTGCTTAAGGTTAAGCGCTAAACAGATCTCCGGGTGGAAAGAAGAAAAGATAATATGACGATTTTCCTCTACATGGTCATAGACACATTCAAGGATTGAATCCACATAAATATTAAGTTCTTGAAAGGATGTGAGTTCATCCTGTTCAGCTTCATCAATCATGGGGTATTTGACTTCAATGTTGAAACCAACTGATTTTGGAACGCTCTTCAGGGTCTCTTCTAGAGTTGTAAATGGTCCCTGGATCGTGTTGGGCCCATTCCCCTTGATTTTACCCATTTTAAAAGTTCGAGTAAATTCAAAGGGGTCATTAAATTGGTTTCTAATCGCGTTGTTGTTGCTGCTGCTGCTGCTGCGACTACTATTATTATTACTACTACTGCTAAAGGAATGGGATCGATTTGTGCGTTTAGACGATTTTACTTCATTGCTACTGCTGCTTAGGTGCAACAACTGAGGTTTGTTTGTATCATTTGGTGATATGGATAATAATGAAGGCAATGAATCCTTTACGGTAGTAGAGACAACAATGCCATGTTGATCACTTACACCTGTATGGTTTTCTTTGATATGTCCTGATCTTCTGAGGTTTAAAAACTGCTCTAATGTAATGGCGTTTAAAGGGATATCGAATCCTGTTTCAGCAACTGTAAAATCATGATAGACCACAGGTATTAAATCCTTTGTCAATTGAACATCTGAGTATAGATAAATATCAATACATACAAATATAAATATTCGGGGCTTTTTTTTTTTTTTTCTTTCTTTCTTTCTTTCTTTTTTTTTTTTATTACCAAACTCCACATATTCAGCACCTAATGAAGCAGCTGTCACAAAGGATAGGACAGTGTTTTCGCCCACTTGTAGTTTTGAACCACCCTTCCTATTCATACCAGAACCACGGTGACCGATGACTTGAGTTTCTAATGATTTGTAATACGTATACCGATCCCCAACACGCATCTTTTTATGATGGAAAGGTGTAATGACAAAATATTCAAATCCTAATGTACCAATACATTCAAGATCCTTTGCTTGAACTAAAGGAACATGTTGTCTACCTCGTAGAGAGGCCTTTTGGGTAGGTCCCATATAACCTTTTGATTTTGTAAATATAGAATCACCCGTCAGAAGAGATGTACCTCTAGCCAGTAGACCTTCAGTACTTGACTCATTAAAGGTTTCAATTAGGTCAAACCTTAACGTGACTTCCTCAGGTTTAGCAGCAGTAAATAAGATGATAGGTTCAGGATGAAAATGATGAGGTGTGGTGGTGGTGGTGGTGGTGGTAGAGGTGGAGGTGGAGGTGGTGGTGGCGGTTGATGATGTGAGATCAGAAGGTAAATCGATAATGATGGGGAATTCACCTGTTGCATTGAGAGCCGAGAAGGATAGGGAGAGTCGAGGTGGATGATCATCAGGCTTCTCGTTACTATTTGATAAGAATTTTTCAGAGAATTCAATAAATTTTTGGCATAGAGGGTTTCGAATATCATTAGAGCCGAGAGTGATGATGATGATAGAAAGATCAGTAAGATATTTATGACCATAAAGACGACTGGCTTTAGTAGTAGAAACAGAAGATTTAGATCTAGATCTAGATCTTGATCTTGTTGGCGTGTTACTCTTAGCTTGGTTGTCATTATTATGTGTGGTTTGAATCATATTGAAATTCATAGGAGATGAAGTTAAGCGACCAATATCAAGAAAGCCACGAAATACAGCATGATCTGAGGCCGTCCAGCCATTATGATCTATCATGTCTTTGTTAGCATTAGCCTCTAGTAAAATCTCCACAATATCTTTATATCCCTCAATAGCTGCTATCATAAGAGGCGTCCAGCCATTGACTTTCTCGGCTATATTGATATTCACATGACCTTGTTTAATTAATACCTTAATTCCTTCTACAAAATTATTTTGAATTGCAATCGATAAGGCTGTTTCACCATCCTCATCCGCTATGTTAACGGAAGCACCCTTTTCAATGAGTAGCTTTAATAATGACAGATTTCCTAATCTACATGCCAAGGCAACAGCAGATAAAGATAAATAGGAATAATGATAACATAATGAAGAATGATTTGCAGTTGGTAAAGAATCAGACAATAACGAGGAATCAAACTGACCATTTGAAGGTGATATCATGAGATCTTCAAAAGAAGATATAACCGAAGAATTTTTATCCGAAAATGAAGACACTGTACTAGGAGAAGATGGTAATGATGTACTATTTGATATTAATAGACTATCAATATCATTAATCTGCCCGATTTCAATCATTTCTTTTATGGCGTCTGTACTTCCATGAATAATAGCAAAAAAGAACGGATTAAAACCATCGCGATCTTGCCACTGTTGGTTAGTGAATCCAACAGAGAGAGAGTAATGATGATGATCAATAGCGTGTTGTAACAAACATTTGACTAATTTGGCATTGTTCTTTTCTGCTGCATAATGTAAAGGTCTACGTCCAGTAAAATCCTTTTGTATATTTAAAGAAGGTTCTAATTCCAATAACGTTTTAACTATAATCAACTTGGGTGTTTCACGCATACAAGTACGATGTAATAGATTGCGTTCATTTATATCTCTATTATTTGCTAAAGATAGACCTAATGTTGAAACAAGATATTTAAGACATTGAATGGATTCATTCTCCACACTTAATTCCAATATAGCATCATTTATCTAAAGAAAAATAAATAAATAAATGTGTATCTGGGTTATTTTTTTTTCTTTTTTTTTTTTAGCATGAAATTTTAGATCCCATTATATAAATATACCCTACCCTTGTTTCTTCTTCTTTTAATAACAATAAAGCTAATTTTTTTGGATTATCTTCAATAATAGCCTTTGAGATGTCTTCATTTTTTGATGTAAAACGAGCCAATTTGAGTGAAGAGCTACTATTATTGCCTTTATATAATGATATTTTTTCATCTTTTTTAGCTAAATTGATAAGATTTAAAATCCAATCCGAAACTTGATCTAGTTCTCTACGTAGTTGAGCTAAACTAGTAAAAGGAAGTACTGCCACCTTGAATAATAAATTAATAATTCGTATACATATTATTATTATTATTGTATATGACAAAAAACCTTTGTTTCCCAATAAACATTTTGGGTTTCTAATTCTAATTTCTTATCTAATCTATAATATGTTTCTAAGCATGTGTACAAAGTATCAAATGTACCTATTTTTTTTTTTCACTTACTTTTTAAGTATCTTACGAAATCCCTTTGTGTTTAATTCAGCAAACCACAAAAGTTTATTCATTTGATTTTTTATTTCCTTTAAGGCAGAAACAAGCTCATCATTTTCTTCTTCATCATGACAGGCATCATATTTTTCTCGTAAAATCCATAGACGACGATGAATAAGAGTTTGTTTATAAACAAAGAATGTGTTTATCTTTTCTAATTCTCTATCCAAATGAAAAAAGATGGCTATTCTAATGTTAAATATATATTTTTATCTTTTTTTTTCATCTGCAAAAGTGTACCTGTAACGTCTTCTTGAGCAGGTAAACGAGTTGAAGCTGTTTTAATTTGCCTTTTTAAAGTTTTGTACGATAAGTAATTCTTTGACCATTCTGGGATTTGATTCGCTATTAAAGCCTTTCCAAACTTCATATTCTTACTTGGATAAATATATAAACAGTTATAAATATGTAGAAAGAGAGAAAAGAGAGAGAGAGAGAGAGAGAAAAAAGGAGATAGTTACAATATCAAAAATATGAATTTTTTTACATTAATTCGGAATTCATGAACTTTAAAATACAGCAGTCTAAAGTGCACATGATGAAGACATTTCTTTCAGGATACTATCCTGTTGTATTTTATAAAAATATGTCATTTTTTTTTAATAGTAGCTCCTTTATGTGCTACATGTAGTTTTTTAGTTGATAGTTTACATGATATGTTCTTTTTTTTTATGATATTTTGATAGGATAGAAAAAGCAATTTAATAATACAGCAATGATAAGCATCTTATATACGAATTATATGTTCTGCTTGTCTTTTTTTTTTTTTTTTTTTTTTTATATTTATTAAATAAGCAATATTAGCTTTTTCTAATAAAATACAAGCACTTTATACAAAGCTACTACTACTACTACTACGATTACTACTACTAGTACAACTATTACTACTATTACTATTACTACCACTACTACAGCGTTCTTTTTTATTGGTCAAATAATCCATTAAAAAAAAACACACACACACACAAATAAATTCTACTATATCTGCCAATAATATTGTATAAATTGTATTTTGACAAACGAAACCTTATAGATTCAAGTTATACCATTAAAGACTTGTAAATATGTTTATTTTTTTGTAGAGCAAAAGGAACAAACTATTATCTACTGATGAAGTATTCCTTCATATCTATACGATGAAAAGCCTGTCATACATTATTTTCATTTTTTTTTTTTGATTATAAATTCAATAATGAATCGTCAATAGTCTTCGTAAGAATATGATTTTATATTCTAAAGCATTTATAAATGGAATAAACTTCTTATTAATTAAAGCATTGTTACTCGACAACAGCGATACAAGAAAATTTTTAGAGTTAGAAGAAGAGGAGGGCCTACTACTTTATTATAAATATGTTCAGCCAATTAAATTTGATTACGAACCTCCCCGCTCCATATTCAATCTATAACATTATTGACATTATCCTCCCCCTTCCCTTTTTTTTTTTTCCTTTTTATATATTCATATATACAAAAAAAAAACAATTCCAATACCAATCTAAACATGTCATTATTACGCTTATTTACAACAAAGTCTATTTTCAGGCCAAATACTCTGGCTACTATTCGACCTTTTTCTTCTGCTCAAGGTGATATTAAAAAAAAATTATAATGACTAATCCATAATTGACAGTTGATCTTTTATATTAGCTTTATTTCATGGTAAAGAAGGAATTGCTCGAGGAGAAGGGTAAAAAAAAAAAGAGAGAAATGTTTAACAAGAAGAAAAACTTTTATTCACTACTTTATTTCCTTAGACCTTATACAGTTCATTTCATTACACCAGAAGGAGAGCAAATTGATGTTAAAGCAACAGAAGGAGATACTATGTTAGATCTTGCGCAGCGATATGATATTGATCTTGAATGTAAGTAAATGGGAATATATAGATATAGATATAAAAGGAGATCTAAAATGTCATGTGCAGGTGCTTGTGAAGGATCACTAGCATGTTCTACTTGTCATGTCATTTGCGATCCAAAATATTATGAGAAAATGGAAGAACCTTCAGACGAAGAAAATGATATGCTTGATTTAGCATTTGGGTTGACAGAAACGTAAGTAATATTAGTAAAAAAAAACACACACACACACATAATTTCTACACATTGTATCTTATTTTAATAATATTTTATATAAAGTTCTCGTCTTGGCTGTCAAGTAGGAATGAATAAAGAATTAGATGGCATTACAGTTCGTATTCCTTCAGCAACTAGAAATTTAAGAGTAGACGGTAAGCTAATTTAGTTCTAATGTCTCTAAAATCTATTCTTTTTTGTTTATTAAACATTCAATATAGGCTCTAAGCCAACGCATCATTAATTAAATCTATTATTTATATATAATTTGTAACAATAATAATCATTTAAAAGAGGATACCTGTCATTTCTATAAATAAAAGACAGTCCAACTCTAGGGCATTTTTTATGTACATCAATATTTTATATTTCTTTTTTCAATAGTAAAAAATAAATAAATATAAAGAAGCTAGCATAAAAGAAAAAAAAATATTAACTTGGAAACTTTTTATATATTTTAACTCTAATAAATCACCCTAATAATAATGAAGAAGAAGATGATACTACTTCTGCCGGAGATCGTTCATTCTTCTCTCAATCAAACTCCGGGAAATAAAAAAAAAAAAAATTAAATGTCATTTCTAAACGCGTTTTCTCCTTGATTGTTTTATATAAAAATACATTTATAGATTAAGCAAGAAGACATGTCAAATAAGCTTACTTTGTTATTATTAGTAGCACTTGCTTGTATTTTAAATACAGTTTCTTCATTAAGTATCAACATTCCTGCTAATGAACAAGAATGCTTTTTTGAAGAGCTTCATCTTAATGACAAATTAACAATAACTTATCAGGTAATAATGGTCACAATGTGTTGAAACTCTTTTATAATATTAAATACGTCCATCTCATAGGTCGGTGACGGAGGAAACTTTGATATTGATTTTTGGGTAAACAAATAAAGCAAAATAATAAATAAAAGGATAGACAAAAAGGAAAGAAGGGAAGGTTGATAATTAGCTTTCATAGATTTCAAATCCACAATCAAGCATCATTGTGAGTAGTTCCAAGGAAGATACAGGATCCTTTAACGTAGTTGCCAATATGGCAGGTAGATACACTTACTGCTTTTCGAATAAAATGTCTACTGTGTCAGCTAAAACTGTCAGCTTTAATGCTCATGTTATTGAAATGAATTCTGCAGATGAAAATAGTAAGTATTATTATTGGTTTTATTCTTTCTTTCTTTCTTAAAATATATTATTGCGTAATAATGCAATGTTTTAGCTGAAGAAGATCCTCTTCGAGAGGAGATTGAAGAATTAGCTGAAAGTATTCTTGCAGTAAAGGCCGAACAAGAATATATTGTTGCCCGTGAACGTAGACATAGAGATAGTAAGTGAAATTAATTGATATATAACTGAAAAATTCTATTAACTCTCTCTCTCTCTCTGTGTGTGTGTGTGTAGCTGCTGAAAGCACAAATACTCGTGTCAAGTGGTGGTCTGTTGCTCAAATTGTTATTTTAATTGCTGTCTGTGTTTGGCAAGTTCATTATCTTAAGCACTTTTTTGAAGTTAAACGTGCAGTTTAATTATATTTTCTAGAAAGCTTTTCTTCCCCTCTCCCCTTGATTACTACCAATATAAACAAATAAATAACTATGAACATTATTCTCTGTGTATTTCTTTCCTTTCTCTTCTTTCACTCTCCCACCCCCCTTCCTCCTCCGTACACATGTATATGTTTATTAAACTATATGCTTACATAGTGCCTAGTAGATATGTATATTATACAATTTATATACAAATATCAACCATCTGTAACTTGTAAATGGAAGGCCTTATTTAAGTCTGGAAACGCAATAATGGCCTTTATCAAATAGTATAGTATTTCAATTATTGAACTCGTTCTTTTGGATTGTGCTTTGATACTAAGAATTATTTTCATGTACCTATTGAGGATGGGATGAAGAAAAAAAAAAAAAAAAAAAAAAAAAGGGGAATAAATCGAACAAGTCATGAGTATTCCAAAATTGAATGGGTTGAAAGATTCAAACAGGTTTTATAAATCGACTGTTTTGAATAGATCGATGTTAGTTTTAACGCTCCAACTCTTTTTCTTTTTACAATGAATCAAAGTGGTATACAGATGTATTTAAAAAATAAAATAAAATAGTAATGCAAATAGAATCATTTTTTATTGCAGAAAGAAAGAAAAAAAAAAAAAGATGCAGATTGAATACAAGTTATAAAAGGGGAAGAGAGGGGGTAAATATGTTACATTTAGAATGTAATTTAAGGTCGAGTACCAACACCTCCGGCACGATCGTAGACAAGTTGAGCAACCTTAAATGCAAGGTCATCTGTTTCAGCACGAGTAGCAGCTTCAGCATAAACTCTCACTGCATCTTCGGTACCAGAAGCACTTTTTATATATATAAAAAAAAAGAGCAAAGTTAGTATAATTCATTTACATCTTTGTATATCTATTTTACCGAACAAATGAACGGCCCTTGCTATATTTGGCAACAAGACTATCAATTTCAGCTTGAAGACCAACAGGTTCAACTAGTTGACGCTCAGCATTTGTAGTCTTAAAGATATGTCTATCAGAGACAACAACTTTGACAAGACGGTTAGGAAGATCAGTATAAGCTTGATCCCATTCTTCCAAACTCCATTGACGACTAGTAAGAATAGCTTCAACCAATAACATGTCTGAAATAGCATCACCTACAGTTTGATTAATAAGATCAGTTAAAGCAGCAAGTTGGGTAATGGCTTGTTTTTGAGCAGGAGTTTTACTATAAATAAGTGTTATTACATACATCTATTTGAGATTCTAAAACACACTTACGCTTCAGCAGTTTTGATAGTATTAAGAGCATCAGGACTGAAAAGAACTGTACCATGACCATTTGCTTCAAAGTAAACACCAACGTCATATTTTTCAGCTTCATGATGAAGATGTTTAACACCTGTAGAGACACAAGAGACGGGTACATTCTATAAATTCAAACATGAGTTTAAATATATACTCCCCCCCCCAATATTCATTCTCTTACCAAAACTTTAGAAAGATAATTAGTAGAGCTGCCGTTAGCATAAGCGGTTTGAACAACACCCACTTTAATAGAATGAATACCAGCCTCTTTAACCAATTCAGCAATAAAGAGAGCAGCAAGACCAGCAATCTTATCACCATCTAAAAGTCTAAAAGTATTATCTTCAGAAACATAATAGTAGACGATACGATCAGCGTCACCGTCAAATGAACAACATCTATCGCCAGGTTTAATACTAAGACTAGGAGGTGCGCGTTGTTGAGTCTTGACATAATCAGCACCACACTAATAAATTTTTACATTTATCTATCTATAAATATATCCCTCCCATGTATCAAATTTTGTTACTTACGTTCTTATTTAATTGACCTAAAGTATTAATATTATCATTTACAACTTCAACAGATAATACATCACTGGGGATATAGTTAGCAAGTTCACGAAGCTTGGGTGCACCAACGCCATTAGCACAGTCAACATGTAATGTAGACAAACGAGATTTTCCTTTCTAATGATAAATATATCAGTGTTATTAATCCTTTCTATCTATCATCCTCTACTTACGACAGCAGTAGCAAAAGCAGTAGCTAATTTCTTATAATAACCTTCCTCAGTAGGTTCACCATAAGCATCGCTAGTTCCAACTGTATTAATACAACGAACAAGATAATGAAGCATAGGTGTTGTCTTTAAACCAAAATTAGTTCTTTGAGCACCAGAGGCTTCCAAACCTTGCTCAAGACATTTAACTAGTTGAGGACAACTAGGTCTAAAGAGGGGAGGGGAGAGAGGAACAAACGATAAGTTATACAGCTATATTTTATTGATTCAGTAGGTTTACTTTTTTATTTACCTTGTATCATATGCATAAATAACATTAGCAGGAGCTTCGATATTAATCTTATTTTGAGAAATAACTTCTTCGACAACTTGAACAAGTGAATTGCCATCTTTAGCATTAGCAAGTTTTGTAGCATAACCCTCCCATGATTGTTCCAACATTTCACCACGAGGGTCTACAAGCTTAACACCATTATCCTAGTGACAACATACGTAATAATTATTATTTAAATATTAACTGATAACTCTGTATATAAATTTGAATACCTCTTCAGGATTATGAGAAGCAGTAATCATAACACCAATAGTAGAACCATTCCATTTCTTTGAACGCAAAGCGGCCAAGATGGCAACTTTGTACATAACAGAGCCTAACACATCAGCCCTAATAATGTTGATTTAGCCATTTAAAACATTTCAAAAAAAAAAAAACACGAGAGGAGACTTTACTTTGAACGGAAACCAGCAGTACCATAAGTATATTTAAACTCGGGAATCTCGTGGGGAATAATATTATTCTTAATAGCAGTAAGATCAAAGGTCATTTTATGAATAAAGAATAACAATGATAAAAAAAAAAAAAAAAAAAAAAAAAAAAAAAAAGAAAAAAGAAAAAGGGACCTTTATTTTCGATATTAAGAAATACGAAGAAAAAAAAAAATGTTTAACAATTTTGAAAGGCCGTTTAAAGGTAAAAGCCCCACTCATTTTTTAAATTTTCTATTTTTATGTTAAACTCAGACACATTAAAGACGTTCGCTTCTTGTTGTGTGATACATATAACAAATACAAGCTAAATTCATGTATACACATGCATTTGTAGAAAGAGATTACATGTATTTACATAAGCACGTGCTTTATATTGACCGGGTGAAAAAAAAGGCTACTGTATGTATACTATTTCCAGCTCAGCTTGTCATCAGCATGAATCCATAATAATTAATAAACTCTAATTCTATTCTTTATGACTTGCTGTGAGTTATCTTATCTATTCTTTACTTTATTTTTTCTTTTCGCATCAATGAGATTTAGCTCTCACGTTTATTAGAAGGAAAACAATAATATGTTTTAAATCGTTCGACTAAAATAAAGGGGAGGGGGAAAGGAGGGGAAAATAGTAACTATTTAGTTATTACATAATTATTATTTTTTTTTAAAAAAGAAAGAAAGAAAGAAAGAAATAGTAATCTATATAAGTATTTGTTCAGTTTAAAATGAGTGCATACGATGAAGGAATAGCATTGCCTATAGTTACCCCTTTAGATCAACTATCTCTATTTTATTCTCTACTGGATTCACTTGCCTCCCCTCACTTTGGACATATTATAAATTTCTTACCCCCTCCTCTCTTTCTCTCTCTCTCTCTCTCTCTTCACTAAGTCATAATACTTAAACAGAGGACAGTTAGATAGGATGCAGCAGGAGCTATTATTTGTAGATAATTATAGAAAATGCAGGTAATACTGTAATAGATAGCTAATGATTATGAATCTAGTTCTTCTTGATAATGATATCTATTTATGTTTGCCATTGTCTATTTAATTCAATAATAAATTAGATTAATTCAGCATTATTGAAAAGGAGTCTTTCCTTTTATAACAATATATATGTGTATACTAGATATATTTTTGAGCAAAATTATCAAGATAAAAGTATATCTTTGTATAAAAATAGGCTGTACAAAGAATATCATGCAAAGCATGATAGGTTCTAATTTGAGTTGTATTTATTTCATTGTTTTATATTGAAAGGGGAACCAAGTAGTTTATTACACAAGTTAACCCTGATTATTTAGGAATCATAAAAAATCTTGAATGTATTAGTATGTAGGCTTGCTGAATGATTTTTTATTTCTTGCTATAAAATGAAGATCAGCTTGTTTCGATAACTCATTTTATTCACTTGTAAGGAATTATTTAATAAATAAGTATAATAGGTATAAGTATTCATAATGGAAGAAGGAATATAATCGTAATAATATTTATGTAAACAAAAACTGTTAAAGTAATATACATGCATACATACATACATATATATGTGTATATATTTATATTTATAATACAAGCCCTCTTATAGGCAAAAAAAAAAAAAGAAACGGCGTGGAAGAGGGGGAGGGATATAACTATAGATATATAGTAAAAAATAAAAGATATTAAATATTAGGAAAATTGTTTGTTAGAGAGCGTTGTTGTAGCATGGTTATCACCGATAACTTCTTGAATATTATTGTCTTCTTCATTGTTTTCAACGTTTTCTACATAGTGTTTCTCAATCTCTTCAATCTGACAAAGTTCATCTGTAGGGTCAAAGACAAAGCCTTTCAAGAAAAGAGATAAAATCAAAGCAACACATGAAATAATAAGAGCAACGATACAGAAAATGTGCATAGCACTATCATATGCCTTAACTACACCTTCCCATTGATCTCTAGGTAATTTAAGTGCGACAGAAATACTCTTGACGATAGCAGAATAATCATATTTGCCAGGAACATATCTCTTAAAGTAAGTAGGAAGTACACCTGTCCAAATACCAGCAGCAATAGCAGAACCAATACTACCTGAGATAGAGACACCTACTTCAAAGAATGTAGTTACACTAGCAGCATCCTTACTAGGAATAGAGCCTTGCATACCAACAAGGACAGGATAATTGAGAAAACTAAGGGACATTCCTCTGAGGACTTGAACGATAACGAAAAAGCTAACAGGTTGGGTGGATTTACGTGCAAGGATCATTAAACCACAACTAACCACATTAAGACCAGTTCCAATCCAAATGAAGGGCCTCCATCGACGCGTTTTAATCACCAGAATACCGACGAAAATGGGACAAATAGCATGCGCACATTGAAATCCTTCATTGATATAGGTTGCAATCTGAGCATCTAATCTTCGAGTGACTCTCAAATAAGTACTTGCATAGGTACCATCCATTAATGTATGGATCATCCATGTACAAGCCATGACAAGTGTGCCTAAGACTGGATTTGGTGATTCCCACTTAACGATAGGAAGGATCGGTTTTGAGACTTTCCATTCCCAAAAGACAAAGAGAATGATAACTACTATACCAGGGATTAAACAACCCAGGACTTTACCAGATCTCCAGCCTCCCCATGAAGTAGCAAGAATAACCGGTAATAAGAGAAGAAAAAGACCGGCCATGAGTAAGATAGCTCCAACTAGATCGATTTCTTTGCAGATACACATTAATTTCTGAAAAAAAGATTTTTGATTAAATGCAATAGTTTCAGTTGTTTGTTTCTCTTCAACAAGACCGGCTTTTTTTACTTTTCTTTGAATATTATATAAAGGGAGAATAAGAGGTAGACTACAAACGAACATAACAATCGCAATATGACCATAGCCCCATCGCCATAAACCAGCATTAATAAAACCTTGACCAGCAGCTGCACCGACGAAAACGGTAATGAGCATAGGAAAGTTATAAAAAGCCAAAGCTAATGAACGATTGACAATACCAATAGAATCTACATATATATAAATGTATATTTGTATATATGTATATATATAAGACAAAAAAAAAAATTAGGATATAAGATATATACCTGCAATTAAAATGGGGCCAAGAATATAAATTCCAGAATAGCCAACAGCAAAAATAATTTTACCGCCCTAAATAAGGAATCTTATTGATAAATAGTTTCTTTAAAAAAAAAAAGAAAAAGAAATGAATATTTACAATTAAAGTAGCATAGTTATTAGCACAAGCCATAACAATAAAAGCGATCATAAAAAAAATAACGGAAATAGTATATGCAAAAGCTCTGCCAACCATATCGGATAATTTCGAAAACAAGGGTTGAAGTGCAGTTTGCAAAATTGTGACCACGGTATAGCCTATACCATTAATATCGTTTGCTTGAAAATAACTTGTTACATAGGAGCTTTCTGCGTTCGTGACACTCTTTTCCCAGGTTATAACCCAAGACACTAAAATGAGGCTGGTAATCATAATATGAATATGATTTTGATGTATATATGTATATATTAATTCTACCCTATTGACATGATTGTTTTTTCTGCTTTTGTCATTATCAGCCTTGATGCCTCTGCAATTCTAGCACCTTTAGAAACTGGTCCATTAGCAGATCTACGAATTCTAGGCTTAGGCACACCTTTCATAATTTTTTAATATTAAAAAAAAAACAAAAAAAATAATAAATGAATAAAAATTAATTCAATAAAAACGAACACAAAAATCCTAAAGTAGTATAAAGGTATATATATAGAAAATAGGAGCTTTAAAACTGAGAATAATAAGGAACTTTATTTTTATTTTTCATTTTTTCAAGGCCTAGTATTCATAATAAACAAAGGAAATACTATATGTATTACATAATGTATATCTTTTTAAATAAACATTATCATGATCTTTCTAATTATATTTTTTTCGTTTAAAAAAAGAAAAACTCTTCCTAATTATAATAATAAAATAAAACTTATTTAATTTTTTTTTTAAAAAAAAAATTTGACTTCATCTTATCAATCTGATTATGTTTTCTTCGTTTTAATTAGCGCATATTTATATTGAAACATTTTCATCTTATCAATCAGATTATTGAAACAGTTTACCCATTTGCACTTTATTTAGAATATCCTCCTTCCCGTAGTAAAACTAAAAAAAACATATTTTTTTTTTCTTTTTTTCTTTTTTTCTTTTTTTCTTTTTTCCTTTTTGCCTTTTTTCTTTTTCCCTGTTTAATTCAAATGATAAAATTTGTTCAATAAGTCGTACTTGTATAGATAAATAAAAGGGTACTTTTTTTTTCTTCATTCTTTTCAAAAGAAAAAAAAAGAAGATAACTAATAAAAAGATATACGTTTAATATTGTTATCCAAATTTGAAACAATACTCGAATAAAAGAGATTTTTATAGCGTACAAATTTCATACAATATGTTATAAATGTAATAAACAAAACTCTTTTAGGCTTAATCTATTCTACTACCTAAAATCTATTTGCTTAAAATAGTTTAACTGCCAAAAATAAACTAGAAAAGCAAGGGAATAATAATGAACGATTAACCTGGATAAGAATAATGTATACATATTTTGATATTGCCAGGGTCAGCTTGTATAATACTAAAATTACTTCAACCAAGTTAAAGTCATGATGTTTAAAAAATATATATTATTATTAGACAAGGAGAACGTTGTTATTTCAATTATATTATTATATGTATACAAATATATATGTTCATATGTATAAATATATATATATTAGTATGTATTTATGAGAGGAGAATTTCAATAAAAATAGACATTGCTTAAAAGAAATTCTGTTCGTAAAATTCCGGGAGAAGTTAAACTTTATCTTACCTCAAAATTAGTCCTAAATCAAAAATTTATTTTCGATTTTTATAAAACTTGAACATAGACTCTAAAAGAAATGGTTTGCTTTTATTTATTAACAATTGAAAGAAAAAAATAAAGTCAATTCAGTCATTTTTTTTTAAATAAAATAAAATAATGGAATACTAGCTTATTGTTTTAACGAATTGATATTTAACAAGTTATAAATTTAAATAGTAATGAACTATTATCAAAATCAATGTGTACAGATTAAGTTCAACTATCTTTAATGTATATTATTCAATGTGCAGAGATCTCTACTTTAACCTTATAATATGAGCAAAATTATATGCAAAACTATTATAACATTATGAATAAATCTATTTCTGTTCCTTAGAGGGAAATAATAATACAATGATAAATGCTGTTTACTTGTATGCTTTCAAGACAAAGTATCTATCTATCTATCTATCTATCTATATCTAGTATGTAATATCCTTTTCATGTTTAAAGATAGGCAAGCCTAAATACAAAGGGAAAAAAAACAATAGGCATATAATTTAATCATCTATTTGCCAAGCATTAAGAGGACTACAAATATCTATTTTTATTCTATGTTTAATGATATCAATTAATATAACGTTTCATGTATAAAAATATAGAAGAATAAATTTGATTGATAGACATTACTCTTCTGAGTTATCATAACTTATTTTGATATTCATTTGTTTGCTTTATAAATGTATAAGTGTATATATATAAGATTCTACTTATTAACAGGTGGCAATTAAATATAACGTTTATTATACTCGTAAAAAATGCATTTATTTTACGCATTGGTAAAACAAATTCGTATAGAATATTAGCTTTTATACAAAGAAGGATACCTTTTTTTTTTTTAATTAATTATAAAACAAGTTATTCAGAACTGAAAATGTGAAATGAGAATACACAGAGTGACAGTAGTAAGATATTTCAATTTGCAAGACAGTATTATCATTTGATCTGTGAAATAAAGATAAACAATAAAAACTACCAAAGAAAATTCAAATGATGGTAATGCAACTCTTTTAGACTACATTACTTTACAAAATTAATTATACACTAGTTCTTTTATACTTGTTTTGATCTGCTCGATTTTATCAAACAAGTAGCTTAAGAAAGGAAAAAGTAAAATACAATTATATCTATTTTACCTTTAAACATGTATAATACCTTGAGTATGCAGTAGTACTTAAGCTGGTTCAAATAAAAAGACAGAGAATTCAAACCCAAATTTTAGGATAAGGAAAAAAAAAAAAAAAGCATGATGAAAATCAAAACACAAGTCAGAATATTCAATTGATTCACGAGTGTATAGAATAGGCTTGAGTGTTGATATTTTATTATGCATTAGGCAACCCAATTCATGCAACAAAGACATTGTTGTATAATACTCAAGTCTCCGAGAAAGCAATCTATCTAGAAGGATCGGTAAAGAGTCTTCTTTGATGATTTGAAGCAGCATACATATATATATATATATATATAATCAATTATATAGACAGAATATCCTATTGACTCAAATCAGAAAGAACTTTTGGATGTTGTAGACAGGGTTAAAATTGATTAACAGGTAATAGTCTGAGCCTCTAACATAGATATCGATTACAAGTAAAGTCTTGTAGTCATAAATCGACGAGATGATAGAGTTAATAGATCATTTTGAATGACAAGCTGATAACAGTCTTAAATAAACTTTTATATAAATTAGCTTGGAGGAAAGGATTATAGAGTCAATGAATCTATTAACGTTGTATAATTAAGAGATATAGTGTCTTCAAAAAAAAAAAAAAACGAGCATTCGATTTCTACTGGTACTACTGGGAATTGACTGCTAAAGAGCCGAAGAAAAGGTAATAATTGATGTAAGAAATAGAAAAGATCTTATATAGATATTATACAAGAAATAAAAAATATCCAAGCAAACTGTATGCTTTTTTTTCCCTTTCTATATACTTTATTACATAATATTAAATATCCAAATCATCGTCAGGATCTTCATCGTCAAAGTCATCAGCAGCATCTGGATCATAATAAATAAGACCAGAATTCTTCTTTTCTTCTTCTGATGATACTTCTAATTGTTGAGCTTTCATATAAGGTAATACTAAACTTTCTTTTGTCTTTCTTTGTTCATCCGTCAAAGAAAGATTAAACGACAAATTAGCAGTTGGATCATTCTTTTTATCTACATCCATTGCCTCTGCCTTTTCTTCTGCCTCTTGTCTTCTCTTTTCTTCTTCCTCATCAACGCCTGTCAATTGAAGTGTGTGGACTACTTCTAATAATCCAGTTGTTGTATCTAGCACAAATCCATTTGATTCATATTGTACTTTCCCACTTTTCTTTCTCCATTCAATATGCGCAATACCGCCTTTAGTTATACAATTGGAAGTTGTAGTCAAATATGAAAATGCATCTTCCGGCACAAATCCTGTTAATGCTGCTTGTGTATCAAAATGTGTACGTTCTTTTAAAGCTTCCAACTTGACAATAACAGAAGCTATTCTAATTAATGAATCTTCTAAAGACAATCCTATCTTTGAAACCAACTTGACATCTGAATGAAATCCAATGACTAATCGAATAGCATCTAATTTATTTTATTAGTAATCAATTCCGATCCAACACATAAAATAAAAATGAAAAAAAAAACATACCTGTCGTTAATGACTCTAAAGCTTTGACTAAGCGATATGTTCTATATTGAGAAATCATGGCTAAAGCAGTAATTGAATCAACAAGAATTGTACAATTAGGTGTATCTGTTGCCTTTTCCAAGATTGGAGATAAGATTGATTTCTCCAAGTCTTTGATATCTCTCACTTGGATTGTATTATCCTCTTCAGTAATATCATCCCATCCATGAGGATCAGTGAAACAATCGATAATAAAAATATTGTTATGGTTATTTTTTGGGAATCGCTCACGCCATGCCTTTGGTGAAGTTTCTGTCAGCAACACGATTAACGTCTGACCTTGAGAAAGTGCACGTTTACCAATATCAGCCAAAATGGGTAAAGCTGAAAAACGAACTGTATCATTAATCAATACGAAAGGAGAAGATTTTTTGTTATTTAATAAAAGATCAAGTGCTAATGAAGTCATTGCTTAATGTTTAAACAAAGAGGATTTAAAAAAAAAAAAAAAAAAAAAAAAAAAAAAACGATTTCAGTCACGACTTTTTGCTTCTGATTTTGTCCTAATTCTCTGTGTCACACATTGTCGACAATTTTATTTTATTCAGCTAATAAAAGACGTTATTGGTTGTTCTAAAAATTGATTTCGATCGTTTCAAGTGTTACGTTTTATTATAAAGAAAAAAAAAATGACAATAGAAAATGAAGCTCAACAAATGATGCCACTTCGCAGCAACAATGCACCTATAAAAATAGTAGGGCCTCCCATTATAAGGAAGAATCCTCAGCATAACCGAACTCAATCTATCTCTACAACACAACCAATAACTCAAAAAAAGAAGCAGCACAACCGAAGAGGCTCTTTACCTACAGCTATTCATGTTGCTGAAGCAAATAAATTCCATCATTCTTCTTTAGAATCACCCTTACATTCCTCCTTTTTATTATCGCCTATCCCACCTTTACCTGAAAAGGGTGCTATTTCGATTCAAATTGCTAATCCAAAGTCAGATGTTGCTTCACATTACATTACAAAACATGAAAATACGATTAAAAACCTATCTTATATTCTCATCTGGTATTTTTTTTCTACTACACTGTCACTTTACAATAAGAACTTGATGGGACGTGATCGATTTAATTTCAATTACCCACTCTTAGTGAGTTCCATTCATGCGGGGATTCATGTTATCATTACCAGTCTTATGATGTGGTTAGGAGGAAATCGTTGGAGAAGTACGACAATTGGTATGTCATTAAGAGACTATTTACTTAAAGTTGTATGTTAAAATATTGTTATTATGCATATAAATATATATAATAGAGAATATGCCATCATTGTTTTCATCTTTGTTTATTTAACATCTTTTATTATTCTTATTGGAATTAGATACCATGTGGAGTAGCAGCTGCAGTAGAGATTGGTTGTTCGAATGCAGCACTTGTATATGTTACATTATCTTTTTACACGATGGTTAAATCTAGTACACCCATTTGGGTACTATTGTTTTCTTTTATGTTTGGATTTGAAAAGCCTCGATTTTTATTGGTCACTATTATCGTTATTATGGTTACTGGAGTTATTTTAACAGTAGAAGGGGAAACAAAATTTGATGGATTAGGGTTCTCACTTGTATTGATTGCGTCCATTATATCAGGCTTAAGATGGAGTATGACACAACTGTTATTAAAACACGAAAATATAGGAATCAGTAATCCGATTGCTACCTTGTACTATTTAAGTCCTGTCATGTTTATGACTATGATGACTCTCAGTTTAATTTTTGAACATCCATTTGATCAGTCTCAAGACTCAAACCACTTTGATACCTTTGCACATATTATAGAATTATTTGGATTGATGTCTATTGGTGGATTTTTAGGTAAAAAGGAAATAGTAATAATCATACAATTCAATACTGATATAATATATGTACATGTACATGTATATGTGTATATACGTATATGTGTATATATATATCTATCTATCTATCTATAATAGCATTTGCTATGATATTGGCTGAGCTGTATTTGATTAAAAGTACAAATACAGTTACATTAAGCGTTGCAGGGATTAGTAAAGAAATTGTTGTTATTACATTATCTGTTATGATATACGGGGATGTTTTAACTACAAAAAACGTATTAGGGTAAGACTTTATATGGAACCTATATTTACATATTCTGTGGCTAACAATAACTATAATAGGCTAATTGTATCAATCATTGGTATTATTGCATATAATTATTATAAGATTTCAAAATATAATTCAAAAGAAAGGCAATATCAAATAATCCCATTACATTCATCTTCGTCATCATCGACAAATACAAGTATGTCCTCGAATACAGCAATAAGAAACCTTAGAGATTAAACATTAAAAAACGTCAAAAAAAAAGACAATGCTTATCCATATTGAATATGTAACATAAGTAAACAAAAAAAAAGGGGGAGGGACTTAACCAATTGATTTATATAAAAAAAAAGGACATGAAATGAGTTATTTTAAGTTGAATGTATTTATGTCCATAAAAAAGAAGCCATTTATATTTATGCAGAGAGAAAAAAGAAATCGACTCAACATAGTTCTGAGACATGATAGCTCTTCCACTTGTTTTAAACCTTGACTATATGAATATTACTATCTATCAATGTTTATATACTCTACATGTTAGTTATTATAGGGAAATATGTTTAATTTAGTAGTTATACAATAGATTGTAAATCTCGGTACTAAGTTTTCAACGATGAAGTAATTTTAGTATGTATATCTCAAGTTAGTCTTAACTCTCACTACTAATTTAGTTATTTCTGTATATTATACTACGATATTCACATTTGAATATATTTAAAGTTATCATTCAATTTTCAAGTAAAATGCCACTATACATGGCTCATATTTTATTTACTATTTGATAGTTTGAATATTGGAACTTTTACTTGAAAATACAGTTAATGTCATATTCATCAAAGGTGTTTTTGTCTATCATTTGCAATTCTTTTTTTTTTTTTTTTTTGTATATCGCTCAGTATATATTTATTTTCATATTTAAAATAGGTTTCTGCTTTTCATTAATATCAATTTTAATTAATAAAAAAATAAAAATAAAAATTGGGAGACTAAACTTACTATTGTCAGCTGTTTCTGGCTTTTATATTTTCGTACAGTGAGAATGATAAATATTGTCACATTGCAAAAATTAAATGTCCTTTACTTAAGGACAATTATTTTCAGCTTAGTGCCATTAACTTTGGGCAAAGTGAAATTTATTTTTTAGTAAAGGATATTTAATTTTTGTAATGTGACAATATTTACCGTTCTCACTGTATATCACCTTGACTAAGGTTTTATTTTTTTTAGTGGCTGTTATTTTTTCGCGAAATAATTTTTTTAATTCTCCTTTTTTTTATTTTTTTCATTTATTTATTTTTATTTCATCTTATTAATTTAATCATTTAAAAAAGAAAAAAAAAACATGGCATCTGACCATAATCAAGAATTACCGCCAGAAATTCTTGAAAAGCTTCGAAATCTTGAACTAGAATTAGAAGATGGGGACATTACTTTAAAAGGTTTTGAAAAAAAGAAAGCTAGCTTATTAGCAGATTTTTCATCTTCTATTCAGCAAAAAAGCGAAGCCGAACTGATTGAAGAACTAGGGCCTGAACCAAGTGCTGCTGATGTAGTGGATTTTTTGGATTTTTTACCTTCTCCAACTCACTCTCCTACACGTACAGTAGAAGCTGTTAATTTAATGGAAAATAATCATCGTCAAATACAACAACAACAACAGCAACAGCAACAGCAGCAACAACAACAACAGCATTATCAACCACAACAACAATATGTACCATTATCTCAACAACATATGAGACCACAAATGCAGCCTCAATATAGACCTTATAATGGACCTTATTATAATAATTCCTCACTTCCAAGTAATAGACCTTATATGGTTCCTCGTTATCCTCAGCAGCAACAATCACATATGCGTCCAATGCCTCCTCCTGGTTCTAATTCTTACTATAATCAACGTCCTCCTTCCTCATCTTCATCTCCAATGCCTCCTCAAAATATGATATATAGATCTCAGCAAATGTATAATACAAATAATCAGCCACCGAGACCTCATCATTCGAGTGTTACACATCCTTCACAGCCAATCAATACATCGCCTAGGCCCTTGTATAGACCTATTAATAATGGTGGTTATAGACCTCAGCAACAACCATATGGTAACTATTCATATAATAGTAGTGGTTCTATCAATAGATCACTATCTACAAATGCAAGCACAAATAATATAGAGAAACAAAGACAAGAATACTATATGTCTAGATATTCTAACAGAAGTGATTCTTTGGAATGGAATCAGTGAGCAAATTAAAGCAGCAGGTCTACACATTACTTTTTCATTATATTCATATCTTCTCCATTTATGAAAATCCTCTCATTAGTAAAACATACACATATTGAGCACTAGTAGCTATATACATATAAAACGGTAAGGGCTGTGTATTAAGAAAAAAAAAACGTAGAGAGTATATACATATTTCTACCTCTTTTTTTTTTTTTATCCACTCCTACTCCCGTGTCCCCCCTCCAATCCCTTTTAATATAATGATCCATTACTTGTTCCTTTTCCTTTGAATAAAGATATGGTGTTAGCTTGATCTTTTTTCCTTAATACAGTAACATATATTTCTATATATACATATATCATCTTAAACTGAGTTATTCTCTTCATGCTTATTTTCCTCATTCTAGATTTTTAGTAGACTATATTTTTATTTTGCTGCTTTAAATTTGCTTGCTGCATATTCGGTTTATTATTTGTGCTTGCAATCATGTGTGTTGCTACATTATTGAATTCTTTTTTCTTTTTCTATTTCTTTTTTTTTTTAAAAAAAAAATAATAACAACAACAATAATAATAATATAGTTGACGTTGATCTTAAAGCGCCCTCCATCAGAAAATTGGCTTCAAATATTTCTTTAAGTATTAATCCTGCTCGATTATCAGTTTCCTCTATTGACACTTCAGCAATGTTAAATCAGCAGTACTTATCTGATACATCATCAGTTGATCTATCTTCTAAGGAACAGAAAATAAATTTCAGCAAATATGGCAACGTGATGATGACCAAAACATTTTACAGTATTGAGCCTATTCCAACACCCACATGGGTTGAAAAGGATATCTCATTTGAGCCCTTGGGACGTCAAGTACTCCCATCTTTACCTCGTACTATACCTTTCAAAGTCGTTAATTTACAAGATAAAAGAGAACTTAATCAATTCAAGTCGATTGCTGACATTCTGCGCTATCGAGCTACTGGTAGTGAAAGGAATGCCTCTGCTTTTACATTGATCGATGAAAAGGGTAAAGAAATAATGAGTCTGACATGGGAAAGACTAGCAGCAAAAGCAGAGAAAATAGCAATGATGATTCGTGAAAAATCAGAACTTCAGCTTGGTGACCGTGTAGTACTTATCTATAGGAAGTCTGAAATAATAGATTACATTGCCTCACTCATGGCTTGCTTTATTGCTGGAGTCGTGGCTGTACCGATCAATGCTATTGAGGATATCTCTGAATTATGGTTTATCCTACGTCTCACTCAAAGTCAACTTGTATTAACGACTGATATAAATATGAAGATTTTGACAAAGAATATAAAGGTAGCCAACATAAGTTTCCCAAAGGATATAGAATGGTGGACAACACATGATTTTGGTTATGCTGATTCACGTCAAATAAAATATAGTCCAATTCGATATACACCTTTGGCTTATATCGAATTCACAAAGTCAATGAATGGTGAATTGAAAGGCGTAACCGTATCTCACCCATCTATTATGAGCAATTGTTATTCATTTACAGCTGCAGTGACCGAAACGGTGGTCTTTAAAGATCAAGATGGGATATCTAGTATACTCCCTAACTGGGATACACAGGGTTCAGATATAATGTTAACTTACCTTGAACCTCGGCAACAGGTGGGTTTAAATATATCTGTTCTTTGTTCAACTTACAATGGAAATCATACTATCTTTACCAGTCCCAATATTATTGAAACACCAGAAGTATGGATTTATGCTATATCCAAATACAGAGGTATATCATGTTATTTACCTATATATATATATATATATATTATAAAACTTATTTCTTCATGATATAGCTACTGTTGCTTTAGCTGGTTACCCTGGAATGGTTTATGCCGCAAAATATTATCAAAAAAATACACAACAAGTTATAAATTATAGTAAAAAGATTTCACCTGATCTGTCAACACTTCGACTACTATTTATAGACACCATCGTTGTCAACCCTGATTTAAATGAATTTATTGCTAATAAATTGATTCAACCTCTTATCTCAGTAAACACGTCTTATTCTCCAATTGAAGTGGTTACACCTATTTTGTCATTATCTGAATTTGGTGGTGCTATTGTGAGTTTTAGGGATTACCTAGGACCTAGTAAATCGGAAGAATTTGAGCAATTTTATAATCAACAGGATAATTTGACAACTATTAAAAGAAGAACTGTATTTGCTAATGGGAAATCAAGAGATGTTTGGGGATGTATACTAGATGCAGACGCTTTATGTAAAAAAGAAGTTGTAGTCTTAGCAACAAATACTACTGTAAGTGACCTCGATACATTCCCTAGACATTTGAGAGTTGGATCACATGGATTTCCTTTCCCTAATACCTCAGTTGCCATTGTAGATCCAGATACATCCTTACTTTGCTTACCCAACATGGTAGGTGAGATTTGGATTGATTCTCCTTCACTAAAGGATGGATTTTGGGCAATACCGCCTACTTTATCTGATCTGATATATCATGCAAAGCCTACTTTGATACATTCAGAAACATATTACTCTGAAGAAAGGTTTAAACATCAAGGGTTTTTAAAAACAGGATTACTAGGTACAGTTTATGGTGGTCGTTTAATTATTTTAGGCGCCTATGAAGATCGTGTAAGGCAACAACGTTTAGGGGAAGAATTGGGTGTAGAAGAAGTTCACTTGAGGTCAGATATTAGTAATACTATCACTAAAAACACTCGAGTAGATTTATGGTATATAATATATATATATATATATGCATATAAACAAAGATTGTGAAAACAATATATACATGTTTATATGTTGTAGACTCATTTATTTTTTTTTTAGCACTGTCTTTGATGTTTTTGTTAATGGACAGTATCTACCTATACTTGCTTTTGAATCAAACTTACCTAAAAATGAAATTGAAAAGTTAGCATGCAACTTAACTATGATACTTCAAGCTCATCATGGACTAAGATTATATATCTTGTTTGCTATGAATAAAGGACAACTTCCTCGGTATTTAAAGGATGGCAATCAATATATTCATCATTTAATGACAAAACGGTATTTTATGGAAGGAAAACTTCCCATTAAATATTTGAAAATGAATGTTAACCATACGATTTTCAATAAAACACATATTTCTGATGCTACCAGTTTATCTTCTGTGTGGCAGACTTGCTTATCCTCTTATGAAAAGGCAATTTCCCTACAAATTATTTCTTCTCACAAAAGACTACAACACTCTGGAATTGAGGTTGTAAAGACAGCTCTTGATGAACGCTCGGGTTATGATTTATCAAAATTTACAAACATAATTGATATTATCTTATGGCGTACCTCCCTTTATCCTGATGAAAATGTATTTCTGAATGTCATCCAAGGTACTACAAAGCCAATCACCTGGCGCAAACTGAATAATCAAATCGCTACGTTTGTCAATTATTTCATTAAAAAGTGCACACTTAAAGCTGGTACGAACGTAATGTTGATGTTACCCTTTGGGTTTGACTTTGTTTGCACTCTTTACGCCTGTCTTGTCGTAGGTGCTATCCCTATCATCTGCTCTCCTCCCGAACTCCTGCAATCCTCTCAAAAACGAATTCAAGATGATGTAAACGCCATGATTCGTACCCTTCACGATTTACAAATTCAGCATATCATTACTAATTCACAATCTGAAGATATTTTACGTAACAAAAATATTGTTTCTGCAATTAAGAATGCAACTACCCTCAGCGGCAAGCCAATCGGGTTAAAGAAGTTGCCTGTTCAAATCAATGTTGAGAAGGCGCCACGCTATAATAAACTGTTGGGCCCTGACAGTGGATTTTCTATAAAATCTGAATGGACAGCCGATAAGAAAAGACCTGCACTTGTATTGATTCGACAAAGGCAATGTGAAGATTACGAGTCAGGGGCACATCAATACATCTCTTACAGTCATGCTACCCTCCTTTCGCAATGTCGTTCTCAAAAGGTGACCTGTCAGATTAATTTTCAAAGACCGCTTATTGTTACTGGGCTGAATGGATTTGAAGGGTTAGGCTTATTACATGCTGCCTTTTGTAATATCTACGTTGGTTGCGCTACTATTTTAATGCCTACTATAGAATTTAGAAACAATGCAGCTTTCTATTTTGAATTAGTAGCTAAAAGGAAATGCCGAACTATTTGTACAAATTACATGTTATTTGATTATGCCATGAATCAAATTCTTCCGTCAGAACAAAGAAGGATTCCTCTTCAGAATATACAAAATATGATGGTAACTGTTGCATGTAGAACAAAACCTATGTTATATGAAAAGATAGCACGTTATTTAGCACTAAGTAGAGTTGAAAAGGAGACAGTGAATACAGTTTACAGTCATCCCTTTAATCCGATGATTACAACACGTTCATATATGTTATTAGAACCTATTTCACTTATAGCTGATCTTAAATGGCTTAGGCACGGTATTGTATGCCCTGGATCAATGCAGACTGGCATTTTATTACATGACTCGGGTATTGTTCCAATAAATACAATGGTGGCCATTGTTAATCCTGAAACTTTAGAATTATGTCCTAGTCATGTAATAGGAGAGATATGGGTTTCTTCTGATAGTAATGTGAAGGGCATGTATAAACCAATGATAAAAAATGAACAACCCGACCTTTTTGAAGCAACACTACATGGATCAGCAGATAAAGGCATCAAATACATGCGCACTGGGGATATTGGATTTCTATGGAATGTTCAAAGAAAGGCAATAGATGCACAACAAACAATTGTAGAAGAGGGACAATGTCTTTATGTACTTGGCCACCTTAGTGAAGTGATTATGACAAATAGTTTAATTTATTTTCCAACTGACATTGAACAAACTGTTGAAAATTGTCATCCAGATATTTTGCATGAAGGATGGTAATATATACTTTACATATATATAATGCTGTTATTTATTTATTTATTTTTTTACCATTTATAGCTATGCTATTCAATTAAACGATAATAAGGAAATTATTATCATTTCTGCTATAAAGCCGAATAGTGCAAGCAAGTTATCAGTTGTACCCGTCATAGTAAACTCAATTTTAGAGTATCATTCATTGCTTGTGGATACAGTTGTTCTAGTAGATAAAGATCAATTACCAAAGAAGAATAACGGAGACAAACTTCGAGAAAAATTAAAATCCCTGTATCTACGAAAAGAAATGTAAGTTAAAAATATAATTATATACCATATATGATTCTTACCTTTATGTATACAAATATATGAATATATATTTATATATATAGATCTGCCATTTATATTCATAGAATTAAAGATCAGCTTCAATCTATGACCTTACTTGGAAATACAAATACATTATCACAACCAAGTTTATCTTTTATGAATGATGATGGTGATAACCATTCAATTATATCATTTAGTCCAAAATCACAGGCTAATTTTGATACAAATAGTACTTACCGACGCTCAGCTTCAGTAACTAGTTTATTCACAAAATTACAAAACTATGTAAGTGAATAGAATCCAACAATCGCATGTACCATAATTTATTTATATCTACTATGTCTTCAATGATTCGTACCACGCAAAGTAATTCATCTATTATATTATCACATATATTATTCTTACTATATACTCAATACTCATCATATTAATATACTTATAATCGTTGTAATTTGAGGACATCTATATGTATATATAAATGTAGTATTTTTTTTTTCTTATTTAATAATCCATTGCATAAACTACTATACAATGATAAATTAAGAACTTAAATACATATTTTCTCATAAAGACGGGTAAAAGATTTCCTATGAGGGATTCCTATTTGTTCCAGTTTGTAAATTTTGACACACTTCCTTTTGTGTATCTTTATTTACGTTTAAATATGTTTTACTGACCAAGCGTAAATTCTTAAGTATCTATTTTATTGGATTATTAATTATTATTTTTTTTTTCTATATCAGCTGTATGTGTAACAGATTGCAGTAATAATTTCAAATCAAACACACATCTGTTTTAATTTTATATTTTATTTCCTTCAAAGTAATTTTTTTTTCTTCGAATCCTTAAGGGAATGATGAATGTTCAAAAAAGTGCAAAAAACAAGGAAAACAAGCCTTCAATAATAAAAACTAATAATAAGAACCAAGTTAATAGTAAAATTCAACAGAATCAAATGATAGAGACTCAATCAAATCACTCTCATGCATCTTCTGCAGACATAACTATAACAGGTTTAAATATATATAAATATATATGTATATGTATATCATTCATATTTAAAATATGCCTCCTCTTTTTTTAACATGATATATATTTGTAAAGAATAGAGGGAGACATTGAGCGTGATTTATCTTTAAATAATGAAGATAATGAAGAAGAGTTTGATGGTGGATATGGTTGGCTTGTGGTTTTAGGTGCATTTTGCGTTCAAGTGACAAGTTTCGGTATTGTCACAAGCTGGTATATGAATATTGAATATCATAAACAATATAATGTATTCAATCCTTTTTTTTTCCTACTATTTATAGGGGTAAATAGACATTATTATTAAAATACCATCTTATATATATATACATATATAAATACAGAGTTTAAAATGTAGGTGTAATGCAAGATTATTATTATCAGAACATATTCTCGGGTAATTCAAAAGCACTCGTTGAACTTAGCTTTGTTGGTACATTGGCGTTAATTTTTATCAATGGTATGAGTCCTTTCATTCATGTATGTATCGCTAGATATGGTCTTCGGCAGATAAAAATTGTAGGCACTCTTTGTATTACTATTGCATTAGAAATGGCTAGCTTTACTCATAAGGTATTGATCTTTAGTAATTACTATACACGCAAAATTTGCTTTTATATATATACATATATATATATATATCTTTTATTATACATACATACATACAAACTACATAGATTTGGCATTTGTATTTATCACAAGGAATTTTATTTGGATTAGGTGCTTCATGCTTGTATGTAACTATAATGGCTGTTACCCCTCAATGGTTTACAAAAAACAGAGGCATTGCTTTAGGTATAGTAGCTGGCGGATCTGGTATAGGTGGACTCGTTATGCCATTGATCATAACACCCATTAATAGAAATTTGGGACCTAGTTGGACTTATCGAATATTAGGTCTCATCTGCCTAGTGTGTGATGCGATTGCATGCATATTAGTAAAAGAAAGAGTTGCTAAACCTCAAGAAAAAAAGAAACTTTCGAAAATAGTTCATTTTGATGTACTTAAAGATATAAACTTTCTTATTTATTGTATTGGATCAGATATTGCTTTATTTGGCTATTTTATACCATTCTTTTTTGTTCCTGGTAAGAAAAAAAAAAGGAACATTGCAAATAATAAAAATTCATAAAATGTATGCATGTATGTTTCCTTTTTTTTTTTAGCTTACGCAACACATCTAGGGATGCCTGATTCTCAGGGCTCATCACTTGTTGCTGTTATGTCTGCAATGAATTTCATAGGTCGTTTAGTAGCAGGGTAAATATAACAATAGCATGTTTAACTCCAAATAATAATAATAATAATTTATGTTTATTTACAGATATCTTGCTGATCGCATCGGAAAATTAAATTCAAATATTATTTTTACATTAATTTCAGCCATCAGTTGTTTACTGATTTGGACTTTTGCATACACATATGAGACTCTGATGGGTTTTAGTATTGTGTTTGGTTTCTTTTGTGGATCTTATTTTGCATTATTGTCTCCTATTTCTGCAAGTATTCTTGGTATGGAAAGGTTCCCTTCAGGGCTGTCATTATTACTCTTATCCAATTCGATTCCTGTGTTTGGCTCAACTATAGCAAGCTCTATTGAATCAGCTGTCCAATCTTCCTCATTCTTCACTTACAAGATGTTTGCTGGGATTACTTACCTAATAGGTGCAATCATTCTTATTGTTTTAAAGTTTAGACTAAACAAAAAATTTTTGGCTATAATTTAACCCTTACAAAAAAAAACTTATACATTAACACAGTGTTTAAAATACTATTTAATAGATTGCTTTCAATTTTCTTACAAAAGTATTTTAAAGAAATATAATATTTAAACATTTAAACACTTCTTATATTAAAAAAAAAAACAATTGAATGATAAAACTTCTTCTTGATTAAAGATGCTTAACATATTTAATTGCACCTCTATTGATCAATCTTGTTGATATAAACAGTTCACTATTCTTTTAAAAATATATGATGCCGTATAGAGATGAAGCTGTTCATTTTGAACTTTATTTACTAAATATATAACTCAGTTATTTGAATTCCCTTTTTCTAAGAGGATAAGAACTATAACTAAGCAGAGATTTATTTATTTATTTATTTTTTTTAAAAAAAATGCCCTCTGTTCTCCAGACACTATGCTGACCTCCTCTCATTATAAGAACATAATGAATGAAATATTGGGATCAGGAGGAAGACAAAAAAAAAGATTTGCATGATAGCCTTTATCTACCCTACTTGTATTCAACTTAAAGATCATTATTGTTAATATTAGCATAGTCTAAAGTGTAGTAGATAAAAGATGAAAAATGTGTTATAATTATGTATTATGTATCAATCACAAACATGTTATGTTAAGATATTCTTAATGAAATAATAGTACGATCAATGACTTGATTATAGAAATCAATATAAAGGATATACAATAACTAGGATTGAATAATAAGTGTCTTGGTATATCTAGAACATATATTATTTTATATTTTTTTTTTGGTCAAATATACTCAAAAATGGGGTATATCCTTTTCCTTTTATTATTCTTCGTAGTTAGTTATGTTTACAAAGAAGCTAATATTATAAGAGTTACAACTCTATTATACATAAAATATATATTACGACTGAGCTTATCATTATTTGACTTGAATTAAGCAGTAAATAATACCGAGTCGTTTACACTTACTTTCATCAAATATAGATTTGTTTATAAAGCATATTATAATGAATTTTTTTTTCTTAAACCCAACTGATACAACTGAACATACTAGATTTCAGTACTTGGATATATGCACATATTGATTATAAATAAAAAGGAGAGAGAAGGAAGGAGTATTCGTCTTCAACTATATTTTAATGCTTTCAAAAACAAAAAAGAAAGAAAAGGAGCATGCTATTAAAACAAAAAGAAAAGAACGAGAATTCTATTATATCAATTTTACATAGCATATAATGTTTAATTCTTCTGTTCATAGTCAATAAAATGTAATCTATTTCTTTATAAGTCTACTATTACAAGATCAAAATAGGGGGGACAATTTATGAATGGAATTCCAAAAATTTCTCCATTAAAACACTGTCACAGAAAATTTCAAACTTAATTTGTTCATGCTGCAAAACCTTAATTACAGAGTAAAATTTATTTTATTTGTATTTTTTTTTTTTCTTGCTTCTTGTATCAAATGAATTTTATAACAAAGATATCATCATTAGCCATTCATGATAATACATTAAATGGCTGGTTTGGTGTTTTGTTATCATCTTCAGCATGCATCATTGGAGGTAATAAGATATTGAATCAAATTATGATATGAGATAGCCTTAATTAATTCCTTTCTTTTCTTTTCTTTTTTTTATAGCTTCAATTGTTTTTATAGATAAATTTTTTCATACAAAAGTATTAGATAGTCGTTCCTTTATGGCAGCGTCTATGTCACTGGCATCTGGTGTTTTATTATTCTCATCTTTATCTGTATTATTCCCTCAAGCACAAAAAAATCTAAATAATTCTACAGTATTATATGTATGCTATTTTGGTGGAGCTATTTTTACTCTTTTGTTAACTAGACTTATTCATTATTTAATGCCTGATGCTATTCATGCTTGTGGAGAAGCAACGCAAGAATGCCACCATAATGAAGAACATCATCATAGACATTCAATAAGAGAGGAAAGACGTAAATTAAATAATCGGCCTTGTGATGTTGAATATGGTACAATTCGTTCAAGTGAATCTCATTTCCGATTTCATCATGATGATCTAACCCATCATAATCAACTTCATCAAACAGAAGAAGTAACTGATAATGATACTATTAGTGAATGTTCAAGTGCAAATCATCATAATCATCATGAATCAGTTGAACAAACAGTTGAAAATGATCCTAAACATTATTATAGTATTGGCATTCAAACTGCTATTGCCATTTGTGTACACAAGTTTCCAGGTAAACAGGTTAAAAAAGAAAAAAAAATACATCTATATACTGAAGAATTGTTCAATATTGATTTTTAATTGATTTTAGAGGGACTCATCATGTTTGTTTCCAGTCAAGCATCCACTTCACTCGGTATCAGTGTTGCTATTGCTATGTCAATTCATAATTTAACAGAAGGATTTATGATCGCTTTACCCTTGTATTACGCCACACAATCTCGTGTAACTGCGTTCAATTATGCGGCTATAATGGGAGGACTTTCTCAGCCATTAGGTGCACTTATTGGGTTAGGGCTTATTAAGAATATAACGAAAAAGAGTGAAAATTGGTTGTTTGGTATTGTATTTGGATGTGTCAGTGGAATGATGTCCCTTATTACTATTCAGGTAATAATCTTATTTTAGTATTTTGTATGAATAGGTGGCTTATTCATTTCATATTAGAGTATGTTACCGCAAGCTATTAGGGCAGACAATAAGCAGCATTTTGTACTTTTATTTTTCTTTTTAGGTGTATTCTTAGTTGGACTTACATCTATCTTAGAAGACCTTTAAAATTACTATTTTTTTTCTTTTTTTTTTTTTCTTTTTTTCTTTTTTATTTAGTTACATAAATATAGATTATAATCTATATTTTTGATGTTTCGCCTTTATTATTAGTGATCATCCACTTCTGACACCAATGGACAGTAGCGTCTATCATATATGGGCACCATTCATGTCCAACATCAGGAACAAGATCATATCTCCAATCATCACCTTCTTTTCCAATATGAATTTGACGTAAAGAGCCAACTAAAGACTTATTGAAAGCAGCTTTTACTAACGTATCCTTTTCAGCATTCATAATTAAAATATGCTTAGTTTTTAATTTTTGATCTAATTCGGCCAAATGCCCTGATATCATTTTACAAAATGAATCAGGAAGATATGTTTCAGCAGGTTGCAATCTTGTTTCGTTTAGTCGAGCTTTCATTAATGTAATAAAGTCAGCAGTTCCAACAATAGGGATAGCAACTGTAATGCGAGGATCTATGTATAATGGAAAAGAAGAGAAAATTGTAAATTTCTCTCTCTCTCTCTCTCTTTATCTTTTTTTTTCTTTTTCCTTTATTGATAAGCTATATAAATACCATTGGCTGCTGTTAAGAATGTTGCATGGCCACCCATTGAGAAACCCATTACTCCCCAAATCTCTACCCATTGTTGGGAACCACCAAATAAATAGTATTCTACTACATCAATTAATTCACTCACAGTATGTGAAGTAGAATGAATCATACTCCACATATCTAATGCATGAGTTGGATTTTTATATTTACCCTCTACCCAACCATAGTTTGCAGGCTTATAAATAAGCCGACTTCCATGGTTAGGTGAGTCAAATGTAATAACGAGAATGTACCGATTTCCTTTTTGATAATGTTCATTTAATTGGCATATAGCTTGAGAAACCGATTCCATCTTGAATTGATTTTCTATATGTATACATATATATATATATATTATAGAATAACTATTATGATAATATTAACTATTTTATATCTTTCTTTATTTTACGTAATCGACCATGAAGCGCAAACATGACAGTAACAGGTGCTCCTCTATAAAATTTATTATATTCTTCTAAACCATATACTGTTAATTGAAGCCCAATGACATGAATGACTTGTTTTGAAATCATAATAATAACAATAATAATAATAATAATAATGTTAATAAAAGAGTGATGGGGAAAACTCTACTACTTCACAAAATTATTTTGGATAATAACCAATAAGGAATAGTATTGTACAAGGAATTTCTACTATAAAAGTAATACTGTAATTTACATAATGTTCAACAAAACTATCCTTTTCTACCATAATTAAACATCATTAACAGGAGCTTTACGTCCTATCCTATAAAACGCGGAGAACACTATATTTCAATTTGTATCTGCAAGCTCCATTTAATTCTCGCAAAAAAAAATATGAGAGGATACAGAGAAATGTCTATCAAACACTATATTATGTAATCAAACATACTAGAGTTAGACTGTTTTAGGGAAAACAAAAAAAAAATCTATATAGTGAAGTATTAATATTTGTGTTATCATATTTTAAACAGATTTACAACTTGGCAAGAATATGAAAAGCAGTATCCTGAGTTGACATACAAACACTGTCAATCTCTGCCATAAAATAAAAGGAGACACTTGCACAAAATTTTCGATACAAGTAAACAAAGGAAATAGACAATGCATGTTTTGTAGACTCAAACACATATTATTGATAAAAAAAAACTTATATTGCATCTAGGATTAGTGCACCAATAACTATATAGAATTTGTTGCCCTTTATACCTTTCTTCCCTTCATAATCAAGAAGATTAAAAATGTATATGCATATACATGTATTTTTTTCCGCTTTGACTGTTGTAACAATAACAATTTAAATCTCCATTCAAAAAAAAAAAAAAAAAATAATAAATTAGCCCTTCCAGGTTCTTTGGCAGGGTTTGTTAACTTGAGTTATGTTAACGAGGTCTATTATAAGAACAGCCCAAATATCAAAACATGTAAGCATGTTGTAAATAAATAAAATAAACTACATATAAGACTCCCTCCTTTTTTTTTTCTCTTTTCATTTACCCATCTGGTAGAGTCGTTATTCTTCAACGATTGCTTTAAGGGAATCATTACAAAAAATAGATCGCTACAATTCTGAAATTAACGCATTTACTTCAGTTAATAGCAGAGCTCTATTAGAACAAAAAGCAGAAGAGTCAGATAAAAGACATTTAAATGGTATATAAAAAGAAGAAGAAGAAAAAAAACAAGACATGTATTTTTTCTTATAATAAATATTACATAATAGGAACACCTTTAAGTTCAATTGATGGAACAGCTATTGCGATAAAAGATAATATTTGTACTCGATTTTTACCTACTACATGTGCTTCGAATATGTTGAGAGGTATAATGATACTATCTTGATTCTCAAAATGAATAAGATAATTTTCTAATACAAATTTATATTTTTTAGATTTCAATTCGCCTTATGATGCTACTGTAGTCGAGTTATTAAACAGAGCTGGTGCATTAATTATTGGAAAGACAAATATGGATGAATTTGGTATGGGGTATTGTGAATAATGATTTAAAAAATATGTATATAATATATTAAAACTAAATAGATTCTGTCCATGTTTAGCTCTCTAAATATACATAGTGCATTTGGTCCTGTTATCAATCCATTAAGTTACAAGGAAGATGATAAAAGATCTGCAGGCGGTAGTTCAGGTGGAAGTGCAGCCAGTGTTGCAATGGGCATGTGTTTAGCGTAAGTAATTTACAAATAGAAATAGAATTAGCCTGTTGGCTCTAACTGCTTTGAGGAAAAAAAAAGTGCATTAGGATCAGATACAGGTGGATCAGTTAGAATGCCTGCTTCTTATTGTGGTTTAGTTGGATTTAAACCTAGTTATGGTCGTTGCTCTAGACATGGTTTAATTGCTTATGCTAACTCATTAGATACTATTGGGATTTTAAGTCGAACTGTAGAGGACTGTTCAAATGTATATGGTAAATCCAATTATATATATGTATCAATATATGTATATTAATATATATTTTTTGTAGATATCATTTCGAAATATGATGTTCGTGATCCTACTTGTATGCCTGTTGACTTGCGAAATAAAATAGAAGAGAATGAAATTGAACTTTTATCTAGATTTCAAAATAGTGGAAATTTAAAGGGATTAACGATTGGAATTCCTCAAGAATTCTATGTTGATTCATTGTCAAATGAAGTAATTGAAGTATGGCGTAAAGGAATTCAACATTTACAAAAATTAGGTGCAAAGATAGTTTCAATATCGATACCTCATATTTCTTTATGTTTACCTGCTTATTATACAATTGCACTTGCAGAAGCAAGCTCAAATTTAGCAAGATATGATGGGATACGTTATGGTATATATACATATATTTATATATATATTATCTTATTTATTTATATCTCATTTAATTATAATTTGCAAAGGTCATAGAAGTCCTGATAATGTAGACCATCTATTATATGAAGATACACGTACAGAAGGATTTGGTGAAGAAGTTCAGAGACGTATTTTACTTGGAACTCATGTATTAACAGCAGGGTAAGGTTATATATGTACATTTAGATAGATAAATAGATATACATGTATAGTGTGTAAACTTAAATTTTCGTACCTTTAGAACATATGAAGCATTATTTTTGCCAGCACAAAAAATTAGAAGATTAATTCAGAAAGAATTTAATCAAGTATTTAAACAACCTAATTTATTATATACTGATGAGTTAAATCAAACTTCAGCAGTAGATATGCTATTAGTGCCAAGTGCAACATCACCTGCACCCAAGTTATCAAAATATAATTCAGTCGAATATATAGATGATGTGATGACATTACCTGCTAATCTAGCCGGTCTACCAGCCATTACTGTACCATTTGAGACTCAGTTAAAGTATCCTATTGGATTACAACTAATAGGTCAATATGGTTATGATCAGTTCGTTTTACGAATTGCAAAAGAACTGGTTATGAAAATATAACACGTTTTCAATTCCCACAACAAGCAATTTGTAATAATCAAGCCTCTTTTTTTTTTAATTTTTTTTTAATATTTATTTTTAAATAAAAACGAATGTGGCTAAAACCAAGTTTTTTTTTTTTTTTTTTTTTTTTTTTTATTACTCCTGCTTAAAATACATTTTCATTTTATTCTCTTCTTCTTCTTCTTTCCCTTTCTTCTTCTTGCCTTCTTTTCCTCCTCTTGTTATTTCACATACACATCTATTTCAATTTAAAGCTTAAATAGAGGGAAAATCAATGGATTCATATTATGACAACACAGAAGTTTTAGTTGGAGAAGAATGTGAAGATCCTCATTGCCATGGCTGTCAAAAGCCCATTGAAGATGGGTCTGTAGTTCAATTTGGTGATGGTATTTGGCATTTCGAGTGGTACTACAAAATAACGATAAAATACTATTTACATTTTTATATGTATCTAATTGCTTACAAATATTTTTGTTTTTTTTTCTAAAGTTTCCGTTGTGCCAAGTGTCACAAACTAGTTGAATGTTATAGTAATTTATTACTATTAAGAGACGGTAATCCTATCTGTGAAGATTGCTCATATAGTTGCCATGCTTGTAAAAAAACAATTAAAGATGAAGCTATAATGACAGGTAATTTATAGTATGTTTTTTTGTTTGTTTGTTTGTTAAGGGAGGAACAAGAAAAGATAGATGTTAAGGTAAATGTATAAATATAGGTGATGAGGCTTATCATGCAGAATGTTTTCGATGTGTTCAATGTAATAAAAAAATTAATGACTTGGTATTTACACAAACAAGCAAGGTAAGTAAATAATTTAGTTATATGTTATGATAAAAGACTTCATGATCTATTGTAGGGAATTTATTGTACAAAATGTCATGAAACAAGGAAACAACTTCGAATGAAAAAGAGGGATGAGCGAAATAATAATGTAATATTTTACAACGGTAGCTTTAAATAGATTGAATTTAACTAATTGACATTATATCTACAGAGTAGACATTATTATGATAGTAAAAATACAACATCTTTAAGTAGACCGCCTCTTGAATTGAGAACTTCTTCAACCACCTCCATTGTAAATGCCTATACAGAAGAACATTCACCTTTATTAGAATCCAATGATATCAATGAATTAAATAATATGCTAATGGGTCAAAGAAATAGTGAAGAGACACCTCGAAGTTCTATTGATAACAGTCTTACTCGAGTAGTCGATATGGATCAGTTAGATGATACACCTCAAGTGCATGCATTAAAGCATCAACTAATTGAGACAAAGAATCGTTTACGGGAAGTAGAAGGCAAATTTAATAAAATCAAAGTAAGTTTTATGAATATGTTTCATATATTTGTATATATATATATATATATTCAAAGGAAGTTATTCATCGTATCCTTTCTCTCTCTTTCTCTCTCTTTCTCTCTCTTTCTCTCTCTCTCTTTTTTTTTCCTTATGTAGACAATAAGTAGAAAGGCATTAGATGAATTCAATATGGTAAAGGAGGGGTATGCGCATGAGGTGCAAGCACGAAGAGAGGCCGAAAATCAAATTATTCGTCTGAAGAGTGAGCTATTGTTTTACCAACAAGCTAACATTTTTAATGGGCATGATTTTATTCATTATAGTAAGGAAGAAATTGAAGCTCTCAATCAAACACGTGCAGATTTGGAACAGATATGTTATGATTTGAGATCAGAACGAGACAATCTTATTCGTGAATTAGAAACTCATTCTAAAAACATCGAAAAATTATTAGCTAGTCAAAAGCCTCAAGATTTGCATTGGGAAAGAATTCAACATGCTTACCAACAGCAACTGAATTCTATGCAGAAGGATATGACTCTGGCAAAAGAAAGTTATGCCCGATTAGTAAAAGGACGTGAAGAGATCATTTCGGATATGATCTTATTGAATACTAAAAATGCTGAACTCACTCAACTTAATAATGATTTATCACGTCGTGTGATAGAGAGAGAACAAGAAGCTAAGGCAGTTTTTGCTGGTACAAGTTTTTTAACAATAGACGATAATTCTGAAGAGCAAGATGATACATTAAAACAATTAAAATCTACCCAGTATAATAATAAAAGTAACGGTACCAGTAATAATAAACATCGACGCAACCTTTCTACGGGGTCTATTGGTATTGCACATCCTACAACTGTCTTACCAAATATAAATAATAAATCGAATCAAATCAGTGAACCCGCTTCCTCTTTTTCAGCAACTGCAAAGTTAGCACAGCTCGATAGTTTTAGTGGCTCTGCAGCTCCTAGGTTGTTTAAATTTAGAAGAAATAAAAGTGCCTCTAGTAGAAATAAGACAACGAATAAACAAGTCGAAGAAAATAATAAATCGATCCTATCTATATCTTACGACACAAAATCTCTAGAGCTGGCCTCAGAGTCTTTTCCCGTAAAAAAGGATTCAGAAAACCCTACTGTTAATAGAACAACAGGAGGAAGCAAGCATCATTTTATTCAAACCAAATTTCTAAGACCTATCAAATGTGAATCTTGTGGTGAAAAAATGTGGCGTGTTAATGAATTAAAATGTTCAGGTACAACTTGAATTAAAATCCAGTAATAGTAATGATTTTTTTTTTCTTTTTTACATAACAAATATTTATATATTTACGTGTATATAAAAATGTATACATATATACACACACACACATATATATATATATATATATTAGAATGTAGTATGGTTTGTCATGCTAAATGCGCATATAGTGTACCACAAGTATGTTTTAGAAAAAATAATTCAGATGCAAATAACGAAACTACTAGACTTATGTTTGGTAATGACCTAATTAAACAAATTCAAGCCGAAAAGGGGAAAATACCATTAATTGTAGAAAAATGTGTTGAATCTGTTGAGAAAAGAGGTATGATAAGAGAGATTTATATAAATAAATATCTGAAATATTATTTTTTTCTTTCTTTAGGTATGGATTATGAAGGTATTTATCGGAAGTCTGGTGGTGTAGGTCAAATGAGACAAATACAACAAGCTTTTGAAAAGGGTGAAGTACTTAATTTAGCGGATGAAGAGAAATGGAATGATATTTGTGCAATTACAAGTGTTCTTAAACAATATTTTAGAGAATTACCTAACCCATTATTTACTTATGAATTACATTCTAAATTTATGGATGCTATGAGTAAAATATACATTTATACATTCATATAATATAAATATATTCATTTTTTTTTTGCTTTGTATATATGTTTAGTGATTACGGACAGTAAAGAGCAGCTACAAACAATGACTCAATTGATTCAAATGTTACCTATTGAAAACTTTAATACTTTAAAGTACTTGATGGAGCATTTAAATAGGTAAATAGATTTAGCTATCTTAATCAAATATGTATTCATTTGTTTACTTTTATAGAGTTCAGAGTCAAAGCAAAGATAATTTAATGACATCCAAAAATTTAGCTGTCATATTTGGCCCTACACTTCTTCGACATCAAGATGAAAATCGGGATTTATTAGAAATGAATTATAAGATTGGAGCAATAGAATTTATATTAAATCATATGGAAACGATCTTTGTCATTGAAACAATAGGAGGAAATAGTAGCAATATTTCTGAACATCGTCGGGCTCAACTACCACCATTTCAAAAAAGAAATGAAGATTTAAATACCCTTTTCAATAGTTATCAAATTTCTAGTAATAGAAAAGAAGATATTAATAATAGTAATAATAATAGTAATAATAATAATAATGGCAGCAATAATTATAATAATATCACTTCCTTACAACAGCAACCCTGTAATAATAATTCTACACTATTAACTACACCAGCTGTTCCACCTCGACAAAATGCTGGTTATATATAATATATATTTGTTGTATATGTATATGCATTTTAAACGTTATAACATTCTCTTATATTCACATACACGTACTGATCAATAAAATTAATCACAGTTTACACATACATTTTTATATTCAATGAATTTCCTTTGACCTAGTTTACCAATAAAGTTATCTAATTAAATCACATCTATTCATGACCTTCCCTTTCTTTTTTTTTTTTTTTTTTTTGCAATCAACATTATTAAAATACTATTCGTATTATGTAATCTATTCGCTTTCTACTAGGATGATCTTAGCATAGTTTGAGTATGATATCATATCTAATATCTTTACATCATCGATCGATTAAATGACTAGAACTTATTCAGTTCTGTATGTATATTGAGTATTCCACAGTAAGCCAAGTCCCTCTGTAATGTCACGCTTCATATATTTACGTAATTCATATTACATTTAACCTCTGCTTTGATATGTAATCCATTCAATGTATTGTTATCTAAATTATAACTTTTCTGCAGCTCTCTAATATCAACTATTCAAAACTATCTACATTCCCTCCCGTAGTCTATGAACAGCCTTTTGCAGAAGTATAATTTGTATTGATGACTCAGATAATCAAATCTTTGACTTTATTATTACTATCCAGACTCTCTTTTCACTTGGAAATATTCTATTATTCATGCACATGTTTATAATTGATACACAAATACGTCATGAAATTAACAATGTTTTATCGTTATCTCTGTTGTATATATTATATCTTTATAAACTTCAGCCTCTTCATACCTGTCATTCCTCATACTATCTGAAATTATATATTTCATTACATAAAATACATTACCTGGTTCACTATGTAATTCACTTTTCTAAATATTAATTTATTTGAAAGATATTTATAACTACTGTAATGACAAGCTTGGTATCCTTTTTTTTCCTCTTTAGTAGAAAGATTAAGTGATAAGCATGCAAACATCTTATTGCGAGTCAAATAATCAATTTTATGTAATAAAGTAGTAAAATGTAATAGCTTATTCCAATGATATGTATTCAAAATTACTAAATACAGTGATTCCATTATCAATTTTTGAGGATTTAAAAATAGTCTTTGAATATCGTTTCATTACGTGCTCCGTAACTAAAAACCTGTTTATCAAACAAATATAAAAAAAAAATTAACTCCTGAAATCAGTTCCTAATTTTTTATTTCCTTATCTGGGATTTAATAAATACAGTTTTTTTTTTGACACTATTTCGTGTGGGGGGGACACGACGATCACGTAAAAAATGGTTACATATAACACAAATTCATTTGTTTACGGAAGGTTAAAATTAGATCAGATGCCAAGGAAGGCTTTGATCATATCTCCACTTTTGTTTATATTTTTTGAGCAAATTTGTACTACTATTCTTCTTTAACAGGGAGCATATCTTATCTCATCCTCTATCTTGTAAAAAAAAAAAAAAAAAAAAAAAAAAAAAAAAAAAAAAAAAAAAAAAAAAAAAAGATGAAACACTTTATTTTTTTTTTCCTCTCATGTAATTAACTTATCTTTATTTATACATGTCTTTTGAAGAGTTATATAACGCGAAATAATATAAAATGAAATAAAAAAAAATAAACTGTTTTAGAATACAGTCGTTCTATATTTAAAGCTAAACGTTTATTGTTGTATATAATGCATATGAAATGTACTGTATCTTATTCATCTATAATAAATGTTAATTAGCTTCTTGCTTTTTTTGGCTATCTTTTATTACATATTTCTAGCATCAAATAAGGATCATCATTTGTTTTTTTTTATGCATGCAGCAAAACAAGTTAAGGTTCATGCCATTTAACAACTTTTGATTCTCCTTTCATCTACAATTTGATCCGAAAGAACAATAATAATAATAATAATAATAAATAATAAATAATAATAAAAAAAAAAAGAGGGATTTCGTGACGCGCTTAAAAATGTTGTGACTTTTAATTTCTTTCAAATATATAAAATGTAGATGAAATTCACTTGAATTTCCGTTTCTTTAGTTTTTCATACTATTTACAAACTTATATTATTACAAGTGTGAAGTCTATAGTATATCATTTTATATACCTCTTATCTATTTATATATTAATACTTCCAAATTATAATATGTCACCTTTCAACGATTTGACTAACACTTATAATAAAAACTCTGATGACCATTCTGATGAGCAACATCAACATGACAATCAACAATATGAACAACAGCAATCAGCTTCTGAACAGCCTCAAGAACAAGGAACTAATACAGAGCAACAAAATGAATTAGAACAAACTCAACAAAATACTTCTCCCGACGATATTCGTTTTTCTTTGTCTGAGTCAGTTCATCAATCAATGCTTGGTTTCCACTGTTCTCATGCTATTACTCACACTCGTAACTATGGTAGCAATACATTCTCTCGTCCTACAGATGCTATTAGAGCCCTTGGTAGCTTTGGATTATTTGATAAGGAGAAAAATGAAGATTTCAACCTTGAACCCAAATTTATGTATCCTGTATTAGCCAACATGAAACGACCTGTCAATCGCCGTGCTTTCAAGGAACCACATAAAATTGACGAACCTGACTGGACTGCTCCTAAGCCTATCAGACAACCTAGACCTGCTCCTGCCTTCCCTGAGAGTCGTGGTTTTAAACTTCGATCTGTAGAAGAAATCTTAGCTGAACGTGCTGGCCGTGAACATCAATCATCTAAACCACCTCCTCAACCTGCTCAATCGATTCAACGTGCTCCACCTCAACCTGAATCTGTTGATCCAAGTGTTAAAAGATTCCATAATATTCTTAACAAAGTCTTGTCTAATATTCCCAAACCTGGTTGTTCTACTCTTGATGGCAAGTCTTCTCAAACACAATCTGTAAATCAACCTAACAATAACATACCCAGACGACAATCTACTTCTAGTCAAGCTGCTACACCTACTAATTCAAACCGTCGTCCATCTGGTACTATTCGACCAGCTTCTACTACTAGTGCAGGTCGTCGTCCATCTATCAATTCTACTTCAGCATCTCATCTACCTATGTCAAAGAAATTAAATCTTACTTCTTCTTCTTCTCCTTCTTCTACTGTTACTACTTCAGATCGTCGTCAATCTGTATGTATCCTATTTATTATGTAATTCATTTAATTTAGACTTATTTATTTATTTTTTATAGAATAAGGGTCAGTCTAATCGTAGAAATATGAATAGTCGTAACTCCACTGATCAAACTGATGATCGCACTGATATCCCTTCTAAACAAATAGTTCATCGCTATAGAGTTCTTACTCCAGTTGCACCCCCTCCTGTTCCTCATGTACCTGTAAGTAGTCTTCATATTGTAAAGTAATTTAACTTTTATTAATAAAATTATATAGGATCATCTTGAGGCCAAAAAATTTTTAATTGAATTTGATACTGTTGCACCTCGATCTGTAAAATCTTTGAGAAGGTAAAAATCAGTATTCTTTATACATATTGTAAAATAACAATACTAATACTTTTTTTTTTTTTGAAAAAATTATTATCCAGAGAATTGCCTAATGTTAAGCCTACCAAAAAACCTGCTATTATTTTTAACATTAAAGATCCACTTAACGGGCTCACACAAGCTATTAAGAAGATGAAGATGGCTAAAAACAAAGGCAAAGGCAAAGGCAAAGCTAATGCTATACCTAAGGCTAAATCTGTAATTCAGGATAAGGAAAAGACAAATACTGCTTCTATTGCAAAGGCACCTACTTATATTCCTTATGCTTCTACAAGTTCTTATATGAATCCTAAACCCCAACGCACTGTTATCAAATCTCGTTTAATCGATAAGTCTTCAAATATCTCTGATGATGATAATAACAAGCCATTTGATGCTAATAAGCACTCTGTTGATGACAAATTATCTTCTGATAAGCGTCCTACTAATAAATTGCCTTCTGATACTAATGGAACCTCTATTGATTCTCATCGTCTCTCTTCAGATATTAAGTCTTCAACTTCTGCTGGCAGATTAACACCTACTATTAAACCATCTTCTAATATTGCTTCCTTACCTTCTGGTGACAAATTATCTTCTGATATTAAATCATCTTCTTCTGCTACTAAATTAGCTTCAACTGTTAAATCATCTTCAGTTATCAAGCCATGTTCTGATACTAAATCAGCTTCTTCTGCCCCCAAATCATCTTCAACTGCTAAGTTGTCTTCTGATGTTAAACCATCCTCTGATGTTAAACCATCCTCTGATGTTAAACCATCCTCTGATGTTAAACCATCTTCAACTATTAAGCCATCTTCCGATGCTGCTCTTTTATCTTCTACTAATGTAAAGTCCTCATCCTCTTCTGACAAACCTTCTTCTTCTTCTAAAACTGGCAAGCACTTATCTTCTTCTGATTCTAAATCATCTTCTGTTGCCAAGTTGTCTTCTAAAATCAAATCCACATCTTCTATGGATAAACCACCTAGGTCTAAAACTGTTAAGTCCATATCTTCTTCTGAAGTCAAGCAATCTCCTTCTTCTGATAATAAACGTTCTTCTACTAGTAAGCGTACCATGATTGAGCTTGAAGAGGGTGAAACTGTTAGTCCATCTCCATCTCCTTCTGGAACTCGTAAAGCAGATACGGAAACATCTAGACAGGTAGATAAGCGCCGAAGCTCTCGTGTTGTTAAATCTTCTCGTGGATCTGATTCTCCATCTCCTCATCGTCGTTCATCACGCCGCCATAGTTCTCGCTCTAGTTCTCGTTCTCGCTCAATTTCAAGCAAAAATAGACACTCAGACTCCGTTCGTCGTAGATCACGATCACCCTTATCAAAAAGCCGTCGTTCTGAAAGCCGCCGTTCTGAAAGCCGTCGTTCTGAAAGCCGTCGTTCTGAAAGCCGTCGTTCTGAAAGCCGCCGTTCTGAAAGCCGCCGTTCTGAAAGTCGCCGTTCTGAAAGCCGTCGTTCTGAAAGCCGTCGCGAACACAGTTTAAGCAGCAATCGTGGTGAGCGTTGTGAAGCTCGTCGTCGTTCCTCTCCCGTTGATAAAGATAACAAACGAAAAGCTTCTTCTAATCGTGAAGATGAGCTTGTAGAACGTTCCCCAAAGCGACAAGCATTGCAAAGACCTTCTTCTTCTTCTTCTTCCTCTTCTTCTCCTAGTCCTGCCGCTAGTATTTCTGCAACTGCACCTGATGCCAATTCTCCTGATCAATGTAGAATTTTTACAATTATGTTCAAGAAACTAGCCCATGCTTACAAGAAGCGCGGTGACGCCCAGACCGACCCAAGTATTGGTGCATTAGATCATTTTCATGCCCTCTGCAATTATATGCTAAGCTTTTACTTTGCGGACAAGTCCAACTCTGATGTCCCCAGCAAGCAGTCGATCGCCGCCTGGAAAAGTTTGTTCCCCTTTGCTGAGGTTCTGTTGCGCAAGTTACAAGAGCGCAAGCTTGATGTCTTGTGGGGGCTTTGCACCCGTTTGTTGGCGTTGATCCGGTTTGCTGTCCACGGGATCATGGTGGACGCAACCATCCCACTGGTGAAGAAGAAAGAAGGTATCCCAGCGGAGATGGTAGAGAGTCTTGTCCTGGAACATGCAAAGGCAAAGCGCCTTTTAAAGGATTCAGAACAACATGCATCCTTTGCATCCTGGGCAAGACTCTTCCCCGGATCATTCAAGAGGACGGTGCTTGGCGGTGACTTTTTGGCCGGTGTCGTCCTCGGGGGTGAGGCTGGTGTGTCGGTGGGTCCTGGGTACCCTTTGAGCCCTCTCTCGGAGTTGAACTTGGCTGCTTTGGCAGTCAAGTGCATACTTGCTGAATGGGTGTCGTCGATGGGAGTTGATTATGCTCCCATCACGAGCACCGATGACTTTATGTAGAGAGGGCTCTTTTTTTTTTTTTTTTTTTTTTTTTTTTGTTATTAATTTTTTTATTTTTATAATAATAAAATTCATAAAATTATGAATTGTTTTAAAGAAGAAAAAGTCTAATATACAATAACATAAATGTTTGACGGTTATTTGCTTTTATTTTATTTTTATTTTTTTCTCTACTAACTATAAGTTTTGATTCTATCAATTATAAGAGTATAGAAGAGATGAGATGATAGTTGAAAAGGATAGATGGCTAAAGTACTAATTCATTTGTAATTCGATGAACTAATTCATTGATAAAAAAAAAAAAAAAAAAAGTCATCAACGAATCAATAACATTAGCAATCCTTATGCTGATAGGGATTGGGAGGGACTTGTGGCTTTTTAAATGCAGGACTTGACTTCATTCCTTCTGGACAATTGACACCGATTATAATTGCGGCAATTATCCTCTTCCCCCCCTTCCCCTCCTATTGTCTGGAATAACCACTTTTACAGACATTTCTTTCTTTGAGCTTTCAAAGCTTCTTTTCAAGTATATTTTGAATCCAGAGTTGTGGATAAAAATATAATTCGAATAGTAATCTACGGGGGGGGGAAATCAGTCAATAACTGACACACAACATCCTTTCTCGCTTTCATAGTATGTATCATCAGAGTAGTTGACCTCTGTAGTCAGATTTTATAAAGATTGTATTTCTACAAAAGGTATTTGTGGACAGTAAATAAGTGTATACTTAAACTAAAAAGCTCTTCCATTAACACATCTCTTGATTCCTAAAGAATAACATCCAGAGTATGATCAAAATGATTCATGAAAAAAGGAAATATGATATGGAAACAATTTAATATTTTTGCTGCCGCCAATATTTTTTTTTTTTTTCAGGTAAAAAGTGCAGACCTTCATGTACTTTTTTATTGTCTGAAATAATAGTAGCCAATTTTAATTATTATTTCAGGATAGGGTCTTGATGTACAAGTCTCTATGACTAGATCCAAACACTCTTGAGTCTGATATATTTAATAAGGTCTTGAAAATGTCAAAAAAAAAAAAATATCTACATATGTTGGATTTCACTTATGTCTTTAGAGGTGGTAGTCTGGAATTTTTCTTACATTGCTAAGCTCTTCTTAAACAGATTAATTAAGTTTTTATTTTACAGCTTTTTTTTTTTTTTTTTTCAAAACCAAAATCAGAAAGGATTACTTGCTATTCGTATTCACTCCCTTTCCGCCCCTATAGTAAACTTTTATTCATCTTTAGTCTCCATTAATACCAAAGCTTGTATCAAGGAAAAATAATAAACGGCAAAAAATGAAGAGAAGGAATGTTCTATCTCTATTTTGTTACAAGGTAAATGATATGATTTTGACAACAAGTAAAGACTGGTATAATAAAGATCCATAATAGTCTGCATTTATAAAATAAGATGTACAATTATCCCCCTAACCTGTCGTTACTACTGAAAAATAAAATAAAATATTATTTCTTAAATAAGATATCCATATTAATTTGTAATAAATAGCCCAGCTATAATACAACACTACAAATTACTTAGTGTGTTTGAGTCTAAATCGATATGAAATACATACTTCTGATACATCTTATAGAAGATTTTTATAAGTCTATTTTTAGATATTTATCAAAGTTCTCATCTTTTATTAATAAAAAAAAAGCCTTGAAAAAGAGCTTTTCTCACCTTTAACCTGAATCGTATAAAATTAGAATCACGTACAAGTTCAGGAAATTTAAACATAGTGTAAAAGTTATAGTGAGTATTATTTAAACCGATCTATTTATAGAGTGTATATTTAAAACATAAGTAAAATCACATCCTTATATTCTGACATACATGAGAGGAGGGCTTTTTCACTGTTTTTATGCATTTGAAAACAATGTGAATGTAGAGCTTTGTATTATTATTATCTATTTAAAGATGCTGTTTCAAATGATGTCCAAGATTCAATAATAGTAAACATAAACTAAACTGTGTCTTACCTAAAAGAATGTATACACATGCATAAAGGGGGGAAGATGAACAAAAGATAAGTCTGTATATACAATGATGTTATTGATTACAACTACATCAGAAGGAAAAGGTAAAAAAAAAAAAAAAAAAGAACCTGTCTAGATCTTCATATACACAAAGCTTTTTTAGTAATTGTTTATTTTCAATCATGATGTGTAAATAGGAAAGGTCCCTTCCTTAATTTAGGTATTACAACGAGTAACATTTCTTTTTTTTTTATTGTGCATAAACTAGAATTATGATACGCGTACACAACTTATAAAGACAAGTTACTTATTAACTAAAGAAATGTAGAATACTGTGGTATATTCACTTTACAATTTTACTTCTTCAAACAAAGATGTTTATGAAAGTATATCTCTTGAAATAAAATCACTAGATTCAAGCATTAAATTACATAGTATGTGATATTCAATTATGACTGTTTGTGCTCGTATACAGCAATCTTTTATTACTAAACTATTTTTATAGTGTGATATGTTATTATTTTATATCTACGCTATTTTTATTAATCATTATATTAAAGTAATTTCTGCTTTTTCCCCACATCAAACCAAAAAAAAAGGACCCCTTTAAAACACCGCTTCCAATTTTATTGACAATTTCTTTACAGAAAGCAGTAAATATACCCATGTCCGCGTCCCCTCTATTTTTTTTACATATATCCGACGCATTATTAAATTACCCTATTTTTTTTTTTTTAAAAAAAAAAAGACATCATAAACTAAAATGTCATTGCGATTATTAAGATCAGTTGCCATGCTTCAAGGTGTTTTAAAACCAGCTGCAGTAATAGCCCCTAGAATGACGCCAGCTAAGGCCGTTTGGCAACGTCCGGTTTTGACAACAGCTGCACGATTTTATGCAAAAAATAATAAGAAAAAGCATCAATTTGTAGAATCACAAACTAAGAAAGAGCAAAGCCAAGTTCTTCAATTCGATGAAGAAAACTTTCAAGCACGTTTTGATCAATCAATTAATCAATTAAAAGAGCATTTAGCCAATATACGTATTGGTCGAGCTACTCCCTGTAAGGATTTCATCTAAACATACAAATATGCATATATCCATAAAATGATATATTTATTAATTACATTTATTTTCGTAAATAGCTTTATTAGACAATGTTCGAGTTCGTATAGAAAACTCCCATTATCCTATAAAAGATCTTGCACAAATCACGGTTAGAGATCCTCAAACTTTAATCGTCACTGTTCATGATGGCGAAGTAAGTATCAAAAAAAAAAAAAAAAAAAAAAAAAAGTGCTTACAAAACTAGTATTAAAAATTCTACAATGCATAAAAGTATATTTCAGCTGTCGATAAAAGCATTCGTGAAGCAGGATTAAATTTAAATCCAATTTTAGACAATAAAATCATCAAAGTTCCTATACCAAAGTACGTTCAATTATTTTAATGATATGTTAATTACATATATTTACCCATCATTAGAGCTACAAAGGAGACTCGTGATAAACTAGCTAAACTTGTTAGTTCAACAGGCGAACAAACAAAGCACAAAATTAGATCTATTCGTCAAGACGGTATGAAGCAACTAAAACATGATATGAGACATACTTCAGCAGATGATATCAAAAAATTAGATAAACTTGTAAGTTGAAAATAAAAAGAATATGAACATACACACTTATTCTTCTTCTTCAAATAGGTGCAAAATACGACAGATAAATATAACAAAATGGTCGAGGAATTATTAAAAACTAAAATAAAAGAAATTCAATCTTAATAAACGGTAGTTTTTACTTTGTTTCTTCCACCCCCTCTCTTTCCCCCCCCCTTGATTGATCCGATTAAAGAAATTATCGAAAAAACGGCTTTTATATAAATTTCATTTTTTTTATTTATTTATTTGGGTTAGCTTTTCTTTTTATAAATGTGTATATAAATATATACTTGAGATAATAAAAATGACTATTTCAATAAAACCATTAACACATGTTATCAATAAAAATGATAATCAAAGTAACAATGATAGGCAGCATCCACCTACACCTTCAACTTTGGTTTGTTATATGTAGTATGATATAATGAAGCAAATATCTAATCTTTCTGTTTTCAATTTTATACAGGATTTTCATGGCGCTAGTTTAGCAGCAGCAGCCAAAATTATGAAAACTGAGTTGGCAAAATTAGGAAGTAGTCTTAAAGATGCAGAGGAACATAGAGTATGTACATATTTCTTCATGTATATAATAGATAAAATCGTTAAATTTAGAGGAGGGAAACTCTTTCTGCTGGGATTTTTTTTTTCCATAGATATTTAATTTTGAAATGGATAATTTCTATATGCTCTTTACACGTTATTTGAATGAAAAATCGAAAGGATCAAAGCAGTAATGATTATAGACAGTGAAAGTGATATAAATAGACTCACTTTGCTCTTTATTTAGGAATTGGGAAAAGATTCAATCACCTTCAACTGAACAGATCATTCCTTATGCAAGCTTGCCCATTAATTCCTCTGCATTTGATTTAACTAAACTTGCTGTACTTAAATTAAATGGTGGTTTGGGCACTACAATGGGCTGTGTTGGTCCAAAATCTGTTATCGAAGTTCGTGATAACATGACATTTTTGGATTTAAGTGTTCGTCAAATCGAGGTAAAATCACACACACTCTCTCTCTCTTCTTTTCTTTTCTTTGCTAATACATATTGATTAGTATTTGAATAAAAAACATGGTGTTAGTGTTCCTTTCATTTTAATGAATTCATTTAATACAGATGAAGATACAAAGAGAATTGTACAGAAATACACTTCACATAACGTTGATATCATCACTTTCAATCAAAGTCGACATCCTCGTATTAAGAAAGAAACTCTCTTACCTGTCCCTAGATCACATGATTCACCTATTGAGGAATGGTAAAAAAAAAAAAAAAAAAAAAAAAAAAAAAAAAAAAAAAAAAACTACTTACTGTTATATTAGTATAGTATCATTAATATATTAATATATACATATATATATATCTAACTACTAGGTATCCTCCTGGTCATGGTGATATGTATGAATCCCTCTATAATTCGGGATTATTAGATCAATTATTGGCAAAAGGTAAAGAATACCTTTTTGTATCCAATATCGATAATTTAGGGGCCACAGTCGATATCAATATTTTAAATTACATGGTCGAAAGTGGTGCTGAATTTATCATGGAGGTTACGGATAAAACAAAGGCAGATATTAAGGGAGGTACCTTGATTGACTATAATGGTAAATTGCGTTTACTTGAAATGGCACAGGTCCCTGACGAGCATCTTGAAGACTTTAAATCGATCAAGAAATTTAAAATATTCAATACAAATAATCTTTGGATCAACTTGAGAGCTATCAAACGTGTATTAGATGAAGCGATTATGGACCTTGAGACGATTGTTAATCATAAAACGACTGAAAGTGGAGAAAAAGTAATTCAGCTTGAAACCGCTGCAGGTGCTGCTATTAAACACTTTAAAAATGCACACGGGATTAATGTTCCTAGAACTCGTTTCCTACCTGTCAAATCGACTTCTGACTTGTTTTTGGTTACTTCAAACTTATATTCACTTGTACATGGTCAATTAATTATGAATCCAAAGCGTCTATTTAGCATAGTACCATTAATTAAATTGGGGGAAGATTTTAAAAAGGTATACCTCCAAAAAAAAAAAAAAAAAAAAAAAAAAAAAAGAAAAAAGAAACGACCCAGCCAAGATGAAGAGAAAAAAAAAAGGAATTTATTCTTATTCTTATTCTTAATTTAGGTACAAGGCTTTCTTCAAAGATTTAAATCAATTCCTAATATTTTAGATTTGGATCATTTAACTGTAACAGGTGACGTTACTTTTGGAAGTAATGTTGAGCTTCGTGGAACAGTGATCATTGTAGCTAATCATGGTGAGAGGATCGATATTCCTTCAGGATCAGTTTTAGAAAACAAGGTTATTACTGGTAACCTTCGTATCCTTGATCATTAATCGCTTTCTTGTTAAAGCTACCAGACATATGTCTATTGATTTGTAAATCTATAATAGAATCTTTTTTGTTTCCTTTTGTTGGACTCGTAATAAAATAATAAATGTTTAAAAAAAAAATACACAATTATATGTAGAAATAACAAAAAATATACACATTTGTATATATATATGCTTCAACATATAAAACGATCTACTCCATACAGGTTTAGAAATTATTTGAATTTAAAAAATAAACACACAAATATATACATATATTATCTATAGCTATGTACGTATTATTAATAATAATTTTGGTATACAATGAAAGGAATACATATAATAAGATGATAAAGGTTATAAGAATATGTATATAAAAGAAATACATGTGTTCATAATAAACGAATGAGTATACACAAATTTGACTGCCTGTAATTCCTTTTTTAGGTGTGAATTTCAATATATAAATTAATAATTGTGCAGATCAGATATACTGCAATCCAACTATATCCAAAGACTCTCGACATTTTGTATCCATTTAATGGCACCAAAATAAGAGACGAAATAAGAATTAACAATAAACCAACACTTGAGACACCTATTGTCTTCGATATATTGATTTTATAAGGTTCATTTCTTTGTGACGTTACATATGTTGCACTAATGCCAATCCCAAGCATAATATCTAATAGTAAATATGCATGTTATATATAAAGAATCGAATGATTATAGATGTAAACTTACTTAACATAGGGCCACCAAAACAAGCACTCATAGCCATAAGTGGATATCCCATCTTGGCCATAGTTACATTTGCAACAAAATCTCCTAAACTATTGCCCTATTATATACAAAATAATACAAAGATTTAAATATTGTATAAATATATATATACACACATATATATATGTATATATATTCATATATCTTACCAATGCAAATACTGTTAAGCCTAGAATAGCTTCACTAATACCAAGAGCCATACCAATAGCTTGTAATACACTTACTACTTCATTAGCAACTAAAAAAATCCATAATACAGCTATCCCAAATCCAACAAAACACATCATCCAAAAAAGTCTTGGCTTTCTATACTTGGATGTTGTAAGCCAAAATAGAGTAGCAATCGAGACACCCAACAAAATGGTCAATGGAATTGCAATAATAGCTGAACAAATACCTTGCGTAACTAATATGAATGCTATTAATAATGGGGCGCCTATCAATTGTACCGCAGTTAACCATTTAGTCCAGGGCAAGGATTCCTCTTCTTCACTACCATTTCCTCCGTCTCCTTCCTCATCTTCCTCTTCATAATAATTTTGAAGTAAACTCGTCGTGTCATCATTTAGTTGAATATGATTATCATCTAATGCACTTTCTCGTACAACCGGCAATGTTGTGGCCAGTAAAAAGATAACAGGAACTGATAATAATGAACTTATTTGACTAAACCTGGATTTTTGTCGAAATCCTATTAAATTAGGAAACAAATGTCTACGTATTTGTCGCTTTACAGATTTGATATTGCACATTGTACCAAAGTATTTATTTATAAAATGATCCAGCTTATTACTAGTATTCAGATGATTTGATGTAGTCGGTGATGTATCACGACGTATGCTATTAGTTGTATGTAAAGATACTTCATCAGGTTCATATGTTTGTTGATGCTGTCGATGACGCTGTCGATGAAAATGATTTAAAGAATTAAATCTAGAGCTTGTATTCTTCAACGATTGCACAACATCTTGAAACTAAATAGAGGAGGTATATATAATATATATATATATATATATGGATATTGGGTCGATATTTTTACATATAAATATATACATGTATATATATATTTATATTGATATTTTGTCTTACTTCAATTGCAGAAAATAAGGATGTACGAACTCTTAATTTTAAATGTAGTCCGTTCCTTTGATGAGATAAATCTTGATATCCTTCAGTTTCAAAGCCTTCATCATATAACTCCATTTCATCTTCATTACTGCTACTATTGTAAAAGTTCTCTCTTAATAAGTTATCAATATCGCCACCATTATCCTCATATTCTAAACGAGCTCTCTCTACTAAATTTAAATAATTCGATCTCTTCTTCATATAATAATTTCCTCCTACTACAACCAGAACATAAGCAATATAAAATAAAATCAAAATGATAGCCTCATAAAGCTGAATAAATCCATCAGATATAATTATCATTACTAAAATAATAGCACAAGTGAAAAAAGAAACATCTCTAAAGAAACTGAATTTTTTGACTCTAAAAGGTTTAATGGCACACATCGATCTATACACGATATTAAAAAAAAAAATCAATATCAAGAGCTTTTGTATCTTTTTTTCCTTTTTGTTTTTTACCCTGCTACTATACTGACAATAAATGATGCTGCACCTATTAATTCACCAAGTGCAAGCGAACCTAGATTTGATTGCATAGCACTAAAAGTTGAAAACAAATCAGGGCTTCCATTACCTAAAGCCAAAAAGGTAACTCCTGTCTATTGAAAAAGACAAAAAGATAAATATTTTTTTTAAGAAAAAAAAAAAGAAAGAAAGAAAGAAAGAAAGAAAAAGAAAATACTTTACTAGACTTTCAGACAAGTGTAATACAGTTGCAATTGTTTGAAGATTTGGACCTTATACAGGGAAAAAAAAAAAAAAAAAATATAGTGCATGAGCTCATGTCATTGTTTATATTTAAAAATCGTTTACAAAAAAAGTCAGATGCTGCAACTCCAACAAAACCAAATAGAAATAACAACCAACAACACTAGTGAAGTGGGATCAAATGTTAGTTTCTTTAAAGTCAATCATGTATATACTGTATGAATTACTCATTGTACCATAAATATTAGAGTTAAAGGTTTTACAGGTGAACAATAATAAAGTTGAATATAATTAATGATGCCTGGAGTAGCATTCATGCAATACTTGAGTGCGAATGCACATTGTTCTTCTTGCATGTATATATCATCACACTGAAATATAAATGAATTAAATGCATAATATACATTTATATAAATATATACATTTGTATATATGTGTGTGTGCATGTATATACCTTTTGCTCTACCAGGTACTGTTCTTCGTCTCTTTTATATAAATGATGCAATTGTGAATTCGACCATGAATAATTAATACATTTAAATATAAAAAAAATAGATATGACGATTACTGTATTCTTTCCTATAGACATTATAACAGTAAATATGGATTTAAAGAAATAAAAAAAATGCATATTTTGCTCTATATAAGCGAACAAAAAAAAAGGGTGTATCGGAAGCTAAAATCATTCATATAAATAGCAGCAAAGTTAAGAAACATTTATAGAATAAAGTGAATTATACGCAAAGAAAATTAAATTATATTAGTCTTTTTTTTTTTTCTTTTTTCTAGACAGGCCAGTATTATACTTTTAAATAATGATAGGCTTTGCTATTATTGTATCTGGATTGATACATAAAAAGTGCAAAGTAGATATGTTCATCCATAAACACATATTAAAAAAAAAAATGTAATTGCAAAGTGGTACTCTATTGTCTTCAGTAACTGGATATATTTCTTGTAGTCATTTACACTTTACAAGTAATAATCACTTAGTTTCTCTCTCCTTACATACTGATTTGAATAGAAATCTACCCTAGTAAGCTTCCTCCTAATATTAAAACTTGTGGATTTACTACAATACAATTAATAAAAGGAAATATACAGTTACAATGAAGTGTCTTTATTAAGTTTCTTAATTCAGCATAAAAATGATCTAGAATATATATGTATCATAAAGATAAACTATTAAAATCTTAAATATGCTAATAAATTAACACAACGATTCTACCAAACTATGTATGTTTTTTTTTCCTGTCCTTATATATTATTATTACCTTTGAATCTATAGCCCAAGTATATATATATATACATATATTTATATATATACATATATGCATATACTCTATTTATTAGATAGTAGAATATACATAGTTTAAACAGATCGAGGCATATGTGCACCCAATAATTCTTTAAATCGTGTTGTATCTAAATGAATGCCTCTATGTCCTAATATTTCGTCAAAAAAGGGGTCCTCATCACCTTCAGTGATATGCCCGCTTACAGCCAAGGCAGCTTTCACTTCCTCACCACGATGTTCACCTACAAATCCCATATTTAAAATCTTTACTGTTTCACTAAACCCTCCTCCCCATAGTAAAGGCTCTAAATACTTTAAAACTACTAAAGCTGTACGAAACAAAATAATATCGCCATGGAGTAAAAAAGTGTCCCATATTCTACTAGATAATTCTAATGGAATAATAGACGCAAAGACGGTCATAAACCAATCTGGCAGATAGTTTTCTGGCGTCAGTGTTAAGTTTTTGAAATGAAGATAGAGTTTAGGTAAATTCTCGGCAAATATAACATTAAAAACCTTGAAGAATCCCTGAATCTTTTTTTCATTTGAATTGGTATCATCATTATTGTAAAGGACAGATAGAACTTCACTTTTTGAATTAAATTCATAAGGGCTATAAAGGCATCTTGTGTATTCATATTAAGTAATAAAACACCTGCAAGAAACGAAGCGCCACGAGACTAAAGGTATATTTAAAAGAGATCCATTAGAATATATATCCATATATGAATTACATTCATGTAAACATACATAAGTCAAATTTGGTGTACAACCCACATATGCATGAAGTACTTTCCTTAAGGAACTAAAAAGTGGTCCTTCAGGCTAATATATATGATAATAAAATAAAAAGATGTATTAGTAAAAATAAATATGAATTGGACACCTAACTATATCCGTTTTTTTTTTCAAACCTGAAATACACATAAACTAGGCAAAGTACGTAAAATATCTTCATCAATTGCTTTGTTTAAAAAATTAATCATGGTTGGATCATTATTTAGAAGCATCTTCTGATGCTCATCTTCAGAAAGAACCAAGTCTGGATCTTCCTCTTCATCTGAACTAGTATAATTTGTATCCTCGTCAGTATCTAAAATAGTACCAGTAGATTGTTGCTGTTGCTGATGCTGATGCTGATGCTGCTCTTCATGTTGGCTACTGGTCTCACTAGTATTAGTCACTGTTGTAAATGAATAGGTAGATGAAGAAGATTGAGGATGACTTGTAATATTGGTCTTTTTTTCGCTCACTTCGTCATCTGTAGTATCTACTGTAGACGTAACACCTTCCGCTTCTCGTAGCACATCTAAACTACTTGTCCTTCGCTGTCTTCGCAACGAATATAGAGATGATTCATTATGATCATAAATAGTTGGTTCATTCACAATAATAGGCATAGGCTCACCATGCAATTGATAATAATCATTCGTTTTCTTTGTATAATTTGAATGAAGAGGTAGACGATGTATACTTTCTGAAAATGTGGCCTTTGTGATATTTAACTGATTTCCTATTCTAAGTTTCCATACTTTTTTTCTACATCTAGGTGGTATTCCTTGATCCCACAGAGTTACCGTTCTCCTTTCTTTTAGCGACTTTTTCCAATTCGGAATAATCTCATTTTCCCAAATATAAATTGCATGACTCAACTTTTTATCCTTTTCCTCTTTCTTACGATCCATTTCTTTCTTTTTCCTAGCTTCTATTTTCTTTGCTTTTTTCATCATTGTTTCGTATTCTTGCAAATGCTTTTTTTCTTCTTGTGGATCTTTTGGTGGAAGCATTCTAATGATTTATGCATGCACACACATGAATATAAATAAATTTATAAAGAGAAAAAGAAAAAAAAAAAAAAAAAAGACAATAAAATATTTAGTGTATACCTTGGTCTAGTTTTAGAAATGACAGATTCTAAAGGTGATGGTTTTTGATTAATTGATTTCGATCTTCTAAATAGATTCAAACTAAATAGAAAACAATTCAGTAAATCTCTAAAATATTTATATAGACGATGTCTAACCTTGACTTTCTTTGAATAGGGAGTGAAGCACCACCAGCAGTAACAATGACTTCAGCTTCATTCACATTACGTCGAGCAGCTCTGGGATTAGATAAATCTGTTTCACTATTGCCCATGCCGGTAGTTGTTGTTGTTATAGGAGCTGTATTAGGCCTATTTGTACTATGATTAGCTGATGATGTAGTATGATTATCATCTAACAAAACATCTGATATTGAATAAAATGGACCTGATATATCAGAACTTGTAATCTTCATAGAGTTTTCGTCACTATTTTTACTGACTGAATTCATTCGACGAGGCATGAACTTCATTAAACGAGACGAAGGTGATGCTTGATTATTTATTTTTGTTTCCTCTTCTTTGTCTCTTGGTAAGTCTAAAGAAACTTCCTCAAAGAACTGATCATAATTACTATTATTATTATTGGTTTTAATTGTAAGATGATGATTATAAAGGGATTGTTGACGTTGAGGTAATGATAATTCGTCTAATAACTTATCTGCTGTTAGATTCTCCGATGTAGAAGAAAGATGAGTGGAAGATAAAGCTCTGGATAGTTGTTCTGCAGATTCTGTTTGTTTATTATCTTCAATTGAGTTTTCGTTATTCACTTCATTCATAGTCATATGGTAGGGCGTCTAATAATTTAAGATAAAGAAAAAAAGAAAGAAAAATAAATAAATAATAATAATAATAATAATAATAATAATAATAATAATAATAAAAAAAAAAAATGATATAACATATACAAACTATAAACATTAAGCAGGAAATAGAAGCGTCTGTTATTGTCTTAAAATTTGAATATCCGTCCAATCAACGCAAGAATACGAAATATATAGAATTCAATTCTTTAAAGATTTGAATGCATCATCTGTTAGCATAGCAGATAATGTAACCGTGATAATTTTCTTTTCAACAAGTTCATACGCTCTAAATTCATACGCAAATCATAAAAGAGACTCTTTCTTTATTCTATATTGTTTTAATTGATGACACACTTGTTCTGTTATGAACCCTTTCCTTAAAGATGTAGTGTACTGAATCCTAAAACTTCAAACTCATGTGTATAAACTGTGTGGTGCTCCTTTGTTTTTCTTTTTTTTTTTTTTTTTTTTTTTTTTTTTTTTTTTTTTTTTTTTTTACCTCAAAGCAATCGTTTTATATACTTGGGTATCCCGATTCAACTTGGAAAAAGTTCCTTAAATTTGCTTGCTTCAACTTAATCTGTATTGGCAACTTCCTTGCAAGTAGGAATTGGGATAATAACAATCAGTGTTAACAAGTCTGGCTTTAATATACTTTTTTACTTATTCAATTCTATAGGCAAATAAACATTATCTTGCTATTTATATATTATTTTATACCTGATCAAATGTTTAAATAGCAATGTATAAGGTATATATTACATAATCAAATCATTTGTAGTGTATGTACATATCTCCTATACATTATACTAATTATTAACTTTTCTTCTGCCCTTTAGCAGTCAATTCCCAATGGTACCAGTAGAAATCGAATCCTCGTTTTTTTTTTTTTTTTTTTGAAGACACTATATCTCTTAATTATACAACGTAAATATATTCATTCACTCTATATTCCTTTCCTACAAGCTAATTTATATAAAAGTCTATTAAATGAACAAAAAAAAAAGGCTTTATTAATTTTTGAAAAAAAAAATATATGTATCTAGATCTAGATTATGGAATGGAATAATAAACAGTACAATAGATGAATCATTTTTTTGATACACTGATGGTTAATTCACCATTACTTTCCCTAATTAGAGGCTCCAAAATATCAAAGCTAGCACTGATAACTGCGTCTTCATCTGCTTCAGGTCTAACTTTGATCTCGACTGTGCCGATATCTTTACCATATGCAGTCTGCCAGAAATGAACTTTGTCAACAGATATCACATTGGGGACTTGTTGTTGAATTAAACGAATATTCTGCTCTATAGTTGTAATCATAGAATCAGGTGTAGTTTGCAACACTATTTTAATTAATGCTGTAGCTGTCATTACACCAAGATAGAGCATCAGTATTGCCTCTGTAATTGCTAAACATTTATCTAAAGCTGGTGAAGATAAGCTAAACAAATTGACCATGAACAGGAAACATCCAGTAATGATGATAGAAGACGAATACACATTCTTTAAAAGCTTATTAATAGTATGTTTGTTTATCTTGGATAAGCCTCTTATTTGAAAATAAGAATATTCTTGTGAGATTTGGGGTATTTTCTTTAAGACTTTTACAAATAGATAATAACATGTTAATTATGGCTGTAGTGATCATTTCTAATACTTACGCCGAACCAAATTTTCATGATTTTCAAAGCTAATATTAGTCGTAAAAGAAGCTCCAATAGCTATTAATAGCAACACTAATAAACTAAAGGATGAAACAGAACTATATATATATATATAATTTAAGTGAGACTTATGAACAAAGTTAAGCTATTTATGATTATTACTTGCCTACTATCTGCTCTATGATGTTCCTCATTATGATGCTCTTCCAATAATAAATGCTCTAACGATTCCTTTGTAGTATACATTGCTCCAAATAATAAAAAGATAGTATTAACAAGGGCAAAGATAATTTCAAATCGTTTAACGCTATAGCAAAATCATGATTAAGTCTCTTAAATTTTAACCAACACACACACACAATATAGCTTACCCAAAAGGTCTTTTTGTACAAATGGTCGTAAATGCTGGGTTCAAATGAAGTACACTTGATACAAACGTATTTAGAGTACCAAATGCATCAAATAAAGTAAGATATGAAAAACCAACAATAGCTAATAGTCGATATATAAATAAATAAATATATTAATCAAGAAAATAAAATTCTATTTCTTTTTACCTAAACTTTCACGATTTACACCTAAATACCATATAATCATACCAAGCACCATTTGACCTAAAAAGTAAGTAAAAAGGGTCTTTTGAAATGGAACTAAGGACATAAATATAGATGAATATGAAGGCAAAGGTTGGGTATAAACTTGAGAAAATTTTGTATGAGCATCGCCACAGTGATGGTGTTCATGGTGTTCATGATGTTCATGGTGTTCATGATGTCCATGGTGTCCATGATGTTCATGGTGTCCATGATGTTCATGATGATTAGTATCGATATTCTCATGACTATGATGGTTGTGAGTACTATTGCCATAATCATTATGCAAATGGTCATAATGATAAGCATGACTATCTTGTTGAGAATGATTATGAGCTTGATTATCTGAAGGCTGATGCGTTTCAAAGTTTGTCGATTGGTAAAGATGACTATTTTGATAAGTCAAGGCTTGGTTGGTAATGGGCTAATAGAGAACAGATAACTATTTAGTCTTCTTTTTCTTTACTTTTTTTTTCTTTTTTTCTTTTTTTATTTAGGGAGGGAAAATGAAGTAATTACGTTATGTTCATGTTCATCATGAATCTCGTTTTTTGTAGGTGTAAAAGATCGTGTTGTATGAATAGGAGCATTACTTTGAATGGCTAAACCATTTTGAGGAAAATGAGACTTATTCACACCAATCTGTAAGCCATCTACTGCCTGCTGCTGATGTAATAAAGGAGATCGAGGCCTTCTCTTTGTAAACTGTCTTGTTTGATACATCAATGTTTTTATTCACAAAAAAAGGTGTTATATTTTTAGAAATTTTTTTGTCTAAATTTAACTCCATAGTTAGTTGAGTTTATAAAGTCATTTTTCATTGTCCAGGTACAATAATATAAAATACCAGTCTTCTAACCATTTCCTTTTTTTAACTTATTTTTCTTTTTTAAAAAAAAAGGACTTATATTCCAAGTTAGGCTAAATATCTATGCAAATTTAGATAAAAATGACATAGTCTAGTTATTCTACATCAAAACCATCTATCTATCTATCTATCTGTATATAAATAAAGAACAGCAGTAGAATCATTCCGTTCTGCTTACAAGCATTTAAAGTCTAATAATTTCTGAGTTTATTTTTGATTCAAAATTAATGTCTTGGTTTTACGATTCAAATCTAGCGACTAAAGAATCCTTGAAGGTCACGAAAAAGAAGTCAATTGCTACCTTTATATTCATTTCTATTCTAGACATAAACAATTACAGATAAGAATAATTAGTAGCAGTAGCATAAAAGAAAATTAGTGTTCAAACTTTTAGACTTTTATGTAAGGAGAAGGAAATTGTTAACCATTGTAATAAGGTCAAAATTTGACAAATACGAGAATAAAGTATTTGGGAAACAAAACAAGAATATACCATTATAATGCTTCTATAGATAGCGTATCATTAATTTGATATAGCTAAAGTCACCCTATTTAATTATGTCAATATTTGTATATAAATCAATCTTAGTTATAAAGCAGCTGGAAAGCATGACTGTTCTACACATGCTTTTATTTATCAGACGTTTATAATCTTGATGTTATCTTCCTATCTTGAATTATCTATTCTCATTGCTCTTTTAGAGATTATTTGCAATCTTTTTTTCTCAATAAAAAGAAAAAGTAAGAACGTCAGGCTTTACTATTTTAGTCTTATTTAAGCTACTACAATAATTATATAACAAAAAATAGATTGAATACTGTCGGTAATTTGGCTTGAAAACTAGTTGAATAAAGCTGTCAACTAAGATAGAGTGTTCCTACTACTTACTTTTTATATAGTAACGAAATAGATAAATACTTCTTATTTTTTTCATAATATTGTAATTAGTTATTTAAACTGATTTGATTTACCCATAAAGTCTTTTAATTAATTTTTTCAAAAAGTACTCATTTTTCTTCAACTTTATTGTTTGAAATAAAAGATGATTTTTACCTATTTTGCATATACGCACATAATATAAAATATGTCTTATACTGTTTAATAAACTATACATATTTTTAATAATATAAATGCACAAGCATACATACATATTTGGATCCTTATTGTGATAATTTTTAATTAACAGAAAATGCTTTATTGTTTTCTGCAATTATATAATTTTTCATAGGTAAAGGGTATAACAGTGTTAGAAATGCAACTGACTGTTAAAAGAAATGTGTTGTTATTAAGTGAATGGAAATAAAGATTATGTATTACACTCTCTCTACTCTGTTATATAAAACGATTTTTATTAACTATTAGCGACACTGTATCTTTCTTCTTCCTTTTCCTTTTTTTGCTTATAATAATTATTAAATAATAAAGGCACGAAAATTTGTAACAATAAAGATTTTCTTTATTAAAATATTAAAAAAAGGTCTAATTATAAATATATTTTTGTTGTTTTTATGATTTTCTTCTTTTTTTGGTTTTTTTGAGGTTTTCTATTTTTTTTGCTAGGCTTTTCTTCTAAGGGATTTTTCTTCTTTTTTTTTTGATTTTTTGAGGTTTTCTATTTTTTTTTTGCTGTTTTTGTGATATAAAGTAAAAAGAAGGAAGAGAGAGAGAGAAAGAGAGAGAGAGAGAGAGATAAAATTTAAAGTCTAAAGGAATTTGTAACAAAATATATAAATACATATATATCTTTTCTAAAGATAAGTAATAAAAAAGGTTTAGATAAAGATGCCAAAGAGGCCAAAAGCCATAGCAAGAAAAGCGCCGTTCAAAGAGGAAGAAGAACTTGAGACTTGTGCATCATGTTGTTGAGGATTATTTGCTTCATTAGAAGATTTTTTAGATTCTGAGGAGAAAGGTTCAACTGCAGCTTGCTTAACACGATTATCATTGCTGGCTTGTTGCTTTTCCTCCAGTTGATGATGAATATCAGAATCCGTATTAGAAGGATTTGTTACAAGAGCACTATGAGGGTTTTTGTCGCCAATACATTCAGCAGCAGTCATAAATTGATAACCTTTATTTTGTAGGGATTTAATAATTTTCGGGACTTGATCAATTGAAGTCTTATACAAGTCTATGAATAAAAAGAGAGAGATATTAATAATAGTAAAATTTTTATATTAAAGAGAATTTTACCATGCTGTAAACTAATAAAACCAAGATCATTATTAGCATTCAAAGAATTATAAGAACCATTAGATAAACTATCAAATACACGTTGAATACGTTGAGGACCATCCTTTAACTCATGAACATCATAGTCAGTTGGATCTACATTCCACATTAAAGTCTTGTAACCCATTTGTTTAAAGATAGCCTTTACACGCGAATCAGCTTCACCATAAGGAGGTCTGATATAAAGAGGTTTAATACCGATAGCTGCCTGAATAGCTTCTTCTGTTGCCCTAAGTTCATAAACGATTTCCTCATTTGTCAAGCTCATCAGGTGAGGATGAGAGTAAGTGTGTGAAGCAATTTGATGCCCAGACTGATAAGCTCGTCGAATGATATCTGGATACATCTTAGCATGAGCCCCCATAACACAAAAGGTAACTTTTACATTTGTTTTGTCAAGTGCATCAAGTAAATCAGTAGTAAAATTGCTAGGACCATCATCAAAAGTTAAAGCCCAAGTCTTATCCATAAGACAACCATAGATATCGTCAGGTGATGCCATATTACCACACGATTCAAAGCAGTCTTCATTATCATTGCCATCACATTTTGCATTCTTGCATATGCCAGAGCCAATTGGACGAACACTACCTTTAATGAGGGACAGATCAAGACCTTCTAACCAAGCCTGGTTCTTTGGTGTTGTAAATTCAGGAGTATCAATGCTTATATTTGTGTTTTCTTCTTCTTGATGGTTATTATTCTTCTTTGCAAAAGTGAAATTAAAAAGCAAGTTGAAGAAGAGCAAGAATATCCAGATCAACCGAGGTTGTCTTGTTAGAATCATAATAATTGGAAAAAAATAAAATAAAGAATATAAGATATATAAAAGGAAAGAAAAAAAAAACTTCAAAAGAATGATTCAAGAGGTCTTTTTATATCTTTTTTTTTTTCATATTTTATTAAAATAAGTCTTGTTCAAAATTTAATTAACTATTTTACAAACGGCATGAAAATCTTAAATTTTACATTCTTCATCATGATAAAAAATATGTCATATTTTATAAATACGACTGACAAAAAAAAAAGTATATTAATACTGTTTAATAATCAACTAATGATTCTTTATATTATGTCATAGCATTCTTTATAATAAAAAGGAACGAGCGAAAATCAATTTAGATACAAAGTCAATAAATGAATCATGTTAGCCTACAAATCCATAATATAAATGTTACTGTTCATACAATTTAAAAAAAAAAAAAAAAGTCTATACGTTAAAAATAAAATAGTAAAGACATTCTTTTCATGATAGAAATTTGAATTTTACTAATAAACATTTGTATATTGTTCCTGACTTTATTATTATTTTTAAAAAAACTTAAACTTATTAGTCTTTTAAATCAGACAGCGTATACATACGATACGAAAAGAAAGGATATATTTGACGATACGTATAACGATATTTTATTCGTAAAATGACTTATTGCCGTCGAGAACTATTATATGACGAATCGTATTTATAAATATTTGGCAACAAACTTTATCGAAAAAAAAAAAAGAAAGCATAAATCATGATTCCTTTATTATTAAAAACCATTGAGTGAAATATATATACATATATAGTCTTGGATATAAACATACATGATAGGTTTTATGACTTCATGATAATATTGATATTTCCTTTACTTAATCTGGCACTATCTTTCATCTCCTCTGTACTAGTGCCCTTCACAGTATTTCCAAGACCTGTAACAATTTTTTCACGAGAACCTAAAGCACCAGACACTAATAATTCTTCCACAAGCATACGACTATTCTTAATGCAACCTGGGACACTGACACTCAGATAACTAGCCCCTGTGACACTCATGAGATGACCATATTTATCTTTTAATGCATGATGAAGTTCACGTAGACGTGCTTCATGACCTACAAGATATTGAGGAATACATTGCTTTTGAAGATTAACCATTGAATGGGTAGGTGTACTGTTGATATTTAAAAAGACATTCATCACATCATTAGCATATTTATAAGCTATTTCAGGATCTAACTCATCAATAGTGATTTTACCAAATGCGTCCTTCCAATCAGAACCACCTATCATGGCAGTTACCTTTACTGTGTCTGATTGAATTGTTTCTAGACCTGGCATCGTATTTGAATCAAATACAACTCCAAGAGTACCAGGAAGAGAGATGGGATGCTTTGTATCACGATGTGGTGTAAGTATACCAAAACCGTCATATCCCAATTTGACGTCTGATGGATATGCAAAATTGACAACGGCTACATCTACTGAAGGATTATAAGTAAGGTGGGGTAATTTTTGTTCTTTAAGTAATTTATCCAGATTAATTGAAGGAATAGTAGAGATCACATGATCTGCGTAGATATCAGTGGATTTAGTTTTAATCTATATATTATGACACTTGTTAGAGACCAAGCTTAGAGAAAAAAAAAACAAAAAAAAAAAAGTCGAATTCGAATATACTTTTTACCTTGGTTTCTTTTCCATTTGATTTAACTTCAATAGATTCGACAGGGTCGTTTATGATGATGTCTACATTAGGACACTGTTCTAACCAAGCGCGAATTTGATTAGGCAAAGTTTCCATACCGTCCTTAAATCCCAAAATACTCATTTTTTCCATTTTACTAAACCATTCAGGATCCTGATTCCTTGCTCTTACTACCATACCTCGTTCACGCATTGTAGCTGTATTAGAAGTACCTCGTAACATACCCATGATGACGCCACCATAATTTCTCTCTGCTTCATAAAGCATACGCATGGTTGACTTTAGAGATAATTGCTTTACATCACCTGCATAAATTCCATGAGCAAGAGCGCCCATCAAGTTAATAGCTGTATGTTCATTAAATCGTCGTTTCATAAAATCATACAGAGACTCATCTTCTTTGCCATCCTTTGGTATACCATTTTTGAAACGAGACGAACGAAAGGGTTCCAGAGCACCGGCGAGAATAACCGATTTGAATACAGGGGGTTTGTTAAATAATAATGACATAGGACCTGTTGGAAGTGTATTGATTTTATCATCATAATAAATGTAACGATGTCGAACAGAAGGATCTGATTTAGGTATACATAACAATGACTCATTCTTATTTAATTGAAGATGTTGAAGCTTACCAAAAAAAAAAAAAAAAAAATGAGTAAAAGTGAGTTATTTTTTCTATTTTGTTATTATTACTCTTCCCTTTATTTATTTACCATTTCCAATAATATAACACCATTGGGTCCTTCAGGACGTAAACTTCTTGGACCAGCTTCAAATAATATAGAATCATCTTCTTGTGATAACTTTGGTAAATGATTTTTGCTGTCATATTTACCAGGTGAAACACGACGACTTTGAATCCAACCACCTACTCTATCTTTACCCTCAATTAAAATAATTTTAGTTGATTTAGGTGCTAAGCGAGATAAATAATAAGCAGTTGACAAGCCAGAAATGCCACCACCTAGTACAGCTACCGAAGTCATTAATAAAGAATAATCAAAAAAAAAAGAGAGAGAGAGAGAGAGAAAGGCCTTTGATTTTAGTATTTAATAATATATGCTTTTTTTTTCTACATTGAAGTTCAGCACTTGCTTTTTTTGTTAATTTAGTTTCATCATCTCGTAACTTTTACAGCAGCTTTTAACTTTATATTTCATGTTTGATTTCTATTGAATGACTTAAACATATCTTTTTATAGTGTAAACTGAATTATTGATTTCGTTTTCCCTTTTAGTAGTTTGTAAAAAAAATTAAAAATAAAATACTATCTACTATGTTACATCGTATACTTGACCTATTTCTCTCTCTCTTTTTTTTTTTTTGAACTGTAAATTAGCCCATCATTCAGGTAATAGACAATTCCCTGTAGATCAAGTATATATTTATATTTGATTCCATTCTTTCTTTATAATTTAATTTAAATACTACAACCCTCTAATTCGAGTCAGTAAATAATAACTATGTGTAATAAAAAAAAATCAAATATAAAACGCATTAGGAATTAGTAGCATCCCGCATTAGTTTCGACTTTATTAGTCGTCAATATGTATAATTATGGATACTACTTTTAAAAGAGAAAGGAAGTTAATAATCCATTTGGAAAGAGGGTGTGTGTGTACATATTTGTATATATTATAATTAAATACAAAGGGAAATAAAAAATACAAAAAAGTCACAGACCATGATAATCAAAAGGAAGCCTTGATTTTTTTTTTTTTTTTTTTTTTTTTTTAGGCTCTTTTACTTTTTTCCTTTTTGTTTATTTATTCAATAATAAATAAAAAAGAAATTAATTCAATTTAAAGTAAACATCTCTTATTTTTTTTTTTGAAAAAGAAAAGGAAAAAGAAAAGAAAAGAAAAAGTAATTATTAGTCTTACAAATTCTCCATCTATTTATTCATTACTATCTACATTTTTTTTAAAAAAAAAAAGTTGATAATTAATTAGAACGCGCGTCTTTTAGTCCTTTTAATATGACAGATAAAAAAGAAGAACCAGCGACTGTTATTCGCTATACAAAAGAAGTTATGATTAGTTTACATGATAGTCCACTTGTACAAAAGCCAGAATCTATGCCTTCCTTGTTAAGTTGGTTTGGGTAAGTATTATGTTATTTGTATATAAAAAAAATAAATTGAAATCATTCATTATTAAATTTAGTGAGGATCCTGATTCTTCAGTTTGTAAAAATATTTTAAATGGTACAATGACTCGAGCCCCTGCTGGTAAATAATATTTTTATATGTATATGTATATATTTTTTTTTGTATTAGATTACTTATTTATAATAATAGATAAAAACATTATACTTGGTCCTACTAAAACTAACTTTGCTTCCTCATTATATGGTGGGTTAAAGAAAATTCCTGAAGATAATATGTTAAAGTCGCAGCAAGCATCTTCATCAAGACATGCTCATCGACAGGTAATATTAATTATAAAATTAAAGTAGAATTTTACTTGTATTCATTAACCAATGATTTAGTTGGAAGACAGATTACATAATAATATGGGCTTAAAAGATTATCGCACACCTCGTGGGCCTTCCTATATAGGAGAAAAGGGATTTTCACATAATAGAGCTTCAGATAAGTCTACTTTATCAGATAGAAAATTTATGAACAACAACAACAACAACAACAACAACAATAATAATAATAATAAAAATAAATACAATAATGGAAGACGTAAGTGATTGGATATATTATGTAATTAATTTTCTGACCCTTTATTGACATCTATGTAGATATGCAAACCCATAATAATCATAATCGATCCAATAGACATAACTATCATCATCATCAGCAACAACAACAGCAACAGCAACAACAACAGCATGATTCAGATAATAATTCAGAAAAAATACCAGAATGGATGGATTATTCACCACCTGAAGATACGATAACGACTACAGTCAAAGAAGAAGAAGAAAAAGAAGAAAAAGGGAAAGGAAGAGAATTTATCAATGATTTAGAAGCATGGAAACTAAATATGAAGAAAAGAGATGGAGTTACTACAACTGAAAAGAAGGAAACAGAAAATAAAATTGAAGAAACATTATCAAATCTTAGTCTATCATCGTCATCAGATCCGCTTTCTTTCTTTGATGAAGCAAATCCACTTGAAACACGTCGTGAAGGTGGTTCTCGTTTTGCTAAATTCTTTGCCAAACGTGAAGAACCCACAACAACAACAGCAGCAGCGGCAGCAGCACTTTTGCCTAGATCTATTAGTGTAAATGACTTATTTCAAACTTCTTCTTCTACTGCTACTACTACTACTCATCATACAAATTCTCAACAAGAAAATGTTCGTATCTTTTCCGAAGATGATGTATTAAAATCATTAGGAGCAAATAAAAAACCCAATGAAACTATGACAGAAGATATGGCAATGGGATTTAATCGTGTACTTCAAATTCTATCTCGACCAAAACCTTCCTTACCTCAAGATGATTCAGTGATATCAACATCATCGTCATCATCATCATCACCAGCACCAGCAGCAACAGCACCAGCACCAGCAGCAGCACCAGCAGCAGCACTAGCAGCAGCACCAGCAGTAGCAGCAGTAGCACCGCCACCACCAGCACCAGCACCAGCAACAACAACAACAACAACAACAACAACAACAGCACCGCCACCACCACCACCACCATCATCATCGCTATCTTCTATAACAAAACCTCAACAAAATAAACCTTCACCTTCTATAGCAACAGCAACAAATAAATTTGGTAATAGTTTACCTACTTCTGTATTGCGTCAAATGAGTGCAAAGACAACATCAAAAACTACGCCTTCCTTACTTTCTCATTATTCGCCTGCAATGAAGCAACCTCAGGTAGTACAGCAACATCCTCCTCCTCCACCACCTCCCCAGAATAATATGCCACCTCACTATTTCTATCATCATCCAATGATGGATCAACGTGCGTTTGAACAACTTTTACAATTTAATCCACATGGCATGCCTCCTTTACCTCACATGATGATGCCACCACCACCACCACCACCACCAGGTCAAATACCTTTGATGACGCCACCACCACCACCTCCTTTTTTACAGGGTCAACAAGCTAATAGGTTTCCTTTACAACAACAACAACAACAACAACCATCTATGCTACCACATAATATGAATGGTAACAATCACAGTATCCATCATTATGAATTCTATTAACTTGCTACTTTTTAGGTCTTCCTCAACAACAACAACAACAACACATGTTTAATAAAAATCAAGGCTGGGAACAACACTAATTTATTTTAAATAGGAGTAAAAGCCACTGTACAAATTTTAGATCCTGTATGTCCACCAAATTGGAAAACAGGATATTTGACATTTGAGTGATAACGGAAATCTATACAAATAAATAAAAAAAAAAAATAAAATAAAATAAAATAAAATACATACAAACATATAAAAAAATAAAAAATAAAAAATTAGTGAAATTCACTTTACACAAAAACTAAATCATCATTAATACATTACATTGTTTAAAGTTTTCGATTAATTCCTCTTTAGTCCAATTGCAACTTGTAATCAAAAATAATCCAGATTTTGGTTTAATCATTTTATAAACAGCCTCAATATATTTTTCTCGAGGACCAGGTACACCTTCTTGTTTAGCCTTGATTTGGTCTGGATGTAAAGAGATGGCATCATAAGTTCCTTTATCCAAGACAAGATCATATTGCTGTTGGAACCATTGAGGATTAGATAAAAAGTCTACAGTTTGATAAGTGATGGCCAATTGACGTTCAGAGGCAATAGAGGTAGCAAGTTGAATAGCTGATTCAGAGTAATCAATACCATGAAGACTTTTATAACCCGCCTCATGGAGTTCAATAAGTAAATGACCGTTACCACAACCCAAGTCTACTGTACGACAATTCATATCTGAGACATGTTCAGTTACCCATTCAACCATACGTTCTACACTTTCTTCACCAAACCAAATTTCACCAATATCTCCTATCTCTTGGAAATTTTTATTTTCCCGGTCATAGACAGTATCCCAACTATATAAACATCATTTTTTATTTATTTTTTTTTTATTTTATTTTATTTTTATTTTTTTTTAAAAAAAAAAGTTAGATAAAGGGAGGGAGAAATTCATCAATAAAAAATAAACAAAAAAAAGTAAATCTTTTTTCTTTATTTACTAGGATTTTGTACCCAATTTTGATGCTTCAAAGTCTTGTACTTGAGGTAATTCCATTTTATTCTATAAGAGAAAAACTTTTTTTTTTTTTTATTATTATTATTATTATTATTAAGTCCATAGTAATTCAGTTTCAGATGTCGGTAGCGGAGATAGAATAAATACTCCTATAACAGTGAAGAAGAGAGAGAAGAAGAAAGGAATAAATCCGCGTTTTGTTGTTTTCAAGGAAATGTTAACGGATGATTTTTTTTTTTAATATTATTCTCTTTGTTGGCGATGAATTTAAATTTTACTTTTTATACTCAATATGTTTAAGTTGTAAATAAGGGAAAAGAAAGCTTCCTCCTTTTTTTTTTGTATGTGTGTACAATTGATCTAATAGGATGAATACATGATTCTACTAGTTAAAAAAAAAAAAACGAAAACGAAAACGAAAGCGAAATCGAAAACGAAAAGACCCCCTTTTTTTTTTATTCTGACACACACACAATAATTGATATCTTCAAAGAGTGATAAAGTTAATATTGATTTTCTTGCATACATGACATTTAAAAAAAAAAAAAAAAAAAAAAAAAAAAAAAAAAGTAATATATGTATCAGTATGTTTGTTTAACAAGGATTAAAAAAAAAAGTGTGTGTAACAATGAATGGTGTGAAAAAATAATAAAAATAATGTTCTACAGTAGTAACTGTAAAGAAGAAGCTTTTTTCTCTTGTGGACAATTCACGACTCCCATTGAACCAACGGGAACTCCTTTAAAGAAGTAGCCTGTTCGGACACTTTTTTTGTTTTTAATAGTAGTTGAAACATAACAATTATCACTAAAACTTGTGTATAAAGGAATTATCATCCTCTTTTTTTCTTTAATAATACAAACATACAAATAGACATTCATACATAAAAAGAAAGCTCACATAGTCCTCATTATAGTAAAATAAACTTTGTCTCAACTACTGTAACCTTAGATTAATAACTAATGAAATAAAGTAGTAATAGTAATGTGTGACTGAGCAATAATTTATCAATCTTAACAAGCAGCAGTAGCAGTAGTTATTAGTCGGGGAGGAAAAAATAAAAAAAAAAAATAAAAATAAAAATAAAAAAAAATAAAAAAAAAATATAAATATAGAAGTAATTATTATTCTAAATTTAAACCCAGTATACAAATTTACATTACACATTACACACAGCCTTACCTTACCTTAAAACCACCTTACCTTATTTAATTTCCACTAAACTTTTTATTTTTCTTTTTCCCTTTTTCTCTCTCTTTCTTTCTCCTTATATTTGCAAGAAAAAATGACATATATTAAACCAGATCCTGATATGCAAGAACAAGAAGACTTGATCATGTCTTATTTAAATACAGAATATATCTCTTCATCGCCTTCTTCTACTACTTCATCAGAAATAACGGGCTCACCTGAAAAACAAATGATGGATGATGATTTCATGCTGGATACTACTACAACTCCTGATATCTTTAATACTATTCCTATCACTACTACTACTAGTAGTTTTGCTGATTCTACTGTAGATGTTATCAATTCAGCTCCTTTTTGGTCAAATCATGATTTATTATTGAATCCTTGTTTACAAAATAATGTATTAGATACATTTCCTTTCTTTATTGATATGAATACAATGACTCAACAGCAGCAACAACAACAACACCACCATCACCAATTAAATTCAGATTCAGAGCAACCAAAAAAGAAAAGGGGAAGAAAGAAGCGTGATTCACTTCCGGTAGCCTCTTTATGTAATCAACCTACTTTATTAGCCCCAAAACCACTTGCTCCACGTCCACCTGAATCAATACCACCTATTATTAAACAAGAACCTATTATCGTACCTCTCATCAGTCACACCACACCATCTCCTAATCATCCTCATCAAGAAGACGCACAAAAGGTAGCACAAATACAAAAGAGACAAGAAAGATTAATCAAAAATCGAGCTGCTGCTTTGTTATCACGTAAAAGGAAAAGAGAACATTTAACTCAACTGGAAGAAGAAAAACAGAAATTGTTAGTAGAGAATGAAAGACTTCAATCTCAACTGACTTTATTAGAGACAAAACTTGAGAATTTAGAAAAGGAAAATTTAGAATTAAAAGAAAAATTAAAAGAAAAAGAAACGACGACGACGATTATTCAAATGAGTCATCAGCAGCAGCAGCAGCAGCATCTTCAACAGCATCTTCAACATAAAAAGCAACATGATATTTTACAAAAACCAACAACTAAAGCAACTGGCGTAGTTTTCATGGTAAAACTATATATATAAATATATACAAATATGTATATATAAAGAAAAAGGGAAGGAAAAATAGCATTTATTTATTTATTTATTATGTGACTAGATTATTTTATTTTCTTTTGCTCTATTTACTTTACCTACAAGAAGCTCTGTCAATCGTTTAACTGTAGGTGGTTCAGGTTTATTGGAAAAGAATCAGTTTCCTTTAATTGATTCATCTAGGTAATAATCATAAATGGGTCACTATTCATATTAATTCACCCTATTTTATTTTATGTCTCTTATAATAGTATGCTGCCTCCTATAATGAAAGAAGAAGGACGAGAAGAGATACCAACCGATCTTGTTCTTTTAGACTCTGTACGACCACGTGATCTTCAGACGTGGATCAATAATCATAAATTAGTCGATCAACAAAAGAGTTTGATGACAAGTGATAATAGTAACAATCATGTCTATCTCTATTCAAAGGAATTCTCTCAATTAGCTTCATTGACAATGAATAATAATGGACTCAAACAGTTATCATCATCGTCATTACCTACGATTTCACTTTTATCTCCTTATAATCAAACGACTGCCTATGTTGATAAAGAGCAATGTTATCTTCAGATTGATGTGCAAGTTTTGCGCTCAAATGTGATTAAAGGTCAATTAATGTCCTTACAGGAATTTGGTTCAGCTTCTACAAGAGATGAAATGAAAAAGGATTTAATTACTACCAAGAAAAGAGGACGAGATAAAAGAGCGAGTTCAAATAGGATATCTAGAATTATAGTTTAATACGTATATATATATAACATGCATGCATGCACACGCATACATAGATACATATATACATACCTACCCACCTACCTACATACATACATACATACACACATACATATATTTATATACACATATACATATATTATACCTTATGTAATAAATAAAACTCTTTTTCTCGCTCTCTTTTTTTTTTTTTTTTTTTTTTTTTTTTTTTTTTTTTTTACATGTATTTTATTTATTATTTATGTAAGGAGGGGAATACAGACACATACACATACATATATATCGTAGAAATAATAATAATAGTGGATTTTACTCGCTCTCAAAGACAGCAGCCATACCCATACCAGTACCAATACACATAGAGGTAACGCCGACTTTTTTACCTTGACGTTTTAATTCAGGAAGTAAAGTAGCAATCTGTCGAGCACCGGTACAGCCTAAGGGATGACCAAAGGCAATGGCACCGCCCTTAGGGTTTACCTTTTCATAGGGGATACCCAATTTTTCAATAGAATAAACAGCTTGTGAGGCAAAGGCTTCATTGATTTCATAGATATCAACATCTTCCACCTTTAAACCAGCACGTTCAATGGCAACTGGAATAGCAAATGCAGGTCCTACGCCCATAATTTTGGGGGGGACACCCACGACAGCAGATGTGATATATTTACCTATAATGGGTAAACCATATCTTTCAGCTGTCTTTCGTTTCATTAATAAAACAGCAGCAGCACCATCAGAGACTTGAGAGGCATTGCCAGCGGTGGTTGTACCATTTTCATCAAAGGCAGGTTTAAGTTTAGCTAATGTCTCTGCGGTAGTGCCAGGACGAACACCGTCATCACGATCAACAACGATGGTTGTTTCTTTACCTTCTTTATCAACTACAGTGGCTTCTAAGGGAACAATTTCTGCATTGAATAAACCTTTCTTTTGTGCTTCAATTGCTTTAATATGAGATGCAGCTGCGAATTCATCCTGTTTAGTACGATTGACATTAAATTGAGCAGCTACGTTTTCAGATGTAATACTATATATACAAGGGGAGAGAGAAAGAAGGAAGGAAGGAAGAATTTTTTTTTTTTAGAACAACATATCATATAGAAACTATTTTTTTTTTACTTACCCCATAGGAATAAGACAATCAGCAGCAGCAGGACAAGCATCAGCAATCTTTTCAGAAGAAGGAGCAAGAGAGGCAGCACCATAAAATTTACTCATAGATTCAACACCAGCACCAATACCCACTTCAATCAATCCAGTTTGAATAGCATTAGCAATTTGAACAACAGCCTGAAGACCAGATGAGCATTGACGATTACAGGTACTAACTGCGGTCGCTTCAGGGAAACCAGCATAGAGAGCAGCCATACGAGCGTTTGTTGCACCCCCACCAGGAGACAAGACACCACCCACACAAATATCGTTCACCAACTTGGGATCAATTTTACTTTGATGAATGATTGCTTTAAAGACACCCGCCAAGATTTCTTCTGGGAGACTATCTTTAAAACCTCCCTTACGAGCACGAGTGATGGCAGAACGAAGTGCACTTACAATAACAACATCTTCAGGTGATTTCACTCCAATCTTGTTTGCCACATTGTCACTAGGTGCTAAATGAGCAGATACTTGTTGAAGACGAGAAGCCATTTGAGAATTATTTTTTTGTGTTTCAAATGTAATAAAAACAGAAAAGAGAAAGAGAAAAAAAGAGAGAGAGGGAAAATTTTATTATTTGTATTTGAATCAAGTAATAATGTGGAGTAAGCAAAATTACTATTGTGACTTTGGATTTTAAATAAGGACCATGAGAAATCTGAGAATTCACATGTCAATGATTATGCTGACGAATCAAAAATAATTCAATAGGTTAAAAAAAAAAGGAATTTAGGCAACCTATTTACTTGTAATTTTTCCATTGATAAGATTGTCTTTTGTGTAGAAGGCTGCTGACCTTTTATAAGAAGGTAGAATGACTATTTTTAGCAAAGTGGAAGCCGTGTTACCATCACTTTTTTTGTAAGCCAAGACAACATCACAACAATGAGAATACATGAATGATAAGTCGTCTACTTGATGTAAAAAAAAAAAAAAAAAAAAAAAAAAGAAAAAAAAAAAAAAAAAAAGAAAAAGAAAAAAAAATAGCGCTAACGGAAAAGTAGTAAGTATTCATCTACAGTAGCTATCTAGTTAATCATTTATTTATTTTTTGCCACATTATCATTTATACACCTTTAAACTTGGCATTGTCTTTATTAAACATTTCATTTCCAAAGGGGGGCGGCTACCATTGGAATAATTATAAAATTTATGTAGTGTTCATTGTCTTTTTATTATCTAGTACGTCGAGTACTTTGGTACACTAACTATAGTATTTGATCTATTAAAGGATCATGTGTGTGTGTGTGTTTGTTATTGTTGTAACATATTCGACATACCATGGGTAAATTAACAATGTTTGCTATTGGCATATTAAGATAAAAATATAGCTCATTTTTTTTTAATCTTTTCCTCACAAATACTACTTTTTCCTTGGGGTTGTGAAGTAGAAATTTGCCAAAGATATACTTTAAAGCCCTAAAGAAATTGTTAAAAAAAAAGGGGGAGGGGAGAGAGGAAGCAAGGAGCATAATTGCGTTTTATACCGTTAAGTCTATGAACGTAGTTGATAAAATGAAAGGATATTTTCATTATAATGAATAAAACTATAGGATTCACTACAGTGTGTTTTGTTGTGGATACAATCAAGACTTGTGAATATAAATCATTGTTTTTGCCTTTATATCCACTTGTTTTAAAAAATACGATGAATAAATACCTTTCATTAAAGAAGCATAATACTTATAAGAGCTGTTTAGAATGAGGGGATAACTGTTTATAAAGATAATTGAGTTGAGGACAATTGAAATTATGTAAATAGAGTATAAACCATACCTCTCTCTTTCTCTTTTTTTTTCCTTTTAGGGAATACGAGGAAATAATTGAAAGATATGCTTATATACAAAAGCAAGCTGAAATAACCATGTCCTTTTTATTTTTATAAACTTGTATCAAATTCTTTGCATCAGAGATAATTTTAATTGGTAAATCCGGTATTTAAAGAAAATGACTGCTATTTCACTCTATATGAGCAGTAGATGAATTTAATTTACTTTGCTTTTTTTTTTTTTTTCCACAAATATTACCCTTTTAATTCAATGTCCAATACAACAGACAATATCATACCCATTAATTCTAAAGAAGATTCAGTCTCCTTCTTTAAAAAGAGATCAACGAATAAAAATATTCGTAAACGTAAAGCACCAATGAAAACTCGCAGTGATTCTGATGACGACGACGACGATGATGATGAAGAGGATGAAGTTGTATCTGAAGTTGTCACAAAAGAACGTAAAACAGGTTTAAATCCATTTGTTCAAAGTACTCGCAAGAGACGTTCAAAGAAAAATGAAGATGATGAAAGTGAAGAAGAGGAAGATTTAGTTGGCGTTCAATATGCTGCTGATCGATCTACAAACATAAAAAAGAGTGATGCTACACGATATGACACTGAATGGGAACTTGAAAAGAATGAATTAGATAAACGAAATAAAACGGATGAACCTAAAAAGAATGTTCTTAATTCTAAAATGTCGATTGGACCTCAACGTGCACCTGCTAATCTTCGAGTAACAGCTAGATTTGATTATCAACCAGATATTTGTAAAGATTATAAAGGTAGAATTGATTGATTCATTCATTTACTTTATATATATATATATATATATTATATACTGAATCTTATTTTATTAGAAACTGGTTTTTGTGGTTATGGAGATACTTGTATTTTCTTACATGACCGTGGTGATTACAAGACAGGCTGGCAATTAGAAAAAGAATGGGAAGAAGCACAAAAGAATAAAAGTCATTTTGGAGCAAGTGATCCAACTAAATATGTCATTTCAGATGATGATGATGATTCCGATGATGAATTACCATTTGCTTGCCTAATTTGTCGACAGGAATTTGTAGACCCTGTCGTGACTCGTTGTGAGCATTACTTTTGTGAATCTTGTGCTTTAAAAAATTATAAAAAATCACCCAAGTGTTTTGCCTGTGGTGCGCCTACACAAGGGGTATTTAATACAGCCAAGAAATTAATTGCAAAATTAGAAGAAAAAAAGAAGCGTATAGCAGAAGGAAAAGAAAGCGATATTGAAGAAGATGATGGATTTATTGAAGGTTTAGAGACAAGGAATGATGATACTGAAGAAGAAGAAGAATAATACACAGCATAAAATGATGTGAACACGTAAAGCTTCACCAAGTAATAATCCATTTTTTATTCGTATAATAATAAATAAAGGAAAATACGACTATTCACTTATACCCTTGCTTATGTAATAGAGATATTTTAAATCACAAGGATTATAATACCATGTAAAGTAAATAAAAAAGTGATTATCTAAAACTCCATGTCTTTTTTTATACAAACACTTCTTTTGTAGATTATCATCATCTACAACAAGAATAACCTAAAAAATTTCTGATTTTATATAAATATTGCTAATTTTCCTTTCTTTTTTATTTTATTTTCCTTTTTATTCTATTTTATTATTTTTTACCCTTTTTTTTTTTTTTTTTTTTACTTTTCTCTATCATATCTCTCTTTACACTTTCTTTTTATTATGCTTTAAAACGAATAATATCGATTATTGTTGTATATTCATTGTAATTGGCGAGATAAGAATTCATCCAATAAGATATAACTTGTATTCTAAAAATGGAAATTTGGTGTTAGTATCGTCCATAAATGTGAAACATACCATATATATTATTTGTATATGAAAATAAAAAAAAAAAAACAGATAAGCTAGCTATAAGGCTCTATTATATTTATGTTTATAGTTATTTATTTATTTAATTAAAATAATAACAAATGATATAAATAATACCAATTTCTTTTTATCTATGTCTCCATATTTGTATATAAAATGTAGGTTTAAAGCAATCAATTGAAAATTAAATCTCCGGATTAGCATCTTTTCTCACTTGAAATGACTCATTAGGGTTATTCTTTTGGTTTCAAAAGCTGATGTGTACAAAAAAAAAAAAATTTTTTCTATTTAAATAACTATGCACGCATATCTTTTTATTTCCTTTTTTTTTTTTTTTCTTCGCTTATTTTTTTCTTTAGTTAAATTCCCTTACTATTAATTATTTCTTTTTTGTTGCTTTAACTAAACGCGCAAATTATACACTTAACTAATTTTAATTAAATTCCTGAAACCCTTTTAAACAAGCTATAAAACCCTCCTTTTTTTATTTTATCGAGTTGTGTACATTTTTAATAGTGAAATGTACACTTTTACCTTTTAATTAATTAATTATTTTATCTTTTTAACTCCTCCTTTTTTTTTTTTAAAGAATAAGTAAAAAAAAAAAAAAAAAAAAAAAAAGTTAAATAATAACAAGAAACAAGTCAAATAAATAAGCAAATACATTAAACAAGATGGCCTACTATTATATGTTTAACGGAAAGCACGTAGGAAACGACGTAGATTGAAACAGAAAACAAAGAAAACCATTATCAGCATTTATATTATACACATATACAAACTAAAATAGTCACAAATTACACATTTATCAATTATTAACAACAATTAATATTATCCATCATGAATACAACAACAACAACAAATATCCAAGAAAACTTGAATTTTATTACATATCAAGATCCTTTGCTCTTCCAGCAATTGGACACATTATCTCATCAACTTCCTACTTTTTCTGAAAATGAAGCTCTTTTTACTGACCTCTTCAAAGATCCTACTATCGATCAATTATTACTCTCTGTTTATAACTCTCCTATTTCATCCCCTGATTCTTCTGCATCCGAAACTTTAGATAGTCCTTCCACTACTTTACTTCAAGATAGTCCTTCTAATACTTTACTTCAAGATAGTTTCTTGGATGATTTCTTAACTACCTCTCATCCTATGACTTATGACTTTGGTGCATTAGAAAAATTGATTCATTCGGAAGAGGTGTCTGCTGCTACTGAGACTGGAAAAGGCCAAGAACAAGAACAAAAAGAAAAAGTAAAGGAACAACAACCCATACGTTTAAAGCAACGTTCAACAAAGAAGAATCAACTTCAAGGACAATCCACAATGTCTATCAAGATTAATACTCAGAAATCAACTAAACCTCCTCGTAAGTTGGAGTGTTTTAATTGTAAAGTAACCAAGACTCCTCTATGGCGTAGAACACCTGATCGTCAACATTCTCTCTGTAATGCTTGTGGACTTTATTATAAGCAATACAATACGCATCGTCCTCTTCATGTTCGTAATAAGACTCATACAATTCGTGCTCATCCTTATGCTTGCGAACGTGTTTTACCTATTACTATTATTCAGCAACAAGAAAAGGATTCCTCCTCTTCCTCTACTACTACTACTACCTTAACAACAACAACAACAACAGCAGAAGAAGTAAATAACAATCAATCAGTAGGACAAGAATGTGCTAATTGTCATCAAACTCAAACTCCTCTTTGGCGAAAGAATGAACGCGGTGAACCTGTTTGCAATGCATGTGGTTTGTATGCTAAACTTCATCATCGAGATCGTCCTGTAGAATTACGCAAGACAACTATACAAAGACGTAGACGTGATTGGCATTCTGACGAAACAGAAGAAGAAGAAGTAGTAGTAGTAGCAATAGACGAAGCATCTGAAGGCTCACGACAATCAAGTCAAGAACAGCAGAATACGATCCTCGAAACTAATCATTCAAATTCACCTGAATCGTGTGCTACACCACCACCACCACCATCACAGGCCTTATCTCCTTTAAATTCTCCATTAGCTGGCCTTGAGGCAGAAGATACCCGCTTTGTTTCTCTTTTACTTCAAATGGATCGTGATCAAATGCATGGTTTCCTTGAAACGCTTGAACGTAGATGTGGTTTCCTAAAGACCCTTCTTAGCACCCCTGCTCTTAACAATAAATAATTCTATATATAAAATTTACTTCAACTTTAAAAAAAATAAAAAAATAAATTATTTATAGACTTATAGCTAATCTATTATGTGTGTATACGTTAATATATATATTTTTTTTCAAGATATATAAGAATTTTTTTTTTCTTTTTCATATACATATATATTATTTGAAAAGCAAAACTTGCCCATTAACGCTTTGATTTCACACTTATCTACGTTATCATAACAAATTCTTTATTTTTATAAAGTTACAAAATATGTAACTATGACTTTCATATTTGACAATCTACTACAAATCAATTTCCTTCATCCCTGACACTGCCATCGGAAGATGAAAAAAAAAGAAGATTTTTTCCCGTGAAATATTTAATTAGCAGCAGCAGCAGCAACAGCAATTGTGCCTTAAAGTCTACTTTTTTATCAACAATGAGTAAATGTATAACAAAGTAGAAAGAAAAAAACAAGCAAATCTGATTATAGTAAGCTATACTTTATACATAAATAACGTGTCACTAAAAGAAGAAAATTGCAATAATAATAAAAACAAAAACAAAAGGAGGGGGGACGTCATCAGCCAAGTTGGGTGTATTTATGTATGATTGGAAGAGAAGTTATGACACACTATTCCAGTAAACAAATTCCTTTTTCTACACAAATTTATCTCATCATAAAGTAGAGAATAAAAGGTATTTTAATATAAAATAACCCATTTCTATTTCTGTTTTTTTTTTCTTCAAGTGGGGATAGGTTATGAAACTATGTCCGCTTTCGAATAAAAAGTGACGCTATCTCAGTAAGCTTTTATCTATGCTCGTGATTTAAAAAAAAAATTGTGCCCGGGAAAAAAAAAAGCTATGCTGTACGTCATAACAATAGCTACTCTTCCGTTGTCCTTTATATACATGGATGTTAAGTTAATATAGAAACTAATTCTTATCAAACAAATAATATATTATTCACCAAGACTATTTACATGTTATATGTTTATTTGGATGAAAGGATATGTTATATATAAAAAAAAAGAGGCTTTAAAAACATGACTATTTTGCTTTAAAAGGTGGAGAGGATCGACGTTTCTAAATGTATACGTATTGATGAGAAAAAAGAGAAAAATGATGAATGATGACTGTGTTAAAAAAAAACAAACTAAAATGAATTACACGCAATCAAATATTATTAAAAAATAACCTAAAACTTTCTGCCCGTGTCACACTAAAAAAGCTTCTTCTTATAAAGGAAGAAAAGATCTACGTAGTAATAAAGATAACAAAGTAATAATATAATGGTTAATGTACGTCTCTTATTGGATTAAGCTTTTTATTAAGTGTAATATGAATTAGATCAATTCCAAACCTTTTAAGGACTGAACAGATTTTTTTTTTTTTTTAACTCCACTTATTTTATACGTTTAAGCAATTGCTGGTACATACAATAATATCTGTACGTATGTATTTTATGAATTCTGTCTTTTTTCTCTTATACACAAATATATAATTTTTTTTTATTAGTTAATCAAACTTTATCCGTTTTTTTTTTCTTTTTTCTTTTTTTTTTTTTCCTTTGTTGATATGATACCTGTTAATAATACAAATGCAACTAATATAAAAAAGAAAAATGTCACCATGACAAATAATGCTACTATAGTAACTGTACCTGAACTGCCTTCTTCTTCTTCTTCTTCTACCACCGATATAAACTACTATAATTCAGGTACTTCTACATTCAATTATTATTTTCCATCGGCGACTACTATCCAACAACCTACTTATCTGAATTCAGCAGTATCCACTCACTCTCATCATGAATTATTTTCACCTCATCATTCATTACCTCCTCTAACATGTTTATTAGCTTCAAAAAAGACTCTGTCAAATCAGCAACAATCATCAAATCATGAAATGGATCATACAAGTAACCCCTCTTCTGCTGTTATTACTTCTAATCATCATCAACACCAACACCAACAACAACAACAACATTCAAAGAATAGACTGGATAAATCTTCATATCTTTCATTAAATGGTAATATAAATAACAAAGATGATAGCGTTAGCAAGTATTATTTAAAGTCGCAACAAACCTCTTGTTCTTTTCCTCGATATAAAAAGGATACGGAATATCAAAGAACATCTATCTATCCACCAGAGTCATCCCATGTGATGAGAAATAATCATGTTTCAGTATCAACAAGACGTGGTGGTAGTGGTGGTGGTGGTTTGTATGTCTTACCATCTCAACAACAACTACCACCACCAACAGATGTAATAGTACAATCTCAATATGGCTTAGTTTCTGATAATCATAATATGATGATGCCATCTTCTTCAGATCTTTCCATGTTTCCTCAATCCTCTTTACAACCTCATTCAAGTGGAGAAGGTCAGGACGAGTTTTATCCTTTACCATCACCACCTACATCTATAGTGGATCGTGTTCCTATCGTTACTAGTCATGCTGCTCATGTTATTATGACAGAGGATAGTAGTGATATGAGTAACAATAATAGAAAGATATTCTCGTTTGTACCTCTTCCTGGATTAAATCAAAGGAAACGACCGAGAAGAAAATATCATGAAGTTGAGCGACTCTATCATTGCAATTATCTAACTTGTACGAAGGCTTATGGAACTTTAAATCATTTAAATGCTCATGTGTCCATGCAAAGACATGTAAATAATAATAATAATAATACGTTATTTAATATGATGTGTGTTTTAACATGCAAATTGATAATAGGGACCTAAAAGACAGCCATCTGAATTTAAAGAACTTCGTAAAATGTGGAGAAAACAGAAACGAGCGAATACACAACATGGTCATCATTCATCTTCAAGTAATACAAGCCAAGGACAAAGGATTCACCAAAGTTTAGATGCCTTTCCTTCTTCGTCTTCTTCTTCTTTGAGAAATAATTATAATGATATTATCTTGAACCATCCTTCACTTATTGCTTCTTCTACATCTTTAAACCAACAAAACTATTATGTTATTCATAACAATCAGCAGACTTCTTCTATGCCACCTTATCCTATGCAGCAGCAGCAGCAGCAGCAACAACAACAACAACAACAAATACATCCTACTTTACTCTCTCATGCTCATCCTTCTTCTCCAGCTGGTCACTGGATTCATCATCAAAATACGCATCAAAATCCACCTATTCAGCAATATCATCTTACTCCAACTGAATTTATGCCCCATGGATATTAAAGAATTATTTCATTCAATGAAACTTATTATGTTGTCTACATGAATTTTTATATAAAAAAGTAAAAAGAAAAAAAAATGATAATTATTATTATTATTAAATATGTTCCTTAATAATCTTGATGTTGTATTAAAAAAAGTACTAATTAGTTTATAGATAAGAGAGTATCATAATTATTATTTTTTTTTCTCTATTAACTTGGTGATATTCAACGTTGTACCTTTTATATATATAATAAATTTGTAGATTATACATAGATTGTGTTCTTTTTTCTTCCAAATAATAATAAAACCAAAAAAAAAAAAAAAAAAAAAAAGATTAAAGCATTAGCTCAAGAGCAAGGCATCTATTAAAATATGAAATACAATATCTAATCTATACTTGATAATCATCAGTGATTACCCCCTTTTTTTTATGTTTTATTTAAAGTAAAAAAAAAAAAAAAAAAAAAAAAAAAAAAAAAAAGAATTCAAAAAGGTATATAGAAACTTATTAAATATGGGTTATTAATTGTAAGAAAAAGTATCCAAAAGAATATATCTTCTTGTAATAATTATAGTCTGTAAAGTATTTATATCCTTTGTGAATAAAATTGGTAGGTAAGAGTAAACTATGATATACATAACAACAGTAGGGAGATGATGGTGACAGGAGTTTATTATATTCATTCATATATGATAGTGACTTATGCTGTTCTTTATATATATATATATATACCGTATAGATCATTTAAATCAGCCATCACACATCGTCACCATGTTTCTTCTACTATATACATACATGTTTAGATATCCCAATAGATTTTATTATCGCACTGCTTAACCAGGTAATATCTATTCGATTATATAAGCCTACGATTGATTTGGCTCTTGTGTTTGCTTTTCTCAGAAAAAAAATTCAATAGTCAATTTATATCTTTATCCTTTTTTTTTTTTTTACAAAATAAGTTTCCTTTCTTCAATCAATGTAGTTAATAACAATAAATATTTGGTTTTTACTAAAACTATATCCACCTCAAGGAAAAAAAAAACGAGCTAGTCCAGTATATTATTAAATTATTTAAAGTGAAAGTATATTATTCATTAGTTTTGACTTGTTTTGACCTAATCTAGTTATTTAAGATAAACTTCCACTTTGTATTATTATTTTCTTATTTAATAAACTCTTTACAGCCTTACAAGCCCGCAAAAAAAAAAAGTAAAATTCTTATTTGCAAATTAATTAAGAGAGGGAGGGATAGAAAATTCCTTTTCACTCTATAATACAAAGTTTTTTTTTTGGATTCTTAACGAAGATGATTTAGGAAAGTTTTTCAATGAGTCTGGATATGAGCAATTATAAATGAAAGTTGATGAAGAACGAATGAAGTGAAAAAAAGAGAGAGAAAGAAAAAAAAAAGCGGCCATAAGCATGTGAGACAGACAGAAACTTTTTAAAAAACTGAAAGCCTGAATACAAGGAAAACTAACTCTTGTAGAGTAAAGTATATTGTAAGGTTCTTCATTACTCAGAATCAACCTTTGAAACTTGTTTGAAGAGAGAATCTGTATAATAAAATTCGCATACTATAATGCAAAAGTTGTGTGTATAATAAGTTTCTATAAAAAGGTTTATTACCATAATGTACAAATAATTTATGAAGAGCGTATGGCCCTTTTTTCTTTACTCATATTTGTATATTTTATTACACAAGCACAGAGATATTTTAATATTTTGACTCACTTTGCTGTCTTCTCCGGTTATCATTATTCTTGTGTAATATCAAAAATCAGTATTAGAAAATGTTATGGCTGTGTTAGAAAAAAAAAAGGGGGGAAGAAGGAAAAAATCCTTACAAAATAAAAAATGCTGTCAGTTGTTATGGTAAAATTTTATGAAGGAACAATATTTATTTGTATAAAATAAAAATATAAACAGTCTGATGATGATTTTGTATCTTGTTTTTTTTTTTTTGTTTCAAATCAAAGAATTTTATTAAAAAAAATTACGCTTATTGTTCTTGAACCAGGGGTAAATATCCTGTTGGGGGAGGGAAAGATAAATAACAAGAATACATTTATTTAAAATACATTTAATTTACCCCCATAAAAAAAAATATGTTTTTAATTTTCTGGCGGGGACTAGAAGGAAAAGAGAAAATAGATCACTTAAATTAAACTCATGAATAAATGAATAAAAATAATTAATATGAAACCAAAAAAAAATAAAAAGAAAGCAATAGTGTGGGGTAAAATATAAAAAAATGATATAATATATGAATTATCTACAAAGATTAAACCTTTGTTTATACTTTTTTCTTTTACCCCAAAAGGATCAATAGATCAAGATTGTCCCCAAAATCGAACATAAAGTAATGTAGAAAATAAAATAAAAAGCTTTATTTTAACTTTCCCGCTTGTTGGGGTATTCTCTATAATGATTGGCAATCATTTCTATCTCAGTTTCTAGCTTTAGTTGCTTTATTATTATTTTTATTACCAGGAAAGGTGGGGGGCGAAAGGAGAAGAGGAAGAAAAAAGTTTATACTCGACATTCTTCTTTCTTCTTCTTCTTTTTTTTTTTTTTTAATTTTAATATTTTTATCTGGAAAGAGCAATCAATAGAGAAAGAAGGGATAGATATTAATTCGATTGTATATAATTCTTACACACATACTCCCCTCTATATTTATCAATTTTGAACGTGCATTAATATAAACAAAGTTTCTTGTTTCTATACCAAATAACAATAACAATTTCAAAATGGTTGATAAAAAAAATTTATCTAGTCACTTTTTAGGTATAACGATAGTCAACAAAACTAATTAGACTTTTCCTCTCCGTCTTTATTTTATTTTAATTTTTCTAAACTTAACTTGTTTGTTTAAATAGGTGGCAATTCTCTTGAGACTGCTTCTCCAGGCCCAGTAAAAGATTTTGTTGAAGCACATGAAGGTCATACTGTGATTTCAAAGGTTTTGATCGCTAATAACGGTATGGCTGCTATGAAGGAAATTCGTTCAGTAAGAAAATGGGCTTATGAAACCTTTGGGAATGAAAGAGCAATTGAATTCACCGTCATGGCAACACCCGAAGATTTAAAAGCGAATGCAGAATATATTCGTATGGCTGATAACTATGTTGAAGTCCCCGGTGGAACAAACAACAATAATTATGCTAATGTTGAATTAATTGTTGATGTTGCTGAAAGAACTGGTGTTCATGCCGTTTGGGCTGGTTGGTAAGTCCTTTGAAGAATATAGGAAAGAAAAAAAAATTCTAAAATATTATATATATATATATAAATGAATAGGGGCCATGCTTCTGAAAATCCACGATTACCTGAAATGCTTGCCAAATCAAAGAATAAATGTGTATTTATTGGCCCTCCTGCTTCAGCAATGAGATCATTAGGTGACAAAATTTCATCCACAATTGTAGCACAGAGTGCTCAAGTACCTACTATGGGGTGGAGCGGTGATGGTATTACAGAAACAGAGATGGATGCATCCGGTCACGTAATTGTCCCCGATCATATCTACCAGAAAGCTTGTGTTAAAACAGCAGAGGAAGGGCTTAAAGCTGCTGAAAAGATCGGTTTCCCTGTGATGATTAAAGCATCTGAAGGTGGTGGTGGTAAAGGTATTCGTATGGTTAAAGACAATAGCAATTTCACCCAATTATTCTCTCAAGTACAAGGTGAAATCCCGGGTTCTCCTGTCTTTATCATGAAGTTGGCTGGTAATGCTCGTCATTTAGAGGTTCAACTCTTAGCAGATCAGTATGGTAATGCCATCAGTTTATTTGGTCGTGATTGTTCAGTTCAACGTCGTCATCAAAAGATCATTGAGGAAGCTCCAGTTACGATTGCTAAACAAGATGTATTTGAACAAATGGAAAAGGCTGCAGTTAGATTAGGTAAATTAGTAGGTTATGTCTCGGCTGGTACTGTTGAATACCTTTATAGTCATCAGGATGATAAGTTTTATTTCTTGGAACTTAATCCTAGACTTCAAGTTGAGCATCCTACGACAGAAATGGTTTCAGGTGTAAACTTACCTGCTGCTCAACTTCAAATTGCAATGGGTATCCCCCTTTCTCGTATCCGTGATATTCGTGTTCTTTATGGTGTTCAAGCTAATGGTACCTCAGAAATTGATTTTAACTTTGAAGATCCTAATTCTCTTACCAGTCATCGTCGTCCTACTCCTAAGGGTCATGTTATTGCCGTTCGTATCACGGCTGAAAACCCTGATGCTGGCTTTAAACCCTCTTCTGGTATCATGCATGAACTTAACTTTAGATCAAGTACCAATGTCTGGGGTTATTTCTCTGTTGTCTCCGCTGGTGGTTTACATGAATATGCTGATTCTCAATTTGGTCATATCTTTGCTTATGGTGAAAACCGTCAACAAGCTCGCAAAAATATGGTTATCGCTCTTAAAGAACTTTCAATTCGTGGTGATTTCAGAACAACTGTTGAATACATCATTCGTTTGCTCGAAACACCTGACTTTGAACAAAACACGATTAACACAGGTTGGTTGGATATGTTGATCTCCAAAAAACTAACCGCAGAACGCCCTGATACGATGTTGGCCATTTTCTGTGGTGCCGCCACCAAGGCTCATAAGGCCTCATCAACTTGTTTCCAACAATACAAACAATCTCTTGAGAAAGGTCAGGTCCCTAACAAGGGTGCTCTCAAAACTGTCTTTTCTGTCGAATTCATTTATGAAGAAGTTCGTTATAATTTTACCGTTGCTCGTTCCGCACCTAATATTTATACACTCTACTTGAATGGATCCAAGACTCAAGTAGGTGTTCGTGATTTGTCAGATGGTGGTCTTTTAATTTCAATTGATGGTAGATCGCATACTACTTATTCCCGTGAAGAAGTGCAAGCTACTCGCCTCATGATTGATGGTAAAACTTGTCTTCTCGAAAAGGAGAGTGATCCTACTCAACTAAGAAGTCCTTCCCCTGGTAAGCTTGTTAACTTGCTTGTTGAAAATGGCGATCATATAAAGGCGGGTGACGCTTATGCCGAGATTGAGGTAAAGTACTATTTTTCTCATATATTGATACAAAAAAAAAAAAAAGAATATATTGGACAAAGAAAAAAAAAACTAGTATTTTATTTAATTTATATATACATATTAGGTTATGAAAATGTATATGCCTTTACTTGCAGCTGAGGATGGTCATGTTCAATTCATTAAGCAAGCTGGTGCTACTCTTGAAGCAGGTGACATTATAGGTATCTTATCACTCGACGATCCTAGTCGTGTTAAACATGCTATTCCTTTCAATGGCGTTGTTCCCACCTTTGGCGAACCTCATATCACTGGTGATAAACCTATCCAGCGTTTTAATGCTGCCAAATCTACACTTGAATATATTCTTCAAGGTTATGATAATCAAGCTCTTGCTCAAACTGTTGTCAAGGATTTAGCTGATATTTTGACTAATCCTAATTTGCCTTATTCTGAATTGAAATCTGTCATGTCTGCTTTATCAGGTCGCATTCCTGGTCGTTTGGAGACATCCATTCACAAATTAACTGATGAATCTATCGCTGCTAATCTTGATTTCCCTGCTCAAAAATTCGAAAAATTAATTGAAGATTTTGCTCGTGATAACTTGGTTCTCCAATCAGAAGTAGCAGCCTTCCGAAATTCAATTACTCCCTTAATCATTGTCTTTGAGCGTTTCAAGAACGGACTTAAAGAACATGCCTATAATGTTTATGCAAAATTGATTGAACAATATTATGATGTTGAAATCCTTTTTAATCAACAGCGTGAGGAAGAAGTTATCTTGTCTCTCAGGGATCAACATAAAGATGATTTGGACAAAGTGTTGGCTGTAGTCTTGTCTCATTCTAAGGTGAACATTAAGAATAATGTTGTTCTCATGTTGCTTGACTTGATTAGTTCTTCATCAAGTGGGAATGCTCTTGATAAATTCTTTGCACCTATCTTGAAACGTTTGTCTGAAATCGATAGTCGTGCTACTCAAAAAGTTGCACTAAAGGCACGTGAGCTTTTGATCACTTGTCAATTACCTTCCTATGAGGAGCGTCAAGCACAAATGTATCAAATCTTGAAGAGTTCCGTCACCGAATCTGTCTATGGTGGTGATGTTGAATATCGTACACCTAGCTATGATGCATTTAAGGACCTCATCGATACAAAGTTCAATGTTTTTGATGTCTTGCCTCATTTCTTTTATCATACTGATCCCTATATTGCTTTAGCTGCCATTGAAGTTTACTGTCGTCGTTCTTATCATGCTTATAAGATTTTAGATGTTGCCTATAATCTTGAACATAAACCCTATATTCTTGCGTGGAAATTTTTGCTTCAAACAGCGGCCAGTAGTATTGATTCAAACAAGCGTATCGCTTCTTATTCTGACCTTACTTTCTTACTTAATAAGACAGAAAAGGAACCTATTCGTACAGGTGCCATGACTGCTTGTAATTCTCTTGAAGATCTTCAGGCTGAGCTCCCTCGTATCTTGACCGCCTTTGAAGAAGAACCTCTTCCTCCTAGTTTACAACGTAACCATGATGAGCCCAAGGAACATCGTATGGAAAACATTCTGAATATTGCTCTTCGTGCTAATGATGTAATCGACAGTACAGCCTTTAGAATGCAAATGTCAGAAATAATTAGTTCTAATACGGAAGCCTTCCGACGTGCTCATCTTCGTCGTATCACAGTTGTCGTATGCCGTGATAATCAATGGCCAGATTATTACACGTTCCGTGAACGTGAAGATTATAAGGAAGATGAGACAATCCGACATATTGAACCTGCAATGGCGTATCAACTTGAATTAGCACGTCTTTCGAATTTTGATATTAAGCCCTGTTTCATTGAAAATCGACAAATGCATGTTTATTATGCAGTTGCTAAAGAAAATCCCTCGGATTGTCGTTTCTTCATTCGCGCCTTGGTTCGTCCTGGTCGTGTCAAGAGTTCGATGCGTACCGCCGATTACTTGATCTCTGAAAGTGACCGTCTCTTGACCGATATCCTGGATACACTTGAGATTGTGAGTCATGAATACAAGAACTCGGACTGTAATCATTTGTTTATCAATTTTATTCCTACTTTCGCAATTGAGGCTAATGATGTGGAGCATGCCCTGAAAGATTTCGTGGATCGTCATGGTAAACGTCTTTGGAAGCTTCGTGTGACAGGAGCAGAGATTCGATTCAATATTCAATCCAAGAGACCTGATGCTCCGATTATCCCTATGCGTTTCACAGTAGACAATGTATCTGGATTTATCTTGAAGGTTGAAGTCTATCAGGAAATCAAGACAGAGAAGAATGGATGGGTTCTCAAGTCAGTCAATAAGATCCCTGGCGCTATGCATATGCAACCTTTATCTACACCTTATCCTACAAAGGAATGGCTTCAACCTCGTCGTTACAAGGCTCATTTGATGGGTACCACCTATGTCTATGATTTCCCTGAACTCTTCCGTCAAACCATTTATAACCAATGGGCACAAGCCATCAAGCGTAACCCTATGCTGAAACAACCTAACGATCATCTTGTTGAAGCAAAGGAATTAGTTCTTGATGAAGATGGTGTCCTTCAAGAAATCGATCGTGCCCCCGGCACGAATACAGTTGGCATGGTTGCCTGGATTATGACTCTTCGTACCCCTGAGTATCCTAGTGGACGTCGGGTGATTGCGATTGCTAATGATATTACCTTCAAGATTGGTTCCTTCGGTGTTGCTGAAGATCAAGTCTTTTACAAAGCTTCTGAACTTGCAAGAGCTCTTGGTATCCCTCGTATTTATTTATCTGCCAATTCTGGTGCACGTATTGGTCTTGCTGAAGAACTTATTAGTCAATTCAAGGTAGCATGGAAGGAGGCCTCAAATCCTAGTGCTGGTTACAAATATCTTTATTTGACACCTTCTGATTACGATTCACTTGTTCAACAAGGAGATACCAAGAGCGTCTTGGTTAAAGAGATTCAAGATGAAGGTGAGAGACGTCTAAAGATTACCGACATCATTGGCCATACGGATGGTCTTGGTGTTGAGAACTTGAAGGGGTCAGGTCTTATTGCTGGTGCTACCTCACGTGCTTATGATGATATCTTTACCATTACTCTCGTAACCTGTCGGTCTGTAGGTATTGGTGCTTATCTTGTTCGTCTTGGTCAACGTACTATTCAAAATGAAGGACAGCCGATTATCTTAACTGGTGCCCCTGCCTTAAATAAAGTATTAGGCCGTGAGGTTTACACCTCTAATTTACAATTGGGTGGCACTCAAATCATGTACAAAAATGGTGTCTCTCATCTCACAGCAGAGGATGACCTTGAAGGTGTCGGAAAGATTGTTCAATGGCTTTCATTTGTTCCTCATGTTCGTAATGCGCCAGTTACGATGCGTATGGATGTTGACCCTGTTGATCGTGATATTGAATATACTCCACCCAAGGGACCATCTGATCCTCGCTTCTTTTTGGCTGGTAAGAATGAAAATGGTAAATATTTAAGTGGCTTCTTTGATCAAGGTTCCTTTGTTGAAACCTTGAGTGGATGGGCTCGTACAGTTGTTGTTGGTCGTGCACGTTTAGGAGGTATACCGATGGGTGTTGTCTCTGTAGAAACGAGAACTGTTGAAAACATTGTTCCCGCCGATCCTGCTAACTCAGATTCTACTGAACAGGTCTTTATGGAAGCAGGTGGTGTTTGGTTCCCCAATTCAGCTTACAAGACTGCACAGGCTATCAATGATTTCAATAAGGGTGAGCAATTACCACTGATGATTTTCGCCAACTGGCGTGGTTTCTCGGGTGGACAGCGTGATATGTATAATGAAGTTTTGAAATATGGTGCGCAGATTGTGGATGCCCTTAGCAATTATAAACAACCCGTCTTTGTTTATATTATTCCTAATGGTGAGCTTCGTGGTGGCGCATGGGTTGTTGTGGATCCTACTATTAATAAGGATATGATGGAAATGTATGCAGATGTAAATGCTCGTGGTGGTGTCTTGGAACCTGAAGGTATTGTTGAGATCAAATACCGTAAGCCTGCTTTACTTGCAACCATGGCTCGACTTGATACAACCTATGGATCATTAAAGAAGCAATTATCAGAGGAAGGTAAGAGTGAAGAAGAGAAGGCTTCGATCAAGACAAAACTTGAAGCTCGCGAACAAGAGCTTTTGCCAGTATACCAACAGATCTCTATTCAATTTGCTGATCTACATGATCGTTCAGGTCGTATGATGGCTAAGGGAGTGATTCGAAAGGCCCTTGATTGGCGTCGTGCTCGTCATTACTTTTACTGGCGTGTTCGTCGTCGTCTTTGTGAAGAATATACATTCCGTAAGATTGTCACTGCCACTAAAGGCTCAATGGCTCGTGAAGATATGTATAACCTCGTTCAAAAATGGTTTATGAATGATAACGAATCAGTTGATTTCCAAGAAGCCGATGAACTTGTTTCTGAATGGTTTGAAAAGCGTACTAGTGTTATTGACCAGCGTATTCAAAAATTAAAGACTGACGCTACAAAGACACAAATTGTAACTCTTGGTGTTACAGATCAAGAGGCTGTTGTAGAAGGATTCAGTGAATTATTAGAGAAGTTGAGCGAAGATGCTCGATCCGAAATTTTGCGTAAACTTAATTCTAGATTTTAAAAAAAAAAGGAGGAAGACCATTATTACTTTCCCTTTTTTTGCTTTAGAATAATAATTATATAATTTTTTATATTAGCATATATAATAATTTTCCCGCATTCTTTTTTTTTTAAAAAAAAAAAAATAAAAAAAAATAAAGTGAAAAAGTTCAAATAGAATCAATTTTTTGACCAATGCCCTGATAAAAATAAATTTATTTGTATATAAATGGAACGATTAAAACAACCTATTGACATTGTATACCGTGATGAAGATTGGTTTATAATAAATAAGCCTTATGATTGTAGTATTCAAAATTATTCTAATCGATCTGATCCTTCAGGTACATGAATAGATGTCTATGATAAAATCAATTAGATTATGTATATATAATTTTTAGTTGAAAGTATTTTAAAGGAACAATTCCCTGAAATTACAAAGTTTCGAAATGTCCACCAGCTTGATTACGCTACTTCAGGAATTTTTGTATTAGCATTAAATAAAAAAGCTGCTGCTGTTGCAAGTAAACTTTTTAGTGAACGCAAAGTGAAAAAAACATATTTGGCAATACTTAATGGTCATTTACGTAATGATAGGTAAATAATGGAAGGAAGGAAAAAAAAATAAAAATAAAAATAAAATAAAATTAAATAAAATGACTTAACATTAACCTGATCAATTTTCAGTTATTTTATTGAACAACCCATTGCTGAAGATCCTAATCATGACTTTCGTATGAAAATTAGTAGTACAGGAAAGCCTGCGCAAACATTAATACAAGTCATTCAACGAGGACAATATCAATACAAAGATAAGGAAACAGGTACAGAAAAGACGATTCCAGTAACTAAAGTGAGCCTTTCTCCGATAACTGGAAGACGCCATCAATTGAGGTTACATACAAAGTTTATTGGGCATCCAATTGTAGGCGATTATAATTATGAAGAAGACTATACAGCCACTTTTCGTATGATGCTACATGCGCATCAAATTATTTTTCCTTTGCCAGAAACAGAAGAATTGAAAGCTACAGCAAATGATCCATTTATAAATCTTATCAAATAAAAATGAATGAATTCGTTAATACAGAAGATTTAAATTACTCATGCTTTTTACCTTTCTTCTCACAGCAAATCAGCTTTTTTATTTCAAGTGTATTTATTTATCATATTATGCGTTGAATTCATATGCAAACTACTATAGTTTAGAACTATCTTTTATACATACAAGATTTTGTTTATAAGAGGCTTATTTGATAAACTGTATATCAATTATCATTTTCTCTTGTCACAGGTTATTTCAATTCAATATTCGAATACTAACCACAGTACGTACCATCCTTCTCTTTATTATAATTTCAGTATTTAATTAAGAATGCTGTGATTGAGTGTTCATAGTAGGAGTAGAGTAAACAATAACTAATCTTTTTTTTTTATTTATTCCATTTTATTATATTTATTAACAAGAAAGTAAATTAAAAAATACATTAAACAGTAGAGAAGAAAGACATCTAAAAGATATCATGTTCATTGTCATTATAGTCATCCTCATCATAAACATCCTCATCATAAATATCTTCGTCAATATTACTATACACAGCCTTCTTCCTATGGGGTGTTAAATATATATTTGGAGAAAGACTTTTGGCTTGAGTAGGAGCAGGGGTAGTGCCAACACGGGCAAAGAACTCTGATTCTTCATGTTTCAAGGTGGCATTTAATACTATATTTTTCAACATAATAAGACTGTTTTTCCAAGAGTATAGCCTATCCAATGTTTCTATAAATGACGATATTTGACAACTATACTTTGGTATAATTAAATTGCTTATGTGCTTAGCGATATAGATATCTTCTAAATGCTTTAAACCAAACATATATCCCATAAAACCTATCATACAAAAATAAGTACATGTATATAAATATATGTAGCAATATAAGCCTCAGTTTTACCAGTCCAGTCCATTCCGATAATAAATATTTCATTTTCTAATGGCAGCTTTTCTACATGAGTTAAAATAGCTTTGTTTACTCGTAAATTTTTGTTCTGTTGTTTAAGTGATTGTGTAATGACGGTCTTTTCTTTTTTCCATTCATTAGCAGAAAGTTCAATTTCTTTAGCAGATAAAATAAGATCGATTCTTCTTCCAAAACTACGTGATAAGCGAATCGTGTTGCTGAATATTTTAGCTTGCTCTTTGGCAATTATTTTTGTTGCTTCGCATGTGATTTCTCCACTATAAGAAGGAAAGAAAAAATCGTGTTAAAGTCATGTTAACCTTTGATTCTATTAATTTACTTACTCGAGCATATCTAAATTTGTACCTTCCAATAATTCATCCAATATTTTTGCAAGCTTTCTATAGCAAGTCGTTTCGCTTTCTTTTTTATTTATTTTTGTAATATCATCTGTGCAGTTTTTAGTGACAATCTCCATAATATCAAGGAGTTTTAGATTATTTGTTTGACTCGACTGGATCATGTTTGCTTTTTCTAAAACAATATTTAATCGTAATTGTAACAAGTCAATTTTATCATTGCAATCATCTTTGCTTCTCTAATGTTAAAATGATATTTTAGTTTTTTTTTTTATTTTCTTATGGCATAGGAACAGTCTAATTACCTGTATTATAGTATTGTATAGCTTCTTCTCTTCTTCAGACATTCCTGGACACAACTCTATGCTAGTGTTGGAAATTTTCTGCCAAAATACCTCATCTTGAATGTATTTTTGAAAAATAGACTTAACGTTAGCATTAACAGTATCAACTATTCGAGATAAGGAAAGCCTAAAACAAGTATATATATATATAAATATATAAAAGAATTAGTATTCTGATATCTAAACTATGAATGATAGAACATAGATAGGATTTAGAAATTCCCTTACTTAAGCGCATTGACTTGATGAATATCATTTAAATCTATTTCATTCATGAGTCTTGCAGACATCATATCTAATTTTTCACCTAAGGTAACTGGCTTATAAAAATGGATCATTTGTCGTAAATATGCTGTATCCGAATCGTTAGATGTTTTAGATAACTATAAAAAGTTCAATAGGTATATTGCAAATGCGTCCTTCAGATGAAAATCTTACAATTTTGATACCACAAGCATAAATATTGTTTCGAAACTGGGCTGGGGATAAAGAGGAATCTACAAGGAATCGAATGAGTGAAAGAAAAAAAAAACAGTATGTTTGTTGCTTGTATTGACTAAAATAGATGTACCTGGAAGAGGATTCTAATAAAGATGTATTATTATTTATAACGTTTAATATATATTTGTATTTCTTTTAATTGCTTGCTATCCAGTTACTTACAAAAAGATCATCAATTTTGTCTCTATTTAGGAAGAAAAATATAATAGGTGAATTTTTTTATACTAGAATTCATTAGTATATCAACACCTGCCTTAACTGATGAGATTTCTGTACATTACTAGCAGACGAAGGTGTCTATGAAAGACCAAATTAAAAACCATTCAGCTAGCAAATTGAAATAATAATAAATCTTACGTCTTTCTTAGTTTGTTCTTGCTCGATATTGTCAAATACACCTATTTTTTTATTTTATTTTTTTAATTAGTAAGCTAATTATGCGTACATGTACCGAAACTAGCATTCACAATTTACGTTTTTGTCCAACAGTAGAAATGTTATTATTGTTGCCATAATTTACTATGGACGATGGTCCTTGGTTAATATTATAAACGTTTGTTGGGCTTACGGAAGAAGAATCATTTAACTACAGGTAAACAATTAAAGCATTGAGACATTGTTTTTACAACACTAGTGCATGGCATTTTTAACATACATCTTTCAACAGCTTTTCAATAAGGGGTTTTATGCACTTTGGTGTTGCAGGATTATTTTTTATAACCTTTAAACAATGTTTATACGCTATAACCAATGTTTTCTTTGTAGGAGGATTCCTTAGTGTTGAGAAATGACTTTTAAATGTTTTATAATTCCAGTCTTTTAAACTTTTTTCTTTAAAAAATTGCATATAAACATCATCGCCATTATATGTAAATCGATAATCCTCCAAGTTCATTGTTATTTACAATGATGAAATACCTTTTTTCCGTTCGTGATTTACGCGTCTGAGCTTACTAGTGACGTTTGCAAATTATTTTGAAGGGGCGAGCATTTTTTTTTTCTTTTTCTTTTTCAATTTTTTAAAAATTCTTTTTTCTTTCTTCATTACTGTTTCACCCATCTCGAACTGACTTGATGTTGAATGTGAAGACAACATGACAATAGGACTACGTATGCTGTTGGGACATTGTGCAGTATACGTCTCTGGTCAGCTTGTTTCCTTGTAGCTTGATCAGTTTCCCAAACTGATGACAATAGCGCTCCTTTGGTTTCTTCTTAATATTATTAACCATTGACCGTGGCTCAAGGATCAATATTGTCGAGATGGAAGTATTAAAAAAAAAAAAAAAGAACTGACTTGATGTTGAATGTGAAGACGACATGACAATAGGACTACGTATGCTGTTGGGACATTGCGCAGTATACGTCTCTGGTCAGCTTGTTTCCTTGTAGCTTGATCAGTTTCCCAAACTGATGACAATAGCGCTCCTTTGGTTTCTTCTTAGTATTATTAACCATTGACCGTGGCTCAAGGATCAATATTGTCTTTTTTATTTTTTTTTTTTATTATTTTATTTTCAAAATATGGATGAATACTCTACATGTCAACAATGAGTAAGATTTAGGTAAATATGATTTTTAATAAGATGTGGATATTGGCCTATTCTTGCTTTTTTTAATAGGATCTATGTGGCATTGAATAGCTTTCTTTTTTACTCGTTTAAAGTAAACATTGATCTTTATGGAATGTGTATTTAAAAATGATACCATTAACAACTGATTTCTTTAGCCTTCTTTTTGTTTTGTTTTGTTTTTAAATAATAAAGCAAGGCCATTATATAAAATTTTTAGAAACCAATATAATGTGGAAGTAAATAAATATAAAAGATTATAACTTACACTTTTTGGTCTATACTAAAGGGTACGAATTATTTTCTTCAAAACCAAGCTTAGGTAATATTTTGTACTTTACAAAAACCTGTAATTATTATGCCTTTTATTTAAAGATTGCTATAATGAAAATATTTGTTTAAAGTAAAACACACATAAAGTTTGAAGGATATTAAATAAATTATTTTTGTAAAGTATAATTCAAAAATATTCACAAAAATTTGAATAGAGTCTTAAAGATGATAAGTATAAGAAGCATCATTACAGACTTCTGTTGACTTCTTTTTTTTTTATGATAGACTTAAACTAATCAATAGAGTAAGAGAATGATGAACATATTAGTAGCTCTCTACCTCTATTATTATTATTATTTCAACGTTTCCAGAGTTTCGCATAGATGTGTTATCCATGACCAACAAATAACAATCCTTTGATTCAGAAAATTCACCACTTATATAATTTAATGTACATGGCATGAATCAAATAATACAGTCAAAGCAGAAACCTAAAGCGCACAGTCATATTTTCGTTTTTTTTGTTTTGTTTTTAGGAATACAACAAGACATAGAAAGTTTTGTTTGCAAGAAAGACATCTCTTGACCTCAATATATCGATATTTGAGTGGTTCATTAATATCGAGCAAAAGAAGTATGACAAAAACCCCCCCTGAAGCAACATTTGACAAAGGAAAGAAGAAGGGCCGTAATACGATTCTCGAAAACAAGCACAGAGAATATAGCATCCGTAATATAGATCTCTCTGATATGATGCTGATACCTCTTGTATCGAAGACGTAATGAATAATTCTTCCATGATAAGAAGATGTTCGAAAGTTTGTACCATTGGGGTCTTGCTTGAAGTTGTTTGATATATGTTAGTCAAATAATAGGTTAATAGGAGAGCACCCTTCCCTCTCCCTTCCTCCCCCCATTATATAATAAAGGTTATACTTGCAACATATAAAATTTTTCATGTGACTAGAGAAACTTGGTTAGGTAATAATAAAGTAATACTTCAGTAGAATATTAACTCAAATTACTGAATATGTTACGCATACTATTATTTTCCCAATTGACGATATTAGGACTGTAGTAAATATATTCTATTTAAATTGGGAGTAAGTTATTTATGAATATAATCGAATGAATTAAAGCCCTTGTGGTTAATTGATTCAAGGGAGCTAAAAAAAAAACTTTATTATTGAAACAAAAGTTCAAGAAGACGAGGAGAGCTACAAGGGCTAAGGTGCATACGAAAATAAGAGAAGGAAGACTATGGTAGAAAAGCTACTTGACTATAGTTGATTTAATAATAAACAAGCAATATTAACAAATTATAGCTAATGGCTTTTTTTCATCATTTCTTGTCCCTAAATAATAAGTCATGCTTATTTATTATGAATACCTGTTTCTTTCAAGTAATGATTTTCAATGTTCTCAGTAAAAGACTCAATAGCGACATCCATCTGAGGTTCTGAAAGATCGTCATAAAATTTAAATTTTTATCTTCAAGCCAACCCTTAATTATTTCATCGTCTGATTTTTTCCTTTTTTAGCAGTATGATCAACGATGCTTCCTGCCAGTAAAAAAAAAAAAAAAAAAGGGAGCTTTTTCTTTCAGATAAGTTTGACTGAAAAAATAAAATAAAATAAAATTTAGTTACCAATTAATTAAAAATAGATCTGGATTGAATTAAACTACTTTGCTGAAATAATTTTGGATAATTTACAAAGAAATCAGCAGTATTTAAAAGAGAAAGATTAGGTTATGCTTGTCATTTCAGATCTTCATCAAGATTTTTTTTTTGGGCAGTAGATATTCTGTGGTTAAATTTAACGACTGTTTTTGTTCTTGGTCAGTTTTTTTTTTAAAAAAAATGAACTTGCTGTTTATGTAGTAGTGTAATAAGAGATAATTCTTCTTTTCCTCGTGTTTGTTTTTATATATATATATATATTGGTAAAAGAAAAGGCTTTATTTTTTTTTTACGTTTCATAGTTTCTTGCTTTAGTATTCATCAGCTTTATTCAAAAAAAAAGGAAGGGTATTTCTTTTTTTTCATACATTTTTACTTTTTTAATCTATTGGTCTGATTTGGGGCAAGTTTATTAAATTAAATAAATAATATCTTGTATTTATTATGCCATTAATATAAATGGAAAAGACTGCTTAATTGTCCTAGTATGTATTTCTATATTTGTTTAAGCTTTTGATTATTTAATCAATAATTATAACCAAGGAAGAACCTTTTTTTTCAAACGGCATTTGAAATATTGATTATGTAATGAAACACTAAACCAATTTAAGAAACAAATTTTTTTTATGGTACAAAGAAGTGGACAATACAACACATACTATATAAAGTTGACATAGCAAATCTATTTATAAATGATGAATATTATGAAGCAAGTAATGAAAGTATCATGGCAAAAGGAAGGAAATACTAAAAGAAAAAAAATAGACACATAGAAATAATGTATGCAATGTGTTGCTTTCTTAACAAAATCTTAAAAAAAAGGGCAAAAGGGGAAAGATAAAAACTAATTTTATAAGCTTTGTTTCAATATTCCTGCAAAGAAAAAAAAAACTGGAATAAATTTTAAAAAGCGATACAATTCTTTCCTGCTTAAGTATTTTAAATAAGAAATGTAAATATATTTGAAAGAAAAAAAAATGTATTTTTTAGCGTACGTTAGCTTCAATAGTTAATGTACAAAGAATTAGATTCTTTTTTTTTTTGAATATTTGAAAAAATAATAAAGGTACAGATGTTAGTTGCTTTGTTCAGAAAAATCTATAGATTACATAAGTCAACTATTCCTGAACTGAATTTCGGCGTTTTAAACTATTCAAAAAAAAAAAAGTGTATTTAAGAAGAACCCCTTCAATTTTTTTATTTTATTTTATTTTTTTTTATTATTATTTAATTATAATACATAAAATAAATATGGTTCAAAAGGCTGTTCTTGTTACTGGTGGTGCTGGTTATATCGGTAAGTGTTAGAGATATTCACATTACAATATATGTTCCTAACTTTTTTTTTTTGTTGGTTGTATTCTTATCTATTAGGTTCTCATACTGTTATCGAATTATTAGAAGCTGGTCGTGAAGTAGTCATTTATGACAATCTTTATAATGCCTCTTATGAAGCTGTTCGTCGTATCGAAAAAATTACAGGAAAGAAGCCTATTTTCTACAAGGCTGATATTCTCGATAAAAAAGCTCTTTTAGAAGTTTTCAATCGTCATCCAATTGATTCTGTCATTCACTTTGCTGGTCTTAAGGCTGTTGGTGAATCAACCCAGATTCCCCTTGATTACTACTATAACAATATTACCGGTACTATTGTCTTATTACAAGCTATGAAGGAAGCTAATGTCAAGAACATTGTCTTTTCATCTTCTGCTACTGTTTATGGTGAACCACCTATTATTCCTATTCCCGAAACTTGTCCTACTGTAAGTTTAATATATTAATATATAAATACAGGAGGAGGCAAGTATTAATAGTAATAATTAACGCGTATGTCTTTCTTTTTTTTTTTTCTAAAAAAAAAATAGGATGCCAAGAGTCCTTATGGCCGTACCAAACTCTTTGTTGAAAATATTATTCGTGATCTTTGTACTGCTGAAAAGGATTGGAATGCTGGTTTACTCCGTTACTTTAACCCTGCTGGTGCTCATCCCTCTGGTATTTTGGGTGAAAATCCTACTGGTATCCCTAATAACTTGATGCCTTACTTTGCTCAAGTTGCTATTGGTAAACGTGAATGTTTATCTGTCTTTGGTAATGATTATCCTACTCGTGATGGTACATGTATTAGGTAAGAAAAAAAGAAAAAGAAAAAAGAAAGAAAAGAGAAGGAATAGTGAATTAACGATGTATGTTACAATAGAGACTATATTCATGTTGTTGATTTAGCAAGAGGTCATTTAGCTGCTCTTAAGAAACTTGAAGAAAATCCTGGTTGTGTTGAATATAACTTGGGTACTGGTGTAGGTTCTACAGTTTTAGAAATGGTTCATGCCTTTGAAAAGGCTGTCGGTCGTGAATTACCTTACAAGATCACAGGTCGTCGTCCTGGTGATGTCCCCAACCTTACTGCTGATCCTAAAAAAGCAAACGAAGAATTAGGTTGGAAGGTTCAATTCACTTTGGATGAAGCTTGTGCCTCTTTATGGAAATGGCAAAGTCAAAATCCTAATGGTCTTGAAGACTATCCTTCTGAGGCTCCTGCTGAGACTATTCTTAACTACCTCCACTAAATTAATCATATATCATATGTAGAAAGTTTACATACAAACAAACAAACAAACAAAAAAGACATTATATACATATTTATATATATATACGCTTTTTATATTTCCCTTTTTTATTTTTTATTCTAACACTATCTGTTCTATATAAACATATATATATATTATTATAGCATTTCATTATAATAAAGTCATCATATTATTATTTATTTTTTTATTTATTTTTTTTTTTTTTTCGTCATGTATAAAGTTCGAGACAATATGAGGTAATACTTGATAAATAAATTCCACGTGTATTTTTATATAAATGGTAGATAAAAAAGATCTATTATATATTTTTATCCAAAAAGTATCTTCTATGCCCACTAAAATATTCAAAATTAGAAAGTGAATAGAATGAAACCCAAAATGAATAATAATAAAAAGTCCTTACCAAATCTCGAAGATATTTCTTTTCTGAAATCCAGTTCACTAATATTTTATTTGCTTCAACTAAATCAATCTTTTGATGTTCAACAAGCATCTCTGCTAATGCGTCTTGTACTCCTTTAGCCATACCCTTGGCATCACCACAGACATAAATAGCAGCGTCTTGATTGACAATCAAGTCATACAATCTTTCTGAATCCCGCTTCATTAAATCCTGCACATAGACCTTGAGTTGACTATTTCTAACTTCATCATCCACATCTGGACGACTCTCGGCTAATGCCAAATGAGTAATCGTTTTGTCTTGAACAAATTCTTCGAGTTCCTTTTTAAACAAAAAGTCCTTGTGTCGATTACGGAAACCATAATAAACATAGATGGGTCCAAAGTCAGCAAGAATGTGTTGTGAAGAGCTGGCGCCTACAACATTGCCCATCGATAAACGAATATGGCGTTGGGCTTGACGATGCTCTAGGAAGCCAATAAAGGGGGCAATGCCTGTACCGGGGCCAATAAGCACCAAGGGACGTTCAGTTTCTTTGGGTAAGACAAAGGCATTGACGTTTTGTCGAATAAAGATGGGTACTTTAATATTGTCTTCTGCTGTTATCTGGACTTCTACGTTATTAGGTGTTGTACGACTTGGAATCTTGCGTGTTAATTTATCCAACCAGGCTGTAGCAACACCTTTACGTTCGGCTTTACCGACTGCTGTTATATATTCAACCACATTGAATGCAAAACGAATTTTATGGTTACGCTTGAGAGGAGAACTAGAGATGGAATAGAAACGTGGTAAATGAGCAGGTAAGAGATCCAAGAGTCGTTCAAGAGGGGGTTGACAACTAGGGAATGTTTCAAGGATATCGAGTAAGTTGGGTGATTCATCACGAATAGCATTAAAGACAGCAGCACCTTGTTTACTACAAATGTACATCAATGATAACTTTTCTTTAGGATCAGAAGCATAATCAGCAAGCATACGGAAGAGGGCCTTACGAGGCTGACTTGTAAGATCAAGACCATAACAAAATAATTCAAAGAGTGTACTTGAATTGGCCTTTTGTAAATGACTGGGTAAATTATCTCCACCTTCTAACTTGTATAACTGATAAAGATATTCATCTTCAGAGATATTTAAGCGGCGAAAGATAGCCTCTACCAATGCCTCATCATTAGGTGCCACTATACCAAAGGCATCACCAGGCTCATATTCAGTTCCTTCACCTATATCTATTTCAATTTCCAAGGTACGTTTGATAGCATCAGAGGATGTTAAACAAGATACCATCGTTACAGGTGCATATGTAATAGGAGTAGGTGTAACTACAAAATCGGGCACTTTCCCACTCGAGAGATCCAAAGTCACTTTATTGCTTTCTTTCTTATGGCCTTCTAACTTTGTTAATTTCGTTACAGGAACTGGTACACGAGGTAGACCTGTTAACTTTGCACCGGGAGTTAATCCAACTAAACTAAATTGAAGAGGGAAAGCCTTCTTAAAGACCTTTTCTTTATTATGATCTTCAATAGGAATTTCCTTTTCCATCTTCTTTACTAAACTATTTTCCAAGTTGATGTATTTTTCAACCAAATCTGGAAGTGTCTTTTTACGGTTTTTCATAGAATAAGGAACAGAGACAGGATCAATTTGAAGTTCTGTCATTTGTTTTTCTAATTTTTTTTCAACTTCAATAGAATCAACAACGGATAACTCTGTGTTCTGTTCTAATACTGTAGGTAATACTTCCCATAGTTTTTCAATCCAAGGATCAACTACATTTTCTAATCTATTATAAATGGTTAGATTTTAATTTGTATCTATTTATTATTATACCCTTCAGCGTCATCTGCTAAGCCTTTTTCATAAAATACAGTAGCACCTAATTCCTTGAACTTTTTTTCGATTTTTTTACCCGTATTGTTGAAATTGGAGTAATTACTATCACCCAAACCCAATACAGTGAAACGAGCATGAGCAAAATAAGTTTTATCCTTATTGCGACGCAAGAATCTCCAAAATTTGAGAGCATTATCAGGTGCATCTCCATCACCTGTATTTGAAGTTACCAAGATAATAATTCCTGCTTTTTGAAGTGGTACCTAAAGTAGAGAGAGAAAAGGGGGGAAAAGAGGAAATTGGAAGAAAGATTAGAGAATTACTCAAAAAAAAAAAAAAAAAAAAAAAAAAAAAAAAAAGCTCATGTTTATAAATTTTACATTTTCAAAATCATCCATAACATGGCATTCACCAGTATATCCTTTCTTTCCTGCTTCTGTATGAATGTTTTTGGCAATCCATTCAGCATTACCTGTTTGAGATGCCCAAAGAATGAGATAGGTTGAAGCAAGATCTGTCATTGAATTAGTAATACAAAAAAAAAGGGGTTATAAAAGTAAGAAAAAGTTTGTCAGAATCTTGATATAGAAGATACTTTAAAACTCCGTACGATGAAGAACTCGTTGAATTATAAGAAAATTGAATAAAACAAATAATAATAGTGATAATTAAAGGCTAATGATTTGTGTTAATGTAACATGTAGAAATTTTGATTGATGTGGGTTAAAACTCTAAGGTATTATTAAGTAGACTCAAAGAATTAAAAGTTGGTAAAGACAAAAGGGTAGTCTATATTATATTTATTACTCCTGCCAAACGATTTTAATACGAAAAAAGAGTTTAATTGACAAAGATGAATGTAATTTAATAATGTAACTATTTTTAATTATAAAAGATGTTAGCTACTGTTTTTTAACTTGAGATTAAGACTATTGTCAAAAAAAAATAGACGATTAAGATTTTATATTTAGATGTTATAGAAATCACTATGGGATTGTTTTTTGCCGTTTCTGCATTTTTTATTGGACAAATATTACTTGTGTCCAAATTGTCTTGGTTTTACAGACGAGCCAAATCTTTTGCCTGTAAATAACACCTAAGGTAATGTTTGAATTAAATGCTATAAGAGTTGTTGGGCTTTGCTTTCTTAAAAAAAATTAGCATACCATCTTGATTTTCATGCTGATATGACGATGGCTATATATCACGCTTTTTTTTAGTGACGTTAATGTCTTGCTGCAAAAGTTAGTATATATGCTCTCAAACATGTGTCCCCAAATCTTCAGGTTCTACAATGAAAGGTCTGCAACCCTTTTGTTTCAATGATAATTCAAGGCAGACAAAGATCGAATAAAGATATGACCAACATCTTATTTAATGGAGGAAAAAAAGTACAATAAAGCCAAAAGACTGAATACAAGAAAGAACAGAAAACAAGAGATAAGAAGAAACGAGAGGACAAAAGGAACCTACAAATTATATATGATGATAAATATAAAACTACATCAAGAAAGAAGCCGGCAAAATGGGGAGAAAAAAAGCCAAATTTAAGCCTTCTCATTGTGTACCTCTCGTTGCGTTTGGTGATGCTATGAAGAATATCGGATACGGTTAGGATAAAAGGCCAGATGTCAGGTGCCACAGCAATACTTGATAGAGAAATCAAGCTTAGATCAAGAACAACATTTCAGTAGACCTGCTGTATTTTGCAGAGAAATCACCGTAGAGGAAACATTTTCGTTAGAAACAGTGATTTAGATATCTACAGGTAATTTGCCAGTAATTCGTCTCTTGTTCCTTCTCAAATTGGATTCTTATTCGTCTTTTTTTTTTTGTAATCTGTCTTTATTTCAAGTTAAATTACTGTATAAGCGCTGTGACCTCGTTCCTGTCCTTTCCATTCTACAGTCAATCTTTCTCGTGCCCATGCTATCTAATGTCCGCACACACACACCGTCTACAAATGTCTAGATCCATCAAAGACCCTCTTTATTTCTTACCAAATTTGTTACCCTTGAAAAAACCAACTCTTCCTGGTCTGTACGTTGGTCTGAAGTTTGCCTGATCTTACATGAATTGGATCCTATTTTTCATAATGAAGATCTTCTTCCTCCTCCGGCTGATATTGGCGATCATCTGGTGAAATGGTTGCAATGATAAAAATGCTAGTGTCTCTATCTTATTTCTGTTTTTTTTTTTTTTCCTATCTTTCTTTTGTTTTACTTTCCTCCCTTTTATTTTATTCCTCAATACTTTTTCATTTTCCCTCTTGACTCTCAGGAGGTGGGGGTTTTTTATTATTATTCTTAACTTTACAAACTGATTCGGGCAATGTAGTTATTTAAACTATTGTGCTCATTATGACCACTTTTTAATAAATTTATCATTGAATCGTATAGGCGCTGTTTCAATAGTTAAATCAAGCCCATTCTTTAATATTAATAGTATATACAAATGTTAAGAAATTTTAAAAGTTCATATATTGTTGGAAGGATAGAAAATTTAGTATTTCTTCCAGATAAAGATATTCGCTTGAGAGTATTCATCTTTTTAGGTATTTCTCTTCTATTTAAATAATAAAACAAATTCAAGACTTCTTCTTCTTTGGTATTCGGTAAAGAAGAAGGCAAAGCCCATTTCGATTCTTGTAGTGTAGGAAGATGAACACCACCAGCTTTAAGTAATAGATGAATCATTTCTTTTGATTTAGCAAAATGAAGAGCAGTCATTTGATTTTTATCTTTTGCATTTAATAGCTTGTGTCTTTCTTCTTTTACCAAGTCAAGTAGGATTTGAACGAGTGGCTTATTTTCAAGCAAGACGGCAAGATGAAGTAAAGTTTGACCACTTGAATTGGTTTGTAATAAATTAAATGATGTGTGTGATGATAATAATAAATTCATTACTATTTCTTGTGGTGACGACTTGGAATATGGATCTCTGGTATTATGATTACCGCCCTGAACAATATTCATAGCAACTTGTTTTGCATCTTGTAATGTTCCTGACATCTTTAAGCCTACCACTTGAAGAGCAAGTTCTAGAAGGGCCTGATTTGTTGCATTATAATAAGTAAAAATAGCAACATCTTGACCACCCAAGACGAGTAAAGGATGTTCTTTAAAGGAGACAACAACGGGACCTGTATGAGTTGCAGGAGGAAGAATACAGACCAAAGTATTTTCATTCCAAAATGTAGTTGTTGCCACATGATCTCCAAATAAACAGGTCAATCCCTGATAGAAACCTGAACCTAATAAAGTCACTTCAATACCACCGTAAGTAGGGCCCTGAGAAGGTACAAGTCTTTCTAATTGAGGTATACTGTCAAAAAGTAATAAGGATGAAGTAAGCTCATTTTGATTCAAATTATTATTATGATGTGTTAAATCCGTATAGTCTTCTTCTTGGTGAGAAATTTTACGTCGACGATTGAAAGGCCAATCTTCGTGTATTTCTTCCTGTTGCTGAGGTGTTGGATTATGACTAGTATGATGATTGTAGTCGATAGTAGTAGTAGTAGGATGTGACTGTTGAAAGAGATTAAACATGAAGGGTGATTGATCCTCACTCTGATTTACCTCTTTTTGTATAGTATTTACATGATCAGATAAGGTTGTGGTGGTGGTGGTGGTATCATCCTCTATTAGAGTGATAAATTCTGAAGCATGGGATAAAGGTTCCTTCATGAAAGGGACATTGAGGGACCCAGTCTGTGCTACTATCGGATTCTTCTCCTTTGTTATAGAACTTCTACGAGACGAAACAGGAGTAAGAGGAGAATGAGAGAGTGTAAAGTGACTGTTATCTAATGATTGACCTTTCCTTGAACGTTTACGATTACAAGATTGATTTAAAGAGATTATATTTTCTTTTCGTAACTTTTTTGAGCTTTTATGATCGTCCGTGATCATAATTGGAGGAGATATACCTTTAGCCACTGTATTTCCTTTATTATCTTTCAAAGAAAAACAAATTCTATAAATAATAAATTATTAAAACACAATCAATACATGTATCCATACTTCGATATTCATTACCTGAAACCGACTTTTTCATTATGATGTCTACAATAACAAGTAATACGAGTAGGTAAAATGGCATCACCTGAAGAAAAGTTGATTAAAGGATTACAATTAAATAATAAAATACGATCTCTTTCAGCTTCCAAATTTCCATCTTCTTCTTTAAATGACTTTGATTTTTTATTTGACCTATCAGCTCTTTTTCTCTAATAAAGAAGACGTTAAGAAGGAGAAGAAGAAGATAATATGTATTGTATTTTTTTTTTAAACAAAGAATAAATAAAAAACTTACTTACTTCACGTCGTACACAGCTCATACACATTCGAATCGATTGTTGATGACAATCTGTAATTGTGTTACTCTTACTTGCACATATTACCTTTGCATCTAATTGCAATACCTTTGATTCATCAGAGATCATAGTAGAACCATCCAATAATAGTAAAGTAGATTGTTGATAATTTTTACGTAATCTAGATTTAGCTATCATATTTTCATTTAATCGAATATAAGACCAATTTAATACTTTCTTTTCATTCTCTCCTCTTAATTGAATACAAAGTTTAATTTGAGTTTCAACGCGAGATTTTGCGCCCTTGTTTGGTACTCCGAGTATTTGAATTTGAAGGTGTTGTTGACTAGTAGAATACAATTGTTAGTTTTTTTTTTTTTTTTTTTTTTTGATTATCCTAATTTTTTTTATTATTATCTCATTTTACCTTTTATTGTCATTATTTATAATCGGTAATAAACTAATAATAACAAAGAGAAAAATGTGGCAACAAATAATTAAATTGACGTTTTTTATATATTTAATTTTATTACTTACTTTTCATCCTGATAGGATATGAAATCAAGAAAATTGCCCTAGTAGATATTGATTATAAGTGAATAAACATTATATAAATAAATAAATATACATTTTTATACGTATACTTTAGATGAGAAATTATCACATACATTTATTAACGAATCAGATTCATCTTTTTTCGTATCTAAACTATCATCATCATCATAATGCGAATTTATAGGTGAAGAAGAAGAAGTGTTTGTTGTTGTTGTGGATGAGGAATGAAACAAGGACAAGATCTGAAGATTAGAATCAAATAAACTTGCTAAATCAGTTTCGCTTTGTAGCCTTGTTGTTGGTAGTAAAGCATGAGGATTTGTATTCATTATTAAAATAAGAAAGAGAAGGTAGGGTATATTCGTTTTTTTTTGTTTCTTTTCTTAATAAAAAATAATAATAAAAAAAAGAAAAAGTTAAAATAAATTAGAATGGCTTTATATATTATTATTAGTATGCTTGTGTAATGTAAAGATTAAGCCTATTTTATTATTTAATCTTCGGCTTCTTTGTACATGTTGGTCTGTTCACCTAACCTGTTGTACAAAGGATGTAACCCAGTGCAACTATTTAGGTGTGTAAATAAGGGGTGTCCAAAATATAAGATACTTGTTGTCAGATTCTATTCAACATATCAATAAGTACATTTCATCTATAATTTTCACATGCAAAAAAAAAAAAAGGATAAAAACTATATAAAGGGATACATTATCTCAGTTTTTTTTTTCTTTTAAATTTTCTTTCTTTCCTTTATTTTTCTTTACTTATTTTCTTTTCTTTTATAGTGTGTGGTGTTTAAAATGATAGGTTATATATCTATAACCTGTTAAACAACATATATAATTTCGTAATGTGAATTATGAATATGATGTAAATATTATTATATAGAGAAAGTAATCTGTATACGGAAAATTAACTTTACTGATCTACTGTTTCAAGACATTAACAAGTGCTCATCATATAGCAAAAGGTTGGTTTCTAGAACCAAACTAAATGAGGCTTTGTTCTATGACAATCTACATCATTTTGTTACATTTAAGCTTAAACAATCAAGAAAGGGTATAATAATGTGAGAAAAAAAAAGAAGGTGTGTGCGTGTGGAGGGAATGAGCAATACATTTGTTATTGATAATATCTAAAATTATACGGATGTGCTACCTAATAAAAAGAAAAATAAAAGTAGATACAATTATACTAACAAGCTTAGAACTGGATATATTCAATTTCTTTTAAATGGTCTGTAACCAAATCATTTATTACACTTATAAACATACAATATGAATACAACAACAACTACTACTACTGCTACTACTACTACTACTACTAGCAAATGTCAATTAATAGTAAATGACAAACAACAAATGCTATAAAATTTGTTTCAAAATTTTGTTGTGGGAACGCAAAAAAAAAAAAAAGCTTGAATGATGATACTCGAATGTTTATAAAATGTACGCTTTGATATATTAGGTAAGCACGCATATCAAACACTTTTCATTTTATTGTTGTGATACTACTGTGCACAGCCCTCTATCTTGATAATGATCGTATTCGATGATACTTTTTATTTTACTCGCATAATTTTTGTATATGCTATGCTTTGCATAATTCGTAATTTATTGTAAACCATATATTCATATCGAGTGTATTTAGGTACCTGTCTTTTTTTTTTTTTTTTAATATATTAATTATGTTAGGATAAAAATTAATATTCTAGGCTTTATTATTACACAACATACACAAAAAAAAAAAAAAAAAAAAAAAAAAAAAAAAAACTTTATTATTTTTATGCACAGACAATCATAATAATAAGTCTGCTGAGTTGAGATAAATACTACATACTTCATTTATTAAATAATACTATATAAAGTATGCTACTTTAACCTTAGTAGTCTTCTTCTTTTTTTTTTTGCTTACAATGGGTAACAAAATACTATTACATATAGTGTGATAAAAAGTAGAATTTGAGTCAAGACTTTTTTTTATCTATAGTAATGATACTTTCTTGTAAATGCTAAAGTGCAATTTATACATGTTCTTATTACATTATTGAAAACGTGTATATATTAAATTTAATAAATGAAAATTAAAACATTACAAGATATACGTATATATATATATCATATTCTATAACACGCAGTCTTATTTTTATCTCTCTCTCTCTCTTTTTTTTTTTTTTTTTTTTTTTTTTTTTTTTTTTTTTTTTTTTTTTTTTAAAAAAAAGGTAATCATCTATCTATCTATCAATCTATGATTGACCATTCATATTTTCGGAACAAGTCACCGAAAAGCAAATACGTTTATCCTTGTGTGTATAAATATAATAAAATACTTTTATAGTTTCTATCATGAAACAAAAACAAAGAAACTAAAAATAAATAAGAAATGATAGTCTCTAATGACGTTTATGGATATATGAAAACAAAAAGTAAAAAGATGGTTGAGACCGAGTAATGATCATAAAAGTTGCAGTAAAGCAAATGATGATTTTTTAAAGATATAATTTGCATACATAATAAGCTCATGTCTGGGATAAATTGTACTTTAGCTACCATAATAAAATCATATTGACTACTAACTACGAATAAAAATACATTATTTCATATACTTGAAGAAGGAAGTATGTAAATAAATTGAGGTTTACTTTCTTTGATCTGATCTAGTTAGAGTTTAAATAACGTCTTCATTTTTAATGTCTACAAGAAAATATCTTTGATATGAAATCATGATAAAAAAAAATAAAATAAACCTTTTGTACAAAGTTCTCCTTTCCTTGAGGCTGGTTTGAACTGTTAATATTTTTGGATTATCTTTAAACCTTTATCCTTTGGTATCACGTCTTGTAATCCGCTTTTGGTATATTCATCTATTGCTAACATAGAGCTTTATAATTCAAAGATATTTAAAGAAGAATGAGGATGAGGAGGAGGAGGGTTTAGGCTGTTATGAAATAACTAAAGTACAATAAATGAAGTCTATCACAAAACAATGGGTTCTACAAAGAATAATGAGACTGAACGGGTTTATTATTTCTTTTCTTTTCAATGAAAACTAGTCTCTACTATTACCAAATAGTTTCTTTTAAACCCCAATGAAGCTATTATACTAATGAGGAGAATAGCGTTTTGTGATAACAGTATGTACTTGTGACTGATTAGATAAGCCTCATCATAAACTCTTTGTTTAATAACAGACTAATACTAGTGGAGTTCATTCTATTTATTTATTTATTTATTTTTGCAACACATAAACTTACACTATCTATCTATTTAGTTCAAACTATAGCATAATTATCATTTAGAGTATCACTCGTATTTACAAAATTCTATTATAGATTAAACACAATAAAATAAAATAAAGGTGGTGGAAGGGAGTAAATACAGAGTAAAGTTTTGAAAATTAGGTGTGTATGATTCTTTGATCAGCTAATAAGAGTTTATTCATTCAGCCTCCATAATATATATTTACTTTTACTGCCTAAAAATAAGCAAGCTTTTTTTAATTAACTTGTTGGATATTAACCTGCATCTTTTCTTTTCTTTCTTTCTTTTTTTTTTCTACCTTAAATATCATCTCATTATAACCATATAATTCCATTAAAAGTAAGATTACCTTAAAGAGAAATAAGCACACTTTTGTCTTATTATCAAAGCAATAACTCAGTTAAATATTAAATTAGGGTCCTCATTTCTATTTTAATTTAATATATGCTATTTCTACTCTATTTGTTAGTTGTTCATGCCTTTTCTCTAACTGTGTTCGACCATACTATAATTACCTAGATTTTCTAAACTCCCTTTCTCTGTCAACTAATAATAATAATAAAAAACTCAAATCCTGGTACATCAGCTCATCTTTAAAGCTACAAGTCTAAATCTATTATCATCCCTCTAAACCAAAGAGGATAGAATTATATATTAGGTGATAAAAATTTTATTTTTCTCCAAAAACTTGGTACGATTTTTAATATTATTACCATTCCCTTGGCGATTTATTTTCTCCCTGAATTATAGTATTCGTATTTTAGATATGTAATTGTATCCAGTCGCTTGAATTGAAAATCCTGAAAGAAGGAGGAAGGGAATAAGGTCCGGGATATATACATATACAATATATCTATATCTAAAAAAAAAAAAAAAAAAAAAAAAAAAAAAAAAAAAAGTTATAATAAGCTAGTATTAAAGAGTATTGTATAATAATAGATATTTATGAATTGGTATAAAAAAGAAAAAAAAAACGTAAAAAAAAAAAATAGAAATAATTAATATATACATTTATTATATACAAATAGTTTGGATATATATTGTATCATATCAGACGTAATTGCTTTGTAGGAATACTATTAGAAGTTGAAAAAGAACCAGGCCTTTTCTTTCCATATGAGAGAGGTAATAAGTTTGGTATAACACTATATGATGATGTACGATTAGGTGTTGATTCTTCTGAAGGGGTACTCTGATTTTGAAATGATATTGAGTAGTCAAAGTTGACTTCATTTCTTAAAGAACGAGATTGAGTAAAAGGATGTGCTGAATTTTTTCTTTGAATATAATCATATAATAAAGATACCCATTTGTCATAAAGTGGTTTACTGACATACAGCTGATAATCAATGAGTTTTAAAAATACAAACTCGATCGTATTAATTTCTGAAATGGGTAAACTCGCAATCTTTGACCATGTCTGGTTTCGATAATGCTTATCATTCAAGTATTTGGATGCCACTATTAAACTTGCTAGGAACATACGTCGGCCACAACAAACAAATTGATTATGTTTTCGGTAGCAAAAACAATGTTTTTGTTGTATACCTGTCATCGACATCAGTCTTTTCATACGAAAAATATAAAATAAAGCAAGCTGTAACATGGAGTAAGTTGCTCTTGACCTTTTCAAAATTTCTCGAATAAAACAAGATGTAGATAGTATTTTGATATTTGAAAATTGCTTATGAGGCTTATTTATCCAAATAGAATCAATAATATCAGCAGAGGCATCAATGAGCTTATTAATTATAATCGATCGTTCTTGACATGATGTATCTGAAAACTGGTGATGCTTTTCAAATAAATCTTTATTGGTTAAAGCTAGTAGAGGTGGTAAATAAACAAAATTACTATTTGATAATGATACACTTGGCGTATTCCTTAAACTATATAAATTTGGGTCTGAGCATCTTCTATCGCTATTATTTTGATAATATTCAGGAATGAAAGAAATTGGCATTGAATATTAAAAAAAAAGAAAGAAAAAGAAGAAGAGAAAGAGAATAAAACTATAACTTGTTGATAAAGTAAAGTAGAATAAGGAGGAAAAAAAATAAAATAAAGAGAAAAGTCTACTTATTTTAGTAAATATATATTACGAGGAAAAAAAAATATTCTTTTTTAGGCTGCTCTGTTAACAAAACAGGAGAATTCTGGTATACAGTGCCGCCGATAGCAATGGACGGAAATTGAAAGTAACTAGTAGTTTACCATTGGCGTAATTAACGGTTAAATCTTTCTTAAATTGCGGTTTTGCTATTCCCAGATAACGGTTAACAAAATCTCAAATAGCGATATAGTCTAACCCAGAATTGCACTTTATTGCATTCTGATTATATTTAAATAACAAATGAGCACTTTTTTTTTGTTTATTTGTTTTCTTTTATAAATAATGAAAACCGTTTTTGAACACATTATTTTAATAAGGGTTCCTTTCTTATTCTTTCGTCTTATACTATAAAGCTAAACAGATTCATACGTCAAAATATCACGACTTGCATGGTTGATTTTGAGCTGCATGATTAATCTCTGTTACTTTTTTTTTTTAAAAAAATCCCTATCGTCATGATTATTACAAAAGAACAGGCAGTTTATATTTTCTTTTCAAACTATACACCAAGGAAAATGCAAAAATACGAATGAAAAAGTTGATGACAAAAAGTATTTTGAACCATGTTATATTGATGAACCAGCTGAGTCTTTGATAGTTCACCCACTAGCAGTAACTTATAACCCTTTTAAATACGATTTGTATTCTTCTGAAACTGAAGGGACTAAAGAGGATATTTGCTTTTCTATGTAACTTTTTTTTTTCTAGCAAGCGCGGTACAATTAATTCAATGAATGAACACCAATTACCTTGCTGATAATCCAAAAAAAACAGTGATATTTATAAAAACCAAAACATACTGTTGTAACGAATTTTCTGTACAGTGTTGAATTACTCTGATATTTTTGACCAAAGGTATTTAAATTCGTTCCAAACGTGGTGTAATGATAAAAGCCTAGATCTTTTGATGGTGGAAATTAAAAGAAAAAAAAATGAATAGAAGATAACGGGAAAAAATCCTCCCAGCAAACTAGGTCCTTATTTATATTAAAAAAGGATTATCATGGTAACAAGGAATCAGAACTTCATTTAAACTATTTTGAAAAATGTTATTTAATAGATGATATGGCATAAAATTTCTGCAGAGTATACATTAAAAAATTCAAGAGTGAAAATTTGATCGTAGATGGTTATATCAAGAAATCTCCTGAAGAATAGCTAATCGAAATCGAGTCAGACTGTTCAATAACATACATTCTAAACTAAAGAATTGATCATTAATTGAAATTCTATTCTATTCACTTCTTCCAGTTGCAAGGTACCGGATTCCATTACATTCTGAGATGTAGTAAGGGATGCTAACTTGGATAAACTTGATGTGGCAGGAGACATGAACAATAATACATATATAATTATATATTAAACACATTATTATACAATATTAACGACTGGTTTCTTGTAGATATGTTGAATTTTATTAGTGTTAAAGAAAAAAGTGATTGTAGTAAGTCCAACCTATGCCAGTCTCATCACCAATTGTACTGACTTGCAGAAAAAAAAACAGTTTCCAATAGTAATTTAATAGACAATATTTACAAGTAAAAAAAATAGTGTTGATTTATTTCTTTATACAAATTGAATAAATGTTTACAGTTATGAAGAATTATTTGAATCACCAAAGAAAAAAAAAATGAAAAGTTCAATCTATCTAATACAATAGCTACAACAACGCATAATATAAAGTAATCCAAGTAATGTTGTCAACTGTACAACATGTAAGCAGTTATTACTACTACTATCAAGATATACCAGCCATTTAGTATTGCTAAGTTTTACGAATCTGGACTGAGTCAAATCATCAACATGTAGCTCTTAACTTAATCACAGTAGTTGCCTTTGTCGTTTTGGACCAGAGAACCCAATACTTAAATTATTATTATTTTAATTATATGTGGTAGAAGACTAGGTGTCTGCCATTATTGTCTCATTCTTCCCTTGCTGGTCTCTAACCTCTCTCTGTTGTCTGTTTCTATAAAAAAAAAGTACTCATTTGTTATTTAAATATAATCAGAATGCAATAAAGCGCAATTCTGGGTTAGACTATATCGCTATTTGAGATTTTGTTAACCGTTATCTGGGAATAGCAAAACCGCAATTTAAGAAAGATTTAACCGTTAATTACGCCAATGGTAAACTACTAGTTACTTTTCAATTTCCGTCCATTGCCACCGGCAACATTATTGTATTTTCGGGTTAAATTTGTGCTACCTATTTTTTCCGTATCATTTTTTTTTTTTTTCAGTTTATGCATCCTGATTTTTTTTTTCCGCACGATAAAAAAGAAGGGCTTATTTAGAGCAAAGTATTATTTAATATAAGCAGTTATTATTTACAGTAGTAGATGAATATTTTCAACTGATGATAATTTAGTTATGTTACAGTTGTGTTATATCTTCAATTTGTCTACATTAAATAACTTTAATCCATAGAACCAGAGTATCACTCACAATAGTATTTATAGCATCATAATATACTATCGTATAAGCATTTTACTATAATAATTTCATATAGAATAATAAACATTCCCAATTACCTGTTTTGTACAAGGTCATCAAGGAAACAAATTATATAATATTATAGGGCCTTTCTTTTTTTTTTTTCGTTGCTGTTGTTGTTTTTATAACAATGAATAATCAAGAACTAGATGAGCAAGTAGTAACTATTGAAAGCAACCTTTTAGCTTCATTCTATCTAAAGATTTAAAGCTATTATATTCCAAACTAGTGAACAATAACATAATACTTTATCAACTACTTGTGAACGTTTTCTACAAGAATAAAAGATTAAATTATTCATTCTGTATAGATAAAGTTATGATTGCCTCTACATCTTTTATTATTATTCTTTGAGTGATAAAGAATGAATTCTTTTCTTTATTAAGAAAATGATAAAATGGGCAGGTGGGTTGGGGGAGGGGCTTCTCTTCTTCTGAATAGATTCATTATAATTATTTGTCAAAAAAAGATAATAAACTATGTTATAACTCCTAAAGTTTATTTGATTTGCATAGTGTATAATTATACATTTACATCTTCATCTTCTAATCCATTCTAACAAACTTTTATTATTATTATTCGACTCTTAACAATTTTCGTATTGTTCATGTAGCTTGAAAAATGTTAAACTAGAACACGTAACTTTAACCCGACAATCCAATAGTAGACAGCAAAATTACGGATATATTTTTACATCAAGCTGTTCCAAAAAAAAAAAAAAAAAAAAAAAAAAAAAAAAAAATTGATTCGATTAAATTATATAGTTTAGGCGTAATTTATTATTATTATTATTTTTATTATTATTATTATTATTATTATTGATACAAGTGAACAAGACCATATAGCAAAGTATGAAATAAGACATAGGATAATAAGCCACTAAATATACCATTAAATGCAATGTCTTTATAACCATTTACAAAATAAGCTTTTCCTCCTGATGTCCTGGTAATTAATAAAGCTGACAAGATGAACCAACTAAGTGCGTAAAATAGAAAACCGGATAGATTTGTAAGGCCCAAAATACCAGCTGCTGATCCCGCAATAGCTGCAAAACATGATCGAATGTATTGTAGTTGTCTTCCATTATGCATTACGTGGGATTGTACAAAATTATGGACATCTTGGGTTGGTGGATTCATTACTATAACTTGCTAAAATAAAAAAAAATAAAATAAAATAAAAAGCACACTGTACTTTATTTTAGCTGGCTAAAAATTCACGTCACTTCAAATTTTCATATTTGCACCATAAATTGAATATGCTTTTTTTTTTTTTTTTTTTTTTTTTTTTTTTTGTAGAGGAGTAGAGCTACCAAAGGAAATGTGACATAGGTAAAAAAAGAGAAATTAGAATGGAATATGATCAAAAAGTATGACTGAGACTTATTTAGCAAAAGAAAAAAAAAAGATCGTAAGATAAAGAGCATTGAAGCTAAGATAACAAATGAGTCAGTATGAAAATAAAGATGTGTAGACTGTTGGAAACTGGTTAGTTAGAGTAAGTGTTCTGATAAGCATCGTAAAAAAAAGGGGAATAATGAAGTATATCGGTCAAGTTAATATTCAAGCATTTGGCTTGGCTAAACTAGACAAAGGAAGTGCGTCACGATCTGATATCAAGTAAATAATTTGACAATCATCAAAATAATTAATTACCCTTTATTTAAAGTACCTGAACAAATAGTAGAAAAGGGATTTTAACTTATTAATATCTATTTCTTCATGATCTATCAATTTACTAAGGACGTTGTATACTTTATTAATAATACTAAATATTATTCGGTCGTAATTAATATTTTTCTGATTCCTCTTTCATCTCAGATATGCCTGCATTCTTATATAAATACTTGTCACTTAATATGATCAACTTCTAGGACTATTGTTCAGTCACGTTGACTTCACTAGTCTTTTTGTAGTTTTACAATTATATATACATATTTACTTTCTAAAGTCTTAATAGGGATATCACAAGGTGGTTTAATACCTACAGAAAGCGGAAGAAAAGAAGAAGAGATTCAGATTGTATAATAGGAGAACATGACAAGCTGTTCATATATATAAAGAACGTAATGCCATGTATTGCGTCAAGAGTGTGAGAGTCGTGCAGTCTAAAGTTAAGTCAAGAAGGAAGGATATAATCAAAATAAAGTCAATATCGACATAGAATGTAAGAGTTAATCGAATAACAATAGACAAATCTATTATCAATTTTTGATTGATAGTGTTAGCAATATAGAATTATATGTATTGGGTCTTGCAGGGTATGTCAAAATAAGCTATAAATAATTGAAAATTAGCAAGATTTACTTTGAACATAAAATCCTATTATCTCAAAAAGTAATTATTAAGGTTTATTTTATTAATTCGGCGATCAAGAAAGGAATAATAAGCTTATCACTATTTCTTTATTTGTTCTATAGACATTTCTGATAGACGCATGACAAGACGAAGCTAATTCAAAGATTTATATGTGGACTTTGGATATTTATTTTGATAAAGAAACAATGATAAAAAATAAAATAAAATAATAATAATATTTTCTAACTTCTAACTTAAACTTACTGATTGACTTTTGATAGATGTATGGATAGTAAGGTCGCTCTTTATCGAAATAAATAAACAAAGAGAGGAACATAAAAGTATATTTTCAAAATATCCTTTGATTTATCAAGAAATTTATTTTGATTTGATAGCCAATTTTTTTTTTCTTACTAAATCACCCAATAAATTATAACTGTTATCACTCTGGCTATTACTGTCATTTATTATGCTTTGCTCATGATGCGGTTTAACTCTTTCATCAACAACAAAGTCAGCTGTTTGTTCTGTAAAACAATGAACTACTTGATCTTTTTCATCATCATCGTCATCATCATCATCATCATCATCAAATAAATTAAACGTATTGGATGATTCGTTTCCATTATTATCTGTTTCTGCCACTTGTTCATCACTAAACTTATCTTGATTTACTTCTTCTTCCTCTTCGTCATCATCCTCATCTGGAAACATATTAAATCTCGCTTGTTGCTCTTGCTTTTTTCTAGTCATAACTGTATTCGAGATTTGACTCTCCCTTTCGAGAAATCTATCACATTGATCCTTTTCTTCTTTTTCGTCTGCTTCTGATTTGGTATCATTATTTGTTAACTTATCAAATATACCCTCCTCTATTAATTCCTGTCCTAATTTATTGCTTTTTATAGCAGGCATCATAACAACTGCAGGTGATATTTTAACACTTTGGTTTGTATCTGTTGCTTGTGCTACCGTAAGTTGAGCAGAGATTGATGACTGTTGTTGTTGTTGTTGTTGTTGTTGTTGTTGTTGTTGTTGTGGGGAATAAACGTTTTTAGTGCCGCGATACAATCGTAACGTTGAAAATATGTTTTTCTTCTTTTTACTATTAGATGTATCAGAGGATGTACTGTTACTACTAGTAGATGATTTTCTAAATATGCTACTAATAGAACTTCTGTTAAACGATTCTTCTATTAATGTAGACGTCGTATTATTGCCTCTTCGCTTGCTATTCATATCAAATGATGTTTGATTATTGACTTGCTCAGGCAATAATAAAGGGGACATAGGTGGTGATGAAATGATATTGCTTGAAAGTGATTTAGGTGAATGAATAGACATTGTAGAAGGAGAAGAAGAAGAAGAGGTGGGTGTCGATAAAGTACCAATAACGAAAGGTAAATCAATCATCATGAATTGTGATTTTTTACCTTCTGAAGTTGTATAAATGCCTTCTTGAGCAAATACTTGAACACGAATATAATAACTAATAGATAGTAATTGGCTTTGTTCAAATTTAATAGTTGGCATTGTACCTTTTGGAATAGGTATTCCAATTCTTACTGTTTGCACTTTTTGATCATTATGTTCTGACTTTATATTTAAATCAGTTACAACACGGTGAATTTTTTCGCCCTGTGATGTATAGGCTCTAAGTAATCATGTAAATTTAATAATAAGCATTATATATATATATACATATATATATATACATGTATACGTATATATTTGTATACATATATATTCACCTCCCGTTAGCAATAACTTGATTGATTCTAAATAAAGAAATAGAAATGCCTTGTTTCCTTGTAAATTCCATGTTATTCCAAATGAATATAGAGACTGGAATAGTGGTTCCCGGTTGTGAGCCTTGATATGGTAAAGTAACGCGCATAGCTGAGGTAAATTCTTTTTTTTCATCTGAAGATAAAGAAACCATAAATACTTGTTCAACTCTTTGAGGTATTGCCATTTCGGGGATTCGGGTATAGATGGGTTCAAAAACAGGTACAGTTTTCTGAGTAAAAAATTTAGACTGTGATTCGTGAACATAAGCCTCTAATAAATAAACAATTCGATTAGGTGATAGAACACCTATTTCTGTGCAACTCGGTAAAGGACGGTCATTGGGTACATGAACTACAAAGGTTAAACCAAGTGGTTTATTCTTTTGCAATTCCACGTTCGGTTCTTGCACTTGTTGCTCACTAGCTAAAATGAGATTTGTAAAATAAAAAGGTACCTGAGTAGATCCTTTTTGTACTTTTGTTGGTGATTTTTTTAAATTAGGACTGAGTTTCCAAGATTCTTTAAAATAAGTGTAAAATTCTTTATTGGATTGAATTGGTTGAACTTGAATACGACCCGTCCATACTAATCGAAAGTTTCGTAAACTGTAGTTTCGATTTGCAGTAAGGAAAATTTTTCCTTCAATTCGATCACTTGGAAAATATTTTAATGATTTATTGCCATTGTCTAGTACAATTTCTAATTTGATATGGAGTGGACTAGGAGTCATTCTTTTTCGTTTCGTTTCTTTTCTTTTTTTTTTCTGTTAAAAAAGAGAGAGAGAGAGAAAAAAAGGAAAAAAGAAAAGCAGAAATTCAGATTTGTACAATTGTAATGTGTTTATTTTACTTTCCGCCAAGATTCTACTACTTCTACTACTACTACTATTACTACTATTACTACTACTACTACTACTACTGTTACTGCTACTGCTACTACTTTATCATTTCCTATGTTCTATGTTGCTTTTATTCTAAAGATATTTTGGTAAAGGCTTTAAATCAGGCTGTATAAAATTATGTTTTGCTTCTTCAGTATATAATTTATCTGGGGAATAATAAGTTTCAATCGTTTTTGTATCTAATAATTCAGGGAATTTCTCAACCAAAGCAAAAAAATCTGTAGTATCACGATACACCCCGCCTTGAAAACTTTTAATAGCAGCTGATATTAATGCAATATAAAAAGATGTAATTGTTTCATGATAGTCTTTACTCTTAGATGGACTATTTTGGAAATGTCTTTGCATTGTCTCTTTAATAATCGGTTCAGCTTTATCAGGTCCTAATTCCCGAATATAATTCCACGCCATTCGTAAATGAGCTCTATGCATCCATTTTGCAGTATCAAATGTATGATCGTTGTCATCCGTAAAGGCTTTCATAAAAATTTGATCTCCTACACTTCGATATCCTCGATCATAATAAAGTAAAGGTTGAGCTTCTTCTCGAAGACCATGTTCACCTCCAACTCCTTCTTCCACTTTAAGTACCTTTGTAATCCAAAGTTCATGATCACCTAATTGAACGACTTTATATGCTTTGCAATGCATAGCTCCCAATGTCCCCATTAATACTGGTAAACCTGTAATTGGATCATCATAGAATGGAATGTCTTTGAATTGCTCTGAATTAGGCGAAGAGAAGGCCACTGATTGTTGCACTTGTTCATGAGCGAGCATATTTAGAACCATGCTTCCAGAAGAATGAAGTAATTTAGAAGCTCGTGAAGGTGTTCTTACGCAGAATGAAACAAGTGGTTCCGGATTTAGACAGATCGAAGTAAAAGAACCTACTGTAATACCACGTCTTTGATGAGGTTCGTCAGGTTTTGAAGTTGTCACGACTACGACTGGTTGAGGTACTTTTCTCATAATACCCCGGACATCTTCAATGACCCTTTTATTAGTTGTAAAATATCGTAATAAGTAATAGTGTCTGAAAGGTACCAGCCTAGTTGTAACTCGTTTTAAAAGCATACTTAAAAAAAAAAAGAAGGAAAACCAAAATAGAAAATAAAGAAATACATGTTTTGATTTGATTTATATGCTTCTTTTATTCATTCAAATTCTTCTAATAATGACGTCGGATCTTTTTTTTTTTTCTTTAAAAAAAAAAAAAAAAAAAAAAATACATTTTTTTATTATTTTTAAATAGATACCCAATTGTATTAATTGACTTTGAACATATTATTATAATGTACAGAACAATACCGTAGATAAATTTGGTAATGGATCTAATAGGATGAAGATAAATTATAACACATTTCAATTGAATGACATTATAAATAAAGAAGAGTATTTGAATCTCTAACTTCCCAATTTGAAAGATTTCTCTGCTGTTATAGTGTTTTATAAAGCAAGTAGAAATAAAGCCATCTTTATCTTTAGTCCTAGTTGTATGAAATGTATTACACAAAAAAAAAAAAAAAAAAAAAAAAAAAAAAAAAGATACAGCAGATAAGACTGTAAAAATATTAAATGTTATTTGATAAATCTTTTATAATCAGTTACAAAAAAAAAGTTCTTAAACAAGATTAGTATAGTAATAATACAAAGAAAAAGATTTCAGAATGACTATTTTTTGACTTATAAATATTAAGAATAACGAATACAACAAATTTAGGGTCTTCTCTTATAGAGTTCATTAGATAAATGAGTTTAACAGAGAATACAAGTGGTACATTATTAACATATTTAACCATTAAATTTACGCATAAAGATTTGATAAGATGAGCAAGAGTTTCATTTAAGCTTTATTTTGCTAAAAATATTTGAAATAATAAGTTTTAATGAGATTATTCTGCACGTTGAAAGTTAGATAAGTTATTACAGTCAAAGAAACTAGGTTGGGCCAACGAGAAAAAATTTGGTCGTTTCAAAATTGGATTGGGACACCAATGCGAAAATGGGACACCAATATGAAAGTGGGATACTGATACAAAAGTGGGATATCGACATGAAAGTGGGATATATTGAGACACGTTTAGTTTTTTGGGTGAATGTATACACAAGAAGCTATAATCTTGTTCCATTTAACAAGAAAGGCCACCAATAGACTATCAGACTACTATGATGATCATCCAGATTAGGATATGATTCACCTAACTTGAATGGTCCCGGAACGAACAATCCTCATGGAGAATATCCCAGATTCGAGTTACTTAGGACAATAAGGAGCATTTCTGGGAGTTTGATGGAGTGAGTGAACTATCGTTTTTGAAATAATAAAGCCAAGTAAAGTGATTAGGATACGTAGAATAAGAACTTTACTGGTGTTATTCGTACCGATGGTATTGTTTTGGAATTTATTTGCGAACGACCTTCCCGTGCTGCTGAAGCCACTTTGACACCTATTGATATTGCCGCTAAGATTGATTTAAATACTGCTACTGTATGGGGGTTGGATCCTGGATTGCGTGATGTTTTTGTTGCTTGCAACGGTGTTAGTACTGGTGCTGGCCACAGTAGACAAAGACATAGAATACGTAAAACTTCCACAAGTGAATATTATCAACTTTCTGGATTCAAATCTGCCGCCATAAAAAGAGCCAAACATGATCGAGCCAATGTTGACGCATGCCGTCTGATTTCTAATACACCATCAACAAGGACGTGTACTATTATAAAACCAAGTTTCTTATATTTAGCTGCCCTTGGGTTAAAAATGATAAAAATACAAATTTTTGTATAAAATTCGTGTATTGTACAAATATTTTGAAATAATTCGGTTTTTTTTTTTTTTTATCAATGAGTTATACGTCTAAAGCAATTGATAAAACACTAATTGGTTGAAATTATAAGTATATTCACTTACCTACTTATTTATTTATGCTATACTTACTTCTCCAAGTAATTTCAGTTTGTCGTCGTTAAAAGTAGCATTAAAGGGGATTTTATACATACTTGAAGAAAAATCAAAAAGTTCTTTAATTATTTCATAAAATGCTTTGAAGGCATAGCATAATAAAATTTTAAAGAACGACATCACTTTGAGGAAGAAGATATAGGTTTTTTTTTTCTTTTTTCTTTAGCAAAAATATACACTGTAACTATATAAAGTTAAAAACATATATTTTTATAATTTATATTTATTTATAAGTATAAAATAATTGTAAATCAAAATCTGATAATGCTTCTGTCTATTACCATATATGGGTTTCACATGATTTAGAACAAAAAAAAAAAAAAAAAATAAAATAAAATAAATACTATTTATTTTATCAGATTCTTTTTCTTTTAGTTTTTTTTTTATTATCATTATCATTATTATTCCTTATTTCTTTTCCTTTCTTTTTTCTTTCTAATAACCATGACCTATTTAAGCGGTGGAAAAACAATTGATGGAGTAAAAGTTGGTTCACCTATAGTTAATAATCAATCTATTGAAGACGATATATCGTATACATATCTACCAGATTCAACAACGTATCCATCTTTACCTATTAATGTTAATCAGATTGCTATCAACTTTAGAAGACTTGGAATTTCAACAGAAGACCTTGATGATCGTCTTTTATCTCTTTATTCAAATACGAAATTAAATCGACCAGTTTCTATTACCTTAGATGCTTCACGTAATCAATTAACTAATATACCGGATAGCATTAGCCGTTTTAAAAGATTAACACAACTTAACTTATCCTGTAATCAAATTACAATCATATCACCCATCATCTATCTTCACTTACGTCAATTAAAGCAACTCCATTTATCTGAAAATAAGATTGAAATAATACCTGATGAGATGCCATTTTATTTGACCCAACTGGAAGTATTAAAGCTGGATAACAACTGTATAAAGACATTACCAGAAAGTATTGGTGAATGGAAAAAGATGCGAGAATTTCAATTGGGATCAGAATATGGTGGAAATTTAATTAAATATTTACCAGACTCTATTTCTCATATGCATTCCCTAATAGAATTAGATGTCTCGTTTAATAACCTAAACAGCTTGCTCCCTACTACATTTAATGAATTAAAACAATTACGCCATCTAAATTTATCATATAATCGTATTCAGAGTTTGCCAGATACTAGTACCATTTTTTCGAGATGCAATGAATTAATAATGCTAGATTTGTCTCATAATCAATTATCTATTTTGCCTTTACGTATTGTAGATGAACTTGTAAGGCTTACAAAAGATAATCATCTTCGACTTATTAATCTAAGCTATAACTATTTTGATTTGCTGCCCAATGTATTGCTTGCTCAAACAGAATTACAAGTTATTATTAAAGGGAACCCTTTTGGTGCTTATTATGAAATAGCTTCTCATTTACTTCATCATTCAACTGACAAAAATAGACAAAGATTATTGCCTAGTACATCTACTTTATCAAATCATTTCGATAGCTTGTCAGCAAGACTTTATACAAATGAATATTTAATAGAGAGGTTATTCAGTAAAGACAAAGAAGATGTAACATTAATAAAAAAGAATCAAAATACTTCTGCAACTACATTATCCTTTATTCCTTCCTTACGTGAAATTGCAATCCGAAATTTACTAAAAGAAATCGAAAGAGACAATAGCATTGATTCCATTAGTTATAAAATACCAGATCATATTAATAGTGATATACACGGTATACGTCACTACTGCTATCATTGTAAACAGCCATTTGTTTACGAATGGATAAACGAGATTTTACTTAAAAGCTACCGTAGTAATCCTTCAGTTCCTCAGCAAATTGCACTTTGCAGTATACCATGTTGGAACAGCTATCAATATTTTGTAGAGCATCAAGTCTTAACATCAGAAAATCATATTATATCATCAAGGCAAGATATTCATCATAATGAGGCTTTAGAATTTATTATTCAGCATGGAGGTGTTTTAGAGCCCAGTTCCTTTGCTTGGGTTGAAGCAGCAGCTAGAGCAGCTCAACAACAAGCGCAAGATTTAGAGTACTTCATTAACATGCCGCCTTCATAATATATATTTATGTATATAATCAATGTATATCTTTTTTTTAACAATAATAAACTTTGTTTATATACAAAATAATTACAATATGTATTTGTTTATCATCTATGCGTATATTACATATATATATATATATTTAGGAGGAGGGAGAATACTTTTCTGTAATCAACTTCAATGTTGAATTCACTTTTTCTTCCAGGTTTTTAACAAAAACTTCAGGCGCAATATAATTATCGACATCCTTAGGACCATCTTGTCTAAAATAATCAACGTTAAAGATATGATGAACTTCAGTTTTATCTATTTCATCAAATAATATATCCAATTCTTTTGCTGCTTCTTCATTTTTCATTATTTGTCTATAAAAGATAACTTGACAACTAAACATAAATCAAGAGTAAGTAATAAGCTTATTTTTTTTTTTTTTTTTTTTTTTTTTTGAAAGTATAAAACTTTACCTAACTATACCACGAAGTCTACCTACTGCTTTCCCGATGGAAAGTCCTTCGATATATCCTCGATCAAACCCTCGTTGCATATTTACTTCTTTTCCTTCCACTATACCTTCTTTATAACCAACCTTTATAATAATTATGTGATTAGTCACAAATCGATCGTTTTTTTTAAAAAAAAAAATCTAGATTACATTGCCATGATCTTCTTGAAGACGATTCCATTCATTCTCTGCAAGTGTTTTCTCGTATTTGATTTGTTCCTCACTATCACTTTCAGCCCAAATGTCGTTAATCATTGTTCAAAGCTTAAGAATTATTAAAAAAAAAAGAAAGAAAGAAAAAGAAATTGTATTATTAATCACTGTCAAAAAAAAAAGCTAATACTTTTAAAAAATATGTATTTTATGAATGAAATTTAAACCCAATGAGCACACTGATAATTATATATCAAAATTGCTTGGGGAAGTTTTTTTTTTTTTTTTTTTTTTTTTTTTTTTTTTTTTTTTTTTTAAAAAAAAAAAAAGCAAATGAATTAAAAACCCTTCATGGGCTCAAGAGAGAGAAAAAAAGGGGGAGAAGTAGATTCTAAATAGCAGAATGGGTTTGATAACGGAACTATCGGTTTATGATTGTTAAAGGTGCATACATCCAATCGAGGAACTTTTAGCCAAAGGTTATAAATGGTGGTGGCGGCTCTTTTTTCATAATGGAGGTGATCCACTTCATATAATACAAGTTGGATAGTTAGCCAATGTATCGTTCACTGACTGCAATTTTTATGGTGATTAGTTAGGTCGGGTCAGAAGTATATTTAATGAAAACAAAATGGGATCTGTTATAGGAGGTGGTCCCATCGAAAGCCAACATCATAGATGTAGCGTTCATAGTATTATAGGAAGTCAGTCATTTGAGATAAGGAGGAGGCTATCAAGGCTGAATCATCGGTATACAACAGGTAGTTGATGTAGGAATATATTGGAATCTCTCAAGACCGTAGCATCCGAGGTAAGCTATTAATGTTTAGTGAGTATAGGAAAGGAGGCAAAATAAAACCTTTTAAAACACCTGTAGATGTCCTGAGACAATAGGAAGTTTCATTCTGCAGGAGAATTTCAATTTGAACATCATCAAATAGATTCTGAAGAAGAGTTAACAATAAGTAAGGCGCTATAGGACGTAATATATTCTAAATAATTCACCGATCGACTGTATCATAAGCAGATTTAATATCCAAGAAAGCTAACATTGGAGTAATTTTATATTCACATCGTAACATACTACTTAATTCAGCTAAGTAAGGTCTTGAAGGTGAGGTAGCTATTATTGTAGGGATTGAATTATGTAGCATGAAAGATATTGAATTTAGTTAATTAATTCTTTAATTCAAGCATATGGCCAAAATAGATTAGGAAGAAAGTGGGTTAATATATATCTAACATACTGTTATCTTGGTTTTTGAATTTTTTACGAATCGTACCTATGGGAAGACGAGTCTTAATGAAAAAAGCTGACAAATGTAAAATCTTGGTTAAGCTATGGGGGTAGTCGGAAAAAGCGCAAGCTACTGATTCCGCTTTGTGAGCTCGGGTATTCATACTAATCATGAGAAGGGAAATTTCTAATGTGGTTGATTTTGGCGGGGGTCACACCAAGGAAAAAGAGTAGAATTATGATTTGAGATAGACATAGGTTGTGTAGGAAGAGGGACAGATGAAATAGGGGTTTTGGGGGGGGGAGATGAAGTTAAATTATGCTAGGCAATCTGATCTTGTAGTAAATTTTTCAAATTTTGGATCTCATGCTAGACATCTGTAAGTTAAGTAGATAAATGGGGAATTTGTTGTTGGAGGGATATGGAGTTGATAAATAAAATAGGAATGAGTGAAGTCAGTACCCATTGTATTACAGAGAGTGATATATAGTTCGTAAGTATGTATTTCCTTAGTACAGGAGGGACATCTGAATTGCGGTTGAGAAAGAGTCTGTTTTGGAGACCCATACCTGTAGAGGGAGATTGTATCATTGCAGTGAGGATAGCCACTTTGATTTTTGTTTGCCATGAAAGCTGTTAAAAGATCTTTGATTTGGGAGGGTAAAAGTAGTATTGCTGTTGTTGGTTCTTTAGAAAAACTTCAGTTGGGTAATATTTCAGGTCTAATATGAATAAACATTTTAAATTGAAGAATTGATAGAGACTACAATATGAAAATAATTTTGCTGTTAAGCTTTCCAAAAAGGCAGTTTTCTTTTTTCAATAAAAAGCGCCAGGAAGCAGAAAGAGCTTCAACAATGTATACCTAGAGATTAAGGTTAAGAATGTTTAATATTACTGTTAAGAATTGTTTTGGTCAGATTGAGCGTTCTGAAGAATTATTGGGATAGATGCCTAAACAATGAATTAGATCTAAAATAAAAGACGACATATATATTTTCAAATAGTAGTAATGCTATTGAGTTTTAGGTAAAAAGATACAAGATCTATAAAAATGATTATGTCCAGTAGAAAATTCTAATGGATCCTATAACACAGCTGTTACCCTCAGTCAAGCATCAAACCTAGACGTATGCTATTTGTTGATGAAGATTTAGGAATAAGATCCCTGTTAAGCCTATACCTATTATGGATATTTTAAGCACTCACACATTACAATAAAAGGAAGATATTTCCTTTTTTGAATTTTCAGTGAAAATTCTCAGGGCTCGAAATAAAGCTTATTCTACTTTTTTTCTTTTTTTTCTTTTTAAGCCTATTTTCTTAATCTAATCTTATGACAAACTTTACACTTCAACAAGATGAAAAAGAAAAACTTTTTCAATTAGCATTAATAGGTAACAATTTAAAAACGATGAATTTTAGTAATCAATATAAATAAAAATAAAATTTTAGCTAGAGAAACTTCATATTCCCCATATTCAAAATTTAGGGTGGGTGCTGCCTTATTGTCTGAAGATGGCACATTTTTCAAAGGTAAAATTTAATCAGAAATAAAAGAAATAATACCACTAGCAAATATTGAAAAGTAAGTGTTCACTCATCATTTAGGATGCAATGTCGAGAATGCTTCTTTTGGTAAAGTAATTTAATAATGCACAAAATTATTTTTATTGATAATATAAAAGGAGCTGCAATCTGCGCTGAAAGGACTGCTTATGTTAAAGCTGTAGTAAGTATAACTATTTTATCATGTTAATTATCATTTACAAATAATGATTGTTTCATAAAGAGTGAAGGTCATCAAAAGTTTAAAGCCTTAGCCGTATCGACTGATCAAGTTGAATTTGTATCACCATGTGGTATTTGCAGGTATAAGACATAAAAGTGTAAAATAGAATAAATAAGTGAATTATTATAATATGTAGACAATTCATTGCGGAATTTTCATCACCAAATATGCCTGTATTTTTCTTGAATAACAAAGGTGAACATAAAGAATACACATTTGGCCAACTATTGCCATTTGCATTTACCTCTGATGATATGTAGAAAATGTCTATTTCATCATACCAGCAAAGACGAAGCTTGCTAATAAACTTATTAAAATATCTTTTCTCTGTCCTGTTCTTAATATTTGAGATATCGTATATTCATTATTGAAATGTATAATTCGCCTTTATTATCTCTAATTTACCTTAATGATTTTCCTGCTAACACTTTCTATGTGTATATATAAATATATTATTTATAATAACATCAACAATACACCCTACCCTAACATGGTGCCTAAAAAAAAAGCATCAAATATGAATGAATAAGAGTATCATATTACGAATAAAAAAAATCCCTTATATTAATCTTCAAACTTGAGAATTAATATAGCCTACGAAGCCAAAAGGGATCAAATTAGAACGTTTTGTGTTGGATGTTTTTAGTCATAAGCAGATTTTCGGTGTTCTTTAATTGGATCGTTCTGATAAGTCCTCACCTTTAAAAAATGGATCTGGTACGGGTATAGACTGCTGTTTAGAAACTTCTCGGGCAGATATTATCCAATAATCATATCGATTTATTAAAATAGCTGGCGCCCGTTTATTGAAGTCGAAATTTGCCTTTACTTTCTTATTAGAAATGAAAATTTAGAGTCTCTTAATGGAAAGGTGGTCCAAAAATCAACTGTTTCTAGCACTTTAGAAGGTATTGGATTAACTATCTAAATGCTATTTAAGAAAAAAAAAAGCAAATAAAGATAAATTTATCTCCTATACATATTCATATATTACATTCCTTTTTTTTTTTTTTTTTTTTTTTGAATAGTTTGATTTTAGTTCTACATATTCCCAGTTATATTTCTATAAATGGAATGACGTGTGACAGGTCTTTTATTTTATTTATTTAAAAATCAAACAGGGGGAAAAGGCCCATTTTTAAATCATCTTTTCTACTACTAAAAAAAAAAAAAATGCTACCAAATCAAAGATATCTAAAACATCCCTTAAAGCTCCTATTTCAACCTATTTTGAATAGAAATTATAAATCAAATTCACAATCACTTTCACTTCAATCAACACTAAATGCGATTAGACAAAAGCAAAATAATCCTCGGACATCTAAGCCTATAGAGCCCTTACAATCAGTAGAATATAACAAGCAGCAAGCAAAAGTTGCACCAGCGGGTCGACTACGCCGTGATGAAGAAATCAGTGCACGATTTATTACATTTATTGATGAAAATGGGCAAGTACATGATCATTGTCGATTAATGAATGTTCTTGACGAAGTTGATCGTTCTCGTTATTTCTTGATAGAAGTTGACCCCGCCGCACAGCCTAATCCAGTATGTAGACTATTTGATAAAAAGACTTTATTTGAAAAAGAGAAAAAAAGTAAAAAGAAAAAGAGCCTAGCAGTACCGGAATCTATTTTAAAAGAAATATCATTTGGTTGGAATGTGAGTAATCATGACATGGAGCATAAATTAAATAAGGCGATACAATTTTTGGATAAAGGAAACAAAGTGAAAGTTGATATTGTACATAAAAAGGGACAAAATATAGCAGATGAAAAAATGAGATCGCAACTCATTTGTAAAGTCACTGAACTATTAAACTCATATAAAATGACAAAAAAGCCTATTTTTAATGGTCATAACTGCACAATACAATTTGAAGGAAAGTAAATAATGTATATCCCCTCCCCCCCCCACTATCATCTACCACCTAATCAAATAAATGTTTTTTTTTCTATTTTTTATTAAATGTATACATTTTGAGTTTACATGGTAGCATGTACTTCTCTCTTTTCTTCTTCGCCATTATGATTATTATCATTGTCATTATTATCTAAACCAAGTCTTTCTCTTTCTAAAGCATAGAACTTCTCTAATTGAGCAGGATCAATAGGATACGTGTGTTGAGATGCGGGGAATTTTTTTGACTTCACTTCTTCATGATATTCCCTTAAAGCTGTCACAATAATTTGGTTCAAGTTACAATATTGCTTTGTAAATCTATAATTAAATTCATTAGTAAAATGTCAATTTTTATTATTATTTACAACTTACTTGGGAACGAATTTGTCAAATAAACCTAAAGCATCATTTTGAACTAAAACTTGACCTGAACACTCAACACCAGCACCAATACCAATTGTAGGAATTTTTAGCTGTTGTGTAATATATTCTGCAATTTCTGAAGGCATTGCTTCTAGAACCACACCAAAAGCACCTGCTTCTTGAACCGCAAACGCATCTTTCAGTAACGCACTTGCTTGTTTAGCTGTCTTACCCTGAACTCTAAATCCACCTAAAGCTGATTGTCTCTGAGGTGTTAAACCAATATGAGCCAACACTGGAATTCCAACTTGAGTTATTCTACGAATTGTTTCTGCCATTTCTATTCCGCCTTCTAATTTAACTGCCTAAGTTAAAAAGATAAAATAAAATAAAACAAAGACTTTAATAATAATTTAAAATACTTATGAATCAAAACTTACATCGCAATTTCCTTCCTTTAAGAAACGAAGAGAGACTCGGACTGCATCATCAGGGCATGCTTCATAGCTACCATAGGGTAAATCTGCAACAAGAAAAGGTGCCTTGGCCCCCCTTGCAACTGCACGACAATGATGCAGCATATCCTATATAATCAGAATTATCAATAACAATAACAACAACAGCAACAGCAAAAAAAAAAAAAAAAAAAAAAAAAAAAAAAAAAATTACCTCAACAGTAAGAGGATTAGTTGAATCATAGCCTAAACTGACCATAGCTAAAGAATCACCAACTAAGCATATATCAATACCAGATTGGTCTACAACTAAACCAGAGGGATAATCTTGTGCTGTCATCATTGAAATAGGCTCTTTACGTTTATACATGTTTTGAATGGTTTTAATAGACACCTTTGGTCTTCCTATAAAATATATTCAATGGAGTTAACTAAATTAAGTTACACAATACTTAAAAAAAAAAAAAAAAAAAAAAAAAAAAAAAAAAAAAGCTTACTTTGCGCAGTATTATTGTTTTCCATAGGTCGACTAGAGTAGTTTCTGACTTTGTTTGTCAAAGAATATTTCGGTACTACAGAAATAACTCTTGGCGCAAATGCTCGGCCAATAACAGGTCTAGTTAACATATTAATACCTTTTAATTGAAGACGAGATAAAATATAAGACATTTTTTTATTAGCTCTTTGATAAAAACAAAAATAAAATGAAAAAAAAAAGGAAGAAGAGAATTGACAGAACGTTTTGTTACTAAAAAAAAGTTTACAAAAATTGTTCAAGCTCAACTTAATTTTGAACTTCAGGTGACTTGAAATTTAATGCCGTTTTTTGAAAGTGCAGTAGTCTTTTTATTCTAAAATTAAACGATTTCAAAAATTTCATTGGATGATTTCGATCCCGAGCTGGACACTTATTTATTTATTTTTGGGACAAATTCAAAAATTAAATTAGATACTATTGCCTTTGTGGATCACACCTTCCTGGACTTATTTATACAGGAAGAGAGATTGAGTATGCCCAAAGCTGCCAATAAGTGTATGATCCTAAGAAACAGTGGGTATGTTTCACTGAAGGAATTCAATGCAGGTAATGGAGATGTTTTGCCAGATAAATCAATGGAAAAAAAAAGGCCAATAGAGGAACATTAGCAGACCTTTTGTCTCAGCATGCAAAATTTTTTGTGAAGCATTTCGATAGGAATCCTTCTTCGACTTTTGAAAAGGCTAAAGAGGCATTATCTGAAAACTTTGTAAACTTCACTATTTCTTTGCCTAATCTTTGGAAACACTTGACAGAGATATTCCGCTTCTTGTTGAAGCAAGTATTGAAATACAATGCTGACAGAAATGCTGAAAGAATACCTTTTCTTCGTCATAAAATAGGAAGCAAATGGAAAAAGTTGGCGTTGACTTTCAGAAGAATTGTATTTTTATTGATGCAGCCGGGTTTTATACTCAAATGTTGAGAAGTCGTATCTGGTCGAAAAAAGGTGATCCTGCTAACGTAGAAGTTCATAGCAGACGTGGTGCTAATGTTACTATTGTCGGCTGTATTTCTCCATTTGGGATCATCAAATTTTCTAAAGTTGAGCCATTGAAGCAAGTAGATGTGGAGAAACTTAAAAAAGAATTTAAGGAACATATAGCCGAAAAGAGAAAGGCAGATGCTTTGGAGCCTTTCAAACCAAAACCTCTCGAAAAAAAAAAAAAAAAAAAAAAAAAAAAAAAAAAAACTGTTTTGGAAAGCAGCTCTGTTATATACACAAACTGTAAAATTATGATTGTTCATATTTAACACTAAGATTTGCCCCATTACGGTTAAACCTATGAGGCCATTATCAGCATCAAAACGAAAAAAAAGTAGAGTGTTTTGAGCTAGTTGCTCTATATAATCATAAGAGCTGAATTTACGTTGCTATCTTTTATTTAAAATATAAGCTTCTTTATATATACATATACACTTTATTATACCGCATTTTATGCATGTAATTCTACCATCAGTTCGATACTATTCAGGAAACAGTGGTTAGATCTTAGAAAGGGAAATAACAACTTTTATTAAGAAAATACATCTATGAAGTATGATTATAATGAAAACAGCCCCTTCCCTTTTTTTTAAGGTAAGAAAGCAAAATATGCTTCATAATCATACCATTATGTAAACTCATTAACCAAATAAAAAGGACAATAAATAAAGTACATAGACATCTACAAAGCTCATTTTGACTCTTTTCTAAACATCATTAGACGGCTCTTCTTCTACAAGTCGTCAATGATTAGATTCATTATTATAGAAAAGTTTTAAAAATAGATATTTATTTATTGATAATATGTGTGTTTTTTCATTTTTAATTAATAATAATAATAATAATGAAAGGTAATGATCCAATTAGCCAGTAGCTTCATTATATAATAAAAAAGGCTACTGTTTCCAGAAGCAACCAATCGTGGAGGTTGATCATTATGTGCTTCCTTTCACAGTCTTATTTAACGAGAGACGCGAAAACTACAAATGAAACATACTCTCGATATTGGACAATAGAAATCACTATTATCCTCACAGCGATATTAATGAATGTTTATTTAAAGTGACCATCATCATTAGAACTTCACTAAAGATTGTTTTTATTTAAAGTGACCTATGTCTTTAAACTTCACTAAAGATTGTTGATTTAAAGTGACCAATATCCTCAAAACTTCACTAAAGATTGTTTATTTAACGTGACCAATATCTTCAAAACTTCACTTTAACAAAAAGAAGAAGAAAAAAGAAAAAACAAAAACGAGAGTGTGAAATAAAAATAGGAGAAGAAAAAAAAATTTTTTTCACATAAACAAAAGGTCTAATAGGTGCAATGCTTTCCATGGAAGAGCATAATTAAAACTATTTGTCTTTGTTACACTTCGGATAGATCTTCCCCCTCCCACTCTCCTTTTTTTTATTATTATTAATTGCCTCCTATAGAATTATAAATAATTTGTATAACGCTTTAACGGCTAAATCTTGTTGCAAGATGTCAAATATCAGACTAACCTTTATCATTGAAGTAGTTTATTCAATGAAAAGAGAAAGATAGGATAAATACTAGTTATAAATATCATGAGTTGATTTATAATGTCATGTTTCTTGATTAGACATGTGAATCAGAAAATTATACAAGGAATTCTATCTAGATTCCCCCTGAAACTCTTTTGATCCACCTTATCAAATAATATTAAAACTTCTAACACTTCATTGTCTATAACATATTTTATTCAGTCGTTAACTAACACTTTTCTGATTCACATCTTATGTTAGACCTCTTTAACAATTCTTATAAATACTCCCATCATAAATAAAGTGATTGACTTTAGAACTATTGTCCGGTCTCGTTGACACTTTTGTCTTTATAATATTTTTAAGAAATATTAAGGCAACATACGCAATATACGCAACATACGGTACATACGGTACATACGAAACATACGCAATATGATAAAACATGATTTTTGTCATATCTAAATTGCCCTTAATTTTCAAGATAACCTTTTTTATAGTATGAAATTTATGCTGATTGATTATTTGTAGAGTGTTTTTATTATTATTATACACATATAGAATGACTTTTTAAATGCTATTAATGTTTGTAGTACATGGGGGAGGGGAGAGAAGAGTCATCCTTACAAGGTGTTCTTTTGAAAGGCATCTCTCGATGTTAATGCGGACCCGTAGCGGTTGAACAAATCTTGACTTCTTCCTTTTTCGTAACACTCCTCCCAAAAAAACTTTCCTGGTTTTTCTCGTAGCTTGATTGTAAAATAAAGGTCTGTAATGATTACTTTCCCAACAGGTGTAACTGTTATAGTCTCATCTCGAATTATTTTCAACTTCTTGCTTGTATATTCAAAGCCATCTTCAGCGTATCGCTTTATTTTCTCCAGAATGATATTTTTTTTTATTTTTTTGTTTTTTTTTTAAAAAAAATTTGTCAACACAATTCGAAATCTTCTGTAATTAACTATTTGTGTTTTCCATGACATCCATGGTATGACTGAGGTTTTCTTCTTCTTTTGTTGTGAAAGACTCGAATGACCTTGCAGCAATTTGATAAATTCTCCTCAATTCTGGATCATCGCTTCTTTCAAGACCAAAAAAAAAAAGATTCTTCTTTTGACTGCATAAAAAGTAGGCCAATGCAATGATTGATGATATAGAAGTATCACTCAAAACACGAGACGAGATCGTGTCAAGATAATAGAACCGTTTTTAAATTTCTGCACATCTGCTTGCTTCAATGGCTTAACTTGTCTAAAAAAAAATAAAAGCGTCTAGTCCGAGATCGAAATCGTCAAATTTTAGAGTAAAATACTGTATCTCCAACAGCCCTGGTGGTATACCTCATCCATGTCCCTACCATCCTTCTCAAATGTTCAGTCCTACTCATTCTATTGAGTGTCTACATATGCAACGTCGACTCCAAATACCAAGAACGGTCACAGACCCACTCTCCTTCCTGCTAAACCAACTACCTATTAAAAAGCTAAAATACTCACAGAATGTGGCTCCTTGGACAATCCGCTGGCCAGCTATTTGCATCACTCTACATGAAATGGATTACCTCTTTCATGAAAAGCTACCTCCAGATCCTCTCTCAGAACCCGGTGCACTACTGGTGAAATAGTTACTCAACTAACAGTTGTAAATTACAACCTTATTGTAGTATTCGCTGCTTAAATTCTCATAAAGCTATACATAATGTCATTTGCTCTTTATAAATAAATAATCTGTATAGACAGTTTGTTTTTTTATTTATAAAATATAACAAGTTGAATATTTATGTTCTGAAACTTCTTCTGTTTGTTTTGCAATCATTATCAATTATACATTTATAAAACTTCAAATTATTATTATCATTTATCATAAAATAAAGACATCAGCTTAAGCCTTATAGCCGAGTTCCTTTAAAGATTCGCTTAATGCTTCAATAACCCTATCTATATGATGACGTTCAGGTTCCATAATTGAGATACCCATGTGACTAAAAGAGGGTTGAGTAAATTTTAGATTTAATATATTGTTACAACTCACCCAATTCTGAAATATTTTCCAGCTAAACCGTTTAAAATTCCACCAGCAATTTGAACACCTTTACTTGCGAGAGCAGAAACCAGTTGAGGAATCTCAATACCTTCGGGTAACCAGATAGCTGTCATACCATTAGCAGAACACTCTTCACATTGAGCAACTGGCTTCAAACCTAAATCTCGTATAGTTTGTCTAAAATTAGCAGCAACTTGTTTATGCTTTTCAAAACGAGTTTCCATAGGCTTGCTAGTTATTTTCTTAAGAGAGGTATGAAGAGCATAAATCAATTGTACAGCAGGTGTGGCAAAATATGCTGGTTTACGAGATTCGTAAGCTTGCATAACTATTACCAAAATGAAGATTAACTTTTACTAAACAAACTAATATATTCCTTCTTTGTTCTTATGTTTATGTATATTATCTCCAAAAACTTACTAGGTAACCATTTATTCCAGTTAGAATAGTATGAAACAATAGGGGTTGTTCTGTCTTTGTATTTTTTCATAGCCTCTTGAGAAGCAACGACTATAGAAAGACCAGGAGGAACACCCAATCCCTTTTGAGAACCAGTAATAACAATATCTAATCCCCATTCATCAAAACGTATTTCTTCTGAACCAACAGAACAAACACCATCAACAACGACTAAGGTCTCAGGAGAAATGGATTTCACAATTTGTGTAATGGTTTTAATGTCAGATAAAACACCAGTGCTATTTAATATTTTTTCTTTTTTTTTAAGAAAAAAAAATGCAACCCTATTATGAACAAAATTATGACTTACGAAGTATCAACATGAGTAACAGCAACAAACTTGTATTTTTTTTCATTTAAAGCCTTTTTTAATGAATCAATGGATGGGTAAGTACCAACTTCAGCACGAAGAGTAGTAACTTTAGCACCATAAATTTCTAAACTAAAAAAAAAAAAAAAAAAAAAAAAAAAAAAAAAAAAAAAAACTTGTCAGTATTCAGCTACAATATATAGAAATTTATTTACCATTCAGAGAAATGATCACCAAAATAGCCTGTATTTAAAGCTAAAACTTCATCATTTTCTTCGATTAAATTAACCATCATATCCCATCCCAAAGTACAAGAACCTGAGACGATAAATGGTTGAGCAGTCTTTGTTAAGAGAACTTCACGAACCATTTCGATAGCTTCGCCAAAGATAGGAACAAAGTTAGGATCAACGTGGGAAGTAGCAGGGGTACTCATGGCAGTAAGCACATCTTCATGGAACTCGATAGGTCCTATAGAGTATATTAAATAATAAATTATAAAAATACGCAATTTAAACTGACTTTACCAGGAATCATACAAAGTTTATGAGGTGCCATTTTAATTTAACAGTAATAATAAGTAATGTAGAAAAAAGAAAAAAAAAGAAAGGAAAGGAAAAGGAAAAGGAAAAAGAAAAAGTAAAAATTATTTAATGCTATTACTTTACTGCGTGTGACAAATTTTCTCAATTGATTGACAATCATAAATAAAGCTGCTTTTTCAGGAAAAAAAAAATAATAGAGATGAAAGGCTTTATTTTTTCCCCGGAATTTTTGATTTAAAGAGCCAATTAAATACTCCTGGAAAAGAGAAATAAAGGGTATATTTTTAACATTTTAATTTCCGTATTTTAGATTTTGTGGGGCAAAATGACATAATATCTTTTTTTTTCTGACAATTAATGACACAATCAAGGGAATATTCTTCTACTTAGTAAATAATACAGCTTCCTCGTATTTTATTTATACCTATCAAATGTATATTTGCTATTCATGTACTGTATAATAAATATGGTATAACTTTTATTTTCTAGTAATGGAATAATATCAATTAAATAGTATATACTAGGCTAATATCTTTTTCAATATAAAATATTATTCCTCAATAAAGTTATTAACAAAAAAGGGGTATGAACATGGGAATAATTATTGCTAGCCAGTCTTTAATAAAAATAATAATGTGTTTTTTGTGTAAAAGAACACCTATTATAAACTTTATATATTACAATGTAACAAATTATTTTTTTTTTACTTGCATTGTAGTATTCTTGAATGTTGCATAAATATGTACCTGTAGATCGATACGATAGCACAGGAGATAAAGATAATAAGGTTACCCATAATTAAGTAGATTATACAGGAGATTCACTGTACGAAAACGCATTTGATCAACAGCAACGGAAAAGATGGGATGCATATTAGTATTCCCGTACTGCCAACAGTAATTTCATAGTTGACAACGGATTATGCCAATAAAAGGGACATTGCGAATAAATTGCAGAAGATGAAGATATCGAAGACCATCATAGATAAGTCCGGATGAAATACTATTAGCAGGAAATAATTCGGTCAGTATACTTTGCCACACTTGCAACTGTTTTAAATGCAAAAGACAAGGAAAGAGAAAACAGAACGGACAAGTCTGTGAAAACTCTGTATAGTTTATTAAGAAAAAAATAACATAGGAAAATGACAAGAGCTATTTATATGTTTTTTTTACAAGGTAAGTGATATTAATAGAAGTGTGATTTGAATAAGTGAATACTAGTATAATAAAGTATCATGTAAATATTATCTCTGAATAATTCTGCTTGTAATAAGATATATTTTTATTTTTATCCCCCCCTGAGCTGTCACTGTTACTAAAAATATACCCAATCATTATCTCTGGGGTAAGCAACGCGTTAATATTAATTCATAGTGAATATGTCAACTATAACAATACCAATTATTTATATGCTACTATTATTATCATCCTCTAAGATATTATTACATAACAATATTCAAGATTATAGATGTATATACAATATGTATGACTTATATAAATAATTATGTGATTGAATATAACAATCATAACCCTATTGAATTCTTATTATTACACAATACAATGTATATAATTATTTTTTAATGCTCAAACAGTCTAACAATGATTGTTATTAAAACTGAATGTAGAATAAATATTATGCTGTGAAGTACAATACACTAGTTTTATTTGAATAACCTCTTTATTATGTAAATAAATGATGGTGTATTTCTATTAACTTAGTTGTAAAAACGACTACAATCATAACAACAACTATTTGGTGCAGTCGACCACTAAGTGACGAAACGTATCAAACGCTGCACAGTAGATACAGCATAGAACAGATACCTCAGAGTTATATCTATAAATGGACACTTGTGTTAGAAGCTTATGATAAATAGAACACTCGTAAACAGTTCATATGTTAGAATGCAATTTGCTATATTAGTACCTGCAAGCCATGGGACGCTGAGAATGATTGTTGTGGTATGGCTTATATAAAAAATAAAAAGAAGAAAAAGAGAAAGAAAACAAAAAAGAAGTAAAGCTTGAAACTGTTTACTCAATGTAAAAAATAATAATAAAAAGTATTGAAAAGATAAAGATTATTTCATGTCTATTCAACTACTTGTATTTATACTAATGAATCCTGAATCAAAGAAATAATAAAAATAGCTATGAAAGAGCGTGAATTATGAAACAATGTTAGTATTCAAATATGTACATCTTGTTAATTCAAGAGACTGAATCTATGGATTATCCATTGAGCGTTATAATGATCTGATTAAGTTTTAAATAAAAAATTTATTATTTGATCTGAGTATATGTTCCTGATATCTTTTATGTTTTATTTTATTGGATCAAAGACGACCTGAATCCTTTATCAAGGTTATAAAAATAAATATTTAGAAATGGTACGATGTCTTATAATTGATACATTTAGTTGGTTGGATGTCAATAAGTTATATATTATTTACAAGATATTATATACAGATTTTTTATTTTATATTCAGGCTTATAATTTATCCTTTATTACGTAATTCATCTACTATAATATCACTTATGATTATATCCTGAGCTTGTTCTATAACAGCAATAAAACTGGGACCATATTACGTGAAACAATTCGAAAATATTCAGCTTCTACCCCCATCTTTGTACTCAAAGTTGACATAATAGTCTTTTAGCGCTTCACCCTTTTTTACGCATGTCTATTGCTTCCCATCTAAACCAAAACGATTAATTTTGTTTTATCACTAATGACAACCTTTCCCAATCCTCAACCGTCCAATTTCCGTGAGTTTTAACGCATTTTAACCGATTTCACCTACGCTCACTCGTCAATGGCAATGCAGATTTCTTAATCTTCAAAACAAAATCGAAGGATTTTAGGAATTTGCGAATGGTTTGCGCGGAAATATCATACCCTTGACCATTTAAGTTCTGGGCAGTGAAAAAATGACCAGTATAAAATGATTGCGCAATCAATCTTCCAAGTAATAGGCTAATCTTCTTTGGTATACCTTCTTTTACGTTAATCTCAATTTGATTTTCTTTGGCAATTCTACTATTTGTCCTAGTTGACACGCTCATGGCCTTAGAAACATCTCTATAAGACTCCATAGCATTAAGTTTTGCTAAAATATCCATCCTTTTATCATAAGGAATTGATCTCATTCTATTGTATGTAATGATCTATGTGTTAATGGAAAGGATGCAAAAATGTTATTCAAATTAGTGACGAATTTGCGAAAAAACGATATTAAACAGGAAGTAAACCTTTTTGTTAATGCAATAATTATATTAAATAAAAAAAAATGATGTTTTTATTAAAGAAAAGAATTATTATGCAGCTAAATGGCTAAATCGTATAAAATAACATGATAGTTGTCGAAATAAACGTTCATATACGTAGATGAGGTTAAGAAGTTATGAAAATAATGTAAATTTTGTCAATTTTTCATTAAATACAATTTTATTAATGTATCTTCATTATTTTATGTTGTGCATTAAAAGAGCCGAAAATCATAAAACATTGCCACGTTAACTTCCGAATTTCTATAATATATGTTATAATTTAGCATTTTTTATAAGTTTTATCTCATTAAAAAGAGAAAAAACTACATATAGATGAAGACCTGTAACTATATGCTTAATATATATTACTTCTAATAAAAAGCATATATAACAAGAGTGAAAAAGAGTAAATTTGACGCAATTTTGTGAAACACTACAACACCTTATATGTACAATTAAATTGAATAACAGCAGGTAAAATTATAATCGCCGACTATAAACAAAAGGATATAAAGCATATAGAAGCAGCCGTATACAGAAGAAACTTCAAAATAAAACGAGCATTACCAATATCTTAATCAATAATCAAAATGTATAACATCCCATAGTTCAAAAATCAAATAAACCATTAGAAAAATCGTTAAAAAAGAAATCGCGGAGTTTATAGGAAATCGCATTTCGCGCTCCGCCCCAAATTTAATTTACTATAGAAGGAAGGAAGGGAGAAGAAGAAGAAGAAGAAAAAATGAAGGAAAAAGGAAGGGAGATAGATAGAGAGAGAGAGAGAGATAGAGAAAGAGAGAGAGAAAATAAAATCAGACAAGATAGAATAAGATCGCAAAGGACATGTAAAAAATAGAGAAATAGAGTTTACCATATTATATTGTATTATATTGCATTCTATTATGTTATATTATAGTTTGATATGATATGTTATGTTATCTTAGAGCATATATATACTATACAGTAGAATGAATGAATGAACAGTTATTATTATTAGACTAAATTACTATTAATACTGCTGCTACTGCTATTACTCATATATGTATGTAATTTTTTTTTTTTTTTTCTGATAAATAACAGTAGTCTTTTGTAATAAAATAGCATAGCATATTTATATGTATGCTAAATATGTATTTGAGATATTATTGGAATATACTAATGAATTAATATCAATCAAAGCATAATAATACTGGTTAAAATTAGCTAAAACTAGCTAAAACTGGCTTATATGCTTATTATTAATTCTATTATATGTATTTTATGTATTTTATGCCTTTTAAGTGAAAACATGAATTATATAGTTACCTTTATACGATATATATCTATTACTTTATTATTATATAGTTACTATCACCTAGACAACGTTAACTTTTTTTTTTTTTCTGATATTAATTTTAATGCTTAAAATGGTATATAATTAGCTGAAGGCCAACGGTAGTCATAGACAACACACACATATATATATTATACTATGCTATTACATCATCCTCATTTTATGATTTAATAAGGGGTAAATCATATAAATCATATATAATAGAACTTGAACATTTGCTAAGGTTTAGATTGAATCAGATCAGAATAGATCATTTATTGACAGCTCATTTCAAGTAATGGAGTGCATTTATGACTCAAATATCTATATTTTTTTTATCTTTATTTTTATTGTCGTTTTCTTTTTATTATACAATATTGGTTCCTTATTGTTCCTGAATTATTTTATTTTATTGAATATTTTGTATTTACTATGTGTGATTTTTATAATACGTATAAACAGCAATTAAACTAAATCTTTCATTCATAAAAAATAAAGATTAATAGCAACTGCTTGAATACATAGTACTAGAATATACTGTACTGTCCTAGTCGGTCGATAAGTAAAAAAGTATCATTAATCTATCTAATAAAAAACATAACATAAAATACGTGTATTTTTTTTTTTTTTTTTTATTATTATTATTATTATTATTATAATTATTATTATAATATTAAAGATGCAAATAGTAGTCACTCGTGTAACATTTCATTATAAAACGATATAAAAGGCACGAATGTTTAATTTCCTTCTTTTTTTTCTTTTTTTTTCCCTTTTTTTTTTTTCAGAAATGTGGGGAGCCTGTTTTATGCCGGGCTATGAATAGCACTGAAAATCGCCCCGTCTGTATAGTGCCTCCCATGGCTGATGGAAGGTAACACAGGCTCATAGAATATTTATTGATGATAAGAACGTGACTGCGCTCACTAAAAAATAAACTTATCAAGCTATTTGGGAAAATTGAAGAAATATATACACATTTTTTTTTTTTTTTTTTTTTTTTTTTTTAATATGCATAAAATTGCTTGTTTATATATTTTCATGATAAATACTCTTGTCTAGTTTCTAAATAACATTTAAGTTGTTGATGGCTACAATAATATTATACTTGGGTAGGATGGAGTAGTATATACATATATATTTTATTTTATTTAATTGACAAATGCTAATGTTTAAATTTTGATTCTTTTAGAATTGTAACTAGCATTGTTACGACGACACTTTCGTTTATTGTTATCATTATTATTAGGTCTATCATTAGTAGATACAAGGTTAGCTTCATTTGAAGGCGCTTGTTCATTACAACGTGCCCAATATTTTCTAATAGGAAAGAGAGAGAGAGTAGTCATGGAAATTACTAGCAGACTCCCAAGTAATCATCGCTTTCGCCATAGCCTTTTCCATCTGACTTAGTATAAGTAATTACCAGGAGTAACCCTTATGGTTGATTACTACCTCAACTTCATAAGTATCAGTTTCAGTATTGACCGATTTAACTTCACGCGATATCACTTTAATATGGGAAGGAGGTACATCTCTTGGTAAGAGTGGACCTGTACCATCAACCAATACATAGCTTCCACCTTGAGTTTTTCTTTTGACAGTGTAAACGTTTATAGATGATGGACTTTGTTTTTTTAGACACCCAGCGTTCAACTATACTATTTGCATGAGGATGATAGCTTGTTACAAGCCGATGGTCAATACCAGAGTGTTTAATATAAAGTCGTACTATTTCATTTACGTATTCTGTACCATTATTGCTTTGGATAATTTTAGGTCTTCCCATTAGAGATAGATAGTGTATTTCTTTTCGTAAGTGCTATTGTTAAGGATAATTTATCAGGGATTGTCCCAAGTACACAAAATCTAGTAAATACACCAACAACTAGAAGGATATAGTTATTTCCTTGTAAAGATATTGTTATAGGGTCCAGCGGCGTCAATACAAATATGATCCTATGGAGCACTAGCATAAATTGATTTTAATGGATGATATCCATGTTTTGACAATCGGGACAGTTTTTTACTGTGTCAAGAGTATCTTCTTTAAGTTTTGTTTAATGAATTTATTCACTATGTAAAGCTGTTACCATAGCTTGAGCATCACGATGTCCTTCTAAATGAGTTTTTATCAGTAGATTTAATCCTTCTTCTAGTGCTGGTGTTATTAAATCAGCAGGGCATCATCACACGAGATGTAAGAATAGATCCATCGTCGTTGACATTTTTTTGTCTTTTTATTAGAATATATATATTATTTGAATTTAAATTGATGGGGTATTTATAAGAATTGTTAAAGAGGTCTGAGATAAGATGTGAATCAGAAAAGTGTTAGTTACGACTGAATAAGATATGTTATAGATAATGAAATCTTAGAAGCTTTAATAATATTTGATAGAGTGGATCAAGAAAGTTTCAGGAGAATATAGATAGAATTCCTTGAATAAATTTATGATCTGCATGTTTAATCAAGAAATATAACACTATAAGTCGGCCTATGACAGTAACCCATACCATTCCAGCTTACTATGTTAACTTTTAAATATAATTATATTGCCCAAGATTATCTTTTGAAATATAAAATAGAATAATAAATAAGCTCTATATTGTATTAGATAATAATCAACAATATCATTTACATGGAATTATACATATTAAGCTATCTCTGTATTGAATAAACTTTATATCAATCAATTTTATTTCCTTGCATAATGTATCATAAACTAGCTTTAGAAAATATTATATATAAAAAGTATACCATATATCTTAACCATAAACTCCCTTTTATAATATAAGTGTCTGCTAATTGAAGATTATATCATACTTATCTGCAAATTAAATGAGATGTTTATTATTAAATCAACTATACATTGTTGTGATTGTAGTAGCCTTTATAATTAAGTTAATAGAAATAAACCATCATTTATTATATAATAAAGAGGTTATTCAAATAAAACTAATATATCGCGCTTCACAGCATAATATTCATTCTACTCTCAGTTTTGATAATAGTCATTGTTTGAGTATTCGAGCATTAAAAATAATTATATACATTATATTATGTAATAATAATAATTCAATAGGATTATGACTGTTATATTCAATTACATAATTATTTATAAGTCATACATATTATATATAGATAGCTATAAGATAAATATTGTTATGTAATAATATCTTATAGGATAATAATAATAGTAGCATATAAATAATTGGTATTGCTATAGCTGACATATTCACTGTGAATTAATATTGACGCGTCGCTTACCCCAGAAACAATAATTTAATATTTTTAGTAACAGCGACAGCTCAGGCAGAAAAGAATAAAAATAGATCTTATTGTAGGCAGAATTATTCGGAGAAAATATTTATGACTAATGCTTTATTATAGCAATATTTGCTTATCCAAATCATAGTTCTATTAATATCACTTACCTTGCAAAAACATATAAATAACCCTTTACTTTTTCACATAATTTTTCCCTGTACAATTTTTGTATTATTTTCTTAATAAAAAAACTACACGAAGTTTTCACAGACTTGTCTTTTGTCTTTTTCTCTTTCTTTAACTTTTTGCTGTCAAAACATACATAATGTCATTTTTATTGAATAAATTCGAAGAAAACGCTGTAATAAAAACATAACAAATTAAAAATCATATAATTTAACATTGGTCAGATAGAAGAAATTACATAAACCAAAATGACACCAGTACGAACCGCACATTCTCGGAAATTTAATGTCCGGCACGGGCAAAAAATATTGCATTATACACATATAAAATATAATAGAACCGAAAACAACAAATAGCATCATGGCGCAGTAGGAAGCGCGCAGGGCTCATAACCCTGAGGTCGTCTGATCGAAACGGACTGATGCTATTATTTTTTCGTTTTTTATATATAATAATGTGGGATAACAATAACCACGATTTTTATTTTGTCGCTTACTGTTGCAGATGTAGTTAAACACTATAAATATTGGGTTATTATTTATAAGTGGAAAAATGATGATTTTATTATTTTTATTAAAGTAAATTAGTTAAATTATTTCCAAGTGATGCAATGTTATTATTTAGTCCAATGTTTAAACAGTTGTGAGGGTATAGTACAACCAAGAAATAATGGTTATAACTTAATGTGGCATATAAATTATAGATACTAATATAATATAAAAAAAAAAAATATCTTTGTTCTCTTTATTAAATATAATATGCATCATCCTACTCATATTAAAAAATACTTTGACATCAAATGTTAAGCACAACAAAGGGATTCAGTTTAAGCGTAGTGATTCAACAGTACTAAGTTATCCTTTTAATTATATAAAAAAAATGGAAGCCGGAAGAAAAACTTTTTACTTTGTAATTTGTTATATTTATAATAATTACAATGCAGCATAAGTATTTGTAATCAACTAGAATGATTAATATTGCTCTATTTCATTAAAAGTTGATTTTTATATTCAAACTAAGAGAAAAAAAAAGGGATATTTAACAGCTTAAAGTTTCATCATTTGTAGTGTTATTCAGTAATTATATATATATATTAATGTGAACTTCTATCAGATATGACAGTAGTAGAAAAATATAACACAAAACCAGAAAATACTATAGATTAGAAACGTTATTATACATCTTTTCTTTTAAACCCAAAAAAACTTATCATTAAATTAAATAATACCATTGGTATAAAAATAGTATAGTATTAAATAGGCTTTATAATTGTATAATATATCATATAATAGCTACAGGAAATATTGAATAAAAAAAAAAAAAAGTAAATTTCATAATTTCTAAGAGCATCTCTCTTAGAATATGTTAATTAATATAATCAACTTTTGTATCCTCTTTTTTCTATTTTGTTTTTAAAAATAAAATATTCTAAAACAGCAATGATCTAAAGCTATTCGGCTCGTTGCTTTCCTTTTCTTCTCTTTAGAGCAGCCTTTACGTTCTCTTCTTTTTTTTCATTATAATTTCCAATCATTTGTTCTATTTTTTCTTCTTTGGTAATTACTTTGTCTATTTCATCTTCGTCTTTAGTCTTTTCAAATCTTTCTCTAACCTTAGAATAGTGTTTGAGTTCCGTAGCAGAGACACTTGGAATTAGCTCTTCCAAGGCTTTTACAAAATCTGCTTCTTCTACTTGGACAATAATTTCGTCAGGCGTTACTAAGTGGGATAAATAGTATTGTGCTGTTATTGGTTGAGGAAGGTCAATACGCTTTTCCTCATTCAATTTTTTAACCTTGCTCTCAATAGAATCAGCAACACGTGTCATTGCCTTCAACATGGCATCAGAGCATAAAGCATAAAAATCAGCACCTGTATAGTGGAAAGGACAACGTTCAGCAACTCTACGAAGATCTAAATTTGGATGAAGCCGGAACCTTTAAAGAATTATAAGTTTATGTTTAAAATTAGCGATTTTTTTTCTTACTTACTTTCTTGTTAATGCTTCAATAATACGAAGTTGTGATTCATGATCTTCACTTACACCAAGATAAAGAAGTTTATCAAATCTAAAATCAAGGATGTTAATCTATCCCTTAAAAAAGAAAAAAAAATAAAAGTAATAATAATAATAATAAAAATACCTTCCAGGACGTAATAATGCAGGGTCTAATAAATCTGGTCTGTTTGTTGCACCAATAACAAAAACGTCACCAGCACCAGAACCTTCATCACTTTCTGACATACCATCTAATTCTGCTAATAACTGGCTAACAATACGGTCCATTACACCTCCAGAATCACCTTTTTCACCACGCTTAGGAGCAACTGAATCTAATTCATCAAAAAATATAACGCATGGCTTAGCATCACGAGCACGTTGAAATACACGACGAACATTAGCCTCTGATTCACCAATATACATATTAAGTAATTCAGGACCCTTAACAGAGAAGAAATTCAGAGAGCAAGATGTAGCTATTGCTTTTGCAAGTAATGTTTTTCCAGTTCCAGGAGGACCGTAAAGGAGAATACCACTACGTTTTTTGAGACCAGCTCCAAATAGTTCTGGATGTTCTAAAGGTAATTGAATCGTATCAAGGATATCATCTTTAATATGTGCCATTCCACCTACATCATCCCAAGTTACGGAAGGAATCTATATAAACTATATTTAAGAAAAAAAAAAAAAAAAAAAGAAATTTTAATCTGACTTACCTTTGGTGCACCTATAGAATCAGAATAACTTGCTCTAGCTTCTCCTAATGCAGCTTCAAAATCAGCAGCAGTCAGTACAATGCCAGCAGCTTGAATATCAAGCGCTTTTATATTGTCTACATTTGAGGTTATTTCTGATGAACTATTTTCTTGATCCTCTGCTTCTTCTATTTTACAATGACTAAAAAACATATGATCTTATTAAAAGCATTTCTTTTAAAAAGTAATAATAAAAACCTACATCGTACGGTTAATACGCTGAAGTGATGATACACCTGCCCGACTAACCAAATCAACCAAATCTTTAGCTACTAATGCAGCTGTCTGTGTTGCTAAACTTGGAAGAAAAACATCGGGTGCTAAAGGGCTTTCATGAAGTAAATTAGAAAGTATTTGTAGACGAGTTTTTTCATCAGGTGCACCCATTGAAATTTCATATCTAAAGCATGATAAAACACTCGAAGGCAGTGCATCAACATCACCTGTAGTGGCAACCACCATAACAGGATAGCCTGTTGTTGCATGAGCAGAATTCACATTCTTGATACACTCTTGAAGAACTGTAGCTAACAAGGGCTCTTTTACAGAAATAATGATAATAATAATAATAATATATTGAATATAATCCCCTAACATTCTTTTATATTATCCATTTACCTTGACCAGATTCAATTACAGCACTTTTTTTTGCTAATCCTTCCATATGTCTAACTAAGACAACACAAGGTGCTAATGCAGTGGCCTTATCAAATTTCGCACGCAGATGAATTTCTGTTTTAGCATCTGTATCTGAAATGATATCATATATTGAGAATTCAAATAAATGAATACCGAGGCTTTCAGTTACTTCTCTAACTAAAGTTGTCTTTCCTCCACCTCGTGGTCCATGGAATAAGACATTGCATGATAATTTAAAGTCACGACCCAGAGGATGAAGAGAAGAAGAAACTAATTCATACAGTTGTTTGAATGCAGCAGAGTTTGATCTAACTAAGGGTAATTTCTCACTAAGATTATAGTAATATGAGATATGGCCTATAGGTATACGTGAATATTCGACGCCTGTTTGGATCATTTGTGTTTTACTAGGAACAATACGACGACCAAATCCAAAGTAATGAGGATGAATTTTAGTGCCTTCATCATCTGAATCTAGCCGTGTTACTTTAAAGTAAGCAAGAGTTGTAGGCTTACATTGAGGAATAATGGTCAAGTTAAACTCATCATCTTGAGGTTTCATACGTGCGCTATCTTCATTAAGGCAAATAGTAATGATATCTCCTTTGCATACAATACGTTCTTTTGCTTCAAACCATAGTTTCAATGATTCAAGAAAAGCTGATTGTAAAGCTTTATCCATAGACGCTGGAGAGGCGATACGAGCAATGGTTACAGCTTGTGCTATAGATGGACCATCAAAGGGAGAATCGTTTACTCTTGTAATAGTTATCTTAACGTTCTCAACTGATATAGGTGGAAGTGGCAAATCAAGGTTAAAATATAATGCAGGCGGGATATATACTATATTTCTAATATTAAACCTTTTTTTTTTAGCAAGCCTATAATTAACAACATAAGATAACTTACTTAGTCTCAGAAACAATATCTACACCATATATACGACACAGCCTTGATTTTTTAGGATTGTTTCCACTTACTAATACCCAATCACCACTGAATACACCACATTGTGCCAAATCTTTAATATCAACAAAAACCCGGTTTTCGTTATCATCTGTTTTATTTGGAAAAGGATATACACGACACTCTGGCCATTGTTGTTTTAATATTTGAACATTGAACTCTTTTGGCTCAATCACATCAGGTATAGTAGGTGAAGTTAATATATTAAAGGCCGTCGTAGAGGTTGAAAGATTAGATATTTCTTCTGTAATTTTATCTTTACTGTCCTTATTAGTATCTGATGAATCGATAGTTAATACTCTTGTACGATCATTTGAGATAATATATCCTTGCTGTACTGGACTTGTCATTAAAACCTCGTATGAAAATCCATCATTAAAGTCGTATTTCCCTGAACTACGAATAATTTGTGGTAAATCCTTAATGAATAACTTAATCAAAACATCTTGATCTAATGAACGATTTCATTTTTTTTTTAATTAACCGTTTTACTTGTATATATAACATGCATATATTTTTAGTTACCCTTTTGAGCAAATTTATAAGATTTTTCATTTAAAGCACCAATGATTATTTCGTTTAATTCAATTAATTCAACTGGTCTAATTTGAACAAGAAAAGATGAGTTTTCTTCTTCATCATCTTCACCTTCATCATCATCCAAACGAGACAAAGCATTTTGTCCATAAATAGATTTTATTAAATGACAGCTTGCGTATAATCTTTTTTTACCCTCCTAAAAAAAAAATAAATAAAATAAATAAATACACTTATGCGCAATTTTCTTTTTCACATATTTTTACTCCTTGTTTGGTTGGTTTACAATGAACTAAAATTGAAGATAAAGTGGGTTTAATATTATCGTCAGAAATAGGTAAAGGCGCAATCAGACTAGGAATAGTGATTGATACTACAATAAATTCTAAATGTTTTCAAGCAAGTTAATCCTCTTATTTGATCAAAATTGTCATTTTGAGTTTACCTTTGGTATAATCTGCAGGTACAATGTTTTTCCATAAATCGTTAGTAACTGTAACATATTGATCTTCCTTTTCCGAGATTAACTTTAGTTGTGCTGTTACTGCTGGCATTGATTAAGGTAAGTCTTTTGATTCAAGAAATAAAATAAAATAAAAAAAGCAAGAAAAGAAAAGAATAATATGTTTAGAAGTGGGGTATATTAATTTTAGGAATGAACATAATTCAAATTAAATAACCGAAATGAATTCAAGCTTATCCCCACGCCTTTATTGTATTACACTTTCATATGTTTACAGATTACGTAATAATATTTATTTATTATCTGATGAATGACTCCAATTGCCTATAGACCAATCTGTTACAGTCCCTGTAAACTTATCTCTAAGAATTTCTTCACCGGATAGCTTAAGAGAACCAACTAAAGAACCTAAATAAGAAATAATATAAATTCTCTTTTCTATCTATCTATCTATATACGTTAATAATACCTCCAACCCAGCCTCTAACATTATTCATAAATACTCGGCCTGAACCTTTTTCTTCAGAGTTATCAATAAACTTGATCGATTTATGTAAACGTAAAAGCGATTCGTAACGTCTTTTTTCATAATCTAAGGGATCTCTCATGATGCGTAACAATTCTTGCTTTAATCTTGATTGAAATCCTGGTAAAAGAGAGATCCCACCAATAAGAAGCATAGATGAAATTAAAGGTTTTCGTAAATCAGGTTGAAGTTTTAATAAAGCTTCCATTATGCATTGAGTTATACTAGGTTCATCATCGTCACCTTCAAATAATACCTCTACTGCTCTTTCGCGAATCCAACCAGGTATTGATAGTGTCGCTTTTGTACCTTCTTTTAGTATAATAGGATAATATAAATCAGTAGCACTACTGAAATTCTTGTAAGATTCTATTTTTGAAGCAAGATCTCCATCGCTTTGTGCCTGTTTTACAATCATAAGTGGTGAACAAAAAATAACACGAGTTTTAATATCTTCTAAAAGCTCTGGTGTCAGGATGTTTTCGGGTATACTCTGATGTGGTGCAAGTGATAAATGAAGATTAGAAGGTGGAATAAAGCGACCATAATCGAGCAAAAGTTGTTTTAATCGTACTGTAATGGATTTACCAGCAAGTGGTGTAGTCGAAATAAAGGGTATCAAAGGTCGAGAAGCATAAATCTGTTTATGATTTATTATTAACCCATCTCCAGAATCATTATAAATATATGTTACTTACAGGAAGGATTGTTGTTTCCAGATGACCTACGTCAATAATTAATCCAGTTGTTAAGCCTGTAGTCAGTAAAGCCATAAGATGAATAGGAACAAATGATATTGAATGCACTTGAAAGTGTTCAAATAATAATCTGGCAATTATTTGTTTCAATACAACGGGCGTCAATGGTGATTCACATATAATAACTTTACGTGATTTTGGATCTGTAAGTAACAAACTAATTTATAACAAGTTATTATTTAATTCATGTGGACTTAATAATGAGTTTACCGAAAGTAAATTTCATGTAACAATTTTTTTAATCTTTCTTCAATTTCATCTAGATTTCCTTTTGCCATGATGTTAAGGCTATATAATTCACCTAACTTGATTTATTTAAGGATGATGTAACATAATAATTTAGAAATGTGGAACGAAAAATAAAAAATAAAATAAAAAAAGTACCTCATCATTAGCTCTTATTACTTCACCATCCACTCCTCGATATTGTCTTAGATAAGACCATGTAGGAACTATATGTCGAGGAGCAGATTCACCAGAAAAACCAACTTTGATATATAAAGATCCAATATCTAATACCACCCTATCTTCTGTTCCATAAATTGAATGACGACGAGTAAAGTTATGAAAAGAAGATGAAGACGAAAAACTAGACAAGTAATTTGATGATAATGGTTCCGATGAAACTGAAGTTGTAGTCATGATTAAACAATACAAAAAAAAAAAAAAAAGGATAATAGAAATCAAGTAATAAAAGCCAATTTTAATAAGCACTAAGCGTCACATTTAATATTGGTAGTAATAAAAATCAACAAGTTTTTTTTTATTTTATGGATAAATAAATGTATATAAAAGGTTATCAAAGCTTAAACTAATTTTAACATTTCTTTTATATTTATATATATATTATGAAAGGGGATTATTATTTAAAGAATGAAAATGTATGTAAATGATATAGTATATAAAACTAAAAATAAAACGGTGTATAATCAATTTACAATTCATCATGTTCTCTTAAAGGTTCATCATCAGTGCTAGAAGAACCATCAGCATATAACTTTGTAGTGATAGGGTTAATAACTGATTCTAATTCTTCACGCTTTTCATCAAAATCTTCACGAAGAGCAGTGGGGTTTTCATCAATCCAAGCAAGTTTATCCTTAATGGCATCTTCAATAGCTTCCTTATCCTCGGCGGAAATCTTGGTAGCAAGAACACCATCATCACTTAATTGACTCTTAACAGTGTAAATGTAGTTTTCCAACTTGTTCTTGGCTTCAGTACGTTCACGAACTGCCTTATCTTCTTCGGCAAATTCTTCAGCTTCTCTAACCATACGTTCAATGTCTTCTTCAGAAAGACGACCCTTATCGTTGGTAATAGTGATAGACTCAGATTTACCAGAAGCCTTATCAGCAGCGCTGACCTTTAAGATACCATTGGCATCAATTTCGAAAGTAACTTCAATTTGAGGAACACCACGGGGAGCAGGAGCAATACCTGTCAATTCAAATTTACCAAGGAGGTTGTTGTCTTTAGTTAAAGCACGTTCACCTTCATAAACTTGAATTAAAACGGTAGGCTGATTATCAGCAGCAGTAGAGAAGATTTGAGACTTCTTGGTAGGAATAACAGTGTTACGAGGGATAAGCTTGGTCATGACACCACCAGTGGTTTCAATACCAAGAGTCAAAGGATTAACATCCAACAACAAGACTTTATCAGAAGATTCCTCACCAGAAAGGATACCACCTTGAACAGCAGCACCATAAGCAACAGCTTCATCAGGATTAATACCCTTAGAAGGCTTCTTACCATTGAAGTAATCTTCAAGAAGTTTTTGAACCTTAGGAATACGAGTAGAACCACCAACAAGAACAATTTCATCAACCTTATCCTTAGTAAAACCAGCATCCTTAAGAACTTGTTCAACAGGCTTCAAAGTCTTACGGAACAAGTCATTGTTAAGTTCTTCAAACTTGGCACGAGTTAAAGTTTCAGAGAAGTCCTTACCCTTATAGAAGGATTCAATTTCAATACGAACAGACATTTGAGAAGAGAGAGCACGTTTAGCATTCTCAACTTCACGCTTAAGCTTACTCATAGCCTTAAGGTCACGAGTAATATCTTCACCATCATTCTTCTTCTTCCAAACCTTAATAAAGTGATCAATGACACGAGCATCGAAATCTTCACCACCCAAGTGGGTATCACCGGCAGTAGCCAAGACTTCAAAGATACCATCATCAATAGACAAAAGAGAAACATCAAAAGTACCACCACCCAAGTCATAAACAAGGACATTCTTTTCACCATCAGTTTTATCCAAACCATAGGCAATAGCAGCGGCAGTAGGTTCATTAAGAATACGAATGATGTTAAGGCCAGCAATAGTACCAGCATCCTTTGTAGCTTGACGTTGAGCATCATTGAAATAGGCGGGAACAGTAACAACAGCATGAGTAACAGGCTTACCGAGATAAGCTTCAGCAGTTTCCTTCATCTTTGTCAAAACCATACCGGAAATTTCTTCAGGAGTGAAAATCTTATCTTCACCCTTGACGGCAACCTTAATATTAGGAGCACCATTTTTGCTGACAATTGTGAAAGGGAAATGCTTCATATCTTGCTTAACTTCCTTATCATTAAAACGACGACCAATAAGACGCTTAGCATCGAAAACAGTACGTTGAGGATTAGCGGAATATTGATTCTTAGCAGCATCACCAATCAAACGTTCGTCATCAGTGAAAGCAACATAGGAAGGAGTAATACGGTGACCTTGATCATTAGCAATAATTTCAACACGTCCATTCTTTTGGACAGCAACACAAGAATAAGTTGTACCCAAATCAATACCAATTACTATTTTTTTTTTTAAAAAAAACACGAGAAAAATACATAAATATACATATATAAAAATAACCTTCTTTCCCCCCCCTCCTTTTTCTTTTCTTAAACTTACCAGTTCCATAAGATTCTTTATCTTCAGCAGCATTAACAAAAGGTGTACTAATGAATAATGAAAAGATAATGGCGAAAAGGGCCAATAATGTGGCCTGTTTTTGCATCATTATATAGTCTTAAGAATTGAAAAAAAAAAAAGAAACTTGAAAAAGAAAAAAGTAAATATGTGTCCTTTATATATAATAATTCAAAAAATTTAAAGTCTTCCATGTATCAAACTTTGATTGGCTCTAAGAAATTATAATTTAATTTACCGATAATTTTTCAATGGTCTATCACTTATTTTTAACCGAATCAGGTTTGCCCAAGTCAAATTCATTATTAAGTTCATTTATTAACTGGGATCATAATAATGATAATATATAAAAGAGTAATAAAAATAGAAACATGAATTAAACAAAAATATATTAATTGTTGATATGTCTTTAACTTGAATATTTGTTTATTATCTTGAAGGCTTTTAAATAATTACAGATAATTTTCTGCTACGTGTCACTATAAAACCAATGCAATTATCAAAATAATTTTATCCAATAAAAAGTTACCAAAATTCAATTTTCTATTCAATCAACAGAATGGTCATTTCTTCTAAGAAATATCGATATTTACATTATGTCAATTTTAGAAAAATTCTTTTATTGCTTTTCTCTGAATTGTAATCACTCATATTTAGTAGAAAGAAACTTTAATAATCTTTATTTTTTTTTTTGTAAAAAAAATAATCATTTAAACGAAATGTAGAATGTTTAATAAAAATAGATTTGTAGAATCTGGTTGCAAATTTTGGTAATATAGATTTGCACCATTTATTTCTTTGAGAGTCATGTGTCTTTTAAGTAAGTTTAATCTTAGTAACTAGTCAAAGTTACTTTATGAGTTTCAATCAAGGGAATAAGATGGCAAATATACATATTTATCATCAGTTTTTTTTTCCCTTTCAACAACTTCTTTAATATCAGCTCGTTTTTTGCATAAGGAGCATTATTTATAATTAAGTATGAATTATGTATAGATTAAATATTTCCCAGGGTATCCTCATTTAACCTTAAAATAAATAGATAATAGTCAGTAGTAGCCCCTTTAGCCTCTACTGATTAAACTTTCTAGCTTAGCTACACTTGAGACTCTTATAATATTATGTGAGATGGTCTTTGTTTTCTCAATTTCAACTACTGTTGATGTTTAAGGGTCCAGACATTATCTCGATTCTTGTTGATATGGAGACCAGATTCATCACAGTTCCTGAGAAAATCCAGGTCCGAATTGATTACATTTACTACCCAATCATATGTAGCTTAAATAACTTCTTTTTGACATTACTACGACAAAAAAAAATAGTCCTTTTAAATGAGAAGCCCCTATCCTTTATTATGAAATTATAAACCAATGATCTTACAAGTATTGAATTCTCGAAATTATTAGTTTATTGATCTATATTTTACTCAACAATATTAGTTAAGGAATTATTCTTTTCTAGTAACGTAGTTAAAAGAAGAAGAAAAAGTTTATATGCTCTTTTTAAACATTTTTCGTATTGCTTCTAGACTGAAGTACAAAGAAAAAAAAAAGGTGATTCTTCCAGCGTTTACCTATTCATTCGTTAATATCGTTATTTTTTAACAAATAGCGTAACATTTTTTTTTCTTCGAGGAAATAAATAAATACATGTACATAAATCATTTTTATATAGGCTAGATTGTTTTATGTGTTTAACCTATTTTCTTTTCTTTTTTAAGGATAAAGATTAAAAGAATATATGTTAGGGGTAAATGGGCTTATTCTGAAATATTATGTAAGAATCCAAGAGTGGCAGTACATGTCTTAAATGAGTTACTAGACAGAATAGTCGCTATTGATTTGAAGTCATACTGGTTTTTTTTCCTGCTGTCTTTTTTATATATACAAAAACTTAAAATTATACTTAAAAAAAAAAAAGCTAGTATTATCATTACTAGTAACTCTTGAATCATACTTGCAAGATTTTTTTTTTTTTTTATTTTTATTATATATATACATATACATATACATACACACATATAGATATATATTATATAATAAAAACTATTATAAGCATGCCAATTTTATTTATAAGAAAATATGATTGATAGAATACTTGTATATACTATTTTGCTATCATGTAGTTTATGGCATTATCAGATTATTTATATATGTTTTTACTTGAGTTAGTATATATATTTTTTTTATGTGAGATTTTTCTATAAAATGATATCATTGTGATTAAATGTTTAAGAATTTTTTTGTATACCTATATAAATAGTGGAAACTTTTCTTAAATATAATAACCAACTTATTTAGTTCAACTGATATTAAATATGCAAAGTTCTAGCGATAAATCTCCTGTTCATGAAACTATGCCTGGTACTTTACCCCAGGAGTCACAAAACTCCAACACAAAAAAGCAACAAGAAAAGCATAAAGAAAATGGTAGTCTATATTTATATGTATTTTTTCATAAAAGCAAATATTTATGCACTCTTCAACTTTTTATTATTATTATGTATTAGTAAAGAATGATAGAGAAAACACTTTTAATCAGTCTGCACCTAAAGATAATAAGACAGACACTCATTTTGAAGGCACAAATACAATTAATCCAAACTGTGAAAAACGTGGTCATTTACCAGAGCCTCATGATAAAGAACAATTTCCTCAGGAAAATGCTGAACTTGCACCAAATGGAGCGAAAAGTGCTGGTTTGGTTGGTCAGGAAGTAAAAGATCGTTTTGATGATTACAAGATAAAGCCCAATTCGCTTGATAACAAGACTGATACACATTTTGAAGGCACAAATACAATTAACCCTAACTGTGAAAAACGTGGTCATTTACCTGAGCCTCATGACAAGGAACAATTTCCTAATGAAAACGCCAAACTTGCACCAGGTGGTGCAGGAAAAGCTGGTCTTATCGGTAAAGAATAATGAAAAAGGATCGTTAGTTAGCTGTCATTTGTAACCTATTATTAAGTGTTTATGTATAATAATAATAATAAAATAGTTATAATTGCTTTTTATTTATTGTATTGTCTATTATATGTGAATGTCTTTTTTTTTTTTTTTCTTTTTATATATATTATTAAGGAATGAGGAGATTTTTCTTCATATATGTATATGTATATATATACATTTATTATGCATTCTTCAAGTCGTTCATACGATCTTGTAATTGTTCAAAAGATTTGGTATCTTCAAAAATGTCACGTACTTTACCCATCAAACCCTTAAGGATAAGACGAGATTGATAACGCCAATCAGCACAAACAGGTGCACCATCTTGCTTTTTGTCGCCTAAATTTTCATACATATCTACAGTTTCAAGGGCAATAGTAGCAACGTCATTAAATACACTTTCTTCAGTTTCAATACGAGGGTCATGCATAACTGCTCTATAGGCTTTAATAGATGTTTCAAGTGCATCTACATATCTGCCTTGCCATAAATAGAATTTTGCACAAATCATCCAAATCTCAGGAGAATTGGTGATACGACTCAAGATAATATCTTCTAATAAACGTTGTACATGTACAGAGAGACGAGAACCATCACGATCATGAGGGTCCTTCCAATTTTGAATCACATTTTCAACAATCATACGCAAGACGCCAATATCCACTGCTTTATCACGTGCTTTATCCCAACGAAGTTCAACTACACGTTGCATAGCATAAATAGCATCTGCAAATTGACCTACATCAATAGATACGAATAATAAATTTTGCCACATCTTCCAACTATCATATTTAATTCTAGTAGCCTGTTTCAAAGCTAAAAATGCATCCGTCTTTTTATCTTGTTTAATATAGATACTAGCTAAATTATTCCAAGCTTCAGGCTGTTCATCATCTAAGGATACAACACGTTGGAAGGCACGAGCACCGATATCCCATTTTTCAACAAACATGGCAGCGCAACCGAGAATATACCAGGAGCCTTCAAAGAGAGGGTTAATCTCGAGTGCCTTTTGATAACATTCGATAGCAGCCTCATAATTTTGTCGTTTATATTCATAGGAGCCCAAACTACGCATAGCACGAGCGTAATGATGGTTAGAGATCTCCCATGATTTACGCCAATGCTCAGGTTCAGCTTCCAGATCACCCAAGATACACCAATACTTGGGTGAATTGGGATTTTCTTCCATTAAACGTTTCAAGACATCCTTTGCCTTCTTTGGTTGTTCCATCATTTGATAACAAGAAATGACATCTTCCCACATTTCAAGACGTTCAAAGATTTCAACAGCAGAACGGAGAACACCAAGAGAAACAAAGCGACGAGCCAGCTCGCGTTCCATTTCCCATTTACTAGGTAACAAAAGATCATAAAAATACGCAAGGCGTTCTTCAACACCACAATCTTCAACCTTGATTTGATCAACCAGAGCCTGTAACTGAAGTGCAGCACGTTCGACCGTACGACCTTTATTGGCTTCTAAACGAGAACGTAATAACAAACCCATTGTATGAACCATCCAATTATTTGCATTTTCAAGTACACGAGTCACATAAGGTAACATTTGCTCAGTGGTAATACCATGTTCAGGGTTTGTATTTTTTACATTGAGACAAAAGGCAAGTAAAAGACATTGATCGATGATATTCAGATTACCATGACGTTTCTCATTCTCTGCTTTATTTTTATCATTCTCACTAAATTGAATACGTTCCAAAAGAGTATCATCATTTAAATCCAATGTTTCAGGCTTAACCGCTTCCTCACTCTCTTTTTCTATCTCATCGTTATCCTCCTCCTCCTTTTTCTTCTTCTTACTTTCGGCCAAAACGACCAGTTGAGAGACATCAAAGGTTTGAAATTTAGTACGACGACCGAGGGAACCGGTTAATGACCAATTAAAACCTGATTCCTTTTGTGCAGATTCCATCTTTTCTAAGGCTTCCTTATCTTGCCCAAAGAAACTATAGATCAAGCCGAGCTCAAGCTCATGACGAATCTTTAATCCTTCAAGTGTATCACTATCCAATTCATTTTGTGCTTCTATATCTTGTGTGCTTTCCTTTGCAAGTGTCATTAATTCATTCTGAAGAGAACCTGTAAATTCGTCTAATAACTGTTGTTGAATAAATGTGGAACGCATAGCCCAAAAGGAGCCTGTCAAAGTGATACCACGAACAGCATATAATAAAGTACGAGCGATGGCTAACAGAGCTAATTGCTGGGTAAGATGATAGACTTCTTCACTATCGACTGAAAGGGTCTTGAGACAAGCTTTATGTAATGTAGATTCGAATTGATCATCGTTTTGTCCAAGGAATAGTTCGGATACTGAAAAATCCAAGATAGGGCCTGTCCAGTTAACTTGAACAAATGAATTAAGACAGGCGATACCAGTCATAAGAACATCGATTCGATTGAGCTCATCGTCTAAAGAAATGGAAGAAAGTTTGTTGGACAACCAGGCTTCAATGTCACCTGTCTCCTTCAAAGATGTGGAATCCTGTTGACAGTCCTTAAAGACGATGCTATTTTTAATCACGTTGGTATATCGACCATTCTGAATATCAGTTGCAATATGATTTATTTTTTCATTGTTAATAGTAATTTTTTTACCAAGAATGGTGGCAGCTTCAGCATCAATCAAGGACATTTTGCTGAAATCAAGCTAAAAAGTAATGTAAGCTAATAATGCTTTGTCTGATTTTCAAAAATAAAAAAATGTATACATATAAGCCACAATAATGATTTATAATGAAAAGGAAATCAATAGAAGTTACAAATTAATAATCCACAACAAAGGAATTGGATATGTACAGAAGCTTATTTTTTCATTAAAGAGAGGAAGAAAAAAAAAATTAAATAATTAAATGACAAAGCATAGAAGATATTAAACAATACTACAGTAATACTAGATGAAAAAAAAAAGAAAGAAGATATATTTTTTATAGAATTATGACTATAATATAAATGTAGATATAGACGCCTTAAATGGTTTGAGTCAAAGGGGTCTCCTCAGTAACAGTCATTTCTTTTAAATTATTTAAAACGTCTTCCCCTAGACGATGACGCATTGCAGACATTACGCGAGGCTATATAAAAGAAGAAATTAGAACACATAGTTTTTTTTTTTTTTAAGGTGAAATGATAATTACATTGGTCCTCATCCAATGGTGCTCTAAGGCGCCTGATACTGTAATCCTTGACTTTGGACATATATTTAAATGCTTCTTGATAAGGTTTTTGGCTAAAAAGACCATAAGTTATATTATAGTGATATATGTATACATATATTATAATATATACCACTATACTGAACAGAGATCCATCGTGAAGAATCAAAATTAAAATCTCCGCGAAGAATTTTGCTCTTTTCTAATATTCTATCAATATTATTATCATATGAATCAAATATATATATATATATATATATATAAGCCTATATTATGCATTACCTGTAAATGGGGGATATCCACTTAAGCATACATAAAGAATAATACCAAGACTCCATAAATCACATTGTTTATCATAGGCGCGATGTTTTGAGGACACAAGTATCTCAGGGGCAACTATTTTATAATATGGATTTAATAATGCAAGCTATCATATAAACAGGATTTTATCTATTACCATAATTGGGTGTTCCACATTGACTATCAAAATATTGATCTCTATGTTCAATATTAGCTAAACCAAAATCAGTAATTTTTATGTGTAATGTCCTTTGGTCAACCATAAGAACTACATTAAAAGAAAGGGTATTTATTAATAATTTAGGTCGAGTCTCTCTCTGTGTGTGTGCCTGTCTATCTTCCTTACTGTTTTCTGGTTTCAAATCACGATGAGCAATATCATTGTCATGGAGATACTAAAAGTAAGATTCTAATTTTTTAATAAACATTTGACTTGTAATCATTCATCATACTTACTTTTGTAGCCACTAATAGTTGCCAGAAAATAAAGCGTGTCTCATCTTCTTCAAGGCGACCTTTAGCTCTTATATAATGAAACAACTCTCCACCAATGACACTATTATATTGGTTTCAGTATACAGAAAAGCTAATATTGGCTCAAAAAAAAAAAAAAAAAAAAAAAAAAGGGAGGGAGGGCAACCACTTACTATTCCAGGACTAAGTAAATCACTTCAGCTTGATTAAACACTTTATTAATTCTTACAACAAATGGCTAATGAATATATGGTTTGTTAGTTATAATATCAAATAAGAAGAGTGTACTACATACATGCTTCTTAATAGCCATCATGATTCCAACTTCTTGAATAAAGGTACTTGTCAAACTAAGTTGACTTGTAAGCTTTCTTTTATCAAAAACCTTGACGGCAACAACATGATTCGTCTTTTTATGTACAGCACGATATACGCTAGCAAAATGTCCACAGCCTAACAATTTATCCATTTTATATTCATCCTCACACATCTAAAGAATAGAATGTAAATAATTCTTTAATTTAACAAAAAAAAAAAAAAAACAAACTATTTATACATTAGCTTCATATTTCGACGGTAATAAAATACGGAAAACTTGACAAGTAAAAAAAAAAAAAGCTATTATCATCATTGTACTATAATAAATGAAAATAAAAAAATAGGCTTACATTTGTATCGAAGATCATCGTCTATTGAATCATTATTGCATTTATATAATTGAATCTCGTCATTATCTCTTAGCAAAACACGGTTTTTAAAACCAACGATTTTACCATTAACAAAAGTACCATTGAAGCTATTAAAACTTATATTAGTTTATATAGTAGTGATTCATAATATTAATTAAATAACAACCTTAAGTCTTCAAGATATATTCGAATGCCCTTGGTTCCCCTTTTTTCACCAGTTTCCTATATGAAAAAAAATAAATACTTTAATTATACGTGTATTTTTTTTTTAACTTCTAAACTAAGCTTTACCATGTAGATAAGACAATGTCTTTTACTAATAACAATATGATCAAATCTATTGTAAAGTATGAATGAATAGTGCATTAAAGATAGAGAAATATAAAAAGACACATTTATATTTATTACTTGATATCACTGTCAGGTTTTCTACCAAATAAATAACCAGGTCGACCTTGAGAATAATCTCTCTTTTCCAAATACATAGACTTATAATTAGGATTTAAGGACTGTAAAAAGCCCCAAGCTGTTTTATATATAGTCCAATTAGGTTTTTCCAATTCAAAGATAGGTTCCTTTAAAACTAACTCATTAGACATTGAAGAAGCTACATTCTTAATAGTCCTAGTTGTATCCTCATTGGTAGTAGCGTGTAATATTTCATGTAAAGAAGATGAGGAACCTTTTTCATCATGACTAAGTTTAGATAGCTTACGAATCAATTTAGCGTTATCATTAATATCTTCAATATCATCATCACTCCTTCCATGACGTTTTTTCATATTTTGGCGTTCATTATCAAATGAATAAAAGAAAAGACCATTCGTTGAATAATAACTGTTATCATGTATAGAAGTAGGAAGTTGAATAACTGAATCTTTTGACATTTTACTTGAGGAAAAGAAGTAAGAAGGAAAGAAGAAGAAGAAGAAGAAAAAAAACTTATTCTTCATTCATTTTTTGTTACAATTTATATGTATATTTTATAAGGGGTTGTGTGTGTGTGTGTGTGTGTATGTGGAAGGGGAAAGGAGGGGAGGGGGACTACATAATTTTACAAAGTAAACTAAATCCAATTGCCCTTATTTAAACGCAAAATGATATCACTTGACGCAGAGTATTGATTTGTGTCACAAATTATTGTTTTCTTTTTTAGTAAAAAAAAAAAAAAAAAAAAAAAAAACCATAAATATCAAAGCTAGATTTTTAATAAATTTATAGCAAGTTTCTTTTTAGCAAAGCAATGATGTATAAACAAAATGTGACTAGTCTTGTTCAGTTAGATACTAGTTTGAAATAGTATTATTAACAGCTTATTCGTAAAGGACATTATTTGACTAGTTTTTTTTTTTTTTTTTTTTTTTTTTTTTTTTTTTTTTTTAGATTTCCAGAAGATCTTTTCAATCTTTAGTTGTTTAGTAGCCTTACATGAAACATATATTTGTATTCAATTGGATCATTACTATGGTGTAAACACTTAGTCTTTTTTTTTCCTCCACACTTTCTTCTAGTTCTCTTTCAGAAGGCTTTATATAAATATAAATAGTCATATATATTATTGATCTATCAATTAGAATTAACTCGTTTCATTTGTACATATTTTCATATACAGATTAGCTTATGGCTTTTATGACTCTTTCGGAGTATATACATTTATATATTTTTTTTTTATGTATTAATAAATCATAATTTCCTAGGTTTCTTTAAATACAGTTATATATTTATATATTTCTATTTTTTTTTATACCCCTTTTTTATAAGATGAATGAAACTAAAAGAGCAGACAATGTCGATTCAAATTCAATAAAACATGAACCCAAGGCAAAAATAGCTCTTCGACCCTATTTTGCAGAAACAGACAAAAAATATGTTCATTACTTGTTTTATTCTACTTACTTTAATCTTGTCCCTAAAGCAGTGCTCATTCGACTTCGATCTCCATATATAATAGCCTCATGGGTAGCTATCTATACCTTAATTGTTACTTTTGTATGGAATTTCTTTGAAAGGTTGGGTTGGGAGAGGAAAGTTCAGATTGCACTTGTCTTGTTCACTACTGTTATCGTCATTGGCTTTGGCTTTATTTCTCTTTTGTGGTACACAGATAAATTTGATATCACACCTCGTGTCGTTCAAGGTATCGAGAATGATTTGAAGGAGCCGTGTGTCTATTATCGAGGTACTCCTGAAGAGCCTCGTAAAGGTAACTTTTGGGTATTGACATTAAATGATGAGATTATTGGTTGTGTGGGTATAGATCATACACCTGTTTCAGTCGTTGACAAGTCCGCTGATAAACCTTATGTTCGTGCCTCTGAACGTCCCCGTGCTGTAGATTCCCCTGAGATTCATCAAGCTGAGTGGAAAAGGACGGCTATGATGTTGGCAAGGTTAGACGATTTAGTTCGACTTACATTAGTAGGTGCTTTAGATAAAGTAAGAGACTTTTATTTCAAGATAAAAGGAGTTGAGTATCAACAACAACAAGAGCCTATTTTATTCGAGGCTCATAAATCAAATGAAGCAAGTGTACGTCGTTTGGCAATCAAGTTAGAATGTCAAAATCATGGTTTATCCACTATTCTTTTGAAAAGAGTCGCCTTTTGGGCACATGCACACCAACTTGAATATCTTTATGCGGAAACAGATGAACTTCAAACAAAATTAGCAGAGATTCTTGTCAAGAGACATGGCTATACTTTTGTATCTAAGAAGAAATTAGGCTATTTTAAAACAAAATCTATTTTCAGATTAGATGTAAAACTTTGGATGAGTAAAGAATTGGAAAGACGAGCTCAAGAGAAGGCTGAAAAAGAACAATTAAAAGAAGAAGCTGAACTTAAGGAATATGAATAAGAAAGCGAGCGCCATAAATTGTAATAATAAAAAGAAGCATTTATTTATTTATTTACAAACATATTTACAATTCTCTTTGTGTTGTTGTTGTTGTATTCTTCTTCTTATTTCGTTTTACTACCTCTTCTGTTTCTCTATTTCCACCTTTAGAAAGATCTGTGGGTGATTTATATTTTTTATACATTTGTGCTTTAAGGAATAAAAGATCAACGGGTTTAGATGAGATAGAGGTCTTTTTCATCATCTTCATCATATCTAAAACAGTTTCCTGTGATATTTGAGTACCACTCGTTTCTTCAGAATTACCTAGTAAACATTCAGATTCGGTATCATCCTTTTTAGAGGACAATGCATGGATTATGTCTGATATCGTACAACTCGTGCCCTCAGATATCTTTTCTTCATGTGAGGGTGTTAAACATGTCATATGAGGTTCTTTACGAAGAACATGGTCAATATCAACAGCTGAGAAAAATGCTACACTCTATATAATACAATTAAAAGGTTAAATTATCTTGATAAATAAATAAAAAGAAAGAAAGATAATGTCAACAACTCTCTACCTGAGGCAAGTCAAAGATTCCCAATTTATAACTAAAAAGAGCTCTTGTCCAAAGATTAGCAACTTGTAACGCTAAAGCAGTTCTATGTTGATCTTCTTCTGTAGATAAATAACGTACTTCATCATGAACAGATAACATAAACCTTGCATTGATTTGGTATCTTTCAATTAAATGGGCCATAGAGACAATTAACAGATGAAGGTAATCTACACCTGAACTCTGTACGACCCAATTGACTCTGGATGTCAAAAACTGACTTCCTATGTATTTTGGTTTTAGAGCATCTGTAATAGCACAACCCAAGACGGGTGTCCTTGGTTCCTTTGAGAGTGCAATATCTTCAAGGGCATTAAACATATAACTCTCTGAACCACCATGCCAAAACATTCTCTTAAATTGGTTATGTACCGAATGCTCCTTTTCACCTTTTGTATCTGAATACAGCTTAGTTGCACGTTCTTTAGCTGTCTCTAGATCCATCCCTTGATTGTATTGCATTAGTAGACTAGTTGCATATTTTACACCTGCACCATAAATTCTAGCATAGTTAAAAATTTTCGCTTTATCTCTACTGATACCTAAAATGTTGGCGGTTTTCGAATGAAGATCAGTGCCCTCTGACTTTGATCCTTGCAATGTCATCCATCCTAAAGCAGTTGCACCATGAAAACCAAATTGAGAGTCACCTATTACACTCGATATCCATAATTCTTCTGAATCCACATCTGCACCTACAATCTTATAACCTTCAGGTGCCTGAACCATGGATTTTAATTCAGACCCAATTCGATTTGCCTTTGCGTTACTAGCCGTTAACCAAGTTCGTTCTACGGCTCGACGTGTGATGGTGCCCATTGTAACCATCTGAGGTAGAATGATTCCATATTTCCCCGTTTCCTTTTTAGGTAGCTTCATATCTACACTTGCATTTGTATCCCAAACCACGAATTGATTCAAGATACGTTCGCGAGAACTAATCCAATAGGCAGACTTTGCATTCAATTCTAATGCCTCTTTTGCTGCTTCATATTCAGATGTCAAGACTTTATCTTCAAAGGATCCAATATATCCCTTCGAAAGTGGATTACCGCAATTCGCTTCTTCTCCATCTTTATGAGGTACTTTAAAATAATAATAACCATCATCCTTGAATACAGATTTATCTAATTGGTGTGGAGAATCCTCGACCATCATCTCTGTCAGGGGAACTTTATAACACCATCCAAAGGAACGAAGGTGATGTAAAGGGTATCCTTGCCATTTTAAACGAAGTAAAAGAGGAGCAATACGTGAACGTAGTGAGATTTTTAATTTGTCCTCTTTTGTATCATAGGCATCCTTATACCATTTAGGCTGACCTTTTAACTTTCTTTGACGTGGATTAACAGACCAATCTAATTGAGATAACCAGGGATCATTTTTCCATTTTTCAAAGTCAGTTACTAACTCTCTAGCCCTCTCAGCAAGATCTCTTAATTTGATATCCACTATATCTTCTAATTCTTGATGTTTATTAGCAGATTTTTCCAAGTAATCCTCCCATTTTTCGGTTACAGTTAAGAAAGAATTTCCCATGTTGAGCATACCCGTAAAGGAAACAGGATGAGGACAGTTCTCTTGAAATCGAGGGAAGACAACTTTATAGATAGCATGAGTTAATGCTACATCGTCAGAACAATAGGTCATTAAATTTTGAAAGTTTTCATTAATATCGGCCAAATTCCCAGTTTCAAAGTAGGAACGTTGAGACTTATCCATTTCAACTTTACAATAAAATTTAGCAACATGTTTTAGACTGTTGAGTGAACTAACATCAAAGAACCCTTGATCATCTGCAGTCCTTGTAGATGTTCCGGCACCGTCATCATTAAGATTATTTCTACGTTTCAATTCCAAATTCCAAGCGGGACGTTGTTGTGAGCAGAGGCCAGCTACTGCTATATGTAAACTCATTGTATCTAAATATCGTATATTGGATGGTTGTTTACTGTATTCATCTGCAATACGTGCACGGTCATACCCTACATTATGTCCTACAATCAATCGGGACTGTTTATGATGATCATTGCCAAAGGGTATCAACAGTTCTTTATCCACTGATTCTCCTAATAAATAAGGTGAAGTCCATGAATACCATGCTTCTTCTGATGCCACTACTGCCAAAGTAGGATATTTCCCTTCACTCATCAATACTTCTACATCAAATACCATAGCATCTTCTAAAGGGTATTCTACTGACATAACTGTACCATCCTTACTATATCGAGTCCATCCTGAAACTTTAAGCCATTGAGTCGGCTTAGGTGGCAGATTGATCTTTGCCAGTCTTTCTGCTTTCTCCAAAAAGAGGCCTGCCTGTTCCATACCAATTCGAATGAAGTGTTCTTCAATATTGTCACCCAACAATTTAGGTAATTTCAAATTAATAGGAGGATTTACTTCATTTTTTTTCCCCCATATATCTTGTAAAGTTAAATGAGTTTGAGAATAATTTTCCTTTATCAAAGTTTCACTTGTTTTATCTTTCTTCTGAACTGAATAAGGTTCAAATATTTGTGCTTGTAATTTAGGTGATAATAATTGAACTTTAGCTGGGTTTATCACAACTAAGAAAAAAAAAAAAAAAAAAATAGTGTAAACATGTTTGTTTCCCCTTTATTTTGAGATGATTAAACAAAAAAAAAAATTTTTTTTTATTTTATTTTATTTTTTTTTTTTTAAATCATACATGTATAAATTTACCTTGTTCATCACATGTAAGAAATGAAGTTGAAAAATATCTTGAACTATATCTTCTCAAGGGATGATTTATAACTTTATGAATTATAGATCTATATTTGATCATTAAAAATATTTAATCAAGTAAACAAATAAATAAAAAAAATATTTATTTGTGCAAGTATAATAAAATATATATTCAAGAACAAAAAGGAGGATTGATAATAAATATACACATCTGAATATGTCAAATATGTAATAATGACCCTGTAAATAAATATTCACTTGTACGGAGAATTTTTTTTTTTTTTTTTTTTTTTTTTGTTGTTGTTGTTGAACAATGCGATTTATTGGTTAAACAATCAATTTAAAAATCAGGCGTATTTAGAAAAGAAGAAATTTACTATTTTGACAAGCGAAAGAGATACACATACATAGTTGATCATTTTACCTGTAAAAAAAGTTAAAAAAAAAGAGAGAGAGAGAGAATATTTCTTGACATCGCAGTAAATATTTCACAAGTGGCTATTAGCTTCTCTCTGCTGAAAGTAACAACATGTCTACTGCGGTTATATTTTCCCTAAAAAAATATAAAGATATTTGTTTATATTCTTTAACTTGTGTATTATTTTATTTATTAGCATATTGCTCAACGACCGTCTTATTTTCCTTACATTTTCTGGTCTGCTGTCTCTCTCTCTCTCTCTTTCTCTCTTATTCCCATATATCTTTTTGGTGCAAGAATGAATAGAGATAAATCCAGCTTTAGTGACGGAATTTTTGTATTTGTTAGATAAAGACTATCTGATTAAAAAGGCTATACCGACAATAATTAAGAAGCAAAAAGAATAATTCAATAACATCATTTCCTTCTGTACTGCACTAGCACTTTTATTGGAAAGCATTCTTCTACTATCTTTTTATTTTTTTCACATGTGGAGATAGCATTTTTTATTCTCCGATATTCGCACGTTTGGTAAAAAATAATTAATTCATCCATCTTTTTTTTTTTTTTTTTTTTCTTCATTCAATTCAAAAGTTTTAAATTATGCCATCGCCTCCAAAACCTTGGGAAGTTAATAATAGTAATGAACTAACAACATCAACCACAAGTCCATCAGTATTACAAACAACAACGCCTTCTTCAGTTGCACCTGCAATACCTAATAGATCTTCAGCAATGGGGACAGGCTATGGAGGTTTGTCTGCTAAAAAAAAAAAAAAAAAAAAAAACTATACAGCTTATTCATTTTATATATTTTTATATATATAAGGTTACGGTACATCAAGTTATGGAGGATATGGTGCATCAAGTTATGGAGGGTACGGCGCATCCAATTATGGAGGATACGGCACATCAAGTTATGGAGGATACGGCGCATCCAATTATGGAGGATATGGGACAGGTTATGGAACTTATAGTAGTCCGTATAGTAGATTAGGGATGGGCTATGGTTCTAGTTATGGTGGATATAATAGTTATTCACCTTATAACCGATTTGGCAGTGTATATAATAATCGATTTGGAACAGGAGGAGGAGGAGCTGAAGATTTTAATCTAACACAGCGTATGGAATCTGGTACAAGGGCTACATTTGATATTTTAGAATCTATTGTAAGTGCATTTGGTGGATTTGCACAAATGCTAGATTCAACTTATATGGCAACCCATTCTAGTTTTATGGCTATGGTAGGCGTAGCAGAACAATTTGGGCATCTAAAGCATTATTTGGGTGATATCTTCAGTTTATATGCTTTAATAAGATGGTTAAAACGAATGTTATATAAATTGACAGGCAGAACACCGCCGCCAGAGTTATCGTCATCATCATCATCATCACCACCTGATCAAACAGAACAACTTCAGATTACAGAAAATGGAGAAGAGGAAGCAGAAGAAATAACACATCATATAGAGCAACCATTTCGTAGTCACAGTAAACGATCTGTTCTTTTCTTTTTAGCCTTAATCACAGGCTTACCTTACTTGATGTATAAATTAATTCAAAAATCAAATGAATATAAACTTCGACAGAGAATGATAATACCACAGATAAGCGCTCCTCCACCAGAGATAGCTAGAGTCATTCATAATTTTATTGCAGAAAGCCCTATTGAATTAGATTTACGACAAGGAGAAATGATCCATGTATTATCAAAGGTAGATCCTGCAACAGGATTAGTATCAGAATGGTGGCAAGGAAGAAATGCACATGGTGATATCGGTGTCTTCCCAGCGAATTTTGTACAAATAGAAAGTAATCATTATAACAATAGGCTATATTAAGCTATACCTCCTCCCTTATAATGAAATAAGAAAGTTTATTTATTTATTTATTTATTTATTTATTTATTTCATTCCATTTTATATATTGTATTTATTCATGACGAGGCCTTTTATCGGCAGTAACAGTCTCAAATGAAGCTGATTGTTGCTTTTGTTGAGTTGTTACTGGTATAATATTGGTAGTAGGAACTGCCCAAATAAATTTACCATCATTATTAGGAATAATGGCAGGTGGAGGATTTTGTTGTTGAGGTGGCTGTTGTGGCCAAAATGTAACGTTTGATATATCATTGTTTGTCATATTATTTAAAGTTGCATTGATAGGAACTGAATTCATAGTGACTGGATATGGATAAGGTGCTAATGGAAATGTATTCTGTGTTGCTGTTGCTGATAATGTATTATGATAGGATGGGGCCTGTTGTTGAAGAGGAATAGTTGATGACGGTGATGATGATGATGATAATGAAGGAGACGATGATGACGATGATGAAGCTGGTGACGAAGTATTTATGATAGAAGAAGACCCTATTATATTGCCACCACTTTGTTGTAATAAATTCATGTTGTCTTGACTTATTGGTGGTTCTAATCCTTGAACTCTTTGAATGGCCTTTAAATGAGCACAATATTTTTCTAGCATTTGATATAAAGTACGTTTTGAAAACGGTTTCGGTAGAATATCTGTCATTCCACTTCCAATATATTGCATAATATCATTATCTGTAAAATTAGATGTCATTGAAATAATGGGTGTTAACGCATCATATTGTCGAATACTACGAGTAGCTGAAATACCATCCATTTTAGGCATTACAATATCCTATAGAATTCATTATTATTTACTATAAAATACATTCATGTATCTTTGCTAAAAAAAAAAAAGGTACTTTACCATAAGAATTAAATCATATTTCTCTAATCCCATCTTTTTAAGTGCTTCAACACCATCTTTTGCCAGGTCAATTGTACAGCCAATAACCTGTAAGAGTTTACCACTTAAATCACGATAAACAGAATCATCATCTACTAATAAAATACGAGGGGGGACAGTCCAGCTGACCTGTGATGATGACAGAGGGGATGAAGTCGAAGATGATAAAGAAGAAGGTGATTTTCGTTTTATACCAGTCGTATTTATAGGAGTAGATGTTGATGTTGATGTTGCTGTGGCTGCTGCTGCTGCTGTTGCTGCTGATGCTGTTGCCGCTGCTGTGGCTGCTGTGGCTGTGGATATTGAAGTATAAGTAGGAAATGTAGATGTTTGATCAGCAGCCATAATTTCAATTGCAGGTTTATTATCTCTGACTGCCATATTAGAGGATAATCTTCCCAAAGTAACAAATGTAAGCCCCTCTGCTGTTTTAAGTGGTGATCCGATTAAACTTCCTGCATTCATAGAAGCAGCAGCAGCAGCAGCAGATACAGTCTCAGGATCTGCACTAAGAGAAAGATTGTGTTGTGGTTGCTTCATTTCTTGTTGTTGAATTTGTAAAATTGATTTATGAATAAGTGGAGGTTCTTTCTTGATACCAAGAAGCTCATTCAATTTATTCATCCTTTCAGCATTTGACTGAGATATTCGAGAATATGATTCTAATATTATTTGGGCCCGTGACTGACGATTATTATTATTATTAGAAGAAGAAGCTGATTCTATACATGTAAAGACAGGTTTAAATTTAACTGTTTCATATGCATAAAAAAAAAACTCTTACGTTTTTCATTATCTGCAATTAATTTTAAAAAGTCCTGAATTATCTTGTCCTTTTCGATTAAAGTTTTACTAAAGTTAGCTAATTCAATCATTATATGTTCATCAGTTTGTTTTAATTTTTCAATGTTATTTTCCATTGCTGCCCTGGACTTCTTTAATTGATCAATTTGAGATTGTAAATTCATACTAATTTTTTGTATATTTAACAAAGAGGACGACTCTTTTACAGTAACTGGATTCACAATGCTCTGTGAAACATTCGGTATCTCTTCCTTGTTAGCTACTATTTTATATTTATTGCCTGGTACTTTTCTTTTGATATCTTCTAAAAGGTCTTTTCTGTCTCTCATAAATTTTGGATGAACAAACTCCCAAGCCTAAATAAAGGAAGTCTACCATAAATATCCATCTTATTTACATATACATGCATATATTTATATTTACTTGATCACCATAAGGTCTTTGTCCGTCATCAGTATTTCTTATTTTATGAAAATCGTATTTATTTAATTGACGTACAAAACTAGCAAAATTACAATGTTTGAAATGCTTTGGTAAAATAGATTTTGAGAATTCATTGGTATCTTTTACTATAAATGTTGTTCCATCCGTGCTCCAACAAAACACATCTTTAAATGCTTTATTTTCCAGCATTCTATAGAAAGTCATTTTTTTTTTTAAAAAAAAAAAAAAAATCCCACATTTCTTCATAAAACTAACCTAAATAACTTTTGAATAAATTCTGGTACAGACCCACCAGAGGAGCCTTCAGTATCCTTTGATATTGATTTGGTTACTTTATTTTTAGACATATTTTAAAATCATATTTTCAACAGAAAAGGAAGGAAAAAAAAAAAATAAAAATAAAATAAAACTAAAAAAAATAAAAAATAAAAAATAAACAATTGTCCACCACACTCCGAAATAGACCATTCTATCTCCCCCCCTTTTTTTTTTTTTTTTTTTTTTTATACATTACTAATTTGTATAAAGCATTAAAAAAAAAAAAAAAAAGAAGTTCATTACTCAATTCAGTTTTCTAGTATAGTTAAACTGGAACTCTTCATTGCATGTAGGTGTTGTTAACATGAAAATGGGTCTACTACGCATAAACAATTGAATAAATTACAAAACATGTTGAGATGACAATCAAATTCAACGCACTTTACAAAGCTGATTTTAATTTATAATCAAAAAAAATCAGTGAAAAAAGAAAAAAGAATGTGAAATAAAAAAAAAAAAAATGAATGCTTTAGGCCAAAATTGGACAAAAAGAATAGCAATAAAAAAAACGTAGTATTGTTTTGTCTGATCAATCTAGATTATCAAAAAATGAATGAAAATGATGTCAATCAAAGGAAAAGTTTTTATTCATGTATTTTAAAAGGAAGACACCAAAAGTAAATAATTCAACTAAACCCTCAAAGTGATGCATAACTGTATAATGTTATGAAATGATAACCTAATTGAACTATTAATCCTTTTTAATCATGACAATATGAAATGAAGTTTCATGTATTGAGATTCTAATCTAGTGACTGTATTAGATTATTAGTTTTCAAAACTTTTTTAAAGTTATGCATAAATCTATTGACTAATGTTCATAAAGAAAAAAAGATAGTATTGTATTCTTTTTTTTTTTTCTTAATGAAATAGAACTTCATAATAGATTAGAAATGTTATTAGAACTATGAACTATTCCAGTATTGATGTCGCCTTTTATTTAACTTATTTTTTTGCCAAATCATATATATTTGTTATATATATAAACTATTTTAATTATTACCATGTTGAATATCCCATGGGAGGTCTTGGGGGGTATCCCATAGCACCTGCCATTGGCGGTAGAGGAGGTGGAGGAGGTCTAAAGGTAGCACCATTATAAGCAGCAGCAGCAGTAGGAGGAGGAGGAGGGGTAACCATAGTTGGCATGATCGTAGTTGCGCCAACACCTAAAGCGGGAGCCATAGGTGGTCCACCAACATACAAACGATTTGGCATCTGTACATTCTTTCTACCTTCTGCAGCCAATAATCTTTCTGCTGCGGAACCATGTCTTTCTCCTTTACCATCCTTTTTAAATGCATAAGATACTGAAATTTGTTTATTCATCAAGTATTGTCCTTCCATTGAGTCAATAGCTGCATCAGAGGATTCGAAATTATCATAGCTAATAAAGCCAAATCCTTTTGATACGCCTGTCTCTGGATCTCTAGATATTTTGGGTGTATTGACAATTAAACCAAAAGCACTAAATGTGTCATATAATAATTTCTCGTCAACATCAGGATCCAGATTACCAATAAATAATGTTGCTCCCACGTCCAAATTCTTTTTATCTGAAGTTGCCTAAAAAGAAAAAGAAAGAGAGAAAGAGAAAAAACAGTGTTAAATAATGTTAACCTAATTGTTGAAATTATTAACATACCTTGTTGACACGAATAGGCTTACCATATAGTCGTACTTGATTCATGATTTTGATTGCATAGTCAGCGTCTTCTTCTGTTAAAAATTCAACAAATCCATAACTTTGATGCGTTTGCGTCACTCTATCTTTTGGTAAATGCACATTGACTATGATTTAATTGTTAATAAACAATGTAATTAATAATAATAATAATACTAATGAAAGTATTCTTACCAACTGGTCCAGCTTGTAACATGAGTTCCCAAATAAGTGATTCCGTACATCTTTCATCAAGATTACCGATATAAATAGTGGCTTCTTGATTACGCTCGATCTGTTGTGCCATTAGGATCTAACGTGTATGTATAAAAATATAGATATAAATGTATAAGTATATATTACCAGAAAAAAAAAAAAAAAAAAAAAAAAGCAGTTATTTTTTTTTTATTTTTTATTTATTTTTTATTTTTTTTTTCATTAGCGTTATCGCTATTTAAATAAACTCAAAAAAAGAAAAAAAAAAATTATGTGTCTTAAGGTTATCATGGTTAATTCTGTTCAAAATCTACAAAATGAAATTAATTGTTTTATATAACTGAAAAAGACGAAATAATAGAACATCTGAATTAAACTCTCTAAATTGCTATATATAATAATTATAATACTTTTTTTTTAAAGAAAAAAATTACTATAATCTACTGGAAATAAGAGCTTTATAGAAAATTCTAAGCAAAAAAAAAAAAAAAAAAAAAAAAAAAAAAAAAAAAAAAAAAAAAAAAAAAAATATATATATATGTGCTGCATTATTATGTTAGTTAATAGTTCAATAGGAATTATGAGGAGATAAAAGAGAAATGAAAAGATAAGGTATTTTAGCTGATAATGGAAAAAAAAAAGAAAAGAAAAGAAAAAGGGCAGCATTTAAATGGTTAAAGGAAGGCTTCCTGTTTTTGTTGGAAAAGGAGAATAATATACATGAAATGTAACACATTAAATTCAAATATATCTTTGTATAACAATATAGTGTTCCAATCAAGAGAGCAAATAATACAGACAGACAGTCATTCATTTATTTACAATAATAAGTAAGAAAAAAAATATACATCTTGGGCATATAGAATTGAGGGCATACATATAAATATATAAGAAGGGATAAGGGTATATCATAATTGTGTACATGTATATAAAGGGCATAAAAAAAAACAAAGAAAGATATGATGTATAATATACAAAAGAGAGAAAGAGTGAGTGAGTGAGTGAGAGTGAATCATATATGATAATTGCATTTTGTTGTGACGGTAGTTATAATAATGACTGGATTACATAATAAATGATGAAGGATAATAATAATCCAAATCACTACTGATAGTATTGTAATGATGATAGTCAAAGACTGTTTCTTGATGCTGATAACATTCGGAATTCGTATGAGTAGGTTCAAATAGAAGAGTGTTATAAAATGGGAAATCGAGAGAGGATATTTGATCAGAGAAAAGACTAGATGGTTCAGATATCGATGAATCAATAGAAGAACATGGTGAAGACATCACGATGATATTAGATTCTTGCTGCTGCTGCTGCTGCTGCTGTTGATGTTGTAGTTGTTCTACTTCGTCTTGTTTTATAGGACACTGTTGTTGTTGTTGTTGTTGTTGCTTTATTTCTTCTTGTTTTATACCATATTGCTGTTCTACTTCTTTTTGTTTTTTATGACACTGTTTGAGATCATTCAAGCGCTTTTCTAATTTTGACATTTTGCGACCTAGGTGATTGATCTGAAGTTCTAAATCATCATAAGCAGTTAAAAGTTCCTTTTCCATTGCACCAAGACGTGTTGCATTTTTAAATTTGTCAAGTTCTGGCTTACTACTGGTATAAGTAAGATTTAGGCTTTGATAATGAACCATGATAGTAGCCACAGCATCATATGTAAACGAAATCTCGTTTTCTAAAGATTCAATTTCTTTATGTATGTTATTGGTTAGATCATCTGTCAAAACAGAATGAACACGCGTATTATGAGTCGCTGTTGTTTTTGTACGTTTATGAACACGATCATGAGTCGATTTATATGTAGAAACACGTTGAGTAGTCCATTTAAGTGGCTTATTCTTTTTTGATGATGAAGTCATAAAATATATATTTAAGAAGAGTGAGATATAACAAAAATAGAAGGAAAAGTAAAAAGTTTTTTTTTTTTTTTTTCGTTTTTAAATTAATATTGCATTTTATATATAAACTCCAGGAAGTTGCAGTGGTGGCGAATCTAAAAAAAAAAAAAAAAAAAAAAAAAAAAGGAAAACAATGAAGTACAACTTGGCATGTCCAATTATAGAAGTGCATCTTGTTGTTTGATTGGCTTTCCCTTTTTCAGGCACACAAAAAAAAAAAAAAAATACCATCGTGCATCGTTTTACATGACTCCGTCATATATGTATCTATATGAATCTTTTTTTAGTTAAGCTTTTTTTTTTTTCTGTTTTAATTTTTAATTTTAATTTAAACTTTGTTAACAAGATAAAAGAAATGGTAAAACAAATCTAAAAATAAATAGGTAAAAGAAGAAGAAAGAAAATTCAATGATTTACATGACTACGATTCTATGCGTAACACGGCTTCTTCGGGCGAAAACAAAAAAGGTTCCTTTACAATAATGTCCGTGTATTATTTAACTTTGAACATGCATATATTATTTCTATAAATAAATTGATCAAGGCAAATGATAATAACACTATCGAACATCAGGTACATATAAAATGAACTAAAATAGTAGATATAATAATTATTACGGAACCCTTTTAAATGTACATGAATTTAGCTGTATTATAATATTAAAGTTTTTTTTTTTTTTTTTTTTTTTTTTTTTTTTTTTTTTTTTTTTTTACTACTCTGTTATGTAAAATACAGTATATATAAATGGAGAGTTTTTTTTTTCTTGTAATAAACATTTTCTTCATAATGGTTATTTATAATTTAACTTCAAAACGTCTTTTTTTTTGTCGATATATGTAGCGTAATCCATATTATGATTATGATTACCAAGCAATTGAACGTTTGTGTGTAGTAGAGTGGCAAAAAAAAAAAAAAAAAAAAAAAAAAAAAAAAAAAAAACTATTTATAGAATATGACATGTATACGTTATTTAAACCAATCAAAAATTGATATTTTTATTTTGTTATAAAAAAGAAAACTTATTATTATCTAATAATATGTGCATGCATATACTACAAAGGAGATGACATAGAAGAGATACATACAAATGCAAATTTTTATTTGCCGTTAAATAGTTTATGGAAGACAGGAATCAATTGTTGAGCAACAGTAAAACTGAAAATCAACTTGGGACCAACCTATTTGGGGATGTTTTAATAAAAAAAAATAAAATACAATTGGAATGTTGTTTAACTTACCACCAAGATTTTGGGAGTTAAACCCTTAAAGAAGCCACCGAATCCTTCATACTTGATAAGATCCTTTACAATCTTGAATCCAGACTCAGGGTTTTCAAAGTTACGATTCTGAATACGTGTCTTTACGACATCTAAAGGAGCAGCCACCGTAATCGAAGCCACAGCACCACCAATAGAGGCACAAAAGTTTTGAAAGAAAGTAGCTTGACTGTAATCGCTTAAGCTAAATAAATATTCTTTTACAAAAGCAGAACCACCAAAGAGAGCAAAAGAACCAGGGGCATTACGAGCTGCTGTCCAACCAGCACCACGATATAAACCCATACCTTCATCTTTTACAATCTTTAAGAAACCACGACCACGGAATGCGTCGGGATTCGTTTGTCGCTTGATCTTTAAAACATCTAATGGCAATAATGCAATTTCACCAATGCCGACCAAACTGCCTGCTGTAGCATGCATCATTGTTTTACCTGTCTTCTCACCAAATGCATTCACAAATAGATCTTTGTGATGTTGATTCAAATAATCTTTAACAAAAGGTTGACCACCAAATTTATAAACTCTTTGGGCGACTTTATATCCTGCTGCAAAACCAAGACCTGGGAAAAGAGATGCATATTTCTTTAAGAATCCTGCATTGGCTGCTTCCTATTTTTCCATGAGGTTATCATCTTTTTTGTTTCTATTCCTTTCACCCCCCCTCCCATATAACACCCACCCATCCACCCCCTGTTATTAAATGCACTTGCCTTGAAAATAATTTGATCAATAATAGTCTTATTTTCACCAAAAGTACGAGCAGAAGACCAAATCTAAAAGAAAGAAAGTAAGAAAAGGAGAATAAATGACATGTATCACATCTTTATAATTTTATATCTTACTTTTGTTTGGTTACTCATTAAACGTTTAGCCACTGTGTCCACAGGGTGAAAAATGATTAATTCAAGGACACCAGAACTGGCACTACCTGCAAAACGTGCTAAACCAGATTCTGATTTTCCAGAAGCAACAGGAGGAGGAGACATTACAAGAATTTGTGGACGAAAAAAAAAAAAAAAAAAAAAAAAATGTTTAAAAAAAAAATATCTTTATTTATTATGTTGTTCCTGGGGGGCTTTCAAAAAAAAAAAAAAAAAAAAAAAAAAAATAGGTAACAATCGGAAATATAAATTTTCATAATAAACCATTTATTTTTTGTTTTCTTTTGTTTTTTCTTTTTTTTTTTTTTTTTTTTTTTTTTGAAAGGAAGGTTAGCTAGAATAAAAGTAAACGAAAAAAAAAAAAAGACTTGCCAACTTCTTTAACGAAAACATAATCATTTTTTTCTCTCTTTCTAAACAAGCTTTTTTTTCTTTTTTTTTTTTTTTTTTTTGCTTTGTTTATGACTGCTACAAGTCATGTTTTGACAGGTTACATTGTATGACTCACGGTTATTTAAATACGTATTTAATTTTATTTTATAATTTGCTTGAAGGAGGAGAGGTGATGACGAATTTATTCAAACGTTGCTTGATAATAGCTTCAGCATCATTTACAATACGAGAGACTAATACATCACAAGTAGGTATGTCTTCAATAATACCTAGAACTTGACCTGCTGTCCAAACACCAAAGTTAGGATCACCTGTCGTATAGACTTGTTTACCACGAGCACCAGAAACAAGTTCACGTACATCTTCAAATTGAACATTAGGGTCTTTTTCACGTGCATTGACTTCCATCGCAATTGTATTCTTAAAGATACGTGATGTGTTACGGAAGGGACGAAAGACGAGGGCAGTTGAACGTTCATCCGCCTTGACCATAGCTTCCTTGATATTTTGATGAATAGGTGCTTCTACTGTACACATAAAACGTGTCCCCATATTAATACCCTCAGCTCCTAAGGCAAGGGCTGCAGCTAAACCTGCACCATCACCAAATCCACCTGAGGCAATATAGGGGATATCTAATTTCTTGGCTGCTTTAGCTAATAGAATTAACGCAGTTACATCATCTTCACCAGGATGTCCTGCACATTCATAACCATCCATTGAGATAAAATCAACTCCCAATTTTTGTGCGGATAAAGCATGACGAATCGATGTACATTTATGAAGAACGATCACACCAGCCTCTTTAAACATTTTAATATATTTACCAGCTATAAGCAAAAAAAAAAGGGGGAAGGAGAAACATCATGAATTCATATAAATGTATATATACATGTATGTATGTATGTATGTATGTATATGTATTATTTACGGTTGTTTCCGGCTGTTTCAACAACTTTGATTCCCTCATTTATGATGGTTTTAGCATATTCTTCATAAGGAGGAGGTACGATGGCAGGTAAGAAGGTTAGATTGATTCCAAATGGCTTATCTGTCATTTGGCGACAACGTTTAATCTCTGCACAAAGAGCTTCTGGTGTAGGTTGTGTTAATGCAGTAAGAATACCTAGAGCTCCTGCATTAGAAACAGCTGAAGCCATCTCAGCTGTACCCACATATTGCATGCCACCTTTTAATAATCATTGAAATAGAAATTTAAAGTCAATGAATAAAGCAAATATCTACAGTAGGTAATATCTATACCTTGTACAATAGGATGCTTGATACCAAGCATTTCCGTAAGTTTAGTTTTAAGACCCATTATTATTTATCACTTCTAATAAAGAAGAAAAGGAAACCAAAAAAAAAAAAAAAAAAAAGGAGAGTAAACAAATGAAATATTTATTTCCCAGTTAAATAAAAGATGACTAAAAACAAAGTCTTAAATTTCATGTGATTATTATCTTCTCCAATACTGAGCCCATTTGTGTACTGTTTCCATTATTTGTGGAAATAATGCATTTACACTTTCTGATATCAATCCTCTAAAATAAGCAATAGCTGCTTCTTCAGATAAATCAAGTCTAAACTTTTCTTGTACCTAAAAATAAATAAATAAAATGAAATGAGGTTATCAAAAGAAAAAAAAAAGCACTTGATAGACTAGAATTGTCATGGACTTTACTTTCATTACGGCTTTTTCAGGTTCAATTTTAATGTCAGGAATGTTGGCATCAACCATCAAAGAAAACAAGTTCAAAATGAGATTAGCATTCCTACGTAAAGTTGTGAAGGCAGTATAACAATATTGTTGGAAATTTAAATAATGAGGTGAATTAGCTCCTCCCATGGCTTCAATCATTTCTTTACATAACTTCATGGGTGGAGGAAAAGGCTTTGGATCTCGACCAAGAATAAAACCGAAATCAACATGAAATAGATGACCATCAGGAGATAATAATAAATTATCTAAATGTCGATCACCTACACCTAATAAATATGTAATAACACAATATCCAGCTATTCATGTGATTATTGTTATCCATTAGTATACATGTGCGAATTAGTCAATGTCCTTTTTTTTTTTTTGTTCATTTACCACAACTGCGTGTATAAGTTTCCATTACTTTAGGATCAATACCATATACATTTCCCGGTTCAGAACTAGGATGATGTTTCTGAAAGTAACTCAAGACATTATTTTGATGTTCATTTAAAACAGTTGCTAAAGAACTTGAATGAATGAATTGCATCAAACCTTGATCAACACCAGTGGCTAATACTTTATAAGGAGTTAACTTTAGATCTAAATTCTCTTTCAGTAACAGTTTATCCATCAAGGAAATGATTTGAATGACCAACTGATCTTGTCGTAAATCATCACCAAATTTAAAAATAATTGGATATTCTGAACCGTCTACACATTGAAATGTGATCCTTAAAGGCTGAAGATTACTATTAAATACACTTGATTTAGCTAATAAGAAAAAAAAAAAGAAAGATATTAGTTTTAGAACATTATACATTATATTATCTTACAAGGAATAATGCCAATAACAGTCTTTGTAGGATCTAGTGGAAGAGTTAAAGCACTAAATTCTGAAAGCTTTCTTTTGGGATCTACTATTTTAGCTCTTAATTGATCAATCTGAATAAAAAAGATGAGTATATATTCTACTAAAGAATCATTTATACCTTCTTAAGTCGAGGCTCTTTCATCGTACGAACTTCCATAGCTAATTTTGAGAGTTGAGCAATCAGTTCACCTTGACTTCTTAATCCATCTCTTCTGTTATAACCATTGGGTATCTCTAAAAGATCTTGAAAATAATGATAGGCGACCTTGGCGTATAATTTACCATATACTTTATCTGCACATTCTACCATAACATACCTAAGTAATAGAACATAATCAGTGTATATTTGACTTTTTTTTTTTGTATTTATTTTACCAATGTAAGTAAGTGCCTAGAATAGGATTACTTATAGCACGATCAATCAAGAATTGAACAAGAGAAGAGCTATTTGGATCAGGATCCTTATCATCTGTATATTCAAATTTTAAAGCTTGAACTAATTGTAACAAATATAATAACAGATCCTATAATAATATATGTGTATATGATAGTTTATATAACATATAAATGTATATACAACTAAAATAATAATAAAAAAAACACACACACATACATCATCATCGGCCTTTTTTAATTGATTAACAGCATAAGAACGAACTGCTCTATTTTCAAATTCTTTTCCTAGAAGCTCTAAAGCATCATCAACATCAATATCGACCCAAAGAGGTAATAAATCAACTGCTTGTCTAATTTCGATAGGATCTGTCCAAACGACACATTTCAAGAATTTTGTTAAAGCCTTATCAGGAGAGGGAAAAGAATTAAAACTTTTTTTTTTTTTATCTTTTTTTCATTCTTTTTTTTTTTACTCTTTTTTCTCTGGTAAGATAAAATCTAAATTTCCAAACTAAATCCTTTTCTTCTGGTGTCAAGTTTTGAGTTGGTGGATATGACATGATACTCTATAAATAAAAGTAAACTTTTTCTTTAAGAAAAAAAAAAAGTATTCTTTATACACATAGATGTATATGTCTTACGTTTAATTCATCACGTATTTTAGGATTTGGCTTAAGATCTCGATCAAGAGGACCATTACGATGACTACGTACTAAACGACGATGTTTGGCTTCTACTGGATTGTCTCTTTGTATATCAGGATCAAGTACAAGAGAATATTGATGTGATACATGATGATGATTTATAGTCTCAGGATAGATTTGTTGACTTAAAGCTGTCCTCAGAGGAATTTGTGGCTGCTCTGTCCCAGTTATTGCTGATGTAAAAGAAAAAGGTCCCGGTAAATCGTATTCCTAATTAAACAAAAAATAGAGTAACAAAGGAAGGAAAGTATGTAAATAAATATAATATAGGATGAAAAAAAAAGGAATGAAAGTCTTTCTTTCTTTCTTTCTTTCTCTCTCTTTCTGGAATTTTTTTTTTTTACCATTTCACCGTACACAATAGGGAAATCAAATTTAGGTAGATCAACATACAAAGCCAAGTCAGTCAAGGTATGAGATACTTTCTAAACAAGAATGCAAGTTAGTAAACGAATGGAAATGCTATTAAAAGGGAAAGGTAGAGGGGAATTCAATTTAAATACTTTATGAATATTTTCGATTTGTCTAAACGCCATCACATCAAGCCATTCTTCAGGGCATATATCACCACAATCGTATCGCTTAACAAGCTATACATATATAAAAGATAAATAAGTAGTTGGTTAATTTATTTAAGGTAAAACTTACTTTTTCAAGTTTATCCATTTCATTATCATTCTTTTTTAATTTACTTGGTGTAGACGTATTATGATTTCCATCTGCTTCACAGTTTGCCCAAAGATATAATTTATGCTTACCCTTTCGAAGTGTACTATAAATATGAATAAGGCAACTTTTTTTTTTAAAAAAGAAAAAGAAACAAAGAAATGATGAAAGAAATGAAGAAAAAAAAAAGGGGGCTTACAATTGTTTGCTAAATATTTGTAGTGTAGTTCCTCCAACAGGCTTCACTTTACGTGGCCCAATAGTATCCCATACTGTGATAGCAAACTGTGCTGATGAAGGTAATTCACAATATTTAATAGGTAAAGTCAACCATTCATTCCAACTAGATGCAATAGTAGTAGAATAAATTTCTAGTTTATTACTATTATTATTATTATAAGTGTACCTCCAATGATGTTTAAAAGGTTTATAACTCGTTTTTACAGGTACAGTTAAAGGTTTATTATCACCGAATATTTGAACAGTTACATATAATTCAGGTAACATTCTATAGTATTATATTGATGAGATTAAACAAATTCATGTCTATTGCATCAATGTAAAAAATTATGCAAATTTACTCATTATCTTGGTCGGAACCATATTTTCCTTCTAAAGTCGAACTATATACACATATATAGATATAGGTATATTCAGTTAAAAAAATAGTATGTGTATATATAAATAAACTGACATTCGAATAGTGACAGGTAATTGTACATCTTTTGTTAAACAATATGAAAAATCCATTCTTATTTAATTAACTGGGTTGATCAAGTAAAAAAAAAAAAAAAAAAAGGAAAAGAAAAAAAAAAAAGAAAAAAAAATGATGATCATATATTTTGTGACTTGTATTATGAAACATATAATAATGATTTATTATCAACTGAAACAACCTTAACAAATGAGGGGACCCTTCTTTTTCTTTATAACAAAAAAGGACACATTTTGATGATACAAGTGTATATTTTAGAAAGCCCTTATAACATTTATTTATAATAGAATGGTGTGTAAATATAAGTTAGCAACAACAGAGCTATTATCGTAGTTAAGATTCCAAGCAAGCAAGCAAACAAGCAGTAGTGTTATTTTATAGACATGAGTATTCTTCTTCGGTTTTTGAAAAAAAAAAAAAAAAAAAAAAAAAAAAAAGAGAGAGAGAGGGCAACTATAAATACTATTACTATTGCTACAACTATAACATGTCCTTTTTTTTTCTTTCTTTCTTTCTCTCTTTTAAATATATATACATATATATTCTTCCTTTTTCTATGTCAATCACAGATTCACCTTCACAAGATATTAAATTAACGCCAGATTCATTAGCTTCTTCTTCTATTGAACAAAGTCAGGAACAATATCATCATCATCCTCATCATTCATTAAAAAAGCCCAGAAATTATAAATATTGGTCAGATAATGAAGTAAGAAGAATATTACATTGGTTAACATTACCAGAAAATGAAGGAAAATTAGTACGTAATAAAGCACAGGCATGTCGTGAAGTAGCCAAGGTATTATTTAATGGAGACGAATATATGGCTATCTCTATTAGGTCAAAATTGATGGCACTAGAAAAGGCGTTTCGAGAAGCAGAACAACTAAGGTTACAACTTGATCATCATAATGAAGCAATGATAAATGATAAAGTAAAAGAAGTCAACAAGTTCTATAAAGAATGTAAACAATTATTCGGTGGTATACAACAAAATGATTCAATCAATCACTCACCTACTAATAGACATTATCATTTACCATCTTCTTCTCGTCTTGATAGTAATGATATTATTATATCAACACTTGATCATAATAATAAAAATTACTCAAATCCACTTTTACCGCCTCACTTGACGAATGAAGATAGTCAGCCATTAAGGCCTTTATCTAATCCTAATCATACTTCGACGACGACAACAACAGCAACAACATCATGGTATTCTTCTTCTTCTATATATATATATATATGTATATATAAATCACTGTATTCAATATTCAAATGAGTTTTTTTTTATCTTTAGGAACCTTCCACGTGTATCCTCTTCTTCTATCATTGATTTACCTCTTCCTTCCCCTTCTTCTTCTTCTTCATTAGATCAAAGTACGATGAGGCAATTCTCATTGAAAAGATCAAGAGAAGAGGAAGAGGAATCAAAGAGAGTTAAAATAGCCCGTTATGCAGCTAAACAAGCAGAACACGAACGATATAAAATGCAATATGCTATACAACTCGCAAAGATTAATTTAGAACGTGATAGTTTGGCGATTAAAAAAGTTGAACTTGAATTAGAACTTGCAAAATTGACAAAAAAAAGACAAGACGATTAAATAAGAAATGGATATAATATCCTATTTATTCATTCATTCATTCTAAACAAGTATTTATTTATTATTTTCTTGAGACCCTCCTTTTTTCTTAGTAGGCAGGAAAGAAGAACAAAGTGTAGAAATTAAATGAGTGCTACAAAATATATATATATATATATACATATATACTCTATATCTTATTCTCTCTTAACAAATTACATATAGATTACACACATGAATGAATACAATAAACTACAAAATAAAACATTTATTCTTCTTTTTCTTCTTATTCTTTCCCTTGGGACCACCCGTATTTAAACCCTCTCTTTGAGCTCTAATCGCTTTCACAACTTGATAAAATGATCTTTCTACATTGACACATGTCTTTGCAGAGGTTTCAATAAAATCACATGCTAATTGTTTAGCCATTGCTGCACCTTCTTCTCGAGTCACTTCTCTTTCTGTCACTTTATCGCATTTATTGCCGACTAACATCATTGGTACATTATCGACATCTTTTACTCTAAATATCTGGTTACGAAAGCGTTCAATACGTTCAAAAGTAGAACGGGAAGCGATTGAATAAACTAATAAGAAGCCCTCACCATCTCTATTATATATATATATATATTGGTTAATTGATATAATATATACATATGTATATGTACATATATATTTTTGTTTTCTCTCTTTCTCTTTCGATTATATATGTATATATACCGAATCCATTGATCTCTTAATGCTGTATATTCTTCTTGACCTGCAGTATCTAATACTTCAAGTACACAAGGTTGATCATCAATAACGACTTGTTTACGATATGAATCTTCAATTGTAGGATCATATGTCTGAGATAATGATTTAGTCATTTTCACGTTGTATGTATATATGTATATATGTGTATATGTGTATATGGATATATATATGTATATATGTATATATGTATATATATCACATTTTATTTACCTCTATAAAATAAATAAAATGAGTAAAACAAGTAAATGTATATGTGTAATATTACCAACAAAGTGATTAAGGCATAACTAATATGTGTATATTCATATATTTATATGTATATAAAAAAAAAAAAAAAAAAAAAAAAAAAAAAAAAAAAAAAGAATAAGTAATTGCAAATAAATAGATGATTTTTTTTTTTATACTTGAATTGTTAAAGCAGTCTATATAAAACAAAATAAATAAAATAAAATACATTTTAATATTAATAAACTTACCTTTCCTACGCCACCATCACCAAGAACTACTAACTTGTAAAGCATCATTTTGGTTTATTATTATTATTATTATTATTTTTATTATTATTATTAATTAAATTAGGCTGATAAATAAACAAGGTGTGACAATAATGATTTGTTAGCACGTTTGTTGCCAGGTTAAAAACCACGAGATATTTATTTTATTTATTTTTTGTTTTAATAGTAGTAATGGTGAAATTAAGAAATGCATTTGAATTAGTTAATGTTTACATGAATATATATTTATTTATTTATATATTTTTGTTACTCTCTCTCTCTCTCTCTCTCTCCCACTTTATGTACATGCTTAATTTGAATAATTTACCTTGTATAAAGACTTGAATAAATTACAGTAATCGTTTCCTTAAATAAAATAAAAGGGAATGAATGAATATAAAAAAAAGAAAGAAAGAGTGAAAAAAGTAGGAATAAGAATAAGAAAGAAAGAAAAGAAAGGGAAAAAATAAAATAAAATAAAACAAAATTAATATTTATCCCAGTTCTCTTCTTTTCATTCGTAATTTTTTTTTTACAAATCTTATTTGCTCCAATCATTTTTAAATAAGCAATCTTTCTTAATAACAAGTGTATGTAAAGCAGTTGTATACATACATTTATATCAAAGCTATTTATACGCCTATTAAATATACTTTCTTTACGAAGAAGTGATTTCAAATTTACGATTGTACTGTTATGCAAACTTTATTCCCTTTTGTGTTTGAAGAAAAGGGTCCTTATGACTGATTACCTGTAAGTCTTTATCAACAAATAAAGTTTATTATCTTGCATCGGAGCTGCTATTACTGCTGATAAAGGAGATCTACATGGAAACGTAGTATGTCATATGAAAATGATTCCTAGTAGCATCTATTCGTGGAAAGTACGACTACTAACTACTTGTTTATAATCATGAAAGCTCTCTCGCTGTTTCTGTTCTTTCCCCGTGTTTCTGTTCTTTTCCGCCAGTGGTTTCTGTTGTTCTTCTTTTCTGATGTGATACAAATGCAATTATTAGTTGAGTTTCATAACAATCATAGTTTATAGAACAAACGAGAATGAGAAATTCTTCTATTTAATGCATTTAGAAGAGAAAGAAAAAAACAGAAAAAGAAAAAAAAAAGGTCATTTCATTGGTAAATAATTCAATCTTTTTTAATGTCTTTTTTTTTTTAAAGAAAAAGAAAAAAAAAATAAACTTCTTCTTTATCGAATGATTCACTCTAATAATAATAACAACCCACGTGTGGATCAGATAATCATTATTATTGTACAACCTCTAATTTTCGGTTTATTAACGTTTTCTCTCAACTTTGTAGTATCGTTAATTATTTTTGTATACATCATTTTTGATTGAAATTAGCATCTTTTTTTTTTCTCTTTTCATGTAAGTCTGTGTTATCTACGGTCTGGACTGCTGCTGGACGTTAATAGAGAATGCAAGATATAAAGAACTTGCATTGTGACTTGTAATTTCTTATTTTGTTTTGTACTTTTTTTTTTTCTTTTTTTTTTTTTTTTTTTTTTTTGTTCCGACAATAACTTTACTGCATTTTTCGTCTTTTTTTTTAAAAAAATAAATAAATAAATAAATAAATACCTTCTCCAGTTTTTTTTTTTTTCTTTTATTATTTTTCCTTTTTTTTTTTAACAAAAAAAAAAAAGAAAAAAAAACCTCATAATGATTAAAAATATAGGGAAGCTTAAGCAGGTAAAATAAAAATACATCCATATTAAAAAAAACAAAGTCTCCTATAAAATAAGTCTCGACAAGAGAGAGAAAGAAAGCATTTTTCTTTTTTTTTTCTCTTTTTTTTTCTTTTTTTTTTTTTGTAAAGATTGAATGTAAATGTCTCCTTCTCTTTCTTTCTTTCTTCCTCTTTCACTCCCTCTCTCACTCCCTCCTTCTCTTTTACTCTCTTTACAAATATGTATATGATAAACATTTCTCTAAAAGAAGTATAAGGAAAAAAAAACGGAACATGTTTTATTTTCGGAGATGAAGGAATCATTATTATTATTATTATATATTTATAAATATATCCATTCTTATATTTATATTTATTTAAATTGAATCGTTAGTGGACAGGAGAAAAGTTTGGTTCGGCCAAAATCACGTTACAGACGGAAGACTTTCAACGTCTTGAGGTGGAGACAGAAAGGAAACGTGTAGCTTATGAAAAGTTATATGCATCTACATTGATTTTGCACCAACAACTCCTGAAGAGAAAGATCTCTCCGGAAGATAATAAATCAAAACGTTTAGTGGGTGATATCTTTGGTGTCTCTTTAAATAATTATGGTAATGAATTTGTCGAGGAGACTCCCTTAGGTATCGCTACCATCAATTTGGGTCAAGCTCAATCAAAGATCGCTGCCTTTCAGGAAGAGTATGCGGATGTCATGAAATCTCAATACATTGAAAAATTAGAGGAAGGCTTACAGTTATTTAAGGAATATCAATCGTTACGTAAGAAATTAGAATCACGCCGTTTAGATTACGATTCCAAACTGAGTCGTTTACAAAAGTCAAAAAAGGAAAAGCCCGAATTAGAACAAGAAATGCAAGCATCGAAAATGAAATATGAAGATTCAGAATATGATGTAATTCAAAAGATGGTTTCTTTACAAGAATTCGAGGTAAATTATAATACATATAGTATCTATGTATATGTAGATATAGAGTGATAATCATGTTTTTTTTTCTTTACCCTATATATATATATAAAAAAAAGGACGATCATTGTGAAGCACTTCAAAGTTTATTAGATGTTCAAATTGAATATTTTTCTCGTTCTTTAGAACTATTGAATGATGTTAAAACCAACTGGACTAATCCTCAATCACAAGATATGTATGCACGTTCATTGCCTCGACGCAACCCTACTATCCTATCTCGTACTTTAAGTAATCATTCAAATAGTGGAGATGATGTCACTTCTTATAACAGCGGAGCCGTACTCTCGGTTTCACGATCTGCAACAACCACCATGAATCATCCTAATTCACCTAGAAGACTCTCCATGAGTAGAAGTGGTAGTACTACAGATACTACTTCAAGAAGAATGCCGACATTAAGTCGTAAAAGCTCAAGTCAATTAAATGAACATGATGAGCAACCCCCTTTGATGAATCATAGTAGTCGTATTAACGCTACTCCACCTACATTACCTCGTAGACAATGTAAGTAAAGATAGTAACATTTTTTATTTTATTCTTTTTTGCTTATAAATATATACATACATATAAACAGCACAAGCTTCTAGTTTGGATAATAGACCAAGTATAAAGAATCAAAGGAAAGCAATGTATGAGTTTGAAGGAGAAAATGCAGATGAATTATCATTCCATATAGGTGATATTATTCAAGTATTAGAAGAAGTGGATGAAGGATGGTGGGTTGGAGAAATCCAAGATCCTCATGGTACTGTACGCTGTGGTATTTTCCCAGTGAATTATACAGAGAGCATAAGTGCTGGTCCACCTATGCCTGCAAGGCCTGTAATGACACAGTCTATGAGTAGTAACTTGACTACAACTAGTCATGAATCAGATCAAAGTTATAATAATAGAATGAATTCAATAAGTATAGAAGAAGAAGAAGAAGTAGAACATAGTTCTCCTTTTGGTGACTCAAATCGTACTGCCTCGAACCATCGTGGTGGATTCTCTTATACTGCTGTTCGATCCCCTAACAACCATAGTCAATCACCAACACGTAATCTGTCTACTACTACTACTACTACTACTACTACTACAAATCATATTACTCCTTCTACTTCTCCTGTACCACAAAAGAAACCCTCTTCTACTACTACAAAGAGAGCCCCACCTCCGCCACCACCTACTTTACGTAGCAACAGTAATTCAACTACTACTAACAACACCACAAGACAGCTACCACCACCTCCTCCTCCTTCTTCTTCAAATATGGTACGTACCACACCTAATCAGCAAGTACCAGCAAATGATTATTTTGAAATGAATAATAATCATTGTACATGTAATGAATGTGGATGTACAGAGTATGCAGCCAATTTATTTAAAAAGGGCTATTGTAATAATTGTTTCCATAAACACGAGTAGTTCATAATAAAGTAACACATCATAATAAGCTTCTTCTTCTTTATTATGGAGTTATCCATTTTATTATTATTATTATACATTTCAATAATACACTCTTCTTTCCTCCTCTATCCTTCCTCTCTCCTTCTTTTTTTTTCTTTCTCTCTTCCCCTTCTCATATATACAGAACAAACTAATAAATTATATAACAATACAAGTATCAAAATAAATATATATGAATATATATATATATATATGTATAAAGAGTAAAAATAAAAATAAAGCAAAATAAAAGGAGGGAAGAAAAAGAAAGAAAGGAGGGAAAGAGAGAGAGGGAAATTTCATTATTCAGTTAATATCTTGAATATCGACTTGTTAAGCGAAAAGAAGGTATGTTTGCAGGTCTATTGTTATTACTTGTTACTGTTGTTAATCGCGATGATACGTAAGAAGGGTTGTTACTACTACTACTACAACTACTACGACGAGAGGAAGAAGAAGACTAAAAAATAAACTATTAATAAACTCGGAACTCTTTTACTATTATTAGTATTATTACCATATTTAAAGAAGAAGACGAACGATGATAATGATGATGATGATGACTACTAGTCATAGTCGAATTATAAGGGTATCCTCGAGTAGTATCATTGGTGTAGAATCGAGTTGGAGATCTACGCTCATGATAATTGTACCGAGATATCGATCTACAGTTAAATTCAGAAATACGAGGTCTCGTCGTTGTGTTGTTGTTATTGGGTCTTATTGGAGTAGTAGGGTGTAAGTTGAGTGAGGAAGAAGAAGAAGAAGAAGTGGTGGTGGTTGCGATAGTAGGCTTTGTTGTCATGGCATTCGTTGTAGTTGTATCCTTTGGCTGAGATAATAAGTCCTTCATCGTTTGAAATAATTTATGTTTTTCTTCTTTTAAAAGTTTAATCTTTTCACGAATGGCATCAGAGGATTCCTCCACTCGAGTCGATAATAAAGGTGAGTCAGGTACACTATCCACTGGAGAAACAGGTTCAGTTAAACTTATTTCGTCTTCAAACGTACTACAGGCTTCACTTGGAGGAGAAGGAAGTCCGTTATCAAAGTTTAATGATTTTGTTGTATATCTTTCTTTTTTAATACGTTGCATAATATTAGAACGAATAGCGTCTATATTGGATGGAGGATTGAACTCATATCGTTTTACTGGCATTATTCCTGTTTAATGAAAGAAAGGTAGAAAAGAAAGAATGAAAAAAAAAAAAAAAAAAAAAAAAAAAAAAAGTGTAAAGAAAAGAAAAGGAAAAAAAATATATATTTATTTATCTCTATTTATTTATATTTATATTTATAAATTAGTATATAAATATATAAATATTAAGTAGAAAGAGAAAGAAGAAAAAGAGGAGGGGGGGGGGGCTTGTGGGTTGGGGGAGGGAAAAAAAAAATAAAAAAAAAAAGTTACATTGTACAATTTATATGAAATATTTTAATAACAATCAATTTACTTCTTTATAGCTATTACTATAAAAAATATTTGATATCCTTATTGATTGCACATATTATTGCTGAAGGAGTTGTCCTTTTGAATTATATGTGTATAATAGATTCTGTTTATTACTTCTACTACGGTATAAGAAGCAGCCAAAAAAAAAAAAAATTAGATGGCTCCGTTATACATAGTATACATGCATATACATGTTTCTTCCTTTTATATATAATAAGAATAAGCTATAATAATCATGCATAAGCTTATAATCAGAATTATTAAATCAATCAAATCGAATAAATTAAATTATTACAATAATGTCAAGAATTAAAATTAACTTTAGATGGATCTTGAAATTAAAAAAATTTTTTTTTTTTCATTTTCGTTATAATAATAATAAAACTTTAGATTGACCGCGAAACTATTTACTCATAAAAAGAGTAAACAGTATTATAAAGCCAAACCCTTTGTTACCTCTTGTTTCGTTCAGGAAAAGATATACCGATTATTCAGCAAACTTGCAAAATCGAAACGTGGTAAATATATGAAGTATAATATTAGAAAAAAAAAAAAAAGTCTCCCCCTCTTTTGTCGATATTTATATACGATTAAATTCTGAGTTTTATTATTATTTTTTAAAAAATTTTTTAGCAATATTTATATACAGTGATTTGCGTTTGAAACTCAAGATTTTCAAAAATAGAAATCAAGCTTTTTTCTGGCCAATCAAACTTCTCATAGTCCATTCAAATTTTTTGTCTACCAATTGAAACTTCCTGTTTCCATTCAATTTTTTTAAAATGGAGATATCAAATTTATTTTTTATTTTGTTAATTTTAAACTAACTTTCTTTTTCTACTAGCTACTCTTTTTACCACAAACTCTTCCCAATCTTTGACAGTTACGATATCATCGTCGTGTTTGATATTTTGAAGAGCTTCTGTGATGTCTTCCTCTAAGTCAAAGTCGATAATTTGCTCATCGTTGTTGCTGTCGTACCCAGCGGTGCTGTCTGAACGAAGGAGAATATCATCATCTGTCTCACTTCCCTGAAAGTGCATGAATTCTATATCGTGTCGTCTTTTTGCTTCGAGGATAACATTGATCTTACGATAATTTAAGTACACTAGACGTTTCAAGGACAAGACAGCAGCCAGAGTTTGAGCGAAGGACGCTAGGTTATTCACAATCTTTGGTACAACAAAGACCCCCTTATTGTAGCTAATTGAATGGTTCTGAGAAACATATTTAGTCCCCATTATCTGCAGCTTAACACCTTGCCACTGGCAAGTAATTGCCTCTAAGTTGGAGATTCTGCTGTTGTCAACATATTGGGTCCACTTGCGTAGCATCGCCATTTGAAGGGTCTTTCCTTTACCAATATCTTTTTTGACGCCTTTGAGGCCTGGTTTTTCCTCTGCCGAAAGATAGTCAGTATCATCATTCAGGTTGCGTAAAATAAAATCAACACGCTGGTTGGTGATATCATCAAATTCCTTCGTAATATTTGAAATACAGTCAGCTCGTTTGGTGATGAAGTTCTTGTCATAAATGAACGCATTATCAAAGACTGGGCCATAAACATGTGTGCGGTACCAGGACTCATTATGATCAGCAGTGATAAGGTTATCCGAAGACCAGAGTTCGACCATGTTGGAAAGTGCCAAGCGGATGTAACGGCACATTGGATTCATATCTATGTCACTGTATAACTTTGTAAGAAGTCTGTTCACACTTGTGATGTCAGTACATTGGGCGATTTCAAGAAGTATATCCCTTTCTTTACGAATCAGAGTTGGTTGAAGCTTCAGACCGAAATTTTTAATAGATTTTCCAAATCTCTTAGCTATAGTAGTAGTGGTGAGATCAAGATGGCCCTGGTTACCAAACTTGTCGCAAAGAAATATCATTTGTTCATCAATAGATAGGGTCTGGTAATGTCTGTGTTCAACATTATCTTCCTGATCATTGGAGGTTTGAGAGTTTTTAGCTGACGAAAGGCGATTATCAATTGCATCGTTCAAAGCCTGTGCCGAATAAGCAGCAAGACGTAGTAACTTTTGAATTTGAGGGGAGGTGCATATCTTGAAAAAACTATCATTATTGAGCATATCAACCTTACTATTCTCTTCAGTAGTACATCCTTCACGTCTAGACTCATAAACGATAGAGACCTCTTCCAAATACATGTTTCCAAGTTCTTTCATATTTTCTTCAGTAGGCTCCATCAATAGGTTTTTGTCGATTAATTCCTTCAAAGCAAGCTCATACTTCCAATCCAAGATAGTGTTCTGTGAAAGGTATCTGTTTATGATACTCTTGATTTTGTCTTTGTCTTCAGTTGTGTTCAAGATAGGATTCATAGTAAATCTAGAATTAAGGAGAAAACTAGTAACTTTTTGTTTTCATTTTACGATGGTGTTTTTTAAAAAAAATTGGCAGAGAAAAAATGGTGCACGTATAATTGTAATAAGAGGACTGTTATTTGAGTAGTAATTGAATAATGTTTTATTTCATCAAAATTTTATAGTATTTACATTCTTATAATAAACGGCATATAGATAGATTTGGACATATACAAGGATTGGAAACATATAATTATTTATAGGTATTCATACCAATAGTATCATATCTTCATAGTCATCCATTGATGACCGCGGGCATAATCCGAATTAGGAAGGTGACTGTCATCTTCTTACAATAATTACCCCTATTGTGACGATTAATTTTTTTTTCCAGAGCAACGCGTCAGCCTTTTTTCCCTTTATATTTCTTTTTGTATTTGACTATCGCTTGGAATGTGGGCATAAATGCAGCATTCACGTTTGTTGGCATGGGCTAGTAAGCAGTGCTACGATAGCAATCAACAAGCTTTGGTTGTTTACATGTTTTATTATTATTTCTTTTTGTATTTGACTATTGCTTGGAATGTGGGCATAAATGCAGCATTCACGTTTGTTGGCATGGGCTAGTAAGCAGTGCTACGATAGCAATCAACAAGCTTTGGTTGTTTACATGTTTTATTATTATTTCTTTTTGTATTTGACTATTGCTTGGAATGTAGGCATAAATGCAGCATTCACGTTTGTTGGCATGGGCTAGTAAGCAGTGCTACGATAGCAATCAACAAGCTTTGGTTGTTTACATGTTTTATTATTATTTCTTTTTGTATTTGACTATTGCTTGGAATGTCGGCATGATGTCTATCAAATTTATTTAGCATAAAATATACATCGAATAAACCTTCACGTTATATTACTGCTGGTATTGCTGCAAAAATTATCTATAATTATGGTATCTGTGTTTATAGTAGACTTGGACAAAAGTAAAATAACAGTGAATCTTCTAGATTTGACAAAACTACAAGAATTATCTGTATCTGGTTATACTGCTAGAAACCACGAATACCTTCTCTTAAGTATATTGTAGAAGAAAACACACAAGAAAACGTAATGTTCCTTTAATTTTTAATGTAAGCGTCAAGTCGTGACTCTACATTACAAGAAAGGTTCCTAATCAAAAAAGAAATGTCAAGCTATGAATCGACTCTCGTAATGACGAAAACTACGTATTCTTATTACAGCTCCATGAAAATGTACTGTATTCTCACATGGTTTTCCTCTTGGCAAAAACGAGTACGTTAGATTTTCTTTTATAAGTTACTTCTTGCTAACTTTTTGTTTTCAAATAACTTTTAGAAAAAAAAAATGATGTGTTGAGTCGGCTCAAGACATGCTGATAAGAAATTGATCTAAAGGAGAGCAGCTACTTGTACCCAATTATCGTTAGCCAGTCTATTATGATAATTTATGTGTTTGTTACTTTAAACTTGACTCTTTATTTATGAAGTTAAGCCAAAATATTGATGTTAGTGTTTCTTGGTCGATGATTCCAAACATAGATGAAACAATAAATAATTTACTGGCTTTCTCCAGTTTTTGACGGACAATATCAGATATGTTTTCAGATAGATCATGCCGCAATACCTTGTTGAATGAGAACAAAAGAGTTCTATGATCAGCATTTCTCTTCTCATTTTCACCAGTGTTTTGATCAGGATCGATCAACTCGTTCTTTCATCCACAGCTCTTTAAAGTAGTTGTCGATACCATCTTCATGGGCTTTGTTCCTAAATGGTAAACTATTTAAAAGATGAACACATGTTTAAAAGAGAAAGCTATGCTATTTCGCTATACCTATTTATCTTAAGATAGTGCTCGTTGTTGTATTAGTAGATGGTCAGTTTATAATTTTGTCCATTGTTAATGATTCTATATACAGGCCATGAAGAAGTTAATTTAGTATCAAAGTGAACTTGCTTTTTCTTACTGTAGTTGTATTAAGGCTCAAGAAACCAGTATCTCATAAGTGGCAGATTTGGTACATTTTAATTACGATTATGGCTTCCATCTAAAGAATCAAGAGCACCAACCTGATATCAATATGAGAAATAAAAAGTCGACTTCAGATTAGAGTAAGCATTTATTTCGACAATAAATTTCATATGCCTTCACTGAAATACGGGGACGATATTTGGGATAATAATAATAGCTTTATTGAGGTTAGATAAATTTAATAAAGAACGAGGCTGCTCACCTCCCCTCTTGTTCCGGTAAAAAAACTTGATCTGTACTACGGGGATGGCTTCCTCGCCCTGCGGGTTTGGGAAGAACTCAACATTCAATAATTAAAAAAGAAAAAGAAAAATAAATGCATAAATAGTACATTTATATTGTGCGGTTACATAAAAATATTGTTGATGTTTATTGTTTAGGATATGGAATATGAATATTGTATCCATGGTTAATGATTTTAAAGAAATCTTAGTTATCGTTGAATAAAACTTCATTGTATACTATATTTCTAGTATAAGATTTTTCATTGTTATTTCCGCTATTAGAATCAGCATCAATCATAATCTTAATAGCAGAAGGCGATTTTACTCTTGACAAAGCAACATAGAGCTGTCCATGACCGAATATGTGATTTGGAAGATACAAACCAATACGATCCATAGTCTGGCCTTGAGCTTTGTTAATTGTAATTGCAAATGCAAGTCTAACAGGAAATTGAGTCCTTGAAAATGAGAGTGGTAGGGTAGTCGACTCATTCCTGCTAAATAATTTACTTTTTGGAATGTACACAACATTACCAATATGAGAGCCTGTTGCAACTAATGCCTCTATTACGTGAGGTAGAATTGTTCTGACGATCAGACGAGTATCGTTACAAAGATCTTGCTTTAGGCTGATGTTCCGCAACAGCATAATGGGGGAACCAATCTTTAACTTCAAAGCATGTGGAGGTAGTCCACCTGCTTCTAACGAATTCAAAAACTCAGTTGGAACTGAGAGATTTTCATTTTCAATTATAGGTGCATCAGCACTGAAAGAGATTGTAGCTTCACCAGGAAAAACGTCGAATACCGAATCATTAATAACAGCTACATCTTTGTTTGTGGTGGATAACACAGCAGAACTGATAAGAGATGCTGTGGAAAATTCTTGGGGTACTTGTTACAACCCAGGGTACATTGCTTGCAAAAGATGGATCAAGTTGTTACCTCTGATAATTATACTGTTTGGGATCTCAATGAGACCCGTATCAAATATCTCAGAAGGTTCGCCACCCAAATTAATCTTGTGAGTGTCTACTCTACCAGTTCCTATAGCCAGAAGGTTCGTATCAAATGCATTTAATTCAGAAGCCAAAGCTGTATTATTTGAAAATAATGCTTACTGAACACGCATGTTGGTACGAAGTCGTAAAACTTGAACATGGCTCCAAAGGTATGAACGATTAATGCATTGATTAACAATTTGTGATCGTGAACCTTTAGGAACAACAGGCAAAATTTGACGAAAGTTGCCACCAAAAACCAGAAGCCGACCACCAAAAGGGATATTCTCCAATTGTGGATCTACAAACTTTGCTATGTCTTTAAGGGACCTGTCGAGAGCTTTAAAAATGTCTTTACTGGTCATTAAAGACTCGCCCCATAAAATTAATTTTGTTTGCATCAAAAGATCAGCAGTTGGTGAATTTGGTTTGATATTACACATACTGTCAGGATCAACATTAAGGGGAATTTTAAACACGGAATGTGATGTCCTACCACCCTCAAGTAACAGAGATGCAGTACCACTTGAGGCTACTGCTACAGCAATTTTACCTTCTTGTTTTAACCTATTGTCATGAGCTGACTTATAATGTCATGTTTCATGATTAAACATGCGGATCATAAATTTTCAAGAACTGAAGATCCTTTGCAGCAACACAGTAGTTGAAATAGTAGGTTTGTGATGGACGATTTAATTACTCTCTCACCAATCCATATTTTGGCACTACAATAAGGACAGATGACATCCATTCTGCCTCTATCATCCCTTATAATAGGCACCCGTGTTGGGTCTCGTGCAATACGTTCAACAGATACTGGTTCTGCTTTTGTATAGAATAGGCACAACCTGTTTGTTCTACGTCGATGTGTAGGGCTATTGCAAGCAGTGCATCGACTAACATTGGGCAGCTGCTGATTGTTGTGCTCAGGTTGCATTATTGTTTCTTCTACTTCTACATTGTCTTCAATAATATCTGTGCCGCTCATATTAATATCATTCATGTCAATATCAATCATATCAACATTAATCATATCAACATCGTCCATATCAACATCCCCAATGACGTTAATTTGCTGAGCAGGGTTCATGGGACAGGAATGATGATTTGATCGTCTATGATCTGACTGTTCACAACTACTGCATGTAGGCTGATTAATAACAGCTGAACACTCAATATAAGTAGTGCAATCTTTATGAGATCGGCGAACATGCCCTGATTTTCCACAATGGGGACAAATTCTTTCTATCATTTTAATTATTCAATAGATATAAGATTCTAAATGATGTAAATAATAATTTTATTAAAATCTATCTATAAAAGTAATTCTTTGATGCTTTACAATATTATATAATTTGGTGATCCTTTAGTAACTCTTGTTATATTTGTTTTATGCAATATGGTTTATAAATCTTTATAATTGATTTTATAGAATATAATACACATTTGTATGATATCCTTAGATTTGAGTTTGAAGAGAGAGTTTTCTTATTGGATAAGAAATAAATAACAATTATAAAATTTTTAATAAAGAAAAAAATAATAGAAAAGTTATCAGGTATTTATACTAATTCGCATTTGCTGTTGATAATATATATGGAAATAATATGTATGTCTAACTGGTTGTTGTAAAAGAGAGCTTAGCTGTTTTTTACCAATAATAAGAGGAAAACTAATAATAGACTGGAGGACCGATAAAAGTGAGAAATTCGTGCATTGACCAATTAGGGTAAACTTAAACGGAAGTATTTTAATTAATAGATATTATTTTTGAGGTGTGTGTGTGTGTGTGTGTGTGAGGGTATAAGATTTACAATAAGGGGTAAAGGTGCACAACAAATAAATCCACTAGTTAAAAAAAAAAAAACGTGGTGGCAAATAAGACTGTTTTACTCCTGATTTACTATAAAGTTAGCAAGGATGATTATAAAACAGAGAATAAGAAATAATGATTTATTATTATATACAAATATGATACACTAGCTTATAACGATATTATGATAAGAAGAGGGTGGCGGATAAGGTCCCTTAAAGATGTATGTAATTATCTTTTTAACAGCATGGACAGTTTTCTTTATTTTCTTCTTTGCCCGTAATCTTGAATTTTTGATCTTTGTTGACTTGTTATAATTCATTTTTTTAGTTTTATGTTCTTCTTCTGTGTTTAACCAGGGAATATAAGATTTTAACCATGGATGAAACATGATAAGATCAAGAGAAGCTCGAGTATGTTCAGGAGATAGCATTCTTTGAATCAAATCTCTAGCATCTACATACAAACTGTTTAGTGAAAAAAAAAAAAAAAAAAAAAAAAAAAAAAAAAAAAAGATTTATTTAGATAATGATACACACATACCTTTTGATAATGACTTTGGAAGATCATAATCACATATTAACATCTTATTAAAAACTTCACGGTGAGATAATGATTCTTCAATAAAAGGATATCTTCCAACTAGCATTTGATAAAGAGATATACCAAGTGACCAAACTTCTACTTTTTCGTAATGATAAACGGAAGATATGGATAATTCAGGTGCTAAATATTGTAAAGAGACCTTTAATTCTAAATAATCTTCTCTTGTATTATCTTGAAATAGAATAGAAATGCCTTCAATCTGACGATCTTGTTCATCAAATATTAAATGCATTTCCTTTGGATATTGCTCAAGTAAATGTTGCTGATAATAGGCTGCTAATATCATTTTACTAAATTTGGATTTGCATTCTTCTTCAGTTGGTAATTGTGTATTAAGAGAGAAATGATGTTTATCATTGATTGAAGAAGGCCATTCAAAGAGAGGAATATAGCCACATGTGCTATCTTCTTCATCTTCAATTAATATCATTGGATTATCTTTTACTTCTTCTTGTTGATGATGTGATCTTATGGTTTCTTCTTCTGTTAGTAGATGATGAAATATCTGCTGTCGTTGATCTTGTTTGTCTATTATAGGAACCATATTAACAACCACTTCAGGTATGGTATATAATGGACGAGAAGAAGAAGAAGAAGAAGAAGAGGAAGGAAGTGAAGTCATAAATCTTTTTTTTTCTGCTTCTTCGTTCTGCTCCTCCTAAAAGAACAATAAAATGTATTATTAATATGTATATAATATATGTAATGCATGTACCTTTTTATTAAAATTATTACTACTAAAGGATGAAACTACTACATCATCTGTTCTAAGCTCTGTTGACGTTGATAATAATGTCGTAGGTGATGATAATAAAAATACAGCATCCTTTCTTTTTAATAAAGGTAATTTCTCTTTCTTTTTTGTTGTTGTTGCTCTTCTATTAAATATCCATTTTTTCTTGTAATACGGCATCGTTCAAGATGCTTATCTAATAAATTATCTTTGCATATAACTCTTTGAAATAAATAAATAAATAAAAAATGTTGATATTAAAGAAAAGGGAATGGGGCCAAAAAAGAAAAAGAAAAAAAAAGAAGGCGGGGGGAGGCATTAACAGTAATTATGGTTAATTAGACATGAAGAACGAAAAAGGAAAGTTAATATAATGTTTTCTTTTATTGGATTATTGTTTTAGATCCAGAAAGGATATTAAACTAAAAGGCAATTTATCGAAATCCTCTACTGTAATAATTTACTTTGTCTTATTCACTACTGGTTAATTATCATCATCTTGGACAATTTTTGTTTCCTTTTTTTTTACATATTAGATGCTAAAACTAGTCAGTAGGCACCTTGTATAATAGATTCAAGTATTGTACAAACCCTGAGCAAAAATCATAATATTGATCATCAAAAAAAAAAAAAAAGAAAAGAAAAGAAAAGAAAATTAGACCAATACTTTTACTGCAAGATTAGAAAGGTAAGCTTGACGTTTGCTGTAAAAAAATAAAATAAATTCTGCTACTTCCAGAAGAAAAAAAAAAAAAAAAAAAAGACAAATAGCTGTGTAACAGACTATTCTATATTAATAATTATCATTTGATAGTCTGGCTATTCTTTTTTCTTTTTTTTTATTTTATTCTATTTTTTCTATTTGCATACGTAAAAAACTATTTTATACAAATATGTCAAAGCATTGTCTAATTCTTTTCTTTGTACCTTGAAATAACATATAATTTAATCTCCGAAAAAAAAGACGCTTAAAAAACCATTTCATGTGAATATACAAATTTGCGACTCTTTATCATTTTTGATAGCTATTGAATTGAATTCTAGTAGATTTTTCATTATAAAATATCAAATGGAGTGGGAAACGAATCAAGTATGTAAGTAGATGCTGTTTAACAACTGTTTTAGCTAAATTTATGTTTGTTACAATACGTTTGTCTTTTATTTTTTTTCTTTTTTTATTTATTTATTTATTTCAACTACTTTGCATTGACAGCGTTAATACATCAGTGCTCTTTCCTTTGATATGAAAAGACTTTAAAACTACTTTAATGCATTTCTCTGGCGGAGATATCTTGGTAGCTTGGATTATAATTTAGTATATATAATAATTTGATCGGATATTTATGTACATTCTTAAAGTTGCAACATTCATTCTTACGAGATAAAAGTAAATACACATCATTATAGCCATGCGCTTTTTTTTTTTTGGCCAGGTTTGTCACTAATATACTTGACATATTTCATGAATTTGATTGATATAATAAAGTAAAGCCTTCTTTAATTATTTTGACTTTGTTGATATTCATATGATTACTACCCTTTGAAAATTCACATTCATGAAAATAATAATAATAATACCAAAAGGAGAAATATGACTGATCATGTTGATATAAATTACTCTCTAAAATATAAACTGTACTGTAGTATTTAGTTTTCAACATTAGAATTAGGCTCTTCATAGAGTTAAGTATGAAAAATTATTAGATTCATAAATATAAATGCTGGTTTTCTTCATATCATAGACACTCTTGCTTTATTTTTCATTTTATTTTTTTTTTTTTTTTGTCAACTTATCAAAGCATGACTCTATTTATTCTAGTTGCATTTTTTTTTTCTTTTCTCAGTTTGTCTATTCTACTTTAGAAATAAAACATATATATTCTTTTGTCTTCATTTATACTGATCAAAAAGAAATCGCGTCTTTTTTTCTTTTTAATATAAAACGCGAAAAAATGGGGGGGGTGAAAGAGAGAAAGAGAGTAGAAAAGAAAGTGAACGGTCACAAATCACCTCTTTTAAAGATCACAAAAAAAAAGTACTTTATTATTAAAAAAATAAAAATAAAAGGGATCTTTTATGGTATATTCTTATACTTTACTTTTATTTGCATAAAATAGTCAAGTTAAAATCTCTCATAAAAATGTCAGCAAATACACAAAAAATCGTTTTTCTGATTGACGAACAATCTTTAATGTCCAATTTGATCAATCTTGAACAATTAAAATTGAGTATAATGCGTATTTTAATCTTTTATTCTATGCTTGTAGATCAGCAACAAGTATTATGGGGATATCGTTTCTTCAGTACTAAAGTACGATACACAACAAACTCAATGCGTCGCTTTTATACAATGACTACAGATGCTCTTGAAAATATTGATCAGGAATATAAAAAGCGTGAATCTGAAAGACCAAATATGATTGTACAAGAACCAGCTATTATGCGCATTAAAGAAGTACTTAAAGAAGCCATTGGTGATTTTCAATGGGAAAATGGTCTTGCATCTGAACAAGAATCAACTAATAATCATCTTTTTATTATCACTAGTACTCCTTTAACTTGGAGTGAATTGCCTTCCTTTTTTCCTTTAAATTCTGAAATAACCCAGCTATCAGCGTTTGACACTTTAGCCTACTTTGAGGAATTAAAAGAAGAATTGGCAGACACTTTATTAGAAAGCTATACTGAACGTCAAATTTCAATAAGTATCATTGATACCACATTTAAACAACTCCAAATCAGTCCTATTGAGGAAAAACTAGCAAACGCTATTCGTTCTGGCTTCAAGTCTTGCTTTAAATTATATCATGGAACCTATATCGCATTTCACACACTTTTACGTGTAAACGATATATATGGTCATTCTTTTATTTCTGAATTTGTCAATATCTTACCTTCAAGGGAATTTTCATCTTATGTGACTCCCTTTATACCTCTTTGGAGAGGAGAATTTAAATCATGCCGTGGTCGATCTATTGGGCAGTGCTCTTTATATCCTGCAAGACGAAGTGGTCATTATAACCCTGAATCACTCATGTATATGGCAGAATTACAGATCATTAGTCACATACGCGCTAAACAATTTTCTTTATCATGGCTTACAAGGGAGACTAACAAAGAAGAAGAAAACAAATACAGAATGGTATATGAAGACGGAGGATCGTTTAATGTCTTTAATGCTCTCTTGGAAGAATTATATAAAAGACAAGAAATTTTAATTGGTGAATTTATTCCTTTATCAGACTTTGATTTACCTAGACAAAGGGTATGTATTGAACCCTATTCACGAGCCTGTGCCTCAGTTCAATTCATTCATTGTAAAGAAATACCGCGTTACTTGAATGAAGACGCCTCTATCAAAAACAAAGTATCTCCTATTGGTACCTTTTATAAAAGTATCAAATTGGATACTAAATTACCCAATTTTTTAAATTCGGCTTTAAAATTACCTTCTATCAAGTTCAACTTAAAGATGCCGGAAAAGATAAAAGATGTGATTTATAACACATTTCGTTCAAAACAAGGTAACCTTGGTAACGCTACCATAGACGCCTCTGAACAACCTGAAGAGGAGGAAGTTATTGAAAGAATTATCACTTTACCATCCAATGTTAACAAGATGGGAAAGGATCTTAAAAATTTATATCTTGAAGCTCTATATACCCAAAATGTAAATAAGATTATTATATGAGATACAAAAGAAAAAAAAAAGGGTCATTTATTTATATATGATATATGCATATATATATTTATATTTTTAGGATACCATGGATAATGTAATTACAATTATTGATAAATGGATAGAACATCTTTTAAATCATAAATATACCAAAGAGGATATCATTGCTACTATATTTGATTATACAATGCCAGTAACAGACCTTGATATTAAACACTCTAATGAAATACCTCGCACTATGCATTTATTACCATCACAGCATACTGTAGAACAAGAATATCAGTATTCATGGTGGAAAGAAATCAAGATGCATCCTCACTATAATTACAAATTTGAAAAAATGAATTGTATTGCATTAAAAGTAAAAGAGTAAGTATTGATATATACATAATATAGAAATGAATGAATTGAACTCTTTTTTTTTTTTCATAAGGGCACAACTTCAAGTCATCCTATACTGCTTTATTTGTAGATTAATGACTGATTTACCACCTGACCTATTAAAGAGAAATCCATTTTTTGAATCAGAAGATTTTTTTACAAAAATAGTTTTAATGTTTACTATGAATGATGTAGGTGATTTTCTAGCTGAATTAGATTCTGAGGAAGGCCCAGCCGCTGTGAAATTCAGAGATCCATGTGATTTATCAGATCATGCTTTTTGTACTCTACTTGAAGAAAAGTAAGGAAGATATAATTTCTTTTTTTTTTTTAAACAATTCATCCCATTAAATACATTTCCCATTTGTATTCAATATGACGTAGGTTCAGTGATTTAAAAGATTTAACCGAAAAATTTAAAGAGTCTACAGGAGCAGACGATATGGAATCAATAACATTCTCAGATGATGATTTAATTGATAACTTTGAAATAGTCGGGGATTCAAGTCGAAATAAAGGGAAAGAAAAGGAAACACAACGGCCTGTGCTCGATCGACAAAAATCTTCACATAATCATAATATGAATAAATCTTTACTGGAATCGAGCTCTTCTAGATTATCAGCCAAATCAAGTTTAAGTAGAATGAATAGTAATCCATTAGATAGTTTTCTTAAGCGCACAGTAGATGTGAATCAAAATTTAAGGCGAGGTCCAGAAAACTCACTTGGTGAAGCAGCAAGAGAAGCAATTGATAAAATAAATAGGTCGTTAATTGATGGTCGTACAGATATGATGAGAGCAGGCAGTTTTATGAAGAGTGCTCGACAGGAAGAGACACGTCCTGTAGTGCATAATGAAGATTCGAATGGGGTTGTTTTGAGAAGAAATCAAACAAATGAGCAGCTAACCCCTCGAACATCTTTAAATCGCTTTTTTCAAATAGATATATTTAATGAATACTCGGAAACTTGTTTAGTAAGTTTATTTGTTTATGTATAATTAAATTAATATATATATATTTATACCTTTTCTTCTTATATAATCTTTTTAGTCTCCAACTTCGGCGACAGCGAATGAATATGGGCACATTCAATCAGCATACCCTTCTATGCATCAACCACCACCAATTCCAAATGAACCAAAAAAATCGGAGGAAGATATGGATGAAGAGGAAGATTTCAGCTTCATACTAGGTAATTCCGCAACTGAGTCCCCTCCCCCACATGATATTATGGCGAGTGCCAGACGGGACCTTACATCTGAATTTAAAAGTATACTTGAAGAAGAAATGACAAATAAGGAACAGTGTTCTCAACCATTAAAGCGAAGCCTTGATGAGTTGTTTGGTAGTGATGAGGATGAAAATGAGGATGAAAATCCTTTTGAAAACAGCTTACCAAGAAAAAAACAACATATATAACTTTGTATTTATAAAGAAAAAATAAATAAATATGTATATAATTTAAATGAGGGTCATTTATTATGAATTTATCAAGTATATAGTATGGTATTGACAGTAAATTTTTGTTCCTATTTTTGGTGAAAATTATTCACTAATAAGACTAAGATTTTATAATATCTTCCTTTATCACAAGTAATACGATTGCCCCAGACATTATCTATATAATGACTGAATTGAAGAATTACAAAGACTTTCTCCTAGCATTATTTCAAGAAATATTGAATCAATTGCTCTAGCACAAATCTTGCATATGAATAAAAAAAAAACATACCATCATCCTGTATATAACATTTTTATAACTGATATTAAGCTTATTGATATTCAAGTGTTATGATATATCGATTATAAAAAGACATCATGCCAGTTCTAAATGTTTGTTTATTTATTTTTTTTTTATTCATTATTATTATGATTACTACTATAAACCATACTATCCCAGTATCTTTCTTAATTCCATAGCCAAACAATAAAAAACAAACGTTTCAGAAGAAATTTTATACATATTCCATTTTAATAGTGTTGTTTCATTACAGAAATATCTTTTGATTCAGAATAAAACTAAAACATAAATACTAATGAAAAAAAAAATATCTTTGTTCTACTTATTTAAATATAATTTACATCATCCTATTCATATTAAGTAATACTCTAAAGTTAGACGTTAAATATGACAAAAATCTTGATAGAAGATAATAATTAAATAACACCATAACTTCCAAAATTATTATGTTATGAATATTCCGAAATAATAAAGAACAAAAAAGCTATCGGGAAAATAATAAGCAAAAGATATCGTCGCCTGCAGGGTTTGAACCTGCGCACGCATAGCGTATGAGATTTCAAGTCTCACTCCTTAACCACTCGGACAAAGCGACTTATATGAACTGAAACAAAAAAATTAAATGATATTCATAAATTTTGAAAAGTGTGTCACGTGATCTGGCCAATCAAAATACTCTCTGTTGTTTAACTAATTTTAACTCAATATTTTTTTTTTTAAAAAGTGTAATTAAAAAAAAAAAGGCCTATATCTTGACACTAACTTTGCCCTTGTAAATTATTTTATTAAATATTATTGGTCAAGGACGTCAAATGGTTAAAGAAAGAAATAGAAAATAAGTTAAAGAGTATCTTAAGCTTTATTTTATAACAAGATATTCTTCTTTATTATTGTATAAGTCTCTATGTAGCATCAAGAACAATAGAGAAGTCAAATCAAGATTCAGCTTAATTCAATTCCAGAGTATAATATTATTCAATACAGTTTATCTTTTTAGACATCATTCTTTGTCATAATTAGTAACCTTCTTTTAGTAGAGTTCACTACAATATTCTAAGATTAACATGTTAAAAATAATAGGAGATAGTTATTAGTGTAATATGATGCTGACGATAATATTGTTGGTTAATAAATGCTATGCATAATTATTCTAATTAGCAATTGTTGTGTATATAATGATGTATTACAAAATATCTTATAATATACAGATCAGAGTCATGAAGGACCAAATGATATTATAGTTATTAGTTATACGCTTTATGCATACAATGTTATTTGATTTCAGTTTATAAGACATTCTTGTGATGAGAAAAATAATAATATAATGATAAATACTGATATTACTAAATAATGATAAGCCAAACATAGTGTAAAGAGTTATTAATGATAAAGACATATATGAGTTATATATTGTACCTATTAATTATACATACACATTATTGTTATAATATTACCCAATATACTTATTTATAAATATAATCATATACTATCTATACACTATAAAATATAATGATATTCATTCAAGTAGTACATTGAGAAATGAATATATAATACAAGAAATCTATATCAAAAGTATCTTCTCTATATCATTCACAAGCATGAGCAAACGAGATTTCATTATTTGGTTTCAAGGAAAATAACCTGCTAGATAGAAAACCAATAATTTAATATTTATTAGAGTTAACTGAGATTAATTCTGAATCAGGGCAAAGACTAAAGAGATCAAATACAGCAACTTTAATCATTCTATGGGAAATATTCTTCTTTCATTCTTTTCCTGTCGCGAAGTAACCCCGTTCTCCACAAGATATAAATAAGGATCCATTTTGCACTCATTTTGAGAAATTTAATTTTTAATTTTATTTTTACTCAATTTTTTAATAAAAGTTTTATACAAAGTTTTCACGTATTTATTCTGTCTTTTTTTTTTTTTTTTATCTTTACCTTATCAACAGCAATGATCAGTTGTATAATGTCGTTCACTTGTTAAACTTTGAATATTATATTCTTTAAGATGATTAACTGTGATATAAAATATATCATTAATACGGAAAATACATGTTATACTACTTTTAATATATTGAATAAGCTTTATATAGTTTTTGTTTTTTCTCTGGATGGAATATCATTAACTAGTTTCATGAAACATTGAATAAAATGTAAATTATATGTATTTATAATGAACTTTTTTTTTTCTAATATAAGCATATGCTAAATAAAGATCATATCATACTGCTTATATTCAAATAAAATGTGATGTTTATTCAATCAAGTATACAGAATATCATTTCTACTCAACAATAACATTAATATTCAATATCGCTAATCGCACGAATATCCCTCAGGTCAAAAAAATACAAGAATAATAACTATCGGAACAGTATTTTCAACTGGATCAAGCTATATTCGAACATCTTTACTTAATAAGGATAAACATAATTTATATAAACATTTACTGTATTGAGTAAATATTGTGCCTATCAGAAACTAAACTTTTGATTCGTACTCTTGATTATTTCCATAGTGTAGCTCAGTAAAGTATACCTTAAATAATAATATTTGAAAAAAAATATATATGTATATAAATAAGCAGTTGGAATTAGTTTCTAACTATCTTTGAACAGTCAGTATTTAATTAATTATCTATCTTTTTTTTAAACATAATAGAGCGAGAAGAAAAGGTGCTCATTTCAAGGTATTATTTACTATAATGAATATATTTTATTACTCAGAAAGGGAAATGAATATGTAAATGTATCCTTTTGATTTATTCGTCATAATATATGAATAAATAATAAGCTATATACTCTAGTTTATAAACTTATAGTGAATAAGGTTAGCACTTTAACTCAATATAAAAATGCTCATGACAGAATGGTATTTCGTTGGTAATACACTCTTTACAATAGAAATATGGGCCTTATATAATCATATCCATCAAGTCAATCTATATATAATCATTCCAATTTTATGACTGTAAAAAAGAATCTTTTTCAGGTACCAATACTCAATTATTGAATTTTAGACCGAGCTCTTTCAACAATAGCTATTTACAAAAATTTGCTACCCCTGGATTCGTAATTACTACATTTATAATACTAAGCACGGCATTTTTTCAAGAAACTATTTGTTAAAATATGTTTCAAAATTAATATTTAAGTAGAGTGTCTAATATTGGAGCAAACATCAACAGCAACAAAAATCAACATAACAACGAAATCAAAGTGAGATATAACGAGTTCATTTGAGATTGTAGATTTATAAATAATTAACTGTTTCTATTCCATTCCCTATAATAATTTGAATACATATTACCATTCTTGAATGAATACGTAAGATAATACATTATTATAAATCAAACTTCGGAACATTAAATATCAAGCCAATAAAATAATCAATAAGGCACGCCATTGAAATATTGTTATTCGTAATAATATACCCTGTTTCCATGACTTTCCATCCTTTCTTTTGATAAAGAAACATATGTAGCTACGGAGAATCTTTAATAAGTTGTCCAAAAGGAAGGACAAAATAATATAGAAGGGTTTTCATACAAACCAATTGGTGAGATTAAACTCTTTTGAATAGATCTGATAACATATAAGGTTTCCATTAGTTTCTTCTTTTTTGCTTATTTGTATGTATTGCTGTATATTTGTTGTTCTTATTCTCAGTTATATGGTGTAGTAGTTTGAAATATATTAGCGAGTATTGTCTGACATTATTTTTAGTATTTTTAATCCGAAGAAAATAGTAAAGATATAGACATGCTTGTTTATAGTTTAACAGAAATGAAAAAAAAAGAAAACTAAATAAAATAATATAAGTACTTTTATATACTCTATCAAAAATGTCATATAATAATAGATTAGATGAAAATTTATCGAATAACATAGCTAAAATCTCCTATTTTGCTTCGATGCGACGGACTTTTGAATCTACAATTAGTATCCATAGAAATGACGAAATAATGCTTTAAGTTCCCACGATAACAATTTAGCCGTTATTTTTTTTTTTTTAATACGTGATCTTTATAGAAATAACATCAAAACAGAAATAAAATTATAAAGTTCAAGCAGTAATCTTTGTGTAATTTATATGCAGAGATAAAACAAATGTGTACAATAAGAACATGAAACCATTTTATCAAAAAAATTCTATTTTTGAAAGATTGTAATAAGAATAAGACTTTATATGACAAATATATGCGGTTTTACTTTTTAAGTAGTGATTTTGCTTTTTTTTTTTTTTTTTTTTTTTTTTTTTTTTTTTTTTTTTTTTTTTTTTTTAAAAAAAAAAAAAAATATACAAATATAAATATGTATAAAAGAAGGATTTTTTTTTCTAGCTTCTCTTTATTGTTTTCTACATCAAACTTTCTTTTTTCTTTTTTTTTAAATCTTCAACAGAACTAAAAAAAAAAATGTCATTTCGTGCTCCTTCTCCTCCCTCAACGGGATATAGTATCATTGACATTCGTAACTCATGCTTAGATATGTTTGCTATGGATTCTAAACACATTGTAAATAATACTGAAGATATTAAGCCTCCCTCTCCTCCTCAGTCTTCTGGTATCTCTGAAGATGCTTTCAATAGTTCTGATCTAGTTGATACGATCTTAGACTCTCTTGATAAACCTTTAAACCACAAGTCTATTCCTACTTTTATTCTTTATGATAAAAAAGGTCTACAGTTATTTGATCAGATCACTCAATTGGATGATGAATACTACTTGACTGGTGCTGAGCATGATATTCTAGTGACTTATTCTACTGAAATAGTAGATCGTCTTCAAGATGGTAGTGTTATTTTTGAACTTGGTGCTGGGTAAATAACATTAAAAAAAAAACTTGACAATATGCAATATGCACTTTTATTTAACTTTATTCTCTATAATAGCTCTCTTCGTAAAACACAAGTCATTTTGAATGCTATTGAGAAAAAGAAGGTGCGTGTAACATATTACGCTTTGGATCTCGATCAGCATGAATTAGATCGATCGTTAGCATCTTTAGGTAGCTTTGAGTATGTTGAACTCTATGGTCTTTTAGGAACCTATGATCAAGGTATCCCTTGGATTAGCAAAAACTTTACTTCTTCTAATATCCAAAAGAACTTCTTATGGATGGGCAGCTCTATCGGCAACCAAACACGACTTGAATCGGCTATGTTTCTCCGTAAGCTCAAGCGAATGTGTATGGAACCCGGTGACTTTTTCATGATTGGCTTTGACAAACGTAATGATGCTGCTAAAATTGAATTAGCGTATGACGATTCTCATGGCGTTACCCGTGAATTTATCATGAACGGTCTCGATCATGTGAACCGTATTATGGACAAAGAAGGCTTTTTAAACCGCGAGTTCTTTGATTACCATTCAATTTATCAAGAAAAGCAAGGCCGTCATCTATCCCACTATCGTGCTTTAAAAGATATGACTATCAGCTACAAGACTACTAAAAAGGATTATACTATCAACATTCAAAAGGATGAGTTAATTCATGTTGAGCATTCTTACAAGTATTCTTTGGAGGAAATTCAATGTATCTTGACTACTGCTGACCTGAATATGGTCGATTATTGGGTTGATTCTAAGGACCAATATCGTCTCGTTTTGGCTGAGAATCGTCCTTTTATCTTTGAATGTAATGCGGAAAAGATTCGTAAAGTCCTTTATCCTCCTAACGAACTCTTTGAGCAAGAACCTATCCATTGCTACCACTGTAATGAAGGTCAATTTGAACAACCAAGTGCAACTGAAGCTGAAGAAATTCAATCATTGGATTACTGTTTGTTAAAGTCTAACAAGACTTGGCCCATTAAGATGCTTCCTTCTAAGCATGAATGGCAGGAGCTTTGGAAGTCCTGGGATTTAGTCACTCAACATATGATAGATCATAAAACAATGCTCTTTGAATGTCCTATTGCCTTGCGTCATCCCTTTATTTTCTATTTAGGCCATATTCCCAGTTTCTTAGATATTCAAATGTCGCGCCATCAAGTTGATAAAGAAATTGGAAAGACTGATTTGACGGAACCAAAATACTTTGCTGATATCTTTGAACGTGGAATTGACCCTGACATGGATGATCCTACACAGTGTCACCCTCATTCTGAAGTACCCACTGAAGAAAACGATTGGCCTTCAATTGAATCTATTCTTACTTACCAAAAATCTGTCCGCCAGCGCCTTCAACGTCTTTTAACTTTTTGGGAAGATGAAGGTCTCCAGATGCAATCTACTGATTGGATAAATAGTAAACCTGAAAGAAAACGTCAAGCTCGTATCATTTGGATGTGTTTTGAACATGAAGCGCTCCATTTAGAAACTCTTCTTTATATGCTTGTTCAGAGCCCTAATATATTGCCTCCCAAAGGTATTGCCGTTCCTAACTGGAAGCTTTTGTTGCAGAAGGATGATACTAATGAAACTTCAGCAAATCAAATTTCTCCTTTGTCTGATGCCTCCTTCCTCAAAATACCTTCTGGTACCGTTACAATTGGCCATGATGATTATGAAGCATTTGACTTAGATGTCAACAACAAACGACACCCAGAATTTGGATGGGATAATGAAAATCCTAAACGTAATGTAGCCGTTGATGCGTTCGAAATCCAAACAAGACCTGTTACAAATGGTGAATACTATGTCTACCTTCAAGAAACAAACAAGAACCAGTCTATTCCCGCTTCTTGGATTAGTAAGGAAAATAACCAAATTTATGTAAAAACCGTATTTGGTCTCTGCCCTCTTGTTTATGCTCAACACTGGCCTGTTCAAATATCCTATAATGAAGCTGAAGCTTATGCTCAATATAAAAATGCTCGTCTTCCCTCTGAATCTGAGCTTTGTCGTTTCCGTGAACACATGACTGAGATGTGTGTTGAGACAAACGAGAAGTGGCCTAAATATGGTTTCAAGAACTGGTATCCTAGTGATGTTGATAATGAATCAATCCATATATTAGGTGATGTCTGGGAGTGGACTAACACTATTTGGGATAAATACGATGGATTTGAAGCTTCTAAAATCTATCCTGGTTATTCGTCTGATTTCTTTGATGGAAAACATCGTGTCGTTTTAGGTGCAAGCTGGGCAACTCATCCTCGTATTGCTGAACGTAAAACTTTCAGAAATTGGTACCAATCTGGATACCCTTATGTCTTTAGTGGATTTAGACTTTGTCATTAAATCAATCACATATATTTGTATTATTATTATTATTATTATTATTATTATTATTATTATTATTATTTTTTGCTATTAAAAAAAGAAACATCGTGTATATTACAATAAACAAACAGTTAATACTATTTTATTTAATATATTTGTATTTGTATTTGTATTTGTATTTTTTTTTTTTTTTTTTTTTTTTTTTTTTTTGCATATTCTATTCTCCATAATACTATGATGAATCACATTTAAGGAATGGATGATTTAAAGCTTCAGAAGCAGTAGGCCGCTTGGTATGAATAAGTTCAAGACATTTTTTCATTAAATCAACAGCTTGATGATATTCTTTCTGCTCCCATTTTTTAATACCGTTTTGATTTATTTCTTGACAAAATGTTGCTAAGTCTAACTCTTCTTCAGGTATTGTTGGGATATTTGTACGCATTGTGAGTCCATAAAAATTAGTAAATTCTGTTAGCTTTTTCAATCCAAACAGATGAGCTAATTCAACAAGAGCGTCTGCGTCATCTTCAGGTTCAAAAAATGGATAGCGACCACTTAAAAAGCTTAAAAGTATAACACCAACAGCCCAAATATCAACGGCTGTTGTTTGATATTTATAACGTAATAATACTTCCGGAGCTCGAAATCCTCTTGTGCCTGAGCGATCTGCCTGTATAGAAGGCCTAATAAAAAAATAATATCACAAAGTACTATTAATCAATTTTCCTTACATCTATTTTCTTTTTTTTTTTTTTAACATTTTTATTTATATACCTTGTATCATTCATAAAATAGCCTGCTTCACCATTTTGATTTATAGACTCATTACTTAATATGCTATTTACTGCATGTATTTTAGGCTGTGGATCCACTTTTTGAGCCAAACCAAAGTCAGCAAGATAGCCATCTTTTGTTTTCGTATTATACAAAAAGTTTCCCGGTTTTACATCTCGATGCATGATTCCTTTTGCATGAGTACTTTGTAAGCCTACAAGTAATTTTTTAATATAACATTTGATATCAGCTACTGTCATACTAGTAAAGAATTCCTATAAAAAAGAAAATTAGTTATAGTGCTAGATAAAACAAAAAAAAAGTCTATATTTACATCAAAATGATCACATTCAATAAAGGGTAAAACAATAAAGAGAGTGGAATCATTTCGAAAGGCAGTGATCAAAGGTGTAATGCCAGCTGATGATCTAGACATATATAGACATATATTTAGTCTATTAGACTTTGAACCCTAAGGAGAGAAACCACTTACGTAGAGTATAACATACCTTAGCTCTTGAAGACATTTGATTTCTGATGCCATACGAGCAGGTGAACTAGTATCCATAATTAATTTGATAGCAACATAGTCTTGATTTATTCCATTTAGTTGATCTAAATCCTTTGTCCAATCCACGTACTGATCCTTTAGTAAATCTTTTGCTTTATAGACTTTACTAAAAGTTCCTGAGCCAGTTCTATCTACTAATTCATAATATTGAGCTAAACTTGGAAAGGACTCTAAGAGTTTATTTATTTCTTTCTGAACATGCTCCTTCCGCCTAGCTTCTCTTTTTCTTTGCACAACTTCCTCATCTTCATATTTACTATTATGCTGCTGCATTTTATTGGAAATTTGTTTATCATTCTCTGTTCTATTTTCAGTAGTTACTTTTTCTTCCTGCGCTAGGTTTGTGACTTTGGTTTTTTTCTTTTGATCTGTATTCTTCTTCCTCGGTGCTCTCTTTCTGGTAGTTGTTGCTTCAAAGACTTCAAATTGGTATTCTATCAAACCATTTTGTTGCTGTTCTAATAATCTCCTTTGTCTTCGAGTCATCATTCTACTCACTTTGGGTATATCATTTGTATCCTCTACTGCTTTTCTCTTTAATGGTTTGTTGTCGTTCATATTACTAGAATTTGAAACATTAACTGGGATTTCTATCGTCTCTATAACATTATTATTTACTTCATTTGATATACATTCTTCTTTTTCTTCTGTTTTTGGTATAATTTTATCTTCTCCTAGTGAGGTAGTATTTACAATATCTAGTATAAAGCTTTCTTCTTTTACTTGTATTAATTTTGCATCCAATTTTTCTTCCTCTACTTCTTCTTCTTCTTTAAATTGCTCAGATAAATCTAATGACCTATCCTCTAATGCTGGCGTTGATTCTAAATAGGGCTTTGATGAAGCTTCATGGAAGTCAGAAAATACGTCTCCGTTAGGTGGTGGTGGTGCCACCATCATACTATCCAATCCATCTAACAAATTATCTTCCATAGGTGTATTTACTTCAAAGAGGGAAGAAGCATTTTTATTAAAAGAATCAGTTTTAGGTTCTAATATATTTTCCATATTAGATTTGATCGTTAAATTAGATTGATTCAATGGCGATGCGAATAAAATGTTACTGTTATGTTTGTCTTTCCCAGCCGAATAATATTCGCTCTTGAATACTTCACGGAAATCATATTGAATATCCTGCGTAAACCGTGAATGTTCATAGGGACTTAGAAAACAAGCTTCTGCAAATGAATCATATGCATCTAATAAAGAGCGATCATGTCTTAAACTGTGTAGAACGAATGGCGAAGACTGGATATCATAACGAAGGGGGGTATTATTGTGTGGGCGTTTAGGTGTTGTACTTTGAACTACAATAGGTATACCGCGATTATCCATATATGTGCGTTATATGTGTATATAAAAGACGCTAAAGAAGTAATGATAATATGTATTAAAAAAAAAAAAAAAAAAAAAAAAGAAATTGACATCCAGAAATAAAAATTTTTTTTAAATAAGCGATGATCGATTCATTGATGTCAAGAAGTTACAATGATATAGAAAGACGGAGTTCACTTGTCAAAAAATATATATAAATAAACATATAAACAAATATATTTTTATATAAATACACATATGTCATTTTTTTTTTTATGTTGTTGCTGCCTTGACTATGCGTTATTATATTCATAATCAACTAAAATAGATCCTTACATACATATCTGTAACAAGATCAACAGCCTAAAGTTTATGTATGCATAATCATGTTTAATCCAAATATACGCCTTATTATTTTGTACGATTTATCTGAGATGAGGTAAGACTTTTTTTTTTTCCTCCTTAAAGGACTTTCTACACATTCTTAAGCTTTCTTTTGCAAATGATGAAATCAGTTCTCTTTTTATTTTATTTTTCTAGTACTTGAAGTAATAAAAAAGATATTTTTTTTCTTAACTGTCTAGTCATAATATTATTAGAAGAAAACATTCTTTCACGAAATGAGTTATCTTTAACTCTTCAACTACTTGTTACTACACTCTTTTTTCAATAATCTTTGAGAGGATAGATTAACTCTTTTTGATGATAGCAAGTTGGTATTCATGCAGATATGACGCAGTGTTCTATTTGGAAGAATAATAATAATAATAATAAAAAAAAATAGACGACAAGGAAATAAGATTATAGAAACATTATTAACTCGGGCATTAGTCAACAAATGAAATAAAACAGCTAACTATTCAAGTATTCGAGAGTCAAAAAAAATTTTTTTTTGTACACTTTTCTCTACAATTACATGTTAACAAATTCCCACCAGATAGAATTGAGTAACTGTGTATGACTAAAATAATGATTCTTAGATATTATAGAACTGAAGAAAAAAAAAAAACGAAAAACAAAAAATAAAAACTTCAAAATGGTAAAATTATAGTGCAGATATTTGTATATTTGCATGTAATATTTAAGAGAAATTGTACATGAGAAAAATGGTCCTTTTTCTTTTTCTTTTTTTTCTTTTTGTTAATGTAATATATTTGGAATATATGCATAAAAGGCTAGTTTATATATTGGTATGCATATATTTGTTGTACATGGACTTATTTATATTATTATAACTATCTCAAAGACGTAATAGGAGATAAATCGTTCGTTGGAATACTAGGTACAGGAGGAATGTCTGTTAACTGTTTCTTTTGATCATTATTTTCCAATAAGTTCATGTAAGCTGTAGGATTATTGCGTTTTTCAAACTCAGTATGAAGAAAATCGCGTACTTGTCTTCCTGAACGCATACGAAGAATACGAAGAATGGTATCGCTGTTTGGTAAGTCAATAGAAGCTGATTTCCTATGCGCATTTGATTTTCTCTTTTTAACTGTATTCTTGGAATGATATACTGATTTACTTCTATCTGCCTTCCTTCCTCCACGTAATTTCAGTTCTAATTGATTCTTCACTGCAGAATTGTATGCTTCAATTAATTGATCTGTATCCAAATTATACGCAGCATTAATAGCTAAAAGAGCATAGTACTGAGAATTTTCGAGTTTATCTAAGGGGACAGCATCTCCATCTTCACCACCGTTAAATAAAATTTTAAGAAGCTACGTATATTATATTAGTATTTTTTTTTTTTTTTAAAAATCAAATAAGCCATTGTTTACCTCTAACCATTTGTAAACAACATGGAATTCATAATCATCTAAAGGCTTCCACTCTGACAATTGTTCTGAAAGGGGTGGTAATAATACATTTTCTAGTGAAATCAGAATTTCTCTCCAAATTCTCAATATGACAAATTGCATATTTGTCTCGGATAAATTATCATTCAAAGTCTTTAAATTTTTCTCTAAATAATCCAATAATGGTGCTATGGAGTCTTCACAGTCTTGAAGAGTTGGTTCAATGTGTTTATTGGAACGAGAAAATGAAGAAAAGAAACTACGATCACGTCCTAATAATTTATCTAATGATTTACGGTTCAAGATTTGTCGAAAATAACTTCCCATCTATAAAATTCACAGTAAACTTATTATTTAGCTATATATATATAGTATGTGTGTGTATATATATATTCACCTTATCGACAATAAGACCTGCAGCATCGTTTTCAGCCCTTTTCAAAACACGGAAGGCTTTACCAAACCAAAACTGAATATCATCCTTTTCACCTTCCATACTAACACGTAAGATAAGCCTTCCTTGAGGATTGAAATTTAAAACGAGCTCATGAGTTTGGAAATCACCATAATAAGAGGGGCCCAGTTTAAACCAGACACCACCACACTCTTCATCAGCACCAATCACGTCTTCATCATACACAAGAGCCAAGACATCTACAGTCTCATCTGTAAGCCAAATATCAAATACTTGGTCCCAACGAGGATTTAAAGTCTCATAAACAGTTCTTGTTCTAGCTACAGGCTTTGAATCAATTTCAAGAACAATATAAGGATCACTTAAACCATTATTATCTGCAGGAGGTAAATTTTCTGCTCTAACAATTTTTATAGAGTATAAGTAATTAGTATTGGTTTCAGTGGCCTTTTCATTTGCAGAAGGTGATAATTGTGATTCATATTCTCTCATTACTTGAGCAATTTCATCTACATCCATATTTTGGTATAATCGATCCAGCTTTATACGTGCAACTTCGATATTATTAATTCTTACGCACGTCTATAACAAGAATTTTAATTTTTTTTTTTAAATCTCTATTTGTTTAAAATTTCGTTTGTTACCTGTGTCATAAAGTCATAGGGCTCTTCATGAGCTTTTCCGTGCGTACGATTGCCAATCAATTGATAACGAGCTCTATCAAAAAAGTTAGCACTCGCATTTTGTACTTCTTCCATGTAATAACGGGGATAGATATCCATCGTAATCATTTCTTCTAGTTCCATGGTATATTGTTCAAGTGCAACACCAATCACTTTAGAAAGGGCTGTATTAAAGTAGCATTCTTGTAGTCGATTGGGCCATTCTAACTTTTGAACAAAATCAACGGCTTGATAAAACATAGTAAAGAGATCAACAATGGAAGATGAATGAGGAGTTGTTTCATTAACCGCCTTAAACTAAAAAAAAAAAAAAGACAGTTATAAGTTATGTTTTACTATTTAAGTTTTAATGTTTCTTACCTCATCTTGTTTAATAGCATTACTAACCCACTCTGGTGTTTCTCCTGCTGTCGTTTTTAGCCATCGTTTGACGTGTAATAAAAACCATGATTCAACTTTGAATAATGCGGATTTTTGTCTATATGAAAAAAGAGTAAGAAACATTTTAAATATGTTTTTTTTTTCTTTTTTTTTTTTTTAGATGTTATTTTTACTTTGGACCATATTGATCATAAAGTCTTTTTAATGTAAGTACTTTATCATATAACTGAAAAGTCAGGTCAATAGGTGCATTCCTAGCTTCAGGAAGAAAGGCCCAATTTTCCATTTCTAATACAAAAAAGGGCATTTGTCGAGCCATAACAATACTTGGTAAATGTAATGCACTAGATATAAAATTAAAAACATTTTTATTTACAAAAGATCATATACATATGTACTTACTTCTTAAGTGGTTTTTTAAACTTCTTTGCAACACCAACAAGCTCTTTAATCAGCTTATCAGCCAAATGCATCAAATTCGTCATATCATCATTTTTAGGATTCAAAACTGATTTTTCTAAGACTCTCCACCTAGAAACCGCTGCACCCTATTAAAAATTTAAAAAGTATAGAATATTCATATATATACTTCAAAAGAAAAAAAAAACATTGACGTTACTTACTGCAATTGTTTCTTCTAACAAATTGAAATGTTGATATGGATCAGAATGATCTTCAAGATATGCTGGATTTTCATAAATATTATCTAGTAAATCAATTTGATCTTTAACAAATTCCGGACTAAAATGAGATGAGAAAGAAATCAGTAAACCTGGACAAAAAAAAAAAAAGTTCTTTTTCTTTCAATTTACTTGATTCTCCAATATTGGCTCAAAGAATCAGCTAAATAGCGTAGACAAGTTTCATTTAAGCCTTCAAACACACGAATTAAATTCTCTCTCTATATATGTTTTTTTTTAAAAAAAAAGTGATTAGTTATAAATTATAAAAAGTACATTCTTATTTTATACATCATTAATTGTCCAATTTCGAATTTCATTTTCTTTTAAACATTTATCAAGTGCTCTCATAGCATCTCTAACATCAAGTATATCATATTCATTCTGAAAATCTTCAGTATCCATACGATTTTTGATAGTTTCTAGATAAAGCACAGCTCTAAAAGGAGGAGATAAACGCCAAGTTGTCCAACATTCACGTAAAAGGTCTTCAGAAGCTTGAGATAATAGACTTGATTTTGCTCGTTCAGTATCAGGGGCAATCTTTGTATCAAGATCCATGCACATATTCATCAAAAGACGGAAATAGGATCGAGGATCATTAGGAATATAAGTATAGGGGCTCTATTGAAAAAAAGAAATGCAAATAAATATATGTCTATCTCGATATATACAATCTAAATTTATAAAATTAAATACGAACATCATCCAGAGAAGAAGAGCTACCATAAATAGAATTTCTTTTTGTTTCATTCATTTTTCTATTGCTACCTGATAAGAGGTTAGTAGATCCAACATCCTGTTCGTTACTGATATTTAAAGAAAAGGATGGGCTTGTAACCATAACTGTCATTAAGCCTTGTAAATATTTCTTTTCTCTTGTTACCCAAGCATCGTAAGCTTGTTGGCTTGCAAAATCCTCTCTTCTACCTGGGAAAGATTGGTTTATATTGACTGCGTTGATTAGCTGCTTTAAGTCCAAAAAAAAGTTCTAAAAAAAAAAGAAAGGAAGGAAGTAAGAAAGAAAGAAAATAAATGCATAAGCTACGGAGATATTATAAAGATATTTACTGATTCTGTACAAATTGATTGTAGTTCATGAATTTTTTGTCTATGAATTGAATTTTCAATTTGAAACAAATTCTGCACAGTTTTAACCATTGGGAAATTTTCAATTATATCTACAATATCTGTCGAAGAAGAGTTACTGTTATTATTCGAGCTACTATTACTATTTCGTTGTTCCTGTATATGCTGTTTCTTTTTTGACTTTGGGGGAAGAATTGATTTATTTAGTGTAGAAATCAGTTCAGCCGAAGCAGAATTAGGTGCGTCTTCTTTTAGGACCAATAACAATACTTCTGTAAATAAAACAACATAATTGTCCAAATCCTTAAACCAAACAGCAGGATTAGGATCAGACTTTTTAAGTTCAGCTTCACTTGTTCTCAAAAAAGTAACGAGTAAATCGTTTATAGAGCCCTGAGGACGATAGCGATGTTGTTTAACGATATCTCTTACTTGCTTAACAATCGAGATAAAACGACGATCGAGATATTCAGTCTTGGAAACATCCCTTCCTTCTTTAATATCGTCAAGTCGACGCATGAGACCCACCACCACAGGTTTTGTTAATTTATCCTTAGTAGCATCATCACTAGCAAATTTATCAGCTATATTACCAAAGACATCACTTACACCACTTAGATGAACTGAATGTCGATGACTACTAAAACTGTTACTAGTTCTTCGTTCCCTAACGCTAGATGTAAGTTTTTGTTTACTTTGATGTTCAAGGCAAGCATGGATGGCGCATCGAAGAGTGTAATCATAAACATAAGCTGGGTTTAATGTTCGAATGGCTCTTCTAGAACTATTTCCACCACGACGAAGTGTAGAAGAGCTCTTTGCTTGCATTTAAAACTTTGTATTTTCTTTTGTAAATGACTTGTTTATTTTATTTTATTTTTTTTAAAAAAAAAAAAATAATGTTAATTGAAGATGAATATAATGAACAAGTGAAAAAGTTTAATTTTAATACGAGTTCAATAAATCTACGCCGCACATGCTTTGAAACCCAAATAATTTTTACAATAAAAGAAAATGACTCCACTTCTACGAATAATACCATTTCAGCCCAGATCTTTATTTTATAAAGGAAAACTATTTACAAACAATAATTCAACTGCTTTACGTTGTATATTCTCTACTTTTAACAGAAATGCAGGCTATATCTTCTAAAGCGGCTTACAGTAAAGTTTACTATTAACTCAATCAATATTGATAAACGTAAGAACTAATTATTTAGTTCTTTCTTCTTCTTCATAGTGTATTTAAAAGATAGTCCTGTTTTCCCCGAAATCATGAAGTAAACAGTAATCTATTAACTTCCTTTTGTATATAGTAGATGTTAAAGAGATCCAATGATTGAATCTGGGCGAATTTTTATTTGGTTAGCCATAATAAAGCATTAAAATACTTAACATAACATGTACAAGAACCTATTCTATGTTTAATATTTATGGTAGGCTACAGTTCCTAGTATCTAACTCTAATACTGATGCAATTCATAATCCAACTATTAATGTTTATTAGAAAGCTCGTAATATACCTAACTGTATTCATAACTGTGCCTATTTTTTTTTTTTAAATAATTATAGCTTTACTGAGCTTTTTTAATACTAGTAACAAACATATGCTATAATTAGATAATAAAACGAGGAAATCACTTTTATATATACTATATTGATTGTTGTTCAATATTTTACTCCTTACCATTTGAACAAGATTAAAAAAAGAATTGTAAAAAAGTAAAATATGTATAAGCCTAAGGTTTTTTATTTTATTTTTTTATTTTTTTTTTTTTGCTTGCTCTACCGTATTAAGTTTCTTTTTATTCAATAAATAAATACATTTTTGAATCCTTTTAACTTGTAAATATAAAGAAATTCTTTCTATTCATGTAATTAATTTTTTTTCATAATGAAGCGTATCTAATAAGATATTTTCAACAATAAATAGGTGCCTGGCTTGAGTGAAAAAAAAAAAAAAAAAATAAATAATAATAAGAATACTAGAGCTGAGTTTTTTTTTCTAATTTAATAATGAACAGCAGAAAAAAGGAAAAGACTCTTTTTTTGTTTTGGTGAATACAATATTATATCCTTTTCTTCTTTTGTATTCAATAATGATCAAATCTGTTTTAATATTTAATAATCATGGTAAACCACGACTCATAAAGTTTTATCAGCAAATCGTAAGGTTTTCATTATATTATTTTGCTCCTACATGTTGATAATCTAAACTAAACTAAAATAAAATAAAGGACATTGCAACACAACAAGCTTTGATACAAGAAATCTTTTCATTAGTGTCCAAAAGACCCGATACAGCATGTAACTTTTTAGAAGGTAGTAAACTTCTTGGTGGTAAAGACACACGCGTTATTTATCGACATTATGCTACACTTTATTTTGTATTTGTTGTGGATGAAAGTGAAAGTGAACTTGGTATATTAGACTTGATTCAAGTAAGATATAATAATGGAAATTAGATATCATATATTCATCTAGTCTGATTGGTTTTTACGTTTATATAGGTTTTTGTTGAAAGTTTAGATAAATGCTTCGAAAATGTGTGTGAATTAGATTTGGTAAATTTAAAAGGACATTTTTTTTTGTTTTTTTTTAAAAAAAAAGAAAAAAAAAATGACATCAAATAATGCTTAATTATTTAGATCTTTCATTTTGACGAAGTGCATGCCATCTTGTCAGAAATTATTCAAGGTGGACTAGTGTTAGAAACAAATATGGGTGAAATTGTGTCAGCAATAAATGAAATGAATAGAGCAAAGAAAAATACAGGTGGAATAACAGCTAATAGCTTAAGTTTAAGAGCAACAGAGTCACTAAAAAGTTTTCGTCATTAATGTACACATACATAATATATCTTACATAATAAATTAAACAGTTTATATGCTAATATATTCACAGGATATGCAACTATAAATGTATATATTCGATAAAGAACTAAGCATAATTACAATAAATAAAGTGGTTTCAAACTTACATAATAGGAGTTTACTTTGTTACCACTGAAGCATATCATTAAGACCGTCTTTTATAGTTTCATTTAATTTTCAAGGTGGGCCTTTAATTATGTATACATCATATCAATATTATAAAACACACACAGCAGCAATGATTGTTAGAGTCCTAGTATATTTGTATACGCTTTACAACAGCACGCACCCACATATCATGCAATATGTATAAAGTCAACCCAATCTAAAACTACAACACACTTTCTCTCGCCTAACGTATGCTTTATATGCAATTTTCTATTTGAAAGTAACATATAAATCATGATATGTCTAAGCTCTCATGCTGACCATTCTCTCTCCCTCTCTCTCTCTCTCTTTATTAAACAAGAGTAGCATTTGCAATCTTTGTTCCAACACTATCTTTAACCTTTTTTAATAAGACAAATGCCCATAATACTGTTCGTTCTCTATTAAAGTTTATTATATCTTATTTATATCTTGAACGAGTTTCATAAAAAAAAAAAAAAGTCCCAGACCAATCAGGTTACCCTGCCTTGATCTGTTTGTTACCCTAATATTGATACCATCAGCTATAAACTTAATTACTAGTTACATCTTTACACACCTACTGTCAAAACTTGGGCAAATAGCATAGCAATTTCTATGCACATGCACATCCTTACATAATATATTTGTTGCACAAAAAAAAAAGAACATTAAAGGTTATAACGTCAATAAACGTATATTATATATGTATATATCTATTTATTTATTTAAGTGTATAGTTATTATAAGTATATAATACACATATGCAAATACAAAAGAATAAAGGGGAGGAGGAGAATGTAAAAAAAAAAATAAAATAAAAATAAAATGACAAAATATAAAGGTAAACTACTGTACAATATTTGTTTATGTGTATAAATAAATGGAAATGCCTATATATGTACTCTATGTGGCTTCGAAAAGAAACAACAACAACAGTACGCCACCGAATGAGGAACGTTACACGAACCTAGCAATGGCTCTTTGGTAAGGTTTTATAGAAGCACATTCTTCCCTTAAGTTTTCAGACTTTGGATCCTCCCATTTGTTTTGAGTAATAAATCTACGAGCTAATCGTATACAAGTTTCCTCTCTAAATTGTGTATATAATCTACGATTATAATATCTCTATTATATATATATATATATAAAGGTCTTAATAATATATCCAAAAAAATAATACATAATCTAATGAATTTTTTAGTTACCTCTATCTGTCTTGCTTCATCAGGATAGGCATGAGTTTGATGGATGATAAAGTCATTTGGTAAGACATAAAAATTAACACCAGAGATATAAAGTTCATAGAGACAAGCTGCTTTATTACTACCATAACCAGCAAAACGTTCATCACACCAAGGAGAACCTTGATTCTTAAAGATAACATAGGGCTCATAAGAGTATTGGTAACTGGTGACTTTATAAATCTCTTCATTTTCATTAAGCCAGTCATCATAATCAGTGGGGGCATGTCCTGGTAACCAAAAGGAATGAAACATTTCGATATTTTTATCCTTGTATTCTTTAACAAGCTCAGACTTTGTCTTTGGGAATGTACGATAATCTAAGCCTTCTTCTTGTCTTGAATATTCAAAGGCGGGGATAACCAAGGCTGATTGCCCAGTTCTTAAGAGATTCATGGCCTTAGGGTTATTAAGAACAGAATGGCGGATATCGGTGGAAGGATAGAAATCGATATCGAGTTGCATGACATATTCTGTTCGAGCAAAGAGCCTAGCTACATTTCTCCAAAGGTTTAATTCGCGATCAAATTTGTCACGAATAACATGAACATCTACATATTTGCGCATATTCGAGTTCTTATTCATGGCTTGTTCCAAGATTTCAAGTGTAAATTCACCTTCATCGTCATCAGAGACATGAATAGTCACTGAGATAGGCCCTATAAGTAAAATAAAATGTTACTATGAATGTTGTTTTGACTTTTTTTTTTTAAAAAAAAAAAAAGGCATTCAAATCATACCTTGATATTTTGTTGCAAGTCTTGATAGATTTGGAATTCTATTTCTCGTAACTAAAGTGATAATTGTAATATCTTCGTCCATAAAGTTGATTTGAGATTTGTAATAATAAGGAATAATTTGAGATTCTTCAGAATAAGAGGATAACGAAAATGATTTTGATAAAATAGTTTCAATCGGCAATTGATGTATGTCACCTATAAAAAAAAAATACATTTAAATATGTGTACATACATATATATAAAGATGAAATATATATATTTATATGCATACCTTTCCCGTCAGCCCAAGTGAATTGGTTATTCAATCGGGCTTCATGTTGAAGTATTAAATCATTTTTAAAAAAAATTGCTCTTTTAAAATGAGAAGTATAGGGTTCATATGTACAATATTTTGTTAATAGTGCTAAACAAGATAAAAGAAGAACAAGCCCTAAGGTTTTAGTTCCTTTACGAGACATAAATGACTGAAAATCGACACTCATTAGATATAGGTGTATATATTTATAAAGTGAAAAAAAGAAAAGAAACTGTTTTTTTTGTTTTTTTTTTAACAAAAAAAAGGCACAAAAATCACGACCTTTTATAATATTTTGTAAATGCATGTTTTTGGATATATTCTATAAATACAATAACTAACACTTGATCAAATTTATACTATAATAGGTAAACTAGTTGCACAAATTTGCCTTATACGTTTTTGTTTTTTTTTCTAAGCCCATATACGTCTTAGGCATAATTCACTATAAAGAAAAAGAAAAAATTGCCGGGTAAAGCTCATTAACAATTAATTATATTCAAAATAAATATATAGAAAAAAAAAAAAACGATACGTATTATTGATCACAATAAAACACAAAATTTATTCTATTTAATTTTATGAAAATATACTTAATCTCGTATAGAACAGTGAAGAAAATAGGGAATAAGGTTTACATATTACCTTGAGGATATTTGCTAGTTGTTCAAGACCAAAGAAGCGTCACTGTTTAAGTAATAGATCATTTTAAAGGCTTGGAGTTTATGACAAATTATCCAAGGCGCATCCTTTTTTCTTTCAAGGAAACATAGCATCTTAGAATTCTTATTTAATACAAAGCAGACAATGATATTGGCACAATCACATCATAAAAAATGATAAGCCTTTTAGAGGAAAAATCAAAGTACAGATATCGTGTTTACAGATAGTGGAATTAATGTTACTTTCAGCCATTGAGGAAGCTTCATCCTATTTTTGTTACTTATAGGGTAATCTAGTCAAGAGGTTAAAAAGAGATTCTTAAAGCAAATAGGAGAACTACTACTTCTGCCAAATATCATTCGAAAGAATTGAAATAATTTCAACAGAGTAATATAGATCTTGAGACGGAGAAAAGTATATCACTTGCAACAAAAAATACTTGAAGCTAAAAATAGTCATTTATATAAATGTGTCAAACTTGAAATGAGGCGTTATGCCTTTAGAAATAAAGACAGAAGATTATTTAGTCATTAAAAAAAAAATACCGAAAAGTATGTAGGAGTTAATGACAATCCTCTTCATTTTACAATTGTACGTTAGAAGCTACAGGAAACCTTCTGTGAAAATATGCAACTTAATCAAAGTACTGTTTATTTAACAAACTAAAAGACTCTGCTTCATGTAAAGATCTTTAAGTAGCATAAGAAAGAAATTATATATAATAATTATTATAAAGGGAAGCATATTTGAAAAAAGCGAAATTTTTTAAAAAAAAAACGAACATTTATGGCTGATTGCTCTTGTTGAAATATAGGTTTTTCGACATAAAAGAGGCTGTGCTTCATAGATAAAATTACAAAAGGAGGAGTAAATAGGATTTGATGAAGTGTACGACACAGTTTTTGCTATAAATATGTGTGGAATAACAATTTGTTAAAGGAACAAATTTTCTATGTTTTATATTAATTTGAGAGAGAAAGGACAAATATCTCAAAGACGTATACCCAATAAGCCATACCTTATTTAAAATCAAAATGCGTAATTAACCCTCTAGCATTTATATGTTGGTCTGTTCTAACAGACAGAGCAATGTCAACGTATATTAGTGAGTACAGAAGTGGATGCAGATATCTATTAATTCTCTTTACATGCATGTATTCTATAAAATATGTTTATATTTCTACATTCAAAGTTATTGCTTAAACAAGTCTATCACACTTAGATATTTGTAAGAGCTAATTCTAACATCTATTTTTCAAATATATTTCTATACTTATTTTTTTTTTATCATTTGCTTGAATAATATAACTTAAAAAAATATATCTTTATTTAACCCATTCTATACCAACTCTTATATAAACTTGACCATGCTCCCTTATACTTTTTCTTGCTTGTTCATACTACTTCCTTAATAAACATCTTTTAGATGTGTTTCCACACATAATTTAGTAGGTTTATTCTTATTTTTCCCACTTTATATGTGGCAATTCTCTTTTTGAAAATCATGTCTTTCACCTTTGTCTCTCTGGATATAAATTGAAAAATAATCCAAAAAAAAAAAATAAAATAAAATAAAATAATAATTACGTAACAAAACTTGGCTTTCACATAAATTTATAGTGTTTTTAATAAAAGTATAAAGGAGAGCCAAGCATTATTAAAAGGAGATAAATTCTTCTTTTTTTTTTTTTTTTTTTTTTAAAATAACATAGCTGTTTTAATTTTATCTTTTTTTTTTCTTCTTTCAAAATGACTGAAACTACAGAAACTCCAAAAGCAGTTCTTAGAAGACTGTATCCTGGAAAACGTTTAGAAGTAAGGCAAAGAAGAAAAAAAAACTAATTAGTCATTTATTTATTGTTTACATTTTTCCTTTTTAAAAGGATTCTTTTCAATGGCCTATTGAAAGTTTAGATACTCTGGAATCAGCGTTCAATGTTCAAGAATATTTACAACAACTAATACGAAAAGATTATAATGATGTTCATCATATTGTTGAATTACCAGATAATGTTGATGATGAAGTTTGGCAATATGAACATTTAAGGTATTAAAATTTAGATTGCTTGGTTATTTCACAATTTAATAACAATCTTTTTTTTTTTTTTTTTTTTTTTTTTTTTTTTTTTTTTTTTTTTTTTTTTTTTTTTTTTTTTTTGCTAGACAAGTTTGTTTAGAACTAAGCTTACTAGTTGTAGCATTAGAATCGGAATGTACTAAACAAAATTGTCCCGAAATGAAAGCAGACGGATGGCTATATCTTTGTGCTGCTCATCCTGCTACACAATCAGTACATGTCAAAATCTTTATAAAGTTGATATATGTATATTTTATTTAATAATCCATTTATGCATTTACTTTTATTAGTGTCCTGCCATAGATTATATAATTCATACTTTAGATGGAGCAACGATTTTATTAAATAACTCCAAATACTTTCCAAGCAGGTAAATAGAGAATGATAAAACTAAACTTGGATGACTGACTGACTGACTTTTTATTAGGATTTCAGTTCCTGAACCATCACTAAAACATTTCCAATCTATTGCAAGACGTCTTTATCGCATATTTGCTCATGCTTATTTTCATCATAGAGAAATATATGAATCCTTTGAAGTAAGTAAGAGAGAGGAAATTAAAGTATTTCTAATGAATAAAACGTATTTTAGAATGAAACTTCCTTATATGCAAGATTTCTTTTGTTATCTCAGACTTATGGGTTGATCCCATCAAGTTTAGTCAGTATCCCAGATAAAGAAGAATCCAATGCAAATGATAATGAAGAAGATAACGATTACAATAGAAATATACCTCATAATGCGTCTGCCATTTTATTATCTCAAGGTTCATAACATACTTGAGTTTTTATAATCTTAATAAAATTTATTTTTTAAAATAATTGTTTGTGTATATTGCGTGTATAATGTGCATTTTCGCTTTTGATAGAAAAAAAAAATTGTTATGTTTTTTTTTTGTTTGTTTCTGTTTTTGCTTTTTATACATATATATCTTTTTCTTTTCTTTTCTTTTAAAGGGCTTCATCTTCATCCATAACTGGTAACTCAGAAGGTTTAACCATACCAGGAATAGCTAATGCCTTGGCCATTTCTGCTTCTCTTTGAGCCTTTAATTCATTTTCCTTTTCTTCCAAGTATAGTTCTGCATTTTCGCCTGCAAACTCTTTCAACTGAATCAAAAAGTCACGTACTTCTAACTTGAACTTAGTTGGGCTATTATTGAATTCAAACATAGCTTGAACAAAGACCTTAATTTGTCCAGGTTGGAGATGTGGGAAAGCATTTTGAAGAAGAGTGGAAACATATTCACGCAAAAAGTCAGCATTAGACATATTGGGGTTGGACGCTTGAGATGCATCAAAGAGAGGAACTGCAATCATGTTATTAGAAACTAATTGGAAAAGACGTGCCAATACTTCTGTTTGTCCCTTAAATCCACTCTTATGATCACGATCTGTGAGTACAAAGAAAATATCTTGAAGGATACTAAGGTAGTATGACTGATAAAAGGCACCAGCAACAGCAGCATCTGTGCGACTAATGTTATCAATCAATTCACCGCAAGTTTCAAGACCGATATCAGCAATATCACGCATGGTATGTTTGAATCCCCAGACAATACTGTCAATAAAGAGTTTGAATTGAGCAGGTGCTAATTCTAATAAGGCAGGGAAACAATGTCTATTGATGGCCTTCAACATGGAGTAGAAGCCTGTTCTATGTTCTGGGTATTCAGCAAAGTCTTTAGTAATCATATTTAAAGTAGGTTCAAAGGTGGCTTCAAAAATAATAGGAACACGGGGGGTCATCAATGACTATATATATATGTATAACATACATGATGATTAGTATATATCCATATTTCTTATATAATTATATACATATATGTCAAAATATCTTTTACCTGCAACTTGTTAATAATAGTAGCAATAACATTCAATACTTCAGCATCTCTAGCAGCATCCACGTTTGCATTATAGTCAGTCAATACAGCTTCTAAGAAAGGACTAACCATATTGTTATTGACAGCATTAATATCAGTAGCACATTCAATATAGGTATCAATCAATTTTAAAATTTCTTTCTTAATCGTTCTCCAACCGCGAACTTTAGGTGTCTTTGTGGCAATAACACCTTGTGCTGAAACACTTTGAGATACTAAATTGCCAACAATTTGGTAAAGAGATAATAAATCCATATAAATTCTGCTTAATTGAATGATAAAAGCAGGTCCTACAGAGGAGCAAGCTGCAACATTTGTCTTGAGAACATTTGCCAACACCTTAATTTCATTTGCATTGTTCAAACACTCCGTATTTTGCTTAGCTTGATTAATCATATTATCCCACTACGGTATATAATAAATATGTCAATAGTCTGAATTGTATCTTACATAATTGTATACTTACAGCAGAATTAGGAAGTTGCATGAATTTGTTCATCAATCTTTCTTGAGCTTGAGGGTTTGTTTGAGCAGCTACCATATAACCAATAGCTTCATAAAAGGTATGGATTTGTTGAGGGGCAAGATCAGAAGTAATGCGATTGATGTTATCGAGAATATCTTCAACAAAAGGATGTACTTCACCTTGTTGTTGGACAACAAAGTGACGTCTACATTGCTGAGCAATCTTAATAAATGTATCACAAGCCATATCCTGAACACCTTCATGGGACTCATGCATAAATTCAAATAATTTATTAACGACCGTCTTTAGGAATTTCCAATGAGCCTTCAAGAATCGAGGATATTGTCCAACACAATACATAATATTTGAAGCAACGACTGCCTTATTATCCTTACCACGTTTCATTTCACAAAGAGAAAGGAGTTCCTTAATGACAGTAACTAAGAATCGTTTCTCAGTTTCTTCATTCATAGCACCTGAAATAGAACCAATAGCCCAACATAATTTATTTAGATTATTCCAAGACCATTCGCTTCCATCCATCTAAATCTGAGGTATTAGAAAAGTCTATTTACTTTTCTCAATTCAATTTTTTTTTTACCTGTCTGGCTAACTTGGCAGTCATAATTTCTTCAGTGTCATTTACATCAAGATTGGTAAGATAAACAAGAACTTCTTTCATACTCTTGTATAAAACAATAGTATCACTTTCCTTTACAAATTCTCTTACAATTTCACCTTCATCATTTTCAACAACTAAAACCTATACATATAAAATGTCAATAAAACCCTTTTTTTTTAAAAAAAAAGAAGGTAATCAATGATCCACTACTTACTTCCTCAGGCTTAACCATACGTTCAATCATAACAACTCTCAAGTTAGACAGAACGGAAAGGTAAAGGTTCTTTCTAGACGCGCCATTGAAACCACCCAAGTTATTTAAATCTAACAATGAACTGGTTCCTTGATTTGCTAAAGCTGCTTCTTCAAATAAACCTTGTACTAACTTGGCCCAATATTCCAAACAAATCTTGAAAATTTCACGATCTTCGACACGAGAAATTTTAATAAGATAGAAATGTGCATTGACAAGAAGCTCGTGAGAATTAGGATAACGTTCAACAACCTAAAAGAAGAGTTAACAATGTAAATTTCTATGATATAACTCCTGTTATACCTTAAGATGTTGAGAAAGGAAAGTTGTAAGGAATAAAGCTAAATTCTGAACAAAATCTTGATCGTTGTCGTTACTATTTTCATAAACTTCAGCAATGTCTGTACTAGGAGGAATCATGGTATTTGTAGCTGTCATAACACTGGTAAACATAAATACAATTTTGTCATAATACGCTTCAGTAATCTCAATTGCACTAATTTCAGTAAAACATTTAAGTGTGACATTTCTAAATTGAGGTACTTCAAAAAACTAATATATAATCAAGTTGATCAATCATCAAATTAAAATTAAAATTAAAATTTGGCTTACTTTAGCTCGAAGTGTTTCAATGAGATCAGTTTCGAATATATAACCAATGGGGACCCAATGAACAAATCTCAATAAAGTCTCAAGGGTAGCTTTAATAAGACTAGGCTTGACAGCTTTGTCGAGAATCTCTCTACACAAGTCATAAATTTGTGCGAATTCCTGCTTCATTTGTGTTTTTAAAGTAGATGCTTTGATTTGAGTCATTTGTTCATCAGAGAAATCAAAAATTTCTTCACTGTTATAAATAAAAAGTTAAATATCTCTTATACATAATATATATGTATATGTATATATTTATCTTTTACCTCAAAAGCTTCAAGATGGCCATATTATTTTCACAAAGTGGAAGACTGGTCTTACTTGAAGCAATAATTTCAGGAATAAAAGAGGGCCAATTATGAGGCCATTCTTGTTTAAGGATCTAGCACAAATAATAAGTAATTGTTAAGATATAATTTAATCAATATTTAATTATACCTGAACTAGAACCATGTTGAGCTTGTTGATATAGGTACGTTCCTTTACTAATGTTGCATCATCAGAAGATTGTTTTACAATAACATTAACAATAAAATAACGAATAGCTATCATTCAATAATACGTTAGTGACAACATTTATTTATATCAAGTACTTTTTATTAAGAAAAATGATGGAATAATTTAGTCAACTTACCATTTCTACTATCAGCTTGTAAGGTATTCCATCTTGTTTGAATAAACTTTTCCAAAATCTGCAACGCGATAAACTGTATAAAAAAAAAAAGAGAGAAAAAATCGCGTTATATTTATTTCATTTTTTGTTTTGAAATATTAAATTTCTTACCTTTGTTTGAGGAATACTAGATTTCTCTAAAATACCATCAACACGTGTCCAAGCTTCATCATGGTCTTGAAATTGGGTTAAAACTTGTTGGGCCATTTGTTGCTATAAAAAAGGTTTGTGTAAATTGAAAATTAAAATATTGCACAAGCAAAAAAAAAAAAAAGGAAAAAAAAAAAGAAAAGAGCTTTTCTTACCTCATTACCAGAGCCTGTATAAAAGGCCATGACAACTTTGTCCATCAAGCCAACATCAAATTCTTTGCTAAAATCTAAAAGATTTTCAGCCATTTTTTTAGTTTAATAGTCTGTTTATGAAAAAAAAATAAAGAAGGGAAAAAAAAAATTGATTACTAAAAAAAATAACATGCATTGAAAGCAAGCGTATTGCTGCGTTAATTTGAAAATAGTCACAGGCCTTTATTTAAAAGGCGATATATACAACCAATTAGATCAATCATTAAAAGTAACTGATAATCTCTAAAGAAAAATAATGCTTCATATATACTTTAATCATACACAGAAGTCCATTATGATATATATAAAGAAAATAGAACGATTAAATTAAAAAGGTAAGATTAAAACTTATGCAGCTATAGACACAAGTTAATAATTAGGACTCTTCAACTAAATTCAAGTAACATCTGTCCATGAGGAGCTATTCAAGTTCAATGGAATACCCCATTCCTTATTGTTTGAAAAAAAAAAAAGAAGCGAATATGTAAATGAATGATTGTTTTCTATTTTTGGGCAAACAGTTATGAAAGAAAGAAAATGAATATACAATAAATTCAATAACCAATAAATACATATAAATAAGTTACATCAACGATTATGACTGATTATCAACAGAAAATACGTTAACAGAATTTATTGCATCTAAATCATCGGCACATAAATGTCGAGCTATTTCAATTGCTACCCTGACATATTTAGAACGATGTTGCTCATAAAGGTACAAAATAATCATTTTTATTTATTTCTTACACTTATAGCAAATAAAAGTAATAAAGCTTATAGTTAAACGTTGAACACAAATAAATTTCCTTTCCTTTCATTAGCCATTTAATTATAACATTAATGCATTTAATAAATTGACAAATCCCCCCTTTTTTTTCACGTATAAATTTAATAAATAAGCTTTATTTTTATTTTTTATTTTTATAAATCAACTTTTAATTGCGAAGTGACTGTATTAATTATAAACAAATCAAATGTTTCTTTTATTTCTTCAGTAACTTATTTTTATTCAATTTAAGCTTCGTATGTCGGGTCATTATGTCCCCCAAAGTATGTGTATCAAACAATGTCATTTATTTAATATATTAATTTACCTATATAATTAGCAATGAGTAGTGAAAATGGCATGTTTACAGAAGCAGAAGAAACTAAACTACAAACTTTCTTAAATAATCTTGAAACAGTTGATACAGATGTTCAATGTAATCTAATAACATTAGTTATTTCCATTTTCTTTTTTTCTTTTTTTCTTTTTTCTTTCTTAAAAAAAATGAAAAAAAAATAAATAAATATCTAATGGCATTTTTACGTATATTTAGTGGAAAAAAAGAATGAAACAACAAGTAAAAGAAAAAGTGAAAAAAAACGGACAACGCCTTACCAAAAGAAAGGAAAATCCCCAAAAGGGCGAGCAAGAAAGCAACCACATGAGTTACTTTCAGAAGAACAGAAAAAAGCAAATCATATTGCTTCTGAACAAAAGAGAAGAGCTAATATTCGAGTTGGCTTTGATCAACTAGTAAACATAGTACCAACACTTGACAGTTATCATCGGAGTGAATCCGTTATTTTACAGAAATGTAATTTTGTACATGTACATGAATGTTTGTAATGTTAATTTTATTTTGTTTTATTTTTTTTTATAGCTGTGAAATACATTAGGGATTTAATAAAAGATAAAAAGGAGCTTAAACTAAGAGTTAAAGAATTACAAACAATGTTAGGTGAATTGTAAGTTAATTTAATATTTATTCATTTGAAGTAATTTTTTTTAACATCATTTTGAATATTGTAGCCCGAACGAAGATGTAAGTTGTTCTTATTACTTTATTTTTTTTTTTATTATGTATTAACTGACCTTTACAATTTATAGAGTTCCGAAGATGAAATAGAATTTTACTAAGGATTCCATAGTTATCTGAAATAAAATTATCAATGATACCATACATGTAGATCCTTTTTTCTTGTTCTAAAAATAGTGCAAAGGATTTATTTATTTATTCTTGATTTGAGGCTAATTATAGTCTTTTTTTTTTCAATTCTTACTTGGATTCTTCATATATGAATACCAGTTTAAATTATATGGCGTTTTTCGAGAATACATATATGTGTAATAACAGAGCAAAACTCTACTCCATTTCATAGTTAATATTAATTACTGATTCATTTAATACATACGGGCACAAAAATGCTATTAAGGAAGCATAGAGCTGTAAAATGAATATGATTAACAGAGCAAATACTTTATATTAGATTAGATGTATTTTATTTACTGCTACAGCCTTTATATTTCGTTATTAGCGTTCTCTTGAAAGACGGAGGACAAGGATTCATACAAACTCGTCAATATATATATACATGTATATATAATCAAAAACTTCCTTACACTACACACTTTCTCGCTTTGATTAAATAAAACATATAACATATTTATTTACATATATATGTCTTGCTATCGATATATACCTACATAACTTTTGAATAGTAATAATAAGAAGGTTACTTGGAAAGCCTTTTGTCTTTTTTAAATATGATCTTGCTACAAACAAGTAAATATAAATATTTAAATTCATCAATACATATCTTATAATCTCATTGATGAAATAATAAAAAGAATTTTGTCAGCTTAATCAGCTTAAGGGCTATTAGTAAACGCTTTAATGCTTAGGAAGACTCTAAGGTATTAGAAGATGTATAGATTCATGATATTTATGTTTTGCATAAAAATGAAGTCACTTGAGACTAAATTTTAATAAAAAAAACAAGCTCTCTTTTATTATTATTTTTTCTCAAAAGTAAACAATAATAATAATAATAAAAATAGCAATGGAAGATAATAAATGGGAAACATATAATGAAGGTAAAAAAAAAAAAAAGAAATAAATGATCTACAAATCAAATTGAATAGGTATAATTTTTTTATTTTTTACAAACATTAGAATTAGAAGATGATTTAATGATGGAAGATAACCAAGAAGATACCAACGACACTACAGAGAAATCTACCTCAATAACAAACTCTTTCAAAGCTAATAATGTATATCCTGAAGACTTTGTTAAAAATAACAACCCATATAGAAGTAGGTCCCTATTTAGAGGTATGGGCTCATTTGATCTTACTTCAGCATCTTCACCTTTTTGGAATGAAACTCTCGATGATAAAGGCGATCCAAGTTCTTTATTAAAGCATTTAGAAAAGACAATTGTACATGGGGACTTTTTTAACAGTAAGAGATTAATGGATGTCATATATATATAGTTAATAACTTGTTTGCATTTTAGAATTCACTGATGATTTTGATGATGATGATGATTTAGCGTAGCGTAGTATAATAACATTTTTGCTTCCTTATAAAAATATATAGATACATACATAAATATATGTTTTTTTTCCTTTCCTACTTTTTATTTTATTTTATTTTATTTTTTATTAATCTAAAAGTTCTTCAGCTTCTCCCTTCATCAATTTGTCAGCAATAACTTGTTGCACTTCTTTCCAATGAAGTCTTTCTTGTTTACAAGTATCTCTATCACGAATAGTGACTGTTTCATCTTCTAAACTTTGGTAATCAATCGTGATACACCATGGTGTACCGATTTCATCATGTCTGTAATATCTTTTACCAATCTTCAACTTTTGTGATTCAACCACAGTATACCATCCTTTACATCTTAATGACCTTGCAACCTTTTGGGTCAAGCTATTGAATTCAGGTTTACCAGTTAATGGCATCACTGCACATTTAATAGGAGCGAAACGAGGATCAAGTTTAAGAACAATACGAGGTGGTTTCCCTTTATCATTTTCATCTTCGATTTGATGGAAAGCATCACATAAATAAGCCAGCATAGCACGATTTAGACCACAGGAACTTTCAATAACATGAGGGACATAACTACTCGATTCTTCTGATATTTTAAAATTAGCCCCCGTGTTTTGAATATGTTGTGTGAGATCATAATGTCCTCTATTCGCTACCCCTTCTACTTCTCCCCAACCCCAAGGATAAAGATATTCAACATCTGTACAACCACTTGCATAATGTGCCATTTCATCCTTTGTATGATCGCGTTGTCTAAAGTTTTCAGGATGACATGCATGTTCTAGCCACCAACGAAATCTTTCTTTTCGCCAATAATCAAAATAGGAGTTGGAATGACTGGGTGGAACGAAATATTCAAGTTCTAATTGTTCAAACTCTGGAGTTCGGAAGATGCCATGTTCAAGGCGAATTTCATTTCTAAATGATTTACCAACTTGGGCAATGCCAAAGGGTGGTTTCATTTTCATTGATCGCACAACTTGTTCAAAATTAACAAAGACGCCTTGTGCTGTCTCTGGTCGAAGGTAAACGGTACTTGGCTTCAGAACTTCATCCACAGTCGCTCGAATGGTTGATGAGATAGATTCCTTTTGTTGAAGGGTTGTTTGAATGACTCGATCGATTGGATCAATGGGATCTAAAAAAGTTTTAAACATAAGATTAAAAGGTCGACTATCAGTTAAGAAGGGAGAGTTTGTGTTGGGTTCAACGTATCCATGATATTTTAAGATAAAAGGGCTTTGGTTGTCATCTTTCATTTCAAATGTAATCTCACCGACCTGTCCGTTTTTCAAATCAGGATTCATTATAGATGCTGTATGTAGAAGGATACAGTTTCCTTTAACAGTTAATTTGATGTTTGGTGCTAGTTGCTCTTCAATTGTACTTTTCCAGATTTGTGCAGTCTCTTTATTAGGCGCTAAAATGGGTATATGTCCGTCTTTATCTAACGTTATTTGAGGTGCTTTATCAGGTCGAAAACGCTCCTTAGTCAGTGTACAATCCACTAATAAATCTGTAAATTCATCAACATGACCTGATGCTTTAAGGACATGATGAGGGGTCAAAATACTTGTATCTAGTCCAACTACATCATCTCGATAATAGACATGACGACGCCACCATGAATTCAAAATGTTTTTCTTCAATTCTACACCTAATGGTCCATAATCATAGGCGCCTCTTAAACCACCATAAATTTCTGCTGATTGGTATAAAAAGCCTCGACGGCGACAAAGATCGAGTAATGTACGAAACTTTTGAGCCATATATTACTTCTTTCTTTCGGTATAATTAAGAGAGAGAGAGAGAGACGATGATTTTTACCCCGGAAAATGCATTATTTTTACTTTATATGGATAGTCACACTCTTGTAGAGAAATGTCTTTTTTCAAAAAAAAAAAAAAAAAAGGTAAAGGATATACCATTTCTTCTTTATTCACATTTATTGAATGACGACAGAATATAAAGAATGGGAAGAAAATAAAATGTCAAAAATAGCATCAGATTGCAAGCTATATGAAATGGTTCAATATCAATGTGAACCTAATCTTGACCATCTAGAATGTACACCATTCGTAAGACTATTTCTACGGTAAATGATAAAATGATATTTTTTAGATATAAAGATAAACTTATATTTGGTTTAGATGTACAGGAGCACCAACTGTAGAAGTGACACCTGAGTATGACCAAGACGGTAATCCTATTTCAAGGTATGATATACAATGATACAATAGTACTATTTTAATAATGTATATAAATGCTTAGTATATCATTGTCAACAGTAACGTCACCTTCACCGAATGTATTAAAAGAAGAGGAAGAGGAAAAGCTAAAATCAGCTTGATAAATTAATAATAAGAGATAAATTAATAAATGCATAAAGTTGATTTATCATTTCCTCTAAAAAGAAGATATTTATTTATATAATAATCTTACTTGATTGTAAGCCTTATTTCTTTTCTTTTTTTCTTTCTTTTTTTTTTTTTTTTACCTGACCTGACCTGTCCTGACAAAAAAAAAAAAAATAAAATAAAAATGCAGCGTATTTTGTTTACACTATTATTTATAACTATCAGTATTGCTGTCCAAGCTCAACAGCAAGCAACAAATCCTGGAGGATTGATATCTATTCAGGATGTCATTACTTATTTTCAAGAACATGCAGCAAACGCTCCAGCTTCCTCTTCTAGCAATCTCGCTCAAAACTTTTTAACTTGGATATCACAAAAACAAGAAACGAATACTAATCCTGTAGAAGCACAAGCTCCCAATCCTGCAGAGGTACAAGCTCCTAATCCTACAGTTGTTAATCCTCCTCCACCTGTAGCTGCTCCCGTTGTTCCGGTCACAACATTTTATACTTCTCAATTACCTACTCAAAACTTACCTCCTCCTCCACCACCACCTCCATCCCCCACTACCGCTACTACAGGAGCACCCACTGATACACGTCCTGTAACCACAGGTCAACCCACTACAACAGCTACCTCTATGCTGTCTACCACCATGACACGCAGTACTTCTATTTCAATGTCTCCTAGTAGAACAATAAATACGACCTCTACAACTACACCAACAAGAACAAATAATGCTAATGTTTTACTTAATAATTATCCTTTAACCTTTATTACCTTGGGATTAGTATTTATTTCTATGATTTATCTTTAAAAAAATAAATAAATAATAATAATAATAATAATAATAATAAAGTAAATGTATAATAATTCCCTTTTATATTTATATGTATGTATGTATGTATGTGTAAACATATACGTATATAATGCATTATTTACAATGTAAAAATAAAGGATAGAATATTATTTTTGAGCATAATTCATAGCAGATGCTAAGCTTTGAATGATACATCTTGCTATTCGAATATTTTCATAATCTGGATGTATTGTTTCTGTATGTTTCTCTAAATCTGTTCAAGCATGATTAGTAATGACATGTATTATTATTATTAGTATTATTATTACCTGTAAGTAATAAGGAATATCTTGTTACTCGTTGAATAGGAATAATAAAATAATCATCCAATGTAAACTGTCTAGTCTCTTTACGTAAATCAAGTTTCTATAAATAGAGTCATTTTAAGTACATCATCATAACATATACATATACATTTATACTCTATTTTTTTTTTTTTTTTTTTTTTTTTTACCTCTTTATAAAGGATATATCCTTTATTATGTTTAAGTTGTTTTAATAGTTTTATGTTGGCTTTATAGTCTAACGCACATCTTAAGAAAGTAATCATCGATTCTGACATACTACATAAGATTTGACCGATGTAGACATCATCTGATAATGAAGTAAAAACTGCCGTAGACATCTCTTCTTGATCCTTCCCACTACAACGATGAATTAATGTGGAAGAAAAGTCCATAAGATTATCAAGATTAGCAAACCAATCTAAATCACTCGCTTTTACTAAAGGACTATTTCGTTCCAGAGCAAGTTTTAATGGATTACAAAACATGACTTTAGCATAATTTAACTGATTCCAGAAATTAATCTCTGTTATATAAAATTCTTGAAGAATAAATTTTCTTATTTGAGTATACCGCGTTCTTTTTTCAACAGGCTAAAGAAGAGAAAGAGAGAAAGAGAGAGAGAGAGGAAGAGAGAAAGAAAAAGATGAGAAGAAAGATATCAAGTGCTCATTTACTTGTTATTTATTTACCAAATTATCTATAATAGGCCTTCCTTGTTGTTTCTTGAAATAATCTTCATTTAATGTTTTTATAAGATGATATTGCCATTCAAGTACTGCTTTTGTTTCTGATTTAGGATGAACTCGACGTCGAAGTTTGACAGTTCTTGGCTCTAATTGTTTAAAGCTCATAACAAATTTCGTTGTATGTGGTTTATAGATATCAAATAATAATACATTTGATTTCTGTTCTTCAAATGAAGAGAGTGATGATTTAACATGTTCTTCTTTATGATTCTTCTTTATATTATGGGCTACGTCTTCTGATTCAGGCATAAACGATAGCTCCTTATCTGAATCTTCATGTGCATCAGGACAACTGAGTCTTCGATGAGGGTTATAATGATGTTTAGCCTGAAACTGTTCTATGACGGTCGATCTTTCTTCTTCTTCAGCTGTTGATAACGTAGAAGAGAAAGAAGGTGATTCTTGATGTTGTTTATTTATATCAATCAAACTTCTTCGTCTATTGACAGAGATAGTAAAAGATGATGAAGGCGGTGTACTTACTTGAGTAGTTTCCCTGTCAGAGAAATAATGATCCAGATGATAAAGTAACTGTGGAGGTGGATCTGGTGGTTCGACAGTACCAGGCTTAAGACCTCCATATCCTATTCTATTGAGCGGTGGTGTTGAACGTTGTCTCCTTAAATTAATCCGAGAAAATGAGAACCATTTTTTCTTTAATAGATGACTCTTCAAGTCTGGAGTGGATTGACAATGATGATGATATGTTGTATTAGTAGTGAAATCTGATTCATCAGTGCTGGTAGTTGTCATGTTTGTAAAACATTGTTGTTTGTCAGCGCTACTTTCATTATTATTATGAATAAAAGTGTGCTTTTCTTTATTAGGAGAAGTATCATGATGCTGTTTCTCTGTAACATATTTTGATGTTTTATCAATTTTTAATTGTCGAAATTCCTTCTGAATTGTTTTCATTTAAATGATATTTTATACAAGCTTCATGTATATGGTAATCTTACTAACAAAATGAATGAAAAAAAAAAAAGACTTTGAGATACAATAAGCACAAACAAAAAATAATAATATTAAAAAAAAAGAGCTAATTTTTTATTTTAATACTTACCATTCTTTTAATATTTTACCAGATCTTTTCGTGATGGGAGAGGTTTCATCTGTCAAAATGTTGAATCACAGAGAGAAAAGTCACAAAATTCACGTGTTAATTCTGTTAAAAAAAAAATGGCTGCATTAGCGCAAAAAAAAAAAGAAAACACTTTCCCCCTTTTTTTTTATCTTTTATTATTCATTTCTATTTAAATAATAAATATATACATAAAGAAATGGCGCATATCGTTAAAAGACTTTGTCTACAAAGATCTCTTCTTCTTCAACGTTCATTTCAAATCAACATGTCAACTACGTTCATTAAACCAACATGTCAAATAATGAAGAAAAGAAGTAAATTATTATTATTTTATTTTCATTTTTTATTTTTACTCAAGTATTTAAAATTAGCTTTTTTAATGACAAGACCAGTTTTGAATAGTAGAATTTCTGAAGCAGAAGAGCAAATCAAAATAGGTACAGACTATTTAAACAAGGGATCTCTTGATATGGTAAAAGGATAAAATGGAACCAAACATAATTTTACTAACCCCTCTCTCCCTCTCTCTCCCCCCCTGAATTTGAATTACGTAATAATAATAGGCTATGCATAGTTACCATAAAAGCGTACAAATTGCTCCTAGTGGCGCTGGTTATTTTAATATTGGAGTTTGCTACTTTCAAATGGGTAAATTATTGATGATCAAAAAGATATTATTTGTAAACTTATCATTCTTCTTCTAAATAGGTAAACATAAAGACGCTATAAAATCATTTGAACGCTCCTTAGAATACACGCCACACTCAGCAGATGCACACACAAATATAGCAAATGCTTATCTAATGTTAAAAGATACAAAAAATGCAATCCAACATTTGGAACAAGCTTCTAATTTTAATCCTTTAGATGGAGAAGTACAATTTAACCTTGCTTGTGTATACGAAGCAGTAGGAAGATTAAATGAAGCAAAGACAAGATTTGAAAGAGCTGAATTATTAGGAATTGATAAAGCAGTCTCTGGTTTAGAAAGATTAAAAAAGAAATTATAAATTTATTTATTTATTTGGCACCTCCTATATGAACAGAACGTAACACTCTAATTAGACAATACATTAGCTTCTATAAAAATATATATACATATATACTTTGCTTTAAACAAACCTTGCTACATTTTCCATAGCTTTATATCTCATTCTTTCTCTATGATTTACTACCATTGAATTAATAGGTAATGGTGTACGCAAAATTCTAAACAAAAAAAATGAATGAATGAATTAGTCTCCTTTTTTTCTTTTTCTTTTTCTTTTTTTGACTTTACTTTTCAAACAAAACAATCACATCTCGACTATTTAATCGATTGTATTTCTTATTTCTTATTTGAGGTGTAAGATATTCTTCTGGATTATCTGATAAAATGGCGAGATTTAATAACTGTCTTAATTCTACAAAGCTATCCATCACAGTAGGATCGCCCAAGTTATTTACAAAGTCTTCAATAAATCGAACATCTGTATTAAAATTATCTAATGCAATCCTTGTCAAGTGACGATAATCAGTATCTAATAATAATCTCTTCATTGACTGACTCAAGTGTTCTAAAGCATCAAAATACAATAAACTTTTTATCGTTTCTGGTAAGTTTAATAAAGCTGCATTAGTAACATTGGTTAGAAATGTGACTAAATCCTGTAGATTAGGACTGGGTTGTCTTTGGATCTCGTCCGTTTCCCAATCATATTCAAGTAATTCTAAAAATTCATCTAGTTTTGAATTAACAAGCTCGAAAATACGTTTCTCTGCTTTGCGACGGGTATCTGTAAAGGTAGAAGTAGCCTTAAGGTAAATATGTCCTGATCTATGAAATGAACGTGTCTCCATTAATAACATTTCGAAATCTGGGCAAGTGGATTCAAAATACTCGATATTGATGATGATTTGTACAATTTGTGATAAGTTTGTAGATTCTAATTTCTTTAATAGAATAGCATTCACTTTTTGAATTAATAAACTATCCACGGCCTAATAAAGGAAAAGGGAAGTTTTGTATAAGAAGAAGAAGAATCCGTTTTCTTTGCTTTTTCTTTTCTTTTTACCTTTTTGAGGATATCATCCATTTCACCATGTGTCTGACTAAAACCTTCTGCAAATTGATAAAATTGATGTACAAAAAAACTAACATCTCGACAACAAGTTGGGAATACTTTTGAAAATGGCAAACGAAGAGGAAAGCTATTAAAATAAATGAGATACTTGCTTGCTTTTGTACGGCGCGTACATCATTTATATATCTTCTTACCCATATCGTTTGATGAATTCGCGATCAGGTCGAAATCGGGTATATTGCATTACTTCTTTTAATTCTTCTTCATTCTCTACTGTCATCGGCATACATTCATCCTCTTGTACAATCTATAAGAAAATGAATAGTCGTGTATATATTTATATACTATATTCTCTTATTTACCTTCTCAAATACTTCACTGTATTGACTTATGAGTAACTCCGAATATCTTTGAAAAAGAGTTAACAATGTTTCCTGTAAAGGTTTCACGGAATAATCAAAGCCTTCTAACGTCTGGATAAAAATTAACAAGGAAAGCTTGATCTTTAGGAATAATTCGGGGTCTTTGCAGCCCTTTAAACTTTCTGATACAACTAAAATGACTTTGCCTGTCACCATTTCCCATAATCCATCTACTTCTGCTTGACTTCTAAAATCAGTTGTATTATGTAATATCAAATGCTCAATAATAAAAAATCCTACGATATCTTGAAGTAAAAAGTCAAAAGTCGTTAAATTACCGTCTTGTAAGTTAATCGGTGCTGATAAAGCTAAATTAGCCTGTGCCTATAACAAATTCAATATATATTGTTTTTTTTTTCTTCTACAACCAATCTAAAGACTCCCTTTTAAAGACTTACTCTTCTATCTTCAGAATAAGACGTCTTGAATTCATTTCTTTTTTCCAAAGTTTCATACACATGAATACATTTATAAAGTGGTTCGAAATCGATATTTATTTCATCTAATATACTGGCTACAAAAAGAAAAAAACTATTAGTGACTATTCACTAAACTTTGAATTTCAATTATTTACTTTCTAAGCCTTCATTAACAACCATTTCAATGGCTGAATTGACCTGATGATGTTGAAGATTCTTTAATTTAGGATTTTCTGATGTTTTCATTTTCCATTTCTCCTGTCTTTCTTGCATCCTTTGCATTGCTAAATTTCCAATCTGTCGAGATATTTCACGTATCCTAGCAAATACAAACATCATGATTTCAACTTTTTTTTTTTGAATATAGTATGTTGATTCTATCTTTACCTTGCAAGCCATTCTTTTAATTCAACGGTGACTGTATTCTTGATTGTATTTTGCATAACAGGCACACCTTGTGCTAATATTTTCGCAAAAGTATATTGAGTTATATGTCCTAATCTGTCATTTTCTAGTCCATTTAATGTCTATTTATTATTGTATTATGTGTGTTATTTTTACTTTTCTTTTCTTTTCTTTTTTTTTTTTTTTTTTTTTTTTTTTTTTTTTTTAATGTATGTATTACCTTCAGAGCTGAATAATATTTCTTTTGTTCTAATTGCTCATTTACTTTATTAGCTAATTCTAAAACATTTAAACTTGACTGTAGTACTTCAATAGCATCCTCTACATTTTGTTGTACTTTTCTTGCATTAGTTAACTCACGTTTCTTGTATTATAATAATAATAATAATAAAAGAATTAAGTTTTTAGTATTTTTAATGTTTATTTATTTCTTACTTTTTCTGCCCATTTTCTACCTCCATTTTGTAAAGTATTGTTTACTTCTGTAAGTTTTTTACGAAGTTCAACTGAACCTTGTCGTACTTTTAATAGTTGGTCTACAGCATGGACAAATTCCTATACACAAATGGATGTATATGTATGTAATGTATACATGTATAATAAAATGCTATAATTAAATTTCCAAATTCCACTTTTTTTTTTTTCTCTTCTTTACCTGATAATGTGCATTACACATGCGTTCAATTTCTCCATCGTTTTTTCGAATTAAAACATCTAATGCATTCAAAAAAGCTGTTTGTTTCCCTGTCTCGGTAATATTTTTGATGATGGGGCCTAATTGTTCTAAATTTTCTGTATCATCCAAGGTTATCGAAAAGGACTCTAAGCCCGAAAAACTGTTTGGGTCGTTTACTTTTTCAAGAGATTTTGCTAGTTTCCCAACGTCATCATCATTTTCAGATGTCATTTTTGTTTTCTTCAAATGAAGTAGAAAAAAAAAAAAAAAAGGAGATAGTATGCATTTGTATTATTATTTTGGCATTTTAAATTCATGTAGTGACGACGCGCTGCTGTTGAACAAAACAACCAATCACGTTATGTGTATATCTTGAGTTAACATTGAAAGAGTTTAACAAAAAAAAAAAGACAAGCAACTAGCATAATTATCATTTACAATAAAGAACTTTATCCCATCCTTAATTTCTTCTTAAGAAGATAGCACTTTATTTCAATGCTTACAAATGAAGTAGTGATAAACAAAATGCAAATCCTCCATTTTTTTTTTGTTTTTGTTTTAGTATGCCTTCCTTAATTTGTTCATGTTATTTACAGTGACGGACATGATAATATCAACGATTCTATTGCTTGACATATCCTCTCCCTTCACCATATTTATGTATGAAGGGATTTCTAGCACTTTATAAGGATGATATAGCAGCATATTTACATTTACTTGTTATCTCTCTATTTTAAAATAGCAGTTTTAGACACAATTGATTTTCTAATCAATTTTATTATAGTATGCTTTGTAGGCTTTATATTAGCCTCTACTTTATTATTTGGGAGGTGAGTGGTGAAATATAAAGTCTCATTCTCTTTTCTTCTTCTTCTTCAAAAAAAAAAATAATATACGAAAAAAGAAAGTGCTGTGTTTTATGAATTATACATGTTGTAAAGTTAATTGGATCAAAAAGATGTGGTATTTTAGGTTGAATTTTTCTTTTCAATCTTTTCAATTGGAGGAATCGACTATAAAAAAGAAAAAAGCAATTAATGCATGTTGTATTTTAACATTATTTTTTTTTTCTATTTTATGTATTCACCATATCAGGCTTCATAACCTATATGTATCTGTTAATAAATAATTTACAAGTGTATTCTCATTCACTTTTTTTTTTTTTTTTCTTTTTTACTTTATTCACTAATGTACTTCCAGTAGCCATTCCGCCACATAATATAAGAAAGGTATAAAATTTATTGATTTTAGCCATTTGTTGCAGGTTAGCAAAGTTTTAGGAAAGAAAAAAAAAAAAAGTATTTTTTTTAGGGATAATCCCCTTCCATTTGAAACTAGATCAAGCGGGGGGGGCACAAATAATAATTTAAATAGCAGCAGTATAAAAAATCCTTTAATTTATAATAGAAACTTTTATACGAAAGAAGAAGGGCAACAACTATAGTAATAATAATAATAATACAAATTTTCTAAATTTCATTCTTATTCAATTTGGTATCATAATTGAGAGAAGAAGAACGAGTTAACCAAGAACCAATTTTTTCGGACATCTTGGATACAGAACCTCTTCTACGATGAGAGGTCATGGAAGTGGATCTAGAGATATTATGAGCAGGAGATATCGGTTGTAGATATCCATTCTCTTTTTGTAATGGTGGTGGTATAGGGTCATTATACTTTGCCATTTTAGATGCAATAGGCGTAGGTATATTAGTTATAGTGTTTAAATCAATGGTATGTGCTGTTTGTCTACATGTTATTGTAGCCATTGACATGCCAGGTGGTATCGATTGTGATTTTCTTATTGCTGTTGAATGATTCATAGCTTGCTGCGTAGTCATTCCATAATTGGATGCTAGTAAAGCATAATAATTAGTATCTTTTGGTGGAACGGGTGGTGGTGAGGATGTTGATGACGACGATGATGATGATGATGTCGACGACGACGATGATGATGACGACGATAATAAAGATGAATCATTATTATTTGTAATAATAGGAACATGAGTTGATTCAGATTTTGTTGTCACTACAAAGTCTGTCTCCTCTTCATTTGTGTTTAAATTATGAGGTGGGGTATTTGTATGATGATGATTTGACTTATTGTTTGATACACTTTTTGAAGAGTTCTTGTTACGTAAGAAAACATGCGATAATTTACGAAATAAAGATTTACTTCCATTATTTGCTGTACTTTGCTGTGGTTTGGTAGGACGATCATCTAGATTTAATGTCTCTATTTGTGTAGATTCATTTGAATGAGAGGGTTTATTTTCTTTGTTATCTGAGCTATCAACATGATTTTCTACTCGAGATGAAGTGGTTTCTAATGTATTATCACCCAAGTTATGTTGTGATAATGAAGAACGAAGCCAACGTTGAATTCGACTTAAATAAGTTGTTGAATGAATAGCAGCTGAAAGTCCAGTTGTGCTCCCAGTTGTTGTCTTTGAAGCATGTATTTGAGGTAAAATAGGTGGTTGACTTAGAGGAATATCAGTTAGTAATCTTAGTGTATCATCACCTATAAGGGAACCCTGACTACTCTTGGCAGAAGAATAACCCCCTCCTCCACCATAACCTACAGAATCAACAGATGTCTTTCGCGATAAAGCTGATTTAGTGGAGATACGATATTGTTGTTGCTGTTGTTGTTGTTGTTGTTGAAAGTGGCTCGCTTCCAATTCCTTTGCCATTAATTGTTCAGAGGCTAAATAATATAAAGATAAAAAAGGATGATAGGCAGCAGGAACAGATTGAGGATCATCATAGACAATACTCATAGGAACAGGATGACCAGAAGAGGGTAAAGGTCGACGTGCATGACAATCTGCAATATAAGTAACGGCTTCATGATAGACAGGTGATTGTATAATTAACCTTAATCGACGTTCAATATCATCTGGAGTTCCTAAATTAAAACCTTGAGAGATTCTTTCAATTACTTTTGGATTTAAAGGGAGACTTAAAGGTTTTCGAAAAGGTAAATGGTTATTAATAGGAGAAGCTTCTTTATTCATCCAGGGATGATGAATGATATCAGTCATGATAATACGTCTTGAAGGGTCAGTGACAAAGATACGAGAGAGTAAGTCCTTACAATCTTCACTCAAATGAGCTGGATAATTAACATGACCCCGTTTAATTTTTTCATGAAGACCTGGCATTGATTTATCATCAAAAGGAACAGAGCCTGTGGCCATAACGTAGATAACGACACCTAAACTCCATATATCCACTTCAGGACCATTATAAGGGTGTGCTCGTAGTAACTCAGGAGCAGCAAAATAAAGTGAACCACAATAGGTAGTCAGTTGACGTTCAGGACAAAAGAGATTAGAGAGCCCAAAATCTATAATTTTAACATGTCTCCCAGATTTATCAATCATGATATTTTCAATTTTCAAGTCACGATGAACGATTGAATTTCTATGCAGATAATCAAGAGCACTTACGATTTGACGAGAGAATAGTCTTGTCCTTCTGTCTGACAAACGTTGACGTTTAACAATATAATGAAGCAATTGACCTCCATTTACATAATCCATTAAAATATAGAAATAAGGTCCTTGAAATACTAAATCTTTTAAACCAACAATATTTGGATGTCTTAACAACATCATAATATGGGCTTCTCTAATCGTTCTCACTTCTCGATTTTCTTCTCTTGCTCTTTCTTTTGCTATTTGTTGTATTGTTTTCCCATGCATATAAGTTGGATTACTTAACAATTGTAAATTAGCTCTTGGTACAATCTTTACTGCAATCTATATAAATAAATAATATTAAAATCATGGAGAACTAGGAAGAGAACACGACTTACCTTTTCACCAGTCACATTATGAACAGCCAATTTCACTTTACCCATACTTCCTTTACCTATACTTTGTTGTAAAGTATAATTTCCTATTGTCTTTGCTAGGACATAACGTTGATGACATTCTTTTTGTGAACGAGTAGAACTATTTCGACTGATTTTTGTTGTCGTATCGTATGTTTGTAGATAATCTGTTGTCATATCTACTTTTATGTATTTTAAAAGAAAACGATATAAATAGTAACAATATAAAAATAAAAAAATAAAAAGCGATATAAAAAATGAGAAAATGGAAGAAAAAGAAAAAGAAACAGAAACAGAAAAAGAAAAAAGAAAATAATAAAAAAAAACAATAATAATAATAAAAAAATATGGCCCTTTCTCATTTGAGGTAATCAACGCGTGATAATATAAACTGTTAGTTCTGGTTCCTTTATAGGCGCCATTTTAAATTAAACAACAACAACAACAACAACAACAACAACAATAAAGTAAAGAAATAAATTTTGAAAATCCTCCTTATTAAATTAGTCACAACAATAGTAAAGTAAGATCCATAATTATCAAGTACATGAAAAGAAGTCATTTTTTTTTTCATCTGGATATGATAAAGATAACCAGAATTACTTGAATACAAATTAAATTAACATTACGTTTAAAATTGAATTTTATTATTATTATTATTATTATTATTATTTTTTGTTTTTTTTTTTTTGACCAAATGAGCACATGGCATTTTTTATCTGCTGTGTTGCCCTAGTCAGTTCTAATAGTATACAAGTAACATTATAGTTTTAGCACTTCAAATTCAGACAATGTTAGTATTTTTCTGGACGAATCAAAATTAACTTTCTGATGTTTAGCTTACCTTTTTCGGAAAAAGTAAAAACGGAAATCAGATAAAAGGAGAGACAAAATGTTAGACGAATTAAAATGCAACTGTCGACTAACAAGTTATTTTTTTTTTTTTAACCTCCTGTCTACATGGATGTTACTTGCGAACAACGTTAAGAAGATTTAGATAGCGTATTATTAATAAAAAAAATCCATCTTTTGGTGTTGATTTAATTGTACAATGGGAAACCAATTTACGACTGCGTTGAGCAAATTTAAGGATTTTTTTTCTTCGATTTAGGGGGTGGATTCTTAAAAACAGTCAACTTCTTAAGCATTCGTACCATTGTAGCACTACACAATGTAAGAGTGGGACTCAAAACTCATTTTTTGATTATAACCTATATCAAACCTTGGGAGCCAAAAAAAAAAAAGGATCCGAGATCTCTTTGTCTTTTTAAACTGGCAAGTTCATATCTGTATTCAGCCAGTCTAAGAGAAACACAAATAAGTAGATAGTCTGCGCTTGGATTACATAACTAATAAGCAAGGCATCTTTAGTGATTAATCTTGTGATGGGATCTTCAATATACCATATTTTAATCTTATTACATTGGATGTCGGATAGATAATTATGTACTGAATGAACTAATTATAAACCTGATAGATAAGAGCTGTTAGAATGATCTGACTGATGAAATAGATGAATCAACTTTATATCATTAAGATAAAAAATTTTCTGAATGAGAGCTTGTATGTAGTATCATGAAATTAATACTAATATATCATTTCTTATAGAACTTAACAGTCATCAAAAATCAAGCCTATTTAAATCAATAGTTTTGTAAAGGTCGTCTTTTTTCTCAAGTCGTACGTATATTATCTTCATGCGTATGTCTATTTACCCAGACGTCAAAGCTGTTATACAACAGAAAAAAACAACAAGTAGAAGACGCAGCAAAAGCAGCTGACGATTTGAATAATAAATCTAAACAAAGAAGAGGTAATATAAACTAACTGTTAATAAGAAAATAGAGAAACTCAAACTGTTATAAGGTATCAGACGCAAGGATACCTTTGAAGAAAAAAAAAAAAAAAAAAAAAAAAAAAAGTCGAATTCAAAGAGAGCACGCAGCTCAACACCTTCAGACCCAGACGTTACATGTAAATCTTGTGGTATTAGTGGGCACTCTTCGACTAGAAGTAAACTATGTATCAACTATAACTTTACTTTGCAAGAGTTAATTCAATAAAAACTTGGTACTCAATATGAAAGATACATAGTATCATTGCCTCTCAAATCATTCGTACTGGCACCGAGTAATGATATATTTGAGAATGCTCTTGAAAAAATCCAAAATCTGTCTGTTTTTTCTGCGGAAAGTTATCTTTAGGGCACAATTTTTTTTGTTAATTATGACATTTTGAAACACCCAGAAAATTTGACTAATGACTTTTTTTTTCGTCAAAACTTCTGGTACTCTGTGTGTCGACTTATTAATGGAAACATGAATATTAGCGAATTTACTCAAAAATACTCTCCTCAAATTCCTTTCCTTGAAGAAACGTGGACTGAGCTTAATAACATTGAAGGAGTTAGCTTGAGAATAGAAGTTGAAGGTTTAAAAAATTATGGCCAAGTTTTATCCACTGCTTGCGAAACTGTTTCTACATGTTACAATAACTACTATGTGGAAAATTTCGAAAATATAGTTTCAAATTATTTTATATACATACTCCGTGGTGCATTTTCTGTAAGTAAAAAAAAAAAAAATAAAAAAAATAAACATATGGTTACTTTTGCTACAATGACTAAAACTAACTTTTAGTAGGACATGAGAATGCCTGTGATCAAGTCTATCATATATGATCATGTTTTAAATGTCTTGTTTTCTTCTGTACCAGTACATATAACGGCTGGCAATATCTCAAGTTCTTTAGACGAACAGACGCAAAAGAGAGTTCGTACTTTTTTTGAACCCCCTAATGTTGGAGATCAGGAACAGGCTGCCTTCACTTCCTGTGACAAAAGAAACGCTAAATAGTGCTCCATTCAACATTATGCCAACTTTAAGGTATATTCGTGAAAAATATTAAATCAGTAATTGCTGAGAATCAGCAGCAAGCATCCTCAGCACAGCCACCAGTAGTTTAACATCAACAGCCTGTTTTACAAGAACCAGAGTCGTCAAGTCAGCCACGAAGAAGACCCAAAAAAAAAAGAAATCAAAAAAGAACAAAGACTCAAAAAAAGACAAAAGCAATAATACACGGTTCCAGCCACCTAGAACATTTAGCTTGTTCCCTAATCCTAGTTTGAAATGATGCTTTATACAGATAGATAGTCAAAAATCTGGTTAGTGTATTTAACAGAAGAATTTCACAAAGACAGCCTGAAGAAACACTTTTTAATTTTACCCAAAGAGCTTTCTTTGAATGTTTTGATTTTAAAAAGTTAAAAGTCAACAGGTAAGTTTATAACGGGTTATAATTAATATATGTGTACTAATTTTTGTCTCAAATAGTCTCCAAGAGTTGCAGAGCTTACCAGAGCAGAAAGGGAAGATGTTTCTCAATAGTCTGTACACAGATGGCTATACCTATAGATTATCTTTCTGTCGCAAAAAATATCTTGGCTCAATTACGGATAAGGTTTCGCTTAAGTTGCATGACTTTACAAACGAAGAGGTTAATCGTCATTTTCGCCCTTGCACTTTTGATCCCCAACAGAAAGGATGTATTTACTTCATACCATGGTGCTAATGACATAAGGCGCTTATCATCAGCTGAATATTACGATATGAATGGTAATATTAAACGCCAAAAACAAGAACAAGAGCGCAAGAGAAGATTGAATATTGAGCAAATTGAAACTAGTATATCTTCTCCAAAAACTGCAAGTCTGGAATGCTACAGTGTATACATATCATACATGTTACAGAATTTTAATACACTGTCAAGTTTTTATGGTTTCCACACTGCGAGACTAAGATGAAGTAATTACTTTGGGTCTCAGCGAGCAATAGAAAATGCTGTCAATATTTTGATCAATAGATCAAAAAAATATAATAAAAATAGAAGAAAGAACACAAGAAAGAATAGACGGAAGAGAAAAAAGACTTTGGCTAGATACCAGAGCAGCCAATCCGATTCCCGTCATACCGAAATTGGGAAGAAAAATTAAGGTACAACACACATTCTTTTTATTTTACTTCTGAAGCATTAACCATTTTTATGTTTTTTTTTGAAAGAAACTATAAAGAGAAATCTGAGGAAGATGACCGCAAAAAAATTGCCTATGATTGTATTCGGCGATGATTTAAAAAAACAAGTCTCAAGTAAAATTCAAAGGTTTAAGACATGGTGTTGTTGAAAAAATATACCGACAGTTAAAGCTGAGAGAAAAGCTCGGTGAGCTATTACTTCTGGATATTGATGAATATAACACATCAAAGGTAAAACACATATGTGTTTATATTACATGAGCAAGACTAACTTCTTTTATAGACTTGCAACAGTTGCTTACAAAAATCGGTTGAAAATTTCAAGCATGGCGAACGTAAAATCCATCAAGTATTAATATGCAAAAATGGTAATATCTATTGGAACCGCGACGTCCTGGCTAGCAAAAAATATGTTCACCCTTACTCAATCTATTTGGAATGGGAACGATCGCCCTACTGTCTTCACACGACAAAGCGACACCTCCAATGTGGTTGCTGCACCTTCACCGGTGACAGCTTAAAGATACCTACCTATAGGTAAGAAGTTTTTACGAAAAGAAATAGCAAATTTTTTTTTCTGAATCTCATCTCCATTTTTTCATCTGTATCTGAATTTCCTTTTTTATTCATCCAAAAAAGGTAAACAAACTATTTGAAAATTAGTAGAAATACTGTAAAGATAGAATCACACTTGTCATATATAATCTCCGACAAAAAAAACGTGAGAATCAAGTTGACAAGATGATTGTGTTACTGTGATAATAAAGTCTAGAAGAAGAAAACAAATAGAAACATTTATTATATAATCCACATATACAATATCTTTTATTACAGTATTCTCTATATTATTTTATAGAAATAGTAAGATGAATCATTGTGTCAATTGACTAACTATCTATTATTGTAAGACAATAACCAGTAAAATTGTTAATATATCACTTACCTAATTCGCTGTTATTATTTAAAGCTTTAGTTACTATAGGATGAAATATACACAAAGAACTATCATTATAAAGGATAAAATAAAATGACGTTACTATTGTGATTCAAAATAATATTTAAACCGTTTATTTTGCCAACGTGCTCAAAAAGAAAGTCATCCGCTCTATTCTTGCCTAAAATAGACTTGTACTGAAATATTCTCTCCTCATAAAAAAAAAAAGAAAAAAAAAAGAAACGAATTTTTACTATTAATATTGAAATTATAAACAACAGCTTAAAACCTTTCAAACAGTGTAATCAGTAATAATGTAGAACAGCCTTCTTTTAATTATTACTGGGTCTCCAAAAAAAAGGGACCCCTTTCAAGGATTTAACACTATTTAAAGAATGTTGTACAGTAGTAAATACCATTACACGTGTTATAAAATAATAATAAATTCACTTGGTTAGCTTACGTTTACCTATGCTAATAACCAAGGCTATCTTATCTGGCTGTCCCCTCTCTCGCACTCTTGCTTTTTTTTTTAAAATAACTAAGAGTCGAAATCTATTAATAACGTGTGTACAACAGCATAGTATGAAACACCTTCCTATCTTTCTTTTATGCTTTATAATCAAAGTAACATAAACTGTTTATGTCAATAAAGATAATTCTGTGTTCATAGCACATCATTATTCGTATATTAGCATAACAAATAGTGTTAATTATTGATTATGCTATTTCTGTATGTATGTGCTTGTAGAATTTTAACTCTCTTTGATCCTTGGTTGTAAAAAAAAAAAGCTCAACATTTTATTTACCAACTAATCCTTGCATAATCAATCTTCATTTCCTCCTTTCTCTTATTGTTATCAAGTCTGTATTTTGTGACATTCCTTTTATTTCTTTCTAAAGATTACACTCAGCTTCAATAATCAAAATAAATATGAAACACCTTCAATTCTTTTATTTTTATTTCTTGAAAGATGCTTTTTTTTTTCCTTTTTCATGTTTTAAATGTCTGCTTTTATTACTGTTGGATCAACTGGATTCGATGATCTGATTAATGAAACAACTTCTACTGCATTCTTAACTTCATTAAGTTCTATTGGTATAAAAAGAGTATGCTTTCAATATGGTGCTTCTGAGTCTATTTTTATAAAAAATTTACAAAGTTATGATGATAAAGGGCCTATCCTAGCTATTGATGGTTATAAATATAAACCATCTATAACAGAGGATATGGAAAAAGCGGACATTATTATTAGTCATGCAGGTAAACAAAAAATTTATAATAATTCTATTGTAGTTCATTCACTTGAAGCACATTTAACCCGTTTATATTTAAGGTGCTGGTACAGTATTACAGGCTTTAAGATTAGAAAATAAGAAACTAATTATCGTAATAAATGAGTCATTAATGGACAATCATCAACTTGAATTAGCTAAAGCTTTAACAGTTAAAAATTATGCAATTTGTAGTGAAATAAGGTACACATAAAGTCTTTTTTTTTTTTTTTTTTTTTTTTTTTTTTTTTTTGCATTTTGTTTTTTATAATTAACAATATTTAAAGTGAACTCTCTAATACATTGAAAAATATTAAACAAATCAACCTTGTACCTTTTCCATCTCCAAAACCCGAAACATTTGCTACAATTGTTGATGAACAAATGGGATTTATTACAACACAATAAATAAAAGCTATACAAAGACCAATATTGAAAAAAAAAAAAAAGAAATTACTCACAATTGTACATGACTAAATTCATTAATGAAGAAGAATATAACATATTATGTTTTTTAGATCTGATTATATAAGACAGTTCTCATTCTAATCTCTAAACCATTAATTATTAATATTTTATTGATTGTACCTGTCTAAGAGATAGGAGAGAGGCTTTTTATTTGTTTCAATATATACAATAATCAAGTATTTTAGGAACTGATGATTTAGGCAGGACAACGACTGTACACTTTTTCATTGTCCGCTATTTAATCTTCGAAAACTGCCATTTGAAACAGTAAGAAGCGCTATACCTTTTTTTTTTTTTTTTATACACATCAAATGTTTATAAAATATATTTCTATCATCATTTATTGTTATCATCTTCATAATGTCTTTTCGCAATCAGTGACTACTCAATTAAAAGATAATCAAATATTAACTTCAACTCTCCCAGTTAATGGTTATAATTATTATTATTTTAGTAGCTCATCTTCTATGAATCAAATGTTCACAAAGAGAGATCAACCTGAAATTTATCTTTCAGTAGCTACATGCAGTCAACCAATACCACCTGTTAATTATCACGAAACGATTCCATCCCTAAATATATACATTTCAACTTCAAATGCATTACCAGGCTCTAATGATGACATCTTGGCTAACAATTCAGTTAATGGACTTATGAATTGGACAAGTGATGGTCAGACATCAGAGATTTGGATTGCAGTAGGGAGCCCTAATTTAACAGCTTCTTGGAATGGGAACTGGACATATGAAATTGGTGTTTCCACCAGCCGTAAGTTATTTTTTTTTATAAAATACACAGAATAGTGATAACTTATTATCTATTTGCTTAGAATTTATGCATTTATTATTTGTCAATAATGAAGAAATAGACAATGATATACCCTATATTACTTTAGATGATACAGATAGAAATCATGCATTATTTTTATCCAGCCCTTTTCAAGGATCAGCGCCTAATTCAACTATTTTGATGACCCATAATTTACCTAAAGAATTATCTTATTCGCTTTGTGCAGCCAGACTACACAAATCAACTCATTATAATGTAAATACTACCGTGACTTACCGTGGTCCAACTCATGGTCCTAAACAACAGTTTATGATATCTAATTTAACTTCAAATACAGCTTATACAGCTTATATGCTTCAAACAAGGGGAGCTCTAATAGGCATGACAACACCCATCTATCTAAAGACAAAGATGGAAGCTAATTGTCGAATTATTTATGATTTGCAATTTTGTGATCAAGTAGCTTACAGTGTGCCTGTAAATCCAGATGCGCTTTTGACAAGCAGTATACAGGATCTTGTAAATCAATACGACCAACAGGCCTTGGAAAAATTTAAACCCTTTGACATTGCTCTCTCACAATTTAATTGCGAGACAACACTTTATTCGCTCGTGCGGAATTGTACAGACTGTTATAGAGATTATAAGACCTGGCTCTGTGCAGTCACTATTCCACGCTGTACAGATTCTTCTATGAATGCAGGTCTTCATCAGGGTACAGACAATGTTGCTGCTGCACCTGCATTACGTGATATCTCTGTCAATGCATCACGTAACCCTTGGATAGATGAGTCAATACAACCAGGTGAATGGACTGAATTATTACCCTGTATTGATCTCTGTTATCACGTTGTCCAGAGCTGCCCTCCCTTTTTAAATTTCTATTGTCCTGAACCTGATTTGAGGTCAATACAATATGGATATTGGCAAAATGGCACAGCGTCTGTCAATGGTACTGTCTATCATTTCAATATAAACAATCCTACATGTAATCGAGTCGGCATAAGCCCAGGTCTGTTGACAATCAGTCATACTTCAACACTCTATTGCTCGTTTATTTTGTACATTGTCCCTCTTTTTACTCTTTTATTATTATTATGATGATGGTAATAAGGATTTTTTTTTTCGTTTAAATATGTATGAATATATATATATGTATTCATGTTTCTTGGAAAAAAAAAAATAGACCCTATACCAATTGTTTTGGTTGATTATGAAGAAAGAATTTCTTTATCATTCATAAAGTTTATTGTATATAATATCCTTTTAGACACAATATTACATTATCAATGTAATTTAGCTTACATCTCTTTTCTTTTAAAAAAAAAAAAATAAAATAAAAATCTTTTCATACAAAGCTATGTATAAATGTAGATCACGTATCTGTCTCAGTGACAATTGAACTTATAATCACTGAGTCTATAAGTGATCCTTTTAATCTTGGTTCCTTTTTTTTTTGATTGTTTTTTAAATTAATAAAAAACCCTCTCGGCAGGCAAGACAATTGCAACTTTGAGCAATCATCCTTGGCCAGGATACCAAATATATATAAATGTATATACAGGCAAAAAAAAAAAAAATATACATGTATAAATGTGTACATTAGATGTTTATTTGACAAAAAAAAAGGAATTATTTCGTTTTTTTTTTTAACAGATTGCGAAAAAAAAAGGATATACTATTTATTTGAAGACCTTACCATCAACACAGTCTTCAAAGTCCCAAGCAAAGTACTTGTAGATTTCTTCCTTCTTTTCTTCATATTGAGAAGGTTCAATCTTTTGGAAGTTGTAAGATTCATAATCGGCAGCATCATAGATTTCGAAGGGAACTTCTTGGCCACGAATGACAAAGTAACCAGAGATAGTATTCTTGTTATTTTCACCACGAACAATCATAGAGGCAAAGGCGTACTTGTGAGCACGTTCAAGACGAGCATAGAAACCACCAATCAAGTTGTTGGACATGAAAGTCAAGGTCAATTCGTCGTTGTACTTGTAGTCGACCTTCCAGATGGAATAACCCTCGGGATCAAAGTGTTCCCAGAACCACTTGATAGCATCCTTGGTATCATTGTTAGAGTATTCACGCTTCCAAGCATCCAAGATGAAAGGAGAGGGAGGTAACAAGTCCAACTTGGACTTGGGCTTAGGAGCAGGCTTGGGCTCTTCAGCATCCTCCTTGGCGGCAGCTTCCTTCTTTTCCTTCTTGGGGGTCTCCTCCTTAGTAGCAGCAGGCTTCTTTTCCTTCTTAGGGGGATTATACTTTAAGGGAGTTTCACAGAGGGTAATTTCACCAAGGTATTTCTTGAAAAGAGGTTGAGCACTAACAGTCTTGAAATAACGAGTAACGTTCTTGAATTCAGCACGAGCAGCCTTATCGAGCAAAAAGACATAAGAGTTAACAAGTGCAGTGACAACAGCAATATCGGCCAAGGTCACTTGGTGACCAACAAGGTAGGTCTTGGTCAACAAAATCTTATCCAAAGCAGCTAAAGCACGTTTGAGGTTATTTGCAGCAGCATCAACATTAGGCTTCATATAAGGGATAATACCACGAAGAGGAAGCATCCAATTTGAAGTGTTGGAAGTAATTTCGTTTTCAGAAAAGAGAACCCATTGGAAAATCAAGGCCTTTTCAACAGCATTCTTACCCAAGATAGGAGAGTCTTCCTTGAGAGCAGCGGCATAATAAGCAATCGCGGAAGATTCAAAAAGGTTGACTTCAGCAGATTCGAAAACAGGGACTTTACCCATAGGGAACTTGGCATAGAATTCAGGAGTTCTTTGGGTTGAAAGATCGAATTCTTCGACATTAATGTCTAAACCATTGTAGGCAGCCTAAAATTATAATAATAATAATTAAAAATTGCCTGAACTTTTACGTAAAATAGACGATGTTTCTTACAGCAATCTGAGCTTTCGCAACACGAGGGTTGTTAGGATAAGATTTGATAGTCTAAATAGCAAAATAAATCATTAGTTATTGCATTATAGAGGATGGATGGATGAAGATACATACACCAATAGGACTCATTCTTCTTTTTTCTTTTTGATATATCCAATACAAAAGAAATAGTAAAAGAATAAAAAATAACAAGAGTGAATGAACGACCTATGTCGGAGATTGAATAAATATAATAGTGGTACATCACAACTAGGCACAACATAATATTCATTCCATCAGAATTGCCCAGGTTAGGATATCAAAGAAGGATAGATTTATTCATATACAAATATAAGCTTGAAAGTATTATATAAATAGATAAATAAATATGTGTATTTTATATAATTAAGCAATATGATTTATATGGATCAATGATTTACTCTTAATACAAGCCTAACATGTACAATATTTCTAGAAGATATAATTATTATTGTCTTAATCCGGGTATTGTTTGTAAGACTAATGACAATGGATTTAAAGAAAACTACATGCACATATATTGACACCTATGTATAGACATAAATGCTAAATTATTTCAGGGTATTGATTAGCATACTTTGCTTTAATTAATGTTAGGACAGTAACTCAAAGATAAAAACAAGAATGCATTTATCAGGGATATGGTAGATAAAAATCTATCAATAGTCCTTACAGATGTGAGAACAAATATATGGACATGCTTATATAATATGGAAATACAGATTTTACATAAGCTTAAATGTTTAATATTTGAGAGAATGTGTGATATGATTGAATCAGGCAAACAAATACAATCTTTAAAGAGATGAATTCTAGATATTACAATTTTGATATTATATTGTGAGTCAATAGAAAAAGGGCATAATAAGATGATTACATAAAATATAACATATGGAGTATTCAAATAACTAGTAACGATAAAATTAACTCATTGCATATATATAAGCTTTAAGATGCTTTCATAAGGGAAAAAAAATGCCATCTATTCACTACAATTATAATTCCACAATTAAAACTTTAGTTTTCATACTAGTTCTGATCTCCCCTTATTTTCAGCAAGCGGTGACAAGTGAATATATAAAGAAGTTGATTGCTATACATTGACGATTGGTGTTACTGTCATAGAGATGTTCTTTCAATAAGTTCCTTGTCTTTTAAAGCATCAACATATTCTTAGATAAAAAAAAATGTAACAAATCTTAGCTTCCATGAGGTTGCCTTTGAACTAAAGTAAAGCTTTGAAGTTTTTGATATTAAAAAAATAAAGAATTACCTTCTCCACATGTACTGTTTTTAAAATAAAATAAACGATATAATTATCTTTTTATTTGCACATTAAAAAAAAAAGAATAGTATTTCATGTTTAGTTTTAACCTATCTAGTTTGTCTTTAAAATGTCAAAGATTACTCGTTCTTCGCTAATATTAGATTCGTAAGAATAAAACAAAGTGATAATAGGCACTTAAATATCTAATACATTTTGTCATAATCTTAAAAAGAAAAAGAAATTACCTTTTTGCTTGGAGTCAAAACTTAATATTTATGTACTGTAAATATATATATATACATATGTATAGGGACTTCATTCGAGCTATTATAATAACAAGCATATAATAACGAAAGAGTAAATAAACAAATACATATAAATATATAAATACATATATATTTATATGCATATATTAATTCTAATATATTTCAAAATTTAATATTATTAATTATATAAACTGTTAACTGTCATTTGTCTAATATAATAATATAAGAGTGAATAGTAATTTTTGTTTAATTGGTTACAAGTAGTGTAAATGATGAAAAAATTAAAATAATACTAATCTTCCATACTTGATTAACAATTAACAAATCGAATATTAGAATTAAACTGAAACTGTAAATACACTTATTATATCAATAGAAGTTTTATGATTTGTGTTTTTAGTATTTAAATTTTAATATGCCGTAAATTTAATACATGTATTGAGCTTTTTTTTTTTTTTTTTTTTTTTTTTTTTTTTTTTTTTTTGTAAAGAACAATTGAAGTAGCTTTTAATAGTGATAAATAAAAGAAAAGATATAAATCATAAAATAATACATGTATATACTTTACATAATGTGTATATTATTTTAACAAGAGTTAAACTTGCTTCATGACTAGTGTTTGTCTTTATTATGATGAATAGAGAAAATAATACTTTCTTAAATTTGTCTTATAATATTAGCTCTCTTGTCCAAGAAATATGAAAGGCTATTCTCTAAAAAGAATTAGCAATGAAAAATATTTCATTGATAGCAATATAGAGTCTTCTTCTTCTTTTTTATGAATAATATAAATGCTAAATATATATTGCTTGAAATTACAATGCAAATATGGTCTCTACTTTGTCTACATTTAATATGTTGAGCACTTGAGAAAAAAATAGTTTCATCATAGATTTTATATATTAGCTCACAGCTATTATCATTAAAGAACTTATTTATCAATCTTGTGAGCTATCTTTCACGAAGATTTTAAATGATTCTTAACGAATATATTATAGATTTTTATATATTTACATATATCTTATACTATGCTGAAATATGATGTAATTGAATTAAAACTACTTATTCTATCCTGTTAATACATTTTCGTGTTTATATATAGGAATATATCGTCATATTTAAATAATACAGTAGTATCTACGTGTCTATATATAAGCAAAGAGATGCTAAGACTACTACAGAGTATACACAAGTAGTATTACATAATAATATACTAATAAAACTATCCTTTTTATCATTTATTTGTTTTAAGAATGATGAGTAAATACTGGATTTTAAAAAATGTCGAGAGGATTTGTGAATTCAAATTATTTCTACGTTGTAGAATTGAATCACAACTAAAGGTTTTCCACAAAGTTACTTAAACTCTATATTTATATATAAGCTTTCTTACTCTGATGCGAATATACCCTATATACCATTATTAGATATTTTGATTATCTAGCACTGATGAAACCTTTCTCTATCTGTGTATATACACGTATCAATGTCTTTCACAATATGAATCAGTATTGTAAGATAGTAGTAACGTCGAGAAAAGTTATTTTACTTCAAGGAGTACATATTTATTTTTATACAAAATTATTTAAATAACATAAAATAATAGCTACATATATAAATATATATAAAGTCAACATAATTAACATATATGTAATGCTGGATAACTTCATTTTTGTAATATATTCAGTATTTTATTTATTAATATGAATTCACTGTCATGTTTTATCAGAGAAGAAACCATAATTCTCGACTGCAAAATTTTTAACATTAAAAAATTTAAATATAAAAAAAAAATAACCATCAGAGTTTTAGTAGTTCTACAAGTATAAATGTTCGAAATTCATAAATTAGCGAACTTTAACTGATTGGATAAATGCACAAAATTGATAAAATTATTGGAAGGATCCTGTATTCCTTTGGTTACAATTGTCATGTTGACCGAATGACCCAAAAAAAATAAAAAATAGTATTTATGAACAGATTTTCTTAGTTTGGATATTTATTTTGTCTTTATTCATTTTTCTAAAAGTCAAATGCTTGAAGAGAAGGTAAATTTCGAACCCTCCCCCTTTTTTTTAAAACTTTATAATGATTTTTTTTAATTTTAATTTTATTTTTATTTTATATAATGTAGAAATATATATCTCATTTAGAACTTAATAAAAGCTGTCTTTCTACTTTAACAAAACTATTTATAAAAGAAGCCCAATATGCTCGAATAACAAAAGATGAAGCCTTAGTAAATAAAAATATCTCAAAATGAAAAAAAAAAATATGTATTTATATAAATTAGCACCACTAACATGTGATAACTAAATTAGAACGCTTGCGGTCTTGTTTTAATAAAATTAGGTTTAGAAGAAGAATTAAAAGAATATCTATTAGACTCACTGTTATCTAGTAGAATATTAACTCCATATTCAGATCAGAAATACTTAATTTATAATATCAATGTGCAAGGAATCCTTATTAATCTAACTAAATGTTATTCACCTCTGTGTAATACGACAGCTTCATTTACTTGTTATTCATCATATTGCCCTAATAAAAAGGTGGAAAAAAATTACTTTGAATCAAATGATAAAAAAGATATTGTAAGATAGCATAAATATTTATTTCCATATACATATATTGATAATGCTTCTTAGAAAGAACAATGTATTTCAAATATTCCTCATTCTATCCTCATGAACTTACCATCTCGAGAACGAAAACGACAGCTAGCAATTGAAGAATTAATACATTATGAGGAAAATTTCTTAAAGCAACTTGCAGTTATCCATAATGTTTATGAGCAGCCTTTGATCATGTCAAAGGTAACAATTGAAGAATCTCGAAAATACTCATTTCATGATATATTATTTGGCAATTACCACATATTAGCAAGCTATCATAAAAAAATGCTTAAAGAATTGCAATCAATAAAGGAATCTCATAAGTATACTCTTTTTCCTGATTCGATCACATTAGGAAATGTGCTTTTAAAACATTTTTCAAAATTTAAAGACATCTATATCCGATATGTTAGTAATTATATTGCTGCCAAGTATCAGTATAGCCTAGAATATAAAAATAACATAGCCTTCGCTTGTTTTATAAAGCAACAAGAAGCAGTTGAAAAGGAGTTTCGTATACCCTTAAAAGACTTGCTGATCTCTCCAATTATTCGCTTACCAAAATATGATTTATTACTTTCGACAATTTTAAAATATTCAGAAGAAGATCAAGATAAGACTTTAATTCAGACAATCGCGCTATTGACTGATATTTTACATAAAATAAATGAGGCTACTCGAATTGCAGAAACAGAACAGCGCTTAGAGGAGATCAAGGCTAGTTTAGTGATCAAAAGACGTCCAAGTATTAAATATCAAAACAAACTCCAACAAATAATATCTGATGATGTTACATTAATATTTGAAGGAACAGTTAATTTAATAAGGTCACCCCCAATACTACCTACAACATGCCAATTATTTTTATTTAATGATTCACTACTCATTACTAGAAAACGAACAATGTTAAATGGGAAAGAAGAATATGTTTTGATAGACAAGCCCATTCCTATACACATGCTTAAAATTGAAAATATATCAAAACGTACTATCTCAATGCGCCAGCAAGGGAATGTTTTATCATCCATTCGACGACAATTAAGTGGTAATCAGCAACTTCGTCGCTATAATAGTGATAGTACAGGACTAAAAGTGTTACCAAAAGCTACTATAGACAGAGAACAACAAAAAGAAGATATAAGTTTTGGCAATCATAATGATACACTCAACATGGAATCAGACGATAGTTCACCAATATATTCAGATGTCTATACTTTATCAGGTTTAAAATTACGACATCGTATACGTGTTATTAAACAGCGAATAAGCAAGAAGAATAAAGAAGCAAATTCGACTTTTAATAATTCAAATAGCCACATCAAAAATACTACTTCATCACCATTACTGCAAAAGTCTGCATCATATCCCTTTAGTAAAGACGCATCCTGTGTCATTGTAAAATCAAGATTGTTACAGATAAGCCATATGGCTTACCCAGGGTCAAATTATCTTTTTGAATGCCCTACACTCGATAATAGATTAAAATGGAAAAAGGCCATTACATCTATACTACCTAATCCTAATTTTGAACCATTTAGTCTTAAATTACTTTGTAGTACATCAAATTATTCTAGCTTTCAGAGCATCAATGGAATGTATGCCACGGGATGTGGAACAATTTGGTGCACTTTACCATTTTGTAAGTATATTATTTGATTGAATATACATTACATAGATATTAATCTAATCTATCTATCTATCTATCTATGTGTATGATGTAGTAACATCAGATGGTCGTGGAGCTATTGCTTTAGGAACACAGTATGGATTTTGGGTAGCCTTTAATGATGCCTCTGAATTATTTAAACAAATTTTATCATTTAACTGCTATCAGCTAGAATTATTTGATAATAAGATTATATTAGTAAGAGGACATAAGCCTAATCGAGTACTGGGTGCAGTTATTATTGATCATATATATCCTCCTTCTTCGGAATCTATTACGACAAACTATGATTTAAAAGAATTTCAAATTATACAAAAATCAGGTATATTGCATTTCGCCGTAGGTACACTTCGAGGAGAGCCTATTTTATGCTATTTACGTCGTCGCCGTACAGGTTCTATTAGACTTGTACTTATGATTTATTATAATGATAACTCTACTACTACGCCATGGTTTAAAAAAGTGAAAGAGTATAAACCGACATTTATTCAACCAGAAGATTTAAAAATAATAGATGACTCTATTTATATTCGGTCAAGAACAGAAGGTATCGAGAAGATTGATTTACTAAATTGGGTTTTAGGATTATCTTGTGCCAATAACGGTTTTCAACATTCAAATTTTTCACAACTTTTAGACCTCCCTGCACCCTATCGAATGTCAATAAAGGAGAATCATCAAATAGAAGAATCGTCACTAATTACAATAAGTTATGTACCTTTAAATCAACCAGGCATAGGTCTAATTTGTAGCGCGCAATTTGCATTTCCAGTCACAGATGAAAATGCATATTCTTTTCAACAACCAATCGAGTTAAAAGTAAATGCAAAAGCTATGGTAGTATACTATCCTTATTTAATTGCTTTTTCACCAAATATCATTGAAATAAGACATTTGGAAACTGTAAGTATATAATGATAGCTTCTTGATAAATATATAATTTCTCAAAATAAAGTAGACCGCTCTTGTAGAGGCAATACCCGGAAAGAAAATAAGATGTCTATATACATCACCTCCTAGTAGCTTAACTAAAAATGATATATGTATTATTCATGTATCAATGTTTCACGCAGAAGAAGATCAAACAAAAGTATATCAACTTTACCTTAAAGAGCAAATATTGTTCGAAAACTAATCGGAAGTTCAATTAATAATCCAAAAAAAGAAGTATTTCATGTTCTTGCTCTTTTACCCTTAATCTTTCATCTCTTTTTTTTTTTTTTCTAATTTGAAATAAAAACTTCACATGTATAACAATTCTGGAGGGCAATTTGGGCCTTCAAAAGGTAGTTTTGAAATTTAATAAAATTTAGATATAGTTATATAAACGTATAATTTATAGGCATCCGTCTTAGTTTTTTAACTCAAAATGATCAGGCAAAATTTGAACAGCTTTTTTCTCAAAGTACTGCATCTTCTGGTGGAAATAAACTTTCTGGTAATTTATTTGTATACATTTACTTTATTTATATATTTATAGTATTTTGTTGATAGCTAATGTGGTTAGTGAGCTTCTAAGACGTTCAAATTTAGATAATGAGACATTAGCAAAGATTTGGTACTTGGCAAAAAAAAAAAGGTTAAAAATTACCGCGTTTTAACAATGTTATAACATTAGGGATCTTGCTTCAATAGCTCAAGCACCTTATTTAACATTCCCCGAATTTGCAGTTGCCATGTTTTTGACGTCCAAAAAATTGATGGGACAAAGTCTGCCTGCTTCCCTTCCTTCTAACATTAGAGAAGAAACAGAAATAGCTATGGCTACTATTGCTTCTACTGAAACTTCTCAACAGCTTGTTAATACTAGTGTCGCTCCCCAGCAACAGTTTATAACTCCCATGATGACAGGTATGCCTATACAAAATTCGATGAGGCCTACACCACCACCTGTACCTCAATTACCAATGCAAACAGGTTACATTAACAATTATCAAGCACCTATGCAAACTGGTTTCCAGCCTTCAATGCCTCCTCCACAATCTATTATCCCTCCTCCACAACCAACACCTAAACTTCGACTTCAAAATATCGATTTTGCTAAAAAAATGATGCCCAACCAAAATGGTGTCACCAATTTATTAAATCCTAGTCTGGGTTCTTCCTACAAAATTTCTTGGAAGATTAGTCCTGAAGATAGACAACGTTATCGAGAAATTTTTAACGCCTGGGAAGGATCTGGATCTGGGTTTATGTCGGGAGAAACAGCTAAAGATGTTTTAACGCAATCTCAACTACCTCCGGCTGACTTGATGAAAATTTGGAAACTTGCTGATAGAGACAATAAAGGAAGTTTAGATGAAGATGAATTTGCCATTGCCATGCATTTGGTCTATCGTAAATTAAATGGATTTGAGATCCCTTCAGTTTTACCTCCTGAACTTGCTCCCCCATCCAAGTTACTTAAGAAGTTTGTACTTGGCAATAAACCCTCACCATTTGCTCCATCATTTGACAGTCCCAAGCAACAACATAAAGAGGAAGAGAACAGCTATTTCTCCTATAATGATGACCATACTGATTATATCTCTAGTGCCCGTAGAAAAGGATATCAATCAACTAACAGTAGTAAATCTTTCTCTTTCAGACACAATAATTCTGATGACGAGGCTGATGTTCTAATTTTAGAAGATCTTCGTCGTCAAATTTATGAGACGAAGCGTACATTAGATCGTATGCCTAAACCCAATACTAAAACACGCTATAATGCTAGCAGTAAATATTCTTTAGAAGAGCTTAAAGAAAAGATTAGAAGAGCACACGAAGATATAACTAACGCTGTTCGTACTAATCCTGCATCAAAGAAGTATATGGAAAATGACGATATTTTATTGGAATTACTGGAAACTCAGAAATCACTTCAAGACGAAATTCAATATTTGTGTAATCGTGATATTCCAGTCTTAGCTCGTCAATTACGTGGCTGTACAGCTGAATTGAGGGATGCTAAGGTTCGTTATGCAAGAAAAAACGATGGAACTGAAGATTATATGTCCTTTATTCAACCTACAGGTCCTGGTGGTACAATCACCGAAAGTGATCGTGTACGTGCTAAAGCTAAAGCTATGATGGCTGCTCGTAAGGCCGGTCATACTGAATCTAGTATGGATGCTAATCTCAGCCTTCGTCGTGCTGAGGAACAGAAGGAAGAGACTGATCGAAAAGCGGATAGCATCGAACGTGAAATGGAAAAATCTCGTACAGCCTTATTGGATATGCGAGGCGATTTAAGATATTTTGAGGAGATGGTGGAAAGGAAAGATTTACAGGAGAAAAAGCAGTTTGAAAATAGTCAAGATCTTTCGTATGAGTTGCGTCATTTTATTGAACAATTGGATAAAAGAACTAATGATTATCCATCTTATGCTCCTCGACAACTTTCATCTAATTCTGTTGGAAATGTTGGTGGAGCACGTAATTCCGCTTCTGTTAGCCCATCACCTGCTATTAATGCGTCAAGTCCTAAACCCAAGCCTTCACCTGCTCGACCTCGTACAGCAGAAGAAATCAAAAAAGAGGTATAGTATTATATATGCAATGTTTGAGATAAAATATCATTAACCTATTTATTCCTTAGGCGGAAAGACGAGTTCAAGAACGCTTGGCCGCAATTCAAGCTAAACGCAATCATGCTGGTTCACCTAAGACTGGATCATCAATACCACCTATTAGCAAACCAAATGAAGCTGAAGAATCTACTCAACGTAAGGAAATGGAGTATAAGAATAAACAGGATGAACTTGAACGTATTCAAGAATATGAACGTCTGGAACAACAACGACAAGAGTTGGAAAAAGCTAAGAATGCTAGAAGACAACAAGAACTAGAAGAGCAAAAACGAAAACAAGAAGAAAAGGAATTAGAAGAAAGAAGAAAACAAGAAGAAAAAGAATTAGAAGAAAGAAGAAAACAAATATTGGAAAAGGAGGAAGCAGAACGTCAAGCCCGCTTTGAGGCAATTAAGCGTAATGAAGAGATGGAGGCTGCAAATAAAGCTCAAAAGTTAGATGAAACACCTGAAGCAGTGCCCTCAGAGTTATCGTATTCTGCTCCACCAGCGCCCCCAGCACCCCCAGCACCTCCAGCACCTCCAGCACCTCCAGCTCTTAATACATCATCATCAACCAGTAGTAACAATCCTTTTGCTAAAATACAACAATCAAACAATATTAATACTGATTCCTCTAATGCAGAAAAACCTAACGAACCTTCTAACAAGCGTATTAGTTATAACCCTTTTGCTACATTTTCTGCATTCTCTGCTACAAAAGCTAGCTCTAAAGATGATACTGACTCTGAGGATGATGGTTGGGACGATGGTCATGATGATTCAGAAGATGAAAATGAATTCCCTGCTGCTGGTAGTGCTAAAAATTTGGCTGGTAAGCTATTTAGTGCTATAAGTAAAATTTCAGATATTGGTAAGTTAATTTGAGTTTAATTTAATGAGTTTGTTGTTTACATATTTGTTAAATTTAGCAACTGTACCTGCAACATCCCCTAAACCTAATGAAGCAGACTTTACACATTCTAATACGGCATCTAATAATACTCCATCTGTGTCTGTAGCTAACAATAACATCTCTACGCCACCACCCCCACCTGCTCCACCTGCTCCACCTGCTCCTGTAGCTATGCCATCACCTGAAGAGGTTGTAGCGTCACCAATTGGCGGTGATATGAGAAATGCTTTGTTAAGTCAAATCCAAAAAGGAGCTAAACTAAAGAAAGCAGTAACAAATGATCGTAGTGCTTCCTCAGTTGCTGGAAAAGTTATTGATAATGACCAAACCCCTATTCAACCTGATCATTCCCAAAATACAGCTGAGAGTATCACCCCTACACCTGTTTTTACTCCTATGTCAAGTGATAGTTTCTTTGCAGAATTACAGGCTCGTACCATTTCTAATCCTAATGATGTCACAGAAACTGATATTAATACTGATGCAATTCCACCTGTGTCTACTGATTCTATCACAGAACAATCACCCAAACAAGGTAGGATTTTAAACTATAAACTATAACTTTTCATTCTCTTATAAATTTTATTTAGTAGAGTTTGTCGCTCTTTGGGATTATTCTGGATCGGGGTCCGACGATCTTATCTTTGCACAAGATGATATTATTCTAGTTCAAGATAGCAATGAATCTGAAGATTGGTGGTATGGTACTTTGCAAAAGAATGGGAAAACTGGCTACTTTCCTAAAAACTATGTACAACCAAAGTCTGAAGGTAAATTAATGTGATAGTGTGTATACGCATTTTTTTTAAAAAAAAAAAAATATTTTCTAACCTTTCATACAGTTCCACCTGAATTAGATATTAAAGCAAAAGCTTTATATGATTTTGAAGGACCTAAAGGACAAGGTTGTTTAGATCTGAAGTTAGGTGAAATAATCACTATCCTTGTTAAAGAAAATGATGACTGGTGGAAGGCTAGATCTGAGGATGGTACCCGTGAAGGCCTAGTACCTGTCAATTATGTGGAACAAATTTAATCTTTAATACATACTCAATACATTTTTATAAAGCTACATAATGTGCTTGTATATACTCTTTATTAATATGGTATATCATCATTTTATCTGCTTCAGAGCATGAGTGTTAAAAAAAAAAAACAAAAAAAATCCACATTATTGATTCTAATTTTTAAGGATTGAATAATATACTTTACACAAATGTTTAAACCAGCTTGACTGTACACAATGTATTATATTAGCCGTTCACTAGAAAACATATTTAATTTATTTGGATATCTTGACAAGAAGCAAATAGCATTTCTATTTGGAACTGCATAGCATAAGTCTGGTTTAATAAACGTTTTAATTGATCATTAACACGCAATTGTTCCTAGAAAAAAAAAGAGAGAGAGAGAAAAACACAAACACATGTTAAATTTAAAAGATTCAAGAAAATCAATCATTCCTAAAAAAAATACCTTTTGTAATTTCTCTTGCTCGTTGAGGCTATCTTTATATTTCTCTGTTTCTTTTTCTAATTCTTCATCCTTTAATTTATTGGATTCTAACCATTCTACTGTTTTCCTAAATGAATTTTTCAATTGTTCATATTCTTTACGAGTTTTTTGAAGTTTGGCTAAATCTGGCTCGACTGTTAGAGAAGAGGCTGAAGCTGAGGAAACAGCTTGTATGATTTGTAACATAGTATACCATAAATTAGATAATGTTTCCAATGCAACATTGGCATTATTAAATACATTTTCTGTTAAGGTTGTAGCTGTCATTATATTAATAAAAAAAAAAAAAAGTTGTACATATAAAAGAAAGATCCAAAAATTTATTAATTCACTAACTTTTTACGTATTAAAGATAACCCATCAAAAATGGGGAGAATTACCATCTCAACCCTTGAATCATTTGCAATGTATTTATTAAAATTGGCCAATTTCAGTGCTGTTTTCTTAATATTCTTGGACATTTCACTAGTAGGTTCTTGCTTTTCGTATCCTGCTACTTTATGAACTTGTCCTCTATACAGCACTATAACAAAGCCATGTTAAATACAAAATGTTTATAATCTACAGAATAATTCTTACCATTATCTGTAACAATAACTCCTCTATTAGACAATAAATCGTATTTCATGATTAATTCGTAATAATTTATATATCCACCTTTATCGGCATCTAATAATAAATATATTTGTTATTAATGTATGTTTTCTACTTTATAGATTACAGTCAATTAGGTACCCATAAAGATCAAATCATATTGAGTCTTTAAAGAGCTTTCACCTAAAGAAATTAAACTACAATATAATTTTTGTTATGGAAATATTCTTATCAATTTGGTCATCTATCTATCCATATATATATATATATACCTTTCATTAGCGGGCCCCTCCTTGATTTCAATTCTGTCTTGTAAGTTAGCCATGCTTATAAAACGTTTAGCTGTTGTAATATGAACAGGATTGAGTTCAAGTGAGACTAATCTTGAATCTGGTCTCATTGCAGATCCCATAGCTATAGCTGAATATCCTGTAAATCCACCAATTTCAAGTATACGATTAGGTTGTAATAAACTAACCAAATGATAAAGAAATTTGGCCTCATTCTGGCTAATCATCATGTGAGGATTTGAAAAATTGAGTCTAGTTTCATTTAAAAGCGTATCCAATACATTTTGATACGGCTCCTTGAAAGGTGTACTTAGGTCATTGCAATATTCTTCTTCTTCAGCTCTCAATAGACCTTTTCCATTGTTACTAGCAATAGATTGATGTCGTTTTAATAACGTTTCATGTGATTTAATTCTAGTTATAATGGGTAATACTTTTGTTGTTAATCTTGCTAAATTCATATTCTTTAACCAATTATCAAAAATATAAACCCCACACTTTTTCCTAAAACAAAAAAAAAAAATAGGTAGCTGGCTGCTTTAAAAAAGTAACAAATTTTTTAGGGGATATAAATAAAAGTTTACTTTTTATACGCCATTCTATTGTAAGCATGCACATAGTTTCATATTGAATATAATATTATATATAAAGATCCCTTATAAAGGCAATGATATATGCTAATCATTTGTGTTATTATAAATTTATAAGCTATTTTATTCCATGTAATAATAATAATAATAATATATTACAGCAACTTTTTTTTTTCTCGTTTTTATCAACACAAATTCAAAAAAAAAAAAAAAAAAAAAAAAAAAATTATAGCTTTTCCAACTCTACTTGTCGTTTAAGACGTTCTAACCTCCATTTGGGTCCATATCTTAATTCAATCACCATTGTTAACCTCGAAATAAACAAAATTAAAGAAATAACCGTAAAAAACCAGCCAACGCCTAGACCCTGTATACCAGGCTGTACAGCCATCACAGCAGCTGCACCCAATAAGCATCTAAAGATAATCTTAGTTATTATATAAGAAATAATGATATAATGGTATAATGATATATATATATATATACGTACCGAGTAAGATTATTTGATGCTACTATAGCTGCTGAATTTTTTGGAAACAAATCGACAAGTAATGTATTTGTGGCATTGAATGTAGATGTAGAAAAATATGATACTATGATTTAACAAATAAAATGAGTAAGCCTGTTACTATATATATATATATATATATAATTAAACTGTAGTTTACATAGAGAATTAATAATGATAGGTATAGCAATATGAACCTTAAGATATAGACACCAGCCATATAAGATTAAAGCAATATTAAAAGCTATTCCCCAAATCCAGGTGATGCCCATTCTTGCATTCTCAACTGGGAATTCTGAATCTATATTTCCTCTGGAAAAATGATAAGATTAGATTAGCATTCATTCAAAGTAGTGTAGTGTAGTGTAGTATATATAGGTGTAGGTTAGATATACCTTTTTATATGAGCTCTATCTATATTTAATGATGTAGCTATCTTTTTAAATCTCCAATTTAGTATCTTTCCAGAAGTAAATGATCCCATAGCTGCGCCAAAACCATTAGAAAGAAAACATAAACCAATATAAAAGGCATTTAATCCATAGATATTGGTAAATAAGTCAGTTAAGCTTGTTACAACACAATAAAGCCCTGCATATTGTAATGAGTTGTATAGCAAAAGAACAGCAACATCCTTTTCCCTTAGAAACCCTAAAGATTGAAACGGATTGGGTATTACAAGGAATCGATTTCTCTTTTTGATTGCAATTGTTTGTAGTGTATGGTTATTATAATGTGATCTAGTGGTATCAAGAGTATTCATGCATGTTCTATTAGTATCGTCACTACTACAAGCTACTGTTGCATTAAAAGAGGATGAATAAAGACTTTCATGTGATTTATTAAAATTTGAATGGGTAGAAGATAATATATGACTTTTATCACTAAAATCTCTTCTCCTCCTTCTCTTTTTGAAGAACTGTATTGGTGTAGGATTAGCATAGCCTGAACCATTTCCAACAAGTGAACGCAAAGTCTCTGGAAGGAAAAATATTTGAATTAACCAGATAGGGATAACTAGTATAGTTAAAATCCAGAATATCCATCTAATAGACATTATATGTTATTAGAGACACAATAATAATAATAATAATAATAAAACGACTTTAAACAATCTCTCTCTCTCTCTCTCTCTCTTCATTTAGTTACCTCCAACCTAATTCATTACTTACTAATCCTCCTATATTTTATTGAATGATATGTTAGGAATAAGTTTTCAAGCGGGTCTATATATATATATATAACAATACCTAAAACAGGGCCCAAAAGTGGACCTAACATTGTCCCCATTGAAAATACGCCCATATATCCACCTCTTTCAGCAGGTGTAGATATATCACCGATCACCCCAGCTCCCACAGCAACAGCAGAGCTTGATCCGAATGCTTGTATCATTCTCAATGAGAGTAAGCTTGCATAATTCTTTGTATTCGCCATACCAATACATGCTAATATATAAATCAAAAACGTGATTATAAAAATCGGGCGCCTCCCCCAACTATCTGCCAGACTTCCCCAGAATGAAGGTGAAAGGCCTTGCATAACCATATACATAGTTACTGTAAGACTAACCATCCTTTCACTAACATGTAAATCCTATATATATATATACGAGAAGTTTAGTAACATCATTTAATATAATACAACATGCTTATATATATATATATAGCTACATTTTGTATAATACTTAGGGCTGGAAAATAGATATTTGTAGAAAATGGACTAATAAACCCTAAAACTGATATAGTAGTAACGATCATAATCTTTTGTTTTCTAGATAAGATAGAATAAGGATCCATATCTGATTCTTCATTTTGGCTAGATAAATCATCCAAATATTTTTCTATTTCAATATCTTCTGGTACAATGGTGATAGAAGATGGCTTGACTTTATCTATGTCATTATTATCGCTTTGCGTGTGAAGATCTGATCCTTCATTAGATAACATATTTTTTTATTGTATGTGTACTGTTAAGAAGATAATTGTATATATATATATATATGTAAAGAAGAAGAAGAAGAAGGAAGGCACTATTCAACTTTTCTCAAAAAGTTTTGTAAAGGCAGTAGTTTTTTTTTTTTTTTTTTTTTTTTTGTTATAATTAGAAATCAAATTAATTAGAATTGAACTATATACGTATAACCGCATTCATAATGCAGCTTCCCCCGCCATTTATATGCATTTCAGTATCTTTAAATAGAAAAGATCTACAATACAGCTATCCTATCTTGAACATTGATTTAAGTTTGCTATTTACTAATAGAAATTTAAAAAGTGAAACTTGATTTAGAAAAAAAAACAATAATATTAAAAGATTAGGCGTATGTGTATACATGTGAGGAAGGAAAGAGAGGGAGATACATACTCAAGTAATGCTAGTAAGTCTAACTATTATAATCAAAATATTTTAATAAACTAGATTGTATCGTATAATTACGTTTTTGATGTTAGTTCACTAAAGATATAACAAAAAATTATAGGAGCTACTTATGATGTAAGGAAGGAGATGATAACTAAATACTTTATGATTAAGGGATATAAAAAAAAAAGGCTATAAACTTATCATAGGGGGTATCTTGTTTTTTAACAGAAAAAAATAAAAAAATTAAATAAAATAAAATAAATAATGTACAAGATCATGATGCTTAACGAGTCTATTCCAGTTAACTTAAATTTAACTACCTCAGTTATCTTATAAATTTTTCTTTATGAGTGTATTCAGCAAATAAAATAGTACAGATTGAATCATTACCTGTCATAAATATATGAGTAATACTGTATTATCTTTCAAAGTACGTCATTTAAAAAAAAAGTTATATATTAAATTATAAAGGCTCTCTTTATTATATGGCTTGAATAGCTTACATCAATGTTCTTTAAACCATCAAAATAAAAATATATAAATATATGCATATTTAACTTACGAAAGTATTATCCATAATATAAAATTTATACCAAGAACTTTGGTAACCGTAGACTATATGATGCCAGCAGAATGCTCTTGTTTAGTTCTGCCATTTAGTTTGCGTAAAGCAAAGATTGCTAATTATACTTTAATTGAATTATTTATCATTTATCTTTTTTTAGGGGAAGAGTACTGTTTTCTATTTGAATATTGATGCCTTTCTATTTAAAACAGATTTGCAAACCTTTTTTTTTTGGCAATTCAGGTATTAAAAATAGACATTGATATCTTGCATGTGGGACCTTTTTTTTTTTAAGCAATAATTAAATAAAAGACTCTGCAAGTAAAAAGATTTTAGTTTGTACTAGTAAACTGCTAAAGAGACTTTCTTCACTATGGAATTCAATCTTCTTCTGGTTTAAAGTCTGGGTATAATAAAGGAGATATAATCCGAAATCAATGCTATTGAATAAAAAAAAATCAAGAGAAATTGATTAAACTTATAACTCTTTTTTTTTTCTATGGAATAAAAAATAAATATAGCAATAAGAAGTCTTTTGTTTATCAGATGAAGGATATCAAGCAGAATTGTCGCCTCTAAATTATTTGACCGCATATTAAAAAAGATAATTTTAGATTTAAAGGGTTTCAAATCTAAACAAGTACAAGGATCGTTGGTAAAGGAAACATACTTGAATTTGCAAGTAAAAAAAAAAAAAATAATAATATAAATGTCTGCTCTTTACAAAATTGACGGTATACAGCTACACTGTTGTCTATCCCTTTTTCTTTTCTTTTCTTCTTCTCCACATGTATTAAATTTAGGACTTTTGTTTTTGTTTTGTTTTGTTTTGTTTTTTTTTGTTTTGTTTTTTTTTGTTTCTTTTTACTTTTTTACTTTTTTTTTTTAACTATTTTTAAAATTAAAAAGGACTTCATAAGTAAAAATAAATATGATAAAATATGAAAAGGGGATTTTTTTGTCAGTTTTTTTTTTTTTTTTTTTTTTTTTTTTTTTTCGTAAAATGATAAAGGGTTATTAAAAAATATATGTGTATAAATATGTATATAAAAAAAAATAAAAAAAAAGTATATAAAAAAAAAAAAAATAAAAAAAATAAAAAAAATAAAAAAATAAAATAAAAAATAATAAAATAAAAAATAATAAAAAGGGAGGGAAGAAAAGAAAATCAAGTCGATAAATGTCAGTTATTATTTAGAGAGAAGCAAATCTACTACTCTTTAGTTGTAATTCCTCCAAGATATAGGCTTTGCAGAATGAATGTAGTTTTGTGAGTAATAAGAGAAATCTTGGCAACGATTAAGACTGTAGGCAAGAGGATCCCATGAAGACTGAGACAGGTTAGTCACAGTGTAATCATTTCTGTATCCACATGCATAACCAACAGGTGGTTGCATAGTGTATGATGATTGGCTATTAGGGAAAAATGAATCACTACATTTACGAGTGTTTTCTAACTGAAGCCTTGCAGCTGTAATTTCCCAATCCTGATAAATTGTTGGCACTGAGTTATATAATCCAAGGATTTGTAAAATGAATAAAACCAATTGCTTTTGCTGTTGAGGACCATCATAGTATGACATTTGAGCACGTTCACGACATTCTTCCAATAAACGCTTCCAACTGTTGTATTCATGTTCACGAACAAACAAATCATAATCTAACGCTTCAAGAAATTCTGCTTCCATAATATTCAAGTCATGTACTTTCATTCCACTCACTTCTGACCAAGTTTTATTAGTAAATGTGTTATCGTCCAAAAATTTGTTAGCTATTTTTTTTTGTTCAATTAGTCATCTGTTTCTCTTCCCCTTCTTTTACTACTTCTTGTCTTACCCAACATTAACGCAACAATAAACAAACGATATTCTGAACCCTGAGCTCCTTCAATAGATGGATTAGATTGCAAAAGAATAGAAATATATTTTAGTGACAAATAGACTGCTGGTTCTTGTAACTGTGTAGCCGTAAGAACCTAACACAACAAATAAATACTCTAGACATGCATACACATATAATTATATATAAATACCTGAAAACAAAACTTTTTGAATGCAGGGCTTGCAGAATAAGAGAAGGAATTATCATCGCCAAGAGGAGAATAGTGTTGAGGTTTCATCATAGTAGGCTTTCTTGATTGCCATATAAGATAAGCTAAATCATTTCCAATAACTGATCTTTCTAAAGTCAAAGCTTTGATCGTCTTTCTTGAATGCCACATCAAATACACCATTGAAGATGCAAAATCTGCAAGTTGACCTATATTTTGACATCCTGAACTGATCAATGTTGATGATGTTGAATATATAGTGTTAATCATAATATATCACAATTGTAGTTTGAACAAAACGACTTCCCTCCAACAAAAAAAAAAAAAAAAAAAAAAAAAAAAAAAAAAAAAGTTAAAAAAAAAACTATTAGAATAATCTAATTGAGATTCTTTTTAATTTCTTTTTAGAAAAAAGAAATTTAGAGAATAAGATCTCTTAAAACGTAGAGTAAATAAAAAGAGGATAAAAAAAAGGTAAGCTTTTTTTTTATTCTTTCTTTTTAAATTTAAACTTGTTATAAGAAAGAGGGAAAAGAAACCAAAGTGTTAAAAAATTGCGAAATGGAATCTTTTATTTATTAAAAAAAATTTTTTTTGAAGTTTTTGGAAAAAATTTAAAAATATTAAAAAAAAAAAAAAAAAAAATACTTTGAAACGATTCAGTGCATGGTAGAAACAGGTTGAATTTATTATCAACTTACTACAAAAAAAAAAGAAAAAAAAATAAAGCATAAAGGTGACAAATTTAAGCATTTAAAATAATTTTCTAAAGAATGATATGCAAACCCTTATTTTAACTTGGAATATGTCATTTTTACCTTAACTATTGTTATATTTGGACCCCTTCATAAATTCTACCCTTAACAATGATAGAAAGAAAACAAAATAATATGTGTTTAGGGACAAAATTTTGCTATTAGCATAAAATAACAAAAGAAACAAATATATCGTTTCCAATATGTATTAAACAAACTCTAGATTATTACAAGCATGTGAAAGAACAGAAAACTATTAAAAATGTACATAAATGAAAATAATAATAATAAAAAACAATACAAGCAGCAAATAGTAAATACTCTTTGGCCTGTTATTTTTCGACGTATGAATGTTTATTTTATTTTTAACTTAACATAATAATAAAGACCTTTTTTTTTCATTAACTTTGGGAAAAAATTTCATAAACCTCATGTGACAGGCTATTCTTTACTTTTTTTTTCTTCTTGATCTTCACTGCACTAATATATGATAAAATAACACATAATATGTGATATATATACAATACAATACGAATACCTAAACAATCACGAATTTAAAGTTATGTAATCTTTATTGCATCATATGAATTTTACTGTTTCACATGAATGTGACAATTCTCCTCCTTTTTAGCATTGCAGCCGTTACACAATATATTAAATATCTGTTGATCCCTGTTCTATAAAGTTCAAAACTAGCGTCCAAGTTAATAAATGGAATATAGACCAAGATAATAGAAGAAGAGGCAACAACCTAACCTAGTCAACCTCAGGAAAATGCTGCTAAAAATATAAACCATGATTATAAATAACACGGTGACGTTAGGTAAATTCAGACAATAATAATAAAAAAAAAAAAAGGAAAGGGTGTTGTGCTGGGAATTTTATATCATTCTGTCCTTTGAGAAAGTTAAAAAAAAAAGTTCTCTGCTTTTAAATTCTATTCTAACGGATGGGGCAACAAATCCTTTTTCCTGTATAAAAATAGTCTTCTATTTCAATTATTTTTCGTTACCACTGCGTAACTTTCAATACAAATAAACAAGCATATGATTGAGAAGTCTATTTTACTACTCAAAATTCAATGTAGATCTCAGGCATATATCTTTTTCAAGCATTTAGTATGCTATTTATACAACTCGCTTCTTTTTATTATTTCACTTATCAAAAATGAATGCTTGAAAGTTTAAAGAAAGTTCCCATACAATATAGTATTTTCTTTCAGATGTCAAAAAAAAATAGGGCTTAAATATGTAGCATAATAACTATTTGGTCCAAAATATTATAGTAATTTAACAATTTGAATATATCATAATTACTCTATTTTATCTCTTTGAATTGCTGTAAACAGTTATACTATGTCTTTCAACCGCATACATATTTTATATTATACAACCAATTCTTTTTTTTTTAATCCAGGAAACAACAATTGTTCTTCAAATACTACTTATAAACGCCCGTATAAATTTAAACAGAATATCTTATTTCTATTATCACTTTTTGTATTTCGCATTTTTTTTTCTTTTTAAAAAGCGACAATATACTACAAAGAATACATTCCTCTTTTATTTCCTCTTTCTTTCTTCTGAACAACATCTTTGAAGAATCATGTTCAGTTTTGGTGAAGATGAAGATGATAATTTCATTCATTCTATTAAGCCGTTACCTGAAAATGCAATAGAACGTTCGGCATTTACAGCAAAGGAATTTGACCCTGATGTATTTCTTACATCAAGAAGACATTTGGGACTCGAACGAATGAAAACTGAACTTAATGCTCATTTAAGACGATTAAAGGCAGAGCTTGTTGAGCTCATTAATAGAGATTATCAAGATTTCATTAATTTGTCAACTAATTTAAAGGGTGTAGATAGAAATATTGAATCTTTAAAATCCCCACTAGCCAACATGGAGATTGAAGTCAAAGTAAGTTCTGTTATATATATACATATATATATATAGAAGGAAAGATGGAAAAAAAAATATTAATATATATTTATTTAACTCGAAATAGGAAGTTCGTAATCATTTTCAAAAAGTAATTGATGACTTGGAAGCACGATTGGGATATCGTTCTCAACTTCGAGACAGAAAGGTAAAGCTAAAATATAAGCAATATAAAAAAAAATTGGTTTTATATAACCTTTTTTTTTTTCTAGGCCGTTCTTAAATTATTACTTAATATACATAGTTCAATAACAAAAGTAGAGGATTTGTTGGGTATAAATACTGATATTATCAAGACAAAGTTGGACAATACTGAGAATGATAATAAGTAAGTGTGCTATGAAAGTAAACTCTGATACATACTGGAAAATATAATGATTCTATTAGTTATCTTGGAAAAGGGATTGAGAGAGTGGCTATAGAATACAACCAAATGCAGCATTTAGTGCACAGAGGTAAAGATCTGGATTTCGTTATAGAAAATGAATGGAGAATTACACGTATTCGAGATACAATAGAGGAAAAGTTATCAAAGGCATTATCAGCAGCACTTTCTCAAATTAGATTAGGTGAAGTTACAAGAACCACAAAACAATCCCTGAGTCAATGTTTAAGGACATATGCTATGATTGATCAAACACAAACTGCAGAAGAGATTATCAAGGAAGAATTTGTGAAACCTTTTGCGACAAAGACTATTACTCAAAGGGCATTAGAGGAGGGACTTTGTAATCATGATAATTCTTTAACAGTGATGTATAACAAAATACTAGCATTTGCATCAAATGATCTTCAGCCTATTCTAAATGTCACACAAAAGACCTTGAAGGGTTCAAATTATAATGTCTTGGTGAATTCATTATGGATAGAGATTATTGAAAGGATCGATAAAGAATGCAAAAGTATATTTGCTGCTGGTCAAACTGATATTTTTTACAAGGTAAAACAACCATTTTATACCATCAAAAAGATAAATACATATTTATTTGTATACGAATTCATCATTTTCTAGAATTATTCAGCTACAATAGAATTTATATCAGAATTAGAAGGACTATGTTCTTCAAAAAAATCCTTATTTTATTTTCGAAATCATGCAAGCTATCATGAATTCATGAAACGATGGCAATTACCAGTCTATTTTCAACTAAGATTTCATGAAATTGTTAAAGATATAGAGGACGTTTTAAATAATCCAAAACAAAATTTAGCTTTGGACAATACAGAAAATGTATCTGAAGGTAATAATAATTATATTGAAAGGGGAAAAGCATATCATTTATACATAGAAAAGATGATTTTATCCTTCCTGAGGGAAAAGCAATTATGGAAGCTATCAATCAATGTTGGTCAGATGGCGTATTTTTATATGGATTATCACACAAATTTTGGAAATTGACATTACAATTGATTAAAAGGTATCAAGCATGGATTTTAGATGCAATCAAAAAGGTAAAAAAAAAAAAAAAAAAAAAAAAAAAAAAAAAAAAAAAAAAAAAAAAAAAAAAAAAAAAAAAAAAAAAAAAGTTGTTAAAAGTTATAGTCTGTTTTTATTCATGTCTTTTTTTTTTCCTTTTTTTGTTAAAAAGACTGAAGATTATAAAGTACAAGATGAATATATTAGTTATTTGATAGCTTTAACACATGATATTGAGACTTTTATAAAGCAAGTTCAATTACAAGCAAACAAATCAATATTACCTAAATTACCTTTAAACTTACAAGACTTGCCTCTTTTAAAAGGTATAAAAAAAAAAATTAAACAAATTAGAAAAAATGCATTAAAATCCTTTATATAGAGACTATAGAGGATGTCTTGAATCAATTACATAAAGCTACTATGCCTAGTATCAATGAAAAAATTATAAATTATATTCTTCAACATTGTTTGGAAACATTTAAAAACAAAGAGTTTACAGCAGAAGCATTTATACCCAATACATTTAAGCCTTTACATTATGTTATTAAACAAAACAAGAATAGTGTAAAGACAGAATGGATAAATTTAGTTGTAAATGAGATAATCAACGAATATTCAAATAGAGTTAAAGATCAAACAATAGACAAACATAAAATAGCACTGAATATTAAAGAAATAGAAGATGAGGTAATAATGCAAGTTTAATGTGTGACAAAAAAAAATAAAAAATAAACTAAGGCTATTTTTTTTATTATAATTATTTAGCTGGAACAATTAAAGATAGACAAGAATACGACTGATTATAATAAATTGAAACAATTCAACACAGTAGAAACATTATAATAAATTGAAACAATCTAATATAGTAGAATCATTATAATAATAATAATAAAAAAAAACTATCTATCTATATAATTTTTTGTAATACAGGACTATTCTTCTTTGAAGTCTTCTTTGTAAACCATAAATACATTTCACCAATAGAATCTGAATCATCTAAATAGGCATCAATTAAATGAGCTGGTAAGGGAATGAATTCGGTTACGACGTTATCTTTTAATTCTAATTCCCGTTCAAATTCATCATGATCTTTAGGTAGACTATCAAAGTCCCAAGCCAAGAGTTTACGAACTACTTTGTTTTTAGCTGGATTTCCTCCACTATAATCGATACCATGATCAAGCATAAAACGAACTGTCCTTTCCCATCCCTCTGCGGGCAAAAGATAGATATCCAAATCCCATTCATTGACTGCGCGATGTAAGATTTCCTTTGCATCCTTCATTGTCCTGCTACGAATAGCATTTATGTCCATCTTTGAAGCCTCAGGGATAGTGACATCCCAACGTCTAGGAGGACCAAATTCAAGTACTGTATTTTCAACAAGTCCTTTTTCAAATAGTTTAGCAGCAGATCTTAACGCAGGCACTTCAAAACCTTCTACATCAATCTTTAAGAAATGAATAGGTTGTCGATAAAGAAGAGATTCATCTATTTGATTCTCTTCTAATGACACTTTACTACCACCAATAGCATCTATGATGGCTTGAGAATAGGCGGTACCTAAATCTTCAGGATCTAAAATAGATTCTTTAGCTTGTTGTTGATAACTAGTAGATGATTTTGGATAGAGAAGATGATAAGCAGGTAATGTATCAAGACGTATGGTTTGAGTTGTAATAAGTGCGTTTGGATTATCATATGAGAGACCACCAATACCACCATCATTAATTTCCACTTTTTCCATTGCAAGTTTATTAAACTTGTCTAATACAGCAAATGGAAGAACTCGAATACGATCCGATAATTGATTTACTCTACTTGCCAAATTTATAATACCTATTTTTAAAAAAAGAGTTTTTTTTAAAAAAAAAAAGGGGACTAAAAAAAAAAAAAAGAGAGCTAATAATGTAACACATACTTCTTAAGTGAGTTTGAGGTTCAAAAGCAATTGCATGAGCGCCACTTGCACCAGCGACAAGTGAAAAAAGACCATGATTTGAACCTAAATAAATATAATCATTCAATATTTATAGCAGAGTATAAATATAAATATATATATATTTTTTTTCTATACACCACTTACCAGCATCAACCATGACTAAAGGTGTATCTCGATTAGGGTCGCGACGATGAACACGAAGAATCCATTTCATAAGTGTATAAATTCTAAATTCCCGATGATAATGGTTATTAATATCGTTATAATTGGTATTGGTAACAATGAAAACATCAGGCTTTGTATTAATCTAATAATATATTTAATTATAAGTTTAAAATTCATATACATGTATGTATGAATATACTTTATACTCTCATGTTACTTTACAATACCAATTTGCCATAAATCCCCCGAAGTAGCATATTTTAAACCTTCATTAGTTAATCGGTAAGTAGTTTTATCAGCAGTAGGTGCAAGAGTACCAAGATTTTCATTGTAGTGTGTATGAATATCTAATATATATATATATATATACCAGTTTAAATATAAATATATATAAATATGAACGAGAAAATAGTTTAATACTTACTTGGATAGTGTGTATCTGGCTTTTTCAATGGTTGAGGATTGGTATCTACATGTTCATAAAGAACTGCTTCTGAGACAGGAAGCAAAATATTATCTGGAATTTCTTTTTTTGGAGTAGGCTCTACTATTTCTGAAGAAGGTGAAGGTGAAGGTGGAATATCTTTATCTTGAAGCTATTCAAAAAGATAGGATAAGTTTTGAATGAAATTTTAGGATAATAAATGAATGCTTTATATTGGTAGAATGATTTTTTTTTAATTATTTTACATGATTATCTTCTTGTACAAGTTCCTCCTGTAGATATAGGTTATACATATTATATAATTACTTCCTTATCTAAATACATACCTTATTCATATTGCAAAACCTTGGATCAGTACATGTATATGCTTTCCAATAGAATATATTTAAGCCTATAAAGACAATTATAAGGACTATTGTCCATGTTCTCCAACTTCTCATAATAATAGAAAAATAAAAGTTAATTAAAAGAAAAAAAGAATAAAAATTTGTACTTGAAACTGAATTATATTAGACGCCAATCTTTTTTTTTTGGGGGGAGTTTATAAGTGACGGTAATTATTTTTTAAAGAAAAAAAAAAAGGTTTGTTTATTATCCTCAAGGTTAATTTATAATAAGCAAGGAAAGCTTTTAACTTAATGATTGTATTCTACAGAGTTTATCATTTACTCTGCAGTAGGATATAACTCATATATTTTACGCGTGTGTGTATGTGTGTGTGTGTGGGGGGAAGGAAGCCTTTTATACTTGTCATACATTAAATATGTATATATTTATAAGAAGCATAGGTTTTTATTTCTATTTTTTTACAAGTTCTACTACTGTTGTCCATCCTTGTCTTTTAGAGCCCTTTTTTGACCATCTATTTTAGGATATGTAAATAACGATTCTATCTATTCATATATATATTACTTACAATTCAAGTAGTTTGTCTCCATTAGGATTCTTTTCTACATTATAAACAGCATTAGGAAGTAATGTTTCAATGACTTTATATACAAAAGGTGGCTTCTTCTCAGTTATTTCATCTAATTTTAAATGATAAATATAAATATTAAATAGAGATGATATATTATATTATTTACCTGATAGCTTAGGTCTAATAAAATCAAATATACAATCTGGGTTACGTTGATGTCGTAGTTCAATATCACCTTCCTTTCTAAAAATTAATAGACTTAATTTACTTTTGTTAAAGTATGTATATTGACTTTTAGCAATTTGATTATTAATGTTCTTCTTTATCCAACAAAAATTTTCGACATATTTGAATCCCCATTTTGATGTAATGCTCACTAATTTCTGTAACCACTCTTTCTCTACCCAAATAAATAAAAACCCTGACTGCACAATATCTGATACATTTAAATTGGCCTAAATTCTATTTTATGAATAAATTCTGTATTCATCATTTTTTTCTTTTTTTTTTTTCCTCAATACTCACAAATTCTTCAATCGTTATCTTTCCAGGACAAGGCTCTTCTCCAGGTAATAACAAAGGTGGATCCATGTAAACAGCACTAAAGTTAGTTCCATATTGAGTTAGATTGGTTGATATAATATTATCTACTTCATGATAGTTAGATCCAGGGGGGATTAGAGTATTTTTAGTATTGAATGGCTTAATTGAATGTGCCCAAGAAAGTGAAATAGGTCTTGCTGGGATTTTGACATAGGTTGGAAGTGATGGATCGACATTACTAACTCGTTTTTTAACTGTAAAATAATTTCCATTTCGATCTTGTACCTGAATTTGCATAATTTTATATTTCGCAATGATACTTTCACGGTCAACACCACCACGTCTTTGTCCTGGTTGTTTCGGTGTACGTCCATGTCTAACTCTTTTAGGTCTTTCACTGCTACCAAACTCTTCATCCCAAAAGTTATCATCAACGTAATGATATTCACTATTTAAAAAAAAGGAGGGGGGAATATGGGTCAACATGATATAAAAAATGCCCTGTATTATTAGTACTTACTCTTCTTCATAAAATTCTGTAGTGCTACCATCTTTATATTCAATTTGCCAAAGCTCTAATGCATCTAAATCCTCAAATTCACCTGTCTCCATGGTCGCACTTTTCACTGTAAAAGCAGAAGTACGTTTGAATACCTCTTCAAGTTGTTCCTCTGTTAGTTGTGTACTCTTTACCGATTCGTCCGCTACATCAGTCATTTGCTCATCCTGATCTACATTAGTGTCATTGTTTACTTGAAGGCTTGAAAATTCCTTTTGTATACGTTCTAATTCTTCAAATTTTTTCATGATTGCTTCTACAGATTCTTCATCCTCAACATAACCTACATAATGAGCATTACTACAATTAAAAGAAAAAAAAAAGTATAAGATTATTCTAAATTTATTTCATTTTATTTTTTTTTTTAAAAAAGAAAAAGAAAAGGAGAAAGGGGTAAGAGACTCTATAAACTTATTTACCTCACTTTAGGTCTTTGAGTAGTTTGTCTTCTCTTTCTTCTGGGACGATCACTCATTTTAAATATATATGTATATATATATGTATCTATCTATATATGTGTGTATGTAAATAAATAACACTTTAAGGTAAAATAGAAAACGCGTAAAAAGTAAATGTAGATTTTTTTTTTGATTTTTTTCAAGAAAAAAAAACATGAAAGACGTGTGTCGGAGTTACTATTTCGCCTCTCCCCCTTCCCCCCCTTTTAACTGTAACAAAAACTTACAACACAGGGAAACAAGTATTCTGTTCGTAAAATGTTGTAAATGGACACTTTTCTATACTATATACAGATTCAAGATTCAACTCGAATCAGTGAGTAGTTTTAATTGGATAATATACCCGCTTATTCTAATAACTTGAATTGATGCTTCGATGCCCTGCTTACTTGAAGGTTTTTATTGTACAGTACTTAATATGATGACACTCATCATTATGGCACTTTCTTTATATGCAACGTTTTACAATTGATTTGTAAAGCAATTCAGTAATGAATTAGTAGTAGACCATTACATCTATCTTAATGCATATACATGAAAAAAACCTTCTCCTCCTTTCCTGAGTATAAAATCCCTTTTTGATCTGTCACAATTATATAAATTGGAAATTTCCTTTATTTTATTTATTTATTTTTTTTTTTCATCTTCTTTATTGACAACATGACTTCTATTAAAAGATTAAATCAAGATGTCATTAATAAAATGGCAGCAGGCGAGGTATAGGTTATATAAAATGACCGTTACTATTACTACTACTACTACCTTTCATTTGTTTACTATTATAGATAATACAAAATCCATATAATGCAGTGAAAGAATTAATAGAAAATAGTTTAGATGCTGGAGCAAAGCAAATCCAAATAACATTATCTTTAGGAGGTTTAGAATCAATTAAAGTAAAGGATGATGGTCACGGTATTAAGGTAATAATCATATTGGAGTGCAACAAAGAAGATGTTTAAAAAAATTGAATTTGCTTGCTATTAGTTAGAAGATATGCCTTTAGTCTGTACTCGTTATGCAACCAGTAAATTGAATCAATATCATGATTTACAGAAATTAACTACCTTTGGATTTCGTGGAGAGGCTCTTGCTAGTCTGTCATATATCTCCAAAGTTAAAATCATCACAAATATAAATGATCAATCATGTGCTTATGAGTAAGTAGAACGAACTTGACTTGAAAAAAATAAAAATTATAAACCATGATTGAAAGGGCCTCATACAAAGATGGCACGATGATGAATGAAATAATAAAGCCTTGTGCAGGAAATAAGGGAACTATTATAATAGTAAGTAAGCATGTATGCATGCATGTAGAATTCAATTCACTTTATATTTAAAATAGGTTCAAAATTTATTTGAAAATATGCCTCTAAGAAATAAAATGTTAATGAGTCCTAATAAAGAATATCAACATGTAATGGACTGTGTTCAAAAGTATTCTATTCATTATTTCCATATAGGATTTACTCTTGTAAAGCAATATACATATATACATGTATACAGACATACATACATACATACATACATACATACATACATACATGAAAACATAGATAGAAGATCTGTATGTATGTATGTATGTTTTTTGGTCTTTTTTCTTTTTTTTTCTTTTTTGCTCACAAACTATTATTATTGTCTTGCATAGTTTAATAACAATATCAATGGCATTCTTAAATACCCTGCAAAGAATCATATTGAAAGTATTCAACATATTTATGGTTCAGATATTTCGTCTCATTTAAAGCTCATAGAATATGAAGACGATAATTGCTTCTTCAAATTGTATTTTAATGATTTAACAGATAATGCTTCCATGTTACAAGAAAAGAAAGGGAAACCAATTTCTATTTTATTTGTTAATGGTAAATAGTAGAATAAATAACTACATGTAAAATTAAATGTGATTATTTATATGCATATATATATATATATATATATAAAAAGACAAATTAGTAGAAAATAGTAGAATTGAAAACAAAATCAAACAAGTGTATATGACGATCAGTAATAAACAGTATACTTCAACATCACTCTTCTTCTTCTTCTATCTCACTTTGACCGTTTATCCTACCCATGTCGATATTAATATTCATCCTACAAAAAATCAAGTTTATCTACTGAATGAGGATAAAATCATAGACGCTATATCTAAAGTATTGCATGATTCTCTCTATGAAACATTCTTATGCAACAAAAGAAAACAACAGCAACAAGAAAAAGAAGAGGATTCTAATAAAATACCTGAAGAAGCAACTATCAAGTATTATTTTAAGCCCTTACTACCTCACAACAACAAAAATCAAGTTGTCGTTTCTCCAGATATATATAATAATAATGAGTCTTCAACTAGTAGTAATAGTATAGTAGACACACCACTGTCCTCGTCATACACAGTCGAGGAACCATTTCTACAGCAGGTAATTCATCATTGTCCTCTAATGCATGATCATTTAAAAAAAAAAAGGAAAAGATACATTTCTCTATTATAGAAAGAGAGTGATTTCATGTTGAACAATTATTTTCATAAAGAAGAAGAAGAGAAAGAAAATGAAGCTGGAATTATCGTGAAGAGAAGCAAGATAAATGATGATGTCTGTTATTTACCAACGATTTATAAGAATAGGTCTATTTCTATAAATGATCCTCTATCCTCTTCATTCCTATACAATGATTTAGCCATTACCGAGTCTTATTCAGGTTCTCCTATCTTAATGAAGAAGAAGAATCAGTATAGGGAACCGAGTAATACAACAAAGGTAATGACAGGTAAAACTATGGCTAATACTCAATATCAAAAAAAACTGAGAACACTATTTGAAGGAGGAACTTTAAAAGGCGATCACAAAGTCTCTAATAATGAAGATGGTAGCCTTATTGAAGATTTGCATAGTATTCATTTGTTGCAACAAGAGATCAAGAATTCAGAAAATAAGAGTAATTATGTGTTAAATCAAAACGTAGTGTACATGTTATTTATGAATATCGTTTAGAGCTTAGCAAATTATTTTTAGGTTATACAACTCTTGGATTTATTCATGACTTTATTTTGCTTGTTATGTTTAAAAACAAATACTATTTGATAAATTATCCATTAATAAGGTAAACCAGAAATGAACTTACAAGAGCAATAAGACTTACTACTACTACTACTACTACTACATACAATATATATATATATATGTGTGTGTGTATATATGTAGTGAAGAATTCTTTTATCAACTCATAGTAAATCAATTCATTCAATTTGAAAAATTGAAATTATCTGAACCTATTTCAATCCAAGAGTGTCTTTTGCTTGTCACAAAAGCAAATACTGCTGTGATGGCGACGAACCACCTTTTCGCTCATAAAGATTTGCTTGACGCTTATTTCAAAATGCAAATTACAATGGATGACAAGGAGACTGTTCAACTTGACAGTTTGCCTATGCTTTTACAAGATTACACTCCTTCTTTGGATAAACTCCCTTTCTTTCTATTAAGAATTTCAACAGAGGTAAGTGCAACTGATACATAAAGTGGTATAAATATATAAACATAAACATAAACATATATATATATATATATATATATATATATAAACGTATATTTTTGAAGGTTAATTGGGAAAATGAGCTTGAATGCCTTGATGCTCTTATACGAGAATTTGCATTTTTATATTGCTGTTATGACCAAGTCTCATGGAATCATGTTAAGCAGTCATTTAATTCTTCAGATTTTAAAGTACCAAAGTATTTAGCTAAACAAGGTTATATTCTCGAACTTGACGTACCTGAAGAGATAGTATAGGAACGCTAAAAAAAAAAAGAAAAAAAAAGTAGCTCCACAAAAAAAAAAAAAAAAAAAAAAAAATATAAATATTTGTATATATTTATTATAATTTAATGCATACAAAGAATAAAAGAATAAAATTAAAGTATAAAATATTCTAAAAGGCAAAAGAATTCATGGATAAAGTTTCAGTATCTTCTTCTTCAGTGACATTAGAATTTAAATTTTCAGGGGTATATTCTTCAACAAGACGTTCCCATTCAATATGTTCTTGTTCAAGAGCATTTAAACCTTCATCATCAGTATAGAACATATAGTAAGCAGTAAAAGGTTTATTAACAAGTGAGCCCTTTCGAACACAATCTCCTGCAGCTGGGACGACACCATCTAAGGATCCAATACGAACAATATAGCGTGTATGAGATAAATAACCATTCGTAGATGTTCTGATTACTGGAGTTAAATGATCATCCAAGTGAATATTATCACCTCTTTCTACTCTTCCTTCTTCAAGTGTAGTTGTAGCCAGGGGTCGTCCAGTTGAAACCCATGAACCTTCTCTATAACTGTAAATAACTGGCATTGTATCAAGAGGATTAGCCCTAATAAATAAATATATATAAATATATATGTATATACATCAATCTATTTTAGTCCTTTTCTTTTTTTTTTTTTATTCAAAATTACATTTGTTGAAGAGGATCTAAAGGAGCTGCATTAAGTTGTCCAATTTCTCTACCTTGAACATCAAAAGGCGCTTCTTGTCTTTGAGTCGGATAAAGATATGCTTGAGTTTGAACATTATACCAATGTTGAAATCCAGTTAACTCGGGATTACATTGATAGATACGATTTCCTCTAGCAAACCAAACATCAAATACTGTCATGTTATTAGGAGGTGAAATACGTTCCTTGACATTTGCAATACTAGGCGCATTATTAACAAGTTCGGGTAAATAATCGGCACAGACAAAGGAAATAGCTAAAGGAAGAAAAGCAGTAGTTTTAAAGAATTTCATTTTATTTTTTTAAAAAAAAAAAAAAGAAAGTAGAAAGAGGATTTCTTTTTTTCCTTATACGTTTTTATATACATTTTAAACGTAATATTTACATAAAGATGAAGCATATTAAATATGTAAAAAGTATACAAATAAAAAGGCATTTCTTATGTAGTTCACATTCTTATCATCGGTTATATATATATATATATATATATATGTTAACACTGAAGTATAGACATCACATTAATATACATATATGATGACACAAATTATATAATAATAGATTTCAAGCATAGAGAATAGATAGTAAAATACGATAAAGAATACCTAAGTTGAATATATTCATTGACATGACTAAGACTCATTTAAAGCAATTTTTTATTTATCTAAAACTTCACTTTTCATAGGCTCTTTTTTTTTTATGTATTTATTCCTAATTTTTAAAATATTGTTCCTATATGAATTCATCGAAAACTGCAGAAAATAAAGAAATCATTCAAGTAGAGTAAGTAAAGAAAGATTATTCCAAAAAAAAATAAAATAAAATAAAATAAAAAATAAAAGTGACAGATACATTATTGTCAACAAATTGCAGTTTTAGTTTCATTATTGCGTATTTTTTTTTTTCAGGTTCCTGAATAAGTTTTATAAGAATTGACTTCAGATGAAATCTAATAACTTTTCTCCGATTTTTTTTTTTTTTTTTTTTTTTTTTTTTTTTTTTTTTTTTTTTTTGTTGATCGGAAAGAAGATTAGTTTTCTGAGCCTAAAATGAAAATGCAATTCCCGAAAAAAAAGAAAAATAAAAATAAGAAAGCTTATTTGAAGGAGCATTCTATTTCTATAAGCCTATTTTCTTTCCTTTCTCTCTCTCTCTCTTTCTTTCTTTCCATATTAAAATAGCACAAGTATTTAATTATGTCCAAGCAAACTCTTCCAAAGGCAATGACAATTGCTGGTAGCGATAGTGGAGGGTAGGGAACAGAAACAAAAACAAAAAGTATTATACATACTAACGTAGCTCTTCATTTCTCCATATATACAAATAAACACATACTGCTCTATATATAATTAGTGGTGCAGGTATTCAAGCTGATATCAAAACAATGACTTCACTTCATGTTTATGCCACATCAGTTATCACTTCTGTTACTTCACAAAACACAAAGGGTGTAGATGGTATCCATAATATTCCTGCAGAGTTTGTTGGGAAGCAAATTAGGGCTGTACTAAGTGATATCGGTACAGATGCTATCAAGATCGGCATGCTTTCCTCTGCTGAAATTATTAAAGAAGTAACAAGTTCATTAAAGGCATTTCCTGAACAATCTCGAAATGTCGTTGTTGATCCTGTCATGATCTCCACAAGTGGATCTCGTCTTCTAGCGGAGGACGCTATTCAAGCTTTAATCAACGACTTATTGCCCATCACATATATCTTGACACCTAATGTACCTGAAGCTGAATTTTTATTAAATATGACACCAGGTTCAATCAAGACGATAGAGGATATGCATCATGCGGCTTCAAAATTAGCTCAATTAGGTCCAACCTATATTCTACTCAAGGGTGGTCATTTGCCCTTCAAAACAAAAGATAAAGACCAAGTCATAGATCTTGTATATAATTCATTAGACCATAGTTTTCATGAAATTACCAATGATTATGTAAATACGCCAAATACACACGGTACAGGTTGTACACTCTCTGCTGCTTTAGCTAGTGAACTTGCTAAAGGTGTTAAAGGTATGTGAAACAGCTATACATGTATATATATATATAGAGAGAGAGAGAGAGAGAGAGAATAGTATATTTATTTATGTATGTATATAATAGTTGAATCTGCATGTGAAAACGCAATTAGATATGTAAAGGTAGCTATTGCACAAACTTTAGATAATATTGGTCATGGTCGTGGTCCTATTAATCATTTCCATCCATTAAGATGGTCCCCATATCAAGGGTAAACATATATAAATATATAAATATATTATTTATAAACATTTAATAATTCACTTTATTTATAGTAAATCCTTTATTGAAGCTTGTAAAGAAACACTACCTAAAGGTCTTTGGTCTGATTTTATTGATCATCCTTTTGTTCGTGGAATTGCTGATGGTACACTTCCTATTGAATCATTTACGTACTATCTTAAGCAAGATTACCTTTATTTACAACATTATGCTCGTGCTGCTTCACTTGCTGCTTATAAATGTAAGCTTAACAATAATAATCATTTGTCATCTATATCTATTTACATGAAATGTGATTAGCATCTACAATGGATATGATTGGTCTTAATGCAGCTATTGTTCTTCATATTACTAACGAATCACGTCTTCATTTGGATATTTGTTCAAAATTTGGTATTACTAAAGAAGATGTCTTGGCGACTCCTGAAAGTGTATTCAATTCAGCTTACACACGGTTTGTGTTGGATAAAGGTACATCCGGTGATATACTAGATTTAAAGATTGCTATGTTACCTTGTTTACTTGGCTATGGAGAAATTGGTCTTAAATTATATAACGATCCTGCTACTAAAAAAGGTAACACGACGATACATGAAAACACAGGGAAAATACATATTGATACACACACACACACACACACATATGTATAAACTTATGATATTATTATTAAAAAATATAGATGGAAACCCTTATTGGGATTGGATATGTCAATATGCGGCAGAAGATTATCAACAAGCTGTTCGTACTGGTCTTGGTAAATAGATGAAAAAAAAAAAACTCTTTATTATAGATTTTTAATATTTTGATTTATAACAGCTGAAATTGAAAGACTGGCTGATGAGTATATTTCTACATCTGCTGTACGCTTTAAAGACGTTTGTAAGACATTTGAACAAGCTACTCGATTAGAAGTTATGTTTTGGGAAATGGGTCTTCGTCTTTGCTAAATAATGAATCTTTATTATCTCGAATTTTTATATTATCTTACATGATCTGTCCAATAAGCAGTCATTATTTAGAAACGTGGATAGATTTTTTGGCAAAATAAATAATTTAAAACCAAGATGTGTATTACGATTAAACATTATTATTTTTTATAAATTAAAATTAATAAAGCGACCTATGGGCACACAATATCTTTGTTATATTGGATTGCCCAAGTCAGTTCAGATTATGTGAAAAAAAAAGTATCTAAAAGCCCTCTTACGGGGACAAGAGGTAAAAAGGTAAAGAAGAGAAGATGAGAAAGAAAGAGGAATATTGCTAACAAGTTTAAAGAGACAACCAGTCGAGTAATTTCTTGCCTGGATCAAGAAGTGGAGGGGGGGGTAATTTGTCGTGTATTAAGTAATCCATTTCCTGTGAAATGGTACACATAACTGGCCAGCGATAGAGCCAGGCAGAAATGTCCTGAAAATTTTGGTACTTGCATGTGCAACCATTCAGTGGCGTGTGACCGACTAAAAGTGTACATGAGGATGATATGGGCAGGCTTTAGGTATTCCTCTGGGTAACCAACCAAGACGCCATCGAATAGTTCGACTACGTTCGCTGTGTGTCATGGGTAACCAGAGTATCGGATCAATAATCAGATTGGGGCGGCAAGCGGAAAGCAAAACAGAGCGTGTCCCCTCACGTAGTTTCTGAAAACTCTCTTCAAGAAATTCTTGACGATGTTTTCGAAAGGAGCGTTGGTCTAACGGAATGGAGCTAGCGGCACAGAGTCTCCAACATGGTGTTTAAATGAATTTATACCATTGAGTGTTGAAAGCGGAGGCGTGAAGTTCGAGAAGTAATTTAGCGAGCAAGGTATCATCCGGTAAATCAATAGCACGGAAAACGAACTGGGCCTGCAGAACGGACACCCTAACCTTCATTGATGGTTGGTTTATCATATGAAGTATCACCTTTACTGATGATCGACTAGAGCCACCAAATATCCGTCTTATGCATATGTTTTGACAAGGTTCCAGTTGTTGCATATCCTTTGCACTGAGTAAACTAATAGCTAGACTATATTTGAGTTGTGGTCGGACTATCTGCGTGTAGAAGCGAGTAGCGAATAAACGATCAAATCCCTTGTGGCAAAGCGCCACCTCCAATGTGGTTGCTGCACTTTCATCGGTAACAGCTTAAAGATACCTGCAGGTAAAAAGTCTTTACGAAAAAAAAATAGCAATTTTTTTTCTGAATCTCATCTAACATTCTGTCTCCATTTAATTCCTCCTTTGTCCCATTTTTTGCATCTGTATCACCCTGCATATTTGTGTAAACATGAATTATTAAGTTCCAGAAAAAAAAAATAAAATAAAAAAATAAAATAAAATCAAAAGATGCTAAATGTAGTAATAGCAGCTGAGTAGAAGAAGGTGAATTATGCGTCCTCTTTCCTTCAAAAAAAATAAAAATAAAAGTTTAATTGAAAGAAAAGGAGAAAAAGCAATTTTGCCTTACCAAACAATTTTACATAAAATAAGTAGTTTGACCCGTTTGACCCTTTTGAACCTTATTTTTATTTTATTGTATTTTTTATTTTTTTTTTATTTTATTTTTTTTTTTTTTTTTGCTTTTCAGGGCATTAAGAAAAATAGTCATTTATATAACCAAGCCACATTTGAGGTTTAATTTCTTTTTTTTTATACATATTTTATACATAATTTTTTTTTTTTTTAAAAAAAAAAGAACAACAACATTTAAGCTCTTTCAATTATGGCTGAAGCAGTTATTCAAACTAAAAAACGTAAGCGTTCTCACGCAGAAAAGAGAGCTAATAAAAAGAAGCAAGAGATAAATCAAGGTGAAGGTAAGCCTGTAACAGAAGAAAATGATCTTCAAATCGAAAAACCTGTTGAGGAGGAACAAAAAGGTAAAGTAGATCATCATTCATTTATAGATAATGAAAACAAAAACTTATATTTAAATTTCATGAATAGATCATAAAGAGGAACCTTTGAATCTTGATTTCGAAAAGCTCGAATGTGATGAAAATACAAAAAAGGCTATCAAAGCAATGGGCTTTACTCAAATGACAGAAGTACAGGCAAAGACCATTCCTCCACTTTTAGAAGGCCGTGATGTTCTAGGAGCAGCTAAAACAGGTTCTGGAAAAACGCTTGCATTTTTGATTCCTGCTATTGAATTATTGATTCGAAAGAACTTTAAACCTAGAAATGGTACTGGCGTTATCATTGTTTCTCCTACTCGTGAATTAGCTATTCAAATTTATGGAGTTGCTGAAGAATTATGTCAATATCATTCAATTACTCATGGTCTTGTGATTGGTGGTGCAAATAAGAAGGCCGAAATTGAAAAGTTAGTGAAGGGAGTCAATTTGTTAGTTGCTACACCTGGTAGATTATTAGATCATTTACAGGTATGAAAAGAAAAATAGATCTAACTAATCGAAACATAATTAAAGATGTATATGACTTATTTTTTCTTTATTTTAGAATACACAACGATTTATTTTCCAAAATTTACAATCATTGGTTATTGATGAAGCAGATCGTATTTTGGACATTGGTTTTGAAGAAGAAATGAAACAAATTGTAAAGATTTTACCTAAAGATCGTCAAAGTATGCTTTTCTCGGCTACACAAACTACTAAAGTTTCCGACCTTGCACGTATTTCACTTAAACCTGGACCTCTTTATATTAATGTAGATGAAAAGAAAGATACCTCGACAGCAGACGGATTAGAGCAAGGTTTTGTTATTGTCGAAGCTGATAAACGTTTCTTGTTATTATTTACATTCTTACGTAAGAACCAAAAGAAGAAAGTCATCGTCTTCTTTTCAAGTTGTAATGCAGTTAAATATTATGCTGAACTTTTGAATTATATTGATATTCCTGTCATGGAATTACATGGACGTCAAAAGCAACAAAAGCGTACTCAAACATTTTTTGAATTTTCTCAAGCAGAAAAGGGTATTTTATTATGTACAGATGTGGCTGCTCGAGGTTTAGATATTCCTTCTGTTGATTGGATTGTTCAATTTGATCCTCCAGATGATCCACGCGATTATATTCATCGTGTAGGAAGAACTGCTCGTGCAGGAGGTAAAGGTAAAAGCTTATTATTCTTATTACCTTCTGAAACCGGATTTTTGAAATATTTAAAGGAAGCTAAAGTTCCTTTAAATGAATTTCAATTCCCTGAAAATAAGATTTCTAATGTCCAAAGTCAGGTAAATTAATGTTATTCTAATAATTAATGTTAACTAGTTTCTTTTTTTTAACGTTTTTTTTTTCTTTTTCTATTTTCAAAAAAATTAGCTTGAAAAACTAATTGACAAGAACTTTTATCTTAATCAATCTGCTCGTGATGCGTTTAGATCTTATTTACAAGCTTATGCTACATACCATCTCAAAAAGATTTTTGATGTGGATAAACTTGATCTTGTAAAGGTTGCAAAATCCTTTGGTTTTAATGTTCCTCCAAAAGTTAATTTAGCTATTACCAGTTCTAAATAAATTATATTATCGTGAAGGAATTTTTTTTCCTAACTAAATACCTTTTTTAACTTTATAAAATCATATCTGAATAATCATATAAAAGTCAGAGATACGCAAAAAAAAAAAAAAAAAAAAAAGGTTTCTCACCCCCCAACTTAAAATGTCTTGAAAGGAGGTTTGTTTCTTCCGCTCTTTTCTTCCTTCTCCCCCCCCCCAAAAAAAAAAAGTCCACAAGCTTAATAATTTTGTCGCTGCTCAAAAGTGTTGATGTTATATGATCACCTGGACTGAACAGAGTAATTCTATTGGACATATCAAAAAGGTTTTAAAGAATTATATAAAGAAAGATGCTGCTGCTGGATTATATTATATTTTTATTATTCGTATTTTACTATTTAGAAATTAGATAGATCATGTCCATCAAGAGAATCGATTATTCACTTTACCTTGTTACTGATCGTTCGCTTGTACCTGAAGGAAAGACATTTTTAGGGCAAATTGAACGAGCACTCGAAGGTGGTGTGACGTTAGTTCAATTACGAGAAAAGGACACAGATACAGGACCGTTCATTGATTTTGCCTTTAAAGTGAAAGCATTAACACGAAAATTTGGAGTTCCACTCATCATTAACGATCGACTTGATGTTGCTCAAGCAGTGGATGCTGAAGGTGTTCATATTGGACAAGACGATATGCCTCTAAAACAAGCTCGTGCCATCTTGGGTCCAAACAAGATCATTGGTGTTTCCTGCAACACGGAAGAAGAAGCTGCCATTGCCATTCGTGATGGTGCTGATTACCTTGGTATCGGTGCTGTTTGGTTTACTTCTACCAAAAAGAATATTAAAAAGCCTTTGGGTATTGAGGGCGTGAAAAGTAAGACAAATATATACATATATATGAATATTTATATATAAAGGCAACTTATTTTATTTTTCTTTTTAGGAATTCTTAAATCCATAGAAAATAACCCAGTTCCTACCGTGGCTATTGGTGGTATTAGTGCCAGTAATGCTTATGAACTTTTGGTAGGAACAGAGACTGGTAAAATTCATATTGATGGTCTTGCTATTGTATCTGCAATTATGGCTGCTGAAGATCCTAAAATTGCATGCGAAGAGTTATTGAGTTTAATTGAAAAAGGGTTTGAAAAGATAGGTGTGAAAGCGAAGAGGACGGTGGAGGAAGCTCTTGATTATACAGTTCAAGCTGCAAAAAATGTGAAATCTAAAACACCTATGATTCATCATATCACAAGTAAGTAAGATTAGATTAAATTATGAACTATGATAAAGCTAAAACATACGATCTATTAGATTATGTGGTGATCAATGATAATGCTAATGCTACTCTCGCTGTGGGTGCATCACCTATCATGTCAACCAGTCGTGATGAATTCGAGGATCTTGCAGTCATAAATGGGGCCATGTTGTTGAATATGGGTACATTGAATGATGTAAATAGTATGATTTTGGCAGCACAAATGAATGCAAGATATAAAAACCCAGTAGTATTAGATCCTGTTGGTTGTGGAGCAACTGGTTATCGAAAAGAAGTAGTACAAAGGTTTTTAAAGGAATGTAATTTAACTGTATTAAAGGGAAACGCAGGTGAGATTCTATCCATAGCAGGACTTGGAGGGGAGTCAAGAGGGGTAGATTCGATAGGAACTAGTGAAGAAGAAGTCATGGTGAATGCAGTCAAGACACTTGCTAGACAGAATAACTGTGTGGTTGGCTTAACAGGTCCGGTTGATTATATTTCGGATGGTCAACGTGTCTTTGCTATTGAGAATGGTGATACATTATTGCCTTTGATTACTGGTAGTGGATGTATGGTATCTTCTGTCGTTGCTTGTTTTGTTGCTGCTAATCGAGATGATTACTTGTTGGCTACTGTAGCTGCGATATTAACCGTTACAGTTGCATCTGAAATGGCAGCTGCTCGTGAATATGTCAATGGTCCTGGTACCTTCCGTGCTGCTTTAATTGATGAGTTGTACAATATCACAAACTCACCTGAAAAGCTTAAAGAATATGCAAAAATTCGAGTCATTGAATAATGATTTATAGTATATATAATAATAATAATAATAATAGCATATATGTGTGTATATCATTAAATATAATAATCGACACTATTAGGATACTACCAATTTTAATTTATTATAACAAATAAGTTTTATTTTTATTCTTATAACTTTCCAAGACGACTAGCACCATCAATACGAATAACTTCACCATTTAGCATACCATTTTCAATTATATGGCATACGAGTATAGCATATTCATGAGGAAGACCCATACGCTCAGGGAAAATGGCATCTTTAATAATTTTAGCCTTTGCAGCTTCATTCATAAGAGCCGTCATGTTTGTCTCTATAAAATAAGGAATCATTTTTTTTTTTTTTAAAAAAAACATATACACGTACATATACATAGTTTTTTTTTTTTTTTTCTTTTTTTTTTTTACATTATTAATCTCTAATATTTACCAAATATACCAGGAGCAATCGTCATAACACGGATTCCCACTGGTGCAAGATCACGAGCCATAGGCAAACCCATTGAATAGACACCACCCTTAGAAGCAGAATAAGCAACTTGACCCGTTTGACCATCCTGAAAGGCAACTGATGCTGTGTTGATAATAATACCTCGTTCATTATCTTCATCATTCAAGGTATCTTGGTTGGCCATCACTTGTGCTACTTGTTTACAGACATTAAAGGTACCTATTAGATTAACACGAACCGTAAATTCAAAAAGTTCCAACGTCATTGTATGTGACGATTTCCCTCTACGAGCTATCTTTGCAGCTGTCGCAACACCGCCACAGTTGCAAACACCTGCTATATTTCCCCACTTGTTCACAGTCTTTTCCAAGGCAACACGAACAGCTTCCTCAGATGTGATATCGACTTTTCCTGGGCAGAATGCATTAGAGCCCAATGATTTGACTAATTCTTCACTATTTATTTATTTTTTTATTTTTATTTTTTTTTTTAAAAAAAAAATGCATATCTATTTTTATATATTAGCTTTATTTTACTTACGCTCCTTCATCGTTTAAATCAAAGATCTAATGACATTATAAAAACATGATTAGTTTCGTATATACATTCAATTATAAAAGTCAGATGCTAATATTTACAGCAACTTTAGCACCACGCTTGATTAATTCTCGAACAGTAGCTTCACCAAGACCACTTGCTCTATTTCAAATGTGTTTGAATTAAGAAATGTAAACTAAACAATTGTAAATGGTATATAGTTTTCACCCTCCAGTAACAATAAATGTATTTCCTTTGATTTGCATCCCTCTCCCCCTTTTTTTTTTTCTTAACTATGAAGAGAGAGAAAAAAGAAATAATAATAATAGAGTTAGACTTGTAGAAATAAATGCAATTTATGCTGACAAACTATAAATTCACATGTGATACAGCATCTCCTCCCTTTACAAATTATACATAATATTTAATAAAACACTTTCAGCAAAACTACTGGTAATCATTTGCAGCCATCTGCTATAGATACCCCTCCCCTTTTTTTTGGGGGGATTTGTCGCTAATGCGAGTTACATTTGTTAATTACTGATAACATATTAATAAGTTTTTTCTTTATTGACTAATGTTTTAGTAATTTGTATGGCCTTTTTTTTTGTTAGTCAATACATGACAGAGAACGATAACTTTTTGTAAATTTAAAACCCCATTCGACATTTCAGGTACACTTTTTATTGTATCCATGCCATGGACATATTTATTGTTAATAATTAAAAAATATGCTATCATATTGATTTACTTCAAGTGAGTTGAATAAAAAGGAGAGAAATACATGGAAAAGTAGGTTATATGAATGTATTATTTTGGACTGGTGGTCTAGGTAACAATTAGTATTTAAAACATTTGTATTTAATTGGATAACTAAAATCAACTAAAAATGATCCATAGTTTTAATAATTACTTTGTTACACATTCACTAGGAGTAAGTAGTGGTAGTGGTAGTGGAGATTTAATAAACAATAAGTAGTAGTAAAAAGAATATATTATATTGTACTTCTTCTTCTTTTCCTTCTTCTTTTTCATTGTATCATCTATTAAAAAAAAATGAAAATCTGTGATACACTATTTATAGTTTCAATGTGGTGGATAATGACAAGCAGTTTACTACTAGTCTCATGTATCGATCTATCTGGTACTTTTCAACAAAAGGATATACATCGTTTTACTCAACTCTTGTCAAATCATTTATTATATGATCATTTCGATAAAGCCTATTTTCAATTATCAAAAAAGATATCATATCAATTTCGAGACGTTATTCATGTTAGAATAAAAACGATAGCAACAAGTAACGATGATGATTCGGTTACTGATGATGCAGTGACCACTCCTTCTTCTTCTGTTCTTATTCAACCATCTATTGTAGACGTACAGATATTAAAAAAGCAATTAAAAGGAGCAGTCGGTTGTAAGTATTCATTATTATATGAACATTTAAAGGAGGAGAAGAAGAGGATGATTTTAATTCCATTTTTTTAATAAAAGCTTTCATAGAAGATAAGCTACCTACGATTTTAGCAAATCGATATAATACGACGATTGTGCAACATTATTTAGAAGATTTAATCTATCAATATTGTCCACAGAGGCCTATTTTATATCATTGTCTTTTAGATAATCAAAAGTCTATTTTAAGGGAAATTCAAATGTTTATAACAAATGAATTGCAATCTATACTATTTAAAATAAATGAGGTTGATTTACCAAAATTATTTGAAAAGACAAGAGCTCAGATTCAAGGGATCCTTGTTCATTTCAATCAGCATACAATGGATCAAAGACATCATCGTTTAGAGTTAAAGATTAAAGAAGAATCTCGACTAGATACAAATCATCATGTCAGTTATTATACTCGCAACTGGATAACACCAGAAATGATACATGAATTTATCTCTATTGTAAATCATACAGAACTTGAAGATGGATATACAATTCAACATTTTATAGGCTTATCCACCATGTAATACTATTTTTTTTTTAGACAAATAAAAAAGGGGGAAACAATCATTTACATTATTTATTTTTTTTATTCATTATTTTTAGACGTAATTATAGATTCTATATATTTTAATTTGTGTAGTACAGCCTCACTAAATGGGATATCGTTAGATACCATATCTTGCATAATAATATCCTTGGCTAAATCAGGTTTATTCAATCTTAATAATCCATTCACAAGTTTCATATAAGTCCTTTCATCTGCTTTTATCCCCGTCTCATTTTCCATTTGAGTGATATATTGACGTGCTTTACTTATTCTCCCTTTCATTGATACAACATAAATTAAATTTTCGTATACTTCTTTAGGTGGTTTAAAACCACGTGTTCGCATGGATTTGAATAACTTCTCAGCAATATTCGCATACTTTGGATCCTTTGTAGCTACATCCAACAAAATTTTAAACGTTAAATCATTACATACGATCGGTTTATTCTGTTCACTTGGAAACAAATTTCCCCGATTATTGCGTAATAAGATATTTGTTACATAACCAACATGATTACGTTTCAGTAGGTTCATTAACGCAATATTGTTTAGAAAGACTTGATCAAATCGAGAACCATTGGCTTCCGTTAGTAGACTATCATAGATGCTTTTGTGCATATCACTTTCAGGGCTATAAAATGCAAGCATAGTACGTAATGTAGTTTCATCAGGCGCCACATTGACAAGCTTCATATGATCCAAGATGTCATATACTTTATCAGGATTGACAGGATTATCTTCCATAGCTACGATACGTAGTAATAGATTAAAATCAACCACGTCAGGTCCAGTTGTATGGGTGGCAACTGATTGAAAGGCAGCCTTTGCCGAATCGATATCACCACGAGAGATATAACAGGAAATGAGTGAAGTTAAACCTCGATGTGTAAGGGATAGACCGAGTGTTTCACTATAACGAAAGACCCTTTCAAATAATTCAAGCTCTCCTGTATGTGAACATAGTCTAAATAAAGTACGTACTGCTAATCTGGCAGTATTAGGATCTAAATAAGGTAGAATGGATTCAATTTCAGATGACAGCTCGAGGGCTAAATTATATTGTCGAGAGAGAACGATAGAACGGAAAACGTAAACACGTGTCTCGGAGCTCATACCTCCTGGGTATAATTCTTGACATTTTTTATATAATCGCATGGTATCAACATGGTGTCTCTTCTTTGCTGCAGCTACAATTAAGGATTGTATAACATCTAATGGTAAATCAACTTTATTTTCTTCCATCTTTTCCCAAATATGAATCGCATTTTCAATGTTTGTATTTGCTACATTCCAGTGTATCAATTTTCTAGCACAAAATTGAGCATTTGATATGTCCTTCATAAACAACGTGTCTGTTAATAAATTCTCTGCTATATATGATTTGCCAGTATATATACATTTTGTAACCAAGTGCTTTACAATCATCCTAGTACTCATATCCAACTGCCTCTTTTGCATATAAATCAATCGCATTTCATTTAACCGACCTTGTTCCAAACAATCTAGAGCAAACAAGTCGAACACTTTATCTAATAATTCGTGACTATTTGATTCATGTTGATCTATAAGCTGCGTTAACTCCTGACTAGGGTGATTGATTTTCAAAAACTCTGCTGCTGCTTGCAATTGATGATTGAACATCATACACATTATAACTGACCGCACACTGTCTCTTGTCAGTGTCTTTTCTAATGATTTTAAATGAGATAACCAAAAATCAATTCTATCTTGCCTCCTTTTTTTGGAAAGTACTCTGAAAACCGAGTCATATGCAGCCATACTCATACTCCATTTATGTTCAGCTTCTGTTAATAACTTTTCTGCCTCTTCGTCCCAACCTAATTCTGAAGCCAAATAAATCATCTTTTCTGCATCTTCTAAACGAAATTTTGTCAAACTAGATAAACTATCGCTTTTGAGATCTGCTAGAATATAAAAGGCATGTCGAAGCGTGTTATAGGTTAATGGATCGTCAGGATGAGCATCATCGGTAAAATGAGCAATAAAGCGATCCATATCCTGTTGTGTTAATTGACGAACTAAATGGCTTTGCTTTTTTATAATTTGATAATTTTCTAATAATCGTTTTCTCAATTGGCGTCGAAGAATTGTTTTTTTCACATGTGAGGAATAAGGCAATAAAGTAGGGTCGGATGATTTTAATGATTGGTATAATTCACGTCTAAAATTGTCTAATGGTTTGGTATGAAGAACAGGAGTTTGTATCATATTCGTTTGTAATGGTGAATATCCTGTTGGTATTTCTGTTTTCTTTGTTACCATATTGCGGGATATTTGAACTATGAGGGGCTTACTACTACTAATACTACTTCTACCACCACCACCACCACTACTACTACTACGCTTTGAAAGACAATCAAGACATAGTTTTGCAAATAATCGTTGAGATCTCCAAATTTTTTTTGTTAAAATTGATTGAAATGACATTCGATCTTTTTTTTTTTTTCCTCCTTTCAAGTAAAAATAAAGGTATATATTTAATTATATATAATATGTTATAGGCAGATTCTTATGAAAGGATGTCGAATATCGAATATAAAAGGAATGCCCCTCAATTCTATAAAATTTAAGCAGGGCTTCTTAATTTTTTTCCTTCCGCTTTTTTTTTTTTTTTTTTTTTTCTATGTGTCATCGGCTACTGAATTTATAACAAAACGTCAAAAATCAGTTCAATAAATATGATGAAAAGTGAATGATAGATGATTGCTTTAGGAATATATATTTGCGTAAATTATAGAAAATATGATTGAGCAAATTCAATCATGCTTACATAAAGTGAACTAGGAAAGAAGAAAAAAAAAAAAAAAAAAAAAAAAAGAGAGAGAGACAGAGAATAATAGTAATAAATACCTGCAATATGTATACGAGATGCCAGGAAAGGGACATAAAAGATTTCATTAAATTTAGCCTGTGCTTCATGTTATAGCCCTTGTTCATATAACAATTAGAAGGCAGGAGTATTCGAAACAGAAGAAGTTTAGCTTAAAAGAATGAACTAAAAGAGATAACAACTTTGATTATTCAAGGGATTATATTATAACATATTTTACTTGAGAACTCTAATAAAAATGTGCAAGTAATGCATCTAACTTCTTACATTATAACAAACAAGTATATATTATTTAATCATAACAGTCTACTAGTGCAAATAAGGTATCTATCTATTTCTAGTGCCTCTAAACACATTTATAAGCGAATCTCAACTACTTTAACGTCTTAGATATCCTACTATTTGACTATCCATAGGACTGTTTATCTCTATTGGTGATAATAGTTATTTTAGACTTCAAAATCCATGATAACTCTCCTTCTCTCCTTGTATGAAATATAAGCTAAATACAATATGATTGACAATAGCAGTAACGCATCTTTACCAGTTAAGAGAATTACAGATAAAAAGAAGAACTTATTAGGTTTTCATCTCAAAGAAATGGCCGACTTGTATCATTATCTATTTATTTGTCTACTGAAGAAATGCAATAACAATAGTAAAAAAGTGCATATTCATCATTTAAGTTTCACTTTTTTTTTGGCAATAATAATAAAGTTTACTTTTAATAATTTAAATTGTAATAGATACTCTATTACTACACCACCTGCAAACAATGATAGTCGTTTTTTTTTCTTAAAGGCTTTTCCACTCCAAGAAGTAAATGACTTGATCCATGGATTGCCAGTATAAAAAGAAAGTTCCTGAATTTTCATAGGATAAAAGATTCGGAGATATAATTATTCCATGGAAAAGTAGAATAGACTGTTTTGGAATAATTATAATTCTTTTAACTAGCATATAAATATGTTGAAGATATAAATAGCTTATTGTATCAATTTCACATTGAACAAATCTATTTATTTATTTATTTATTTTTTTAGGAGAAAATGACCATCGTCATTGTAAATAGTTTGATAATATGTTATGTCTTATAAAAGTTAAAGTTTAAATTGCACCTGGGATTCAAATTCCTTTTTACTACTACCTAACCTAAATGTTATTACATGTGCATATTGTAGTATTTATTTACTATAATCCATATCCGTAGTACATTGAACTCAGCAGTACAAAAAAAAAAAAGGAGGGGGGGAAGGAGAAGAAAATGGGGGGAAAGACGATATCATTTTCTGTGTTACCCTTAATTTGTGTAATGTAGCATTTTTTTTTTACACATTCTTGAACTATTTATTAAAGTTTTTTTTTTTTTTTTTTTTTTTTTTTTTTTTTTTTTATACTAATGATACATTTCTTCGGAATCTATCACGGAAAATTAAAAAAAAAGGCTTTATTTGTTAGTGTCAAGTAAGTAGTATAGATAATGTCTATGATGTATATATAAAAGGAGTCAGTGCGTCCCCCTTTTTGCACTCTTTTTTATATGAAGATAGAATTAACTATGTAGAAGCTGGCTTGTTTTCTTCTTCTGCGTCAAAAAGCACGGGATTACTATCCGGTCTACTTGTTGTTAATGCAGGTTCTGTAGATAAACGCATGTCTAATGCTTTTAATGCCAATGCTCTAGAATGATAAATATGAGTAAATACAATATAGATTCATGTATAATAATAATAATAAAAAGGATATACACAAAACCTTCTTCTTTCTGCTTCTGCACGAGTTGAGCCTGGTACAGGTACAACATGACCAAGCTCCATATCATGATATGAACGAGGACCTGGTTTACAGCAATTTAACTTGACAAGTATACCATAAACAATATTGGATATGAATAATATGACAGGACTAAATAAATAAATGTTTCAAGTTAATAAATTAAACATCATTTTTTTTAACACTATTTACTGTAAAACTTCGGGAAAGAAGGTTTGAATAGCAAATGCTTCACTTCTATCTCCCTGAATACCATCTTGATACTTGAAAAATCGAATATAAATCCATCCAATAATCCATCCAATATTTACAAGATTATAAAACACAATCGCTTTAAATAACACGAGACAAATAATACTAAAAACAGTAGCAACTCCTAATAAATTTTTTACTCGAATAGATATTTTACCTCCCATAATAGCAATGCGATGTTCAGGTACAAGATGTTTAAAAGCAACTAAAAATCCTGAAAATACACCAGATAATCCATTGATTTGAATCTGATACCTTTTTTTTAAAAAAAAAGAAAGAAAGAAAAGAAAAAAGTAAATACACGGGCTATAACGATTAGATGTATATTTACAAATATTGATCATCTCCAGATATGTAATAAGTAATGATCATGCCAATCCAAGTCACAATATTAGACATAATAGCTGTAATAAGAACAAACTTGAATAACTCTTTTGAACCCCATACTCGTTCTAAATATTTTCCACAAAATAATAAAATGGCAATGCTACCAAATAACTATAATCATTATAAATTAAATGTCTAATTAAAAAAAATAATAATCATTAATTATATTTTTACTGTTATTATGTTGCTTTCGTAAAAAGTAGCTGTTAACAAAGTCCAAGGAGCATATATAACACTGTCAATATTGGTTAATATATAACTTTAAAAAAAAATGTTCCATCTTTACTTACAATCCAGGAACAAGTCCAATAAAAGGGCAAATAGATAAAGGTAGATTATCAGGATCCGCATTTAATTTTAAACGATATATATATACATAAGAAGTAATAGATAAACATAATACAGTAGCCACAAGTGCCTTTGTCAAATGTGGCACATTAGCTATAACACTTTTCATTGCTAATTAATCAAGTAAAAAATAAAACAAGAAAAAAAAAATTAAATAAATTAGAACATTAATTGTGGTGATTATTGTCGCGTTAAAGGCACGTGACAGGAATGGGATTTTCACTGTTTTCTGGGGGGGCTACATTTAGACCTGAAACTGCCTTTAATGAAAAAAAAACACACACAAAAAAAAAGGGGCTAAACTTTTTTTTTTCGTCATAATGTATAGATTTTTTTTTTTTACAAAAAAAAATAACTTTATTAATTCTTTTTTTTTCTTCCTTTTTTTTCTTCCTTTTTTTTTTTCCTTTTCTTTTTTCTTCTTGCTTTTTTTTTTATTATTTATTTATTTATTTATTTTCCTCTCATCTTTCTCATTCAAGATTTTACAATTTCATAATCTTAAACATGACAACAAATATTATGCCTCAACAACATCAAGTATCTGTTCTTCAAAAATTATCAAATGTAAATGAACAAGCATGGCTGACACTAGGTAAAGCAAGATATTTTATCTTTTATACTTATTATTATTATGAAAAAAGGAGTATGCGTATATTAGACAAAAAAAAAAAGGGGGGAGGAGAGGAGATTAGAATTTTTTTTTTGTGATTTATTTATAATATGCAACGTATCACATATCGTGTATATGTTAACTACCAAATTTGGTTTAGTCTGGATCAAAAAAAGAACGCCACACTTACATTTATTGTTGTTACTAGGTAGCTTAGCGGAGATAATGTCGGACTTCGAAAGAGCCATGAATTCATATGAATCTGCTCTAAGACATAATCCTTACTCTATTACCGCTTTATTTCATATTGCTTCATTATACAGAGGAAAAGAACAATTCGACAAAGTAAAATTTTACTAATATATATACATGCATACATACATACATACATATATTTGTATATATGACTAACCCGATTGCTAGGCGATTGATTATTTTAAACGAATTTTAGCTATTCAAGAAAGTCATGGTGAAGCTTGGGGAGCATTAGGTCATTGTTATATAATGATGGATAATTTACAAGAAGCATATCATGCTTATCAGCAAGCTTTATATCATTTAAAAAATCCAAATGATCCTAAACTCTGGTATGGGATAGGGATCTTATATGATCGTCATGGTTCAATTGATCATGCTGAAGAAGCATTTTCCGCAGCTATGAAAATGGACCCCCAATTTGAAAAGGCAAATGAAATTTATTTTAGGCTTGGTATTATTTATAAGCAACAACAAAAATATGATCTTTCATTACAGGTATAGTTCTTTTTTGTTAATCATATATGTATATGTATATTTATATTTATATTAAATGTAAATGTCACTTGGACCTTTATTTATTTTTATTTTATTTTTTTTTTTTTTGTATTATATATTTATGTAGTGCTTCAGATATATATTACATAATCCACCAAGACCACTTACAGAAATTGATATTTGGTTTCAAACAGGTCATGTCTATGAACAACAAAGAGAATTTGAATTAGCAAAGGAGGCGTATGAACGTGTATTAGTCGAAAATTCTGAACACGCTAAAGTATTACAACAATTAGGATGGTTATATCATCAACGAAATACATCATTTTCAAGTCAATCGATTGCTATACAATACTTGACACGTTCACTCAAGACAGATGGTAATGATGCTCAATCATGGTATCTTCTAGGACGTTGTTATATGGTGGAACAAAATCACAATAAAGCATACGAGGCTTATCAACAAGCTGTGTATCGTGATGCTCGAAACCCTACCTTTTGGTGCTCGATTGGTGTTCTTTATTATCAAATCAATCAATATCGTGATGCCTTAGATGCCTATAGTCGTGCAATTCGTCTAAATCCTTATATAAGTGAAGTATGGTATAATCTAGGTACACTTTATGAATCTTGTAATAATCAAACACAAGATGCATTGGATGCCTATCAAAGAGCTGCTGAATTAGATCCTACAAATCCTCATATTCGACAAAGATTGGATCTTTTAAGAAAGTCTTCAGATCCTAGTCATCATCTTCCTATTCCAATGCCTCAGGATGTTCATAATCCTTATCAATATCAAAATGGACCTACTCATATTCAAAAAGGAAATTATTCTCAATACCCTACTACTACTACTACTACTACATCATTATCATCCACTTCCCTTTCTACAAATAAGAGCTTTGATCAATTAAGAATGGTATATATAAAAATATATTTATATATATATATATATTTAAGAGAGAAAGAAAGAGAGAAAAAAAAAAGTAAACTTACTTTGGTTTATTATTATTATTATAGGGTGAAGGTATACCCCCAATGCAATATCATCCTATTCAACGTGATCTTCCTATATTACCACCAGATCGTCGTTCACCTTATCATCATAATAGTCCAGATGTTCGTATACCAAGTATTACCAGTAGTAGTGGTAATAGTACTGCAAGCACGACTAGAACACCTTCAGATCGTATAACAAGGTCACCCACTACCAAGATGCCTATTTTACGTTCACCTAATAAACCTTCTCCACAAACATATTATACCATTGCTGCCGCTACTACCTCTTCTCGTCCACCACCTATTGAACAACCATTAAGGAGAACTTCTATATTATATGATGAAGCTCCTCGTCGTAAACAAAGTCCAGTCGAAAGTAATGCCGCAGATACACTTATGAATATGTCTCAACAAAAACGCTTATTAGATAGTAATAATGAAGAGAATAAAAAAAATGAAGATAAAAAACCAAGATTATTAACAGCAACAACAACAACAACAACAGATACAGTTCATGTATCTTAATTTATTAAAGGAGCTAATACAATTTGATTATTGTTTAATTCTCTTTTTAAATTTGTAATTTGCTGAGAAAATCTCTCTCTATCTTTTGTACTCAATGTCCAACCACTGTCTTCCATAAGGTTACTTAAAGCCTAAAAAAAATAAAAAATAAAGTTTACATCTAAAAATGGGATTTCCGGGGGTTTTTTTTTTTTTTTAATTACTAAACTAACCTTAGTTACAAATTCTCGGCGTTCCGGTAATTGCTGAAGGATCACTTGGTTTGTGTACTTTAAAGCAAACTTTATATAAATGATTAAGGGGGGGAGGAGGAGGAAAAAAAATATATAAAATGAATATTTATGTCACATAATGGTTAATAAATAAAATAAATAAATAAATAAATAAATAAATAAATAAAAAAAAAAAAAAAAAAAAAAAAAAAAAAAAAAACTTACATCACGTTCAAGTAACACAAGTGTATACAAAGGTCTTGACAGCTGCCATTGATCATGGTTATTATCATCAAATAAAATAGTACCAAATAACGTTGTTAATAATTTAGGTAACACGTTTGGGAATTGATTCAAATAATTCAGGAACCAAACACCTCTTCTTTGGAATAATTTATTATTATTATGGTCCTTTTTTTTTCCTTTTGTGTCACGTCGTAGATTCTCCTTCTCTGTTTCTTGAATAATACATGTACAAATGTTATTGATTGTAGCACAAGCATGTGAACGAATCATGGAGTCAGTGGATTCAATCCCTTGTTCACAAGCTTCTAGAATATAAAGAAAAGCTTCTGGTGGTAAATTTGAATCAATCATCATTTGTTCACTTGAATATTCATCCAGCATAATAAAGAATGCAGTTGTTAATTTAGGAAAGTTCTATTTCATTTAATAATAATAATAAAAAGAAAGAAAGAAATGAGTCCGCTTTATGTATGAATATAAAGCTATTTGTATCATACCATCAAGTCATCCAAGGGTATATTAAGCATCATTCGTAGCATCATCATGAAAGCTTCTGTGATTGCCTTATCTTGATATAACCAAAAGACGCCAAAATTAATATATTTACCTCCCAAACATTTTGAAAGAATATTGAAACATGTAGTTATGCCTTTGTATTTTAAAGGATATTTTTGACTTTCATCAGTAATTTGTGTTGAAATAATTTGTTGGCCTATAAATATGTATATAGAAGTTAAGCTAGCAGTAATAGATCTATTATATATCTATATATTTACCATAGGTTGATAAAATTTGACTTGCATCTTTGAATATCAAGACTCCCGTAGCAGAAGAGACTTCCAAATTTAATCTTTGACTTTTATTATGAATGAATTCACAAAAAAACTTGAGTAAAACGTTGGTTGAAGGATGTGGAGACCATGCTTGAATACCCTTCATCAATACTGGCATATAATCAGGATAGAACCAATTCAAAAAGAGTGAATAATTTCGACGACTTTGAATGGGCTGAATAAATCCTCGAAGATCTCTAAATAGGCCTAGTATAGCACGCTATATACACAGTTTAAGTAAAATATACTAATTCTAATACATACATATATATATATATATACCTGCACTTCTACTTGTTGAAATTCTTCTATAGTATTTAACATAGCCAAACTTTCTAATTTAGCTTCAAATGGCTTCATAAACTCATAGAATTCATTTTCGCAATTATCTTCTGCAAAAAGGATTTTACATAGAATTTGATAATACAACATACGATTATGCTTATGTTTATCGTAATTGAAAAAAGTAAATTCACTTGACATATGATTTTGCATAATAAGTGACGTTGTTTCAATCTTTCTTAGGTTTCTTAATGCACTGTATCCACTAGCAAGTTCATAAAATAATTCAAGTGTTTTACGAATCAAGAACTCACTTTCACCCCATACTTGAAGATTTGTGATACTAGCAAAATGTTAACAATTTTTTAGTACCCTTTTTTTTTTCTTTTTTTTTTGGGAGGGAGGGGGGGTAATAATAATGGAACTTACATTTTACGCATAATCACATTAAGCATATCAGTTTCGCTTTCAACTCCAAATATCTCATTTAATTTTTTATAAGCTGATTTAGGGTTTGATTCACCTACATAGGCTCTTCTAAACTGACTAAAGAAGAAAACAAATGCGGAATCTAATTTTTTACTTCGAAATGCCGAATTATTTTGACTAAGGTTTTGGTTTACTTCCATCAATTGAAGTACTTTTGTGGTAAGTTGACCATCTGCTTCATCACAAGAATCAGAGCTCAAATATGGCTTTTATACATAATTAAATGAATATTCTCCCTTTTTCTTTTTCTTTTTTTCTTTTTCTTTTTTTTTTAAAAAAAAATATATATTACTTACAGGTCTATTGCCAACATAAACACCCATAATATATACTAACCAAGTGAATTTATCTGAAAAGATTTCAAGCGCTTCCTTCAAATTCTCTTCACTAATAGAACCTATACTTGCTTGATTAATTAATTCCTATTTTTTTTTAAAAAAAAAACAAAAGGTGATGTTATTTATCTTATATACATAACATATACATATAAATACATATATATTCATCCTTACTTCATAATGAGCAGCAATAGGATCAAATATTTCAATAAGTGCAGCACATGACTTTTCATATTTACAACGAGCAATTAGACCCAACATAAACAAAGATTCTACCAAAGTATCTTCATCTTCTAAAGGATCTATAACATATCTGAGTTATATGCACCACACATAGAATGTCTCTCCTCTTATGGATATAAATAAGTGACATTCAACTTACCATCCCACATTTCTTCAATTCGAGTAGGTACAGTATTCAAAAAATTTGAAATAAAGGTGCTTGTCAATGTCAGCATATGTTGTTGTAATTTCTGAGCAACTGTTTCACTCAATTGTTGATAATAGGCCATACTCTGAACAATACGAGACCAAAAGCTTAGCAAATGGAAACAGAAAGTTGAAGTTGGCATAAAATAGTTGGCTTGAAAGGCTCTCAGTGTAAAATCAGCAACAATGTCAATCCATTCTACGTAATTGGGTCTATCTGCCATCTCATTTAGAGGGGCCATCATTCTGAATCGATGCAATAAACGGCAAAAGCCATTATAGCAGTCAGAATCATCTAATTTTGTAGAAGTGACAATGATATCACGAATACCATGCATAAGTGCATCTATAAATTTATTGCGTTGGTCTTCAGAACTAAAAAGAGCTTTACGTGTGGCTGCAATATGAACAAGACACTCAATCGCTTTACTGGCGCAAGATGAAGGAAATTCAGCATAGGCTTTAAAAAAGCTAGGAATAAAGTCTTCTCGCTCAAATATAGGTCTCCAAGAAACAGGAATCTAAACATAAACAATAAATAAACGGCATGCATAAAATATTTTTCACATGCATTTTCTTTTCTGTTTCTTTTTTTTTTTTTTTACCTGAATCATGCCCGTGTCTTCACCTGCTTCATCTAAACTATTACCTGCAAAGTCAAACGACAAACATCTCAAAAGTAAATCAAGAGTAGCATCCTTTGTGCTATTTTCTTGATCAACTGATAAAAGCCATATCTGAGTGCTTGTCCGTTTTTTATAAACACATAAAACAAAATTTTACCTTTATCAAATGGAATTGATTGTGTAAGGAGTCCCTCTAATAATTGATATGCATTAGTAAAAATGTCAAACAATTGAGAATCTCGAAGTCCCACAGCTGTAAATAAAAATAAATGAATAAAGGGTTTAGTAAGCAAATTATCAACTGTTACTTATAATATGTATCTATATATATACCTGCTTTTCTAAATTTAGCAGCATATTTCGGCATACTAGTTGAATTAATATCTTGAACAATGATGGATAGTATTTGTAGTCCAACAATACGATGATCGTGAGAAGCCTAAAAGAGAGCGAGAAATGTGAGTAGATTATATATATACATGTATAAAAAAAAAAAGAAAAAAAGAAAAAAAAGCAAATTAAATACATTACTTGAAGAAACTGAGTCATATCCTTGTAGACATTTTGATATTCTTCAATATCCAACCAACCAAATCGAGTCAAAAGAGCTAATACACTTGCAAGTTGTGTAATAACAAAAGGCTGTAAATCCGGATGAATATAAGCATATTGTAACAAAAATGTACCTAACAAGAAAGTATAAATATGTATGTATATCTGTTGTATATAATTAATTATAACATACGTAGTTGAATTTTAGTATCTTTATCAAAAATCGTAAATTGTGCCATCACGAGCTGCTTTAATCTTGAAAGTGAAAACGTTTGTACGTAGGGATTAGGTGAATTTTCCAACATGATTCTCAAGGCATTAGCAGTATCAGTAGGAGTCACAATACCAAATGAAGGTACATTGGTAAGTTTTGTTGTTGAATCAGAAGACGAAAAAGTTGGAAAACTAGCCTCTAATATCTTTTGGATTTCATCTCGTTTAGAGGGTCCTTCTGGGTTAAAAAGATCTTGACATAATGTTGAAAAATAAGCAATGCACTCATCTTGTTGCTGAGTCATTTTTTTTCTTCTTTAAATAAAGGAAAGAGGAAGAAGGGAAAAAAAATTAAAAAAAGGAAATATATTAAAAAAAGGTTTTTTATGAGACAATTTTTTTTTTTGTGTCTCATATTTTCCTCATTGTTCTTGTTCTCGCTTTTTTTTTTATATATTCGTTGAAAAAAGAAAATAAATGTTATTAAACGCGCTGTTATTGTTTTTTTATTACATAGAATGAAATGATTATGTCTATGCTTTATTATGAAGAGTGTATTTAGCTATGTCTGCTAGAATTAAAATCCTTAAGATTATGTAAGATTTCATTTTTCTAATTGTAAAAAAAAAAAAATGTTTTTTTTACTATAAATCAGGTTTTTTACTGGATGATTTAAATCTCAGCTTAATACTGTTTTTGGAAAAAAGGAAACTTAAATACACGAAGAGATTAAATTTTTTCAAGATCAAATAGGGTTTATGTTAAAATATCTTACCTATAACTATCTTTCTGTTTCAAAAAAAAAATTGTTTAAAATACAGTGATGAGGAGGGATTATTGCTTGATGGGGGGAATTTTTTTCTCTTGTTTTCTGACCAATATTGGAAGTTTGTTAGCACCACTACCTTTCCATGTTGAAATAGATCTGGTCCCTCTATTCTCGACTGTATTTATATCTCACTGTTACAGTGTGTAACATTTTTTTTTTTTTTTGCATAATACCAGCATACTCTAGCCCCGAGTATATGATGATACGAGTATCAAGGCTTCAAATTAGTAATTATTGCAAATCTTTGAGACCTTGAACTCACCAATGGTAACTATAATTATAGGGCCTATTACCGCTTCTCGTCTTTTCAGAGACCTCCACAAAATGTCCCTCACTCCATATAAGCATTAAGCCTATATCAAATATTTCATTCCAAAAAAAAAGTCGTGTATTTGTACAAATTAGGAAATATGAAAGATTATTATTAATAGAATGTTTTATAGCTTACAGAAAATAATTTCCATTGCAAATAAAAGTATTAAAATGACCCTCATTATCATTTTTTTTTTATGTATCAAAGCATAGTATCTTTTATTTGTGAATCTGACTACTGCAATATTTTTTTTGACACATATAAAAAGTACGAGGGAGAAGTTATTGTTCATAATTATTATGTCAACTGCCTTTACCCATTTTTATTGAATTTGAAGATACTCTTTTAACTATGAATCTGTTCTCATATACAGTATGTTTCTTTTCATTCTACTGCTTTCATTCAATATCACTCATTCTATACAACTTGCTACATTAAATATAAATAACTAGGTCTCTTATTGAATAATTATAAATATGGCAGCTTTGTAGTACAAGATTTATGGTATCCAATTCATTGATACACAATATAGACTTCCTTCTAAGCTTTAACAGACACTTTCTTCACCTTTGAAAATACCCATATACAAAATTGAAGAGGGCATTGTATGGGAATGATGCTTTATAACAAGGCTTAGCAATTTAATTCCAGATATATTCAAGGAACTAAGAAGAGTCAATTACATGTTGCATTATCTTACTTTAGCAGAATAATTAAATATATTCACTTTCCATGCAACTTGGCAGCCATTATCTCATCCAAAACCACAAAAAGACCATATATTTATGAATTCGAGATACAACACAATTAGCTCAATATACGTATCACTATAACTGCTACTGAAATATAAAAGTTCGATATATCGACAATGATAATGATTTCTTTAAACTAGTTATCTCAGTTTTCCTTCAAAAATCTTAAAGTTAACTAGTATCTAGAACAGAAAGTGTTTTTAGTGCAATAATAGCCGTCTAGTCTTGCTGCTTTTATTTTTATTTTTATTTATTTATTTATTTTTTTTTTTTGTCCATATCAAATCCTTTCTCTTTCTCACTTTAATTAAATTGTCGGATTGCAATCAGCTTGCTTCAAACACAGTATATCACCCTAAATAAAAATATATACATACAAACTGTTCTATTATTAAACCATTTAAGATGAGGATACAATTCAAATTTACAAAGCTGATCTCAATTTCATCATTTGGCAATATGTTATTTGTTTTAATAACCTAATAATACATATCTCTAATTATTAATATGGCCTATATAATCTCTCTCCTTCTCTCGAATGATCCTGAAAGAAATTTATAATCAAAAGCAGTCAATTTTAAGCCCCCCCTCTCTCTCTGTATATGTGTGTGTGTGTGTGTGTGTGTTTTCAATTCAATGCCTAAACTGATATAAAATATTTAGTTAAAGAAACAAACAAAAAAAATATATATATATAGACATATGTCCTTGAAAAAACCTTCTGAAGAAACTATTGATAATGCAATTGTGTTTGTAGTTTATCTGAGTTTAGACTATAATGCAAAGTTTTTATCTGTTATTCTCAACTACTATCAATTACTATATAAAGCTTGTGCGGGGTACTCATTTGTATGTATAATACAGTTTATTTTACTGCTGCCTCGGTTTAAATCGGCTGTATTTCTGGAAAAAAAAAAAAAAAAAAAAAAAAAAAAAAAAGAGACAGACATGCTTTAAACTATAGTTTGTCATCATTGTTTTGGAGTTATTAGAAGACTGAAGATGGGTATTAATAAATAATCAATAAAATGTTCATAATAAACCAAAGATATTATATAATCTTCCCGAACCATGCTTTATTATCCTGATACAACGAGTTCAAAAAAAAAATCTATCGTCTTTATATAAAAAGGACAATAAATTTTATTTTGTGTTTGTGTGAATTTTAATACAGTCGTATGAAAGCATGTGTTACGATTAGTATTGAAATAATTTTAGTATCATCCATGTCATCATCTTGTTCTCCATATCAGTCTTACATACAATATCATTCTCCTTTTATTTATATATTTGCCGTCAAAGGAGTCGACTCAACTTTATCATGTTTAAAGCCTCGTCTTTATTATTATTGATAAGGTTCACCAAGGACGACGACTAATACCAATGATTAATAAATTTTTTTTTTTTTAAAAAAAAAAAAAAAAAAAAAAAAAAAAAAAAAAAAGATACACATACATATTTTATACAGTAAATATTTAAGCGGCGGAATTTTAGATAATCATTTTCTCTCATCAAAAAAGAAGCATCTATTAAAATAAACTATAAAAAGAGGTTAATCTTCCACCTTTTTTCTTTTTTTCCTTTTTTTTTTTTTTCCTTTCTTTCTTTCTTTCTTTTCTCTTTATTTTTTGTTAAATTGTACTATGGCTGAAGCTGCACAAAAACGTAAATAGACTAAATGATAATAAAGTCAATAACATATTTAATCCCTTTTTTTTTTTTTGATTGTTGTAGCGCTTCCTTTTGGTTTTCAATTTCTAGCTGGCGCTATTGCTGGCGTATCAGAAATCTTGGTGATGTATCCTTTAGATGGTAATATAATATGTATACAAGATGAATGATTATAAAATAACCATGTATTGAAACTTGATAATAGTTGTAAAGACAAGAGCTCAAATTAGTACAGGTTCAAATACTGGTATTGTTTCTACACTAAAAACAATGGTTAAAACCGAAGGGTAACATTACCCCACTTTTTTTTTTTTTTGTGACTCATAATTAATCTCTTTATTATTATTGAAAGTCCTCGTTCACTTTATCGTGGTATATTACCGCCTATTATGGTCGAAGCACCAAAACGTGCTACCAAATTTGCAGCTAATGAACAATATACAGCTCTTTATAAGAAAATGTTTGGTTTTGAAAAAGTGACACAATCCTTGTCTATCTTAACTGGTGTCAGTGCAGGTATGACGGAAGCTTGTTTGATTGTTCCGTTTGAATTGATTAAGATTAGAATGCAAGACAAGGCCAACGTAAAAAAAAAAAAAAAAATAGATAGATAGATAGATTGAAAGACAAAAGGTGAACTCATTATTATTATTATTTAGATTGGTAAATATAATGGTACTGCTGATACTTTTAGAAAGATCATTGCTGCTGAAGGTCCTTTAGCATTATTTAATGGTTTAGAAGCAACCATGTGGCGTCATGCCGTCTGGAACGGTGCTTATTTTGGTTTGATTTTCACAGTGAAAGATGCTTTACCAAAATCAAAGGTAAAAGAAAAAAAAAGGGATTAGATAATGGAGGAAATTGATTAAAGAAAGGAAAACAAAGAAAAAAAAAAGAGTTGATAAGTTAATGGATAATATTTTGTTAGGATCCTAATCAACAACGTATGACTAATTTTGCTGCTGGTACTGTTGGTGGTATTGTAGCTACTGCTATTAATACACCTTTCGATGTTGTAAAGACACGTATTCAAAGTTACAATGGAGTTGGCGTTAAAAAATATAATTGGACTTTACCTGCTTTAGCTACTGTTGCTAAAGAAGAAGGGTAAGATAGGTCAAGACTTTAAATAATAACTATTTATTCATTTCTTTCTTTCTTTAGAGTCGCATCATTGTATAGAGGTTTCTTGCCTAAAGTTCTTAGGTTGGGTCCTGGGTAAATATAAATATAATTTTATACATATTAAATTTATCACTAAACTCTTTTTTTTTTTTTTCGTAGCGGCGGTATTCTTTTGGTTGTATTCGAAACAGTTTCTAGTTTTATTAGAAAAAATATTTTAAAGGATTAATATAATAGACAAAGAGCTTTTTTTTTTTTTTTGAAACAAAATAAAAATAAAAATAGGTTGTATTTATTAGAATAGTTAGTAGTAGTAGTAGTAATAATAATAATAATAAAGAAAAGAGAAGAAAAAAAAAAGAGAGAGAAGGAAAGGGGAATAATTCTATGTGAATAAGGATCTATTAATTATTATGTAATTCGCTTTTGTAATGAAAAGTTAAAGAAGCCTCTAAACTTTCCAAAGAGATATTTTGAACGAAATTGTTTCTTGCTACTGCTATCGGAGTGATTTAGTTTATCCTTACTTATATTCTCTATAATCGGTTCTGCTGATATTCTCTCATTCTTCTTTGAAATGGAGATTGGCTTAATTTGTGATTTTTTCCTAAATACTCGCATGAAGAGTTCCGAGGGTCTCCTTTTACTATGCATCATGATTTCGTTATCATCTTCCTTTGTTGTAACCTGAAACTTAGTTTCGATAAGAGATGTAGTAGAGAGAATATCGATTTTCTTTCGAGTCAGTCGACTCGCTAAGGCTATATGGGATGAAATAGGGAAACAACGTAAAGAATAGTGTTTGAAAAAATTAGTGGTACGCTGTGAGGAAAGGGAAGAAGAAGAAGAGGAGGCTAACCAAGGATGATTTAAACAGTCTTCAGCTGAATACCGTTGCTTAGCATCCCTGCAGAGTAAACGACTGATGAGATCGATAGCATCTTTATTCACGGAAGATGGTACTGTATAGATTCCTGAACTAATACGATGAAAGAGAGCAGGCATATCACCTCCCTGAAAGGGCAAAGACCCTGTTAACATGGCGTATAAAATGACACCACAGCTCCATAAATCTACAGGTGGCCCATAGTAAGGTGTAGCAGTTACCATTTCTGGTGCAGCATAAAAGGGACTTCCACAATATGTATTTAATACTTCGTGTTGTCTCTTGACAATATTACCGAAACCAAAGTCGCAAATACGAAGGCGTTGTGATTTATCAATCATGACTAACAAATGAAAAAAAAAAAATTATTAGTTCATGTATATTTGTTTAAAGAGTGAATTACTTGCTATTCTCTGGTTTCAAATCTCTATGAATAATATTATTCTAAATAGGGATACATGTATACATATAAATATTTGTATACACACACACATATATATATATATACATACATAAAGAGGGTTATGATATAGGGTATATTTATATGAAAGATATTCTTACTTTATGTATATAGTCAACAGCTTGTATCAGCTGTCGAAACCATCTACGAGAAGTTGAAGGTGATAATCCTTTTGCCTGTCGAATATGATCAAATAATTCACCTCCTTCAATGTAATCCATGACAATATAAATATAATCATTTTCTATCATAACATCATATACTTGAACAATATTAGGATGATTTAGATCTGAAGCAAATGATTTACAAATTTCTAGTTCTCTTTCAATATGTTGGTTCTGTTCGATTGATTTAAATGCTTTTCTATCAATCACTTTGGCTGCATACTACACATTTGGTGTGTGTGTGTGTGTTAAAAAAGGGGCATTGGGATGGATTAAACAATATATATTATTTACCTTTTCTTTAGTTTCATTATTTTCTACTAGATATACTTTACCAAAATTGCCGCGACCTAACGTTTCTAACTTGTTATATTTTTCATTAAATGTAATTGTATTTCTTGGTTTGACCTATTCCCAATTAGAAATGTTTAGTTGTATTTATTATTATTATATATTAAAAAAAAAAAAAAGGAACCTATATTTACTTCGTTGAATCGATCCATTGAAGAAGAAAAAGTATCGTCCATTGTAAAGAATTATTTACGAATAAAAGAAAAAAAAGGGAAATATCTATAGATTATATAAAGAAAAAAAGGAAAGAAGAAGAAGAAAAAAAAAAAGATAAAGAGAAGCTTTCAAAATATATGCTTTGAATATTGTTTTGGACAGCATCAAAATTTATTTTTTTTCAAGAATGGTACGATTTAAAAATCTTTCCATATTTGTTTAACTATTTGAACTTTATTCAAACTTAGATCAAAGACTGTCTTTTTTATTATTTTTTTTAAAAAAAAAAAAAAAAAAAAAAAAAAAAAAAAAAAAAAAAAAAAAAAATCTTACATGAATTTAGTCTTCTGTTAGGTTTAGCTTGTTCTTTTTTTTTCTTTTTTCTTTTTCTTCTTCATTAATATAGATGCCAGCAGTAAAAAAAAGAAGATTACAATTCACAAATCAAGCCGGATTAATACAGCCTATATTTTCAACTAGAAATACGGCAAATAACACTGATTCATATGATTCTGGTTATTTCCCCTTACAAAGGACTTTATTTCCAATTGGAACACCCAGTAATTCGTAAAATAATTTTCATTCATGTTAAATAAAAGTAATCTCTTACACTTATATATGTAAAGCAAACAATCAAGGGCAATATATTCTGATTTAGCTGAAGAACGTCAATTCTTAATACATTTAAAACAATTATGGAATAAGAAACTTCAAGATCTAAAGGTTTTATATATATATATATATATATATATACACATACACATATATATGTATTGAAATCTCTTATACTAGCTTTTTTTTTTTGTTTTAGGAAGATGAAAAGTTTTTATATAAAATGAAAGACATGACAAAAGAAGAATTAGAAGGTATTGGGCCTTTATTTCCTCCTTCCATTATGGAAATTATGAATGGAAGGGAAGACACGACTGCAGTTACAACAGATACAAATACAACTACAGTATCAAGTGATAATACAGCCCTTTTACCCCCTCAACCTATTACGTTTGATAGTACTGAGATTATAAATAATGAAGCTGAAATGCTGTCTACATTAGATAATCTGCAACGTTTAATTCAAGAAAATAGAAAAGAAGAATCTTTGAATGATGAAGAGGATGAAGCAAGAAAAGCATTGAATATTTTATTACAAGAATTAGGTGATACTTTATAATTCATTCTCAAGAGGATAAAGAGGACGAATATCAACAGGAATACCAGCATGATCAATACGAGCTAAAGCTTCTTTTGTATCTTTATCAAGTACACCATATTTCTCTACAAATGTATCTACTGCCTTTTTATCTCCATCTCCTTGAAGAACTAAAATATCATGTGTTAAATCAGATACTGCAGATCGAATCTTGTCAAAGTTAACACTAAACATTTTCGTCTTTTCATCATATTTAAATCCTCCTTTGTTTAATAAATAATTTAATTGAATAGCTTGTCCTAATCCATGTGCTTCTTGAATACCAAAGCGAATAGAACGGAATGCTGAAGCCAAGAAGGTAACCCAAAATTCGTTTTGAGTTACATTATCAATTGTACCATGATCTACCATTAAATCAGCAGCAAATAAAGCAGCAATATCTGCCTTGGCTTCTTCAAGAGCTGAATGGTATTCTTGAAGTTTAGAACGAACTGTATCTCCACTTAATGTATGATGAGGTCCATTACTATGACATACTTCATGGAGTAAAACATGAGTTGTAAATGCATCCTTGGTCAGATAGATCAATTGTTCCTTTTCTAATACTTGTTCTGCAATAGGTTTCAATACCTTTTCAAATTTACCCTCTTGTACATTTTTAATTAAGACCAATTTAGAACCACCTTTCTTAATAGCCTCTTCATCATTAGGAAGATTATAAGCAGCCGTCATAGGAACCTATCATTATTATTATTATTTTCCAAAAAAAAAAAAAAAAAAAAAAAAAAAATTGAAATGAGTAATCGATCCATCCATCTATTTATAATATAGACCTACAGCGACATCACCAGCAGCATAGAGTTGATTCACAACAACAATAGGAGCAGCAACTAACTTATCATTACGATATTTTTCAGGGATAGGCAAACGATCTTCAACAAACTGAAGATCAGAAAACTTTTCAAGTAATTTAGAAGATTGTTCATCACGAACATGAATATAAAATTCATATGCACTCTTAAAGGTAAAGATACCATCTGTATACTGTTCATAAGGACCCATCGTGACTTCTAACTTGTTGAATTTACCAAGACGAAGCCAATCTAATTCAGAGTCAAGATAGTTGTTTGATTCAAAGGCATCTGCACGCGAAGCTAAAAAGTCCTCAATACGTGTACCTTCTTTGTCATGAGAAAAAGTGGTTTCCTTTTTTAACTCCTCAACTGCTTCACGAATATGAACAGCAGCAGGCTGTAAGAGATCAGCATAAGCCTTTGAATAAGGAACAGACTCCAACTCGCCTTTAGAATTTCTTATAATGATTGTATAGTAGCTTTTCGCCTCCCTTTGTTTTTCGGGAGATAAGGTAGTTATCCATTTTTCAAACTCCTCCTTTGTCATGTCCTCTGGATAAAAATTACCACCTTCTGGACGCTTCGGGATATTCTCTAAAAAGGGAACATTATCATCTTCACGAGCCTACAATACCAAAGTTATAAATAAGACATGTTTGTGTATGTATGTATAGAGATGTGTTACCCAAGGACCCTTATACATTTCAAATAAAGTGCATTGTTCTTTATTTCCAGTTTGATATAGAGTTTTACGAAGTTGTTCATTACCTTTCCAAGCTTGTCTCATGTAAAGTTGATTGAAATAATCTCCTGCCTTTACAAGTCTTTTTAAAGCAGCATGTTCATGTGTACTCAAATGAGACAAGTCAGCAGTACATTCAAACAATGCAAATCGTCCAATACGTTCAGCAAGTGTACGGTTAATAGACATACTTTAGTTTTTTTTTTTTTTTTTTTTAAGAAAAATAAAAAAGAAAAAGAAAAAGAAAAAGAGAGAGAGAGTGAGTGAGTGAGTGAGTGAAAATGATATTATTATCCTTCAACAGATTATTTTAATATAAGCCAATCAAAAATTATAATGATGATATGCTGCTTCAATTATAAATATATACATATTCTATAAAAGTAAATTTTTAACAAAAAAAGGGTCATTAGGTTTTTTTTTTTTCTAAAAAAAAAATTATGTCAAAATTTCATACAATCAATAAATTTTCTACCAGAGGAAAGACAGTTTTATATGGTTGGGGGCAAAGCCTTGCTTTACCGTTAGCCAGAGGTCATCTGGACCGTGTTTTTAAAGAGCCTGTTTGTCTAAAGAATGAGCAAGACTTTGCTTTACCCGTAAGTCTTTTTTTTTTTTTTTTTTTTTTTTTTTTTCTTTCACAAATAATCAATCATAATATAAATTTGCAAGATGACATGTATGATATTAGAAGGAACAAGAAATTATCAACATTGCAACTGGTTGGGGACATTCATTACTTGGTACAAAGGATCATCAGGTATATGCATTTGGATTAAATCAAAGCGGTCAGTTAGGAACTAGTCAATCTGGGGGACTTGTCATGAGCCATCAGCCAATAAAATTTCTTGCATGCGGACGTGAACATTCGCACATTGTAACAAAAAATGAAAATGGTAAAAATGAAAATATATATGTGTATATATGTGCATATAAATCTATATTTGAGCTTAGGCACGACACATCTTTATTCATTTGGTAATAATATGTATGGTCAGCTAGGCTTAGGACAAAACAAAAATACAAACCCCGGTAAAATGATGTTGGAACGTGAGCCAAAAGTAGTACAACAGCAAATATCTGGTATGAATATAAAGCATATTGTATGTGGATTAGATCATACTATTTTAGCTACAGAGGAGGAGAATGATGATGATTCTTTATGGGGTATGGGTTGGAGTGCAGACGGTCAATTAGGGCAAGGTAAAGAGGATAAAGATAGACCCTCCAAGTTACCTTTATCATCAGGTCAAATTAAGAAATTAGCCAGTTCAACTGACTTTACTTTGGCATTAAATCATGATGGAAGAATATGGGTTTGGGGTAATTCGGAATATGGACAAGGTGTTCAAGGGAAAATTATAGATAGAGTAAATATTTAAAATAAAATAAAATAAATACATGTATCTAACTTTGATCTATATATTTTAGATCTTGGAACCTTTAGAGGTTAAAGTAAAGAATGTTGTAGATATTGCAGCAGGTGGACCTTTTTCGGTTTTATTAACAAATGATGGAACAGTACATACGTGTGGATATGGCGCTTTAGGTTTAGGAAAAGAAAAGATTCAGACTTTAGAACTGACCAAAATAGAATGTTTAAAAGATATTAAAAAAGTATTCGCTACAACAGATTATGCCGCTGCAATTACAGGTAAATAGATGTGCATATACATATTTATATATGTATACTAAATAAAAGTATTTGATTGTAATCATTATTACTTAGAATCGGGTGAACTTTATACTTGGGGATTAAATGGACCGAGTGGTCGATTAGGGCTAGGACATTGCCAACACTCATTTGAGCCTAAACGTGTTAATTTGACTCAACCTGTCTTGGATGTTTATCTTGGTACAAATCATGCTTTGGCTGTTTGTGCAGAATAAAGGAGAATGTATCGTTAAAATAGATTATGCTGCTTAAAATATATTTCCTTTTTAGAAAACGAGCATTTATTATTTGTTTCTTTTACATGTATAATAAAGAAAAAAAAATAAATCCTATTTTTTTTTTTTTTTAGATATTGTAAATCAAGTATGATGTTATATACGACATATAACAAAAGAATATATAGAGCATATATAAATGTTTAAATATAAGCTTATAAAAGAAAACTTCAAATGGACATAAGATGTAGAATATATCAGAATTGCTCGGGCTAAATTATCAATGAAAGAAAGGTTTACTAAGAAAAAAAAACTCCTCCCTTTAGGAACAAGAGTAATAAAAAAAAAAAAAGAAGGAGGAGATGAGAAGGAAATAAAGAGTGACTATAACACGATTAGTGAATAGGGTTAAAGGGGAACTAATCAAGGAAACCTTGCCCTGATTATGACGGCAGTGAGGGAGGGGGGGGAGAACAATAAAGTTCATTGAGGATTAAACTAAATTACTGGATAACAACACAAATCAAGGAAGGATATTAAAAATATGCACGCAGCTGGTGTGTTGTTGGAAGGTCATTTAAAAGCAAGGAAAAAGGGATAATAAGTATATTGAATTAAAGAAAGATAATATGGAGTGTTTAAACTTCTCCATTTAGAGTTAAATTCCAAATAAATCAATGATATCAAATAAAAGTATCAACGTGATCTAACAGTAAGCGCCCCCCCTCCCTCTTTAAGATTTAATTAAAACTAAACCATGTTCTCCTTGTACAGATGAAGTGTGGTGAGACATGTTTTACATTTGAATTATATTTGGATAGGATCAAAGTATGTTCCTTGATCTTTATTTATTACTCTGAGCTTTTAAAAAAAAAGTATTATGAAGGAATTTAACCTATATATAAATATATACATTTATTTATATATATTTTTCTTATAAAGATGTTGTCTCAGATGTCTCATCATGACAGTTTTGGATGTCAAACTATGATATTAAATGCAATTAAGATATAAGAAAACATGCTTGAATTCACCTTACTGTTACCAAGATGAAATGCTTTTTTAATTCGTGTTGTAGCAGACCTCTGCATCATCAAAATTTTTCAATTACTTGTTTGCACTTTATGGCATTTTCTTCAATATACACGCTCTTTGTATGTATATACATATATATATATATATGACACTTTAATAAATAATAAAATGGGCAGACACACGTCTGCTTTAAAAACGTAATCTATCAAACCGGAGAAAACGGCAAAACTATTATAAGAGTCGAGGGTAATGCGGGTAATAATGATAAGACGGTTTGTTAAGAGTGGAGCTGTCTTGATAACAAAGTTAATAGAAATAAACAGTCATTTATGATGAATAAGCTATTCAAACAAAATAATGTATCTTTTACTTTTTATTCTCTCTATTCAGTTCTAATAATAGGTACTATTAGAGTATGTTCCAGTATACAGTAATGATTATAGATTATATTATATAATAATAATATTAGGAATAGTGCTATTCAACTACATAATTATTTATAAATATACAATACTATATATGGTAATAATATTCTATATAATGATAATAATAGTATCATTTCAATAGTTATAAAAAAAAAAATTAATTTTATTTTTAGTAACAATGACAGTTCAAGGAAGAAGAGAATAAAACTGTATCGTATTATATAAGTGTTAAAAATAGTTTTGCTACGCGTTGTATATGTATCCTCTTATGATACACTGTTTGAGTGAGCTAATGTGTGCTTAAAATTATTTTTCTGAAACAAGTAAGCAAAGATATTTGGAGTGGATATTATTTTACGCATACACACACACACACATCTTTCTCCTCAACTACTGTTTATAATCTTAACTAACTCCAAGCAGACTTCTCTCTCTTTTTCTATTTTTTTTGTCCTTTAAGGGGAAAATCTCTACATTTTTGTGGTTGATCCTGTTAATCAAAATAACAAAATTATGACTGTTATTTCGAGAACTAAAAGAAACTTACACTGTTTATGAGTATCATGGTCCCTGCACTAAGATTGTAGAATATAACATAATCATTAAATTATATATATGTATACAATGATAGTTATTTATATAAGAATACGAGGATATCCAAGAAGAATGATAAAAGCGTTTATCATGACCGAATAAAACTGAGAATTGTCAATGAAGAATACATTATCTCCAAGTCCATAAATCATGAAAAAAAAAAAAAGCTGAAATCTATATTCTTTGATATGATCTGTCTAGATAATACTTGTCGAGAGTTAACCCAAAGGACAATTAACTCTGAATTTGATAATTATTGAGTTATTATGAAATAACGATAGGACTATCAAAACAAATTATGTAGATAAACCATATCTTGGTAGGTAGTCTAAAATGAGCATGTGATATAAACGATGAAGCTGGTATTTACACCTCCTCCTCCATCTAAAAGAAGAAGAAGAATGGTAGTGCAGTTAAAGCTAAAGAAGACAAGCAAATGATTCAAGTGAAATAAAGCAGATAAATATATATATATATATAAAGTAATAGTAATCTACAACTAGTTATAAAGAAGATTGCCAAGTAATAATCTGCTCAAAGAGAAATTTGGCAATAGACGTCAATTTTAAAAGCTAATAGAACAGAATTTAATCAAAGAGTGATTATTGGAGCATGTACTATCAACTATAGGTCTCAATTCTACAGATCTTTCTCAAAAATGATCATGATTACCACTTGACATTATTATCTATATAATATCCAGTTTTTTTTATATTTATAGTAAAGGATGACGGCATTCTTCTAATTTAGTCTAAAGGCTTTAGTATAAATGATCTTATTCCAACCACATTATTTATTCGGTGCATATGTATAAAAAGGAGAGTTATCCTTTATTTGTTAGTATTATGAAATGAATTATATGTGCTTATTGTATTACAACTGATACAATCACACAAGCATTGATGCTACTACCTTCAATTAAATTAAGGAGAGAAAAAAATAAAATAAAATAAAAAAGAGGGGGTATAATCTATTTTAGTAATAGTAAATAATCTGTTGCTATAGCGTTATCATCAATAAAACTGAACGTTTACTATAGCAATTAAAGTTAATTTGTACTTGATAAGTTCATATTATATGCAAAATTTGTAATCTGATGATCTCCTTTTTTTCCCCTCCTTTTTTTTTAAAATAAAAAAATAAGGCCTCCTTAGTATATATATATATACACACACACACACACATACACTCACTCACTCACTCATACTCCCCCTAAACCTTTCTTTTTTCTCTCTCTCTCTCCTCTTTTCTTCTTCTTTCTATTCTAATGTAATTATTTATTTTTTATTTTTTTTTTATCTTTCCTTTCCTTTAAATAAATAAAAAATGACAAATAATGAGATGAATAAAGGTACTATTATTGTATGCATTGGATTCTATATCCATTTAAATCATTTTATTAGGATCTACCTTGGAGCAAATGAATCAGAGTACATCAACTAGTTCTCAATCATGTAGATATGATTCATCTCTTGGGCTATTAACAAAGAAATTTATTGCATTACTACGTTCTAGTTTACAAGGAGATTTAGATTTAAATCGAGCAGCGACTTTACTCAATGTACAAAAGAGACGCATTTATGATATTACAAATGTACTTGAAGGAATTCAATTAATTGAGAAATACTCAAAAAATCATGTGAGATGGATGTAAGTAAGTAAGTAAAAAAAGTGGGAGGGGGGGAGGGGGAAAGGGAAGGGTGGGGGGTGTAAATCAAGTTTATATATATATATATATATATATCATATATATATATGTGTGTGTGTATGTATATAGAGATATATATCTTTTTTTATTATTATTAATTTATGTATCTTGTATATAAAAAGAGGGAATAATATGAAATCAAAAGAACTTGAGCAAAGATTGGCCTTTTTAAAGAATGAGAATGCATCCTTGGAAGAAAGATATAGACGATTGAGACAATTTAAACAACAAGTAGATGAAGAAACTGAAAGAATAATCAAGAATAATGCTTCTTATTGTTATTTAACACTTGAGGACATAGCAGGATTTGAAGTGATGACAAAGGAACAAGAATCGCTGGTAGTAGTAAATGCACCTTATAATACAGATATTGAATTACATTCAACTGAAACTAACAAAAGAAAAAGACCTAATTGTGAAGAAGAGGTAAAATAGATGTAAGAATTAAAAATATAGAACAATTAAAACAACATGGAGGTTTTCCCTATTTATTTATTTACTCTTTCAAATTACACACAGAATTATATTTTATCTTCTTCTTTAACAACAAAATGTTATATTCGAGTACCTGAAAATTCAAATCACTTTCTTCGTATATCTTCATTGAGACAACAATCAAAGAAGGAGAAAAAGAAAAAAGCATAATTTTTCATATAAAGTAATAAAATAAATACATGCATATAAAAAGAAGGATACGCATATAGAGTAAAGAAGAAGAAAGGATAATGTATGTTTTGATAATATGCACGCATAGAGAGAGAGAGAGAGAGAGGAAATATTAGACTGTAAACATACTCTATGTTCACTAAAAAAGACATGTATTATCATGCACTCTTTTACTTTTTATTATTATTATGTACAGTCACTTTGGGATAAAAAAAAAAAAAAAAAAAAAAAAAAAAAAAAAAAAAGACCAGGCAACAGTAGCTGAGCATTATGGGGGGTGACAGAAAATACTTTTTCATTATTATTATTATTATTATCATTATTATCATTATTTTCATACTTGTAACAAATTATTAGCATTGCTTAATCTAGAAATGACAGAAACACCAAGTTCAAAATACGGCGAATTACCAACACTACAATTGCCTTCATTCTTGGATTTTCTAAAATTGAAAAACTTTCCACTTGTAACATTTCCTGCTGTTCATGAACCTTTTAGACCTACAAAGGATACTTTATATATTTATGGTCCTGGCTACAGGAAAAGTCAAGCAAGTTTTGACGTCGATTGCTTAATTGTTCAAGTAAAGTAAAAAATTGAAACGTACATTTGTATATAATTTTTGAATTGTTCAACTTTCTTCATGTTAGATGTATCTCAAGTTTTGTGGAATTGAATACAATGTTAATTACATTAATGAACCAGTTGCATCCCCCTCTGGTATATAGATATATTTATGCTAATAGTATGATTGACTTGATTTATTTATTTTTTATCTTGAATAGGCCAACTTCCATTTTTAGCGACAGTATCAGGTGCAATCTATGATAATAAAGAAATTATTCAATGGGTTAAAGAAACAAGGGTACGAAATAGATGGGGTTTTTTTTAAAAAAAAGAAAGAGAATAGAGTAATTAATACTTATTTAGGGTATGGAGAAACAAGTAGAAACACATGGAGAACAAGCAAAAGCCTTTATGGCGCTTGTGGAAACTAAACTAAGAGCTGCATTGGTAAGGGATGGAAAAAAAAAAATAGAATAAAATTTAATTTTGTCAAAAGTTATTTTCAATGTGGTTAGAGCCGTTAAACGCAAATGAAATTACTTATAAAGCTTATTATGGTCATGTGCCTAAGCCTATAGATAGGATTATTTCTTATAAAAAACACAACAAAGTGATTCAAGGATTATTAGCAGATCGAGACATCCTCGTAAGAGAAGAGGTATAAAATAGATAAGATAGATATAAATACAAGAATTAAAAGGTTTAACCCCGCCCCATCTTTATTCTTAAAGATTTATGAAGGCGCTGCACAAACATTAGAAGCGCTTTCAATCAAATTAGGCAATGACACTTACTTTTTTAATTCAAAGTATGACTGGATAAACAAACAAAAAAAAAATTATTTGTTTGTTTATTTATTTACTTATTCACTTATTTGTTTATTTACTAGTGAACCTACTTTTATGGACGCTGTCATATTTTCTTATCTTCATTGTATATTAAGTATGCCACATAGTGTAGATGATCAATACACAGAAGAAGAAAGGAAACAAGCTTCGACATTAAGTAAATTAGTTCGTAAATATGAAAATTTACATCAATATGCAAAGAATATATATGAAAATTGGTTAAAATAAAATTATTGGGGCCTTTTGGCCTTCTTGGTTGATTTCTTGGATGACTGTTGCTGTTCATTATTTTTACGTTTCAAAACGGCATTTTCTGATTCACGAAAGAGTTGTTTTTTATCAAAACTGATGGTGGCATTATAGGTTAATCTTCTTGTTTCTAAATTAGTGAAATTAGTGAAATTTATCTACAAAGTCTTCATTGTATCTCTATTACCTGCTTTCTTTAGTAATTTAGGATAATTGACTGAAATAGTTGCTTCAATTTGATCTTGTGTCATACCATACATACTTGCTCTATTCAATTTTTTTGAATTATTATTTCGTTTACTTTTTTTTTTTTTTTTTTTTACTAAACATGTAATCTTTACAGTATCCTTAAATCACTTGTTCTTCTTATATCTAAAGCTCTTATCGCTTCACTTGAAAAAATCAAATTATGTCCTCGAGTAACTTCTATTAATCTCTTTACGTTATTAAAAAACATGGATTTTCTACTAGGATCTAAATGACAGTTAAAATACGAGTGTATCATGTTTATTCTATTTATTTTTTTTTTTTTACCTCTAAATGATTGTGAATAACAAATTTCAAAAAAAATACCACGATTTACTGCTACTTGTGCCATGGCAAAGTTGGGTAAAGCTCTTGATTTAGCTAAATCAATTGATATTAAATCCACTTCTAACGTTTGACAAGCGTGTTTACAGATATCTAAATTTGTAGGACGAACTGCTAAAATTCCAATTTTAGGATAGGCTGAACTAGATGACTACCAAGAAAAGAAGAGGAAGTAGAGATTTGGGGGGGGTTTTTTTTTAATAACAATAACAATAATCATATATATATGTATATGTATATGTATGTATATATTTACAAGCTGATAGTTATGTTTGGTGTCTTCTATTAATAATGTAGCTCTTGTTAATTGTTGAATGTTTGGATATTTTTCAGGTGCTATTGGACTTATTGGCTAATAAAAAAAAATATATATAAATATAAATATACATACAATACATGTATATATATAAGGAAGGGGAATTAATCAATGAAAGTAAAAAGAGATTGTGTTTTATTACAACTCTACCTCAACATTGGCTAGATTTCCTTCCAATGTTAAATTAAGAGCTATAATGCCTTTAGTGTCGACTATTTTTTTTTTTTTTTAAGTTGTCATTTTAGTTTAATTATTTTGACTTTTGTATATTAATTTAAATGTACTTGAATGGAGTCGATTCAGTATTTTTTCAATTCTCTCACGTTCAACAGTATCATTGTTATTAGGATAAGGTATATTGAAATCGTAAATCATATTCTACTTTATACAATAATAATAATAAAAAAAAAAAAGGCGTAAAGTGATTGATTACCCAATCAAGAGGCTTAGTATATTTAAAGTTGAGGTCGAGTCACGAAAAACACCAAAAAAAAAAAGAGAAAGCATTTAGCATTTAAACAAATATAAAAACTCCATCTTTTGAACTCAGCATGAATGAATCTAGTAAAAAAAAAAAAAAAAAAATAGTGTACCTTGTTTAATATAACCATTATTATATAATTTATATTTATTTGGTCTTTTTTTTTTTCTGTCATTGTTTATTTACTTTTTGGCTAGATTATATTATTATTATTCAACTGTTAAACTATGAATAGGCTATTATTATTGAAACAATGTAATCTTAAGATTGACCTTTGTCGATCCTGGATGGGCAGACCCATGTATTTTCAAACAGCGAGTAGATTATTAAATGGATTAGGCAAACCAACATTAAAAGAGACAGATCATACGACTGTCAAGAGCCTGGCAAAAACCAATTGGAGTATAAAAAAAAATATGGCACCTCAAAGAGACTGGAGTCGACCGAGTCCATCTGACACTTTAAAGAATACTACGACTACAATGTCAAAGGCACAGAAAAGAGAACGTAAAAAGGAGCAAGAAGAGTTAATGGCTTTATTAAAAGAAGAAGAAAGGGAGCGTCAATTGATGCAAGCTAGAAGAGCAAAGAATATGAAGAAAAAACAGGAACAAATAAAAGATGTCTATATTCCTGAATTTGTTAATGTGGCTAACCTTTCAAGAGTGCTAGGGGTTAGGATTGGTATGTCCATTCTTTTTTTTTTTTTGAGGTTTTTTTTCTTAAAAAAAAAAAAGGCTTGATTTTGGAACTCTTTTTTGTTTTATTAATAGTCTGTTTGTAATGTAGAACAAGTGATAAGAACAATGGAAGAATTAGAAATGGGGAATGCATTGCATGATAGAAGTAAATATATCATTATTTTATTTGTTCTCTTATTCATATATAATTATCTAGTGCTTAATGCTGAAGAGTCAAGTCTTATTGCAATGCAGTTAAATATGAATCCTATTGTAGATTCAAAACAATCGCTTGATTTATATCCACGGTAAACTATCAAAATAGAAATAGATAATAAATAGGAATACAAATAATGGTTATTATAGATCAAATCCTGTAGATCCTAGCTTATTAATGGATAGACCACCTATTGTTACTATAATGGGACATGTCGATCATGGGAAAACTACACTTTTAGATTCACTCCGTAAGACATCAGTAGCTGCAGCTGAAGCAGGTGGCATTACACAGCATATTGGTGCTTTCTCAGGTATTATTTATTTATTTATTTATAGTAAATGGTTTTATTTATATTTATATGCATTTATATTTATATTTATTTATTTATATATACATACATACTAGTCAAGTTACCATCAAATAAGACAATTACATTTTTAGATACACCTGGTCATGCCGCTTTTTCAGCCATGCGTCAAAGAGGTGCACAAGTAACGGATATTGTTGTTTTAGTAGTAGCGGCTGATGATGGTATTATGCCTCAAACAATAGAAGCTATTGAACATGCACATGCAGCTCAAGTACCTATTGTTGTTGCTATTAATAAATGTGATAAACCCGGTGTAGATCCAACACATGTGAAACAAGAATTAAGTCGATACAACGTTCATCTGGAAGAAATAGGAGGTGATGTACCCTGTGTTGAAGTTTCAGGTTTAACAGGGAAAAACTTGGATCAGTTAGAGGAAACGATCATTACGTTATCTGAAGTTTTAGAACTCAAGGCAGAGAGAGTGAATGATGCAGAAGGTATCGTGATTGAATCAGAGATTGAAAAGGGTCGAGGTAATGTGGCTACTGTACTTGTTAAACAAGGCACTTTAAAAGTTGGTTCGGTGATCGTGGCGGGACAAACATGGTGTAAAGTACGTTCTATGGTTGATCATCAAGGAAAATCTGTCAAATCAGCTACACCTGGTATGCCTGTAAAAGTCATTGGTTGGAAAAATATTCCCCATGCAGGTGATGAAATGTTAACTGCAAAAGATGAGGTATATTTTTTTTTGAAATTCCACTCATATCAAAAGAAAAAAAAAAAAAAAAAAAAGAAAAAAGAAAAAGGGAATTAATATAATTTTAAAAATAGAATTTAGCTAAAACTGTAGTAGAAAATCGTGTTGCACGACATGAAAGAGACCAGCAATTACGTGATTTAGAAGTCATTAATGATAAACGTAGAAAACAAAGAGAGCAATTAGAGCAAGAACGTATAGCTGAAAAAGCATATAAAAAAGAAATGTTCATGTATCAACAGGGACTTATCGAGACAATACCTGAATCATTAGGAAAGAGATTAAGTGCAATTGAATCTTCTTTAAAAGAAGAATTCGATACAACATCTGAGGAGAAAAATGATATGTTGGAATTTAGAGCTGTAGTCAAAGGTAAGAAAAGAAAATATACATATATATCAATCAATCTTAAATGAAATAATAATATTAAAATATCTTTTATTTTGATAGGTGATGTAAGTGGTACAGTAGAAGCTGTCGTAAATTGTCTCGAAGAACTTAAAAATAAGCAGATCAGAGTTAAAGTTATACATAGTGGTGTTGGCAATATTTCGGAAAGTGATTTACAACTTGCTGCTGCCAGTGACGGTCAAGTGATAGGATTTAATGTAAAAGCAGACAAGAGAATTCAAGCCGAGGCATCTAAACTTAATGTGCCAATCAAATCTTACTCTGTTATTTATAAACTTCTAGAAGAAACTAAAGATGAATTGAGCAATATGCTTCCTCCCATTATGTCTACACAAGTTATTGGTGAAGCAGCATTACTACAAACATTTGAAATTAGTACTAAAGGAAGAGAAACTCGTTCAGTAGCAGGTTGTCGTATTACGAATGGTGTAATTCATAAGAATAGTCGTGTACGAATCGTACGTAATAAAGAGATAATTTGGGAAGGTAACAAAATAATAATGATAATAATATTGACGTCAATCTAAAAAAAAATCTTTTATTTCATTATTACCATGAAAAAAAAGGAGAATTAAGTGCACTTAGACAAGTAAAAAAGATATCTCAGAGGCCAAGAAAGGTTTAGAATGCGGTATGTCTTTTGATGGGTTTACTGATTTCCAACCCGGAGACATTATTCAAAGTATACAAACAATTGAAACTAAGCAAAAATTGTAAACAAAAGTCTTCAGCAATGAATATTATTAATATAACGATTTCTTTATTAATCATTCAACACAAAAAAAAAATAAGAAAAATAAAAAAAAGAATGAAATTGAACAAAAAAAAAAAAAAGTATTTGAGACGGCGTTTAAATATATTCTAAACACCGGATATTAAGCTTTTGTATGTAAGTATCATATGATCTCCATTTTTAATTGGATACCTTTCATTTACCCGTTCCAAAAAAAAAGGGTGTGTATTAAATGCTAGAAATTATATAAATACAACACAAAATCCAGGATTCTACATAGAATATATTTATAATTTTTTTTTAAAGCAGTAAAAAAAAAAAAAGAGCTCTATTTTACTACATTATTTTTCTTTTCTTTTTTTTCTTGAATATTCTTTTCTCTTTCTTTCTTTTCCGCCCTTATTTATAAAGAATATGTTAAATACTACTTCTCGACAGTGTTCAATTTCATCTTCACATTGTTCTTCAACCAAGTCAAGCCATTCGTTTTGGTCAAAGATAAGTCAGCTATTTCGATCTTATCATCATAGCCATCATAGTAGTAGAAGTAGTAGAAGAAGTAGCTATAGTAGTAAATATAGTTCAGCATTTTCACGCCAAACAACAGGCCATTATAGTAATACTACATTATCAGATATGTCAGTACAAACGATCGATACCAATCATAGCTCATCACAAAAGCGTTCTAGAAAGCAACTTGTAAATCATGTAGATAATAGTGTGCCACAAATGATTATTCCTCCTTTCAGTCCAACCTATTGTAAAGAGAACGAGTTCCCTTACTCTAATTTTTACGTGAAACTACCAGACGGCAGATGGATGATTCGATATAGAGATGGCAATCGTGACATTCTTCGTACAGATATTGTAGAAGGCTACATGATTTAAAAGGGATATATTCCTTATTAAGATGTGTAATCAGCCCAGTGTGTCTCCTTCTTTCCCTGTGTGTGTATTTTTATACTTTATTATACCTTTATATACCTATGTGCTTTATATAGTTTTTATTTCTTTTTTTTTGATTGATTCTATAAACATATTGTACATTTCTATACCTATATTCATCCCTTATTTTTATTTTGTGTATGCATTATTTATTATAAATAAAGATTTATTTATCATATAATTGAATATTACATTCATATCAGTTCTAATCTCCTCTAAGAATTTCTTAAATACAATTATTATCTGACATCAGTAAAAAAAAAAAAAAAAAAAAAAAATACTGCTTTGTTTCATTATTGAACGGCGTTATTAAAATTAAAAATAAAAATCCGAGATTTATATTTGTTTTGTGTTAAGTAGATCCCCTTTTTTGTAATCCATAATAAATACCAGCAGCTCATTCCGGACCATTTTTTTTTGCTTATTACATAGTTAAAATAAAAATAAAAAAAAATCATGGTATATATTTTTATTTTATTTTCAGGTTATATATAAAAAAAATAAAATAAATAAAAAAATAAAAATAAAAATAATAAAAATAAATAAAAATAAATAAAAAAATAAAATAAAAATAAAATAAAAATAAAAATAAATAAAAAAATAAAAATAAATAATATTATTTAATGAAATATAATTATATAAATAACCTTGCCGAGGCTCGTATTATAATTGTGGAGAGAAAGATGATGTATGCTTGTTTGTGCTCGTGTGTGAGAGAGAGAGGGGGAGACAGATTTTATTAATCATTAGATTTCTTTGTTTCTTCCTTGTATCGGTAATTACTATGTACCGAATACATAAAAACAGTTATATAATGACGTTACTTTTTTATATTCCGAATATCCGTTTTTTTTTTTTTTTTTATTATTTCTTATTTATTCATTTATTATTACTGTGCAGTGATAATAAATTTTATAATAATAAGAATAATCCCTTTATATTAGAAAAATAACTTTTATTTTCTTATTACTGGTTTTCAACAAGTGAAAAAAGAAAGGAGAAGAAGGCAAATGATAAACAAGGGTTAAAAAAAAAAGAAAAAAAAACAAAGTAAGTTTGCACTTACTGCTTATCCCTAAATGCATATTTCTTGGAAACTTTATGAAACAAAAAGTTAAAGTAGTATGTAAGTTTTCATAAATGTGCATTTTTTCGTTAATCGATAATTCTATTTTTAAAATAATGAGAATAGTAAAGAGGGACAGTCATGATGATAATAAATGTTAATATTATGGTGGAGGGGAATGTTACACAGGCGCATCTAATAAAGTTTATAAAAAAAAAAAATAAAAATAAAAATAAAAATAGAAACAAGTGTGTTTTTCTATAGAAAAAATTGTTGAAGCAACTAATAATAGTTCTTTTTTTTAAAAGTCAACTGTCATTTAAAGAAGAAGAAAAAAGTGGTATGAATTAGGTCATCATCATCATCACTCAAAAAGGGGCCTTTTTTTTGTTGTTGTTTATTATATGCAGGTTAGGATTATTAAATAAATGTAAACAATATAATAATTTTAATGGGAGTAAAAAAAAAAATATACATTTTTATATTATATTCACATGCTGCCGTTGCTGCTACATTGCCTCACGTGGATTTTATTTTGAAAACGGTATGGAAAAAAAAACAATGGAACACATATAGTATTATTATTAATATAAAATCACCTTTTTGCTGACTACATTTAGATTATTGTTTATGTATACAGTTTATTATTACGTTACTACGTAATTTATTATAGTGTTGTTAGAAGCAGCAGCAGCAGCAGCAATAGTAGACCCTTATTTTTTTTTTACCATGGAAATGCGGAGTATAATAATAATAATAATTACTACTGTATACTGTTATTCATTCAAAATATATGTAAAATGTACGTGTATGCCTTTTTTTTTTTTGTAATAGTAGTAATGATGATAGAAAAAGGAGAAAAAAAGATAAGATCAACCAGGTAAAAATAGTAATGAAAAAAAAAAAGTTACGTAATAAAACAAGTAACGAGCCGATAAGTTGGTCCCTTTTTTTTTTTTTTTTTTTGCATCAAGATGAAACAAAATACACTTGTGAATTTTAAATTTTCAAACTAAAAAAATAAAAATAAAAATAAAATAAAAAAATAAAAATAAAAATAAAATAAAAAAATAAAACTTTTTTTTTGTTTACTGCTAAATGAACAGGTCCCTGAGGAATTATTAAAGATAAAGCAGATTTTAATATAAAACTTACTTCTTTCTGCTATAAAATAGTAGTTTGAATTTTTTTTTTCTCTTTTATTAAATATAATATTCGTTTATGTATTGTCTTTTTAAAATCATACATGTAAACAAGTTATTGAACATAATCAATTATAAATGTCCTTTTTTCTGGTACTTAAGAAGCTGTCCTCCTAGAGGAGAAGTTTTAACGAAAAAGGAGAAAAAAAAACTTCTTTTTTGACCAACAATAACAAAGCCATAATAAATTTTTGATGTTATTACTATTATAACTATATCAATATTAATAACTTTATTATCATAAATAAAAAAAAAAAAAAAAAAAAAAAAAAAAAAAAAAAAAGACTTAATGTAAAGCTCTATTGTAAGAAAGCTTAATAATAATGCTTCTCCTTCTTTTTTATATCTCTATTTAGATAAATATGAGTATTCTTTAATACAGATAAACAATGGTGGACTATTATTTTGTATAACGCATTGAAGTGAACAAAGTTGTTACACATTTCTATTTATATTATTATTTAAATACATGCACTAATTATGCTTCAATATCTATTTTCTTTCGTATAATAAATATTTCAACTTTTACATGCAAAAATCGATTATTTTAGTAGAATATGAAAAACCAAATAATAATTCAACTAAATTTCCTTCTCAACTAGAGAACATGAAACATAAAACAGAATGTATTTATTCTTCATTTAACAAAGATAACAATTCTTCCTTTAGTGAAAAGATAGAAGTAACAGACAATAGTCTTCAATCTTCTATAACAATACAACAAAGAGATAACATAGAAAATAAAGAAATTATTCATATACCAAAACGTCATCAAAGTTATTTATATAATCCTATAATAAATGTAGATAAAATGAATTATCTTGAACGGAAAGCATATTGTACAAATCAAGCATCATCATTTGTTGATAATAGCATCATCACATCCTCCCTTTTATCTACTAAAACAATGGCTTCTTTACCAAACGCATCGTCTACTGTCTCTCATCATCAAAAAAATGATAACTCCCAACTCCAACAGCCTGTCCTTCTTCCTAATAAAAATATAACAATACCAACCAGAAGAACAAGTAAAAACTATAGCAAAGATCCTGAGATCCAAGCAAAATTAAACGCTCTTATACTCAATAATACGAGTAGGAAAAGGGATCTTGTAATAAGAATGGATGGCTGTTTGAAAAAAGAAGAAGAAGGAGGAAGTGATAGTTATATTTTATAATAATTTATTACAGAAATAAAGTACAATCTGATGATGATAGTCCTTGAGCTTATTAACAACGTTTAACAATCATCATTCATGTTGTGGCGTAAAATGTGACTTTTAATCGTTCCTTGTATTTCTGACTTTTTTCCTAATTCAAACCATCTATTCGTATTTTTTTTTTTTTTTTTTTTTTTTTTATTTTATTTTGTGAGCCTTTTCTATTAAGCTTCAGTTATTCAATTTATACATATAAGCTCTATTATGGACTATCAAAAAACTATTATTAGAAAATATCCTAAACTTGCAACTACAAAAAATACTGCAGAAGCAAAATATTGGAAGCGATTCAAAGTATGCATTTAAATAAGCTTCTCATCGATCCCAAAAAAGAAAAATTAATGTTTTATTTTATATATATATATATTCCTCTTCATGTAGTCTCCTATTGTCATTAAAGAATATGCGAGTGTAACTTCAATTTTCTTTTCACCTGTTTCACCTTATGACTTTGCTGTTACTTCATCAACACGTGTACAAGTCTATTCATCAAAGACACATCAACCTAAAAAGACCATTTCTCGATTTAAAGATATTGCTTATTCAGGTAGTTTTCGTCAAGATGGTAAACTTATTGTCGCTGGTGATGCTACTGGTCTTATTCAAATGTTTGATGTTGGCTCTCGTGCCATTCTAAGAACTTTTAAAGGTCATTTATTGTAAGTTTCATCCAATCTAATGTCTATTTAATGTATATGAATATAACTCTCTCTTTCTCTCTCTCTCTTTTTTTTTTAAAAAAAAAATAGACCTACTCAAGTTACTCAATTTTCAACTAACAAATCTAATATTTTATCAGCATCAGACGATAAAACGGTACGTATTTGGGATATTCCAACAGGCGAAAGTGTAAATATTTTTGAAGAACATGAAGATTATGTTAGAGCAGGTGTTGTTAGTCAAGATAATCCTAACTTAGTTGTCAGTGGTTCATATGATCAAACTGTGAAATTATGGGATATGAGACAAAGTGGTAGTGTGATGACCATGAGCCATGGTGCACCTATTGAATCTCTTTTGATCTATCCTAATGGGGGAGCCATCATTTCTTCAGGTGGACCTGTTGTTAAAGTATGGGATTTATTGAGTGGTGGACGTTGTATTCATACATTAGGCAACCATCAAAAGACAGTGACTAGTATGTGTTTTGATGGAACAGCATCTCGATTGGTGACAGGTTCATTAGATCAACATGTCAAAATCTATGATGTTCAGGATTATAAGGTTGTGCATAGCGTAAAATACCCTGCACCTATTTTGAGTGTGGGACTCTCTCCTGATGATACTCATCTTGCAGCTGGTATGGCAAATGGTTTATTATCTATTCGTCAACGACAATTAAAGGCCTCTGAAAAGACACTTAAGAAAAAGACACAAGATTATATTCGAGGAGGAACTTATAAATATTTTATGCGTGGACAATCCAATACGGCCGTGAATGATGATTATGTTGTAGAACATACAAAGAGACAGAGATTAAGTAAATACGACCAATATATGAAAGTCTTTCAATATGCCAATGCCTTGGATGAAGTGTTACGAACTAATATTCATAGTCCTGTCATCGTCAGTGCTGTCCTTCAAGAACTTATTCATCGTGATGGTCTTAAACAAGCTATTACGGGTCGTGATGACGTATCATTAGAACCTCTTTTACGTTTCTTAATTCGAAATATTCATCAGCCTAGATTTACAAATTTGTTAGTTGATGTCTCAGAAGCTGTTATTGGTAAGTAATAAAGAAAGAAAGAAAGAGAAAGACAGTTTATTTACTTTTGCTGAATAGATTGCTATAGTCGCGTATTTGGACAGTCACCACTTATTGATGATCTTATATCTCGTTTAACACATAAAGTAAAACAAGAGATTCAACTTCAAAAAGATCTTATCGAAACGATGGCTACATTAGATATGTTATTTACTAAATCAGGTTCAGCTGTTTTCAATAAATAGTATAGATTGATTCCCTTTATTCCTGTTATTATGGTTAAATAAGAATGATCAAGTGAACGACAGGAGACTACTATAGAATAATAATAACAATACTACTACTACTAGTAGTGGTAGTAGTAGTAGTAGTAATAGTAGAATTGCAATGTCACTTGATCATTCCTAATATTATATTGTTGATATGTAGTAGCGGATATTTAAAATAATAAAAAAATGCCTGCAAATATAATGACAAAGATCAATTCCCACTTTTTCTTTTTCATTTTTTCATTTTTCATTTTTTAAATATCTATCATCATGTCCAAATATCAATACGAAACTGTTAAAGTGCAAGTCTTTCCTGAAGGAATTGCACATGTGCAGTTAAATAGACCAAATAAATTAAATGCATTTAATGATCAGTAAGTGCTTGTATTATAATTTCATAAGAAAAGGAAATCATACTCTTCTTTTTTTTTTTGTATAGGCTTATTGTTGATGTGAGAGCCATTTTTCGTGATATTTCTGATGATAATAATATCTTGGTCGTCATTATTTCTGGCTCAGGTCGTATGTTTACTGCTGGCCTAGATTGTAAAGAATAGTATATTATTTTTTTTTTTAAAAAAAAAAAGAAGAAGAAAAATGATAATAATAATAAAACATCAGTGACAGAAACAAGTCTTAAAAGTTTAAATGTGGGTGATCCTGCTCGTGCTGCTTACAGAAATCGAGCTCATATCCAAGATTTTCAAAATGCTTTTACAGCTATCGAAGAATGTACAAAGCCTGTAATTGCAGCTGTCCATAATGCCTGCTTTGGTGCCGGTGTTGATTTAATTACTGCTTGTGATATTCGTTATTGTACAAAAGATTCCTTTTTTTGTGTAAAAGAAGTAGATGTTGGACTTGCTGCTGATGTCGGTTCTTTACAACGTCTTCCAAAGGTCATTGGTAATCATAGTCTTGTTCGTGAGCTTTGCTTGACGGGTCGCAAGTAAAAAAAAAAAAAAAAAAAAAAAAAAAAAAAAAAAAAAAAAAAAGTTACAAAAGCATTTATTAACTACATAATTAATCTATTTTTTTTTTCTTTTAGTATGTATGCTAAAGAAGCTTTAGAATGTGGATTTGTTAACAAAGTAACCGAAAATCAAGAAGCTGTTTTAGGTAATAATATATTAAACCCCCCCCTCCCCATTTTGCGTTAATCAGGTTTATATTGTATTATATAGCTGAAGCCTTTGCTATTGCTAAAATTATCGCTTCCAAGTCCCCAGTTGCTGTTTTGGGCACAAAGTATGTATATAAATAATCAAAGATAAGCTTGTACTTATTGTTTTTCATTATTATTATTACAGACATTTATTGAATTATTCTCGCGATCATTCAGTTGCTGAAGGTTTGGCCTATACAGTCACCTGGAATTCAGCTATGTTAAATACAGAGGTAACTACGATTAATTTATATATATGTATATAATCTTGTAATAAATATAACATATAATACTATAGGATATTCCACTTTCAATCCAAGCATTTGTTACAAAGAAGCCTGCAAAATATTCTAAACTCTAGATGCTTTAGTAAATATTGATAAATAGGATCCACTAATAGTTTTAAATATAAGCATTATTCAGAGAAAAAAGTCTTATAAAAAAAACAATATGCATCTATTTTTTTTTTTTAACCGCTGAGCTGGAAATACACATATTTTTTTTTCGGGCTATAATGGCCGTCATTCGGGGTTTTTTTTTTTTTTATCATTATGAAAAAAAAATAAAATAAAATAACTACACTTTTTATTTTCTTCTCTTTTATAATGTTACAAACGAATTCAATAAGTTCCGCCTTAAATGAGAGTATGAGTTCAACACTTGTTACGCCTGAGCAGTTAAAAACCTTTCTGACAGAAGCACCACTCATGTATAAGAATAAGCTTCATAAAGGCGCAAAAAAGCACATTTTGACAAACTGCTATCGTTCATTATGGAGCAATGATCTCGACTTGATGCAAAAATATTTTTTTAAAGAAGGCCTTTCAGATAGTGACAATCTTTCTCAACTACTTGAAAAATACAACTTGTTTGGTTCTGAGCAACATGACCACGAAGACCAACAGTCTAATCCTAACCTAAGCATAAATAAAGATGATGAACCAGAGTATTGGGAAAGTCAAAGAGGAAAACAATGTGGACATTTATTTAAAAAAGGTGAAAGTGTTTATCGTTGCAGGTAAATAATAATAATAATAATATGCCTTGGAAAAAAAAAAAAAAAAAAAAAAAAAAAAAAAAAAAAAAACTAAATTTTTTATTCATGTAGAAATTGTGGTCTTGACGATACATGTGTCATGTGTTCTAAATGCTTTCATTCAACAAACCACGATGGTCATGATGTCAAGATATGGATCAGTCGAGGTGCTGGTGGTTGTTGTGATTGTGGCGATCCTGAAGCATGGAAAATACCTTTAGAATGCTCTATTCATTCTCTCAATGCCGCTTCAAAGATACCCGACTCTTCCATGTCAGCGCAACATCAACTTGAACCATTGTCATCAGTACCTCAAAGCATCATTCATTCAGTACGTAAAACAATCTCAGTTGTACTTGACTATATTTTAGAAACGTTTGCTACATCACCTGAAGATGTTATTTCAGTTGGTACTACGGAATCTATCAAGCAAGATTGTTATCATTCTCATGAAGCTTTAGGTTTGCCAGTTAATGCACCCAATCAAACTTATTCTTGCATCTTGTGGAATGACGAAAAGCATTCATTTGATGCTGTTATTAATATTGTCTGCGAAGCACTAGGCTGTACAAAAGAGGAAGCTGCGTATTGTGCTGAATGTGTGGACGAATATGGACGTCACATTATCAAAGAATCTACTGACATTGATGAACTTATTCGAATTGCAGATACGATCAACTCTATTAATTTAGCTGTCACTATTTGCTCCTCACAAAAGACATTACGTGAAGAAATTGCTGGTTTATTGTTAGACTGGCTTAAAGACTTGACAGGTGGCCGATACAAATTCTTTAGTAATGTGGATAGTGGAAGCTGTATTATACGTGATATTATCTGTGAAGTCCTTTCAGAAGATTGGGTCCTTCGTCCTGAACTTGCTTGGCTATCTATTCGTTATAGAAGAGAAAGAATGCCTGAAGATGAGAACGATGAGTTTGATTTAGAAAGCGCCGACACTGATATGGGCAATGACGAGGGAAATGATGATATGGTATTTATTGATGATATGGAAGATATAAATGAAGAAGATGTTCTCTTGGATGAGGATCAAATCGATCACTTTTTTAACCATTTGAATGAAGAAGGCTCAGATGATGGTGATTATGAGGATGCTGATGAAATGCCTACTATTTCTTTTCAAATAGAGCAAAATAATGACATGGATACGGATGAAGTAGAAGATACAAATCTATCTACTCGTCAGCCTATCTCTGTTGAAAATACAACAAGAAGACGTCAAAGTGATGTTCCATCCACCAATCAAACAGATGCACATATCTTATCTACATCTCATTCATCTCAAGGTCGTTACAATGAAGCTTTGAAAAGAAGAAGATTATCTTCATCTTCTCAATCTAAAGGTCATAAAAGCCACAAGCCTCGTGATATCTTGGATATGGAATGGAATTTAGAAGCTTGGCTTGAATACACGAATAGATTAGAATCAGAAGAAAGAGAGTTGGCAGAAAAATTAGGAATTCCAATTGAGAACGAGGAGGTTACTACGAGTCGCCATATGAATACACATCTGAAGAAAGAATTTAAGCGTAAACTTCGTTTAGATTATCTTTTACAATTTGACTTGCGTCTTTGGAAAACTGCTCGTGTAAGCATCAAGGACTTACTTATCGGTACCTTTATTTCAAATTTCCAATATAGGCCTATTCTGGGTACTCGATTTGCTCGTAACTATCCAGAATTAGTGGATGCATTCTTCTTTAAGGATAGAGAACCTGAAAATTCGATAAGCACTCTATCAGTTCAACTCTTGACTGTACCTACTGTAGCATCCATGCTTGTAAAAGAATATAAATTCTTTGAAATTGTTTGTACAATTCTTGAAAATTTCTTTTTGACAGATCATATTTATATGACGCTTCCTGAAGAGTATTCTCGAGCTCAAGTGGATTGTTCATCTAGAGCTATTGGTCGTCATCGATATGCGTATACTATTTTCGATTTAAGATATGTCATGAATGCTGAACAAGTAAAAGCAGTTATTTCCAAAAACCCTCTCTATCTTCGTCATTTTGTTGATATGCTGTATCAATTCCAAGAGATGGATCCACTTCTACGGAAGGCAGATGCACATGTTGAATTTGAATCTCAATCCTGGGTAACAGCATTTAACATGACACTTCAAACTTCAAAATTATGTCGTCTCTTTGCTGGATGTTTTGGATCCTCAGAGATGAATGTTCATGAAGCCTCTCGTAATCTTTGTCGCTCTATTTATCGTGTCCTTAAAGAGATTGTAGACTGGAATCCTATTCTGGTATCACGTAAAGTTGATGGTGAACCTATTCCTGATACAAGAATCAAGATTAAAGGTCTAAAGGAGCAACAATTTCATCAGATTAATACACCTAATGCAGGTGTTTTTGAAATTATTGATTATGATATTACTAAAAATCCAGTCTCATTTCATCATCCCTTCCACTGGTTATTGTCTGAACTCTTTGAAAACGTATCCTTGTTACATCCAGCTGTTTTAAATGAGCTTGGTTGGTTAGGTGGCTTTAAACAGATGGTGAATAATGCCTTTCAAGATAAAAACCACGATATGTTTTTAATGGTCCTTGAATATCCTATCAGAACCATTGCATTACTTGCTCAAATTAATTGCGGTGTTTGGGTCAGAAACGGATATAATATTCGTAACCAGGTAATAAGAATGAATGCAATTAATACTTATATATATATATGTATGTATATAACTCTTATTTTATGTATACACATTGTAGGCTCATTCATATAGAGACGTTAATGTAAGAGAAAGTACTCTAGATTGTGATATTTACTTGCTTCAAGTGGGTCTTACTGTATGTGATAGTAATCAAATCCTATTGACTCTGATGGATAGATTCCAGCTTGTTGAATGGTTTAGAGGAAAACCTGATAAATTGTCTACGTATGATGCAAATCAAATGAATTATATGGTTGAAGAGTTTTTGAATCTGTTAATTATTTGCGCTACTGAACATGGATACGCATCAGGTACATCCATCGAACAACGTATTGGACAATCTATTATTCAATTCCTCGGTATATCGAGTATGGCCTATTCGGAGTTACTCAAACTGATCCCTGAAAGCCTTACAGAGCATGAATCCTTTGAAACTCAGCTTAACCAACTTGCTAACTTTAAGGCACCAGATGGACTGAATGATAAAGGTTTATATGAACTCAAACCTGAATATATTGATGAAATTGAACCTTATTACTGGCATTACACTCGTAACCAACGTGAAGAAGCCCAAAATGTTCTTAAAAAGAGATGGAACCAACTTCATCCTGATAACAAACTAAGTGAAAAAGAAGAATTCTTATTGATTCCTAAATCAAGACGTATCGAAGTTGGGCCCTTTAGACAACTAGGACAATTTTTACATTCCCATGTTCTTTGTCAGATTATTGCTTATGCGCTTTGGGATGCCAAGTTCCATAAGGAATCCAAGAGTGACACAATGCTAGATGAGGCTCTCTATTTGGGTATGCTTGCAGTGACAGATCCCAACAGTTCTGCAAGTGAACTAGCTTTCATGAAGGTGAAAGGTAAAAATAGAGCGGATGTATACATTGACGAGTCTACTACGAAGCACTTTGTTGATTTTGCTGAAAGTGATGAATACTCTATTCAAATTAATGAAATTGAAAAAACACATGCATCTTTATTACTTATTTTATTGCGTTGCTTGAATGATCCAGAACTCAGCCATGCCCACAAGCGTTTGCAATTCATTGTTGACAAGATTGAGTATTTCGGTTCTCAAAAATCTAAAGAGTTGATTGCTGATTGGAAGGAAAGAAAATTGATGGAAAGTAAAGTGAAGATGGAACGTGATGGTGGAAGCAGTACCTCTGAATATGAGAAAAAGAAAGCTGCTGCTAAAGCTCGACAAGCTGCTATTATGTCCCAGTTTGCAAAGGCACAAACACAGTTTATGGAAAAACATGCTAATCTTTATAAAGTTGAAGGAGAAGAAGAAGAAGAAGAAGCTGTACAAGAGAATGAACCAGTAAAGGATGAACTTGTCCCTGAAGATGATTTTGAAATCGTTCGCAAATGTCATTTCCCTGCTGATAGTTGTATCGTTTGTCAAGAAGAACTAAATGATACTAAATTATTTGGCATGCTTGGCTTAATTCAACAATCTAATCTTCATCGACTTACCCTTTTAAATAATAAAGATGTAATGGTTGATGTTTTGGAAAGTAGCCAAAATTCAAATCCTTGGGCTACTACTACTACTACTAAAGATGATCAGTCTTCCTTTATTGGTTTCCCTGCTGATGCTCATGTTTCTGGTTTGGATATTTCTTCATGTGGCCATTTGATGCATGCTGACTGTTTTGAAACATATCAAAAGTCAGTAGAGAATCAGTTATTAGGTGAATTTGGTAGAATGTTCCCATTCTCTATATCACCTAAAAGTCGTTTCCTTTGTCCTCTTTGCAAAGCATTGGGTAATGTACTTGTTCCAGTTGTGTGGAAGGGGAAAAAGGAATCATTTCCAGGGGTCATGGCTCCTTCATCAGATTATGCTAATTTAACGAAACATATGAAAGATGCGGCAGCAAAGTTGCGAAAGAATTTTGAACATATTCCTGGATCCTTTGATGAGGAAGTACCATTTATCAGTAATGATCCTAACTTGGTTATCAGTGATACAAACAAATTAAGACACATCTATAACCAGCTTATGAAGGTCATGCATGCGACTATCGAAAGGAGACCCCTGGAACATCCATTAAATTTACCTGACTCTCTATTAAATTTGTATGACATGTATGCTTATACAATTGCTAATTTTGAAATCGCTCAACGAGGTACTGAAGGTACTCGAGCAAGGGATCTTATGGTTGAGCATACTGGTACATTTATTGATGATGTTTCGAATACATCACAGATGCTTCTCAAGATCCTCGGCATGACAAACACTCTTATTCGAGAATTGATGAATACGCCCTGGCAAGCAGAGGATCGATTTACAAGAGAAAGATTAGCTTTACAAGCAATCAATCAATTCATGCCAAAGACAATAACATATCTTGTTGAGGATATGATTGAAGCAGATAGTCTAAAACCACTCTTGGCAGATGATTCATTTAGAGCTTTAGTGCGCATGAGTTTTGTTATCCATGACGTACCATCCGTTGAAATTCATCATTTACTGCGAACTATGTATATTGCAGAATTAACCAAGACTATTGTTGCCATTGTTCAAAGTGTTTTAGATGATAAACGATTATTAAAGGATACAAAGATTACTCAGCTTCTACAAACACTCAATCAACAACAGACAACAACAACAGCAACTACTACAGATGTAAAGCAATTTGTAACTTACATTCTTGAATCCTTTCAAATTCCTCAAGCATCCATTGAGAAGTTCTTTGATATCATACAACCTAGTGCCCTCTTATCACTCATCCGTACCTTCCTCCTTCCCTTTTTACGTAAATCCTTATTATTTATGGTTGTCTGTCATGGGTTTATTCCACAAAATCCTCCAGAGAATATGGATGAAGGGAAACAAGAATTTGAAAATCTGTTAGATATTTTGAGGTTACCAGGATTGAATACCGTTTTTGATTTGCAACCATTTGAACAAGATCTAATTAAAGGATGGTGTGATGATTATTTGAATCATTCAGCACAACAACGACAACTTCAAAAGCCGATATTATCTATCTCACTTAACTTGCCTACTCAGTATAAAATGACGACATTACCTTATCGCTTAGATGAGTTACTAGACGAGAGTTCAAAACGAGTATGTAGGAAATGCAAGACGGTACCTGAACATTCTGCTATCTGCTTAATTTGTGGAACATTTGTCTGTGCTCGTAGATTTTGTTGCACTGAAGGTAGTAAAGGAGAATGTAACACACATATGAAAAGGTAAGAAAGAAAGAGAAAGGAATGTGTATAGTTAATTAAAACAAACATCTGTAGTTGTGGAGGTGAAATTGGTATTTATTTGATGATTAAGGATTGCTTCCTTTTGTTATTGCATGATAATGGAGGAAGTATTATGAATGCACCTTATCTTGATAGTCATGGTGAAGCAGATATTTTCTTTAAACGAGGAGCTCCACAATATCTCAATATGAAACGATATGAACAAATTAGACAAATGTGGTTAACTCATTCCATACCATCATTTGTAAGAAGAAGGATGGAAGTGGCTTATAGTGCGACTATTTGGGAAGCATTTTAAAATTATATAAATATTTATGTATATCTTGTGCACTTTATTAAAAAAGAAAAAAAAAAAGAAAAAAGAAAGAAAAAAGAAAGAAAGAAAAAGAAAGGAATTTACTTTAAAAGCCTAATATTATCCAGTTAATAAATCTGTATATACATTGAATAAATAATACTTACAACATTGGCAATCAAATGGACAATCAGGCGTATCTAAACCATTACCAATATTTAAATCTTTAACATCATAAATAGGGTATCCATCATCAGTAAAACGATCTAATAAAAAGAAAAGAAAAGAATTAAAAAGAAAGGAAAAAGAAAAAAGAAAAAAACAATAAACTTACTGGACTTTTTGAGCCCTCGAGAGTCACCAAAATCTTCATCAGCATCAGGTGCAGGACGCTTTTTGGGGTTCTTGTTAGTTTTAGCAGCAGCTAATTCAGCAAATACAACTTCTTCTACTTTCTTTACATCTTTTTCATTTAATTCTTCTTCTTCTTCTTCTTCTTTTTGATTGTCATCATCTGACTCTTCTTTCACCTTTTCTTCTTTAGCCTGTTTTGCCTTTTTAGCAGCTTTTCTCTTTGCATTTTTGGATAAAGGAGTAGGGGTTTTTTCTACAGTATCCTTTGTATTCTTTGCGTCCTTGATGGATTTTGTGTTGAAAATGTCATCGATTTCAGAAGTGTCCATCTTTTTCTTTTTATTAAAAATCTCATCGATCTCATCTAATTGAGCCTTTTTTTCTTTCTTGGTTTCCTTTTTCATTGAAGAATTCTTATTATCTTGTAAATAGTCTTGTTAATACTAGAACTTGATCTATTTTTGTCTTGTGAATTACCTTTAGTTTGTTTAGACATTTAAAAAAAAAAAAAAAAAAAAAAAAAAAAAAAAAAAAAAAAAAATTATGCAATAAAGAACAAAAAAAAAAATTTTTTTTCCTTTGATAAAGAACTAATTAAAACTCAAATAAACGTTTATTTTATTTCACTTTTTTTTTTTTTGTTTTATTTCGAGATTTCGACATGGAAACCAAAGAGGCCTTCGAGTATTTTTATTTATTAGAAAAAGAGTTTTGGAAGGATTTAGAAAAAGATAAAGATAGAATTGAATACATTACTTATGGAGGAGAATTAAGACCAGAAGATATGCTTTTATATGGAGAATTTGGATTTGTACTATTAGGGCTCAAGCCAGCTCTATTAATAGAGTTTCGTGATTTAAAAGTAAATCGTCTTTATCTTGAAAGGGTGGTTCAACCTGTACTTTCTTCATTAAAAAGACTCAAGTACCATATTATTCAGCATGTTGAAACACCAGAAACCAATCTTCATGGTTGCATATTTATCTATAACGACAGAAACGAAGAAGAAAAAGTACTACTACTACTACAATCTATCCTAAATAATAAGATAAGTCCATTAAAGATAACAGAAGAAACGATGGCGACTATATTAGATTATCCTGGGCATCTACCTAGATCAGAAAAGGAATTATCTACGATGAAAACCGTTATTTATTTTCATGATACACCTAATCATGGTTTAATTGCTTTAACTTCATTTGCTATGCAAGCATCTGAACAAGAAAACGTTTTAACTCATTTTAAACATTATCAGGAAATATGTAAAAACCGACTAGGCATTCACATGAAGTTATTTCTACAGTAATAAAGGAGAGGTCTAATCTTATTTTTATTTATTTTTTTTTAACTATTAACACTGTGATGTGTGTATATATGTACGTATGTGGAGGTTATTATTAATAAAAACAGTTCCCCCTTATTTTTAAGGATTTGTTCCAATTTTCATACTATGTAATGATGTTTGAACCAATGAAAATGTTTGCTACTAAATATATTTGCCTATATATTTTTTCCAGGAATTTTATCTATCTATACTGTATTGATTTTGTTGATAATAGTCCTTTATAATTGGAGTCATTTCAAGTACGACAAACATATTCATTGTCACGACTGATGATGGTGACAACAACGACGACTGCTACTGCTGCTGCTGCTGCTGCTTAATATTCATGTATATAATAGACTATTATTATGCAATGCTTTTTTTTTTTTTTTAGAGAACAATCAAAGTTTAGATATTAATCTCGAGTCTTTGTTTGGCTTAGCATTAAAGGGAATAAATAACAATGATAGATTAAGTGAATACTGCATGTAACAGGAGTATGGTGCTAGTGTCTGTCCATTATTGATACATCTTTGGCTTATCAAGTTTGTGAAACATGAATTAAATAATAGAAGATTAAATTCGGATCAAGATTATTAATTTAAATTACATTATATTAAACAAGTAAAAAGGGTAAGCTCTATTAATAATAATTTCTTCTTGTCCATTATAGATAGTATCCATGGTGATATTTATTATTATACGCAAGCTGTTGTCCCACTATTACTTATTTAAAGTTTATTATTCTCCAAATTAATTGGTTAGTATTGATTAATTAGAATATTCTAACAAACGCTCGTTATTAAGAAGGATGTAGTGATGATCAGAGAATTACAATATGAAATAGTGGTAAATGTAGACAAGTCAAAAGAAGTAAGTTATTATTAATAGAAGAAGGAACTGGTCCGTTTCCTATAATTAACTATATATAAATGCTTATTATTAAACACAGCATCCATATGCAGTAGTAGTACTTGATGATACAGCATTATGATATTATCATGTCCGTGTATAAAACTGCTTATAATCATGTTCCTTAAAAGAAGATATCAGTACCAATCCTTTGTGAATATTGTATTATTTGACATGTTTTATCTTGTATTTAATATGATAGATTTTTTTTTTGATTCAGTGTATAGTTGCTGCCAAATAATATAGCATTATTTTTTTTTTTCCTTTCTTTTCTTTTGATTACCAATATAATCTGAAACAGAATGGTCGAATAAATTTGTCAAATTTTACTACTTTTAATTACATGCACTGTAATCATATTATGCAGCATAGTGTAATAAAATATCTTTCGCTTAAGAGGAAATTTTCGATAGTTTTCGTTATTATTATTTTCTTTTTTCTGTTTATAATAAATGGCTTATTATTTGTTCTTTTATCATATTTGATACAAAGACGACGACGACGACGATGACTACTTTGCTTTTTTGATCTTTTATTCGTTAATAAAGTAAACACAAAAAAGGGAAAAAGTACTTTGCCAAATATGTTAAGGCATTGGATTATTATATAGGATTAATTTTTTTTTTTTTTTTTTTTTTTTTTTGAACTCATATTTTCTTCTGGTGTATTCCAGTGAATTCTATATTTGGAAATGTTTCAAAGTTCGAATAATTTGATTGGTTTTTGCATAATGATGAATAACATCATTTATTTTTTATTTTCTTTAAATGTATAAATAGGGCCAACTGTTTGCAGAATAATTTTCTTTTGATTTTTTATTTTATTTTATTTTTATTTTTTGTTATTTTCTTTTCTTTTCTTTCGTTATTTATACTTTATATAATATGCAAATCTTTGTCAAGACACTTACTGGTAAAACCATCACTCTCGAAGTAGAGTCCTCTGACTCTATTGAAAATGTAAAACAAAAGATTCAAGACAAGGAAGGTATTCCACCAGATCAACAACGTTTAATCTTTGCCGGCAAACAATTAGAGGATGGTCGTTCACTAAGTGACTATAATATACAAAAGGAATCAACACTTCATTTGGTATTACGTCTTCGTGGTGGTATGCAGATTTTTGTAAAAACATTAACTGGGAAAACAATTACACTCGAAGTGGAGTCCTCTGATTCTATTGAAAATGTAAAACAAAAGATTCAAGACAAGGAAGGTATTCCACCAGATCAACAACGTCTAATTTTTGCCGGTAAACAATTAGAGGATGGCCGTTCACTAAGTGACTATAATATACAAAAGGAATCTACTTTACATTTAGTATTACGTCTTCGTGGTGGTATGTCAGCTGATGAGTCATCCAATAGTCAAAGTTCTACTGCACAAAAGAAGAAGAATAGATGCGCATACCAAAGTTGTTCTGATAAAATTGTAAAAATTATTGGTGATTGTAGATATTGTCAACATAAATTCTGTGCTCGTCATCGTTTACCAGAAGCACATTCTTGTGAAAACTTGACAAGTTGTAAGCAAGCTGCTCATGAAAGAAATAGTATAAAGTTATTAAGTGAACGTTGTGTTGCAAGCAAAGTATAAATAATAGATAGACTATATTTTTATATAAAATAAAAAATAATAATAATTGTAATAATAATGTAAATTTAATTATTGAATTTGCTGCGTTTTTTTTTTTCTTTTTTTTTCTTATTGGTTTAAAATTCATGCAAGTTCGTTTACTTAGGGTACTATTTATTTTGTGCCATTGTTTATTATAATGACAATACAACTTATAGCGGAATAAAAATGTAACTATTTTTTTTTAATATAATGATACTACATAGAGTTAGAGTATATTGTTATTGTTATTAAAAAAAAAAGTGGTACATCATTACTAGCTGTTATCTGAATGTTATACATCACATAATTTATTTCTTCTTTATTATCAATATTAAAAAAGACGTATTTTTTTTTCTTATGTTTATTAACTAACTATACACAACATCATATACGTCACAGTGAATAACATCAATTTATTACAAATGTAAGAACAAATCATTGCAATTTATAGCTGTATATTACTCATAATAGCAGTTATTCTAAATATATGCGCTCATCTGCATACAATAAAAAAAAAAAAAAAAAAAAAAAAAAAAACATTATAATAACAACTCAATCTTGAACAATATGTTATTGTGTACACTTTTTTTTTTTTTTAATTTCCTCCTTTCTTCTATAATATATTCTGTAGAACATTTATCCGTCTTTGTAGTATATAATAAATATTCTTTTAACTTTTTTTCTCTGATTGTATATCTAATTGCTTTTCTTTAAATAATTTATTACCATCTGGAGATGAAGCTTCAATATTATAATTTAAATAAACTTTAAATTGTATAAAAAAAACAAAATAAATAAATATTTACCTTTACTCCTTACAATTGAAAACATCACAAGCTACAAACACTATATTTATAGTAAAAAAATATAAAAAAATATTCCCCATCGGGGAGTCGAACCCCGGCCGTGTCGGTGAAAGCGACAAATCCTAGCCGTTGGACCAATGAGGACTTTCTTATTTAGGAAATTTTAATAAAAGTTATGTAAAAGTAAAAAGTAGGAGTTTGAAAATTTTAACCAATCAAAAGTGTTGAAGTGTTGACGTCATTGCACTTATTTATGCATTTTATCTTTGTTATCATTATTTCTTTGCTGTCAATTTATATTTTATTTCTTGTTTCGTACTTGCGCTGAAATTATGCTTTTACCTTTATATAAAAAAAATATTATTATAATTATTACTGAATTAGCATTCAATTTATGAGTCATTTTTATATGTAAAAAAAAAAAAAAAACTACATTTACAAATTTACATTATAATTATTACAATGTGCAACGGCTTTTTTTTTTTCAAAACATCATTTATTTAATATAAAATAATCTAATAGTGAGAAAAGTTTATATGCAGTGTACTGTTCAACAATTTAATGAAACACTTTATATACAGAAAAATATTTATTATAAAAAATGGACATTATATAACATTGACGACATGCATTGCAATACAAATACAAATATATTTTTTTATATAGATATATACATTCATAAAATAGAAATTACAGCATAAATAAAGAACATTCGGACATAATTTTCATACTTTCAATCATATCTTGAACGGTCGGTAAATGCCAAAGAGCTTCTGTCTTTTTATCTTCAGCACTTATTAATACTGAAAACTTTTGTAAACAATCTGGTAATTCAGCTTTTTTAAGCACTTTAAACATATCCTCATCTGTCCGATCATCACCACAACACATAACAAAATCATATGAATTCATAGTTGAAGCAAGTAAGCGTTTTAGGATTTCACCTTTATTGACTATCTTGGGTCGTACTTCCAAGTTTTTCTTACCAACTAGAATATCTATAGGCAATTTGCTCAAAATGGCTTGTTCAAGATGGTTTTGGCATTCTTTTGCCTGAAATGCTCCATATACAGGGTCAGCAAGACGATAATGCCATGTGATCGCACATCGTTTGTGTTCTATAAAACTACCCATCGTTCTTTCTGTGTAATAAGTGAATATCTCCAATACATCATTTTTCCAATTCATATCCAAATGCTCAATTAAGTTTATCCATCTTTTACTACCAGGGAATCGCATGAACGAGCCATGTTCAGCACTCAAACCTAACTCATCAATGTCACCTAACCAATTGCTTAAGGTACCTTCATCTCTACCAGAAATGATCCACACCTCATTTTTTGGGTCTTTACATAACTGTTTTAAATAAGTTAGCATCGTTTTAGATGGTACTGCAGCCATAGGTGTATTTTTAATTTCTGTCAATGTTCCCTAAGCGCAAAAAAAAAAAAAAAAGTAAATACATGTATATATGCATATATATACAGTAATAGTCATCTTACATCATAGTCAAAACATAATAATCTCTTTTTTGCACCAAGATAATGTTCTTGAAGTTGTTCTAATTTTAATTTTGGGGTATATTTGTTTTGCTCTGATAACTGATAAGTATGTAATAACATTTTGATAAATGAATGAGCCCAGAAGGAGGTTGTATTTGATTTAACATGTTGCAATAGTTGTTTATGCCTTGTTAATTTTTCATCATCAGACATCGTCAAGGCATCATGGATTGCCCTTGCCACACTTGTATGATCCCAAGGATTGACCAAGAGAGCAGAGCTCATAGAGCCAGCTGTACCAGTCAATTCTGACACGATAAGGGGACCATGTTTCTTTTGTTGACACATGATATAGTCTAAACTTGTTGTGTTCATACCATCTCTGACAGCGGTAATAAGAGCAAGATCGGCTGTAGATAGTAGAGCGTAATATTCGTCTGTATGAATAGGATGATGATAATGATAGATTGGAAGATGTTCTAAGGAACCATATGCTCCATTAATATGATCCACTCTTTCTGCCACCTTATCCATATCACTCACTGAAGTAGTTGTCATCATATCCGTTGTCTGAATCAAGACCACTTTATTTCGCCAATCTGGATAATTGATCAAAAACTTTTCAAATGCAGCCAATTTCTGCAATATGCCCTGAACGAGATCCATTTTATCTCTACTGACAATTATTTTTTTATCAGGGTACATGTCTGCGATTGCCTTTATCTTGGGTAATACATCAGGACTATTCCGTATTCTATCGACAGCGTCCACGTCAATACCGATAGGGAATGTACCTACATAACAGAAATGGCCTTCATACTCTACACCCTCGGGGGAACTCTCATAACCCAAAATACGAGTGCAAGTTGAAATAAAATGCCTAGCATGTGCATACGTCTGAAAGCCAACCAAGTTTGCACCTAACATACCCTTTAAGATCTCTTGTCTCTTTGGTAAACATCGAAATATTTCAGAACTAGGGAAAGAAGAATGAACAAACAAGCCAATACGAGCCCTTGGTAAGCTTGCACGGATCATGGATGGGACTAGTAATAGATGATAGTCATGAACCCAAATGGTATCTGTAGGTTGATATTCAGCAATAACCAAGTCTGCGTATCTTTGATTTACTTTCTTATAAAAATTCCATTGTGATTTTTCAATACGACCATCTGTAGCATCATTCCAGATGATATAATTAAATAGAGGCCACAGTAATTTCTTACAATAACCATAGTAATGTCCAGCACTACTTTCGTTATTCAAAAATAAAGGTATACATCTCCCCCTTTCTAATGATCGTCTTTTAATCGTTTCTTTATCCGCTTTAGAAACAGAAGAAGGATCCACCTCAGACGTATTCACACTTTCCATTTCTGTATCCATTCTCTTTTCAACTATTTTTCCAGTCCAACCGATGCAGATTGTTTCCCATTTGTCATCAAGTGACTTTATACCTCCATACATGGCGGAATGACCTTGACGATTCGTCAACTTCCAATGACCAAACTCTCGGCTTATTTCAAATGGAATTTGGTGAGTGACATGAATAATACGGGTTTTAATTTTCAGATCATTCTTGATCATTATTATGCATGTGTATATATATGTAAAAAAAAAAAAAAAAGGGGTAATAATAGAACCAGGGCTAACTATCCACTACTGACCTTTAAAAAAAAATACATGCATATTGCAGCATTCCAACAACTGAGATCAAACCATCATTTCCTATAATAGGTTATATTGAAATACTATAAAAAATATATATATAAATATAAATATTTATATGCAATAACGGAATATTAACAGTTACAAGATACGATTATGTTTCAAATAAATATTTAATATATAAAGAGTTTGAATGGTCTAAAACAAGATAATTTTATAGCAAAAAAAAAAAAAAAAAAAAAAAAAAAGGAAAAGAAAAAAAATTAAAGGGAATTTATTAAATAGTTTTCTGCCTATATTCTATTCGATAAAGGATCTGCAGTGCGTTGTTATTATCGCTATTGAAAATAGCGTTCTAGCACGTCTCTCTATTTTTTTTTTTTTTGTTGTTGAAATAATTACATCTTTAGTAAAAAAAAAAAAAAAAAAAAAAAGAAAATTTGACAACAAATTCTTCAATTCGATAGTAATAATAATTAAAATTAAATTTTTAATTATTTGTTTACTCCAACAATTATATTTTTTCGGATGTTTCAAAAAAAAATAATTGCATAGAAGAAGAAGAAGAAAAAAGACTTTATTATTAAAAGACAGTAATAACATTAAAGTAAGTCATTATATTCAATTAACACTAATAATTCCTGTTTCTAGTCTTCTTTCTTCATTATTAATAATGAGAATAGTAATGAATAAGAAAAAGAAGAAGAAGAAGAAGAGATAAAAAAAAAAAAAGCTCTCTTTATACGCAAAAAAAAATAAAAATAAAAATAAAAAGAGAGACGTTTTAAATCAATTAAAATATTATTAAACAACATCAACTCCGCCAAATAATAATAATTATACGGTAGATTATTATTGCTGTTGCTGCTGCTGCTGCTGCTGCTGCTGCTGCTGCTATTATTATGGATTGCCCTTTTTATTTTATTTTATTTTATTTCATTTATTTTATTTTCTCCTTAGCCTTTTTTTTTCTTCTTCTTTTCTTTTGTTCTGAAAGAACTTAGATGACAATATTTTCTAAATTTACAAAAAGTAATTCTAATGAAAAAAATATACATCCTTGGTCACAACGCAAATTGAATGGAAGTAATAATGCTTTGCCAAGAATTGGACATGGAGCAACAGCACTTGATAACAACCACTTTTTAGTTTATGGTGGAACTCACAAAGGAGGAAATATAAAGAAAAATTTATTTATTATAGATACAAGTATGTGGAAATAAGATGATTGTAATATGTATATGCTTACATGCTTTGGATAGATACTATGACAGCTAACTCTGTAACAACGATGGGTGACATACCTGCTGCAAGAAGTTTTGCTTCCATCATTTCAATAGGTTCATTTGTATTACGTAAGCATTGAAAAAGGAATACTATGTTGTTTTCTTTATTAATAATGATCTATATCTATAGTTTATGGAGGTCAACCAAATGTTCCAAATGATGTTTGGGATCCCTATTTTTATGTTTTACATACAAGTAAGTAGAATAAAGCAATATGCACATGTATCTATCTATTTATTTACTTACATCCATCATCTTAGATACTCGTCAGTGGTCAAGAGTGAGGACAAAAGGAAAGTTACCAAGTGAAAGAGCAGGCCATTCAACTTGTGTTTCTGAGGATGGTATTATGTATGTTTTTGGAGGTCATTTTCAAAGAAAGTATTTAAACGATTTATATGCGTTTAATGTAAAAGAATGTAAGTAATTCATTGATTGATATGAGTAGTCGATGACAAAGTATGTATGTATGTATTTATTCTTCTTTTCTATAGATCCTTCAAAGGCTGAATGGGATCTTATTATGTATAAAAATCAGGGACCTTCTCCAAGGTCTGGCCATATCTCTGTTATTTACGAAAAGAAACTATACGTGTAATATACATATATAAAAATATATATTTATATATACTCAAAGACTGTTTTTACATTGTCTATACTAATGCCATTTCTTCTCTAGTTTTGGTGGTATCAATGCAAATCATTTATATAATGATATATGGTCTTTTGATCTTATTACCTATACTTGGCAACAAATTCCCGCTGTAGGCTACATACCCGCACCAAGAGAAAGCTGTGCAGCTGCCTTAGTAGATGATACAATTTATATATTTGGAGGGAAAGGATCGAACGGAAATAGTCTTGGTGATTTATACGCATTTCGTATAAAAAGTAAATACAATTATATCCATATTTTCAATACATATTAACACTCCTTTTTCTTTTTAAAAGGCCAAAGGTGGTATATGTTTCAAGGTATGGGTTCACCTCCTTCTCCTCGATATGGGCTTTCATTAACGGTTATTCAAAATAAAATATATGTGTTTGGAGGTGATTCTATCAATGGGAAATCAGATGATAGTAATTATGTATATATTCTAGATTGCTGTAAAGTAAATAATATAATACACTTATTATCTTATATACTAAAAATATAAATATATATATATATATATATATATATTGTATAGCTAAAATAAAATACCCACTAGAGGAAGAAGTAGTTAATATTAAGATGAACTCCCCGGTAGAAGATACACCATTAAAACAACCAGTAAGTCTATACATATATACATTTATATATTATCTTACATATGCATAACTTCACTTTTTTCTTTTTCTTTACTTATAAAAAAAAAAAATAGAATTCAAGAATTGATTCCATATTGAGTCCTAAGCATCGAATATCTCCAGCTGATGAAAAATTAAACTCACCAACAACCGCATATTCAATAGAAAGCAACTCTAGTCATCCTAGTAAACAAAGTCATGAATCATCATTAGCTTCTTTGCCTTCTGTACCTCCTCGACCTTCTCGTGAGGGAGTCATGTTGGATAATGATGTACTTTGTCAGAAGAAACAGTTATTAAATGCAAATATGAAAAGAGAGTCATCCCTTTTACCTCCTTTACGTACAGGTTTACAAAAGCATCGACCTTTAACATCACCCATAAATAGACCCATGAGTGTGGATGAAAGAAAGACATTCATGAAAGAAATTGTTACACGAGATACAATTATTAACGAAATGAAGAAAAAGGAACAATGGTGGCGTACTGAAGTCTCAATTGCTAGACAGATGCGACAGCAACAACAACAACAACGAATGAATCATGATGAAGAGCCCTCACTCATACAGTTCCTTGATGAAAATAATCAATTGGACAGTGAAAAGCTCCTTTTATTTGAACAACTTGTCTCTGTTAAAACTGAATTAAAGAAAATCAAGACTCATCTTCATAAACAATCAGAACCGATGATGAAAAAGATAGAACAAGCAGAGAATGTGCGAACGGCTGCCTTGGAAGAAGCGGCCTATTACAAGGCAAAATACATGGCTCTTAAATCACATGATAAAGATGCATTTGATTTACTCGAGTTAGATCGAACTAGCGTATTAGAAAAGAGGTTAACAGAGGCCTATGAGGTAAAGGAAGACATGCAACGCGAATTACAAAAGATACGTTCGCAATCAGAGTATGATAAAGAGGCAAGAATGTTGGCAGAGGAAAGAGCGAAAGATGCTCAACAACAATCTGAAAAGGCGCAGGAAGCACATCAGAAAACGTTAGAGCAATTAACAGAACTTTACCAAAAAATGAATCAATTAGAGGCACAAAGTAGAGAGGATGCAGCCAAGATAGCTGACTTGTCAAATCAACTTGCAAATCAACTTGCTTTATCACCAAATGAAGATCAACGTATTAAAATAGCACGTTTAGAAGCTGAAAATATCAAGTCTAGAAATGAAATCGCTATGCTGTTAAAGAAACTAGAAGACTATAAAGATGAAGAAATGAATTTAAAAATGTTATTAAATGATAAGGACCAGGTTTATTCAGAGGCTATGCTTGAATATGAAAAGACCTGTATTGAATTAGAGTTACTAAGAAACTTATCTATTAAGCGTCATCATCAAAATAACTTGATGGATGTAACAACAGTTGTATAAAATATATATATACATATATATAAAAAAAAAAATCGTACACATTTATGCATATTATACATTTTCATTTTTACGTCATCATCATAAGTTAATAATACCTTTGTTTTTATATGAATATACATAAATATATAAAAAATATCTGCATGTATCAAAAACGCGTTTTTAGTTATATTAAAGACATTATCATTCTTTTTTCCTTTTTTTTTTCTTTTTCTTTCTCTTTTTTTTTTCTTTTTCTTTCTCTTTTTTTCTTTTTTTTTTCCTTTTGTTTCGTCCTTGTTTTATATTTAAACACTCGCTTATAACATACTTTATATACACTTATTCGATAATATATAAAAAGAAATGGATAATCATAATAATTCTAACATTCCAAATGATCTTTATTACCTTGGTAAGCTAAGGAAAAAAAAAAAACATTAGAGTTTATCAATTTTCCAACATGTTAATTCAACACGTAGATGAAAACTTTTCAATTAGGTCACTTAGAAAATATCAACTAAAGCAAATCCTAACCTCACACAATATTCCTTATCTTCAAAACATTACTAAATCAGATCTTGTCAACTTATTCAAGAAACACATCATATCTAGACGTGAAGAGATCTTGAAAGAATATAGATCAAAACAAGCAAATAAACAACCTGTTGAATATGGACTTGGACACCGAGTTTCCCATAAACCAACCAAGTTTTATAATGATGACTTTGTTGAATCTTCTACTATAAAACGTCGTCGCCAACAAAAGCCTAATCATGAAAAAGGAAAAACAACAAAGGCATCATCCCCTACCATAACAAAATATGAACTTCCTCTTATCAAGGTATGAAAGTTTTCTCTTTTCGTATCTCTTTCTTTCTTTTCTTTTCTTTTCTTTTTTTTTTTTTCCTCTGTTCAGTATATCTAAATTAGAATACATAGGATGAAGATGGGTTTGCTATACCTGCACCCCCTAAGCGATCATCAAACACTAAATTATCTTTTAACCCAGAAGATTCATTTGGTGAAGAAGATGAAAATACAAATGCAACAACTTTAACTCACTACAATAAAGTATATAAGAAATCAGCGAATGGTAATAAAGAGTCCGTCTATTCAATTAATAAAACTACTTCTATTGTTCCCGATAGTCTTTCATATGAAGATTCTGCTTTTTCAATTCCTGGCAGTAATGTTAATCATAATAACAACAAAACCGGCGGTCATTTTAATCCTGAAGACTCCTTTGCTTCCTCGGCTGATGAAGAAAGTCATGATTTGGCGAATCGTGTCCGTATTCAAAAGAAAACATCAAAGGATTTACCACGAAAAGTTTCATTTGCAGATGAAGTAGAAGTAGAGGAAAATGAAAGTGACGAAAATGAAGAAAAAGAAATAGATGAAGAAGAGGATGACGAAGATTACCATGCTGATGAAGATGATAGCGATGATGATGAAGAAGATTATATTGGAGAAATAGATGAAGATGAGCTTGTATCTCTTTATAAAGATCAGACTATTCCAGCAGATAAACTAGCCAAATCTACTGAATATCCAGTTGTGACCCGATCAAAGACATTATCTGCTGTTAAAAGAAAAGCAATGTTATGGAAAGCTCGATTAAAGAAAATAGGATATATCTTCTTTTCTACATTCTTATTCTTTATACTGATTGGGTATTTTATTACTGCCTATGCTCGTCAAAAGAATGGTTATTGTACAAGCTCCCCTACCCGTTTACCAAATAATACTAGTAAAATCATTTTTATGCATGTTATTATATCAATGTATTCATTTAGCCTTTTTTTTTCTGTATATAGCATCCCTCTTTTCTTTCTTACCCTCTCCTTGTATCCCCTGTCCTGACCATGGTGTTTGCATTGATGGAGAATTGACATGCGATGTTATGTATCAAAGAAAGACACCATTTTACAATATTGGGCATTTATTACCTATTGCAGATGATTGTCTTCATAACTCTGTTCTTGGAAGACACGTTGCAATAGTTGAACGCAAGATAAAGAATCTATTAGCTCTTCACCAAGGTGAAATGACATGCGATTATGCAGTCAATAATTTTACTGTGGATGATACAGAAACAATCATGGCTCGTATTCCAGTAAAGGATATTTTAACAAAAATAAAGGCAAAAATGGAACAAAAGATAAAATCGGATAAGTTTGAAGAAATCTTGGTACTTGCTCTTGCTGCTGCTTTAGAAGATCCAAAAATTCATTATTGGGAATCGTAAGTTATTCAAAGGCTAATGATCTTTTATTGGTACTTAAATATGTATATATATATATATTTTTATTACAGAAATAATGAAGCTTATCTTGGAACAGAATATACAAAATATACAACAGTATGTAAAATCAAAAGAATGTATAAAAAGATATCTTTCAAGACCAAGATGTATATTATTCGTAAGTTTATAATGGCGTAGTAAAAATTGTCACAAATTAACCTATAAAATATACATGTGTAGTTTTTATTTCAACCCTATCTGCCTTGGTTCATACTCTAAGTGAATATAGGAAGAATAAAGCTTATAAACATAAAATGAATGAACTTGTAAAAACTATCCTTGGTGAACTACAAAAGCAGGTAAATGAACGTTTTACTTTTTTTCAAAAAAAAAAAAAAAAAAAAATAAAAAAAATAAAAAAAATAAAAAAAATAAAGCTAATAATTTAATATAATACATTTATAGTATGAAAATTATCATCGTGACCCCGCAACCTATGATAATCCAGCACTTCCAGTTTCGCAGCTTCGTTCAAGTATTTTAGATGTGAATAAGCGTGAAACTATTAAAGACTGGCAATATGTAGAAGAACAATTCAAAACTCATCCTCATGTTCGTAGATCTTTTCATGAAATAAGAGGCGATCCTGTTGAATTTTGGGAATTTACAACATAATTTCTACTTTTTCTTTTCTTTTCCTTTTTTTTTTTGTACATAAATATGTATATAAATAATATAACTTGTGTTTAAATAATGATTTTTATTGAATTATAAGCATCTAATTGGATACAAGATGTTAATTATGTGAAAATTGGTCTAAAGCTTAAAACTAAAAAAGAGGGGCTCTGTTTAGCATTAAGGGTAAATAGAAATGTATTGAGGACACTATCAGTAAGGAGGAGAGAAATGATGTTTGTGTGTGCTGTAGCATTCATTATAAATGGAGGCTATACAGTAAGAAAAAAAAAAAACTTGTTTGGGCGAAAACTAGTATTAAACTTAATTCCTTTTATAACTACATTAGATCAGATGTAGGTTGTGCAGGCTTTGTTTAATCATGCGCTTCACACAACTTTTCAAGATAAATAAATAATAAAATAGATAACACTAATATACAAATTTAATAACAATAATAAGATATGATATCATGATAGAAAGAAAAGAAAAAGAAAAAAGGTAAAGTTTTATGATATAAGATTAAAGTCTTCTCCAACCATATCCACGAGGATGTCTCTCATTCCAGCCTCTATAAGAAGAACCATCACGTCTGATCATGCACCATTGAATAAGAGAGCCAACAATAGCAAGACCTAAACAACCACCAAGCATACCCCGAAGTGCACCTGTAGCATTCACTACAAGATCTAAATTCTTTGCATGTAAAAACTGGTCGATCAATTCCAAAAAGCCGGTCTTTGCATAAACATCAATACCACAGAAGATAGCAAAGGAACCAATAAAGGCAGTACCAATAATAAATACAGGACGTTCCAAGAATGCCATCAAGACAATACCAGCAATAACAAAACAAATGATTAAAATTGCACGTCCCCAATTAGTCTGAATTAATCCATTTGTATTCCATGATAATAACCAAAGAGCAGCCATATAGCCCAGTAATGCACCTAATAGATAGACTGCTAAAAAGAAGCAACAGCAAAGTAATCCACCTGCAATAACACCGACTACTATGCTAACAACGAGTAAAATCGTATCTGTATGACTTCCATAATCTGCTTTAGCATTTGTTAAGATGATATAAGCGATATTTGCACCACAATAAAATCCCACTATAAACATTGTAAAGTTTTGAAATACGCCTAAAAAAGAAAAGAAAGTTGTCAGTATATATTATAAAAATATCATATACATGTATACATATACACAAATATATACATATATATTTTTATATTTATTTATATATTACCTCCAAGGAAACATAAATAGCCACCAGTAACAAATAAAATAACACTAAATACAATACCGTGCACAGTAACAGTATGTCCAGCAACTAGATGATAAATTATTAGATTAGAAGAAGAAAAAAAAAAGTATAATGATAATGATAATAATAATAACAACTTACAAGTTATCGTGGCTGAATTGCTACCAATATCACCAATAGGTGCAGCAGTAACAAAGTCACCCATAAATGTTACTAATAGTGAAAGTAATGTATATAAAAATAAGGTCTTATTCTTTTTATTAAACATAATGATGTATATATTTATACAAAAAAAAATAAATAAATAAAATAAAATAAAATAAAATAAAAAAATAAATTTCATTTTATTTTATACTATATTTTTTTTTTTTTAATTACTAAAATAGGATTTGAACTATTTTTACTTTATTTTTCTTGGCGCGGTCCGAAAAAACTCTCCATTATCAGCCACATCATCATTATCACTATAGAAACAACCTATTTCAACAATCAAGTGGTGGCGTAGTTTGTGTAAAAAAATAAATAGATTTCATAATTAAACAAGAAAAAAAAGAAATAGTGATTTTTTTTATTCATAGAATAGTATGAACAAAAAAAAAAAAAAAGGAGAATATCTTATTGTTATATCAAACTTATTTATCATCAAGTTTGGAAATAGGGGAAAAAAAGAAAAAAAAAATTAATGCTAATAAAGTGGTAAACGGAGCTTGAATGTACTTTGTTTTTTTATTAACAAATGTTTCGGATTGACTTTTAACGCTCTGGATCAGCTAAACGATGAATTGTAACATAAGGCCCTGGAACCATATTACTTGCGTCTAAAATATAAATAAGTATTATTTTTTTTTCTCTCTAATTTTTTTTTACTTGATTTTACCTTGAGGTGTAATTAAAATATATTGTGAGGAATTATCACTTGCAGAATTCATAATCATATTCATTGTCTGTTTTCGATTTACTGCATCCATAAATACATCAAATTCATCAAGACTAAAACGAAAAAAAAAAGAAAAGTATTACTATTACTATTACTATTTTTTTTTTTTTTTTTTTTTTTTTTTTTTTTTTTTTTGCAAGTTTCAATTTACCAAATAATTGGTGAAGATATACTTTGCCATAAAGACAATAATAAACTGATTTGTGAAAATGATTTTTCACCACCAGATAATGATCTTGAATCTTTTTGACGTGAACCCTTTGCATATTGATCACCTGTAGATACTCGAATCTCAAGTTTTCTAGTTTCATGATTAAATCGAATAGTTCCTTCATCACCACGCATATGAAGAAAATATCTAAAATAATTCTTGGCTGAAATAGATATATGCTGCCTAAAGACATCCCATTTCTCTATACGTTTAGCTAACATCTTTCGTAGTGATCTATAGAGTTTCTCCATTCCTTCTACTGTTTCATTTGCATCACTCCATGCCTTAAGTGTATTATAGGTTTCCTGTGCTAATTCTTCTAAACTTCTTCCAATTTTGTCTTCCCATTCATCGGCTTTTGCTTGTAGACGTATAATATCTTTTTCAACTTCATGCGGTGTCCTTTCAGTAGATACACGATCAGGATATTCTTTTTGAGCTTCTTTTATCCATTGTTTTACAAGAGCAGCACTTTCTGTATATAGAGTGTATTTGGATTCACGTCTTTGATTAATCTGTGTTCTTTTGTATTTCAAACTCTGTAGTTCTTCACAAATCTTAGACTTCACACTTTCTAATTTTTCAATTCTAGCTTGAAGTTCACTGAAAATCGTTTCTCGTTCGTTTTCTTTATTTATAAATATTTTAAGCTCGTTATTTGTTTCTTTAATCTCACGAACATATTCATCGTGCTGTAGTTTAATATTTTGAAACTGTTGAGCATAAGCTTTGATTTCTTTTACATGTTCTTCAATAGCCTCATTATATGCTTGTAAATTGTTTGGGTTACTTTTCTGAAGATCCTCCTTTTTTTCATTAATCATACTATTCAAATTATTAATCTCATATTCAAGTGTATCAGCTGAACGTTTATAATGTCTTATTTGCTTTTCAAGGTTATTCATATTCGCCCTTATTTCTCTAGTCTCAACTTCTAATTCGTTGTATTTCTTTTTTAATTCCTCTTCAGTAGCGCGTTGTTTTCTGATTTGCTCATCAATATCTCTTTGGAAACGAGGTGGTCCACGATAAGTTTCGATAGATACAGTTTTCATACCAGACTTACCACCCACTCGATGGCCACTACTTGTAAAACATAAATCAATGTTGTGAGGTCTAGTTTTCATCAAATCATCTGCTTCCTGACGATCTTCCATTAACAATATCTTTTCAATCTTGTTTGCAATAATCATCTGTCGTTTAACCCACTCATCATTAAACTTAATCGCCCTAAGTACAGTGAGATGTCGAGAGTCTGGCTCACCAGAGGAGTAATCAAATAAATCATAGTTGGAAATTATAATTGGAACATTTTTCATATTATGTCTTGCAAGGATACTAAAAAGAAGATTCTTATCATGAAAGGATTCAACAACAAATGCATTCAGGTTTTTGTTAAGAACTGTTTCAAGAGTGTCCGCAAATTGCGGCTTAAGCAATTGAAGAGTAGCACCAAAGGGTCCTACAGGTCTTCTTTTTTCCCATCTCGTTTCATGTTTAATGGCTTCTAAAACTTCAGGCATACGAATACCATAGGCCTTCATACGATCTTCTCGTTGACTCTCTAATCGTTGAATAAAATTGATACATTCTTCCCCACGTCGTTTTATGTGGGACATTTCATGAATGATGTTTTCTCTTTTAGTTTTTTCCCTTTTGAATTCATCTTCAAGTTTCTTACTTTCAATAATAAGTCGGTCACGTTCAGTTGTCTTTTCTTCAATGTCCCTTTCATGCTTATTAATCTCATTTAATATTTTATCATGCTCAATCCTACTATTATTTTCAAGCTTTTGAGCCTCAACATCACGCATATTTTCAATTCTTTCTTTAGCTGCTTTTGTTCTTTTGGTTTCATTATTAATTGCCTGAAGATCAGCCTAAAAAAAAAAATAATAAGAATAAAATAAATAAAAATATTATCTACAAAACATTAGATGTACTATATATGTATATATATATATATTTCTTTACGTTAGTTTCTCTTATTTTTCTTTCTTGTTCAGCTCTTAATTGAATTAGCTCCTGCTTTCTTTGATCATCAGGGTTAGGTTTATTTATAATTTCTTGCCATTCTTCTTTCTTCTTTTCAATCTTTGCTTCAATGGTATGAAGTTTATCTTCTTGAGCATTATAAGCTTCGTCAATCTGTTTCAATTGTTCTTCAACAATTTCAAAGTCATTCTTATATTTTTCACATTCTTTCTCTTTTTGAATGATTTGAGACCAAACAAGTTCATTATTCAAAACATCAATCTTTTCATCAATCTGTTTAGCCTCTTGAATGTCTTCATATTCCTTTTGAGCTTCGTTGGCCTTAGCTTGGAGCGCAGGTAAACTCTGTTTCTTTCTATCTAGTGTTTCTCGAGCTGTTTCTAAACTCTCACGGACGGCTTCAAAATCACGTTGAAGTTGTGCTAGTTGAGTACCAAGCATAAAGAGCTTGTATTTATCTTCAGGTGTACTATCACTTAAAAACTTTCTTGCCATATCTTGAGTTAGCATCGTCAAAGGGTTATTAACCAATATATTCATATGATCTAAAATAGCAATTAAATCTTCCTTTTTAGTAGATATAATATGACCAGAGGCGTTTTTTAGCTTGTAGCCTGAAGGCCCTTCCTTGTTGATTCGACGTTCTACGACAATAATATTAGGGTATAATTCAGGTTTATAAGGGGTAGGACCACGATTCGTAAGATGAATTGTGATATTCGCAGCACTATATATACATGTATATAATTAACAAAAAAAAAAAAAAAACCGTTTATGTATTATAATTCAACTATTTTACTTTGCTCCTTCTCTAATGAAATCACCAAGGCTTTTACCACGATTAGTTGCACTCGCATTAGCACCGAGAGCAATAGTAATGGCAGTCAAAATGGCGCTTTTACCACTACCATTGTGTCCAATGACAAAATTGATTTTTGGACCAAAATCAATTTTCAAATATTTGTGACACATAAAATCAACAAGCTCTACTCTTGCAATCGTACCTGCTTCATTAACTTTCTATTATTTATAAATACAACGATCAGAGGAAAAAAAGGAAAAAAAAAATTATAGATATAGATCTTACTAAATTATTTAGATCGATGGTATTTAAATTACGTGAGCTCGAAGAAGAAAGTTGAGTAGTCTCTGTATCACTATTCTCATCTGAATTAGTTACAGAATTTTCGACTTCATCATCTATTTCATCATCTTGATCGTTACTTCTGTGTTTTTTTTGAATGTGACTCAACTATTGAAATAATTAATTGAATGCATTCATTTGTATAAAATATTTATTTAGTATGTTTGTTGAAAAAAAAAAAAAAAAAAAAGAGAAAGATACCTCAGATTCAGTACCATCTCGTTCGCTAAATGTTCTTTTTAGAGTTGATGGCATTATTTTATTTATACATAAAAAAAAAAAAAAATAGGAATGAGAACGAACGAGGCTAAAAAAAAAAAGAAAAGAAAAGAAGGCGGAGCTAAAAAGAAAAAAAAAAACTGTACCTGATTACGTTTAAAGTTGAAAGCCTATGAGCACACTGATAAACTACATGCCGAAATTGCCTAAAGAAGTTCTTTTTTTTTTTTTTTTTTTTTTTTTTTTTTTTTTTTTTAAAAAAAAGCCCCTTAAAGGACTCAAGTTAAAAAAGGGGAAGAAGATCTGGATAGCCGGGCAGGGTTTAATGAGGTGACTATCGGTTATCGAGTGCATACATTTATCTAATTGAGAAGCTGTTGATCCAAGATTGATGGTGATATTAACAACTCTTTTTCCCATGTTAAAGACAGTTCATTTCATATAAAAGAAGTTGGGCAATTGGCATTCGTATACTCCATTGACTGTAGCGATCACGATGTTTAGCGGAGGTGGGTGGGTGGGTTAGTAAAATATTTAATAAAAACGAAATAGGATCAGGTATGTTTGGTGACGACTGAAGGCTGCAGTGAATATTGAGATATTCAATAATGTAAGTTTTAGTGAAAATGTGGGAGCGGCATCAGACGTAAAAAAAAAAAAAGTAGTTATTAGGAAGTCATTCAAAACACCATCGGATACTACGATCATTTTTGACAAAAGACATAGATAGCAATAAAATAGGTTCAAGAGAAACAGGAGGACGACACTATAAATTCAACTTGGAATTCTGAGGGAAAGTCCGAAGATTGCTCATATTCTCTTGACGATATTCACGAATAGCTTTACTTGGGAGCTCATGGTCAACTAAAGTGAAATATCATTTACAAATTAGATTTGAGGATAATACAAACTAAAGGGACCGACTATTGAGTTGTAAGGAGATATGCTAAGAGACACCCGGTAGTTTATGCAATCGAAGCTATTCCTGACTACAGCGTTTTTGGATGGAGTTAAGACTAGTTGAAAAAAAGAAAAAGAAAAAATTAGATCAAATAATACAAATTTAAGAAGAAGCAATAATAGATTTAGATGTAATAAAACTAGCTTTTATACATGTTTATCTGTAAAAAAATCAAAATTTTCTGTGAAAAAAAAAAAAAAAAAAAACCCTCATACTCGAGACGCTTATATTACTGCTTCTGATGAGAGAATGGAAATGAACTAACTGAAGCCAGTTAATAACTCCTTGAAGAATTGATGATTACAATTTACGGCATTGCAACTACGTTACCACAGTATCCTATACCTTTGGTAAGATAAGAAGAGACTATAATAGCGCTATTATTATGGATGTAAAATTTCTTTCAAAGAATGATGAATAATAGATTTATTTAATGTAATAGCAAATATACTAAATTAGTGTTAATAAAGTAGCAATAATCAAGTATTTTAGAAAAGTCTATATTTATCTATAACAGCTACAATCAATTTACCTCGTTTTTTTTATTTATTCCATAATATGTTAGTGACTCCTATACGGATACCTTTAAACTTGACAATATCATTATTAAATATCCCATTCACAAAAGCTACAATTGGGCTTTTCATATTATCTTGACAATTTTCTTTTTTTTTAGGTGTCCAATACATACCCCTTTGTTTACTATACAATAAGTATATCATCATTTACAAGATACTTGTATTTATTTTACCTCTTTTATAACTTGGGAATTGTATTTTTTTATTCTTTTCCCTGTATTTACTAAAATATTTATTATTTCTTGCCTAGCACGTTGTATATGCCATAAACGGTCTTCAAATGTCATGTTTCTAATCAATTAAGCAAGCAGATCATAAAATCATTATTCAAGAAATTCTATCTAGATTCCCTTGAAATTCTCATGGGATACTCTATCAAATAATATCAAAACATCTAACACTTTATTGTCAATAACATGTTTTATTCGATCATTCACTAGCACTTCTCTGATTCATACTTTCCTATCCCAGACTTCGTTAGCGATTCTTATAAATATATAAATAAAACTATTTGACTTTAAAACTATTGTTCAGTTTTCTCCTCGACTTCTTTTATAATATTTTTTTTGTTGGGTATCTTATAATAAATAAACATCACAGTATACTTTGATAGCAGGAAAAAAAAAACCAGTTTTAGTTCATCTAAATCTATTTTCGCTTCTTATTAAATTTGTATTGTTTAATCTATTATTATTGTTCAACTAGTCTCAATTTCATCCAAAAATATTCTAATGTATTTATTTGGATAAAATTGTATTTTATGCAAATTGTTCCTATCCTTCATTTTTTATATCTAACATACATATCTTAGTTATAGGAAAAAAAAAGGAATTTAATTATATTATGAACTGTATTCTTATAAATATATTAAAAAAAGAAAAGAAAAATATGTAAAGAAAAAGAGAAAAAAAAAAAAAAAAGAAAAGGGAGAATACATAAAGTAAAAGGAAATAGTAATTATATATAAAATTATACTTTTTTTTTTCTTAGAAGAATTGAGAAGCAATAGCAGCAGTTACGCCAAAAGCAATCATAGCTGAACCAGCGTATTGCTTATTACCCGCTGAAGTATGAGAAGTATTAGGATTATTATTTGATGAAGTCTGACTAGTTGATCCACTAGTAGAAGATGGAGCAGCTGGAGTAGCGACAGCATTGTTATTTCCACTAGCAGGAGAGGAAGAAGATGAAGTAGAACCACTAGAAGGACTAGAATTAGATGAAGGAGAAGCACTACTTCCACCACTTTCAACTATAAAAGGCCCAGCAAAGGCAAGATCGGGTGAAGAGCCTAATTCAAATGCATCTAAAATGGATGTTCAATTAATACATTATCCTACCAATTATTTAAAAATAATAATAATAAAAACTTACATTCAGTGCCAATTTCAAGGTTATCAGGAATTTTCCAAACATATTTCATATCATTAGCATTTACATTAGTAGCAATTGTCATGATGGGTTGAAGAGCAGTAGAAGGACCCTTTGCTAAAACAATTTGAGGAATAGTTTGAACAGAAGGGTTAATCCAAGAAATGATAGCTTCTTGTCCAGCCTTATATTTAGTGTTAGCTAAAGGAGAAGTAATTGATACAATTGATTTCTGTGCAGCAACAATAGAAGCAAGATAAACAGCAGAAAAAAAAAGACTAGATCCAGTGAACTTCATGTTATGTTTGGTGTATATAATACAGAAAATATATTTTTCTTAAAAAAAAAGGGGAAAAAAAAAGGTAGAACAGGATTGCATTTATATATATGCTTTTTTTTTTTTTTTTTTTTTTTTTTTTTTTTTTTTTCCAAGGAGAACCTAAAGAAAAAAAGGAGAATGAGTCTAAATAAGACGAAAAAAAAAAATAAATACATAAATGAATTCTAGGGGTTGGAAAAGAATCGAAAGAACTTGAAGCCCATACATTTTTTTATCACAATTCTTTAACAAATGAAATTAGTCAGAAAAGGTTGGAAATCATCTAACCTTTCCTCTCCTTTTCCATCCATTTTTACGAAAGAATTAGTCTCCTATTGATTATTATTATTATTATTATTATTATTATTTTTGTCTCCTGATAAATTATACAAATTATGTTAGATATATTCTCTAATCTTCTCCTACTGATACTTATTATATTACTTTGATTTTTATTACTGCTCTCCCTCAATTGACATAACTACATTCTATTTCTCTTTTCCTCCTTTCTTATACTCCTACTGAAGGCTCCTTACGTATTATAATATCCTCATTCTTTTGCTATTCACACTAATTTGATTTAGAAAAAGATTAAATTTATCATTGTTATGATTAAGCATAATATTTTATCAGTTCTTTTGTTTCTATTCTGTTCTTTATCTAGTCTATCAAGAAGAATACACGACGCTTTGAACTTTATGCGTCAATTATAAACAAAGCTAGTTGATTTATATATGTATTTTTTCGAGAATGCTATCTAAGGGATTCTGAATGTATGTTTAATACTAAAGTTTACATAGATCAATGCAAGAAACAAAAGGAGAGAAAACAGCATTCTTTTTTGGTTTTGTTTTTTTTCAGCAATAATATTAATAAATTCTATCTTCTCAAGAAATATCATCTTTAATCATTCATTATGGTTGTATATTACGGCTTATACAAATGAAGAAAATGAAGAGCCCTTGGCCTTTCAAACTCAAACTAAAGGTCAACTTAAGGATTATTTGCCACACAAAGAACTATCTAATCTAAAGAATATTCAGAAACAAAGTAATATATCTTAATGATAGATTTTCTTTGCTCCTATATTAGTTAGTTATATGTAAATATATATATATAAATATATGTGTGTGTGTATATATATGCGTATATGTGTATATGTAAATGTATATATCTAGACAATAATATATTCTATAATTTAAGGGATCTATTAGATAAAGTATATTTATAAAAAATTAAAAAGTTATCTTATTATATTAAACAAACTCTGTTTATTCCCTTTTGCAATATAATCTCTTCTTAATAATGCATAACATATACAACAAGTCTCGTATAGTAATAGCTACCACTATTTTAACATAAAACATCTATAATTTTTGTAAACTTGAAACTAATAAAATAAACTTATAGTTTGATTTTTTTTTTATTGTAAACTAAATTAAGCGTCATTGACAATGAACATTTAATACAAACGTTAAAATGCGCATATATGCACATATGTCAAAAATTTCATACATGCATACAAATATATACAAATGTATTACATTATAATTTACAAGTAACATGTTATACGCATTTAAAGCCTCTTATATAATAGTGCCTTATAATGTACTTTGATAATTCATAAACCACTTGAAAAGAAATATTTCATGTAAATTATCCTATCCTTTTTTTTTTCTTTTTTGTAAGCCTCTTTTTGTTTTTGAGTTAATATACGTCATTCAAGGTAATTAACTGCATACATGAACTATTATTGATGAATCAAAGTAGTTAACTAAAGCTATAATTTAATTTAATAGCGTTAGAGAAAATAAAAAAAAAGATGGGAGGGATAAAGAAAGGGAAGAGAACAGTAAAGCTTAGGCGATAGATAATACCAAAAAGTGAATAGAATAAGAAATGCCCATTATGTTGTACACTTTTTTTTTCCTAAAGAGTCGAACAAAAAAAAAAAAAAAAAAAAAAAAAAAAAAAGGACATTTATATACATTTTACAACGTTACCAAAACTCTTTTTTTTTTTTTTTTTTTTTTTTTTTTTTTTTTTTTCCTTTTCCCTCTTTCCTCTTCCTTTTTTCTCATATAAAAAATGACTATCAACAAAATTCGTAGAAATTATCAACTACTTGGACTAGAAAATGATTTGAATTGCCCTTTAATTTGGCTTATTCATGGTGCAGGAGGTGATTTAAACCATTATAATTCAGTTGCTCAACTTTTAGTTAAAAATGGGTTTCGTATTCTATTAATGGATGTTCGATATCATGGTCTATCACAGCCTACTATTTGTGATGAAGAGGAGAAAAAGAGATGGTTTTCTTTTGATAATGTCATGGAGGACATGAATATCATATTAGAAGAAGTGAAAGAAAGGTATTATCCAGCAGATAACAAGCTTCATTTATTTCTCGGTGGATTATCGATGGGTGGCATGATTTCCTTGCTTTATGCAGCAAATTGGCAAAAGAAGAAGAAGTTTAACATTCAATTAGAAGGTTTAATTTTATTAGCATCAGGCATTCCTTATATGCAAATTCCACGTGTTGGATGGGATCTCTATGCTGAAAGGAAAGCTACTCTCGAAGACCTTCAGAGAACTAGAATTGCAATCACTTTATCCTCTCTTACTCAACAGGCAGAGGTTAAAAGAGCATTACAGTTAATCTCTGACGATGCTCTTTATGAGGTCATGGTCACTATTGCTACTTTACTTCCATCGTCTCCTCAAGAATTACCTTATACATTATTAACAAAGAAGCCTACACTTATCATTGTGCCAGATCAAGATCCTTATACACGCCCTGAACTGGAATTATTACACAAGATAAATTTAGAACAGGGTGTAGATAGTGAATTAGCTGTAGTAGAAAATTCTGGACACATGATCATATTAGATCAACCAAAGAAAGTTGCTGATACAATTCAGAAATTTTGTAACCGCATCCTGTTTTCGTAAAAAAATATTTATTTGCATGTGTACATCATTATTATTATACAATTTAACTATAATACATCAAATAAAGGAAAATTTGTGTTTTTTTTTCTTTTTTTGCTGTTATGAAAGTAAGTGTTTACTTTCTTGATTTAAAAAAAAAAAAATAATTATGTGTACGCCAGTTCTTTAGTTACTTTTTTCTTTTTGCTAATTTTGTCTAACTTGTCGCCAGTTATTATTTGGTTGACGTTGATTGTTATATGAGGGCCAGTTAGAAGCAGGACGATCCTTACCCCATGATAACTTGGCTTCACGGCCATTAATAATCATACCTTGTAAATGAACAATGGCATTAGCAGCATTTTGATGCGTGTCTAACCTATAATAATAGTCTGTCTTAGTATACATATACAAATATAAAATAAATACACAATAGATTACTTACTTGACAAAAGCAAATCCTTTGTCGGCTTGCAATTTAACTTCTTGAATAAAGCCAAATCTTTGAAAAGGTTGTACCAAATCATTATCTATATCCGCATACTGTATAAATATAAAATGCTTTCTTTTAATATAACAATCAACTTACCAGACACATTAGGAGGCAAATTACCAACATAGACACTAGTAACATAATTAGGGGTTTGCTGAACAACAGTTTCATAAGGAAGTTGTTGACCAGGACGGGGAGGAGGAGTATCACCCTTTTGAGTAGCCCAATTAACACGAATATTACGAGCACCCAATAATTCACCATTCATAGAAGCAATAGCTTGATTAGCTTCTGACTTTTCACGATAAGTAACAAATCCAAAACCACGAGAATTACCTGACATAGTATCTTTCATAACATGTGCGTTACTATAAAGTACAAAAAATAAAAATAAATTAATATACTTCTTATTTTGTCAAAAAAAAAAGTATGTTTACACTAAAGAGCCAAAAACACCAAAGGCTTGAGATAAAGCTTCATCATTAATTTCAGGTGAAAGATCACCAACAAAGATTTGGAATTGGCTAGGAGTTTCTTCTTTTTGATTTTGTTGAGCCCAGTTTACTTTAATTTCCTATTTTATTTATTTTATTTTATTTTTTTTTTAAAAAAAAAAATTATTATAAATGATGACAAAGTAAAATTAAAAACTTACATGATCCAAAATTTTATAACCATTTAATTCTTGAATAGCTTTGTCAGCAGACATAGCATCTACAAATTCAACAAAACCATAGTTTACAGGATTCTAAATTAATATACAGAAGAAAAAAAAATTAAGATGAATATATATTTTTTTTATTGGGATCATATAAACAAACAAAAGAATAAAAAAAAAACTTACAAAAGAGTTATTTCTATGCATCTAATATATACAAATGTATGTATAGCAATATCAATAAATTATCTTTATTTATGTTATACTAAAAAAAATAAAATAAAAAATAAAACTTACAGCCATAATCTTAATGCTTGCAACGGAACCCATTGGTGAAAAATATTCGAGTAACATGGAATCAGTTATTCTAGGGGATGATGTCAGTATTATTCCTCTTTTTAAAGCAAAGCTAATATTTATTTAATATTATTGTATAAAGTACCTTTGATCGAGATTACCAACATAAACTGTTGTAGAAGACATGGCTTGTTATCTATAATATAAAGAAAAAATAAAAAGAGAAAAGAAAAAAAGGAACAAAAAATATTTTTTTTTTTTCTTTCAATAACACTGCCTCGTCATCAAAAAAAAAAAAAGCGGAACACAAAAAAAAACACATATTTTCAGCAACAGTACGGTCTTTAAAGTTGCGGTCTTTAAAATGTAACCCTCTTCCTTTGCCTTTCAAGCTTAAGGTCATCAACAAATAAATCAACATGTTTAACAAACAGCGTGTATTCATTTCATAAAAAGACTGTACTAAGACGAAAAAAAAAAATTGATTCGAGTGAATAAATTAAGCATAAAGTAATTAAGTTGAGTAATAGAAGAAAAAGCACGTGTATATGAGAATACATAAAAAAAAAATCATGAAAATCCTTTATATTTTCAATGACTAGTCTTTACTCTTTCACCTAAAACAAAGAAATCGGCCTAAAATTGTTACTCTCTTTTTTTCTTTTTTTACGTGTCTGTCAAATTAATCATGAGAAATATAGTTACACGTTTGAACATGTTTTAATGGCTTTCTTCTTCCATAGTTCTTAAGTTTTTTTTTTTTTTTTTTTTTTTTTTTTTTTTTTTTTTTTTGCAATAAAACAAGCATATTCTTTACAAGAATATATATAAAATACATCAACAGCGTAAAACATACTGTGAATACGCTAATTTACTAAAGCTTGTGAATTGAGCTATCAGTATATACTAAATCTTTGTATCAGTTATTGGAGCAATGTCTGAATAGGGTATTACTAGCTTCATTTAAAAAACCATCACAGATCATTATTTAAGAAGGGGAAAAAGCTTGAATTTGATTAGTCTAAGGGTATTAAAGCGAACGATCATATGAACACCCACTATTTTCAACTTTTTTAAGTTTTAATGAATATCATTGATACAAGTGAAATATATATATATATATCTAGTTATATCTGCTGTAATTCTTCTTAAAAGTGCATGTGTGTATATCTTCCAATTGTAGGAATAAAGTTCGGTTTCAGTCAAAACAAAATAAATGATAAGGACACATTAATGTCTTAAATCAAGGTGACTGCTGTTATAGAAGTTAAAGGTACAAAATTGTAATAAAATAATCTCTTTTCCTTTCCTGATAGCTGCCTAAACAAGGGACATTGAAAACAGATGAAACAAGTTTATTTTATTTATAACTATCCTTCTCTTCTTTTATGTATTCGAGTCAATATTTTAGCTTCTTTAAATGGTTATAGCCACATTCTATTTTACCAATGACCGCAATCCTGAAAGTGATTCTATTTCAAAGGCCGAAATTTAATTGTAAAGATTTGGTTGTAAATCAATTTTTATAACCTTTTTTTTTTTCTCCACTATTATTTTTTCTTCATTTCAATTTAATTATTATTATTATTATTTTTGAACAAAATGTCTTTTTTATGCGGTAAAACTAATAATCAAAAGAATAAAATAATGAGTAAAAAGTTAGTTGTTTGTGGGGATGGCGCATGTGGGAAGACTTCATTATTAAATGTTTTTACAAGGGATTATTTTCCCGAGGTATATTATCCATACACTAACACAACAACATACATGCTTATAAATAAAGAAATAAATAAATAAACAAATAAGCAAACAAACAAACAAATAATTATATAATTATATCCTATGTTACCTTTTGATAGATTTACGAGCCAACTGTATTTGAAAATTATGTTCAAGAAATAACAGTAAATGATCAACAAAAAATTGAACTTTCATTATGGGATACAGCAGGACAAGAAGAATTTGACAGAATTCGACTTTTATCTTATGAAAATACGCATGTCTTTATGTTATGTTTCTCTGTAGAAAATAGAGACTCATTCCATAATATACCTGATAAATGGTTAGAAGAAGTAACTGAACACAGTCCTCATGCTAAACTTGTTTTAGTCGCTTTAAAATGTGATTTAAGACAAGAAAAACCAGATACTATTTTATATCAAGAGGTACTATTATTTATGTACCTAAAAAAAAAAGCAAAAAAAAAAGCAAAAAAAAAAGCCCTATTTAATAATAATTCATCGTCATCCTATTTAGGGGCTTGAAATGGCTAAATCAATCAATGCGATTCGATACCTAGAATGTTCAGCTAAACATAAACGTGGGGTAAAAGAATGTTTTCAAGAAACTGCAAAAGTAGCACTCTCAGGTAAAAATAATAACATCATCTATTTCTAACCATTTGAAATCTAATAATTTACAAATTTAGTTAAACTAAAATCATCACATGATTCTGGATCAAATTGTATTATACTTTAATTTTTTTTTCCCTGAATTATAATAAATTATTTAAATATATATATTAAGGCGATTTAGTATGATGGCTAGAAGTAGTAGTAACTGTATCTAATATGGCAGGCGCAGCCATTGCTTGAGGCGTATTTAAGAATGCAACAGAGGGATATGTATTACTTATCGATGGTTTTGGGGAATGGGTCATTCTATTTGATATATTCATAATGGAGGAAGATGTAGAGAAAGAAGGTGAAGGTGGTGGAGGTGGTGACTGATTTAACAATGGAGTAGGCTGTAAAGTTAAATGATTATGATCTCTTCGAACAATAGAATGTTCTTCATGGCTATTGCGTCCTCCTCCATTACAGTAGGAAGAAATAGATAATACAGATATTGATGTTGGACTAGATGTTACTGATGTAGTAAGAATAGCTTGGATAAAATAATGTATATTTGGTAATGTATGCCTTAAATCCATTACAATTAAACCATAAGCATTCATTAACTAATATATACATTATGTAAGTTAAATAGGATACAAAGAGAATTACTTACTTGCTCTATATTTTTATTTAATAAAAATACTCCAAACTCAAACCTATATCGATCTACTCCTCTTGAATACAACGGAAAACTTAAATAATACATGTAAGTCATCTTCTCTCTTTTCTTTTTTTTTATTAGACTTACTCTCTAGATCCATTAATTAGTGATACCATGTCTTTGATAGTTGATCTTGAACCCATTGGAATTGTAGGATATCTTAACGGAATTTCAAGGTAATAAGCCAACATAGAAACCAAATGTGCAGTAAATCCCAAAGCAGTAGCAATTAAGTCTTCATTTTGCCCGTCATAAACTGAATTAGGCAAATAAATACCTCGAATATAAAACTGTTGCAAATCATCATAGGACTTTTTTTTTTTATTTCATCAAAAAAAACAACAAAAAAAAAAAAAAAAACTTCACTAAACAAAAATACTTGCTTATTTTCTTACTTACTTGTTCTATGGGGTATATGGAAAATAAATCGGCAATCAACTCTTTCTTTCTTCTGTTTAACGTACGAAATATATTTTGCCTCATTTTAATATTCTTTTCTAATACAATTTCATTATCTTGTAAATCTTCTTTCCCAGAAATACATCGATTCAATGAACTTGTTATCTCCATCTTTCGTCTTTCTATTTCCCTTTTCGTTTGCTTTATTTTTTCTATTTTAGCCTTCAATTGTTTCTTTTTTTGAATAATTTCATATTCTCTTTCCATTAAATTTGCTTTATATTGATTTAATTCTCGTCTTAATCGAAACCCTTTATCCTCTTCTTCAAGTATCTCTTGTATATTTTGTCTGATCTCATTTACAGACGTTTTCGTATCAAATATGCAATCCATAAATGTATTCATTCTAATAAAAAAAAAAAGAAGGTTAAATTATGTATGACTTTTTATCTACTATAAATGGTACGTTACTTCATAATGTTATTATAGGTATATGATCGTTTATTCTAATAGTAACCAGAAAACAAGTCAGTCAGTCAGTCAGACAGATACTAACAAAATATAAACGCAAGTCTCATTTACCTTTTGTATCGAGTTAATTGTATCTATACTTGCATCATCCTTTTGTAACTGACTCAAATCAAATAAACTTGATCTTTTATTTTGATTCAGCATGCTGTTTTTTATCTCTGCTGAAGTATAAATTCCATCATCCATCTCGAATACCAAAGTGTTTTCAGGAAAGGAATAATTTAATTCTACATACTAATTCAATAACGGATAAGTAAGCAATAAGACAAGGAATGTTATATATATATATATAAAATACCGATTTGCTTATCCAAACTAATGCATTTAAATCTACTTGCCACTGAATTAACAATTGAAATTGCTCATCTTCTTTATCTTGATATCCTAGCACTGGCTCAGTATGTTGTCCTGCAGACTCAAATACAGCATGTCTTGCCCAAACTCGAATAACTAATAAACTTGATGCAGCATCATACCAATTCATCCAATCAAATGGAGTAGGTAAGGATCGAAAAGTTGGATTGACAGTATTGGGTATCATTTCACTTTTATAAAAGCTAGATGCTAAAAGCTCATTATGTAACGTAAAATAGGTGTCAACTAATCCTCCTGAACTATACACAATCGAGTCCTCAGTATTAGTTTGATAAGCTCGTTTTAAGACTGAAGAATCTTCTACAGTAGTTGCAACAGATGACGTGCTACCTGATCTCTTCAAATTATTTAAGGGTGGCCAAAGTACTTTGTTAGAACTGACTGCATCTGTTGATGGTGAATCGTTATTTTTAGTTTTCCATACAATGTTCCGACCTGCAATAGATTTTATATGTCGAATTCTTTTCTATATAAATGTCAATTTGATCTTATAAATAAAGTTAGATAGACTTACTTACCTGCCTTGATTCAAACAAAGCTTTATTTTCAACCATTTTTTGTGTGTATGTGTTTCTTTATTTAATTAATAGTAGAAGTAAATAATTATAAAATAATAATTTAATTATAAACACATGTACATTTATAATACAAGTAAAATAATAATAATAATAACAATAATAATAATAATAAAAGATGATTGATATGAACACGCGCCATTTTTTTTTTTTTTTTTATATTTGTGTATATATAGAAAAAAAAAAAAAAAAGGCATGAAAACGTCACAACTTTATTCTCTAATTAATGGTTGCTGCCATGCAGTATTACCTTGATTACTTTGACTCCATTCATTCCACTCGGTCCAGTCCATAGAAGTGGGTATACCGAAAAATGGATTATTTGGATTATTTTTAAAAAGTCCTTCATTATTAAGTAAAGAACTCATATTAGATCCTATATTAGTATTATTGTAGGGAGCTGACGTTAATGGCGGAGCTGAAGATGGTATACCCTGAGGTTCTTGTTGTTGTTGAATAGATAGATTTTGATAATTAGTGTTATATAATGTTGGCATAGGTGGTAGTATTTCCATTTTGGAAAATGGGGAACTATTATCTTGTGCAGTATAGTCTAATGGATTGGGCTCTCCAATCGTATTATTAAATCCAAATTGCTTTAGACTAAAAGCCTCCGACATGAACGTTGGGGATGGCGTTGAAGATTGTGATACTTTAATAAAACATATTAGTGAATTATACAATACCCAATTTTATTATATAGCTTACATAATCCATCCATATTTGGTGGAGCAATAGCTTCTGCAAGTGATTGCTTAAACTGTCGCATCAAGTAATGCTGTTCTTGAGGCGACTGCGATGAGATAGGCGCTGTCCTTCCTGGAGAAGGAGAGATAACCGTATGTTGCGGTGATATCTTTTGGGAAGGAGGACGCATATTATTTCGAATTGTATTACCTCTACCTACATCTGAAAGACGAGATGGAATGATTGTTGGACTAATATCGTTATTGCTGTTTTCAAATTCAGAAGAGGTAGTAGTTACATCAATTCCTTTATTGTTCATAATCGTCTTTAACAATCGATATAATCTTTGTGCTGTATTTGACATGGATCTAAGTTTATAAATCAAGGCAATTCCTTTTGATAAATCCGCTTTTGCAGATGTAGATATTCTTGTATCCGGATTCTTTGTATTATACATATGAATCAAGCAATATTGTAAAACAGGATATAAGCTGAAAGAATAAGGAAACATTAAAAAATCTCGAATTGTCATTTGTGATGCTATTCGTATTCCTCTTGTAGCTGCGCTTGTACTAATTTTAAAGGATGAATAAGATGGGTTTCCTTTTTTGCCTCCATTCCCTACTTGTTCAATAAATGGTCTATGCAATAAAATCAGCAAACTAAAATAACATAATAGAACAGAAGCTAATAATAAAAATAAGTTAAAAATTTTTTTTTGTTTTTCTTGCACCTATTATTTTATTACCAGTAACAGGAGCTAAATAGCCTTTGTTTTCATCAAAATCATCAAAATTTGCTTTTTGTAATGCTTCAGGGAAACCAAACCGCCATTCCGTTAATTCATGATCCAACTGAGTTACAATAGCGTCACTGCATTGTTCCAAACCCACTTTTTTAGCTTTAGGAGTATATAGACCCTGAAGAATTTTACCCAAGATCTCAGACAGTTTAACTAGCTCAATAAACAGTTGATATATGCCAACTTTTCCATCCAATTGTTCCCTATTTGTAGGATAAGACATGGCGGAAGGGAATCTAGGTGATAAAGTAGATCCTATGCTTGTTCCTGTTGAAGATTTATTAAATATAACTTCTTCCTCTTCTTCTTCTTCTTCTTCATCATCATCAGGCTCATCCAACACTTCTTTCCAAGTAGCATATGCATCGGGATATCCTACATCATTATCTTCATCTCGAATACTGATAGGTCTACCCAAAGAAGCTGAATGAAATCGGTCAGCTACATACAAAGACCACCAAATTCTTTTTCTTGTTTGCTTTTCGCTTTCTGGTATATCCCATTCCTCACAATCACGATTGAGACCTAATCCTTGAGCTAATCGAATAGCCAATCCACCCAATAACCAACATGCGGATGATTTTGAGTCTAAATTACTACTATGATTATGAATAAGAATAATAGCTTGTACCTTTGATATAGTAGGTGTTACAGCTGAAGTTGTGATAATTGTTTCTGCTTGTTCAAAAAATTGATCTGACCAGCCCAAGGGTATGTCCCAGAACGTATCAGGTGGAGGAGGGGTGGGCTTTGACTTTTTAATTAAAGCTTCACATTCTACAAATCTTGCTGCTGCACCAAACATAGCATTCAATAAGTCAGATGGTGGATATGTATCTGCTTGATCTCTATACTGTTTTAAAAAACTGGTTTTATTCACGACAGGTAAAACTGGATGAATATTTGCAAAATAGCTACAAAAAAAAATTAGTTTATGCAAGCTTATTTTAATACACGCCCACACACACACACACACACACATTTTTAATAAACGATCGCTTGTATGCCTATCTACACCAGTAACGGAATAAATCCAATTATGAATTGATTTAATATGAGGCAATAATTGTGACTGTGGTATATTTGTCTGCCCCTCCTCTTCTTCTTCATCTTTCAGATCCTCTACTAGTACAATTTGTTTACCAAATTTACGGATATGATGTCCTTTCCATTTTGTATTTTTATCATCTAAATGTATTTTATTTGAAAAGAATTGAAAACTTGATAAATCACCAAGATATTGCACTCTGTCTGATGAAGCGCCTTGAGGTCTTTTATTTCCATTTCCTAATAAATGGATTGAATTATTATTCTTTGATGGATTTAAAAAGTTTGTTATTGAAGGAGATGATGGAGTCGTATTTGAGCCCTGCTGCTGATTTTGTTGTTGTTGTTGTTGTTGTTGTTGTTGTTGTTTTTGTTGCAAGGCTTCTTCTATTCTTCTGATTCTTTTTTCTAAAGCATCAATGTAACTATATTATTTATAATAATATTAAATTAATTATGAATTGGACTAGTTAGCATATATAGTCATTTTACCCTTTTGGTGGTCCACGTTTCTTTGCCCTATATATAGATGTTAATCATTATATTAATAAAGTAAGATCACTTTACCCATCATTAAATTGGCAAGTGATTCCATATGACACACAGTTAGTACAGGCTTGACCAGGTGTAAAATGACATTTTACTTTTTTCCTTCTACAATAATCACTTGAGAGAGAGAGAGAGAAAAAGAACAAGTCAAAAAAAAAAAAATACATGTTGATCAGTTAATCTGATTTACCATGCACGAGTGATTCTATAACGTTTTCTTTCTGACATTGATTCATTTTCGGATACATTATCAGTAATCTTTATTTCGATCGCATTATTACTCATTATAACTTTTAATCGGCTGTAAAAATAAAAACAAAACAAAAAAATAACATTGTAGTATTTATTCAAGGCTAAATGTTATTGCCGAATTTCAGTGTGACAAATAGGAAAATAGAATGCGCTTTTTTTTTTTTTTTTTTTTTTTTAATTTTTTTTAATTGAACAGCAGGTGAAATCATTTTATAGTGATATATTATTTATTTATATACAAGAATAGTAATAATATAGTGTATGTGCATTTGTTTTTTTTTAGGGACATAATATTTATATAAATATGTATACAAATATATATACAATAGTTAAAATAATATAATAAGGGTCTATTGTTCTATCTTCAGTTCAATTTGTTGATGTTGATCTTCATCAAGTTCTTTTTGAAGTTCTAGGTTATGAAAGAAATTATCCAAAGTCTTTGATGGGTACATATTTAATTCAGTTTGTTCCAAATAAGATGAAAAATCGCCATTCAAGTAAATCTGGCTTAATTGGTATCTACCTGTCAATTCGTCCTTTGGAATCTCTCTGTCCGTTCGAGGCATAATACTGTAGATTTTCCCCTTTTTATAACTATCATGGAACTGAAATTTATATTTGCTTTTATCACATGTGTCTATTTTATTTATAAACTTTAAGCCGACCTCTTGAGCCTTTTGCATCATCCAGTTCAAGGTATGGCATGAAAGTATGTTGTTGTATCGACCATCGTCTTGTCCTCCTATATCGCCATGAACACCAGGAAACCAAATCTGTTCTAGCGTTTGCTGTTCAGTTGGGGAGAGCATGAGAGTTGGACTAAACCAAGCCCGCTGTTCATGGATAGACATAGCATGATATGCATGCTTTACAATAGGTGCTAAATTTATATCATGAAACCCATTTATACCATGAAATAAGCCGTAGACTATTTTTATAATAGTGGATATATAAATATATATGTATATAAATAAATGAATATGATTATCATTATCATTATTGTATATGTAATATACTTTACAAATTGGACCACCTAAATACCAAGGCATTTTAGGCATACCAAGAGCTCCAACAGTATCAAAGCATCCTAAGAAATGAATACTAGGTGTTCTACACCCATTTTCTTCACGAAAATGAGTAGAAATTATACTAGTAGGTAAACCCAATCCACGTCTATGTCGATAAATTCTATAAGCTCTTTTTGATTTTGATGTCTTTGTTGGAGGTAATAATCCTACATTATACATCATTCCTGCCAAACTTCTTACAGCATAGGCTAAATGTAAAAAGATGAGTTAATGCTATTCCTTTTCGCTATCTATCTATTTTTATAATGTACATACCTCCTCGACTAAAGCCTAATAGCCAAATCTCATCTCTTTCATCTCTATAGTTTCGACATATAAACTTGTACGCACTAATAATTTGTTTACTGATACCATATCCAAACATACCCCCTAATAGTGGGTGTTTGCCTGCTCCTAAACCAAGGTAATAATTTGTTGTATATTCCCAATCATTATTAGATCTATCGATATTCATATAAAACTTGTATACATTGGTTTTATCTGCATATATATATAAATAAGTAAAAGAGTTAAAATAGGATATATCAAAAGCAAATGTTTATTATTATATATTACCATGAGGTGTTTCCCAAGTGCCGTCTAGACATACAATGATTCGACGTGGTTTATATTCTGTGGGTAGATATTCAGTTGTAGTTGTAACTGTGTATTTTTTAAAGAACATTTTTTTTTCTATCTATTTATCTTTAAAGAAATTGAATAATGAAAGTATCTCTTTTGTTGATTACCTTTCTATACACTTATATTTATATATATATTTTGAAAAAAAAAAAAAAAAAAAAAGCTCATATTATATCATTATGGAAATGTATGAAGCTATATTGCATAGACTTATAAACTTACAACCACGAGTTTTTTTTTTTCCACTTTTCATTATGGACAGGTCATTGGTATTAAGAACAATAGGTGATTAAAATGACTCTATCTTTGAACATATAGAAATAATTGATTCTATGTATATACCATACTTACTATAGCAAACATTTAAACTTTAATTTGTTTATATAGTAAATAATGACTATGATGTGGAAGACATACTTACTTATTATCTTGTGATAGTGTCTATATCATGTGTATTGCATGCTATTCTATATCTTCTACAAAACATCATAAGAGTCACTGCGGCGGACAGATCATCCATTTTTTAATAAAAAAAGGGCGGGATTTTGATAATATGTTATAAGCATATTCTGGAGTCAAATGCTCAATTTGAAATGTACAAACGTTATAAGAGTACTTTGGATGATATCATTGTACTATTTCATAATCAAAATATTCTTACTTTGATGTAAGATAAACCCGGCTTGTCAATTTTTTTTTTCTTTTTATTAAATACACGTGCATTAAAAAAAGTTCAATGAGGTAACCAGAGCAAATTTTGGAGAAAATTTATTTTCTGTTTTCTTCTTTTTTTTTTTTTTTTTTTTTTTTTTTTTTTTTTTTTTTAGGGGGGATGGAGGTAATAGTGCCTTAATTTGGTATGAAGTATCTCAATTATTCTTTGAAGCAAGAATACATCATAAAATAAATCAACTTGCAAAAAAACCTTTTCCAAGTAGAATGATTAAACAATTCACTTGCTCTATCCATGTCTTTTTTTTTTTTTTTTTTCATTAACTCTTTTTATGAATTATTTTTAATATTTATTTCTTAACTGGCATCCTTTTTTTTTTCTATCAATATAAATAGGATATTGTAGTAAACGTTTATAACGTAATATATTGCTTCATTAGATAGGACGTAAATAAAGCAGTGTAATCCCGATGATTCTTTATGAAGATCACACCATCTTTTTTTTTTTTTTCTGTTCCTAGAATCAGATATGAAAAATAATATTTTTTCTTTTGGTCATTGTTATAAATAGTTAAGTTTGTATCCTTGGGATACTTTTAGACGGAATTTTTACCCAAATCCTGAATTATTCTAGACTTTTTTTAATTTGGGTAATATGACTTGTTCTAAATTCGAGATAATTACATAATATCATGATCTTTGATACAATTAAAATTAAATTTTAGTATAAAGTTATAGAAGCTGGTTTGCCCTAATTAGTTCAAGAAGAAAAAAAAAAGGCCTTTGTAGACAAAAAGATAAAAACAAAAGTTAGGAGTAGATACAGATATATGTAATCGGGATAAGAACATGTAAAAAAGATCAGAAATGATTTTATTGAGATGACCAAGAGAGGAGGAGAAGGAACAAAAGAGTGAGTCTGATAGTCCATTTCATGAAAGATGGAGCATATGGATGGCCAACGAATAAGGTAGCTACGCTCTTGGTTCGTCATTGGTAATTCGTCGTATAGGACCCAATTATCAAGGTGTCACGACAAGCTAAAAGATATTTAGAGTAATAATGATCTGACCATCTTTCAATTAACTTAACTTGAAGGAATAAAAGATCAAGTAGAGTGAAAGGAGCGTCTTTAGTGGGTGACTAGAGGAATACATCTTTTTTTATTTTCCCTAAAGAGGAATCTTGGACAAATGAAATTATCGTGAATTCATTTTTATTTTTATTTTTTTTCCCCTTCCTCCCTCTCCCCGGAGAATTGAAAGTACGGCAGCAACCTGGTGTAAGCAAAGTATCCTCTGAAAGGTATAGAGAGAGCCAAAGAGAGATTGAGCATGTAGTCTATTTATTTACAAGTTCATGCATATATGAAAGACACTTTAATGAGATATAGTATCGCTTTGACTAAAAAAAAAAGGGAGGGGTCGAATAGTCACCAAAATATGTGACAGATACATGTAGTTTGACAAATTTTTCGAATGACTTTATGGTTTCTGAATTGAAATGACTGGCTATTATTAAGCCGTATTCTAACTGTGGTAAGGCATAATTTATTAATATCGATGGTAGTCAATCTTACTCATAATGGGGAAAAAAAAAAAAGTTTGTTAACATTGCTTTTAAACTAAAGTGTTGGGGACCTAGGATGTACATTATTTCCAGAAAATAGTAGGAGACATTTTAAGAAATAAGTAACTTGAAACAAAGAATCGAACAATAACATTTATAAGTTTAATGAAGTGTATTTAATGCATAAGAGTTTGTATCAGATGCACGAAATAATTTGCACACATTTTCCTTTGGGTAAACTTTAGTGTCACAATTTGAAAAAGATACATCATTAAAAAGGAGAGAGTGCTTTATTGAGTTACAAGAGGTGGATTACTTCTTTCCCCCCCCCTTTGAAGCGGCCTATTGATTCAAAGTACTATAATTAACGAGTGTACCATTAAAACAGACACTAACATTATAATTTGATATCTTTTCTTTCCTAATCACATTCGATGTAAGTAATACTGCATATCTATTTTATTAGTTATTGTTTCTTGTACTAAAGAATTCGTTTTTTTTTTTTAATAGTTGTCTCCTGTCGAACCAATTTCGTCTCCTTTGTCTGCCCGTAATTAATATTAACCTTTGTCTTTTTATTAGGGCTCTTTTTTTTTTGATTTTTGTACGATTTTTTTTTTTTTTTTTTTTTTTTTTTTTTTTTTTTTTCAAAAAGTGTGTAATACGTAGTAGGTACAATTTATTATTGCAGCAACAGCAGCAACAGCTACTTTTTTTTTTTCTTTTTTTTTTTTTTAATCCTTTATTAGTTCAATTAATAATAACCAGATATACAATATTATATATTATATTACCCTTTTTCTTTTTCTTTTTCTCCTTTTAAATATACAACGTATATTTATGAATACTTTGGAAGCAAAAGTTGTAATATTAGGAAGTACAGGTTGGGATATATCATGTATTTACTATCATTATATATATACATATATGCAAATGTATATGTATATATTCTTGAAGGTACATTCTGCTATTTTTTTTTTTTTTTTGTTATCGTCTGTATTTATTTATCTAATATACACATCTATAGTCATTTATTGATTCATTTTATAGGTGTCGGTAAAACATCAGTAGCTCTTCGATTTGTAAAGAATGCGTTTTCATCAAATGGTACCTCAACTATTGGAGCATCTTTTATGACAAAGAAATTGTAAGATAAACACTAAAGCATTTCACTGTTTGTTAAATGTTATACGTAGAACTATAGATGATTGTAGCGTCAGATTACAAATTTGGGATACTGCAGGACAAGGTAGTAGGCTCCCATCTATGTTTTCTGTTATTGAATACATAACCTTCCATTTATAATTAGAACGTTTTAGAGCAATGGCGCCAATGTATTATCGAGGTGCATCTGCAGCTATTTTAGTATATGACATTACATCTGAAGAAAGCTTTACTGAATTAATATCTTGGATGGAAGGTGATACATTTCAAGAATGATTAAAATGCACATGTGTTACTTATAAATATAGTAATAGAACTGGAAAAAAATATGACAGATGATCTAGTTATTCATATTGTTGGTAATAAGACAGATCTAGAATCACAACGTAAAGTATCCTTTTCAAAGGTATCTAACTATTGTGATCAATCAACAAGATTTGTGAATGGTCTACATGAAGTATCTGCAAAGAATGGTTATGGTAATTAGTTCAATTGTTAAACATGCTAAAATTGATTTCTTTTTCTTTTTTTTTTTTCTAAAAAAAAAAAACAAAAAAAAACATATATACAAATATGTGTATACAAATACAAATATAAACATATATGTGTGTATGTATTTAAAGGGATCGATGATATATTTTATGAGATTACACAAACATTGGTGACAAAATTATATGGACAAGATTTGTATAAAACGATTACGTCTGACATTTATAATAGAGAAGAATATAATACTTCTGGAAAAGCTGGTTGTTGTTAATAACTTTTTATTATTTATTAAAATTTTAATAACCTTATTTGGGCATATAATTTTAAATATGAACGTTTTACTCAAGAGAATTAAGAAACACATTGAAAGAAAATGATAACTGTACAAAGCAAATAATGTTATTATGGAAATAATGGGCCCAGGTGGTAATATAATTTTGCTTTTTCTATGTTGTTTATAGTGTTCGTAAAGACTAAATATTATTAAATAATATCAAAGCTTTTTAATAACATGATGTTGATCTCAGTAAGGGATTCTGCAATTATATGTTTCAATCATTTTAGAGTTACAGGCTACAGTAAAGTATAATAATAATCATTATAAAAAAGAAAAGCAATGCAAACTTCATTCTGAGTTAGCTCTAAGGATTGTTCAATGGTGTCATATCCATTTATCTGTTTACATTCTATGAGCATTATCATTTGACATTCATATTCAACATGCAGTAAAAGTTTTAGATGATCCCGTTTTTATCTTAAAAAAAATAAATAAATAAATAAAATGAAATAAAAAAAAAATATTCAAATTGAAGAAACTAGCAGCTCTATGATGGCGATTGAATTCATTCCCGCCAATTAAGTGACGTTATATATTCGAAAAAAAAAAAGCCTTTTTTTTATTATTTATTTATTTATTTTTTTTTTTATATTCATATACACATCTTCTTTACCACGCGTTAAGTTAAAATGGCCAAGACAACTACACCAGAATTAAAAAAGTAATTAAAATTATACCAATTCTTCTCTCTCTTTTTTTTTTATTCTTCAAAAAAGAAAAAAAAAATAACATTGACTTTTTTTTTTTTTCTCTTTAGATACATGGATAAACGTCTTGCTCTTCAATTAAATGGAAATCGTAAAGTTACTGGTATTCTTCGTGGCTATGATCCTTTCATGAATATCGTTTTAGATGAAACTGTTGAAGAAATCAGTGCAAATGAAAAGCACAATATTGGCATGGTGGTAATATAAAACATTTTGCGATTTTTTTAATGAATGACTAGCAAACTATGTGTGTGTATGTGTACTGGTTTATTTATTTATTTTTTTTACATTAGGTCATTCGTGGCAACAGTATTTCTATCATGGAGGCTCTTGAGCGCATTTAAATGACTCTGTACAGTACACTCAATATTAAACAACATTATCAATTTGCTTTTATGATGGAGATTATTATATAATAAAAATAAGATTTATTAATGTGAAAAAAAAAATTATTTATCCTTTTTGGTTTCCTGATTTTTGTCTTCTACTTCTTCTTCACCGACTTGACCATATTCATTGGCACGACGATGATCTACCTTATAAACATGTCTTTGATAAAGATATACAAAGAAAACAACATCATCACGAAGACATGCTAGACGATGCAAAGTAGGCATCTTGATAACAAAGGCAAATAAATCATCTATTATAAAAAAAAAAAGATGTTAATTTTTTTTTCTCTAAATGAAGAGGGGTGGAATTTTTTTTTTTTTCTTACCGATGAATGTATTTAATGACTTGTACATTAAGGTCTTCCAAGGCATATGAGCAACCTATAATAAAAAAATAAAATAAAATAAGCGTCATCAACATTTTTTTTTCTTTTTTGTTATTGTTAAATAAACTTACGCTCTTGAGTCTATAATTAATGTATAATTGAGGCAGCATTGTAATGAAACCAAACATATACACAAACTCGACCAAAGTTTTGAGAACATATGAATACCAACTCTTATGCTCTTCATAATACAATGAATAGATAGCATAGCCTGCTAATAAAGGATAAGAGATCCACTTTAAATACTTGAAGGCAATAGCATCGTATTTAGCCGTTTCATCTTCTTCTTCCTTTTCTTTCGCATTTTGCTCTTGAAGTCCCAATTTGGGCAAAAGAGAACCAGGTGTCCATACTAATTCATATTTAAGTGCCTTAAAGACCTTCCAAATTTCTAAAAGGAGACCGAATCCTTGACTGATCAAGACCATCCAGGATGTCTCTTGATTATTATCCAACAAATAGAGGAAAATAACGATTTGAAAAAAGATATTGACGATCAAAGTGCGAACAGAGATGCCTGTACTGTTTTGCTTCTTTTTCCAAAAGGCGATATCATTCTTGAATGCCAACATTTCAAAGAGTGAATGCAATAAACTAACGACGATGGTTGTGCCCAATAGAACGGGATTGGTTTCCAAAAACATGCGTTTGACTTCATCAATATCACCAGCTGTCATACCACCTAAAGGACTGTTTGCCTGTTGCTTCATAGAATCATCCAAGGTAGCAAAGATATTAAATTTCCACAATGAAATAGGCTCAATACGAATCGTTAAAGGTAAGCTTGTGACTGATTCATTGACTGCAAACGCATTTTGTTGAAGTGTCCAAAAATCGTTGGGAAATAAAATAGGTCGATAAAAGCCTTGTTTACCAGAAGGTGTACGTGCAAGTTGAGTATCAAATTGAACATATTTCATAACTGGAGGCTGTAACCCGTTTTTAGGAATCACATTTTTATTATCACTAAGTAAAGTTAAAGTCACGTTTTGTTGCCAATGTGCGACTAAAGGACCACGACGTGTCAAATTGCCCAAGATACCTGTGCCAAGACCGACAATACCGGCACTCATATCAGTCTTATTATTCTCTTCATCTCCTTTTTCTTTCTCTACTTCTTCTTCATCTCTATCTTCATTCTCTTTCTTTAATAAGTTCTTTTGTTTAACTTGTGTCTTTTGAGGATAAAATTTTGTCAAAACTTTATACATGTTAGATCATTACTTGATTGCAATCAATTTTTAATATTTTACCATGTCTATAATAAACAATTGAATCAGGATTGAAGGCAGCATCAGTAGGATCGATTGGCATTTTATCTTGATTTACAAAAATGTGAGCATAAACAGTTCCATTATGTTGGATTGTCTACAAGATGATGTAAGTTTTTTATTTTATTTTATTTTATTTTTTTTTTTTTCAATGTCGTTATTTTATTACCTTGGTTGCAGGAATATCAAGATGTCCCTCTCTACCTTCGAACCATTGACCATAAAAAAGACCCGAAGTTTTAAAATCGGGTTCTTTACGATAATTAGTAAAATATTCATTTTCACTAATATAAACAGACACCTCCATGGGTGTATTTGGTTGCCAAAGAGGAACAAATGATTCAGGCAAATCAGCATGAGGGATGAGGGGATGAGGGAAAAAATGAACATTATCAGGTACGTTGTGTACATAATCACGAAGGGTAGCCCTAGAACCAGATTTGGTATGAACAGTTTGAGGTTGGGATGCACCATTAATTTGTGTATTTGTATTTTGATTATTATTATTCCAACCTATAGATGCCAAAAAAATGAATATAATGGCGCACACATCAAGATTATTGCTTACATACCTCCTGTAATAGCTCTCATAATCATCCAAAAGAATATCATTTGAACAATCTGACCACCATATTTCTTGAAAAATCCTTTTTCTTGTTGGTTTCCCTCAGGGGAGGGATTGCCAGAAGAAGAAGCTACTGCTTGCTTATTATCTGACATGATGTATAATAATGAAAAAAAAAAAAAAAAAAAAAAAAAAAAAAAAAAAGAATTGATTTTGATAGTAATACAAAATAAAGATGGAGTGTATATACATGGGGTACATAGTAATAGTATAAAAAATTATTACTTGATATGTATTATATAATATGTTTGTCAATTTCAGAGACATCACAAATATAAAATAGGGAAACGCACTTGAGAAAAATATCTGTATACGCTATATATTAAATAAAATAATACACATTAAGGGCTAATCTATGAATATATTACAAATATAACATGAGGTCTCTGGCTTTTTTGCATAAGGTTTGAACTTGGCGTTTCATGTATTTTAATTACTTTGAATCACCTATTGTTGTGGTTATAACTTGTTTTCATTGATTGAATTCTGCCTATCTATTTATTGATTCATTTCGCTGTTGCTCTTAATATGTACGTAGATATGCGTGAGATATCTAGAACAGTCTTAGACAACTTGAAATTGAACTGTGAACGATATTTTCCTTTTCTGCTGTATATTCTTAGACAATGCTATAGAAGGGCTTCTTATATTATACTAGGAACAAAATTAGGGTATTCTATTTTTAAATAAGATAATACAAGTTAATAATATAAAATCAATCTATTTTGATAAGGACACTACATTTACATTTCTCATTATTTTTATAGTGTATGAATGCAAAGTTTCATCACTTTAATATCAATACTCGATTCAAAAAAAAAAAAAAAAAAAAAAAAAAAAAAAAAAAAACCTAATCGATCATAATAATATGGATTACAAAGATTGGTTGTGATAGATTACTGGTCCCCCTTTTTTTTTAATAAAGAATGGCTAAGGCCTTCATTCATATTTCAGTCTGTTGTTGTAATACAAGAGAGACTCATTCAGTATTTTGTTATTGACAGATTAGAGAAAATTCTTAATAAATAGATATTTATTTTATTCAACATATTTAATTTTTCTTTTTTTTTTCATAAACACTTCAAGATATCAATTGAATTCTGCCAAGCTTGCCGTTTGGTATTGTAACTTTAAGCTATTTTTTTGTATCTTAAAAGGAAAAAAAAATTAATGAGAATATAAACAAATAATTAAAAAAAAAAAAAAAAAAAAAAAAAAAAAAAAAAAGACATTTATTTTACTTACTTTTCCTTTCTTTAACATAAACACATTTCATATAGTCGTAAAGAAGATATAAAATTGACAACATTTTACTATTTTACACATTGTTACTTTTTATAAGAAAGGGAGAAAATTAAATAATGTAACTGTGTGTATGTGTGTATTAAATGTGGGGTAACACATATTCTTATCGATTTCATATGATTGTGACTGTAATTTACAACAACGACCTCCTTATTCTTATAAAAAAGTAGATATTCAAAGTTATTTTTTCTTCTTTATCTTCTTTATTATTACTATTTCTTCTATAGGTAAGTCATTAAATAATACTATTTTATTCTTCTTCTTCTTCCCTGCCCTAGGAGGAAATTCTTTTTCTCATAGTTACCACTTATGTAACGCCCTCTGAATCAACAAGATACCCTACAATGTCCTCCTAATTCAAGGAGGGCAAGATAGGGTGTCTTGTTGATTCAGAGGGCGTTACATATTGTGCTAGCTATGGGTTTTTTCTAACCTCCTAGTAAAAATAAAAAATACAAGAACAAAGAAGGTGCAACGAATCCTAGCCTCCACGCGGCCACCTTTGGACTGCAGTAAATGTTATTTTTACTGTTGACGAATTGGGGATTCACTTTTTTATATATGAAATAAAAATAAAAATAAAATACAATAAATAAATATCTCTTTTTTTTACGCGTCTTTTAATTACAATAAAAATAATAATAGTTTATATATAATATTAAGCTTTCTAAATTACTTTCCAAACAATTCAAAGATAACTTTGTCTTTATTTTATATTAGAATGATTCTTAATATTTAATTACATTTCTTTTTAACCTTGTTCAAACTAACTTATATCCTGAAAGAATAAAATAAAATAATTAGTTTGTTTTTTAGTTATTTAAAATAAAAAGAAAGAAAAAAAACCCTCCTCTCAACCCTTACGCGTTATGAATCTATTTATTCAAGGTATAATAAGCTGATTGCGATGGATTACATAGCCTGTTTGCTGTCACTTGTCTAATGTACATGATGAAAAAGTAGATTATATTCACTAATCTAAAAGTGAATTTACAACTGTTTTATCAAAAGATAATTCCGTTTAATAAAGAGGAGATAGTAATAGTCTAGCTTGACTTGATTTTTTTTTGTCTTTCCCCTCATACTTTTGTACCTCATTTTCGGTGATTGAAATTATTTATGAAGGTAAAACAGCTATTCATAAGCAATGCATGCTATAATTATAATGAAACATACAACAGCATTTTTTTTTTCTTGTATAAACTGTGTCTATTCCTTTTGTTACTCTTTTTTTTTATTTTTTTGCTATTATTTACATAGATGCTTACACATAAAGTAAAATTTACTATCAGCATGTTTTTTTATTTTATTTTATTCTATTTTATCTTTTAATTTTATCTTTTGATTTTATCTTTTGATTTTAATTTTGCTCCCATTTTTTCTTTTTATTAAAACAATACTAATCTTGAATTGTAATGTCTAATACAGACTTTCTTACGGTAAACTAATAAAAGTAATTATAAATTTACAAAAAAAAAAAAGAAAAAAAAAAAAAAAACTCACACAATTGTTATTAAGAGAGCTATTGACATTGCAAAAAAGGCTACTGAAGAGGATCGTAATGAAAATTATAAAGATGCATACAATTTATATCAAAACTGTCTAGAATATTTTATGACGGCTATTCGATGTAAAAAAGAAAACTCTTCTTTTTCTTTTTTTTTTTTTTTTTTTTTTTTTTTTGGTCGAAATGCACTTCATCATCAACTCATTATCTTTTTTTTTTTTGGGTGATAGATGAAAAGAATGATAGATTAAAAGAACGAATTCGTGAAAAGCTAATAGAGTATTTGGATAGAGCAGAGACTCTAAAAACATTTTTAAATGTTCAGCATGAGAAGGAAAGCCTTAAAAATAGTAGTAGTCCAACCAAAAATAAAACAACGAAAAAAGCGTAAGTAAAATGATTATATTGTATAAATATATATATGTGTGTGTGTGTCTAAAAAAAATTATACATATATTTATTGTTATTCTTTATGTACGATATAGAATGGGAACAGCTGATGATGATGCTGATGCTGATGATGAAAATGATACAGATATGAAAAAATTACGTGCTGGTTTAATAGGAGCTATTTTAACAGAAAAACCAAATGTGAGTTGGAATGATGTTGCTGGATTGGAAGGTGCAAAGGAGGCATTAAAAGAGGCAGTTATTTTACCTATCAAGTTCCCACATCTCTTTACAGGTCAACGTAAACCATGGCGAGGCATCTTATTGTATGGTCCTCCAGGCACAGGTAAATCTTATTTAGCCAAGGCGGTAGCTACAGAATCCAATGCTACTTTCTTTTCCATCTCTTCTTCTGATCTAGTCTCTAAATGGTTGGGCGAGAGTGAGAGACTCGTTAAGGAACTATTTCAAATGGCAAGAGAGAATAAACCTTCTATTGTCTTTATTGATGAAGTAGATTCTCTTTGTGGTTCAAGAGGTGATGGAGATTCTGAGGCTTCTCGTCGTATCAAAACAGAATTTTTAGTTCAAATGAATGGTGTAGGGAATGATATGGATGGTGTACTTGTACTAGGGGCCACAAATATACCTTGGCAACTTGATTCTGCGATTAGAAGAAGGTTTTATCATATGACAATGAATATATATGTATTTATGTATATATTGTTGGTTAATTATATATGTATATGTATATAGATTTGAACGGCGTATTTATATCCCTTTACCTGATCTTAATGCACGCGCTAATTTATTTTCTTTAAATGTTGGAAATACACCTTGTACCTTAACACAGCAAGATTATAAACGACTCGCAGAGATGACAAATGGGTATTCTGGATCTGATATTGCTGTTTTAGTAAGAGATGCATTAATGCAACCTATTCGTAAAGTTCAAAACGCTACTCATTTTAAGCTTGTAACTGCACCTTCACGTACTCAACCAAGAACAATAACACCAATACAGTCCTATTTTACGCCTTGTTCACCAGGTGATCCTGATGCTCAAGTAATGAATTGGATGGATATTGAAGGAGATCAATTATTAGAACCAGAGTTAACAATACAAGAATTTTTAAAAGCTGCAAAGAATTCTCGGCCTACAGTAAATGAAACTGACATAAAGCAACATGTTAGTTTTACTCAAGATTTTGGACAAGAAGGATAAAAAAGAAAAGAAAAAGAAAAGAAAAGAATAGAAAAAGAAAGGTCGTTTATATAAAGTATTCATTCATTTTTTTTTTTTGTTTATTTCATGAAATACATATCATGAAGCGTTGCTTTATTTTGATGATCTTTTTTTTTTTTTTTTTTTCCTTCAATGTTGTGTAATAAATAAAAATAAATACATTTATATTTTTTATAATATGACTAATTTACATTAAAAATATATTTATATTATATAAGCAAAGCAAAGCAAAAAAAAAAAGGTAATTATAGCATGTATTTATATAATTTAAAAACCAAGCCATTTTTTACCCACATGAAAGACATTTTGAACACTTAGAGCTTCATTATTATTTACAATAGAGTCAGGTGGTGGTAAAGTGAGAGAATCATCCGTAAAATAGCTAAAAGGATGCTGTTCAGATACAAAAGGGGTATGATTCACTAAGGAGGGAATATGAAGTTTATCCAATGAATATCTTTGAATACTAGAAGAAGATGGATGAGCGGTAGTTTCATAGAGATCTAATGCCTCAGATGTAACTGAATCAATATCAGACATTACGACTGCGTGAGGATGACTAATAACGATATAAGTATATATATTTATATGAGTTATATAATGCAGATGGTCCAAAATCAAATAATGCGAAAATACCTTTCTTGACAATCTAAAGCACTTGCATCCTCCTCTACTGCTACTGCTTCTGGATGAATTTGAATCATTGTGTTTTTAATACAAGTTATTTTTTTAGTCAATTCGTCTATTCGATCATTTAAGAATACTTGCGCTGGTACTACTAAAGGTTTTGATATCGTTTGTTCTGGTATCATTTGTTCTATTGTTGTTGGTATTGTTCTAGCAGCGTAAAATTCCCCTCCTTGTCTTGGAAGTATTTCTTGTATAATAATAGGATCTTCTCTATTGTCAATACTATTATACAATTCTTCACCATAAGGATCCATGTTCTTATAAGAGAAAACATTAAAAAAAATAAATAAATAAATAAATAATTCTTAGTACCTGAGTCTTATTATATGTGATTAAACTAGCAATTTGTTCATCTCCAATAAACTCAGCATCATATAATTCTTCTTCTTGTTGTTGATAGTTAAAAAGAGTATTATCATCATGCCTCCTCTTTCTTGATTTTTTCTTTTTCTTTTGTCCAACTTCTCTTGTAAAAGAGTTCATATCTCTATCATTATAATAAATAGATTCAATAAATAGATTATCATCTTCATCATCAAGTTGAATGCCGCCACCTCTATTTTTAAAAAAGCAACAACATTGTGGAATAGAAGGAATATAATTTCGCCAAGTCAAGTCAAAGGCGTGCAACTCATCATCTATAAATGAGTGTCGTTGTTGTTTCTTTTTATTAAAAAAGTTGGGAATTGTCATTATTATTGTATATGTATGGTATATAAGAAAGAAAGAAAGAAAAAAAAAACAAAAAAAAGGAAATTTAATGAAAAATAATAACAATGATAATTACTAAGGAAAAAAAAAATGTATTTAATTATCACATGTGAATTGCCAGTTATATTAGAGAGAACAGCAGCAGTGGTTGTGGTTGTGCAAAAAAGAAAAAGCTGGAGCTAAAAAAAAAAAAAAAAAAAAAAAAAAAAAAAAAAAAAAAAAAAATATTATTTGTTTAATAAAGACATCAATAATAATAACAATGAAATGCCTTTTATATCTAAAAAGAGGAGTAGGTTAGTGTTACGATCAAAAGCAGTTAATCACAAAGCCTTTAAATATTCTGAATTTATTCGAAATCATACCCATTTATACGTACTATCTTTGTTCTTTAATAAGTATATCGATGGTAAGGGAAAAAAAGGGGGCCTATTATACATGACAAATAATAACGAATAAATAATCCATTTATGACAAGAATAGATGAGTAATTGTTATACACTATTAATCTCAAATAAGCTGTTAATTTAAGCTAAAAGTAACCTATTAGAGATCAAGGAGTCTTATTGTATATAAGCTAACCTGGAATTCAGTAAAGCTTTTCTCTACATCAAACGAAATATCTTGAAAAGTATCTATAGACAGACAGACAGACTTTGTCTACATGACAGAATAAGGAAATTATTATTTATAAATTCTTCGAACCGAACATAGTGTTTGTATTATTCCGGTTTATGATTTATAAAATACTAGCTTAAAATGTCGATATTTCCTGCATGAAAAAAAAACAAAGTTTTATCCGGTTTTTAATCCTAATAACTACCTTTTTTTTTTTCTATTTACGTTTCTTTTTTCTTCCTCTTTTTTTTTTTTTTCTTTTTCTTTTTCTTTTTATTTCTTTGAATTATATACAATGATGTCCACTACGACAAAACAAGATGATATAAATTTAACTACTTGTACGTTTGGTAACTTAAGAAAGAATTAGGTAGCTTAAAAGTGTTTATTCATTTATTATTATTTTTTTTTATACAAAGCTCAATGTGAAACAGCAAGACGTATTGTACATGAATTAAGTCGTGTTTATAAATGGGAGAATCCTCTTCGGTCTGGTACATTATTTGTTACCCTTATAGGCTTCTTTATCGTCACACAGCATTGTTCTCTCTTGCAGATTATTTGTGGCATTTTAATGCTTGCTACAAGTATCAATTTAGTGTATGTCACGATGATTCAGTTTTCCCAAAAGGTTATTTCAGATCATCCTACAGCACATCATCCTTACAAGTAAGTTATATAAGTATAAGATAAAACAGAAAGACTTACTATAGAATTATAATAGTCATTTGTTGAATCATTCTTCAGCTTTATTAAGTAAAGATAGTGCAGCTTATTATAGTTCAGTTTTAGTGGATATAGCAGAGATAATAATAAGATGGATAGCTCGTATTATTTTAATTGAAGATAAAAAGAAGAGTATCAAGGTAAAATGAGTGAATAGCTTCTTTATTATTATTATTTAACTAATATTGAGTATTAGTGGTTAGGTCTATTTTTTATCATTTGGAAAATATCAGCTTATATTTCAAGTCGCGTCATCCTTTTGACTTTTCTTATTTCACTCTTCATCTTCCCTAAACTTTATATGAGTAACAAAGATATAGTGGATGCTCGTTTTCAACAATGTCGTGCTTTATTAAATGCTCAACTTTATTGTGTTCAACATTTTGTTTGTGTACAACTTGATTCTATAAAGAAATTAGTTAAAACTTATATTGCGAAAAACTCAACTACTGCTACTACCCCTGTCACTGATAATAATAATACGATTGTAGATAATGATAAAATAACATCTGATACAACCGTAAACTCTACTACGAATTTGACTAATAAAAAAGACGAATAAAATATGTATTTTTTTTTTTTTTTTTTTTTTTTTTTACTGTTGCACTAAATATTAGTATTATTAATTTTTATATAATTTTTTTTTCCTTTTTTTTTCAATTAATTACATGCCTTCTTTCTCTTCTGTCTGCATTTATCATGGATAATACTCAAACTTCTTCTTCTATTCGAAGCAGACTATCAGCAACTAAAACTGAATTACATAATAATATGCCAGATTTCACTGAATTTAAATTAGAGGCCTTTAAAATGAATTCTTCTTCTTCACCAAAAGTGGTGACTCGATTACTACGTGAAAATCGTAGATCGTTTGTATTCTATTTAGAACCAAATCCAGGCACAGGTATTCATACATCACTTCAACGATATCAAGATACAATATTACATCAATTTGGACCCAATCAAGCTCATAACACAAGGCCTCATATCTCTATCTTTAATCGCATCTTAATAGAAGACAGTCATCTACAACACGAATGGAATACAATAGTAGAGGAACTCATCCAGATACTTGACCAAGAGATCAAAAGGAGACACCTTCAGTTAACATCACCTGAATTCAATGGATTTGAAATTCTGAATAAACCTAGTCATTCATTGGTCATAAACGTTAAACTGAATCATCATTATATCACGTTAGCAAACCAAGTGAAAGACCAAATAGGTTTAAAAAGGAAGCAGCAGCATCAGCAGCAGATCTTACTGGAAACAGGGCCTATGGATACAATTCATCTTGCCTATAATATCCTTCAATCCATTCCAAGGCAAGACTTGAAAGAAATGAAAGAAAAAGCAGAAAAAATGATTGATCTTTATGATTGGTTCAAGACAGGTGGCTCCTGGCGACTTGTCCTTTATGAAGTCATGCTAGAAAGTCAAGTTGTTGTTGGTGTACAACATCAACTGAATGAGATTAAATCTTGGCCCTTAAAAAATAATCATACGACAACAGCGTCAACGGCAACGGCAACAGCAACATCAACAGCAACAATGATGTCTTTTCGTCTTTTACCAGTTTCTTTACGTATTAAATTATCATTTCTATCTTCTTGGTTCAAGGATTCAATTATTCCCTTTTCATCTACTACAAAGATATTTGCCACACCACCACCATTACAGCAGCAGCAGCAGCAGCAGCAGCAGCCACCTTCTCATTCTGTTCATTTATTACATAATAATGATCATTCATCCCGACATAATAAACGTGCTGCAACTTTAAACAAATAATGATAATAATAATCAATATATGCATATATCTATCTATCTATATTTATATAAAGGGGAGGGGAAGGGAGAGGTTATAAAATAACAACATTCCATATACAAACTGCTTTTATTATTATTTAAATATATAACTTGTCCATTTCTTTGAATGAATGGGGGGGATTTAATCTTCCATTTTAACATCTTCTTCTTCAGCTCCACGAATATAAAGAACATTATTACATCTAATTCATGTGTGTTAATATCATGTACTGTAATCCTTAAATCTATCTATCTATCTATCTATACCTAATCAACACTTCTCCAAGTGTACCAACAGAAACACCATTTTGAAATTCTTCTGTATTTGCCAACTAGCAATTATACATTAGTTACAGCGCGTCTATTTTTATACTTTTTTTTTCTTATTATTATTAACATAATAACTTACTTGAAGATTCATATAGTTATCAACTGAAACTAAATATCCTCGATATTCACCACCCCACTTCAATTTAACAGAAACTGGTTTACCGGTAAGATCGCTAAGAAAAGGCTTAGGATTAACGGGAATAAACTAGAAGAAGAAGAAAAAAGAAAGAACAAGAATTAATAACTATTCTAAACATGAATCAAAAGAGCTAATATTATTTCTTTCATTTTATTTAAATGTTCAAGGTACTTTACAGCAGACATGATTTTATATATTTATAATGAAGAAAGAGAGGAAAAAAAAAAAAAAAAATAGGTGGATAATTGACAGAGAAAAAGTAGAAATTCTACGTCACAGTCATAATAATATAAAAGAAAATTTAAAGTGCAACCAGTAACAAATTAGGATT